GACGGTAAGAAAATGCCGCTGTTCTTCCTGAAGTTCCTGTCTGTCGTCTGGCGTGTTGAATCAATGAGCCAACTCATCTGTGATTTTAGGACTGACTTTCTTTTACCAAAAACCTTAAGAAAACCCTCTTAGGGCGTTAGGTCGCCCCCCTCCTCCATGCACACTCTCATGAATGTGAAGCCCTTTCGTTAACGATGTCGTTGCAGTTTCTCGTCATCATGCCGTTGTAGTTTCTCGGCGTCCTGAGTGAGTGTCATCGTCTGTTGTTGTCAGTCCTCTTTTAATTTTGGTTTTTAATTGTTCACCACGTGTAGCTGAGTCCTTCGCAGATGTTGTTGGAGTCTCCAGGTTTCTACATCGCCAGTGGAACATATTACAAAGAAGTATGACAAAACGAAATTATGTTCAATTAATTAGTAAAGCTAGCAGACAGTGTGTTAGAAAGCATGTGCTAAGTATTCTCTGGCAATGCTTTAAAGAAACTGCAGTGATTGTATCGTGTTAGTGTGGCAAGCTTGCATGCATGGTTCGGACAAAAAATGAATTCGTCTTTAATCTTTCTTTCAGGTGCGAAAAGCATACATCAAAATGATGATTCATCTTTTTTTGAAGCTTCGAGAATCTCTTGGTCTGTCTCATATAAATTCTGTTTATTCATTTCGAAATATGATCGTGAATATTTTGATATTGGAAAGCAATATTGCAAAGGTAAGTGAACGTCCACGTTTTAACTATTGAACTGAAAGTCTTGTCAGGAAAATGAATGTGAATTGCTTTTGATAGGTGTTGCTTCGCTGGAAGATGCCGACTTACCAAAAAATGACTTTGAATCGATTACAACGTGAGATTCCAGAGGTTAGATTGCTATAAGCCAATAACCATGATCAATATTTTGGACCCGACAGTCCAGTAAATCAATGAAAATGAGAAGAAATGCAAAATGTTTTGGATTTGGACTGGCGTGATACTCTGGCGGGACCAAGAGTTTAATCAATTTTAATTATTTGAAAAGTGTTTCATTTTCAACAAATTGCAAGAATAACTTGAAGTATCTTTCTTTCTAGTTTCCGTGGAAGCTTTACATTCAGAAGTTGTATTCCAACATCACTCAGAAGAAACCGATTACCGGAAATGAGATGATCGGAGTATCAAAACTGGGTGCATTGAAAAGAATCGCGCATATTTTGAGATTTACACCAAAATCGTATGCATTCGTTTCCATTTTGTCCCGCCCATACATCTTCTTTAACATTGATTCCGTATATATTTATGATCGACAACCTATTATTAACTTAATCCTTTGTATTTCTATTAATTCAAGGATAAAAGCAAACTTTTTAATGTGGAACATTGCTTACCACTTCTCGGGGGATATCAGCTCAGATTATGAAATTGTAAGACATCGCTTTGTCGTCGCGATGTATGGTAATCAGCAGCGCAAGGCCAGGTGGCGTGAATGTGTATCATCCACAAGCGCAGCTCTTTCAATGGCGCTTGGCAAATTATTTGTCGAAGAGCATTTTGACATGCACAGTAAAAATAGAGTAAGTTCTTGAAACGATACCTTGAAAGTAAACACCCTAGCGGTCTAGCAACACCCATCAGTCAATTAAAAGCTGATGTCCAAAGCTGAAGTCTTACTAAGCTCTGTACTTTAGGCGGAAAAAATTATTGAGGATATCCGACAACAGTTGATGAAAGATTTTGAGAATATATCATGGATGGATAACACTACAACAAAGAATGCCGAAGAGAAGGTAATTTTTGTGCAAGAATACAATGAAGTCATATTTAGTTTATGTGTTCGTATATAATTAATATAAAGAATATAAAATTTTATGTCTCGCGGCATAATAATGCATTATATATTTTTGTAGGCAGAAGCAATTGTTAAGAATATTGGATTTCCAAAATTTATTTTGAACGATACCTTGGTTGGATATTACTACAGTGGAGTAAGTTAAACAGTCTCAACACCGTATTTGCTGGCATACCATGATACTCAATGCTATAGGTGTGACGTATCAAGTTAATGGTTCATAGTTGTTCATTTGAAATGTGACTATACGTGCATCAGTAAATGAAAGAATTTTGGCCTTCATTTGTGTAAACACACTTCTTTTATGTAAACACACTCCTCATCTATTATTAGCTCCTTTCCTGATTTTTTCTGATCAATTTTTTTCAAAGATGTCATTCAGCCCAGAGAACTTTTTGAGGAACATTATAGTGCGTCGTTTAGTTATATCACGGAATACATTGATGTCAAGAGAAATAAAACCCAATCGAGCGAGGTGAAAATACATGTGTGGAAAATACTAGCACGGGGGGCTACTTCCCCAGGATGTTTTCACTGAGAAATTATAATTTCTTCTTTAGATGGTCGATGGCTCCACAGGAAATCAACGCCTATTACAGTCAGGAATACAACAAGATAGGTAAATAAATTAGTCAAAATGAAGTCGCAAGTGTCCTCAAAAGGTACTGCATTGCCATATTAGAATAAGCCATTATCCGTAGGGACAGTTTAGATCTGTTTATGCTGATCCAATTTTGTCAGATCCAATTTACTTATGCCGTATGAAATGTAGTCTACTATTGATAATGCAGTAGCTGTTTGACTTTAGTTGATTAGCCTTAAACATTCCAAGTCAACAGACAACAAAAGACTATAAAATATCCGGCCATCATGCGACAAAAATAATAAAATTGAATTGTGTGAATTACAGTGATCGATGACCTAAGTCGTGAAGCCACGTATAGCCACATAATTTAATGTATTGTACTACTTTTCTTTTACTAGTATTTCCAGCTGGAATTCTGCAGCGACCATTTTGGCATGCTTCCTATCCGATGTATGCATATTTTTACTTCATGCTTTTTAAAAGATCTCTACTGATTCAACACTTAAAGCTCTTATTCCACTCATCGCAAAAACAAGCTCGCGACTTTGTGCTAAGTACTCAATACAACCAATTTTATAAACCTGCATGTTGAGCTTTCGCGAGTGAGTTTTGTTATGAGTTGATAAGAGGCTAAACTGTTTTATCAGAATGAGGATGATCATGTTTACGTCCTGTATTTTGATTAGGTCAATGCAGTATGGTGGTTTGGGATATATTGTGGGCCACGAGATTAGTCATGGATTTGATGTCAGCGGTGAGATGCTATAATATGAATATGACACCCAAAATAGGCAGTTTTTATCATCATGGGGAAACATCTTGTTCTATATCTATGTATCTGCAGGAATGCACTACGACAAGAACGGAAATTATATTAGTTGGTGGACTAAGTCATCGAAATATGCCTTTTTGATGAAATCCCTGTGCTTGAGAGACCAATATTCAAACTACACGATCTTTGGGAAACACGTAAGTATATTTCTCCAACAGTGGCTACCCTGGTTCACTGCCACATCAGTCCTGAGCCATCAAATCGTCCCATTTCATGGTGACCAGTTTTTGTTCTTTTAAATGGTTCATGAAACCCAATACCATTTTGGATTACTTGTCTGACTCTGTCTATAGATGAATGGGATTGCAACTTTGGGCGAAAATATTGCAGACAACGGCGGAATACGCTTGGCTTATAAGGTTTGGACATATCTTCATACTATGGTCCGCATACATGCCACAGAATCGAAAGTATAGTCAGATATGGTGAAGATTACTGAACGCAAAAAACTGAGCATTTACTGGCCCTGCCTTACCAAACCTTGCCACAATAGGCCACTTGGCTAGAATTCCGTCTATTCTAGGATTACTCAAAGAACTGATCATGAAGTGATCAAGAAGTCTGAACTTCACAATCCAACCTACAGTTATGCATAATATTAGTTAGTTAGTATACGTAACTTCCGAACTGTGAGCTCCACTGTCTTATTACGCATAGGCATATCAAAAATGGAAGAAAGACAATGGCAGCGATGAACAACTTTTGCCGGATTTTCCTTTTACAAACGAACAGTTGTTTTTCCTGAAAGGTGCACAGGTAAGCATGATGAACGGTCAGCTTTGGTCTCAGCATTCTCCAAATAACAAATTACGTATCCGGTAAGAACAATGTCATTTTATTTTCGTGATCATTCTGTGTTGTCATCGATAGATGTGGTGTGCTAATATCCGCAAGAAAGTTGCTCTTAACATGATCGATACTGATGAACATACGTTGAAAATGTTCAGGTAAATTAGAATTTTTTATTTATATCGAATGAATTTGGTTTTTTTCTACCGAATACTTTGAAATTTGCATTTTTATTAGGATCATTGGTCCGTTTTCCAACTCAGAAGCGTTCTCAAAGGCTTTCAAATGTCCGCCAGGAAAGCGAATGAATCCTGTGAAAAAATGCCGCGTTTGGTAGAGGAATATTTTAAATGAAAGATAAATTATATTTTTGACGCATCAATTTGTATTTTTTTATTTATCTGCATATATATTTATGTGGATAGAATCGTTTATGTTTGGACCAGCATTATTAATGTTCAGCGATAGGGGCCATCACAAAATTCTTCATCATACAGATAGTCAATGTATGCCCTCTGCTGATAAAATGAAACAAATTATTGCGTCTAAAGTGATAAATGAAGCCCAAGAAATGTGGGGACTCGGAAACTGCTTCCGAGGACTTTGTATTACGTGTCGCGTGTCTTTTGCGCAGTGAGCTGACTGAGCTCTATATAATAATAGACTCGTGCAAAAGTCTCCTTCGGCAATACGAGTTGGCTACTACAACACGTTTTTGTTGCAACAAAACCAAGAAAAGATTTGGCAGTACTGGTATGTATAGTAATACTAGAATTTTGAGGTCATCACTCATCAATTTATAAATTATCGTCGACCTTGGTCTGAATAATTCTTGATATCATACTCAGCCTCATCCAATATTTGTAAATTGATTATTGATTATTGGTTTGTAAATTGAGTAATTGTTTATCTATTGTTTATTGATTGTCACTCTTCACCAGACTTCTATATACCCTATGACGTCACGGCGAACGAGTTGTACTTTGCCGAATAAGTTAATATTCAACACACACAGCAGCGTATGTTTACGCCAGAGCACGTTGTAAACTTACACAAAAACTTCGCTCATAAAGGCGGAAATGGCCATGGATTGCCCTTATATTAATTTTATGGCAATCTACATTATTTCTGCTAGCTTTTTAGGCACAAATTCTGGCCGTGGAGTCACGCATTGGAAGCTGAACGAGCAAGGCAGTAGCATAGTTGAAGGCAACGAGAGTGACAGGAATTATGTCAAAACTGACCCGGTATTTGCCTTATTGATTGAACATTATCCACCTAAGACAGCTCCTGCAAGAAGGCCTAAATCGGGAAAGAATAAATCGAGCAAGAAAGCATCTCCAGCAAATCATTTAAGGTGCGTTTTCACGACAGAAATCGCGTTTACAGCGCCGTGTCGGCAGTGACTTAGTTAATAATTATAAATATTCAACTGTGTTTCTTGGGCATATTGGATGCCCCGTTTATTATTATTGCCCTCTGGGAAAACATCTCTTATCCAATCTTCCATCAAACGTTTTGATTAGGAAATAAGGACTTTATAATCTTAATTTATTCTATTGTGAGAAAGTTTCAAGAGGATCATGAAAGAATAAAACTTGCTTCTAAGGCATTTTTGTGTTGTTGTAAAATATGTACCTGTCAGGCTGTTACATTTGTCATGTACTAACAATATTAAGAGAATTTGGAAGGTTTGAATGCACTTGATGCATTGGAGTGATGAGTAGTTTTAATGCATTGTAATAATTTAATTTTAATCTCTGCTCACATGCAACAATGTTTTTTTTATGTTTAGGCTTAAGGCTACTTTGTTTACAACCCTTCAGATGTACATTAGTATGTCTGATAACCTACTTATTACTTATTATTTTTGTGAATGCTCTGAATGATATTTCCTGCAGTACCAAGCATTAAACTCAGTGTACTGCTTATTCGCGTTTATAGTGGCTTTGGACTTTCAACTTAAGATAACAAAAGTCTTTATTTGCGTATGATATTCACTCATCTACGGAACCCAATTATAGGCAGTACAAAATTATCTTGTTTCAATTTAATATCTGAGGATATTACTGTAGCATTTATATCAATAGGTTACACCTTTACAACTAGGTTGTGGATTTCTCCACAGTGAAGATGATAATTATTTTGCTTTGCTGCAGTTCACCCACAATGACAGGTCCACCAGCATATGAAATATTCCAATCGTCAACATTCCACTGTGGTGATCCTGTCAATGAAACAATGTACGACAGCCTACTTGGAATAGCCAGGAGAAAAACCCACCCATTGTTTGAAGAACCAGAAGTCTCCATGATCTTTAAAAAGAGTGAACTTGACCAGCTAGATATGAAGGCGATTGAAGAAAATTTACAGAACTCTTTAGAGGAGGTAAAATAAATAAAATGCATTTGCTTGAGAAAGATAATCTTCTACATCTTTGTGTATTTTTAGAGTCCCATGTCTGTTGTGGTATGCAATCAAATTGGAAACTATTTGAGAATGAAAGGCAACACATACCATGCTATTGAGTGTTTCAGAAAAGCATTGTATACCATGCCAAATAATGCAGACATTCTTCTTAACCTTGCAAGAGTATTGTATAACTTGAAGTACCTTGATGATGCGATCTATCTTACCAGAAGGTCATTGGAAATGCAGCCAGCCAACCTAAACTGTTGGCTACAGCATTTCACTTTGGGTGAAATTCTCAAAGCAAGCGGGGAGAGGAAGGAGGCAGCAATTCATTTCAGAAATGCATTGGATCTCAACCCATCCTTTCAACCTGCCGAGATTCAGCTGCAAGAATTGGGTACGGTTGTCGATGAGTCATTCGACTTTTATACATATTTAATCATCGGCCTTCTTGTCATTGTCGTGTTGTTTTGGTTGTACATAACTAGCCCAGGGAAAGAGCAAAGTAGCCAAAGCAAATCAAATATCCGTCCTCGGATAATACCTGGACCTGTTAGAAGATCAATCAATCGGCGACTGTAATAGGGGGTGACATGGTTTGTTGTCGAGGTTAGCAAGAGCTGGCAATTTGCTGCCTGTTTCACCAGTAGCTAAATAGATTTGAGATGACCTCTTTAGCAGAAGGGAAGTTTCAAAAGAATATATTTATTTGACATAATATAACTTTTTACTTGGTAAGGCAGAAAAAGATTTGGAAGAAAGAAATTATTTACTGTCTAAAGATATTATTTTATGATAGAGCAAGTACTCAGTTCAAATTTTATCAGATGCAGTGAACAGTGCAACAAATTCAGCTCTTGGTAATTTTATGCACCTATCCGTTTACAAGAATGCAGTCGCACTTTCTTAGAATCAAGTGTTCGTAATATGCGCCGTACAGTACCACGACAACATGAACTTTGTTGATGTGATTTTGTCTTATTTAATAGTGCTTTTCAAGTTGTGTAAAAATTTTTAGCTTTCACGTAATTTTTTTCAAATTGAAAACAGTCAAATCTGAACAAAAAATGAATTAAAAAAATAAAGTTTTCCAATATTATAAAGCGTTGTGATGGTTGACAATCTCATTTTCTATGATAATTAGCGGATGGGAAATGGATGGGAAATTGAATGACGAAGCCGATAATTACAATAGATTCATAAAAACAAACAAAAGGAATGATTAGTTGAAATCCCACGGGAGTTTAGGACGTCGTTTATGGCCTGTTTCAGCGGCATATTGCATAATTTAACCTTCCGTACTGACCGTACATTAAGTTCTGTTTGAAACGGCCGCCATTATGTACAAGACTACAAGACGGATGAAATATTACTGTGTTAGAGATTTTCCTAACATTAACCTCGATTTTCACTAAGTCAAACTATTAAATCTACATATCTAAATGGTGAACTAGAAGTGTGTTTGCAATATTTCATGTGAAGCTGTTTGTTTTTGCCGTTTATTCAACATAACTACCATCAGCTTGAATTGACTATCAAGCCAGGAATACTCAACACGAAGGCAAGTAAATTTTAACTAAATACAAGTTGCATTTGTTCGGTACTTTTTATTTGAATATTTACAATTATTTATGAAAGTAATTCCTAACAATTAGGCTTCCGTAAGATCGTCATTGAAGTACAAATGTATAGCAGGCAAATAGTGATCTTCATTAATGCTAAGTTGATAAAAGTCTTCACTCTGATCTGCGATTCCATTTTCTACCAAGGTCTTCTTCATGTCAAGATTAACCCCTTTGTATTTCCAGGTGTAGCTGCCTGCATGCAGGTTATAGTTGATATAACGGTCTTGGATCTCTGTCAGGATTTCTTCAGAGCAAACCTGCAAAGGTAAATATATAGTTTAATTTTTTAAAAATTATGTAGTGGGAATAACAATGTGGCATCATTTTATTGAATGTAAAGAACTCTTGTGCATTTAGCTACTCTATAATCTCACAGCCCCTATCTCACAGCCTCTATCTTACAGCCTCTATCTCACAGCCTCTGCCTCACAGCCTCTGCAAACAAGCTGTTGACGAGGTTGTTTTTGCATTGGTTATGAAGCAAGATTTACCAACCTGTTTGTTGAATGGCAAAGTTCTAATAACTTTGCATGCAATTCACCTGTAATTTTGTAAGTGTGGTGGTTGCAAAATGCAATATTGGAACAAATTTGTGGTGTGAACTGTGAAACAGCCTCTCCCATAAATCATGGCTGAATTTGGCTCTAAAAGAACCTCATGACAAGTCGATAATGCCAAACCATTTTGCATTGATCCACCTTGCAATGTGCTGAGTGCAAACAACTTGTTTGGATGCTTGTTTTAAAGCTTTGCATTTTTATGTGCATGATAGTGTGATGCTAACCTCTAATACTTGTTCCTGGGAGGTCAAGTGTTTATTATCCTAATTTTTGTTGTTTTTCCAGACAACCGACCAATACAGAAAGACTCGTCTCTCCACCATGGTCGTCCAAAATCATTGTCCCAGTCTGTTCTTGGCATTTTGGTGGAATGTGAATGAACCGTCCTCGTGGAGTGTATGGGAACACACAATTAGTTTCTGGGTCAACACAAGTTCGAATCTATATTGAATGTGGTTATAAATGTATGAGATTTGGGGATGCAGCCTGAGGAAGGCATGGATATCGAACCTGATGCTAGGTAGGTCTTGTATCTGTGCATGGCTAGGAGTATACAACAAAACACGGTGCATAATACCTCTTTTGTTTTGCGATCAAACCAATGAGATATATCTTTACCCGCTGCTTCAACGATTGGCTTTAACAGAACATCCCCTGAATAATCATGAAGTTTGAAAGTAAATTTCAGGTTTTTCAGGATTGATATCGGCAATTTAAATGCGGTAGTAACTGCATGCAGTACTTGCTTCGTTTCCATTCGCAGTCACAAACAATAAAGCAGCTTTTCTCTTCTCAATAACAGACTACTTACCTGCGTATTTTTTGCATAACGGGGTAAGATCATACACTTTGCCAAGAAACGAAACCCAAATATCTTTCAGAGTGTTGTGAATGCTGACTTCGTTCGGTGTATAATATTTTGGTCTTCGAGTCGGATTTTCTCCCATATCTTATAAAGAGAAATACAGCGTATTTCTTGTCGAAAATGAAATTGTTTACGATAATTACAAATTTAAAGTTTGGGTTCGTTGTTGCCTAGCAACATGAATCCGGGGGGAGTTCTATATCTGTGGATTAGGCCGTATTCAGGTTCAGCATTTTTCTGCCTCATCCATCACGATTTTCATTTTGAGATAAATGCGAATTACACTGTATCATGAATGGTTAGATCTACAGATTTATGGCTTAAATAATAACAAGGGCGCTATACAAGCATTTGAATAATCATCGTCGTCGGCGACAAAACTTTGGGCCTAGTCTTTTCATGCCAAACACGGACACGCGCGCGGAAGGTGTCGACAGTCGACTGTCGATGAAAGTAGAATTTCGGATGGTATCGTCGTGGTATATTATTATTAGTCCACAATAAGAGCCTCTTTAAGCTAATCTCTGGAAGTTACAACTTATTAAATTATAACTCAGAAAGCTACTAATAGTCTAAGTAATAGGGAATGCTGTTCAGCGGAAAAGGACTGAGTGAAATTGAGATTTATTTCAGCCTTTATACAGCTTAGAGTTAGTAGCTGTTGCTAAGCCTTGCTAGGCTACTTGAACTGATCAAACTCTCGGTTCTGTAAGTCGCAAGTTGATTCAATTTTCACTGAAATTAGAACAACAAAAAAAACACACAAAAACAATAAAAAATACTATAAGAACTACTTAAAAATACTTAGTCTTAGAGCACGTGTACTTCATTATTACAACTGGTTAAGCATTATTTAAGCTCATTGTCTCGCAGCAGGTGCTAGAAAGCTGACCATTCTTTCAAAACCAGGTAAATGCGATGACATCAGAAAACTTCATTGAATAGCATTTCTAAACACATTAAGAATATTGTAAATGTTTATAATTCGGTCGCCCGTTCCGCGGCTTTTCATCGCAGAAATTTGTAAACAACAATTACAAGCAAATACTTGCTAATTGTTGGCGTTGCCTTGATACTTTTGAACAATTGCTGGGTTTCGAAGATATTTGTGTTTTCAAGAAGAGGACAAGTTTTGAACAGTATTTCAAATTACATTTTGTATGCACTTGGATTAAAGTTGAAAGGGGAAAGTTGAAAGGGGAAATTGTCGGAGTAAAAGGCTTCAGTAAAAGTAGTGGTGTATTCGGACTTGGTGACAATTGGATATTTCCTAGTCATAGACATCTCAGCTGAAAATACATTGATTACCAAACCGATGTGACTTTACGATCTAAAGAGAAGTCGTTGCTTTGCAAAGGGTGCTTCATTTCATTAGTGACCAGGCAATAGTAAAGGACTGCATCGAGTGTTAGAGGCTGAACTATCTTCTTCAAGTTTGAAACTTGGATTTAATAAAACGAAACGACTGAAGAACCGTAAAAATAAATACGTCCATTTAATAATCTTTTGACGGTACACCAGATTCGTTTGAATAATTTTTAACAAGTATTGATAGGGAAAACTTGGATCTGGGAGTTTTAACGCGTATGGTAGGTGAAGCTAAATGTCACTCTTGGAATTTGATGAACACAATTAAGAACGTATTGCTTCAAAAATAGTTTATTTGTGAATTTGAGACCGTGCGGACCTCGGGATAAAGAAGATAATGTTCGGTTTACTTCGTTTATTTACAAGACGAAAGGAGGTGTCATCTGAAGTAAGTTCGTCAAACTTGAGCCGTTGTCTGACGACCTGGGACCTTGTCTCGCTCAGTATTGGAGCCACGTTGGGTGCTGGGATCTATGTTGTAACTGGCCAGGTAGCGGGGAGCATCGCAGGCCCAGCCGTCATAGTCTCTTTCACCATTGCGGCCGTTGCTTCAGTCTTGTCTGGTTTATGCTATGCAGAGTTCGGTGCTCGCGTTCCACACACAACTGGGTCAGCGTACACGTACAGTTACGTGACGGTAGGTGAATTCGCTGCGTTCGTGATTGGTTGGAACTTAATCCTAGAGTACATGATTGGCACGGCTGCAGACGCAAGAGCGCTCAGCGGTTGCTTTGATTACGTCATCGGACACGCGATACGCAACTTCACCCTCTCCCACATTGGCACATTTCATATTCCTACCATCGGGGATACGTACCTGGACTTCTTATCCTGTATCCTCACACTAGCAGTGACCGGGGTTCTAGCCTCGGGGGTTAAACAGTCCTCGGTGTTCAGTACTGTATGTAATGTCGTTAATCTTGCCGTTGTTGGGTTCATCATAATCGCCGGTGCCTTCTATGTTAAACGTGAAAACTGGAGTGTTAAATCAGGATTTTTCCCGTACGGTGTCTCTGGTGTTTTAGGCGGGGCTGCGACATGTTTCTACGCGTTTGTCGGCTTCGATATTATAGCTACGACGGGGCAGGAAACGAGGAATCCACAACACTCTATACCTTTAGCAATTATGATAAGTCTCTTTATCGTGTTCATGTGTTATTTCAGTGTTTCCTCGATTATAACCCTGATGTTGCCCTATTATAAGCTGGATAAGCTATCCCCAATTCCCAACGCCTTTGCGCAGCGTGGTCTGCACACAGCAACGTATATTGTTGGTGTCGGAGCAGTTTGTGGCCTTTCCTCAAGCCTCATGGGCTCCCTGTTTCCGCTACCGAGAATAATCTACGCGATGGCAAATGATGGTCTGTTGTTTGAGTCGTTCAGAAAAATCAGCAGTCGCAGTGATATTCCTTTTGTCGCAACAATTTATCCCGGAATCTTAACATCGATTCTTGCTCTAGTTTTCAGCTTGGATGAGTTGGTTGAAATGATGTCCATAGGAACACTTCTTGCTTATACCCTAGTGTCCCTATGTGTTTTAATACTTAGATATCAACCGAACACCCACCTGAGTCCCGGGGATTCCCTCTCAAGTGGTAGTTTTGACTTTGGCGAACTTGCCCTGAACGATAACGTAGACTTTGAGAAAAGATCATCCAAAACGACAGAAAAATTGGAAACGAACGGAGTGGAAAGAAGGAGCAAAAATATCGTTAATCCGAGAAAAAGTGAAGTCGCTTCTATAAACGGTATTGATAAGGATTTTGTGGAAAATGTGTACCACAAAAATGAAAAAAGTACATTTATGGATGGTAGTTCTAATTTGAGTTCGCTCGACATGGACAGTGTTAGTATGTCTAAAAAGAATGGAAAGAGTTTATATACTGATGACCAGGTATCCGCAGAAAGGACAGTTCTCAGTGAAAGTGATTATCAAAATGAGTCAGTTTATTTCTCATTTCCAACGGAGAAGACTGGCCGCATAGTATGCTGGGCGTCGCTGTTGCTGTGTATTTCATCGTCTGCATTCTTCGCCCTCATAGTCCACGCTATAGACTTCATATTACACAAGAACATTGTGGTTATCGCCCTCACTTTAATCGTGGGATTTTTATCCATCATCTGTATCGGAGTCATCGCTGCAATGCCGCAAAACACAACCAGGTTATCCTTCAATGTTCCTTGTGTCCCAGGAATTCCTATTTTGGCGATATTTTTCAATACATTTCTCATGATCAAGTTGTCACGAGTAACGTGGTTACGATTTATCGTTTGGATGATTTTAGGTAAGGAATATTATCATTGTTATCATAAGATAAAGCTCAAAAACTGGCAGCTTTGCTTGTTTTCAAGATAGCTAGACTAAAACTTCTAACATTAGTATAACATTAAGCGATCCATTGATCCCAAAATGACATTTTATTCCTTCTTTTAAATCTAGGTCTGGCTATTTACTTTCTTTATGGTTTACGACACAGCTTTGTTGGATTACAATTGAAAATGAGAGCTCACATGGAACTAGAGCAAAGACCGTGTGTCCTGTCAAAAAATCTTTGTCAATTTGATTATGACATGGACGTGATACCAGCTCATCGCGAGCAAGACGGGGGGAAATCTTCACCGATTAGTCCCATCTTCTGGTCCAGCTTACAGAAGTACCATTTCTTCGCTAGCGATTATGATGAAAAGGACGCCAATCATGAGATGCATTAATATATTAATTTGGCTTGATAACTGTTGCAAAAAATGTGGCTAAAGATGTAATCGTGTAGCATTTGTGATGGCTTGACACTGCGAGATACTCGATCATCTCGTGGATAGCAACGGCATTGCAACTACTGACTCTTTTCTATAATTACAAGTTCTGGTGATGCTGATAAACCCAGCTTATTAGTTTGGCAAGATTTCAAAACCGTAAATAACTTTGATCATGAGATAAAATTGTGTGACAAACCGCAAGACAACGAGACAGAGATAGACATGGACTGTCCTGTAGTGTAGTGCATTACTCTATACAAATTATTAATAAAATTCTAAATTTATAAACTGGTGCTGTAGCAGGCTAGCAGAAATAAAAATTTACGTTCTCTCCCTGTGAGGAGATCGTATGATACTACTACTTTCACTATTCCTCTATTATCCACTTCTACCGCTATAAAACCCGGCTATTTTCCACGTAGGGTTGTTCCTGCATGGTTTTGGTTTAGCGTTGTACATGCCTGCGAAACTCATGTAGTTAAAAGTTTTGTCCATATTACCACATGGATACGTTATAGGAGGTATACTATACTTCTTCTTCGACCCGTTGTTCAAATAATTTAGCCAAAACATTTCAATCTCTAGCGGATAACTACCGTGTAGGGCCAGAAAATTACTGCAAATATCTTGGTAGTACTTTAGCATTTTGTCCTCCGCAGCAAGGTCATGATGTACCCTACGGTCTCCGAAGTATGTCACCCCCGGAATGTTGTTTATCCACATGGACATCGCCTGATCACCGTATGGGTGGCACATGAGTGTCTTGTTTTCTTCACGTAGAAACCGCTGTGCAAGATCATTGCTTACTATCACAAAGCCCTCGTCCACTCGGATGCCACCTGTAGTGGGAAGAATGATTGAATATAGATTTAAAACTATATACTAACAGGTACTTTTGTCAGCTTCAAGGTATTATGTTTTTTTTTACCTGGTGGACTACAATGAACATGACCCCAGTACAATTTCTTCTTCGGCCGATACGGCAACTCGAGCAAAAGTCTATCCACGCAAATAAAGTAATCATCATCGACGCGCAGGAAATATTTAAACTTATACCGCACGTTCGCCCAGTTTAATATCCATAGATATCGTCGTGCGAAGTTAATGCCCCCGGGACTTTGTGCTAGGATCATATCGCCGTGGAGCAATTGTTCCTGGTGCAACGGCACGTAGATATGCTCTGGTAGTTTATTTCCATGCATGTCCTGATAATCGGAGAAAAACAAGCAAGGTATCCCCTTCTTCTTACACTGTTTCAACCAACTTCTCCTCACCGCATTTCGTCGAAATATCAACTGTGGTGCGCTGATGATACCAACAAAAATTAAAACTTCTTTTCTTCCTTCTTTCCTTTTATGTGTCTTCTTTATCTTTTTAAACGATTCGTGTTTTGTATGGTTTACAACATGTTTCATTGTAAAACCTTTCTCGAGCGTTTCCGTCCGGTTTTTTCTTGTTAAGCGTTTCCAGTATCTTCCAAGATGAGTCAGATGACTTCGCGTCCAATTCGACAAACGTGTTGCCTTTGGATCAATGGAGAGATCTCTCTTATCGCGGTCGTAGGAATAATTAAACAGAACATAAACAATAGATATGATTACAACAGTTTTGAGGAGTAAAATAGAGCAAAATAGATTAAAATTACGACTAACCATCGTCAGTCCGTCACTAAATTCGAAACACTATTGCCTTGTTTATATAGTGACAATAATCATTTTATTGTTGATGATTTTGTTTTTAAACTTTCCGCAGGTATAAGAAAGGGAGAAACAGGTTAGCTAGGAAACGGTCATTAGCAAATCTGTTTTTTAAAGTCTGTTATAACCGTTTTTTAAAATTCACGACCTATTATTCAAAATATTGAACTGAAAAGAAAGATGACACTGATTGAAACGAATCATTTCCATCCAGTCCCCCATGCAGCAAGATCCGTCTTTCTTCTTTTGTTTTAAGATTTTTCAGATATCATTTGAAATCAGCATGGGTGCATATAGGAAATGCACATGGCACAATAATCAAACCATGCTAGTCTCGACAAAATTTGATAATTCACTTTTTATTAACCACTTCAGATTAATATGTTTTAATTAATTTGAGCTTCCGTCGAACCTGAAATATTTACCTTTACCTTTGTGTGAGCATGAAGGGTAGCTGTATTATCTTACCACAGTTCTGTATTATGAACATCATTATATTGCTTTTCACATAAAATAACACTGATTACCCTGTTATGCACTGGCTCAAATAAGGTTTCCTAATAACTTTGTAGTCAAATAAATACCCATATTTTTTATCGTATACTTTAACATTTTGTGTTTTATTAAAAATATCTACAAACCGCATATGATTATTTTGACTTTACACCAATAGTAATAAATAAGAATCCCATTTTCCATCCGTATTCCTAACGCTATATAACATTAGGTATATATGCGCTAACATGCATGCAAACTAAATGAAAACTACTGCACAAGGCATACTTAGAAGTAAGAGAGCGCCAGCTTGCAGTATAGCTATCAGAGCAAAGGTATTTTACACACAGCTATTATCAAGATAATTATTCAGATGCACGTGGATGGTTTGTAAAATATATATATGTGGCAAACGTCAGCATGACGACAAAAAATCCTCTTACGTTAACATCTGGCGTGAGAGAACGTCTGTCAGACAAGCATGCATGCAGTATATGCATGTAAAATACCTTAACACAGCTACAAAATGCATGAAATTAATCCCACAATACAGTGCATTGGTTATTACTCATTTCGTGTAGTCATTTTGTGCTACAATACGCGGATTTGTAAAGTGATATAAGAACTGGCGCTTTCCAAAAGCGGCCAAAATGGTCAGACTGGTCACATTTCAGGCTGAAATAGAGTATTTCTTTAAAAATATAGCGGTGAAACTGCATTTTCCGTGCTAGGCAGATGTAAATAACGATATAAATAACAATATATCGGAATGCAGATGTCTTGAAACATTCTAAAATATCAGTAATCTTTCTGTATTGAATATTGAAATACAACAGGATCAGTCTGGCCGTTGTTACCGTATACTGAAGGAAAGCGCCCGTGCATAGTCTTCGACTCTTCACGCCTACCGCGTCATTGAACGTTGGCAATGATTTGCAAATTGCCTTTGCCTTTGGCAAAATAACTGTAAATTTGCTGTAATAATTGCTCTCAACTAGGCAGTTGCGATAGCTGCCTTTATAACATGGAAATAGGCGACTGCGAACGAAAATCTGAAGTTAAAATAATTCACACGGAATAGATAAATTTTGATAATTCCGGCCTTATACCTTCCTCCTCGTCGTTGTGAAAAAGTTTTCTCCCTCGAAAAAAATTAAAGAATCCCAACACAAAAATTTTTTCCTCAACCCCATTTGTGCAAAGTAGTATATATATGTATGCTTCTATATCCCTCACCTGTAAATATATTATGTAGGTTAAAACTACAATATATTGTTTGTTCAACGCGATATCATGCAGTCTCATGTGAAACAATTGGCAAAATATTAATTCAGTTCTGTATGACTCGATTCCTACGAAGACGTTGCAGTCTTTGTTCATCATCTACAGTGGCCTTGTGCCAAAATTTAAAGGTGTTTTAAACTATTATTCTATACATATATGCAAATTTCATACTATACGATACACAGTCATTTGTTCAGCTGTCAGCGTTAATGTATAAATGTATAGACATACCCATGGCTTCCACTAGCGACAGCTGTTTCCATTAGGAATATAGACGTAGACTGTATAAGGTCTGTATACTCAACCTTAAAGCTGAAACAACTTGTGCCACTTTAAAATCGGTGAAGATCCTTGTCCAGCTCTTACGATTTCGTTCCAATGCATCTCCTCGCTCTTGTCGCTGTTATTTCGTCCGATAGAGAACCTCCCGACCAACGACTTTCGACCGAACGGTCGGCTCACGCGAAGAAGCGTCACCAAAAGTGTTACACTTAGTAAATTATTATCGGGCAGGAAAAATGAAAATTTCTCGTTGAATTCCGGATTCGGGGAGTCTTTCTGAATCGAAGTCTTCGTGTCGAAAAGCAAATCTCCGCTCGAAGAGATTAGTTTGATTTCAACATACATCGGTGTTGCTTTGTTGTGAACTAAGGGCCCGCAGCAACGCGTTTTGAGTATTTCAATATTTAGCCGTTGAACGGTGGAGCGATGCTGTAGGGACACTAACAGTTCGGCGTCTTCGGTCGTCGAAAGACGCGAGCTTATATCGGTTGACATTGATACCGGGCTCAAGCTTCGCTCTTCTAATCGGTTTCCATAAGCCAAACCTCTTGTCGGCGGGAACAGTTCGATGTCCAATGTTATCAACTCAAAACCAAGTCTCACGTTCTTCAGAGCAAACACTCCTTCGGCTAACAGCACCCGTTTCAACATTCGTCCGCCTTCATACAGTCGAAATCTGAGCCTCATCTGAGGTAATCGTTCTCTCGGGTAGATATAAAAAGCATAAGGCTCGGTGAAGTTTTTTGTCTTGATTCGATACGTTTGTCTCTTATCCGGCAGCAGAACTAGATCAATTTCCATACTTTCTTTATCTCGAACAATTCCCTCGTTTGTCAGTTCGACTTTGCTGATCGTCGTTGTAAGTTTAGACCTGTGAAACGTGTAGTCTAAGACGAAGCGTAGCTTTGCTACCGTAAAGTCAAAATCGCTGCTTGCAATTTGACTTGATAACGTGTAAGTGGACGAGGCCGGACTGATGCTGCCGTTAATGTTCATAGCCTCGAAGTTCGAGCTCAAAGAGAGATCGGGTGAGACATTTCGACGCCTGTCTTCCATCGCTTCTCTGGCGACATCACGCGAAGGTCTGAAGTATCGTCCTTGAGAGACATCGGAGAGTGAACGATATGTATTAGTATGAGCACTATTTGAAGTCTTTGATCTATACGGTTCTGTGAAGCGTCTCGCTGTTGCGTTGTTGTACGATGGAGGGGGGTAGTTTCGACTACTACTTCTTTCGGTCGAGTTCATCTCGGCAAAACCCTCCCCAGATACACCGACTTTTCTTATGGGCTTTCCTTCTACTCTTTCCAGTTCGAAAACTTCCAAATTTGAATCGTTTTCCGCGTTTGATTTCGAAACCTTGTCATCGTCGCAATTTTTTTCCTCGACAGTTACTAGAGTTTCGTCGTTCGGCGAATCAACGGTCGTTCTTTGACCACGTGACCGTGGGCCCAAAACACAACAGCAGGCGGAGAAAAAAGAGGCATAATTTGCCATCGCATTTGCTATCGCCATACGCCATCGTAGACAAAGATTACCAAAAGGCATTTTAATAACCCGCATTAATCCGCATATACCCAAAGTATCTTGTAGTTCGAGCGAGTTAACCCGGCGATAAAGTTGAGTTAGTCAAATTAAACTTCAAAACGATGAATTCTCGAGCTTGCCCTTTGCTAATCATTATGAATTAGTCTGGTAGCTTGAAAAAGTCGCTCACAATTACGTACGCATTCGCGTTGTTTTGATGGGGGAATATTGGCCGTGAATTAATAAGTTTCATTTAAAATTAACGAGCGTGTAAAAACGAATAAAATTGTATCGAAAACTGTAAGGCCTTTAGTTTTGGGCAGACGTGATGTTGGGAGATATTTTAGAGATTTCAACCGTCGCCTTTTGTTCGTTGTTCAAATAAAACTCATTAGGAGGGGGCTGTGTTTTGAAGCGGGGATCAAATGCAAATAATAAAAATGTTTGCCGATGAATTTTTCATGCGATTGTGCACGATATTTTCCTTCGCGTCGTTAATATTCAATGTGACACGTAGATGTTTCTGGTCGCTAGGGTTTGACTTAATGAATTTGGTGAGCATTAAAACGTTGACTTATAAAGAATGCGGTTAGTATGACATTGAATTCTAAAGTTTCGAATAAATCAGAGAAGTTGTCGCGATAGTGCATGTCACAGGAACCGACAAACATGTTTTGTCTTCTCGTTTTTTAAATTTCAATAGCTGTTTTATTGCTTCCGTTAACCGATAGTTTTCTTTTTGTAGCCGTTCTTTCACAAACCCAAAACAGAGACGTTTGTTAGGTCGTTTTGTGCTTCGTGATTTTATTATCTGCTTATTATCTCTTGTGCCTTGTGGCTGTTACGCGCCTTTTTTAACGAATTTTTAGTGTTTGGCGTGTTTCTAAACGCGGGGGAAGACTGGGAAAGACTTTAAACGCTGTGGAAAGACTGGGAAGGACTTAGCTCCAACAAGAATTTATTTGGTGTTTTGTTCCATTTTGTTAATGTTAACTTTTCGCGCCCTTTTGACTTAATGATTTTTGCTTAGTTTTTCGCGCCTTTTTTAAAGCTTTTTATCGCTGATTTCGCTCGCTGGATTTTCGCATTTTTTCCACTCCAGGTTTTGGTAAATTCCTACTATTTGAGCGTCGTACCAAGTAAATTATATTTATTAAACAAATCTTTCTGGCTGGGCATGTATACAGGTTTGAATCAAAGTATCTGACTTCGGTTCTTTACCCCTGTGCTAAAATACAAATTCGTAACACCTAATATATCTTTTTCTGGTCTGTTAACATGCAGCAGGTGACGTTTTTGTTTCATTGTCCGACTTCCCAGTAGCCTGTTTTGCTTGCGCGATATCTTCCTCTGTGACATTGATCCAGGATTCCGCCTCGTGTGGTTCTTTGGGTCTCGGTAGAAAATGTTCATCTTTCTTTTCTTCCGAAGTGCTGTAACAAAAATCCATCATTCAATCGCTTTCAGCATTATAGTGGTTTCTCAACTGATCCGACACAACTTACCCTTCATCACCCTCATGATCATCTTTATCCTCTTCATCTTTGGTGTCCTTGCTTCTTTTTTCTCATCCTCGTTTCCCTCCTTTTGATCCTTTGGAGTCCCATCATTATCGTCTTTATCATCCAATTTCTCCGTTTTGCCATCATCCTCCTCCTCCTCTGTCCCCGCAGAAGTGTGTGTATAAAGCGGCACAAACGATTCAAAAAAACCACAGTCCTCTGTGAGGTTTGGCAAAAGCCAGAAGTGATGTTTTCCAACTGTTATCACCCACACGAAACCAAACAACACATAACGCACTAAGGGAGAGAATTTACGGACGATTTGTTTGAAAGATTGCGAGCTACCTTGTTCAAAGACTCCTCTTGCTCTATTTTTGAAAGCGTGATTAAGAATCGTAATCATAGTAAGAAAACTTACACAAAGCCACTACAATTAAGGATCCAAGGAGTATAGCAAGTCCCACGCTTATGTACCACGTGTATTCTCTCATTTGCGGTGGCCACAAGGGGAACAGGCAGATGACGACTGCGCCGATGACTAAAAATACAAACAAGCTGATGAAACGTGATCTAGACCTAGTAGTTTTTTAGTCTTCCTTATAACGTAGTTTGCAGACAAACCATTCGTCAATCAGAAACATGTTTTATCCGCAAACTACGTCACAGCGCAGTCCTTTTATAGGTCTATAGAGAATACGATTTATATACGAAGCTCAGGGGTATTGCTGGCAGGAGTTGAACATAGTAGGATAACTAGATATTGCTTTGAACCCTAACTTACCAACTAAAACTCCATAGATAATCGTTCTGGGATGAACCGGATCGAATATCCACATGTAAACCTGAAACAAACATTTATTCGTTTCACTGAGTTAGGCGTGATAAAGAGGAGATCAAGAAAATTCGATGTTCTGTTTTATACTCAAAGCATACTGAAACATTTTCTCTTTGATTTGAAACTACGATTGTACACTTGCCTCATCGCCATCAAAAAATTCCTGCATGTCATGAATTTCCAACTTCACTTTAACCTGGTAACAACAAGTTTGGATATCACACGGGGACGTTTCTTGTATCCAGTTTCAATACAATATTTGTTGAACTGAGAACCATGTTGTATGGAAGGCATGAACAAAGAGGTTTTGTTTAAAAAGTTTTGGTTATATTCCATACCTTTATCTTCTTGCCTTCTGATTCTCCATTCTTTCCGTCGTTCGTTTCCTAAGTGGAAGGAAAAATACTCGAATACAACCACTATTGGTGAAAAGTGTTAAGTTTATTTGTCATCGACCTCGTTGTGACGGAGTAACCGCAGGCCGCATGCAGCGAGTCTAAATATCCTCACAAACCTTTTTGCTTTTGCCTGGTTTTGGCGAGTCCTTGGTACCTTTCTTTCCTTCATCCTTCTCTCCTTTCTTCTTTTTTCTAACTCTTGTCACACGTTTGAACATCTCCATTTCTAGCAGTCTAAATTTCCAACAAGAATTACATTACAGCAAAGTTCTATAATGCTGATCGCAAAGATCACTTTCGTGCAAAACACAAGCACGATACAAGCTAACTAGAGATCTAGCTCAGGGTTCTGCTAAAAATCTAAATTCGTTACTGTAAAATGGTGAAAGAGAATTTATGTCAGCATTATTATCTAATTAGGTTCATCATACATTTTAAGATAATCTCGAACAGATTCTCTGTCTGTGAACAGGATTTCCGTTCCTCCTTTGCCGCTGGCCCATTTTGAATCGAGGAGACAGTCAATAGCCTTTGATCCTAAACGGTAGAAAGATATATCGTTTCTGTTGTTCTGCTTATGCGCAGAAGAGTATGAATAAATTATGCATAAATTATATTTATTTCCTCCCACAATCATTACATGAGTAACGTGTTACGAACATAAATAAGTCCCCACAACATACTAACAACGTGTTGTATGAGCCGAGAGAAGGTTAGCATCTCCCTCGATAAGGACGAGAAAAGTCTTCGGACTTTGAAACTAACAACACACGGTTAAGGCAATGCTACCTACTTCGTAGCATCTAACCAATTTTTTGAATAAAAATTCACGGGAAATTGCTCCTATTAACCGTGGTTAATTCGTCGTAATATTCAAGACACTACAATTTCATTTAACGTTCATGACCAACCGATTTATTAGACTTCTAAATGTTTCATATTTAGGTACATAACACTTTACACGTTTGGAGGCATGTGGATCAAGTTATACAACAATTGTTACAAGCTTTTAGCTCAAATGAAGTACTTTCCTTGGATATCACACTGTAATTGGGATACGATCGCATGTATTCATATATGAAGATACATTCAATTTCTAAATATACATCATTCTAAACAGATAATTTTTTTCCGAGCAATTATAGTTTAATATAATGTAAGTGAAGTCTAGAGCTTATTCACCCAATTTCCGGACTGTTATTATATTTAATACCAATCCTACTGAATTATATGTTGAATTGTATTAAAAGCGACGAAAGGAGAAAATATATATGTAAAAGATTTACGTTGTATTTTACTTTTAAAGTTGGTCAGAGAGATGGAACTTTCACAGAGAACGATCAAAGCCTTGCTGTTTATATCGCAATATATTTTACCTTTAAAATATTCCACTTTTTGGCTCTTAAAATTCGATGATTTTGTTTCGCAATTAAACCTAAGATATTTGGCGATTTCAGTTTGTTCATCGCTTGCTCCATCTTCCTCTTCATCAGAATCCTCGTCCTGCGATTTGTGTAACAAATAGATGATGAAATTATATGCAACAAAATGTTTAAATGCTTGCTCTGCGTTGTTGAAATATAAGCTTTTTAGCGCGTGTTTATTTATTACGTTCACATTTTGTTATCGTCTTTCGCGAAAGAATACCTCACGTTTTCTTCGTCTTGACTTTCTTTCAGTCATTCTTGAACTCGATCGCTCGTAATATCTAAAATGACTTGGAAAAAAATGCCAATTCGAAAATTATGAATCATTAGCTTTGTTGTTTATTTCATCTTCCGATCGCTTCCGAAGATATTCCGACAAATCACGAAAGTGGATGCCCCACTGCACTTGCACAACTGGTTTTACTGGATGGTTTTAGAGAAAGATTGTAAAATACGTAAAAATATTCTTCTCTTGTCTCGATTGTTGATAACTAGCAATTACTCCCCCCTGCAAAATTCATTCAAATCTTGAATTGATGCCAAATTGCGAAAGATGGGCGTATTTTGCGTAAAGAAGTGTATGTCATGAAAAAAATTTATTGCTCTGAAACTAAGCTTACAATTTGTGTAAAGAGTATTACGTGATGAAGCTCATGACTATGAATTAATGTCAGTCAATTAATGAATATGAAGTGAAAAAGAAGGATAACAGATCATTTTGTATCACACCCCTGCTGGTTCCACAGAAAACACCCGTATTTTTCCCCTTTCAAACTAACAAAGCACCTTATTGCGAAAGTATGATGAACATAGTGTATGTAAAACGTCTTGGATAAGATTATACTCAAACAGTCGACTTATTTACATTTCCTACTGTGCTTATCATTCGAAATCCGTCTTAAAAACAGTCTAGACGCGCAATTTGTAATTTTGATGGAAAAGACTCCTTTTTAAATCCTCAAGACAACTTTCAAATGCATAAAAACCAGCATATTCATGCTCAGACCTATATTGAATCGAGAATACATCTCTGTGGGAAGATTCTCTTGGTGGCGAGAAATAATAACTCTTTGTCATCCGAGCCCCATCAGTAATCGAAGAATAAACTTTTCCGGTTAATTGTTTATTGTCGGACAACTGTAGTAATATAGCCCTGTGATCGTTTAATAACAAATGATACAGCCCAGCATGATGTTAACGGGGAAAGCTAACTTTCTTATGGTGCCACAATAAACCTTATCTATTGTGAGAACGTTTTAGGAAGAAATCCCAATCTTGAGTTGTGGGTTTATGCCATTAAAAAGAGAAAATATTTATTCTGATTTATATACCGTGTTGACGGCCCACTTCCGGTGTTTAATGCCTCCCAGGGGACGAATAGGGAAGGCTAATATTTCAAATACAAGATATTGTATTGGCACTGTACGATATCTCTCCCCTCAAAGCCTAACAGTGTAGACTATTTGTAAAAGAGATAAAGGTCTAAGATTCAAGACTGAGGAATCGAATCGAATGCGGTTAACTTTGAAAATCTATTAGGGTAAGTGAAACGTTTTGAATCGGTTACATATTAGTCATGTCTATTGAAATCGATAGCGTGATTATTAATACTTATGTACCATTCACATTAGTGTATACTCTGGGCAGAAATCAAGAGGTTTATCTTATAATATTGTGCTGTTTTGGATGACTATATTCATATGATGTTTCTTATTATATGATCTGTGGAAAGATTTGCTTCTTACTCGATCTTTAAGCTATTTTGACCCGACTTTGTTAACACGTTTACTGGAGTGGGTTGGCACTTGCAATTGTTTAAATAAATGATTAACATCAGACATATTTTGGGCGAAGATATGTTATATAAAAATGGGTTGTGCTGCAACTAATATTGGTATCAAGCATCGAACAATGTTTAGAAAATGTAACAGGTTTGTGAGGCAGTCCTATGATAGTATCTCTTGACTCGTTTTGTTCCGTGTCTGTTTGAGTTGTGTGATTCCCTGCCAAGTCGCTTTTATGTAAAGATAATAAACCCTAATGTCTTGTAATTAAAAGGCTTTGACGTGGAATTTATGCTATGTCTTAAACTATCGCAAATCTAAACGATTTACTTGCACGACATAGGATTAACACAATCAGGTCTCTGAAATACGTCTAGATTCGTTTTTCGTTTGCATCATATTCAAGCACTAGATTCGAGTGGGCATGTTTTATGTCAGATGATATAAATACGTTTAACCCCTTATCTATTACGGATCAAATCGCTACACGCTGTGCCATGCTACTGTTTTGCTGTTGAACACTTTTGACCGAGCTATCTTGCGATATTAATCATTTTCTTGAGCATTATGACTATTGAGTAGATGATTATAGATGGTGTGTTTTTTCCAATCGATAGAATCAAATCCCGACTTTCTGAAACCACTTTGGGATATCTATCCACGCTTAGCCTCTCGTCTTAACAAATTCTGGGCAAAGGCGACTTATTGATGTCTACGATTAAAAAATATCCTTCAAACATCTTTCAAAACATCTGAATTCGCTTACTATAAACATTCGAATGTTTCCGAATTTGAAAAGCAGCGTACAATTGTATCAACTTGTCCAGCCCGGAAGAATTTTAAAGCTTAGCTTTTAGCGGTTTTATTGAATTTGACCATGTCACCTCAAATTAATTAGTAACACATTCGAAGAATGAGACTAGTCTTCCATTTTTCTATACACAGACGGGTTTTTACGGGTAAATATTTAGGGTATATTTTGTCTCATATTTTACGGAATATTTTGGCATAGCACTTAAATGGCTTTGTAATAATTCTAATTTGCGTTTGGAATGTAAATAGGTTTGTTCTATTATTCTGAGGAATTCTGCGGTTAAATTTCAGTATCGTTTCCATCGTAAATGCTGTTGATGGAACTAAACGGCAAACTTATTTAAATCTAGCATTTGTGTACAGTTCAATAAGAACGAGAGCTAACAAGCAATATAGATATTAAATATATCATCGTGATTTTATCGTAAAATTACACCATGAAATCAAACGCTGTTGCCACTTACGAAATGTCGGAAATCGCATCCGTCGTTTCTTTATTTATATGCGCACACATAGTCTGACATAGATATATTTATAAATATATATACAGCAGGTAATGAAAAAGAAACATTTTGGTATTTCAGTATTAAGTGCATCTTTTTTACAATGAATCATATATAAACAATAAAATGTAAATTTTTAAGATTCGAACGTTATTTTGAGAAGCTAGAAACCCATTCCAGCTGACACTTTTAGTTTGTTTAAGACAAAAACAGGCGTTTACGACCAGTTCTTGTGTTCTCTCGTATGAAAGTGCGAACCATATCTTAACTAAACGATAAATATTTATGATAAATAAAGTTATATTAAGCCTGGTTTCCATATGACGCCGACGTCGGCAAAGTATTATTGTCGGTGATTACTGATGAGTGAAATCTTTTGTCTTTCTGAAATCATTTTCTCCTTGGATGATTACAGACAATGAGTCGGCGACAGGTCGGCGTCATATGGAAACCAGGCTTAAAGCATTTATGATCTATATAAATGTTCGACCACGGGTCTACGCCGATAACCGAGCACTGGTTGTGTATTTTTGTTTTGCGTTGAAGTGACAAGGAACGGGCGTTTTGTGGAAGATCTGTGGCGACCGCTTATGGCACAAAGTTGTCACGGAATAACCGCAAAACGTTAGTCTATGATTGCATTGTTGACACAATTGTATGTCAACGCACATATCGGTTTATGAATTGCTAAATAGGCGCATTGGGAGGGGCTAGTTATCCTTAGATCTGCTACTGTCGTGATCTTTATATGGAGGGTTTCAGGACGGATTTTCTTCAGTTACCAATCGACAGTGTCACGTAGATGTTATTTATGCTTATTATTGATTGATATTAAATTATTGATTGTAAAGTTTGGGAGGCATGACAAGAATGAATTTGTTAACGAAAATAACACCATTTTTATCCTGATATGGTTACCCTTGATAAAAAGGAACTATTGGCTGTTTTTTGTGAATGACTACATACAAGTAATACGTAATTTATATAATCGAAGTGATCGAACATACATTGTCTTGTCTCTTGACGACGAAATTTTTAATTATTTATGTTTCGTGAAAGTAATGAAATTGTGTCTTTCGGCTGATTTGCACAAGAATTGGTCATAACGTCGACGGTCATTGTAGTAGAAAGATATCTGGGTGAAGCTTCGTGTTTCCTTGCCTTCTACAAATCGGACTTCACCTTCGGTCAAAGAAACTTTGATTATGTTTACCGAATTTTTGGCTTGAAATTAAATAAAACTTGTATATTTTAAAACTTTGATTCGAAAAACCCAGGCAGATATACTCCCATAGCAATGAACCCGAAGCGGTTAGAAGTGAAACCTGTTTAAATATTTCCTAAACCCTTGCCAAGCCTTCAATATCGATAATACGCGATAACATTGATGGATGTGTACTCGAGTTGATTATGTATATAATTATATTGGCCGATCTTCGTTCGATTGTATTATAAACATTTGACATCAGGAAAAGTATTGCCTAGCATTGGGCAATAAATAGACCTGATTGCTTATCAGGATACGAACAAGTGTTCGTTTTCCTCCAAAACGTGGTCTGATTTATCTGGAAAGATGTAGGGTTAAATTTCACGATCTAAAATAGTGCAAATAACTGTCCCTTTTAAAAAACAGACACGCAATTGACAGCCACTTATGAACACACAATCTACGAACAAAGAAAACACGGTGTGTTTAGTCATTGCAGTCGCGCGCTGTGATTGGCGGAGACAGTTTAAAGTGTTATCCAACACCTGTATGGCGTTGGTTTTAGCCAATCAGAATCGGTCATGCTTGTTGAAATTTGCAGCCAGCTGTCGTACACATTAGCACACATAATCCGCCGTTCAACGCTCGGAGAAAAGAAAAACACACATTGGATTTGCTCTGAAATTTACTATGTAATAAAGGTCTGTATTTTAAGCTTATGTATTCGTCTTTATATGTATTCATCGACCAACGGCAATTTATGAAATCGTATCTTGCTAAACCTGTATATTTAGGGCTCATATAAATGCAATCAACCATTCATAATGATCGGTAGTAAATGTTTTGGCGAAATATACATGCGGTAATGTTTAAAATCCCAGCAAAACATTGAACGATTTCCTCGCATCCGATTGGTTCATCGTTTTTCGGAATTTTATTTCGAATACTGACGAAGCTGATGTTGCAGAGTTGCATGTCTGCCTGCGAATTTTTTCAAAGCAATAGATCTAAAATTTGGCAGCTTATATCTGCTCAATTATGCAAGTAATCGGCGGAAACAAATAGTATTTTCAAAACACAGTTATGGTTTATGTAAGGGACGGACGATAGCGGCGATTACAAGCAAGGTAGGGTGATTTCTCCGAGCTTTTTATGTCCATTGCCGACGTGAAAGCGACACGGTTGTAAATTTCATTCTTTATTTACACGGTTTTAAGTCTGCTAAACTCCGTGTGCTTTACTTAATCTGTTGAATTTTTTAATTTTCTAAACAGCATTATTACCGGTGCGACCACATTGTGCTTTAAACACACGGGGTTTTTCGTGAGAGCAGCTACACGCCACTACACTACAGATGCAATTTTAACTGTTTCTCTGTGTACATTCACAGCATATTAAGAAATTTGAAAGCATAACAAAGCGTTGTGGCAATGGGCGGTCTATTTCTATTTTCCAGCCTTCTGTGTGCACTCCTTTCAATCTAAACAATAGCCCAGAAACGTGTGTTTTGTCTCTGGCGAAATATACTGGAAAAGCCTCATAGTGAAATGCAAAGTATACTGTATATTAAACACGCCATCAAAGTATCAGGTATCAGAGATGCCAAAGGGCTTTTAATATCTTGAGGAAGTTAACCGACAACTGTATCAAGCATTCCACTTTCGAGAGCTTAAATCCGCAGTGCTGTTCACCGATGCGGGTCAAACAATCGTAGCCAGTCTGCGGTGTAAAGTTCGGTATTTTGAGATTGGGCAAAACAAGGAAGGTTAATGCGTTTAGGTAGGCTGTTCTAGGTTGTCTTGAAAAATTCTTATTGTTGGTGTTAATTGTCGTATATAAATTACACACGACTCGTGAATTATATCGTGTCGTGCTGAGAGACAATTTCAAAGAGGTTTTTATCTGTTCTGTTTAATAAAAGGAAGGCTATTTTAGTCGTCTCTCGATACAAGGTCTTCGTCCCCGACCTTCCGCGAGATAATATCGCATTTTCGTTAAACTGAGGTTAGGTTTGATGTAATTTTACAGGGCAAAGGTTTTGTGGCTCGCGGAAAGACGTGTGATAAGGCGATAAAGCGAGAAATTTGACGCGTGTATGGGCTTGAGAAATGGTTATGAAAAAAGCTACCGTGGATGGGAAACCGAAGAACGTTACGAACAAGTCGACTCGAGGAAAATCAAGCGAATCCTCTCTTCCGTTGGTTGACAAAAATGGCAATATGCTACCCGCAGAAACGAAGGGGAAACGCGATGAGAAATGTCAAGTTAAACGCCAGGGGATAAAAACTATAAACACCATAGATAGCAAAGGGTCCAACACTCAGGAAATTACAACTCATATTGCAGAAGATGGCACTGTGTACGAATTGGACGGTAAGACTAGCTCACTCTGTATAAATTGTACAGCGAAGACAGCGGTTTAATAGATTTGGCTTTGGGGTTTTTTTGGTTTTCGACCGTAAATTGTTTGTCTTATTATTGTAATTACTTATAATTAATATCTCGCACCGACAGACTTAGGGTTTCGCTTTTTACAACCTTCGCAATTGGCGAAATTTGTAGATGATTTTCCTCGGTTATCTCACTCTACTAGCTAGGATTGTTTATTTGAAGCTTATACGGTGTTTTCGTCATATTATTTCGCCACAATGGTTAAACAATTCCTAACAATAGGGGGAAAATTACTATGTTAAATGTTAAGCAAGCATGCTGCTTAGTTCAAAAGCAATATAAGCTTTTTGTCTGGCTTGAATTCTTTGCTCACAGAAACTTGTCAATATTCCTGCTTGCCATTTCGGGTGCTGTAAAGAAAACGCCGCTTTTTCAGGGTAATTTAAAAGTCTTCTAAAACACTAGAATGCAATATACTCTATCTATTAAAATGCAAAGAAGCTTAAAAAATTATTCAAGAAGATAAACAATTGAATATTAAATGATATTGTAATTTTTAATTCCAAAGTCTTAAAGGTCTTGGAGCATTCAGTTCAGAAAATGTGTTGAAAAGTTAATGCTAAGATGATGAATGAATTTTCATTTGAAAAACCACCTTATGAAGAAAATAATTTTGTTAAAATCGGAAATCCGTGTATTTTGCGGAACATGTGCAGTTTCTTTCCACTTGTATCATTAGGAATCTCGTCTTTTGTCTCAAAGATGATGTCTTTAATGAGAAAAATGGCATCGAGAAAGTCGATAAAAATCATTTTGATTGTGCAGTAAAATAGAAAAAAGTACGGTAGTATAGGTAGGTTGAAGAGATATAGATTGAGGTCGGGTGCCTTACACCGCCTGTCCCTACCTCAGTATTGCCGATATACAGGAAAAGTAAAGCAAAACTGAATGTAATTTTAAAGAGTCTTTCATAATCTATTTGTCTCTTATTTAGATTGTGTCTATATTGATAGCCAGAGACCAGATGTCCCCTTTTTCATTTGTGCCATCAAGGAATTCAAAATGGTAGGTCCTTTGCTTCTTTTGAAATCAGACCGGATTTCACTGTAATGTCCGTATATTCACTAACTTAGCTAATTTTTCCTCAACCCATATCCGTTCCGGTCATCCTAATTTATAAAGCATTTCCTTACGCAAACATGCCAGTGTGTGTAATTTACATCACACTTTTGAAGAACATTCATTTTTACATAAAAGTATCAAATTATTCGTTGGAACGTTCTCTTTTGAAAAGAACGTTCATACAATAGTATAGTATACATTTATCGAACACTTCTGCATGATATTTTCGTGTTTATCAAGAGCACCATAAGTGTAGATTAAATCATTGAAGACTATAACTACTTTGCCTCGCTCTTTAAATGCGTGTCAGGTTACGATGAAATTGCTTTTTTATATTTATGAATCCTAGCCTAGATGCTATTCTAAAATTGCAATTTGTAAGTATTTGTGATAGAATATGTTACACGATTTGAATGAAGTACAGCGGGTATATTTAATGAGTAAATGCTTTGTATAGCCCTTCTGTTAGTTCACAGCGTGATTTCTAATATGTCAAACATCATATAAAAATGGTGATATCAGAGAAAGATTACCGTTTTGTTATTGACTGCAATCGAAAGGTTAAAGCGGTATTTGGGTTCGAAGGAATGATGCTTTTCTTTAATAGAAAGTCTGTTTGATTTTTTCGAAGCGTTGGGAACTTCAAGCTGATTTCTCCTTGCTTTTGAAGTATTTGGAGTGGGCGTTATAGAATGAATACTTTATATAAATTAATCTCTTTTTGCCCTCATTACATAAACTAGCAAGTCAACCGGTTTTAATTGCCCCTTTCTTATACGAGTTTACAGTTTAGCAGAGCCAGTCAACTCTGTATATACACCGTGTATTTGTTGCGGAAAATATCGCGGAAATTCATCATTGATACACGACCCGCATGTCACAGCAATCAGAATGTATAATAATAATATAATAATATAATTGATGCAATATACATTGTTGTCAAATCTCAAATCTGACCGTGAATCGATAGCTCAGGAGCGGCTACAAAAACAGCCCGCAACCTGAACTTAACGCAATCATTGATAATAGTTTCTTGTTGTTTTTTCGAATAATCACTGACGCAATTAAATTATATAACACACTTTTTATACAATTGTTTTGTAATTGAAGAAGTTTGATCAGAAACGAATGCGGAATTTATTTGTGCGCTACAAAACGTTTATTTGCTTTTAAAACTGGCCTAAACTACGTCTATCACCCAAATTACTGAAAATCACGTCAATCGGAATTGAAAATGTAAAAAATTTGATCTTGGTGATAATTTGATTTTGCCATGTGTTCAATGTTGTATAAATTGCTAGACGCGCATTTCCGTCTTCTAAACAATCGGAAATATTTATGTTTCAAGCATCACTCAGCACTAGAAAACGAGCAAACAGTTCTACTCTTTAAACAGACGGCTGAATAACGACGTCCTGCATCAAGAATACCTTTATTCGGCTGCATATTTTTGTGGTTTTCTCCTGACGCTGTAATGAGCATCTTTGACAAAAGCCCAACCGAAATTATTCCAACATGATGTCATATGATTTTACTCTCAAAGTTGCCTTTTAATCTCTGATGGATTTGGTTTATTACATAATAGTCTTCGTCGCAATCATTGTTGCCAACGGTTTTATTTTGATGAGAATCGAAAGAACATAACTCTTCGCCATTTCCTGCGGCAAAATATTTCTAAACCAATCACATCGATTCAAACTATAAAGTGCGCTGCTGACGTGCACGTAGTAAAGGTGACATGAAAAATATTTTCCATATTATGTTTTTACGTATACTGCGCTCACTCACAACTCACTATTGGGGGGCGGATCTGTGCGCAATGTTTGAGGAGCCTGGCCTGTTTTTAGCAAAACGTTTGTGGTTATTTTTATCACAAGTCTTTGATCAATTATTGAGGGAGCGGCATTTTTATCCCATCATAGTTCCCATGTATCCCACCCATCCTTACGACACCATTGAAAGATGATGGCCTATCACTTGAATACTTCTTTATTACCTACCCGACTTCTTTCCCAGAGCCTAAGTATGCTGAGAAACGTTCCCAAACCCACCCTTAATTAAAACGCAGTTCAAAACAGGAGGAACAATAATCCCGATCATGCTGTGCAGTTCAAACGATTATGATAAATTATTATTTGATCGGATTATTGTTGACTGGTTGAATTGGCTGCTCTAAAGAAAAACGGTTTTTCAGTTCACCTAATATATCTTCAGTAAATTTCTCAAATGTAAACTATAGAACCATATTTATCATGAGTAAGATTTTCTGCTTTTCTTTGCATCAGGCCCCAAAGCGGGAGTGCGTTTATGTCGGTGTTAAATGGTTCTATCGGCCATCAGAAGTCCCGGAATCAGTTTACCAGCTTCTCGTACAAGATCGGAATACTGAAAATGGTAGGCACATGTCACGGCTGACTAGTTTTGTAGAGTAAACAATGCAAAGCCAAAGGTTAGGCAACCGGGAAAATTTGCCAGCAAGCAATCCATATATGCAATGAGTATCACCATAGTCCATAGAAGCATAATCGTCGTATTTATAGTTCAGAAAAGAAACTTTGGCTGGTTTGTTATCGCGTTTTCGTGAGAAAAAAGCTCTTTATTTTTGTTATGGTGTTAAATACCGAAGTGCCGGGGTCTTTGTTTGCAATTCTCTGTCCAATATCGATATTTACTTGCGTCTTTCGGCGGAGTGTCGGCAAATGAATACACATAATTAATGAGTTACGTGCGTAAAATGGCGAAAATGCTAGGTTTTTTACTTTTTTTTAAAGTAGTTGACTATAGCCTGACTACCGTCGCAATGAGACGCCAATCATTTGTAAACTGTTCTTCCTAATGGCCTAACGAGGATAACTTCCTATTGTAACAGTATTGCAACAGCATGACACAGTACCCAAAGAGCGCCTCTCGTGTTTGACAGAGGCCGCAGAGCCTAACGCCAAACACACTCTAAAACAATGGGAACGAAAAGAAATGACGATCAGAAAGCTGCATGTTACAGAATTCAAATTCACGGTGAACAGCTCGTGCACGAACTACTGCACTGAACCACTACTATACCACCACCACCAGCACGGCACCACCATAGCAAAGCTATCCTAGGTAAATAACAACAACCCAGCAAATGCTCGCAAGTGGCAGGATTGTCACACCTAAGGCCTAAGACGATCGATCATCCATGGTGGTATGATGCTTCGTATTTCCAATCACAAGCTTTTGACCTTTATTATGAAGCTGTGAACCCTTTGATAGCCTCTTAACACATGTGTGTGGTTTACGAGCATGACAGCTTGTGTCAACAGCGTAAATTGTGATACAAGATGTCCCTATACCGTATATCAGGCGTCTTTTATCTATTTCATCATCACGACAGCATGTGTTTGACCTCGTTAGCGTTTCGGTGTTCATTTTGAATGCCTTTCCCGGATCAGATGCCAGCGCCACGAGGATCATTTTGTGTCCATTTTGCTTTCGTGGCACACTGCCACTTGAATCGCGACGATACCTCGATGTGTGTTTACAAATTCAACCTCAATCGCATGCGGAAAGAAATCAAAGAATGCTTTCAATATCGTGATATCAGACACCGCATGTGTGACCTTACTAACATACATCTGCAAAGGCTGTAATATTTCACCATGGAAATAAACCGCGGGGCATTATTCTCACCGCTTACTCCAGCTGAGAGAAATTATACTTTTTTGACGTCGAAATTGAAACCAAGATCGGATTTCGATATCAAGTAGCTTCTGCAGTATCGGTCTTCGGATTATTCGCGGCGCAATGTGTCCGTGTTTTTTGTGCATGCGCCTTTCCCAAGCTCCCTTTGTTTAAAAGCGGTATATTCACTTTCATAACTTCACAATAGTTCATCTAAACATCGCTTATTCATGCAATATGCAATATTTCGATAAGGGTCCGTGTGGCAAGCAACGACCTATAACGCTAACCCTTGCTGAGAAAGTATTCAAGGCCTTAATAGACACCTGTTTATGCAAACACAGACGAATGCGTTTCAGGAGGTCATTCACATTTTACAATTCTATTTCCTCGTTCCTAGGCTATGATCGTGTGTGTGATATTCTATTTTCGTGTACGAAATCGGCTTTTAAATGACATTGGTATTTTGAAAGGAACGCCTTCCTTCGAATTAGGCTCATAAATGGTGTTTCATTTCGTAGGATCACAGGACCATATCCTGGAAGATCCGTCCGTAAAAGAGCGGGAACTGTTTGTGTCTGATGCCGTGGATTCGTACGCCGTGAGTGCGCTCAGGTTAGTTCTGACTGTATGATAGTAATTCAAACCACTTCAACTGTCAAGGTGATATTCCTGTGAAGAAGTTAATCTGAATAAGAATTTGCCCTAAATGCATTCTTTTTCGAATAAAAAAATGAGGTTAATGGAGTTCAATTGAAATTTTAAAATCTTCTATTTTTGTAGGGGAAAATGTCGTGTGAAATGTCTCTCGGATGTTTCCAGTTTAAAGGAGTTCATTTCTCAAAATGATCATTTCTTTTTTGTCCTTCGTTACAATCCGGAAACAAGGTAGCTTTTCGTGTCATCAAATTTCATTCTACCAGTTTTGGAGAAAATTGATAACGCTGTCTACACACTGCAGTAAAGCAATTCAGTTGTCTGCTATTTTATTCTACCGGGTCGTGGCTATCAGTGTAATAAGTTTAGTATGTTTTACACAAAAAAGGCCAAAAGTAAAGTATGTGTTTTCTTTTTTTAGACGTCTTGCCAATCACAAAGGTGAAATTCGAGTTGGTCCCAGTCATCAGGTATGTCTGGGAATGATCCTATATTTTTGTGTCTTTACTTTCTTTACCTCTGTCGTTTCGCCATTTCTTCATCTATCCGAGTCTCGACATTTGTCGCTGTCTTTTTCAGGTGCCTCTTCCTGAATGCCAACCAAAACCTTTAGCCGTCGACGAGCTAGCTCGCGAGCCGCCCAAGGAGGAACTGGTAAGAACAACGTTAACTAATGATGATGATGATAGATTGTAATGATGATCGGATAGTGATCATCGTGGCGATGATGATATGTGATGGTAGATTATGACGATGATCTATAGGACATTATGGAAGATGATGATGATAATAAATGATAATATAATAATGATGGTAGATAATATAATGATGATGGTGAATGATCGTGACAGTGTTGGTTGATGGTCACAGCGATGTAGATAACGATGATGGATGATAATTTAATGATTTTGATGGAGAATTGTGATAATATATAAAAAAATGAAGTAATGGTGTTCTATTGAACGTATAATAACAATGTTGTGCTCTCCTTATCAGACGTGGAAACCTACACTCGAAGATTATGACTTGATGATGTTTATTGGCGCAGCGAGGTAAGTAAAGTTTTGCATACATGAAGAAGTGGCATTGATCCTACTCGTTAACGATATTAAAGCTGTTTCGTGCTTTGATTCTTTTAGAAGTATGGCTCAATACGCAGGAATATGCAAAGAAGGAGATACCAATAAAGGTCTGACCGCTGCCGCACGGGATGCAACCACCATCAACGCTCTCAAAGTTGTATGTAATTTCAAAGCATTTGCCCACCTTAACAAAGACATCATAACATCTCCATCATAACATTATCATCACATCATCATCGTCACATCAATTTCACCATCACCTGCAAGATCATCAAAATTCATCACAATCACCCCATCTCCATCATAATATCAACGTCAAGACTTAATCGTCACAATATTTTCATCAATTCGAGTTATTCGACCAATCATCAATCACCACGTCATGTAACAAGTATTCTTTTAATTTGCTCTTCCAGCTTCACAAAAGCAAATACGACACGGCGCGTGCTTTGCAGTCCCTGGTCAAACGTCCTTTTCCGAAGACCTCAAGAATGGACTGGAGTGAGGATGACAATGTATGGAATTTAATAAAAAACTGCTGTTAGATAACTTAAACCACAAGTTCCCGCTTTGTTTTTTGAATCGTTAAGTAAGACTTCTGTGTTCTGCTTGTAGAAAAAATTTGTGAAAGGATTACGACAATTTGGAAAGAATTTCTATAAAATCAGAAAAGAGTTGTTACCAGAGAAAGAAACGGTATGACGGACAATTTCTTCGCGTGATTCTGATTCTCCATTCACATGTCTTGTTAGCTCTATGAATTTTACCGACTTGTTAAAATAACTTTATTGTATACTTAGGGTGACCTGGTGGAGTATTACTATATTTGGAAAAAGACGCCATCAGCGATGAGTTCCAGACCACATCGGCGACGACGTCACAACGTTCTCCGTCGTCGTAACTGCACTCGGTCGACGAAAACATCTTCAAGTGAATTTGGTAAGACCAGTTTGTATTTCCAAAAGACTTCTAAACACGGCCATTCAGAAGTACATGGGTTGCAATTTAATCCAAAAATACCTGGGTTACAATTCAACACAGCTATCTTCAAGCTTGGTACAACATTCCCTGATGGATATTTTCCATTTTATTTTTGGTGCAGTTGAACTCAGCTCGTGCAGTGAAGATGATTATGATAGTGAAGACAGTGACAAGGACTTTAGGTGGGATTGATTTTTTAAATGAAGTTTGATAATGATTCTACCACTGAGGCCTAGTGTATGACTGGGAGTCAGTACTCCAGTATAAATAGAGTTCAACAGCTCTAGTTATGACGTAATTTTTTACTTCTTTTCAATATCTAGCCTTTACTGCTGCCGACATTGTTACTCGTCCAAATCAAGAAGCTGGCATCATGGTGGCTATGAACGTTCGATCCTGTGCTCAACTTGCCTTGAGTACTTCAAGAAATACGGAGTGATGAGGAAGCTAGAGGGTCCTCGTAATCCCCCAGAGCACATGTTTAAAGGCCGTGGTAAAGAGAATGAAGTCGACTATTTTATCAACGGAAAGCAGTTGCGCAGCCGCAGAAGCACACCTAATACTTCAAGTAGTCTCCGATATGGACGCACAAAAACATGCAGCCCCGTTGACAGTAAGTTAAGATGAATTCGTTCTACCGAGCTGGAGGCTCGATTCTCACCCTCGTGTATGTGGTTGAATAAACACACGTATAATCGTCGCATTTCAAACTTCGCCATCGGCGAATGTGCGTGAATGAAGTGAATGTAATATCCGCACTCAATTTCAGTCGTCAAAATGACAGTCACATGCACACAAGTTATCGTATCGTGTGATAATAGCCACCCCTTGATAACCTTTTTATGTTGTTGTTTCAGCCACCACACGAGAGTCGCCGATTTCTGGTCGAAAGTTAACACGATTATCCAAGCCTGGTTCTCCTTCTGGCGCTAGTACCGGGAGTAACACCAGCAGTTCCGGAAGCAATAAAAAGGTAGGTTGAACCAACCTCTCACCTCAGGCCCCGACGTTAACGGTGGACGCGTGAACCACACAATAAATGAAGAATGCTGTTTCAATTTTTGTCCCACTTGACATTCTAATGATACATGATTTCTTTCTTCCCTCAGACGCAAGCGAGTAAACGAAGACGACCTAAGAGAAACACCGATTCTATATTAGAAAATACATTACCACAAAAACGGAAGAAGTCTGTCTCGCGGGTAGGCAAAATGATCTCTGTATATTTCTGGAGTACGAACTTTATATGCTGTGTTATAAGCTGAGTTATTTTAAATGCTTCTTTCACAGGAATCAGACGAGGAGCTCGAGACTGATCAAAGCGAACGGAATAGCTCCCCCATGGTTGAACAGGTGGCGACTCCCCTGGGAGGTGACGTAACAAGCATCAGTAGTAGAACGAGCACGAACGAGGAAACTTGCCTCAGCCCCTCGCCCGAGTCGATCGACGACGCGGAACGTGTAATCGATTCGGGTAAATTTGCAGCGCGAAACGTTCCTGATGGTAAATCGTGCGCACGAACAGGCTTGCCTTTTACGTGCAAAAAGCTGGAGAAAACCGCGGTAACTGGGGATAGAAGTTTAAAAGAGAAAAAAATAGAGGTAAATCAAATACGATCGGCGGAATCTTAATCGTAACAACATCTTAATCGAAGGCATATTTTTTTGCAATTTACTGAATTTTATCACATATTTCGGGTAACCCTGCGTGTAAATTTTTTTGAATTAACATTTGTGAAAATCGTCTTGTAGAACGAGGGCTCGTCCTCGTGCACAGCGAGGAGTCAAAAGTCAGAAATGAAATCATCCTCAGAGATTATTACTTCGTCAAATATGTCATTACATCAGGAAGAACAGCGAAAATATTTGGCGGGAGGGATGCGGTATCCGTATCCGGGAATTCCGGGTGCTCACGCGGCTTCGATCATGACCCATATGCCAGTTCAACTTCACGGCGATACGAGCGTCCTCCCCTGGCTCCGGCCTGGCCCTGGGGCGATGAAAGACTTTGAAACCTGGTACTCGCCTCACAAAGCAGCATCGTTAAACCGTGGAAATTCCGGCATGCCGCCAGCGATTTTACATCCGTCCTCATTGCTCGATCGGAGCTCTCCGCTTCACAAAGATGGCGGAATTTTGTTCCCAGGAGGTCATATTCCCGGGGTTCCTCCTCCGGTCGGTACCGATCCCATCACGGGACTTCATCATTCGCATTCGCATTTTCATACTCACTATCACGTGCACCCGGATCATCAACCGCGAAGCCCATCAGTCGCCCTGGAACCAAACTTACTGTGGCGAAATCCGCAGCACGAGATGTGGCTACACCCGAATGCAGGCATTCCCGCCGGTCATCCACATGCCGGCTTGCCACCTACTCATCCGCGACACCTAGTTAACCATACAGACGATATTCCCAGCGTTCCTCCACCATACTTTCATGGTCTTTGCCCACCACCCCCTAGGGAGTTTCAATTTCAACATGAACTCATGATGAGTCAAGGCTTGAAAATGGAGTACAATCTTTCACTGTACCCACAACTGCTTGCACGTGAACAGCTCATGCGTTTTGCACGACCCCAGGGCTCTAGGATTGAAAACGAGTTGAGGCGTTTGGAAACTGGAGAGGAGCCTAATCTGCTGCATCGCACGGATCCACGTGTCATGCGCAGTCCAGCCTTGAGGAATCTCGAAAATGGTATTTTTCATTCGTCAAATCCAATACTCGAAACGATAGACTTATCAAAGGACGATTAAAGTCAAAATATTTTGAGAAATATGGCTTTACGAATGTCCTTTGGGTATTTGCCTATTAAATTCGACCCTCAGATGTCGGTGAGACGTTTTTATAAATTTCAAATCATCTTCATAGAATTGACACTTTGTGTCATGCAAATTTACAGGCAAATGCTGCAATAAAATTCGTAAAACTGTATTTCTCCTAGTTTTCCTTCTGTGTGCCATTCTGAGATTGCAGCACAGGACTGTAAAGATCGAGTTTGACAATGCATTATGGAACTGTTTCGGAATCCCTTGAGCCGCCCTATGATGCATTTCAAATCCTATAGCCAGTACTCTTCTGTGATATCTGGAATGGCGTATTAGCCTTTTCCCAATCGAGCTGTGTAATGGGTCTAGTCGCGAACCGGAATGCATCTATGGACTGTTTGCAGGGACAGGAAATATAAGTCTGAAGCCATTTGTCCCTCCAAATTGTCCATAAATGGTTAGCGACTAGATCCAGTTGGGAAATGGCTAATTGATGATTGGCTTTGATAGTTTTCGTATTAGTTTAGCAAAGTTTTCGCAATTGAAACACACGTTTTGTAAATATTTGATTTCTATTTATATTCTGTTTTAAGAACTAGTCATGGTTTTTCAATTCTAATAAAGGTTTTTGTTTTGAGGTTAATATTATTGTGTGTTTTCTTTTGGGAATGGTAAATACAATATATATATAGATGTATATTAATATATACAATTTTTTTTGCAAAACAAATATTTAATTTTGACCTTTTTCCAGATCACAAATTCCGCAAGCAACGCGCCAGTCATGTTCTTAGTTATGTTTTGCTCTGATGCCTTTAAAATATCCCTTCCAGCGTTCCAGAACTTTTTTGTAAAACTGATCACTATTTATCATTGTAACCCAAGTCAGTTGATTCACATGTGTGGCGTGATAGTCCCACCGGGCAAGATTCGGCTCGACACCCATTGTGAGGTGTCTTAAATCGTATATCGTCCCAGAACCGCTATCGTACATTAAGATCATCGCTCTTAGAGACGTCATTCCATCTTGGAAGAGCCTCTCAACATCAGCTCTTTGATCCAAAGGTAGTGTCATCTTCAAATCATACAGTCCCATAAGGGAATACAAGAAGCCATTAAGAACAAAGAGTGGTGGAGTCATCGGATACTCCTCGTACCATCTGTATTTATTCATGAAAGTAGCTAAGATTCCATGTTTTTTTGATTCTACGTGAAATAATCCTATGGCCCGTTTGGCAGCGGCAAGAAAACGCGGTTTTTTTGTGACATGATAGGCCCTTGTTAAGACAGAGATGGCCTGGCCTTGTGCCATTGCTGAGTACCAACCAGGATCCAATTCTACTCCAGTTTTGATCTTTCGTCTCACTGGAATGGGCCACCCACCTTTCTGATCTTGATTCTTCAAAAGCCACTTTGCAGCGGCCATGAACGCATCCCTGTGACCATGTTCCCTTAGAGTAATATTATCTAAACAATAAATTAATATTATTGGCATAATAGGCAAACGCGCTGAGCCCAGAACGCCATGATTTCTTCGATCAAAGAAACATATTTAAAACACTTTAAATTATCCCAAATTTATTTGCCTCCAAAAAGTACATTTAACAAAAAACTAATATCGGCACTTGCCATTCTAAATGGCCGCCAAAATACTGATTTCTTAAGACGTCAACCTTACCTATCAACCCTTCTCCTTTTAGTGCTGCACTTCGAATCTCAGTTATACGAAGTTTGGTCCGTTTTTTAGTGTCCCTCTTTCGACCTTTCTCCCCGATGGCTTTGTTCAAATCTATCCACAAATTTCGTGTAATCCTTCGCCATTCCCGTGTTGGCCCTATACCGTAGGTTGCTGTGCTGTGTTGTTTGTGCACCTCAACAAGCGTCTCGCTGGTGTCGTAAAGAAGTGTGTATGCTTTAGTGTCGTCCACTTCGAGTGCGATGGAAATGGATCCAGATGATTTGAATAAAATGTCAAATGAGAGAACGTATGTTTTGCTGGAGCTTTCAATGTTTAAGGTGACGGAGTCTTCGGGCGAGCCTAGAAATTTGACGAATGCAACAGGTATGGATTTGGCTCTGTCGGGGTTTTATCAAAATACAGCAGAAAGACGTGCTATTGAGTGCATGGCTATACAGGAATTGGAAAGCAATGGATGTTTGATAAAAACTGCATCAAATACTTACCATTTGTATTAAACTCCATTACCCTAGACTTCCTCTCCTCACTGTACACATTCTTCACTTCTCCTTGTCCACTGACAGACCATTCCTGGTTACCAGTATTCTCACAATCATCCACAACCTTAACAGCCGCTTTTGCTCCCTCAACCCACATACTGAAATGACTCAGCCCATATTGAGCAATCTGTATGGGATACCTATACCCCTGGTCACCCCACTGGGTGGATATAGGGACCTCATCTACACCTGTTATACACTTCACCCTGGATCGACCCTCTACATTATAATTCACAAACCACAAAAAACTACCGTTTGGTTCATAGGTGTGGGTGTTTGGAGTGAAATATTCATAGCTAGTGTGACGCACATGGAACTGTTTTTTGAAATCATCGCGAACAATTTTGCCCTCAATTTCAAAATAATCCCTAATAAAAGAAAAAGGAATGTAGACCTCCTTGTTTTCGAGGTGGCCTTGTATCTTCGTTTCACCGTTTACTAATACTTCTATATTTTTATATGACAATTCCTTGCCAGTTATGTGTTCTGAATCTCTCTCATCTTTCGTGCCGTCTTCATCGTTTTCATTGTTTTCTAGTCCGGCATCATCGTATCCGAGTTTCGCTTTATCTCGATCATACTTTTCGCCTTTGATTTGCCGTGTGCTCGGATCATCAACCAACAACGCTGGGCGACTTTCAAGTTGCGCAACTTGACAACGGTTCCACGTAAAAAGAACAGCGCCCAGGCAAATGATCACGAGCGCTATATTCAAACGAGATGTATACCTAAACATTTTCAACATAAACCCCCAACAAATCCGCATAGTTTTCAGTTAATAGGGCAAGAATGTATGGAAATCCACTCTCTCTGAATGTTCTTGGTCCGCCATATTGAATATTTTAACAATATTGTACAAAACGATCGAAGGCTCAAAAATTTAAAGGCGCGTGCTTTTAAAAGTTTATATTTGTTGCAAATGTGGAGAGGAAAATGCTCTTAATTTTGGCAATTTACGATCAATTTACGATTAGAAGAAAGATCGTTTTGGTATAATATTTGCTATAAAAGGGCCGGCATTTTTACAAGGTCAGTATTTGATTTAAACCTCTTTCATTTGATAAAGTTGTAAAATTCTGTCACTCAAAATGTCTATTTTATTACATGTATATTAAATGCTCTAATGTTCTCACATCTATTCATCATACGTTTAAAAACAAATTCTAATAGATTTCAAAAATCTACAATTGCACACATATATTGACCCAACCCCTAATTCAACAACATTTTCAGCCATGGTAGCTGCAGGCTACCCACTACCACATTTCCACCTCCATTTATGACTCAATCAATGTATCATCTTTGATTGCAGTGACCATAGAAATAGCAGACATTATTTCTATGATTTCTATGCAGGCGACCAAGCCTAAATTTGATATCATTTCTTCCCTTTTAACAACTTCTCAGTTGAGCCATCATCATCATTCCACCATGGGCTATTTGGCTCTATGGAGAAGGGATTTTCATCCTCAGATTCGTAATCGTAATTATTCTCGCGTTGCCGACCTCGGACATTGACAGTATAGTATATAGCAACATATATGATAGTCATGAGTAATGCTCCGCCCAGAGTGACTGTTATCAGTATGATGTACACCCCAGGCACACGCACGGCAGTTTCCTCTCGCACTCTTGCAGAGTAGCCTCGTTTTGAAGTCTGTTTATGGTGACCTTTGGTGCTTGTCTTGTTGACTTCAGTTTCTGATCTAGAATGATAATATCAGTAAGCTTAGTAAGTATATACGCACAATAAACACCAGCCTGACTATTTGTCCCGCTATGCTAATATTTTGTTGTTTATTTACTGTGAAAACAATAAATTTCTAAGGAAATGAATAATTATAAAAACTCTAAATTTACATAGTGGGACAAAATCCTCAGGCTGGCTATGCCACTGACAATAAAGCTGACATGTTTATGCATGAAAGAAATTTAGAAAATTAAAATGGAACCAGTGGAGAGTAAGGGTGAAAAGAGAAGTGTTTATTTAAAACAGAAGGTTCAATAAAAACCAATAAAAATACATCACACACTTTGATAGGCAGATTGTTTTAAGCTGAGGATTAGCTGGGAGAAATTGGTTATCTATTGTAAAATAAGGCTTACTTTTCTTCATCATCTGTTTGACTTTTGTTGCTTGTCTTTCCATTAAACATTTCTAGTACTTTACTTCCATTTTTCCATCTCAAAGATTTCTTTATTGAATTATAATCAATCTTGTGCTTCTTCTTATGACCCAACACGCTATTTTTATTCCAATATATGTCTTTATCACCTGTCTTCTTTGTTTTATTTGGTCCTGAGTCCAACATATCAACGTAAGCCAGTAAGTCAGAACCTGTCGAGTTTTCTTGTGATAGATTACGTCTTGAAGTTAAATTTTCCAGATTTCCTACCGTGTCGTTTAGGATCGTTGTGTTTTCTTTTGCAAATGCGGTGGTGTTTTTTCCAAATAGCTTTTTTGATCGGTATTTAACCGTTGTGTTCTGCTTGAGAATTCGTTTTTGTGCTTTAATAAAAGAGAGAGAGAGTCAGAGAATTTATACTGGTTGTTTCAGAAGGCGGGAAAATGGTAACGGACTTCGTTTATATCTGGATGGCGAAAGATTGATGCACTTTTTTTATAATATAAACTTAGACGCTTACGTTTGACAAAAAGTTTATTAATATTTAAAAAACTAAAAAAGGTAACTTATTAATATTACGTATTACTTAAAGGTAAGCAATCTCCTACCTGAAGTTGTATTACCAATTTTAAAAACACTTCCATATTTGAAGATTGTTTTGCACGACCTCTTACGGCGACGTCTCAGAGCTACAGATTTTTCAACACATCTCCCGTTACTGAAACATTTTTCTCTGCTGCACGCATTCTGCTCTTCCGTACGTAGGGTGATGTAGGGACCTAGCTTGTTGTTTACATAGTCATTGTACTTCAGACAAATCTCCCTGGAAGTGTGTTCGTCGTAATGATTGCCCCAGAGTATTAATCCAGCACTACCAAAATTCACTGCTTGCCCGATTGCATTCTCTAAGTCATCCTGAAAGATGAAAGTTCAGATTTACATCCAAAAAGGGTCGAGTTTACCTCGTCCCTAAAAGGAGTATATTATCAGCTCTGGCGTCCTACACCCACCTCGTTCAGCATCTTGAATTCTCGCGCTCCATAATGATATAGAGGTCTGAGATACGGAAAAACTGGCAGGTCATTACCAAATCCGGGAGCAGCTGCCATACGAGACACTCTAAACGCCTCTTTCAATCTGTCAGAGACGTATTTATTATTATCTGTGAGATCATCCATCAGGTAGATAGACGGAAACAACGCTGTGCTGCTTTTGTACAACCAAATCAACTTGTTGTTCCACATTTTGTTCTGGAAAATAAAATTACGATGGTTTCAAATAGATTATGAATGAGTTGCTTCTAATTGTACTAAATTTTCATCTGACCTGATAAGATCATGGAGTGTTTTGCAGATTACACTGCAGTTCTATGTAATTCTTGAAATCGTGCATAAAATTCGATTTAATTAAATTTTCTGCAAATATTTATTTATACAAATTCACTGAAGAAATTCACAAATGAAATGAACTGATGACGCAACCTACTTCTTTTGAACAGTTCCCAAGGCACTCCGGGAAGCCATAAAACCCCCATAATGCTCTTGGTCTCAATTGTTTCGCAAATTTAATTGTCTCCAACATTAACCTTTTTCCAGCGCTTTCAAATCTTTTCTTTGCTTCATCCTCGATTTCACGTTCATTTTTAAGTTTTCCTTCTCTCTTAACCAACTCGATTGACTTAAGTCGATACAGACGTTTTTTCCCAAAGTTGGTATCCCACAGTGGTCTCCAGCCCTCCCAGTCAATGACCGCGAGGCCACTGTACATTGGCTCTGGTATCTTCTCAGCAATATGTTCCGATGCTTTCTTTAGATGTTCCTCAAGATCAACCAACTAAACTTACACATGAAAACAAATAGTAAACAAGCCTTAGAAGTTGAACACCTCTACCAGCGAAACACGTCAGTATTATACATCTCCGAATCAAGTCGATTACGTAAGTAAAATATATTTAATTGTCACGGAAACAAAGTGAAAGAGACCATACCAGCCTTTTCTTACCTGAGGTAAACCAGTATTATATTTCAACTTTTCATCCTCGTACCGATAATACGGATACAATCCTAGCTGAGCGTTGTAAAATACCGTAACCACTTCACCGTTCCACGACTGGTTACTATTTGTCAATATTCCGTGCTTTTCCAGTTCTATGTGAACACTAAAATTATTATGGCACCCCCCTGTAGGGGAGTTCCATACCACTACAAACGGTTTACCAAATTTTGATTTTCTCGCGCATCTGCAAACGGCCGAGTTTATGTCTAAAGATTCAACGTGGGCGAGAATGAAAACTGTCAATGTCAGATATATGAATATTTTCCAATCCTGAAATATGTTTACAGGCGAATAAGAGTTCAAATGTGTTTGAAAATTAAAAATGGAAGGTACACCTGTCTTCATGATGTAGACGTTCTCTCGTCAGTTGAGCTATGTCCTCTATTTTAGACTATCGACGTGGGATTTGGTTTCGATATCTTAAAATGATCGTTTATTTTTCATCTACTATATTTCTTATTCATCCCGTGACCTTGTTCTTGACAAGAAATGTCCCATTTTACAAATTTGGCATCACATTTTTTTCTTGGAATTTAATTAATTTAACTCCAGCAATTACGACGCCGATATTCAATCCTGAAAACTGATGCAATCTTGAATTGACTCTTTATAATATTCTTCAGTCGAATTAAGCTTGTTATCCTCCTTGATCTCTTGGCCTTCCAATTGAATATACTTCACATTAAATACGCCTTTCTTCAATTTTTTATCAATTTTTATCCACAGTAGTTCACTGGACGTTCAGCAAGGATAATCTTATTTCAAAATTCCCATCAAGTTCCCCGTTCTATAGTATTTCACTATATTCCTTGAGAGTCTAACTGCTTAAACTTCAAAATAATGATGTTATTAAATTCGCTGTGTTAGGTCTCTCAAGCGTGACGACTTATTCAATATTTATACACTACTTGTGGCTCATTTTTCTGTCAAAACAACAGACGGATAATATTGTACGTTAAACCATACACTATTAGCCTTTCCTGTGTGGTTCAACAAATGTGGAATTTGCATAAAAATATATATGTTGAGGTAAAGAAACTCTCACGTCTGAAACGCACAAATGATTCTCTCTGTTGCCTGCCTAACTTTTTCCCAAAAGCTCGCAGATCCAACCGCGCAAAATGGAGCAGGAAGATTCTATTACGCCTGGTAATATCTCTATCCGGATTCCCAACTGTATGAAATATAATATTATTTCACTAGATTGAGGCTTGAAGCGAAAATTTGGTCTTTTTTCATTTCATCAAGACACTGTTAACACAAGAACGGGTGAATTACGGACTATTGAACTTGTTCAGCCAGCGTACAAATTTATCTGGTTGCGTGCTCACGTGAATAACATCAAGGCAAATGCGTGCAAATCCGTTTCGCTTTCGTGCGTAGCAAAGTACTCCAAGTTCTTAAACCTCGCGTTCCGCGTTTTCATGCCGGCGTCACATGATTATTGTTTGTAAGTTTTATTGGCCGACAATGCGGGATAAATCGGCATTGTTTGATTTTGGACAAGGTTTAGTGTTACGATTTATTACCCTTAATTTCCGCGAGTCAAGTGGCAAATTGCGCGTGTTAATCTACCATGGTTCCGAAGCTCCCTTGTGTGGAACTGCAGGGTGCGCGAAAAATTTTTCCTGCACAAAACAAAGCATTCTAAAGGCTAAAGCCTTCAACAAATTAGCCTGAAGGGCTGATTTTGGTTGGGGCGCAATTTTTCTTTGTATTTTGAAACTCGTTTTGCATCCCACTTGAACTGAAAAATTCCACCCTGCGTGCAAAATTGCGGTCAGTGTGGAAACAACCTTCATTTGTTATTAGGATGAGAATAAAGCAAGGTTCTAGCAAAAGCTACCGCGAGGGTTCTCGCGACCGTTCCTCGCGCGATCGGTCCCGAAGACTTGCAACATGTGTCCAAGTCTCACTCAATGAATTGCAAGAGTGAATAGCAAGAACTAAAAATAGTTTTATAGTTGTCATGAGAAAATTACGAATTACATGGTCGACTTCGTAACCTCTTTACGGCTTACCTTCAAGACATCAATTGTCCGTCTCTCAGTTTCTGTCCGTCTCATGAAAATTTGATCCAGTTCAAATTAACGGTAAAACGCAAATGAAAGTTGGAACTCTCATTCACTCTCGTGTGTTTTCATCATCGCAGCCAAAGATTTGACGTGGGATAGGAAACGAATTTTTATATCAATAGCAATTTTTAAGACGGGTAGAATTTTATCATTCATGCCTTTTTACTTATTTTTTATCTCACGCCCTCTCGTGACGTTCAAGCCTAGTTTGTTCCGCTCAATGTTCGTGCCTCGCTGTTTGTTTTTGTCATTTGTTTCTGCTGTATATTGGTTATGGTAATTACAATTATTACATGGACTGAGAAGAGAGCGATATTTAACCTGGAATGCAGTGTAAAAGGAACAGGGTGAGCGTGGTCTAATATTTACGGTTATTGTAATTTTTTAACACCATTGGGCCTGGCTAGAAATGATGGTAGCGTGCTTGTGTTGTTTGCTGGCAGACTACCGGCCTACAACTTTACACGCGACGTGTGAAAATCGCGTGGAAATTGCGTGGGAGGATCCGGAGTTGAAGAATGGAGTGGTCTAAAACCCCGTGTTCCAGACTCCGGTACTTACAACGTACACCGCTTAGCTGGAATTTATTCCGGAAAGCTTGTGTATATGGTGACACGGACGACGCTTGGGACATTGTCTTGTAATATTATAAACTAAAATGTCCTCTCTTCTGTACGATCAGAACTGATAATGGCCTTGTATTGGTGCTGTTTATATAATAAATACGAGCCGACGTAGAGAAGTAAGATGATCATGGAGAAGAACGAACGAATTATTGGTAAGTCAAAAATTTAATTGTTATGTTCTTGCAATCAGCGTGATATATTATTGTCCGGCTTTGTATCATGACTGTTTATGTTAAAATATGCTTCTTAACTGAAACCCATCAGGCGAAACAACTGCACGCCATTTAAATACCGTCGATGTTTTAAAACCTACTTGTTTAAGGACAGGATTAAGAGACTTCGATGTAGCAATTAAGAGAATTTGGTGTAAGATTCATTGAAGTCAAAATCTTTTTTCATTCAAATGATCAGCTAGCATTTTCCGGTTTTGGGCATTGTTGTGCAGGGTCCAAGCTTTGTAATTTAGACTGTCTAAAAACCCGATTCATGGTTGTATGTTCTATATTTGTAAACATTTAGCTAGTTTCCTCGATTACGAGGAACGTTGTGTTTTGCGGCGTGGTATTGATGTTGCATTCTCGTTAATTTGCCTTGTGTTTGAATACAATGTATTTTATATAATTCCACTATTTTGCCTTAATCATAGCCAGTTGTTTATGCTAAAAACTGCATTGATTATTACTTGCCGTTAAGAAATCTTATGTGTGTATTCGGTATAGGTCACAATCTTGTTCGTATCATCAGTGTTTGTTGACAGAATAAGCTGTGTACGTCTTCATACATTCAATTTCCTTTTACTATGAAAATTTATTTGATCTTCGCATTCTGTTTGAGCGAATGAGGCATTGACAGACTAGACTATTATTGCTCTCGTTTGAAGCGCGAAACAAACAATTCTTCAATTGATAAAATGTCGTTTGTATTGTCCGATACGATGTACCGTCGATACGATCAAAATCGACCTTTGTGCGCTATGGCCATGTGAACGTTATCGAAATTGATTCGAATTCTGATATCGTTATTGCTTCTGCAATTAAAAAAATCGATTACATGAATCGAGGCTATCATGTAGAATTCATAATAAACGGCCGATATTCCATGAGTACTACCTTGATATTGCTGCGACTTAGCAACCCTATAATATGTAATCGCGTCGATGTTGTATAAAAGTTGCATGTGTGCGAAGCAAAACTTGTAATTTGTTCATTGTTTTGTATAGCAATAACTCGCATCCTTCCTGGCCTCGAAGCGTTCCTACGCGAGGTATTGGCCAACGAAAATTTGAGCCCTGAAGCGGAAAAGCAACGTTTGGGTTTTGTTAAAGAACTCGAACAGCTTACAAAGCCGCCTAATCTTCCTCCTCGTCCGACGAATCTGAAAACGCAAAGTCGTGCCTCTGTTGACTCAATAGATAGCGTCGAAAATGACAATGATTTTGCATCTGTGCAGAGAAAGCTATCCAATATATTTTATCTGAGGCGCGATTTTGACGAATTAAACGAGCACTTTGCGAATGGGTTCGCTGCCGATGAAACAAACAAGGGTACAACTAGAAAGGTATGGTATTATATTTTGAAATTTGAGTCGGGTTTCGGTGAAAATACATAGCATATTTGTGGGATAAAGTCACCCTTTGAAACGGGCTACACCGTGTTGAAATTACATCGGTTTAAAAATAGAATATTCCTATTTAAAAAATGAAGCTTTCATTCTCCGATTTTTTGCACTGGTTTTGAGTGATTACTGTCATAATTTCAAAACATATGTTTGGGAAAGTTCCTAATTCCAATTAGAACACTTGAAAATCATTCTAATTGAATTGTTGAAAGTTGAATTCAAATGTATCTGACCAGTTTGATGTACATTTGGCCGTCCAAACCGCGCGAGACTTTTTATCTACGCTCCGTCAACATTACACCTTCATCAAAACAAATTTCTTTGACACGCAAACGTGTCGCTGCGGAAGACGTCCTTACCGAACACAACTAAATATTTATTGAGCGGCTCAATGACATGATCGGCAATGCCTTTCGACCTTTGTCGAGAAATCCGAGATTCGAAACGAGGTGATGTTGCAATTTTAATAACTCGTATAACGAAATTAGAACATTAATTCAGAGGTCGCCGATCGATTTCATGTTGTGTCGATTTCAACAAGATAGCGGGCGAATATAATAAACGTATTAGTAATAGACTCCATGTGTGTTAAAGTATAATCAAGAATACTGGGGTTTTGTTGAATTTGCCAACGCATTTGTTTCTGCTTTGTTATTTATTGCTCATTTTAAAAATTTACCTGAGATCATGCTGTGTTTTACAGTATTTATGATTTGTTCCTAATTACCCCCTACGGTTGCCGCTGCATTTCTTTACGAAATGTATACCGTATCAAACAACTACAGGCTTTTACATGTTTTTTTGTCGTTCGCGTTCGCTTTTTGTCGCAATTTGAGCTGCGTGCTTTGCGACAGGCCTTTTTTTAAATGTTACTTAGTATTGGGCTTATCTACTTTTTATGTTGAAGCCTCCATTCCTGTAGTCTGCGGTTGTCTGATAATTATTTCGCCTCAAATGTTGTGGTTGTGAGATTTGTGACTCCAGTATTAACTCTCTGCAGTCGTTCCCCCGCGGTCCGTACATCATCTGGTCCTCGCGTAGTTCAAACTGGTCTATCTCGATCGACCAAAAGGAACAATTCAGAACGATAAAAACATCGAGAATTTTCCAGAAGATTAAAAATACATTCCGTGGACACTTTCAAGTGCGTGCGCAATCAATCCTCGATCTTTAAACACATAGACTCACTTTAAAACACACATGGAATTCGTAGGCTGAACTCTTACGCGCCTTCCGACAATTTTTAAATACCAACCCAGTATAATGTAATCTAAAAAAATCGTCACCATAGTGCAGAAGTGCAGCAGTGCATTTCAGCGAGAATTTTTGATCGATAACATTCATCGAAGACCTGCTAAGAATTTGAAATATAAAAACAATATTCGCCTATTGAGATTTTTTGAATTCAGTAATCGAATAGTTTAAAGTAATAATAAAGCATTCGAAAACGTCGAAATATTGTGCTATCGGCTTCTTTATTTAGTGGCGGCATTCACCCGCAAAGGTTAAAAAATGCTGTCGTCTACGGTGGAAAAAAACTTGTTTATAATCTAAGGAATTATATGATATCTACTAAGCTATATTTCAGTTCTCAAGTTGATGTGAATTTGTGATATTGGGCCTCGATTTTAATGTAGCTTATGTTCTTTGTGTGTCATCAAAATTGTATGAATATTATGTCCATCAATACGCATCAAAATTTCTTTATAAACATCGATCACTTAGCGTGCGTGTTGATTGGGAATGAAAGGGATCTTTGAACTGCCCCAACACGCAATGAAAATCTTTGTAAATACACCGATCATTTCAGTCCATCGATGTTATAAACATGTTATGGGGTCCAACTGAATCCAACTGAATTATAGTTGTTTTATAAATGAAATTTGCTTACAGTCTTTGTTTGCTGGATCTTCTTGAAAACTCAAGCCGAATTATCAGTTACATTAATTTCTGGAACTTGCAACAAAATCCTTTTGTCAATTGTTGAATTTTTAATCAGCGTTGCCTGGCAACTCTGCCGGAAAGTCATGTAAATTGTCTTTAACTCTGGACATTTTGGCCAACTTCATGTTTTGTCGTCAAAGACAGAATGGCTCATTCCCAAAACATTGAACTTGAGAACGAAATATAATCTGGTATTTGACTTAAAAATACGCAATCGCAGTCGTGTTTCAGCCTAAAAAAATCTGCTGGAGAAAACACATATTAGTCTTATTAGCAAATTAACGAAACGTCTTCATTCCTCTTTGTGAAATATCTCGACGTTTTGCCGGCTTTTTCTAGGGTTAACTCGGGGTAGGCTTGCCAGTAGTTGGCTCTAACGGTCTAACTGCACGTTGCAATTTATGTTACTATTGTATCTCATTTTTTTTGAAATCAGTTTCCCACGATTGTTCTATCTGGGCAACACGTTAGCTAAAGCGGGTGGGTTCCCCCGGTTGACGAGAACTAGACAGAACAATGTAGTGCTGCACCTATGTCTGCGGGTATTGTTTACTCTTCTTTCATCGACCTGGAACGCGAAAAGTTTGATTTCTTCTCACGGGAAATCGCCTGTTTTTGATGTCACTGCAGGCAAATCCTGAACCAGTATAGTGCGCTCAATTCTACGTGGTTGGTTACTAATTATACAATTCAGTATGCCAGCCAATAATCGGTCATTAATCTTCGGTTATTTGAGCCCCCCTTCAGACTTGGACGTGAGGTAACAAAATAAAAGTCAGACTAATTAACAGACGCCTACAGACTTAATTAAAATATAAGGCGCGGTATTGTTATAACTATATGTGCTGAAAATATACCTCACGTAGGCTACTATCCCAGTTGAACGTCGTCATCTCAACAATGTTTCTATGATATGACCTGAAGTAGTCTTTTATCATTATTGAAGGGGATAGCGTTGAGGAATTTTTGGGCATGCCAAAATATTTTCAGATAAAGAGCCCAACCCGAGATGTAATAGCCAAAATATGTACTTGATAAATAAAACATTCCCTCCCACTCTGATAGGTCGTGCATATCTTGGGATCAAAGGACGCCTGTGTACATTTATTGTTTTAATAACAGAAAGACGTATAATAGGAAATGTTTATTATAATTTACTATTCCTGGAATTAACGCATGAATTAAAGGACCTTTTCCAATGCTTCGAGGAAATGCCTATTACAATCAACTATTCCCGGAATTAACGCATGAATTAAAAGACCTTTTCCAAGTTTTCGTTTCGGTAGCTTTTCCTTAGTTTTAGGATGTATTTTTTGTTCTTTTTGGCTTTCCAAACTTATCGGAATAGGCTATTTGAATGGCCGTTTGCTAGAGAAGGTCGAAAGGGAAGGCCGGCAGAATTGCAGTAAATCTATCTCTTCTAGATAAGGAAAATTAGAATGACAAAAAGATTTATTTCACCATTTGATTTCATCTAATCTTTGACATAGGTTCCAGCAAAAGTCGGGAAGAAAACAAAAACAGGAAAAGGAATTTATGAGCCGCTCCCTGGGACGGGTCATGATGCTGAGCCTGACCTGGAACCTGGAGTGATCAGTGAGGAAGAGGCATCCAGGATTCATAACCGGTCCCTTGCACGGGGAACTCAGATCAGGCAATCATTGAGTAGAGGAAAATGGTAGGTTAATGATTAATAATTGTGATTTATAAAAGCAGATCATGTAAGGGCACGATAGTAAGTCTGTAACAAAGATTCCTACCACTTGCATTTGATATAATTTCAGTTCAGAAGAACATATTTACATTCTTATCAGTTTGAATTACCTCTTAGATTCTTTCCAGGTCTCCATTTACCTAATTCTTGCTGTGAACTTATTCTAAATCTAATTAGGTTTGCAAAGAAAGAGAAGTCAACTTTACAGGAGGTTTTTGCCTGCGACCTCCAACTACCAACAATCTCAGGGCATCTTATGGAAGTTAGGACAAACAAGCGTAGATGGTGTGTCTTGAAAGATCAACATTTGTACATATTTAAAACCGTGGAGGAACCAGCTTTGTTTCAAATTGCATTACCAGGCTGTGATATATCAACTGTACCCAAGAGTGATAAGACAAAGGTGTGTGTTTTCCTAAATTGAAAATATTTTCTACTCTTACACTTATCTCCTTTCCATCTCCTTTCCTTTCGTTTTATTTCACTCTTCCTTTCTGTAATGTTTTCCCTCAAATGATCGACTAGGAAAGGATTGCTTCAAAATCTGAGTGTTTTGGAAAAAATTGTCCTAACTGGCACAGAATATATACTACGACAGACAGACTAATATCACTGTCATTTATGAATAGGTCAGTTACTCGTTTAAAATCACACAAAATGGCGTGGCAGCTGTTATACTTGGTATTGAAGAGGAAAAGGATTTATCTGCTTGGATGAATGCTCTCATCACAGCTTCAGTGTCTAAAAATTCTGTCAGCCCTCCAGGTAAAACGTTCAAATCCCTTCCACGCGCCACACCCGCTGAATCGTGGACAGAAGAAGCGATGCCGGAAGACGCTTCTCAAACTCGGAGGCACACCGTGGGATCAAAGGTTGCAAAAGAGTCATACATTGAAGTTGATATTGCTACTTATGAAAAACCGGCTGACCTTTTGGTAAGATGATTTGAAGTTATAAATCGAATTATTTATACAGTTTTACCTAATCAATCTAGACATTTCCCTCGGCTTTGAAAGGGATATTCCCTCATATACAGAGTATAAAACCAATAGTAAATTATCATCTAGGCTCTTCGCTATTGTGTAGTAGCACTGTCTTTATTTTGCTTTCTTCCTTTTTAGGGTCTGGGAGTATCCCTGGACACTACGAAATACAATCCGCCCCTCCCTCCCCTTCCTGGGGAAATTACCAACATGCTTGGGCAAAATGGCGACAGCGCGCACACTCGGCCATTGTCGAAGTATTCCGGAATTTACGAAGAAGTCGGCGAAGAGTTTATCCTAAAGCATTCAATGGAATCCCACGAAGACCTTTCCGGTGAAGGTACTATAGATGAAAACCATGGAAGCACAGAAGATGTCAATAATGACGACACAAATGCTGTTACGAATCATGACGATGTCATGACGAATGGTCGTCGTGGGTATTCCGAGGTTGCTACGAGTGATAGTGAGTATTCATCTGATGACGATGAGCTCAAAGACGAGAATGGGAACAAAAGGTTGTTTCACGACCGCTGGGCAGTTCACAGTGGAGTATTGTATCAGAAGAGACAGACAGGCTGGAATCGGAGATATTGCAAGATTGTGGATGACTGTTTGCGAGGATTTAGGTGTGTATTAGTAGCTGAACCCTTGTCTTGCATAACTGCATGTTTTCTTACTAAACCTTGTGGTTAACCTTTCGTGAGATATGTTTAGTATTTGATTGTCTTTGCTCTATTAATTAATAACGGGAATCCACTGTCAATGAAAATTGAATTATGGGTCATCAAAACAATATGCAAACCCGTTAATGGTTCCTGAAAAATTAGACATTAATTGCATCACTTGTGGTTGTGACATTGATGATTTTTTATTTAGAAATCCCAATGACCTTGATCCAGTGTTGGAACTTAACCTTAGCGCATGTAATGTCCGCGCCGCCGAGGCCGAAGGCAAGAGAAGGTTTATCTTCCAACTAAACACAGCAGAAAGTGAATCTCTCTACTTCAATACGGATTCACAGGACTCGCTGGAACGCTGGATTGAGGTGATTTCAGTGGCTGCGACCTCGAGACGGGATCTTTCTGTCGCCATTTCGGAAGATGAGCTAGACGTGGGGGTTGGGGAAGAAACCAACGAAGAGACTGCTGACGAACGTAATGGATCACGTGAGAGCATACCTTCACCAGTCCCTGAGAGAAGAGAGTCTTTGAGAAAACGGGATGCTGCCAATAACAACGAGGAAAACGTAGACCAAAAACGGTAAATATGCTAGGGCTATGCCTCTTTACTATTGAATCGAGACATATCCTTAAGTTAACTTTATTTATTTTGTCGTGTTTCCACTTTAAAAAACACGGGTTGATGACTTGATGTGCTTTTTCTTTTCAGGGAATCATTGTCAAATAAGCAATATGACAAACCGGAGAAATTAATTGCAGACACTGGATCCAAGCCATCTGTGTTTCCAACTAAGCCCAAGGTATCGTATAATTTGATTTTAAAAACTCACTTTTTTAAAGTCCAGTTTAAAATGTTTCTTTATATTGTCGTATTGTAAAGACAGAAGCATAAACACCAGTCAATATTGCTTACCATACTTACCGAAAAAGCCGCATTTACTAAACTTACGTTTGTGTAGATACACTTGCTATCTGCAGTGTAATATCAGTGAAGCACACAAATGCGATCTTTTTAAGAAGTCTCTCTTTCATGTTCACCAGAATCTTTATATAAATGAACCATGAATTTTTCATTAATTTCATGTTCTTTTAGGCAAAAGATGACCAGGAAATTTGGCGACGACGCGACCCACATCCTTCGTACGCAACGACCCCCCGGGCAAAACCTGGTTTGAAAATCACGAAATCAACCTCTGTCGAGGAATCCTACTCAAACGACAGTTTGAGTATTTCCGAGAATCCCTTGAACTCCCCTCAAAAAGCCTTGCAACTTTCTACAAAACGCAAGTGCTCGGAAAGGTTGAAGAAATATCTGGATCAGGACGGGCAGTTTAGCGGGTTCATTTTGGAGCTACGTGTCAAAAAGAACAGCACCACTTTAACCAGACGCTGGGCCGTCGTCCAGAATGGCTTTCTAAGAATTTACGAGAACTACGGCTGTGCTGCGCCTTTTCTGAGAATATCCTTGGTGGAGGCTTTCCTAAAAGACTTCAGCAATATTGCAAAGTCGAGGTTTTGTTTCATGTTAGAGTATGGCGCAGGGCAGTCGATTTTGTTTCAAACGAACACGCATCAGGAGCTCAAAAGGTGGATTAATGTGATCACACTGACCATAGCTTGTCATACGGATCTTTTTGGTTCTGGATTGGATCTAACACAACGGGAAAGGATAGCAGACGAGTTTTCGGATGGGCTAAGTAGTCCTGCAAAATCTAAACAAACGAAATTTGATGACGAAGTCGATGGACCCGTTATGGCACCACCAAGTGCCGTATGCGAGTGTGACCATGACGACGAGGAGATGACGTGTACACCAACAGTGGTCCGCGAAGTAATTCACCACAAGTCGTACAGTATGAGCAGTAATGGTCATGATAGCGATGACGTCATTGCGAGAAAGGAAAACGAGTCGTTCACGTACCGAACTTCTCTCGTCCATAAAGTAAAGCATCGTGGCTCTTTGCGTGTACTCCAAAAGGAATCTCGCGAGGGAGACGCGCAAGAGTCACGCGTGGATTCAGGTTTGAAGTTTTGTGAACTCAAGGGAAGCTTGTTCAGTATCTATGAGAATGAAAAATCAGAAAAACCCTCTCTGGTTTTCAACCTTCTTTACGATAGATACCGACAGGTTGCGAATGAGACACTCGCTTTTACGTTGACTTCCGACCACGTAGGCACTGTAGAGTTCACGTGCGAGTCTGAGGAAAATTTCAAGGCCTGGAAACAAGTCATAAACAACACGGCGTTGCAGGATTGCAATTCTGATCTTACGCCAAATACTGGTCGCTGTGGAAAATGCTCGAGTGATTCGCCTATCGTACGGAAACGTGCGTCGTTACGAGCGAGCTTTGCTGAAGAGGAGGCGAAGCATCACGAGGTTTTACGAAGTTTATCCGACAGTTTTACGCATTGCGATCGAAGTCCGTATAGTTGCTACGTTTACGAAGTACGAGACTCGTCTGGGAATAAAACGATCATTCGACGATGGTGTACGGTTGGTTCCGATGTGATACGAATCTTTGAACGAGAGACTTCGCGAGAGGCCGTGGTCGAACTACACCCGAGCGCTTACCGATTAAAGGATATCGACAATCCCCGTGGTTTCCCGTTCGCATTCAAACTTCAACGCCTACAACCCCAAGAGGGCGAAGATGGATTTCTAGTAATTCAAGCTTCGAATGCTAAAGATTTCCGTGAATTGTTGTTGCGTATTAAGAGCATTCAATCCAATAGCAAGAAATTAATTTCTTCAAAGAGTGAGACTAATATAAACTTGGCAAAAAAGCCGCAATTATTAACGCACTCGAAAAGTGATCTCTCTTTGAAGCGAATTTTCGCTTTGGCTCGAAGAAGCTCGAAAGACAACCTTGTCGCTGATGCCAGTCCACCTGGTCACGACACCTGGCCGAAGGTCATCCGAAGGGAACGCAAGTCGAGCCGAAGGGCGCTGAGTGATACGAGTACCGACCGGCCGGTGACGAACTCTCTTATCGAGAACTTACGGGATAAATCTGAAGCAAGAACCTCTATGGGTTGCTTCCTGTTTGATTCTGAAGGAAAATTTGGAGGATATCTCACAGAGGTGCGGGATAGCGCTCTTTGTCGTAGCGAAGTGCGAAAATGGTGTGTTGTTCAAAACGATAAGTTTTTAGCTTTTGACGACAAAAACGAAAAGTCGCCTTGTACTGTCATCGATTTAACCCATCACGTGCAATTGGTTGATTTGAGTCGCGTGAATTCAAAAAGTTTTGAATTACGTATGACTAGTGATGGTGATGTTCAATCTCATGTGTTTCGAGCCGCTGATGATTATCAAAAATGGGTAACGGTTTTAGCCCTGGCCATCGACTTAGGGCAAAAGGGAGGTAAAAGATCCCAGAGCAAAAGTCCCGAGAACGGTAGCGTGCCTGGAATAAGCAAAGAGGGAAAAACCGCATTTGGTAAACCTCCCCGGGTTACAAGTTCGCCGGGTACAAGTTCCGAGGTACCAAAAACGATGCGAAAATATGGTCGGAAAGGTAATTAAAGTGAGTCAGATTATATTGTGTACTAGACGAAGTATTTTTTAAGCTTAGTCTACGTGTACATAATACATGCATTCGTTGTGTTGAGTATATTCGTTTTTCCAATAAACGTATTCTTGTAGAATTACCAGTTCACCTTAGAGATGTAATTTGAAAATAGTTGATACATTTTTAATATATCGAAGAGATCAAGTTTAGGTTGTGTGCAACCGTAAAACAAAGGGTTTGGAATAAAAAGAAAGATTTTCCTGTGATAATTTACCGAAATTTTTATTCAAAGAGAAAAATATGATAAATTGTTGCACATAACTTATTCTTCCCACATGTAGTAAAAAGTGTTAGGTTTTCACCAGCGATTGACGTAAGGCGCCAATATATAGACACAGTGTACCAAGGTACTCTGCAAAAGAGAATTTTTCAGCATAACTAAGAAGTTATATGTATGCAATAATTATGGGAATAAGGGAAGAATATGGCGCGCACAAAGTGAACACATCGACGCATGCGCCGACCAGAGACACTTCGACACATTCGTCATTTCATTGTTGAATAATTTTATACAAGATATGCTATAACAGATAGTGTTGCTATTAGGTATAATAATTATATTTTATAACTATATGTTAATATTTTACTGTTAATTTATTACAAAATTACTGATTGATCATATGATCATGCGATTGATTTGTGTAATGATTTTCTGTCATGGACGTGATTATATAATTGATTGATTAATTACTTGATTCGTTGGCTAATTCGTCGATCGTCTTCAGACACCAATATTTTTGATCTTCTGATCATCAGGCTATCATCGATAAATTATTTCAAATTATGGAATAATTATTCTTTTTCTCATGCCTGATTGTGACATCTTGTATTTCTAGATTTTCCTTCCCAGACTGCGTCGGGCGCTCCGCAAGCCGAAGATACCGCATTTTGAACTTAGCCGGAATAAACTTTTGGGCTATGTCAGAATGTGAGATTTTAAAAGGAACTTTGCTCTTTGCTGTTTTACTTGTTAGCAAGCCACGTTCGATTAAGTTATTTTACTGATTTCTCTCTAATGCAAGTGAACTCTCCTCCATGGCTCCATAGCTATTCGGTGTCGGTCAGTTAGGGCCTGTTTTCATGGAGCGACCTATCCCGGCTAGGCGAGGTGAAAACTGTATATAATGAAAGACTATTCAGGTTAAGTCTTTATGTGATGCGCTTTTTACCTCGCCTAGCCGGGATAACTCGCTCCATGTAAACAGGTCCTTAGTTTCTACTGGCTATGCTTCCTCGCAAACACAACTGCAAATTGTAATTACGATTCTTATGCCTAGTTTCCATTCAGTCGTTAGTTGTTGTTGCATGTCTTTCCGTGTCTTTGGAATAATCGTGAAAGACCGATAACGACTGAGAGAAACAGAAAACACAACATGGAGTACATCTCAACGACATAAAAAGACAGGAAACGACATGATTCTTTCCGTAATTCGTTATCGGTCTTTCACGATTATTCCAAAGACACGGAAAGACATGTAACGACAGCTAACGACTGGATAGAAACTAGGCATTACAGACAGAAAGTGCAGTGGTAAGCACAAGGCACCGGCTTATAAAATTGGCGAGAGGTTTTTAATTGCAGAGTCACTGAATAATTCCTGGTAATTGTAAATGCAGAAAAATTGGATAATTATATATTAACATTTAAAACCTATATTTTGCTGTGTGTCATTGCCTTAGATGGGCAAATGAAATTTAGAATATTCTTTGGCTTTTCAATAGTTTCATTAGTTTGAGAGGGCGGCTGAGTGCTAACAACAGCAAACTTGTTTATTTTCTTCAAAGCAAGTCGTAATCTTGAGGCAAACAAAGTTCTTTGATCTAGAAGACAAAGACTTGAACCATGTCTCAAGATGTTGTAGTGGTGGAGCAAAGATTTGATATCCGGGGATGAGTACCAGGAAATACGTATACATGGTCATCCATGGTCACTTTGCCACAATACTGATTATATGGTTCCAGTGAAATTAATAATTGACTTCTGTGTGTTGCATTTTATCCAATTGATACAAAATTACCTACGACATTGACCAAATGAAATTCATGAAACGTCAGTTTTTAATATTTTTGACGCGATAGATTGCATCTATTTAGAACAATGCTTATAAATCGGACTTTACCAAGGCCGATTGCGTGACGCCTGCGCATAACATGTTCAGGAATTTGCAATTGCAGTTTCAACGCATGTCACACAACTTTTGGTAAGTCGATAAAACACTAATTCAGTGATTAGAATCGTAGTATAATAATCATTGATTTGGGCGCAAGCTGAGGAAGGCGAGAAAATGGCGCTTCCTAAATCCTAAGCATAATCAACTGGGCTTCTAGAAAGTCTTTTGGGTTCTCACCCACGCATTTGTATTCGTCTTGTTACAATAAACAAGAGAACAACAAAAGTCTTTGCGGTTAATAGTCGAACTCTTTTCAAATGAATAAAAATGCATACGTGCATGTGTATGGTGGGACAGTTTAGCAACCTACGTGTTCAACACTCACAACCGGCTGGTGACTCAAAAGAGCGCATTCTTCCTTCCAAGCACTAAGCCAATACATTATATTCAGTCAACAACTTTGCCACTGCGATTTCCTTGTCTCGCGACGCCGCATAGAACTCGAGAATACCAATCATCAGCTTTCCAAAGAGTTTACTCACTGGAAATGCAAAACCTTAAAGTAAAAAAAAGTTCCTACGGTGATAACAAATATTAATCAGAACTCACGTACCAACAATATAATATATGCGCTGACATGTTCATACTGGTACAATCGCAAGAATATTTATTTATGATTATCGCCCCAAAATGATGTTCTCATTATCAGCAAGAATGGTAAACAAAGTTCGTCTTTAGATATCGACCAACTTTTCCAGGAATTTGTGGACAAATATATAGCCCCATCATTGATACACATCCTTATTGTTAAATATGCGTGACGTCACAACACAATATAGTAAAACCTGATCATTTATGATATCTTATATTAGGATGTTTCAGTGACATCGAAAATGTCCTGAACAGTGAACTGATCATACCCGTCTTTTAAATAAGCAAAAGGATTATATCGAGACACAAACGATATCTCATTGAATTGTCCGCCTACAGATAGATTATCCGCCCACACTATGATGCTCGCGCGTTGATTCATATTCTCCGTGAAGGAATTCAATCCTACCTAAGATACTCAGTAGTCTCCTTTCTGACACGTTCGTCAAAACGTGGATGCCATTACGCCGACGATTCCAACCTCCCACCCAAAATTTTTCGCTACTGTTGCAAGTTCATCTCATTAAATAGTAATTTTAATTTTCAATTTTAATTTGCGTATTTCCGCTGTATGGAAATCCCTAAAAAATTGCCATCTGCACCCTGCTATGCGCGTCCCCTCGTCTGCTTGACTCATGACCTTCGGACGTGATCAGATGGTTCTGCTCTGTTGCATAAAAAGCAATGACACATCCTATATTCCCATTTTATATTCGATTGTAGTCGGTCACAGATATTTGCCGGACATTCAATCATAGCGGTTATCAGGTAAAGCCGGACTTTTGGGGGTGAATACTAGGAATTGAATAAATCTCTTCAGTGACAATACAACAACAATATACGAAATATCACCAAGCAGGTGCAATGAAGTTTGAGGAAAGCTTGCAAACGCCTTCGTCTCAAGGTTTGTGAAACATTTTTTAACTTAAACAAGAAATATTTTCGGGCAAACCGATAAAAAATTACCAGAGAGAATTCGACACTGTATATTTATCCATATCTACGTACATATATATGTGCTTGTGTTTTAAAATCAGAATGAATACATTGTCAACATAAATTTGCACGAATTTGAACGCGTCTATATTTACTAAATCATTTGACGTTTGCTTCTTGGTAAGATCGAGAGGCAACTATATATAACACACAGCTAACAGCCGCGCGGGTTAGGCTCCAACATCATTGGGTATCGTGTTCAAATTTCCGTTTCGATATTATGTTTGGTGAATATGAATATATCTATTGACGTTAATATAAACACTGTGGGATACGATTAGGGATTGGATTTCGTTGCTTGAGAATCATGTTCCAACTTAGATTTTACTATATTTATTGATGGAGAGTACTGCGCGACTTTGGCATATTTGTCCCTCGGTGGGAAGGATGTCTCAGTGTCGTATTGTAGGGTACTTAAAAGGTTGTGTTCCGCCCATCTTCCTCAATACATTTCACACTTCGTACTTCGTAGAACGATAGTTTCTGGGTTTAGATCTCGCTTGAATTGCGTATCAGCGTTCAGCTGATGAATGCTAGTGAATTAGCGATGCTACCCTGTTGTGTTTTGCTTGTCTTACATATGCAGGCCTTCTTAGAAGAGAGGAAAAAAACGAGGAAACTGTCAGACGCAGTCCTAGGGGGATAAAAACTGAGATAACAAAACAGACTGAACGGATTAAATTATACATGAGCCAATCGTTTTTCTTGTACGTATGCGGCAGAATCACACAATAGTCGCAGCTATATATACTTATATAGTCTGTGTTTCGAAACCAGATCATAGGTTTGAAAAAACATTAGAATGCAGCACAAACAAATACTGTTAGTTTTCCAAATTGTCGGAATGCAGTCTTAATTGTGTTGTCTACAATGAGAATATATACTTAAATATTTATGATATTCAAAATAAATGAAAATCTAATGCGTTTTCCAGGCGATTTTCATATATAGTTTTGGAAGTTTTTGGAAATTCATTTTTCACATACTTTTTACACTTTTATCGCTATATACACAAAAAGCGTGCGAGTCTTCAACTTGGTTCTTGTTGAAAAATTACAAATACAGTTGGCAATTTGCATTGCAAAATTTGCCCTACAGCTCTTAGAACAAAACATCTTTTACAACCAACAAGAATAGTTTCCGGTTGGTGTCTGAAGTTTCTCAGTTTCTAACCGTTCCTATAGTTGTCTGAAGAAGATATCTCAGCACCAGTGGCCCACTTAGTCGTGATGATGAAATTCCACCGCTATTTCCATCAAAAAGTCAGAGGTCGAGTTTGATAACTAGGCAACTTGAAAGACGTTTATATCACAGAAATACATGTCAAACATTCTAGGAAAATATCTAATCACCATTTATTTTGTATCCATGTAGATAAAGCCAACAGAAACAAGCAACTTTAAGCTTATTATACTGTATGATCACAGTGGGTCTTTACGAATAGAATTTGACGCATGCTGTCAAGGGCGATTTTTATTCTGCTCAGGACAGTAATTTTCTGCCTTATATAGTCTGCCTTATACAGTCATTCTCTGCCTAATATATCCCCCCATAGCAGCTAGGGCTGCTAGGCAAAGCTTCTTTAAATCGACCTTAGTTTACCCAACGTTAATTATGAGCTAATTCGGGTCTTCAGGACACCATGGGGCCTTCTAATTTGAAAAGATCTTAATAATCTACCAAACAAAGATGCTATAAACAGTTTTTCTATATAGATTTAAATGATATATCATAATCTGTAGCCGTTTTAGGAAAACATCGTTTCCAAATTAAAATTCTTTGAAATGCGGAAATGTCACAATTCTGCGAAATATGATGTGGGAGGTGTCATTTGAGAGATAGCTTGGCTTATTTGACACCAAAACAACAAAACGTGACAGAAGTCGATTATTTCTACGAGAACTGACACAGTCAGTTCAAACGCGTAATCTCGCGTTTTGGCAATTCATGAAAAATTCGTTTTTACTAATAACAAATAGTTTATGGGAAAAAATCTGGTAAACTCGATACATGAGTTAGGCCTGGTTCATACGTTGCATTTTGATCGCGTGGAATGCAATTCAAACAATAGATAATGAGATGATACTGAAGCTGAATAAGGTTTACCATCTCATGATCACATATTGTTTGAATTGCATTGGACGCCATCAAAATGCGACGAATAAACTAGGCCCTATACTATTAAACAAGACAATAATATTGCAGTGATATTTCCATTTTCCACTGTATTTCAATATGTCATTCTCATGCAAACAAATGAATATTTACAAGCTTGTTAAGTTGCATTCATATATATGTATATGTATACACACCAAAAGGAATTTTTTTTTTATTCGTAGGAAGCTGTTACATTCCGCCGGTATATAGTTTTTCTTTATGAATGTGTTTTTAAATTTCATATGGACACGCTATAGATTAGGAAATGTAAAATATTCGAAAACTTTATGAAAAAATTCGATAATCGTAGCCGTTACGAAATAATTGTTCGCAATTTGCTTGAATGATATGATCTGATCTGATTTTTTGTCCCCCTTGATTTTTCACCTCTTGTGAACTACCATTGAAATGAAATACCAACAATTCGCTTGTGCAACTCGACACATGCTAAGTGAACTCTGACAATGACGTACAGGTTAGTAAAAAAACGTTTGTGGGGTGTAATAATGGCGGTGTACAGGGCATGCTTGGAATTCTTCTTTTTAATTAAGCTGACATTGTTTATATCTTAATAGGTTTAGACATTACATGCGTATTTTAAAAACACATATAAACCAACCATCTTTACTCACTATTCGGGTCTATTCCTACAAAATACCTAGGGCTAGGGAGCACTTTTTTAATGTATAATTGTCTTCTACAGTGTCAGTGTACCCTACGCCCAAATTAGTCCGATCATGAAAATATTATTTCCACACAAAGGGCTCTACAGTTAAATATCTTAATGTTTTAGCAGACGATTTCAATACTGTTTTTACCGCTATTACGGATCAAGATTATTAATCAGTGTTCGTATTGATTATTGTAATTTTGACGTGTCTTTTACCAAGACTATTCATTAAAAAGCTGTATTTTCCTGCCACAAAGAACTGGCAATGTAGCTAGTAATTATTATAATATATGCTAATCCAATACATAGTTTAAATTATTTATCATTGTTCATTAACCTTCTTTCTTTTCGCCTTGAAAAACTTGACATGTTCGTGGTCTGCATGAACTTCACTCCTGACTAAAACATGTATACGTCAGTGCTGAATCCGAAATATCAGTTTACATATTAATGCGATAAATCAATTTCCGCCGGCTTTTCATGAACCAAGGTTATAACTATATACAGCAGATATACACTGTCTATAGACATATCGATTAGTTATATATTCGGATTCAATTCATAACAATTATATTTTTGTACTTTGTATCGTTCAGTTCTAATAACATTATACACGTATAGTATCATCTATACTGTAAAGTTAGTCTTTTACAAGCACAGCCGGCTATAGCTGGGTGAGCGGCATCGGACATTCTATTTGTTCTCGATGCTTACAATGTCAATGTCTAGTCTAGCCAATCCTCTTGACGTCAAAAGTCTTTGTTATTTAAGTCGGATGTTTTTCTTCTTTGTGAATAAATCGATCTCAATCTTAAAGACCTGAAGTTCGTTGAAAGATTAAATATAATTTTGGTGATTGTATTCTTAATACAGCCTACAAAAGATATCTTCCTTATCTGTTCTGAGAAGTTGAGAACTCACATTGAACGAGATTAGTTGCATTACGTGTTTCATCGACGAATTGCGTTATATAATTAATTGATAAAGATCCTAGCTCTTTTCATTTAGAATCTATTTTTAACAAGAGTTTAAGAAATACATAATATAATATATCTTTCAATTGTCCCTGCATGGTAGCGGGGAAAAATGTCTGTAAACAGATTACTTCTAGGGTGATCGATTAGCATTGATTTTGAATTGACGCCAATGTTACGTACTCCCCGGAAGAATTTGGGATCGACCATTCAACACCCACTAATAGGAAGTAACTGCATATAAATTGAGTGTACAAACACCAGATTCACTGGTTCATTTTGTTGAGTTGGTTGTATCAAAATCAGTGTTGTGGTTTTCCAAGTAAAGGTATATACATATGTATATATATTTCTAGAAATGGCAGAAATGCTCTCACGAATGAAAAACTTGCTCATTGATGTCTTGCTGGAGAAATCCCTCCCAGATGCGTCGAAAATCAAGCTCAAAGACTGCATATCAATGATCGAAACTTTTTCAAGTTTTTTGAGCAAAAAAGAAAGGCAGGAGAAATCTCAGCCGCCCAAGTCTTTGGCCGATAAATTGAAAACGTCGAAGTCAGCTTCGGACATTTCACAGGGGACCTTGGTTAGTAAATTAGGTTTATAATAACCTTGTCGGACTTATTTTCATACATTGCAAATACCTGTTTTAAATTATTTGGCATTATTCTCGACATATAGAATGAATTCTGAGATGGTATTACGGCGATTAAATATTTATATGCCCCGGGGTCAAAATATAACAGAATTTAAAGCAAAGTTAAATGTTTTGAAGTTTAATAAATTTCCAATCATTTCTTTTTACTTATTTCATTAAACTATTTAAACTTGTTTTAAACGACTGGGATGAAGACTTTTAGACAGAAATTTATGTTCTTGGGCCGCCTCACAAAAGATTTCAGTGCGTTGAAGCTTAACGATATATTAAATGCCCCAACCTTAGTCTTACATTTACCGGCACATTGTGTGTAAACTTGCAGCAATATACTTATCGTTTTAGCTTAATGGTGAAGACGATCAGGTTGAAATAAACAACTTAAAAGAACATTGTCTCCAAGCAATTAAAGAACTTAGCAATAACTCTGATATAAATGCCGAGTTAGACACGAAGTTAAATGATATTAAATCAGGAGTAATCTTTGCTAACTCGGGAATGAAGATGAAACCTGATATAAATTCAACCAAACCTGTTGTAATAAACGACAAATAATGAACAAAATAATACTAAACCAGATGTGAATGATGTCAAACCCGATCTCGATGCGATGAAAACTGGAGTAAATGGTAGCGGACAGGAAGTCGTGAAAAGAGATGCGAAAGTTCCAAAACCTCGCCGAAAACGAGACAGCTCAACCCTTTTCGACATTTCATTAGACGACATCACCGAGCCTGACCACTCCGGCTTCCTTACCGAGAAGCATTCTGGGAAAGAATGGTGGTGTGTTTTGCAAGATCAGCATTTGTGTATGTTCCCTTCCCAGAATCCTCAAGAGCTCGCTTATGACGTATTACTCGTGCCATGCTGTGAAATCTCGCTGGACGATGTGTATACGGAGTCCCCAGTGTTCCGCCTCACCCAGGTAGGTTCGACACCCTGGGTGTTTTCAGCCGGTATTGAGAGAAACCTCCGGGCCTGGATACGCGCTCTGTACCGCGCATGCGGGAGAGACGATGCTGACTGGAGCTTGCGCAGTTCGAAGAAAGGTCGCGGAAGAAAGGACAAGAAACAAAAACGAAACATGAAAGTCCTTACATCGACCATAGATGAGTCAGAGGAAGTGGAGGAAACGGAAGAATGTGTTGAAGAAGGAGAGAAAGATGAAGCAGAACAGAAGAAAATAGAGGGAGTTGACGAACAAAAGAATCAGACGAAGAAGGAAGAGCTATCGAAGAGTGGACAAGATTGTGAAGAAAAAGATTTGGCAAATGTCGCTGGGTTTAAAGATTCAGTTGTAAATCAACATGATGAAGATGCTAAGTCTGAGAAACTGGAGGAAAAGGTGAAAATTGAGTCTTCTTCAGAAGTTAGTAAACAAGGAGTAGCCAGCGAAGCATTTCAGAAAAACGAAAGACAAAAACCGCCTGAGGATGGAAATTTTGCCGACGAGAAATGTTTGGGTAAACAAGGGAGTGCTAATGAGGTATGGTCTAGCTTTAAGCAACCAGCATCTTTACAGCTGGGTTAAAACGCAATTAAAAATAAACAATTACACAATAACTGCGAGGGAAAGCATATTGTGTCTCGTGATTTACCAATTCTTGGCCTAATATCAACCGTGATTTGTTTAATCTTGAAATTCTAAATTCGAGTAAAATTTCCAATGGAGACGGATAAAAACTAAACCCGAATAAATGTCAAATGCGATGAATGCAAGATACGGAATGGTACGTAATAAATGAATTCGAAGTAATTGAAACTTGGGATTGAAAGTTGATGATGTTTCAAAGTTAGTCAAGGCAATAGCACATGATCTTTGCATTATGCAATCGCCTCATTGTAATTTTAACTCCCAAAGATATTTTGCCAATTGCTTGGACGGTTCATCTATATATGGGAAATAAAGGTATGCTAATTAGTATGGTTTTGTTTCCTTCTTAGAACGGAAGTCAAACAACGTGCCCAGCAAATATCTCTTTCAACGATGATCACAGTGATTATGTCATTTCCTTGCAAGAAGCAGAGAAGAGCGAAAGACGACAATCAGATTGCTCCGAGAATCCAAAAATCCTTAACCTGGAACGTAAGGCGACAAAAAAACGTATAAAAATGTTGCGCTGGTTGAAAAAAGCGTTTGTCGCCAAGGGGCAAGATGATGCGACAATTATTGGGGATATCTATAAAATCGAAAGCCCTGACAAACACGTGAAACTTTGGTGCATGCTTCGTGACCGCCAGCTGTACGGCTACCATCATGTTTCGGACACGACCCCCGTTTTCAAGTTACCGCTGGACAATTGTATTGCGGTCCCACGTACCAATGTTCCTGGCAAAAAGCACGCATTTGATATCGAAAAGGAGGGGGTCAAGTTGGCAACGTTTGCTTCACAGACCGCTAAAGAACAAGCCAGGTGGATAGATATTGTAAAAAACAGGCGAGGAACGATTCGCATTAGAGAAATTGCAGATGACAGCGGAGAAGAAGCTGAGGACTCGAGCGAAGATGAGGATAACTATGTGAAAGGTGTGTTTGCTGTACTCTATATGTTTTTTAGTGTGGAGTGAGAAATTCAAATTTCCACAAATAAGCTAAAATTGTCAAAGTAAAATTTGCTGGGTTCTTCATTTACATTGAAGAACCTTGGTTCTTGGATGGGGCATATTAAGAATTACAAATATTGGGTGGGACGTATTAGGATATACAGTGAAAACTATTGTGTATTCCTTTAGTGGACGACATACCTCAAACAGCTGCTAAATTCCAAGCGTCAGGAGAATACGTTTTGCCCATGTCAGAAGACTCTAAATATGACGACGCTGGGTACATTTCCGTTATTGCCTTAGAAAGCGAAGTCGACCGTCGCAACTCGTATAGAAAACAAAGAAAATACAATCCGAACATCCCCAACAAGTACGGAATTGAACATTTAATCGAAAAGGATACACCTTTACTTATATCGACAATACCCCGCGAGTCACAGGGGCAATGTAAGAATCGTTCGCCCGCACCCCTGCCCAGGGATTTAGCCCTGCTTTCGGGCAAACCAAAAACGGAAGTCTCAAAAGGTTTGCCTGCGATTCAAGTAGACCGCGGCATAGAGAAAGAGCCTGGGAATGGATCAGATGAAGGACTCGAAAATAGCATGGATTTAAATAACAACACAGACGCAGAATGCTTAGAAGAGGTTAATCCCGATGGTAAGCACGAATAAATACTGGGTTGCTTTTTGTTTAGATTTTCCAGTCTTTTTTGTGATGGTTTTTTGTTCAATATAAAATCTCTGTAATCTCACTGGTCTTCATGATCCCCTACGCTATAAAACAAGTTAAATTACACGATGTAATATGTTTTAGACGAAGAATTATCGAGCGATGACGAGGGAATCTTTCACTGTCAGATGACAGCGTCGTCATGGTTGGCAGATAGCCCGCCAAGTCAGGCAAGGTTTGGCCCGTGTACTCAGAATAAAATTGGAGCGTGGAGGCCTGAAACGAACGATAAAACTCAGTTCCTTGAAATTGATATAGGTAAGGGAAACCTGAGTTAAGAGCGATAAAACCTTCTCTTCGCTATAATTTTTGAAGGACAGCTTCATCGGGTCATGCATGCAGTCTAAATTGTAGTCCATATTTCATTTAACAGGCGATTTCATGACAGTTGGTGCAATTGGTGTTAAAGGCAGACCCGATTTTGACGAGAAAGGAGGCGAATTCATCAAATCTTTCACAGTTCACTACAGCATTGATAAAGAGACGTGGATACCGTACAAGAGTCACGGGAAAGTGAAGGTGAGTGGGTTTGCTTTGAACTGCATTTAATTTCATTTGGCCGTGATGTTCTCCATGCCAGGAAAATAAAAAGCTAGTGAAAGCACCTGGCTAGATTTGTACTCGTGTCAAATGTATACATATTCTTTGTAGGTATTCCAAGGTATTACAAGTGCTAGTCAAGAATGCAAGAAATATTTCAAAAGCAAAACAACAGCTCAATATTTTCGCGTCTATCCTCAGTCTTGGCAAAATCATATTGCTCTACAAGTTGCTTTATACAAGGTTGATATTGGGTCGAGTACCTTGAAGAAGAGTGGTGACAAATTAACGCTAGCCTCCCCTACTAGAAGACCACTTCTGAAGAAGAAAGATATTTCAGATCCCATGCACCCGTCCAGCGATTGTCTTCGAACTGAATTAACAGAGCCTGCAACTTTCATAGGTAGGAACAACAATGTATCTTTGATCTTCTTGAAGAAGATCAATTATATCAATTACCTATAGCAAGTGCTTCTTTGATTATTTCCACTCTATTCAAGCCTTGTATTTCAAGTAAATCATAGCAAGTTTAACGATCATTTCTCCACAGATATCTATGGTCTAATCTGGCCGTATAAACATTTCCATCTGAGAAAGACATTTTCATCAATAGTGACTTTGCGAATCTTTTTCCCTTCAGACACTGGCAGAAAATCCCCGAGCAATATCGAGCCACAAAACTGCATAGAAAACCCAGCATCGATGGAGAGCCGTGCGAAACTGAAAGAAAAACTTCTCATCAAAGAAAAGCGGGAACAAATCACGAAACTTGAAGTTTTGGCAAAACTCGTAGACATGGCCAAGGACAAGATGATCGTGAATTCCTCAGGTCAACTCAAACGGGAAGCCATTGAAACAGAGCACGATTATCTCGTTGCAAACTTAGAACTTGTCAAAGCCAAAAAGCGACTCATAGATATCGAAACGGAAATCAGAGAACTGCGAGTATTTGAGGAGAAGAATCGTAGCGAAAAACAAGACGAGCAAGAGACCCACGAATCCCACGAAGCTGCACCCGAGTCCCACGCTGCCCGCGAAGAGGAGGAGGCCCTTCAAGTGCAGGTGGGTCACGTGGCGGCGCAGGAGAAACCAGAGAGCCGTGAAGATCGTGAAATACAAGAATCCAATGGCAATGAGGTTGATTTGCCAAAAGTGAAACCACGGCCTGCAAAACCCCTCAAACGAAGACCTAGTAAAGAGGTGATGGTGTGTACCGACGTCGTGTTACCGGAAGTAGATCCCGAGGGGTTCAATTCCGAGGGAGAACCTCCACCCGTAAGAAAAGTTTTAGATAATGTAAAGGTGAGAGGGCTTGTTGTTTTCACGTCAGATATAGCATTTCAGATCTCATAGTTTAGGGGAAGGCATCACGCAAATCACACAAATATTATTCACAAATATAGGCTTGTCAATGACTATTTTATCTTCAATTTATATATAGATTATAAAGTACAGTATGACAACGGGAGGATAGAGTTAATAGTTTTTTTTTCATTGCAGCTTTTCGAAAAGTTTCAAAATCATCCCCGATAAAGAAATGTATCATTCTCGATTCTGGACTCTGGAGCTTTCTGATCCGGATCTTTCGTAAATTAACTACTAAAGTTGGCCATGCAATATCTAAGACAATAGTGCGCCTTAGCGGCCTAGATACTAAGTAGGCTTATAGACAAAGAAAAAATGTTATGAAGAGAGAAAAACAAAAGTAGCCACCGTAAAGTAGACTGGATTAATTTTGTTTTAAAAAGATCGATTGTACAGATGTTAGAATATGTAAGAATGAAATAAGTACATAAATAGAAGCAGTAAGAATATAATATTACAGTGAATTTTGATTGTATATATCTTAAACAAATGATGTACAATCGTAATGATTAAATAGAAATATCAAAACTGTTATATAATGATTTAAACGTAGAACCTTTTGCACTGGTGGAACACGAAAACGTGGGAGAGGAGCACCATTGGGGAGTGGGCCGTGGGGAGACCAAGGAGAAGGGGCTATGTTCGTAGGAAATTGGGGAATGGAGGTTTGGGCCTCCCCAGATATTCCCCCTATATAACCCTAGATAATTTTAAAAATTGAAATACCTGAGCCGCTGTTCAAAAAGGATCGCAGTTTCAACATAGATGGGTGCTCCCAGAGTAGACACTAACTAGTACCCAGTCACATTTGTTCGAAAATTTAAATGCCAATTTTAGAAAATCTCAATTTATCTCATACACGTGGAAATGTTTTGAACAGAAATGGCCAGAAATGCAAGCCGAAAACGAAATCTTTACGGCACTTCAGACACAGATAGATAGAGCTAAAGAATACGTTGTCAGAGCCTTGGCTTTGGAGAAAAAAAACATCGATGGATCGAGCAAACTCACCAAGCGAATTCGAGCAGAACTGAAGTTTTTGACTGGGGTAGGTGGAATTTGAAGCTTTGTTAGTATATTTGTCCACGACATTTGTGTGCAATTATTGATACAATACAATTAATAAAACCAATAAATACAATATTTTATTGTTCAGCTAAACGATGATCATGTACAACTGAAGCCATGTCATTTGAACAGCACCAATCTCTCCCACCTGGGGGGCATCCTTGATGTCGCGGAAAAACTAGAGGTTGCATCCTTGTTAAAGCCATTCAGTTGGCATGCTGGGGAGGACAAAGCATTGGGGCAACCTCCATCATCTGTTGTTGTTGATGTGGCCACATTTAATGGATGGTTTAAGGTGGTTGCACGTAATCCAACTGCACTTCACTCTGCTTGGAAAGGTATTTAATCAAAAGGTGTATAGTTAATACCCTTAGGTAGGCCCTTGAGTTCTGACTATTCACATTAGGGCAGTGGGGAAGGGTAGCTCAAAATGACATGAAACCGACTGCCTGGTTCATGTGATTTTCCTGGTGTGATTTTGGGTTATAGCTATGTTACCTACATATAATGTGTATTGATATTTTTTAGGTGAAGGAAATTTTGGGGAAAAATCTATTGATAAGCAGGCAAAGGTTGTTAAAGTGTTGAAGTGTATATTTGACAACTATACCGTGGCTTACTGATTCTATTTTGCTGCCATCAATTTCAGGAATACCTGGGTGCTTGTCAGCAAAATAAAGCAAACTTTTTGACACCAAAGGTGACTTTTGTTTTCACACAAGGAATTACTGAAGATTTAGCAGGTAGACTAGCTATTGTTACACCTGTAGGAGCTTCGGTTTATTGATTATAGCTCATTTAATTAATGTGAAGAGTCTTAAATCAATTAACATCATGTTGCCAATTTGTTGAAGCATTATCAAAAATCAACTGACTGTGCACATAGAATCATCATTTACGAATAACGGATGATATTTTTCAGAATGCTTGTTGAGCTGTGGCATCTTCTTAGAAGGTGACATTTTGCCAAATCCTGGTTGCAATGCATTGAAAAACAGCAACCTTACCTCCAGATCAACAGTCAATCCTAATGTGGTTGCTGTTTTGCAATGGTAGGCATTTGCAGTGACTATGAAAGTCTACAGTGTGCCTGCTCAATAGAAATATACATTCAATACACAATATTTATTTTATTTTCAATCATTCGTTTTAGTAATAAAATTAATCTGGATGTAACAGCTATGATTGCACTGGTGTCAGCCTTGACCAATGGCTCTTGTCACTTACAATTTCAGGTGCAATAATTCATTTACAATATTCAGAGTAGTTCAGTTCAATTTCTGCAATAACCGTGATTGTCAGTATTATTCTCCACATTGTATAATCTCCATCACTCCATGAAGGGACATTTAGTGCAATTCTTGTTGCGATTGTTGTTTTCAGGATCAAATTCTTACTGAGCAAGCAGAGAGGGAAAGATTGAATCCAGTTTTACCAGAACTCAACAAAGTCCTTGAAGGTACAGTACCTGGTAATTAGTTATACATATTAACTTTGGCCATTTATCTTGTTATTCTTTGACCATTTTTAGATAAAGAATTATTCGCCTGTTCTCTGGCAATTTCAAGTTTTCAATCCATTTTAAATACGTTAGGAGGAGAAAATGAAATAGAGCGTGCGAGGTACGGTGGATTGTTCGACTTCAGATCGGAAAAAAAAGAAAAAAGTTTAACTGCAGTACTTGGGACCCTTGTTTTTCCTAGCTTTAGGGAAGTGATAGACACTGTTCATTGAAAAAGTTAGTTTATGTTGCATGTTTAGAAAGCTTCTCAGTAAAATCACGGAAGTAAGCGACGATCCTTCAGAAAGAACACAAGAGTTATCATCAAGCGGAACAATAAAGGCGAGGCCAAAGGTATGAGATGCACAGGAATTCTCCATCGACGCAATACGTAAACGATTCAAAAACAAAATTTACGTAGAGTAGAACTATTTGTGTCCCAATCGTACAACGATTTTGCACTGGGAGTATGGGACAAATCGATTTCTGCATCAGGCATAGTTTAATTCTTTGCTCAACTAAATGAACGCGTTTGGTACAAAATGACGCACACTTTTATAACCAATTCGTTGGTGGTCTCAAATTTACTATCAATTAACCCTGTGCAAATGAAACTCTGTATACCCTGGTGCAACAGCAATGAAGATTTTACCAAGAAGAATCGGTGGTTTTAGAAATTTATTCAAATTCTTTTAGATCGTGTTTGGAACAGGGGATCGTCTGCAGGCCGTAACAGTCACCTCAAACAGATCATTTGTTAGAGCTGCGAGAGAACAGGTATGCTGGAATACGATTATATGAAATCAATGTTTCTAGCAAACTATAGCTATGGTACAGTATGAATAACACGAAGTAGACTGTACTAGGTAAATTAAGACTAGTCTGCTCGGTCTACACGCGCAAAAACGCCCCGCTGAACAAGGTTGTTCAGGCTTGTCAACCTCATTTCTGCAAAATTGTTATTTCAACGAACAATATTGCAACAACCTGATCAATTTTTTCGCATGTTAGTCCATTGAACTCAATGGTCTAGTCCTGCTTGCGGGCCAATTAAGACCACTGATTAAGATTTAATTTTGCAACCTCGTACCAGGATCTTTTACAATTTCGGCTCAATTCTGTGCCGAGGTATCGCAAAGTTGCCCCCTTGGGCTACGTAATGTTACTTTTACTATAGTGGATCAATTCTCACCGAAAACGAGAAGACTTGCAGCAAGTCTAGAATCGGTTGAAGTTTTATATTCTTTTTTCAAGGGCGTGGAGTTTGCAGTTTTTCTTCACGAGCCGAGAGCTTTAACGGAAAACAAGGAGCGGTTTGCTTCGCCAATTTGAGAAAAGTTTGCAACGAAAATATAAATGCAGGTCGAAATAAAAACACAATACTTATTGGTCGATATTGAAACGCTGGAGTGATGAACGGGTTTAGCTATCACTCGCTGCTTTACTGGTAACAGTCTTCTTCGCCTGAAACTGGACCATTCTTCCGTTGGGTGTTTCAGAATAATGAACTATGATAGAATCTTTCCTAAATCACGTTTTGGATTTTGGGAGGTCAGAATTTGGCTCTCGATCAGGAGGTCTGAGAGACCGTCCTGGGGTGTGATTGTTATGTGATGATTTTGTTACCCAATTTAAATAGTTACAAGGGGTTGTTCATAAAATAGAGTGGATTACAGTATGACCAGTCTGATGGCAATTGATTGAATAATTTTTTTTTCTATCATACAACATGACACTCTCTGACAGTCACAAAATGACTAGTTATTTTACCACTGCTGCAACTCTCTACAAAATAGTCAGAAACTGGTGTTCACACTATGCAAAGAACCCACGATCCTTAATATGTAAACCTGATGTCTAACTCTCGTATGTTGTGTTATTAGCATCACTCGATGCTTTCACAAACATAATTCTCTTCTTCGGCGGTTGAATGCCGGTTTTTATTTTTGACAGTTGATCTAACATGGCCTGGGCAGCATTTCGTTTAGCAACCTTCTTTGACCGTCCTAGACCAGAGGCCTCCATGTTATTCACTTTCACCTTGATATCAAATCTCTGCAGGGCTAGTGGTCCATTCTCACACACCGAAATATATTGTGGTTCCCCTAACTTGTGTTTTCTCGCTACGTGTTCCAACAATGATATCGGATTATCCCCACCGTCGGACTGCACGGATACCGGGCTAGTTTTCTCGTCCGTATTTTGGGGTAGCTGTGGTCCATAATCTTCTGAAGTGTTTCCAGATCGACTTGTATTGACTGCGGTAAATCCTGGCAGTCCCAGAATATCTGCTACCTCGTTACCAGACGCTTGAGCTACAAGCAACTGTGCCGCGTCCTGTTTTGCAAGTTTTTTTGATCGACCACTTCCGCTAACCTCGTAAGGTCCCATTGTCACCTTCATGGTAAACATCTTAGCATGAGCCGGGCCCGTTTCCGATTCTTCAAACCAATTTGCAGTCCATCCGTTTTGACGAGCAAGGTCGTGTACCGTGCTCACAGCAGATTTCCCCCCTTGAAGGGGTTGCATTGAAGTTAGGGTTTGCGGAGGCAGGGCAACCGACTTTTTAGCCTGTTTGAAACTCGTTTGAAATTTCTGTGGCATGTGTGGTCGCTTTGGTGGTCTCTGAGGGCCTATAGTTGGACTGTATGATGGTTGGTAGTTTGATGTCTGAGGAAACTGGCCCACCCCCTGTGCATTGTCTTGTGTGGGGTAGGATGGACCTTGTTGACCTTGGTAGGGTTTTAGTTGGGGATAGGAAACCCCTTGCTGAGGGTTAGTTTGGCCCTCTGTGTAGATAGATTGACACGGTCCTTGTTGGTGGGTAGGGCCCTGCTGTTGAAATGGCACCTGATGTGAAAGCATGTTCTCAGTATTGGAAGGGGGTGGGACTTGATTATATGAGGGTAAGGGTGCGTGGTTCATTATGTTGTGGGGGTACTTGATTAAAAGTAGGTGGGGATACTTGATTAAAAGTAGGTGGGGGTGCTTGGTTATAAGGTTGATTTAAAGGGGGTCTCAATCCATCTGAATGATAAGATTGACCGCCTTGTGTAGTTGTGGGGGGCTGCTGCGCATACGGACCATTTGGCGGGTATGGGCTGCCACCTTGGGATTCTTGTTGTCCATATGTGTTGTATGAGGAATTTCCATAAGCTGTATTGTAGGGATAATATTGGCTAGCAGTATTTTGTTGGGGAGGAGCCATATATGGGTTATATGGTGGCATGTTGTATTGATTCTGAGACTGTTCAGCAGGAGTATACGTTGTTGCAAAGTTGTTGGTCGTCCCATAAGGGTAACCTTCACCATATGACATTGTTTAATAGATGACAGTCAATTCCTAGTTTGAGAAATTAAGCTTGATTTTTTTACCTTTTTTACTAGTTTTGGCACTTTTGGGCCGAAGGGTCTTTCCTGTGAGTAAAGTTCCCCCTAAGCTCTTTAAAACGCAACAAGAGTTGCGAGTGGGGGTGGTCCAAAGCGATCGAAATTAATATTCTAAACATACCTTTCAACTCAAGATTTCGCCGCCATATTGTAAACCGCGCGCTGCTTCTGTGCGATTCGGACTGGGTACGACCAATTCAGACGAGAAAACGACAAAAACGACGATTATTAACAAAAATTAAATTTATCAAGATTCCAAGACCTTTATTTTTCTTTTAGTTTTGCTTTGCATTTTTTCCCGCTTTGTCATTTCTATGTCAGATGTTAATACATACGTATTTTATGATTTTATCGGCAACAAGTTGATTGTGCCGATTAGGCAACATTACGGTCTTGGGTTTAGAAAAACCACTCTTTTGGTGCAGGCTGCTGGGATCGAGAGCCCACAAATACCCAAAATGTGAACATGACCGCGTAAACGCACGTTCCAATACGATTTCCTCAACCTTGATTTCTTTCTTTTTGCCATTAATAAGAATTTATATCTGTTGTTATAAATTTTCGGAAATTTGACCGGCTAGGCTGCAACAAACAGTTTTTCCAATTTTCAAAGACTGACTTCAGTGGCAAAGAACGCTATTTATCTCCCAAACCAACATTGGTAAGGTTTTGTAGTTGATTTAGGCATTTGTTTTGGCCCTGAAAAGTACCTGCACAAACAATAAGCAAGTAGTATGCGGGTGTCTTTATTTAGATTTTACGGGATATTTTCTCGCATGTTCGCGGGTATTGTATAAATCCGTATCTTCAAGACTGGCTGGAAAGAATCCTCGATATATAAAGGTATTTTAAAATGTTAAATTATTTCTCATTGTATTTCAGTTAAACACAAACGCTTGGAGTGTCCATGATGTTTGTTGTGCAGCGAATCACGTGGAATATTATGTTGTTATTATTGCTAATATTATGCTTATTATCAGTAATGTTATTTATCCGGTTATTTCTGTTAAAATCATGTATGCATGACTAGCGGGTTGAATCTATTCTTTGTATAACGTTACATATACATCAGCAGGATATGCTATAATCTTGCCATGTCTGAATAATCTCTTAAGGTTTTCATCCAAATCCATTTCCGTCTATATCAAGTCATTGATATTATGAAATATTTCGTAGTTTATAGCTATAGACTCGCCTTAAAATGGCATGCATGCGCGATATCATACCTATGTATTATTCCCCAAACGGAAATCAGGTTGATCTTGTTATTATTAATATAATTTTTATTATTATTATGTTTTTGACCTCTCGACTGATCTAAAGCATAACCAAAACTTTGCCATGTTCTTGACCATTTTTTTTCTTCACTTTGCGAGAATTAAGAAGTTAGATCTGCAATGTCATGTGTCCTTCATCCAGTACAATAAATATGCTCATTTATGTTAATGCTCATTTGAACCGTTAGATTTGAAAAAAAATGGGGGGAGCCATAGGTAAAGATCATGGAGCTATGGAATACAAAGAAAGAAACATTTACCTTAATTCTGAAAAAACATATGGAAGGTTTGTGTCTGGTTTTCTATATACCATCTTGTTTTGCACAATAAAATACTAATTGCGATGAAATTTGACCAGTCAAATGTCACAGTTATGGGAGTAACGTTTATGGGAGTAAAACGTTTTACAAACGGTCCGCTTTCTTTTCAGACTAAAACCAGTTCGACCTATAACTATCCATCAGAAATCTTTGTTCTGTTTATGGATGATCATAATATGCTTGTATATCTTGGTTAAAATCCTGAAATTTTGGAGATGGATTCTATCCAAACGGAAACAGGAAGACACCGGACAACAGGACATGATAGAGTCACAACGACAGGAAGACGAGAAAATGAAAACTGGTTTGGCTAATGGAGGTATTTAGAAAGTGTTCAAAGAACATGCAAATAGTGCTCCAAGTGATTTAAGACCATGTTATTGTGGTGTGGTATAGTTTTGAATCTTGTGGTTAAATCTACTTGTTTTTTGCACAAAGTATAACATTGATTCTTTCAAATATTCCTAGGAACCAAATCTTTAGAGGAAGAAAGTTCACCGAAGGAGGCTATCCCGTCATTATGGGAGAGGTTGACAGAAACCTGCCCAAAACAACCAACATTTGAAAAATTTCTAACACAAGCTGTCTTGTTTGGTTGTATCATGCTGTACTTCTGGCTTTGTGATTTTCAACATATCTGGCCCAAGACAAACAAGCAATATTCAAGGGATATGTTCATCTTTATTTTCTTTTTGCTCGTTTTCGTTGCTGTTGTTTTGACAATTAAACAAACTGCGGATGCGATTTTGAATCGAAATCAAACGGAAGAATGGAAAGGTTGGATGCAGGTGCGTTTATTTTCCTCATAAGAATCGAGCTCGGCCATTGTGGTCGTTTTATTTCAAAATGGACACTCTAAAGACATTTTTGTGCTGTCTACAATAGGTTCAGTTCGTTTGGTATCATTATTATGACGCGCAAGAGGTTTTCAACTCAATTCGTTGCTATATTGGGGCTTATGTTTGGATGACTGGTTATGGTGAGATTATAATATATTTTCCTAAGTTTAGCTGCCTTTACGGAGACCAGGTTCGATATTTTTGGGTAAACTTTTTTGTTAATGGCGCCCTGTTAACGCCCCTCACTTGTGATCTGTCATTTTCCACTAAATTCATCGTGATTTCTTTTTCATTTAAGGAAACTTTTGGTATTTCTACAACAGAAAGGATTACTCGTTCTTTCGTTTGTGCAAAATGATGTGGAGATTGAATTTCTTAGTTGTCATGGTAATGGCGATGACCAATCATGAATTTGTACGGTATTACGTGTGCGCCATGCACACGTATTGGTTCCTTACCGTATACGCAATGTTGGCTGTCTTTGCCAAGTATAATAATGTGAGTAAAGTCCGTTTCATCGATAAAGCGCTGACGTAAGCCAGCGTATTCATGCTGCTGTCGGTTTGGGCGGGAAAATGAAGGACAATTCGTGTGTTTGCATCAGTAAACAAAAGCCGATTCGTTTATCGTCTTCATCTTTATTACAGAACCGAAAAGTTATGGCTGCCAAGTTTGTCCTCTTCTTTCTTTTCAATTCAATCATATTTGAATTTCCTTACTTAACGTACAAGATATTCTGGCCTTTTCAATTTGTACTCAATGTTCGGGGAAATTTGGATTACTGGGTCTACCGAGCAACGTAAGTCTGACCGCTTGCATATAAAAAGTTGTTGACAAATTTGGTTGCATTTGTTGTTAACTATGATTTAACTATACGCGGCAAGAGATAGATAAGATTTGGACTGTATTCCATGCTTTCCTATCAGTTTTTTATTGCAATGCAAGTTTTCTGAAAGTTTTATCTATTGTTTTCTAGTTTGGACCACTGGGCGACTTGGGTTGGTATGTTAGTTGCTTATAACTATCCGTATTATGACGCGTTTTTGAGATACCTCGAAAAGAACGACGACGATAGACGACAAAAACATCTTAAAAACGGCATAAAAATCGGCCTTACCATCATCTGCCTCGTAATTATCGGGCTTTGGTTTCATTATTTCTTACTGGTCGATCGTAAATGGTATAAAAGGATTCATCCATACACTTCTATCATACCAATACTGTCCTACATATGGCTTAGAAACCTGTATCCTTCATTGAGAACTCGTTATCTAAACCTATTCAACTGGTTGGGAAAAATCACGCTGGAGACATATCTATCCCAAATTCACATCTACATGATAGGGGATGCGAGGAAGTTACTGGTTTATATCCATAAATATCCCATGATGAATTTTGCTATCGCTACGATACTATACGTTTCTGTTTCATATTTGCTATTTCATCAAACGGTTTTGTTTAGCTCATATTTACTGACTGAGAATACGAGAATTCGTTGTAAGAACTTTATCGTTAGTGTTTTGCTGTTACTGCTTTGTTATGCTTTCTCGTATCTTTTAACTTGGGCACAAGTTTGGTGAGGCAATTCATGCGTGGAATTTTATGATATAAATCTTTGATTCAAGGATATTTCGTGTTTAATAATGGTGTAGGATTACTATAGAATAGAAAAGGGGTATAACAGTAAAATAATTTTTCATATTGACATTCGTGTTTTTCCTTGCTCGAAACTAGGTTTGAAATTTGCGCTAACATCTTCCAGCAATGAAGTCTACTGCAGTTTATACTGTTGAGATGCCATCGGTTACGAATAGTGTAAATGATAAGGAATTTAAAAATAGGTCTTATATTCTTTCATTCTCAGCAGGAGTATAGGACCAGGAATTACTCAAAAGCTATTGTGAAAAGTACATTGCATGCCCTCATTTAAACAATCTTCACGCATCAATGGTTCTGACCCAACGACCTGTCCAGTATCATGGAAGATAACTACCGAACACAAAACTCGCTATGAAATGGCCTTCAAAGCATCAAGCCCGTGAACTTTTTATGGCCTTCGGCTGAGGATGTTCATTAAAACATTACTTTTACTTTCCCTACTAATCTTTATAAAGATATATGCGGTATTTTCCAACGTGTACGGTCGGGGATTCGACGTAATGGGATTTAAACGAGACTGGTGTAGACAGAGGAAGGCAGCCTTGGATTGGTCAGCGATTCTTGAGCCTTGTAAAAGAGATTTCGAGTACAGTGTAAAACCAAGATCAGTAAATTTAACGTAGGTTTTCTCAATTTTTTTATTGCACTAATTTTCTTCAGACTTGTTTACTTTTCAAAGTTGTTTATTATTCGAACTCGCAGACAATGACAACACTTTGTTCTTTGAAGCAAGGGACATTTACAAATGATCACTGAATAATGACTTTTAGTTTTACCAAAAGCATGCTTGCAAAGAGGGCATGAGACATTAATTTAGGTTTGGTTTGCCGGTGGATTGCCGGCAAACATCTTCAGTGCCAAAGGCAAAGAAAAGAAGAGAGTGCTATACGCGTAACCGCATGATTTGGTTAATACCAAAATGATTTACGTCCGAGATCCTCAGGGCTGTGGTTCTGTTGGACACTAGTTTACTTGGATCTATATTTACACACTTTCTCTTTAGTCATGTTAACATCACAATCCAAGGCTATCTTAGGCTAGCTTTGAGGTTGGTTTTTGCGGTGTAAACGCACGTCGGTGGGGCTTTGATCAAGAGACCCAGGCTTTACCAGGCATGTGGTTACTTGTAGGGCAAGGCTTCGCCCAATGCTTTTCCAAAAAAATCTATTTCAAAATCAAGCCTAGTTGATCTTGTCTTCTCCTCCTTCAGTGAAGGCACATCTCACGAGAAGAGTTTGCTCTTTCCCCGTGTGGCACCAGCCGGTCAGTTTACCCATATATGGATAGAATCACGTGACAAATTAGGCAACCCCAAGAAATATGGTGGGGACTCGTGGCGGGTGATGATCAGAAGTGAGGGGGCAACCCTGGCAGCTGATGTGTTTGATCACAATAATGGCAGTTACGAAGCTCTGGCGCTGATAATGGAACCTGGGTTGTATACTTTGGATGTGAGGTTGGACTACACATTATGCGATGGATTTCGCAACCCCCCGGTTGAGTGGTTTCATAAAGGTCTGTTGATTTACCCATCTACAGTCTATCATCATCTATAATCTTCAATCTATTCGTATCATTTATAATCTTGCATAATGTTTCAACATATATTCAAACATTAAACATATATCACGATTGTCTTTATCCTTTTGTATGTTTGAATGTAATCTATTGTCTAAAACTCGACTAATTCAATGAATAATTGCGATGTGTTTTAGTTCATTGTTCTGGAGTTTTAAAAAACCAGAAAGATATTGGAACAGAGCTCTTTGCTGACATGCAGGATTATATTAATCAGAAAATACCATGGGGACAGGCTATGACTATAGAAGTTCTGCCATCAAATATTGATGCGTTTGGTAAGATTTTTATAAAGCTTTATTCAAACTTTATTTAAAGTTCATGCCCCTTCAAATCAAAAAGGTAAAGCATCTTATTCTGAACAAGTTTGAGAATGTCTTGTGAAAGAATAGTAATTATCAACTCTTATTCGCTTCAAAAAACTTTCTCTTGTATAAAGATACAAACTAAATAACGTGATGTACATCAAGGAACAAAGATGGGACCATTATTCACATTCACATAGTAGTTGATTTTATAATTTCAGGTCTCGCTCAACTCATGGTGGAAGCCGATAATAAATGTAACGTTCCGTGTTCGAAAAAATTATGGGATGGGTACGGTCGTTGGACTATTGCTAATCAATGGAAACCTTTCGTGGATGAGATCAATTTACCATCTTCTTCATCAGGTTTTCCAAATATTCATTTATCCTTTTCCGTTGTTTTAAAAACTTTTTTGTATAGCACAACGTGGCTGCAACGTTATAAAGTTGATTCTATATCTTTAATCCTATTAATCTTTTTATTATTCCTTCTATTAATCCTTCTATTAATTCTTCTGTTAATCCTTCTGTTATTTCAGAGAGGTGGCGAATGTTCGAAGGCCGACAAAGAAAAAAAACCTGGACTACATCGGAAAGCATAAAAAAGGACAGGGAATATTTTGGATATATGGCGACTCCTTGAGTTTCTATTTTTACGAATCATTTTCAACGACTAGAAGGCAGTTCTGTGAGACGAATTTCCAAATGTGCAATGTGTCTTACAACTGGATTTACCCTAAGACGTTGTACGAGTTGGTAAGCAGCGATGTTTGTTCAGTTTTACTGGATGTGTTGTTTTCGTAATGATATGGTAGGATCAAATTGTGTGCAAATATCTTTGTTTAGACAGAAACATGCAGTGAAACCAAACTAGAGGTCCCTAAGGTTCTCTATTATCTTCGTGAGGTCACAAACAAACCAAACATGGTGGATGAGAATTCTGCTTTGCTCTTCAATGCCGGGGCTCATTATGTCAAGGTAGAAATATACTGTTGTTGTTACATACGATACAATACTTCCAAATTCTTGTTAAATTTGAACACTATTATATCCTGGGATTATTTTGTAGACTGAGTTATACATTTTCATTATAAAATTTCAGACAGCCAGTTTTGCCCAATACAAAGAAGCAATCAGGGAAATTGCTGAAGTCCTAGCCAAGGAATTCAAAGGAAAAGCAATATGGAAGTCGACAGCAGCAATGCACGATCAAACGGCTACAGTCATGGGTTCATTTCGACGGTTTACCACGGATCAGGTATGGGATGCCTCTTGTGTACTTCAATAACCCCCTGTTTCCCAAAAGATCACCGGACCGTGGCATGTGCACTTGCATGTAAGGCGCAGACTACGTAGAGATCCTCATACAGCAGCTTTGTCCTGTAACAACGGAAAATAATACAAAAGATCTTTTTTGATCTCATCTCTTCTTTTTAAGCGTGTAAAACTGTTCAATGCCTACAGTAACGAAGTGATGTGCAAAGCTGGTGTTCCCTTTCTTGATATTTACCCAATTTCTGCTTCTTTTCCTGGTGGTACAAAGGATGGTATTCATTATGAAAGTGAAGCATTTTACCCGGTTGAAGAACTCCTTGTTAGTTATTTCAGTCACGGATAGACAGTATTTGCTTGTGGATCAATATCGTCGCTGTCAGTTAACTTTTTTTATTTCAGCGATTTTGTGTTCAAGTGGTAGAATCATTCAATCATCAATCATTTTTTGTTTACGAATTAGGATATAAACGTCTTTATATAAGCTGGGTACATATTAAGCTCTAGACCAGATAACATGCATCGATGAACATGTGCAATTCAAATTTATATCATTGGACGATATAGTATAGACTATCCCACCCACTTCTGATACACAGATATTATTGATTGCAAGAAACAATGCTTGTAATTTTTCTATAGGTTGTGTAAATATGACTTTCTAAATAGACCCTTCTGATAAAACATCTTCTTCAAACTTTATATGGCCATTTTGAATGTAGATGAGAAAAACCATGTTTCATCATAAAGAAAGTTAAAGCAATGCTATAGTCCTTGCTTCTCTACTTGACCTACCCCGTAAGGGAGCGTAATTACTTCCCTAATTTGGGAGTTTAGAGCGATTAAAAAGGCCAATTAATGTGATCAATAATTTACTGATTTCATTTATCAATCTCCTGCTCATGCGATCTCACGCTTCACTGGATGTTCAAGTTTCTAAATAACAAAACCTGCCTGCATTCTAAAACGAAATCAACATGTATATTGAACTTTTATTTTCAATTCTAGCATTTAGTTGTCTTAGGATGCATTCGTTGTTACTAAAGACTTACGCTCAGTATAGCGATATTTGGCAATTCAAACAGGATTGGTGTAGACAGAGAAAGGCTGCTTTTGATTGGCAAGCGATCCTGGAGCCTTGCAAGAACGATTTGGAATACAATAAAAAACCAAAATCGTTAATTTCAACGTAAGTCTTGATCGTGAAGTCTTCCTATTTTTGCAAAGGTTATTATTTTTGCCTCCATGTTTCTGGCTCAGCCACCAAGTCAACTGTAAACAGTAAACACAATCTTTTTATCACTGTGTGAATGTGTACAACGGTGTAAAGAGTGTATATACAGTACGTACTCACTTAACTGATCGTATTTGTCAACGTTTCTCGTCGTTTTTTGTAGAGAAGGAACATCTCCTAACAACAGCTTAGTTTTCGTCAGAGTGGCACCAGCCGGCCAGTTTACCCATATATGGATAGAATCACGAGACAAATTAGGCAACCCCAAGAAATATGGTGGGGACTCGTGGCGGGTAATGATCAGAAGTGAGGGGGCAACCCTGGCAGCTGATGTGTTTGATCACAATAATGGCAGTTACGAAGCTCTGGCGCTGATAATGGAACCTGGGTTGTATACTTTAGATGTGAGGTTGGACTACACATTGTGCGATGGATTTCGCAACCCCCCGGTTGAGTGGTTTAGAACATGTTAGTAGATAAATGACTGAGAATATTAATCATACTTCATTATATTTATACAATGATTATTTTCCTATACAGTTCACTGCTCAGGAGTTATCAAAGATCTCAAAGACGTTGCAGATCCAATTTTTGCCGACTTGCAAGACTATATCAATAAAAGAATAGAGAACGGACGGATTCTGGCTATAAACGTTCTTCCTTCAAATCTAAATGCTCTGGGTAAGATTTCTGTTAACAACTGGTGGTAGTTCAGCCAGTATCCAATATCAGAATTTATCGCAACCTAAAATAAACAACAGTGTTTTGCTTTTTACATATCGTATAATACATGTAAAGAATGAATTACATGGCTACGATTCAAACCGCTGTTATTTTGGGGGGTGTATTTATTCTACTCTATAAGAATTTTGCGTGATGTTCATCAAGGATCATTTACCGTGGGATTATAATTCACACACCCGCTAAACTTACAATTACAGGTCACGCTCAACTAATGCTACAGGCCGACAATGAATGTGATGTGCCGTGTAGCAAAAAATTATGGGATGGGTACGGTCGCTGGAGTTTTAAAAATAAATGGAAACCTTTCATGAACGAGATCAATTTCCCATCTTCTTCAGGTTTATAGACCTTTTAAATATTGATGCATGTCGCTTCCATCGACACATATATGAATATTCTCTAATCTTTCGGTGTTTCAGAGGAGTGGCGAATATTTGAGGGACGACGGAGGAACCTGGATTACATCAGAGGACATAAAAAAGGAAAAGGGATGTTTTGGGTATTTGGTGATTCTCTGAGCTATTACTTTTACGAATCGTTGTCAAAGAACCGACGAGAATTCTGTGAGACGGATTTCCAGATGTGCAATGTGTCGGCTAACTGGATTTACCCCAAGGACATGTACCTGCCGATTGAATCGGTACGATTGTTACGGGACATGACTTTGAGGTATTGAAATAAGTCTTTATGGAACCAAACAAGAACATGCAATTGTCAGGATGAATACATCACTGCCAGAATCATGTTATATACTCATTTCAATACCTTAAAGTCATCTCACGCCTCGTTGAATCTCGGCTTAGCGGGATCATGTAAAAATCATCTTCTGCATGTGAGATGATTACATTGTGTTGTGTTTTAGGATGTTTTAGCGGATAAATGCTATTGTTAACCACTTATGGTACAGGTCACTATATGATATCAATATCCATTCTGATGAATGACACCATTTTGCTAGATAAAGACTTGCAACGGTACAAAATTAGAGGTTCCCAAAATTCTCAATTTCCTTCGTGAAGTTACAAGGAAGCCAACGATGATGGACAAGAATTCTGTATTGCTCTATAACGCCGGGGCTCATTATGTCAAGGTAGCTCTGAATGTTAGCCAAGTTTACATTTACTAGATCAGTTTTAGGATGATAACCACTTTAAAACTCTAAAATAAAATAACCATTTCCTTTTTTTGACACCATTCGGTGGGAAAGGTTCATGCATTCATTTGACTGTGAGAATCCACTTCATGTATTTCAGTCAGTCAGTTTCGCGCAGTATAAAGAGGTGATCAGTGAATTAGCAAGAGTTTTAGGCGAGGAATTCAAAGGAAAAGCGATATGGAAGTCCACTACTGCGATGCACGATCAGACGATGTCTAAATATATTGGTTGTTTTCGACGCTTCACCACGCATCAGGTACGATAAAATGGTTGGGAAGGTTGGGAAAATCTTGAGTTGTAGAATATATCAGTCCTAAATCATCTCCCGGCCTTTTCTAGCGTATAAAACTGTTCAATGCGTACAGTAACGGGGCGATGTGCAAAGCTGGTGTCCCTTTTCTCGATATTTACCCAATCTCAGCGTCCTATCCTGGTGGAACGATAGACGGAGTTCACTACCACGAGTCAGTATTTTATCCTGTGGAAGAACTGTTGGTCAGCTATTTCAGTAAATAGTTGCTGATGATAGGAATTGTTCCGTGAATGTCAATGGTTGATGATGGTAGGCGTTGAAACTGGGAATGTCAACTGGGTAGCCGCTGTTCCGAACTATAATACCATCACATCAGTTCAAACATGTAATCCTCTTTTATTTACAATTACAAGGTTAGTAATATTATCTCAGTATACACACAGTATACACCGCTATTGAACACATACGTAGTAAGTAGTTCGTAAATGAGATCTCTATTTGTTTTGAATATACTATTCAAATAGCCTTCTTATAAATTGAATTTAAATTGATGTTAAAGCATGTAAACAACCAGCCTTTCGAAATACCTTTGTATGGGTGTATATGCACTATTAGACCAGAGTAAGTACCCTCCCCCCCCCTCTTTGGCACCAAAATCCCGCAACCCGTGAACTCCATGCGAGACCTAAGAAACTGTGAAGTCAGAACCGGAGCGAGGACACAGACGTCACGCTCGCAATGCGTGGATTTCACGCAGGACGCTTATATAATATAACTGATGGTTGAAATATAGGGCGCTTACATACAGTAAAATAAATTTGAAATTTACCTTTGCGAACCAATATAATAAGTGAATGTTTAATAACATTAAACTTTGTTTGAGAATATTAAATGCACATATTCTTTTCACTCTAGGAAAGGACATAGTGATTTTTATCATTTTTAACATACCACATAAAGTATTCCCACGCTAACAGATTATTTCACAATAACAAAAATATCCAAATTAAAATTCTTTAGGGTAATTATTTTATCAGTTGGATACAAGTTTCTTTTTAGGAATCAATGTTGGTTGTGATGATATTATGACTTATGTTCTATTATTTTCGATAAATACATCTTATAAATAACAAAATCTTTACAGAAATCATTCGCTTGATACTTTGAAGTGCACATGCAGGGGATAGTGGGTTGTGGTCAAACCACTCCAGTCAGCGCTGTTCTGCGAGAGTGATTCTATATATGATTGCTCTGTGGCTCTCTATACCGGCTGCCTTAAGTCACTACCAGTCTACCGCTATTTATAATTGTGAACGTAAAATATCATGATATTAATACAAATTGATTTCTGTACATTTTACGAACAGCTAACGATTTTTACTTTTTTGCTTAGTCAACAAAATCACAGCATGCAGCCAAATAGCTAACATTCACTGAGGTAAAAAATGCACTCAATAGTCAATACCACTGATAATATTTGAAAGACAAGGAAGTAATTTGCTTTAGCCTTTAGTGGCCTTAAAATTGTCTTGAAGTAAACATGTCTGTAATAGTGAATGGTATATTAAATTCAACGATCGGTTTATTATGCAGTAAACTACGAGACTATGCTGCAGAAAAACTTGATGACGGAGACCTTACGGATGCCGCCTGCAGGCAGATTATTGTTCGAGAAATCGATGATATTAAGTCGAAACTCGATGGTTTGTCCAGAAAGGATTTGCTTGCTAGTCTCAGCTTTTTCAAAGAAGGCGTTACCAGGTTGTATATTTCTTTCCAAACATCTGACCATTGCGACAACGCAAGTACTTCAAAAGAATGCATAGCCATAGAAGACGAAGGTGAGGTCCGTGGAGCGTCTGCGGTGACTAGCGTTGACCAGCTTTCAGATACAAAATGCGAAGCTTTAAAAACAGCATCTGAACTTTCTACACTCGTTAAGAACTTGAATATTGTATCACAGGAGCGCTACAAATTAGCCAAAAACTCTTTCAACGAAGCAAGAAGACTGGCAACGGAAGCATTCAACAACGTAGCGCTAACCACAGAAGATAGAATAATGGCAAGCAAACTTCGCATTGCCAGCAGAATTCTCGAAGGTTTAGGCGACACAGAGGCAGCACTTCAAGATTGCTTACTCTATTTGAAAGAGTTGCACGATTTATCAGCTGTACAATCCATGTTTTCTGTATGGATTGGTTCTGGAAAAGGGATTACATCACACTTACGTGCTCGTTTCAACAAAATAAAAAGGAATGATAACATAAAGTCGATACACTTAATTAACGCTGCTTTGGTTCGTCTTGCCATAACATTTGAAGTGCGAGGGGTATGCCCTTTTAACTGGCCTCAAATAAAGACTGGCAAAAGGTCTTATCATCCACTGTTTGAAAGCTGTGCACTAAGAAAAAAAATTAGCGATGATAATGTCCCTTGGTCCTGGGAAGTGAATAGTAATATAGGCAATGGGAAGAACTGTGCACTAACTAGTAAAGGAGAGTTACTCAAAATGACAACTAGTTGTATTGAAACCATAACAAATGATGGGCCCAAGATGTTTTTTACCGTTAACCCGGAAAACTATACTAAAGGCAGTGATACCGAAGTACAGAATTCCGAAAAAAGTGATGACGACTTTGTCCTGAAGCATATTTGCTGTTTCGCTGTTGATAAGAATGACAATGTGTATGTTGTTGTAAAAATCACTTCAGGCTATGAAAATGCTCCTATTCAATACAAATTATTGACCTTGAACGCAAATGGAAATGTAAAAGCGGACAGATTTCTTAAAGTGATCGATAATCCAATAAAGCTTGCCGTGATGAGGGTGACCAAAAATGGTAAATTGGTCATCTACGACAGCGTTGCCGGAATCATGTTTATCTGCGATGTTATAACGGCCAAATATGACTACAAATTTCCGCTGACATTTATAGATGAACTTCTTTATAACGCTAACAGGTTTAGCCTTAATGTCTCCAATAAAAATGAAATAATTATCGGTTTGATGACAACTAATGGTGAATTCTACATGTACATCGTTACAATTGATGGTAAGCTAACACGCCGAGTTCATGTGCATGTATCTGATTTAGAAATTTCCGCATATGTTTACGTTAATGTGATATTTAATCATGTCAACGAAACAATTCTCATCAGTGTTTATGCTGTCGACTGGATTGATTGTAGTGATGATGACGTTGATAACAATCGCCCTAGAAAATTTAAGATTAGGAAACTGATTCATTTTTTCAATAAAAAAAATGATTCTTCTGACAGTGATACTGACACTGATAGTGACGATGATTCTAGTAATGATATATTTCGCCAGACCCATCTCCTCGTGTACTCGAACAGTGGTGAGTTCCTCAACCAGTTTAAAATCCCGGGTGCATATACTTCAATGATATCACATGAAAAAGGTCCAATCTTTTTTATTGAACCTCAGGATGAAGTTTGTAAAGTATATATGCTTCAAGTTTAATGTATAAACACTTACATACATGCATACAATATGTAATTACCAATGTTTAGTTAGGATATGTTAAACTTGTGAACAAAAAGACCATAAGTCAACATGGTGCCATCTCGAATTATTATCTTTTTAGCAATCACAAATTCACAATATATATTATATACGTCTTCTATATTTCTTCATGTTTGGTAATATTCTAAAGCGTATACGATTATATGCACATGGCGTCAACTTCATTTTTTAGAATATACGCAGAAACTTTAAACATTCCGAATAAATTAAACTACTGAATAAAATCCAAGGTTGAAGTTGAGCCAGTGCGTGTATATCATCCAGGGGTCACGGTTGCCTTGGTTCCTTGCGTCGTCCCACTCGTCTCTTGATAAATCGTTAAATAAAATGTAAATCAGATTCTCAAAGTTTCGCATGTAATGTCCAATCAATAAGTTATGTGTACACTTCTAAAACGCATAACATTTGAGACTTAGAGCTTTGCTTTCATGTTTTTACTGGTGATATCGATACATGCTACAGTTTAAGTCAGTGGATGATGTTTGTATATACTGTTTATACACCAACCGACCAAAAAAAGGCTATATGCTTTCTTTAACCGATAAAACTTGAGGGTTTTATCAAACCCCCTAGATAAGATCTATAAATCAGATCATTTTTGGCACCATGCAATTCCGGCTCATTTATTTATACCATGCATGTATACCAAACTTGATATATCAACTTTGAAACAAGCGTTTAAATTAGAACTCAAATAAACCCCTAGCTAAATACACTTAAAGCCTTTTAGCTAATAAATATTAAGGCACGTTTCTGCACGTATAAACAACCACCTAACTTTCTAAATACCGTTGTATTTCTTTAACCGTTGTATTAAAATAGATATCTAATGAATTCTTAAGAAACTGTAAGCCAGAATTTAACTCAGAGTTTGACATAGCTTGGTATTTCTGCTTGAGATGAATGACGTATTCTCTTTCGTCCCATTTCATCTTTTTGCACACCGTATTACGTTCTCTATTTGTGGTGATCTCGAAAGGTGTTTTGCAAAAGCTTGCGAGTTTTTCATTGAAGCTCTCAAGTTCTTTGAGATCCGACAGGAAGTCAGACCCAAAGGAATTCACTGTTTGCCAGAATGTCTTGTTGAAATAACCGTAGATCTTTTGATCCAACTTGTTGTGTTCCACAATTGCATCCTTTTTGAAAGATAAAAAAGGTATATTAATACTTGCTATATGAATGCTATTTTCTATATCTTTCTATTTACCTCAGTCTGTATTCCACCAAAATTCATATTCTTTCTGGGAAAATGGACGAGATCCGCCAGGGACCAATTTAGGAGTTTTTTTAAAACAACCAGAGATTCGTCCAAGTAATCTCCTATCAAAACGATTTTGAATTGTGCTTTAAGTTCTTCTATTATTTCCTCTGTTGTTCGGTTTAGTTGCTCCTGCCTTTTTGAATAGCCAAATTCAGAGGCCATTGCTAAAAATCAGATAAACGTGCGTGTTAGTGCATTTGTCACACGAAATCCTCCAGCATCAAGATAAGTTATGGAATTTTCTGGCTGAATATGCTGTCGATTTAGGTGTTGCGTGTTTAAAAGGCAGAGTTGCAGAACTTGTTGCTAGTGAAGAAATAAATTTTCGATGGAAGTTCAGTACTAACAATTTGTGTATTCATCTCCAAAAACTTTCCTTCTTCGAACCAGTTTCTTAACAATCTTCAACCGTTTTTTAAGTTTATAATTTCCAAATAAGGGATGGCTAACCAATCTTGAAATTAAGGATTTAACAGGATCGTATAGAACAGCGATGAACACAGTGTCCTGTGAACAGAAAGAAGTATGTTGACCATTGAAATAAATATCTTCATTTGTGCACTGATTATTCTCTCAAATAGAAAATATAAATCTGGTTTCATACAGCACATTAAACCTAATTACCATTGGCATAAACCTTCTCAGCGTCTCGTATCGGTACGTGGGATTGATCAGCATATTAATTTGGCTAGAAAATGTCAAGCTGGTATCTACAAAACTCGGATGAAATCTCAAAGGCCGATATCCCTGAAAACTTGGTTTCTTTGGTAGAGCGAATGTGAGCTGATTCTGGTCACCGTATCTGTACATGATGTTCGTGATTGGACTGTTACTATGGTAACGCTCTTGTACAAGAACAATAGTGTCTTTGGGTTTGTCGCTAAGATCCATTGATCTGAAATTATAAAATAACATGTATATAACGCGTGTTCTGATTGGTCGAAGCCTGTGCTTGGATCAGGCCATCCCAAACACGGAAACTCTTATTCCAAAGGTTATCCTCCGCTAATATCATACCTTTTAGTTTCATTGAAGGCGATTTTTCCGTAGTGATCATAATCAATCGTCTCATCCCACTCGATGCTGTAAGGATTTTCTGTACCCGCGCTGCTGGACTCGTAATACGACTGGAGTGATGGAGTAGAAGTGACGTCACCGGGTGTATTAGTGACTGCCTTTTTAAGACGTGGGTCTTCAGTGTCCTCTATATGATCATTATCGACGTAGACAATCTTTATGTCGTTGCTAAAAGAGAAAAGGCAGTCCGAGTGTTCAGGCTTTTGCAGGCTACTCTACCCGAAGGCTGATTCCTTGGATCATCGATAGACATATGATGATAAGTGTCACCTTCCAGTGATAAGGTGATAGAGAAGTTATATTCTGATAAAGATATTGATAAAATCTTCTTCTTGATGTTTGTACGTAAAATGCTCAAAAACAATCGCACAAAAGGGTATAGAAATTAGGTCATGAAAAAGCTTTAAGATAACTTTGATCGCTCACTGATAATGCAGACGTTTCGTCAATGAAACGTCTAGTTTCTTAATTGCCCGTGAGAGAAACAAAAATGATGCCAAAATCAGGCAGACAGTTTAATTGACTTTTTTAGATCTGTTTGATTGATTTGACTCATTAAATATATAAAGAGCTTGAACAATTGATAAAGTTACTTTGTTTGTTCTATGTGAATTGATATTAACTTTTTTTACAAATTAGGAGGTGATAACTGATATAAAGGCAGGCATTATAATACGCGTGTTTTTGACACACTTTGTGTCCTTGTAAAAGACGAATGTGTCCTTGTAAATGGAAAAGTGTGTAGTTAAAAATCATGCCTCATGGACAAAAATGTCTAATATAATTTTAATTTGACTATTTAAAATAATTATTGTTTCTATTATAAAATTGACATTATTGAATATATTATATATTAAAAAAGGCTAGAGACTGACGGACCGTGCTTTGCATGGCTATGCTCTTTTTTATATGCTTGCGTTGTAATTTCACGTTGTAATTTCTAAGACTAAGTGATTATTGAACCTAAAGACAATGTGTGTCCTTGTAAAAATTCCGTATTATAATGCCTGTATAAAGGTATAAACTTACTCTTTTGACAACAATGTAACGAATTTCCTCTTTTCCTCGTCTACGTGTTCAGCGTCTAAACTACTAACCGTTCCCTCGAACCTCGAGCGAGTTTCGAACAGCCAACGATACACAATGAATCCTATCAGGCCACTTGTCGCCATAAATAACAAAATTTTACTAAACGTGCATTTCATGGCGGCCTAAAATCAACGTTCTGGCCGTATTTTGAAAAAGTCGACATTTCATATTCCATATTTGTCTGAATCAGTAGACGTTTACTATTTATTATAGTTTTGTGTCTATGACATGCATATTGTTTTTGCAAAAACGCACGTGTGTTCTTTGTTATGAAGAATAAATAATTAACAGTTTACCTACAAGAACCAGTCTTTGAGAAAATAAAGAATAAATTATTATTTTATTTCATTTTCGCAATTATTGTTTAAAATTCAATTATGGTCTGTACTAGAACAATGTTCATTATCCACAGTTGAGAGCGAAAATGAGTTTTTCAATAAGGTCTTTCATCTATGAGACTGTTGACGTTCTTGTTCTTAGGATTCTTGTCCGAGACTGAGCACAGTTTCCTGTTATTGCGGAACCTGTTGAGTAACGTTTCACTAATGTCGGTTTCCGGTTCGGCTGTAAAATAGAAGTCTTTATTTATTACATGACTGCTACGGATCCGAGTAATGAAAATTCTCTGGCGAAACCAACAATGGAACAAACAACATACCGTTTTTTCTTCCTCTGACCAACTTTGATGCCTTCTGATAAGATCTTTCTTCTCTAGTATCTTCTGAATGGAATCTTGACGTTTTATCATCTTGTGTTTTCTCTGTTGCGGCTATGAGAATACGGAATACACAACTTAATTCCTTCCTTTGTACTTTATAGAAACCGTTTTCACATTCTCACCTGTTTTGTTTTTGTGATATCGATCTTTCGCTGTGGTTCAACATCCTCTTCCAGCATATCTTCATTGCTACTTCTGCAACTTCGTTTTCGTCTTTCATTTCGTATCCTCTCCTTCTCGTTCAGCATATCAGGAGTCCAGCCAAGCTGGAATAATTTCTTCTCCAACATCTCGATGTCATTTCTCGCTTGTTCGATACAATGTTCTGCCTCGTGACGTGTTTCATGCACAGACGTGATCCACCTTAAAAGATTTTAATAAAAAATTATTCAGGATCAGAAATATTACTCGAATACTGATCCAAAATTTGATCTTATTTAAAGTCTAGTTCCACTTTCATCTGCCTTGTTTTCCATCCATCTATGTCGTGACGATTATTCAGCTACTTACTCATCCTTTCTCACTTCTTCTGCCACATTTTCTTTATCACTGTCTTCCAGTAACATCTCCATACTTGCTGCGCTATCTTTGATCTTTTTCTTTCCATGTGACTCATACCCACTCTCCTCATCCCATGTTCCCTCATTCCCGGCACAAAACTCTTCAATCACAATGATAGGACTTCTCCCGGGATTATAATCCCTACCTCCCGTTGCCAGCTTCTCTTTGGCTTTCTTTAACCAGATAGCAGACTTGAGCTTTGCTCCGCACGGGTCGATCTCTTTTTCCTTGTCAAAATTATTGATAGTATCGAGGTACGTAAACATACTGGGTTCGAATCGCCGGTACTGGTCTTCCACCGGGTTTTCCCTCCCTGGAATTCGTGTATTTACAATCTGTTTGACTTTGAATTTCTTATCATGCGTCACCCATCGATCGTCAAACACGCCCTTTTTCTCCTGGCCACGCGCGTGCGAGGTTGGCGTCGACCTGGGGCGGTCATCTCCACGTGCTTCCAGTTGACTGCCGTTCTTTTTCTTAATCCTCGTGAAAGAACATTGGTTTGAAGCAGGGTTACCATTGAGTGTCTGCGGGTTCCCATTTGGTACGGTCTTTGGTCTATTCCTGTCTTGTTTGCAAAGTAGTTCTTCAGCGGAGAATGCTTTAGAAGATATGCCTCTCCTAGCAACAGTTTTGCTTCTTTTGTGAACGAGGTTTGAGCTGGAGTTTTCATACTGCTTCCGCGTTTGTCTTTGCCCATTTCCTTTCAGTTCTGTCATGCTTATTTTCCCATCCACCTTGCAATAATTCTTACCTTTCCAATGTTTTAGTTCTGGCGCGGAATGCAAACCGTCTCTCTTTGAACTTGGCTTCAATCTATTTCCATGGTGCTGATTAGAAGATGAAAGCATATCTTCACTGTTGTCCTTTTGAATAGAGCCACGGGATCGTTTCATCAACATCACGGCTTTCAAGACAGATGTAGTGTTGTCCTTAACTGTGGATTCTCTCGACTGTGACGAAGATGCCCGGGATCTTCGCGAACTTAGATCCAAGTCATCAGATGGAGTACTGATCATGTCCTTACGTCGTTCTAGTCTAGTAAGATGAAAGGCAATTCAGGAGGGGAAGTGAAATCCTCGCAAAGCATGCACAGTTCAAAAAAAGATTGAACTAGTCCCAACATGCAAAACCGTGATTTGTTCTAACCTTAACGATATTCCGTGTTTGATTGCTGCGTCCAGTGCTGGTGGTATATTACTCTGAGGTACGATTCTGGAGGTTGCTTTCTGTTTTGTGACAAAAGCATCGCACACAGCATCTCGTTTATAACTTTGCCATTCATCACTTTCTCTTACTAAGCATTCTATTTCCTTATCAGTCGGAAATGACGGTCTGTTGGTGGCGAAAGCTCGTAGCAGACTTTCACTATTTTTTATCGTCCACCTGTTTAAATGAAAATTTAAATGGATTGGAATTCACTTGTTTTTGTTGTTTTTTTGATGTACCATCGATAACCTATCACTCATGATCTACAGACGTTTTATCTTTGGGCTAATGAGTAATGATTCAAAATCATAAGGACATTCCTTTATCAAGGAATCAATGACGTGTTTTCTACTTACTTGTTCAGTAAATAACATGTCACTGGTCCAACAGCACTCACCGAAAACCTGCTATTTTGGTCATCAAGGATGCAAGTAGCATCAAAATACGAGCCTATATCAATGTATGAAGATCATATATTTATAGTTTGTGACTTTGTGATAGCGTCAGTTCAAAAGCTGGTCAGCCATCCCTATAAATAGAGATTTCGATGCTTCTTCACAATCACAAAACTCATTAGACGTTACCTCTTTCGATGTATCCCATTTTAAAAAGCTCACTTCGGTTTTGTTCTGGAAGATATATTCGTCGATGATACACGCATCTCCCTGAAACGAAAAATTGAAAAAAATAGAATTCGCAGTCAATCCACTGACTATACACTACAATTTGCATTCACCGTTTGTACGAAATTAACAATATTATATTCTTGTTGATAATGCAAACGAGCAAAACAGATGACTCGTATTTACCTTTTGCTACGAAAAATGCATGTTCTTGCTTCTGTCCTTGATACAAGATCTGTTTTCCAGCAGGGGGAATTCCTGAAAAGAATGCGTTGTACGTTTCATTTTTTTAAAGTGTGGCTAAACACTGAAACGGAACTGTTTTCTGTACATTCACACAGCAAATTACAGAAATGAGCAGCACGACTCTACTGTAGCGCTGCGCGCCATACTTCATAATTAATTACTATCCGTACATTCAGCCTGAACTTGCATATATTTGAAATATTCTCCTACCTGTTTAGCCATTTGCAACACGAGCTTCGCCCTATCTTCTTCAGTAATCTTGCTAAGGAATGTTGTCTCATTTAAGAATTGCACTATTTCGTTCCGAAACAACCGTTGAGCCTCTTGTATCTTTTCGTGGAACACGGCTCTGTCGATTCGTAGAAACTCGCAATGCCCTATAGTATTCATTGACTCCGGGGAGGGTAAATCAAAATTTGGCCCATCAGCTGAGAGCTGTCCTATGTAATCGCCTGCAACATTTGTATAAGAAATCGTCCTCTCCTTATGTGGCAGACTCCAGCTATTATTCCTGACCGTGTAAAAAGCTTCTATCGACCCACTCAGGATATAATAGCAAGACATTTGAGCCTCGTTCTTCTTCTTTTCAATCCGTACGTCGCCTTCGTGTTTTTCATAGGTGACAGCATGACTCAAAGCCGTTTTGACAAATTCGAAATTTTTGTGGATCTCTCTTAACCCTGAGATGATCGAGCGAATTTCACGAAGATCGACTTCACTTCTGGGTTTGTTTGCACTCCGTTGCATTATGTCACTTGCTCTTTTTGATATTGTTATCCCAGCGTGGGCTTTGTATAACCTTTTGTTAAAAATTGGCTTCGACTGCATTGTCAAAAAACTCTGCAGTGTATGTCATATACAAACAATAAAGATGTGAGCTGTGTATGTCTATTCTTCAGTATGACTTTAAGATATCACGAAACGATATCCAAATATTGATGTGACAAACAAAGAGCTGTTTATTCTCTACAGGATGTCTTCTGTCTCGTAGAGAAGATTACGGATTTTTTTTCAATTCAAAATATGATTAACTACTGTTGCATCAAAGGAATATCATATGAAGCCAAGCGAAAAGGTATGCTTGCAATTGAACAACTCGCGTAATGTATTGTTACACTTCAATAAGGAAATATAATGATGTTGTTCTATGTTTCGAATATCAATTCACCTGTCCTCGACCAATCCTTCGTCTCTTAGTCGCTGTTTCAGTTGCTCACCAACCCATGTGAAGAATTCGATGTAATGAATTTGGACCTTGACGAGACGTGTGGATTTAGTACTTCAATTATTTAATATATCCCAAGCCGCTTGATGCAAGCATGCCACCGCTTTGAGCAAAGAGAAAATGGCCTCGACGCGAGCTAATGAAAGGTTGATTTAATTCCTTTAAAGTTACAGGTTTTCTATCACAACTTGCCTTTGAAAATCTTTTGTGTCAATCTTGTAATGCGATGATTTTTTGTCAGAATATATGCTGAATTCTGTCGTCAGCTAATCAAAATAGTGTTGTTTTAGTTGTCAAGCAACAGCAAAAGCAATTCCACTAGCAGGTGGCGCATTATTCAAATCATGTTCCAATTAGTGTAGGGGGAGTTTGAAATTTGCGGACGCAACCGTGACCATGTGCTTGCTGATTAGACGAACTGATCTTAGAATATTTCACTGGAGCTGTTCCAGGGGGAAATGCGTTACCTTTGTCTGACTTCCACACGAAGCTAATCTCGTTCTTGGTTTTCCTGAATACTTTCACTTTCTCGATAATGTCTATCAACTGCACCAGAATTTTTCCCGATTTTCATTTTTTGTCTACCACTGATCTCTTCATTTCATAATGTCTGTCATAAGCTCTCATACATCTCTTGTTATTACATCTCCCCGACATCTCAGCTATGATTCTTAATCATCTCTTCCTCAATGTTATCCAGACTACTCCCCAGCTGTAATATCCCATAATGTCTCTCACGATCTCATCAGGCCATATTATGTCCATGAACATCCGGTCATATCATTGCCAATCCCTCGATAAGCTTAAGGTACCAGCAATAAAACAATGAATACAATTAGGTTGAACAGGTAGTTGTTACTTATGCCATGAAACATTATTTACAAATTCCTTTCTCGATACATAAACACCTATATTCAAAATAGTTTCACTACACATTTCCTTTGTCCGATAACGAATGACAAAATTAATCCTTACTTCAATATTATCATCTATTTTAACGGTAATTAGCCAGAAGTCTTAGACTTAATATCCATACTTGCTCCAACGATTCCAAGAGGCCGTTACCAGACGTTTAAAAAAAATCGCGGAGGAATATATAAATAGTAAAGTGGATTCTCCTTCAGAAATTCGACGGTACAGCGTGAATCCTATCGAGAAATTTGCCTGCACTTTGAAGACAGGCCGTAATGAAGAGTTTGTTGGAACTTTTAGACCGAAACTAAAACACGACTCCGTGATATAACTGTACGTATCAAACATCTGAGCTTAATCTGCTGATGTTTATTGGATTTCCTAGGATCACTATCATCTCATTGATAAAAGGTTGACCCTTGTATGGCTTGGTATTTCAATGATTTTGCGAAAACGGGGTATAAGAGTCTGCATTATGGCAGCTCTAGTGGTAATTATCGTTTGTATCGTAAGTAAAATTTTCAATAAAAATACCCTGAAAGATGAGAGCGTGGATTTTAAGCTAAGCAAAAAGCGATCGATACAAAAAGATCTCACAAGTTTCGCCAAAGAAAATGACACAGAAATAGCGGTCAACAAAGATCTTCCAAAACGTCATGAACGGCCGAAGATGGAATTAAGTGGATCTGTAGATTTCCTGCGAAGAAACGAAGACACTTACAAGCGAAGGTACGACAGATGACCTTCTACCAAAGTCAATTATTTATTTCTATATACGTAGTATGTTTTTATATCGACTTCAAATTTCTATGCTATAATATTTTTAGTTGCAAGAAACATGAGGTTGTTGTCTTCATAAAAACTCATAAGACGGGAAGCAGCACAATCACAAACATCCTCAACCGTTTTGCCGACATGAACGACGTAAAAGTTGCGCTACCAATGGGCTACTTCCTCCGTTTTTACTGGCCTGCTCTATTTCACTGGTCAGCGGTTGATCTGTGGAGACTCGATGGCGACACGCCCAGCATCCTTAGCAACCATGCTCGATATAATCGTCCCACAATGCAACTGATCATGAGAAAGGGCGCGAAATACATCACAATCCTGCGAGATCCAGTCGACCAATACGAGTCTACATTTAATTATATGGGGTTTGAAAAATTTTTAGATTTGAAAGATTCGAAGAATCCGCTGGCAGATTTCTTGAAAAATCCAGTCCCAAAGTTGTACCAGCTGCGAGACAAACATCACGGAATTCCAGAGCCGATGCAACTGGTGAAGAATCCAATGTTTTTTGACCTAGGTAAGGCTATTTCTAACAGGCTATCCTACGAGGTTAAGGAAGGTCTGTCCACGAGTGTGGACTGTGCTGGTCCAGAAGACCTGTGATACAGGAGTAGAGAAATGAATTGAAGAGGTTGAGTAAGTTATGAGGCTTAGGCACCCAGGATTGAATTTTTGTCTTTACCCACACAGGCATGTACCCTCCTGCTTACAACAACATGACGCGAGTAAGGAACGAAATTAAGAAACTGGATCGCGATTTTGAACTGGTTTTGATCATGGAGTACTTTGATGAAAGCCTTCTGGTCCTAAAAAAGGCATTTTGCTGGACGATGAGCGATATTTTATACGTGAAGTTCAACCAAAGGCGTCATAAATCTGCCTACCACCGTGACGAGCAAGTGAAGAAAAATATTCGCTACTGGAACAAGGCTGATGTAATACTTTACGAACACTTCAACAGAACTTTATGGAAGAAAATTGCTGACTATGGACCGTCTTTTCGGAAAGACCTGGATAAATTTCGTCAAATGAATTCGAAAATGCAGGCGTCCTGTGTGGAAAAACGCCAGTTTACTGAAAACGCGTTCAATTCAAGCGGTGATATTTTGAGCTTTCGTTTAAATCCCGAAGTGCGGTCATATGACCGGTATTTTTGCATGAAAATGTTGCGTAATGAAGTAGATTATATCGACTATTTTCGCAACAAGTACAAGCCGCGAGGCTCTTATCAGACGTTACTGGAGAAAGAGGGCAAGAAGCGACCTTCAACGAGGGAGCTTATTGAAAGGCTACAAATTGCAGCGAATATCAAGTTTGCTGAGCCACCCCGTGCTGTTACGTCATAACAGCAAAGACTATAGGTGCTATACTAGTAAACAGTATGTCACTACTCGTCTTGCAATGTTGCAAATGATATAACGATTCCAGCACTACTTGCTGGGTCACTAAAACGGCCGCCATATTTTTTGGTTTGTTGGTCTTCATGACTTCATGAACAGTGGCGTAACTAGAACGGTAATTAGGCGGGTGGGGGAGTGTGATATTCATATATTCAGTTCTGCCCGACGGATTTCTTTTGTAGTTACGCCCCAGTTTATCAAGAAGGAGCGAAAACCGTAGAACTGGTGAAACCTCTGTCGGACCTCTGACGAGACCACGCCTTCACGTTTTCTTAGAGCTTCGCGTGCCTTCTAAAGCCGTGTCGTGCACCATAATTCATAAGATACACCTGAATAATTAAAATTTCTGTGCATTATTTTTAATTATAAGTTTGGGATGTTTTGCAAGCAATCAACAGGTATTGGTTAGAAATCCAATTTTCTCGTCAACACCCAAGCACTCACCGACGAAAAAATTGGGAGCTTTAGCTTTAACTACGATGAGATTCGTCATTCATTATGCAGAGCTGGTCATTGTCGTCGAGTTTTTGTGTTTGTCGGCCAATTTTGTAGTCAAACGCCGACAACTACGAGTTGCTTCAGACTGAGATGGCGTGAGCATACAGCGCACATTTTGGTTAAAAAATGACGAGTCTGATCGTATTCTGTCGTAGAATCTCGGCGGTGCATGCTATCGTTTGCATTTAAAAAACGCTTAAAGTTATAATAGTTTAAGTTTAGTAAGTTACCCCCTGCTCACGTGTATGTCACGCATCGCGCATGCATGGTATTGCAAACCGAAAGCTCAACACCTTATTTCCAGAAGAAGAACGGGAGAGAAATGTAACGGTCCTTTCGTTAAGGCGCGAACATAAGCCTGACACTAAAATTTCCGGCGAAAGTTATTTCCCCCGTTCATTAAAATCTCGATGATTCCTAAATGTGTACAATCATGGTCATTTCAAAACAACGAGGCGCTTCATGATTGGTGGAAATCACAAGGCCTCTAATCCATCATTAAAATAAACGATTTCTGTCCGCAGTGGGGCGCTTTTTTTATCAGGTTTCGACACGAATGTATTGTACACACTTATATCTGAAAACTTCATGACTTAAGCCGAGGTTTGAATTCGTCGGTTAAGTTTATTGTGTTGAGAAATACTAGTCAATCTATTCGGCAGAAAATCTCTAGGAGAGATTAAATTGCCGCATTTTGTTCAGAGGGGAAGTTTGTAAGCCGCTTCGCATCAGAGAATACGTAATTCGATCTATGCAAATTTCACATCTTCCGTACGCAAATTGCTGAGGGTGGGCGGGCACAACAGCGGAAAAATATTATTCTATTTTATCACCTCTCATCTGCCAAGCCCATCATATAAGACCAACATCTACACAAGAACAGTTCAATTCATTTTTGTACAAAAAATTTTGTTTTCGACATGAAGACTTTGGTGGTTTTAATCTTCGCTTTGGCGGTTAGCCGATTTGAGGCAAAACCAATGTTATTGGGAGACGAAACGAAAGGTTCGTAATGTATGACATTAAATTCGCTATTTTGAGTTATTCAGCATATGTTACCTTAAACGTTATTTTCTTGCGGTTTGTGAACTATTTTAGTCGCGCGTAGCCTAACCTAAACCCCTCGTAAAACTTATAATTTGTAATTCAAGTAAGAAAACGTCGATAAGCAATATATAAAGTAAGTTCATATACGTTATATTGAAAAAGCAAACATCGACTTAAATTTACTGAAGCGGAAACCGAGCCACAGTTGGGCACATTGGCACAATGAGACATCGAAAAGAAACCTTGCTATAAGGCTGAAATTTGTAGAGGAAAAGCGTGGATGATTTACCCTTGCCATATGACACCCGAGGCCGAGCGGATAAAGTTTAATTTGTGTTATTCAAGTTACATATGTCATCGAGTTTGGTCCATTTACACCTTTCGTATAGCGGTATAGCGCATTTCAATGAGATCTTAAGGCAAAGTGCTTAACAGTATAAATTATTAGGCTTTTGACATAATTTCACCGTATTTTAAACCTAAGTTATTTCGCTCAGTATCTGTAACATCGAGTAAAGATCAATTCTACACGATCACTGCTCCTGTGTGAAGTGAAAAGTTGATTTCACAATACTGACAGTGACCTCTGATGTGATCCCGTATAAATGTTCTGCATTAAACTCGCATATTATGGCAGTGGTGGCCACCGCAAATCAATAGACAAGAAGCTAAAAGGATGAAATAATTCTACGAGTTAACTCCTGCGGATATCCATTTTGCTCTAGCTGTTTGCCTGGACTAAACCCGAACAACTTCAGATTCTGTTTTCATAACAAAAACGCCAATTAAAGCAATTACGTTGATAGTTTATTTTTGAAATTTTATTATACCGCAGTTCAGCAGTTCTATATAGAGAAGTCTAGCTCGGTCTAGCATAGTTAACTCTCGTATTAGATGTCAGGCTTTCAAGGACCAAGGTGTATGAATAGTTATATAATTTTGTTGCATGCGTAGGGGTATTTTAAAAGTGTACTTGCATGGATTAAGACGCCTGTTCATAAACTTTGAAACGGTTGAAAGTCTTTTTTACATAAGCTTACAATCAAACATTAGAATTTTCAAAACGTAATGTTTTCATAATGTTTGGTCGTTTGGTAATTGTCAAAAACTCTTTTTTTGGCAGTTTAAAGTTTATATATGCCGACATACAGGAACTGAACATTGAAAAAGCTCTTTGGGGTGTCAAGTGCTGTATATGTAAATTATATCATATATACTTAATGGCGTAGCTTCGCATGCATATATTACGAATGCTAGGCCTAGAGTTCACAGTTATAAAATATAATCATAACGTATGCTGACCCAAACTATGAATCACATCTTCACTTTTTCGGCCAATGTTCTCTCGTTCAAGAAAATCCTTCAAGGAAGTTTTTCGACAACCGTACAAGTCCCTGAACAGGAGCTGAAAGTCTGAGGATTGTTCCCGTTGTATATTGTGCCATTATTTGACAGACATCTTTGTTTTAAATTTAATTTGTATTCAAATGAGTAAGACAGGACCAAATTTTCCATACGCTCTTCCTTTTTCAATTATTATTGCATATATATACTGAAAAATTGGCTTCGCCGTGCATTTAAGAATTTAATTGCAGGAGTTTAGTTTATATATATATGATATAATACATAAATAGCTTTTGTGAATTTTGTCCGCTCCGGCGGTATTTGAGATTTATCTAAACAAAATTTGGGAAGGGAGGGTAATACTTTTCGAATTCTTATTGCTACTGAACGCAGTACTAGTTACTGACCTCAATATGCAACTTCGCCAGTGTCTGGCCTGAGATAACCGATTGACAGGTGCAGACACCTAACGACTGACATTTGGCATTGCTCCGCAATGAGATCGATGCATATATAGTTATATAACTTCTCTTTTTTCTGTCGAAAGGGCAAGGAATTATTGATACATCACATGCATGTACGTGTTTTTATACTCGTAACTCACACCGGCCATGCACACGAATTTACAACAATATCATAAGAAAGCATTTGATATCAACCGAAAAATCTTATATATATTTTTATATATATAGATTTTTGATATATGAAAAGTCATTGACAATATAGCTGTACATGCATGCGGGGAGACGATGCCACCTAGCTTTTGTACATTGTGTTTATTCGCTATTCAAAATGCTTTTTATTATCATTATCATTGTGAAAAGTGCAAACATAAAGAATTTGCCTCTTCCCCCGATTCTATTTAGATTAACCGTCCGTAAAGATGTTATCCATGGCCATGCAGATGCGTGTGGGTTGAGAATTTATAAAATTTGTGCGTGGCCACATAAACAATGATTTACAACTGAATGAACTATATCTATACATCGACTGTTCGTTGATTCTTGAACATAGCTCAAGTCTTATGTTTAGAACTTCTACAACCTAGTTTATCATCTGTGACTGCATGTGTGCTGTTATTTACATAGATAACATATCAAGTTTAGTCAGAGAGTCAACACATTTATAGCTATACTAGTCTATACCTTTATACCGGGTCGTAGGAGACAAGTCCTTATTTCAAAATACGAACACAAATGTTACTTAATTGTTAATTGCCAAAATCCACAGTAACTTTTACCCTCGCATGCACTTAACGGAAGTTTTGATAATTTTTTCTCCCGAGAAGACAAAGACAAACCTCTTGCGATTTGCGTGTGGAATGCGTTGCATTAAAACAGAATAAAGTCGGTTTTACTCAACTCTAATACTGTGGTACTCTAATACTGAGACTATCACGAGAAACCAATCCTAGAAAACCTTTGCCAAAAAAAACCCGAAATCATTTTCTGCTGTTTTCTAGATTTTTTATACGATATCTTGAATTGATGTAAACCAGTAAAATATCTGGTTCTTTTTAACCATTATGTTTCAGTGTCATTTTAATTTTTGTTTGTTGAATAAGCTTATGAATTCACTTTGTCGGTGCAGAAACCTATCGACCCGACGGTCAATAATCCCGCTACCTCGATTAATCCTAACCATTATTTTTCAAAGTTTGTTTTTTCTATTCTCTTAATATGTCTGCTGACTAGTGTTTTATTGACTGGAGAAAAAGAAAGGTGTATTAAGAGCCAGATTTTCTTCAAGAAAGATAATATCTATTTGCCATTTTTCCCCGCAATTAGGAATATCATAAAAATATAGTGCGAGAGATCTTATCGGAGAGAATATTGGTAAATGAAAGGTTTTTTCCCGCAAGTTAAGGACAGTGTTGGGTACGAACGCTTTATCAAACCTCTTCTTCTTGATAAGATCACTGCAGGACACTTGTTTAGAGAATGTGTCTAGAGAGCCTCTAAAAATTATCTCGTAAGATCAGATTGATAAAACTTCTGTATGCCCTGGGTTTGCTGTGTGGCATGCATGCCAGTTGCTCATGTCTTCGTCGGAGAGCATGCAGAGTTAAATTTTAACACTTTGTCCTTCTATCTATTCCACCATTCCTACTATATATCCTATCGATTTTTTAGCTTCAAAAACATTTTAACTGTGACATTTTAACTTGCATGGAAATCTAGTTTCCTCTTTCCACCAACCTCGAGCCACGCTGTTCTTTCCCGCATGCTGTTAATCAGAATCCTCTAGATTAATTTGCGTATTGTCCTTCCTTCAGCTCGTAGCTAGCCGTCTTAATGTGCACTGTGCACTATATGCTAATCAGCTGAATAATTTATGACTCGTGACAAAAGACCTTTACCTTAGCGAGATTATAGAAACTATTTCACGAACTTTGAAAGGGGAATTCAGTTTATAGAACTAACTGGTACAGAGCTACATTAAGTGCAAAAACAGCCACTGTATAATTCAGTGAAGCTTCGAGCAACATGGTGTATTTGGATTTATTTTGAAGAGATTACTCTTTGTGTCCAATATAAGAGATTAAGCTCCTTATATTTCGCAGATGCGAACCACGATTGCGGGCAAGATGACGAGTGTACACTAAACAAATAGGCATGTTTATATCAAGCTTGCTTCAAGTGTACTGTGTACAGCTTTGCTATTTATAAAGCCCTCTGACTGAAAAGAAACCAAATAGGTAGAATAATAGTCTCCTATAGATACGAGATAATGGTGACTTTTTGTTTTCGTTCAAAAACAGATGTTTCACACATGTGTTTAGTTTTCGTTGTTGCTATATTAATTTGGGCGATTTATAAATATAGTTATTTTGAATATTTTCATACCGGATGACGTATTCAGTTGGGCGATAAAAATTAACATACAAAAACAGCGGATGTGTGAGAAAAACAAGGCTCGACCTAAGGAAAAATTCTGCAAATGGTGAAATTGCATAAAATACGGGCGAAGCGTTTTACCGGATATATTTTATTATAAATTGTGAACCTGATTCATCCGCCAGGATTTATGCCCTGAAGTACTTAAAACAATATAAGATCTGCACATAACATCGGTCTTTTTATTCGACAAAGAAAGGGCTTTGAGTAAAGCGATGCTAAAAAATACGTTCAAAACACGGGACGGAAGGAACTTCTCAGAAATGACGAACTAATATAAACTTGTGGCGGAGAGGTTAATTTCTTAAAATGTATGCTAGGATTGCTTTGATGAAGTGGATGTGCATGGAATGACACGTAGCCCGGATGAACATCAGAAAAAGCGTTTTATTAAACTGTCCTGATTCCATGAATTTATAAAAACCATTGTTAAGCGTGAAACATGAAAGCTTAATTGCCAAATTACTCCAAGCAAAAACATATTTCAAATCTTCTCTTTGTGCACGCTATATTTTTTGATATTACATTACTTCCATATTGCCACAAATTACGGTTCTCTTCACAGTTTTTAGTTTGAAATTGAAAATGAGTCGAATATGATAATCTTACCTTTAGTGTTGCGAAAGGCAATGTTTATCGACACAGCCTTTATGTGCTCTACAATAAATGTGTTCAATTCGTTTCACAGTTACAAATGATGAAAAAATGGAAAAACTGTACCGATTGTATCAAGACTACATGGACAGAAAGGGCCAGCCATTAGACAACGAAACGCCTGTTGAAACAACGCCAAATGATGAAACAGAGAAGGAACCCGAGACTGAGGCAAAGGACGTGGAAGAAGAGAAAGAAGCCTTCAGAGATGAAGAGGATGTGGATTCTTTGTTAGATGCTAAGAAAGGTTTGTTGACACATTTCTAAATGAATGAATGAAGTTTGAATGAACGAGTTGAGTGCGCAGCAAGAGTGAACTTTACAAAGATCACTCTCATTCGCACAATAACATAGGTACATTCACTACATTGTTCCAAAATAAAAATACGTTCATTTAAACAGGTGAAGTTGACGAAGATGAGAATGATGAAGATCAGGAGGGAAAGGATGAGATGAATGATGTAGGGTTAGATGATGATGATGAAGAAGATGATGATGATGATAAAGATGATGATGACGATAAAGATGATGATGAAGAAGATGATGATGATGATAAAGATGATAATGTAAAGCTAGATGATGAAGAAGATGATGTTGACGATAAAGATGATGATGACGATAAAGATGATGATAAAGGGTTAGATGATGAGGAAGATGATGTTGATGATAAAGATGATAATGAAGAGTTAGATGATGATGAAGAAGATGATGATGATGATAATGTAGGGCAAGATGATGAAGAAGACGATGATGATGATGATAATGAAGAAGAAAAAGAAGAAGAAGAAGATAATGATGATGATGAAGATGATGATGATGATGATGATAATCCTGATGCAAAAGAAGATGAACCAAAATTGGAAACAAACGAGGTACCAGAGAGTGAACCTCACATAAGACATATATTACTTGTATATTAGTCTTCCAAACAGTCTGGTAGTCAAGGCGTTTATGGTATTGTAGGACTAAACTACTGTCGTCGTATAGACCTGTGGTCACATTATTGTTATAAAGTTGACTGAGAACAAAAGTGTATATAAACTCTACTCTCCTCGCTGTTTAGTTGTGGATTCGAAATCGCACGAGTTCTTAATCCTGTGTATCAATATTATATGTGTTGCAGGATGAAGAGAAACTTGCAAATGATGAAATGGAAAAGGAATATGAAGAATATAGAAGAAAAATGGAAGAAATGAAAAATGATGAGGGACTTGATGAGGTGGAAGAAAAGCCAGATATTGAAGATGTATATAAAGATGATGAAGACGACGAAGATTTCAAAGATGAGGATGATGATGAAGAAGAGGATAATGAAGAGAAAGAAGACGACGAAAAAGATGAAGAGGAAGAATTGGTGAGCTTACTTTTACCTTCAAACACCGATCCCAATGCTTAAGTACTACCTCTGTTATCATAAACGACTTTGTTTATCTTCCTATTCTTTTGATCAGAAAGAATTAGAGAAGGATGAAGAATCGAACGAGGATGAAGAAAAGCCTGAGATCAAACCTGAGGAAATATCTGAGGATGAAGAATTAGATAACGAGACGGAACCAAAAGAGACCGTCGAAGATGACGAGGAGGATAAAGAAGAAGATTTTGAGCCAATGCCTGAGGAGGAGATGGATGAAGAGGGATACGATCGTAAGTTTTATTGCTGTTCCAAGTTTGTTGTTTCTAGCTTATTGCATTTGGCTGTTCCATAGCATGTATGTTGACTGTATGATGCCTTGATTGAATACTATTCGTGATACCTGTTTACAATTTCTCAAATTTTATTTCAGCTGATGTTAAAGATCTTTTTGAAGAAGAAAAGTGAATTTAGGTGAGCGCTTTTACAACAGCCTTGTGTGCCCCTCCCCCTATAATGTTGATTAATCTGTGATCAACTGTGCATGGAGTTGCAGGAAGGATTCCCTAACGGGAGAAAAGAATAGAGGTCCCTATGTCTACATCCCATTTTATACCATCTTATTGGTTGTGGGTTAGCGAAGGTGCTTTTGAGGCACGATTCCCTGACGAAACTTGACGGGATTTCCATATTTTATTGTAGAATTGGAAGACGTTCCAAAATACAGCATCTGCTATTTACTTCACGTATAATTCATATAGAATAATGTAGTCCTGTAGAAAACATATAGAGAACATTGTGTACTTTCATCTTCTGGTTATAATATAATTGTTCACACTTTTGTAAACATGGCCCTTTATTTTCTTTGCGAATATTTCTATACTTAAAAATAAGAATATTTATTTGAAGTATACGTACAGTCAACATATATTTGTTGTTAACATTTATCTATGTCCCCTCGCTTTTTTTTCATTCACCGCGAAATTGACTGGAACTGAGATGCAACTGATAAGTTTGATTAATTGCAACTGAAAATGCAATTAAAACGGGAAGCGAGACGGTTACGAAGTGGGACAATTTGACTGACTCAGTTAAGATTAATTCACCAGCAATGGAGGAAAGGAACTATTTCTTAACTGATGATAAATATAAAACACTTCCCCGTAATGGTATGTGATATGGAGGGTGTGTTAGATTCCTCTGGCTGGTGCAAGAGGAGGAAGTGTTTCTACTGTTCGAACCAACTAGTTCCAAAATATACTGCACCTTACAATGGGTCCCGAAATCGAAGCCTAAGCTTTTCACAAGAGAATAAACAAACTAAAAGCGATTATAATTAATGAAGACGATGGAAGACGATACAAAAGGGTATTTATTTATAATATAAATAAAATATTAATTACTAATTATCGCGGCTGGGCAAGATAAAAAAATAGAATAAAATTAATGTCGCGTTTAACGCTGGCTTAAATACAAAATCTTGCAGTATATATTTTGCGGAAAAGTTAGCTTAAAAAACAAGGCCTTTGTGAAAAACTCCTAATTTGGAAACCCTAACTACCAATTGTTCTCTCGTTACAGTTCGTTATGTATTTTTTCCATCATTTCCTTGTCCTTTTCTAATTCCCCGCGATAGTAATCATCTGGAAGAGAAATATTCCATCATCCTGTTCAGTATGATTATCACAATGGACGGTATAATTATCAACTTTTATCGACTCTCTAAGTCATTCGGCGGATGTCCTACACTAACACACTCTTATTAACGTATTTTGACAAACATTTCCCTTCACAACACATTTCATAATGTCTTTTATCACCAATCATTCTTAATCAGCTTCCTACAACTATCGTCGCCTTTTATTACCTTCCAACACCTTGTTCAGTCTCATCTAATTTCCTTATCTCTCGCGAACTCGTACCTAACCTCACAACCTAGAGACCATCACAACATAGGCAACACTCGACTGTCTCGACAATAAAAACATAAACATACTGGATGGATCATGATTGTATTTCTTCTCGAATTTGTTCAACACATCTTTCAAGGTTTGTGATACTTCTTCCTCAGTCACTACCCCGTTCTCATCTTTATCCATGTCGAAGAATAGCTCACGAGCGATATGCTCAGAACCACCTAAATTCTGAGAAATAGGAAAACTCGTTATAAGTATGAGATTATTCTCTATTCTAGTTAAAAACATTTTGTGCTATCATATTTCCAGAGATAACTACAGTCACCTGGTATGATTTGCTTAACATCTCATGACTAAACTTCCCGCTATTTTGAGCCAATGTTTTCTTAATCATTTGCCTGGCGAATAATAAAAACTTCAATGTTAAGATACCCCAGATGCTGGTGATAATGGCAGTGATAATTATAGTGATAATGATGACCAATGCACCGTGGCGTGGTAGGCACGTTGACGGTCCTGGTTGTTGTATAAATGGCAATGACATCTTAATGGTGATGATGGTGCTGATGGTTATGATGATGGTTGTACTAGTCAGGTATGAATGAAATCTGTGGATACCATAGCGTACCCTATTTCGTCTGGTGTGAACACGGCATGTTCGTATTCTTCAGAGTTGGCAGGATCACCTTCGATCAACATGGCCAGCGATTTCAGCATTTCTATCGACAGATTCCTGATAGAATCTGATGACATTGCACCGTTTGTAGATATCTTCAACTCTTCGTATATCTGTCGAAAGAGACTTTTTACTTAAGGAGATGCTTATATTCCATGTATGTAACCAAAACCAATAAAGCAGGGGACAGAAAGAGTGTTTGGTCACGAGAGAAAAGGATTATTTTTTACTGGCTTCTAATTACGATCGATTTTCTAATTACGCTGCAGCAAATGAGAGGGGGTGGAGACGGTGGACTCCTGGGTAAAAGTCTTTTCTCAATGCATGAAACTCATGACCATATATGCGCTCACCAGGGTTGCCACACTCCTTCTTTCATCTTCCTCCTCAAGTAAATCTGCCTTTTAGGAAATAGAATATGATTTATCATCAGCGCTGCTAATATCAATTTAAATATTTTACTGAAGCTAAACGCTTTAATTTGCAAAAAGAGAACATTGTACTTTCCTAATTTTTCCTGCAGTTATTGGTAAGAAATCCGATGTACCTTTGTGAACCATTCAAACAAAAAATCAGCACTGTCAAATTTTTTGTTTTTGTTTTCCAAATCAAGAACCATTTCTGCTAAGCCATCTCTATAAAAAAATTCGCTGGTAATCAGAGAGAGAGAGAGAGTATAATATTTCGATCCAAACAAAAATCGGGGGAACAATTTAGATATATTTTGCAAGGCAATGTGGACTAGATGGTAAATGATGGTAAATTCACATGAGGAATATGGTCAAGGTTATGGTGATGACATTAATTATACTAGTAATGAATATTATGCATGATGGTGATAGTAGATGGTAGGGGTCACAGCAATATGGTAGCCTCTTGTATGATAAGTGTGTTGTGGAAATCAAGATGATGGTATAACCTTAAGTCAAATGGATCACTATTTCCAAGTGTCTGTGGTCCATGACCAGGGTATGTCCAGATCATGTTAGCATTGGAAAGAGGGATTGATGTATATTCTGTCCTATTACAACCAGTGGCACTGAATTCTTTCAATCTTGAGAATAACACTGAGACAGCCATGTTCTTGGTACCATATGATCTTACTTGATGCCAGTACCCTGTTAGTAAGTTATTATGTACAGTGTTGAGTTATCAGCTGCCAACAAACAAACAAACAAACAAACAAATGTTGATGTACTTACCAGCACATCCAGAGAGGACACATACTATGTTAAAGAAGAATACAGAAGGCAAGGATTCTTACCATAAGGCAAAAATAAACAGTCTCCAGCAGTGAGGTTTGCATACTGCCAGGGAACATGTTTGAAATCAGAATACTTTATGAGATTGACATTATCCACATCCAAGGTGGCAAATCCACCATAACCTTTATCACCTTGGGCGATAGGAATCTAAAAATACCTGGCAGTTAATTCGACTCAATTTTTACAAGCAAGAAGCAAGAAGCTATTCAAAAGGTGACCTAGTACTACTACATTTGATAGAGATGCATGGCATATGATTAAGGATTAAATCAGGAATATATCAAGGAATAGAGATTAGCTGGCTGGGTCTGGGGTTATACTTTATCTTCATGTTTTGGATGGATCAGAATCCAATCTTTAGTCCCATTCAGTAAACAGTTAATAGCATTATCTGCATCACGATGCAACAAGCTGGATGTACCACCGCTGCTCAGCCAGAGATTGGCCTCCATAATCCTCTTGGAAAACGTCCCACAAGACAAACACGACAGAAGGTTGACATCGCGTGCCATTGGATCAGGTAACTGCGAGACAACATACGAATCCTTGCTCTTGTAATCATTCAAATAACTTCTAATGGTATCGCGACCAAGGCCTTTTTCCCCAATCGGAATTTTATTTTTCTCCTTTTTCGATTCTAACTTCACTTCGAGGTTTCCATAATGACGAATTAAGAATTCATCTGTCCAAAGCTCAAACGCTGGAAAGTTCTTTGCAGCGTCTTTGAAAACAACTGGCGTTCCCTTGCTTGCATATTTTTCCCAAAATTGACCGGGATTGGGAATTTCGTATAGCTGTTCAACATGGCCATCGCTAAGTTTATGTTTTCCCAATTCTCTTCCGTGCCCTAAAGGCAAATCCAGATGGATATCTTCCGCGGAAATTCTTGAAATACACAGTACATATATCCATAAAGTATTCATCGTTTGATAAATGTTTTTTGTTTTTTTCCCAGCTTGTAAGTTCGAAGTTTTACCATTTCAATCACAGATCAGTGATTTCAATGCATTGTCCCTTTAAATTTTTTGTTTACATCCTGTTGATTTTAGGTACGAACAGGTGCCTGCAGGCTATTTCATACCGGGATCTATGCCGAGCAAATGTTTCAAATAAAATGGGCTTCGCTGAGATCACATACAACCGAACTTCCGTGAATTATAGGTTAAAGCATGAACAACCCTTTAGACCTTTGTGAAAGAGATAATGTGTTTCTATTCCTTTACAGTTACCTTTCATTTACCAATATAGCCTTTGGATCAATTGTATTTTCATTAAATAAAGTATTCGCATAATCTGCTGGCTCAATTTAAAGCTCTAAAATTTTTTTCAAAATGTCTGCCACATGTGCTGGAATTTTACGCGAAACATTTCCCCAAATCGACGAGGAAATGTTCAGTTATATAAACGGTAAGACTGATTTTATTTCCTCTTATTATGTAGCACTTTTGAATTAAATGTCCTCGTTAGAATACATTTGTCGCTGGGATAATTAGTGACATTCTATGTTTTGAAGGTTTTTGTGACACGTAATAGAATTTCCTAGATTCATATTTATAGAGTTCCTCAATCCTTATAAGATACATATTGTCGTTTATGTTGTGCGTGTCAATTTCCTATGTTTTTTAAGATACTATTTACTTGTCTAAATATTAATTTTGTTAGTCGTTATTAAAATAGTATTTGCCCATTGATAACATTTCCAGGAATTTTGGAATCAAGCAGCGATGATTTTGTCGATGCGTCGGATGTGTTTGATGCTGTGGGTGATCTATTCCTGGAAATCTCAGAAAGTGAACCAAATGTCATCCAAGAACTTTGTGAGCAGTTGATCGGAGTTTTGAAAATGTGGGTTATCGTTTTACCCTAATTTAATTGATATGTATGCACTATGTACAAGTTATATGTATGTAATTTTTGTTCAATTTAGAAATTCCCAGAATAGTACAAGTGAACCTACAAAGCTTCATACTCCGGTTCAGTTAAAGGACATTGTAGAAAACAATGGTAAGTTCAGTTATTAATTGAAGAATTATATTATCATACAAGTACTCTGTATATAAGTCATTGAAATGTGTTAAGTTAAATTGTGTTGTAAATCTGCAAAGTTCATCACCTTATCATTTAATTTATAGATGAAACTGTGGAAGAGAATGCTAGTATTTGGCTTATAAAGAAAGATGAATTGAGGGAGGTAATTATGAATTAGTTGATGATGAATTTGCAAGAGAATTAACAAAAGTGTGATGTACATATAAAACACTTTCTTATTGATTGTCTGATTCATATTCTTCAATTAAGACAGTGGATTCAAAGAAGCTTGAAAAAGCTGAGGCAAAGATTAAAGCAAAACAAGATAAAAGAATATTGAAAGAAAACTCAACTGGTCCACCTCAAACAAGAAGGTACTATATATGTACATTAAATGCAGTACAATTGAAATGGCTCAACACATACAAAGATCTATTAAAAATGATGATATAAAAGCATATACTAAAATTGACTGTTCTTTGTACCCAGTTTAACAGACAATGCATCAGTGAGTCACACAACAAACAGACGAGATGTGCATTTGGAAAAAGTTGGTTATTCTCAAGATATCCATCTGGAGAATATTGATCTAGCATTTGGAGAAAGGTAAACATCTTCATTTTGATCAAACAATATAACAGTCATTATTAGATATCTCAATTTGATACTTGCATTATTTGAACATTAATATTTTGATACTAATAGAGTGTTATTAACTGGGGCCAACTTGATGTTAAATTTTGGACATCGCTATGGTTTGATAGGTCGAAATGGAGTTGGAAAGACCACATTGCTGCGCTCGTTATCAAGGTACGCTCTGAGTCTAGATCTTTGTAATTTCCTAAAAATTCACAACCAAAATATCACAATATTTATAAATCACAAATATATATAATTATAGCAATATTTTATAGTGGTTTTGAGGCTGCATGTGAGTGAGGCTTGATCTTGCTTGAGAGATAGCAAAGTTGCCAATTTGCCCCTGACCCTCCCCACCCCTGCATGGCACTTATATCATTTTTGTGATGCAGGAGGGAGGTACATGTCTCATCTCAATTGTCAATACTTCATGTTGAACAAGAGGTATGTTTCTCTGCATGTTTGTGTAGATGCATGGCTGCATTACCAAACATTATCAAGTGTCCCAATTGTGTCATATTCTGCAGGTTGTGGGAGATGAGACACCAGCTCTGGAAAGTGTCTTAGAATGTGATGTAAGGAGGACCAATTTAATCAAAGAGGAAAAATCTCTTACAGCAAAACTTCAGTTGGACAGGTGAGAAAGGAGTCATGAGAAAGCCAGAAGCGGATCCAGACTGATGCGACCATGGTTGAGTATACCGTTTTTCGGCGCATTTAACAATGGCCGAGTATACTGTTTTCCAGCCATATTTGACCATGGTTCAAAATATCAGTTAGCGAAAATGCCGGATTCGCCCCTGGAGAAAGCAGATGGTCATTGAATATTCAGTACATCATATAGTTAAATACTTGATAAATTTTAGAAAGTGTAAAATGATATATTCCATGTGTATTCTATTCACCCTATCTAGCCATTCACAAGATAATACAAGTCATGAAAGCCGTCTGGCTGAGGTACGAAGAATAAGACACGTGCAGAAAAATTCCGTGTTCTCTGTCTAGGTCTGACACAAAGAACAAATAACGGGAATCATGTTCACATACAATTAATTATTGTCCTTGTCCCATTGAAGGTTAACACAGCTCTGAACACTTTCTTGTTGGGTGTTGTGTAGGACATAATTCTAGTGATATGCACCTACATGCAATGTAATGTAATGTATATTCTAGGTCTATGCAGAAATGGAGGAAATTGAAGCAGACAAAGCCCCTGCAAGGTGGGTTTTGCTAAAGTTTGCCCTTAACAATGCACTCAATTATAAGTGTAAGATAGCTACCTTGCATGTCTATAGTTTGATGACTTTGTCAAGTGTTATCGTATTTTTTTAATTGGTTACATCCAGAGCATCAGTGATTCTAGCTGGCCTTGGTTTTTCACCCAAAATGCAAGGACAGCACACACGGTACGATTAAAAAGTATTATTTTAGATCATATGTACAATGCAGTTGTGATTGCAAAATCCTTGTGCTGATGTGTTTAGGGAATTCTCTGGTGGATGGCGAATGAGACTAGCCTTGGCAAGAGCTTTGTTTTCAAAGTAAGTTAATGCACAATTACATGACGATTCCCGGTTAATCCTGGTTAGTGGAGAGGGTATAGTGGGTGTATCTGTAGTGACCGATCTGCTTCCCCGCACGAAAACTGTCATAAAAACGACTGTTTCAGTATATTTTCTTACTTTTTAGGCCTGATTTGTTACTCCTTGACGGTATGTCATCAATTCGCAGTATTTTGCATTTTTCATCTTTCGTTATATCCACGTGCTTACACTGCCTAGCACGTAAAATACAATTTTATCGCAACCTTCACTACTTCACACGCTTGGCCGCGTGAAAGAACTTTCTGGGTCGCTTGAAAGAAAGCGCTGTAGACTACGGATTGCACTATATAGCGTCGTCGTTTCCTCATATGAATATTTGCACTCGCTTTAGAACCTACAAACATGTTGGATTTGAACGCAATTATTTGGTTGGAAAATTATTTACAGGTTAGTCAGCGCAATCATGCATCTTAATGCCCTCCACGACCAATGTCTCTGCATTCCGCGCTCGATTTAAGCTCTATCCTATAATTTCAGAAATGGCCGTCAACTCTATTGGTTGTTTCTCACGATAGAAATTTCCTGGATTCCGTGTGCTCTGACATCATTCATATGCATTCCAGCAAATTGGACAGCTACAAAGGAAATTATGAGGTGAAAATAAAGAATATGCCGCGCGGAAAGTGTTACTTGATGATTTAATTGATCTGAAATGTTGTTTTCACAGACGTTTTTCAAAACGAAAACAGAAAAATTGAAGAATCAGCAGCGAGAGTACGAAGCCCAACAACAGTACAGAGAACATTTACAGGTATGCATGAGCGATGGTGTAATACGGAAGCTACTGTAGGATTGTGAATTTCTTTTGGTGTAAGAACTTGTGGAGAAAGCATTGATGATTGAAGTTCACAAGGCTGTATTGTGTATCTGTTTCAGGCATTTATCAATAGGTTTCGTTACAACGCCAACAGAGCTGCACTGGTTCAGAGCAAAATCAAAATATTGGAAAAACTGTAAGCTCATGTTTACTGATATAAATACAGGCTGGTTGAGGAATCCAATTTTGAAGGCTAATAAATTTTCTGTACAAAATTATTTCAGTCCAAAGCTAAACGCGGTTGAGAAGGAAACAGAAGTTGTTCTAAGGTATACTTGAATCTAATGTTTGTAGGAATAATACAATAATTTAAGCGAATGAATCATTGACGGTACTGCATCTAGCTTCCCCTGATGTATTCGTAATTTTTTCATTATGGTATATATTGATGTGAGTTATTTATTTCTCCATGTTTTCCTGTTTAATGTATAGTTTCGTTCATTTTGCTTGCATTCATATTTATGTGCGAAACTCTCTGCAGGTTTCCTGATTGTGAAGATCTGTCGCCACCCATCCTTCAGCTTGACGAGGTAAGTGGGGCAAAACAATTAAAAATCTCCTTTTGAAACATGTTTTTTATAAATATGATAATGCATATTACCATTTTCCAGATTTCGTTTCACTACACGAAAGATAGAGTTATATTTGAGAAAGTCTGTATGTCGGCGACCATGCAATCTAGAATAGCAGTGGTACGTAACTATCCTCTTAGTTATTTTAGCCGCAGGGAACTCGAGGCCCTGTCATGTGCAAGACGATGCATTTTTCGTATATTCTAGGTGGGAGAAAACGGTGCTGGTAAAACAACGTTGTTAAAAATTCTGCTTGGAGAACTGGAACCAGTAACGGGACTTCGACATGTTCACAGGTGAATGAATGCGCGTCGCTTTTACAAAATTCTCTCAAAATTTGTAAATCCCACCATCAAAATTATCACCGTCATCATCATTCGTACTTTGGTACTTTATATTTTCAGGAACTTGAAAATGGGTTATTTTAGCCAACATCATGTCGACCAACTAAGCATGAATACGAATTCAGTTCAGTTATTACAGTCGAGGTTCCCAGGTATAAATATATATCATAAAAAGATTTAGGGAAGGAGGGGTGGTGGCAATGTCTGTAGGAAGAATCACGAACACAAAGTGATAGAAACCCCTAGGTTGCTTTCCCTTCCCCCTTCCCCCTCTCCGTGGCATGGATTAACTTCAATCGCCCTATAACCATGATTTTATTATTTGAAATGGATTTTAAGCAACTTCTGTGTAACGCGTAAGAATTGCTTTATTTTGATAAGATAGGCGACTGCGCCTCACTTGATCGCCATTTTCATACCTACAATTGCTCGAACGGCGTTCTATTTCAGGTAAACAAGAAGAAGAGTATCGCAGACAACTTGGATCCTTTGGTGTTTCTGGTGAACTAGCATTACGACCTATTGACAGTCTGTCTGGTGGACAAAAAAGTCGTGTCGCATTTGCTATCCTTGGCATGTTAAGGTATAAATTTGAATATCAGCTGGTTGTGATAAAATCTTGTGTTTCGTGCGAACAGCTGCAATCGAGCGATTTATAACATGATCTCTATTGCACGTAATATACATAATTGCTGTATCTTGTGAAATATACCTTATGATTCTTATCTCATTCTGGTACCTACCTCAGGGCAACACACTGCATTTTTCCACAAATGAACGTCTTTTTTGTATGTATATTTCATGTTAGACCGAACTTTCTTATACTCGACGAACCCACAAATCACTTGGATATGGAAACGATTGAAGCCTTAGGGAAATCATTGTTGAAATTCCAGGTAGGTTGCAGTTCTTCATGCAGAAGATGAGATGAATCATTTGTGGAACGTAGGCTAAAATTCCACTGCCCATTTCTCCCAAGCAAACGTCGTGATTCAATATCGTTTGGTAAATGCATGTCTTTGGGGATATTAAATGTGAGGGGAGCGGTTTAGTAATTTTTGAGACCGGTTTTGAAAAGCTCGACGGCGTTGTATACCTGCATGACCATGTCAAGCAATAACTAGAATTTCGCCTGTTAGACAGATTATATGTATATTGTAAGGTTCACTTTGTGCGAATATTGTAGCTATAGCTAGAAAGTGATGCTATAGTTTATAACCTTCTTCTATGCATACGAGGTAATTTAGTGTCGAATTGCTTCTACCAATATAGGGTGGTGTGATATTGGTATCCCACGACGAAAGACTGGTACGAACTGTTTGCAATGAGATTTGGATCTGTGGTCAGAAAAATATACGTTCAATAGAAGGTGGCTTCTCAGAATATAGGCGAATTTTAGAGGATGAATTCAAAAGATTATGAAATTAGATAAGTACATAACAAATTTCAAGAATATTATATCAATTCGCTCCCACTGGTGACACAGCCATTTTTAATTTAATAATTCCAGCAATTGAACATTTGAATGTTTAATTCCTGCTACGGTTTTTTCAGTAACAAATCCGGATCAATATAATTTGGCGGTGCTTCTCATATAATGGAGGTTTTAAAAGATGATTTGACCAAGAAGATTTCTTGGACAAATATCTTAATCTGCCGCATGCATGCATGTGATTGAGTGGGTGCAACTGCAACACACACTGCAAAAAGATTCCTCATGTAAAGCGAACTATTAAAACACATCGCATGAAAGCGCATTGAGTGATGAAGATTTTGACGATAAATTTTTGCCAAATACTACGGAATTTATAAGCCCTTGTTTGTTTTCGACGCAACGCTCGTTTGTCAAAATTTCTTTTAAAATCCCATCCGTCTTTCTAAATAGAAAAGCCAGGGCTTATCAGTTATCCAAATACAACATGCTGTTTGACGTATGCCGGCCTACGTGTTTGCATTTGACTCAAAACTTCAAAATCGCCCTATTTATATTTTGCATTTCAAAGGAGGCGTGCGTTCTGTGAACGCAATCTCTGTGACTGAGTTCAAAACAGCTTGATAATGCTGTTCTCAGAGCACAATTAGGTTTTAATTTCAGCAAGTTGCCTAGAACAGGATAGATAAATTAACATACACCGAATGAATCTCATTTTTATACCTTGTTGATTCAAATATAATTGCCATGGAATGCTGGCATAACATGACCGCTCAATTCTATCCGGATTTTCTCTGAATTTAACCATTTTGAGAGGTATAGTTCACATCTGTGTAGGACAATAGAGGTTAATATTTAGCCTACAGTTTTGGCCATCTTGTCAATTACCGGTCCATTCATTTGCACCGCAACCGAACAGCCTCACCGTCGCACAATTATTGCATCAGATGAGATGGAACTGCCGGTGATCTTTCATGACTTGTATTTACCTAAATAGGTATAAATAGAAGGGGTTTTTCTTACATTTGACCGATGATACCTGATGGTTTTCGTCCATCAAAATGAAGAAAAAAACAGCTTTAGTTGGCCAATATATTTTGCCCCCATGTTTTGAGATGCACGCGCAAACAAGTGAAAAACTATAAACATTCGACGTTGAGAATATTGATATTCATATAGTTTTAGCGTATAATTAGCATGTCATATTTCAGTTTCATTGGCTTACCACGCGGGTTCGACTCAAACAGAATAATTTAGGGCCTGAACCGTCGTTTTGACAACCAAGATATTATTAATTTTTTTGTGCCTTAACACTTTAACATAAATCAAGTTCAGATGTAGGGATGTCTTTCAAGAAGATTTCTCTTCGATGTCGTATATGTTTCGATGTTTTTGTGAACAAGAATATACTAGTTCAATGTAATCTCGTTTGAATTTTGTGCCGTGCGGCGTGTGTTTTCGACGGGTTCAGCAGTAACATCGACGCGGTTGCTAACTTGCTCATTGTGATTGTGTGATGCTAAATTGAAATGGGGACAGCCTGTTCAGTTGATGCAAAAAACACCTCGACTCGCATGAAAGATGAAAATGGACGAACAAAGGAAGACCTCAACAGGCCGAAAAGCATTTCAAGTTCAATTGTTTATAATACGCTGTGAGTAATATTGCATGCGTAGGAATATCTATAATATATATCTTAGTGTGTACATTGTTTTATTTGACATCGCTGAGAGCTTTCTTAATGCGTCGTAAGGCAGAGATTATCCAAGAAATTTTAGATCGTGACTGGGTAACTCGGCCAAGGAATTTATGGTCAACTGAGCATTTTGCGAGATATTAAGTATCAGACAGTTAGAGCAATGACATGGCGACCGATCGCAACAAAGATATAAATAATTACAAGATGAATTATTAATCTAATGCCACGAACGATTGTGAGACCCTTGCATTGCACCGAGCATGCGTAGGTTTCAGTCATGGTGTCATATACAGCCATCATTTCACCGCTGTTCCATTGAGTTCACTCCCTAAAGTTAAAGTTGAGACTTTTCATCCTACGCGTTTTGGAAATATGTAAGGGAATGAAACAGTGATTATTACACACGAGTTATTTCACCCAGATCATGGTACATATTCTTCACTGCAGTCTAGAGTTTATCGACCTTATTACTGTGATCGCGTGTTAAACATTGATCGTGCATGTAAACTGAGTTTACAAAATTTAGATTGCGGGATTTGATTGTGCATATTGTTGATATCTGATTACAATTTCACATTGAAACACAGCTGTTGTTAAAATGTATAATTATATTCACGAGAGCGGTAGTATAGTGATTTACATTTTCCTGAAATTTTTCGTGCGATTTTCTTTTCTTCATCCATGCGAACTAGCAAATTGTTATCAATGCTCTTGTTGAAAAAGTGCTTTTATCAGAACTTCCGAACATCCATAACCGTCCAATCAGCAATTTACTTGTATTATAGCAGGGAAAATTCACAGCAGGAATTGCAGGTGCAAATGAGTGGCCATCAGGCTGCAGCATAATAGCTAAATAAGCTAATATCGTGCCCTGTGTACATAGAAGCTCTTTGATATTTAAACTTATATATTTATATCCTATTGATATCCTATTATATCTTATTGATATCCTATTGATCTCCTCAGGTGGAATCCATTCCGAATCACGAGAGACGAAGCAGAAAATCTTCTTCAAGGTTCTTACGCTGGGGCTTTCATTTTTTCCTACAGCATCACGTCCGAGATATTTTTATCCATGAGGTATGGCACAAGGGTACACCACTCTTGTAATTATTTCATATTGGCGATCTGCACTAGTGCCCGGCACTCATGAAGTAAGGTTCAATACCGTTCCTGTAAGGCTCAATCAATCCATCTCGTCTATCTTTTCATTTCATTTTAGCACGGGCAAGTATGTCTGTCATCACCCTGTACTGAAGCAGTCCCAAAGTTACGTAATCGGGGGCAGAGAGTTCAAAAATATTGATGAAGCTGTTTCTTTTTACCGAACGAGTCCTTTAGGAGAGGCGATACTCACAGAACAGGTAATACAGGTTAAGGTTTATACATAGAAGTAGGGGGACATTTTGTCCAAAATTTCGTATTGTGCTAAGAAGATGCTGATGAAAAGATAAAAGGGGAATTGAGACGAAATGAGTTTTTTTTGTATATTTACTCTTTGTATCTTTTATTCCATTTTTAGTTTCACTCAGGCCAGCAGGCACAGAATAAGACACAGACGAGCAATACGGCACTGAACAGTCCTCCTGCAAAACCACATAGAACTAACGGTAAGCGTGTGACCTTTAATTTACCTCATTCGAAATCGAGCACCGTTTCTGGGCCAGCTAGTGTTGATAACACTGGTTCCCCTGGTATGATCACGAGTAATACTGGATCGACAGGGTTAAGTATGGATAGTACCGTAGGGAAGATTACAGACGCGGAGATGGAACAGGAAATGATAAAGAAAATTTTGAGTAAATCAAGGAAGTCGATATGTAGGATTCAGCCAGTAGACTCGCTTTCCACCTCATCTGGAAACATGTTCGAAGAAGAGGAGTTAAAATGTATCAAAGATAAATGAATTTTGCTGGACAAAATGATTCGTCCTTTGAAGGAAGCAATTAAGGAACGAAATATCAAACCTGAGCTACGCACAAAAGGTTACCTGGGTTAAAAAAGAAAACAAATGAAAAGAATGCTTTGTTGTCCATGGAAAACAGCTAAAGTCTACAAACGACGTTATCGTCTTGTTATATGTTCAAAGAAAGAGAGAAATTTGACTGAGTTTGAATCATTGAACGATGGAATTTGAGAAAAAGGAATGGCCTAAGAAGACGTGATGCTGTATATATATTTTAAAATGAGAAAGGTTTCACTGAAAAAATGTTTTTACACGAGGAAATTGTGGTAACACTGCTGGAACAAAGGAGAGCTTTATTTGTTATAGCGTAAGAAACAGAATACTCGTCTATAAATGTGTAAATATATATAAATAAACTTAAATCCTCCTGTAAATAAATATAAATAAACTAAAATTTTATCTAGAGATGGAATAAAAATTGCCATGTACGCATGCTTGTTTAAAATGTAGCAACTGGGTACCCAGAACACAGAGGAAGAATATATCTTTAGTTTAGTTGTGCCCAGATCTTAGAAATAACAGTATGCAGTATGTACTTTAGTTTACTGTATGCATTTTTTTTGTTTCCTTTGTTTCAAAGTCAGCTTTATTTGGGCAGCTCAGGAAATACGTGGAGCTGGCAAAATACAAAGAAGCCTTAGCTTCTGATAAGGTTATAAGAGCCATGCTAATAGGTGTAATAGACTGATAATATTTAACCAACTTTGACGTCATCTCCGGACCTGTCGTGGGTAGTTTGTTTGCCAACTTGCATATGGCTGTAATAACTTATTCGTCAAAAAAAGGTATAAATTAAAATAAACTGATCAAGACAATTTTACATCGAACATGGATGAAGACAATTCATCTCAACCGAGATATTTAGCTGCAATATGGCTTGTTTTGGGGCTATATATCTTTCTTACAAACCTATTTTCAAGTTACGTGTTGTGGCTGACTAAAGGTACTCGAGAGAAAGCCGAGTTGGGACGTCATATACACTCGCTCTGGAATCAAATTTGTACGAACATCGCTTTTTCTTTGGTCGGTTTGAGCCTGTTTCTAACCGCGGCAATACTATTAGCAAGTAACAGTTTTTCTGATAGATTGTGTGGTTTTATCACTTTTGTGCATGCATTTAGTTTCAATTTTGCTGCATTTGGAATTCTTGTCCAACTAATCGACAAAGCTTACAACTTTCTTAAGCCTTTTGAATATAGATTTTATTGTAGAGTTGAAAGCAGAGTTCCTCTAGCTATTTTTGTTTGCAGTACATTATATGCTATTTTCATTGCTGTTTTACCCTTGACAACATTGGGTACATACTACCAACTAAAATACACCAGTATATGTATGATGAAATGGGAACACAAGCGGGCACCTCTGGTCACAGTGTGTTTCAGTCTTATCCTACAAGTGACAACAATTGCTTTTATCATCTTTGACGTACAGCAAGTGTGGAAACTCTATAGAAGCAGAAGACGGTTAAAGGTGCCATTCATTCGACATAAAGAAACACAGATCTTTATGTTAGTTCTTACAAGTCTATTTTCAATTTGCTGGTGCCCATATATTGTAAGTATTAAAGCAATTCAAGTTATTAGTTTCAAGTTGCACTTGTTTTCCACAGCAGTTTATTGGGGGGTTTGGTTGATCACAAATGAATTGCCCAAGGCTACCAATATATCTTTGAGATCCTATTTTCCAATAAAATGTGTTTTTCATTAATATTAATGAAAATCAATCTCTTATTTAGATTGCAATGCTGGTATCTGTGATACCTTCAGGTGGGCATCCAGGTGAAGTGGGGATCGCTGTGTTATTTGGGATCACATTGGTACCCCTGTTGGTATCCCCTGTGCTTACATACTTTCTTCATGGTCACTATCAAGAGGAATGCAAGAAGTTATTGGGTGATCTAAACAAGTACTTCATTTACTTCATGTCCAAGAAGAACCCTAGCACAACAGGCATGTTTTTTCTAATATTAGATTTTCTCTAAAACTCCGATTTGACATTTTAACAATGATAGGTTTGTAAGGATAGAGTAAGAGGAACTAGAGGGTTCCATCTTAAATTGGGATTTACAATGTCTTTGTTATTGTTTATTTTTTTATTTATTTATTGTGCTTCGCTAGTTCGCTTCAAACATCATACATTAATTGCATTAAGGCGAATAATGCATAAAAATAAGGAAGCTAGGAAACCCCAACAGCTTAATGCCAATCACAGTGGGCCCTTTGCAAAATATTAATGTAAATATTGAAAGCAGAAATAAGGTCATTTGAGATATGTTTACCTGGATCCGCCATGTACGACCCGCAGTCTGGCGCATGTAATGAAGTGTGTATCATGTGTAGGCATGCCTCAATTCCATGTAATGTATATAACTATTGTTACCTAGGTTGAACTTTGGAACAATCTCTGGTCTACTCAAGTGGAGATCACTATTGGCATTGTTGTTAAATGGTATGGAGACAGTGAACACTAAACATCATATTATAGACCTAAAATATGAAGATATTCAAATGAAACATATTCTAGTTATTATATCTTCAGTAGCATTCATTAGCAACTTCAAAAGTTGTTCTTATATGAACTATATGATTATATAATTATTCCCAGTGTAGTTATCCACATTGTGCCATGTTCATCCAACATACTGTTTGGGTGATTCCCCGCCGTGTGTGCGACACCCTGTGTGTTTAATGTACACGCGCCTTGAGAATTGCTTCTTACATATTATCATATGTATTTGACAATTATACACGCAAGGTGAATGCTTTATATGTAAAAACCTTGCTTTTAAACAAAGTTGCTTTTCTTGGTTATTGTCACTCATCGTGATTATTAGAAAGACGTCAAAAACGATCTGAAAATAGCCTGGGATAGCCCATCAAGCTCATCACGTCATTTTTCACGTTGATCCTCTCCGTTGACGTCTCCGACCCTCCCCAGCCGAATCCTTCCTTTCGTTCATTCATTCAAAGAGACATCCTTTTCAGTTTTGAATCAACTGAGTTTTGATGGTGGACTGGTAGACGGTGCTAGTAGTTGTTTGTTTCTTGTCTGCGTTTGCTCGTACAGCAAAAAGGGATACAAAGCGTAGAGATAATACAAAGAGATAAACATTTGGACAAATTCAAATAGGACAATCGACAAATATTAGTAATAAAATCATCGCTCTCAGCACAAAGGCGAACAGTCAAGAACATTGATTAATTATTTCGAGAATTATTAAGCATTTATCCGGAAGCGATTGATATATCCTCTTCTGTTTTGCGACATGAAGCATTCTGTCTTGTGTTTAACAAAGTGAGCGTGAAAATCCTCGCTGATCTTTTTACTCATTTCAAATCGTCCCGGAACAATCCAGAAAAGACAGCATTAGATCTTTTGTGGCCTGTGATCTCACCATCTCGGTCCAAAGGGTAGCGAACTGGATGTATCAAATTACAACATTGAACATCAAAGACAAAGAATAGCGTTGCGACGTTGCCGCTGGCGACATAGCCGTATCTCTAATGACTGTCGCTTGGGATGAGGTTTTTCCGCGGTAGGGAACTATATCTGATTTATTTTTGATAATCTCAGCCATAATGCTGTGTGTGCTAAGTGCATGTTAGACGCTGTTTCTTACCCAATGAAGAAATTTTGCGCACAGATTCCGTTATAAACAAACCCGGCGTGAATGCGCGCATGCTGTGTTAATTATAACATGTTGGTATAAGCCGTAGACGAGCAGATTACGGCAACATCTTTTACGTGAACTATATGAGAAGCAATAAATCTTTTGCCACACTCTGAACATCGCGTTATTTTGAGATATTGACCACAACACGCGCTCTGTGTTATCGACTGGCAGTTGGATTTCATTCAAATTGGTTTCGAGCAGATTTTCCTTCAGTCGCAGAGCTGTATATTTCACGACCGAGCGCGTCTAGTCTCGTTTGATAAACTGATAAGTTCAATTTGTTTCTGACAACAAGGGTCAAACAGCACACCGGCGTATTTCGCGTTGCAGCAATTTTGGCCGAACAGCAAGATGAATAAATTTGGGAAAAGTCTCGCCGTGTTCAATTGGGCCTCCCAAAAGGCTGAAAAAGATCTTGTCAACACGATAACCAAAGAAAAGTTACAGGATTGCTATGAAATTCGGGAAGAAATAGGCAGAGGTTTGTATAATCATCTTTCTTAAACCTTATTTACAATGGTTCGTTTTACATTTAGTATGTCGTAAACTGTGGTTATATTGTAGAGAGTGGCGTAATTTATGAAGTAACCGACATTTAACCTCTAAAAACGCGGGAACGTTCAAAAGGTTAACGGCAAAACGGTTTTGACCAGTAGACCCTTGATAGAAACTTACCCCGGATTTCCAGTATCGCATTTTGTAGACAGACGTATAGTGGAAAGTTTCAATGGCAGAGTTGTAAAGCATTTGAAATTTGCATTAATCTGTTTTTGTTAAAGGCATTTATTAGTCGTTTAAACTTTACCGAATCGAAGAGAATCAGCGATTCAGCCGTAATTTCAATACTATACTTTACAAATAGATCAAGTTTTGAAATCTTAGCTGTTTGTGCACCTTCGATCTGGCTCCACATTATTACCACTGCGATGTTCCTTATCAGAGCCGCACACACGACACATCCACAAGATGTCTCCTGACTAAGCATTTCTAAGACTCTGATGCAACAATATAATTCAATTAATGTTATCTGGCGCAACAAGAGTGGTATAAATCTTTCCTATGCTATTTCATCACAGCATGTAGCAGTCTCAATGAGAATCATAAAAGATTGGAGGTGTTTCGGTTCCAAAATACCAAAAAATATATTCAGGGTTGTTTAAAACTTAGACCCATGCATGGTGTTCGACAGTGACTCAAAAGAACCGGCAGTATTTACTGTGTTGCTAATTTGGTTGAACTTAAAAAAACATTGCTAATTAATGGCACTATCGCCTCTGTTAATTGGAATACTTACTGGGGATTAAAACACTGAGCCGGGTTTTCTATCATTGTCGTCGACATTTTTATTATTAGCATTGTGGTTTATCGCCTTACCTTCCTGTGATATTTCATCTTTTTGAAGTCTTTATATTTTTGGTTGATCAATGATCATAAGACGTCAGTCTGGTTGTATACGTTGTGTGGCTTGCTATTGTCCCAAGATTTTTCATAAAGTGGATGGTTTAATTTGATTTTTTTGTAGGAGCATTTGGAACGGTGAAAAAGTGCGAGAAAAAAAAAGATAAGACGGTGTTTGCAATCAAGGTGATCCTGTATAAAGATCCCAAACTGTTGAAAGATATTGAACGGGAGGTGTCGATGATGAGACGACTGGAACACGAGCATCTCGTCACCCTCTACGAGTCCTACGAAAGCGCGGGAAGTTTCGCTTTGGTCATGGACTACATAGCTGGCGGTGAACTCTTTGAAAGAATTGTTGAAAAGGAATATTTGGAGGAACAGGAGGCCGTCGAGTATCTACGTCAGTTAATCCAAGGCCTGCAACACATGCACAGCAGGAATATTGTTCATCTGGATATCAAACCAGAGAATATTTTATGTGTTGATAATGTCTCAAATCGTATCAAATTGATCGACTTTGGTTTGGCAAGAGAGCTTAAACCTGGTGAAATCACGCGATGTGCGTTGGGAACACCTGATTTTATCGCCCCAGAAGCGCTTTCCTTCAACGAAATCAAACCTGAGACGGACATGTGGAGCACCGGCGTTCTCACCTACGTTTTGCTCAGCGGTTTAATGCCGTTTGGCGGAGAGAATGATCATGAAACGTTGTGTAATATATCCAACGTGGATTGGGAATTTGATGAGGATTCGTTCGAAGAGATTTCGTCAAATGCCCGAGATTTCATCGAGAAACTTCTAACTCTTAATCCGGATGATCGACTGAGCTCGACCGACGCCATCCAACATCCGTGGATGAGAGAGAGCGAACGAGGCGGGAAAATAAACACGAAACGGCATCGTACTTTTCTGGCTCGAAGAAGATGGAAGAAATCTGTCCACGTTATCATGGCTGTAACGAAACTTTGTCGAATGTTACAACTTTCGACGAGCGGAAAGTCCGAGAGTGGTGTAAATAGTCCCATTGACAAATCATCTTCGCCGAGTGGGTCAGGTAACTGTAACTTCATCCCGAAGCCTAAAAATGCACTTGATCATCAACCTGAGACAGATGCCAACTTAAACCCTAAACCTTCTGAAATGACTAGCTGTAATCTTCAGGAAAGCTTCACGAAAATGAACAGTTTAGCAAATGATAGCGACGGTACAAGAACTGAAGGAAAAACTGTGTCTTTCACTGAAGCAGTTGTTAACGATTCTTCGGAAGAAAACGAAGATGAAAGCGCAGAAGTTGCAGTGAAAAGTCCTGCTGTTACTAAAACTTTGAACAAGGGTCAGAATGATACGAGAACAGCAGACAGTAAGTTGGTAAGAAATGTTGCATTTGCCACTTCAAACGGAGGCGGGGAGAAGAAGATGTGGAAGATACTGAAGTAGATGAACTCTCATTGATCATTCATCGTTTTGAGGAATTTTTGATCATTTCAAAATGTAAAAGGGAATGAGACTAGTTGCAGAATGGAAATCCGTTTTTCAAGTAGAACAACTTAACAACTTTTCACGACCCTTTTCATTCGCCGTATTTCACATGTGTCGAAATCATTAAAGACAAGAGAAAATAAGGCGTCCCATCTCGTTATCCATTGTCTTTAATGTACTCAGCACATGTGGTATACAACGTTTGACACCGGGTTCCGAATTTATGTGAAGCGTACAGTTCCCACAGTTAAACATACCGGTAAAATACGAAATTTCAACTGCCTGGTTGGATAGAGAATGATGAGGCCGAAATGTGATGGATTTCTATTTGGTCGCTAGTCTCAGATTCGTTCCTCACGTTCAGCCAGCACGATCACAATTAGTTGCACATGTTTGTTATTCTGACGAATAAAGCGCTGATACCATATTTTGTTTACTTTACGCCAAGGTCTTCTCTTGTAATGGGGCAAAATCCGACGATAATATTTAAAGTACGGCTAGTCGTATCGGGTGGTGATTTGGCCATCAATGAACGGTAAACAGATATGATCAGTGTTTGTAAATCACTTTCTTACTATATTTATATAAATATATCGTATGGAAATCGGAATTTTTTTCCAAAATCTATGAATAAATATATTCTATTATTGAATCGGTTTATTCGTTTTACCTTTGATCTAAAGCGGTGATTTCTGGAGTGAGGGGAGGACAGGGGGGAGAGGAATGAGGTAGAGACAGGGGGGGATAAGAAAGAGAAGGAGAGAGAAAAGGGGAGGGAGAACGAGAGTGGGAAGACTAGGAAGGGAAAGAAAGAAGAAGAGCGAACGGAAAGAAAGCAGTGGCCAAGTCGCAACCCCTCTCTATATTTACCATCCCCATGCATAGCAATACCAGTTGGACCATTTCCTAGCAATCAAAAACACGCGAAAAGCGACTTGCAAAGTTGTATTAAATTATTTCGGACAAACGTAAAACTATAAACTTTCTTTGACAGTTCAGTTTTCGTTGTACAAAATTCGTAAAAGTGCTTCAAGGTTGCCAATGATTTCCCCCGTTGTCTCCCGGATATTTTCCAAAGTTACAGGAGATGGCGCCTTGTCCTCCAGCAATGCTTTAAACTTTTCAACTCTCGTGATGCATTTCTGAAAACCTGGTATCTTTTCGCTCGAAGCCTCCTCGAGAGTACGCGAGAACTCTCCTTTGGGACCCATGGCAATTTTCACATTTGTGGATAACTCTTTGAGCTTACGAACGTTGGGCACCCCCTGACCGTGCCTTGGAATTTTTACGAACTCGCTTTCCCAGTTTTCGAAGGTGATTTTGAAATATTCGCAGAGTTCTTTCTGCTTGTATCTGTCGTCGGTGAGGGAATCAAGTTGCTGAAGTTTAACGAGGATGTTCTCCTTCTCAGAAGCGATTTGCTGTAGGGATTTTGGAGGGTTTTGTACTGTTTCCGATGTAGCTGAGTCACCATTCATTGTTCGATGTTTTGGATCTTTTATTCTGTCCTGTTCCATGAGAAAGGTATAATTTTAGTGGCAGGATCAATCCCGTCAACCTTTTTATTACCAATCACCAATGTCGAATATACCATATACCAGTATATTCGACTCACACTAATTTTTTTTATTTACGAAGGTGAAATATACTGCCCATGCAGTATATGGTATATTTGACCTTCCCTAAGTTTTTTTATTACCAAGGTCGAAGATTGCACCAAAAAAAAACGCCCTTTCCCCCCGAGTTAACGTTTAGTTGTACAACAATGTATGCTCACTACTATACACTACCATTCACAGATGTATGTGCAGGATGCAAGGAGACATTCCTCAAACGCTTCTTTTAGATCTCTTGAGCAAGCTGAAGGAAGATCGCCCGTTTTGAATGAACGTGAATGGAATCCCTTGAAAAAGACCTCAGGTACCAATTTGTTATCCTATTTTTCATCTTGCATGCGTCTAATATTTCGCCACATAAATTCCTAGCTGTTCCAATCACATGAATGAACACAACAACACATCATCCCAAGCTTGCATGCTGCATGGAATCGCTTGTAAAAGGTTTACTGACTTACCGTAATCAATAGAACAGAATATATCTTGAAACAACTAATATTATAATAAAACAATCGATAGTTATAAGCGAAAATAATGCACAGGATCTAGTGCACAGTTTCTTCGGATGAAAGATTTCTAAACGGTTTTTTTCACATCAGTTCCTTGACGCGTCTTTTCTCCTTAATGAGATTTGCGAAGTTTTGTCTTGTGCGGGGCGAAAACAGCTGGTGCTCATTATTAAATAACTATTCATTTCAGAAAGCTATATCGCTTTGCAAACGCTAATATTTATTGAGGAAACATGAATAAAAAATGAGCCCGGAAAATTAAAGCAAAAAAATTATAGCAAAAAAAATTCGCTGCTAAATCTCGTCTTTGTCATTCGCGCTTTAGAACTCTTGAAACGAAATTTTTTGAAATGAAATGAAATATAGCTCTTTTTTAATTCGAAATGCTGTATGGGCTGAGACACTTCACAAAGCAGTGCTGTAGTTTTTCACGGCGTTCCTAATTATTTCTCGGATGATATTTAAATACCTCGGTAAATGAGTTTAATATTTTAACGACCACAGTGAGTGTTTAGGTGTCTTTTCAAACCTTTGCATGCATATAAATCAAGAAATACTGGCCTTCCTTTGGCTAAGGTTTCTTGGGGTTGTAATCCTTATCCAAAAAGTGATGCATGCATGGTGAATGACTTTCACAGGTTGGATTTTTGGTGTCCCGTTGTAGTAACAGTTAGGAATGAAATGTCTTCTTATACTTGTTATCTATGACAAAGATCTAGAATTCCCTTTACTACTGTACTATATCTATCCACAATCTCGTTCTCGTGGCAAAAGAATGCATGCACAAGTTAACGTGAACAAAATAGGCTCATGGTAGTTCACAAAAAATGTATTAAACATAAACATTTGACATCAATCTTCAAAAATATACATCCAGAACTGTCCCAGTTAACCCCAATATCGTTCCCAAAACATGATGCATATCCTCAACAAACCCAGGCTTGTACGTCACTTCATCATGGTCTATCTTAGTCACGAGCTTTCTAAGTTCTTCCAACCTCTCGCAAACGAGGGAAACTCCTGGGACATCTTCAGCATAAACGTGCTTCACTTGGATGTAGAAATCTCCATCTCTGTCTCCCAGCGTTGAGAGGATCATCTTGCAAAGATCTTTAATGCACCACAAGTATGGAACTTGCTGGTTATTGCGGTCCACCTTCTGAAAGAAAACGTTTCGGATCCTTTCAAATTTAATTTTTTATAGTGATTCATATCACAGCAGATATTTTGTGTACATGCATGTATATGTCTTTGCGCACGCCTTAAATTCTCGTGTTCAAATTCTGGCTGAATGATCATGCATATGAGAAAGATATTTCGCCGGAATTATATGTGACTCTGCACCCAAACTTCAAAGATTTTCGAGCCCAAACACTCAACATGCCTCACTCTTTCAGTCTTTCTCTCCGTTAAAGCATGCAGGCACACACGGGAACTTTTGGCTCAGCTGACGACCCTAATATTTAGTCAACTCAGCCCTATAAGACCTTCCGCTTTCGAGAGCTCGTGAAAACTTGCCTGGCGATGTGAATTCTCACAAAAGCCATCCGGCATACTCGAGATGTCAGGATTGCCGTGAGGTGGCCGTTGCGAGGAGGGCAACTCGTAACGAGTTGCTTTCGTTTGCAGCAGGTTTAATAATTGTAACTTGTCCTGGACAAGTTGTCCATCATAGGCTTTACTTTCGATGGTGATGGCAAGTGCACTACAGAGGTTTCTTGCTATAATTTTGTCTAAAATTAATCACCTCATATTTGCGCCTGGCGCTTACCACTTATCTGTGTGTGGACACACAAAGCTTGAGATTAATGTCTCACTGTTTTAAATAGAACCTAAAAAAATAGATAAGCAAGGAGCTACCTTACCTTTTGCAAATGTGTCAACCAGTTTCTGAACGTTTTATTAATTCTCAACATCGCATCTCTCTGCTTTTCCAAAAAGCTTTGGCGATCATTTACACTTTTCTTCTCATTTTCTAGATCTTTCTTCCTCGCAACGACTTCAGATAATGACATATGATTGAGAAGATCCAGCGATGATGCTTCAACGATGTTAGTCGATGTCATTTCGTAAGTGTTTAACGTATTTTATCGGCTACTTTTTTGACCTGGGCTTTATTTCGGATTTAGCGACGCTATTTCAATATATATTATATATATGCTTGATTCTGTATACAGTTAATACATGCAAAAACTGTCCTCATTGATGATTTTAAAATTTATGGCCTTTGTAAGATGCGCAGGTGCAAAAAACGCGTCGTTAAAACATACCAGATTTTGTGGCTTAGATTGAATGGGCTAAAAAGTCGCATTGAGAAATTGGGGCTTTAATACAAATAATGATAGATTCTAGAGTTTGCTGCTTGGAATATACTTTAATTCTGGAAAGAAAATCTGGCTGAACTAGTTGCACCTTCATTCCTCACCATATATAGGCGGGTCACGAATACGTCATTTATACATATGTGGGTAATCCCAGGATTTGTGGTGGTCGAAAGACATCAAGGGGCAGGCTGTACAATGCTGGATAGCGTTACCCAACCACCGGCTAGCGATTTTTAACCGTCTAACAAGCAATTGTGCATACAGAAATGGAGTCCAACTTTCAGTAAAAAATAGTGTTTATTTCGAACGCCAAGACTATATCCAAATGCAGTAACTTTATGCACCTTTCGAATAACTGGCCCCTGGTGTATAATCGTTTATACATGCAATGACACGAAACTGAAACGAAACCATGGGCAATTTTCGGGCGATTGAAAACACCCCACCATCCAGTAGATAGATAGCGCGCTATCGTACAACTGGCCTCAGAAGATTTGATAAAGCATGCATGCAATGACAGTGCACTGCTACTAAAAAAGTTCATGTGCCCCCTTCCCAAAAGCAAGACTATCAACAAGCAAACACTTTTTTAACAAATCTTTATTCCGTACCGCCACAGGCTTCTCATATTATTACAGGTGAATTATTTAGCATATACTACGTTTGCAACAAAGATACATACATACAACGGGGCTTTTCCCGACCCGAGAGCACTCAACCTGCCGCGAATATCAAAATATCTCGCTATCACAACAAAGTGCGGTCGGAGAAAAGAACTCTATAGATATAAATTAAGGTGTTTTTAATAAAGGCGCGAACGTGTCAAAATACAAAGAAATACGGAGCCATATATGTGCGCGGGCGGTACGTCGCGGTGTTCAACTTGCATTCTCGGGGGAGGCACGTTCCTCCAGCGGTCCGTTCTCCCGTGGAGGGGCAGATTCCTGTGAGTGAAAAAAAAACAGTTAGAAAAAGTGATTTTCAACGTGTCCCCAATCGTCGCCAGGCTTGACACCCCCAGAGGATTCACCCACCTATATTCTTACCTCTAGTTCTTTACCACGGTCTCCACCATCATCTTGTCTACGTGGACGATACCTTCTTCTTGGCTGCTGTCGTCTGCGGCGAGGGGGAGGACGCTGGCCATCCTGTGAAAACAATACACTCATTCATTTGACGATGATCACTCCAGTCCAGCTTTCACAAGCCAGACTAATTCACGCGAGATACGTCTCCCGCATTTCAGGATTCTGAGAACAAGATGATTGCACTCACTTTGTGTTCCTCGTTGTCATGGTCATTTGGTTCTTCATGGTCCACTCCATTTCTGTCACCATCCTGTGGGCTGCTGCGGTCATGGCCATCATCCCTGTCCTGTGGCGGCTGCCTTTGACGGTAGTATGGTCTGCGTTTCTGCCGAGGTCGATAGTTCCGAGGACCGTTCTGCGGGGGTCCACCTCTTTGCTGGCCTTCACCCTCTTGCTGGTCACCCTGGTGAGTGTCACCAGGTGGGGCATCGCTATGCGGTGCATCACTTACCTGTTGACCATCACTTTGATGACCATCGGCTGGTGGACGACTATCAATGTAAACAACACTTTTGATATATCACCAACCTCCTTTTATTAACCTACCATCAATTAAGGGCTGACTTACCGAGGTCTACGTCTGTTTCGCCGGGGTGGTGGTCGCCTGTCTTGGTGGTCCTCTTTTTGCTCAGAGTCAGGTTGATTTTCATTGCCTGATCTATCAGGGGCACTATCATCTGTTTGGTTTTCTTGTCTTCTACGAGGATTGTAGCGACGTCTGTTGTATCTTCGGCGGTCTCTGGGAGGTGGGTTGCCATCATCCCTTTCTTCCTGATCTCCCTCATTCCCACCTTCACCATCAGTGTTTGCAGGTCGGGGCCGCCTTTGCCAAGGTCTGTTATAGTTTCTGCGCCGATTGTATCTAGATCTTCTATCAGCTGAAAAGTATTAAGAATGTGTTGAGTGCAGCTCAGCTCAGGATCACCCCTTTCCTGCTTTTCTTACAGAACTTACGGGCATATTTGCTTCCCTGCACAGCAGTGCCATTGGGGCCTGTCACATTTTTGGCCTCCTTTCCCTAAAAGGCAAAACAATCCACTTGTTATGGCTTGTGAGGTGAGACACCCAGTGATACACACACCAAATAATCTAGAAAGCCAGCAAAAGTCTTGTATCATGTCCGACAAACCTTTTGACCTTCAACAACATCAAACTCTACAATCTCATTATCCCCAACACTTCGCAAATATTTCTTGGGGTTATTCTTTATGATAGCAGTCTAAAAATGAATACAACCTGACAGTGTAAATTTTTTACTGCCGTAAAATAATTGCATTGGAGATTTACAGAGATTTCAAAATACTGCTAGGCAACTAAACTTTTTGACAATCAATTAGGAATAATGAAAGAAGAAACAAGCAAGTTTGTAAACAATGTTTTTATTGGCTACTGGTGACAAATCTTGCAACATATGAGAAAGAACAACTTTAAAAGAAGTCAATTTCTTTAGTTAGAGCAGTCAAGGTACAGCAGGAGAAACATCCGTGAAAAGAAGGAAATAACTATTTAATTTTAACACTAATTTTGAAGGCCTTTAGAGGCGTATTTTCTCGGTGATCAATTAAGTTAATGGCCAAGGTCAACAAGCCCCCAAATTCTTGGATACGAAATCGATAACCACTTCCGTGAGCCGTGAGATATTATATTTTTACGCTGGCATCCCCCTTGTAAAACGTGAAGAAAAACCAAAGCACATGCCTGAACGGGTAAAGACACGTATTTCGAAACAGTTTTGGATTTGATCGCGCAAACAACACGAAATCAAAAACGCCATTTGAAAAATGCAGTAACATGGCGCGTTTTGCACACGCGACACAAAAACTTTTCAACCGAATATTTATTATTTTCTGTTTACGATCGCCGTATTTTTGCACTTTTTTTACCTGATGAACGAACACGTCTTCGTTGTTGTCGTCTCTAAAAGATAAGGAAATCTAATTAGCGAATGTTAAAGAACGATTTTAAAATATATTTCATAACCGGGGGCCATAAAATTTCGGTTGTGTTTTGTCAATCTAATTTCTAAAAGACACGTACGCACGTGGACAATCGACGTTTACTTTCCGCAGGAAAGTAATATTTTTTTATCAATATTTGAAGACGACAACAAAAATACCTGTTTATAAAACCATAGCCGTTCCTAACATTAAACCATTTCACTTTCCCCGTGACTTTATCACCTAGCTTGGAGTCGTCTTCGTTCAAAACTACAAATGAGCACGGAAAAACAGTTAGATCACGACAGATTTTGAACGTTAAAGAATAAAGATTTGTTTAAACAAAGCATATCTAAAATTGAAAGTGTATCAATGGTTTGTTGACGGAACATATGAAATTAAGTGATTGGCCACGAAGACACAAAATGGTGGCATGTGAATTTGCTGGTGGCATAATCAACGGCTTTCAAACCGCGTCTTCTCGCTCCTACCTTCCCGATCGTTTTTCTCAGGAGCTTGCTCGGCAGCGGTGTTATCTGGATTACTCATTGGTGTTTTTGATGGTACATTTAAAGCGCAAATACGGCGCCTAGATGGTGGACAAACTTTCCCTCACTTCCTTCGCCTTGCTCTTAACATGTACTGGCTAACTACAAAATATAAAGCGACTAACCAGTGCCCAGATCCCTTTTATCCACGTCCAAATACTGTGACCGGGGAAAGTATACCCGGAATTTGTGCTTGGAGCCTTTACTTTCCCACTGTCTTCTTTCTTCCTATCCAGGCTATCCTGAATTGTTTTCATTACAATTTAGTCATTTCTATTTTATAAACTTTCGGCGAACATCAAAACGTATCCTTTTTAGTGTGTACGGCCAAAGTTGTGCGTCTTCTTTCCGTTTTCCGTCAAGTCACTCTAGTTTCCGTTTTGCAACAGTTGAGATCAGTTTTAGCTCGCAATGCAATGCATCATGGGGTGCACGTAGCCCAGAATACACACCGGGCATGCACATGCAGGATCTCAGAGATACTCTAAAATACCACAAACTTTTCCTCAGAAAAACAACGTTTTTCATGCAAAAAGTACGCCGAAAAATAAAGATCGTAAAAGGATAACTCTTAAACTTTACTAAGGATGCCACCCGTACGTGAAACAAGGCATTTATGGGTTGGAAACCTTCCCGATTCGACGACAGAACGTGACGTTATCGAATACTTTCAGAGGTATATAATGATTTGTTGTTCAAAGTTTTGCAGGTTAAGCGGTTACAGCACGAGTAGCTTTTTACCATGGGTGAATCGTGATTAGTTATAGCAGTATATTCAAATAGTTTTGGCAAGATCGGTTCATTGAGCTGCAAACAATTCGTAGGAGAACTGAAAAGTAGAAGAAAAAGTTGCAGTTCGCTGTGTTGATTTTGTTTACTAGCAGAAAACGTGTTCCGACTGGTGTCTCGCTTTCATTTATGCGATAATATCAAATGCATGGCTGTAAAACGGTGGTTGATCCGCTTTATGTACAACAAGTTAGGAGTTTTACATGCGGTTAATCCAATCCCATGTAAAGCGTGTATCGAGTGTCAACTGTTGAAGAATCTTATATCAAAAAACCTTTGGAGATAAAACTGGAAATTGGTGACTTCACTGACTTCTTGTGCTACAAACTGCATTATTGGGTGCATTTATTTCCAGTAAATCTTGTTTCAGTTGAAACCTATAATTGGGGAATATTAATTGGGGAAAATTGGGTTTTTTTGGAATTCATGCATACCTAGGCCTATTCAAAAGTCAAAACTATAAAGCATACTTTCATTCCAAATGAATATTTTTTACTTAACAATTTTCTGGTAAAGTCTAAAACATACAAATTCAATGAATATACTATATATCCTTGGACTAGCTCTTCAAAGCCGAATCAATAATTTTCAAAAGCAGCTTTGAATTAGGTTCTTGTATAAGTGGACTTGTTTTAAACTTATGAAATTAAAATTCCTTCTAATAAAAAATGTAAATCGAAAGGTATATATTTAAGTTGGCAAAAAAAGGTGGTGAAAAATTTACTTGGAATTTTGGCATTAATTCTGAGTTTTGGTAACTGGCTTTAAGAACCAGATCCTGGGCAGGTTTCCCAACTGAATTTTCAAAGTGTGATGAACTTCCTTAGGGTTTATTAAGAAAATTTCACAAGCTTTAATGAATTATATATATTGCAGTGTGAAATTTGTTATTTGACAACTAGTCCCTGCCCTTTTCAATGCCATCCAATCACCTGGTATAATATTCAAAGACAATCAAACTGTCAATTACTGAAGCAGCATTTTTAAGTTGATGCAGCTGTGTTTAGTGATGGCTCATTTAAGAATTTTGCCAGTGGCCCTTTATTTTTAGGATTATGTTATAGAAGTTGATAGATTGTATGAGTATTCTCAAAATTTTGCACTAGTTTGATTGAGAAGCCTATAGACTAATGTATAACTGTGAATCGAGGTATAAGAACAATCTTTGTTTAAAAAGCCAGCTGTTTGTTAATGATGTCTGAGTATTCATATGCTAAATACTCCATCGCTATATTGCTAAAATTCTATATGCTAAATACTGTGTTGTGAACTCTTCATATTGAGTTGTATTGCAATACTTTTCAAGCTTAGCATTTTTCAGTAATGGATAGACGGTTTGTACTTCAAAAATTTATATAGCTTGCAGATCACATAAACTAGTTTATGTGCCTTTATGATATTAATAAAATATCTGCTAACTTCTGTTTGTATTTTTTAATATCTCGTCTATTTCATGTTGAAGTAGTATTTTTATTAAGGATTTTTGTGCTGGTTTCTTCCCATAGTAGCATTGCCTTAATATGCCTATTAACAAATTCTTGTATAAATAATTCGATAATGGTGGAGCTATCCACCTTGATTTGACTTAAAAAAGAATATTTTCGGTTTAGCTGCAAACCATCTGCTACTTCAAGGAAATTATTTGACATGCTTTAGGATATCTGATATACAATATTTTATATGCTGTTTGGAGACTTGCTTTTAAAAAATTCTTTTAAATACTTTCTTATTGAGAATTTTATATCTATTTAGTGTCCCCTATATTTTAAACACTTGAAAAATTTGATCCCTCTTTGTTTTCAAAAGACATTTTCAAATAGCAAAATGTGACAAGTGGAATAATAATATTGAGGTTGTGAAATAGTGCTGCCGGTTGATATGCTAAGAAACACCTTTTTATGTCTTTAAACCGATTTATTGCATTAGAAAGTTATGTAGAATAACATTGTGTGTGTTTCGATGACCCAAAATACATTTTTCTTTCAATGGGAATCAAAAGATCAAATGAATAATAAAATATGATGTTTATTGATACAATACATCTTTGCATATCCTTCTGCATGCCTTCAAAGAACTGATTTGATAAAAACCTTTCAGGTTTGGTCGAATTGATTCAGTAAAAATCTTGTCAAAGCGTTCAGCTGATGGTGGACAGGCAGCATTTGTGGATTTTGTCGACATTCGATGTGCCATTAAGGCTCATGAGACACCAAATCGCTTGGGTGATAGAGAACTTAGGACCGATTATAATGAACCAGCCAGTTCCACTTTAACAAGATCACATGATGACTTGGGTAGGCGTTATGACAGGGGTGGACGAGGGTGAGTACATATGTTGGCTTAGGAATGTTTTTTGTTCATTCTTTCCTTATTGAGATTCCTCCTAGCCTAGAGTCGGTTTGGTTGCTCCATGCAAATGCACTTGTCATTACATTTGATAAAAGCAATGAGATACCTGTACAGATTTTCACCTAATTCCTCAATTTGCTAGTAGTGATTTGTTTGTACATTTCATTACTAATATAATTCCCAATAAAAAAAGAAAGTTCAGGTTTCCTACACAAGCATAGTATACGTCTGACAATGGTATCAGGGGTGTATAACAAGTGGAAGCCTGGTGTTTTTCAACCAATTGTCCAGGCGTTTTGGTGCTTATATATGGTAGTAGCCTGCCTATGTTAACAGTTACCACAGGATGTATGGTTCCTCTATGATATGTGCCATACAATGTTCAAGTTTATGGAAAAGGGTATTACCTCAGGAATGGTCTATGTGGAAATCAGATATCTGGCAAAAATTGTGGAAAATTTATGTGCAGACCTTTGACAACTGCCAAATACAACAAAATACTTATTTTTTTCTGTAAATTTTACATTTTTGAGAAGTGAAAATAGCAAAATACCTTCAAGAAAAGTTTATCTGCCGGCAAATAAATATGGTGCTAATGGTAATGTACTGTCCATTGCAAAACATTGATTTACATCAAAATTTTATTAATAACAAATCAAGATGTCAGTACATCACATTCAATTTTAATCTGGCATTAAACAAAAGGTTTCAAAGTACTTTCAAAGGTTTTAAATTTTTGGCAGTTGTCATGTGGGTTCGCAGCCTATCAAGGGGAATTATGCTGGGTAAAAGAAGGATTCCTTTGCTACTATATCCATATTTATTATGGCACAAGTTCTTTGCTGAAAAAACAATGGCATAGAGGAGTATTAACTGATGGTATGGAGGGGTATATAGTTTGATATTATGGTATGGAATGGCAAATGGTTTCTAATGGTAAATGGCATTAAAAGGTTATAGTCCATGTTTCGTGAAGCTAATGAGGCACCTGGTATGGTCATCCCAATATGATTGGTTCTTTATGGTTATTCCAGAGGTCGTATAATTGTATTCAATTGCAACATGGCTTCATGGTTATTCGGTTTCTGGTTAATGATTGCAACATGGTGTTTTTTCGGCAATGGCTATGGTTCGGCTGTCAGTAATGGATTAGTGTTTTTATGACCCACAAAGATTAGGCTTCCAACCTGTGCAAGAGTATCTGATTTCTTATTTTATGGCAAAGCTGCATAAAAGGAAATGGTTAAGAAAAATTGTAAAAATATATGCAAGAGAGCGTGTTCTCGTCTACAAATGTATTATTTTATGGACTTCATTGTATATCTTATTTTCAGTTATCCACAATGGTACTCAGGGCATGGTGGTAGATACTAATTCATACTAATATCAAAAAGGAAATATTTTATTAACCGGTTGTTTGGTGTTGTTTCTAAAAAAATGTGCTTTGTAATAAGTGCCCCGAACTGGATAATATCAGTTATTTCCTTCGTGGAATTGTGTAGTAGATCAGTTGTAAGAATAACATTCGGTGAGTATGTCTAAAATTACCTCCTAAGACATAAACTGTTCCGAGAAATATACCTAAGACGTAAACTGTTCCGAGAAATATACCTAAGACGTAAACTGTTCTGAGAAATATACCGTTTGTGTACTGATTCATTAAATAACATTCTCAAGTGTTACTTTTAAAGTCTTTACGAATATTTTTTCGTTTCAATTCGCTCTGCTAGGTAGTTTGAATACCTAGTGTGTCGAATTAAAAAGCTGTCAATGTTTTGAGACTTAGAAGTATCACGTGAGAGAGAAGACAACATTCTGTATTGATTTAAATGTCTGCAATTACAAGTTTTTTGTTTATAGCGTGGATTACAGGGTGGCAAATGCCTGCTCTCTTTACTGTAACGCTCTTATTACTTTTAAACACAACCAATATGATAGAAATTGAAAATTGCGATGTTTCCATTTAGGCCTGGTGATGAGGGGTACGGCGGTAGACAGGGTGACGGGTATTCAGGGTCTTATGGGTATAAAGATGGTCCACCAAGGAGGGATTATGATAGAGGAGATCCTGATGAAAGAAGCTCGTCAAGAATGATTGGTTTGTCCAGTTCACACTCTTTATATTGGTGTCACAGGCTGGCCTCATATTCACTGGTTCACTCCCTCCCCGCGTCAAGAACAACAAAACTGCCCTCCAGTAGTGATATTGCATTGAACACAGGGAGGGGGTTATATTCCCATGACTTACAACGTTACTTCAAATTTTCTTGATGTAGATGAAAACCCAGAGTCATTCCGCCGTGTCGCACGCAATCCACCGAAACGCAAGGAAAGCGAGAGTGTCCAGAGCGGTAGTGCGGGCTCAGACAGTGGCAGTGATTCCAGCGGTAGTGGTGATAGTGACAGCGACAGTGAGAGTGAATCGACGACATCAGAGACGCCACGAAATGTAAAGAAACCAATAGCTTTGCAGATACGAAATTTATCTGCGAGATCAAATGGTAAGAGTCATGTTCGCCTAAAAACGTATTGAGACCTGTGTTTTCTTGTCCCAAAAAGCTAACAGAATGTCTTATTACAGACACGACCATAAGAGGTGGACTATATCACGAGTTCAAAAAACATGGAGACGTTGGTCAGATTAAGGTTTTTGGACGGGACAGTAACAGATATGCCATTGTGTATTTCAGACGGTAATGCTTATCAATGACTTGAAATATATAACGTGCTATTTCGATTTTCCGTTTGTGCCTTGTGCTACAATGGACTTAGAAAAGCCTGGCTTGTGAGGCTGGACTGAGCTATGTAACCAAATGCTGTTTATTTTACGTATTCCTAGACCTGACGACCTGGTAAAGGCAATGGAATCTTGTCAGAGGAAAATGTTTCTTGGCTTTGAGATGGACATATCTTTGTATGAAGGTAATGTATTTTTTTACAAACGGATTCAAGACACCGTATTGTGACTAGGAAGTAGTAACTCGCTGTTTCATAATATCGGTTGTAGCCTTATGACCAAAAAAAGTGAAATTATCATGTGAGATTGAGTCTATCTTTGTCTTGTTGTAATCCAGGTGACGAACAAGAGGAGAGATCGTTCCACCGCTACAAACGCCGAGGAGACAATGGGGGGCCTGGATTCAACTCCGCTGACGACGTCTACCAATTCAACGCAACCAGAACAATATTTGTGGGAAATATCGAGAGGAATACGAATTCAACCGAGTTAAAACGAATGTTTGAACGATATGGGGAAATTGTGGTAAATTATTCTATTCCTGGCTCGTTTGTAGTAGCTTTATTTGTCCTGAAACCCACTCCATTTAGAGAACTTAGATTCCTTTTTATTTTTTAGGATATTGATATCAAAAAACAAGGTACTAATGCTGCGTATGCGTTCATTCAGTATCTGGATATTACGCACGCTGTCGAGGCTAAGAAACAGATGAATCGAACTCTCGCTGGACGCAATAGATTGAAGGTAAACACTGAATGTATATGTAGTACCGTCATACCGGATATTACATCGAAATTGATAGGTAGCAATGGTAGACTAAAACAGTCAGTAATTTTTGTCACAATATAGATTGGTTTTGGTAAGGGGATGCCAACAAGCACTGTATGGGTTGGCGGTCTGGCGCCAAACGTAACCGAAGACATGCTAGATCGCCACTTCACGCGCTATGGTCGTATCAAGGGTCTGGGACTGGATCGGAAACGAGGCTATTGTATGGTATCTTTTGAGCATATTGCTGGTTCAACGTCCGCGCACAATGATTTAAAGGAAAGGAATCTTTTCGGAAAACGAGTTCGGGTATGTATACGTTAGTTATGACTGCGTTATTACGTAGGTTAAAGACAAAGCTTGCTTGTGATTGGTCAATGCTTGCGGTTGACGAATCAGAAACATACTATATCCGGAAACAGTCGGAAAACTAAATATTTCTACCACATACTGTATCAAGTCTAAACGTGTGTAAAACCTCTCTCTATAGATTGACTATGCAAGTCGTGAAAGTCAAATATTCTTCTATGATTATCTGGTCAGCACGGGTCAAAGTGAAGGTCGGCGCTATGAGCCCTCCCCTCCGCCTCCTATGCGACCCAGGGGGAAGATGTACGACGAACCTATGCGACCTCGTCATGGTATGCGCCCAGGACCGAAGTACCATCCTTATGATCACGGATACGATCGACCGCCTTTCGTCGATCGAGGTCCACGACCTTATGACGAGTATTTCCGAGGAGGGAGCGGTGGTTACGACAGTGACGATTTTGGTCAAGAACTGCGTGAATACTCGCGAGAACGCGCTCGCGATCGTGAACCTGATCGACGGCCCGAACCCCCTCCCCCTCGTCGGCGACATCATCGGGGTCACCCTGCGGATATGGACAGCGATAACGAGAGGTATTACGGTCGTCCTGAGCATCCCGATGTCTGGCCGGGTGATGGCGGCAGAGAACGTGGATCGCCCGATATGGATCCGAGGGAAGACGGTCATACTCGCAGATATAAAGAAGGAGATAAAAGAAGGGACATGGTGAAGGATCGTGTACAGGAGAGGAGAGTTGATGATAAACGACCTCCTGTTAGGATAAGGTAGGATATAATAATGGTGCAAAAAAAGTACTACAAATCACCCACCTGGTAGGAAAGTCTCCCATAGTCAACTCGTACTTTTTTGAGTCATTTTATAATGATTGGTAGTGAACTTTTATATGTCCCTTATCTTTGTTGACAAAAATATATTAAAAGCTATTCGTCTGTTTTTAGATATGATAGCGAGGAAGAAATTGAGAATGCCGAACCACCTCCCCCCGCCGAGAAAAAGGAACGTAACCGAGATAAATCTTTACGCAAGAAGCCGATTGATGCGCGAAATGAGGACGAAAATCCCGAATTCTATCCGACAGGATACGACAAGACTTACGATGAGGGTAAAATAAAAAGTGTAGTCGCCAAGCGTAAAGTGAAATCAAAGGACGGGACGTCTGCCGAGGAAGAAAAAGTCCCACCGGAGGAAGTGCCCTTACCACCCGAGGAAGATACTCTCATTCGGAAGGAGGAACGAAGTGCTGATAAAGCAAGCAAGAAGCTAAAGAAGGAAGCCAAAAAGAAACGAAAGAATAAAAAAACACCGGAGAATATGCCTCCCGGGGAAGAACCCTCGAAGAGTAACCCCCCGGAGCCAATAGACTTTGACACGAATGAGAAGAAGTACGATCACGATGCCCAGGAATCTCGGGTGGATAACTCGCGTGTTAGTCCCGAACGCGCGAGAAGGGCTAGAAAGTCAGATGTGGTTATGAAATCGGTTGTCGTGGAACGACCAAGATCACCGACTCCTGAAGAACATTTAACAGCACGTAAACGAGTGCACTCGCCTGAACGCGACGTGGTGTACACACGCATGGACGATATGCATCGCGTGGACTACACGCGTGATGATCGTGTGGACCACACGCGTGGCGTAAAAGGTTCTGGTCACCATGATAATGATAACCGGTATGAGGAAGTTAAGACGAAGAAACAGCGCCCGTCAACAGAAGCACCACCGCCCCCACCTCCACCCCCTCCGTATAACCAAAATGGATCTAGTGATTCCGCCTTCCAAAATTCGGCTGCTCCTCGGAATGCGTTCGTACCGACCTCGTCGCCGACTGTCGAGCCTTCGGTCCCTTCACGGAACACGTTCCAACAACACTCAACAGAAGCAAATCCAAGTGCAACTTCCAGTGGAAACGGAAAACCTCCCAAACCAACTTCCGGCCATCCTTCGCCTACTACTTCTCCTCCGGCCGCTCAAAGCGGAAGTGGCGTGGTACCAAATAGTGACGACACTTTAATGGAACTTTTACGCCGGCATCCGGTGATGTGGCAAGGACTTTTGGGATTGAAAAATGACTCGGCAGCTATTCAAATGCATTATGTATCTGGGAATTCGAAATTGGCCGAATATTCGTTGCCCAAGGCTACTGGAGCTACCGGACCAAACGGGGTCACGCTCCCCCCGATACTGAGAATTGCTCAACGCATGAGAATGGAAATCTCGCAGTTGGAAGGAGTCACAAAGCGCATGCAGGTAACCACAATATAAGTCTATGACTCGAGTGTTACACAACTTCTTGACAACGTATTTAATCCCCATTCTGTTTCTAGTTTGATAACGAGCACTGCTTGTTGTTGGCTTTGCCATGCGGTAGAGATCCGCTTGACGTTCACGCGCAAACGAGAGCTTTGAAAACTGGTTTCATCGCATATCTTCAGCAGAAACAGGCAGCGGGGATTATCAACATTTCTCAACCTGGAAGCCAGCAGGTAAATGCTTTGAATTTGACTGAAATCCTATAGTGTCTGTCGGGTGTGAAATGATCTTTGGTTAACCGTGGAAGGCTCCACTAATTAAGTTATCTTTTTAGGCAAGTTTTGTTCTTCATGTGTTTCCTCCTTGCGAGTTTACTCATTCGCATCTTTCAAGAGTCGCTCCGAATCTTCTCGACAGTGCTACGGACTCTGGACATTTGATGGTCGTCGTTGCAACCGTCTAAATCCATAATAAAGATCTCGCCGCTTCTATTAGGACAAATTCATTGACAACCGTGTAAAAGAGGCCTTCCACAATCGCAATGTTGAACAACGTTTTAGATTTTTTACTGGTGGAACGAGAAATGCGCAGATGATCACCAACAATTATCACACTATGGAAATTTTATTATCGATTTCACAAATATCACTCCGCCACAGATCAGTCTTATTCAAAGAGCTGTAGTCGTGGTAAATGTACTGACTTTTTATGCCTAAGAAAGCAGCAAAAAAACGAGTGGAAATGATTTAACAGATGACTTGAAACACGTGTCGTTTTTATTGGTTTTGTTGCCAGTATCCATACATTGTTCTGCGAAGGACTTGCATGCTTCGTTATCACGTCACAATATGAAATAGTCTTATTCCGTTTTGTTTGGTAGTCTAACAAGTAGATCCGCATGATTGTCAAGGCTGTGCACTTTATGCAAATTACACCAATGGGGTGTTGAGGTTTCTAGACCACGGTACGTCAGATTTACTGGGAAATGATTTAATAGACGTAAAAGAATTCTGTGAATTTTAACATTGGACGAAATCTATCGTCTCTCTAATTGGGCAAAGACAATTTTGGACCCGATTTTAATTTGTGTCTTATTTTAAGTGCTGTAGTGTGTGTGATGTCCTCAGAACTGTAATGATAAAACTGTTTGTAAAACTGAACATCTAAAAGTGCATCTTGTTTTGTTTGTTTTCACCATTTTTTTCTCCTAAACAATGGAGAGTTCTTTGGGTCTTGTCTTCTCTTATTGTTTGAGAGTTGTTTGGGTTTTGAGAGATAATTTAGCCACTCACTGCGATTGATACATATATTAATATATTGATATATATGTATATATATATAGATTCATTCTTCGAGATTCGCTCATTGATTTTACCAGAACCTTCTACCGGAATGACTCAGCTTTTGTAAGAGAACTGGGAACAATAAACATATATTATGACGTCACTGCATAAACGAACGTATATTGTGTTGTGGTACGGAGCAAAGTTTTCCTTTTAAAAACCTTTTAAAAACGTTATTGTACTTTGCTCCGTGTAATCATTTAATCAAAAGATGTTCCGTGGCTTTGGTGCTTTTGATGATGATCCTTTTTTCAGGTAACTTCAAATAGATTTCTTTTAAATCACGTTGAAATATAGCAAGTGGAAATAGAAAGTATTTGATGTAGGAACATATAGTGAAGTGGAATCGTTTCTCTGATATGCTGTAGTAATGAATAGAGTGATATGAACATTTATTGCACTTAAAGGTGACGAAATTTAATGGTCACTGTTAATTTCATAAGCAATAACATGTTATTACTTTTTCTTCAAGATTGAAACCAGATACCTTTCAAATCTCTTTAGACATTAAATAATACAAAACAGCCCTAATCGACTGTAATAGTATCCATGATGTCATTTTAATCATTTATGAAGTTGATTTGACAACTAATTCAGTTATATTTTGATATTACATTCACTGTACTGTTTCCTTGTGAATACAATATATAAATACATGTTCTGGAACATCAATTTTATTATTCGCACCTATTTTTATCACCAGTGCTCATCAGGCTCACATTCGTGAGATGGACAGGATGATGGGTGGCTTTGGAAGTTTCGGAGGCTTTGGTTTTGGCTCACCATTTGCTGGTCCGTTTGGCATGTTGGAAGGCCCTCAGCATCGGCATGAAAGACATAATAACAGAGAGGGAAGAGTGGTTCCTAGAGATCGACCGAGAGACCCTTTTGAGTCGATGTTCAGTAACATGAACTCCATGATGTCACAAATGCACAGAAACTTTGTAAGAAGTTACTTGTATATTGGGGAAATTTTTCATTATAAGCCCGTTGAAATAGCAATGGTTGCTTGTACACAGAGTATCATTACTTTTCTCCTGCAAAATTCTGCCCTATTTAAAACTTTCCTTTTTTGATTTAGGAAAATATGCAATCCTCCAATCCAGATGGTTATTCTTACTCTTCAAGTAAAGTGATGTCATACAGCAATGATGGCAGAAATCCACCCAAGTATTTTGAGGCAGCAAGTTCGACCAAGCGAGGGCCAGGTGGCGTCAAGGAAACACAGAAGTCTATGAGAGACTCTGAGGCTGGCCTCCATAAGATGGCAATTGGGCATCATATAGGTTAGCAGTCTGACTTTAAAGTAGTCTTTCACTTAAATTCCCATTTCGTCACCAACCTCTTGTTTCAATTTTTTTGCAGGAGAGAGAGGACATGTGATTGAGAAATCAAGAAATACAAAAACAGAAACGGAGGAACAGAAACAGGATTTCTATGGAATGGATGAAGGTAATTAACAATGTTTCTCCACTTCCGTTTTGGTGTCAGCAATATAGAGGTCAAGAAATGATTGGAAAATAATGTCAAAATGATATATATATTTGACTGTATTTGACCAAACTAAATTTTCTTCGAAATTCAGACCGTTGATAAAGTTCTTCAGGTATCCCAAGATTCTCCTCATGCTGGATTCTCGCCGCGAATCACTTCGGATATTCCAAGAATCTCTCCCGGGCATTCCATGAATTTCATTGCGTATATAACGTAATTCCTCCTTTCACCTTTAGAGGATGCGTCAACATTTGACAGAGAGTTTAAAGAAAAGACCAGAAATTTTGGTCGCCACAACGAAATATCAGGTACCGTAGTTTGCGCGTAATTATCTAGTAATTAGTTAAACTTTGTAATTTGTATTTAATTTGGGACACACTTAATTGATTAATTAATGACACACTTAACGAGATAAACTCCTCTTAACACCATGTCTTGCGAGAATCACTGGTGTAGGCAAGGAGGAGGGGGGGGGGTAAGGTCGCCCTATTTGACGAACTTTGTGTTACACAATCTTTATTTACTCGGACAGAGGTGGTGCCTGACGCCCCCTTAATTATGTTCGCCCTCCCAAAGTTAAAGCCCTTGCTTCTCCCCTTGCGAGAGTATTCCTATAACCCTTTCCGTGGTGTTGGCGTACCCAGTGCCCTTTTTAATATGCAAATCGTATTTTCTCGGTTAGGGTTCAACGACTCTTCTCGACGACATCACGAGCAACGAAGTCGAGCGACGCCCGCATTAGGCCACAGAAGTCACCATCGCGAGCGCGAGGGTCGCGACAGAAACCACGCGGGGCGCGAGGCAAATCGCGCACCTGCACCTGCACCTGCACCTGCACCACGCGAAGAAAATCACGCGGAAGAACGTAAGAAAAGAAAAGAAAAACAGGTAAAGATGACGGAGCCTGAGTCACGCTTATAAAATGCAACCTCTGCATATTTGTGGTGGGAAAATACTTAAGTTATATAATGCTTCGGAACAGTGATTTTGCTTTTGCTAACAAAGTAATATATTTCAGTATGTTAGATGAGGATAAATATACAACTAAACTTGTGTGAGGCATTTCAAAACAAACTTTAATAGGTGAACAATATTCGCTTTCTGAATGAACATCTTTAATCATTATTAACCTAAATGCTTGCAAACGAAAACAAGGTTTAAATACAGCGTGATTGGTAGATTCATAAATGAATTTGTGGCACAAATTCATGTAATAAATACAGTTAAACTTATCTTAAGATATTTTGCTGTGTTGCATTGAAAAAGGACGGGGTTTTCTTGTGAGATAGTTGTTTCATTCCCAAAGTTTTCTTTAGAGATATACGTGATTCATCACATGTATTGAAGTATTCAGCTTTTTGGGAGAAAAATTAGTGTAATATTGCAGCAAGAATTTCAGCTCGAATTTATAATACACTAAAGTAATTCTATGGTTAACATGAAATCAAATATTTATTGATTTTGAGTAGCTAAACATTTCAAAATCATGCCTATACTTATTATAAAGTCTTTGTTTGTACAACCTGGGCAGTTCTGTAAAATATTTTTGCATAAGAGTAGAACTAGGCACTGTGTAGTTGGAGGAAAAGTTAAGTGGGAACGCCACACGATCCTCGAGACCTAAAATTTTTAAAAGTACGGTAGAATCTTTTCTTATGTCTTCTAAATGGCCAATGAAGTCATACGAAACTAAACAGGGTCTACACAACTCATCGTACAGTTGCCAGTGTGTGTTCATAACTTCTGATTTGCCATCCAAAATATAATTTATAAATTCTTTAAAGCTAATCTTGCTACTTCGCGAAAGATTTGTTCGAAACTTTCGAATAATATATCGGCCGTACGTCCTTTCGAAAAAAGTCATATTGTAACTCTCCACAAATTTATTTCGGTATGCTGAAGCAAGTCTTTCGAAAGGGTCACGTACGAATAAGAACTTGTAGTACGTCTTTAGCCTTACGACAATTTCCGAAGCGCTGTACTCGTTTAAGTATCGGAAGTAACTACGTGACTTGTTGTGGATGTCACGGGTTTTGACGTTCCAAGGGGATCTCGTGTGTCCACTTAGGGTCATCAATACTCGTTTCCAATTGGATGATGCCACCTTCGGGATTTCGCAATACAGAAAACGGTTTTCATCGTCGACTATCACGTGACTGAATATATGGCGTGGCAAGCCGTTTACATCCGAGCCTGGCGGTATGATTTCCTGTCGACTGCGGTTGAGACAGCTAGTTTTCAACCGCTGTCGTCGAAGGCTTTGTCGTTTGTCTTTGTCCTATTTTGAGAGTGGAGTGTTCGAGATATTTTAGTGAACTTAATTAGTTCTCAGACTGCAACTAGTACTAACTAGGAAAGCCATTTGGTCGAAACATCGGGTGGGTTTTACGGGGTATTTTAGGCAGTTGTTAATTGTTATACAACATTTTATAGGTAGTTAATGATTTACTTGAGTGGGTCTCATGGAAGTGCAATAACAGGAGGAAACTCCCAAATGAGACCGTAGATTCTGCCTATCTAAGATATTCTTCTTAAAAAAATACATACAAAGTATATAATAAGTATTATAAATATAAATATTATATATACTTGACTTACCAACAACTTTTCTCTTTCGAATCGCAGTTGTAAGTCTGTCTCTGTAAGGTATACGAACACAAGATGCTCAAGACAAACTTTAACAAGTAAAATAAACAATAAATAATATTATGATTTTCCCCCTACTACCTTCGCCAGTTTGTTTCAGTAGGCCGCGAAAGTGAATGATTCCAAGCATGGAAAAAAACAACAGAAATCTCCGATAATTTCGCCGTTCTCTGCGGAACATACTTGGGTAAGGACGTCAAATACAGTCCGCGCAATTTTTATCAACATGGAACTGTATTTTACGGTGTTTCATGTGAGATAAATAATCGAAGAATAGTGATTGTTCAACCGTGTAAAAGGTTTACAATTTGTTGATAATATAAGCATTTTGGATATTATATTACACGTCTTGAACAAAAGACCACCAGTTTTGATTCACTGCGGGAGTGATCAGCCGTCACAAGGCTGTGGCGCTAGCGACACGCTAGGTCTGTTGGCGCTAGACGACCATGACCTTCCAAGTGATAAAATAATAAACCTTTCAAATCTTTCTAATCACTTTTCTCATAAGTAAATTAGCATGTAGGTACACCAGGGCCTTCATCAGTGCAATACCCACAAGCTAATTTACTTACTTGATGTCACCATGCAAACTTACAAGAATATAATCACTTTTCTAATCTTTTGAAAATAAGGAAGAATATTTCTGTACCCGTCTTCTATTATTAGGGTCTCTACAAGCTAGATATAAGTCTTTAAAACCTCATTTTCCTGGCCCAAGATGCGTTTTGAAGAGTCTCATTGTAACACCCATCCAGAGATTCCCATCCAGTATCTTCTTTCGAGGTCAGTTTTTTATGTAATCGCCGCTGTGCGGGCACATCACAGGCTCGTGTTTATTGCAACGTGTCGAGATTTTTAAATTGGTGGAGAAAACCAATTAATGTGTTTCATTTTTTCCCCTCAAATGCTTTCATTCGTTTGAAAATACTTTGGTGCGTTTGTTGGAACGAATACTAGAAAGGTGAGGCTATAAGTAAGTGAAGCGGATCTCTTCAATGGCTCGTTATTTGTGCCAAAAATGTCGTTGAAAATTGAACCACTGCTAGTCGGCTACATGTCTAACCGTAAATATGCTGTTGTGTACTATCTATGATTGACCCTCCCGGGTGCAATTATTCGCTATTCTTACGTGGCAGTTCAGTTAAGTTTTAAAATATTAGGTTTGTTTTTTTTTGCAAGTCGTATGTAGTGTATCATTTTGTACAAATATTTTTTATCAGTGTGCATTGACAGTGTTCTGGGAAATCTATGTTTGATGATGTCATAATTATATATTTTTTCATTGACATCAAAAGGCAACTTTCTCATTGAGTACATCTCAATATAGGCACAACTACAGAATTCCCTACAAGGTCAACTGTCAATTCATATAACTAATTCATACCTTACAATAACTATTTAATTGTGGGTGAGTTTTTTCTTAGGAAATTTTCTTTTCAATATTTAATATTCAAGCATTCATATTAATTGTACTTATATATATGTGGATTTTGATACAGTTTAGATCTGAGTTGTGTGTTTATTTACTGAAACATGTTTAGAACTTTTGTGGCAGAGTATTCTAGCTTACTAGCTATAGTTATTCCTCAATATAGACATATTTTTGAATGCATTTCCTCCAATAAACTTCTAGTTAACATGGCAGATTCAAATGCTGAAATTGGTCCTGAAAAGCCTTCATTTATAACAAGATTTTTTACATTTCTAAAACAGGTAATATATGATAAAAGTTTAAATATTCTTGCGGTCCTCTTGTACTAGTCTTGTTTTTGGTAATTGTAATTAGGGATAAAACAATATATTTTCTTAAACTTGACATTTCAGAGACATCAAAAGTTTCTAGATGATGTGACGCCATACATGCCGATACGTTGGATAGTCACCTTAATACTTTTTATTGTTTTCTGTGTAAGATTTTTGTATTTACAGGTATGTTGGGAACATATTTTTTTCATGTGTTTGTAAATAATACCACATTGAATTTTTGTCACTAGTATGATTATGAGATATTATATACCTTTTTTACAAAGTAACCTTTTTTGTGATTCCCATTTAGGGCTGGTATATAGTTTCATATGCATTGGGCATTTACTTGCTCAACTTATTCATTGCTTTCCTGACGCCACGAATAGACCCTGCATTAGATCAAGACTATGGTAATTTATATTTAAAACTGTTGGTTTATTTGTAACAACCAAAATGATGTAAACTACATTTCTTTAACTTTCCAGACGAGGATGAAGATGGGCCAACATTACCAACAAAGGCTGATGAGGAATTTAAACCATTTATACGAAGGCTACCTGAGTTTAAATTTTGGTAAGAATTAAGATTCGTTAACATGCAAAGGCACTATTTGCAAGCATAGTTTATGTTGAGATTTATCGGTTTACCATTAGAAGATATACACATCTGACTAAATTAATTTTTTAATTTTCCACAGGTATGGTTGTACACGGGCCATTGTAATTGCTTTGATATGTACATTTTTCGATGCATTCAACATTCCTGTTTTCTGGCCCATCTTGGTGATGTACTTTATCATTCTGTTTGTGTTAACCATGAAACGACAGATAAAGGTAAATGGATAAACAACTGACCATACAACCCAGAACATGAAATTTCCACTTAGACACATAGACATGTTCTATCTGTAAATATACTTCTGCACGCAGGCTAAATTAACACAATTTGTATTCCCTCTGATGTAATTATTTGATTGTACTTGATTTAGCACATGATCAAATATAAATATTTACCCTTCACACATGGCAAGAGGAAATACCAAGGCAAAGATGACGGCAAATTGGTAAACTCTTAAGTCACTTGTTTTCACAAGTATGTTAATATTATTTGCTATATCTTGAATATTCAATTCTATTCAACCCTTTGCATGCTTTTTACTTTTCCTCAGTTATGAAAGCATCAAAATCTAAATTTATGAAAAATATTTCATTTTTTACAATATTAAGGAAGAAGAGGGTACAGAGGTGACCAGTGAGGATATCTAATGACATCAGATGATAACTTAACAGAACATTATATAATTAAAGTAATTCTGAGCCCTCAACATTTGAATGTGTAAAAAAGACTGATGATGGCTATGGACCTTCTTTTATACCACATGAATAATTGTGAAATAATTATATAGATATATTGAATGGTACAATTCTTTATTGTACTAAAAAGATTGGATAGTCCTCATGTTTAGCTTACAGCAATACAGAAACACTTTTAATTTAAGTTAATTACATTCCTTTTGTGAGATTCTTTAAGCTTTCCCAGATGATAAGGCCTGTGACCCTGTCTTTCTGATTTTACAAACTTTAACATGAGTTACTAAACCTGATGCCCATTATTCTCATTGTGTTTCTAATGATTGGCAAGAAACGTGCTTTTTACTAGGACCAAATCTGTTAGTTATGTGCCTCATCTGTAGTAGGAAAATAAGAAGAAAAAAGTGAGCACCAGACAGCAATTTTTGGCCAAGAATATTTATAGGCTTATGCAAAAGCATCAAATGTGGTATAACAACCGCCTAAAATAGACAAAACACTTTTCGACCTGAGGGCATTCGTCAGGAGAGTTAGCACCTAACGAAGGCCCTCAGGTCGAAACGTCGAGATTCGAGAAGTGTTTTGTCTATTTTAGGCAGTTGTTATAACACATTTGATGCTAAGTTGTTTGACGACGCTGCCACGCTGCTCCCTGGTTATATTGGGGCTTATGCAAATGTCTACACATCCAACGAAGGGGTCAGGTGAACTACCTTTATCTAAAGTTCTGCTAACCTAACCAAAATTGCTGTAAGACAACTTTGATCATGCAGGATCTTTATCATCAAAGTTATTTGAAGTTGATATAATCTAGTTGATATAATTTTCTTCTATAAACGTTAGGGATGGATGAGAAAGACAGAAAGGTGAGCAAGTCGAGATTGTTTTTCTCGGTTCTCCATCCATGCTTTCCTAATGTTAGAACTGTGGAACTTAGAAATTAGATTTTTGGTCAATACGAAGTTGGATGACAAATGTTGTGTGGATATTTAAATAATTTAATGGTAAAATATTGGTTGAGGACTTGAGGTTATGAGTTTCACGATGTTGGTGATATCAAGTATCGCGTTATCAAAATATCTTAACCGCTCTCTTGTTTGAGCACCGGCTCGCATCGGAAAGGCTTCACAATGTCTAAAGTCCTGAGTGTAAATAAGTTTATTTTGCTGTATCTCGTCATAACTTCCTGTTGAAATAACATTTTGAGCAACATTGAATATGGAATCCACTGAGCAAAGAAAAACACTGGTCAACGGCCACGCAGATGAAAACATTACAACTTCCAAGGAGAGCAAATGGTATGTATCAGTGGGCACATATTTGAGCTATTCAGTAAACAATTCTGTTTAATCTTGAGTCCTTGACTGTTCAATATAAGTATATATCTGCCCAATTCAAATGCCTTTGTAAAAAGAAGCCTGATTTTGCCACATTTGATAGTTCTAAATATTAATTGCAACACATTCGTGTTCTTTTCTTACATTGGAAATGTTGCAATTTAATATGTACTCCCAGTCTCTCTAATGTCGATAAGATCTTAGAGCAATAAATAACCGCACTGACCACAGCGTGTCAGTATCCTGAAATACAACCAGTGATCTGTCTTGGGACTGGTCATATTTTTGTGGTCTTGCCCGTCTGATTCGTTGTATTGATTGGAATCGATCGGCATTGAGAAAATATGGCTGCTCCGCCTTTAATTTCACAAGTAAAACGCCGCGAATTTGATCGATTGCAAATGTATCTTGAAAATATATCATGTAAATCATTCGATAAGCTACTTTGTATTATCACACTTGTGTATAATCATCATAAATTAAAACCCTGTTTGTGTACTGTCTGCTGTACTGCGAGCTCAAAATCTTTATACACCGAGTGCCGAGCGAGTTTAATTATTTTTCTTTGAATACTCGTATCGATTCCATATTTGCACGTTTCTTCGTTGTAACTCGAAATTGAATTGACGATCGACGTGATTATAAATCCTGATTATAAATTCGTTTGTATTGTCTTGGATTTAATATTTAAATGACCACAAAAGAGTGGCATTGAAAGACCATTATATTTTTAGCTGGTTGCATTCATTTCTGCCTTTGTTCGCCTACGCTATAAGCTTCTGTACCTCCGTGTGCTGCATGAATAAAACGTTTGCTGGTATTCTACATGAAAAGTCTGAAAAGGCGTATAAAATTCAGGGCCTCCGAACTTCTATCACATTAAACGCAGAGCAAAAGGTCATATTTATTAAATAAGTCAAATATCGAAACTTTCAGTACGGGATTTCAGTCTGAGTCGTAAGTACTATTCTTCAGTATTATTATATATGATATTATGCTCTATTTATAATATGATTGTTGTATTTTATTGTTGTAAAAGTTGTACTCTTAATGTTCCGTCGACTGATCGATCTTATATAACAAATATGTGAAATCTAGTCAGAATTTTGCAGTTATGTAATTCTTTGCGGGGTTCCAGACGCCGTGTTTACATCTTGGCGTACTCAACACCCTCTTAAAAGTCGATGAAGCCTATTTAACTCTTTATTGGGCGCTTGATTTGGTGGTTTAATTTGTTAAACACGTCATATTGCCATGGCAAAATTATTCGTTTGAAAGGTATTTCTGTTAACTCAACTTATAATAACTGTCGTTTTATTCAAACTATACTAATCTTCACACACGAAATGAAAATAATGCTCGAGGAAAGCTGTGGAGATTTTCTTCATTCCGGCATTTAAAATTTATATGCATTTCAGATTGTTATCTCTTTTGATATACAATCTAATTTCATTCCTAGAATACTGTGTGATAGTTTTACAGCAAAACTCTCAGTGTATAATTGTCGAAAGCCGATTTATCATCTACTGTATATTAAAGACGTTTTGTATGGCAGAGTAAAAAATAAAGTTACGATATCCGGTGGTAATATTAATTAGCAAAGCTTTCTTATATAATGTGGCTATTTTAGATTTACACAAATGAAAGCGTGTACTTCATATTGAGGGCCCGAGTGTGAATTTTCATACCTACAAAAAAAAATTTCGTGTGCGGGGGAAGAATTGCAGTATTTTTGTCATTTGTTACATATTTGCCTGATATTAAACAGCCAGATTTGATAATTTTTGCCACGAGTAACAAAATTTCTTAGTGTGCAGCAGGGAACGACAAGTTAGTTTTTCTGGAGGCAAGGCCACAGATTTTTGGTGTCGTGACACGCCTGCTTGTTTAATTTGCTTTCGGAACAACTTATCGTTCGTTGACCGCACACTAGGAATTTGTTTTCACTAGTGGCAGAAATTATCAACCAAGTTTGATATCAGGCCAATGTGTCACGAATGACAAAAACACCGCACATGAGAATTTTTGTTGCAGCTAATTTGCTACGAGTGACCAGTTTGCGTGCATGTAACTTTCGCTAGCGTGCGTCGGGCTTCGGGACAATTGGTTCTTTGTGAGCTGGATTGATTAGTTTGAAATGAAATTTGTCGTATGATGGATGGCCATAGAAGATTTGATGTTTATAACCATGAGTCACAGTTATTTGTCTCTGATATTAGATCGAGATTACTGTACCGGTTTTCATTTTTCACCTACTCGATTGAATTCTTTCAGTTTTAGTTGCTATGGCATTGACATTGACCATAACATCCTGTTTTTCACCTATTTCCTGGTTCCTTTTAATACGACGATCTATTTTAATATTTCACGCCCGTGCACGCATTCGTTTTTTAACTTCCTGCGGGATTTGTTGATAAAAGTTTGTGTTCGGAAAACCTTTGAAAACCGTCTTCATATTATTGTGTTAGAACCGTCGGCCACGAACGCTTCCCTTCCCTCACGTATACAGTTCACGAAATCAATAGATTAACCCATGCCGTTGTCCAATGATTTATGATTTACATGATTCTAGTTTTGACAGCTTGTCGTAGAGACCTATATTCTATAGGAGTAGGAGAACTTGTATAGCTATATGACAACTCATCACCCCATGTCAAATATATCGGCCTTTTATATGATGTCACTGTACCCGTTCAAAGTACAAATTAATGTATAGCTAAAATTTCGCAGAAAACATAAATATTTGGTGTAGACAAATAAAAACTTTGGCGTTAATTGTCTTTGTCAGTCTATAAACCGCCGGCATCACGACTCTTTTTAGTAAGGCAAGGAAATATCTGGAGGAAATTATGACGTCCATGCATGAGGTCGTTTATGTAAGAGGTTTTATATACGCAATATTGATTAAACCTGTCTTCATGCAATACCAGCGATATCCAGATATATAGCTCGCCAGTCAAACCAATGTTATAAGATGCCGTGGGTTTTTTTGTAGGGTGATCAGTAGACGGCGATCATGCCATGGACCAAGACCTGTGACAAAGTTTGGACCAAAAGCAAAACTCGTTGATGATCATTCTGTAGCTGATAATAGTATCAAGTAAGTTGAAAGTATCTCCTGCGCATTCCGTTGGTTTGTCAGAAGCAAGGATTTGAAAATACCCGGATGAATCCAGCCAGCGCCAGTCCATTCGTTTTCTACGAGTCTTATAGTCTGTCCAGATATGATAGATATAGAGACAGCATTTAAGGCAATCTAGATCATGTCAATGTAGACTTATTTTGCCGCAATTTGTTTTAAAAGGATCTATAGAAATTAAGATAGATTATTGAAGTACATGCCCTGAAATTTATTAAGAAATACTGCTCTGCAATAATACGTTACACTCGCTGAATCCGGCTTTAAGTCAATGCGATTTGGTGGATTTTTTTATGCAATATTGGCATCGCTATTTCATGACGTTGTATACCGTTAAGAGTAAATTTCTCGATGGCTGAAAATAGTATAAAACTATTTTGCATTCTTCTGAAAGTGGTACGGCATTTACGAAATGACCAGCATATACCACGATTAACCGGCCGTACAATTTGATCAATAGGACGTGTTTATGCATCGCCATACCCTATGTATGAAATTGCCATTATGCTAGGAAAACCATGCCGTCGATAGAGTTTCGTATTCGTTTTCACTAAATCTGACATATGAAAGCAGGGGAGTGGTAGTAAAGAAGTCGGAGGGAGAGGGAATGAGACAGGGAGAACCGAAACGAAGAAAGAGAAGCGGGAAAAAAGAGAGGAAGAAAGAGAGGGGAACAAAGGAATAGTGAAAGAAAAATGTAGAAAGAAAAACAGAGAAAGAGAGGAAGACGGAAAAAACCGAAGAAATATTAAATAAGAGTATATGTCTGAAATCAAGTAAATTAATCCCACTCTTTCTATCGTTCAAGTTCCACATGTGATCCATCAAGTATGATTCTTGGCTGGAAGAGTCAGCCAAAACAAGTTTTAATCATCAGAAAACCTGGCGAAGATGACGATGTGAATAATTCATTCAAGGAATTGGCTTACTGGCTAGTTACGGTACAGCTTATTAAGAACATTTGAATCTCAACTATTGACATTCAGCAATGTTTTAGCACCGTAATCCACGTTCCACAAGTTCTTCGTAGAGAGTTACCTAACAGCTACATTTCTTTGTGACTTCAAGGAGATGAATTTGATGCTTTACGCCGAGCAGGCGTCTTTGTCCGAACCAAGCATTGCAAATGACAAACGTGTTCAAGACATTCGAAGCAATATTTTTACTTGGCGTCAACGTATGTGATTGTACCACAATGTTATCTCTAAATAATAGTTTACAACTGATAAGGCGTCCAATCCAATCCAACAATTACAGTTGATTTTCTCTCTATTGATTTTATATGCTACATTTTTTTGTTTCAGATGAAGGATTAGAAAGCAGTATCGATTTTATAATATGTCTAGGAGGGGATGGTACATTGCTGTATGCTGCCTCGTTATTCCAGGTCCGTGGATACTTGAGTAATTCGTGCATCATTTCGTCCATAATGAAACATCTGCTATAAAATACGCTCGTCCACTTTTATTTCAGCGTAATTGCCCACCAGTGGTGGCGTATCATATTGGATCACTCGGGTTCTTGACTTGTTTCAAGTTTCCTAACTACAAACAGGATTTGACATCTGTAGTCAACGGTAAATATTCATCTTGTTGTAGCGTCTTCCTGTTCTATCATTTTGCCTTCGATATTTTGCTTATCGTGGTTGTAATCTCTGATATCGTTTCTCAATGCATCTGCAAGTAATCCCTTTTCTATGTTCTTTATTCTCTTTTTTTCTCCCATTTTCACTCCATGATCCTTTTATTCTCTCATTTCCTCCGATTCGCGTCCCAGTCTATCCTTTCTTTTTTTCCTATCCTTTTTCTAACTCGCTATATTTCCTCCTTCGTTCCTTTCTCTATTCCACCCCTTTCTTCCTTTTCTTTTTCCATTCTTTCCTGCCTACTGACGTTTGATATCGTGGACATTTTTAATCCCGGAACAACAGGAAGTGGAAAACTTATTCTACGCAAAAGATTGGAGTGTCAACTGATGTTCAAACGAGGAACGGACGATAAGAACCACAACGAAGACGACAACAACATAACGTCTTACACAGTATGTTATAATTTGCTTATCTATCACGCGGTGTTTTCATTTCTGCACTAACAAGAAACTTCACCACAAGTCCACAAGGACCAGACTCCAATTATATTTAGCAAAGTTATCTTAGGGTTCATATGATATTAAGTAGTTCCTTGGAACTTCTGAGTTCTTCGTGCAACAGTTTAAAACAGTATCGTGGACGGGCCTCGCTGTGCCTAGGATTCTGGTTTAATCATGACTACAAGCTCTAAATTTCTGGTGTCGGTGTTTGATGGACTTTCTTATTCAGGTGCTAAACGAATTAGTCATCGACCGCGGCAGTGCTCAATCATTGTCAAATCTGGACGTGTACTGCAATGATCGCTTGATCACCTCTGTGCAAGGAGATGGTAAGTTTTTTGAACACAATAAACACTCCCGATCATGCTAGATTAGATGACTACAACCAAGATGGTACCATGTATGATATATGTAGTTTATCATCCATTTTTAATGCCTCGCTTTCGTTCCCAGGTCTTATAGTTTCTACTCCAACCGGAAGTACGGCGTACGCTGCAGCCGCTGGTGGTTCTATGGTACACCCCAGCGTCCCGGGTATCCTACTTACCCCTGTGTGTCCTCACTCGCTTGCCTCACGACCTGTCATTGTCCCCGCTGGCGTGGAAATTAAGGTAGCGCACTGCCATTTATCTCGCAATAACAGACAAAGCAGATAAGATCTTGGGCCATGCCTAATGAGGTATTGGTGGTCTCATGCGGCTATCAAGGCAGGGGTATTATCAGCAAAGTTAGCACTTATAGGAACAACGATATCAAGTATCACTGCCTTTCAGGCGAGGCTGTTATGTATAATAAGAAGATTTAAGCTGTTGTCACTTGTCACACTAAGATAACTTTACTGCAAGTTCGTCAATTCTTATCTCACGTCTGCCAGGTCATTCAGAAATATCCCTCAATACGTAAATGAATGTTTACCCTTTCAGATTATTTTATCCCAAGAAAGCCGTTCAGGTGCCTTCGCATCTTTCGATGGTCGTGATAGGCAGGAGCTTCGAAGAGGAGATGGGTAAGTTTTGAAAAGTTTTAACGTATCGGATTATCAATTCGTTAATGATTCCATGCTCAGAATCCAAATATTTAATCCTTAATCTTAACCTTCAGGGTTAGTAGTTGGGCGATTGTTATGGTCAGATTTAGGATTAAAGTTCGGATTATATCCGTGATTTCTGGTTTCTGGGCATGGGATTTCTGCCATTAATTCAAGCTCATCTCTAGGATGAGAAATTGAGTTAGGGGTAAGTGGGGTAAAATGAGGTGCGCAGGTGGAACAAGATGAGGTGAACTGTTGTTAGTAAGAGGCATTGGTAAATGGTAAGAGGTTGTTAGACGTGTCAAGTTCAGATGAAGATGAGTCAGATGAAGGTAAAGGAGGTGAAGTGTTGAGTGGATTGAAGAATTGAGGTAAAGGGGTGGATGGGATGAGATGGAGTGGATAAGATGAATTGGACTGGATGCTTTCAAATTAAGTGGTAAGAGTGAAGTGGATCTAATTCAACCTCGCACCCAGGGTCTCTTCCAGAGTCTGAGCACGGAGAAAAGACCCTGTGTGCGAAGTTGATTCAAGATGGACTTAGGGGAAGTGAAAAGTGAACCAACATGAAGTATCCGTCTCATCGTAGTATCTGTTTTTAGTATTCGAGTAACAACATCAGTGTATCCTGTGCCATGTCTCACACGCGAGGATCAAATCACTGATTGGTTTACGAGCCTTGGCGAATGTTTACATTGGAATGCTCGTCGAAAACAAAAACCTTTTTAAACGGTATCATGAATAATAAGAAATGATTTTAACAATGTAGATAGAATATTCCGTAATTTCGTTTTTCTTACTCGTAACGTAATTATGTGAAGCTCTGAGCCGCAATAAAATGTGCGTGTCGCATTGCGTCCAGATTTACATAATTTAGGTAGCAGTTTGAAAAATAGACTTGGCTGGCCCAAGTCTCAATATTATTGTAATTCATGTTTAGTATAAACTGACTAATAGCGATGTTTAGTATAAAGTAATAGCGATGTTTAGTATAAACTAAACATGGGAAATTATTGCTCGTTGAATACACTCCGTGTTTTATAAATATTCATGTCATAAATATATGTTGATGGGGGTCATCGTTTGTAGTGCGCTCATTCTCAGGTTTGTCTGAACAGACATTCCTGGAACCGTTATCACGTATCTTAAACCAATAAACTACTGCCGTCAAAGCCATTTCTAAGATCTCAGAAAGCTTGATATCAGATGACCATCCCCTAAAATCAAGGACTGCATGTCAAAGATGAATTGAAGTTGGAAGATCGATCAAAACGTAAGGTAATTGAATAGTGAAATCGAATATAAGGATATAAGTTAAAAGTACAACTGTAGTTTGTACGAAAGTCATCCAATTGCAAGATTTTGCGGTTAACTGCATGTATTTTCGTAACACAATTTACGTTGACGGGTAAGAAGGGGTAAAGTTAAGACGTAGTTCAGTAAGAGTTTACGGGACTTTTCCGAGAGCGAATTAAGACGAGAAGTAAATTTATTTAAAACGTATCATGGATAGTTAAATCTGACGCATGGTAATACATGCATGTTTGAATAGCAATCAAGGATTTTCTATAGTTAACTGCATTTTGTGTCATCTGATTGCATCATGGGTAGTTAAAACGTAGTTCATAATAGTCTCATGACCTTACTTTCACTGAAGAGAGAATACAATACGGCCATTTAAAATGCCAGCCTCTCCTACGGAATCGTACGAGTCAGCCAGCGCACGGGACGGCCATGGGAGTGTCAGGGGTGGTTACCCCGTTTCCTCGTGATATCAAAAATTTGAAGTGTGATGTCCGAACTAACTGGAAAATACCAGAAACTTCCGTATCCGCAGCAAGTCCTCCTTCGGTAAGAAGTCAAAAGGTTATGAATTGAATAATTAGAAAAGGTGGCATGGCAAAACTAGAAAGGACACTAGCTGCAATGCTCATTTGAAAACAATGACTAGAAGAAGGCTGGTTTTCGTATTTTGTATTTTGCGGTAATTCTCATACCGTTCTCGTATCTCGTGGCAGGTCGTTTTTAGAAGTGATTCGACAATGAAAGCCGGACGACTTACGAAATACGGTGATTTAGGGTGTAAGAGAACCAGCTTAACGCTAATCCAACTTTGCGTTTGCACCCTGATCATGAAACCGCAAAAAACTTTTGGGCCATTGTCTCTGTCCAGAATACCAACACACATGATCTCATCGGGGTTTCGCATTTCCTGGACAAATTTGCCAAAGAAAATTTGCTCGTGTAGAAGAGACACGCGATTGTTACTCTATGAAGACCACACCAATATGAATCTATCACGATTCACGAAGGGACACTTAGCTTGCTTTCAACCTTTTTCATGTTTAATTTTATGGCATCGACATTGGTTTTCGTGGTCCTGGTTTTAAATCTTTACATAGCTAGAAAAATCATTCAGTTGTATTTGTTCAACACTGTTCTTTTTTCTTATAGAAACTGGACGTGAGCGGGTGTCCTGACTTCTGTTTATTCGTATGTCTGTTTCGTCTTTCTCCTCCAGAAGAATTTCCAGTAGAGAAGCATTTGACTTTATTTGCCAACGCAGGTTAATTCATGAAGTACTCATTCCTCACACAGCCGAGACGATCAGACAAATAGATATTTTAATTTAGATAAGACGTTTTCCGTTTTTAACTTGCCGTGGTCGCGGGCAGACAAAACATGGTGAGTCATTTACTCTGCAATTTCCTACAAACGAAGTAAACTGAGTTGTGCGTTAATTTTTAATTTGTTTTATTCCACTTCTAAAGATGAATGAAACAGAGTTTTGTTAAAGGCAAAATGAAAATGCTTAAACGATACTGTTTTCGACACTTCGGCTGGGCTACAAACACCCATATTGATGATCAATAAAGTATGCGCAACGTGGGCTGGTCGGAACGTCGTGGGCTGTATCGTAATTAAATTACTGTCACTCCTTGCTAGGGTCATATGTTGTCAACAAATGCTAAGGGCATAATCATCTTCGAGTTTCAAGGCGTATATATTGACTAAAAAGACCCGGGGTGCACATTGGACCGCCAAACGAAAGGCGCGCCCCGAGATTTTCTGATATACAGATAAATCTTTGCCCAGTCAAGAGGATGGTGCTCTCAAATTTCTGTCTAATCACGCAAAAGATTTCAAACAGCTGAAAATTGCTCTCATGTATTCGTTGCGACATAGAGGCAACAAAAATGGACTTTTCCGGTGTTGATTTCACTAAATTATTGCGCATACATGCGCGCAATTGCGCATACATGTGCGCAATATGCTAATATTTTCTTAAACGTAAAACAAGACCAATCAGATCTCCGTCGAAGGAAAGAACCGGAAATATACTGACGCGCGCGTTAGTATTGAATTACCCCAGCTGTCGAGATATATGAAAATCCAAACAGTTTATTGCCATTTACAACTTGTATAACGCTGATGTCTGGTAAAGAATTGGGTGGAAAATTTCATCGAAAATTTTCAGTTATTTTGTCGTAGGAACGGAATATATTACGAACGTCTGCATAGGAATATTTGTTTTTTCCGCAGTTACGCACAAATGTGAATAACAAGTGTTTAGCAATCCTATGAGTAACAGCTTAATTTGGATCGATGATGCTTGAAGGTTGATATATGTGGATTTGGTACCAAAGTAAATATGGCACAAGAAATGTTAGAATCTTTGAGCGAAGCCGAAAGGGCACAAGGTATGCTATGACGTTTTTTTCTTTGTAGGTATGCGTAGGTATGTTTTGTCCGAACTCTACAGGTCGCCTACCTTTAATTTGGCAAATTTGTCCATACAGCGTATCCCCAATTCTGTATTGAAATGGTAATTTCTATAGCAATGTATACGTCTGTTGTCCGTATATGATTGTGCCCACAACAATATCTATACAATGTTTGCTTGCACTGGGCCTTGGGAATAACCGCATTGGCTAAATTAGTTCATGCACAATATTCGTTCCTATTTTGTAATGACTTGAAAATATTATGCAAACAAGTGAACGGTTTCATGTCGTTTTATAGTTGCTGATCAAATTTTACCGGGCATTTATGTATTTTTGGATAAATTACTGGTGAAAGAACATATTTCAGAGGAATTGGAATCGTTAAGGCAAAGCTATGTTGCAATTTTACAATGTTCTTACACGGAATCTCCGCAAATCGTGCGAAAGAACGTCGACCAACTCGCCGAGTCCTTCGATTTGAAATATGAAGCAAGCGATAAATCTGGCAGGTTTGGACGCATTCGCGAAAAGAGGTTAATAAACATTAGACAGGTATGTTTTAAAAACCTTTTAGCTTCGCATATGGATAGTTGATGGGTCATTATAACATTATACAGCTCTTCGAATTCGGGAGCTGGAATTCACTGATGTATTCCAATTTTGTCGCAGACATTTTCATACAAAGAAATAGTACAGAGGTCATTTGGTCAAGGGGCTCATGCCAAACTTTTTAAGTGCGCCGTATATTCAAAACGGGGGGAAGAAACGTAGATTTGTTTTTGTCTTAATGCATATAATGCTCTTAAAAATGTGTTTATTTTGCCAATGCCCTTCCTGGCGTAATAGTATGGCCGTTCGGTTCCGCTTCTCAAGCTCGTCTTTCATTTTAAAAAAGAAAAGGAAATCTCATATGACATACACAACTTGTTTGGAATATTGTATTTTAAAACTATGTCCCCTACAGGTCTATTTAATTCAAACAGCTTAAAACATTCACTGAGAACATTGTCTTTCCTCAACAGCCCTTAAAATTCCGCAAATTTTTTAATCATACGTCTCTCCTGGTGGCCAACGTCGAATAACTAAATTGGCGATCCCTCATGATCATTAGTTGAAAGACGAAAAACTGAAAAAAAGCTTACGTAACAACTGGTTACAAGTTTGTTCAAAGATTTACCGTGAAGTCCGATTGCAATCATGTCTGGTACGCACGCATCGCTGATTTTGTGACCCCGCTTGCACGAGTGTCCGTATTGTACCTTGATTTTTTTCAAATTCATCAAACAGTGCCCTTTATGTTTTAAAGAACGTGCGGTAAATGCTGTTATTTGTACTAGTTGTCAATTAACCAGCCCTTTGTTTCGGGCCAACGTCGGTTTTTGTCCTATCACTTGTTCATTAAAGGAATGTGATATTATACAATTTGGTGTAAAGTAAAAATATCTTATCATGCTGTTGAGAATCTTGCTATATGAATTCAATATTCCAAAGCTCTTTATAGCTCCTAATACGTCGCCCTCCCGGACAGAAATGCATTCAAAGTCAATTGATGGTTGTGTTCTTTGATATATTTGAACGAGTTAGATCGAAATACCAAGACAGCAAAACAACACTGCTATCACTATATGCCACGCAGTGATACCAAATTCCGAGCATAATTTTCGAACAAGGTGGCAATATGTCAATCTCAATAAAACGATCGATTTACAAACTTTTTCATCACGGGTTTTTTCTAAAGACGATTAAGAAAGGGATGAGTTTCCTGTGTTTATTTGCTACTTTAGAAATATTCCTAAAATGATTGCTACTTTTGAATGTAAAAAAAAATTAAGGCCTTCTAAGATTTCCTGAGACGCGTGAGTTTTTAACTTTTTATAAGTTTACTTAACAGAAGTCATGTCTCTGTACACCCGATAGAACACAAATGCTGTATGGTTTAACCGCTAGTGTTAATTTAATTGTGATGTACGTCTATAATACCTTTCGAAGATTTTGTCGACCTATCAATTATTCCTTCATGTCAGAAGGTTTGAAAAGAAACAGAAGACTCAAACTTTACTTGGAATTTTTATCGCCAATTTACTCCAAGCAACACTAGTGTTTTATTTAAAGCAACGCGCGTAAAGATGATGGGTAATTAGCATAAAGTGCACTCGTTCTTCTAAACTGAAGCCAACCTACGACGAACGCGGTGCGTACAAGTTGTCATATAGTCATTCATCGTTAATCTGGCATTAGCCCAAATAGTCCGCATTCGCAACATGTATGCATGGATTTGAGACGCGATTATGCCAGATTCCCACGACACATGAGCACCAACAAGCACGGGCATAATGTAAAAAAAAGAATGAAATTAGAACTGGGCGATTAAAAGAAAAAAAACTCCGACGGCCTTTTTTGTGGTTATGCATATCCCAATTGTGTGAGTCAGTGTTAAATTATAGAACCATGAAAACATTAAAGTTCTGTGCGTTCATGATTTCAGTTTGAATGAAGATATTTTGCTGATTGACGCTCAAGGGCTGGTGTTCATAAGATGCCCTATCTTGCAACTTGTTGAGCAATCGATGATATGCAATCCTTACAAAAAACAAAGCTATTAGCAACGTAAATCACTTTTATACAATTCGATTTGGGAGTATGGGTATTTTTAGTGAGAGGTGAAGGGTCGGAATTACTCAAAGTGAATTCTATAAAACTGTTCATATTCGAGACCATTCCACTTCTACAAGTCGGTATGTTGTTAAGGAATAACAAAATCGTAGCTATGACCTCTCGTGTTATTATCTTGAGCTGTATTGGCCCTCTTCAATGTCTGTGATAAATCACGGTTTATGTTTTCGTGAGAAAGGCGAAGGTCATATATAAAAAAATCGAAATTAAACTATTTTAATAAGGTGGAGAAGAAAATTAAGATTAAGGTTTTATTTAGCAAAAATATCTTAAAAGCTTTTCAGTTTTTTTTCTCAGAAATTTTACTATCCCGGGAAAGACCTTCTTTAATCGTTTGCAAATACGTTTCCGGTTATTGTCCAACTCCGTATGATGATTTCCTTGTCGCTTAAGGTCCTTAAGTTGTTGAAACGGATGATCTAGTTGGGATCATGTGTCACTATTCTCATATGGCATCTGTTCACTGACAACGCAGATTAGATAAACTATGAAGACAGTATTGATTTCATTTATTTTCATATGGTCGTGGCTAAACTGGTTCCTCGTTAGGGGGGTACGGTCAACTTCGACATTCCACCCAGCTGCAAACAAACAAATCTAATGGAAAACGATCTGGAAAGCGAACTCAATATATCGTTCGTTTACTTTCCCAGTAGAATTTCTTATGTGTACCTTCGGTAAACGGTATCCATGACGGTAGGAAGGAGTCCATTTCTCTTGGATGACCTGAAGGCTGAAGCCGAGCGGAAATGTGCAATGTTTGCAATGTAATTAACGCTAAGTCAGAGACAGGCGGTGTAATAATTTCCTAGTATTAAATATACTGTTTGACTTGGCATAAACAAGCTATTATTCAACGCGCACGGAATATCGTACGAATGCAGTTGAAATATATGAATATAAGGAAACAAAATACGGTGAAATATCCCGCCCACTGAGGCAATATTCCGCCCACTGATGCAATATGCCCTCAAGAAGTTAAGATTCTCAATTCCTGCTGATGTTCGCCATGATATGAACTGCGGGTTTTTCGTGTCGAAATTGATCATATATATTTCACTCTTCCTTTGTTTTCAAACTTATTCACCTCTGTGGTGGTGATTAAAAGAGCCGGAATACGACAGAAATTGAATACACGCTCGGCTCGTCCATAAAGCCTGGTTTCCATATGACGCCGACGTCGGCAAAGTATTATTGTCGGTGATTACTGATGAATGAAATCTTTTGTCTTTCTGAAATAATTTTCTCCTTGGATGATTACAGACAATGAGTCGGCGACAGGTCGGCGTCATATGGAAACCAGGCTTAAGCCACGACTTGAGTAGTTTAATTGAATTGTTTTAGTTCAAATTTAACTCGGTTCTCACGCGAAATTGCAAAAATACTCGAAAATCTTTCAACACGCATTAGTTGTATATTTTGTTTCGATATTCAATCCCGACATTACGACAGGATTAAACAAATAATGTATACCAAGTTCTCATCTTTTGCCCGTAGGTGGTATTTGCGTGTATAAGGCATGAAAAATATCGTATGACGCATTTGGTCAAACATGTCGACTGAGTCATGCAGGGGGGGAGGATATGATACAGGGGAGGTTTGTTGGTGTAGGACAGTGAACTGAAATAAGACTGGAACGCTAGCTCTCTGAGTTAATGAGAGAAGCCAAGGTGTGATGGCGAAACATGAAACCTTTCTTGTAGGCATGATCCAGGCCTCTGGCGCGAAAATTTTAAAGGTAAAATCATTGCCGCCATTTTACCTACCAAATTTCCGCGTGGAGGCGTGGATCATACCTACAAGAAAGGCTTCATATTCCGCCATCTTGGCTTCAAATTTTTCGCAGAGCAAGCGTTCCAGTCTTATTCAAATTCAGTTCACTGGGGTAGGAGGGTGCGCCCTTGTTTTGGTGGGAGGGGTGCGGGGGTTAACTGGTGCTTGCTTTCACGTGATATGTAGAAGGTTTAATAAACACATTCATGGTTCATGATTAAAATTACCAAAAAATTCATACCTCGTTTGATACTTAATAATTTGTACGGGAATTCAAGTCGACTCCACAGCCTGTGACTGCTCTCCTACGGCTACGTCCATTCCTACAGGCTTCCTGGTGCGATTATTATGGTAGTTTCCAGCCAGTTCAGACACGAACCAGTGGCAGTTGCATAAAATAAACCAACGTGGTTATCATACCATTCACCGTGGGGGCTCTCCACGGCGCCATGTAATGTACAATTAAACACAATAAACACTTTATTGTATTGTTAAAACACTGGGTTAAATTGTAGCGTCCTTTTTTTATGCTCAATCACAGGGCGAACGCAATTTTATTTTGATACAAATGCTTCCTTGTGTCACATAAGATAACGGCGGCTGGTGGCTGTTCGTATTATTTCATACTCATATATCGATCGAGATGTTCATCTATTCGACTGGGTCTATATCTATCATATGAGGATAGCACAAGTTTAAAAGTGGTTGAAATACATGGAGCGGTATATACATGCAACCTTGGATAACTTATTTCGTGTAGTGTCATTCTAAAGTGAAAATTGTACGTCAGCAAATCTCGAGGAAGTAAGGAATTTTATTCTATGTTTCTAACGGAATCATTAAACAACAGTAGATAATATTACCATGACATATTTCGAGGCAAGCTTTATCAGCGAACTACGCAACAATGTTTGGTGATGATTTCGTCAGGTTGACAATCGACGCAAACTGAACGAGAGACGGCCACGCATTCAGTAAATTTTCGACGTTCCAGACATGATTGCTTGAAAGCTGCTTCGCTTCATCGGTGGATGAGCGAAAAATGATATTAGTTTCACTGTTTGACATATCCTGTGAATCACTGAACCTGAATTACATAGACTTAACCATGTCTTCGCCAATATAAGAGTTCTATTCATATTAAAAAAAATTTAAAAATCTTTTTGGCCCAGTTCGACATATTTCGGACTCGACCTTCTGGCAACCGTCTCCCTTCCAAGGTCAATGAAGATGGCCTTTCCAAAAAACAGCGAAAACGTTCACATTTCGTGTGCAATTTGTTTGTTTTAGGCTTTTTCTGGCTGTTACACAACAAACTTGCGGACTATTCCGGTATATTTCCGCGTTTAAGTCACCGGGGGCTCCAGAAAAGCACGCAACTAATCTTATCAATAACAAATATCTTAGACACCAGTTCAATACGTGCCAATAGAGCTGCCAAGCCCTCGTAAATTCATCTCATTATCTACTTTCTTTTTTCAATGAAAAATGTTTTACTAGGCGTTGCTTAAAGTGATTTTAAATATAATGCGATCTTTCTGGGTTTCCCTTTTATTCATGGTTCAGTTTTCCACTTTTAGTTTCATTTCAAACAAAATCAACGGAAACAGGAACGTCGAAACAAGATGGATGATAACAGGTTGGCGGTGCATACCGACGACGAAAGCCGACTCATTCCGAAGTCGAGCAAAAAGACAAGAGCGACCACGGATAGCGAAGACTCGGGACAGGTTGGTCATTGATCTTAAAGTATACTGGATAACCTTTTGCGCAGAACACTAAATTCAGACCTATTTTTTGCACAGGTTAATTTAGGCACGGACGACGAAAATCGAAACCTGACGGGCACCGACGATGAACGACGAGTCAGTACGGGCGGGGAGAGTTTTGTGGAACTTTCAAATAGTGACCTCACCGGCCAAAAATATTCAAAAGTAACGAACTCGAATATAAACCAAGGCAACCTGTATTGTAAAGAAATTGATGGTCTAAGACAGAGATGGATTGTTCTGGATGGGAGCGTTTTAAAATGTTACAAAAAACAAAATCAGAATCTACTTTTTGAGGTAAACTTTTCCGATGGTGGATATTCAGCCATTCGAGGACGCATTGGCAAAATGTTTGCGATTAGACTCTCGGGGACAAAAGCATCGAGTAGTCATCTGTTCGCGTCGCCCAAAGTGGAGACTATCGCCTCCTGGATGATCGCATTTAGTGGAGCTGGTGTTCGCCTCCAGGACGAAATATTACGCGAGGTAGGGAGAGATTTTGAAGTCAGGATGTGCGCCATCAAGCCTGTCCAAACTGGTTCGCTCTTTCTATATACGACGCAGACCATTTAGAACCGTTTAGAATATCAGCGACAGTTCCTTTCACTAATTAATTTAGATGATAGTAGTTCAATTGATTCAATTATAATTGTAATTAGTTGATTGAATCAATTGAAGATAGTCTGGGGTGGTAATTATGGAAAAACCGCAAAAAATACCAAGCTTTACAATGGTGAATTGCGAATGGTCCATATCAAAGGTAGCTACTAGTGATAGCTCGCATAGTAATAATAGTTCCGTAAGCCATTGAGTACATTTTTAATCACACGCAGGTCTCAATGAACCATCAGAACAACAATAAGGTGAAATGGTCATTGGACGATCGAAATTTCTCAGGAAAAGACGAATTTCGACGGAGTGAACTCCTGGAAGCCTTAGAATTCATAGAACGCAGTCGCAGTCCGTGCATTCTCCCGAAACGCAGCTCGTATAGTTTTAAAGAACTGGACGTTCTTAAGAAACTCAAGTCTTCTCTCGCGGCGAAAAAAGCCGAGTGCAAACTCAATCGAAGGAAGACGTGGAGCGCCGGAACGTTTCCGATCGCGAATCTGACGATGCTCGAGCGATTTCGGAAGCCGATTACTGGTTCCGATGGTATTGTCATCGACCAGAGGGAAGACAAAGAGACCGTCAAAGGGTTGGCGAGTCAGGTAGGCTTAATTTGATTATGAAATACTGAGTAATATTTAGGACTTCTATAGAACCTGCTTCAAGCCTTTCTTCTTCTAGTATGCAGTTAAGTAAGAACCTGCATTCAGCATTCTGAAACCTTATTACATATGCATGCTCACTTTATTGCACAACTTATATCCTGTGTGAAAAAACTTGACCATAATTTCACTGATGTATCTTCACGCACGTCGACAAGAGAGTCTAATTCCCAGGTCCTTCTCTTATATTAATTATCATTCATAATATGACCACTTTGGACATGATCCAACATCCTTCAAAACCCAAACTACATTTCACTTCCATGTTCTACGCCGGCCTGTTTTAATCTTCGTAATAATATTGCGATCTGTGCATCACACACGCGCGGAAAAGATGAAAGAGATGTAATGTGCGTTATAGAGTTATTCCAGCGATATGGAATACAGTTTTGCATTGAGGTCATCCATTTTATATTTGGTGATCCTTTTTTCATGTCATTTTTGGATCCATTAATTGAGAAGTATCATTATTTCCTATTATGCGTGCCACAAACAGACGAATATTTCTGACGTATATTGTTTATCAACGCGTGGTCCAGTAGTTTCATTTCTGGTAGCTTTGACGCAAAGTGAATACCTCTTTTTGAATAATACGCTCTGTTGACAAGCTGTGTTTGACAAATATTCCTTCCGTACGTAATCATGACATTAGTTATATTGTATCATGCACCCTCCCTCAATCCTTGCGTGGAAATACAATCGTTTTCTAATTTCCCTAAACATCTGTTATCTTCTCCCTTTGATGAAGACTTTTGTCGAGAGCCCCATAATTGATAACTACTAAAGGCAAAGCGAATACAACAGGGCTTTTTTGTCGCATACAGGAAGTAAAATATTAAGCTTTGTAATAGCACAGTCTCACAAGAAAATGGCGAGTTTGCATACTCAGTTGTACTTGGGATCAAGTGCAGATCTCTCTAACATATCAGCAGGGTGTGCCTAAGATATGCAGCGGTTCTATTGTACACAAGCTTCCTTTTGTCGATGGCTATTTCCTTTTAAATTCAGCGCAACTTTTTCTCTTAAAGCAAATCTTCACACGTTCAATGTTGTTCAATTTGCCGCTGGGTAACAATATATGTCATTCTTCCAGAAATATCGACTTAATCATTTCGATGCATTTGGTATCCGAAAGGAGACAACTGCCACGCTAACAATTCCTGGTATTCACTCAAGAATTTCTCATTCATATGCAAACGCGTTTTTCCTTAAATCTTGTGTAAACAGGAATTGTGGCTAAGTGGCACTTATGACATCTGACTTAATCCCATGGCTGAAGGCTAAAATATTATAATTCGGTTCGTTTCACCGTGAAAAATACGTTACAAACGTTTTGACGGTGATTGGAAACAAGGAAGCGTAAAAAGGCGTCCAGTTCGTTGGCAGTCTGATTTGAGCATCGTCCAGGTTTCTTTGGAGAGATGGCTGACACACTGGTCGAATATAACGACGTTTTTTTGGCAGGAGAAATGTGCAATTATAGATCGTGTAGTCTGTTTAAACGAGCAGTTTTGTTTGATTCGGTAAGGATTATAATTAGGCCTTTGTCCGCACACGTTACGATTTTTTATCACTTAATCTCCAGTTTCAACGTAAAGGCGAGCAAACTCGTTGTTTCCATTATTCAATCTTTGTTTATTTCAATAAATTGAAAGGATTCTTTCAGTTCATATTCAAAATCCGCTATACACGGTGGGTTTAATTTATTATGCAACCTTCAAAACCTATCAAGACTCGTACTCGGCAACACCGTACACAACAAACTTATTTTGTTTACTGGTCTACTTATCAACTTAGCTTGAATCTAGAGCGGTTGACTAGATTCCTGAAGGTTGAGAATTAAAAATTTCGAGGTGGTTTCAATCGATACGATCTTGTCAGCAATCTCTGTAGGTCTGATGGCGCAACAGATAAAGCGGTAGGCTAAATTTGTGAAAGGGTTTAGGAACTCAATCACTACCAATATCTTTGCATTGTTGTGATAGTTTACAGTGGTGTACTGAAATGTCTTAAGGTCAGGTGTTGACAACTCTTGGGCTTGTATTTATTAATTAACACCTTGCAAAATTGGAGCTTTCAAGTGTTGAGGGATAGATAAACGTTTATTCTGTTCAAAATCATTTCATCACACGAGTTTGAATGCGCTAGGCTCAAGGAAGAATGCTTTTATACTGATTTATTTGTTCTTGTGGTTTCAGAGTCTCCCTGAGATATTGACGAGCAGTGGTGTTGTGCCAAAAGAAGACAGAGGCAGTGTGGAAACACCAGTTGAAAGTGCCGAACAGTTGGTTACCAGTGAAGGTATAGTTTGGTCTACTATAACATCCAACTATGAATACTCCTATGTTATTATACTACTTTACGTGCTTACGGTAACGATTTCAACCTTTCTCATTTGTATTTTACGCCAAAACGGATGCAAACACTAACAATTTATGACAAAGGTTGAAACTAGTTCAATAGATTGCAAATATTTTCGTAGGGCGTGAAAACGAGCGATCAAAGTAATGAAACTGACGAAACCTTTTTGAATCGCTTGAAAACGCCATTCACGTAAAACCTGAGTGATGTCTATTGCTATAATTACATTTCAGAGGATTTCTGCTACACGAAGTCAATGCCAGAGGGTTTAAACAAGCAGCCTGCCTCTGACGTCATCGAGGTCTCCCAGTCACCCCGTGGCTCCATCAATGCTCAATCAGTTCCTGATCTTCTTATCCATCCTGGCCAAGAGTCACCTCGCCAGACATCCTCGCCAAAGATGGAACCTCGACAACTTAAGCCCAGTATTTCATTGACCAGAGTAGTGTCTATGAAGGCATCGCTAATGAAGAACGCTATCATTAGTGGCTGGAAACGAAAAGGTGCGATATATAAGGGGCATGTATACACAGAGGTACCACACCGTTGTTGGACTTGGCTAACTAACACGAGCGCATATACCCTAGGAAACAGAGACCCTTGTAGATGCTTTTTCGCAGAGCCGAAACTAGAATCCGATCACTAATTAAACAAAAGGTTTCCTAATAAACATTCTACAATTGACTGAAAGAAACAACCCTTCCTGTACGATCGTACCCCGCAAAAAACCGTTTTGGCATCCGATATCTTTCTTTTTAATGTAGGTCGCCGTGGTAGTGGAATCGCTGCCTTAGACCCAGAACTGTCCGATATTCACGGTTGTTTATTCCGCAAGAAAGGTCTTCATTGGAAACTGCGTTGGTGCGCCGTTAGCGCTGAGATATTTTACGTTTATCGCGATTCACAATATTCACAAGAAGATTTCAGGTGTAATCTGCGAAAGTGTGTTGCTGTATCAACTTGCCTGGAGCCGGGCCGGTCGCACAGCTTTAAACTAGTACGACGCAAGGGAGACGAGATCTTGCTTGCAGCCGAAGATGGAAGTGAGTTATGGAGATGGTTGAGTGTCCTTCAGAGAGCGACATCAAAATCTCATTCATCTGAAGGTAATATCTAACAGCAATAAACCACGATGTCATGATTTGGTTCGTACAGTTGCATTCCAATTCTTCCTATACCCTGGTTTTCAACCCTGGAGGAGATATTGCGGAGTAATTTGCGAGAACAGTTTGTGGCTAATGAATTGATACCTTTCATTTCTAACAGGTGATGTCAGTCGTTCCTCTTCACTGACAGTCAGTTTATTTGGCAGCGATACAGTTGGCGATAGTTCCGCTGCAGAAGATACGCCTCCTGTGAGTTTTCTTTCATTTTATTTTAGAGTAGTTTTGTGTTCTACATTAAGATGCACTATTATGTGATTTAAATCCATGAGCAAAGCTTCGTTTCCATCAGGCGTATTGCGTATTGTCACCATCATCACCAGTTAGTAATAGTTTGTGATGTTCTTACAGGAGAAGAGAAACAGCAATTACTGTGAAACGACGGACAAAGATTCTTCAGACGAGCAAAGTACGACTAGCAGTATATCCACCAAGATTAGATCACGTGGTTTACCGGAGAGAGGTTATGTTTATTATCTGGTGAAGCAGGACACGTGGGAACACTGTTGGGTAAGAGAGTTTTTTTGAGTATTGACTCATCAGTATGGAGAATATGGCATCCACGTTTCCCCTTATGACCATACCTGAAAGAGGCTGAGGTCGTCACACTTAGGCCCAAATTAAGAGATGGGATTTAGGTTTAGGTAATATGATATGCTTTACTAAGGATTACGGGATACGATTAGCGGTTGGAGTCACTGCTGTGTTAAATTTAGGGTGATAAAATGGGAATTAATAATCATTATATGAGCTGTCAGCTTTTGTCCACCTGACACTGTCCAGCTGTAATTGCATGGGTGACCATTTTCTTACAGATGGAAGTTAGCTTCGGCGTTTTGAGTATTTACAACAACGAAACCAGAGAAACAGCATTACAGCGGGATCACGTGGCCCTGTGTGATGTACAACAGGACAGTGCTAACGGCCAGCGGGCGTATTCATTTGTACTTAAAAAGCCAGGTCGACATCCGATATATTTTGCTGTTGATACTGAACGAGGTAAGTGTCTGGTTGTGGTTTTGATTGTGAAAGTGGGTTCAGCAGGGGTATGTAACTGTGCCGAAGTTAGAGAGAGGGGTGTATGACGTGTTTCCGATACAACGAAGGGCGTGGTCGCGACAGAACGTAAAATTTTTCAAAATGCCTAAAAGTAGGATATTTAAATTTTCGTTTCGCACATAGCCTTGATATTCTGCCCGATCATAATTCAAACATTTGAGCTATAAATTTAAATTTTTTTTCATTTTATGTGGACGACTAGTCGACCGCTAATGCGGTTAGTGAAGCACTAATATCTGATTCTAAAGTCGTTGGGTTTTTTCCAGATTTCTTGAAGTGGAAGGAATGTTTTAATTCGTGGAAGAAAAGACCAGTAGAAGAAAGATCAAACCCCACAGAAGAAATACCAGAACGGGCTTCTGTCAAGAGAAACTACCTTGATATTCCTAGATCATCGCCGGTCGGTGAAACGCCTGTTGTAAGTTTTAAACAACATATTTTGTAAATTGTCCAGCTGTTTCGTATATTTTGATCGCCACTTTATCCGACAGTCGAGACATTCCTTATTGATTATTTTGTTCAATATCTTGCGACTAATCAACTTGAAGTTGATATGTTTTTGCTTTTAACGTAAGAATTTGTGTTTGTATGTGCCAAAGAACCAATAACGTATGTTTGTGATAACATGTGAATGATATTAGATCACTTCATAAAAAAATGCTTTCTGTCTTCTAGACTAGTGATAGCGATTGTTGTGGCGAGGGGACGGACTCAAAGGTTAGATTACGTTTATTTTGAAAACGATAGTTCAACAAAATCATTCCTCCTATTTAACGCGTCGTTTTTTCGATGACAAATTTTCCTTTACGCTTGCATTTCTGATAACAGATAGCAAGGATTTATTAAGGTCATGCAAGTAGATCGTTTTTTTATCACTGAAAAAAGGGAAATCCGTAGCATAAAAATTATTGAAGAAATTTTCGTAGTAAGGAAACTGTAGCGATTCGTTTAATTACATCGTCTTGAAATATGCACAATTATTATAGAGTATAGTCACACATTTTCTATTATCGAGCTTCAAATATTTCCCGGTGTGGTTGCTTGGCAAATACGAAATGCCGTTAGGATTTACTCATTTCAAATCTAAGTCAGTTACAAGGCAAATGAGTTAAGAAGATTAGTGCAATTATCATATTTTTGAAACTGCGCTTCTCTCAAATTGAGGAATAAATAGAAACAGACTGAAAAAAATCGGGCACAAAGCTGTTTAACCCACTCTGCGTTGCAAAGGAATTCATAAATATGCGTGAAATTTCACATGATCTTTCACATACAGGCGTTTAGACCGTTTGTATTAAGTAATGGATGTGTTTTCTGGTTGCCTAGTTGTCGCATAATGAAGGCAATGTAAACATGTCTTTTCAAGCCGGTTTCCGATATTTACCCAAACCGACTGTGTAATGTACATAAATGTCTCGAGTTGTGACCAAATTTTGCAACTGTAAACAACAGCTTTATTAAGACAATCAATACGCAAATGGAACACTCGAAAACTGGATTCATGTGGTTGTGAACTCGTAGTTATGCCGACTGGAACCATTCACATAAGATCAGTTATGGCGTTCAGTTCTACCTATTTACCCAAGAGCCATAGTTTTCTCTTCAGGCCTAAAATGCAAACGCCTGGATTGGAAGACGTGTAAAACCATTAGATCCATTTCACAAAATCTTTAAAAATATTCCTAAGCGTTCTGTTTGTATTGTTATGCTAGTTGGAGATGGACCCCATTATCCAGGATTCGAGTCCACAGTTCATTGAATTACTCGAATAAATCGGCAACATGATCCAGTTTTTCAAACGTACCCTTATTACACTGATTCCTCGCCTTCTGCCTGTCACAGCTTGTGCGAGATATTTTATAACCTCGAAACTCTTTTCTTTTTGCTTTCAACAGGCTAACGAGCTGGCTGAAAGACCCAAAATACGTAGGTCGATGACCGATGTCTTCTTGCAGATCACCCCGAAGTTGAAAAGAACGAGTCAATCGAGCGTCGGTGCCCATGAAACCGACAATTGTGTCATCAAAAATGGTAAATCGTCGTTCCTGTACTACAAAGCGAGCAGTGGTCTTTGGGTCAAGTACTGGTGTGTTCTGGACTTAGCTGTGATATATTGCTTCAATTCCCCAGAGGATAGCGTGGCGAGGTTCTCCGTGGAGATACATGGTTGCGAAATAAGGCGCACCAGTTGCAAATCAAAGAATTTTACGTTCGACGTGTTCAACCGAAATGCGGACAAGCATTACGAGTTTGCAGGCGAATCAACTTATGTCATGTATGCGTGGATGAGGGTACTGAAAATTGCCGCTGGTTCAGAGGGAGGAAAAGGTAGTAACAGGTGAGTACATGTTTAAATGGTCGATAACCTTACTGATTGCCTTGTGAGCCTTACTTTACTTCTGATAAACACGTTTAAACTGAGCTGTGGTATACAGTTTTCGTAAAAGACGCTTCACCAGATGTTTCATATGGTTAACACATGGGAGAACTTGACTCCACATTTTTAGATGATTATGAGACGGCTTTGAATTACGCCAAATGTTTTCATCTCGTCTGCCTCGCTTCGATAGTCATCTTCGTTTATTATTTTACTACTATATACATTTGCGGGAAAGCCTGCGATAAAAATAAAGTTAGTTTCCTAAGTATCGTTGCTCAAAGTCTAAAACCCTAGCCATGCATCGATCCAATCGCATGATTGAATTAGATTCAACGTATGTATATTTTTCTCAGTTGGAAATCCCGCCTTATTTCATTGAGAAATGGGTTAGGATTGAAGTGATTTCAAAGTGAAGTAAACTCAGTATCGGCCCTTGCATAAGATCATTGTAATCTAATTTTTTTGACGATGGTAAGGAAATCTTGTTTCCAGTAATCTACAATTATTTACATTAAGATACCATTTTAATACATGATTTCAGCTAATTAAGTCTTGCACGGGTGGCCTCATTCAGTGATTTAGACCAAAAGAGGAGAAGTAGACAAATGGACTTTCGCGCATTCACAGCTTAAATAGTTCAATGAAACATGAATTAGCATTGTGTTGTTGAGCCTGTCAGACAGCGTTAATCGGTTGCATGGTATTCCGTTGATTAGACTGTGCGATGTAGAGTGTCAACAATCAGACAGAAATATGTTTGGTTTTCTTTTGAGCCGATTATATGCTGCATATGGTTCAGATGATGTTTCATATCCCCGAAAGCAGCAGAATTATTGTCGATGTTGTAGTTTTGCCGTTGTTGATACATAGTGGGCAGTAGGGATATATCCGCTACGTAAAGACGGGTAAACTCGGCGCCACAGAGCATAAGATTTTCGTTTTACACCGGTATCCTTCTAAAAACTTGTCCTGCACAGACAGATGGATTTTCAGAAGAATACTGAAGTAAAATCTCATTTTCTGTATTCTTCTCATTTAATGATTGTTGGTCAATACGGGATCTAACTCAGTATAGGCCAAGCAATTGATCAACACTGGCATTTGTGTAATTTGTTAATGGTATGTGCTTGTTTTTTCAAGTAGTGGCGAGTCATTCAGCGCAACCAAATATGAAGAACCAGTTGCTGGTAACGAGAAGACTGTCGAGAATGTCTTGAGAACGAAATATTTGAAAACAAAGACAACGTTCATGATATCGTCTCAAGCCCTCCGGAGAGCACCACCACCAGCCCGCGGACATCTGTAAGCGTTCCTGCATCGCCAAAGAAGAAAGGCAAAATAACGGGCCTAGATGAAGTACTCAAGTTACTACATGAGAAACGCCTGGAACAGGAATTGCTGACTAAGAAACAAACGAAATCTGAAAGAGTCCGAATGAGATGGCAACACTCAATGCTAGTCGTACTTCGGAAAACGCGCCACTCGCGCTCGCAATCGAACTCTGACATTATGAAATCTTCGGGTAGTTTCGGCTCGGACTCGGGAAATGTCGCTACGAGTCCGGAATTGGACGAAAAAGCTGCGAAAGAAAAATACCGTGAAATCTCCAGCAAATACGACAGTATCCTGGAAGATGAACGACTTAAAATGCTTCGTCGGGAGACTTTGCTCAAGAAAAGACGAAATTCGCTAATCTTACGTCATGATATGCTGCAGAAGAAGTTGGGTAAAATTCAAGAAGCTGGCAAAACGACGCTAAAAAAACGGCAGTCAAAGTCCGATGCGAAAGAAATGTCGGCGTCGTTTTCAAAAGGCGACAACGAAGAGGTGTTGAAGCAACTTGCGGATATCAATGCAGAACTTGATGGGATAAAACAGGATATAGCGAGCAACCACGAGGAACAACGTAGGATAGGCGATGACCTTAATGAACAAAAGCGTCAAGAGCTACGCGAATTAAGAATAAACGCAGACTTGAGTCCACAAACGTCCAAGGTGAATTTACATGAAAACAAAACTCTGCATCGCAGACAAGTGTCCGACTCGTCTTTGAACGATAGCTATCGGAAAATGACGGTGAACCTGGATAAACTTAAACTGCCTTTAACACATACGGTTTCGACGCCCTCCGGCGATTTAAGAACAAAGGCAAAGTCATTTTCGTCAGCGTCGGGCGTTCCGAAGACAAGGAGCAGTCCGCTTTTGAGAACTAAAACATACGATAGCACGGACGGTGTAAAAAGACCCAAAGCAAAGTCCCGCGCAAGTCAAGAAACACTTTCACTGGCTCTCTCGCAAATTGAGGTAAGTTTGCGCAAATTCTTTCTATTTGTACGATCCCGTTGAAAATGTGCAGCAAACTTGTAAGTTGTATCATGAATCACGAATTTATATAATTTTATTTGAGGCTGTACGTTTGCGCAAATGTTTCCACATTCCCCGTTCATACGATTCCAGTGAACTTGTGTGATGAATCACTGAAAGTGAATTTGATTTTCTTTCAGGATTTCGAGGCTTTTGTTCAGGATTCATATCGAAACTGTGGCGCAGATATTGGTTGTTAATAGAGCCTGGAAACAGAGACATGAAAAAAAGTCAGGAAATTCCACACATAGTCGCCCAGTAATGCTGCTATCGTAACAAACTTTATACCCAAATTCGTGGCTTTGTCTTATATCAAGACGTGAATAATATTTCCTGGGGAAAACGACGAGAGATTTCAGGCAACACCATTCTGACACGATGATATGGAAAGCTCGTTTCATTGAAAAATGCATGAATGCCTGCTGTTTGTTACCTTTGCAATCTTTGCAAATTTATTTGGTTTCATGATTTTGAGCACACGCAAACATCCATTTGGAATAGCAGCGCTATTTACAAGAAATAGAGTTACGATCGGTCAGATTTTCCATTGGAGTCATAATATTTAAGACCAGTTTCTTGTTTATAGTGCAATTTTGGACAAGAAGTGCGTAGGTTCTTAAATAAATCGTTGTTCTAACTTAGCTTATGTTTATAAAGAGGTGTACTCTGACACTTTGTTTTTTTTACCATCCCTTGAATCTCTCCTGGTAAGTTCTGTTGACTCACCTCATAACTCAAGTTTCCAAGTTTTTAAATTGTACATTTTACGGTTACATAGACGAAGGTGTTCAGTTTTAATCAGACCTTTTTGTCTGTTTTTATAAGCTAACATGTCTATAAAAACATTTCCCACGAAGATACTATACGCACAGCATATAATTATTCATGCCTATATCCATGTACAGTATTACTAGATATACAAATTTTTTAAAAAAATTGAACTTTAAAGTTAATCTTAATTGCACCACAATTTGCACAATGAATATATATATTAAAGAGAATATATATAGCTATATATATACATATATGAATGAGAATATATAATAAATGAAAGTGAAAAACAACGCAAATTGTGTCCACTTCCTATATCTAGACAGGTCGATGAACTTCGAAAAGGATTTGCAAAGGAATTAGCGATGCTTTGAGCTAGAAAAATAAAACTGACTTGGTTTTCAAGTCTTGACCATTACAAAGATCATTCATTCCACAAGCTAAGAAATTGGTGGGCGATGAAACATATAGAAACACCATTGAATTCAGCTGGAAAATGTACATATTTTTGTACAAAATTCCGTCTGCTTGTTGACTGATTATAAGAATAGAGGCCAACAATGCTATATACTTTTTGTCGTTATCCGCCAATTATGACTAGCCAATTAAATGAGCTCTATAAGAGCTCAGCTCTTGACGAAAACGATAAACCTAATCTTGACAATCTTACAGCAATGCAGTGGTGGCATTGAGTTGGCGGTCCACCCATAAGTTGAAAATTATATCCACGAATACTCATTATAGTCTCCACATATCACCTTTGACCTACTTATGTCCCTCTTTTGTTGACACTTGAGACATATTTTATAAATTATAAAGGAAGAAGGAAGTATGTAAATAGTTTTTGATTGTTGCCAATTAATTATAGCAGTAAATACCTGAAGGAACATGGCTTGTGATGTCTGCATTTTTTGTACACTTACTTTTTTTGCATTCTACGTTGCGATCGCGTCCCAAGAAAAAGACTTCTTGCCCGATCAACAGAAATTTGAATTCAGCTTTGTAGACGACAGTCAAAAAACGAAAAACGTGAGTATTTTTTAAAATAGAAGATCATGATTATGTAGGGCGCACATTATATAGACTAGTTATTCCGTGTCTTATTCCACAGAAAATGGTTGATCAACAAACGCCTGAAATTTTTAAGGCCAGCTTTGATATCTTGGTAGTTGGTACAGGTTGAATAATATATTGTACTGTCAACTACTGTGCATGATAACGTCAGACTAATTATTGTTTCGTTTCTGTTGTGAGATTTATGGATGTATAGGTCATGAGCAATTATCAATGTGTAAACAGCTCTCCAAAAGGCTAATTCATTTTCTGCTTTCTTTGTTTCTAAATGAAGTATTCTCTGGTGGATGACCTTGATGTTGCAGCCAAACATGTCAAGAAATACATCACAAAAAGCGGATACAAAGTTGGTGTATATCATCATCTCCTAACTGCTGGTCATCTTCAATTACTAAGAGGGCTTGCCACTTTCCAGCTTGGTGCCTGGTCCTATGGTATTCCTGAGGCTAATGTTCATGATGGCCAGAAACGCACCAATCCTAATAACATTCCCTGGTTGAATGAGATCAATGCTGTTGAATTTTCAGAGAGCATAGTGGCCAAACAGTTGCAGAAAGTTGTTGCAGATATGGATGAGGGTGGAGATGGTACATATGTTCCATATAAAGTTATTGGTCACATAATGCGCTGTGGGGACTCTCCTAAGGTACATGTTGATGCAGCCCCTGAGGATGATGAGGTATCCATGATGATTTATCTAAATGCAAACTGGAGGAAGAATGATTATGGAGACTTGTACTTGTAAGTCTGTTTATGTTTCCTTTCAACTAATTACTAATCTCACATTTTTCTCCATTCTCCCTCATAATTCCTTCTCTTCTTCTCATTCTTCCTCCCTATTCCTTCCTTCCTCCCCCCATTCACTCTTGCCATTTCCTTTCAATCCTCCCTTCTTATTCTCATTACCTTTCTTCTCTTTCCATCCTTTCTTCCCTTCTACCCTCTCACATCCTCTCCTTTCATTTACGCATGGTACTCCCACATTCTCCTTACTCCCTTCTCTTTTATCTATTTTTCTGTCCATTATCAGCCAAATACTCGTAACTACAGTATAGAATATGATACTGAAGAGATTCATAAATTGAAAAAATTAACTCTTTTAGATACGATGACGATCAAGAAATCTTGGCTGGGGTGGTACCACATTACGGTCGCATTGTTGTATGGCAGAGCTCAATTCCATATCTTCCTCGACCTCCAAGTGTTGCTTTCAAACTTGGCCAACTCTTCTTCCACATTCGCTTCACAAAGAATCAAACAAAATTCATGAATACTCATGAAAAATGGTTGGACAACCATCAACTGTATGAAACTATACGAAACAAAGGATTATTTATTAACCCCCAAAAAGGTTTGTACTGGATTAAGTAATCTGTAATCATGGTTAAGAGATTTATACTGAGGACAGGTATTTGGTCTGAATGAATTTGGTAAAAACTGATGACATGACCTAATGTCCTCCGTATAACCAACATGTCATATAAAGTTCTGGCTATAATTAAGTCCTAAAGATATCTGAAGTTTCAATTTTGCATCTTAGATGAACATAAAGAACCAATAAACGCTAGAAAAATGCTAGTTTCAGAGGCTAAGTCGGAAGAGGGCAAGAAAATTTTTGTGTTTGATGGTTTGTTTAAGAGAGACGTCTTGGATCAACTCCGTAGTGTTATACTGAACTATGGCGTGTATTATTACGATGACAGTTACGATGAAGAAAGCGATAATGTTCAGTGGATAGCAGCGTTTAATGTGGATGAATATGTACAAAGCAGGATGTGGGGGATTACAAGAGAAGTAAGTATATCTCCTACTGTGACAAGCGAGTCTTGAAAGTCGAGCTTTTGTTAATTTTTAGTCTTTTTCGCGCGTTATGCGCTTGGATTAAGACTAGCCTGATTACGGGATTAATATTGTAATGTTATCTCATCTTAGATTGCTGAATTTGTCTCTGGCGGACACGCAGAGTGGTTTCCTTACGATGTATCCTGCAACTTGATTCGTAATGCGGACACAACACAGATTCATCACGACTGTACACGACAAGAGAACGAGTGGACGTTTTTGTTGTATTTAAATCCTGATTGGAGTGCGAATGATTATGGAGAAACCGTGTTTTATGAGACGAATGATGATAAGACTGAAATTATTACCGAAGTACTGCCAAAGTATGGCCGGGTTGTGATTTTCCAAGGTGGGCTTGTTTTCGTTCTTTTTTCTTCCATTAAGAATCCTCCTTGAGCCTCTTTTTTAACTCCACAGGGATAATCCCACACTCAGCTCGTCCTCCCAGCAGGAATTTCACCGGCGCGCGATTATCCTTTGCTGTCAAGTTATCCGTAAATGAATTCACCGGAAGACTGAAAGCATCTCGTGAGGAACTTAGGCACTTCACTGGAGCTTTGGCGGGACTTCAGTATATAAAACAGCAATTTTTAGATGGGAACATTGAAGATGAGGAAGGTGAAGGTATCACATCTCTTTTTTTCACATATTCCGAAAAATTTCTCCCGCGAGTCAAATCTGTTTATAGTCTATCGAATGTGCTTCAAATTTTAGACGCAAAGCAGTTTCCTGTACCATTTAGCAAGTAGAAATTTCATGTTATAAGTCGAAATTTCGTGTTATAATTAACACATTCAAATGTTCGACAATCATTTCGTAGCTCCAATGGAAGAGGATTCCGAAATTTCGATCGAAGATGTCAGACTACGAGAAATAAAAGAAAAGTTTGAGAGATTTGATATCGAAGAGAACGATATCGAAGATGTTCGTGATTTTTTTAAGGAAGTCAGAAATTTGCATCTCGGAGCCAGAGAAGAAATCAAAGAGCTTTTACATCGGTTATTATGATCGAATATCAGAATTTCTTCAATTAATTTAGTCTATTTGAGGTAGCACGCAAAAAATTTGCACTTTTTTTCCATCACCGATTATTTTAATCTAAACCTATGCATGTATTCAATCGTAGATCTTATAAGTATCATTCAAATTGTTTTAAACTTTTACGTGCGTGTACGTAACGTACATACAAACGCAACAGTGGAAAGCAGCCCTTACCCGTAAATTAACCAATTATTAAATTATATGATTAACTGTAAATGCACTGAAATATTTATTGATATAATCTTTTTAATCACGTTCGAAAGCAAAGCTTTTTAGATAGTATTCAATGTAATAATTTTATTTTAAATTAAATGAATCATTTTACATTAATTTTTCGGGAGGTTTTTTTTGTTTTGGGGGAATTGTGAATATTGGGGGTATTTAAAAATATTCGCTGCTGACCAACCACCAACATATCGCTGGCGTCGATCAGAAAAATGGCCGAAATTTCTTGCTCTGACTGGATTGTTATGCAACAGTTTTTTGACGATATATCCCACGTCTTTTAATAGATTTTTCTGGAAAGTTGTAAAATTAAAGCGATGCTATGTGGCTACAAATCTAACGGAAATCGGTGTGTGAAATGTTTTTGGAAATACAAATTTACAGCTCGCAAACCTGGCAATGTGATTCTTGTCCGACCTGTCGTAGTACAACATCATATTAAAACCTTCAGACTTTCGTTTTAAAATGTTAGAAAGTCTCGCTGCCTGGGTTTTACGGACTTATGTTGGGGAGTATGTTGAGAACCTCAATACAGATCAGCTATCCATTGGTTATGGTAAGAGTTTTTTGCTTGGATTTCCTAAGCGTTGTAAATCGTGTCAAGTACTAAAGCGATCCATGTCGTTAGGGTTGACCATGATCAAATTACATTTTGCTTTAATAATTTATAAATATTCTGGTGTTTGCCGATTTCGACGACTTGAATGCGTACAGAGTGCTCTTGTTTCCTGAAATAGATATAAATTATGGCGATCTTAAATAAAAGTTATCTCCATTTAACTTTGGATGTATACTATATTATTATTTATTATTTTCATATGATCATTTATATATAATCCAATATAAACAGTGTCATTTAAATGTCATGTGACGTTGCAAAAACTGTTTAATTTATTTAATTAAATGATATATTTTCAACCCAGTCACTGATGTCCATTTAAATATTTAGGAACAGTGGAGCTTGAAAATTTGCCCCTACGAAAGACAGCTCTACAAGGCCTTGAGCTCCCATTAGAAGTGAAGTCAGGATTTATTGGACGTCTCAAGCTTTCCATCCCTTTTCGTCATCCCAAGTCAGAGCCATGGATCATTCATATTGATAAACTATATCTTATAGCTGGACCTCTATGCGAATATCAGGTATATAAATCTTACACCTAGTGTTTAGTCCAATAATCCAGTAAGATCATTCAAAATGTTCCATGAAGCTATCTGTGCTAATAAGTTAAGTCAAATGGATTTACATGGGATTTATGCATTGGATGGTTGAACATGTTGTTTGATTTTCTAGTATGATGAAGAACAGGAAAAGAAAAAAGAATCTGAACGAAAACAGAAACAACTTGATGGTCTGGAGATGCAGTGGCAGGTAAAATTCTTCTTGCTATAGTTATAGCTTAAGGAACTCTTGCTGTAAATGCAGTATTCAATGTTAAAAGCTTGCACTAGGGCTAAGCAATATTAGAAATCTGTTTTAAACTACTTTAGTTTGGGAGGTCAAAGGAAAGTGCAACTGAGTCCTGGTGGACTTCAATCTATTCTTCTCTATCTACAACAATTATGGAAAATCTTCAGGTATTATATATCAGTTAACATATTAATTTCATTCAGTACTGGAAAGGTACAGTAGCTGTGATCAAAATACATTACCTTTATTAAACTAATTTATTTAGTTGGTTGTCAACGATGTTCATGTTCGGTATGAAGACAACATTCTTAACCCAGAAAATCCCTTTGCAGTCGGAATTACAATTGAGAAGCTTGCCATGGAATCAGCAAATCAGAATTGGGTAACTTAGACACAGCTGTTCTATCCATAGTTCAGAGTTTACTTCACAAGGAACAATCTAGTAGTAAATGATCAAATTGAATAATAGCTTATCATTACATGTTACCTAAACTAATTTTGTCTTGCCAGGAACCAGAGTTTTTAGTGTCCGAAAGTCAGACAAAGTTCAAACTTATTGAAATTCAGAAGTTTGCCTTGTATTGGGACTCAGACACAAGTTTAGTTGGAGATTTACCTTCAAAAGATTTAAATGTAAGAATGAACCTAGACCCAACACTATTTGTTTCAAACCAGTGTAACAGTGTTTTATTAAACAAACGCATTTTGTTAATTTCATTTCATCAGGATGCCTTATGTCGTATAATCGGAAGGCAACAAGGAATGGCTGGTTTTTCTGTGAGTCAAAGATTCAGCATTCTGTGTTCATTTAGGTATCATATTTTATCATTTATCATCATTTATCATAATTACTGTATTATATATTATTTAGCAACATGAGTACATTCTGCACCCGTTAAGCTCTCAAGTAAAACTCCAACGCAACTGTTCAGCTGTTCCATTGAGAGACAAGGAAGAACCAAGATTTATCATCGACATACATCTCGAAAAAATTGCAATCTCTCTGGCTGATGTACAGTATCAGAACCTGTCCAAACTCATGGAAGAATTCCAGAGACATTTTCGCAGTCAAAAGTATCGAAAATGGAGACCACTTTTACCGAAGAAACACAAGTAAAAATATTACAACTGCTAAGTAGATAGCGAAATTCTGCAACTATTATTTGTCAGCAGGGCCGCTGAAATATATTGTGGGGCCCAGCGCAAAATGTTTTTCTGGGGCCCTTAGTCGAGTCCGCCGGAAAATGGCGAATTCGACCATGGTCAAATTGTCCGGAAAATGCCGAATACGACCATGGTCGAATTGGCCGGAAAATGCCGAATGCGACCATGGTTGAATTGGCCGGAAAATGGCGAATTCAACCATGGTCGAATTAGCCGGAAAATGGCGAATTCGACCATGATCCAGTTAACGAGAAAACGACTAATTCGACCATGGTCGAGTTCGCCGGAAAACGACTAACTCGACCATGGTCGAATTCGCCGGAAAACGACTAACTCGACCATGGTCGAGTTCGCCGGAAAACGACTAACTCGACCATGGTCGAGTTTGCCGGAAAACGACTAATTCAACCATGGTCGAGTTCGCCGGAAAACGACTAATTCGACCATGGTCGAGTTCGCCGGAAAACGACTAATTCGACCATGGTCGAGTTCGCCGGAAAACGACTAACTCGACCATGGTCGAGTTCGCCGGAAAACGACTAACTCGACCATGGTCGAATTCGCCGGAAAACGACTAACTCGACCATGGACGAGTTCGCCGGAAAACGACTAACTCGACCATGGTCGAGTTTGCCGGAAAACGACTAATTCAACCATGGTCGAGTTCGCCGGAAAACGACTAATTCGACCATGGTCGAATTCGCCGGAAAACGACTAATTCGACCATGGTCGAGTTCGCCGGAAAACGACTAATTCGACCATGGTCGTATTTCGCCGGAAAACGACTAATTCGACCATGGTCGAGTTCGCCGGAAAGCGACTAATTCGACCATGGTCGAATTCGCCGAAAAACGGCCGGAAAATGGCGAATTCGACGATGGGCGAATCGGCCGGAAAATGGTGAATTCGACCATGGTCGAATTAACCGGAAAATGACGAATTCGACCATGGTCGTATTAACCGGAAAATGACGAATTCGACCATGGTCGAATTGGCCGGAAAATGACGAATTCGACTATGGTCGAATTGGCTGGAAAATGGCGAATTCGACCATGGTCGAGTCCGTCGGAAAATGGCGTTTAGAAAGTGGCATTTTTTAGGGTGTTTTAATTTTGAGTCTTTCTCAAGTCGGGGCGGCCTTCAGGTTTGGGCCCGGTGCAAAATACCCCCTGCCCCCCCTCTCAGCGGCCCTGTTTGTCAGTAGTGGTTTGAACCTTTATGGCAGGTTATAATAATAATTAGCAGTTTCCCAAATTTTCTTCTCCCCTAAAAGCCCGTATTTCGAATTAAGTTAGTTATTTCCTTCTACAGTGCAAAAGCTTGGTGGCAGTTTGCTGGAAAGTGTGTCTTAAACTTCATCGAAGAAAGAAACAAACGTCAGACGTGGTCTTTCACCATAACAAGAGCTCAAACTATTGTAAAATACGTTAACGTTTATACCAAACATTTGACGGAGGCCACTGAAGACGTAAATGCAACGGTTGGTTTGTTGCCTATTTGTTTGTTTCTTTGCTAGTCTGTCATTTCAAAGCTTTCATTTTGTGCTATTTCCAAAATTAAAATCAATTCCCTTCACGCAGGTCATTCAAAAAGAAATCGAGGATGAATTAAGCTTTGAAGAATTAAAGGTGCTGCGTTCTATTGCTGTCGCTATCGTCAGAAAGGAAGAGGCATTGAGAAGGGTTGGTCCTCGTTTATTTGTTGTGATTTTTCTTCAAAAAAACGTTTCGTATGTTTGAACAAAGAATGTTAAAATACCAGCCATTTGCTACAGCCAGTTGTGTTTATTTTAGGCTGCAGAGATCAAACATTCGCAAAGTCAACAAAACTCAACACAAAATGATGCAAGCGCTGGTTGGTTGTCCGGTTGGTGGGGATGGTATGGTGCCTCTGAGGAAAGTACTACTGTGGACACCTCACTGCCTCCAAATGTTGCAAGTGAAGGACCTCAGACTGAAGGTAACGCGGTGATAGAAAGATACGTTGAATAATGAACAATGGCGCCAATTGTTAGATGAATACACTAATTGCGATGGATACACGAATTGATAGATGGATACACGAATTGATAGATGGATACACTAATTGCGATGGATACACGAATTGATAGATGGATACACTAATTGATAGATGGATGTAGGAATTTGCTAGATGGGTACACCAGTTGTTAGTTAGATACACTACATAATTGCGATGGATACACGAATTGATAGATGGATATGCACACGAATTGATATACGGATGCACGAATTTGCCAGATGGATACACCAATTGTTAGTTGGATACACTATCAGTAAATGATTTATGCGTATGTATTTTATATTTGCAGAAGAAGAGCAATTTCTGGAGGAAATACAAGAGGGCAATACGGATGATTCAATTTTCAAACGCGACACCGTCTTCGCCAATTTGAACTTCCACCTTGACAGCGGACAGTTCAAGCTCTTGACAACTAAGAATCGCATTAACCATGGCGAACTACAGCCATTGGTCGAAATCGTGTATGCTGACGTGAGATGGATGTCTCGAGTTTGCCCCAGGAGCAGCACTTGGCGCAGTAACATGAGCCTACGGTCTATACTGGTCAAAGACAAGATGAGTGAAGGGAATATTTTTCATTACTTGGTGTCAGGACAACCAAAGCAAATCTCCGAGGATTCTCCCAACGAGTCCGTATTTCAACTAGAATTTGAAAAAATGCCAAAAAGTAGTAAAATTGGTTATGGCTTAAAAATAAGAACACAGCCACTGCAGATTGTTTATAATCCGGCCACAATCGAGAGGATCTCAGATTTCTTCAGAAGACAAACGATATCAACGAAGAAGGCCGACCTTCACGCCATTGAGCAACAGATATTGGATGCAGCTTGGGCGAGATACGAGGAGTTAAAGACACAGACCAAGACTGGGCTCTATCATGCCATGGATGATTTGTTACTGGGGCAAGTCAAGGTGCGTTGTGATTAGGGGCCTGGATCCATGCTATATTATACACTCATCCATATACAGATCTTTGAACTAAAAAATCATTGACAAAGGAACTAAAAATCATTGAAGCTCGTACACATCGTTGTATAGTTATGAAAATGAATATAAGCTATTTAAAGATCTTATTCCTAAACTACTGTCTCCAATAACTTAGCATCAAATGTGGTTAACTACTGTCTAAAATAGACAAAAAACCTCTCGACGTTTCGACCGGAGGGCCTTCGTCAGGAGAGTTAGAAAGAAAGTAGTATTGTCCCCAATACTATTTCATCTAATTTCATTATAGACGCAAGACAAAAGATGGAACATCGAGATGTTTATTGCTGCCCCACAAATCATTCTTCCCGAGTCGTTTCAAGAAAAGAATGCTTCGATGATTCTTGTCGATCTTGGAAACCTTTCATTCGTCACAAAATCTGGCTCAGCGAAAACATCCCAAGACACACAGAACAAAGTTAACATGGAAATTGAGGGGGAAGACGATGGTGAGTGAAACTAAAGATATACATACTTACGGATTAGGCCATTCAAGTGTAATTTTTATAAAGTTGAAATGTTTTTCAAATGAAATCTTTAGACGATTCGTTTGTCACTCCTCCGTCAACACCGCCAAGCGAAGACGAGATGGACGGCCTTCCAGCCGTGGCGTCTCTGAGCGAGCTGAAAGAAAGTTTTACTGCGGAGTCACTGGCCGATAAAGTTTACGATAGATACACCTTGGAACTAGCAGATCTGCAGGTCTTAGTCGCAAAGATTGACGAGTATCGAAAAAAGCAAAGCAGTGGTATAGCTGGAAGCCTTGAGGAGTTTAGCATTGTGGATAAGTTCACAATTTCACTTCAACTGGAAAGGTTTGTTCTGTTGTTTTGGAGGAAACAAGAGGTGTACTTATTAGATTGCTTTGCGGTTTCTATACAGGGATGTGATATAGTATATAGTATTTAGTGCTGAGGTATCAGTTAGATCTAAACTGTTGTTAGAGCGTGATCTTGTTGTGAATAGCTATAGAATTTAAATTCTGTTTTTCATTGTTTTAGGAGGTTAATATTCACCGCAGACCCTAAGTGGCCAAGTGTAACCGTGTCAGGCGATTTACCAAAACTAAATTTGTATTTTAGCGAGATAAAGGTGGGCAGTAGTCTGGTATTAACTCCAGCTAGATACATAATGTAGATAGCTAACTACAAGACACGACCTAATTTTAATCTCATTTAGGTCCAAACCATGTGGAAATGTATGGCAAACCTCTGGGGTAGTAACAACTCCATCACACAACAACAATCTTCGGACGAGTCCGTGGAATCGTTTCCTAACTTATCATTGAATGAAAGTAAGTTTAAAGATCGTAAATTGTCTTTTAATCTAAACGTTATCCCTAAAATTCTCTCGTTTCTGTTTCTAAAGCATCAAAATCCTTGCTCGACCTCACTGAAGTTGACTATTACAAACTTACAAATCAAGACACCTATGATAGTGCTACACCCTCACTAAGGTAATGATCTACTAGATCTTCTTTCAGCAGTTTGAGCAGTCTTATTATCTAATCCTCTACACATCAGCATAAGATTAAAGCATGTAAACGTTTTCACGTTGTTTAGTCATCAGTCATCGGACAGTTCTCTGGATTGTCGCCAAAAGCTTGGTCAGTTATCAGAAGAATCGTGTCAGGTTCTTGGACAATTCTGCATTAACGAACTCTGCGTTTTTTTGTCTGGCAGAGGTATGTAAACTTTTATCAAACTATTTTACTGAAAACGACACTCAAATGCGAGATTCTCTGGTCACACACACACGGTCTTACAAATGTTCAAATCCACGTTGCAGGTCGAGTCATTGCAGAGTTAAAAGTCGATGGTGTTAAGTCCAGTTACACGAAGAGACCTTATGATATGTCGTTGTCGCTAATGGTTTACGATATCTTTCTTGTGGATCGCGTGCAGACCTACGGTCCAGAGTTTCAGATGTTATTGTCCTCTCACGACTCTAGTAGAAATAAATGTGTCACACCAGGTAAGAGTCGTTTACGACAATGTCTATTTGTTGTATTTACTTGCATTTTTATACAATATCTATCATTCATATCATTCATTCTAGTTCATCCTGTTGCCAATAAGGTGTTCATACTCGATAGCTCGGAGAATGTTGATCAGCCTGAGTTTGACTCAGTTGTTACGGTGGATTACAATCAAATAAATACAAATAGTCCAAGTTTAAGAAGCGAACAGCCCATGAGGATTGCTTCAATACAGTTTAACAGTGTCAAATTTATTGGTAAGTTAAATTTTCTTTTCGCCTACACCCCATATGTAGATCATTTCTCAATGTTCTTCTCAATTTTTCTAGCCAACCAAGAGACAATTGTTGAACTGATGAATTTCATCAACACTCTATTTCCATCTGGTGGTACTCAATCTTCCACGGCCAACCTTCAGACTATCACTGAAAATGAAGTAGCCAAGGATCTCCAGGAGAAGGTTGGGATCGAGTGAATTACAAAAATTCTCTATAACTATGTCAATTTTCCAATATTGTAAACCCACGCATTAGTTAGGGACTGTGAGAATGAGACCAACGCTGTTTTCGTTTTTAGCAGGATGACGAATCACCAGTTTCCATGGAGATAACGGCCACCTTTCATCAGCTCAACGTACAGTTTATACGTGGGCTCACGCTAGAAAATCAAAGCTTTGCCCGAAAAGTTGCCGACGTTAACATAATTGATCTTTGGACGCAGGTGACATTCGGGGATAAACAGATCATCGAGGGATCTCTGGGAGGCCTACATGTACTTGACGTGACACCGGAGGATATTTGCCACAGAGAGGTGCTGAGTGTTGGGGTTTTAATGACAGGGAGTCCAAGATCAAATTCCGGTGTATTTCAAGACTTTGATTCAGGAGGGGAGGCCAAGAAGGCTTTTACATTCACCTTAGTCAAACCTAAGCCGACAGACATTGGCTCACACCCCCCGGCTGATGAAAGCTTATCGAAGCATATACGTCTATCAGTTCATATGGCGTCGGCACATTATACACATACACACAGGTTTATTTCTGAACTAACGCGATGCTTTGATGATTTTAGTAGCCATGCAAATGCGGTTGCACAATCATTACGATCAGCGGCAACCTCCATGGCTATGGGCTTGGTAACCAAGCAAAAATCATTGGCTGACGGAATAGATTATTTTTCATCCTCGTTCACTCAAGGTTCTTCAGGGTTAGGCCTCGAACCCAGGTCGTCAAGTCGGCGGCCGAGTGTAGACTCGTGGGACGGCGCGGTTGAACGGAACCTGGGACCAATTGCATCCGCCCCCGAGAGTAAACGCCGTGTGTATGCTCACGTGACTATAGAGACACCGGTGGTTATATTGCCGCGTACTTCAAGTAGCCAGGAGCGCTTGGTGGCTCATTTAGGTCGGATAGTGATATACAATACCCATTTAACTTCTTACGATCATAGTTTTCAAGAGAATTGCAGGCGAACAAATTCTGATAGCAATATTAATTTTAGTTTTAACGACAGCGCCACGGAAAACAATTTTGACCAAACTTCGGACAGTTCCACCGATTTTGACGATATAGACCGCGTGTATATTGACATTACTGATATGAGTTTGTATTCTCTGGGGTTGGCAAAAGGTGGCGCAAGGTGCTCGGAGAATGGCACGGGTGTTGCCGTCAGCGAACATATTTTACACAATACGGCTTTACGGCTCGTGGTCGACCGATGCTGTCGTAGTGGGCCTGGGGATGAAGCCGAAGGTGAAATCTCAGAGACTGACTTCGGGGAGAGCTCGAAGCCGACCATTCTCGTATCGGGTCGTGTCACAAAACCCCTTCAGTTGGTGCTATCAAACAGAGCTTATAAACAACTGTTGTCAACCAATGATACGTTATCTGGGAAGACTGAGAGGAATATGAGTGGATCGAGGGGGACTTCGACAGCTTCTAGTGCTGTGACATCACCAATCATATCTCCAGTGTAAGTGTGTATTAATAATGTATATGGTTTTTAATATCTTGGCTGAAAAGGTAGCCCAATACATCCATCTAATGTGCGACCATTTTGTGTTGTTATGCATGAGACCAGGTCAATTTGCTCCTAGTTTGCAATTGAACGTGATTTTAAATTCTTGTCATTAGATCGTCATCTTTCGATTTGGAGAATGCGAATCAGGTAGAACCAGTTCCGATGAACGTTGACCAATCAAATGACAGCGGACCATCCGAAAACCTTTCAATAACGCCCGAAGGAGCCCGAACTCCCATTCGGGCGAGCTTCGATGTGCCTCGTTTCAATATAGAGTTAAGAGGCGATTTGAAGGACGGCGAACAGGGAATCGTCAATGTTTTTTTCCAAGATTTCGAACTGCTGTACAAAAACACCGTGAAATCAGCGACATATTACGACGTATCTTTGGGTGGCTTGGCCGTCGAAGATTTATTGCAAAACCCAGATTCCTTGTACCGTAATATGATGGTGTCTTCGAGTTCTTTGTCAAAAACATCTAAAGGTAATTTGAAACGCAACGAAGCACTGTCAAAATCCTGTCCGGATATTTCGGGATTTTTCGCAAAAGATGCTCATTCCACCTCACTGCCGATGGAATTGGGCAGCAACCCCCGGGGTAATGGCATGCGTGCCTCCTCCCCCCTGAGGCCGATGTTCCAACATCGTCGAATGTTCGCGTTACGAGCCGAAGAGATGTGTGAAGACACGGAGGACCGGGACGAGAGCGTTAATGATTCTGTCGAAGAGTTCCTTGGGAAGAGAGATACGTATAAGGAGACTGGGGATGATACTCTCGTGAAGATTAAAGCTCTTATGGTGGATAGGACCTCAGAGGAATACATCACAAAATATAACAAGGTGGAATATATTGCAAAATGCCCTACATTGAGTAAAGAATGAGTCGTATCTTCAAACCACTGTCATTTCATTTCATTTTAGACCGACAGATTTGTTGAGGTGGATTTCAATTCGTTGGATACAACTGTAAACCTTCAGACATGGGTTGTTTTTCTGGAGTTCTTTGGCATTGGTCGAGCTCCAGACGAGATCAACACAGCCCAAAAACAAGATGCAATGAATATCGAAAGACAAATAGAAAGTACTGTCTTTATCTTGTTGTTCGTGGCAATTAATTGAACTGGTTCAAAAACAATTCTTTTTTGACTGTCTTTTCTCTCACTTCTTAGCCGAATCTTCATTGCCTGACGGAGAGGAAAACTCAATTCAAGAACACATCAATTCTCAGTACAAAGTTCGCGTTTCCTCGTTGTCGTTGACTTTGAACAAGGTTAAATATCCTCTTGCAAAGATCAAGATCGCTGGTCTCTCGTCGCTAGTTAACATGAGAGAGAACGACATGAACGTTAAAGGAAAACTGATGAAGATCAATTTGGTTGACATGTCTCCTCATGGAAAGATGTATAGAGAAAAGTAAGTAGAGGCATCGTGGATTACAAGGGGAGGGAGTTCATGAACAATGATTTTCTGTTCTCTACCTAAACAGAAGAGCATTGCAGCTTTTGTCATTGTTCCTTTTTCTTTCGTTTGTAGATTTACAACATGTGGGGAAGAGGCTTTGGATTTTGATTTTTTCAGGTATTATTTTAGAGCGCCTTTCATTAGGTGGTAAATGGTCCCGTTCATTCTTATTTCAATTTGAATTTGAATTTAGAATATTCCGCATGACTGTTTTGACCGTCTATCGTGTGATTAATGGCACTTCCTACGTTACATAAAAAAATTTCCATGATTTCCATGCAGACTTCAGGATCTATCTTCATTCTTGCAACCATATTGTTTTGGCTTCATGTTTAGATATGGTGATCCCGACCCGGAATTACGTCACGAGTACGATATGAATATTAAACTCCGCATGTCCGCTGTCCAGTATGTTCACACGAAGCGATTTCAATCTGAGCTCATGGCATTCGTCAATCATTTCTCGCAAATACAGGAATCTTTGAGACGGATGAGAACCGTGGCCGCAGGAAACGAGGTAGGGCGAATATGGTACTGAGTTTCGGGTTATGATGACACTTTGGTGAAGGTACAGTAACCGCTTCAACCTGAACATTATCTACTTTCTCCAAGGTTGCTGAAATGTCCACTCGAGCTACGAGAATCTCTCTGGATATAATTGCTGGTTCTCCGTTGATGATCTTCCCCAAATCCTCCACGTCCGAGGATCTCCTCGTCGCAAGCCTTGGTCACATGACCCTGAGAAATCAATTTCTATTCGCTGATGACGAGGGTACGATACTCCGGGGGCTTAGTTCGGAGGCGGAAGATGACGAATTGGAAATATTACCCGGTGAGATTTGATTGTTTGTTTCGCAGTCCAGGCAATATGAATTTCTGAAATTATGTCTTCAACATAACCTCTTTAGACAAAAGCTGCGGTTCTGAAGAAGTGGGGCCACCGTGTATGTTAGATCATATGGAAGTTGAGTTGGTAGACATTGACCTATTCTCAGCCGTGTCAATTTCACAGCAGGGAGATGTGTTCTTGTACAAAAGACAGGTAAGAGTTATGCATGTATGTTTTTAAAATACGACTACAGCAAGTTGGGAAGCACGTTTTACCAAATATTTTGATGTTTGTTGTACAGGGAAACAAGCTCTTTAAAGAGACTTGTAAGCTGGACTTGATGATTGAACGAAATTTAGACTGGGCACGAAGTAGGGCTGGTAAGTTTAAAGTATTCATAAGTATGCAACTAGGATATCTGAAGTCTATCAAAGTAATTAATCTTTGTAAATGACCCATCTTCAGTTCCAGACATGAGCATCTGGGGAGCTCTTTCATCAATGCATGTCAACCTCGATTACTCTCAATACGGCCTAATTCTTGGTTTCCTAAACCAAAATCTTGGAGAACCTTTGGAAGCATTCGAACGACCATCATCGTTTGTGGCTGATCATTTGGACGACCAAACGGTTGGTATTCTCATCAATCCAGTTGTGAATCATTGAAAATTGATAGAACTATCACGAATGAACGAAATCTCCTGTTTCATTTTCAGTCGTCCGACACCAACCTATGGACCACCATTAAGATGATCATTGATCTTGTTAATGTAAAAGTCGAGCTTCTTCCTTCAACGTCACTTCACAACCAAAAGACATTCATTGAACCAGCTTGTTATTCATTGGCTAAAATAGACTTCATCAAGTCCAAATTTGTCTTCGAGGGCTTCTCTGATTGGTCAAAGACAATGGACTTGGTCTCACAAGATGTTTTACTGTATGACACCAGACATGAAGGTTTGTAGTGCCTGTCAGTCACGAGGGAAGAATAATGAGAGGAAGGCATGCAAGAGGGTTATATGAGGGTATATTTGGAAATTTTTAGGTTCAGATGAAGGATATGTGAAGGTATTCTTCTACTTCTACTTTATATTTTGGATTTCTTATTTTAGGTTCAGACGAACGCTACTTTAAAGAGGTCCTTCGACCAGGAAAGCAACTCGCCGTCAATCAAACCGGAAGCCCAAAAAATTCTCTCATGTTTGAAGTCCATTATCGTGACAGCCCAACAAGAACGACTATGACCTTTATATTTAATAATAGTCGAATTACACTCCTTCTCGACGCCATTTTGGATATCTACAACTTCATCATGAACAATTGGGACAAGCCAAGCCAAGGTGAGTTCTAGACGAAAAATGAAAAGTTTACCCTGGGAATGGTTTAGTTTTACTAACTTTTTACTAGTTTTAATGGTAAAAGTTAAGTTTCACAATTTTTTCACGTTGTTTTAGATAAAAGTCAGCCTGCTGTGGACACTAAATCACAATCCTCCACAGGCGATCGAAAGTCAGAGGACGGTAATAATGTCCAAACAGATCAGAAAAATGACAACAAAAACCAGGTTAGCACTTTCTTTGATGTATGAGGAGTGCTTTAAGTGAGTTTTACCTGACAGCAAACTGACACAGCATCTTAAAATCTAGTCTTCGTTTCTCTCATTTCTTTCATATGTTTTTTCTATTTTTGTGAAGAAATCATTTGAAATGAAAGTAAATGTTTCTGGGTCGGAATTTGTTGCGCTTCAAAACGTTGATATTGAGGACACTGATGCTATAATATTGAGAGTAAGTACATCTTTCTTCATTGTGCTTATTTGAGATATTTCCGTTTTATGTTACAACTAAATGAAGTCATAATGCAAACACTTCACTGAATATCTGTCTTTTCCCAGATGACAGCCGTTTTAGCTTGGCGACCTCACTACAAATCTCAAAAGCCCCTCTCGTGTAGTGTTCAGAGCCTCGAGATCTTCTCATGTAACTTGTCATGCGAGGAAGAATCTGCTTTGTCGATCATCGATCCTATGGCAGGCCTCATTGAGCTCAACGCGGCAGAGAGACACCATAAACGAAAGACCCAGGGTCTTCTCGACGCCACACTCGAGTCCTTGCCAAGTCTTGAGGTCACATTAAATTCTCTCAATATGAGGATTTCCTATAATGACTATAAGCTGTACCAGAGGATCGCTGAATCACTGTCCAAGCAACTGTCAAATGCTATTGACAAAGAAAGAACGGGATCCGAGCCGAAAGTTGAGGAAGTGAAGGCTGATTATTCGTATCTTTATGGTAGGAGTTGAACAAAAAGTTCACTATTCCAGTACCTTTTTCCAACTCTTTAAATTTTCAAATTTTTACTGGCATAACATGTTTTTAAAGTAAAGATGTTTTCCTTTATTTCCCTTGCCTTCAGGTCCATCACTTAAACGTTTACAAGAACTTGGTTTTGATGAAAGTGATTGCATCCGGGCGTTGAATGAGTGCCGCGGTGATGTTGAGACAGCGGCTTCCTGGCTGCTTCTTAACGCCACGCCATCTACAGCACCTGTAAAGCCTGCTGGGGCTGAAAACAAGAGTAAGCTGTCTGGATTTCAGGTGAATTAACTAAAAATATCGAAATAAAAATCTCGCTTAGTGGCGCGAAAATAACAATATCCTGTGTAATCTGGTTTATTTTCATAACAATCGCTCTTTTCTTACCTCCCTCTTCATTCCAAAATAGCTTAGCAATCATCACAATCAAATCCACCATCCACAGACGTGATATGTTTTTCATATTATAGATTCGTGCAAACTCTGTTTGTGTGTGTCTTATTGATGATTGTGGTGATAATGATGTACCGCTTACCGAACTTCTTCTTCAACGTAAGGACAATGATTTGTGTTTAAAGTCATAGGATGCTTTCCATTAGCGGCCAAAATGGTCAGACCGGTCATAATAGAGTATTTCGTAAAGAATATGGCGGTGAAACTGCAATTTCCTTGCTGGGAGATGTAAATAACGATATACTTGAATGCAGAGTTCTTGAAACACTCTAAAATACCAGTAATCTGTCTGGACCGAAATATAACATGACTGGTCTGACCGTTTTTACCGTATAAAGGAAAGCGCCCATAGAGTCGAGGATGAAAAAACCTTTCGTTTTATGTTTTCAGATCTATACTTCTGGTATGAGCTTCATGGTGTTAGCGACAGTTCAGCGCAATGTACGTTAACCGCTGAATACTATAACCGCAGTGTCTCCGGATGGGAACCTCTAGTCGAACCATGGAAGTAAGTTACACGTGATTGCACTGATCCACCTACATGACATCAACGTGATATTATTGCAAAAAGACACATGTCATATTATGATTTTTACAGATGTCAAGTGCATTGGCAAAAGCAACGACGAACAGTGAATTCTCCCGAAAATTTACTCGTGAAAGTTGATGGTTAGTGCATTGAAATATATTATTTTGCCTATGGATTTTGTTGGGAATTTTGTCGAGTTAGAAAGTTATGACAAAGCTAAGAAATACCAGAAGAGGTCAATTTTTCCCAATTCTCTTTCGTAGCTGCGGACCGTCTCGATTTGAATATCACGAGTTCTCTGATTTCAATGATTCAAACCACTTTAAAGAATTGGTCCGATGACTACTACGGCCCAGCCTTCCTGGACCCCTCGTCCAACAAGCGTGACGCAGGCCCTCAGCAAGATGACGCGCAGTCTGAGTCGAACTCTTCAGATGTGCCCACCTTGGGACATTTCAGAAAACGGGCACCGTTTGTTCCATTCTTACTACAAAATCAAACAGGTAAAGTGATTGAGTCCGGGCTGTTCTGTGTTCCCTGGAAACCATTCGGAAAATCAATAAACTACTTGAGACAAACGATCTTAACATATCAGCTTTCTTTCCATAAGGCTGCTCCTTGCATTTTGCAACGGTCACGTCATCGCCTTCCAAGGTTGTCATGACAACAACTGGTCTGGTTTTCTCTGGACGTGTTCATAACTCGAACATCAGTGATTCGTCGAAGAAGCTTTCTGAATGGCGGGAACTGCAGCCGGGTGATGAAGTTCCGTTTGAGTTCAAACAATCGCGTGAGAAGCAGAGGCACAAAGTACGTTTAGCATTTGCGGGAAATGTTGTTGTCTTGATTACGTCTGAACAGTCAAGTGTATTTGTTCCCTCTTGTAGGAAACACACGAGTTGAAAGTTCATCAACTGGTTGTGCAGCTTGAGGGTTGGGAACAAGTCTCCCCAGTCTCAGTGGATAAAGTTGGCGCGTTCTTTAGGCAAGCAATGCCAGCAAAAGGCATTAACAAGGTCGGTACCGAATATGTGGAAATCTTTTTTCACATAGTCAAAGTATAGGGGAGATTTTATACGAAGCTCTCTCGTCTAACACTCATGATGGTATGTGCTTCATATTCGCTCTCGTGAGATAGTTTATAATTGTTTGTTCTCATATTTCTTTTTGTATATCTCGAAGGTAATTCGTTTCAATCCAACAAGAGTGGTCTTCGATATTAAGTTGGAAAATGGAGCCCAGAAAGTTGTAACTGTCAAATCAGCCTTGGTACTGAAGAATAAGACAGACTTAACAATCGATGTGAAATTAGAGTTACCAAGAGGTAGTAGAGTGTTTTAATTCACACGATATTGTTTTGATGATTTTAATTCACACGATATCATTAATATTCTTGTTTTCTCTCAAGGTGAGGCGATATTACCATCATTAACTCCTCAGTCTGACTTCGCCGTTCCATTACCTTACGTGCAATCTCCCCTCTTCGTTCGACCTCACGGTAAAAACACGAGGTTCTCCACGACTCATCTGCACTGGAGAGATGTAAGAGAAAATTTTGAAGATCTTGGATACTTTATTGAATGTCCAGCCACCAGTGGAAGAACAGGGGATAACTACAGGTTAGGATTTACCAAGATTTTGTGAACTGTTAAAAGTGCAGTTCCAGTGAATGCTGGAGGTTGTTTATTTGTTTATGGCCGTCTACGACACTGCAAGGGAAACATTTGAGACTGGACTTTTATAAGCTACATCTAGATTACATCTTTATAAGTTACACGACTATAATTCATCGCAAAATTAAAACCTAATTTTCATCTTTTCCCTTCATATTTTCAGATATTGCGTCTCTGTTCAGCGAGATGGTTTTCCCGTTGAAAACTCTACCGCCGAGCATCCTTTGGGAAAATATGAGGTCACTCAACCTGCACACACCATCACGATCCTACCTCCCATAGTTCTTGTCAATCTGCTTCCTGTGGATCTGTCTTATTGTATTCGTGGACATTCAATAGGTGGAAACATTAAGCCTGGATTATTATCGCCTGTGTATAAGGTAAAGAAGATTTTCGTCTTTCACCTCAATGTATGGTTTTGCCTTTAGATCCAGTTATATATAATGGTCAGTTTAGTCTAGCTTCATTCTGTTTGTAATGCAGGTCTGTAAAAACAGCTTATATTATCTAATTGAGCACGCAGTGACATGATTTTTTCTGTATTTCGGCACAGGTTAACCGAGCATCATCGCTTAGTTTCACGTTCTCAATGGAAAATTTCCCGCACTGCGAGGTGCTGACCATCCCAGAGCTTAGCGTGGGCGCAGAATCGTGTATTCGACATATTGAGATCAAGGATACCAAGAATAGAGTTCTAAGACTGAACGCTAAAATTGAACTACGACCTGGACTGTCGCTAAAGGTATGATAGTAAACATCAGATCTAACAGCTTGTATGCGGGTTTGTTCGCTCGTTGTTCACTCGTCGTTCGCTCGTGCTCGAATTGGCAATAAACCTGCGAATATATTTTCAGATCTCCATATTCGCGTCATTCTGGCTCGTGAATGACACAGGTATGCCACTCATATTCAAACAAGAAGGTTGTTCAGCAGAAATGGCCGGACAGTTTGATGAACATGAAATGGCGCGAAGTTTGACGCCATTGTTGTTTTCGTTCAATGATAAAGATGGCTCATTCAGGTAAAACGATTTTGGATGGCTCTATCAGTGCCGTTTACACCCAATGACGTTACATCTTTACTTGGGTTTTTTGGTTGTTTTGTCTGTAGATGGTTATTAAAATTACTTCCACTTTCTGTTTAATTAACTAGTTCTTAAGGAAGTATTTCTTACCTTTCAGATGTCAAATGAGAATTGGCAAGGGGCAACACAAAGATGTTGGAAGACCAGTTTGGTAAGAACGGTATTTTGCAATTGCACGAAAGATGACTCTCCGAGTTTCATTGCTGTTTTTCTCGGTGATATTTTTTATCTGCTGTAGGTGCACGTCATTTTCCCTGGAGTATCCACGAGAATTCACGCGAGTTCACTCGAAGCAACCTGACAGACGCCCTGATATGTAAGCTTGTTTGTTTTAACTAGAAGTTAGCTTGAGTGTCGGGCCCTTGTTCAAGCTAGGACCGTCTAGTCAGGCTGAACTAGAGTTTGCCTGTGATATTTTAAAAAATAACATGATGAAAGATTCGTCTATATATGTCTAAAAAGGAATAATATCCTAAGTTCTCCATGAGATATTACTTAAAAAATATAATAACTAATCTATATCTAATCCACATAATCTGAACTAATCCTTAAATGTATTAAACTTAATATCTAGTCCGAATGATTAATACAGTAACCAAATCCAACTTAATGTTAGATCTAAACTACAGAATAAACCAAACAAACTAAAAATACACTAACCATAACTCACAACAATTAATAACAAGCTTAAAACATCGACGATAAAACACTAATTGCGTTTCAGCACGCAAGATAAAAAGCCGAGCAAACGGTTAAAGAAACCCCAAGGGAAGGTAGATCGTTCAAAAACTGTCAGCCGTAAAGTTTGTTATATCGTTGGGGGAGGCTGCACTTTTCACATAGCCAGTGATGAAAGTTCAGAACTCGAAACTGATCCAGGCATTAGTTTAACTACTGCTAAATCATGGTAAATTTAAACCTAAACTGAAACTACATTGCAATAAACTAAAGTTTTCTTATTTATTAAACGTAATTAATTTCACCTATTATAAAGTTTAATAATAAATCATCTAAAAACGAAAGCGAATAAAGAATTTGTGCACAGTCTTGTAATTTCCATTGTCATTCCGTTCCTCCTTATCCCAATATCCATTGTCGTTCCTCCTTATCCAAATATCCACTGTCGTTCCTTCTTATCCCAATATCCATTGCCTTCTCCTTATTTAAAAATCCATTGTCTTCCCTACTTATCCCATTTCTCGTCAATTAGCTTCTTTCATTCTTTCTTCATTATCCCTGTCTTACACACAACTCATCCTTTCTCTCTCTTGTTATAGGGTCTATGATGTCGGTATTGATGTAAGGTTTGGTCAAGGTCGTTTCCGGGACACGCGGATTGTCACGTTTGCTCCTCGTTACCAGTTTGAAAATCGTAGCGCTCACACCCTGGCATTCCAGCAGAGGCATTTTGTAAGAGAACAGGTAATGCAGAACACTCGTGCATGCTCATATGGGGAGTATTTTATCCCTGAAGCGTTTTGATCGCCTGAAGACACTAGCAGCAAGCTCGCAAGCTGCTCTTAGCTCTCGTTTGTACGAGGTTTCTTTGCGGACATCCTAATCGATGTTCTGTTTAGGAAACAAGAAATCCTGATGGAACATTGACATCACCGCCTGGTGCTCAAGTTGTCTGGCATTGGGAAAGAACAGACTTAGATCAACTATTGTGTATTAGGTAAAATATAACGCTTGCTCTTATGTTACTCGTTTAAAACGATTCTTGTGACAAAATGTTCTTCAGCCCGATTAAAGGATGTAAAAGGAATCATTTACGAATGTCTTGGTAGTTTGTCCAATTCTAGCTTTGATAAAGAACTCGTGAAAAAAAGACGCATCTCCCTTGGTTGTCAATTTTGTTTATAAATTGAAATCTCATTCTATTTTAGATTGAATGATATTCCTGATTGCCGTTGGTCTGGTGGTTTCAAGATTGATCGCGATAACTCCTCTCACGTGAGCATGAGGTAATTAGCATGATTTACGTTCCCACTCCACTTCTAAGAAGTGACATCATCTGGTGCTCTGTGCACTCATCTCATCGTCCATTTTAGGTGTTCGAATGGCGGTCTGCTGTTCATCAGGGCTGAAGTGATGTTAAAAGGAGCAGTGTTTCATATCGTTTTCACCGATGCTAATCAACTTCCACCTCCATATCGTATTGATAACATGTCTGAAGTCCCAATTTTGTTCTACCAAAGCCGTACTGAGGAACATCAAAGATGCCTTCTTCAACCCAAACAATCAGGTTCTGTTCTTTCGCTTTTACTGCGATCAATTTTTTAGGGAAAAAATCTCGATATTATAAGTCTCCTCATCGCTCCACCTTCGCATGTCCCCTTCTTCTCATCTCCTGCAATTATTATCCCCTCCTACCTTCATATGTCTATTTATATCCCCTCCACTCCATTTCTAATCCCATTTCATTTTCTTTTCCTAGTGCCTTATGCCTGGGATGAGCCAACGTTACCACGTGAATTGACCTGCGGTATCGTCAACGATGGATCTTTTATTCATTTCAATCTTGATAAACTTGGGGAGAAAGACAAGCTCTATTACTACAACGCTATTTATATTGCATTCACACACACGCTCACAAGGTGAGAATTCAACATTTTCATCTACTCAATGTTATTCAGTAGTCACGGTACTATTAGAGACCCGAATGCAATCTGGATTGTGTAAATCAACCATCTTTTCATTCCAGATCCGAAGGTGTTGTATCCAGATCGTTTAGTATGAAACCAGTCGATCCCTCAAATATATACTCTGAGGAATTAGTCCTGGATGTCCCTCAAGGAACAGCCGTGATCCTAAGCAAAAAGGTATGTGTGTGATTTCTGATATCTCCCGTCTGTCCTTCCCAATCCAGCCTCAAGGCCCTTGTTGATTATTTCTCTCGTCCAAGGAGCCATACAAGCGCACGCAACTGTGGAGAATGACATCATCTGGAATTCTATTCAACGAAGGATCATCGCCTCCGTTTGATCCTCGGAAACCGTCGTCGTCAAGCGCTGGTTTCGTGCTAGATGTCGGTCATTTGGATCCTTTGTCATTTGCAAGAAATCGTAAATCGATACCGCTGATTCTTAGTAAGCTGAGCTCACAAAGAAAAGACTACCAAACCTGGTCTTTTACTGAGGTATAATCTGTTTTACCGATTGTTTTGAATAAATTAATTTAGAAAATATAGTCAAGAATAATCAATAGTTTGAATTATCGAGTCGTGTTACTTAATTGTGGATTATGTGATTGGCAGTTGTTCCATACTAGTCAGGGAATTGATAATTATTGATCTCGATTCTTAGGATGGCAGAATGAAGAATCAAATTAAAGACTATTTTGTTAGTTCTAAACCTGGTTTGGGCTTATATCAAGGTCAGCTGTTTGTTGCTATACATTATCCAATACTTGATGTCATCTCCCATTCAGAAATCCAGAATTGATGAAAATCCTGATCTAACTACAATGGATGAATCCTTTGACAGAAATATTCAGTATAAATAAAGTTAGTTTGTTTTAATTATCACTAGGTTCCGATGCATTACTTTGCTGTTCAGTCAAATCATCATCAGCAGGAAAAGTTCCTAAAGAACAACAAATCAGCATTGAAAAGTTGCGACCAGGTTCTGGGATGCTATTGGTTAAAGTGCTCGCCGATGGACCAACCAGAGCTATCCGAATTTCTGACGTCAGGCAGCAAGTATGTTGTGCTATGCTTAATCGCTGGAACCTTCTGTTTCTGTGCTCACCACACTGGAGTAGACTAACTGCACAGCAATTTAAAACTTATAGTGCTTTTTTTATTTTAACAGACGGAAGAAGACTATCTTGCCAAAGACTGGATGGTCGTTGAACGGCGTGGAGGCCTGAGGCAGACGACGGTGACGTCAGGAGGTGCAAATGCTCAAACCAACAAACGCACTGAAATTCAGATGAGACTTGCTGGAGGAATAGGGATATCCTTGATAAATGGGGTTCCCGAAGAACTTGTGTTTGCTACTTTTAGTCCTATTGAGGTAAGCGCTACCATAGAATATATAGGGTTTATTAGTGGATATCACCGGGAATATATGAAAAACTTGCAGGGGGTGCATTATTATCGCGGAATATTCTTTCATTTACGTCCTGTCTTTTGTAGATGGACTATATAACAACGGCCTTTACCAGACGTCTTGAGCTTAGCATTGGTAACATTCAGGTATGGTGTTGATCATGTGAGGTGAATAGGACAATAGCTCATTCAGAACCAACTAAGTTGTAGTATAGGGTCGCTTTTCAGTTCTACAGTTTAGAACTGGAAAGCGACCCTATAATCTACAGTGGTTTAAATTCGTGTTTTTTTCTTTTTCTGGACCAGGTTGACGACCAACTATATCTCACTCAATACCCAGTGATGGTGTTTGTGACTCCCTCTTCAAAAGACGATTGTACGGTCTCTGAGCCCGCTATCAGTATCTCGGCTGCTAACGAGCCCACGAAACTTCAAAATTGTGAAATTTTCAAGGTATAAAATAAATTTCGTCCCAATAGACACTTCACGAATTTGTTCTCGGGCAATGAAAACCTTCCCTTTTTGTGTGCACTGAAGCAAATTCAGGAATTGTCTATTCCAATTAATACTAGTTCCAAAAACCTTGACCTGTACCATGGATAGTTAAAAAATAGTTAAAAGAAAGTGATTTTATTATCCATGCCTGTACTAAGTACTACTTTTTCCAGAATCTTAATGTATCGTTGAGAAAACTGACTCTTCAAGTTGATGAAAAACTTCTGTTCAAACTTCTCCAATTCTTTGGCTGGGTGTATAACGATGATGACGTTACTGTTAATCAGGATTCAGAAAATTTAGGCATTGAAACGCACAGGTAAGCGTTGACGGTTAATTTATATCATGATTGATTCTGTTACTGTGAAATTGACATTCATCTTTTCTTAGAACTTCTTCCTCCGTATCCCCGTCAAGTCTGAAGCGTTATTATTTTGAGAAATTTCTGTTCAACGCCGTTCAACTTCGTGTGTCAGTTGCCACGGTAACACGGCTACCAGAGGATCTTAAACAGATCAAGTCATCCATGGGACTGATACTAGTTCGCTTGCAGGGCGCTGTTGTCGATCTTGGTGAGTGTGTGAGTTTTCATCCCGAGTGTAACGACATGAGGAAACCTGATCTTTAGCAACTTATACAGCATAATCTGTCTTTATTGGTTTTAATAAAGTCAAGTGTTACTTCAGAAGATAACTAGAAACTGCCAAATTTTCCCTGATGCAAATGAAAAGAATTGGTGCGACATTTATGCTCGGAAATCTGTTTACAGGAATCAAATCTCCTCCAAACCATGATGAACATTTCTCTCATTTGTAGAATCCTTTTCACGTACACATGCATTTGATACAAGAACTGCGCTCTTAGATGCGCTGTCGAAACATTATTCTGAGGTAAGGTTTAACCATCAAAGACACACCTTCTAATACCAACAATTTTTGATATGTGTTATCAATTTCTAGGAATTGCGAGGCCAGGCCCCGTTCATTTTAGCTTCAGTTGACTTTCTTGGAAATCCAATGGGGTTATTTAATGACGTATCAAGCGGCCTAGAAGGACTGGTGAGGCGTGGTAATGTTGGCGGGCTGTTTCTTAATGTTGCCCATGGTTTGTCTGATTCTGCTGCGAAGGTAAGGGTCTACCGTTTATGTTTGGAGTGGTTGAAAGTTTGATATTGCTGTTTAAATTGGGGGAAGTGAAGATGGGACTTTACGGAGGTGGGTCTGGGGAGGTGGATCTGGGGAAGTGGCTCTAGGGAGGTGAGTTTACGGAGGTGGGTCTGGGGAAGTGGGTCTGGGAGGCGAGTCTAGGGAGGTGGGTCTGGGGAAGTGGGTCTAGGGAGGTGGGTCTAGGGAGGTGGGTCTAGGGAGGTGGGTCTGGGAAGGTGGATGTGTATTAGAATTTAGTTGGCTCAGTTTAGTGATGTAATGTGTAGAATGTTGGTTAGCAGTTAATTTTGTAGTGAATCTCAGTCATTTAGATGTTAGATAATTAGTATGATAATGAGATTTTATCCCATTTTATCGATTACGACTGATTCTCGCCTCTCTATTCTCAGCTTACTGGATCACTATCGGACGGATTATGGTCAGCCAGTTCAGATTCGAAATCGTTGGAAAGTCGTGAGGCAATGAAAGCCGAACGTCAGCATCAAAGCAGTGGAGATCACTTGGTGGCCGGCATCAAAGGATTAGGAATGGGACTAGTTGGTGGCCTCACAAGTATAGTCACTCAGCCGATTGAGGGAGCCAGCGAAAAAGGAGTCCCTGTAAGTACTTCGTGTTATGTTACTTCATGCAAGCTAACAACTTATCCTGACAATTTTGAAAATTTCCTTCCTCAGGGATTCCTCCAAGGTATTGGCAAGGGAATTCTAGGAACATTTGCCAAGCCTACAGCTGGGGTCCTCGACCTCGCCTCAGGCGTCTCAGCCGCAGTTCGTGGCTCGGCCACACGAAGTTCGCGTCTTTACCAACCAAAACGTGTTCGCTCGATCAGAAACTGCTTTGGCCCCGGTGGAGCAATCCCGAGATTCTCAAAGACAAATTCTGAAGGACAGTCCATTGTTTTGAAATTAAATGCTAATAATATGGACGAAAAGTAAGTGAGGAGTGATCCAGTGCTGATTCTGTGTTACTTTGAATCTGGACTCGTATCATATTCTGGATTGCGTTGTCACAGTTATAACATTCTCCAATGTCACTGAACCGTGTTCTTGTCACAACTGGAACGAGAGATGATCTAAAACTTCTTTCTAAGTATTTTTCTTTACAAGCACTTACATATAACATCACTCCGTGAGCCGAAACTCACATGAGAAACACAGTTTCGTGGCTGACGCATGTGTTTTATTGTGTTCTTTGCAGGTTTATTACCTCTGAATCAGTGCGTACCGACATTGATGGCAGAGTCAAAGTTCTTCTAACGAACGAGAAAGTGTACTTTGTAAAGACGAGCGGCATTCCATCCCCTGAATCAATCCTTGTCTCTCTGAGATTTGAAGACGTCCTTGATTGTCATCATTTAAAAAATGGTAAATACAAACACACTGTCAGTGAAATTAAGAACTGTACAAGGATCTTGTTTCATTACTTTTGTTATGCTTTGCAGACGTCGATTATGTTGAATTGTCAAGAAAATATTCTGAGCCGCCAGTTAGAGTTCGCTGCGAAGCGGCGTCCGCCCAGAAGGTAAGCTTCAATTTCCTATGCCATCCATTGCATCGCTGGTACCACAAACTGGATTTCTCGTCATACAGTGAATAGAGAAGATGAATAGGCAAGAAAGGAAGGTCTTTCTTGTTCAGTGAAGTGTGATTTATTTATTTCTATCTTAGCTTGTTCAAAAGATCAATTATGCCAAAAGTCTTTTTGAAGAAGTGAAGCACACTGTCATAGTGAAATCTACGACGAGCGTTACGTGATAGGTAGGTGGTACACGTGCGCTGAAGCACAGTCAACAGAAATAAATTGTGAGCAGTTTCATCTTATTCGTGGTCATCGAATCAGACGAATCTTTCATGATTTCAGGCTGATGATTCGCGCACACGTAAACCCAATCTCGTAAGAACAAGAAATGAAAACCTAGGAAAACATGGAACTATCTCCATCGCCTAAAATGTAATTGCGTGAATGCAATTTTTTGTGCAGTTTATACTAGAAACGGATGAATTCATTGAATTGATGTATTCTTATAAATTTCCAAATCTCCCTCTCTCGATTTCTGGTATATCAAGGCGAGTTCGCTATTCTAGATGAGATTTGTCTTCCGTTTCTAGTATTCCTGTCGAAATGATTCTAAAGTGAAAATTTTTCCTGTCGTAAAAATGAATTTGTATATTTAATGATTTGTAACAGAGGACATATTTATTCTCTTACATAAATTAATTTAAGTTCCAGTTCGATAAAGAGTTTAAAAACAAACCGAGAACGATCTTCTAACACTAAAATATTTTTTTAGTAAAATTGTTATTGTAGTTATGAAAATGAAAAGTTAAGAGTTACGGAATTGTTTTGTTTATTCTTTATTCTATCAGGATTTTATTAACCGTGGTTTGTTTTATTTTTAAATCACTAACATAGATATAATGATCAGTAACATCAGTAACATGAAGTGATCCGGTGATCTTGTCTATTAACGCTATAGAAGATCGCGGGCTGTGAGCTGAAATAGAAATGATCCCCCCGGATGATAAACTAAAATAGTTGTATCACAGGGGGGGAAAGTGCGACGGAATTTTTCTTAATAGTAACAATTTCACAACATGTGTAATAAGTAAAAACGTGGTTGATTTTTAAAAATATATTTTTTCGTAATTTAACAAAATTGGAGTACTTTTAAATCAAATCAAGTAAGATGGGAAGAAAGAGAGAACTGCGTGAACTTGGCAAACGAGGTCCTGGCAAAAAAGCTAGAATTCAGCCCCCTCCAGAACTGTTTATGAAAGGTATTTGGCGATGTTTAGTACTATTATTATTTTATATATTTATCGATTAATCGACAATAATATTTGTTGTCTTGAATATGTTGTCTATTTTTGAATATTCCAGATAATGCCAGTCAAGATAAAAAGAAGAAAGTTTCAACTAAAAAGAAGTAAAGTGGGAACTTTAGATAATTTTTTATGTAATTAAATAATACGTTTGAAAGTGATCTATCTTGTTCATTTTCCATTAGGAAGCAAGATGGTAAAAAGAGGGGGAAAATTGAGAAGAAAATCAATTTGTTTGAAGACAGCAGTGGTAAATTACATCTTTTCATTTGAATTTGGTTAAGTCTATTTGAAGAGTTTCGTCTTTATAGTATTTTGAGAAAGAAAGATAGTAAATTGTTTTTAATCTATTTCACAGAAGATGATGGAATTGGTATGATAGATGATGACTTTTTGAAGACAGAACAATCTCTCGAAGACATGGTAAATCAATGTTATATATGCTATCAGACATATTAGAAAAGATCTTAGCTCTTAGATCAAAATATTCAAGATCTTTTTAAAATTCTTCAAAAAAATATGACCGTGACCTAAAAGATCTTAACTAAGTTGATCTTAAGGGATCATATGATAGCCATGTTTTTCTAATATTTTATGCAGCCAACTGATGACTACAGGTTGGAATTAAACAGCGATATGTCATCATCAGATGATGAAGAACATGATGATGACAAGAATGAAAATAATAACAAGGTTTTTATGATTGATTTATAACCGTCTTCATCTGAATCAGTTGTCGATTGCATGGTACCAATAGATAACAAGCTTCAATTTTTCACAGTTGCTAGCTATTGAAAAAAAGTCAAAAAAGCTGGATAAAAAAATCAGCGAGGACAGGTGCGTCAAGTAGTCACTATCCTATTTTAGTCTTTCCTTATGTACATAAACAATTTATATATCATAATTCACTTTTATAGAGTGTTGGCTGAAGAAGAGCTTCAAACAAACATTGCTGAAAAGGATGTTTTCACGTTGCCCAGTGGACAAGAAATAGAGAAAGAACATATCCTTTTTATACCACTCTGCTTTTACCTAAAACCACTGTGGTTCCATATTGGGCTGCAATATATGGCTCTCATATTTTTATTTAGCCTTGACATATGTATACTGTTAGAACCACCAGACTTGACTTTGATTCATCAAAGGATTTGTGAGAACATCAGTGCATTGAATAACTTCAACAAATATAGAGAGCCTGGAAAGTATGTTTTTTTAATATGATACAGTATATAATATTCAACCTGACCAGCTTATAATTTTTGCCTATGTTTTAACTTTTAAAATTTTCCTATGTGTAAACTATAGCAACCAAGTCTGTAGTATTTTTGCATTTTAACTTGTAGAAGTCGCAAAGAATACCTGGATTTACTCAGAAATGATCTGATGAATTACTACAGTTACAGTGAATTTATGATCAATAAGCTAATGGACTTATTCCCACTTTCTGAGGTATTTGAATGTCAATTTTCTGCCTGTTACCATTTCAGGGGGATTGTAAAGTTTTTGCTACATCTGATTCTACCATTCACAATGATAAATATTTTTTGCTATGTCCTCATGAAAGCTGTTAGAGTTCCTTGAAGCAAACGAAGTCCAACGTCCAGTAACAATTCGAACAAATACATTGAAATGTCGCAGGAGGGACTTAGCACAGGTATAGCTCAGTTTTGCTCTTTCAACCACAGTTTTCTCCTGTGCATAAGAAGGGTATGTGTATAGTAAAGTTAGCAAAAAGCAAGAAGATTTATTCATTCATTTCACATACTAGACATTAATCAATCGGGGAATGAATCTAGATCCTGTTGGGAAATGGTCTAAAGTTGGTTTGGTTGTTTATGATTCCTCTGTTCCTATTGGTAAGTTTGGAGGATACCAATTGATAACTTTTAATTTTAATAAAAAAATCAACCTATGTATGCAATATTGATAAACATAACTCTACCATACTTTAATTTTTACTCAATTATCATAGGAGCAACCCCAGAATACCTGGGTGGTCATTACATGCTGCAAGGAGCCTCTTCCCTGATGCCAGTGATGGCACTTGCACCTCAAGAGAATGAACGGATACTTGACATGTGTGCGGCCCCTGGTGGAAAGACAACGTATATGGGTTAGAAAAAGGAAAAATATATTCTGTAGAGAAAATATATTTGCATTATGTGATGAACGGTATAAATCTAATATTGTTGCATTTACAGGTGCTTTGATGAAGAACTCAGGGGTTATTGTGGCAAATGACCAAAACGCAGATAGATTAAAAGCTCTAGTTGGGAATATTCACAGACTTGGTGAGATTTTCCATTCTGGCAATATTGCCTCTTTCTGGTTGATTTGATGACTAAAATAAATAAAGATCTACTCATTCAAATTTCTGCATACTACTTAACCTTTGTCAATTTTCAGGAGTAAACAACACTGTGATTTGTAATTACGATGGTCGATCATTCCCAAAGGTGATGGGAGGTTTTGATCGAGTATTGCTGGATGCTCCATGCAGTGGTACTGGTGTAATATCGAAAGATAAATCTGTTAAAACTAACAAGGTATATACTGTAGTATTATATATTTTCATATGGGTTTTCAAAATCCTCTATTCTGACTAGTTGATGAGCGGTCTGTAAAACCCATATCCTGGCTGTGGTCCATAATATTCTGTATCTGGACCCTATCTGGTTTCATTAATAATCAGTTAATATATAGTATTCTAGATGCATCTTCTGATTAATGTGATAAAATTATGTTGACTGACAGGATCAGTTATTTACTACTAATTCATTATCTTTATAGGATTTCTAAAACTCAGATATACATTTTTCTTAGGACGAGAAAGATATACAACGGTGTTCTCATATTCAGAAAGAGTTACTCCTGGCAGCTATAGACTCTGTTGATGCTCAATCTTCCTCTGGTGGATATATTACATACTCTACATGTTCAATATTGGTATGGTCATTTTTCATAAACATTTTCTTTTGCATGTCTTCTCAGTCTTGTGCTTCTCTGTGTGTCAGCATGCTAAGACGATAATCATTATTAACATTGTTTTAGGTCGAAGAAAACGAGTGTGTTGTGGAATATGCATTGAATAAAAGACATGTGAAATTAGTTGAAACTGGTTTGGATATAGGCAATGAAGGACTAACCAAGTAAGTTGATTATTTGCATTTCAATTTTCAATTAGTGTAATTCTTTGCGTTATTCTAGAATATTTAAATTTAGAAAAATTGATTTTATGTATTCAAGTATATTGTTTTCATGAAAGAATGTCATTTTACTTAGTTTTCAACCATTTTAAGGTACTTTGAACCTAATTATAAAATTTCGGTAAATTGACGAGAATTACAATATCCCCTCCCTCGTTACTGATTTTCCTGAAATATTGAAATGTAATGTTCAAATGTGATGTTTTCCTGAAAGAATGTAATTCTACTTAATTTTGAACCATTTTGAGGTAAATATATCATTCATGTTCTTATTTGTAGATTTCGTGGTCATCACTTTCACAACACAATGAAGTCAACACGGCGCTTCTATCCCCATGTTCATAATATGGATGGTTTCTTTGTTGCAAAGCTGAAGAAATTTTCCAACAGTATTCCGAAATCATTATCAGGTAAACATTTTAAGTATTTTGCCACCACTGTTGTTTTTATAATGTCATAATGTTTGTGGAATAATTTGTCTGTATAGAAGTTGCAAGTAAGGAAAATATCAATGAAACAAGCGAGGATGCAAACCCTAAATCAACAGAAAAGCAGAAGAAGGGCAAACAGAAAAAGAAATTTTCCAAAAGAACCAAATGAATTTTTTTTAGTTTGTTTTTAAAATATTTATTGTTTGTTACCAAATTATCTGGAATATTTTAAGCGGATTTACATGAAGTACTCCAACTATTCAATATGATGGGTTGATTTTGTGAGTCTATTTCTTTATTTTGCAAGGAGTGTAAAAATGTAAACTTTGGTATCTTCACACAGAAATCTCGTCTGAAAGCGTTGCAAATCGATGGCGTACAAAACTATAGACAGACGAAAAGCATACACTTACTTGAAAGAGCTAGAGACAGGTGCAAAAACACCCGTCAGTCTCGCAATGGAGCTTGCCACAAAATTAGGGGCAGTTGCCGAATTTGAAGAAACGAAAGATTTAAAATGGTCAAACTCTCCGTTTAAATTTAACGCCAAACTTGGTGATGTTAAAGCGGTCGGCGTTGGTGGTAGCAAGAAAGAGGCAAAGCAAAATTCGGCAAAAGAACTGATAAAGTTAATTGAAAATGAAAGTAAAAGCTACGCTGTGAAAGGAGAGCCCAATAGTACAAAGTTATTCACCGTTAACCTCACTGGTGAGTTGTGAGAGTAGGGAGGAATTGTGAGTTTAATTTACCCAGTTTAATTTAGGCAAGATGGTTTTATTAATAGGCAACTTGCGCGCCTTTTTAAGCAATGCTGTCATTTCAAGTTACGGAAATATTTTAATATTCTCCACTGTAACCTAAATTGGATTCTTATATATGTTAAGAGCTTATCATATTATACAATAATACCAGTGCAAATGAGAATCCTAATACAAGGCTATATATAGGCCCCTGTTGGTCAGAACATTTTACAAACCTAGGATAGGTGGCAGTGTTTTGGTAATATGTATACATTAATTTTCAATTACAGTCATCAGGCATTGGTTCTTCAGTATCTCTGTGCGAAAGAAATGTTGTTGGGGAACTTCAGAATTTGGCAGCGAAGAAAAAATGGGAATTACCCACATATGAATATGGGGAACCGACAGGAGAGGCACATTCTAAAACCTTTACTTGTCTTGTTAGGGTAGTGAAGTTAAAAATGTTTTGAACCAACTTATTTCAGTAGTAAAACAAGAAGCTAAGTAGGCTCTAACACAGGCTGTGTCGACAGGGTGAAACTTATTGCACTTTCCATAATTAAGCGGCCAAAATGGTCAGACCGGTCATATTTTAAATTGAAACAGAGAATTGAAATTGAGTATTTTGTTAAAAATACAGCGATGAAACTGCATTTTCACTGCTAATCAGATGTAAATAACATTAAATCTGAATGCAGATTTCTTAAAACACTCCAAAATACCAGTTATCTGTCTGTACTGAAATACAACAGGACCTGTCTGATCATTTTTACCGTATAAAGGAAAGCGCCCTTAGGGAGTTTTGGGGCTTCAAAGTTAGTTATCTTATGATTGACCATGAGATACCGATTGAAGCAAAAACATGCATTAATCAAATTCATGGAATAAGACATACCAGACACTCTGAGCATTATGTTAAAGTAAATAAATTTGTATAATGTAAAGTATAAGTTGAAAGGAGCAATGTGCTTGGTCAGTGATGGTTGGCCAATTGTGTGCATTAATATTTATCCTATTTTGGAGAATATTCATGCCATGCTCATATCGTTAGTATATCTTATAGATGATGTCTGATCTTAAATGCAGTGGCTTTGGATCTAGTAAAAAGGCTGCAAAGAAGCAAGCAGCAGAGAAAATGTTGAATATTTTGCAAGTTGATGGAGATGATTATGACATGGTTGATGCAAGAGTAAGTAACGCACTTCCAATCATATTTACAGGAGGTTTATACTTTGGCGAGGTTAGGTATTGGCACCATAGGTACGTCTCAGCCTCTGTGGCTAGACCAATGCATTATGCATTGTTGTTGGGCATACGCTAATTGCAATTAACTGTCAAGACATGTAAACATCCAAATTTACTATAACATATGTCCATTGATTTTCTATCTAGACCCCTATGGTTCAAACATCACCATATGGCAACAGTACAACAACCCCAGAAACTTTAAATGAGTCAGATCTTGAATCCAGCTCAAGTGACTCAGAACAATCATTGTCCCCGTTAAAACTGGATTTCTCAACTGAAACTAGGGATTTGAAATACGATAATCTTTCCCAGGACAAATTACAAAGCATTAGCAAGAAAGAGGGTTTTACAATTGAGTATATTCGGCTGCCTAGCAAAAGTAAGAAAGGTTGTTATCAAGTTTTTGTAAAATTATTGTTTATGGCAGAAAGGGAAGGTGAAGAAATGCCTCCCATAGTTACACATGGTACTGGTAATACTCTCGAGATTGCAAAATGCAAAGCAGCTGAGAGAGCTTGTCAACATTTGGAGTGGATGTTGTCTGTGCAATAAATTCATTTCAAGTATAGTTTGTTTCAATTGTTTGTGTAAAAAGATTTAACATATGCATGGTCTTCAAAAAGATATTGTCTGTAATTCCAATAAACTCTCTAACTGACGATTTTTTAAGGCTTACCCCTTTGGTCAATTTTGACCACTTTTTAAACTGTTCAAAAACTGTCTTAAAATGCTAAAAATTGCTTCCTAAGACTTATATCTTTCATTTTAGATCATATTTGGTTCGTTTTTGCAACATTGAAAAAGTCGTCAAAATTGACCAAAATGGTAAGGCTTACCCCTTACCATTTTGGTCAATTTTGACCACTTTTTCAACTGTTCAAAAACTGTCTTAAAATGCTAAAAACTGCTTCCTAAGACTTATATCCTTCAATTTAGATCATATTTGGTTTGTTTTTGGAACATTGAAAAAGTCGTCAAAAATGGTAAGGCTTACCATTTTGGTCAATTTTGACCACTTTTTGAACTGTTCAAAAACTGTCTTAAAATGCTAAAAATGGCTTCCTAAGACTAATAACTTTTATTTTTAGAGCATATTTGGTTGGTTTTTAGAAGAATCAAAAAGTGGTCAAAATTGGCCAAAATGGTACTTAAGGCTTACCCCTTTGGTCAATTTTGACCACTTTTTGAACTGTTCAAAAACTGTCTTAAAATGCTAAAAATGGCTTTCTAAGACTAATATCTTTCATTTTAAATCATATTTGGTTTGTTGTTGGAATATTGAAAAAGTCGTCAAAAATGGTAAGTCTTACCCCTTACCATTTTGGTCAATTTTGACCACTTTTTGAACTGTTGAAAAACTATCTCAAAATGCTAAAAATGGCTTCTTAAGACTAATATCTTTCATTTTAGATCATATTTGGTTGGTTTTTTGAACATTGAAAAAGTCGTCAAAATGGTAAGGCTTACCCCTTAATATTTTGGTCAATTTTGACGACTTTTTGAACTGTTCAAAAACTATCTCAAAATGCTAAAAATGGCTTCTTAAGACTAATATCTTTCATTTTAGATCATATTTGGTTGGTTTTTTGAACATTGAAAAAGTCGTCAAAATGGTAAGGCTTACCCCTTAATATTTTGGTCAATTTTGACGACTTTTTGAACTGTTCAAAAACTGTCTCAAAATGCTAAAAATGGCTTCTTAAGACTAATATCTTTTATTTTAGATCATATTTGGTTGGTTTTTGGAACGTTGAAAAAGTCGTCAATTTTGCCTTCAAGTTTTAAAGTGTATTATTTTATTGTCAGTATCAGCACAAGATGCGGTGGCCAAGTGGTTAAGGCTACCGCCCTACTAGGTTGTGAGCGTAGGTTCGAATCCTCGAAGGGAGAAGTGCAATTTTTCTCGCCTAAAGTGTCACTTAATTTTAAATTCTGCGAATAGGATTAAGTCAAATAAAGAACAAGAGCATTTTATAAATTATGCTGTGGCGCAGTGGTTAAGGCTTCGGCCTTCGAGGTTGTAAGCTTAGGCCTTCGAGGTTGTAAGCTTAGGTTCGAATCCTGCATGGGAAAGGTTCGATTTTCTTCCCGAAGTTATTCTTTAATTTATACTTCATCGAAAAGGATTAGGTCAAATAAAGAACAATAGATTTCGACATATGATGCGGTGGTCTAGTGGTTAAGACGGTCGTTTCTCAATCCGGGGACAAAGGTATCAACTCCGGGCAATGCACAAAAATTAGCGTGAAAAATTTCGGTTTGATTTGGAAGCTATAAAAGCATTTAAAGACTCCTTGGCCTTCAAGAAAAAGACCGTAAATTGAAAAAAAATTGAAATAAAAAAACTAAAAGAAATTTCTCGCGTTCAAAAGTACCTGAAAATTGAAAAAAAGCACAAGTAAAAAAAGTTTAAAAATCATGTGTCTCCTAAAAAGGCTTCAAGATTTAAAAATTTCCCGCTTTTAAAAAACTCATGTTTACTTACCTTACCAATTTTTTTCACGAAAATTTGACAGGGTGATTTTCACGAGACTGAAAAAATTTACATTTTTTCACTTTTTTGAAATTCTCTTAGATATTTTTTTTATCAAGAAGTATTATGTCTTGGGCTACCTGTGTCAAGCCAGACACAGGTAGCCCAAGACAGACACAGGTAGCCCAAGTCGGCTTGACTTTTTTCTTTCTAAAATTTAAGAAAAATAGAAAAAAAACTAGAGAAATAGATAGAAAAAACTAGAAAAAAAACTAGAGGAAAAAAAACTAGACAAAAAAAATAGACATAAAAACTAACTAGAAAACTAGAAAAATCGAAAAAAAAACTAGAAAAATAGAAGAAAAACTAGAAAAAAAACTAGAGAAAAAAAACTAGACAAAAAAACTAACTAGACAAAAAAACTAACTAGAAAAATAGAAAAAAACTAGAAAAAAAACAACAAGAAAAATAGAAAGAACTAGAGAAATAAAAGTAAAAACTAGAGAGAAAAAAACTAGACAAAAAAACTAACTAGAAAAATAGAAAAAAAAACTAGAGAAATAGAAGTAAAAACTAGAGAAAAAAAACTAGACAGAAAAAAACTAGACAAAAAAAAAACTAGACAAAAAAGAAGAAAGAGAAACAGAAGTAAAAACTGGAGTAAAAAAAACTAGAGAGTAAAAAAAACTAGAGAAAAAAACTAAGTAGAAAAATAAAAAAAAAACTAGAGAAATAGAAGTAAAAACTAGAGTAGAAAAACTAGAGAGAAAAAGAAAACTAGAGAAAAAAAACTAAGTAGAAGAGAAAAAAAACTAAGTAGAAAAAAAACTAGAGAAATAGAAGTAAAAACTAGAGTAAAAAAACTAGAGAGAAAAAAAAACTAGTGAAAAAAAACTAAGTAGAAAAATAAAAAAAAAACTAGAGAAATAGAAGTAAAAACTAGAGTAGAAAAAACTAGAGAGAAAAAAAAACTAGTGAAAAAAAACTAAGTAGAAAAATAAAAAAAAAACTAGAGAAATAGAAGTAAAAACTAGAGTAGAAAAAACTAGAGAGAAAAAAAAAACTAGAGAAAAAAAACTAAGTAGAAGAGAAAAAAAACTAAGTAGAAAAAAAACTAGAGAAATAGAAGTAAAAACTAGAGTAAAAAAACTAGAGAAAAAAAAACAAGAGAAAAAAAACTAAGTAGAAAAAAAACTAGAGAAATAGAAGTAAAAACTAGAGTATAAAAAAAACTAGAGTAAAAAAAACTAGAGAAAAAAAACTAAGTAGAAAAAAAACTAGAGAAATAGAAGTAAATACTAGAAAAGAAAACTAGAGAGAAAAAAAAAGAAGAAAAAACTAGATGAATAGAAGATAATAATAACAGGGGTTTTTTTTAACTTAGAAAAAATACTAAAAAATATTAAGAGGTTTAATTTAGAATTGTCAAGTCACACAGAAGAACTTGCAAAATAAAAAAACTAACACCATCAGATGAAAAAGGTTTACTTCTTAAACTTTACAAAGAAAAAAGTTATCTTTATAAATCCAAGTTTTGAAAATTGTCACATAATTCATCACATTTCACACTAAAATATATAAATTAATGAATCTGGGTGCCTTTCAACTTTCTTCAACACTAAAGTAAAAAAAAGAATTTCATCAAAAAAATAATAAGAGGAAATATATTTAGACCAAAAACTAATACTAAGAAGAAATTAAAGAGAAAAGAAGTATAAGAAAAAGCCAAAGCAACTGCCAAAATCTTTTCAATTGCGAAAGCACAAGGAAAAACATGCAAAATCGAAACAAAACAAACACCACAAGGCAAAAATCAAGTTTCTTCTTAAACTTTTCAAAAAACATTTAGAAGCCACCACAAGGCAAAAATCAAGTTTCTTCTTAAACTTTTCAAAAAACATTTAGAAGCAACTGCCAAAATCTTTTGAATTGTGAAAGCACACGGAAAAACATGCAAAATCAAAACACTAACACCACCAGACAAAAAAGGTTTACTTCTTAAACTTTACAAAGAATAATTTCTCTTTATAAATCCAAGTTTTGAAAATTGTCACATAATTGAACACATTTCACACATGTTATCACACACTAAAATATATTAATTAATGAATCTAGGATAGGGCTAAAATAATTCAGGTTCTTCAGGGGTGCCTTTCAACTTTCTTCAACTTCATTCATTCTAAAGAGAAAAAGCATTTCATCAATCCTTTTAGGCAAAAAGTTGTATTTTCAACCTGACATCATTATTAAAAGATATTACTCATTATCTTACTTTAGCCATCTTTCATGGATAGACAATACATTCGTGAATGCATTTTGTTTTATGCCAATTATATTTTAGCTATTTTCAATAAAAAGAATGTGTCACATGCATATATTCAACCCAGAAATATGTCACTATTTAATTTGAACACAGAAAAACTGGGTACCACCCTTCTGAGTACTACAAAAATCACATGGAAATCAGAAAAATTTCTCCCAAGTTTAAAATAGTAATTGCTGGTCTTTTTCATGGATATTTATTGTAAGACCACCACAGGAATTATAGTAATCAGCCAGACTTGTTCAGCTGTTATAGCATTAAGTTTCATCATTGGTTTCACACATGGCGACCATAGAAGCAAATTTCAATTTGATTGTTGTCATCTCAACAATGTAGTAGCTTTTTAAAATCAAATGCTGACCATCCATGACAAAATCAAATTACCTCAGTGCAGATATCTTGTTCACTTTCCAATCAATGTACATCTGACAGTAAAGTTCATATCCACGACTCATGTTGCACTCTTGACCAGGGAAAATCTTGAATATTACAAGAACACATGATTAATATAAAATTGCATTTTCAACTATCTTAATTATTGTCTAGTTTTTGGTCAAGCATTCTATGGTTACTTCATCCCTCTATATAAATATGCTATATTTATTCAAAGCCCACCACAGGAATTTATCATTGGTGACCACATAGGGAGCATAGAAGCAAAGTTCACTTAGCAATCTTAACAAAATTGTGACTGCCTGACGATTTTCATGAAGATCCTAGTTGCAGCAAATTCCCCCTTATACTAAATAACAAAATATATATCTGGGCGGTTGACATATATTACAAGGTCACTACAAGAATTTCAGCTGCAAGGCTAATATAAATTTTGAAGGAACAATCAAATTACCTCTGCAAAAATCTTGTTCACTTCCAATTTTCCTCTGACAGTAAAGTCCATATCCACAGCAGCTAATGTGGCTGGTTGCACTCTTGATCAAGGAAAATCTTGAATATATAAAGAAGTTATTATTAAGACAAAATTCCATTTTCAACTATCTTAATTATTGTCTAGTTTTTCGTCAGGTATTCTATGGTTACTTCATCCCTCTATATATAACTATGGTTGCTATAATTATTCAAAGACCAGCACAGGAATTTATTACTGGTGACACATAGTGAGTATAGAAGCAAAGCTCACTTTATAATCTTAACAAAATTGTGACTGCCTGACGATTTTCATGAAAAAGATCCTAGTTGCAGCAAATTCCCCCTTATAATAATAAATAACAAAATATATATCCGGGCAGTTGATATGTATTACAAAGTCACTACAAGAATTCCAGCTGCAAGGCTAATATAAATTTTGAAGGAACAATCGAATTACCTTTGCGCAGAAATCTTGTCATTTTCAATGTTCATCTGACAGTAAAGTTCATATCCACCGCTCATGTTGCACTCATGACCAAGGAAAATCTTGAATATAGATATATAAATAAGAAGACATGATTAATATAAAATTCCATTTTCAACTATCTCAATTATTGTATAGTTTTTGGTCAGGTATTCTATGGTTATACCTCATCCCTCCACATATAACTATGGTTGCTATATTTATTTAAAGACCACCACAGGAATTTATTACTGGTGACACATAGTGAGCATAGAAGCAATGTTAACTTAGTAATCTTAACAAAATTTGTGACTGCCTGACGATTTTCCAAAAAAAGATCCTAGTTGCAGCAAATTCCCCCTTATACTAAATAACAAAATATATACCCGGGCAGTTGATATGTATTACAAGTTCACTACAAGAATTTCAGCTGCAAGGCTGATATAACTTTTGAAGGAACAATCGAATTACCTCGGTGCAGAAATCTTGTCACTTCCAATGTTCATCTGACAGTAAAGTTCATATCCACAGTTCATGTTGCACTCTTGACCAAGGAAAATCTTGAATATAAGAAGACATTATTAATATAAAATTGCATTTTCAACTATCTTAATTATTGTCTAGTTTTAGCAGAAGGCACATAAACAGTAAAGTAAAATACTTAACTTTGACCAGACAGCACAACAATCTTGCTCAGAAAGGTCCGCGAACGGTCCACGTGGATGGGATCGCCTTTTTGAATTCGGCGGCCGGGCGAGTCTTGAACTGATTTCTATTTTCTATTTCAACTGTTCTCTTGACGTTCGTCTTGATAACTGGCTGTTGAGATAAACGTTAATGACAAAATGTTCAGTTCTGCTTCAGTCTATGGGTGCGGAAATTGCTCATGACATAAATTTTCAGCAAAAAATTATCATCATTGCAGGCAGAATTAAGGTCGAAACTTTAGATAACCTTGTACGCAGAATATTTCATATTGTATATGGCTTTTTGTTATTTCTGGCCAACAATTAGCAGAAGGCACACAAACATCAAAGTAAAATACTTAACTTTGACCAGACAGCACAACAATCTTGCTCAGAAAGGTCCGCGAACGGTCCACGTGGATGGTTTTCTTTGGCATCGCCATTTTGAATTTGCCGGGCGAGTCTTCACCTTCATCTTGACAACTAGCTGTTCAGATAAACCTATATACAACGAAAAAAAGGGTTCGGCTCAGCTACACTGTACTCCTTAGGGAAGGCCTACGGCCTTCCCGTAGATTAGTGTAAAGGCCTACAAGTGGGAACTAGTCAACTAGCAGCGTGCGGGGGACCAAAACGCTCTAGGCAAACGGTCCCCCTACTGGGGTCGGACAAAGCAACCGCAGATTACGCATATAATCGCCGGAACCCACCTTTTAGTCAACGGCGAACTCCTTCTTCCTCGAACAATCTTCAATCTTGGTGAGCTTCGATCTTGCTGTCCACCTTCGATCGCCACCAATCTAAAGAAATTTTTTTTTAACGTTGAGATTAGTTTTATCGGCGATAATTACCATGTGATCATAACAGATCACGTGGTATGATAATGTACGACAACATGCCGATCAACTCCGAACATCATCGTGAGCGATGTTACTATAAACGAATTGCTAAAAGCCTGGAAAAAAGTTGTCTTTTGAATTGTGTCGCTGTGTGCCGAATTCTTTGTATTTCTGATGTCAAACAATCCTGTACTTTTTGGTATCATAAATATAAGCTCCTTTGTTTTGGAGACATACAACAGTTTTTTTTATATTTTAGCCAAAACATATAGCAGCAATTACAGATTCACTAAGTTCATATTCATCTTGATTCACAAATTTTTAAAGGAATTGAATCGATTCCATGCGGTCTACAATAGCTGGGCGAACGTCTTACACCTAAAGTCAGTCAAAGATTGTTGTATCTCAATTCTTTAGCTTCAGTAATAAACAACATGAAGAAAAACATCACTTAATCACAGAAAACAACACAGATCAGTATACCATGAGAAACATTAAAAGGCCTTTATGATCTGTTATAATAATTACCTTGGCAAACATTTTGCAAGAAAACTCTCACAAAGTCCAGTTAACTGATAACAATAAATGACATCGTTGGCAGTTCCTTGGCTAGCAATAATAGAACAAAATGATTAGGACTCCATATTCTGGATGGCGTTGGCCTTGCAACCACCCCTTACCATTTTGGTCAATTTTGACGACCTTTTCAATGTTCCAAAAACCAACCAAATATGATCTATAATGAAAGATATAAGTCTTAGGAAGCAATTTTTCGCATTTTAAGACAGTTTTTGAACAGTTGAAAAAGTTGTCAAAATTGACCAAAATGGTAAGGGGTAAGCCTTACCATTTTGGTCAATTTTGACGACTTTTTCAATGTTCCAAAAACCAACCAAATATGATCTAAAATGAAAGATATAAGTCTTAGGAAGCAATTTTTAGCATTTTAAGACAGTTTTTGAACAGTTTAAAAAGTGGTCAAAATTGACCAAAATGGTGAGGGGTAATCCTTACCATTTTGGTCAATTTTGACAACTTTTTCATGTTCCAAAAACCAACTAAATATGATCTAAAATAAAAGATACAAGTCTTAGGAAGCAATTTTTCGCATTTTAAGACAGTTTTTGAACAGTTGAAAAAGTTGTCAAAATTGACCAAAATGGTTAAGGTAGCCTTACCATTTTGGTCAATTTTGACGACTTTTTCAATGTTCCAAAAACCAACCAAATATGATCTAAATGAAAGATATAAGTCTTAGGAAGCAATTTTTAGCATTTAAGACAGTTTTTGAACAGTTTAAAAAGTGGTCAAAATTGACCAAAATGGTGAGGGGTAATCCTTACCATTTTGGTCAATTTTGACAACTTTTTCAATGTTCCAAAAACCAACTAAATATGATCTAAAATAAAAGATACAAGTCTTAGGAAGCAATTTTTCGCATTTTAAGACAGTTTTTGAACAGTTGAAAAAGTTGTCAAAATTGACCAAAATGGTAAGGTAAGCCTTACATTTTGGTCAATTTTGACGACTTTTTCAATGTTCCAAAAACCAACCAAAATATGATCTAAAATGAAAGATATAAGTCTTAGGAAGCAATTTTTAGCATTTTAAGACAGTTTTTGAACAGTTTAAAAAGTGGTCAAAATTGACCAAAATGGTGAGGGGTAATCCTTACCATTTTGGTCAATTTTGACAACTTTTTCAATGTTCCAAAAAACCACTAAATATGATCTAAAATAAAAGATACAAGTCTTAGGAAGCAATTTTCGCATTTTAAGACAGTTTTGAACAGTTGAAAAAGTTGTCAAAATTGACCAAAATGGTAAGGGGTAAGCCTTACCATTTTGGTCAATTTTGACGACTTTTTCAATGTTCCAAAAACCAACCAAATATGATCTAAAATGAAAGATATAAGTCTTAGGAAGCAATTTTTAGCATTTTAAGACAGTTTTTGAACAGTTTAAAAGTGGTCAAAATTGACCAAAATGGTGAGGGGTAATCCTTACCATTTTGGTCAATTTTGACAACTTTTTCAATGTTCCAAAAACCAACTAAATATGATCTAAAATAAAAGATACAAGTCTTAGGAAGCAATTTTTCGCATTTTAAGACAGTTTTTGAACAGTTGAAAAAGTTGTCAAAATTGACCAAAATGGTAAGGGGTAAGCCTTACCATTTTGGTCAATTTTGACGACTTTTTCAATGTTCCAAAACAACCAAATATGATCTAAAATGAAAGATATAAGTCTTAGGAAGCAATTTTTAGCATTTTAAGACAGTTTTTGAACAGTTCAAAAAGTGGTCAAAATTCACCAAAATGGTAAGGGGGTAAGACTTACCATTTTTGACGACTTTTTCAATGTTCCAAAAACCAACCATATATGCTCAAAAGTGAAAGTTATTAGTCTTACGAAGCCATTTTTAGCATTTTAAAAGAGTTTTTGAACAGTTGAAAAAGTTGTCAAAATTGACCAAAATGGTAACGGGTAAGACTTACCATTTTTGACGACTTTTTCAATGTTCCAAAAACAAACAAAATATGATCTAAAATGAAAGATATAAGTCTTAGGAAGCAGTTTTTAGCATTTTAAGACAATCTTTGAACAGTTTAAAAAGTGGTCAAAATTGACCAAAATGGTAAGGGGGTAAGACTAACCATTTTTGACGACTTTTTCAATGTTCCAAAAACGAACCAAATATGTTCTAAAATGAACGATATTAGTCTTAGGAAGCAATTTTTAGCAATTTAAGACAGTTTTTGAACAGTTCAAAATGTCGTCAAAATTGACCAAAATATTTAAGGGGTAAGCCTTACCATTTGACGACTTTTTCAATGTTCCAAAAACCAACCAAATATGATCTAAAATGAAAGATATTAGTCTTAGGAAGCAATTTTTAGCAATTTAAGACAGTTTTTGAACAGTTCAAAATGTCGTCAAAATTGACCAAAATATTAAGGGGTAAGCCGCCTTACCATTTGACGACTTTTTCAATGTTCCAAAAACCAACCAAATATGATCTAAAATGAAAGATATTAGTCTTAGGAAGCCATTTTTAGCATTTTAAGACAGTTTTTGAATAGTTCAAAAAGTCGTCAAAATTGACCAAAATGGTAAGGGGTAAGCCTTACCATTTTTGACGACTTTTTCAATGTTCCAAAAACCAACCAAATATGATCTAAAATGAAAGATATTAGTCTTAGGAAGCCATTATTAGCATTTTAAGACAGTTTTTGAACAGTTCAAAAAGTCGTCAAAATTGACCAAAATATTAAGGGGTATGCCTTACCATTTTTGACGACTTTTTCAATGTTCCAAAAACCAACCAAATATGATCTAAAATGAAAGATATTAGTCTTAGGGAGCCATTTTTAGCATTTTAAGACAGTTTTTGAAAAGTTCAAAAAGTCGTCAAAATTGACCAAAATGGCAAGGGGTAAGCCTTACCATTTTGGTCAATTTTGACCATTTTTCAACTTCCAAATTCCAAATTCAATGTTCCAAAAACCAACCAAATATGCTCTAAAATGAAAGATATTAGTCTTAGGCAGCCATTTTTAACATTTTAAGACAGTTTTTGAACAGTTCAAAAAGTCGTCAAAATTGACAAAAATGGTAAGGGGTAAGCCTTACCCTTACCATTTTACCAAAATTGACCATTTTCAAAATTTTCTAAAACTGTGTAACATGCAAAAAATGGCTTTTTAAGATTAATGTCGTTGGTTTTAGAACATATTTGGTTGCTTTTTGGAAGATTGAAAAAGTCGTCAATTTTGACCAAAATGGTAAGGCTTACCCTTTACTATTTAGGTCAATTTTTAAGGCTTACCCATTACCATTTTGGTCAATTATGACGACTTTTTGAGTATGGTAATTTTGAGGTAAGGGGTACCCCTTCTGGGGTTGTTTTACACAATAGCGGAAGACAAATTCCTTCCGTGTCGAAAAAAATGTAAGAAATGTTTAAAAACCTGAAATTTTTTGAAGTTCTTTTTCCTATTTTTTAATTTGCAGTTTTTTTAGAGACACATAATTTGAGTTATGAAGAATAATTGTATTTGAATATTACGAAGGAATACGGATTATTACGGAAGGCATAACCTGCACAGCCCGCAACAAACTGTATAAAATATAGTTTCGAAGGTGAAAGCATTGGGTGAAACTTGATACTATCGTATCGTATAAACCATTGTGGTATGATCTGATCTTAATACAGCAAATTCGAAGACAATTGTTTTAGAATGATGGCAGAAAGTACAGATCTGCAAAAAGGGAAATTAGTTTTTGACTCTTCCCCAGGTGAACCTGGGGTTGGTTCGATAAATGCCGAGGATTTTGAGGTTCAAATTCGTGATACAAACTCTCGTCAGACTTCTAGTGGAGATAGGAATTTAAGTCCTGAGAGGCTGGCAGAGTTAAAGAAAAAGTGCAATCAATTGGAAACGGAAAAATATTTCGCATTAAAAGTAAGTGAAGTTTGTATTTTGTGAAATTGCAATGTTGCAGTGTAACATATTTTGTTCGAAGTTGAAGCAAAGTCTATTTGATAGTAATAATGCTAATTTCATTGAATTAAATATGAAATATTTTATAGAATGTATTTTTGCAGGTTATATGGTAATATCTAAGTGTACCAAAAGTGCATTTTGCATGCAATTTTAGCATGAAAACGAAAATACGTGTATATTTTATCTAGGAAGCTTTGAATTAGTAATATTCAGAAAGACATATGATAAATGCTTTATGATGTAATAAATAATTGATTGGGTGCAGTGATCATTGTTTATAAGTTGATTATCAACTCAGGTCATTTTATTATCATATATGTGCACTATCTCCCTATTTAACCTTATGTTAGACAGAAACTTAGACAGAAAATATCTCAGATGTTATGTAGTCCAAAATATACATTGGCCTGGCAAGCAAAGCTCTAGGAACATGGCAATTAATATTTTGTGGTTGTGTGGGAGGCTGTTCCAGATTACATTTATGATTAACTTGGATTGAAAGGCAACACTATTTTATACTGACAAGAGTCTTAAATATACCCCAAGTGATGGCATTTGTAGAGTTAATCTGCAATACCAACAATAAAAGAAGTGGTTTAATTTTGAATGTTAGCATCTTTGATATATCACCTCTAATTACCATTTTATCTTCTAGGAAGGTTACTTTGACAAGGCAGTGGAAATGTCTAAGAATGAATTGTATTTCTCAGATGTTGATGGTAGTTACATTGGTGCTTGGCTAGCAACAGAGTATGTTCACAAGTGTTTGAAGTCATAAACATTTGACCTCTCAATGATGTTGCATTTTGAGTAAAGAAGCATGTAATCATTTGAACCCTTTGATATTGGTTCTTTTAAGTTTTCATCTAAACAAATCTATGATGTGTTACTGTTCTTAGGATAGATCACTGGGACAATGAGAAAGAGAGGCTTGTTCTCCTCACGCAGAAACAGCTTATTGTTGTCAGGTTTAACTTCATCACAACTAAGATTGAAGATCATCGTAAGATACCTCTGGTCAACTGTATCAGAATACAAACTGGGAGTCTCTCCTATTCATCCAGCACGTTTGGCTTGTAAGTCCTGAATGTTTTGTTATGTTATCAACTGACAATGGTGTTTTAGTAAAACTGTGTGTATGCACTTTTATAGTGTGTAATGTTTTTAGTTTGTATGTCATTGTTTATGAGGTTAAGTTCACATTTTGACCTTACACATCCTAGCTATCAGGAGTCAGCCAGGAAAGCAAACGAGGTTGGTCTACGTATACACTGGAATTCTGAAAGAGTACCAGGGACATTTGACTTCTGGAATCCATGGTCAAAAGATATTCCACATTTAACCCTGACTGCTCATACCTCGGTAAAATACAACGAAGCATCACCAGAATTTGCTGATTTCTCTGCATTGCAAAAGTCATTAGTCGCCGCTGCAACTTCCGACATCAGTCGATCCCTTGTAACCGATGAAGAGCCTATTATTATCAACATGATACTGGGAATAACAGCGCTTGTTCATAACCAAAGCAAACTTGGTTTTTCCCGTGACAGAGGTGGCGTAGCCTTTTAAGGAAATACTGTGTTACTATGGGGATTGCTTATTTATTACCTTCAAGGATGTTACACTAAACCTTTCACTGGGAAATGGTAGAGATAGATATTGTTGTAAATATCCTGGTACAAAAACATTCACAATGTTTTTGATAGCACCCAAAGTATTGTTTTCATTTTCTACATCAGTAACATATTGTGACCATTGGGATGAGTAAACCTTAGTAATAAGGTTTATTTATCTTAATGTTCGCAACCAACCGGGTCTATGTGCTTCACACTTAATTGCGGAGACAATTGTCTTCACTGCTAGACCATTAGCACTTTAGATTACCGGGAATATTGAAAAATTTGTCAATTTTTGCAAAAATGATTAGAGGTATCATTTTTGCAAAAACTGGTGAAATGGTGAATTAAAATATTTGAAGGCGATATCCTTAATTATTAATATTGGTATTAATGGTGAAGATAAATGGAAGTCATATCTTTCATAATAGACGCGGTTTTTTGACGTTCTGTAACTCATTTTCTGTACTTAGACTTAGAGATTTAAAAAACAAGTTGTTTTTGCTCAGTCGTTCCGTTATTGCTTTTTCTTAGCGCAGCATTTATTTAGCACGTACCTTTGTTTTCGAATAAGAAAGATTACTTTTGTTAAAGTGCTACAAAATCATTGTAGGCACTGTTAATATGAAGTTGGCTGATTGTCACCATATTAAACAACCATGTATGTCAGGGACCGCGGAGCAGGGTGGCTCGCTGGGCTTTAGCCCCACCAATAATTTTTCCGTAATTAGTCTTTAATTTCGAATATTTTTTACCTTGCTCAAATTTACAAGCAATACAAGCGCCAAAATGCTGGAAACTTTACATAGGGCAAGCATTTGACCATTAAAACAGCGTGGTTATCCATTTCAAAATATTTGACATCATAACCAAAGCATGGTTATATTGTTTAATGTTTGTATATGAGCGCCAAACATGCTGGAAACTTTACATAGGACAAGCATTTGACCATTAAAACAGCGTGGTTATCCATTTCAAAATATTTGACATCATAACCAAAGCATATATTGTTAATGTTTGTATATGAGCGCCAAACATGTTGGAAACTTTACATAGGACAAGCATTTGACCATTAAAAACAGCGTGGTTATCCATTTCAAAATATATTTGACATCATAACCAAAGCATGGTTATATATTGTTTAATGTTTGTATATGAGCGCCAAACATGCTGGAAACTTTACATTGGACAAGCATTTGACCATTAAAACAGCGTGGTTATCCATGTCAAAATATTTGACATCATAACCAAAGCATGGTTATATTGTTTAATGTTTGTATATGAGCGCCAAACATGCTGGAAACTTTACATTGGACAAGCATTTGATCATTAAAACAGCGTGGTTATCCATTTCAAAAAAATTGACATTATAACCAAAGCATGGTTATATTGTTTAATGTTTGTTATGAGCGCCAAACATGCTGGAAACTTTACATACTATCTATTATTTTCCATTATTCCTTAAATTGAGAGGCATTTGCGGCGATTTCAGAGACCTATATTTCAATATTTTCCCGGACTCTCCTAGCAGGCGCGCGGTTCCGAGCCCCAGCAATACGAAAAACGCTCTGCGGTCCCTGTATGTGGGTCGTGGGGTGCAGCATATACTTGCTCAGTCCTGTTCTCAACCGGGAAGAACTGTTTTTTGCTGTGTACGAAACATAAAAAGGCCTAAACAGGCTGTGTTGAATAATGATGCTATGATATCAGTATTCTTCTCAGATCTCACATCCACACAGGTGTTGAAACATTTTTTCATCGTTTGCTAACGTTCATTATCTAAACCCTTTGTCTTTACAATAATATGTCACAAGTCGTAATTCAACAGGTGCTTGTATATTGAGACTAATCAAGCTACCATTATAGTCTACTTTTTAAACTTTCAACACGTGGCACAAAGTTTACCCCTTTATTTCAATAGCCATGTTTATGTAAACAAGAAATTCTTAAAAGGACCAAGCTGACAATAAAAACATTGGCAGCAAATGATAGAAAAATCGTTGGAAATTTGCGTTTGTATATCGCAGGAGTTTGACGTTATGTTGCTTGGAGGTAAATATATATGAATATAATTTTAGTTATTTCAAGTTTAAACTAAAAAAGCTTTTTCAAACAAAACAAAGACTTGCTGACAGGTTGCATTAGGCAGCCGACTGAAAGAATTGCTCAATTGGACTGATTTTACCTATTTCTTACAGTTGCTTATATTGTATTGAAATTTTTTGAATTTTTGAAATCAGCTGTACAATTTGTTCACTTGCTGTGCCCATATTGTTATGTAAAATGTAAAAGGTTTAGTGAAGATCAACGAAGCGTTAATTGGTAACAAAAACAATATCGTACTTTACAACACATAGCAAATTCTATATGTATTAAATAGTATTTGAAGTTTTTGCACTAAGCAATCATTCTGCGGCTGAGCTCATCTGATCTTGTGTTATTTTTCTGGCTATTAATATTTTGTTCGCAAGTGCATGGCATTTCAATTTTCCCCGTAAAGTATAAATGATTAGACACTTTATAATTCGCTCCGTATTATTTATCCGATTACTTATGGCATGATGTAAGACGATCATGTAAGAATAAGAACCAATGTTAACTCATAAATTAGCGACTCTATGTGTTTTCAAGCAACCATATCTCAACTTGGTTAACCAGATTTTATTTTTATAGTCATAAAATTGGTTTTATACAACACCACGTTAACCACCAAGTGCATTGTCATTAGTTTTAAGAATATAGTTTATCACGCCTAGGGTATTTTATCAAGCATGTACCAGAAATCATTCCAGCAAAATACTGGGGTATTATCATATTAAACCTTCATCAGCACAGACAACCGTGCTTATTCTCCAAAATCCTACGATCTTTGAAATCTACTGCGCTTTTTCATTCAGAGCTACCAGTGGATTGGTAAAAACTGGTGCAATGAGGGTGTGGACACTTGTTGGAGTTTTTATATTGTTATATCATCCAGCATTTGGTAAGAGTTATATGTTCTATAAAAGAGTTATAGTGGTATGTATAGTGGTTATAACTTATAAACCCGCTAATTAAGTTAGCATCATTTTGAGCGAAATATAGAGTTTGGTTCCCGTAAACAGTACTATAGAGCTATTTATTTGAAAGAAAGATAATTATTTGCACTTGTGAATCACTACTGCTGTGTTGCGTGTGTCTTCAAATAGATGTCTTGTGCATTTCAGGAAAACCTTTGGATAAAAAAGCAAAAGCGCGCTCGACTGAGTTGATACGGGAAAAACGACAACTGGACGACGATGAAAGATCTGGCGAGATGCAAAAATTTATGTTGGACCTCTCTTCGAAGGAGGACATGAGTCGCTTGAAAGAAAGGTAATATGACGTCTGAGATTGAGATCTGGGAAGGAATCATTTAGAGAGGGTAGCGGCTGGCTTTTGTCATCGGCACAATTAACTTGTTTATATTGTACGATACTCACTTTCATGACTCTAGCATTCATCTAGAGCCTGAGCAATTTAACTCGAACCTTCCCCCCCCCTTTCCCAGAAGGACCCTAAAATGATTGAGCCTACTATGAATTGCTCTAACAACTAAGAATTTTGGCCAAGGTATTATATCTCGGATTTTTTTCACTTAGGTTTAGGTCAGGGCCAGAACAGGACATCGAGAACGATGCGGAATACAGAAGGTTAAAGAGGTTCTCCATTCGCGACAGTGATGAGGATGACGAGGAACGGAAGTCCGTGACGTCAGGAGTAGAAACAATGAACATGAGGTCATCGAGGACATCTAGGGATATTGGAGAAGTTGCTGATTTTGATGAAAGGTGAGTACTTGTGATCATCATTATGTTCCTTAAAGTATATTAACCTCAAATATTTTATTTCCGCCTCTGTTTGCAGGTTGATGCCATTGGCTAAATCAACATTATCTTACCCAAAATACCCACCATGGATTACGGGGGCAAAGACCAAAAGAAATCCAGAATCTATAGAAACTCGAGACAAATCTGATGCATATGATGAATATGGAGAAGAACACGAGCACAAAATTAAGCAAACCTCCCCACATAAGGAGGAGAGGAAATATCAAAAGAGAAAAGCTCATGACAATTACAAAGAGTTGAATGTGAAATCTAACGATGGAAACGAGCAGGAACAAGACTTACATGACGAAGACCTCATTAAAAAAAGTTCAACTGATAGTATCAACTCTAATATAAATTCTCATTACATTGTTGGAGGGTCATGGGAGCTTATCCATCATTTTTCACCAAGCAATGTTAATACGACACTACCAAACAATACCACAAAGCATAGCGAGTATTTGGCAGATGACATGGATGACGTCATGCAGTACGAAAGAACGGAAAAGTCACGAAGGAAGCCACGTGTCTCGCTTGTGAGACCCGTACGCTCTGTTGAAACGGATTATGAAGTTCGGGAAATTTCACAGATCAGTAGCCCTGCTTTAAAAGATACACATGAAGAAAATGGCCGGGTGATTATGATTAATACAAGGGCAATCAAGAGAGATGGTAAGCCAATGAAATTGTAAGATAGACGAACCAAGTTCTGTGGTAGAAATTGTCTTTTCAAAAGAGGGTTCAAACTTAAATGGAGGCGCTTTTCCATATTTTCTTTTCAATCTTTTCCATGCTCAGGTTACATTGGCTGTTTCGTCGACCAGCATCCCAATCGCGACTTAACGAAATTGTTCACAGTCAACAGTCTCACTCCAGACTCTTGTCAATCAGCTTGTAAGGAGAGGGGTCACGTGTATGCTGGGGTTCAGTATGGATATCTGTGTCATTGTGGGGACGCATATGGTAAATACGGAGAGGCAGATGATCGCGAGTGTAACAGTGCTTGCCTTGGAGATGAGGGGAAGAAATGCGGAGGATTCTGGAGGAATTCTGTTTATACATCAGGTGGGGTGGACGTCTTTGTATTTGACAGAAATCATTGCCATGTTTTTATTCTTTTTCCCTCCTTAAAAGAAAATCTTCGCACCCGAACACCACTCCTAACAGCTACTGATGCCTCTCAATTTTTTTATTTAGACACGTCTGATGATACGAAATTAAATGACCCTTCAGGAGAGAGTTCAGATGAACGAGAGACGCGGTCACACATTGATCGAGTCATTCCTATACCACCGTCAGGTTTGTGGCTTTTCTTAGAGAGAGACTGATTTTGTTGGAAAAAAGATTATATCGAATTGAATTTCAATTTCAATCTCTTTGTTAGATCAAGAAGAAAAACCAGTTCGTCAAGATATCACAGTCTATCTAAGATCAGAGATACCGAAAACACAAGAAACCTCAACGCCTGCAAAACAAATTAATACAAAATCAAACAAAAGGTAAACTTCATTCAAAGCTCTCGAGAAATCACGTGTGCTTTCCAGTTTCTTGTCCCCAATCCCGTAGCAGAAGCAATTCGTTAGTCGGCTAATATCAGTTTTATTAATTCATCAGACCAGATCTTGCAGCAACAAGTAGTAAGCGATCGGAAATTACTACACCAACTGCAAACCACCAGAAATTAAACAAAGCTGGGAGGTCAGGAAATCCTTCGCAAGCAAAGAAACGTACAAAAGTGGACAGAAATGTTTATCTACATCCACAAACAACTTCCAGGGAATTTGTCCCATCAAATGTCGTATTAAGGACTCTTTCGAAGTCACCAGAAAGTAAGTAAAGAACACAGGATCTTGCGATAGTTTTTGATCCAGAGCTCGTAGCGTTAACTTTTTGTTCCTCTCTTCAACAGCCAAGAAGTACGTTGGTTTTATAAAATTGAAACAAAATTGGGATGATGGTCTACAGAAGAAGACAAATCCTAAAACACTGATATTAGCGGGAAATATTGAATCATCGGTAAGATTAGGATTGTAACTGGTAAGATTAGGATTGTAACTGGAGAGATTAGGATTGTAACTGGTAAACTAAATTTGTAACCGGTAAGATTAGGATTGTAACTGGAAACAAACAAAATTTCTCCTCCACCTTATATCTGTTGTCCTATTGTAGTTTACAGAAATGTTTGCTGAAGATTCACAATTTAAGAAGGCAGAAGTTCTTAGCTTGAGGTAATTTTTACCATAACGATCTAACGATGTAACAGGCCCTTTTGTCCATCAAAGGATATTTTGAATGACTCGAATGATTTCTATTTCGATCAGGGAGGCAGAAATACGAGACAATCCAGACACAGTTCACAAGGTTTTAGTAGAGTTTGCGCTGTTGTTTACAAAGAAAGGAAAGAAGAAAGATGAAGAACTGAGAAAAATAGTTCAGGACAAAAGTCGACTCGGGGAAATGCCGGTCTTCGCTGATAGCCTCGATGTCAAAGGTATGATGAAACGAAAGCACCATCTTCATTTATATACCGTGAAGATAAAAGATTATACTTTAATCAAAGAGTTTCCTCCCGATTGCTATAACGTGCATTGGTACTTGTTTCGTTTCCCAGAATACGAAGATGAAGAGAAAAACGATAGCAAAGAAGAAGCAACATCAAAGAGGAAAAGACAAGGTGAGTTATTGCTTTCTGAATTACTTCTGTTAAAAGATCTGAATGCTTTAAGAAAATGTATATTATATGTGAATATTTAACTGACTGTGTATATTGACTATTGTGGAACTTCACACAAGTTATAGAAAAGGATATTGTTGTCTAGATAGTGCTTTAGATAGTGTTGATGCATTTCTAATTTGTTTTTTAGATGGTGTTGATGCATTTCTGGAAGAAGTATTTCGACAGATTTGAGATGAAACGAAGAGACAGCGATTATGATTTTGTAGTATAAGATTAGGATTGAATCTACGCCGGCTGTTTTGCTTCATCGTTGGATGAGCTCAAAATCAAGAAGAATGAATTTAACATTACTTTTTTGTCATTCAGAACATGGATGGTTGTTCATGAATAGACAGTTGTTAGGGCTGCGTACTTTGCGCAAAATCTTCATCTATTATAAGATGATAAATGATAAAAATTGAGAGAACGGCAAAGGTTTGCCTTGCATGGGAAAAGCTAGATTGTACGAACAAAAAAATGCTAAAAAATAATTTTATTTTTTCCCATCAAAAGTTATTAATGAGGTCATTATCTAAAACATTCATCCTATTTACTGTACAACTCCAACTAAGTCGCTTTTTTATTACATTTTCTCAGTTCCTGTCTTAAATATTTTAATTCAACTTCATAGGAAGCAACTTTGTCTGTGATGCAACTAATGTACCCTTCGGCGTCGTCCAGTTTCTCACTGAGCTCAGCAGCCTTTTTTCGTTCGTCCCTAATCTCGATGTCGAGCTGATTGTTATCCGATGTGAGATTTTTAAATCCCTGTTCGTAAACAGCCAAAGTTTCCTGGTGTTTCAAGAGTTCGCAGTTCAACCTCATCACTTCAGACTCTCGTTCGTTAATTTTCAACACGAGTTCCTTATTTAATACCACAACTTCCTGAAGTTGAGTCTCATAGTCACAAAGTACTTTTTGATAATGCTCTAGTTTAGCAGCAATGTCCTTATCTCGTCCATCGGTCTCGTACACAGTCCCTCCGGAATCCAACTGACCATTGACTTGGTCCAGTCCTTTACTGGACGAACCCGCATTGTCATGTATTATTCTTTGGCCAATGTTTCCGTCAGCTTTGTCAGTATTTAGAAACCTGGATTCAACAAACGAAAAGACCCTGTAAGCCCTGGGAACCTGGCATATGCATGACATAGTTTATATGAAAGAAATGATGTACCTAGAGCTATTTATTACAAATAGACAAACGTTTCTACCTTAAAATGCTTTCATTTTGCTGCGCTTTTTCCCGTAGGCATTTATTTTCGTCGCGCATGTCTTGTAACTCGTCCCTCAATGCTCGACTGCGTCCCTCGCTCCGACGCAACGCTTTGTCTAAAGTTTTCAACATCTCATCTCGCGATTGAGTTCGTTCCTTCGTTGTTTTATAATCATTCATTATAGCTTCCATATGAGGAAGAACATGCTTTAAATTACCCTGGGAGTAAAATAAAACAGTTCAACAACAACGCTTTAAAATTCTAAGGAAATGCATGTCTAAAACATTCATTAAAATGACGTTTCTTCATCCTCATTTCGGATGTGCCAATGAGCTATATACAGACCTGAATGGTATTGAGCTGCTTTAAAGCAGTTTCTATTCGGTCCTCTGAGTCCATGTCATCGTCAGAGCTCGAATCCTGGTCATATTGATTGAAAAAAAATGACAAGTATGGTCAAAGACTAGAGGGAAAATGCACTCGGCTTTAAAAATGCATAACCCAGAGTTAACACGATATGAGAAATCAAGGCTCTGTTCAATATGGTGAAAATAAGACACGTAAATAGTGTTTTCTGATGACACGATCAGACATGTAAATCAAGCATCATGTACTGGTTATTGTTGTTTCCAAGCACTGTTGAGTGCATGGCTTACTGTTTATGCTATAAGAATGTTCGTGAAAGATTATCCTCAACATTGAAACAAAGTGCTTTCTAGATGTGCTGACGATTTGTTGTCTTTACCTTGCTCGTACGCAGCATATTTCCATTCTTTTTATCGAGAAAGTCCAGTAATATTTTGGCTGGGCGAAAAAGACTCTCCGATATCTGCCAAATGAATGAAAAACGATTTTGCATGGTCTTCCGCATGTGTCTCCTAGTTGAAAAGTTCACGCTGTTGTAGAAAAGGTCCGCGTACCTGTTTAAATGTTTCCACCAATCCACTCAAATCAACAGAATCATTTGCTAAAACAACATAGTGAAAACCCTCTAAGATCATCATCATCTTATGATGGCTGGAATTCAAGTCGAAGTGGCATGAAGATAAGAGATACTCGTGTGAATATTTCCACTAACTATGACCAGTGCATGGTTCCTTTGAATCTACAACCTTCCCCTATCATTTTCTTCAATTCTGTAAAGCCAGGCGAGGCGAGGAGAGGATGAAATATCCTTTCAGGGAATATCTGTGTATGTGTATACTCTATTATTTTCTATTGTGCATACCATCTTGGTCATTCCGTTGATCCACATTTCCATTGCTTAACGTCGTTTGAAGAAACGCTGGTGGAATAGGGAGACTGGACGACCGTCGATGACCACAACATGGCGGCAATTTTGTTCCGTTTACACCTTTAAACATAAAAAATCTTTGTGACAACTAAAGAGACAAGGCTACCTAAACTTGATGCACTTATCATGAAATCATTATCACGCTTGTTTCCTAGGAGACATTGAAAGAATCGCGCATATAAGTGAACCTTAATTAAGTTGTGCATGCCATGTATCATGAAAATGTTCACCAAATCGTACAGGTAAAATTGTATGATAGAGATCAAATTTTTAATGGTTTATGACAAATTAGCATTTACTTGTAAAATGTGGACACCTGCCATATAAATCACTCATCACATGACACCTTGTATTAATATGATATAATAACAAAGACAAGTGTAATCGATTCTTTATAAAGCAACTGTCTTCACATGAATACAGAAACACTGTTGCCCTAACTACACATGAAATATCACATAAGATACGACTTAGGCATGATAAGGGAACAATATTAACCGTTAATCGATTCATAACTTTGCATTGACTGAATTTAGCCGGTGAAACAAAAGCGAGATAATCGACACTTGTGTTATATTTATGCCTGGTTGAGTCTTGTATTGGCTGCACTGAGGGGTAAATTTGAGCAAGAAAGTGAAATTTGTGAATTGCTTTACTTAAAAATGCTTGTACAGTAATACGTGGGCATGCACTCTTCAGAAAACTTCGCTGCTAATGTCCTACGGCGAAACACGTATCTCTCGTGGGGAAGTACTTCTAAGAAACGCTTTACATACTTGTACAATACACATGCATTACCAAAGATATACAAGGCTGTATAATATCTTGGGTTTCCGTGTATTTTAATCCCTGGAGTTCCCGTGTATTATCTAGTACTGAAATCGCTTTGTACAACAAATTAGAACTAGAAACATTTGGATATATAAATGATCGTTGACGTTCAATGAATCGTTGTTGGCCGTGTCTACAGATTGTACATCATATAAAGTAGCCTTCGTTCTAATGATTTAGTGCATGTTGTTCACTGTAAATTTATTAACCCTTGTACAAAAGCATCATGATACTCTGCTTATATTCTCGCAGTAAAATCGTCCACATAAATTGAAAATGTGACTGCTGGCGAAAAGTTGAGTGTTGGGTTGTTATGTATAGTGCATAGTTCATACGATGGTGAACTCATGAAGTCGAGTTGTCAATCCCCGAATATGCGAATGTATGGTATGGTAAAGTAAAGTTCCAACTTACCTGAAATACTGGAGGCAACTTTAGCCATCGTTTAAATAGTATTCGATGATAAAAGAAGCTTTCAACAAGTGAAACTCGGGAAAGAATCCAACCAAATGACGCTGTACTTCCTTGTCATATGTGAATGAACCATTCTTTGCCCCCACGTCAACAATGGATGAATATATTATAGCTGGAACGGCATTATAACATTGCAACCAACCAGAACGATAAAAACTACAAACGGTTTCGACGTTGTTGTTGTTTGAAGTTTCGTTTCCCTAAATATGTTTATTTGAGAGGTGAGTCGGACATTCAATATCGCAAGGATTGTGTAATGTAACCGGATACTGGATGCTTTACTTGCATTTTCAAATTGGCGCGGTATTTTTAGCAATTTACCGTACAAGTCCAGCCGACCAACTTTGTTTCCACGCTACAGAAGGAAGAACTGACCAATCGAAAACGTTGACATCATATATGGGTCCAACCTTGATTACTTCTACAAAGTACTTATGCATGCTTTTCCTGTTTATTGCAGGTGTATGAATAATGAAAGAACTTCGTGAGAAAACATTTAATCGTTCAGGTCCAGGTTTTCGTTTTCGATCTCTTATACGTCTGCGGGACTGAAATTTTATATTCAGTCTGAAATGTTTTTAATCAAATTCAACCTGATAAAAATAATCAGTTAAAGGAAAGTTCATTTGACTCATCAAGTTGAGCTCTTCGAAACAGCGGAAGCTACCGTTCTACCTCACCGTTCTATATCAGAAAATGGCTATATCATTGTTTTAAAATATCTTTCTCGTTCGTTTTTCATCTATCATCCTTTCTTCCAAAAGGAATTAGTCAGATCAAAGAAGACAAATTTTGAATTTAATGACCTCCAGAGTCCCGCGAGACGCGGGCTTCGTGTTCAAGTCTTCGTGGAGAAATTGGCTTGTCCGACGTGCGAAAACAAACTCGCCATAACGGAAGAGCGGCTCGCTGAAGAAAGGAGAAACGGACACATCAAAACAATTTTAATGAACTGAAATGATATACAAAAATAACATCGTTCTTCAGCTGCATATTTTAAATCATTGCGAAAATGCTTTGCAATGAGCACCGACAATACCAAATGGTGCTATATCATCAGAAACAGCATGAAATAAATTATCATATCAGGACGGTATCTGGATTCATCTTTAACGAATGCGCTATACCGCCTGCCCCCTTTCGACTTTCATATGAAATTCAGTTAGTAGGTAAGTCCAGCTGCACGGGAAAAACAAGCTTTGCAAATACATATTGTCTTTCAAGCTGTTATGAAATTGTTATTGTCAACAAGCCTAATATATAGGCGGTATAAAAACAGACTAGAAGTAAAATTTTAGATGTTTTTCATTTTTGTCTTTATAGCTGCTACGATGAACCTCTAGCAGTCCTTTGCAGTGCCTTTTTGACAAACTAAATCGGCTGCAGACGAAATACGTTCCTGAATGTATAGCTACTTACAGTTCAATATATTCAACTATTTTGTGAATTGCTTCCTGGTTGAATTTACGGTACAGGGTGAGAGATTCTATTTTTTTGGTGTGTTAACAAGTTAAAAAACAAATGGCGTATTATTTAAGAGTGATTTGTGAAAAAAAAGACATGGTGCACAGCTTGAATTAAACTGCTTCTAGCTGCGGGCGTTTATATATTTCAAAAATATAATAATGTTCTATATTTAACTTATTCTTAGGAACGGAACTGTTTTATATGCATCTCACGTTGGTAGTGAGAAGAGCAAGGCCTTTGCTTTTACACGGAGATTCTCTTAACTTTTAATTCCGGATTAGCGTTCAATTTCCCGGTGAAAGATATATTCTCGAGCGCTCTTGGGGAGCTTTTGCTTTTCAAACGGACCCGCTGAGGGAGATAAGATTTGATCTAGTGCATCAACAAGTTTCTATATCGATAACAGAGCGAGAAATTATCATTTTGGAAGAGAAACGTTCATTTTTAGACCGTTGATGCTGAAAGTATACTGAGCCACATGTACAACATCTGTAAATCCGGTTCAAGATGAAAGATTCCATTCACATCTGCCAGTAAACCGAAATTTAGGAAGAAGATACGATGAGTACAAGCAATAACACAACCGCTTCCGAATCAATCATTGCATTATGTCATAACGTTGAAGTTCACATCACAGGGAACACTATGGGATCTGTAATCTCGGACACAATATGTTGTTTTATAAATCTTTTTATGGCCGTCATATCCACCTGTAGCAACGCTTTGGTGATCCAAGTTTATACCAAACTCTCCTCTGCCTCGGGAAAAACAAGCGGTAACCTTTTACTTGCTTCGCTATCGACAACCGAAGTGATCAAATCTGCATTAATCCAACCAGCGTTCTTCATATGGAAAGTCATGGAGATCGCAAAATTGGATTTTTGCTATCCCTACTTGTTCACGATAATGGGAATAAATTTTTGTACTCTTTCATCGTTCCTACATACTTGTCTCCTGATCACAATCGAGCGTTATCTATCAGTTTTCAAGCCGATCCTACATCGCAAACCGCTTGTACGAAAGTGCCTGAAAATTGCAGCGATCGTTACTCAGATATGGTGCGCGGTGTTTTTGCTGACGCTGTTCCTAACATCTCAACATCGGATATATTTCATCGCAATGTGTTTGCTTGTTATGTCCTGTTTAACCGGCACGGCGGTGATGTACGCTTTGATTCGCGCAAAGATGAGAAAGGGAACGATGCAGAACGCTAAGGTTTGCCTGCCATTTTTACATTTTTATCGGATTTTTTTGCTGTGCTTCTTTTTGCAAATATAGCTGCTGTACTCATGTGCATTTTGCCACAGATGCCGTACGCTCAACTTGAGTTAAACCACAGTTAACCATCTAGAGCTAAAAAACCTCTAATGATTAAATACTTTTTCATGAAACAATCGATTCTCGATTGCATGCAGGACAAACGTCCGCCCTTATCGCTTCATTTTTTCTCAATAATTTCAATTTTCGTTATAGAACATCACTGCGCATACGGCAAGTAAACAGGCCGCTGACCGTCGTATGAATAAGACCGTCATTACGATCATCCTCGTGTCACTCGCGTGCTACTTGCCGTTAATTTGCGTTCTCGTGTTCCTTAGCGTGCACGAACGTACCGTGTGGCATACGCGTTTCGTGATTCCTTGGGTGTACCTCGTGATGTTCGCGACGGCTGCGTTGAACCCGTTCGTTTACTGCTGGAAAAACCGACGACTTCGAAACGAGATGATCAAATTCACGTCACGCGTGTTCACGAGCAATCCACACGCTTTCGAAAACAGCACGGCATCGTGCACGCAAACCACGCACACAACAAAGGTTTGAATCTGGATTCATGGGCAAGACATGTATCCAAAGTTTCTCTCTAGTTAGAGTTCTAATTTAGAATTCTAGCATTCTGAGTACTCGATTTTCAACGTAGACTTTAGAGACCATGACCTAGCTTGTTTTCGCGCCTCGTTTGAAGTCAGAATGGAAGTCTTATTAATATCACCATAGACTATAGCTATATCTATAGCTATATATTTGAGTTACTATTGACAATATAATATAAACATGTAGAGTTCAAATTCCGTGTGACTCTGTACATAAGCTGTCTTATATGATACATACAAGACTGACACACAGTGCATTGAAACACAGCAAAGCTACAAATGTCAGACATTCTCCCCCTGACAAATGTGAAATACTATAATTCCGTTGTAATGTCGATAAGTGCAGTTGCTGCACTGTACAGTATTATACATAGGTCATGTAGGAGGAGAATTGGGCTAACAATACTCGACTACAAATTATAGTCTAGAGAAATATATTTGCATGTGACTTATCTGGATCGATGGATTAGGGTTCAGAAGGCGTTAGGAAACAAAGACACATTCTGTCCTTAGATAGGAGTAGTATGCTGTCGCCATCAGGATGCCAGTGCAAAGAATTAACTTGAAAAGTGCCTAGAAATAGATTAAATATTGTAAGTATGAAGTATGTTTACTGGACCGTCAAACATAGTCATTTGACATCTGTGGATCCGCATGTTGTGTGAAAGATATCCACACTCTGCTGCATGTTATACTTTTTGATTATGTTTAGTACAGGCAGATCATGTTCCTTAGCTGCACACGTCATATTGCGAATGAGCATATAACATGGCTCTTTAGTAGTACAGCTTAGTGTAGCGAGATCAGTCTAAGAGCTGTGGGAGATACCCTGTGAGCATTTCCGTTCAGCTTTTGGAGAGATTCAATATTGTTCTTGACGATATAAAGTAGGTTCATTTTACATAAATGAATTGATTCCTTATAATAGTGTACAGTCTATAGAAGGATGCTTTTCTTAGCTCGTTTTACAGTAAATGATTCTGCAAAATTGAAAGAAGTAAAACTGCAAAGTAAAAATGCCACCAACCTTCGCTTTCAGTTGGAACTTCGACAGTCACACAGCCGGCTACCGACCAGAAATACAGTTTATTATTACCAGTAGACAATGCTATTCTTTCTTGTTTTGGATCCCACGTCATTGCTAAGGAGATATAGATCAATGTTTGGTCAGGTGTGATATTATGAAGACATGGCCTGGATGGTTTAAAGCGAGTGTTTTTCTAGGGTAGATATAATACAGGGCAAATCTTCCTAGGGTAGATATAATGCAGGGCAGATATAATGCAGGGCGAATCTTCCTAGGGTAGATATAATACAGGGCAAAAGAGAATAAAACTAAAAGAGAGCTAATGATGTTGGGTATTGAATGAATCTTTTCCAGAGCCTTGAAAAGATGAAATAAAGAAAACCAACGTGATAACATTAAAAAATATGAAGAACGACAGCAAGAAACTGACAATAAAACGAAACTTAAAACATACGAAATAATGAAAAAATTATACATAATTATATGAAAACATATGAACCTTTTATTGGAGAACTTTGTATCAAGACTGCATAAATCTTTAAAGTAACTACGTTCCAAATCCATAGAGTATGAGGCATATTATCTAAAAAGAGATAACTTAAATATCAGAATTTCTGCTCTGCAAATAAATAGTTTAGAAGGATATCAATTTCATATGCAAATGAACTTTGAAGTTTGTGACGCATTTTATGATGATTTGGATTAGGAATTCATTACCAATAGACTTGTTTTCTTAATATTTGACTACGCAAGATTTGACATGCGTAACATGATTACATTATACATTTAATGTGCATGTGCTCCCGAGGGAAATAGTGAGTTTTTTCCCCAAGAGTCTCAATGTTTTCCGAGACAAAGTCGAGGGAAACATTGAAACTCGAGGGAAAACTAAAACTCACTATTTTCCGAGGTAGTGAACATTAACAAGGTGTGCGTGGTTGGTACATGCAATGGACAAAGTATGCGTGGCGCCGGGTACGTGCAATGGACAAGGCATGCTAAATATAGTCTAGGAAGAAGCCGCCATTTTCTACGCAAAAATCAGTACATTCTAAGCCCTGTAGCAATCCACATAAAACCACAAGAAACATTTGAAGCAAAGCAAAATTTATTCAGCAATAACCTAAGAGCATCTATTCATTACGTGCTATCAAAACACTGTAACGTTATATACATCTACCATACATTTCAGTGAACAATACCATAGTTACAGCTTTTATACTCTCCTAAATATTCAGCAAATTAATACAAGTTAACTGCATAGTTATAGAATAAAGGTTCGGATTAGTCTTCTTGAATCACCCCATGTAGTTGTATTTTTTTCGCCTACATGACAAACCATCAGGCTCTTCACCCGGAGGACATAAATTATTTTTAATGGACATGATAATGTAAGGACCATCTTGAAACATGCCTCGCTCAAAAGCTATTCTACCTCGAACTTCGTCTCCTCCCAGCTTCAGAGACTTCATCAAGGTTTCAGACCTTCCTCGCTTGGGAACGGCCTTGCCCTTCGTTTGTTGAAAATACGCCGTCAAAAACAGCGCCACGACAAATACAACCGCACTTTTGGAGCTCATCTTTTGCCTCCAGGAATTATTCTGCTTCAATGTCGACTTCAGTGTAATGGCTTCGTTGAACTGTGTTCATACAACGAACCGGCCAGGTTTATATACACTTCTCAGTTTTTAATTAAAGATGCACCCTTTGTCTTAATATAACAACAAATTCAAGTGCTGGGTCCGTTTTTGCAATACCTTTGCTGAATAGTTTATGAAGTGTAATTTAGCGAATAAAAGCGGTTTAGTAATTAGTTTTCCCAGACACCCTATGCACATGATTGCATACTAGCTATATATAAATTTTCGCTTTAGATTAGATCACATAAATTTCTATCAGAGCTTTCGTTCTCTTAACCCGGTCCAAAGCCCCGTCAACGCCCTAATCTCCGGTCAGCCAACCAGGGTGGCTCGAAAGCTTTGCAACAACAATTTTTGATCCGGCCTTATTTAAAAAAAAATTGCATCTATTTGATCTGAACGTGTTCAAAAATACGTTTTATAAAGGTTTGTCTCGAAGCATGAGAGAGTAATTACATGATCATCATTTATTACAAACTAATTTTCTTGGTAAATACTCAGAGAGGACACCAGAATCTTCGGCATCGTATGAGAAGTACCGCCTATAATTACTCCGACATCAAATTTTACCTTAGAGAAATTGCAAATTTTCTTCATTAGAAAATAATTGGAATCTAAATACGCCAAATCGGCGCGGACCTTAATTAACTGTTAATTATGCAAGCTTCACTAAATTGCACTAATTAATGCACATGTTGAATTTGAAAACAAATTAAAAAAGTAAACGGCAGAGTCGATGAGTAAGAGCGAGATGTTAAAAGTAATTTTGTAGAATCAACCAGCTGAACCATTTGAGAAAAAAAAATTCCCTCAAAATTTTCAATACCTACGGTACTCGCTGTGACATGTAGGATTGCTGCGCTTGCGGTCTTTACTAAAAAGGTACTTTAAAATGGCGGTATTATTGATCATTGTGAGGAAGGTTAATTGCTCTCAAATTTAGGGGTAAAACCTGTTATTACGTTTTTTTTAGTAAATTTGCCGAAATAGAGCCAATTCAGTTTAGTTTTATATTTTTTATTCAAAGACTAAATCTGATATTATACCTACAGGATCGCCAGACTACGTTCTGTTTGCTTGTATCGAATCATACAAGCGCAAAATCTCCGAATTAAAAAGAACACTATTAAAAAGGTTCTAAGATTCTTTCGAACACCATTACAGAAACCAATGACTCCTATATTAAGCAAATGAATTAAATTGAACTAAACACCATAGCACCATAGCACCATAGCAGGAGATTCTTTGAAGGAAACAAACGTCAGGCATTATTATTTTGCACATAGTTTTTAATTGATATTTCACTACGTTATACATTAAAATACACATCATATTTATTATAATTTATGTCTTAAATATTCATAACCTTAATACTAATATATGAATTGCAAAATACAATCATTACGAATACAGTAACACGTTTAAGTAACATCAGTTCCTATCACAAAGTACGCAGGTTTACATCTCATTTTCTTTCTTTCATATATTTAATTTGTTTTAAGACCTATGAAACCCTTCCTCAATAGCCATCTCTTAGCCTCCAAAGCTAAACTCCTCTCCCATTCTTTTCAACATCGCCATACGGCGGCGGGGGGAATCGCCCTTGTTCCCTCGACATTTTTGCCACATTCATCTCTTCGTCACCTTTATGAGACTGAAAAATTAATTCTTCAACACTTTTAACGTCGCCATAAGGTTTACCAAACCGACCTTGTTTTACCCTCTCTTCGTCGCCATGATGAAGACCTTGTTCTTTTCGACTTCCCACCTCTTCGTCTCCCAAACGAGGTCGAAACATCAGACCTCTCACGCTTTCAACGTCGCCATAAGGTTTACCAAATAGACCTTGTCCTAATCTCTCTTCGTCGCCATGATGAAGACCTTGTTCTTTTCGACTTCTCACCTCTTCGTCTCCTAAACGAGGTCGAAACATCAGATCTTTCACGCTTTCAACGTCGCCATAAGGTTTACCAAATCGACCTTGTTTTATTCTCTCTTCGTCGCCATGATGAAGACCTTGTTCTTTTCGACTTCCCACCTCTTCGTCTCCCAAACGAGGTCGAAACATCAGACCTCTCACGCTTTCAACGTCGCCATAAGGTTTACCAAATCGGCCTTGTCCTAATCTCTCTTCGTCGCCATGATGAAGACCTGATTGAGGAGCTGAGAGGATTTGTCGACACGAAACAAAGAGAAGCAGCGCTAAGGTTATACGTTTTTCAAACATTTTAGAATAGGATTATGATGATTACTAGCAAGACAAACTTATCCAACTTAAATTTTTGTGCTTCGAGAAAGGTTGCAAAGGTTTATATAGAGATAAGTTGTTAAAAATGAATGATGCCTATTGATAACAGGTTGTCGGTTAGTTAGCTTGTGTAAACTCGATTAATTATTATTTACGAAGCTCTATTATTAGGCCACTTACGGGCCTGAAAGTTTAATTAGTTTACATTGAATAAGATAATACAGACATTAGCATGCAGAATTCAGCAGGAGTATAGTGGTCATTTAAACCATGAACTTCAAAATTGCATTGTTTTTTAGAAATTGTTTACTTCGATATTTCCTTAAATTGTAGCAGTCCATGGATTTTGGATGCAGGCCAACGAATTTACCTAAATTTAACAGGTTTTCGCAACGATGTTGCTAATCGTGCAGTATGCGAGTTAATTATGGTCTGTGTTAAGCAATCATCCTTTCAATAAACGTGGCACAATGGCAACACATAACTGAATAAAGAGAGCAAACATCTATGTGAACACATGCAGTTAACAATTAAACACCTTAAGTGACAAATAATTAGCCAACACATTTGAAAAATGATCAACTCAGTGAATTTGTTTCTTCATGCATGAAAAAAAGAAATATCCATTATTCTAAAACAGCTCATGGAATAGGGTGACATTCGAGATACACTTTATCAATATACTTCTTTATAATATACTTGTGCCTATTCGCAGCCATTTAATTTATTACCGCAGCGAAAAAGAAGCTACTTATTGCCTTGTTTTCTGTTCGACGTGTATCTATATATGATGAGTTCTGTGAGTATTCATTTAATATATATATGAGTTTTTTTACAACTCGTGCATACATTTATCGCCGGTGAATCGTGCAAATTGCAAAGATAAACTTGATGAATCATTAACATCAATGGCAATTACCAAAGCCGAGACAAAACTTTGTTAGCTAATTTAACAAGTAACACAACCTCACAGAGGGCTGATTAAAATAGCTACTGAATATCTTGCGTTATCTTCATAAAACAAACTAATGATATATACTGTTGTATCCTGAGTCTATATTGAATAGGACAAACATATTGTCAAACACTGCGTTATTTTCATTTGACAAATTACTGTATTCAGTTTCCCCCCCCCCCGTATTTTTATAGCTATGCATAGAACAAACTACATGCTATAAGATATTTTGTAACTGCATAAACGCTATTATCACTGAGTGAAGGGGGGGGGAATTAATTGTGTAGGAGGGGGAATTGTGTGAGAGGGGGAATAATGTACGTGCATGCATGTTGTCAGCAGTAGAGTGAGTAATTAAAATTTTTCTAACAAATTTGCTGCTTTTGTTAATTAAGTAGCATGCAGCAATCCAAAAAGCGGCTGCTGTACTTTGCAGTTTGCACTTAAACAAGCTTGGTGGTCGGTCTTTTAAAGAATACATAATGTCCGACAAGTAGAAGCAATTAAAGTTGGCGTTTAAAGTGATAGCATAAGGGGCATGCTTTTCATTATTTATCATCTCAAAAGCGCATGCGCATTGTGAACCAATTGAATGTAGTGTACATCAGTCGTGATCACATGACTTATGGTGTGTGTTAGGGCTTCCGCACTGAAAATAAAGTGGAACAAGAGCATAGTTTCGCGATAGGGTCCAAGTAATGTAAATCATGTCTCTATAGATTTATAGTTTTGCGCTTAAGTTTAAATGTGAAATTGAGGGGCCAAGTAGGCTTGCAAAATAAATCTTGTTTTTAAATCAAGCTTGAGCCCATAAGGTTTAGACCAAAGCAGTCATACAAAGACACATTAGTCAGCCCTTGAGGTAAGTGGTTAAGCGAAGGGAACTTCCCATACTAGGGTTTAGCCAAGGTTCTGCGATGAAAGAACTTTAAATTGACAAAAATCAATATAATGTAGAAGATACAATATCTACAACAGTCTTTACAGCATGCATGTGTTTCTGATGTTCCTAGCTCTATCATAATACTAATGTTCTCCAATCATTATCAATTATATGCAAGATGATTAATTTCACCTTAGATTGCTATTTATCACGAACAGAAACGTTTTTCACGAATAGTACGTATACTAATAACCTAAGTTCAGATATACACATCAGTTTTAGTTCCGTTTTTTACACCTGAATCCATCGAATTTCTCATTCGAGCGGCAATATCTTCGTTTTCCTAGCTCGGTTTCTCCCAAGCGACGTTTCAACTTGTCACCTTCACGCAGCAAGCGTTTCTTCAAAACATCAAGCAACAGATCTTCATAGTCTTCGGCATCTCGTTCATAGCTGGGTGCTGCCCAAATGCAATGGAGCGCAAGGAAAAACAGCAAACCAAGCATAAAAACTTCTCTCCTTGCCATGATTCTAAGTCGTACTTTCGATTCTTCTATCGGAGCTTTGCTCTTAGAACAGACGGTATGATTTGAAACTCATCTAAGCCATCCACTTTATATATATAGGCGAACGGTTAATTATTTTGATCGCAGATAATTGAAGAGATCATTAAGGACTGGAACTAGGTGTCAAAGAGTTGAATGCTTGTGTTTCACCTGGCGAGCGCATTCCACGTGCAGACACGATTCTGAGCCACGCGTTCAAATTATAGTTAGGCAAACAAAAGATATGACGTGGCAAATAAAAATAATGCGTTATTACAGAGAAGTGTTTAGGTCAGCTGTTTGTCTATTTTACACGAAGGACGCTCGAGAAGGAGTGTATAACTCGTGGATGCAAAGCCGTATGTCATGTGTTTTTTTTCCTTTTTATAGCCCAATAGTTTACCCAAACGAAACGCTTTAACAAGACTCGATACTCTGAGGCAGTCCTGCAGGTGTTAAAATGAACTGAACTTACTATATCTATCTTCAATTATTTCAACTGACACATCACGTCGTGAATATTCGCAATAATATGAAGGTGGCGTTATTGCAGGTAGAAAATTCAAAAGCACGCTGTGTAATTATCGCAATTAAGGATGAAAAAATCGTCTCATACAAATGGTAACTTTTGATGCATGTTATCGATAAGACAGAGTAGAAAAGAGTATTTAACAAAATCTTCGATATTTCGTGAACATTTAAATGCCCAATTTAGTCTAAACCTTAGTTGATTTTTTGTGAAACATTAAAATATTTGTGGTGATGCTAACTGTCGAATTTGTGGAGGAAAACTCGTTTATCTCGCCCAAGGTGACAACTTATTTATCTGATTCAAAATCGGACAAAATTTTCAATTAGTTGTCGGGGAGTCAAAGCATGTGTGGACAATGAACTATTATTTAGCAACAGTTGATTAAAAGTTATTTCAACTCTGTAGAGACAAACTGCAGCGTTGCACAGAACCAAAACAAAGTTAATGAGAAAAGTAACAAACGCATGCATGACGTACACGGGGAAAACACCTGTTAGACACATAACCGTTTCACTCAAGTTAAAAATTTTTAACTGGACTGTTTTCTAATTAGATCTATAAACTTCATCCATACTTTCGATACAAGACTACGTTCACATGGGACCGTACGAATTCGGGACCGTGCTAGAATTCGTCTGGTTTCCTCGAGCATTCGAGCATTCGAGCACGGTTCCAAATTTGTCCGGTCCCGTGGTCCCTAAACTCATCCACCGTTTGGCAGGAACCGCAGAGAAAACGTTCAAATAATAATAGTTTTTCATAAGCCCCGATTCGCAAGACACTTTCTAGCTATAAAATGCTTTATTTTCTCTGTAGATATTTAGCACACGAGGTGACGGCGTTGTATTTCTTAAATTAGTAGTTTTTATTGAAAATAAAGAAATTAAGAAAATGGACAAAGAACGCGCCTTAAAACGAGTGGACAATATGTCAGACATAATTTACCTCCCAGCTCGTTTAAAATCGTTTAAGAATTAAGTGGCATGGAAATTTAGTTAAATTGCTTAAGTGAAGAACTTGAGATGCAAATACATTCAAAAATAACCACAAAGCAGCGAGGCAGCGTCTTCCCACGAATAAATTCTCATCAAATATGGTTTAACCAACTGCATGTCTAAAATACTTGCGCTGTCTGAAAATCTTCACAGAAGATTTACCCCAGCTGTATTCTAATAGCTCAGTCGAACAAGCAATATTGCACAACTGCATACACTCAGCATATTTAGGCAGTTTTCTTTTTGAGACACTTTCGATGGGAAGAGAACGAAGTATATTTGTCATTGATGTATTAAATAATGCGCACGTTAAAATTTCCTAATAGCTTTCAATGGCATAAGTATTTAAGGACGTAAGTAATGATCGCAGTGTTTGTCGAGGTGTGTTCTTAAGTCAATGGCGAAAGAGGTTTAAAAACAGCGCGCGTATATGGCTTCACAAACACGAAATCAAAATTTAGAAAGGCCCGTTTACACTTGCCATTTTTACTGCGATTCTACGTGCAATTTTCGTCTTTTGATAGATTTGAACGGGTAATTAGTTATGAATGCTCTGATTAATAAGAGCTTTTATTTAAACGCGGTAACCAATCCACTCGTTCACATTTGTGTAAAAAAGATCGCACATGAAATCGCATCAAAAATTGCAAGTGTAAACGAGCCTTAAGAGATTTTGTTTTTACATTGGAGAACTTAGGAGAATTGCATTTTTACATTGTCACTTCAAGGTCGAGCATGCATGGACAAAGCGTTTAATACGACCTATAATTCTATATGATAAACAATTATGCCAAACATACCATTTCTCGTGGCCATAAAACGACAATTACTGCTGAATGACACGTGACCAACGCCCAACTTCGGATTGGGCTTTTCAGGATCAGGTTTGACCAGCGGAATCTGAATAGGAAGGTCTTTTACTTCATCTAACAAAGACAAACAAAACATTTCAATCCTTAAAGGTCATTGACATTATGACATTGTAGTCAGCTTAAGATTGCTCCCTAATCATCACACCTGCACTTAAAAAAATTCTCAAAACCCCAGGGAGCCACCTTAATCAGTTATTAAAGCATATAATGTTTAAACTACTAACAGTAAGAGAGAAATAATAAAAAATAGAAATAATTACATTTACTGGTGATTTTATAATTGCCAGAGAAAGCTTCTCCTCTTAAAAAAGATGGTTTTTTCTCGACTTCTTTATAAACGATCTAGAAAGCGAAGCCAAGGAGGTAGTTAAGTCCTACGTTTTAAAGAATTTGGTAGAAAATTAAAAGGAACTTCGATATTCAAGATGTTAACGCTGAGCCTGAGTTACTACTTTGTTATACTCATTGTAAAACACTCTTGGGAAACATGAAATATGTCTGAATCTAATAGGAACTTTGGGTGTGTTTGGGTGTGTTTGGGTGTGTTTGGGTGTGTTTGGGTGTGTTTGGGTGTGTTTGGGTGTGTTTGGGTGTGTTTGGGTGTGTTTGGGTGTGTTTGGGTGTGTTTGGGGGTGTTTGGGTGTGTTTGGGTGTGTTTGGGGGTGTTTGGGTGTGTTTGGGGGTGTTTGGGTGTCTTTGGGTGGGAAAACAGGGATTTCTTAAGAAAACATTTTAAGCCATCGAGAAGTTTCTCTGCAGTTAATACTCACCACATCGCCTTTCTCCATCTGCTGTGGATGAAGGTGTTCGGCAACTGTCCTCCATGTGAGATGATTAAAAACGCGACACTAGAGCCATGAATTAAAAATTAGTCAATTCATGTCCATGTCATGTTAAAATGCTCAAAATTATAGGGATATAAATACCACCCAACTGGCATATATGTCCCATCTACAAGCACCATATAAAATCTTAGAAAAATAGTCCTATATTTGCTTTGTGTATTTCCAAAATGTCCCACATTTCCCTACCAGCTACCTACCTTCCCCACTACTAATTACCACCCTTCCCCCCTCCCTAGGGTAAAGTTTAAGCTCACCTTCTCATCATAACTACCAATTGCTAAAAATTGACCAGTCGGTGACCATGCGACAGTTTTGACGCCAAGCCCAAAACATGGTGGATCATAGGTTGACATGCATCTGCCGTCCATGGAGTACAAACAAACTTTATTCTGTAAGAAGTTAAAAACAGTTTGCAAAAAAAGAAACATGTATATATAGACTTTTCCAAGTATCTCAATCTTTTCTCCAATCCTGATTTTTACTTACATAAATATTATTGTCCCACACGCACAGGGCCCTACCATCAGGTGACCAGGCAATGTCACTGAGATCTTGAGTGGCAACTTCAAAATGCTGAAGGAGAATTTAAAATCTCAAAATCCCACCACAGTTTGCATTTTGAAAAAGATTTGAAATGACTATAATAAAGGCAAACTCTACATTTACAAACCTGTAACATTTTCCAAGCTTCGCAAACAAATATGCTTACAAAATCTTTACAGTTTCGTCTCTCTGCTAGAGCCATATAGAGTCCATCTTTTGTAAAATCCAACCCTAGCAATACACAGAGAATTTAGTATTTTTGTTAACTAAGACATGACGATGAATCTAAAAGTTTCTACGCCCAGAAAATAGCAGGAAATAAAGAAACAAGTAATTGTGTTATGATTATAAACCTTACCTTTGTTAGCGTGTTTAGGATGCTCAAAGTATGAAACAGATTTGTCAATCAAAGACCACAGAGTTATTCTGATCTAAAATGAAATTTATTATTGCACAGAGATTTAAATGTTGGCCATTCTGTTTGTAAGGTCTTTGCACTGCTATCAACATGATCACAACACACAAAGCGGATGAGTCTGGATTATTTGGATTGACTTGGATTTGGATGGACAATGATTTATGGATGTACAAACCTGAAACTCAGCAGTTGAGAGAATATGTCTTGAATCAGGGCTCCATCTCACAGCTTCAAGCCCAGCTAATCCCTCGTCAATTTTACACCTCCAATCAGGTTGATCCAGTGACCACACCTGTAAGCAATAAAATCCTGGAACTTGAAGGATGAGACGCCTGCAACAAACAACCAGTCCTAGGGGATGGCGTACTCTTCCTCTTATACATGCAGAATTGGGTCCATAACTGATATACAGTGTACCTGCATACTAAGCTACATGTTAATACCTCCAGTGTTATTTACATTGTGATTTACTAAATACCAACAAAACAGAAAGTGTCATACCTGTATCAGACCTCTTTTAAACATTCCACAAAGAATATAACCAGAATCAGGTGACCACTATAAAATAGCAAACTTTCCTACTAAGATGGCATATTTCATTTTATAATAGCATGAAAGAACTTGTTTGTGACTCAAACAATATATAACCTTCCATCAATATTGGTTCAATAATTAAAACCAATTTAACCAATGTACAATCTCAATGATCAATCTGATGTACTTCATCACAAATCGTCACCTAACATACCTCCATATATTGGACAGCATCCATATTGGTGAAGAGATGAACAATTTGTAGAGTTTTTATATCTCTTACTATTAACCTGTACTGTACACAGTTGGCCTGAAAATTGACATAACGATTTCATTTATAATATTCATGACTTATTTGATAATTCAGTGCTTTTGAAACTAGGTTGTGATATAAATTTATAGACGATACAACGTGATATAAATATCAATATCAGATTAGTGGGATGATAAAAATATTATTTATATTCTTCAATTTATTAAATATATATGCCGCATAAAGAGTTTAATATTATAATATTATAATCATACTACACTTACAACATATAGGCCATTTGGAGAAAATCGACTTAGATAGTTATTCTGCTTGAATTCATCCGAGAAATTCATGATTCCAAGTAGTTTGTAAGTTTGACAAGTATATTTTCAAAGCATTATTAACAATATAAAAAGATCGGATTAAAATCCGGTCATTAAATAGAATAAATTCAATATTTTTTAATTTTTGTTTATATCAAATTTCGCGGGCTCATTGGTCGGACTATACGTTCTTTGTCTCTAGGAGATCTGTCCCTAGGGTTTTCATTCCTGGGGGCAAAGAATCTAATTTTGAATTTTGATTGTTGCCGTTTGCACTAACCACATTAAATTTTATAAAATGTTGCACTTTTTACAGTTTGCTTTAGAATTTTTAATTCCAGTATATATTTGTAAAAAAACTACAACAAAAATTGCCTTCTGAGCATTAACACAATTTAGAATTCAACAATATTATATTAACATTCCATTCACTATACAAAACCAATAAATATCAGACTGATTTACCAATGACTTGACTAGAATTCCTCGTGCAGAATGCTGGGATTGCTAGCCATGCTGCTGCCTGTGAATAATTTGTAGTTTGTGATCATTTCTTTTTCGCTCAATTCTCCATCATGATCGGAATCGGCTACAGATAAAAGATAGTCAGACTCTTTGACTGCATGTTGCTTGTGTCTTGGGTCAAGGTACTTGATCAGTTCTTCCATTGAAACTTTCCCATCTTTGTCTACGTCCATTTGGTCAGAAAATTCAGTTCGTCTCCTGTGTGGCAGTGTGGGGATTTAAAATTTTTATGAATTACCTTTTATGAAAAACATACATGCAAGACAATTTCTAGTAAGCTCAGACAGATTCCTTAGACTACCAATGCATGTATAGATAGGCCAAGGCCATAGATAGAATTCTAGCAATTATGCCTTGATAGTAAGTGATATAAAATAGATGCAAGAATAAATCAAACATGCTATTTTAATATTTTTCAAGCATAGATCCAAAGGAACCACCTACTCTTTGAAATATCTCTCATCTTCTGCTTTTTCATCTGGGTCATCCACCTCACCTGGTGGAACACGGACAAACTCATCCATTGTTAACTTCTATAAAATTGATTTTTAAAGAGTTGAACAGATATCTGAACTTAATTTTAAATCATTCACAGTTAGTGTGACGTAAACAAATGAATAAAAGGCAGGCCTTTGCTTAAATCTTGATATCTCACCAAATCTCTATCATCATCCATCTGTCCCATGAGATCCTCCGCCATTGCTTCTATCGACTGTTCATTATGTTCTGGATGTTGGAATGATAGAAATTCTTCCTGGCTTAGTTTTGAGTCTCTATTCTTGTCTGCTTTGTTCCATCTATTCAAGTCATCAGGCATAATCTCCTCCATCAGACCTTTTAATTCTTCCTCTGAAAAGATTTTATTGTGTAATTTAATTACCTTTGTAGTTTGGTGAGTACAATTTATTGGCTTGTCATGTTGGTTAGTCAATGGTTAATCATGGTGGTCAGTCATGTTAGTTTGTGCATGTTGGTTTATAGTCAATGATGGCTGGTCATGGACATGTTGGTTAAATAGTCAATGGTGGTTGGTCAGTGATACTGGTAGGTTATTAAACCAAACCTGTTTGCTCTTCAATTTTCAAAGCATCATTCTCCATCTTATCATCATCAACCACGCCTTGCATGTACTCCTGCAGACTCAGGATCCCGTCATTATTTTTATCCGCAGTTTTGAAATTATCTTTGTTTACTTTCAAAGCATGCTCATAATGCTCCTGGATTCGCAGATGTATCCACTCAGCGAGCTCTTGTTTGTCTACCTTATGATTATTATTCAAGTCTACTTTGTGAAAAATCTCAATAAGCTTTTTCGAACCGTCCACGTCCTTAAGGTTGAGTTGGCCATTTTCCACGAGTCGCCCTAGAAATGCTTCGTGATGAAAGTCCGGGTTTATATGCCCATCTCTTTCTAGTTTAACAGCGGGAATATGGTCTTTTGGTATCAATTTCTTGTTCTTTATTGTTATACTGCTTTTGTTCACTGGTTTGCATGTTGTTTTTGAGAATAAAATCGTCAAAATAAACAAAACAATCCCTGGTAGCCACGCCATCTTTATACTGTAGCTTCGTGTCAACTCTCAACAATAAACTTTGCAATTTTGCATAAACAAAAAAAAGACATCGACCAGGTTGTGTTTGGGGTTCTAATGCTGGAAATCATTAAAACTTAAAAGTCGACTTGTCAGCGTTTCCCGATGAATTTTAGTTTTCACGAAGAACTAAAACCCTCTAACAATTCTTTGATAAATAATTTTGCTGGGAAATGAGTTTTCTGGTATTTTGTACAGTCTCACCGGGGATTTCCGATGAAGCTCTTTGTGATCATTATCGATGCAAATGATGCAAATATAAATCGTAAATATTCTATTACAAGAAATTACGTCTTGAATTACACGTGTACCTCAAACATAGCGAGCAAAAATACAGTAAACGTATTTTGAAAGTATTTCTGTTAAAATGTTCTGTTGTGCATCGACGTGGTTTTTCATTGGCACATTATGTGCAATCTTTATTCCAATAATTCTGACGCTCTATCTTACTGGGAACATCGTTGTTTTACCAGAAGTAACGAAGCTTTTACTGGTCGCAGTATGGTGTTATATTGATGCATTGCTTAACTTAATTTTTCCTCGAAAATGTAAAAGCATTGAAGGTTTGACGGCAGTCGTTACGGGTGGAGGACATGGAATTGGCAAGGAGATTGCATTGGGTTTTGCGAGGAGAGGTTAGAAATTAGGATGCTGTAAATCCCATTCTTGAAGGACACCCAGTCTACCATTTTTTTATTTTTCTTTTCTACTTATATTTTGAGATTGTTATACCAGTTGTTATAGTTATACCCCCATTAATAAAACAGTACCATTGAAATTATAACCTAATTCCATTTGAGGAGTAAAAGTGGTTCTCTGGGACATCAATGAAGAAAATATGCAGAAAGTTGCAGATGAAATCAAAAGTCTTAATGGTCAAGCATTTTCATATGTCTGTGATGTCACTGACAAGGAGAAAGTGTATGAAATTGCAAGAAAAGTCAAAGATGATGTTGGTAATGTTGATATCTTGGTCAATAATGCTGGCACTGTTGTTGGAAAGAATTTGCTCTCAAGCTCTGACAAGGAAATTGAGAAGACAATGAATATTAATTTGATGGCTCACTTTTGGGTTAGATATTTTTATACAATTATCCAACTACCAATTCTATATAGGTCATCAATACTTTTTTAAGCAGCACTCAACCCCACCCATTTTATCAGCCTAACAAAGACACCCTCTAACACAAATTTTTAATTCTGCAGACAATTAAAGCCTTCCTGAATGAAATGCTTGAAAGAGATTCTGGACATATAGTAGCTATTTCATCAATATTATCTGTCCTTGGTGCATGCCAGCTGGTGGATTACTGTACCTCTAAATCAGGTGTATCTATGATGATGGAATCTTTAAGACAAGAAGTGCTGTCTCAGAAAAAACACGGTGTTCATTTCACAACAATTTTACCATCAAAAGTCAACACTGGATTATTTGAAGGTGCTAAAGGAAGGTTAGAACGTTGTTGTATAGTATATACACTAATTCTCTATTGCGTCTTATTATTTAATGGAATATGTTTTCTAGATTCAGTGCAATTCCACCAACTATTCAGCCTGAATATGCTGCAAATAGAATAATTGAGGCCATTGAGAGAAACGAAATAAAGGTTGTCCTTCCTCCGTGGTTTGGATTGATCCTTGCACTTAAGCCGTAAGTTTACACAACTCCTAATTTTCACACATATTTCTAACTTATGACATCATAAATAAATAACTTATATTATGCTCTATTTTAGCTTCCTGCCACAAAAACTGATAGATGCAGCCACCAGATTTGCTGGACTGGAAACAGGAATGAAAGAGTTTACTGGACACAAGAAAGCAATTTAATTTATAAATTACTTTTTTAAACTATCAATATGTGAAAATTGTGGGAAAATAACCTTATATAGTAAATCAAGGTGGTTAATGGGAATATGTACTATTGCATTTTACAGTATCCAAACAAAAAACAAAAGATATTTTGCAAATATACAAACAAGTCTAAGTGAGATGATACCATCTCTAAATGCTAACAAGATTGTACCAAAGACAGCAGAACAAACTAGTTTTGAACATCATACCAACTAGGCACTCAAAATTTAGGTGAAATTTAAGCATATTTACAATATAACCCAATATAAACTATAACAGTTACTGAGAGTATTTCGTATTCATCACAGCGCGCTTTTTTTGAATGTATGATGTGCCCTGCAAAACAAAGCTTAGCAGTCCATTATGCTTACAGGAATGCAACTAGAAAATACCAGTCTGATGTGTGTTCAATAGTAATGCAACAGGAAAATACCAGTTTGACCTGTTCAATGAATAGGAATGCAACGGGGAGATACCAGTTTGACCTGTCCAATGGGAATGCAACGGAAAAACACCAGTTTGAACAAACTGAATAACAAATTTGAATAACAAAGTTGATAAAATGGGGGTAGTGCAACGGGCGAAGAACAGCAATTACGCGAATGCTGCGAATATGCTACCTCGCTTCCCTACGTTCCCGCTCATCTGATACCCTATAGTCCCCATTTCTCTCCCTAGAATCCCTGCTACCTGCTCGGCGTACATGTTTATCCCTGAAATTCGCATTCCGTCTATCACGGCTTCTACTCCGGCTACGTCGATGAGGTGATCGGCTTCTTTCGCGCGGCCGTCGGTTAGCGTTCGTATCGCTTTTAGATTTTTGCAGTCTTCTACTCAATCGTTCAGCAAGGCGTCTGTCTCGGCGATTGTCGCGATCCTCTCGGCGATTACCACGATTCTCTCGGCGATTGTCGCGATTCTCTCGTCGGGCTATCCTTCGTTTGCGCCTGTCTTCATGCGAACTACCGCTATTACCACTATCGGAATCGCTGCCAGTGCCGTCGTCAGACTCGCTGCCAGTTCCCGACGAACTGTGTGATTTGTCGCTCCCAGGACTGCGCGCCCGTTTCGTCGCTTTTTGACTTTTACCGTTGTCTTTTCGCGTCTCTAGGGACTTGCCAGACTTTTTGCCTGAGGCCCTCGCTTCTTGACTATAAAACGTGGATATCAAGAGATTCAACAAACTTCACACACTTTAGTTCAATTAACAATTAACCATGCTGGGTTTTTTCGGACAAAAACGACCTCGCTTTTGTTCGTAAACGAAGCAAAAAAGGCAAACACAAGAAGGAAAACGTGGTGTAAAAACCCCCAAAAGTTTTCAGAAGTGAATAGCCAAACATGCATGGGCTAGTGTACAACCCTCAGCGCCTTTGAATCCAAAGAAAACGAAGAAAAAATTGACACAAACCTTTCAGATTTCGTGACTCCGTTTTTCTTCACATCTTCGCTACGAGATTTTGAGCTTTCGCAGAGTGGAGATGGATTAGCGCTTGGTGAACCTAGTATGATACAACACCATTTAGTCAGATTTCGTAGAGTTATTAAACAGTCCCAAAAACTTAAAGACGAGAAGGAACAGGATATGACTTTCATACCAGGACGAGAGAAACTATCACCACTCGTCTTCTTTGTGAGTTTATTATCATTCGCACTGGTGGCTGACTCGGTGATCTTCTTCGCTTTCTTTAGTCTACCAACAGCGATATTTAGAGTATGCAGAGAGATCTGTTGAAAAAAAAGGAGAAGAAATGTTTGTAAGGTGATCCCAGGGCTGTATACAGTGAACCTGACTGCAGTGACAATGACAATGGTTGTAGACAGTGCTTGTAGGTTACTGGTGCCAGACTATGGGAACTATTGTTAAACTGACAATATGTCAGTTATAGTCCTAAGGATTGCACAATTGTAAAGTTTTATTTCCGTCGAGAAAGGACTAACCTTTGGTCGCTGATACAACTTCAGCAATGTAACACACACATCCTGGATAAGTACGATCGGAAACGATTGTCATGGAGAAAATTCAATCCACATTGATTGGTAAACTGATCAAGCGATGACTAACCTCAATATCCTCCATAGTGCTATCAAAAAGCTCCCACCAAGGAGGACGAGATGGAAGTGGAATCTTAGAAAGAAAAAACGGTATTTAACTCTGTCATATTCTGGAGTACGATTAACAGGAAATTTCCTATCATATCCAAGCACGTGATGGTACAATTTGTTACCTGTAATTGTCGAGCAGAAAGAGATATACAAGCACAAGCGATGGTCTCAGGTTGATAACGGACAAAAACGTTTGTTCGCAATGCGTCATTCATGTAGTTCCTATACATAAAAAAAATATGAAAAAAACACTTACACTTGCGATTTTCTTCTTTTGGTATATGCGAACGAGCGACTAGTTACGAATGCTCTGATGTATACGAGCTCTTATTTGAACATGCGTAACTAATTCACTCGTTCACATCTATCAAAAGAAGAAAATCGCAGCAAAAATCGCAACTGTTTCAGACGTCCAACTTTTCATACGCCGAACCTAATCTGATGTTAAAGTCTTATGTCTTGATGTTTAAGTTCATTTGCATTTGATTTGGCACATGAAAAATTCGACTCCAAAAGTGTAAAAAATAACATCCTTGTGCACAAGGAAACAGTGAGGCTGAGGCACTACCTACCAAGCTTTCTGAGCTAATTGTTGGTTTTTCTCGCATTCCAAAACTTGCAAAAAAGTAATGACAACCTTGTGAGGATGTTTTATATGGACACAGAATCCAAGCTCCTAAATGGATTATAATATAGAAAATATAGCAGTTTAAGCATCAATTTAAACCTACAAACACACAAAAAGTATAGCATTCACGCAGGTTTCCATTATGCTATTGTCACTACCAAACCTAATTTTAATACAGTTTACAACAGAGCGAGGTTTAGTGGTAGAAACAACAGCATAAGCGAAAGCTTCCTTTAATGATCTATTTAACCAATCTATTTAATAGTTGTTTTAACAAAATAATTCTTCAGTGCACAACCTAAACTCAATTTAAGTAATGCTCCAAAGACATCATTCTTAATGAAAGGGAGTTGATACCCGCTGTTAAAAATGTGTTTCCAAACCCAAAGGCAGTCAGTATTTCACTGTCCCATTAGCAAGGAGCTTGAAACTATAATATATTTCCACCAATCTTGAGGTTGTGGGGGGGAGGGAGCCAGTGCTTTTAACCATGAGAAGTTGTACCTTTATTATTTGTCTCTAGCATTGTGTAAACATTCTGTCAGTGGATGTCTTAAGTTCATAATGCACAGTAAATCACCTTAAGTATTCTTCTTTCTGCTTTAATAACTAAATTCTTTAGGGCAAAATATATGTTTCCCATGTATTCCATCGGAGCTATAGGTCTGTTCGTAGAAAAAGAAAGCACAGAAAAGACTTAATGCCACTGAAAAGAACATAATACTTGTATAGTATATAATTTGGCATTTTCTTTTTGTAAAATACTCCTGACCTAAGAGACAGGCTGGCTGCAAAATAAAATCCAAATAGACTCAGACAGTGGAAGTAGGGCTTCATCTCACAATATAGTAACACTTGGTAATAAAGTAAATGAATATATCATAATAAACTTTAGTTAACTAGAACCTAAATGCAAAAAAATTGGCAATCATATGGTTAGCAATATAAAAATACCAGCATAATAATTCACAAACAATAAATCACGCATATTAACAATTAAGTAATCAACACAGTTGCAAAATCCTTCATGAGATATGTTGACAACAGTTCATGCTTTGATTGGAACACACAAAATTGAAGAAGTGAATACAATGAAGGATAGAAGGCACAAAAAAGTGACACACAGGGATAATTAAAGGGGATGTAAGAGGCTATACACCTTTTAGAGAATCTCAGCACTCTCTCCCCCAAAACTCCCAAATTGCAAGTGAGAGCCAAATTCATTCATGCTAGTGGCAGGATTTCAAACCTCAAGGATAAAACTTGTCTCAAGCCTCATTAGTGTCACAGGGTACATACAAATGATCCTCTTCATTCAGGCAATAAACATTTCTAGGAGAAGCCAAGAAGGGCATTGTTGCACTATCGGGTTGGCCAAGAAATACCCACCTTCACACCCTTGGTTACCTGTATCCACTTTCTTCCAATTGCATGTTCCAAACAAACCAAGTGTTGTCATTATACCAGCCACAGTCATTGGCCATAAATATTGTTTTACAGAGACTCTCTGATAACCTATTAGCTGCCTGTTTGCTTTCTCCTTTTTTCACAATTAATTTATTTACACTTAAAGGTGTCTCCGTATAGTTGCTAGCACAGATCACAAAGCAGAGCCAACATGAGCAATAATTAGCAACTATTTCAAGAAATAGGATTATTTCTTTTTTATTTCGTCACATATAACCCTTTCTTGATAATTTGCTTTCACTTCAAGCAAAAAATCAAAATAATGTTTGCATTTTTTAATGCAAACTAAGAAATGTAATAATGTAAATTGTATTTTTAGCATAATTTATTGTCACAATATCAGAACAATTATGGAATTAAGGCATAAAAAGTGAAGATGGAAATTAAGCTACAAAAGTTTATAGACAGAATATCAGAAATTGTTAAGATAAGATAAAATAATTGTTAAGATTTCATTTCAAGGTATGTATGAAAGCTTGACTCCAGCAAAATACAAAATCAATTGATACCACACTTTCAATCAATACCACACATGCTTACCACCACTAAAAACCAAGATGCCATGAGGGAACATAATTGAACCAACAATAAATATATTATACTGACCATTCCACTTGAACCAGCCATTATCCAATCCCAGTTCCCAGTTGTCTTTTCAAAATGTGAACAACAGGACGGAGTTTGGCATATTGTCTTTGATTTTAAAATAGAAAGAGATTGACGTCAGACTGGGTTTCAAGGTGCAAGTGTGACGCACAACTGTATAATGTATAAAAGGGGAACTCAGCCCCTTTCTCATTATATCTTATTTCTTTCTTGTTTTCTTCTTTTTTTCTCCACACAACATTCAATGTCATACTTTGACATTTTCAAGTTATATTATAAAAATAGTTTCAACATTGTTGAGGCAAGAACACAATGCACAAAACACAAATACATTTGCTGTGACTTTTTTCTATTTAGGAGATTTATCTTTATTATAAGAAGGTGAAGTACAGACATGTAGAAAGGAGATTGTTTGATGAAATCAAAGCAGAAGACAAAATATACAAAAATATTACCATTGTATAGTGTTACTATATTGTGAGTTGACGTTTGGGAGGTGTTGCTAATACTTACTCAATGAATAACATGCACTATGCATATATATCATTTCTAATATCATTAAAAGCCGCCATGGAATGAAAATGTACATAAATATGTACATGAATGAATAAAATACAGCCAGCAAAGTTTGGTTAAAATTTCAGTTTTTCATCACATTTTTCTTCAAATTTCACACCGGAACAAAAATTAGAGCAATACTTACTTCATATTTCTTCTTTGTTTGATATGGTGAAAAACGTTGATGACATCTCGTATTCTTCGAGGTGACTCCTCGATTTTTGCGGCAAGAAAAAGGCATGCCATGGCATACACCTGTTCAAACGGGCAGAAGAATATCGTCTGGATTATGGTGGACTAGGCAATGGTTTGAAATGACATATGTGTCGTAGTTTTAAATAAGATATATACTGGTGTGTATGTATAAAAGCATTATGTAGCAATGTTTTTATGTACATATATATGTATATATAGTAGATTATATGCTGGGATATTATCTCAAGAGAGTTTAGACAAGTACCAGGTAGTTTCCTGATATCATATACTTGGTTACTACAAAATGGATGGGAACAATGCACTTTAATAACAAATCTTGTATAATTATGGCTGTACATCTTGTATAATTCTTCAAACTTCTTTATATCTTGTATAATTTACAACAGACAATAGCTGAGATTTCTGCACTTAGATTCGACTATCAATATGGACATTGTTTGAATATGAAAGTTAGGAAAAACATATTATACAATATAAACTTTCGACTTCAAGTGCATCATTTTAACTACACTACATGAAGATTTTTACAAATATTCGTAAAATAGATATTCTTACCTCAACATCGTGGCGAATGAGAGATTTTGAATAATAAAATCGCTGAAATAGAACCTGGCCTGTCGCCATTGCCACCTACATATTCAACACGAAAAGATTTAGCAAGAAAAATCTTGGCTAAACTCTGAAGGGAACTACGTCTATAAATTTCTTTATAAAAACGGAAGCGAATTACGCAGGAATTTTTTAAATAAAACAAAACGATTCAAATATCCCCGAAAAGATGAGAAATATCTCCGTAGAGAGAAATGTAGCACTTCTAGCACACAAATCTGGCAAAACTGTACGGTTTGTAAGTCTGTACGAATGCCTGCGTATTCGCCTCGAAAAAACGAAAAACTACCGACATTTTACACTTTACCTGAGGTAGTTTCAAAAGTATTCCTCCAGTTTGAATATACTCGCAGCCAACAATTCGTACCTCCGTTTCCAGTTCGGTGCTAAGTCCATCTGAAGCCGAAGGTGTCTTTTCAAGTTTTTCTGCAGGAATAACGCAGTTTTCTAGCGAGATTTCCACGTTTCCGTAGTCATATACCTTTCCCCGAGCGGACGCCATTTTTACCCCAGCGGCAGCTGAACGTGCAACGAACGTTTTTCCGCTTTTGAATGCCATACAATTCCATCGCTCGTACGAAGGCTCGGCACGGCAAGCAACCGGAAATTGTCGCGAAGTATGGCAAAGTGATGAAAGTTTTTAAAAAAATATTGAGAGCTTTGAGACACGTTTTGAGATGAAAAAAAAGAAATTGTTAGATGAAAAAACGAATTGATGAAAAAAAAATTGATTGGTGAAAAAAAGAAATGGATATATGAAAAAAGAAATTGATGGTTGAAAAAAAATTTCATCTACTGATTTATTTTTTCACCAATCAATTTCTCCACATTAACCAGATTGAGCGCGTTTTACAAGAGCTCTGGTACCAACATTTTAAAATTGCGAACCTGGTTATGGATATATAACCATATTCACCATGATTTACAAAACTTGCCGTCTCGAAAACAATATCAATGTGAAAAAACCACATCATGATCAAGCAATTCTTCTTTGCCCGGTGCGGGGATTATTTTTAAAAGCACAATGCAATATATACAATATTATATGTCATATAAAAGCTATTAAGCCTACTATAAGATCAAGCAGTTGTTATGCATAAAAATATTTCCGTAAGGAAGTTGCAGTCTAGCATATAAGATACTTGCTACATTCATTTCCCCCAAAACTTTTTGTTTTTCGCATCTTTTGAAGTTTTTCGTTTCAACGGTGGTACAATCGGGGCACTCTTCCCCCCACCGGCCTTATCACTGTCATCACTGACCACCTCCTCGGCCACGTGACGAGGCAAACTCTGGAAGGTTGGGTCCAAGGCCTCGGCAATGTTGCTAAAGTGACCACCAGGCTCCTGCTTTGCGTCATTCGAGTCCAACATTTGCGGCGACAGAGCGCGAGTCTTTGCACCACTTTTCGCTCGCCAAACCTCCTCGTAGGTCGCCTGCTCAGGGCTCCTTCGAGCCCGTCTCGGTTGTTCCCCCCGTTCAAGTTCACGCTGTCGCCTCGTATCAACTCTTTCGCCACCGCTTACCGGGGGGACATCTTCACGTCTGTAATCATCGACGGCTTCATGGTACGTTGGAAGATTGCTTCGCTGACCTGATGTACCCTGAGTAATAATAAAACAGTAGAAATTTTGGTTAATAGAGATATGACCCTGAATCCTGAGACGTTTTTAACGGTAACTATCGGGCTGTAAATCCCTAGAAAGCTAGTCCTCGGTGTCAGTAACAAAGTGCTATCTCTCTTATGAGATACATAAAAACCATTACCTCGTCTCTCTCAGGAAAACTCTGTTCCCTTCTCATTTGTTTTTCTCGTCGTCTCTCCGCTCTGGCCTTTTCTTTACGTTGAAGATGTTTTGCGATCTCCTGGAAAAAACAAATACGAATTTCACGTACCAATCTTTTACGCAATATCATCTCTAGTTTTACTCCTGGCTTTCTGCACAACAACCATTTGTTTCCTTCAGTACAATGACTCACATTCAAACAGCAAATCAAATGCATTGAGAACTTACCCTATCTTGCATCTCGATAGCTTTACGATAATCTTCATGCATGCTTCGCTTTTTCTGAATTTGCTACCAAAAATACAAATGTATTTGAATGAACATCGGTTCTTTCTTCACTCGAAAATGAAGAACTGGGATTGAACACAATTTAACCAAACTAAAAACTTACATCATCTTCTTGCTGCTGAAGAAGTTTAGCTAATTCCTGTCAAAATACACAAATAGAACTTAGTCTTAAAGAGATATAGTCTATGTGATGTCATGTCTCATGTCCAACCAATCCTAAACAAACCTGATCCCGTTTCTCCATATTTTGTCGTTTCTGTTCCTCAGTCTGTATCTCATTGTGTCTGGCGTCAATCGCCGTGCCATCCGCCAAAACAATGATGTCATTATTTTCAGGTAATGCGATGACTTCATCGCCAGATCCGACGTCATCTCCCGGGTCATCTTAATTAAAACACGTGATTACGCATCAATGGTTATAGCAGAAATGATGACTATGAAAATGACGGGATATATAATATCCTTATGTATTTTACAGGGTGTCTCAAAAAAAACGCAACAACTTAAATGTGCAAGACATCAATACAGCTCTAAAGCACAATAGATAAGCACCTCTGGGAATTGAACATTTTCAATCCTTCTCTTAATCCTTCATTTAAAATGCTAAAAGTCATTTTAGCTGAACTGTGGTGCAAACCCGAACAATATTAATAGACTTGCATATTTAAGTGGTTGCGTTTTTTTTGAGACACCCTGTATAACATATAACGACGTAAAAAATTACCTAGTTCAGCTTCTTCCAACTCTTTCATGATCCTCTGCAGTCTCCGGTGTTCCTCTTCATCTCTTGCTATCCTTTGCTGTCTCTTGTGTTCCAGGTATCTCATTTTCTTTTCCTCGTCACGTTGTATTTGTAAGGCCATTTCCTGTGCGGAGAATATTCAAGTATTCAAGCCACAAGATAAGATAGATGCAAGATGATAAAGTGGAGATTACCTCATCTTGTATTTTTTGTATCTCCTGTCGTGTCCTCAATAAATTCTCCTGTGCATTTTAGGGAAAAATTTGAAATTTCAGTCAGTTATTTATCTCTGCAACCAGGATAGTTGTTATTCTGTTAAATTGTACAACAGCAAACAAAATCTGAGGCTTCTCTAGTTTTCCATCCCCATCTAATCAACAAACCTGTTCTTCAATTCTTTTTTCCAATTCTTCTGCGAGCCATTCCTTCTGTTCCCTAGAATATTAAAATTTTTCATTTGCGTTTTGAAATTTAAAGTAATTGGCTCATGCTGTGTTATTGGCTCATTCTGATCCCTGAATTTGTATTATATTGTTTTAAATCTGGGAGTTAAATGAATAAATATTTGAATAAGTTGTTTAAACAGTCTGACAGATCACATTCTCAGGAAAATAATTAACATTTCAAAGACAAAGCAAGATCTCTAATGCTTGTGTAGGAAAGCATCTGTTATTGAGCAGACTTGCTCTACCCTGTCAGATACACATGCCTGTAAGACTGTGGGGGTGAAATATTAAATATCTTTAATCAACAAGATAAAGTATGGAGAATGCTTTACTTTGAGGCTGGACGTACTCGAAAGATGGCATAAGACTTACATTTCAGTAACACTGTTGTCAGAAAGTATTCCCGCACTCCTCACTTCCTCAAGATATGTTTCCTTAGCGGTCCTGACACCAGCACGCACTGATTTCCTTTGCTCCTTATTGCGCGAGACATGATTCTTATCTGTATGTGAAAATCAAAACAGGCATGAACTTGTTAGACAAATTCTTACAAAGGCCAACTGGTAGCAGATAATTCATATTTCCATTGAAAATGCAGTCTCCAGCAACTAGACACATATATACACATGTATGGCCTGGACACATATATACACATGTATGGCCTGGCTTGCCATGGTAGTAATACAAATAAATATCTACTTACATTCACTTGACTGCAACTTTTGGGCATAGGCTGTATCTTCGTGAACTTGAAATTGTTGTAGGACTAAAAGATTGAAGAATACATTAAAATTGCCCATATTTGTTTAATGTTTTGGCAATAGTCAAATGGTAGTTGTTGTGTACAGTAACAAGACTTTAAACAATAATTTCCCAAAATTGACTTTCCAACATTGTACAAGTATTTACACCCTGAAGCATAACTTTTGGGCATGTTTGTGATCAGGATAACAATATTTAATATTTAACTACTAGCAAACAGCAATCGTTTTTCTAAAAGATTAATATGAGTTATGCCTCACAGCATGACATCAATAGTGAAATTGTAAGACTCCTTCTTCAAAAACTTGGCCCTAACTCACTAATACTCTGACACTTCACTGAATGTAAATGTATTTTACCCCCTCAAAAGCACTTGATATTAATAAGTAAATCATATTATTAATATTTTGACAGATTCCGACGTGCTTTGAGCAAATTTGAAAGTGTCAATATTGAGTGGTTATAATGCTAATAATTGGCTGGGTTTTTATAACGACATTTGTTGAAAACTAATCTAATCAGATACAAACTTTTTAATATAACCCGGACGACAAACCTGATTAAACAGATTTTAATAAGGACAATATTACACCTAATGCCATTAAATCTGACATTCAAAGACTTGGCATGTCACCGAAAAATATCAATAATAATTTATATTTTATACTAAAATTATACCTTCCCCCACTTTGCCTTTTTCAATCTCATCTTGTCCTCGAGTTTGCGAGAGAGCCTGCACCTCCATTCTACCACGATCGCTCCTAGTTGCCATTTCACAGGGAACTTATCTCATAATTTGTGAGCAATAGTCACTTTTTTTAACCATCTCTACTGTGTGGGAAACGACAATAACAACAAGAACCGGAAGTGCTTTGCATATTTGCAATTAAATATTCGAAACCTTCGATTCCGCGCTTCCACCTCATGGAATCGAATTTGAGATTTTGTCGAAAGAAATATTCGAATCAGATAAAATAATTCTTTCATTCATCTCGTTTATATCGCTTTGGATGTAGCCAATCCATTCACCACACCGCTAAATACAAACATAAAAACATATGTCAACTTTTAAAGAAGCAATATTATGTTAAGAAACATTAGCAAAAAATGCATGTAGATACAGACGAATCTCTACCCCTAATAATGGAAACACATTAGAAGATAGTATAGTAAACACCATGGATTGATTATTTTTATGTTTTCTGGCCATTTCTATTTTTATTGATAATTTTGATTCATAAAAAGATGAGTGCAATATTGGAAGAACGAGAGAAATTGTATAGGCTTATCATAAGGTATGGAAGCATTGGAATCGGACGTTTTGTAAACTGGAAAAATCTTGTCACATGTGGCAGTGTTTGAGCTTTTAAATAATATTTTGTCACATGTCCAACGTCATCAGCATATATAGCGTGTCTATACGGCCTTTTGGAGAGATTGGGGTATTAGAGCAAAAATCAGACTTGGGGCCCTTCTTCCATGAGATGAATTTAACCCTCTTTGGCCCACCTGGGGGACACCTGTCCTCCCCTCTCCCCATGCATTGATATACATGAAATGACAGTAAGCTCAACTGCCTCAACACATGCACAAGTCAAATCCAACATGGTCATTGCCCCTAAGACCTGCAGTAGAACATAGAACGCTGACATGTTCTTATCACCTTCTATATTGTAAAGTCAATTACGATATGATGGACTGGAAGATGTTGCAATGAAACTTACACAAGATGTTAGACCTAAAGCTCCTTGTCCACCAAATGCACATCTTTTTCAACAAGTTAGTAAAGCCAGGAACACTGAAGGTACAACCTGCAATGAATTTAAATTGATTTCCGACCATTCAGTCTAACTTCCAGATAGCTTTAAAATATACCCATTCTGAAGGTGTAACAAATAACGGTTCTTTTCTAGATTCAAATGTAGACCAATCAAGCGTCAAATTACCAGGACTCACACCACCAGTCAGTTCTGGGATCAGAGGATTTGACTTGGAGTCCATGCCAAAGGGTAAAATACCAATATATAATATGAAATAAGCATCTGTTTCAGTAATTATTAATGGAAAATATGTTGATGATGTTTAGAAGGCTCCAAAGCTCCTGAAATTGGAATGTACGAGACATATTATGTGACAGCTCATAAAGGACCATGCAGAACTGCATGCTTTACGGATGATGGTAAGTAGGTTGCATTACAATACCTTGTAAAAGTAGATGGTTGAATGACTGCATCATTGCCATCATATGATCACAAATCACAACAGGCACGATGAGAGGAAACAGTAACTCTCAGCTTGATCCTCTCTTTTTTCCTATCCTGTTGGCATAATTTCCTTGAAATATTATGCAGTAGAATTATTCACACAGAAAACAACTCTTATTTTTAGGTAAACTTATTGCTACGGGATCATCAGATTGTTCCATCAAAGTATGACTTTGTATTTCCACAAATTTGTATTCCAATCTTTTTTCCAACAAAGAGCCAACATAATACAGCCTTTTATTCTTCCATTCACATTTCAATTGCAGGTGCTGGACGTAGATAGGATGATAGTTAAAACAACCACTCCCAGTTCAAAAGACCATGGAATGATGGGGATGGAAAACCATCCAGTGATTAGAACATTATATGATCATGCAGATGTAGGTGTCAGTTCAGATGTAGAGCATTTGAGATCTCTAAGATCGATATCTGAAATTGAAGAACAATTTAAACTTTTCAAATAAGAAGTGTCTCTCCTTCTCATATTAACTAAGTTCTGCTTTGGTGCTAATGCTGTTCAAATCCTATTGATATCCCCAAAACATTACAAATTAACTTTTAAATTTTAAGTAGAAAGTATGCAGGGCTGGCACTTCTTACATTGATTCCAACTTCACTTCAGGAAGTAACAGCGATGGCTTTTCACCCATTTTCACCCATCCTCATCTCGGGAAGTCGAGATTTTTCAATCAAGTTCTTTGATATCTCTAAACCCTCCATAAAGAAAGCATACAGATCAATACAGGTATAGGGTTTTTATTGAAAGAGTTTTCATTGAAAGAGTTTAGAAAATATTGTACCACAGAACATGAAAAACACTGTGTAAAATTATCATTTTAAGGAGGTTGAAACGGTTCGAAGTTTATCATTCCATCCATCAGGAGATTATATTCTTGTCGGTACTGACCATCCGACTAGTAAGTTTACATCTCACAGCTTTTGAATGTGTAATATAGTGAAGTTATCTAAGGAATGATAAGAAAACTGCCTAAACAGTAAAAATACGAAATGCCACATACCCATGTTTGATTGCAAGATCCAAAACAGCAGGAGTCTTATCCAAGGTCGTAGAGATTACTTGAGCATGGACCTGTCCACTGTTTTTAGCCAAGCACTGAACGTCTTTTCACCATTTTCTTCAAGTACGGTTATATGAAGTGAACACGTTACAGTGTTACGTTGCAAGCAACCCGCGAGAATATCACAATGGACCCATAACGCAGGTTAGAAGAATACAGTGCAACTGTAGGTTTGAAATTCAGAGCCATAGTTGGCGGTATGGTAACACTACATTGGTTCAACTCAACTCTAGGTCAGTTTTTCACCGTCGGGTCATCTTTATGCATCAACAAGTAAAGATGGTGCGATAAAAGTAAGTTTTAATCGACTTTATCTATGCTTTTAAACATTTGTGTTCTTTCAATCGTGATTCATGTCAATTCATTTCTCTAAGGTTTGGGATGGGGTCAGTAATCGATGTATCTCAACTTTCCCAAACGCTCACAACGGTAACGAGGTAAAGCAATTGATTCTCAAAAGCCTCCTTGTTTTCTTCTCATGGACATGCTATATTTCTCTGCGTGTTTTACAACTTATTTTTGTCCTTGTGTTTTCGTCTAGGTTTCCTCCGTGAAATTCTCAAAGAACTCCAAGGTTATTATTATCAATGCAAACATATTACCTAAGTTGAAGAACTTGAATAAAAAACTACATTTTCAGTGGCAAGATTTTCACTTGCTGATAGCGCTATCGTCTTTTAATAACTTTCGGATGATTCATGCGAAGTTTCGAAATATTATGCATATCAAAGTCGTGAACTAGGCAAGACTTTTATATGATAATCTTCAAAACATTTTCCCGCCAACCTGAAAACACACGATACTCCACATCATAGTCAACAAAATTTATTATCTTGCATAGTATTTACTCACCAGTGGCAAAGATTCGTTGATATTTCTTTGGGAACTATCTACAGGTGAGGAAAATCATTGAATGGTTAAAAATGGCATACAATTATGCCAAGGATTTTATTTTCATTTGTAAAAATATTCTCTAGGTCGGGCAGTCAGCATGTACACCGGTGCTAAAGTTGCTTTGCAGCATGCTGTTGGTGCAACGTTCAATCACACCGAGGATTACAGTAAGTGAACAATGCATTGTATTCCATTGTATGAAGATGGCTTATATTAAACAAGATATTATTATACTGTCGTGGTTCTCTTTTGTCAACCTAACTTTTGACCTTCTTTAGTTCTAATGCCAGACAGCACTGACTTACACAACCCTAAAATCACGTGTTGGGACACAAGAAGCACAGAAAAACTTAAAGTACTCAATTCAGGTATGAGGTGATGTGCGTATATATATGGTATGGTATGGTGTGGTGTGGTGTGGTGTGGTGTGGTGTGGTGTGGTGTGGTGTGGTGTGGTATGGTATGTGGATGGTGCTTGGATATAGCGTGGTATGCTATAGTTCTGTCATATGAAAATTCACTTCATTCCTAGGTCATACGAATATTATCGGTTGTCTTCAGCACTCCCCAAGTGCCACCGCCTTCATTTCATGCAGCGACGACAATCGTGCTAGATTCTGGTACTCAGAAGGAATATAACGTTTCCGTGATAATCCGACGTGGATACGATCATAGCAATAACGTCACACTAGAAGCTGTCAGTTGCGTGTACAGACGCGTGCAAAAACTGATTTACGTTTTATTCACTTTTTGTGAAGATGAATACGTCTTAAATTTTTGCATGCAAATCTTGTAATTTATTGGTTGGAAATAAATAATAAATGTTGAGTAAAATACTGTGAATGTGAATTGTGAAATACTTGATGATATAAACTAGTGTCCTAGACCTGTAGTGTCTTTTTCGCGAGCTTTACTGGTACACGGCATTAAGTTCAATAAATCTTTAGCGTCAGTCCGATGGTCAGTCATTTATACATTAAAACAGTACTCGGTTATATTTATTAACCTCATTTATTCCAGACGATCTCTTTCTAGAAAACGAGACCGAATGTTGTTTCCACAAAGTGATACCTCTTACTAAATCTCTGTGTTAAATTGAAGCATATCAAAAGATAATGATGATGCGGATGTTTAATTTTGAAGAGTATATGTACCTGATTTCCTTGCGTTTTGGTCTTTTGGAGAACTTGAAATCTTTGCCGCATGAGTTTTTTAGTAATTTCCAAGGAACTTTCGTCCTGTGAGATCATTCATTTCAGTTAATGTAACCGATTTGATAATGGAAAGAGCCGAAAGACAAGATTTGATACAGAACCTAAAAATAAAATGAAATTCAATCTGAGATATACTCCTGGTGATACTGAATTTTTGCCCGCATTGTACGCGCAGAATGTAGATGAATGAAAGTTTGGGAGCATTATTGGATTGACTTGAAAAATCTGCGTCTCTTTCATACAAAAATTTTTTGCTCATTTCGATTTGCAAATGAACAAATCTAGGGATTTGTACTTAATCTAAAAGTTGACTTAGTCTTAAAACAATATGACAATCGTCGCACTTATGCATAAATGATATCATCAATGATTCGTGCGTACAAGCTGCTTTAGAATTGAAAAGAAAAATAGCAATAGAAGAATATGACCATGGTCGTATTTGCCATTTTCCGGCGAATATGACCATGGTCGTATTTGCCATTTTCCGGCGAATATGACCATGGTCGTATTTGCCATTTTTTTGTTCTGGTTTGGTTCTGTTGCTGATGGAATGTGTCAGGCATTATAATACGGAATTTTTACAAGGACACACATTGTCTTTGGGTTCAATAATCACTTGGTCTTAGAAATTACAACGTGAAATTGCAACGCATGCAAGCATATAAAAAAGAGCATAGCCATGCAAAGCACGGTCCGTCAGTCTCTAGCCTTTTTTAATAATATAATATAAGCGTTTTCATATACTTTATAATAGAAACAATAATTATTTTAAATAGTCAAATGAAAATTATATTAGACATTTTTGTCCATGAGGCATGATTTTTAACTACACCCATTTCCATTTACAAGGACACATTCGCCTTTTACAAGGACACAAAGTGTGTCAAAAACACGCGTATTATAATGCCTGGAATGTGTTTTCGGCCCGTTTTTCATCGATGATAGTTCTGCTTATTTTTCAATAGTAAGACAATAGTAGAAAAGCAAAGTGGTCTTGGTAAAAACGAAAAAAGACTTTCGGTTTTGACCATTTTTCATCGAAAATACGCAACATTAAATCAAATCTCTTTCGAACTCACCCATGTCTTCACGTTTTACCAAAAATGGCAGATGTTGATTTTTACGACATCCGGCAAATGACGTTGTACATATTTTACATGCTTGCCTACATTCAGACAGCAGCGCGAAAATAAATAAATAAGGAATACACACAGACACCCTACCGTGAGCAGCCTTTCTGACAACAGCTCTTGTGTTTCGCCGCTCAAATTTTTGACAATATCATAACGACAGCAGAGTAGTAATATATGGTGCATTTAGCATGACAACCCAACGCACGACGCTACACGTTATGATCAACGTGCCGGCGAAAAGCTATCAAAAAAAGGTACCGCCACCGACAATGCCGAAGCCAAAAGCCAAACGATTCACGCCAGAAGAAAGCAGTGAACTAAGCTTTCCCGCTCCACCACCAGAAGCGTTCGAAGACAAGACAGAACCAGCGAGTAACGCGCCAAAGGGCGCGGCCGAAGATGAACTCGACAAACTAACCGATTTACTTATGAAAAATCTCGAAAACACAGACGATCCGGACTTTTTCGGTAAGGAAACTTTGTTGCTATATCTTCATGCATAATCATTAAAATAACAAGTAACATGTATCGAACAAGTATATAATATCATAATAGCCCTGTCATAACACATGTAGGTTCTGCTGTGTCTAGTATACCTCTACCATAACTGGCATTGTATACGCAGAAGTGGCTAGATCACATATTTTGCCCCGCCATGTTGTAAATTGCTCATTTAGACCGTATACACTAATGAATACCCGTTATATCTCCGCCATATTCCTCATCTATAGCCCTATTATTACCCTGTCAAAACATATGTCTGTGATAGTATATTTTATACCACCCCAACCAAACGTGTCACTGTAGCACAATAGTGAACAAATATTGCGATTCATACAACAGACTTAGGTTTGTTATATGTTTGCTAATTTATGCAAATAGATTAAGTGTGCTGAGTGCCTTGTCTTTGATTGTACAAGGCGGGCTAGTTCGTGTTTGTTGGTGAACAAAAACAGCGGTGATAGGTTCAAAATGTTCGTATGCTGTGCTATCAGATGTAACACATGTTACAACTTGTTGTAACAAATTTAATTTTTCAAAAAATGTTCTTGAAACAAATAACATCAATGATAACGTAGGCTGTTTGGTACGTGCAATTTGATACGTTTAGCATGTTTTTTACATTATGAAGGAGCTCAGGTGATTTCACTCCTTTATTCATCGCTGTTCTTTTAACCACACGAACCAGCCGTACAGCCGCACAACATAGTGAAGTTATCCAATCAGACAAAGTTAACTAGTAAAGATCAGCTGCAGTATGCCTATGGGTGTATTTTGCATGACGATAAGCGTGTGGACGGACGCTTTATACATGAATGAACTTCTCTCGGAAGCGGGAATCTCGCATTTTCGACAATGATACAAATGCTTGCGAGTCAACTTACAAACAGTTTACAACTCGAAGGAGTTAAATGAGTATGCAACGTTAGGTGTGAAACGACCCATTAGACCGTTTGAACGTTGGAACAGGAGTCACACATGAACTAGTCTAGTAGGAAACCATGATTTACGACGACTATTATGTTTAACGTTAGGTATGTGTTACAAATGCGGGGACAAGATCTGTGGTAGCAAGTCCGGATGCAAAGCTATGGATAATCAGTATCACGTAACCTGTTTTGTTTGCGACACTTGCGGTAAGTCGGTAACCAGGAGGGGCGAGGGCAGCATCTCCCATCTGGCTGTTTGCGACCCCCCCCCCGCCTCCCTCCCTCTCCACTTATCGCCGCTGAGAGTAAGACCTTGAGGAGTATGTTTCACCACGTTGCCTTATTTATCGTTCCAGGATGTCAATTATTAAATATGCCTTTTTACCAAGTTGAAGATAAAGTTATTTGTGAACCTGACTACATGGTAACGGATTATTTGATGCTGTTTGTATAGACTTAGAATAACTAGCTTTTATTCAGCAATGTGCCCCTTCCCAATCTGAAAACTGTTCTTTACTTTCGCTTAGAATACTTTGGAAAATTGTGTCGTGTGCAAGAACGTCATCACGGACCGAGTTAGTGTTTCACTTTTATATTTAAAAATCAGTTCTTACGTCTGTGCGCAGGCTATTCTTTCAGTTGCTCTATTTTAAAAGCGTAGCCTGAGGCATGATTTCTGAAGGGATGTGAAGAGTGCCCTTTTTAAACGCATTTCTCGCTGAATTAACAAACAAATATCTTATAGATTCTTCGTGCACTAAATGTTGCTTATCATCCGGAGTGTTTTATTTGTTCTGAGTGTGAAATCTGTCTGGATGGAATCCACTTTACTTTAGACGCAAATGACAACATTCATTGCGTCAACTGTTACTACAAGTGAGTTTGGTTGAATGAATTCACTTCACATGACATACAATCCAGAGACAATCTAGAAATGGTTTGGGAAAGAACAATTTACCGATTTTTAACCTGCATCTGAAATTTTACAGAAAATACTCTCCAAGATGCTGTGCTTGCAACGACCTTATTCTACCAGAAGAGGTTAGTGAAAGGCCAACGACCTTGAGGACCTTTACTATGAGGAATGTTTGACGAAAAATCGCACTTAATTGTTTAGGGTAAAGACGAGATTGTTCGTATCGTATCCATGGAAAAGGACTTCCATGTTAGCTGTTTTAAATGCGAGGTGATTATAATCTGCTGCATTATCTACTATATTCAACACTCACTTTGTATTAGTATACATGACCGGGCTTGCTGATTTAAGTCATTAAAAAACCCGAGTTTTATCATATTCTACTTCAGGAATGCGGCCTATTGCTCTCATCAGAAGAGGAAGGACATGGCTGCTACCCCATTGAAGGTCATCTACTCTGTCAACCATGCAATGGCAAGCGTGTTAAAGAACTGACTAGACAGTCTGGTACCACGCAACATCCGCTGACCACAGAACTATAGATTACGTCTCTTTATATAATATATAGATTATGGTACATGTGTGTTTTAGTACGAATTTCTAAGATTTTAATACTGCGTATATATAGATGAAATTGTTTTGCGTGAAAAATGTGAATAAATTCAAATAGAGACAATAAATATTTTTCAATTTAGCAGCCACGGTTGAACTATTTCCAAAATTTTGCAATGTGATACTTCGATTTTGACGTGTCAACACTCATCTTGGCTCCAAGTTGTTACGCATACTGAGCGAAAAACTTGGTAACGAAGATGAATTCACACTACGCTAACTAGCCCAAGCTCTCCCCGTGTAAACTTCAGGACAGGTTTGTTTGGTATGGTCTTACACCACCGTGTACAGAGTTTGATAACAAACCTTGGTCAGAGTAAACGTGGGATAGCCTGGTTAGTTCGCTGAGTTTACGATGGTAATGATGTCAACTGTACATGCAGATATACAAGTGTGTTAAAAATGCAAACACACAAAACTATTAGAATAATTGCACCATAATGTAATTTGAATAAAAATTAATACTTGTAGGAACTATATAGAAATTTATTTGAGTTATTAGATAAAAGTATTAATTTATCTTGTTTTTTCTGTTCAATATGTATTCAGATGCGCAAATATATATCTGTAAACCGTAAACGTAATATACTAATTCGCTTTGCAAATTGTTTAAAGCCAAAGGCACGTTATACGGATGAAGTTTATGTTTTGAAATTTTGCATGCAAAGTAATCATGAACGTTGTTTCGGACGGAACAAGCTCGCGGAACTGTAGATGAAATTCCTTATCAAAGGGATCCTTTTGAGTTTTGTTGAGAAGAAAGGCACAGTGAAACTACTATCTTATCCTCTCCAACGGCCGCTCCTAATTCTCAATGGCGTTTCAGATTTAGTTTACCTCTTAGCTTGTTAACTTTTCTTCAGTTATGTTATCTCGAGCCACTCCTGAACGGCGATCCAAATCAGGTCAACACATTCCCCAATGTTTCCTGGTTTCAGTCTTAGCCCTTGTCCATTCAGAGTAAAACGATTTCATTTTATGCAATATGAAAAGTTTATCTTTGAAAGAAGCTGATCATAGCGCCATTACACAACTTTTTACGAACTTTGCTGTATGGTGCATTATCGGTAATAGAGTGTCCCAACTCCAAAAAGCAAAAATTTGAAATTCAAATTCGTCATAATAAAGTGATCTTATTGTTCTAAAATACGTTTTTATTGATACGTGACAACTGACAAGCAATATGGCTTGTTTGAATTTCAAAGGCCGGCCGGTCATATGAGCTATAATTATAGAATAAAATTTGATTCCCATTGTGTTAAAAACACCAATGACTTTCAGGGCTCCCCTTGCTTCGTTAGAACCAGTGCATTATGATGAGATCAGTGGGGATTTTGCGTTGGGTGGGAAACTCATGTGTCCAAAAACTACATCACTAAAGTCAATGTTTTAATTCATTTTTCTATCGTTCATTTTATACAGTTTATACTGCTGCCACTTTTCAAAGTCTTGAAATAGTTACTTAATAGTTACAAATAACTTGTAATAGTTATCGGTGACTTAAAACAAAAATATCGTACATATTCTTTCCGAGTCAGTGGCAACAGCTACGGTTAATATATTATAATTTATACCGAGGTTCTTGAATTTATGTACGCGGCTTTATTTACATTCGAGGCAAAGGTGGGTTCGTTTTTGTCCGGACAAATTTTGACACAGATTGTGGTTTAGCGACTTTCTTAATTTTCTTAGCCTGCGAAGGCAACAGAACGGTAGAGTGTCCGCCTAGACCATTATACCCGGTACTAAGTCGACCAGGGTTTTCTAACGCGACGTATGAACGCTTGCGATTCCTTTGCAATGCCCCAGGATGAACAGGAGATGTGAAGTCTGCCTTCGGTTTCTTCAGCATGGCGCTAAAAGAAATCCAGATTATTGCACTCAATATGAAGCGGTTGAATACAGAACTTTTGAACAACATTAAAAAACAAAATACACTCTGTTCTCAGATTTTATACCTTTTCCTTTCCGTTCCGCCATCTGTAAATTCTACGTTTTCATCAATATCTGTGTCTGACGACAGTATTACTGTTTCATCAAGGCTCAGAGGTGCAGGACTGCAAGATTTCATACGGGAATAAACTGAAGGTTATTCACGTTACTTACGGTAGTTTTCCAAACCCTTTGCAAAGCAAATCTCACCTTTCTTGAAGCAACCTGTTGATTAATGTTCCACGGGGGCTGGAGGTCGCAAATGACTGTTGCATCTTGTCAACTTTCTTTTTCAGACTCTTGTAGTGAAAAAAACGGGGATGATGATGATTCACTTATTATTATTTATAGGTCAGTGGTTGTGACGTATTTGTAGACAACGCATGCTTCTGATTGGCCAATGCACCAATACGTCAGGACGAGGTTCTGCTTCTTACGTATATAGGTCTTAATCCTACTCACAAGTTTCTCTTGTTCAGTTTCTTTTAATTGATCTTGTAGATTTTCATTATCTTTAGTCAACTGGTTACATTCCAATTCCTTCGCTCTTAGCTAAAAATACACGCACAATGATCAATATGGACAAAGGCTCCGGCATGATTGAGATAAAAACACTTCAATTGACTATGTATTTGAGTGAAAATTAGGAAGCATTCACTGTTCAAACCATATGTTATTGAAATGAAAGTTCCAACTTACATTATGTTTCAAGGAATGAGAATCTCTTTCCAGCTGCACCTTCTCAGCACTTGCTTTCTTCTTTGCCTCTCTCATTTTCTCATTTTCTCTAAACCAAATTTAACAGAAGAAGGCAGTGTTATCACTATGTGGATATTACATCAATTTTATTATAATTCAAGCAATCATTTAACAACCTTTTCATAATAACAAGTTGTGCTGCCAGTTCACTTGCAGTTTTGGAGCTAGTTCCAATATTTCTTAACATATCTTCAGCTTCTTCGCTTGTACCATGCAGCATTTTCCTAAGTCTGAGGGAATAAAACAAAACAAACTAGAGCTCTAGAAAGGCATAAAATCTAGTTCGTGACTGTAACATGCTAAGATGGGAAATGTAGAGTCAAGCAATCCAGCACCTTTCCAATTCCTCCAAATTTGTTTTTAATAACACAACCTTTTTCTCTAGTTTTTCAACATGTTTACTTTTCCCTTGAAAGAACTGAATTTGTTTCTACATAAAAATAGGAATATAATGTCTGCAAAACAATGTGTTAAGCACCGTGTTAAACATTTTGACATTTATAAATTATAAAAATTTCATTGGAAATACTGTAACCCATTTGGAAAAATCAGAACCTTTAGTGTTTCTTGTATTGATTTCTCATCTCTAATGTCTTTCTCGTATTTCAGTACTCGACACTTTAAGTCCTCAATTGTACCAGTGGTATCTTTGATAGATTTATTGAGAGATTTGATCCGAGCATCTAGATTTAGAGAATTTAGATCAAGAAATTTGTGCTGGACATTAATGCAAACATTTATTAAATTAATTGCAGTTATTTAATTTCACAGTTATATAGTACAAGATATTACCAATGAAAAAAAATAAAGACAAAGAGAGTGGAGCAAAAATTACCTTTTTCAAGGTTTAAAGCTGCTTGCTTTCTAAGCTCATTCTACACAAAATAATGAAGTGATGGTAAATACTGTATTGTGATTGAAAACAACATTACTCTAGATGTGGAGACCAGTAAAATCCTCTGCTTAAGCCCAAACCAGATTCAGCATGGTGGGTTAGCTAACTAATGGGTTAACAAGAGACAATTAAAACATCTATGGTAGTGTGTACATGATGTATACATACTACACAGCCAACACTTACTTTCACAGTTATTATATCATCTGAAGAAGATGTATGCTCCTGAACATCACTGAAAAAGAGTCTGATATTCTGTGGACAAGGCTTACGACATGTAGGGCATGTGCGACTGCGTTTATGCCAAGTCTCTAGACTGAAAAAGGTAAATTGTATTAATTGCTTGGTCCAGAAAAATCTGGGATAGCTTTTCTAATTATCTTGAATAATTTATAATAGGAATACCTACCAATGATCATGATAGACATGGCCACCTGATTTTCAAACAGTTAAAGAATTAAATATTTGCAACGGAAATATTGTAAATGATTGAACTGGCTTGAAAAAGGCAAGTTCGTGCAGTCACAAATATTCAAATTATGGCGCCACATACATTTAATCATATCACCATAGCCTAACAACATAGCACTACAAATAAAGATTTTGTGATCCAGTACAATACTTTCAACAAATAGCACTTCATATTGGTGAAATTTTGAAAGATTATAGTGATACATTATACAAATAATACAATCTTTATCTCACGAAGGATACAAGGGCAGGCAGCCAGATTATTCAATGTCAGGAAATCAGTGCAAATCGTACAAGGAGAATGGAACATTTCGCTTGCAAATCCTTTTAGTTTGAACTATTTTTCTTCCTCATCATAGCAATATTTATAGCAATGCAAACTAAGATATGGATTGGAATTGTTTTGATATATATTTGTGCGACTTCTTTGTACCGAGTGTTGGTAAAGTGTGTCGGTATAATATGAATATGATTGTGACTGCTTAGTTGCGGGTTGTGCAGGCTATGCCTTTCCGGCCTTTTCTATATAGGCATCACTGACAGAATCGAGTTTCAAATTGAATCCGAAAAACAATCAAACCAACTTAATTAACTGTTGTACACCGTTCTAAAATTTTATTCAAAGGTTAATTTACAAAAGTATAACTAGTCACAAACTTGATCCAAGCCTTCGTGAACACGCCTCATTGCGATCGCGTTTGCCCGGTTCCAGCCGGTCAGGCTTTGTGCAAATAAAATAAGGGCTTAGATCTTTAATAGTCTCAATACAATAGGGCATTTTCCAGAGGCCAGGCGGATACTACCTCGAATTATGTTCTTCCTATTTCACCTGTTTGTGTAGGTTTTCTAAATGAAGCACAATTCTCGAACGAAAGTCATCTTATACGAAATGTCAGATATCTGTATTTTACAATATGTCTATTCTTCCGATATTACAATATCTAGCGTAGCTTTGCTGGCCCCAAACGTGTTCTCTGCAACACAAATATAAGTTCCTTGATCTTCCTTTTTAACATCGCGTATTGAGATAACGGTGTTTTTTATCAAGTAATCATTGTTGAGGGGTGACCCATCAGCCCTACTCCACGTGACAGTCACGGGAAGGGTGGATGACACCGTACACTCGATTGTCACACTTCCACCAAGTCTAATCGTCACGTAGCTTGGCCGTACTTGCACCGAAGGAAGAATGTCATTTCCTAAAAGACAAGACGTTGAAATGCATTACAACAAATAATTTGTGAAAAGATGCAATGGAGAAAATAAGAAGATAACAACTCACTCTGCACAACAACAGACACAGATGCTTTGCCTTCACCCTTTTCTGTCTTCGCAGTACACTCATATACACCAGTATCGTCAATTTTCATTCTTACAAAGTTCAGTTCAAAGTTTCGACTGAGGACTCCTCCAATTGATTGCCGTGTCCACTTCACACTCTCCACTCTATCGTCGGCAGCGACCTCACAGAGAAGGTTAAGAGCTTCGCCTTCCATCACTGATATAACGTTGCCTGGAGGTCTGATGGCAACCTGCGGTAACATTGATCTATCTGGAAGTACAAATGAATAAAATATACAAGTGAATCTCCCTCCAGAAGGACAATTCAGGTTACTTCCTAACAGAAGGAAAAGGAAACATAACGCTAGTCTATGCGAGAATCTCTTATATTCTACGTAAACAATCTAACTTCAATCTGTGAATCTAAGTTCAAAAGCACCATTTTCCCAACGATATCGAAAACGTTTAGTTGTTTGAAGCTAGTTGTTTCACACTTACCTTCATTTACAAAGAGGCTACCAAGCGCAGAGTCCTGGCCATATTTATTTCTTGCGATACACCTGTAGTGCCCACGGTCTCGTACTGTCGTCTTTTTTATTTCAAGATAGTTTCTCCTCACCATCGCTGTCCGTGATAATTCTCCTCCGCGTTTCTGCCACCTTATGTCCATTGGTTCCTCTCCGGACACATCACAACGTAGGATGGCATCTTCCCCCTCAGTCACGGTCACATGCCTCGGTCTAATGTTTGCCTTGGGAGAGCTGTTGGGGCCTGGAGACAACCATAATCAGTATATCACGTGTCATCATGAATATCACCAACAACAAAAGATTCCCTACCTCTAACAAGCAGTTGGACTCTCATCACTGATTCACCACCTGTGTTACTAGCTGTACACATATATTCCCCTTCGTCCCGTCTTGATGCGGCCAAAATCTTAAAAACCCCGGTTCTACTGAAAAACTTTGAAAAACGCGGAAGTCGACGGCCATCCCCGCGCTCCCAACGAAGGGTTGCCGCTGGAAAACCGGCGGATGCCGAGCAGCGAAACTTAACCGTGTCAGCAACATCGACGATCCTTTTTCTTGGAGTAACTGATACTTGCGGCTTTACAACAACTGTAGGTAAGAAGGGTACTACTTAGCAAACCTAACAAATCCGAGTAAGACGAGACAAGTTTTGCTATACAAAAAGCTGTAGAAACTGTAAAGACTTGAAGTTATTTGCCTTGCTGTTGAACAGCAGTCAGCATAACAGAGAAAAACCTAAAGTTCATAGTAAGATCAAAAGGAATCAGTCTCTTCTAGTTCGGAAACCTTCAACTTTGCATTTGCATTGATTATCGACTACAACAGCATTACTCACCTCCAACATGAAGTGAAATAATTGCTCGATCAACATTCAAAGCATTTTTTCCGGTACAAATATACGTTCCTCCATCATTCAGTCTCGCATCAGTGATGATCAACGTCCCGTCTTTCACGTGGCTGCTTGATGGTAAAGACAAGCCGTGCTCTCTGCTCCAAGTTATAGAATATCGTGAGGATGTTTTCGATGTGCAAGAAAATTTAGCTCTTCCCCCGACGGGAATGTAACGTGATTTGGGCGACACATCCACGATGACTGCACTCAGTTGTTGCTCTATGAAAGCAGACGTGAGGATAAAGACGTGAGATTTGCAGACGTGAATATTGCTGTGGTAAGCATCATAAAAATGGGCAACTTGTGTGTAAACACGGAATACAAAAATACAATGACATACTTTTCACAACAAGAAGTGATTTTGCCGTTCTCAGAGCCATATCATTACTTGCAGTACAAACATAAGTGCCCCCGTCACTTATGTTCAGCGTTCTGAAACTAAGCACATTTCCACTGACTCCACTGACGGTAGCTCGCTTTGATAAGGCTTCGCCATCCCGTTTTGACCATATTATTTGTGTGGGACGAGGTGACTGAACGTTACACACAAACTCCGCGTTGTCTCCTTCTTGAACAGTGAGACTTTCAGGAATAATCTTCAGCTTTGGAATCAATTCAACTAAATGCAAGAAATATGGATATAATAACTCTGCCGAGGTGGATTAACAACATAGCACATTTATCACTTCTTATACCTGGGACTTTGAAGCACTTTCCACCTGGAGTTGACGGATTGCCTGTGTAATTCAGTGAACACCTGGATTGAATGACAAATAAATAAATTTTCGTATTGTTAACTGCGCTTTGATTTGCATACACCATTAGGTTGGTCTGTCGCATGAGGGAAGCTAAGGTAATATACCTTTCACATCTTCTTCCGCTGTATCCTTCCAGACAGGCGTCACATGTTGGTAAACCATCTTCATCCAGGAAACATGTTTCACTAAAACTGTGATAAGATAAATAGTCTTTTAACGAAAAGAGCACAACGTATAGATCAACATAAGTTTACGTTTGACGCGTTGAGGTTTATCCAACGAGGATATTTTAAAAAGTGTATATAGAAAGATTCTCTTGATAAAGATTGAAAAGACAGATTGCACAACAAACCGATTTGATGATCCAGGTAATGGACAGGGACATTCTTTACAAACATTTCTGCGTCGATTTTTAGCATTGCCGTAAAATCCCTGAGCACATATCTCACAATGCTTTCCAGCTGTGTTGTCTTTGCAATTCTGAAAGTGAAATAACGTAGTTACATTTGGTTTCAGTTGCTTATCTAGAGCCAACGTAGAATTGTTTTTGCCTCCAGGTCGATTTTGCTTTTGCTTGTGGCTCAAAAATGATTGTGATGTCTAAAAGTACAACATACTTCACAAGTTCCAGTTCTTTGATCACAACGACTCGAGTGGGAATGACATTCACAAGGAGCACATTCTGCTGTCAGTCTTCCGTTTCTGGTGTAGCCAGGGACACAACTCTAGACAAAAATACAACCCTGGATAGGACGTTTGATCATACACATCCTATATGTTATTTTTAGATATTTGAATGAGATTTACAAGTTGCTAAAAAGATTTGTTCACTTGGAATGCATTGTTTTACTGCAAGTAAAACGATATTGATTTTTGATGAAAGCTTGAACAATTTTCAAAATTAATATCAGGGGCCGGTTGTATCAAGCCCGTTTAGCTTTAACGGCGGATAAGTCAAACTTGCTTTCTATTTTGAACTTAACCACCGTTTAAGCTAAATGGGCTTGATACAAACGGTCACAGGGAAGGAAATGACCTACAAATTACCCGTGTGAAGCCGGTTTTGACAAGTACGTATGTATACCTCACAAGATGAGCCTTCAGTGTTACGAGGACAGACGCAAATCTCAGGTTTCATAGCTTTGTTAGTTTGACTTGCTGACGTCAAAATGATGTCTCCAAGTCTGAAAAAGAACGCATGAAGTGTTGGTCATAAGTCTCACGTCATTTTTGCCGTCTCTATATCGTGGAGGTTTCGTAAAAGCCACACCTTGATTCAGATGCTTGCCTTGAATAGCTGACAGGAATTAAAATGGCGTCGATATGAACGAGAACACTCATGAATTCCTCACGAGTCACACGGCTGCTGTCCGGTTTCACCCATCGACTCTTAAAAGGCAATTCGTACAACTGTATGAATATTTCAAAATATACAGATATCTCTTTATTAACCTAAGCTTTCACTTACCTCATGAAGTAAAAGTTCAAAATTTCTTTCCGTATTTGGAAAGAAATGAGTATACTGTTTATAGCGAAGAGTCTGGCCATTACCCTGAGTAGAATTGTGAGAAAAACGTATGAGGCAAAGTTGTTTTTTTTTCGAACATGCATGTAAATGTGGAGCTCGAAAAATACACGATATACCTTCATAATCATGTAGTTCGGGTTTCCATTCACTGAAGAATGGAACGAATAGAAAAAGGATAACATTCCACCATAGTATAGAACCTTAAAAAAACTGTGGTTGTATTTAAAGCGCTTACATTGAAATCATGCTTGTTTTACGTTAGCCTGCATGAGACTCTCTGACAAGCTACCAACAATGGATGTATCACAAAATAGCAACAGCATGCAATGATAAATTATTCCCATACCTTGTTACCCAGAAATATCTTCGGTATTCTCCAATAAACATTGGATTGTTCCAGCCATGTCTTATTAAGGAATCGTATTCGTTTACTCTGCGAATCCACTTCCAAGTCTGACGAATTCCGAGAGAAATCTTCAGTGGTGACAACCAACCCATCGGGTAATGTTAAAGACGGTAAAAATTTGATCTAAAAATGTATCAGACGGTTCAAGTTTTACAGCCAGCATTCTTTGGATTACACTGACATATTTGTGATGAATGAATAAAGAAATACTCACAATTTCTGAACTATTATTCAACACACGACAGGTTGTACTGAATCCCATACAGAAACATGGAGTGCAACCATCTTCGTTCTTTTCTTGTAAATTGTAAAATCCTGCTTTACATCGACTGCATTTCTCGCCTTCAACGTTTTCCTACGAGATAAACACATTTGATAAGGAGTACGATTGTTTTAGTATTTCTATTTTCATTTACAATTTCGCCACGAAGGTTTGGGTGTGGCTACTATGTACAAGATCCATACCAACTTTGAATCCACCTAACACGTAGGCCCGACTAAAGTGGCACCACATAACTTTGGAGAACGGGAGTATGGGAGATAACACATCGTACTTTAAGAAGTATAGACGTTATTATGTAGTCTGGCTGGCTGACTCGTTTAAGTTCATAATAAAGCTTATCACGATGACTGATTTAGTTAGACTGATTCAGCACCATTAAAGCGCATACCTTACAAACACATCTTCTTGTTCTTTCGTCGCATCTTTTCGTTCCTGCGTAGTTACAGCCACACGATGAAACTAAATTGAAACACAGAAATAATCATGCAATAATATTTGTTCGCATTTTTAAAGTCTGCATAATACGGCGTTGTGGTTGTTAAATATTGCGCACCTGGTTTACACACTTCTCCGGGAATTTCCGGATTGCCCGTAAATCCTTCTTTACACCTACAGGGATGGAAAAAGAAATGTACATATAACATATTTCAACGAAGCTTTAGTACTCTCCAAGCTAAGGTTATTCTCATTCAGAGGTACATCGTCTAAAGTAAAATTGTCTTTGAAATGTACTCTGTGAAACGTGTCATGCAACTGTCAGGAGCCTCCCATGTTAGGAAATATAGAATGTATTTTAATACCTATCACAAAGTTTCCCTTCGTGTCCCTTAGGACACTGGTTACATACTGGATCACCCTCATTGTCCACAAAACACGTCGCTTTTGTTCCGGGGCTGAATAAAGTGAAATATGACATATGATAAAGTGTGGAAAAGACAAATTATCTGACGACAAGGGCAACTCAGTCGAACCTGTTCACCGGATCAACACGTGGACATGGGCAGGAATGACATGGTGACCCAGCTTTGGGGTTACCATAGAAACCAGCCGGACATTTCTCACAATTTTCTCCAGTTGTGTTGTGTTGACAGTCCTGGAAACAAGTACACATATCCACAATTAATTAAAAAAAGTCTGGTCAGAAGAAATTTTAACGGTGAATCACGTACCTGACAAACACCAGTTTGCGGATGACAGTTGGATGAATGGCCATGACAGTTGCACTTCACGCAACGACCAAGAATAGAGGAATCTCTGAACGTGTAACCATCGGCGCAGCTCTGAAAAACGCACGATCATCCTCATAATGAACATTGAACGTAAACAACTGATGTTTAATACATGATATTTGATTGGTTCGACAACAACTTGCATTATAATTAACTAGACCAATTAAATTTCGCGTTTCATGTCCCGCATTTCGAGTTGACATTTATCAAAAGGTCATAACATTTCGTATGCTTTCTAAGAGGTGAATAAACTATCAAATTTATATTCTCTATTCTTCATATTGAGGTCTATATTGCTTACCTCACAAGAGTAGCCTGTGTATGCTTTGGGACAAGAACATCTTTCAATTCCAGGTATTTCCACTCCCCCTGCGTTCTCATAACGGGCGTCCATTTTGACCTCGTGCAATCTAAAAGAAAAACATGTAAGCATGAGAGTCAACTTCCCAAACACTAGATTCCTACGATACGACATTTACTGGAATAAATAACGGAGCGATCTACAGAAAAGTTTCGTCTGTAGCAAAACGCATCGAATGGTCTTCCAAAGAGAACAATCTCTTGTTTTGGGAATCCTAAAAGAGGTGCACAATCCTTCCTGGACCGTTAAAGGGTTGAAACAGAATAAGAATCTCACCTAGTTTCGACCATGTCAGTGTATGGCGTGGCCAGGATCAAAAGCTTATGAATTCGTCCCAAAAACACGACAAACACTGCTTTGGAAACGCGACTGTTGCTGGAAAATCTCCACAATTTCTAAACAGAATTGCGGGAAAAGTGAAGAATAAAGAATTTTTTTAACCAAAACCGACGTGCTTCACCCACCTCAAGTAGAGGAATTTTATATGTAACCTTTTTACCATTCTCATACTCAATACCCCTTAACTGTCGTCCAACATAGACAATGCCAAATCCCTTTCCCTGAAGATAAATTGATCGGAGAATTAGTTGAACATTGTTTTTTAGATCCCAAATGGACGTATTGGTATACAGTACTTAGTTCTTAACGACGGCTTTTGTGGACGAAGTAAGGCGAATATCTTTTGGATTTACTAATCAATATTGAGATATAATTTATAACAGGCTACTGAACACTCACTAAGAGAATGACATCATATAAATAGTTGAAGGGTTTTGTTGTTCCATTCCATGAGTAAGTTACAGTGTACTCCAGGTAACCGCCATAGGAAGCAACCTAATAAGAAATACACATATATTTCATCATGCTAAAAATAGTTTTATTACTTTTCCATGCATTTCTTTTCATTCGGATGAAAGACGTCAACGAAAATGATTTGTGTAGGTTCAAACTGCAAGAAGTCGTGTGTACATCGCGAATTCTACACATTTTCACCAATGTATAACCAAAAGTTTCAAATTATATCGAAAATACCAACCTTGCTTCCAGCAAACTTTAATGGAAGATGCCAAAACAGAGACCTTCTGATTTTTACACCAGAGAAAAAACTTTGTAAATATAACTGGTCGTCTGTTTTGCGTACTGAGTGAGGAAAAATATGTGTGGAATGAACAGTATCAATCTTGAAGTCATCTTCCAAGAATGATGTTTGAATCTATACGAAAAATTATATGCGTCGAATGATATTCTATGATTTTTTTCTTTTTAATTTGAATTTATTTAACTTGCCGTAAACTTTGAGCCAATTAGATTCGTACAACTTCTGCTTTTTCTGCTGCAGTAACATGATTCACAGCCTGACGGATTTGAAGTCTGAAGATTGAATCGTCCTTCTTGGCATTTATCGCAAACTGAACCAATCACATTTCTCTGATAAAAAATTTAAATAACAATAAATATAAATTCGGCTGTCATAATATAGCACGTATGGCCCAAACGTCACCTTAAATGTACTAAAAATATTGCCAAAACAATCTCCATACCTTACAAGTGCACTGGATTTCCCCATCTGTAGTCGTACTCTGGGAAACACTACCGGCCGCATTACATTGTGAAAAATTGCCTGCAATGAAAATAAAATTTTAAACTGGTTGATCAAAACGTCCAAACCCCACATACGTAAATGGAACACGTATGGAAAGAATGAACATTTAACTTACCGACTTTGTAACAAGTTTTACCCAAAATTCTTGGGTCACCTTCATAACCTTGCGCACAGCTAAATATCAGGAGTTCAAAGGTAAAACACCACCTCAAAAACAGAAACATCATCAGTTTCGTAGTAACTTACATTTCACAATTTCGGCCAGCGTATCCTTGCTTGCATGAAGTGCAGGTAGATTTACCATCAGTGTCCAAATAACACGACTCACTAAACCTGTAATCGAATAAAACATGTTCTCTGAATATGAAGAACGTGAAAAAGTTGATTGAGAAATAATGAATCATTATTCAGTTGTTTCGATATATCGATAGGAGAACATTTAGACCTTGGTTAGAAAATCAAGTGACCTCGAGAATACTGATCATGACATAAAAACTCACAGGTTTGTCTCGACGGTTAACGGACAGTCGCATTTTTTGCAATCACGTGATGTCCCTTTGGTGGCGTTCCCATAGTAACCCAAAGCACACAATTCGCAGTTGAAACCGTCAGTGCTGTGTGCACAATTCTAAAAAATAAATATTATAGAACCCATCAAACATGACGAGGACTCTCCGTAATAATTGTGTTACTACAGAGAAAGTGCACTAAAAACTATCAAAATTTCTAAATGTCCACTAGAGAGTGATGATTCAAAACACAAACCAGGCTTAAACCAGGCTTAAACAAGGTTCAAACAAGGTTCAAACAAGATTCAAACAAGGTTCAAACAAGGTTCAAACAAGGTTCAAACAAGGTTACTGAGAAAGGACACAGCATAATAGAATGCAATTCATTCTGACCTCGCATTTCCCAGTCTCAGGATGACAAGTGCTGGAGTGATTATTGCAAGAACATTTCACGCACGTTTGACTACCCTGTTCTCGGAAATATCCAGTTAAACATTTCTAAAAATTAAAAGCCATAATATCGCAAATGAATGAACAGTTTCACTGATTCAGATCCACAACTGCATTGGAGAAATTGAGAAATTTGATAAAGAATTTCATCAAGTTTCGAGGAAAGGGAACATTAGAGGGAGGTTCGATGGGATAAAGAAATGAAATAGTATGCATACTTCACAGGAAAAGCCACCATACCCAATCGGGCATGCGCAATGTTCCACCAAAGTGATTTTATTTCCTCCAGATTCTTCCTCGACTGCGGTGTCCAGGGAAGCTCTGAGAAGCCTGCATGAAACGATAATAGCTAAAAGTTCAATTTCATGAAAAGTTGAAAAATAAAGCTGTTAGCTGACAGAAATGGTTTGACTTATCCAGATACTCCTTCAGTGAATTACCTTGAAACGATATCCCCAGCAGAAGATGCCTTTATGAATATAAATTTAATGTCAGAAAGAACTCGAAGCAACGTTGATCGATTAGCCGTTCGACGTCTTTGTATTTCCTTCCAATTTTTCTAAACAGAAACAACTACAGTTAGAAATAGTTTAAGTGCTTCAGATGAGTTGAAAAACGGCTCACGAAACGCACAAACCTCCGTTACGCTTATGCCAAAAACATCATCATCCACGTAATCCAGATTGATTGAGGCCAAGTGAGTGCCATCATTTCCCTATTACAAAAAGGTCATCCATGAGCTGAATTACTGTAATTTTGACCGTAGTTTATATTACTAGTTAACACGAAAATATACATTCATCGATGGAGGTGCATCATGCCTCTCTAACGTTGCCCTCGGCACGATCCCAATTGTACCAAATAAAGATATATATACACTGTGCTATACGACAAAGCTTGCTCACCACAATGAAAACGCCATGTCCTTCAGTGAGATTCAAATCCTGGGAGGCTGATCCCGGGCTGTCGCTACTTGCTGGCCTACTAGGAACATCATTTTTGGTACGTGGAACCCCACTTTTGCCAAGCCATGATTTCTTGTTCGGTGTTTCCCGAACATAATTCCAAACAGCAGGGTCGGAGCTCGCAGTTTGAACAAGGTTTCGTCTTGATCTTCTCGCTCCATTTTGTATGTTGTTAGAATCAAACGTAAACTCGAACTTTCCTCCATAACTTGTCAGCTGCGGCAAATAAAATGTAGTAAAACGTCAAATAAATATCTGCAAGCTTTAAACCTTTGACAGTATCCGAGGAAGACCAGGAGATACTTGAAAACACGAAATGTTACTTTAATTTGTCCACAAAACAATGGCAATGGTTACGTGTTAAGCAAAGCCATGTGTTGTTACCTTGTTTCCGGAGTATATTGTCGGCAGTTTCCAGTATAAAAGAGGAGTATTTGACGTTTGATACACGTTAACAGACGTGCCATATGCATCAACAAGTGTCGGTTCATCGTCTCTTGTGCAGCTGTAGCAATCCCAGTAAGAAGTCAACTGAAAAACAGAATTATCTGTCGGTCAAACTTGCCGAGTTACTAGAGTAAGATACAGTTGATTCACGGTTATTCCTGCTCTGTTCCGGGATTTCTTGGTGTAAAATGCTCTTGACAAAATGATTCATTCCAATTCATCACCATTTAAGGTATCTACAATCTTCTATTTCATCCCAATCCTTTTCGATAGTTTTGACACCCAGCTAAGCTACAAAGCATCACCACCCGTCTTGACCTTCAATTTGATACCACTAAATACTATTTACCTTCGATCTGTAGAGTTGCGCGCTTCTACAGTTTGACGTGTGTCCATGACAGAAACATCTGAGGCATTGGTCATTTTGCTGTGCCATGGAGTTAAAGAACGGGGGACGACATACATTACCTAAAGCTATAAAATATCAGGTTTTAATGAGGAAGAAGAAAAGTGAAGAAGCGGGATCTTAGAAACAAAGTTTTGGTAATGTTCCCCACAGGAAATAAGGCATTCGGGTACCCACTGAACAAACCACTGATATATCGGTATTTCAAATACAGTTTGCAAACTTACCTCGAACTTTAATGGTGCAACTTGGAGCAATTGTCTTCCTTATGCGATTGTCACTGATTTTACAAATATAATCCCCAGAGTCCTCCGGCCTCACGTTATGTATGGTCAGTTTCCCGTAGCCTGAGACCGAAGTTACTGACACTTTTTCTTGAAGCGAAGAAACTTTTGCACCTTCGTGATACCAGCTGATTTTGGGGTGTGGTACACCGCTGGCTACACACCTGCAGATTGCTGTCTCCCCCGCAGCGACAATCAGAAATGACCGTGGAGCTGTTATTAACTTGGGAGAGACTAAAAATACAAAGATTTTACACTACTATAGCCAGATAACTCCCGCAGTTATCACCACTTTAATAACACAACGTTTCTTTATGCGAGTAGAGCTTATGTTACGGTGTTCTGTGCATATCACTCCTCACTTACCACATCCTTGTTCATCGGAATCATCATCACAATCCAGTTGTCCATCACATCTATATCGTGCTTCAACGCAATCACTGATACCAAGCACACGTGACTTGTTACACGTAAACTCGTTGGCATGGCAATCCAATGAAATAACCTGTCCTAAAAGAAATAAAATATATAGAGAATATATTGTCCTTACCAACGTGAAAATGGATTTTTCCATTTTCCCTCTCTTGTGAGGTAAATAGACCTTTCGATAACCGTTAAAGCAATCTCACCACAATCAATTTCATCACTTCCATCAGGACAGTTTATTTCTCCATCGCATCTCCATAATTTATCAATACATCCCCCATCACCACATTTCATCTCGTTCGAAAGACAGACACCTTTGCCTAAAGGACAAATTAAAACAGTACCATGTTTAGCTTATTCCTCATTTAGTCTTCAAGCTAAATCTAGCTGGGACCATGATCTAAAAGAACTAGTGATATTAATTCTCAGATTCTTACCAGATAACTGAACAAACGAGACATCATTTGAAGCAAGAGGAACTCCAGCGATATTCCCGGAAGTAATTGCAGGTTGCATTACGCCTGCTAAATATCTGGTGTCACTGTTACCAATACTTTGTAAGGAATAGTCCACCATGATTGAATCTTCGTCCAGTGGCCTGAAGATATGCAGGAAATTTTCGTCTTAGGACAGTAGAATGGTGTAGAAATAACGAATGAATGGAACAGTACCTATATCCAATTGTTTGAACTCGTTGTTCTCCAGATATTTCGCTGAACATCTCAATAATCTGACAGGAAGCAAATCAAATCATGATAAATAACAATGATACTTGCTACGCCGTTACCTGTTGCTTGGAGTCAAGCTGTTTAGTACCACGATATCCATATCTAGAAATGATTATCGCTGATGTCTTACCTTCGCCTTCACTGCGTTAGCGATTTGTTCAGTCGCATCTCTCGAGGTATTTGTTGAAAGCAAAATCATTCTTATCAGGAATTCATCTTAAAAGAAAACCAATTTTCGTAAGAAATACTAAGTCAATGAATGAAGTTTCCTTCGTTTGATTAGTTTCAATCTTGCTCACAACAAGACGGAGATTTTGGAGCAGGTTATTCATAACGTGTTTAAGGGAAGGGAGAATGATGAATCGAAAAATCAACCAAAGCATCAATAGTTACGGGCTATTTACATGAGCCCGGTTACCCGAGATTCGACGAAGCGTGAGATGATTTTGAGGTATTGAAATGAACAGATAACATGATCCTGGCAGTCGTATAATCACCACAATAATAGCATGTGCTTGTTTGGTGTCATAAAGACTTATTTCAATACCTCAAAGTCCTCTCACGCTTCGTTGAATCTCGGGTAACTGGGCTCATGTAAACAGCCCCCAATACTCACTTTCCCCTCTCGGAGCGCACAACTCCTGACACCAGCAATCCTTGCGAATACCCTCGAGTACCTCTTCACCCAGCACGCAATCATAAACATACAGATCATCCAGATACCCTTCCGCTGACGTCATACCGAACCGTAACGATGACGTAAACCTCCAACGGACCATTCCCTTGCGAACATCGACCTCACTACTCAACTCTGAGTCGACATAGAGCTTTGCTTTATGAGTAAAGGGGTCGTATAGAGCAACAATATGGGTCCATTGACGAGCTCGAAGTAATTTCGTATGACGTACTAAGAACGCAACCGCTTCTCGTCGAGTGATGAACTTCCATGTTAAAATGCCTCTTTTCATAAACAGCTCCACAACGGCTCCTTAAAAGCAAACGTATACGGTTCATGTAGACTATAATTTACAGTGGACTTTTAGTTCAATACGATTTACCTTTGTAATATCCTCTGAATAAAGACGTTGTGCTTCGAGGGTTGATAATTCGCATCCAAAATGCCACAAGAATCGTATCAGTTTCTGAGGTTTTTGTTTTCTTGAACTTTCTTAGGTAAATATAACCATTCCTAAACCTGCCTGCTTTACCACATTTTCCATGCCTCGTTGTTGCAATATTGCCGTAAATGACACCGTTGTTATCATAGCCAGAATCATCGAATATATCTCGTTCGGTCGAGCTTTCAAAAGCGTAGTGAACTCTTGGGTGACAAAAGACTAAGAAAAAGGACAATGGAAATGATCAGTGATGCAAACAATTTGCATCGTGGCCTGTCAACAAAAGAAGCATGACAAAACTTCTCCAACGAGGCCACTGATGTGCTAAATTTATTTGAAACTATAATTATTCCATAAAGCCTGCTTCTCGCTTTTGCACAACATAAGACCGAATCAAATATAAATAGAAAAGAAACTTTTATTTTGAAATCTATTTTGTCTGGTGGAAGGCTTCTTGGCTTATGTCGTAAGTGAAAACCAGGCTTCACTCGGCTCATATTGAACATTTGAATATTGTCACTAACAACCTAACTGAAATATCTGAATAGTGATTTGTCAATACCTCCCTGCGGTCTGAAGGAAGCCATTCTTCTGTCCACATCGTAATTGATGAATCTTCCAGGATCTTTGATTTTTTTCTCAACTATTTCAGTAATTTCGCTCATGTTACCATTTCCTGTACTGTCAAACGTCATTACCACAACCACTGCACTCCATCGACCACGCCTTCGGATAATTTAGACACGAGTTATTCATGCAAGGACCACCCAGGAAAAACTTAACTATGAACCCAAATTTATAGCCCACATACCTAAACGATTCGACCTTGACAGTTTGTTTCCCTTTGACGGAACTAAACAACTTGGCCATCTAAAATAGAAAGAACATATATGAGTAAGTGAGAGAATACTACAGAGCATCGAGTCACCAGAAACTTGTAAAAAACGGAAGACCAGCGAAGTTATAATTAAGAGATTGACTCGTCAAGAGAAAGCATAAACGTGGTAAGGAAACTAAGTAATAGTTGAGAAAGAGACAGGAAAATGAAACGAGAAAAAAAAACATCTGCACGGGGGGTGGCATTGTTACCAGATATGTCTGTCTATAGATTGTATTACATATCCTAACGGAAAGACGTGCTCTCTTAATTCCATCCCACCTGGATTGACGACTAGACTGAACTTTTAAATACTTCGCATATTACAGATTATGTCTCACCTCTCTCTCACAAAGTGCTGTCAGCCGTCTGGTGAGATTATTTTCACGATATGATAACTCTCGTATGAAGGAGAGAGTCCTTATTTTTATGATAATCATTCCTTTCAATAAAATATCTTGAAAATAAAAAGATAAGAATAAAAAACCGGTACGTGGGTATCGAATTTAACAGTGACTGAAAATCAGTGTGAGAAGACTAAAAAACTCAATTATATTCATGGCAAAGACGGAGCAACGAACCAGATCATTTCATCATAAAGGTTCAGACAAAAAACGCGTAAAAATGGCTGCTCTTCTCTAAGCTAAGTGTCTCAAGCGTTATTTAACCCATTTGACCTTCCAGATAATTTCACGAATAACCCCATACTGGTTTAGCTAATCGCTGTTAAACCAAGACAGCCCCAGGTAAATGGCGTTGCTATTCACGAGCATTCTTCTCATTGACTACCCGATTACGCACAGTTCGCCACATGGTCATTGCAAGCGCCATTTTATATATTAATAGTTATATAACTATACGTACGTCGTAGCGTTTGAAGTGAACCATGCAGACACATTGATATATTTCTTTATATGTTTTAAGCGTGTTATCAATTTATCAAGATAAAATTAAAATTATAAATCATTCCTCCCGGAGGTCTAGAAAGCATATCCAACTGGCACGCGTTAAAACAATAAACAAAAAAGGAAACCCTGCTTAAAATGAACAATTCTATCAATTCTAGGATATGGATGAGGGTATACTTCTGCAGGTGCAAATATGTTTCTTCTATAATCAGCTGACGTAGGATAAACAAGAAGTACACATTAAACTTGACGATCGAACTTTGCTATAAGAGGTTTTCCTCTAATTTAGTAGACATTGTTTATCATGTATTCCCACGGTCCTCACGGCAGATTTCAATTAGATTTAGAATTAGCTTCAGATTTTTTCTTTTAAAGCGTTTGGCTTTTGTCACTTTCCTTCGGCAGGGACGCAAACGGCGCATTGATTTCACATGAGCGCAAGCCGGTCAGGTGTGCCAAGCATTGTCCTACACCCCAGGAATGGGTCACAACCCTTAGAAAAGCGACAAAAATTTCGATTAATCAGGTTCAATCTTGTGTCTAAAATTTCGCCTTCTTACATAGTTCCCACACAGATATTGGAATTTTGCCACTGCAATCACTCACCAGGTAGGATGAATGTATTCACATTTTCCAAATCATAATTAATTTGCATCAAATGCTACGAGCGATTTAAAGGGGTTTAGGTAAATTCTTAATTAGGTCAATGCTTTTTCATCTGTTACTGGTTACAGGCTCATCACTGCAGTAATTCATACGGATGTAAATGAACTGACGCACTATCGAATTAACCAACTGCCGAGCAAAAATATCAACAAACCAGCCATCTAGCCAAAGCTCATTTATTAGCAAAAGTATCACGTACTGACTAAGGAACAAACAAGCTAATCAGCAAATAGCTGAGAGCCACTAATTAACTAATTGAATACAAATGGTATCTGATACACGAACTAGGTAACTATGAAATAGTGCAAATGTCTCATTCAATACTATCAACTATCGTCTTCACTGTATTTTTAGTTATGGCGCCCTCTCAGTTATTAATAAACGTTTAAATTTACCAAAAATTTTAACTTTATTATGGTTTAACATAGCCAATCATCGTTAAATACACTAGTTTCAATCTCTTTGTGGTAATTCATAGTAATCAATCATAAATATGTAATCAAAAAAATCTGTGTCTATTTTTATTCAACATACCAGGAAAATTCTCTCTGCGTCTTGGAACATATGTGGACTCCCCTGTTGAAACGATTTCCCCGTCATTCCTGTTTCCTGCAACCTGGAAGTAAAAGAGTTTTATAATTATTATCATCCATCGAGGAAAATATACAACGAATTATTTTCGCCTCAGATGAGCACAATGGGTAACCAAGAATGTTAAAAGTCATTTAAACTATAGGAGGGGTCGGTCTAGATGCAGTGCACAGCTGATCAGTGAAGTGACGAATGGAAAAATGAGGTAGCATTAGACAAACAGCTGATGCAGCTTCCTATTATTGAAAGAAAAACCTTGCCTAGACTTTGGTTTATTCCAGCATTCTTGCCAGTAAAACACATTAGCAAAACCTGGTTAGTAGGAATATTTTCATTTATTTCTAAAACGGTTGAGATCTTAAAACTTTTCATCGATACAGTAAACTTAGTTCCTGACAGGCCCATTCAGACTTGCGTTACAATTGCAATTTCATCACGATCATTAAAATCCATCACCAAATTAAAAACGATGAAGCCAGTCACCACCCGCTAACTTAATCAGCGTTCCACTTCTCGTTGTATTGAAAGAACTTGGGTCAAATAGGTCTCATTAATAGGACAATTTTTTTATGAATTTTGCGTCATTCAAAATACCTTTGATCGAAATGATTTCTTGAAACGAATGAAAAATACATGGCCGGAATTCGCCACAATAATAACTTATTCAGCGAAAGTCGAAATTGAGGTAACGTATTTAAGAAGATTTACACAAATCCTATTGATTTCACAAATAGTGCATCATGTGACGAGTGATCGGCCTGTGAATGCATGCAAAGTGATATTCGCTCTCAAATGAACATGGGCAGCAATATAAGCCCTTCTTTCGCTAATCCATAATCATATAGTTGATCGCTTAATTTCCGTAGCAGAGACACGCAACTATAAAGCGGACAGATGATCTAGAAGCTTCAGGATCATGAAGCGGCAAATCTTGTCTTAAAACAGAACTAAAACTGTTTATACAATATGAGCTGTTTACACAAGTGATTACGTGCCGTGACATGTGTGTGGTATAAATGGTAATTATTTCTAATACATGCTAATAGACTTTTGGTTACGGCAAGGTTTTGGTTAGTTTCCACCCGTGTTTTCACAGAAATCACCCCTGGAGAGCAGACGAAACACTTTAGCACTTGCGAAGCATTTAATATAAGTTAATATTGCTAATATTGCTAATCGACGTCTGGACCTTTAAAAGGACATAGCTTTTAGAAATACTGAACTATCAACTGTAGTACTTGAAATTTAGCTTTAGTACCCACACCCCTCTTGCATGTTGTACGACCTGGCCCTATACCTACCCCCCTCTTGCATGCATGCATGCCCTATACCCATGCACGTCTAACCACCTATGATAATACTGATGTATCGAAACTAGGGATCATCGTTCGGCAACCTGTGCTAAATAAACAGCTATGAAATTGATCTTACTGATGGAGATTAGATATCTGTTATAAATGAAAATAATTTCGTCTCCCTCAAGATATTTATACAAGCAAAGTCTGCAAAGAAGAGAGCACTTAGTAAACATCTTACACAAAACCCACATCTGTCAAACACCTGCTACATGTACAATAAACATAAAAACAACCTCTGTGGGCATGAAAGTGAAGGTACAAAGTCGATGTGAATAAATTCCTTTTGGTCCATTCTGACGTCTTCATGCATGCCCATGGTACTCAAAGCGATGACAACACAATTGTTATGAAATGTAGCGCGTTAATTATTCAACTTAAAATAATTGGTTTAGTCAAAAAGAAGTGATGATATATGTTTTCACGTAGAACCAAATTTGTCCTCATTACACCTTACCCTAAAATTACCTTTTAATGAATTTTCGAAACAGGATTTACACTTCCTAAAACCTAAACCCTGGTTCTCATTGAACACCGACATATAGCCTACAGTTTTTTCCAATGATCACCGACAATTGTCTTGGCAGACTTTCGGCGTTGGTGACCATGCCCTATACTGAAGGTCGACTTCTAGAACTAGTTCCCACAAATATTGTTTATATATATATTGTTTTATTCACGGTGGGTATATATCAGGTATATATGCATGTCTAGCCAAGCACTCAAATAACGTTAAAGCTAACAGCCTTAAGTTTAGTGCAAGAGTTCACGATAGGATCTTATATTGCGCTTCAATAAACCTCACGCAAAATATCATTTCCTTTGCAACATACTTCAAAGCAGTTTTTCATGTCCACGCAACACAATTATTGTCGGCCGTGATTGACGTTTTAATAGATTGTCTCTAGGGCTACCTTTGCGAATTATTGCTACTCTGTTACAAGTGCACGCACATTACGCCTGTCATTAATCTGCATTAGCATGGTTTTTGAAAGACGCTTGCGTCTAATTTCATTCCATGTTTTTAGAAGCAGAATTTATGTACAAGTATTGGTTAATTAATAATCTCGCGTCTCTCATAATGAAATATTGACTTTGGCACGATTATTTTGTCGCCAGACAATTGACTTTACATTGGCTAGACAATAAGTTGATGCTTATTGGATATTCCAGAAAGGACTGATACAGGCCGATATGTATACACAACAGTCTATGTACATACGTGCAAACTACGGGCCTGCGTGCAAACTTTATAGCAGGAACCTACGCATCGTAACCGATTCCAGCCAGCGTGTTGTGTAAATAAACATCGGCCCGTTGCCGCCTGAGAAACAGGTCTACCAAGATTTACAGTACCTATTCAAACATTTCAACCATCAGTCACTCACTACGAGATAAGGAATTCAATTTGCGCACAGTTTTATAATCGTCAAAATAGACCAACAGAGCGTTTTGAAGCATTTATACACCGCAGCATTAAATGCGTCAATATATACATATGCTGCGCATTTTCTACACGATAAAATGTGAACTGCTAAAAACTGCGCAAACCTGTAGGCTATGTACAATGCCATTACGACTTGACGAGTACATTAACATTCCACGCGTTATCACTTTTGAAACAATACGTAAATCAAAATATTTTATTATGTATACTTGTCGCCAACAATATTTCTCCGACAAAAGCATAAAATTCTGCGTTCTACGTTCTCGATGTGAACGCGATTTTACCCGAATATCATTTCACGATGTTCCAATTATAGCTTCAGTCACATTTCGTCGCCATTAAGCTTCTACATCTAAATTTACATTTGTCAAAATATTAAATATAAATAAGCTACAGTGTACCTCGCTTTTGGCACTCAATGTACATATGACGAGCAGCATACAAATCGCCTTTGTATACGATACGGACATTCTTTCAAACTCCCACTAGTCCTGGAAAGGATGGATTATCTTCGCCCGGTGGTATAGTTGGTTTCGACTGTTATATACTGAAGTACTTGTCAAGTTATGATGTATTTCTCAAAGCTGCGCATCTGAGCTATGCCAGTAATTTGTGGCAAGCAGCCGTCTGTGTGACATTACCGTGGTGACATACACCGTCACATACTGAGCACTTTGGCTAATAATAGGAAGCGGATATTAAGCCGTGGGGCTTTTCAGAAGCGAGTCAAGCAACGTTTCCGAGGCTATAATATTATTTGTTTAAAGCTTTTAGCCAACTATTGTTGCACTCTTGGGCACGGATATATCACGCAAGCGCGCGTTTTGAATTACTACAAATTATGCAAATTAATTTTGGCAAAATTGTTGTTTTGTACCCGCCACGACCCGTATTTATACACTTATCAGATCCATTTGCTGATTTGCATGTAGCTTTTCGGGTTGGGCGAAGACAAAAGAAAGGAAAGTGAAATGAACTTTATTCAAATGTTTTTTTTTAGGCGAGGGAATGTGTAATTTATATGTATGCATCAGTCTCGAAAAGACCGGCCTCTCATCTTACGAAACAGAAGAACAATGCTATGAGTCGATCATTGTTAACAATTCTGTGTTTTTTTGAGGTGTTTTTTACACAAATGGTGAATTAGGGCCTAACCTATGCAAGGTTAAGTACTCTAGCAGACCACAATACGACGTTAATCGTTTCCGCGACAATAGTTTAGGACTTATAAGTTAGGCCTTGCAAGTAAACCCTTTTAAATGGGCGTTTATTTCCCAGTAATTGAGCATCATCTTTCTTGTAAAGCAATGCATATTGAGGACAATTCAGGTTATAATTATCTTGTTATTGGTCAAACATGCTTTCATTGGCAATTTGGCATTGAACCAGTAATAATGGCATTCCATGCGTCACTCTTTTGACATCACTTCGAGAAAGGTGAGTTGAGAAACAGAATTGGACGCGTCAGAAAATCAGCTATGACGGAACACACTTTAAAGGATCGAAAATGAAATGGTTTTTAATGTTCATTTAATGGAAGGTCACTCAAGTTCTGATCTATTACATCAATACTCTTGTTAACGTCTGTCGTCAACATTCCTACCAAAAATTGCATATTTTTCTACTTTGGTAAATAATGTAAGGATTATTTTAGATGGACCTGAATCACGCGAGAATATTGTATTTTTAAATATGACGTTTTACTAGAATTCGTCCGGGTAAAAATTGCAGACATATTTATCTCTTAAACGAATTTGCACGAAAAACTGATTATCGTTAAATATATAATCATCAGGGGCCAGTTGTATCAAGCCCGTTTAGCTTAAACGCTGGATAAGTCAAAATTAAATAACACTCTTACAACTCTGTTGAATGAGTCAACTTTAATATTATGCACTGAATATGTAGTTGTAGACAGTATCTTTGTATTAAACTTAAAAACATTTAGTTTGCTTGTTGAATAAAACGATAGAGTTGCTTTCTATTTTGAATTTATCCACCGTTTAAGCTAAACGGGCTTGATACAACCGGCCCCAGCTGTATAAGGTCATTATATATAAACGGCTCAACCATCTACGACATTCCTACGTGAGGGTTTGCCCAAATCATGAGACTGTTTTGTAAATAGGGTTTACCAGTTTGTAATGAACCATTTTAAAAAACCCGCAAAGTATGTTAAAATTGAAAAACCACATACCATCGTCTCTGAACGATTTCCGCCTTTCCATTGCCAAACAGGACAGCTTGTAATAAGGTCGACAACGCCTACCATTTTTTTGTTTAAAAAATGATAAAGTAAAAAGTTAGAAAACTGGAGTGGATAAACTTATGATTCGTTTTCTAAATCATGCATGCGGTTGAATTCTGAGGTATACACGCTGAGACTACGCTGGCCTATTACTGGAGGTTTTATATCCGAGTTAAACTTTAAAATTCTACTTTATCTGGTCAATCGAGCGATGTCAACGTGCCGGCAAATAAGGAAATGAAATATACACAGCAACAATGTGAGCAACCGCATTTTTCAGAAAATTAACGGTCACTTTTGATCTCTCCAACCGCGTTATCTTCCACGGATAATTCATTTCCTTATTGTTGTGCATGCAAACAATGGCCGGAGATTAATTCAAGAAATTGACTATTTCTGGTTACAATTAATTTAGTTGATTTAAAAAACATTGAAGAAATACCTGTATGAATAGCAAGGAATCTAGCGAGCATCCAACATCCTTGTCCTTCCTGCTTTACTACGCATGCTCCGCTAATGAATTTAAAGTTTATGACCAACAATTAATTAATATTCCAAAGTGGGCGTTAAAAAATATACGCAAAATATCACACAAACATCGATATTTATAATTTTATTACACAACATTAAAAATACATTGCATTTGAAAATTTGTAAAATCATCTATCTTCACCTACATTTTCATCTATTATTTTAATATTTATACTTGCAGCGCATGCGTGATAACATAGTCTTTATTTTTACGTTCAATGGTTTATTTAGTCCAAGGTTTAGTCTGATTATAGAGTTCACAGCATAGCCTGATCGTTACCCATCTACGAATTGAAATACCAATTTTCGTGCAAATTCATAGCAATCGTCTGTACAGACAGACTTCGGAATTATAAAAATCTTACAAGTTATAATATATTATGATTCCCACATATGACGTCCATATGAATCAGTTGTTTGTATTTAGACAAATTACTTCTAATAATAAATTTCAGACATGCATGAGGTCGCTGCAGTATGGAAAACAGATGTTACATATTAGCAGAAACTATATTAAACCACTCTGCGCCGACTGAGGCCTGCTCGCAGGCTAGCATTAATAAGTCGACTTGTTACTTCAAATTATACAATTACTTCTTTCCAAAAGCAAAGCTTCACATCATCATATAATACACGATGTAAAAATAAACTCTGCTTTTACATTACCGTTTTTACACTAATATTTGTCTCACGATAGAGCACATATGTATGTATAGGCTCCTTCATTGTATGGTTTTAACTCACATTACAAGGTTAAGCCGGGATCAAATTCATAGTACAGTATACCGCACTAACATACAACACCACGTTTATAATCGGACATAATTATTGATTTCACATGATTACCAAGTGTTTATCACCTGCTATCTGTTGCACAAAGTTCACCGAATATCGTGACCACTTATGTCTTTCAATGTGTTACACAGCACTTGCTGGAAGTTTACTGTTTTCAAGGAGCAAATTGAGTTGATATTGCGACTCACAAAGATCTTCCGCTTGTTTAAGCATTGCTTCTTTTATGCTTTTCATATCTTCTCGTAGGGCCTGGAGAATATATTGAATATTTATTAAATAACCATCCAATAAAGTGCCTCTCTTAATGAGGTGTTTCCAAGCACAATATATGCAAGGTATTGTTACTGCGCGTTCATCAGAGAAATAAACATTGTTATGTAAAATTAAGACATAATAATAGAACAAAACAAAATGCCTTACATCGTTTTCTCGCTTCAGCCTTGCTTTTTCATTGCTCAATTTATAGAGATCGCCTCTCAATTGCATTATCAAATTCTCGTCACCAACTGTAAAACAACAAGTAGAAATAATTCATCGCTTTGAACGAGTTTTACCCTTTCCACAGAGATTTTTCAACTTTCACGCTGAAAAAACAAACTGGACTGACAAGAAATGACCTTCAATGAACCTTTCTGAGAGCAATATCAATTATACCCACGCTTTTTAAGTAGCTTAGTGGTTTAAAAAACGCCTATAATTCACACCTCTGCCAACTTTATTTTCTAAAGACACGCGAGGTTCAGTTGAGCTTCGTCCAACCTGCAAGATAATGCAGAATGCCAGATCAACAGATAAGCGATTCACGAAAATACATTACGGTGTCTGTGTCTAATTTTCACATCATTGTATGAACAAAATTGGTTACAATAAATACAGTGGACATGATCGAGTTGTTTTGAATTTATTCAGGTAAGTGTCGTCTTCATTAATCGTTGAAAATACCTTTCTGTCTCTAGCCGGGGATTTTCTGTCGAGTGAACTAAACATTTTCTTCCTGTTTCTTGGCGATGGAATCAGCCCATTTAATTTCTTATGATGTGATGTCGCTTCCTCCGTTTCAGACTTAACGTAACAAAAGAAAAAACGTAATGAAAAAAAAATTAAAGTTCAAAATTGAAGTGGTAGCACAGTCTGCTTAGAGTGACCAGGGAGTGATCTACGGAGGGAAGATATGTACACGTTCCCAGGTGGTAGAGAGAAATGGCAGCTTAATAAAGTGCCTAGAGATCATGTTTAGAAGAGTTTACTCTTATTTATGCCATTTGTAGTCTAGTAAGTATCAACTTAGCTTTTCAGCAACGTCATAGGTCCAAATCCAGTGAGCTCGGACTAAAATACCTCACTGTTTCAATCACATGAGTATTCTACCTTGTCTGGTGTACTGGGCTCTATAATCTCTGGAGATTCAGGCCTCCGCTCCGTTGCAGATGACGTGAGCTTAGGTGGATCCATATCCAGGATTTGAAAGGACCCGGATGGAGATTCATCACGACGACCAAATGTTGGGCTGACGTCACCATCATTGCCTTCAGGTTGCAACATGTTATCCCGGGCCTCAGCTGTGTCAACAGCGCTCATCGGTGGAGCATGAAACATTGACTTGGACTTGGGACGAATGCTAAAAAGATACAACATAAGATCGTGGTTTGTTTTGGTTTGTGAGTTTAAAATTTCGAAATGCTTGCTTAGCCATGGTTGTATGAAGTACGCAGCTATGTAGTCACGTTACCCTCCGAGGTCTGAACGGCTAACTACGAGTTCATAATATACACTGGAGTAATTCAAAATTGAGTTGAAGTATGGATTGGAAGTTACAGTAGTTACTGCAGATGGTTCTCAACAACACTACACCGAGTTGGAATACAATCTCACGATAACTTCGGCAGATTACGCCGGGCATGATATACCATTTCATGTTGAGTAGATATAAAACTTCATCTATACTAACGCTCTCCGCGTCCGATCTCCGCTCACAGAATACCTCTTCATTTGAATTGTCGGCCTCTTCTTTTTCGTCTGAAATTAAAACAGAAGTAGCCGCATAAATTGCAGTGCAACGATAATAAATGAAACAGTCTTAGTTTCCTCTTTAGACTCGTTGTAGTCATAATTCGTCGGGTTATATCTGAACAGGCCCCTCTCGACCAACAGGTCATCTCCGACAACGACAATTCTTACCGTTTTATCAAGTTCGTCGTCATGGACAAGATTTTCCAGTGATTTTGATCTTTGTGTTGTTTCACGATCTAAACTTGATGGTTCTCCTCGTAATGATTCTGATCTGAAAGCATTTCGGAGCGAGTGCAGAATCTTTCCTTTTGACTGATTGCCACTTGCAGCCTACAAGCAACAACACTATGATCGCTTACCAATTCACAGAAATATAATTTATACACAATAAACCTCACTCTTGAAAGCCTGCAAACTTTAACTAACTTTAGACTTAAATCTAGTCCCAACTTACATCACCACCCTGCGACAGTATTTCTTGACTTTTCTTTGCAAGAGTTGTAACGAGATCTTCAAATAACAACTTTCTCGTTCTCTCCTGGAAAAGAATAAAACGACCGCACATGAAGTCTGATGTAATGATGTAATGATGTAATGATGTAATGATATAATGATGTAATGATGTAATGAGGTAATGATGTAATGATGTAATGATATAATGATGTAATGATGTAATGATGTACTTTTCGTTCTTTGTTCATGTTTCTTACCATTAAAGTGGAAAACTGTTTAGCTTTGAAGGCAGCAAGTTCAGCATTTAAGAGTTTCGTCAACAAGAAATCCCGTAAATGTGGGTCATTCTATAAAATACGAATGCAAATTGCTAGTACAGAAATCATAGTCAGACAACTAAGGTATTGGTACCAAACGACGTACTTTAGAAAAGACAGCAGGATTGGGTAGACTGGGACCGAACTCTGGGACATCCTCTTTTGCGGTGACAGTTATCTGAAAAGAACATAGAACATACAGTGAAAGATGATTGAATGTACAGTATGGTGAATGAGAGATCAATAAGAATAACACAACAACTTCTGATAGTGTTCCCCTTGTTCACCTTATATCTGGTGTTCTTCGAGTAAGCTTCTTCGACTTGAACAACAATAAAAATATGAAGAAAACTGGAACGGATGGAACACGGACTAAATGGTGTATTTTCATCCTATAGAAAATGACCAAAAAGATCACAAGATGAAAATCAAAAAGTTTTTCAGTTTGATACAGTATAAGGATTACCATGCTGAAACCCGAACAAGATTAAATCAAGTTTGAGATATTTGGATAGTCTCTGCAATGAATAAAAATATCACACACTCTTGTCTTGTTTTTATCCATATCTTTGGCTTAAAGATGGTAATCTTTCAATTAGGTTTTTTCTGAAAACTTTTTTTGTCTACTCGCATTGTTTTTTCTGTGTTCGCATGAACTCCATGTGAAATTCATTGTAATTGAACAAACATCATGTATAATCAAATCTTACTTGGAAAATAATTGCGATAATATCGTTCCCAATATGTCGTTTTCTTTGAAGCTAAAACAAAACACACTGCTATAATTTTGATCGAATTGTTTTGTCCAATTTTTATCTCGCAGGAAAAAATAGCAAGAGTCACCTGTTGTGCATCACCACTTGTATACGGCAGTAACGTCGACACGTGAAACATAATCTCTCTAAAATTACAGTGAAAAAAAGTTACCATGACCTAATAACCTCGCTTCCGTGTATGCCAATTTTAGCACGGGGAGATTTCTTAACGTTCAGGAAATGTATTAATAAATACCTGACAAAAAATGAGTGGATTGGGTCAAAAGTCGTGAATACGTTCATAAGCTCCTCGAAGTGTTGTTGTATAGAAAACACTGTTCACTGTACCTTCCTTTATATTTGGTGTAAACGGATTTCCGGCCAGTTTGGTGGTTCTTTGTATCTAAGCCTCCACTGTACCTAAATAAGGATAAAAAATTCTTCAAAAAAGAGCTTACAAACGACTTTACCAAATATGATCCGGGATCACACTTACCCTTTGAATCCAAACAACTCGACCTCTTCTCCCAAGATTTGCAAAAAATCATTCATGGCCTTACTGTGGGATTTATTGCAGAAAAACTGCCTTTCGCTTGTCTGAAGATATCGATAGAATAGGGTTTAGATTTTATTCTATAAAATTTATTTTTAAACACAATCAAATGGCCTAACCTGTTGTGCTCTCTGATAGATCACTCCAACTTTAAATTTCTCTGCATGTCCGTGCTCATCGAAACGAGTTATTTGAGATGATGCCTTGAACAAGTGCAAATGTCGAACGTTCAAATACTTCAAATACCATGTTTTAGATGGCTTAATTTTGCATGCAACAGTGACAACAGCTAGGCTTTGCATAGTCGATGAATTCAGTGCGGTTTTGGTCCAGGAAAAAGGAGCGTTAGGGAAGCCAGAACGTTTTGCAAAAGGTTTTGGTTCTAAACTAAGGTGCTTCAGGATGCAAGATTAATTCCTGAGGGGGGTTTTTCTTGACTTTCTTCTTAGTATCCGGGCTATAATTTGCACTTTTTGTGTGTCTGTTGTAGAAGTAGATTAGCGTTTATGCCCATGGTACAAACCTTTGGATATATGACAGGCTGAAATTGAAGTTCAGTGAAGTCTTCCAAAAGGTCAGGAACAAATTCCTAAAAATAATTAAATTGTCTAGAAACTGACAGAACTTTATGATTCTGATATGCGTAAATATAAAACTAACTGAATAACCAATAAAATCTACTGATAACAATCTTTTGACACTAAACACAAACCTACCTTTAAAATATCTCTCGGCCCAGGACATGAAGGGAGATTCTTTGTTGTAATTGCACCTTGAATTGTTCTATCTACTGATCTGCAGAGTGAAATTATTATGATTTCAATGCATTTGTTCAAGGTGATATACAAGGCAACTTAGTTATGATAATATGAAACCAACCTAAGAATGATTCTCACAATATCACCATCTTTTTCATCACATCCAGGACAATTTTCTTCAAACTTCAACGAAAGGAGAAGTGATCCAAGGGGACTGTCAGATGTAAAGTTGAAATGCTCCTGAAAAAGCATTTAAAATTTATCACAAACCGTTTAATTGCCTATAAAAAGTAGTTGCATTCTATAGTATACCTTATTCTTGAAGAAATTTTTATAAACACTGTAACCCATGTCATCTTCAATAACCAGATCTGCTTCATCTATTTTTTTGATAATATGTTTCCCTCTTTTATCAAAATCACACATATGATTTGTCCCCTCTTGCCAGTATTCCCCTGTCACAGGAAGCACAACCAGAGGATATGGCTTGCCAGCAAGCAATACCTACAACAAGTAAAAGTTGAATCATATTTACAGGTTAAACGAACCATATTTTCCCACCATTACAGCTGAGCAACTAGAGAGATTGTGCAGCATCTTTGATGATGCTATCAATGCAGTGCACAGTATTGTACCTCATCAATTGGCTCCTTATTTTCTAGTGATTTCTTGACAGAATCACCACTATCCACATTGCTCTAGATTACACAAAATTGACAAAAATATTCTAAAGGTCAGCATATGGAACATAGGTTTCAGTACTCACAAGTACTTGTGGAGCATGCATACATGACTCTTGCATGAATACCTGAGCCATTGGTTGGGACAGTGGGCATCGCTGTTCATCCAAACGATCACTCTAAAAAATAACAGTAATCAAAATACCTTTCCATCATTTTAAGAGGATCATTATTTTACTGTATGAAAATATAAACCATGTAAAGCATATTGGTAACTGATTCTTCATGATTTCCAGCTTACCTGTAATCTACTTAAATATTTAAAAAATTCTTCATTATTCTATGATCACAAAAGATAATCAGTTTCAATCAATATTCATCCGATAACAATTATTAAGAGTTCAAGGCCGCATTACTTTAATAAATAGATATATACAGGTTATATGAAGTATTTTATTATTAGCTTCCTCAAATTCAACAGCTACTGTAATTCAAAACAAACAACTATTTTAGCATGTACTATACCAAGTCCATTCCTGTACTACTTGCAACATGATTGTGAAGTTTAACAACAGGATGTCACAAAATAAATATTGTTATTTAACAACCAGAAGCTGTTGTGTTGTGTAAAAGAAGTGCAATCTATAAGATAAAACATACAATAAGTCAGTTACTGAACATTATTGCCAGTCAGTATTGCATCCTGTGATTTACAGTATTCTGGAATACAGGAAAGTAAGACGTGAAGGGAAGTAAGTTATAATCATGAATACATGTAAACCAAATCATATGACTATGTAATACAGCCATATGCATCCTCGAACATAGATGCATCCTCTTTATATAAATTAAAGTATACTACCATTGTTCTTCTATACAAACAGACTGATTCTAATGTTGAAATGATTAGTCTACAATGCTCTTGATCATTCTAATGGGTAGGGGACTGAGGGAAAATAAGATTACGAATCCTTAAATTACTCTGCAATTAATTCTGATTTTAAAAATCTTTGAGCAGACTTAGGGAAACAAACTATTTAATCAGTTTATAATATTATTGAGGCATGAAATTATTTAATAGTCACGCAGTATAAAAAAGTACTTGTAACAGACTGAATTAACACGTTCTAAATACTTATAACAGACTCAGTTAACATCTTACAAATCTTACGAAATATGGTATATACAGACACAATATCGGAATAGGAAGCCTGTGGTGTAGGTATCAAATGGACATTCAGCAATATCCTCAGGAGAATTATAATTGAGATGTAAAAAATACTCGTAAAGAAACGGATCAGTAAGACAAATGAAGCTAATCATAAAACTACACATAATTGAAGCGGAAATAAGCAGTAAATATATAATTCCGCTGGGTTATGCAAGTCTAAACTTTAGTAAACAAACAACAGTTAGCCATGATCACGTTTTGTCATCTGTTTATTTTGACTAGTTGACACTATTGAACGAGAATCCAAATGTTTAAAACAGAGATAACGACATATAAAATATTCAAAAGACGAACAATAAATACAATATAGGCCACGCTTATTCGAACAAAAGGAAGTAGAACCAAAAATATCGAACGCTATATAAAGTTTCATAAACACAACACTTTAAAACCACTACAGTAGACGATAAACATGCATCGACACAATCAGTGAATTACGTTTACCTTGGTGCCTCTACACTTAAGGATAAGATACTTGTTAATCGTCTAAATTCCTCCGATCCACAATGAAAGATGAAAAACCGAGGTTTTCAGTACGAAAAACCTAGCACTTGCCTTCTATTATAAATACAAACCTAATGTAAGTTGATTGAAGTTAATTATTTAATACATGAAAGGGGAGTATACGGTGCTTCCATTTGGAAAGAAGTGCTTCCCTTCTCTCGTATATTCTATACTATGTAGGTAAAAATTATATCATAATTATTTTTTGTAGCTACAGAATATTCAAGAGTGCTCAATACAAAATATATATATTTTTCAAGAGCAAATAAACAAATTATCTCTTAAAATATTGTTGTTGTAAGTTTCCGTATTGAAACGACCATCAGGCAACTGAAGAACAGTCCTTTCTGTTATAGATATTTGTATATATGTATATATTTTACAAATAAGAAAGAGCTATAATAAATGACCTCGTTTTTATTTTCCATTCTGAACTATTCTTAGCACATGACTTAAATTATTTCTGCTGCGTATTGAAGATTACTACGTAGAGCTGACGTGACAATTCTGAACTTCCCTTTGTTCCAGAATGTCCCCCATTGGATACGCCAGATTATATCTTCGCTCGTTCACGTAAAATCTTCGGAAACAACCAATAAATTGGAGATATTCTCAACGGACTTGTTCCGAGCTATGATTCTGAAAATAATTGTTGAAAATAAAAATTATCAAAATCCTCAGTCATACTGTAAATGTACTTGAAATGAGCGTTCGGATGACATTGTTTAGGTGGTCCTGTAGACCTGGGGCGGTTGTATCAAGCCCTTTAGCTTAAACGGGGATAAGTTCAAAAAGAAAGCAAGCCTGCCGTTTTATTCAAGAAGCAAACAAAATGTTTTTGACCTTAATACAAAGATACTGTTTACAACTACAAATTCAGTCCATAATATTCAAGTTGACTCATTCAAGAGAGTTGTAAGAGTGTTATTTAATTTTGACTTATCCACCGTTTAAGCTAAACGGGCTTGATACAACCGGCCCCTGATCTTTACTGGTACATGCTCTATCAGCCCACTTCAATACTATGTATTAACTTACCTTCCTACGGGGGTCTTTGGGGAGCCAATGAACATTTGTCCTCGAAAATCAAGAACAGTAAACTTCTTTGAAAGAACGATGGCTGCTCTCAAGTCTTCATTCAAAGTGATGGTTACAGTTCTCTCGTTTCTTTCAACTTCAATTTTGTGCCAAGTAAACAAAGCAATTGGTTGGGCGAAACGTGCTATAAACTGACCACCGCCGGCATTTAATCTGAGCATAAGAGAGCAAATAAATTAGGATAAAATTTATCTAACGTTCTTCACATAAAGTGTTCCAGTATATTTTCAGTGTCAAGAGTGTAATGGTGGTATCACAACCGTCTTCACAACCAACCTTAGCTGTAATATACCGTTGATGATTGCGATAGCAAAATGGTCCATGTTGGATTTTCCATTCATGTAGAGAACAAGTGCATTCCGTATTTCTGGTTTTATTTCAAACGATAATTTGAAATCATCGTGTCCGTTCAAAAGAGGAAAGGAAATGTACGAATCCTTTGAATTGAAGTGCAACGGTTTCTCTAGAAATGGAAAAAGATGTAACAAAAATACCTCGAAACATTCTCACGCAGTTCCCGTTGTTTTTATCCCGTACATGATGACAGGGAAACGGGGATTTAAATATGATATATAAAAATAAATCTTTGGCACAAAATTTGAATTGTGTTTTGGTGTACCTCTGAATTCACAAAGGTCAGTAACAAAATTTTCCCAGCATGCACACTTGAATGTCAGGTCTGACTGGCTGATACAGTTGCCATAGGAACCGCATGGGTTACCAACACAAGAAGTACAGGTCTGTATTCCTGACTGGTCAACCAGATCCTGACTGAGGTTATTGAGATCGAGGATGTAATCTGTGAGGATGACATTTTTTAAGCATCCAGTAAAGGTGAATTCCTGGAAACCAGTATTAGCACGTACGATAATCCTGTCGAGCGGATCAGTGACTGCTCCAAAAGTCATGTTCCCCCTCAAACGTACACCGAGTGATTCAGGTCTACTAGTCATGTGAATGATCTCATCATCCACGACCAAACTAACTCCGTTGCTGTCTCGCGTTACGGCCACCTTATGCCAGTTGTGTAACGACAATCTTCGACTTGTACGGAATATATTAAGACCAGTTCCCACGTTCAGTCTAAAAGAGCAAACATCAAAAAGGGAGTTAATGTTGGGGACAATGAAGACAAACTCGGTTCCAACCTGTAGGGTACCCTTGAAGAGTCTGTTCATATGGTTAACTCCGAATAATGCAAGTGATATACCTCAGCTCTAGTCGTCCATCGTTCAGATCTAAGATCAAGCAGTCTTCGCCATAACGTCGAGCGCTGGCATAAAATATAACCGCATCTCGTTCTTTTGGTCTGATTTCCATGGACAGAGAGAACAACCATCTTTTTGTCACAGCGGGTACGGCAAGATAAGAATTCTCTCCTCGCATATAGACTGCCCGATCTAATTAGAGAATTTACATATTTAGAAAGATTCGATCTCTAAAAAGGTGTTTGTCCTGGAGAAAAAATCACTATTTTACAGAGAGCCTATTTCTTACAAAGATCGATTTCTTGCTAAGGGAGAATATCCTTAAATTTAAATAAAGCGGCGCCCGAATAATAAAGATGCATTTTTACCTCTGCCTTGACATCGTCTTCCCACAAATCCTCGCGGACATAAGCATCGGTACGATTCTCCCAGAAATTGACACTTGCCCCCGTTTTGACAAGGCCGCTGTAAACAAGGATTGTCGGGGCAGCTTCGTACATTTCGCTGACGTAATATATGTTTCCCTGGAAACAGGAGATCGTACTGTTCGTTATTCAGCACCAGGTCCTTCAGGCACCCCTGATAGCTAGCTGACACTCCAAGATTCTTGGTCAGTCTAGAACAATAAAGTAGGGTAATTGAAGTGATGGTTCATTAGCACGAAGATTATGATCTTTGTTAGACTTTACCTTTCTTTTCTAACGTTTATTCCCCCCAGATAAAGACGGTTGTCTACGTTTAAGATATAACTTGAAGTAACAGATCGTCTACTTCTCGCTATCGTTGTATCGACGCTGACGACAGCCCTATTGCCACGGCGGGAAACTCTTATCTTATGCCAATGATTCAGGTTCAACTTTTCATCGCTTCTCAACTCCACCGGACCAGAGCCTACGTCATGCCTGCAAGAAAATATATTAGTACATACAAAGGTTGGTTGCACGAGGTCTGTGTTAAGCTTGAATGCTTGTTGGCAAGCAATATCAGTTGAGGTAAACTAACCGATAAATAAGATGACCATCCTTTAAAGCCAGCCCCAAGAAATCTCCTGATTTCTCTGAATCCGTATAAAGCAATACTCCTTCGTCCGTCATTGGACGGATGTAGAGTACCAACTCGGTCCGGTCACCTTGGACAGGAGTTCTTAGGCTCAAGAATGAATCTCCAGAGAAAAATCTTGGCGCTAAAAAGAAATGAGAAATGTGAAAGAAACAATAACACTGGAACTATGAGCCTCTAGAAAGATTCAAGACTAGATTCAAGACTACGGCCATTCATACTAATATGTCTTATTTACTTAGGGCTTCATCGAAGTATTACCAGGGGTGGATGGGTAATCGAATCTTATAGCAAGTTTAAGCTCCTGCAAGATATTTCTTACCACAATAACTGGCATCGGTGATCTCCACAGTTTTATTGGCCTCACATGCTTCAGCTTTCAAGACACATAAATTTTTATAAGCTTTTTTGTCTTTGTCGCAGAATCTCTTGTATTCACGAGGGCATTTTGACACCTCTCGACATGCGCAGTACGGTTCACCTGAGCTGCTCAGCATGCACTTGCTGTATGGAGGGCAATTGAGATTCCCACAGTGTTCTGAAAGAAAAGTTAACTCTTACGCTTTCCTTTTGCATGAATACACCAGAAAACTATAGTGGTTTAAAAGACGAAAGTCAACTTACTGCATTGTCCGCCATGGCTGACACTGTTGGGAACTTCTCGTATACAACTATCTTTCATAAGAGCACATTCACTGAAATAAGTGTTTTTATCTTTACCACACACAGGCTCGTCCACATAGTCACAATCATGAAGACATTTACATTCAGGTACACTGTGTAACGACACCACACAGGAACCAAAATACTTGCTACATTTGAGCCTCATACAAGGATCTGAGAGGAGAAAAGGGACACAAGCATTAATTAGATGGTTAACATCGACAAATTTTAATACTCAAATGCTGTTAAATGAAAAAATAGCTCTTGAAAAGTAAGATAACCTAAAATAACAGGATTTTGTGCAGAGATTGTTTGGCTTAATTATCCTACCAGTATAGAATGTGACTATCAACAATTGTGCCAACTTCTTCGGGTCGTCACGAGCATGAATCTTGACAACAAATTTTGTCCTCGGCACAATCTTCTTTTCTTTTCCTGGATCATCACGGTCGACTATTTGAATCGTAATCAACTCTGTACCATCTTCCAAAAGTTTACCAATGATTTTCTTCACTGGCTCGCTCCCCACGTCTGCTTCTTGTGAAACAAAAATGTACACTCGCTTTTGAGTATTGGGCTTCGTCCTTTTCAACACGTTGTACGCTTCACTCAGTCCAAGATCTAATCTCGTCCCCCGACCGTTCCAGGACACCGAGTTGATAATTTTGTTCCGTTTCTGCTTATTTGGTTCGTCCAATTTCCAGGTTCTTGTCGTGCTTGGACCGTAAGTAACGACAGTGAATTTTGCATCTGGGTTAGTTTGGTTGTTGACAAACTCTTTAACGATCTCTTTCTGATGTGTAAAAACCTTTTCCGCATTAGGACCGCTTGAACCCATGACAAAAACCGTACTTTCATCCTGCTTTTTCGCTAAAGGGAATATCAACCACGAAGTGTTTTAAAAAATTACATTTTATGTATTTTGCTGATGAGCCTGTTGAGGTCTTCACTGTGAACTGTTGTGATTTGATATGACTACTTACCGCATTTTCCCGTATGTTTCACAGCCAAAGGTCTTCCTGCTAAACACGATACTCTACGCAATTCACACTCGCTGGAATAGGTTTTTCTGTCACTTCCACACACAGGATCTTCACGTTTTGGGCAGGTTGGACATTCACAACGTGCTTGCTGACTCGCTGATGATCTGCATATCGCATAATTTTGGCAGTTGAGAATCTGACATGGCGCTGAAAAAGGGAAGATAAACACTAAATGAAGTTTGTCTTTTCTTCTTCATACTTCCTCAATAATTCATTGTATCCATTTGTGACGGTAAAATCAAATTAGACAGCTCTGATTTGCAATAAATTCTCCGCCTAATCTGTCCACAAATTATCTCAAACCTTTTCTTGTTTGAAAATGAAACAACATTGCCAGCCTCCAAGGGTCATCTTTTGCGTCGACTTTGAGAATCTGATCTTGTGGTATGACTCGAACGAACTCTTCATCTCTGGGCAAATCACTTAGTTTATACGCCACGATCTTCCCGCCAGAATCGTGAATTTTTCTCGCGGCCTTTTTCAGATCATCACTTGTCCTGTCCAGTTGGCCTGTTATGAATATGACCAGAAATCGCCGTGAACCTGGTCGACCTAAGACATATTGTATTTCATAGTTCTTAGCTCTGATGTTCTTCGTTTTAAATCAATGATTAAGACACAAGTCCCTGAACAAACATTTTTTTCCCACCTTGCTCCTTAAAAACTTGGGTGCCTTTGTTAAGCGGAGGCGCTAAACTCTTCGCTTCGGATGGCCATTTCAAATCCATTAGCTTTTCCACCAGTTCGGGTTCACTCTTGAAATTTTCCAAAGGGCTCACTTCTTTCGGATCTTTTCCAAAAACGATCAGACCGTGTCTGGTTTGTGGAGAATTTTGCTGCTGGATAATCGCTCTCGTTATGTTCTTCTCTATTTCAAACAAGGGAACGTGATTCCGGGCAATAGAACCAAGAGCATAGATGATGTCCACGTCTTCTTCAGGTGCTGTTGCTAGAACGTCGGGAAAAGAGCTTGGAATTAGACTATAATATGGTTGAGGTCCTTCATGGTAAATTGTAAGCATGCAATGAAAAGCAAGGCACGTACGACATTCTCCTGGCCTCACAGCGGTGATGGGTTCCCGCTTGATACACGACGCTCTCTTCATTTCACATTCATCTTCGTAGGTTTGTCCATCACTACCACATACTGGCTTTGGAATCGTGAAACATTGCTTTGGACAGCGGCATAACGCGTTGCCATTAGGCGTAGCCACACAGACTGCGTTAAAATCGCATTCCCTGCCCCGACATGGCCCTGTAATAAACAGTGAACATCATGCGATGCGGGTAGTTTGGGCTTTTTCCCTCGGGACCTGCTCCACCATTGACGGGACTTGTAGCAATCTAATCGTAAAATACCCCCCCCCCCATTTATTCTCCAACCACCTGTTCTGTAGTACTTGCATGCAACTCACCACATACTCCTTTATGAATCACTTCGATAGAAACCTGTCTGAGACATGATTCTTGTTGTAATGTCATTTCGTTGCGATATGTTCGTCCATCGCTACCACAGACCTTGCTGACCCGACTGTAGTATTCACGAGGACAAACACAGCTATATGATCGCTTGGACGTTGGCACGCATCTTGAGTAATACGCACAAGTATTGTTGTGGCAAACATCTGGAAATACGAGTAAAATTAGTTTATGATACAACCATCGTTAAAGGAAAAAGAAAATGACATAAAAACAGAAGCCAAGCGACTCTTACTGCAAGGTCCATCGTGTTTAACTTCTAACGGTCTCTGCTGAAGACAAGAAGCTCTCCTAAGTTGGCATTCATTGTCATAAGTATTTCCATCACTGCCACAAACTATACGAGGTTTAATATTGTCTGGACATCTTTGTGGACACTGACATATCCCTTGATCACCTCGAGCAACACATTCTGCATGATGAGAGCATTCTCGACCACGACATGGAACTGAAATATTAGGATTCACATGGTTACTTAAATACTTGTTTGTTTATGGTGAGGAAAGTTTGTAGTTCATTTAATCGTTTTTACATTGCCAGGTACTTACTGCACACTCCAGCATATATTATAGCTATTTTGATATCAGTTACACAAGATTTCCTTTCCAAAACTTGTCTGTTGACGTACGTTCTTCCATCACTACCACAAACTTCACTTTGATCAGTTGAACTTGATGAAGGACAGACACATTTATATTTCTTGAAATTATCTTCGTCACGTCGACATTGCGCGTATGGTGGACACTTACATTCCGCTGAAGGAAATTAAAAATAGATTCCGTGAGTCTTTCATAAAGTTGAAATCGCGGAGACACAGATATGAAAGAAGGAATGAGAGAAGAATATATGAAAAGCAATCTTCATTAATTCATACGCCAAGCGACTCTTACTACAAGGTCCATTGTGTTTAACTTCTAACGGTCTCTGCTGAAGACAAGAAGCTCTCCTAAGTTGGCAGTCATTGTCATAAGTATTTCCATCACTGCCACAAACTATACGAGGTTTAATATTGTCTGGACATCTTTGTGGACACTGGCATATTCCTTGATCACCTCGAGCAACACATTCTGCATGATGAGAGCATTCTCGACCACGACATGGAACTGAAATAATAGTATCCAAAGGTTACTTAAATACTTGTTTGTTTATGGTGAGGAAAGTTTGTAGTTCATTTAATCGTTTTTACATTGCCAGGTACTTACTGCAAACTCCAGCATATATTATAGTTATCTTTTTTGATATCAGTTACACAAGACTCTCTTTCCAAAACTTGTCTGTTGACGTACGTTCTTCCATCACTACCACAAACTTCACTTTGATCCGCTGAACTTGATGAAGGACAGACACATTTATATTTCTTGAAATTATCTTCATCACGTCGACATTGCGCGTATGGTGGACACTTACATTCCGCTAAAGAAAATTAAAAATAGATTCCGTGAGTCTTTCAGAAAGTTGAAATCGCAGAGGCACAGGCATGAAAGAAGGAATGAGAGAAGAATATATGAAAAGCAATCTTCATTAATTCATACGCCAAGCGACTCTTACTACAAGGTCCATTGTGTTTAACTTCTAACGGTCTCTGCTGAAGACAAGAAGCTCTCCTAAGTTGGCATTCATTGTCATAAGTATTTCCATCACTGCCACAAACTATACGAGGTTTAATATTGTCTGGACATCTTTGTGGACACTGACATATCCCTTGATCACCTCGAGCAACACATTCTGCATGATGAGAGCATTCTCGACCACGACATGGCACTGAAATATTAGGATTCACATGGTTACTTAAATATTTAGGTTAGTGGTAAATAAGTCGTTTGTAACTTATTTCATTGAAAATAACTGCTTTTACATTGCCAGGTACTTACTGCAAACTCCAGCATATAATACAGTTATTTTGATATCAGTTACACAAGACTCTCTTTCCAAAACTTGTTTGTTGACGTACGTTCTTCCATCACTACCACAAACTTCACTTTGATCAGTTGAACTTGATGAAGGACAGACACATTTATATTTCTTGAAATTATCTTCGTCACGTCGACATTGCGCGTATGGTGGACACTTACATTCCGCTGAAGAAAATCAAAAATAGATTCCGTGAAATTTTAAATAGTCGAAATTGCAAGGACAGAGAAATGAAAGAAGAAAATGTGAAAAGAAATCGTCATTAATTCATAAGCCAAGCGAGTCTTACTGCAAGGTCCATTGTGTTTAACTTCTAACGGTCTCTGCTGAAGACAAGAAGCTCTTCTTAGTTGGCATTCATTGTCATAAGTGTTTCCATCACTGGCACAAACTATACGAGGTTTAATATTGTCTGGACATCTTTGTGGACACTGACATATCCCTTGGTCACCTCGAGCAACACATTCTGCATGATGAGAGCATTCTCGACCACGACATGGCGCTATGATAAAAAATATTAAACGCATTTAAAAACCCGCTATATTAATTTATATATAAAATCATTATATATAAAATCATTCATTATAAGAATAGGAGGTATTTGTAATACTCACAGCACGTTCCTGAGTATAGAATATCAATTTTTACTTCAGTCAGACACGATTCTCTCTGCAAAACCTTTCTGTTCGTGTACGTCCTACCATCACTCCCGCACACTGTACTCTGATCCTCTGAACTCGTTGAAGGACAAACACATTTGAAACCTTTTGTGGCTTGTTCATCGCGCTGACATTCAGCATACGGTGGACAGTTGCATTCATCTTAAAAAAACAATAATATTTCACCAAAGTTAATCCCAATCCAGACCTAACTTGTTCACCATGCACTATGTACAACTTGTACATATGTAGGTTTTTTAGCACAAAGAGGTTTAATCTCTATTCCTTATAAAGCGGCTTAGTCATAGTCTTTATTTTTGACGTGTTTTACTGACGTGTAAACTGACGTGTTTTAAGGCCAGTACCTTAAAGTTAGTTACAAACTGACGTGTTTTAAGGCTAGTTAGTGCCTTACCACATTTTCCCTGCTTGACTACAGCAATGGGCAATGCAGTCATACACGAGATTCGTCTAACTTCGCATTCACTGGGGTAAGTTTTACCATCACTACCACAAACAGGATTCTCAGTCGTGTTACTGCATTGAGGACATTGACAATAAGCTTTGTAGTCTCTTCCAATCACGCATGTTGCACCATGGTGGCATTTTGTCGTCTTACACGGGTCTAGAAATACATTACATGTAAGGCATTTGTAACTAGGAGAATATATTGGATGGAAAAAGAAATGGGTTTTACCATAGAAGGGCGCGTAGGATTGAAGAAGCAAAGTAGAAAAAAAAAGAAAACGAAAATTAACTCAAACAAATTCTATGGTCTGTTACTTACCACAAGGTCCTACATGAGTTACGTACAGATATTTATTCTTTCGACATGATGTCCTCTTTAAGAAACATTCACTTTTGTACGTTCTCCTGTTACTGCCACAGACTGGAGTTCCTACATTTAAACATTCACGGCAAACGCACTGGTATCCTTTTTCCGACTGAGGATCACCTTTGCACACACCATAGTTTTTGCATTTAACTCCTTCGCATGGATCTGCAATAAAAATTGCATGTCAGTCTATATATAAGACATGCGAAGACTATTTATACAAAAAGGAAGCAGCACTATGTACAAGCACAAGCCTACAAGAACAGCCATGTAAAGGGAAAAAACTCACCACACTTTCCTTTGTGAACAGTTTTTAGTAAAGATCTTGTCATACATGCTGTTTTTTTTGCTTGACATTCATTCGGATATGTCTTTCTATCACTTGCGCAAACATATTCCACTGGTTCATTTGAACATTGTGGACAAACACAATATGCTTTGTGGTCTTTTCCTTTGGTGCATGTCGAGTTGTAAGAACATTTCTTGTCCTCACATGGATCTGGAAGAAAATGGTAATGATTGCAAAGGAATAATATTAATGATGAAAATACTAGGAAAAGGTGAAGATGAAGAAGTTGTATTATCAGACTATCAGAATACAGAAACATAAAAATTTACCACATTTGCCTTCGTGAAGAACCCCAATGTTAGTTTTCGTTCTACAAGATTGTTTCCTTAGTTCACATTCATTAATATATGTTTTTCCATCACTTCCACAAACACGTTTTGTTTTTGGAGGACATTTTGGGCATTGACATGAAGCTTTATAATCACTGTCAACCACACACTGAGCATTGAAGAAGCACTTTACATCTTGACATGGATCTATATTTAAATTATGGGTTGATTTAACCGAATCAATAGGGAAAAAAATATGCAAAGAGAGAACAATGAAAAGATAATATTAGGCTTACCACACTTCCCTTTGTGAATTGTTTTTAGTGGAGATCTTGTCATACAGGCCTTTTTTCTCGCCTGACATTCATTTGGATAAGTGTTTCCATCACTTGCACAAACATATTCTATGGGTTCATCAGAACACTGCTTGCATATACAATATCCTTTGTTGTCGTTGCCTTTAGTACACGTTGAGTTGTAATAACATATTTTGTCTTCACATGGATCTGGACGAAATCCAAAGAATATTGTTAAAGAAAAGACGGATAAAATATAAACAAACGAGGAAAAATTGACAAAAATGAATGCCATTTGCAATTTGAAAGGATTGAAATAACTATTGTGAAGAAATTTAAACAAGGAAACAATAACTTACTGCACTTTCCTTCATGAAGAACTCTGATGTTAGTTTTCGTTGTACAAGATTGTTTCCTTAGTTCACATTCATTGATATACGTTTTTCCATCACTCCCGCAAACATGCTTTGTTTCAGGAGGACATTTTGGACATTTACATGAGGCTTTATAGTTTTTATTAACGACACACTGTGCGTTGAAGGAACAGTTCTTATCTTCACATGGATCTGTGGTAAGAAACGAAGAAAAATAGAACTCTTAGAAACGAAATGGCCAAGGTTGTTCGTTGTACCAAAAGCAAACAATAACTTACCACACTTTCCTTTGTGAATTGTTTTTAGTAAAGATTTGGTCATGCATGCTGTTCTTCTTTCTTGACATTCATTTGGATAAGTGTTTCCATCACTTGCGCAAACGTAATCTACGGGTTCATCTGAACATTGCGGACAAACGCAATATCCTTTGTTGTCGTTTCCTTCAACACATGTCGAGTTGTAATAACATTTCTTGTCTTTACATGGATCTGATAAATACATTTGGTCAAATATAGGCTTCGTTTCAACTGCAGTGAAGGTGACTAAGCGGAACATGTATCAGACAACTTACCACATTTTCCTTCATGAAGAACTTTAATGTTAGTTTTTGTTGTACAAGATTGCTTCCTTAGTTCACATTCATTGATATATGTTTTTCCATCACTTCCGCAAACACGTTTTGTTTCAGGAGGACATTTTGGACATTGACATGAAGCTTTATAATCACTGTCAACCACACATTGTGCATTGATTGGACATTTCTTGTCTTCACATGGATCTAAAAAGTGCAATCAAACCACAAAAATTTAGTACTGCATAACTATGATAAGTGATTTCTTTAATTTGGACATTCTTTATAAATATTACATATGATCTGAACTTACTGCATTTTCCTTCATGAAGAACTTTAATGCTAGTTTTCGTTGTACAAGATTGTTTCCTCAGTTCACATTCATTGATATATGTTTTTCCATCATTTCCACAAACACGTTTTGTTTTCGGAGGACATTTTGGACATTGACATGAAGCTTTATAATCACTGTCAACCACACATTGTGCATTGTTGGAACAATGCTTCTCGTCACATGGATCTATAGGAAAGCGCAAAGCAAAAAGACTTAAGGCCTGCATAGCAACAATAGGGGCTTTCGTTAGTTTCGACATTTTTTATAATTTACATAGAGCTAATCTAAACTTACTGCATTTTCCTTCATGAAGAACTTTAATGTTAGTTTTCGTTGTACAAGATTGTTTCCTAAGTTCACATTCATTGATATATGTTTTCCCATCACTTCCACAAACACGTTTTGTTTTTGGAGGACATTTTGGACATTGACATGAAGCTTTGTAATCACTGTCAACCACACATTGTGCATTGATGGGGCATTCCTTGTCGTCACATGGATCTATAGGAAAGCGCAACGCACAAATATTTTAGGACTGAAAAGCTAGGTGAGTGATTTCGTTAATCTGCGTAATTCCTAAATTCTATATGATCTGAACTCACTGCATTTTCCTTCATGAAGAACTCTAATGTTAGTTTTCGTTGTACAAGATTGCTTCCTTAGTTCACATTCATTGATATATGTTTTTCCATCACTTCCACAAACACGTTTTGTTTTTGGAGGACATTTTGGACATTGGCACGAAGCTGTATAATCATTGTCAACCACACATTGTGCATTGATTGGACATTTCTTATCTTCACATGGATCTATAAGAAAGCGCAACGCAGAAAGATTTAAGAACTGTACATATAGCAACGAGAGTGGCTTTCGTTAATTTGGACATTTTTTATAATTTACATTGAGCTAATCTGAACTTACTGCATTTTCCTTCATGAAGAACTTTAATATTAGTTTTCGTTGTACAAGATTGTTTCCTTAGTTCACATTCATTGATATATGTTTTCCCATCATTTCCACAAACACGTTTTGTTTTTGGAGGACATTTTGGACATTGACACGAAGCTTTATAATCACTGTCAACCACACATTGTGCATTAAACGAACATCTTACATCTTCACATGGATCTATTAAATTAATTAAGATGGAGTTAATTAACTGGAAAAATAGTCTTCCAACAAACTAACTTTTTAAATGGCTATTTAAAGTCGCTTGATATGCAAACTTACTGCATTTTCCTTCATGAAGAACTTTAATGTTAGTTTTCGTTGTACAAGATTGTTTCCTAAGTTCACATTCATTGATATATGTTTTCCCATCACTTCCACAAACACGTTTTGTTTTTGGAGGACATTTTGGACATTGACATGAAGCTCTGAAATTCCTGTCAACCACACATTGTGCATTGATGGGACATTTCTTATCTTCACATGGATCTATAAGAAGGCGCAACGCACAAATATTTTAGGACTGAAAAGCTAGGTGAGTGATTTCGTTAATCTGCGTAATTCCTAAATTCTATATGATCTGAACTCACTGCATTTTCCTTCATGAAGAACTTTAATGTTAGTTTTCGTTGTACAAGATTGTTTCCTTAGTTCACATTCATTGACATATGTTTTTCCATCACTCCCGCAAACACGTTTTGTTTTTGGAGGACATTTTGGACATTGACATGAAGCTTTATAATCACTGTCAACCACACATTGTGCATTGATGGGACATTTCTTATCTTCACATGGATCTATAGGAAAGCGAAAACGCGGAAAGATTTAAGGACTGCATATATGGCAACGAGAGGGCTTTCGTTAATTTGGACGTTTTTTATAATTTACATAGAGCTAATCTGAACTTACTGCATTTTCCTTCATGAAGAACTTTAATGTTGGTTTTCGTTGTACAAGATCGCATTCTCAGTTCACATTCATTGATATATGTTTTTCCATCACTCCCGCAAACACGTTTTGTTTTTGGAGGACATTTTGGACATTGACACGAAGCTTTATAATCACTGTCAACCACACATTGTGCATTGAACGAACATCTTACATCTTCACATGGATCTATTAAATTAATTAAGATGGAGTTTACTAACTGGAAAAACAGTCTTCCAACTTAACTAACTTTTTAAATGGCTATTTAAAGTCGCTTGATATGCAAACTTACTGCATTTTCCTTCATGAAGAACTTTAATGTTAGTTTTCGTTGTACAAGATTGTTTCCTTAGTTCACATTCATTGATATATGTTTTTCCATCACTCCCGCAAACACGTTTTGTTTTTGGAGGACATTTTGGACATTGACATGAAGCTTTATAATCACTGTCAACCACACATTGTGCATTGATGGGGCATTTCTTATCTTCACATGGATCTATAGGAAAGCGAAAACGCGGAAAGATTTAAGGACTGCATATATGGCAACGAGAGGGCTTTCGTTAATTTGGACGTTTTTTATAATTTACATAGAGCTAATCTGAACTTACTGCATTTTCCTTCATGAAGAACTTTAATGTTGGTTTTCGTTGTACAAGATTGCTTTCTCAGTTCACATTCATTGATATATGTTTTTCCATTATTTCCACAAACACGTTTTGTTTTTGGAGGACATTTTGGACATTGACACGAAGCTTTATAATCACTGTCAACCACACATTGTGCATTGAACGAACATCTTACATCTTCACATGGATCTATTAAATTAATTAAGATGGAGTTTACTAACTGGAAAAACAGTCTTCCAACTTAACTAACTTTTTAAATGGCTATTTAAAGTCGCTTGATATGCAAACTTACTGCATTTTCCTTCATGAAGAACTTTAATGTTGGTTTTCGTTGTACAAGATTGCTTCCTCAGTTCACATTCATTGATATATGTTTTCTCATCACTTCCACAAACACGTTTTGTTTTTGGAGGACATTTTGGACATTGACATGAAGCTCTGAAATTCCTGTCAACCACACATTGTGCATTGATGGGGCATTTCTTATCTTCACATGGATCTATAGGAAAGCGCAACGCACAAATATTTCAGGACTGAAAAGCTAGGTGAGTGATTTCGTTAATCTGCGTAATTCCTAAATTCTATATGATCTGAACTCACTGCATTTTCCTTCATGAAGAACTTTAATGTTAGTTTTCGTTCTACAAGATTGCTTCCTTAGTTCACATTCATTGATATATGTTTTCCCATCATTTCCACAAACACGTTTTGTTTTTGGAGGACATTTTGGACATTGACATGAAGCTTTATAATCACTGTCAACCACACATTGTGCATTGAACGAACATCTTACATCTTCACATGGATCTATTAAAGTAATTAAGATGGAGTTTATTAATTGGAAAAATAGTCTTCCAACAAACTAACTTTGTAAATGGCTATTTAAAGTCGCTTGATATGCAAACTTACTGCATTTTCCTTCATGAAGAACTTTAATGTTAGTTTTCGTTTTACAAGATTGCTTCCTCAGTTCACATTCATTGATATATGTTTTCCCATCATTTCCACAAACACGTTTTGTTTTTGGAGGACATTTTGGACATTGACATGAAGCTCTGAAATTCCTGTCAACCACACATTGTGAATTAAAGGAACACTTTTTATCTTTACATGGATCTAGGGAAACAGTAAAAAAAAAATGGTGAATTTTGAAACTGGTAAGTTTATCATATAGTGACTCATCTCGGAAATCACATCGGAAAAATCGCTAACTACTTACTGCACTTTCCATTATGAACAAATTGGAGAAAAAATTTTCTCAAGCAAGCCTGTCTTTTTGCCGAGCAAAGATTTACATAACTATTTCCATCGCTTGCACAGATATAGTTAACAGCTTCACCAGAACACTCAGGACAAACACATCTTGCTCGATTGTCAGAACCTTTGATGCAGGTTGAATTGAAGAAGCACTGTTTATCTTCGCATGGATCTAGAAAACACAAAGAATCATGAAGCACGGATCAGCTTCCAGAGAAAGTCAGTCGCGTTCATTCACTTTTTTCTCTTAAGATACATTTCACGTCAGAGATATTGGGATCGAACGTCGCAATAAACTGTAGAACTTTTAAGTCATTTGAAAGAAAAGGAAACGAAACTACGACTTCCATCATGGTGAGTAAAGTTGAACTAGGGACACACGTTCTTGTATATATATAATCATCTATAGACAAATTATGATGAGACAGATTTGCGCTCTATTGCGCAGTACGTGCGAATGAGTAACCATGGTTTCCCGCTACGTTTGCAATATTAGAGATCGCAATATTTTCCACTCACCACAAGACCCTCTGTAAGATATTGCTATCGTAATCCTTCGCTGACACGACGCTCGCTTTAACGCACATTCGCTGGTATACGTCCTTCCGTCACTGCCACAAACTTTCGATATATCAGGAGGACATTGCGTCAGACATTCACATTGATATCCAAGCAAAGCCCGAGGATTCGGCTTACACACACCATAATTCGCACAGTTAACACCACGACATGGATCTACATGCAAAATAAGTAATATAAAAATAAAAAGATAGCTAGCTATCAGCCACGTACAATCTAGCTCTTCACCACATTGGTATACCGCAAAGGTTTATATCAAACTCTATGGTTTGTTAACAGCGACCATAGACATGTCTTTTGAATTGTCTATGCAGCGACCTACCACATCGGCCAAGGTAACTGATTGTGATTAATCTTTTTCTTCGACACGATGCGAGCTTCAGCTCACATGTGTTACGATATGTCCTGCGATCATCACCACATACGTAATCTGTTTCCTCAGAACTCGTACATTCCTGGCATTCACAACGATATCCTTTTAACGAGTTCCGATCTCTTTTACAAACGCCATAATTCTCGCATGTGACGTTGTTGCAGGGATCTGAATAAATATTGGACATTCGGAAATGAATTAATATTGATTTCTCCGCTTTTAAACGGGCTTTCAAAAATATCTAAACAATAGCTAGCATAAATAACTTACTACAAGGTCCTTTGTAAGCGATTGTAATCTTTATCTTTTTCAAACAAGAATTCTTGTTCATGAAGCATTCGCTCTCATACGTTACATGGTCACTACCACATACTTTATCAGTGTGAGCACGTCTTTCTGAGGTGCAGTTTGGACATGCGCAGCGATATCCTTTGAAAGATAGCGGTTCATATTGACATGTGCCATGGTAGTCGCAGGATACGCCGTCACACGCACCTGTATGATGTGGAGAAGTAAGTAAGTAAATCTCTCCGCTATGTTTTTTTTTCTTAGTAAAAGTCTATCAAGAAAGCGACTTTTTATCGAGCTGATTTGGTTAAATGTTCTCGTATGAAGAGTCCTTGATGAAGTGAAACACTAATGGAATTAAATGTTCATGTCTACACGAGAATCTTACCACAGTGTAGTTGTTCAACTAAAATATCTCCAGCAGGGTTGCATTTTCCGCAATTCCCTCCACACTTCGCTGACACGACCTGACTCTGATTCGTCATTTGAAAATCTTGCATTTGTATACCAGCCGGACGAGCTTGCACCGACCATCTTACAGAAGACTGTAGTCTCATACCAGTACCGATTAGATCAATTGAAAAACTACCTGTAAGAGCTCATACGAGTCAGATAAACACAGGAATAGGGAAGGTTAAAATGCGATTAAACAGACCAAACTACCTTTTCGACAGTTTCCTAGATTTGCAGAGTAACAATCTCCCGCTGTTCCAAAAGTTATGGCTTTCCCGGCACTACTGGCGAACTTGAAATCGTTTGGTATAATTTTCGATCCTCGTACATCGAATCTTACTTTATAGAATCTTGTGTATCCACCATCAACATAAGGCACGTTACCGGGGTTTAGTCCTCCACATTGGTCGCGGATGGCACGGGGAAGACGACGCTCGTATATGCGAGCGTGGTTATCCCTGCCCTGGGTTAGGGTGAGGTATTCTGTGGGTTCCGAAGTGTGCATATCGTGACAGTAAACCTTTACGGGCCGTTGACATTTTGGATTTAAGAGCATCGAGTATTCGCCATCTTTGTTCCCCAGCTCTTCCTGAAGGGCTTCCTTGCAACTGGACACCACTAGGTGGAAGTGAAATATTTTAATAGATTAGTGAAAACAAAACAGTTGTCATATTCCTCTTAGAAGTAAGTCAACAGCTATGATCATAATGGATAAGTTTTCAAGTTATTAATAACAGATTCAGCAGGACGATGTTTGCTATCTTGATACTATCTGCTCGGGCGCCAAACTGCATGGAAGTATTTTAAATCGACAGACGCACGGAACACAATTTGGTAGCATGTCAGTTTTAGTCGGTTAAAAAGATGAAAGAATGACTTACTGCATGGTCCGTAGTGCTCAATCTCAATAGTTCGTTGCCTTATGCAGGAATATCGCTGTACCGTACAAAGGTTATGGTACGTGACACGATCTTTACCACACACAGGAGCATTATCTTTCTTACTGCATTTGATTGGACAAAAGCAGGTGGCTTTTCCAGTTGATAACTGCCCGCATTTCCCACCATAACGGCACTGTAGTGTACGACTACACACGTCTACTGATCGTCGCAAGCGATGATGGGAATGCTGTTGGATTTCTAAAGAGAAGATGCGCCGGGCTTTTCCATAATACAAACTTGCTGACACTATCTATTTTCCTGATTTTACTATATCTAAGCGAAAGTATCTGAAATATAGCTGGGAGGATGGTGCACCTGTTTCTATTCAGTTTTTAAATGACCCTAGTTTACTTTATAGCGGTGACCTTTGTACACTAAATGCGTATGAATATCATTCATTTCACCAAGTTGATGATATCGTACAGTAAACAGAATAAGAACTACATAATATGGAAACATTCCGACAAAAGTTTTAAAAAAGCATAATTGAAAAGGATTTGACAGTTTAATGGCAAGTTATCGACATTAGCGTTGCCTGAATATAAGTTTGAATACTCTTCATTTGAAATCAATACAGATCAAAATATTAAACATTCCAAGAATTTGCATAGGGCGAAAAAAGGGGAGAAGGTGACCTTCAAAGTTTTTTCTACTGAGGAGTCCCTAATTTGCCCAAATACGATTCCTAAAATCCATCCTACCTTCTAAGCTGCTTGGCGAGATTCCGTCAAAGTCCTCCTTCTTGACACCCCAGTAATGAAGAAGTTCAAACTTGTTGTTGTCCAATGGAACAGCATAAAATATGTACACTCCTTTTGCCGCATTCAACGATTCGTCTTTTTCTGAATTTTGCAGAGATACGATTGACGGAATCTTAACAGCTTCTTGCTCGAACAGCCTTTTAAAAACTCGCACCAATACAGTGTCATCTTCATTTGTTTTCAGAATTTCGCCCGTAAATACCGTAGCATTTGAAATCAAAGTTGATTTAGCGACGGAAAGAGAACTAAAAATAAAAACTAGCCAGAATACAGTGTTCATCATTGCGTTTGAACTTTACTTTGACAGCAAAGACTCGCTTAAAAACTAAGTAAAAAGTGTTAATCTCCGTGTTTGAACCATTAAAGCCACGAATTTCACAGCTGTCATCGTAGAGCGGATACGATATAATGAAGTAGACAGGACGAGTTAAGCTCTTTCAAAAACATGGTCGAATATCGAAATATAAACACGAATTCTGCGTGATATCAACTCGAACAAGCGTTAAAAATAACAGAAAAAAGGCTAGAAGAATTCATTTCAACAGGCAAGAAGATGAAATTTAATTCTAAATCATTGAAAAAAAAATCGTGCTAAATAAAATTAAATATTCTTATTTAAAGTCAAATTTGAAAAAGTTCAGAAGAATAAATTCTTCATAATTCTTCTCTAGAAAATAACTCATTTGGTGTGCATATCTCCTTGTAGTTAACAAGTGCCTATAGTCAAAACTATATTTTCAACAAGGGATCATTTTGATTAATTATTATAATTGCGTTCAAAGTCTTGAAAGAGCATTCTTTGGGTACTCCTAGTATCATAATTAATCCGTAATTTAAAAAGCGATATCGGTTCCGTAGAGTACAATAAAATATTATATGCATTTCACACGATTTCCGTGAGAGGCTTTTGCCAATATTAGTAATATTTATTATACACTGATTATAAAGACGTTCTCATTGAGAAGAGCTGTTCAATCTAATACTATTTCATACAAAACACTAAAATTAAACACTACAGTTAACCGCGCCAAGACTTATTGACTGTCTGCATGTCTTGTGTCCTTCTTTCGAGGTTTTAGCCCAGTTAGATGAGACACAAGTCTTTTATTAACTTTACCGTTACATTTTGCTAGGTATTTTCGCTTTAAACAGTCTACTGTGGGCCAGGAATTATCGCGTTACATGCAAGTGCTAGAATTGCGAATTGAAAATAGCAAGAAAGCTTCAAATAAACCGTGCATGCGTACAAATGAGCAATCACCCACGAATTATCGTTAATCTTCGAGGTAATTAAAAACTAATAAGTCAACTTAATCTATATTTCATTGTAAGAACACACAATTATTGATTCCCGAATATTTTTGATCCACCAATATACGACGTTTTGGTTACCAACAGCAAAACAATACTGAAAAGTGTTAGAAAGCTACAGTTTAGAGTATAGTCCCCAGATCTGATCTATTATGTAGAGATGGAGTGGTCTAGTTATCTTAAGACGATCAACGGTGTTCCGAGTCTTGTTTCTGCAACTCTGACGCGAATATTGTTTGTCGTTCATGGATTTTTTGCGATATTTTTGGTTGTCAAGAACAAGGACGATGCAGGACAATGGTGGCCTGTATTCTTTCTGTTTTTGCTATTCATAGAAAGTGCGTACACGATCCTTGTCCGGCGAGGAGAAGAATACAAATAGTAAGTATACCGATGATACTCCCGAAGGAATCTGTTCAGTTTTTTCTGATTCAATCCTTTGTACACCCCATCATGAGAGCGAAGATACGACAGCCATATTTACGTTGTCAAACTGGGACCATGCATATCTGGCATTCGTACAACCGGCCCCAGAAGGGTAAACGATTTAACTGCATTACGATCACATGTGTTTGTCTAGTTTTTCGCCAAGTTGTTTCCTATACATCATGAGTGTGTTACCGTCAGTATGGACAATGGAAATGGACCTTTATCATGAAAGATACAGAGACAGAGAGCTGCAGATGATGCAAAAAGCCAGTGCCAACAGCACTATATTAAACACAAGCGAAGACAAGGTAAGGTAACTTCAAATACACAACCAAAGAGAAAAATCGTTTCAGGTCAATCATTTTGACATTACAATGATGGATACAAAAACGAAACTTTCTGGCTTACAAACCTTATGGGATACAAAAATTAGTTTAAATCGATCTTTACAAAGGGACCTTTACTGGTACATACTCCAAACCCCTCCCCATGGACACACCGATAGGATAGGGCCTGATTTTACATTGCATTTCCAGAACATATGGGCCAACATATCAAAAGAGACAATAGCTGAAAAAGTTGGTGCACTCGGATTGACCATTGGTATTATTATGGGCCGCTGGCTCTTACCACGAGGCGCAATGACACGTGAGCAGCTATCCGCGTTGCTGATTGGCTACGTCGGTATTGCGGCAGATATACTGGAAGTTTTCAACCTTTTTGAGGAGGAAAATCTCATGTATCGACAATCCATTACCATAGCAACACTGTTTGTTTTCTCTTGGTGTTTGCTATCGTTTTGTTTGGTCACCACGGCAACCACCAACAGTAAAAAAGAAGCCTCAAAACAACGGACAAGCAAGGTAGGAAGGCGAATAGCTTTGAATGTTTACTCCTGTAAAAGATTGATGCTATGTAGGAGGTACAGGCGATGAAAACTAGTGGTTTATTTACAGGAGTGCACGTTTACTCTGTTCCAGGTCAGCCCTTTGGAGGAAATCCACCAGAGCACAAGTGGGAATGGGTTGGGTAAAGAAGCATATATAAAGAAATTGGAAGAAAAATGGCGAAAGGATAGCGAAAGTTTGCCGCGGGGACGAACTGAGAAACTAACGGAGCGAACGAGGCTAAAAGCGGTAAAAGAAGTCTTCTCCGAGTCCGAGAAACGTGAATTTGATTTACACGGGGATATTTATGGAATTCTTACGGGAATTCTAATGATGGACGGACCATTTCTGGTCTTCAGACTCTACTGCACCGTACAGTATTCCGTGGATAGCGAGATGCACATATTCTACACGGTAAAGAATGCCATATCATTGGCTCTTCTTGTGTATCGCCTGTGTATTCTGACTTGCAAAGGACAAGACGGAGAAGACGATGTTTTTGAGAGCGATGAAGACAAACTAAGGAATGTTCAGGTTGCTATTATCGGAACGCATTATACGGATTTTAGAGACCATACACCCTATATGAAAGGGCAGATTATTTTGTGAGTTATACGAGCTGTGTTCGTAGTAAATTCCACTGTATTAAAGAAACTCATTCTTGGTTCCACCTCGAGTAAAAAAGTAGCACATGATCGACTCTAGGAACTGGATATAAACCAACCACGATTAGAAAAACTATCTGCTGTTGTATTTGACTGTATTTTTGAAAGTGATGTATATATGAAAATATATATAATTTTGTGCCTATTTACAAAACTATACCATACAAGTGTATTTACAATGAAATAAGTTAGTTTACATAGTTTTTACATCCATTTGATGATTTAAAAATATTTTGCATCACGCCAGGAACTCGGCAAGACGTCGATACAGTGATTAAAATTTATGCCACATTATTTAACATTATAACTTAATTCACAACGTGTATACGTCTGCAGAATTTTAAATAAAACGACGAGCGATTCTCTGCCTCGGTTTAGCCGTTCAAAGTGAAATTATCATCGAGCAGAATTTTAATTAAATAATCCCACGGATAGAGATGAATCTGATTGGTTTGTAGCAGAAGTGGCTGATGATACATGTGAGTGTGGAAGGCTAATGGGTGGTAATGGGGGATAAGGGGTGAATGAGCCTGGAGACGAGGCGCGGCTGTCCTCAGGAAACATGTGACGTGATGGTGTTGGGACCTTTGTTGCCCCTAGAAGTGCGGTAAGCGATACGCTATAGGTTTTGGATTGTATTTCATTCTGAAATCCCACTCAGATTGAAATAAAATTAAACTAGAAGTACATATCAGTGACATTTTATCTCAAGACACTCGAACATGTATCACGAACGAGAAAGCACAACTTAATCATTTAAATTCAACATGATGCATCACTTATGTAGATCTACAATTAAATTATAACAATGCTCTGGAGAACAGAAAACTTACTGTTGTTTTGGACAGGCTTTGAGGATCCAATTGGTCTTTCAACTGTCACATATTGTCGAACACCCCCCGTGCCTGATTTCACGTCAATAGCACCGCTACGAATGGGTAAAGAAATGTAAGAATAGAACCAAAGACATAACACTTTTCAAACAGTTGGTCTTCAGATTACCTTATTAGATTTTTACTGAGAGTGAAGCGGTTCACATCCATCGCTAAAAGTCTTGGCATAGGATTGTCATCAAAAAGTGTTCCACTGTCCGATACATGGGAGTCCGTTGACTAGAAAACATCGATGCTTATGTGAGACACAATCAGTTTTCTAGCTTACTCAGTATCTATACTATTACAGCTACAGTGTAATCTGCAACAGTGTCTGTTCTTAAACACAATTATATCACTTACAATCCACATTGGCCGGGCAATGCTCTGTCCAGGGGTACGTGTGGTCTCTAGGGGGTAACTTGGTTTGCTTGAGGACACTTCTGGTGACCGAGGAGCTCTCTTCTTGCAAATGACTGGATGTGAGGATTTTTCTACTGCAGAAGGCCTAAAATTCGATTTTATAAACTTGTTGAAAACATCTGAATAATCTTCAAACCTGAAGACATAAACCTTAGCCATAATAACAAACATACTTGGACACATATGAATACACAGGTTTGATGAGAAATATTCCAGAACTCTCCTCGATCTCTTTCAAACTTGAACTTATTTTATCTCCAAGTTCACTTCTTTGTCTGCCTAACTCTGCCATCTTCTCGCTCCATTTCAACGCTCGTTTTCTCTGCAAATATTCCATTCTTTCCTGAAGATTATAAACCTCTGCACTGGTCATGCGCACCGGGTTCAAATTTTCCTCTAGAGTAAAAAGAGAAGTTGTTATAGACTTATGGTATTGGTATTGTAGACACCATTGCTCTCTATAAATGCTGTAGAAATTAGTAGGTAAAAGAGCAATGCTTTGTTCTTTCTAAATATACCCTATTATTTCTTGTACTTCTATTATGCCCGACCCCAAGAGAATTTTACATATCTAATGCTTAGAAGATCACTTTGCCCACTCTTGAATAAATTACTGTAAAATACTGAATGCCTAAATTTGAGGGTATTATTTACCTTGCGATATCTTTAAACCTTTCAAAATATTGCGATACCTCTCTATATCCTACTGATACCTACCCACATCCTTCATTGTACAATGATGTCTGTATCTTTTGACCAGTTCCGCCAAGCGTCGACCTGGTAAACTGACGTATTGATCCATTTCTTGAATAACAGAATTATACGAATTCTGAGACAAACGTTGTGTTAGCACTGCTCGTTTCATAGACTTCACATTCCGCTCAGCGTCCAAACGAGTGAACATTAGTGACGAAATCAACGGCTAGATGAAATATAAATATATCATAAGTGGAAGTTAGATTAGTTTTAGCCACAAGGAAATATTTGGGGGAAGAGAAATCTCCTACCTGAGGGGAAATTCTCCCACCGGCATTTCCATCGATCATCTGTGATCTAAGGCCATTTATCGTCTCTTGCATCTCATTCATAACTGTCGCATTCTCGCTGATCTGTTCTTGATAGGATTTCACGTTGTCTTGTATTTGCTGAGTCAGCGTGTTATATTCCTCCTGGAGGTTGTTGTACTCGTGAAGCAAGCGTGTGTAGCCTTTGGGCGTGGTTGGGGTGGGGCGAGGCGCGCGACGTCGAGAAGTCTGAACTGAACGATCTAGTGAAAAGGTCAGAAGACAATAATGAAGTGCCTAAACCATTGAAATATGTGATCCTTTGCACTGCATAGAAAATATAAATCTGGCTCAATGAAGGCTTTTTTATGAGAGCTGATTCATCGAATTTCCTTGTTATTCAACAGTTATAATTTGCGGAGAGATATTTTGCCAAAGAAAGAATTTTAGTAATATTTTGAACAAGATGCGGGGGCCAAAATATGATTAATCCCGCATGCTGTGATGCAATAATTGAAATCGTTAATGCACAAAGCGAATTAAGCCCATAAGGCATAAGCTGGAAGACCATGCATACATATCTCACATAGTAATTCAACAAACGTTTAAAATATTTTGTGTAGTTACGTGTGTTTGACATAATTCAATTTCTGTTCACGTATACGAAAGGTTTGCTTAGCAGGAGACCTTACGCCTATAATTCAGTTCTCATTAAATTGTTTTGTTTTCATTATTGTAATTAATCAAGGTCTCATCTATAGTCTATATATAGCGTCCTCTCGGAATTTCAGCATTGACTTCCGGGAATTTATTCCAGTGATGTCTTCCCGAAGAGCCAGATAATAATTTCGTGTGATCATTTACTGGTATTATCTGACAATGTTTTATGTTTTACAATAAATTGACCATCTACTGGCTTTTCTGTAGGTAGACGAGACTCATCATTACTTACATTTCGTATATGATGAATGATGATACAGCGGGTGTCACAGAAAATGCGTTCACAAGGATATATAAATATAATTATTATCATACGCCTGTATGATTTCATCCAATAAGAAAAAGGGAAACGTAAAACATATGCGGCCAATAACAACATGCCTCGGAAAACTGGTAAGAAAAAACAGTAGGATGCTTTAAAATACGTTATTTTTGCTTTGACCATCGCGATGTTGACTTGTAAATTGTTGAGAGCTTCTTCTCCAAGAATTATACCTTCTATACTGACGACAAGATTCCTTGGAAAGCCGCTTAACTTTACAACCAGGGGAATAGCAACAACAAAGGTAACATCAAGCAATCAAAAGAACACGGAAATTGAAGATGTTTACAAGCTTGGTTGTACTAGAAACGATTTGCAGAGAATTATCGATGACGAAACTACACAGTCGTTTCGTGAGTACGAAAGTGAAACAGCCGCATATCTGAAGTACCGAGGATTAGCTTCCAAACTCAATATTCATTTGCCAAATTTACCGGACCAAGTACAAAGCGAGGGTAAGCTGAAGAAGAAATTTATTTTGGAACAAATCCATACGACCGAAAGGTGTATGAGTGAAGACAAGTCACAACGCCTTGTGCATTTGTATCGTGCAGCTGGAAAATTTGACGAATGCTACAGAATTCTTGTAAAAGGTACAGAGAATCCTTGGTTCAAAGCACTGCCGAAAGCTGTGCACGAGGCGAAAGAAGCGGCCCAAAATCTTGACGTGGACTTGAATGGCAACCTGAGTCAACTAGAGAACATTTATAGTTTTGACGTTGGCTGGTTAAAAAAAATAAAAAATAAACTATGTAAAGGCGCAAGTGAGGCTCCGCAACGCAGCGAAGTTGACCAGACCCGAGTTACCACAGATGAATATTGGGTTGTTTCGTTGTTGAGACTACCAGACACTTCTCATGCCCATCACGCATTTCTCGTTCTCGAAGGAAAAGCCGGCAACAAGTCGATGATATGGTTCATTGACTTTGTTGCAAACGACGCAATGAATTTACTTTACCAAGGTATAATACAGGGTAAAGTAAGAATTGATTATCACAAGTCGGATGAGGTTCTTCGTTCAAATGGAGGGCTACTGTTTCAAAGTGAAAAAAAAATGTTGAGAATAAGGAAAGGCGACCGTATTCAACATCGCGCTTGGGCAATCCGAAAACCCACCGCTAAACTACTGCTACAAAATGTCCAAAAGCAACAAGATGATCCTCCCCAATTTAACATATTGGGCGACAGTAGGCTAGGAGTGAGTCTTGCGCCGACAACAAATACTCATAATTGTTTTTCGTTTGTAAGAAAGATGCTTCGCGATTTAAATGACGACTTCATACAAATACCACAAGACACAATAGACAAGTGGGTAGTTTCAGCAGTGAGCCGTATTCTTGAGGACAACTGATAATTCTGTGTTTAGTTGTAACAGAGCACATCAGTTTCATAGTATAAGTAACGTGTATTCTCCATACAATATAAACACTAACTCTTTAGAAACAAATCTTGTAATTCGTAGTTTTTGGTAATTAAAAGATTGCAAAATCAGTATATAGCCGAACCGTATAACAAATCCTGTAATTCGCACTTTTGGGTTAATTGGAAATAAAAAGGTTTTTAAACTGTAAAAGAAACATTGTATTTTGTAGTTTTTGTAGTTTAAGTTATAATTTGAAAATCGCCATCAAAAGATGCATTCCAAAAATTTTGAAAAGAGCTCTTCGCCCCCCAGTGTGAATTAGACGTGTTAAATAACGCGCGACTTAAAAACCACGACCAGCCGACAATTTAAAAAGGTAAAGTAAAAAGCAGGTCGACAGGTCTGGTCTTTCCTTTATATCTATTTATTATATAAGCATTGTTGTAAATATATCAGAAATTCACTTTTATACTCGGCTACGTTTACACTCAGGTTTCGCTTTGCTTAGATTAACTGGGCTTCCGCCTTCATGATAGATTGATGCTTTCTCTCTGTGTTGTATATATGTATATGTGTGTGTGTTGTTAAGTATTGTATTTCATTCTGTGTGAAGATGGCTTTGTCATAAAGTCGAAAATTTACAGTTTCAACCTGTGTGAACTCCCATTCAAATATTAATTCTCAAGTCTTGTCTTTTCGGAATTTGCTTTTTACTTTATAATGCGACATGCCCACTGATGAAATGACTGACTGATATATACAGGCATCTTACTTAATACGACAGTCACAGCCACTAAGTCTATGAAACAATGACTTAATTGTAATGTAATGTAGAAAAGAGACAAGGAAAAAAATACTCAATAACTATAATATGGACTAAAAGCTGTGTGATGTGGTCATGTGGAGTCAAACAATCAAACATGCCAAAAATACCCAGACAATTGCCATTTATTATTATTCATGTGTCGCTTGAATGCAAACCTTATTTAATAACGCAATGAGACATCGCAGAAGATCGAGTATAGTGAAACACAGCAAGAAGAGAAGATGACAGGGGTAATATTTGGATCTCTAAAATCCGCAGCAAAGTCGAAGTGCCAAGATAAAGAGCTCGATCCGGTCACTAAACGGATGCTCGCCATTAACTTAATATATCGCATTCTTTTGTGCTCATCCGCTGGCGTCTTTTCTGCTATTTTCAACGCATTTTTCCCATTTCGATTGATGCTAGGAAGCGATTAATAATTAACATTTTACCTCTTAAATCGCGGTTCTGTGATTGGTCATTCTGGTCTTTGTCATCGACATTTCCATCTTGCTCAGCAACCTCTGACGTAGGCAATGCAAAATCGTTTTCAGTATCCATTACTATCCCAACATCACGGTGATGTACTACATCTTCCCCGCCTTCCTCTTCTTTGTCGTTGCCATCAACGAGGTCATGTTGTGACCAAGAATAATCATCTTTGGTCGTTTGCCACAAGGCGTCCAGTATCTAGTGAATAAAAGACCTTGGTAACGTTGCTTCATCTTGTATTACCTACTCGTATAACTGTTGACTCGAGATTGAACTGGATTAATTTATCATGAAATATTAAATAATATAACAGAACAATATTCAAGCTTGTGACAGCCTACCTGTTGCGTTGTATCACGAATAGCAGACATATTACTCAGAACATCCAACTCATCCTCCTGTTGGAGAAAATCATAGAATTTTTCACTTTCACAAGCATACAGATTACCTACGATAGTCGACGGTTTTAAATCAACCGTTGTTGGACCGACAGAATGATATGGTATTGCTATTCTTGCAGCTGTGTATCAACTCACCTTATCCAGTGTTAAATCAGGAATAGCGGTCAGCAATTTGGACTTATGTCCCAAACCGTGTTCTTGCAACCAAATAGTGATATCCATTTTAAACTGGGTGATCATTTCGTACGTTCGCACCGTTTCCACGATAACCCGGTGGTCACGCAATGCTGAACGGACCAATCTGGAGCGCACTCGACCACTGCTTGCAACTGACGAGGGTGAACGAGGGTGAAACCTGAACTTGGATGGATCCACCTCATTCTAGGGAGGGGGAAAGCAATGATATAGAAGGAACGTGATATAAATAAACTTGCCCGGGTATGGCTCATGCCCACACAAGAGAGAGCCAGCCTTTCTATATTTATTGATAGAACTTTTTAAAATGTTAGTCTGTCAGATATCACGTTTCCTAGAAACAACCTATCGACCGGAATTACAGTAGCTGGAGGGAATAACTAAACTAAGTTCCTTTTCAATATATACCTGCTAGTTCCTGTTGTAAGGCAAAATTCAAATAATCGATATTTATTACTGATAAACTTATTACCTGGAGAGTTCCCACGTCATCTGGATGTAATACATTACTGCTCCCGCCAAAACCGCTGTCCGAAGCGTTTAGGCCACCAAACAGCAGCATTTCCTGTTCATCCGCTACATCACTGTACTGCGGGCTTCTCATGCTAGGCTTGCGGGAAACCTGGGCGCTAGTACATTGGATACCAACAGAGGTCTAAAAATTGGGACGATAAAGTTATGCATAATAACGGTCCACTTTTAGTGTTTTATGAAGAGAAATTAACTCGATTTGAGAGATGATTGTGTTTCCAAAATAAATCCAATCTAATAATCGTGATTTGTTATGAACCTGTGGTGTTTTCTCAGCATCCATAATATTCTGCATACGATACAGCGAAGCACTTGTGGCAGTTTCTTTGTCCTCAGTCTGAACTGCTTCGAGATTGCTGCGGACGTCGTCTTCATCCACCTGATCAAGATTAGTAATTCATACAGTAAACATCGGATACGATTACCAGATAAGTGCCTTTTTCGTGCTAGATTGGGTCAAAAGACTAGGGCATTGTACTTACATGTGAACTACCCTCCTTCTCCGCTCTCAATTCCTCCTAGAAAAATAGCAATGCTCGTTTAAAAACGGAAAATATAATATAGTATCAAACAAAAAATATATGACCAATTGTGAAATGTTCATACCAATTGTAAAATGGCCTTTTCTGCCTCTTCTTCAGCGGCAGCCTGAAAACATTACACAGAAAATCTTTGTTAAAATGAAAATAAAAAAATCCTAACCTACTGTAGCTTGCTGAGGAAAAACCTCAAAATTTACCTTTTGTTCCTGGGCAGTTGAGAGCTGCTCCATTAATTCGTCTCTCTCCTGAACCAACGAAGGAAATTTTGGAATCATATGATTTATATTATAATTATTTAGCATATATACATGTGTACACATAGAAACCTGTCTATATTAAAGGCTTATGTACCTTTAACTGGTTCTCTTGTGTCAACATCAGCTCGTTTAAAGCTTGGGCCTTCGTATTGAACTAAAAAACAGATATTCGCTTAAGAAAGGAATCGCTTGAGAGCAACTGCATGCAAGTAGATCGTTGAATCAATTGAATATTATCAAGCCCAAGGGCGAGCTTATATAACCTTTATAATCCATCGTCATGTTGCATCGTACGTGTAGAAAAATAAAGTCTTACCTTTAACTTCCATTGGAAAACCTCGTCTTGTAATTGTTGCTCAATTTCGGCAAACTTTTCGGAAAAACAAAAGTATTAGTGAGTAAAACATCAGACAAAAACTCTCTCGGTTTAAAACATTAAACATACTTTATTCCTGTATTCATCCATTTTTTGAGGCAATTCATCCGTTGGCGTTTTGACCTATAAAATAGCAAAAAATATTTACAATATTTATAAAATATTTACAATGTGAGATTATATTATTCACACACACATATTAGGCGCAATTATCCTGACTTTATCTCTAGGATATGCGGCTATACTAACAACATGCATGGCAATTTTCCGTTGCATTAATGTGAGAATAGCAGGTGACCGAAAAACATGGAATCCAGCGAGAATTAACAGCTAGATAGAGTCCTGTTGTTCATGTGTATTTTCGTTGTCTTTTTCCATTAGCTGTGTCTGTTTGGTAGCGAAACTAATGAAGATTGCGAGTAAGTTCTTGCGGTAAAAAAGGCATCCTGTATGCAGTTCGTTGCGCTGTACTATAGACAGCAGTTAGTATTTTAGCAAGAACTCACCATTTCTCGTTCAATCTCCAGCAGGTCATGTCGTGACGTCACTTCAGATCGTTCACCAATGACGTCATCGGTCTGTGTCGAGCTTTCGGTTGTATTGCGCAACGGACTTGTGTCCCTGGACCGAGAAGAACCGCCTGTGAAGACAAGAAAGTTGAAGACAACATCAATATTTATTCATCTCATTTCAACTCATGTTCAGTTTAGGTAATGCACGATATTTCAGTACACTTACTCGGTCTGAGTGTCTCAGCGGTCTTTGGTGTCTGAGGAACAGGCGTGTCACTCATTGAGACAAATATACTGCTTGATCGCTCTAACACCGAGTCTTTTCCCTTCGTGTCAGACCATTCGGAGGAGGCCGTATCGAGACGGCCACTTTCGGAAGTCTAAAAAATGAATACAATTCATTGTTTACGCCAGGTGCACTTCGGCGTCGTCTTCGAAGTTTTTTAAAACATTTTCGTCAGGCTTTTTTATATCCCGGACGCCCTTTTCACAAGATCAGAGATTTATACTGAGTTAGCTTCTAACTTCTGTCGTAAATTGATTAACTTGATGAAGGCCGCCCCTTTTTATTGTGTAAATACAAAAATGAGATCGCTTTAAAGTGTGGAGCGTCTAAACAGCTTTTGAACGCGGGATATTGAGATCCGTGCACATCCAAACTTATCCACAAATGACACACCGTTATTTAACATTACATGTGAAGAAATATACTGGCTTATACCTTGACTTCAACTATTGTTCTCGACGTCCTGGCTGAGGACTTCCATGTACTCAATGCTCTGGAGGCAACAAGTTCCGAATCAGTTGAAAACCTTGCAGAATCGCGGCTTTCGGGCAGTAGAGCGGGGGCGCTTGTCGTTGCCGTTGCCAAAGAACGTCTTCTTATCTGAATGATATATCAAAACAAACGATCAGATTATCAGAGATTCGTATGTGGACAAGCGAACTCTAAAAACCTGTTGTTAGCGGTTGCCAAACAACGTTTTCTTATCTGCCGTGTATTTTGCATGATCAAAATCCTCGCGTGGGCAACTGTGTAAGTTCACACGGGCGATTTGCGGAGTAAAAAAATACATCAAATCTCACCGCGTCCAGTTTTTCTTTGAGCCCGAGTACTTCATCCTCGTGAATCTCTTTTAACTGTGTGATTTCCTTTTCTTGACTATCTTTTAACTCATTCATCTCCTTGTCATGTTTGGCTTCCAGATCTTTAATAATTGGCAATGGTGTATTAACATACTTGTTACGTGCAGTTATATGCCTACAATATTCCATGGAAATCTCGACGTAGTCTTCACAATCCAGGGTTTACCTTTTCTGATCTCAATAATCGTCTTTTCCTGTTCTTGTGAACGCGCTTCGATATCATCCTTCAGATGTTGATTTTCAACCTTCAAATTCCTGCACATCTCTACGTATTCATCATATTTGACTTCAGCTTGAGAATGTGACAGCTCCATTTGATCCAATTCCTGTAGTATATATAAAAAGACGAAATAAGACCTAAGCTTTGAAGCCAAAAGGAGAAGGGAAGGGACCCCGTTTACTGTATAACTAGAAGGATACAAAACACTCATTCCTTACAACCGCAGTGTAAATTGTAAAATGTCTTTATACTTACACTTCTGTATGTCTGGAGTTGTTGTTCCTTTGCCTGCAATCCTTTTCTTAGATCACTACATTCTTTTTCAAAAGCCTTGAAAATATCATAAGAAAAACTCAAGAACTGTACCTATATCCTGCTCTACCAAGCTATTTCTTCCACTTACTTTATTAACGTTCACTTGTCCTTTTAGCCTGCAAAACAAATCAGAATGAAACTAAATATAATATTGATAATCTTGTGTGGCGAAAAACGGGTATCTTCCGTGATTCATACCTATCAATATCAGCTTCTTTCACTTCAATTTGTTTCGTTAAACTTGTCAGATTCGTTTTGGCATCTTCGAGATCTATTCCATGCAGAAAAAAATCGCCTTTTTATATATAATACCACGCTTTTCTGTACAGCAAGCTAAAGCTAATTTTTCGCCGCAAAGGTGCAAGTACAGCGATGCATAATTACGAAATATACCTGACTGAACCCCGACCAGTTTTTCAGTAAGGTGCATAACATCTTGCTGCGATTGAAATAAAGCCTTTTCCAATTTCTTCTTGCCCCTGAAATAGAAATGTTTTGAGAGTAAGCTCAGAGCTAGGACAGCCTGGAGAACACGCTCGGTTCTACTTGTCAAGTTTACGGCGATAGCAACGCGCTAATAGTTCTTGGAACACTTTCGTCCATATAACTCCAGTTTTAATCATCATACTTCGTTGTACAACCCTCAATAATCCGTTGTCTATATTTGACGAAGAACAGCCCACTGTTGTTTATTGCTGGACATCTTATAGTACAAATCTAATATACGATAATGAAAACCAGACCATATGAAAATGCACACGAGGCGAGACAGTGTGTCAACTGATATCCAATCCACTAAATACACTTCACGGATGTACAACAGATAAAACTAAAAATACCAATCATTGAATAAATAGCAATTACAAAAATGGGTACGACAGTCCATGAATCTGGTAAAACCAGCAAAATTTTACTGTCAATTTAGTGGTAGACTTCAAAGCCAACAGAAATGGTTATCCATGCATTACTCCTGAGCTATCGGCCCGCGTGAGTTAGCGATCGTTTCTTATCTTTGACCAATATCTTTATAAGTACATCAGATTTGAAAATAAACCTGACCTCATACATACATATAGTATAGCGATGTATACATTGAGTCAAAAGAAATATATGAAGTTAGAACTGACAATTCACTGAATTCAGTAATTTGGTGCTCAACCGTCACTTCAGGCACTCGAACCTTCCTGTTCGGTCTACGCAGGATTTCAAATATGAGATTCGCGGTACTGTTTTAAACGCTAAAATAATACACGTTATCTATATCCGTCTAGCAGATTAATTATTATTTTTTTACCCTAAATACAATCGGGTATATAATATAGAATATATACAAACATAGTTATGATACAAACAAAACTGATTAATCAAAATGAATGTTTACCTTCCAATATCGAGGGCGAGTAATGAGCGACGTGCGTAGACGACGGCTTTACAAGTTCGTGTAAAACTCAGAAAAGGAGGCAGAGTAGACAAGAATGTAGGATCGTTGTGTTATATGTATTTGAAAATCAAGCTGTTTAATACTTCTGCTGTGCTTAGCAACCGACAATGTAAGATGATACTTTATACTTTGTGTGAAGCGCCCGCCGTCAACAGAATTAGTAATAGTCATAAATATGTGTATTGTCTTGCGAAGTAATTTGGTAAATTTTACGTCCCAATTTATCAGTCATTAATAAAATTATGCAAATTTGAAGTATGCATTTTAATCTACCGAATAAAACGTGCGCCATGCATAAAGACAGTTATACATATTATATGTCGCCTCTTTATAAACCAACATTACTCACTAGGCCTGGTTTAGATCATGCAATATTTCAGTGAAGTAAACATGACGACTCTAAGATCACTGTGATTATTAAACAATCGATTATACACAGTCAACTGTCGACGACACATGGGAACAAGACTTGACACATTGAAATAGGGTAAGAAGGCAAAAAAATAAATGAACGAAAATAAATAAGTGAAATGAGAGAGATTGTCCCAACACTGTAGTCCCAATATCAACTAAATATCAACTAAATAAAACTGCGTTAAAATGAATAACTATCAACACCGCTATCCCCAATTCCCTGTGATATAAAAACATCTTCCAAAAGCATTCTTTTCGCCAAATTTACGGGGATGTTATTGCACAGACGTACCTTTTATGATCCTTTGGGTTGACCATTTCAAAAACCTTTAAAACATCTTTGGAAATGGTCGCCAGACGTTCAGTTGTTTTTTCAGCTTTATCCAACGCCTCTCTAAATCGAAATGCAGATCTTTAGAAATTACTCCAACATATTTTTTTCGAGCGATTTTTATTTCTGCGAAAAAGACGGTGCAAGAATTCAACTTTTTGTAGCTTTTATGCGCAACAACTGAATAGGAAAAGTTTTATAATAACGTGAAAAAAGCTCGTGAAATCTTGCGCACAGAAGAATCTGCGCATACAGCTTTTTCACGGGTAGACTTAAGTTAGGTCTGGTCGTCTGGAGACAGAAAGATTCAAATATCTCCATGCTTTTACGCGTGTATGAGATTAGATTTAAATTTTAGCGCATACCTATGTTTCTTAATGGAATATTAGCGCACACGTTGTTTGGGAAAAAATCTTTTCCGAAACTTACAAACTTGCGAGGAGTTTATGAATTTAATGGACAATACCTAACATTATTCTCAACTTCGTCAAAGTCAAACTCAGGAACACTGGGGGTGAATGAATCATCACTTGCTGCATTTTGGGTAAAAAACTGCAAAATAAATTATTACAAATGATACAAAGTTTGAAACATGATATGTTTGCTTTTCTCAACTGTCACCAGTGTTACTGTCACTGACTGTCACCTAATGTCGCCCACTGGCACCCACTGTCACTGACACACACCGACTGTCACCTATTGTCACCCACTGGCACTGACTGTTACCCAGTGTCACTGACTGTCACCCAATGTCACTGACTGTCACCAACTGTCACCTATTGTCACCCACTGTCACACATACAGTGAATATTTTACTTACTTGCTGTAGTTGCAACAGTAACTATAAAAAAAAGATGGTACAAGACTTCAATATCCTCTCATAGCAACTCTCATCACATATATGTTATAGTCTATTTAATATTGACCAACTAACCTTATTACGATGACTACACAAGTTCTCATAACCAACAACAAATATTGTGACTTTTTGTTGATACTGCAAAGGTAAATGAATAATGAGGTGCAATAAGTTACATAACAGATAAAATAAATTTAATTAAGTTGCATGCAGTTCAAACAGCTGTTCAAATGAACAGCTGAACATGCAGTTCAAATATTGCTCAAACAACTCATGATGTCAATTTGTACAAGTACATTGTAACTACATCTTTTCTTAAGGAAATCTGAAAATCTCCTACCTTCCTCTTCGCAATTGGATCTGATAATATCAGGTGAAGTGTTGCCTTATAAAATAAAATAACCACAACCATTAATGAAGAAGAATATTTCTTTTTAACAGTTGTACTATATCTGGGTCTGATACACCAATGTGCATAAGAAAAGTCAAGCTACCATGTCATCAACAAATTCCAGTTCTGTGTCTTGTTTAACAAAGGCATTTTTCTTATCCTTGATGCTATTCTGATTTTGCTCCTGAATTTCTTCTCCAATTTCATAAGCACTTAATGTCTAAGGACAAATTTATTGCATTGTAATAACAGTAGGTAAGTTAACAACATGCCTACTTTATTCATTTATTCCTGGTCAGGAAAGGGTCAGGAAAGCCCCCATGCCAGGTGAGTTTATGAAAGTGCACCACCATTTTAAATGACTTGTCTGATAAAGAACCCTGATCATTTGTCTTTGACCATCTACCCCATATTCTGCACATTGCCATATTTTGGTCGAATGTGTCACTTATCGCTTACGTGCGTAATCATTTGCTAATTTTTTATTTTTATACCTCTACTATAAAATATTAATATAAAACTATCTGACAGAGATGATTTGTGTTTTTTACAGGTGTTTAATATTTTAGTCAAACGTTTAGTCAAACGATCGGCGATCAGACTTTCACAAAATATTTCGGTATAAACAAACGTTTGGTATCATTTTGATGATTTGATCAAATCACGACATCTTTTAAATTGGTACAACTTCTGTTGGGTGAAGTGTTGCGATCGCAAAACATTCGAATTTGCTTACCCAAACAAAACGCTTATAATGATTGAAACACGAAAAAGTACTAAACATTAGTAGGACAATAATTGTTCAATACTCACAATACAAACTCTTTCGTTAATTTTATGCAATTCTTCTTGGGTTTCAATCGCTTTCCGTACGGCTTGTTGCTCGGCATTGGCGCGAAGGATAGCCTGCGCAGGACCATCTCCACGCTCTAAATAACTCTCCTGGTTCAGCATTTTGCTTCAGAATACGTTTGAAAAGCTACAAATTCGTACACAACGGCAGACATTTTGTTACTTCGCGTTGCCATGTCCCGTGTCCGAAATAAACAGTCGATTCTGATTGGTCGAGAATGTAATGAAATCAACATTCATCAACAACGTGAAAATTCCAAATGCGGAATTCTTTCGGAAGTCTATTTTTCCTTACAATAACCTTATGCACTTTCCGAACAAAAAATTTTCACTTATGTGGATTAAATGATTCAATAGTTTCAACGAATATGCTAACCTAGACTGTAATCAGTTCCATAATGCATTTCAAAATATGCAATACGTGCGTTCACTAATTTAAAAAGCTTGGCACACAATTCTTTTACAATTCTCTCCAAGGACTTTTAGATTTTTCATCAGGGAATTTTTGTTCACTGGAAGTACTGTTTCTCGAATTTCTCGAATGCAAAAATGGCCGCCGACAATTTAGTTGCTGGCAAACTATTAGAAGCGGCGAATTTTGCCTGCATTAAGCACGAAAATCAACGTCGAAACAATCCACAGGCAACTCCATACATCAACCATCCTATAGGAGTTGCATACATACTCTGGAAAGAAGGTGATGTGACTGATATAGCGGTTTTGCAGGTACGGAGGTAGATAGTTTCAAATTCCGCTGATTTTGTGATATTGATGCCGAAATTGGCCAATCAAAAGCTTACAAAGCTGCCCAATCATATGAAAGCCGAAAGGCGGTAAGATAAGACATTTTATGAAGAGGCTGGCGTAAAGAAAATATCTCGAAGATGTGGAAATGATTTCACGGATAAGTGAGCAAGTTTAACATTCATTTTCACTTTTATACAAAGGCTGCCATATTACACGACACTGTGGAAGATACGGACACAACGTTCGAGGAAATTGAAGGAATATTTGGAGACGAAGTGCGGAATTTGGTGGACGAAGTCACCGACGACAAAAGCTTACCAAAACAGGAAAGAAAAAGACTGCAAATTGAGCATGCTCCAAGCACCAGGTGAAATGTCCACCGAAAAACAAATGCAATATTTTATTTTCTGTTAAATTTCCCCTCTCTTCTCTTTCAGTCCAAAAGCAAAATTAGTAAAACTTGCAGACAAGCTGTACAATCTTCGTGATCTGGAGAAAGCGACTCCAGTGAATTGGACTGAACAACGGGTACAGGAGTACTTTGATTGGTCGAGGAAAGTCATAGAAGGTTTGAAAGGAACCAATCAGAAACTGGAACAGTTATTGGACGAAATACTAGGAAGACATTCTATATAATGGAGTGATATTCGTTCATAAAAACAGTCATTCCCAATAAACGCTAAGCACAAATGCAATTATTAATATTTATTATTTCACAGTATTCTTTTATGTCTTCACCTCCCAAAAAGGAGATTAGATAGATTTTGACCAAAATAAATTCTATAAATAAAGACTTTGAAAAAGTTTGTCCTTGCAGGCATAACATGTTCTCAGGATTTAGCCGAAACAAATTTCTAACTTGTTTGTTTTGCTTGTTGATTAATCTTTTTCGCTTCAGGGTTACAAATCATTTCCAATGCAGCAGTCATTCATCGTGTCCGTATTCATTTCAAATTTAGGCATTCAAATGCTCGCAATTAGTTTATTTCTCGCCGCCCTCGACGGCTGCTGCCTGAAGCCAATCGAAAAACGAAGACGTTGCTTGGAGCGCAGGCCCTTTGGCTTCTTGTCTGCTTGGATCTTCGTTCTGTTTCCAATTCATAAATGCTTCTTCTGTTATGACTTCCTCATCGTAAAGCGTGTCAAAAAATTTCGACAGCATTGCTGAAAAGAAAGTTTAGGGTTTATATCCAACAATGCATCGAACTGGGACAGGAAAGAGCTAGAAAAGAAAACTGGAAACCTACTTTTCGGCTTATTGTATTTCAAATATATATCCTGTAGGGCAAACAACGCTTCGAGTTCCAGCGCGTTATTGTTGTCCAGATATTTACGTAATATATCCTTTCTCGCTTTTAATTTCTCCTGGCAACAATCTGGACCTGACTCGGGGTCTAAAAGCAAAGATTAAATTATTCAAGCAAAATAAAAAAAAACCCTGAATCTAAGATTTCCCTTTTTTCCATCAATTACCTTTATTTACTATGCAACTTTCAGCTACAGCTGTAACTAATTGACTTATAAATTCCGACTCTTTCCTTTTCTCCTCTTTAAAGTTTTGCTGAAACGCAATAAAATATTGGTTCGTTAGTCAAAGTGAAGAGTTGATTAAAGTTTCACCCGAGTTTGGATCTGAGAATTTCTGTACCTCAATATGAGCAAATACGGTATCATTTTTGAATTGATCAGTACGGAGTAACCTCAACAATTTCTCATTGCTTTCGTTCGGCAAAAAATTTAGATTCTAAAGAAAGACGCATTATGTTAGACACACTCAAACGTTTACATTAAAACTTTCACCGCTCATGAATAGATTATAATTCGTAATCTTACCTTTTGTGATAAAAAGTTTTCCTTTGAAGACTCTTTAGGCAAAACCTCGCCCCACGAAATTTCAGCATTCCTCCAGATTTCAATTGTCGTATTTTCGCCCTGAATAGAAAAAAGCCTCGGCTTAGCTCGAAGAAGACAAAAAGATGTGTTTTTATATTTTAGTTTAGTAATAGGAAGAAAATCAGGCCAGGGGCTGGTTGTTCGAAAGGCGTTTAGCTTGAACGGTGAATAAGCCAAAGTTTAGAAATACTCACAGCTTTTTCTTTACTCATCAGTAGAATTTCGGCGAACAAGACAGCAGCTTTGCCAACAGGAATCAGATGCTCAAATATCAATGGTTTGAGATCAGAAAGGGTGAAGAGACCTCCATGAATAACTGGAGTAATAATTTCGGCAAAATATTTCCATAACATTGGGTAGTCTATGGCATTATCATATGCGAGCGCTAATAAACTGTTGAATCTGGAATAAATAAATTGAAGGTATTCAAAATATCCGGGGAAAAAATTGGTCTTCGTCATGAGTTTGGGAACTTCAGATTAAGTTTTGCAAAATCGACTATTAAACATGTCTGACTCTTACCCTGCAGTAAGCTGTTCTTTGGATAGTTTTTTCCGCGATAAGAGTTCTGCAAACAACCGACCAGTATCATTGCGGGCTCTGGCTGACATGTCATACGTATGCTCGACAGCAGTCAGTATAAAAACATGATGCAAGGTTGGAGAGTGAAGATCTGTGAAACACGCCATCGCCTCCTGAAAAATATGGACGACGTCATGTTTAAATATCAAAATGAACAAATTCGCCGGCAACATTTCTCCCCACCTAATGACTCAAACAAAACAAACAACTTTTACAAAAGACACAGAAAGAAACATCCTATATTGGAACTATATCAACAACTTTACCGTTATGTCTTGAATGTTAACATATTCATCGATTAGTGCCGTGGTTTTTCTTACTAATTCCTCTTCACTCAATGGTTCTTTGACAGGCTCACTGGGTTGGCTTGGAGGCTCGCTAGATTGCCTGACCGGCTCGTTTGTTTCTTTGCTCGCTTTGACTTCTTGTCGATCTTTGTTTGCGGGTGGAGGCTGTAAAAAGACGGTCTCGCATTACTTTGATTTGTTGTGGCAATCCAAAAGCGCAAAAGTGGCATCATATGTATATATTCAAGAATTCAACCTGTGCGACTGGAGGTTTCTCACTCTGTTGCTTTGTAAGAGCTCGGACTGCTTCAAGTGCGCTCTCACGATCCCGATCACTTTTCACCCGGGTTTTATCACTTCCTCGCGAACCAGCCGACGAGGGCCTGGAATTTTGTAAAGAAATTCTTCTACAAATCCAAATAAACAACACCACGATTCCTATGCATTATTATATCATCCTCCATTTCTCTTACGCTCTTCTCAATCATTCAGAGATCCTCTGGCTTCGTTCATCAAATTCCTGAACTATCTTAACGCCCGTTTACACGCTTGCAATTTTTTTCTTTTGATAGATGTGAACGAGTGGACAGTTACGGAGGTTTAGAGCTCAAGTACTCTGATATGAATATCTGTAACTTATTCATTAGTTCACATTTATCAGTTGAAGAAAATGCTACAAAAATTGCAAGTGAAAACGGGCCTATGTAAATAAATACTTTCCCAACCTTGAACCAGATGATGGTCGTCTTGGATCATACGGTCGATTGGATGAGACATCGCCCCCACTCAATGCGTTAAACCTGTTCCCCTGAGGTTGATCTTGTTCTTGCTGGGAATTACTCAAACCAGCAGAGCTACCACGACCCCACATTTGACCGAATCGTGAAGATGGACCCAGTGAGATTTCGTCAGCATTCGTTCGCTACAGGAAATCAATATACAGACATTGAACAATTTTAATAAAACGTACCGTTCCATCGATAACTTCGCAGGTTGCACGTCCATTAGATATTGCAAAAATTGTTTTACCTTGGCGGCCATGCTTCTCAGTTTATTTTGATCAATAGACATCGGTTTTCCGCTCTTTCCCGTTGTAATCCAGCCATCGTTTGATGTTGGTTTTGGACTGTCGCGACCCCCTATACGAAGAATATATTTCACACAATTTAAACATGGTTCCCGTACGTAAAACACTCTCATCACCTTTTGACTCAGCTAAATTCACCACCATTCATTACGTAAGCGATGGATTTACGGGGGTGCACGCATCCCTAGCACGTTTAGGCATGAGGGGGGGGGGATTTTGTACGGAGTCATGTATCCCATGACCGGCAAGATGGCCTCCACATATTACCTGGTCCTCCTTTTTTCTGCTTGTCCTTGAGCGCCTGCTGGGATACCAATCTTTGCTCCTTTATTTTCTCCTCCTGTGCCTCCTTGTGGATCTGATCAATCGTCTTGGGATTATACTGTTCTTCCCTACGATGCACCCATTTGTTCACACGAAGCTCGATCACATCACGGAGCATAAACGTGACCCGTGATGAAACTTTCTTAGCTGCTATAATTTTGTTGATTTGGTCAAAATACTGTTCGATTCGAGGCTGAAAAGGATCAAAATATATTTGTTTAAAACTACTACAATAATACCGGTTTAGGAAATATCAATTTCTTTCAAACTGAGTGGAGTAAAATACCTTCGCTTTATCCGAATCAAGATCTTTGCCGATAGTAAACAGCAATTTACACATGCTCTCTAAACTTTCCTCGTCGCCAGCTCGAAGCAGTTTAAATATACAATCATGCATGATATTTTCTGTCAGTAGCTAAAAAAAAGTTTAAAATCATGTTAAAGAAAATAGGTAATGGCTTCATTTCATAGGTAATGGCAACATGAATCCGTTGTCAGATTTAGGATGTAACTTTTCCTTTTCCCTTGAGCAAGAAAATATCCAAGTACAGTAATCCCGTCAGTATCAGATCAAAGTTCATTCAGAAGCTACTAACGTACTTTTAGCTTAAACAACTCTCCAATAAACTTAATATTCCCCAACATCCGCCGTTTATTCTTTGCTAGAGCTTCATCCATCTCCTCCTTTCCCTTCTTTCTTTCTTCCTCCTGCAAAAATGAGACATTCAGAAAAATCCCGCGGCTTTCCTGATATTCTACAAAACAACCATGTCATCAATGCTTGATTCTAAATCCCGAGCGTTAAATCAAAGCAAAAACATACCGACAACCCTTCAAGCTGAGAATTTTTCTCCAATAAAGCGTTCTCACATTCTTTTTCTTTTTCAAATTCTTTCTGGCATCGATTCAGCAACAATTTCCGGAAAGACACGTCTTTTCCATCCGCATCAGAAACTTTTATCTGTCCATAAATTTATAATGTCGTCTTATTTATACATGTCACGATCGATAGTGTAATGTATACTAAACGAAGAATACACCGCTTTTCTGAAAAGACAGCTTTGCAATAATTACCGTAAACAAACATCGACACATATTGGCGTAAGCAACGCTGAACACTGGCTCCCCTATAGCCTGGAAAAATATTCATACAAAAAATTAATAAATCAAACGCTCAAATATCAACAATATGCATCATAATCGATCTTGGATCGTGTTAAAAAGCTTGTAATTAGTTATTTACATCAGATAGCGTGGATTTATCAATTCCAAACTGTTGCCCGTAAACCATCATACCTTTTCAAATATCCTGTCGATTACTCCCTCGAGACGTTCAGGTGTGTCAATGTTAAGCATGGAGATCTGCTCTACCAAAGTCTTGAACTTTTGTGGAGTAAGTTTATTCAAGATGGCGATCACATTACGGTATAATTCCTGAAATAAATCATTAAATAATACTGAGCTTTAAAGGTCATTTTGATTTCGTTTAAAAAACTCAAACCTACAGCCGTTTTCTTTTCCTCTTCTGATAATTCCTTTTCTTTTGCCTCGGGTCGCTGCCAACGATTTTCACTTTGTTTCAGCTGTGGAAATATCAAATTTTCTCAACGTTACTTAACGAAACGAACAAGAAACGTGCAAAAAATATACAATAAGTCGACAAGCAGGGTAGAAAAGGACAAAGTTTATTGTCCGTTGCCATTCTTTTAAGTCAAGAGTGGAAAAATAGTCAAAACCATTCGTCATGCGACGATAATCGTATGATAGACAAATGAATTAGGATGATCTTTACGGAAGTAAATAAACTGATTTGTGTATTAATCTATTTGTGTAAGAAATCTCTTATAATCCTTCCTTCCTAAATCATCATCTTACTATCCGCCGTAATCCGCTAATGTCCTACTAAATTATTATAACAACAAAAATCGCTATAACTGATCATTTATCATTCTAATCATTAAAGGCCAGCGGGAAAAATGTAAAAAATGGGGGTTTAAAAGCATGGAAATATACATACAACCACGGGAGGTGCTGGGGCAGCGGTGATTATCTTGCGAGGTGGGGGTTTACCGCGGCTTTCACGTCTTCCACCACCACCCTATAGGAATACACATCAGAAAAGCTAAATCTCATGGTAACCATACTTACAACTTCGTCGCACGATCTTCTGCTTTTGGTTTTCAAAAAAACTAGCCAGAAATGGAAGATACCGATCCATTTTTGTAAAAATACTTAATTTTACCTGGCTTTTCTGTCTTGCATACGAGGGTAAGAAATCTGATCCACCTCTGCAATGGAAATGCGAGAGTTAAATGCAATATTTCTTCATCTTATCTGGTCTTGTATTTCCAATTATTTACCTTTGCGAGCCGCCTCCTTTGCTGGGCGGTATTGGGGCATCAAGAACGACCTCGATATCAGGTAGTCCAACTGGTTTCTCAGTACACACTTGCATGAATTGGAATTGCAGCAGGAAATCGCGTTCATATTTTCGCTTCGTCTGCTCGACCGCAGGAGTCGCTAGTTTCAAAAGAGAGCAAACTTGGAGAACTGGTACAATTTATACTTAATAATACACAACAGTACAATATCTTCACTCCTATAATTAGCGCTCAATGATAGGAATTCGTTTAGGGTTACCTGTGTCAGTTTCTTTTTCTATCTTAATTTCATCCCCAATCTTCTCTCCCTTGTCCTCCCAGCTCAAGTCTTCCTCCAAAGGTTTCTCACTCTGTTCTGGTACAATCTCAACCGGCTTCAACTTTTCCTCTACGACAGGCTAAAAATTTTATAAAAGATTCCTCTCATAAGTTTGGTGACAGTTTAGGATTACAATTCTTAAAAACAAACTAGCACACTATACAATAGATGGTATACTTTTGAAACATAATCATTCACCTCTGGTGGTGGTTTATCTGTATATGCATCCATCATGTCTCCTCCAGTCTCTTTCTTATTTATATCCTTGAATCTTTGTTTTGAGGATTTCTTCTTAGGTGGTTCTGCCAAAAGTTATCATAAATGTTATTCTGCGGATATATTCTAGAGCATCTAAGCAGCCTCAACCATGGTAAATAAGGAAATTATTTTGCCAATCAGTCATTTTATTATAATCTAAAGATGCCCCAGTCATATTGAAGAGGTTCTTCCAAAGGTCTATGCAGAATAGCCATTAGTTTATGACTAGTAAATACTTAGTAGCATTTGTCAAAGCATCTAACAATTGAGTTTCAAACCTGCTGTTCTCAGTTGTTTTTCCTGCGGCTTTGGATTGTCCACTTTTGGATTATCCTGTTTTTGTTCTGGTTTATCTGCATACACAGGGTTTGGTAGTTGAGGTGCGTAGTCTTTTTGCTGTTTTTCATCTGATCCTGAAGTTTCCTGTTTTGTCTGGACTTGCTTTTCAGCTTGTGGTTGTTTGTCATCTTGTTGTTCTTTGTTCTCTTCACTTTCCTCTCCTTGAGTCCTGTCCTTTTCTTGTGATTTCTCAACATGTGGTTTCTCAACTTGTGGTTCTACTTCCTGTGTCTTCCCATCTGTCTCTGCAACATCTTTTATATCTTCTAGTTTTGCTTCCTGTTGTGGTGCGACAGGTTCTTGCATTGGAACATCTTTAGGAATTTCATCTGATCGGTTGTCATTTGGTTGTCCATCACTGACAGTCACATTTTCCTCTTGGTTACAAACTGGTTGGACATTCATTTCATTGGTGGTAGTAAGCCTTGGAACATTATTTTCATCTTTACCAGAAAGAACATCAGTTTGTGCTGCATTAGTGCATGTTTTCACATCTTCAGAATTTTGAGAATTGTCCAAACATTTATCTGTATTTTCATCCTTTGCTTTTTCAACTGAACTGGTGTTAACTATATTTTCAGTGACCACTTTTTCCTTACCAACATTTTCTGGTACCAAACTCTCTGTTGCTTTTTCCCCATTTTTTGTTGCCCCTCTATCAGCTCGTAAAAGCACAACCTTTTGTTCACTTGGAGCTTCCTTTACAGGCCCGATACTCATTTTCAATTTTTCTGTCATTTCTTCCAAAGTTGGGGAGCTTTGATTTAAATGTGTTTTTTCGGCTGTGATTGCACTATTTTCTGTCCTTTCATTATTTGATAGACTAGTCACTTTGTTTGGATTTTCTGTCTTGGGTTCAGCTAAAACTTTAGGACAATTTTGATCATCAACTATAGAGCCATTTTCTTGTTTATTTTGGAAGGTAACTTCTGTTTTTGATCCATCTATTTCGTCAGCAGTTTTAATTGGAGGTTCCTTGTTATCGTTCTCTGTGTTTTCAGCTTTCTTTTCAACCACTTGTTTCCCTTTACCTGTATCGTTGGCAACAGCGGCAACCTGAGCAGCAAACTGTGCCTGGATGTTGGATGATTCTGTCTGAGCTGTTGCATTTGCCAGTGGAGGGGTGCTGCTGGATCGGCCATTTGCTGTACTAGTTTTGGAAAGAATTTCATCGGTAACATCTTTATGGTCTTTGGGATCTCGAATGACAATTTTACTAGATCGTTTCGGTTTAGGTTTGCCTACATTGTTCTGTTGAATTGCTGTGTTTTGAGTTGGTGCTGACTGTTGTGGTGGTTGTTGCATAGGTGGGTTTGGTTGCACATAGTACATAGGTTGCATTCCTGGATAGAATGGTTGTTGTGTGTGTATATATTGACTTTGTGGAAATGTGGGATTAGGTTGAACTGGGTAAGCCTGTTGCACATTTGGAATGTATGCTGGCCTACTTATAACTTGGCCAAAAGGTTCCTAGATGAAAACAAAATACCTCACACTTATACATTTTCCTTAATTTCTCGTACGAGATACATATAAAACAACACAGTACATATGCTAAATCTAGGATTGACATTATATGTATAACATATGTACAACACAAATTCACCTGCCAATCACGACAACATAAATTTGCTATACACAAAAGACCACAGGCACAAATTTACTACTCACTTCAAAGCATACAATTCACACTAAGGCTTCATCACTTTGAATGACAAACTAAAACCCACCTGCCCCATCATTTGAAAAGAAATATTCTGCTGTGGTGTAAGGTATCCCTGCATTGGTGAATGAGCTTGAGGAGAAGAGGAGTACATTGCCCTGGTGGCTCCCCTTATTGGACGTTGCATTGGGATTTGCATGTAAGGACGTTGACCTCCTTGCATCATGATAGCTGCCTATTTTTTTAATTCATGAACAGAGTTGGTGTCAATTGCATGTAGACTGGAACATAATAGGGAGCTTTAGGAATGACTATCAATGATAAATGTATTAGTTTTGTATTAAACCGGTGCTGTTTGCTTACACTAGCTGATGAAATTGCTCATCATTGGGCTTTTGATTTTGAAATTAATTAATCAACAAACTTGTACTCAAGTGCCCCACAACCATGCCCTTTGCACAATGGTATAAGCAAACAACATAGGACATACAGCATACAACACAGACAAATTTCATACTAATAGTCACTGATAAAGGTTCCTATTCACTGCATAGTAAAGGCCTTTTTGCTGTCTTCAATAAAGCAACTTAGCTCACAATACATGGGAAATGGTTGGGCAACTTGTAATGTCAATGAGTTCGGAACCATATTCCATTTGGATACAGACAAAAATATATCCAAATATGGCAAAAGTTTTAAATGCTATTCAACATGTTTTATTGTATAATTTGTTACAGTACCAGTATAACATGCAAATTGGAATTTAAATTACAAAAACAACTGACAATAATCATGAAATTAACCACCATTGACACAGTTGGGTAACCAAAACATTGTCATAGGTTCATTAGGCAAAAATACAAATTTCACAATGAATAGTGAATCATTGGCATAGGCAAAAACAATGACATATCATAAATGAGTTATATTGTACCTTAATCATCTTTCTTAACACTCTATGGCATCAAGCACATTAAAACTAAATGCCATCTGGATTGTTTATAAGACATTTGTTGGTTACCCCACCCATAGGTTATAACATAGTCCACCTTCCCAGCAGGACCCAGTCAAGCAATGATATTGCACTTTCTATGTATTATACGTATACCACAAAGATCATAACATAAACTTTATTATAAGAATCTCTTAAATCAAACTTAATTTTGGCTTTCAAATTGTAATTCATTCGTTAAAAAATGTATATTGAATCACTGCTCTAACCTGCACTGGATAATTCTGAGGATTCCGCAGCGGCGTATCGCCTGAAAACACAAAATTACATCAAATTTGATTCATTCAAATATAGAGATCGATCTTGAATTTTTATCCCAAATACAAGAGCATAGACAATATGAGCGGTACACGTACCTTGTATATGAGTATTTCTTTGATTTCTGTAAAGATCAAGTTAAGTTTTATAAACGATCATTCTATTTGTATACAAAATCACATGTACCTATGAACAAATGCGAAAGTAAAGTCGACATATTTGCGAGACACAATAAATTGGCCCAATTCACTCCCGATCGCCGATACAAAACGACATAACACTCGTATATAATCCATATTTAAAAGGATACTGTATTTGACTTCTTCCTTGGCCTGCTCCAAGATTATGTTGCTTCCTTTGCATTTCTTCCCCAAAAAATACACGAACCCTTCACCGTAGCCGGCAAAATGGCTTGATTTTAAGCGTCGGTTAAAAGTACTAAAACTTGTTATATTGGCGACCGGCGAGCTGTACGTGGTGTTTGGTTATTCCATTATGGTTTGGTGTCTTTTTGAGACATCGATGGTTTGATAAAAGCGTAGATTTTGAAGGATTCCATAGTAAAATAAACAGCTATTCCACGGCAGTCGATGCCGTACCAAACCGACCTGAGTCAGATAAATGAAATGACGTCACATTCTTAGAACGCGCACATGCGTCACGCAGGCTCAAAATTTCGACGCAAAAACGATAAAATCTTCCCACTTTTGCGTGGTCGCAACATATTACAACAAAATTGTGAACTATAAGTCATCCTGGGTTTTTTGTTTCTTCTGTGAAAGTGTATTGCACAGTGTACTGTACTACCCTAGAGTTACTCCAGTATAAAAATTAGGGAAATGTAGAGGTGTAAAGTGGAAGTATAAATATGAATGGAATGAATTCAATGGAATGAATTTTGACTGGATGAACATGTATGTTGCGTTTTCGAATAATGGACAAAAATGGAAATGAATCATTAGGGAAGCAAGAGGAGTTGGTTTCAAACAGAGACATTCTGAATAAACTTCAGATATTTCTAGACAATAATATACGATTCATAGGAGTGAGTTTTCTGTTATTACTATGTGGTCAAGTTGAAATGGATGAAAATTGAAAAATAGGTTCATATGAGTAAGATGGCTAGAAGTACCATTTATGGATATTGGAGGTAGATTTTGATTTTCATTTGTAGAATGTAAGCTGGATTATTGGTGGTATTGGTTTGGTGGTAATCATTAGAAGAACCTACGCTGTAAGTGTATCATTTCACTCCATATAAAGGAAAAATGGATGGTGAAGTTGCTGATGAAGACTACTCTATAGCCCTGTAGTTCTGGGGATTCTAATAATTCATTTACCATATCCCATAAGCCTGCTATTCTTCTATTGCTGTAATGAATTCAAAATAAAGAACTTTTTTCTTCAATATTTTTCACCACCACTGACATCATGCACATACTGCATGCCCCTCATATATATAATTCCTGTCTTTTCTATGCACAATTACCTGCATTATATATATATACCTTATCTCTAGTTTCATCATTTTACCAAAACATCATCCATTCCTGAAACCTACTTCAAAAATAATGCCACATTAACAGGAAAAGTCATGAAAGTCTGTGATAATGGCCATCTAGGTGTTCTTCATTTACCATTGCTGTGGAGAGCTCGAATAAAATATATCACAGGTATTGGAGTGGTTGAGCAAACTGGTTCAACTATTACAAACTAGAAATAATCACGAGAGACAATGAACTAAAGAAGGCAGCATTACTGTTCATTACTCTAAGAGAGAGAGTCTCTGCCTGAGTAAAGTGAAAACAAAAATAAACTGAACAATCAAACATGGATTTTCTTTCCTGTCATAGATCCCAGCTTGCTGGATATCAACATAAGTGGCATTGAATTGCAAAGTGGTGGTCTTGAATTCCTGAACTCTGAACTTGCAAGCAACATGATTAAGTTTCAACTTCTTGGCAAAGACGAGTCTGATAATATAGAATCGATTGTTTACCACAATAAGGTTTGTTTGCAGGTGTACCGAAGCTTCTCATCTTGTTTCCCCAAGCTATATTCACCTGCATGTCAAGTTTGTCAACTCCTTAGTTAAAGAAATACGGATTTTGAGTTTTGAATCGATATTTTTCAGGGTTGGTTAAGACGAAAATCCTGCCTGAATGAAGATATTGTCAGTCGTGGGTTTGCCACTTCAAAACATGTCTCGTGCTTATCTGATGTTGCAGCATATAACAATCTCGTTGAAAGATTAGTACGTGTTGAAGTCAGGGCAATGAAGAGAAAGTCGGGCATTTGGAAAGAAGACAGCCATGGGATTTTTCAAAGAATTTGGTCGTGGTTTAGGAAAAAAATATTTAGAAATTGATGTACTGGTTTATACTGTCTGTAATATATGTGTATAAAATACACCGAATATTAGTATTAGATGCTTTTCTTTGTCCAGAAACGCTGTGTATATAAACATTAGTATTTCTCTCTCATTCAAACTGCCGGCGCTTTATTTCATCTAGTTTTCGACTATTTCCAGAATTCTAAAATAAATAATTTTTGCTTTAATTTCATCTTCTTTCTTTTTCTTGGTTGCCGAGTTATTTCTACTGCATTCAAACTAAAATACCTGTATCTAACAGCATTGTTAATGTCGGATGCACGGCCGACTATTAAAATTTATATACTAAATTTTCGGCCGTCAAAAATTAAAACCGTCCGATAAAATCTTGTCTCTTGCACTAGAGAACATTATTGTATGTCAGCTTGGAAACTCTTCATGTGGAGGAGAAAAACATTGAAAAAATGCCAGGGACTCAGGGAGTCTCATCTATCTCTACCAATACGTAAGACACAATTAAGTAGGTTAGTAGCACTAACTTGTTCTACCTGGTTTCTGCTCCACTTTGCCGGCAAACTCAGACAGGAGATGTTTATTCAAGAGTTCAAAGTGTATCACAATAATGTTTCCTAGTGTGCCTATCTAGGTATTTCTACCTAATTTTTAACGTATCTTGCTTCTTCATCAAAATCGTCGAGTGGCTTTTTCCCATTCTCTGGTTGTATTTGCTTCATGTCGTACATATTCTCCGGTGGTGGAGGCATTACTAACTTTACTTTTTCCTTACCAACGGAATCAATGTTTTTTCCTTCAACACTGTTGTGTATTCCGTAGATGAAGTAAATTAGAAGACCTAGGTACAGAAAGTAAGCGTTATAAACAGTGGGTAAATGGCTAAACGTGTTACAAATATTTAAGGGATGCAAAGGTAACTTACCAATAACTAGCCATACAGCAAAACGTATCCAGGTCATGTACTTCAGCTTCAGAAGTAGAAATATATTCACCATTATGCTTGCCAGTGGGAGTACTGGTACACATGGTACTGTGAATGGAAACGTAGCACCATTGGTCGGCTGTAGTACCATTATAACCACACCCAAGACTACCAACACCCCACTTAAGGTCAGTGTTGTTATTGCCCATGGGTCCTCCCCGAGAAGATTGCCCCAAGCCCCAATGAAGACCGCGCTCATTCCTCCCATTCCAAATATGATTAACCCCAGAGATGACGTTGCGATGAAACTCGTTCGGGAGTCTGGTTGAGCTTCCGAGGTGTTGGTGATCGTGTTAAGGGATTTTGAGTACGCGGTATTTGATGAATGCTGACTGGAGGATGAAATACTTGATGTATCAAGCTTCAAATAATCGTGAAAGGCGTCTGGGTTCGCTTTGCAGCAAAACACTCGACTCGCAAACATGTCACTTCCAGATTCCTCTATGCTTTTAACTCCGGGCTGGAAACGCAGAGCTACTACAGAGACCGCGACTAAGGTATAGGCCATTAGAGTGCCGATAGAAAGCATCTCCACGAGTTGGTCGAGGTCGAATATGAGTGCGATGAACGCCGCTAAAACACTGGCCGCCACGATCGCGCGGACTGGAGTGCTCGTGGACTTGTTAACTTTGGAAAAGTAGGAGAAGATTAAACCATCTTTGGCCATCGCGTAAATTATTCGCGGAACTGCAAAGGTGCCGCCAAGTAGAGCACCAGAAAGGGCAGCAAGTCCACCAGCAATAATGATGTATTGTGCTGCCTAGAATGAAAAAATGTATGAAATTACGAAAATATCACAGAACTGATTGTGTGTCCCAAGGGAAGCCCTTTTGTGATAAACCATGTCCCTTGCAGGGGGTATATTAGTCCTTTCAACCAAAATTTTAACATCTCGTCACCTTGAATGCGTGCTCTCCAAACGCGTTTGCCAATGGTGCTTCTTCTGTGAGTTCCGAGTACGGCACCATCATTGTCAAGACAGTCGCCACTCCGAAATAACAGAAGAATGAAATGAGTAATGATAACACAATGCTCAGAGGGATATTTCGACGCGGGTTGATGGTTTCTTCGCCTGCTGTTGCGATCACATCGAATCCAACGAAGCAGAAAAAGCAACTCGCGGCTCCAGCGAAGATGCCAGAAGCGCCGTATGGCGCGAAATTCTCGCGCGGCGTCCAGTTTTTCGTGTCGACATGCCAGAGACCTACACCGATGACGAAGACAACGACGGATAGGTTTATAGCTGTGACTGTCTTGTTGAAGACGGTTGAGTGTTGGGTTCCCATGCAGACAATCGCCATCATAAGAAGTGGCATTAGCATAGCCACAAAATCTGGATACGACCCAAGCCCTTCCACTTTCCAAGCTCCTGGGAAAATAAATATTTACATTAATAAGTTCTCCTCGTGAATAACTATCGGATTTTATGAAAAAGATCCGCAAATTTTGCACGTTTGCCTGAAGAAATATCCTACTCTGCTACATCTGTAAGGCTGTGGAACGATTTAAAAAGTGGAGGGGAAGACTGAAGAGGAGAAAGGCACTGACATAAAAAAAATCCTCTGTATAGTGGTCAAATTCAACTCGTTTACCTCTACTAGTTCAAGGACTAAAATAAGGGCATGTGGCAATTCAAATCAGAACTATTTGTAAATGGTTTATTAGGAGAATGAAGCGCTAGAATACTGTACTTGATTAATATTATAGGTAATACAAAATGAACTTTCTTACCAACATTTGTTGTAAAGAAATCTCTTATGGCCCCGCCAAAGGCAGAATCTATGTAATTACTAAGACCTCTTGCGAGAGACGCGTTGCCAATGATATACTCAAGAATCATATTCCATCCGATTACGAAGCCCCAAAACTCTCCAAGGGTGGCGTAAGTGTAGACATAAGCTGATCCAGCTTTTGATACGCGACAACCAAACTCCGCGTAGCATAATCCTGCCAACATCGAGGCCACAGCAGCGATTAGAAAGGACAGAACTATTCCTGGTCCTGCCATGTTCTTTGCAACTTGACCTGTAACAACGTACAGCCCTGCTCCGACCGTCGCCCCCACACCAAGGAAGGTAAGGTCGAAGACATGAAGACATCGATGAAGAGCTGACTCGGCTACCTTCGTTGTTACATCCTTGGTACGGGTTAGCATTGCGAAAAACTTTGCGAAACTCATTTTGTCTTGTTGCGGTGAGAGTTCCTTTTTAAAAGATGATTAATGTTTGTCAATATCGTCTGAAAAGAACTGCACTGAATATGCAATTTTTTCTCTTAAATATATGCGTTGACTTGACTGATAGTCTTTGAGGATTGAATGTACCGGTTAAGTTTAATTTTGAAACCGCACGAGTCTCTTCTTTTCCGTGTATTTGACTGATCAGATTCCAAGCAATATATTCCTTCGTGATGCTCGCTTTAAATTTTTATGAGTCTTCAGTTAAAAGAATAGTACCTCTTTTTTACCAAATGAAAAGTTCGAGTGTAATTTGGTTCAAAAATAGAGGGTGACTTTCTGTACGAAGTGAAGATTCTTTTATATAATAGAACAATGTTGGTTTTCTAGTACAATATCATTCAAACTATTATTGTACCAATCATAATTTGTACATACAACGATTTTGTACGCGTCGTATACGGCTTGACCACAATTTGTTGATGACTTGTTATTGTATGGCTACAAATTCCGCTGTGAGTTGTGAGCTATCACCTCGTCTTGTCCTTTTGATAAACTGTATAGCTCCGTTTTCTAACGAGCACGCGAATTCTTTTTTCGTAAACTCAAACGAGCATCGAATTCGTACCGTTATATATTGGGAGAGTGTATCAACAGCCTTGGATATAATTGCGATGTTGGCCTGCTGAAAATTATCCTTCAAGGCTGAGTACACTATACACCTTGCCAAAAATATACCGTCGTATTGACAAAGACAAACTTGTGCTTTCGTTTAAACTCTCAGTGCCTGTGGCCTTTATTCTGTGCCAGAAATATTCTTCACTTTAATGCCGTTGTTTTCAACAGAGACGTCCTTCCTCATCAATATTTTAATGTTTTATTCCTAATACAATAATAGCTAAAGTTGTCGGCAGTAAATTCAGCGAAATTAAATTTGATTTTGATCGGCCCAGCTTCAGCTTCTTGCTCGCGTACACAATTCCAGTGGCTCTACGGAATGCTTCTGTCTAAAATGTTTCAACAGAACCTCAGAAGGTCAGTTATCCTTCCGAAGGAAGTGGATTCGAAGATGCTAATATCTTGAGTAAACTTGTTTTTTCACGTCTGTGTCAAAGTCGGCAGAATCTTTCGGTCAAATGATCATTGTATATATATAACTCCTTTTTTATTCCTCATTACTAGTTGTTCTACAACTGAAATCACGATGTTCCTTAATAGATGATAATATCCTGGGTGAATAACGTTCAAAGATGAAAAATAAACAAGTAAATTTAACCTCTCGGCCTTACATAGGCCGTTTCGACGGAGGAATAACACACGTAAAGCTGTTATGGTTTGTATAATGATATAGGAATATGCAAATTTTTTTATCCTCCCAAGAATTTGCATTTGGCGAGGGAGTATACGCGATTTGATGAAACAGAATAATTACGTCTGTGAGTGGGCTCGTTTCCTATCATCCAACACAGCTGTCTTCCCTGCCCACACGCAGATTTATTGTGATTTTAAGTCTGCATCTAATTTTACTTCGCGAAACCTAAAATACAGGAGAATATAAACTATAAAGTTTGATAAAGCATATCTGAGATGCAACAACACTGATATAGCAAAACAAAGAGATGCAATGAAGTGTATGACATATAGAACAAGAGCTTACGTAAAAAAATCAAGTAGATCTTTAGTGTAAGCTCACCACTGTTGAAAATCGTGACGGAACTAGATTTATTTCCTCTGTAAGCAAATGGAGAGTCGAAGCTTTTTTTCTAACATGTTATGAACTACATGCAGATGAAACTATTTGGATGCAGCCAAGCAGGTCCTTTAACGATTGATTGCACCGGCTAGCTCATTGATTACGTTCCACAATCGAAGGTTCGAGTATATCTACTGTTCTATTGTCTTGACTATGTCGGACATGACCATGAAAAATCCTGCTTCAACTGCACATTCAATTTGACTCCAATGTTGTGATGATTTTGCATATAGTAATTTAATTTTTTTATACGTTTTCGATGCTCTTGAATTGGTTTGCGCTATCCCTGAATGCATCGCCGAGACTTATACCATGCATGAAATCAATCAACGGTGCCCATTTAACATGTCATATTTACATTTTATGCATGCTTTTGGTACATTATGACCTATTCGGATAATCACAGTTTTGAAGAATTTTTTTAAATTCCCATAGAGACCTCTCCGACCGTCAAAAATTCAACGCAAAGTACCAGCACGTTGTCTTTGATTAAGAAGATACAAGATTTTCATTTTACTGATATGCTATACTCCAATTAATATTTCAAAGACCATATGCATCCTTGCGTTAAACTGAAAGTTAAAAGAAGGAAACAAAGAGAAGAAAAGACTTTGGAGCATTTTCAAAAACCAAAGACCCCTTGCAATTGTTTTCACTATATTTTATTTTGAGACCAACTATTGCTCACTTTAAAGATTCCTTAGAGATTCTTTTTGCACGTAGGAATTTCCTAATATCAACAGAAAATCTCTGTATTATAAGTGGAGAGCTAACCATGGCAATATTGATTGAGTTTACACAGTCAACGCTACGTGGCAGTAAAATGAGTAGATATTGTCAACTTCGGAAATGTAAAACCTGTTTCCCATTAGGCGAATTTGCTTGCGAGAACTGATAAAGCGTAGGGAGGGATTCGCTTCAATTTAATCTATTTACTTTTTTCGTCGGAGTTAAAGCTATAATTACACCTTTACGAGCGTGACAGACATCAGGCAACCGGGTTAGTCTACGGAGAACAAACAAAAGGCCTTACAAAAGTTCTTTACTCGGGTAATGAAACTGTCGGTTGACCACAAATGGAGCACGACAGCGCTCCCACCTCTTTATGCAATGTTTTCATTTATATAGCATCAGATTTTCACATATAGAGCAGGTATAATTCGTATATACCTAAACTAGCAACAATGAACACGGGCACACAAAGATTTTGATGTATTCAAACGTCTACATTTTCCTTTTCAAACTCTGCCCAATCCTCTTCGAATATATCGTCATCATCGCTGTCACTAAATTTGATGACTTTTTTCCGGGTTTTGCGAGTCGACTTCCTGCCTGTCGGCGGTAGTTCGGATTCGGAATCGTTCTTCCGACGACGACGCGACGCCGGAGTCCGACCTTTGGTGCTTCTTGTCTTTTCTATAAATAAAACGTTAAAACGATAAAATATTACAAATATTTCAGTCCAAATACATTAACATGAAATAAGTTATGCGAAACTATATGGTTGTGATTAATTTAAAATAAGGTAGAAAAACGTTATGCAATCTTACTATTTGCAGGCGTATTGACGGTTTTTCCGACGAGGACCCGAGCAGCGGCCGACGCTTGGTTAGCACGTTCGTAGCCCGCTTCGTCTTCGGCACCTTTCTCGTGACACGTCGTGATACGTAACTCAAGCTCTTCCACGACAGCCTGCGTGGAAAATGAATTGCACCGTGGAAAATTTACAAAAAGGCTAACTAACACTAGCCTAAGCAATTCTTACCAGTAAGCGCTGCAAGGCAATTTTCTGACAAAATCAATAAGTGTTTTAACGATAGTAATGATTGCTTACTTTCATTTCGGGTTTGGCCATTTTCTTGCATTTGCCAATGATAATATTGAAGAAAGAATAAACCTCTTCATTTGATAGCGTGCATTGGAAACATGCAAAGTTTTCTTGTAGTTTTCTTAAAGAGCGTTCGTTGTAGGCGAGTTGAGCCAGACAGAAGGACAGGTCGATCCATTGACGATCGGTTCTACACGAGATAGAGCATGGCATACCTCTATTATATCTCTGGCAGTCGGGAGGGGTGGGGCAGGAGTAGTAAGCCTGAGTTTTACTGTGAGACAACTGACCGACTTACTTCGTTGCTCTAAATCGGTGGCACAGTTTCTCCACAAGACTTTCACACTGACGATCTTTTTGAATGAATGAAAACAGGTAGCTGGAATGATTTTAAAAAGTTAAGTGATGGCGTCATTAAGTGATGGCATAATCATGTTAAAATGACGTCATCAAAAAATTATCTTGATGACATGATTATGAAATTCAGTCCTGTGAAATCATGGTAAGGAGATGCTACCAAAAATAGATACAATACCTCATGATATTCCTGAATGGCGCCTCTGGAATGCCTGTTTCGGGATCAGAAAGTCGGCTGATGACATCAGGAAGGATATTGTAGACAGCATTACCCTAGAACAGGTCCTCGATTAGATGATATTCGTGATAACGTGAAATGACTAATGACAACTTTGAACTAGGCAAGAAGACTTGCCCGTCTACCTTCTTTGCCAGTTCAGCAAAAAATGATTTTGCAAGTTCCGCAATTCTAGAATCGTCGTCTTCCAAGCAAGTAGCCATTTCGCTTATCTGACCCTTGACCTTGACCATATCGTTGAGAATGAGACGAGTCATTATCTTCATCGTGTTCATCCGAACTTGAGACGAATCATCACGAAGTCTAAACGAGTAGGGTTAAGCAAGGATTAACAGGTACGTCAAACGACGGATTTTTAGTGTGTATAGTCTGATTAATACCTGGACCAAGATCACGTAAATTTACTTTTCTGCTAACAAGTGAAAGATTCTGTTGTAATTACCTTGCATAAAGATTTGGTGTCCAAGGTTCAATGAGATTGGGAAAACGAGGAGTAAGATCACCAAGAGCGATAATTGTGTTGGACCTGATCACTTCATAGCGACTCTAAAAAATGACAGAAAACGAGCGTTGAGAGAAAATAAAGCAAAAAGAAAATAAGATGTTCCATTGCTTCTGACCAGCAAATGGTATATAATAATCTGAATTAAACTTACCTTTTCCAAAATCGTAAATAAAAGTTGAAGATTGTTCTCACAAAACTCGGCACTAAAATTGGGATGTTTTAACGTAAGATGTGTGTTCTTATGTAATATGCGGTATTTCACCACAGGATACCCAAGGGTATGGTGCATACAAAATGGCTCATTCTTACCTCACCAACATGAATTTCGACAATGCGAGAGAGGCTGCTGTCTGCAGTTGTAAATCAGGAAACTTGATTGGGTTATTACATACAGTAACGATAAATGAGCCAAGTAGAGACAACAGATTATTGCCACCTACAGTTGAAAGAAATTAGGTTCCATATTTAGGCTACTTCAAAAACTTTTTACTGATGTAATAACGATGAAAAAGGATCATAGTTGCTGAGGCATAACAGCTAGAATTCATACTGAGGAAATAGGAGAGCTGTTTCGAGTTGAAACACAGTTTGAACTCCAGATATCATATCGTTATTCAAAGAGGAAGGATTGTCTGGATATCATACCAGTGACAATTTCATGGTCACAGATCTTCTTAATGTATTCAGCTTCAGCATCCTCTGCCGTTGCTCCTGTCAATCCCATTTCATCCTCCAGTGTCTCTCCCGGGGCCTCCTGGACAAAGATAGTATTTATTGTCACTAATATCAATGAAGAAAGTTGCATTATTCTCACCGCTATACTTATGTTAGAACAATTTACATTCTTTAGTAAATGGAGCCTCGCGCCCTATAATCACCTTATTTCGTGGGGTTTGTTCAACACTTGTAGACGTCGTCTTTTTTTTGTTTCCCTTCTCATCCTCTTTTAACCTCTCACGACGCTTGATCTCCCCCAACACTCTCGCTTCGAGATGAATAACTTGCTGCAATGCAACATGGCCAGCGGCTGCTAGGAGACGAGCTAAGACGAAGCTTGGACACGACATTGGGGCTTCTTGTTGTTCGTCGTTTTCTGCTAGATGCAAGTTACAAAAGTTGACATAATTCCCAGCATATTTACTGCAAGCTAACCACCATAGTCATTTAACTTTAATTTTTGGTCCTATCGTTATTACAATTTACCTTTTTCAGTTATCTCGTCATTTCTGTCGAGATTTTCGCCTCCAACAAAAATCTTTTCAATTAAACTCTTTATCAATGTTGCAACATATTCTATCAGGATGCTCTGCTAAGTTATATATCACATTAATTGCCTCCTCTGCCATCGGAACCCACATTCCTTGCACAGGAGAAGTGATGGTATTCACGAAGATTTCTTTCAAACGTAAGAACATGACATGGTCGGAAGCAAAGCGAAGCTGACTTTGTTTGTCGTCGCGAATCTGTTAAGGAGATGGTTTTTTAGGTAATAGCTAAATGATGTGAAACGATTATTTTGCTGAATTTTGTTAACAAATGTATTTTTTTACCTTTTCCTCACTTTTGGCCAGTTTAAGTAAGATGGTACAAGTGTCTCGCACTAATAATGCGTCATCTTTTGCTCTCTCGCCAAGCCCAATGTTAACAAGCACTTCTATGTTGCTCTTCACGATCTCGTGTTTGCCTCTGAATGTTTAAAATAAATTGAAATGATCGATACTGCTAAAGTAACTATAGAGGAACTATATCCACGGGTACTGAGTTCTGCAATACAGTTATATCAATGATACACTGTAGGTATATGTCCTTTTTTAAATTGGCATTTACCTTGCAAGCATCCCCAACAATTTCAGAGCAGCTTTGCTTTCTTCTGGTGTTGTCTGACGATCCTGACGAAAAACAATAAAAAACTAACTTATGGCTGCGTTTTAAAACGAGGTCATGCAGTGACTTCACAAGCTAACTGGATGACAAAGTTCTCGTAGTTAATGGTATATACAGTATATGGTATAACACTCAATTCAGTCCCAATGAAATTCTGAAGAAATAACATCATGAAATGGTTTCACATTGCATTACCTGTAGTTATATCATTCGTATATATTAAAATTCCGTACCTTCATTGCAAATTTTTCCCACAGAAGATGGATAACATTATTTGGTAATAAGTTCTCCTTCATCAGTTTGTATACCTTTATAAATGAGGACAGAAATAAAGCAATGAAGTCTAGCTACAATAATGTTTAGGAAACGACTCAGAAACCTAGGTATGTGTGCGTACCAGTTCATCAAGTGAAGTGAGATCACCAATCGAAGCATCACGAAGAAGAGCAAACAGGTTTTTAACGATTGCCTCAGCTTTAGACCTAAAATCAAAGCTCTCATTGGTCGAGGAAACTTACGGATAGATTTATATACAGGAGGGCTGAAAATATGTTGTTTATCCGTTAAGCATATAATTTGCAGGAAAGTTAAAAGATTGAATTCAATTGCATGATACCTTTGTCCTTGCACTTGCGGATTAAGATACAATCTTGTATAAGCATCGATAACCTTTGTTTTGATATCGTTATCTTTCGACCAAACCAAACACAACATTCGCCTCACTCCCAGCAACGCGTTCTTCAAACCAAATTCGTAGGCAATAACAACGAATTCAATGGATTCATGTACATCTGAGGACACTTGAGATCCCAGGAGTCGACAAACGACCATAAGCGCTTGCTGGTATTGAGTATGAAATGACAGGTAATCCTAGGGATAAAAAATAATGATAACCGATCGTTTTTCATTGCCTGTTCATATTGAACTTTTTTTGATGATGTATTTCTTAAACAATAGTTTGATGAAGAGGCATTACCTTTAAATATTGAATGACGATTTGTTGTTTGGAGACTTCATTCACTAAACTGTCTGGATCCGCATTACCATTTTTATCATTCTGGTTGCTACAATGCTCTTCTTCTTCAGTCAAATTACTGACTGGTCCAAACTCTGGATCTGAAATCATCGTCACACGAATCAACGATGATGCAGCGAGAGATGAATATTGGTAGAAAGCTAAATCTCATATCATTCTTGACATTACTTACTCATAAATATTGTCTTGAGAAGTTCCATTTCCCTGTAGACAACGTCTTCTTTATTTCTAGTTGCTTCTGCCTCGTTCCTAAGACGCAAACAATTCAGGTAAATGACTGACGGTAAAGTAAAATAGCACAGCATTGCAAACGCCAAATTTATTACCGGATGTGTTCCGATTCTTCAGTTGTTGTTTTACTGAACATTTCATAATCTGGCCAAGTAACAATAGCAGCTTTAAGAATGGCCAGAGCTTTGGCATAATCTCCGGAGACCAACTGCCTTTTCACATTCATCAAGGCGCTAAATTCAAAAACAGAACAGAGTTTAACTACATATACAGGGACCTACCTATAAGGGAATTATAATAATTCACAAGGTAAAGGCTGTCCAGGTTTTTCCTCCCGCTCTCCCGTCTCCGCTGTTCTTCAGAGAATTATATATCCTTAAAGAGCCATCCTACAGTTCAGTATATCTCAACGTGCTTAGATCGAATGGAATTAGACAAAACGTTAGATACAAGGTTATATACTAGTTGGATGCTTACAATTCAAGAGCTTCATTGACATCTCCTTGGAACTCAACATGTTCTCCATCTTCATCGACAATATCCTCGACTTCCCAGTGATCCTCGACTACTTTCTTGATGTCGCCCTCCAGTTCTAACCAACGTGTAAGCTCTGCGGGTCTGGACGCCTCCGGGGCTATACGAAACAATACGAAGAAATTTTGATTAACGCTGTCGTTGAATACATATTTGGCTTCGGATTCACCGTTCACGATAGCTTTTCCAAGTTTGCAGAATAATAGAACAGAACAAAAAACATGCATGTATATTGTTATGTAATTATTTCCTTCCACCTTGATCATCTTCATCGACTGCTCCAGGATCCATCTTCCTTAACTTCTCTTTCTCTTCCTCCAATCTCTTTTTCACCTCCTCGAGAGGAAACTGGAATTCAAGTATAAACAATTTCCCCACAAACTATCAGATGTGCTGAGTGAGTGAATTATTTAAGTGTCATATCAACTCTTTTTATTCAAACTAACATTTTACCTGCGATCCAAAAGCATTATTCATAAGATATTCTTTCAAAAATATAATAGCATTCTTCCGAACATTGCTTGAAATATCAGTCAAACGACCAGTAACAAGACTTAGAAGATTTTGCTGTCTTGCCAACGGAATTGCCTAAACCAGATCGATAGTCGATACTTCAACAAAAAAACTTGTCGTTTCGGCTCTTCTAAATATTCTCAATATTTCTCAATTCTATACCTTCTCTCGGCAGATATTTTGCCATATCTGTAAAACTTTACTACGAACGTAAGCATGGACATCGTGAATGTGATTCTGAATAAATGAAATGTATAAAGCTACGATTAAAGCTAGTTGCCTATTAACCGCGATGTACTTACTGTATTTAACTGAATGCATGTGAAGCTATGCAGCGCTTATATGTACCTCCAGGTGATCCAAGATTTGATCTCTCGTGTTCTTTAGGTTTTCGGCTAAATCATCTTGACTTAACCGCAATATGACCAGCTTACCCATCACTCCCAGGACACCATTACGCATAGAGTACGGCTGAAATGATAAAGAGATTGAACTGTGTCTGAGTTGAATATGATTGCAATCAAATTGTCTTAGGAGAAAGACGGGAGACGCGTGCATACTGCTGGAGAAACAAGTGGTGCAAACTCGACAAGGGAAGCTAACCTCGGTGTCTAAATGACAGAGTAACAAACTAATATTTGGCAAAATATATTCAGGTATTCTTGAGGCCAGTTCCACAAGAAAATCTGAATAACATCGTGTTGCACTTGCATCCCTTTCCAAATCCTTTGGGTCGATTCGACCAATCTCTCTGTAAATAGAAAGAGCAACTTTCATGCCTAAAATGTTGATTCCCATTGTGGGTGGTTTTCACTTTTCAGCGAAAGACTGCAGCCCTCACAATGGATGCATCATAGCTAGTTAGAGGAAAGGCATAGATACTGTAGTCTGCATCTTTATACAAGGTAGATACCCTAGGAAATGGGGAACACTGCCTCGTAACACACCAACATACCGTAACATATCCACAACCATATTCCTCATTCCATGTTCTGCAGCACAGATCTGTACCAGCTGTGCCATGGGTGCTATCAAGTGTTCAAAATGTTGCAATAGTTGGATGACTTTCACTCCAACGCTCAGACTTTGATTGTATTTCCTCACTAAGAGGGCCAGGATATTAAGAATGGAGTCACGAGTGTTCTTCTCCCGATTTATGACAGGACTCTCTAAGAACTTGTAGCAGCAATTTGCAAAGGCACTGAAAAAACGAATTATATTGGTCTCCAAGTGTCTCAGCTCTAGTGGCCGGGATATAGTAAACCTAAACACATAGCTTTAAACATACTTAACAAACTCCTCTTCAACCACCGGTGGTTCCCACAATGAGACAATATTGATTTCCAACAATTGCATTGTAATATTAAGAAAATCCATCTTCACTTCTGACCAATCAAATGGCAAAGCCGAAGCTGACTTCTTTGATTTGCCCTTTTTTCTGCCCTGGAAAACAGGTTTTATATAATAGACATTTTAACTATGACAGGAAAATCCTGATGCATTGTAAGTTACAGGTTATATTCTTACTGGAGTAGCAGCCACAGATGGCTTGCAGTCTTCTGCTTCAAACTCTTCAGCAAATTGTGTCAGCAAATAAGACAACATCTAGTGGATGAAACACAACACTTTTATCATCTAGGTTACATTTAATATACGTACCGTAATCCTTGCCCAGAACCAAATGAACTTGTAAAAAATGAAGTCTCTAGGAGTTATTTCATTTCAAAACTTGTTACCTTCAGTGTGTTTCTGTGCTCCTTCTTTGTGTCCCATTCCATATCATTCTCCTCCAAAATATTGATCAACTCTGACATTTGCTTATTCAGAGCTAGAATTATAAAAAACCTTTCTTTCTCAATGCCAGGTTATTATATAACAGATTATAAACTTATAAATTAAACCATAGACTACCTATTCAAATAATAACCGACTGTCTAGTTAATTGTAGAGACAAGCATTAGTTTTGAATTGAGTATACAAAAGTTTCCTACAGTACCTCTATTTAGACATTTCCAGCAATCAAACTTCAACTGATTGCTCAATTCAGCAAAATTCCTTTAATGACACAAAATATACACCATGATCTATGATTTCGTCAAGCAGGAGTACTAAATGTTCGTGTAGTACGTTCATTTTCAATGTACATGCATCGACCTTTTTGACGCATCTCTACTCACTTTACGACGCTGAAAAAAACATCAAACTGTCCCAAAATATTGCAAGATCCGCTGTTAAGCGCAGTAGCTGCATCTATAACAGATCGACGGTATAAAACACCTTAATTCATTACAAACATTGGCCAGAATGAACGTCGTTTCAAAATGTAAACATGAGAAAATATCATGTTAAATTTATCAATCATTTCCAACCGCTAATCCTCCCTGGCAAGCCACGCACAGAATAGACCTCTTGCACAACATACGAGCCTTCTGCAGGACACAAAAGATCGTCTTTAGTCAAAGGAATCGCAAATTCTAAGTCCATTTTTTAAAAAAATATTTTGAAATAAAGCGCCATAAATTTCTTTTATGAATAATTCCGCTCATTTGGGGAACACAATAGAACGAACCAATCACATCACAGGAAAGGCATCTCCATGAACGCTAAATATAACTGGACGATGAGGGAGGTGTAAGGTCAAAAAAATAAAATTTCAAGTGCTTTTTGCAAGTAATTTTCATTGTAACCAGTCTGACTACGATCATCGGTTGAATAACGTCTTTACTCTACACTTTTTTAAAAATTATTCAAAATCTTTATTACAATCAAAAAACCTAATGTGTCGAAACGTTGGGTCGTGAATGTAATCTTTGTATGCTTTTGTTGAAAGTACGACTTTACTCCATTTTATTCTTCTATTGTATTTGTGAGTTTCATGTATTCTGGACCATCGTTGTTCGTAACATCCACGTTTTGTGTGCTATGTTTCACTCCATAGGATAGATAAATCATCATACCTAAAGACAGAATAAACGGTGTGATCCTTTAAGAGGAATCTTCCATCAAAGGAAATAAGAAATGGGGTCTTCACTTACCTATTACTAACCACACTCCAAATCGTACCCAAGTCAGGTAATGCAATTCCAGCAGCAAGAATGCGTTGATAAATATCGCACACAGAGGCAGGAATGGTAGAAAAGGCACTTTGAAGAACAACTTGTTCTTGGATTGAGGTTGTCTTGCGATTATATCGACCGCAATTAACATCCACATGAGAAACAGCACGAAGCATACAATTATCAGAGGATCTTTTCCAGTAAGTCGGTCCATCCCCCAGACCAAACAACACTGCAGGCCAATTGTAGTCACGATGAATATTGCTAAGGAAATTTTAACTACCAAGTAACTGTCCTCGGTTGGGACGTCCAAACGTCCCCCCAAAATCCGCTTGGTAATTCTACTAAACACAGAAGGCGAGTTTTTAAGGTCTTTTTTGGTAGAGATATTCTCTAATGTTTGGTAATCTTTCTTATCTGTCGTAGATTTCTCCGACTCTTCATTGTCTGACAGTTTTGAAGCCTCTCCAAACTCTTTTTCCATTCCTGCACCTTCACTGAATTCTGGTCCAGGCATGCTTTCATTTATTTGGGCGGATTCACTGCCTGAATCATCAATAACCTTTCCAGGCCTGTATCTTAGTAGTAACACGCTGAACGAAACTATTGTATACGACAGTAGAGTCCCAATAGATAACATCTCTGCAAGCGCAACTAGATCCAGGAACATTGCAAGGAACGCTGGAAAAAGGCCGCTAATTACGCAAGCGATTATTGGCGTCCCTGTCCGTTTGTTGACCTTTCCCAGAAAGCTGAATATAAGACGGTCACTTGCCATCGCATATATGATTCTAGGTATTGGGAAAAGTCCATCCAAAGCACTTGAGCTGATGCCACATATCGCCCCAATGGCGACGATGTATTTTCCTGCAGAAAAGCCCTTATGATCAAATGCTGTGGCAATTGCTGAGCTCTTAGGTAAATCAGCGTAGGGCATCATCAGGGTCAGTGACACGGAGATGCATTCGTACGCCAAAAATATAATGACTGTAAAAAAAACGAAGATTTTAAATCATAAAAGATCATAATGGTAGATGAATAAATTCACTCCAGATGATAGACGACAATGAATATACACATCATACAGGAATAGGTTAAAGATTAAAAGATTACGGATGGAAAGAAAATATAGATTATAGATTGAGTAAAGATATAATTTAGCCTACACATGAATACTATTATACAGTATTAAACAATAAAGAGCAATTAAACCAACTTACAAAGAGCAGAGACTGTGGCTCTAGGTATTGCCTTTCTTGGGTTCTTGCATTCCTCGCCTGAAGTAGCAATTACATCAAAGCCAACAAAGGCAAAAAAACAAGTAGCTGCCCCTGACATTATTCCATGAAAACCCCATGGTGCAAAATTATTCCAATTTTTAGGATCTGCGTAAACTAGTCCTGCAATGGTTGCAAAAATGATTACAGCAAGATTGATTATTGTAAAAACCCAGTTCAATGCAGACGACTCTGCCGCTCCACAAATGATGACGATAGTTAACACAAGAAGAAAACTAAATGCCAAAAAATCTGGGTAATCTGACATCCACCACAGTTTGAACAAGCCAAAGTGCTTAATAAAGAAGTCACTAACACAACCATCGCAGAGGGCATTGAAGAAATCGCTCCATGCTTTGCCAAGTGCGGCTGCTCCCATTACGTACTCAAGCAGCATGTTCCAGCCTATCACAAATGCACAAAGTTCACCAATAGTGACATAACTGTAGATGTATGCTGAACCACATTTAGGAACACGAGCTCCAAATTCTGCATAGCAAAGACCTGAAAATATGAAATATAGGTCTATATACATCTAAGCTGAAGTGTCATAGTATTATATCTATCTATCAACAACTTTGAGGTGACATAGTACTATATCTATCAATAACAACTCTCAATTATTCTTGTTGTAAATAGCTTAGAAAAGGTGAATAACAAACCTGACAACAGTGATGCTATAGCAGCTATAGCAAATGAGATCACAATTGCAGGTCCAGCTTGATTTTTTGCAACCTCACCAGTGACAACATAAACACCAGCACCCAACGTACAGCCAATACCAAGGGCAGTCAGATCAAATGTTGACAAGCAGCGTTTTAAGTTTGTTTCTTCAATTTCAGCTGTTGTGAGGTGTTTTGTCCGAAAAAATGCCTTGCAAAGTTTATTCATGGCATTCAGTTACTATTCAGCTCGCAGATCACATCCTAAAAAAATTGTGTTCAAATGCATTTTTTTTATTAGACACTGATTGTGAATGTGTACATCTACATACAATGCCAGATGAGTTTGGAATGTTTGAAGTTGTCCTTTTTCATTTTTCAATTTCCATTTTGCTTTATTTTTTAAAGAGTAAAGCAGGTCTAGTTTACACTCCCTAGAAGGACGAATTTCAAACAAATTCCAAATCCATTGTGTTTTAGTTTTGTGGCTTGAAGCACAGTTAAGAAGTCTTCATACATTCATATTCATGTATGTATTCAGGCACTAGAAAGTGAGACAAGGGATTGAACTTTTAGGCTTGCTAGACACCATTACAACAGTATAAATACTCTGCTAACACTTTTGTTGTAGTGTGAGGATATATAATATGTGCCCAAGAACTTGGAGCAATAATTACAGAATACCTGCCCAACCCAATTCCTAACAGAGATCAATTGTAAGTGAATGCAAGGCAGCTCTACACACTGCTTTTGATCCTCCAACAGACAATAAACATTATTCCGTTGGCCGGGTATTCTATAATTGTATTATGGCTATCATAATGGTATCATAATGGCTTTCAACTATCTAAAAAGCGACATGACCAATATGAAATACTGGATGTCACTCCTGATTTTTATACAAAAGTAATATTTCTAACTTTATGATCGCGGCGAGATTAGTAAAAAAGAATAATTTCAATCAGATTATAGCAGTACAGTATAAATTGCTATCGTTAGTCAACAAAGCATGAAATACCCCCTACCCATTGAAGTACTCCAAGTAGAGGAAACAGCAATATAACGATGATAAAATACGATCATTCGATTGCATACCTTGCAATGATTGATATTACTTTATCATTATGTAACAACTTGAACAAAATTGAATGTAAATAAACAGAACTGTAAGAACATACCTTTTTTGTTCCCTATTGCCAATTTTCCATCCTACTTTACACGTCACGGTTTACGAACTTGCCTGCGAATAACAGAATTATTTATATATTTTTTTGATTACGCGCGTGCTGATTGGTCGACAAGCGTTTTGCTCACTGAGCTATAACAATAGCCAGGCAATAGCCCAGTGGGTTGCTCAGTGGTTTTTCTGCTTTTACAATTAGACAACGAGTCCGAGACTCCGAGTTGTCTATGAGCGAATAGTCAACGAAGGCGAGTTGTCTAATTGTTTTAGTATACACCCTGTACCTAGATATATTAATTTCGAGAAAATAATCGATACACCGCAATTACACCGAAAAATAATTTAATTAATTCAATTTTATACGGTCGCACGAGCGAATTTTTCCCAAACGTTCACCATCACGAATAGACAATGGTTGAGTAGCCAATCAGAATGTAGGATTTGTAATAGACCATAGTCGGGTGTATACTAAAAAGAAATAGAACAGCCTCGTACCCAGGCACTTTAATAGTAAAATAATGTTGCATTCTGTTATTGTTATAGAGGTCAGCTGAAAAAACGCGAGCGCACTCGTGGGAGTTGGGGAGAACTCGAAATAACGTGGAAACTAGAAAAACTTGCCCTTTCCCACTGATTATTTCTCGTTCTCCCACGCGTGTTTCTATAACTTTATAGAAACACGGGAAATGTTTTTATTCTCAATTATAAGCGCCCTGATCTGTGCGCGAGCTTGAGCTGGATGGCGATCATTAATGGTAAGGGTAAGGGTGTGAAGTACAGATGATTGACCATGCTCATTGACTCGTACCCAGTCGTCATGCAATGCTCGATGCTGTGAATAAGAGACGTGGTATATGGAACACTAAGAACAGTTGAGATTGTTCAGTGTTCAGTAGACTAGAGACTAGAGTGTGCCGCACCGGCGGTGAATCAGTTTTATTTAGATTTGACTGGGTCATGTAGAATACCCGTATATTGATACATGGCTCTTTAGAATGTATTCTTTCAAACCTACGTTGTTTCAAACCATACTAATCGACGAGTATTCTATTCAGTGCTTTATCAGGATCTTTATATATTCTACACTTATAAATATTTTATCATATTATTATTAAAAATAATATTCATTCATTACCACAAAACCGGTACCGTAATTGATAAGTTGATTTTTTCCATATCCCTAACAACCTTGAGTAAACAGATTGTAAAAACATATATTAAACTCTCTTTATTGCTAAGCGACCACTTCAGTATTGGTAGCCGGGTGCCTGTTACCGCCTCATATTCGCACAAATTAATTTAAATATGTTCTTTGCTGTGTCTGCCTGATGAATATTGAATTATTAATGCCATGGCTAGGATTATTAAAACTTAGCTCAACGATAACATCGAATAACGGAATTATGTATGCGTCGCAATGGAAAGATTTTAGTTTAAGTGAAGGTACGTTAACACTGAGCATTGACCTGTAAGAACAAACTGGATGAAGACATAGTGTACAGCAGTGAACTTAGTGAATCTAAAATATGTTCATTGAAGTCTTAAAGCTTGTGTGTTTATAGTAAGCCAAAGCCAAACCAAGTTAAAAAGTATAAAGCCAAACCAAGTTAACCAACACCTGTTCGCTATTCTGGGTAAAGGCTAGTTTCCACTCAGGAAAAATCTCCTTTGGATCGGAACAGACAGGAAAATTTCCTTTGTCGGTGAGTTCTCAGGCGGCGTTTATACAAAGGAAACTTCCCTGGCCTTTCCGATCCAAAGGAGAATTTTCCTGAGTGGAAGCAAGCCTTAAGGGAGTGGCTACGGCTGCCCAAACGCAACAACGAGGAAATCAAAGTACTTCCCCGTTGTAACACGTGTTTAACCAAAAACCATTACCAGCAGACAATTTGTTAAAATTTGAAAAAACGAAGAAAAAATACAGACCGCAAGGTCTTTACATAAATCATGAACATGAGTTGTTAATGGTATAGTGTTATGCTATGGCGTCATCTCTTCTTGTCTCTTTGTATATAATATGTAGCAAGCTTGTAAACAGTTTATTATCCCGCACACTGAGTCATTTTCACCGATTTTGAATAGTCCGATATGAAATAGTCGAGTTGAAACTTCCCTTGTCTCCTTTATTTCATTTGATATTATGACACATGCATCCACCAGACAACGACTTTGACATGACCAGTACAGTTTTGAATGTAGCAAGGGGCGCTTTCCAGAAGCCAAAATGGTCAAACGGGTCATATTTGAATTAAAGTATTCGGTTAAGAATATAGCGGTGAAACTGCATTTTTTTCCTTGACAGATGTAAATAACAATATACTTGAATGCAGATTTTTCGAAACACTCAAAAATATCAGTAATCTGTCTGTACTGAAATATAACAGGACTGACCGTTTTTCTTTTTACCGTATAAAGGAAAGCGCCACAGGTTGTTTATACAGTGGTAGTTCAATGTCAGTTAACTACGATTAAAGCCGCTTGATACTAAAAGGAAAAAGAAACACAAAAGTAACTATCTGATACTCGCAAAATATAAAGTACAAAACACAAAACTTGAAAGTGTAATTTCACCATCTTCATGCACCTATTTATTCTCTGTAGTTTCATCCCGGCTCTCATGGATACATACGCGTGGTTTAAGAACAAGAAAGGATTGTTCTACATTTTAATCCTCTTCCAAACAATCGTGATTCTTTTTACGTCGTGCTACGTCGTCGTATTTATCAGACGAGACGATCCTTTTTCGCGTGTTTACCACCATCGAGACCGCAGCCTGAAAAGCGAATTATTCAGAAAGAATTATGAAAGAGATGCACGTAACGGGTTAAATTTCTTTGTCATGGCAAACGGGAGAGTTGTTAATGGTCATGAGAGGGCCACGATGACAAGAATGGGCAAGGCCAAGAGACTAAAACTGATGAAGTCAAAAGGGAAAAGATATACCAGCAGTGGCGTTAAAAAGAACAGTAAAAACAACAGTGAAAACATTGAAACTAAGAGGAGAGGCAAATATTGGAGAGCAAGAAGCAACAATGGCATCACCAAAAGCATTATCGCCGATAACAACAGCAGAAGAAAAGTGACGAAAAGCAGTAAAATGATTAGCAGTGACAACAACAATCCTGAGGAACTTCTTCAAACCACTTCAATAAATCAAGACAATCCTAATCAGAAGAAACCTATACTAATGTTCATTGCTATCATGAGCGCGCCCCAGAGAATTCATCGTAGAAATGCTTTAAGAAGAAGCTGGTTACGACAATGTCAAGATTATAATACATCGTGTTACATGTTCACTGACGCTTTCGACACGAAGGAGCAGCGATTACCTGAAGAAATATACGTTACCTTGGAGCAAGAAAAGTTCCTACATAAAGACTTGATCCTTTCACAAAGCCCTGGCGGGGTAAATTTTGCTCGAAGGTATCTTTGGATTATCAACTGGGCAAATGCAAGATACACATTTGATTTCCTGTTGAGAGTTGATGATGATTATTTCATTTGCATGGATAGACTCTTTTTGGAACTGCCCTATAGAAAGACGGTGAAGAAACTGTATTGGGGTCATGTTCATTGCTACCCACCAGGTACGTTGTTTTACTCGGGTTTAAATGCGACAGGTGGCTCCAAAAATAAATATAATTGTAATGATTTGTTTAGGTGGTGTTCGAGTGGATGAAGGCTTCGTGATAGTAAGCAACGATCTTGTTCAACATTTTATCCAGGAACAAAATAAGACCCTGATGTGTCATCCATTCGGGGACCAGGCCATGGCAATGTGGATAAATGACATCGAGAACGTAACGTATTTCGGGGACCGGAGGGTACACTACGATGTAACTGCAAACAACCCTATCATTGAGAAACATCTTGAGTTATGTAAAGATTTTCTAGCACTTCACGGCAGCTATCCAATACAGGTTGAACAATATTGGCAAAAACATCTGGTGACACCGTCAAAAAGATACCCAGTTCCTGAAATCTCCTATCCTTGTGGAGATCAAGACAGAAAATATAATAAGACGAATTTTCAAGGAATGTATCATGCTGATCCTGTTCCTTGCAAAGACTCTCCTGTGTGGAATATTGGCGACGTTTACGTTGGACGAAGCGGAAAGGTCTAACGTTGCGTCCAGACTTAGTGCCCAGCACTGGTGGCATACTGAGCACAATGTCCTTGTTGAATACTTGGGCACCATGCCCAGTTTCATTTGAAAGCGTCATGTTCAACTTAGGCCCCAGGAAAAGTGACGGGCACCAGTCACCAGTGCTTGGCACTACGTCTGAATGCAGCCTTAGTGATTTAATGAAGTTTTTATTTAAGGTTCTGCGGTATTTTAGAACCAACACAACCAACTGGAATGAAATGGATTGTATTACTAAGACATTCCAGTTCAGTTGTAAGTAATTGAAGTGATGTTTCAGGATTCTTCACTAAGGCATTCTAATTTTGATCCTTTGACTAACTTCACGATGCTTGCTCCAGGGTAAACGTCGGAATTTGAAAACTGTGCCGATGCAACGTAATCGGTTAATCATCTGAGACTTATTTAGCAACTCAAAAGGCACAGATAATGCAAATTTAGAACGCAGCGGAAAATAATCCACGCCAGGGACCAATCACCAATGCGTTTTAACGCACAAGTGTAGAGCGTAACTTATAGTGATAATTATTAACTAAATATACGACTTTACTTGACGTATTCTTCAACGCTTGCTGTTAAATGATATAAATTAAAAACACTTCAAAGTACTTATCTCGTACGTGGCAGGTTTAGTTGAAACTTATATCCCATTATGCTGCGAAGATTGTTAGGATCAAATGGCTTCACTATCGGTAAGTTTAGACAAAAACACAATTCTAGCTATTTCAATCCAAGCGTCTTCGTCGGGATAGTTAATTCACCAGAAGGGGGGCCAGCCCGATGATTCAGCTCCGCCATGCTGATATTTAGATTTTCATTGCCTGTGAGAACAATCCATTTCTAAATAAATGACTAGGAATATCACACTCGGCGCTTATATTACGAGAAATTAGACATTGTCTACGGTTAGACATAGCTAAAGCTGCGTTTTAGACTTGCAAAAAGAGTTCAACCTTCCTCCGATAGGATTTCAAGTTATGAAAACCTTTCGCAAAATGACGTTACGTCAATGAGTCAAGTGGCAACCAGGATAAGGATGGATTAGTTTTTTTTGGTACATGCATATGATCAATTAGAGTGTTCAACTTTGAACCTTCCTCACAAACCTCATTCAAAGCAAACCTTCATCCGGGTGGTACCCGCAGCTTTTTTGCAACACTGCTGTGTTAATTAGGTGGGTTAATGGGAAGATGACGTGAGTGACATATATCATGTGATTTGATATTGAAAATCTCGAGAATTTACAGTCCTGTGTGCTGTGTTAATTAGGTGGGTTAATGGGATGATGACGTGAGTGACATATATCATGTGATTCAATATTGAAAATCTTGAGAATTTACAGTTCTGTGCAGGATTGGCAGATAGCTTCATATTTGAGGCATCACACTAGCTCTTTGTTCTCTTGCGAGTCTTGGTCTTTGCCTCCTGTCTTCTTTGTCAGTTTATTGATAGCTAGCACTAATGGTAATCTGACCTCAAATATTTCCATATCTACACACTCTGGTTCTGTGCGAAACTCTTAATTACGGTTCTTCGTGAATGCGGCAGCCCACTAGCACCACCGAGGAAGGGTTGGATTCAAGATCAAAATCAACTGTGATTGTGAGTGTATGTTCTATTTTTTTACGCGAAGCGCTTTGCGTTCCGGGAACTTTAACATATCCATGAAGACAATTTTCAGAGACAGAAACAAAGCTGAAAGCTTTGCACGTTGATCTTCAACAAACCGAAGGAATTTTGCAAAATATAACTAGAGACCGCGGTGCAGCACGGAATTTCAACCTCAAAATTTAGCAATAGCGAGAGTTATCGTACACTTCTGTGGTTCGAAGGTTTCGATAACTGTAACATGAGCATCCGTCCGGTAAATGCGCTTAATCATGGCTTAATAGACCTTTCTTATAATGACGTCAAACGCGGAGAGTCTGATGTTACACGAAATTTGATTGGCTCCACAAAACTATCGAGCCAATTAATTTTCGTGTAAGATCAGTCTTTCTGCGTTTGACGTCACTATGAAAAAGGTCTATTGACTCTTCGCGTAGAAAACAACATTTTTGATCTAAGCAAATTGTAATGATAATTTTACCAGTAGAATTCTTCAGGCCTAGGTTATACGTCTCATTTTGGTCGCGTCGAATGCAATTTAAACAATAGATAATGAGCTAATAAACCTCATTAAGCTTCATTATCATCTTATTATCTATTGTTTGAATTGCATTCGACGCGACCAAAATACGACGTTTAATCTAGTTTCGTTGAGAAATGTTGTAAAACCGATAGCATGACCTGTTTCTTATGTCACCGACGGCGGCGATGGTGATTCAATGTCGGTGAGTCACCGGCCACAAACAACACATCTAGGCTTACTGAAGTGTGTTTATAATATTTCTGTAGTTTCATCCCATCATGGACATGGATAAAAAAGGATTATTGTACGCTTTGATCCTCTTCCAGACAATAACTATACTTTTCACGGCATGCTACGTCGTTATATATGTTGGACGAGATGAAAACCGTAATCAGAAAACCGGAATAGGAATGGAATATGACAGAGAAGAACGTGATGCATTATATTCCTACGTTATGGCAAAGAGAAGAGTTGTTAATGGTCATGAAAACGACGCCGCGATGACAAGAATGGGCCAGGCCAAGAGACTAAAACTGATGAAGTCAAAAGGGAAAAGATATACCAGCAGTGGCGTTAAAAAGAACAGCAAAAACAACAGTGAAAACATTGAAACTAAGAGAAGAGGCAAATATTGGAGAGCAAGAAGAAGCAATGGCAGCACTAAAAACATTATCGCCGATAACAACAGTAGAAGAAGAGTAACGAATAGCAGTAAAATGATTAGCAGTGACAACAACAATCCTGAGGAACTTCATCAAACCACTTCAATAAATCAAGACAATCCTAATCAGAAGAAACCTATACTAATGTTCATTGCTATCATGAGCGCGCCTCAGAGAATTCATCGTAGAAATGCTTTAAGAAGAAGCTGGTTACGACAATGTCAAGATTATAATACATCATGTTACATGTTCACTGACGCTTTCGACACGAAGGAGCAGCGATTACCTGAAGAGATATACGTTACCTTGGAACAAGAAAAGTTCCTGCACAAAGACCTGATCCTTTCACAAAGCCCTGGCGGGATAAATTTTGCTCGAAGGTATCTTTGGATTATCAACTGGGCAAATGCGAGATACACATTTGATTTCCTGTTGAGAGTTGATGATGATTATTTCATTTGCATGGATAGACTCTTTTTGGAACTGCCCTATAGAAAGACGGTAAAGAAACTGTATTGGGGCCATGTTCATTGCTCCCCACCAGGTAGGTTGTTTTACTCGGGTTTAAATGCGACAGGTGGCTCAAAAAATAAAAATAATTGCAATGTTTTGTTTAGGTGGTGTTCGAGTGGATGAAGGCTTCGTGATAGTAAGCAACGATCTTGTTCAACATTTTATCCAGGAACAAAATAAGACCCTGATGTGTCATCCATTCGGGGACCAGGCCATGGCAATGTGGATAAACGACATCGAGAACGTGACGTATTTCGGGGACCGGAGGGTACACCACGGCGTAACTGCAAACAACCCCATCTTTGAGAAACTTCCTGAGTTATGTAAATATTTTCTAGCACTTCACGGCAGCTATCCAATACAGGTTGAACAATATTGGCAAAAACATCTGGTGACACTGTCAAAAAGATACTCAGTTCCTGAAATCTCCTATCCTTGTGGAGATCAAGACAGAAAATACAACAAGACGAATTTTAAAGGAATGTATCATGCTGATCCTGTTCCTTGCAAAGACTATCCTGTGTGGAATATTAGCGACGTTTATGTTGGACGAAGCAGAAAGCTAAGCCTTTAAGTGGTTAATATTAAGTTAAATTTTGATATCACATGGTAGGTCATAGCCTGACGAAGGTTGGAATCGAGCCACTATAGAATTTTAGAAGGATAAAATCATTCAAGCCATGAATATATTTATTCCAATTAATTAACGATTGCTTTTTATTTACAACCAATGCATTCAAGTTCAATTGTAAGCAATTGAGGTTTTGTTCCAGGATTCTTCACCATCGCATTGTAACCAATGTTGATTTTTTGACCAACTTCACGATGCTTGTTCCATGGTAAACCTCGGAATTTGAAAACCGTGCCTACGAGATTTAATTGGTTAATGATTTTATAGACTACATTAGCCGCGGCTAAAAGACAAATATCACACTAAAAGATAATTAAGATATGATTAAACTAATTCTTAATCTATTCTAGCATTGTAAAAGATTATGTTTGGAGATCTATATCTTTACGTACTCAGTTTGTTCTCGAAGAATTTCTTCGCTCCCCATATGGAAGTTATTTCTACAGGATTATCAAAGAACAGGACCAACTGCCAATCGCCGGTGATGCGTTTTATAACCGTTGCTTCGACTGAGGACGAAAATCCGGTAGCCCATGAGGAGTCGATTTTGTGTTTGATATTCCTGAATATAGGACGAAAATGATCGCGACTGTACTATCATTGAAAACGGGCAATAAAAAACAAATTCAAGATCTATATAAAACCTTACTTGGCGTATTCATCAATGCTTGCAGTTGGTTCAGGACAGGGGGCGCAGTTTGGCCCACCACAATCAACGTCCTCTTCTCCTTGGTTCTGTCTACCATCACTACATGTGGGGGGAGGGGGTGGGACGATAGACCCACAATTCTTCTGTCGAGGATTCCATGGGTTCTAAATTAGAGAGCCCGCAAAAATGTACCGATTTCCGTCACAAAAGCTGTCTGAACTTTTATGCAAATTCTCAACCTCCAGTTTTCTCATCTTGGATTTGAGCGAGTTTTGAACTTGTAAAATCTTCCTTATGAACTAAACAACTGGTTATTTCTCTTATACAGGGTTTGAAAAGTGTTAAGTGCCAACAACTATCACTAGACTCTAATTACCTCTATACCAGTCAGCTCGTTTTTACAGCCATCCCATATCGATAATTGACAAGTAATCCTCGGGTCACAGTCGACATTAATCGGAACTTGACGGACATTCTCGTCAACATGTCCAACACCATCTTTCCTGAAACAAAACTTTCCTCTTGTAGTTCCTTTTGAGATTACATCCATGGGAGGCCCACCTGAGCGATGACATTTTGCCGTAGGAATTGGGTCATTGGAATGACAGTTGAGGTTGGAATTACCTCCGCTGACCTTCAGTTTTACACAACTGTAGTACGGTTCTTTGATGTTACCGACCAAAGAGATCCATTGCAAAACATACACACCGTCCTTCAGGTTATAAGGAATCGTTAAAGTCGTATCGTAGCGTTCAACATCATCCCTCTCTATAAACATGGAATGTTGATTTGTTATGAAACTATTCACCTGAATATAGCTAATGTTAGTGTAGTTTGAATTAACTAAGTTTGAATCAGTTAAGTTTGGAAATACGTTCCTTACTGTAGTTCCACTGAACCAATGCGTACAAGATTTTACAGTGTACAATACGGCTTGACAGACTTGTGTTACATACCAGACTGATATTCACAACCAGGCCTTGCATTGCAAGGATGTTTGCAGTCACCATACGCATAACGACCAGGTCGTTGATCATGCCCATAACACGTGAACTTGAGTACATTTCTCTTGTAAGCCTCGCGGTTATTCATTTCAGACTCTGGTACCAAAGCAAGACGAACAAAACCACCCCCATGGTTGTTCGAAGTCCAGCCAACCTGGAATAAAAGTTTCACTCGTGATTTCACTTCGTAACTGTGGCGACCGAAACTCCTCTGATTGCGTTGAACACAAAACATACACTACATTGTTTTTTCCTAGAGTTACCTTGATTCTGTCGCCAGCCTTAACGGGGTTCACAACGCCATGATACCATGGCTCACAGGGTCCAATCTGGTTACCACCACGGTACGGACTAGGGTCAAATGATCTGAAAAACATTTTCCAAGTCTTACCACAAGAGGAAACAACTGATATAACAGAGGATCATTGTTTAATGGGATTTTTACCTTGGACAACTGACCCAGGAGTGCATGTCTCCATGACGAAAAAGAACAGCGAAAATTAGAGCAATGAAACTCTTGTAAAAGGCCATTTTCTGAAGTTCCCTTGCGAACCTTCTTTGCTTTCACCACAGAAGCTGGGTTTGAAGTTGACTGTGCAACAAGCTGAGAATATATTGAACGTACCAAACACAGGGATGTCAAGGTAGCTGAACAAACACAGCTAACTGGCTGTTTGTATGCGTTGACATTGAAATGAAATGGCCTGAGTTATGTGTGCTTTGTTAGGGAACTTTCATTCGCTAACCAGCGGGCATTGATAAGCGAGTATTTGGAGTGAGGATTGCAATACAGCTGAAAATACATGCCACATTTGCAAATATAGCAAATCCTTTTCAAAAATTTCCATCATTGTAATCGTACACGATGAGAAACAATAATTTTAAACTAATTCTGTTATCTCATTGCATTTAGTTTGAAAAAAAATTAACATTTCATGTTCTGACGTCATTCACAATAATAGTTAATTGTCTTATATACATTATATAATAATTGAAGAATATTAACAAATTACAGATAAATAACCGACTCCAAGCATATTGCTCCATAAATGTTTGGGATAAATCGATTTCGGAAACTATCAATTTCAAAACTTTAAACAATCTTTACACCATCTATATAATTACTACTATAGTAACATTTGTGTTACCATTTTGTTACCATTAAATTATTCGTTTAAACAGAATACTGCATTTCAGGTATTAAAGTATTTTGAATACTAGATTGTCAACGGATGTTTTACCAAACTTGTCCCTGTGATAATAGAGAAAAAGAGCAGTCATTGTCTTACCCGCCAAAAACGCCGCAAGCGCGTCAGAAAAATTCTGCAGATAATTTCTGAGTGCAAAATTACCTTTAAAACCCAGCTCGGGTTTTCTTGACGCTGCAATAGAGAGTATATAAAGGTTGTTATTTTCTGCACACGAAAAACAAAGCACTGAAATTGTTAGAGGAAACAACACCTTTCAAACAATGAAAAATTATATCGTTGCTGCTATCACTTCTATCCACCACCACATAGCCATTTACTCACACTAATTACCACTCATTCCCACTCATTTCCACTTTGTAAAAACCCTCTGCACCCTCATTGCACCCTCGTTTACCTTCAGAAAGATCTTCTTGTGACACTCCTTCCTTCGGCTCATCCACCTTGGGAAAAATCGACAAAAAATCATCAGACTGCTTTTGCACGAAGCCGGAAGATTGAACAAAGAATATCTTTCTGCTCGGGGAATATACAAAATACTCTCAGTGAAAGAAATATATAAATACTGACTTTTAATAAGAGGATACACCCGGGTCGGATGCCGGCGGTTCCGAGGGTGTTATCATCTTCCAGGACATTGCCATTGAAGCTAATATGTTGGTCCAGCGGCATCACGGAGAACAACTTCATTAATTCCAACTTGATATCGCGCACAGTTTCGTTGGAGTCCACAGTTATCATTACTTCACCCCTTTGTTTACGATGTCTGAGTTGAGAAAAGTGTGTTTGTTAGACGAAGAATCTTTGCTTGAAACGTGGTTGACGTGCATGGCAATTCGCGACGTTAAGTTCGAAGAAATAAACCGCCGTACCTCGAACTCCGTCTTTTTGGTTGACTTGAAGTCTTAGGCGTGTTCCCTGCTGAAAACTACAAGCAATGGGTTGTTAAGATGAGCGGATATTTCCTAATTGGTAGAAAAACATAATGAAATAAGCGAGCATCTACCAAAACATATGACTCGTACTTTTTCTTGTCTTTTCTGAATCTCACAAGTGTCCTCATCGTTACCACTTTCCACTGGACTGGGAGTCTATTACAAGCAGAGGATGAAATCAACTCAGCTTTAATTACACGCTTCCAAAGACAGAATGTGGCTAGGACAAAGGACATATACCTCCTCTAGCAAAATATTAACATCCTGCTTTTTCTGTTCTTCAGTTATTCTACGAATATAGATGTTGGCGTTTTCATATTCCTCGCCTTCAGTAAAATGTTCAGCGACTAACGCGGCATTACACTCCACGCAGCAATCTGGGGCGAGAAAATCAGATGAAAGTTGTGCATTCAAAGTGGAAGCATGGCTTGACGTGTACAACACCTACTGAGCTTTATTTCTTACAAACCTGGAGTGATTGAGTAAAGACAATTCTCTTCATAAACATCACTGACAATTTTTATTTCCACATCGAAACCAAAGGTTTCACTTAAAACCTCCCACTCCATCGCCCATAAATAGACCACCCTGAGATGTTAATTGAGATTTCAGTGTTCAGACATAGTAACTTGGAGCTCGCAAAGATATCTTGCTCAGAACTATGAAATGAACGTAAGAGTATTTTGGAATTACATACGCTGAACTGGCCCCATCGTTATCACCACAGCGAGGATGATAAAGAAACTTTTCATGTGGACAGATTAAGAGTTTGTTCGTAATACACGAGGGACGAATTCTTCGTGCTGGAGGAGTCCTAAGAGGAAAAGAACTTGTTGTTATACACAGCCTGGTAGGCAGAGCAGAAGAGCAGAAACCGTGTGTTTCAACTGAACGTACCTGATAAACTTCCTCCAGAGTTCATAAAATGTTCTTGACAATGCGTATGCGGTTATAGAGGTCTGTGACGGATATTAAATAAGTTCAGAAAGAATATTTCTTTCACCAGACTCCATGAAGAGATGGACATCTTGGTAGAATACAGAGTCCAGGAGGCATACAGTTAAAATATTGATCCTAATATGTTATAGGAGACAAATATTACCTTTTCATCGAAATCTGGCCTCTCCTTTTCGTTGTACAAGACACTTAAAATAGACTTTTGTTGTGAAGCTAACTCCTTTAAATCTTCAAGTCTCTTCGCCTCTTCCTTATCTTCTTCCTGAAAAAGAAATCAAATTGGACCTTAGGGGAGAACAAGAAGAAACAAAAAAGGAAGCCATAAGTAGAATCTCAACATTTGACAGAGATTTTGCAAAGAGGACGCACATGCACACACTTACACTACAAATTAAACAGGCATTTTGCTGAGAAGAAAATTCGGGAGCCTCTGGGAAATAGAAGCGAAGACGTTTCCAGACCTCGTCCGCGACAAGTCGCCTTGAAACCGCCGACGTTGACAAACAACCTGAGAGGTACACAAACACTTTAGTAATACAAGAAAATGAGAAACAAAATGTCACAAACAAGAGGATGCCGACGCTGTAAAAATATTACCGTGTTCACACAACAAGTCCTCGTTGAATTTTAACTTGTCTTTATCATCTATCCCTGCTGATCCCACATCTGACCCAGAAAACCTTTCTTTACCATTTGTTTCCATATCAACTACATCGGGACTCTCGTCACGCCGCGTCGGTTTTGTGTCGTCAGACGTTTCGCAATTAGTCGACGTTTGCTTCGCCGATTCATCGGGTGGTCGCGTGTTAGTCGTCGGCTCGTCGGATGGCGACGAGCATGCGCTTGGACTCAGCTGCCCGTGAACTTTCTGCGCTAAAACTTTCCATTTTTGCAACGATTTCTTGCTGACCCAAAACCCAGTTCTAACGACAAAACAAGAGTAGAGTAGCGCTAAAGAAGCTTGTTTATAATGCTTGTACTTAACGAGTATTTACAGTATGCAAATACCTTTCGTTAGAGACTTTCAATGCTTTTACAAAGAACTTCTGATCGTCAGCTAAACGTGACGAGAACTGAAGACTTCGACATCTTTCTTTGACGCAGTCCAAACAAAACGAATTCTCGCTAAAAAGGACATAATTTCGATCGTATGATGTGGCAAACCTTTTTCAAAACATATCAGCCGTGTTGTAACTCAAATAATTGCAAAAATGAACAATGTTTTAAGAAAAACTGACCTATGCAGTCTAGGAGAGCCTCCGTACCGTTTATATAGAAACGATGCCTGAAAAACATAGATTTTCTTCAGTTTTACCCATTTCCCAGTATTTGTGCGAATAGTAGTAAATTTCCCAGCCACATACCGCCTTAGTCGAGACTCGTTTTGCACACAACACTTTGTCTGGATGTAACCTAAAGATTAAACATCACTACTAAAGGTCTTCATAAACATTGGAGCCTGCGTCAATTACAGTTAGTCCACGTTGACTCTCTCCATAGTTATTGACTAATTTCTATTCCATTATACAAGATTTAATCTGTGATAAATTTCGTGTTTCTAATACGAGAGCTTGTCATTTGAGATTTAGGCAGAGCTGCAACAGCGAGTGGAACTTGACCTTCTGAAGTTTGACACTTCAGAGTGTTTTTTTCTAATTTCCATAAGACTTACTTTCCATGTTCACAGAGTAAGGAGGAGTTTTCGATAGGAACAGGAGCTTTGCGATCAACAGCTAACCACTGTCGTAACCAGTCTGTGGCCAACCAATCATAACTTGTATCACCTTCGAAAATTTGTTCAAAATACACAAGAATGAGAGATGAAAAAAGTTGAAATCACTTAATGTTGATGATGAAAGCGGGCCATCAAGACCGAGCATGTTGACTGCTTTCAACCATCACTGATCCTGACTTCCAGCCAGTTGATTTCACGTTATTTACCTTCAGGGACCGGAAGAATTTCATACACTTTTCGAATTTCTTCTTGTCTCTGTCTTCCGACGAGGGTCATCTTGTCCTTGGTAGTACGAAAACAACTTTTAGATGCAAAAATATATAATGCAAACGCTAAAATCTGTTCGCGAGATTCTCGCTCTGGATTCAAGACACTCGCTTCGACAAGAATTAATCAAAGCCTTCGAAAAACGTGAAGCGTTTCGTGGTCTGATATTGCCGTTTTCCCTGTAGGAGTTGTTGTCTTTAGTGGATTGAAGTTAAGGCTGACTGCAGTCGATCGATTACAACTCCGGTTAGGTAGAAACCTGGAGAAAAACTTACTCGAATTTGTTTCACCTGGTTTGCCCATTCGTCCACCTTACTGTTATCCTCAGCTACTAACATCTGAATATTTGTGGGAGGTTCTTGCGGTACGGCTTGCTTCTCTAAACCGATTTAAGTGTAAAAATGGAAGAATGTTTCAACACAAAGAAAATACGATAAAAGAATGCTTTAATCATGATATCTTTAACTATGACTACCAGGTCATTTCCCGCCAAGCTTAACCTGACGCTACGTTTGACTAGGAATATAAAATTAAATTGAAAACAGCGATTCGCGCTTACTCACCCTCGCCACGCTGCCTATAAACAAGCATATAGGCATCTTTTGAACTGGATCCTTTAGATAGTTTGGGTCTTTTCGGTGCTGTACCGCCGCCATTCATAGTTTCTATACAATTGTAAAATGTGATAGAACGGTAATTGCTTTCTCATGATGTCATATTCACAATGACGTATGCAGTATCGTTTAAAGCTTTCTAAATACCATGCAATTCTTCTTCAACATCCAAATTCAATGTCTTTCCTTTCATTTTCTCGGTAGTCTCATCGTTGAAACGATACCAGACGCAACTCTTTAAAATTAAGCAGTAGAGTGAGTTTTATAGACGGTCGGAGCTACATAGGTGTAATCGGAATAAATTGCTGCAGCCTAAAATCGCTATCGCATTGGTAGATTTTTGTTTAAAAACATTCTTTTAAAATCCATATCCAATAGCGTTGTTATTGATCGGGTGTTTTGAGAATTTTAAATAGACTGTGTAATAGACCTTTTTCATAACGACAACGAAATATTAGCGGGGAAAATCGTCAGGCTGGCTACGTTACTGTAGCTATGTACAAGAATAATACCTTTTTGTCTTTTATATGGGCAACATAATGACCTGAATAAGCGCTAAGACCACGATGAATTAGGACAGCTGCAAGATCATAAACACAACCTAAAATATGAAAAGAAAATTTGGTTAGAAAAACAACGTTCTGTTGTAATAACAGCCATAGATGTACATCTTGAGCATTTAGTAAATTTAGTTCAAAATTTTGATGTTCCGGTTGATTATAGCGAGGTAAACAACTGCATGGCGACCTTCCATATCGGCATCAACGTATTCCTTCATGTTAAGAAGTTCGGGGAACCAAATTGATGTATTCAGTTTCTTCTTACAACCAGTTTTTCTGAAATGTTTTAAGGAGAAAATGGATGGTATTACGTTTATGTGACATTGAATAAATAAATTAATCACTTCCAAGAAACGGCGTTTCAGTGTAAACTCAGCTCACCTGTCAAAAACAAATCTCAGAAGTTGTAAATTTAATACAGGTGGTAGCTCTTTTAACTTGATATATCTTGTAGCATCTTGTTTACTCTTGCAGTAACTGCAGTGGTATTGATTGTCTCCATGAAGATCCTCTTCCTTGATACCAAAAAACGTGACCAAAGTCAGTCCGGGTGGACAGATTGGAGGGAATATGTAATACAAATTAGATGCAAAATTAAAGACAAACAGTAACAGCCCTTTACCTTAAGAAATTCCTTGACACACTGGGATAAATTCGTGTTTCCCTGAATATTCAAGTCAAGTTCATAAAACGTTGAGTTTCTCTGTGACTGCTTTCCACATTTGCTGCATCTAATAACGGTATTAAAAACACAATAATGGTTGATGCCTTTACAAATCTTTTTTACATTTATTTTTCTGTTCATCTTATAATTTAGGATCTGAAATAGTCATATACCTTGTGATGTAGACATATGATCCTCCAAATTGGTGATGAATAATATTTCTGACTGTTGGATTGGTCTGAAAGAGTGGAAGTAATTATTTCAACACAAATTTGGTAATTCAGAATTTCAATAAAAGTCTTACTTGTTGGGAAAGCGTATCTTCTAACAAAGACATAAATAATTTGGAAAACTCTTGTGCATCCTGAAAAGAAATACAAAAATGTGCAATTGTTTGACAACATAATATCGGCGATCATAATCAAGACAAATTTACCTGCTGCTGTTCAATGTCCAACCCAAGAGACTGTACAAAAGGTGCTGGATCAACAAATCTATATGCGAAAAAAAACATTACTCACAATGAGTGTTTGGAAGAACCTATATTCTGCCTTGATAAAAGATTAGAGTTCTTCACGATGTGATTACTAGAGGTATACGTCAGATTGAATTGGATACCTTCTTGAAGTATATTGTAATTGTGCAAGTAATAATTGTAGATGATGACAGAATGACTTTGGTTCTTTGCTTTCATCCAATGGTTTGCATAAGGGAATTGGAGGGCAGGCAACTGAATAGTTTACTAAAAAAGGAATTGAAAATCTTTAACATATTCATCCACATCAAATTCTAAATGACTAAATAAAAAAATGTTTCTGTAAACATTGTAATAAACTGCTTAAATACCTAATTTAGAAGTAGTGGTATTTTTAGATGTTGAATTTTCTGATTTTTTTACATCAGTATCCTCTTGGTCACATGACTGGGAATCCTCTTGGTCACATGACTGGGAATCCTTTTGGTCACATGACTGGGAATCCCCTTGGTCACATGATTGGGATACAAGTAATCGTTCTGAAGTTTCTTGTTTTTCACAATCTTCAATGCTATTCATTTCCTCAGTTGAACTACCTTTAACATCTAAATAACAAACAAAATTTAGTCCATAGTGCTAAGCAAAGTCGAAAGTGTTCATTCTACATTGATCATTCTCTCACTTGTTTGAATCTTACCGTCAATTGGAACCCATGAGTACAGAGCTGATCGGAATTCTTCATTGTGAAACCACACCTGACAAATTGAAGAAGTATAACATGATTCATTTAGATTTACATTCTGAAAATCATGTCTTTCTTTCACAACCATATTGAGTTACTAGTCTAAGGTAAATAATACCTGGACTAATGTATTCACATAACAAGTGGCCCCCAAATTCTTTAAACCAACAAATGACCCCTGTGATGAATAGGACGACATATTATATTAGCAATCATCAGGCATAAAAGCAACCCTCTTTGATTTATTTAATAATTTCACCTTAGTGACATAATTCTCTAGCAAAGTTTAAAACAAGATTGATCTGATAAAACATAGCCCCATTATGTATCTGAAAAAAACTTTTAGAAAATAATATTTTATGACCTCAACTCGTCTTTGTTCCTCAGGATCCTCTATTGCATCACACCAAACACTATCTAGATATCAATGAAACCACTGTATATAGATTCAAATGGGTGCATGAAAGAGACGTACCACAAAGAGTGGTGGTTAAATACCTTTAAGCTCTTTCATCCAAACCTTTTCGCCAAGACATGATAAACAATTTGGGTTGAATTTACAATTCTTTCTAAGGTTAGGAGAGAGAAGGTTTGAGCATGTGTGACAGTTTAGCTGAAAGTCTAGCATTGTACTACATATAGTATATGCAGCATGTATGCAGCAACTGTGTATTTTTTGATCAGAGGATCAGCAGTCAGATGATTGAATTTGACGGGCATCAGCCTCTACGGTTAGTCTCGTTCGATAGTTTTCTTCGTCAACCGAATCAATTCCATCCAAAAATAAAAATTAACATTCTCTTATAAACGTAAAAATCGCACAAGTGCCCATTCATCAAATCGATCGAAAGAATACTGAACACAATTTGGCTAGTGCGAACTCTTCAAAGGTTGTAATAAAATACATTGAGGAAGCGATATTAAAATTGAGAGTATTTGGTAAATGTTGTACTTGTACCAACAGCTGAGCCTGAACAGCATGATCTACACATTTAGCCGTGCAATAAATGCCCTTACCTATGGTTCCCTTTCTCACTACAAGCTGTGTATATCCTGTAGGCCTTTTCTAAATGTTTCTGAGTGATTGCATTGCAATCAACGCTGGCGATCCATTCCCATGCGTCTTTTCCCGATCGTCTTGTTTTACTCCTCAAAGCCGCCATTTTTTCATCTTCCCCGCCGAACGTCACATGGCCACCGGGGTTTCGGCTCTAGATTTACAACCCGGTAATATCACGCTATTTATTTTAAAACCGTTATTCACGTTTGCATAGTTGTTATAATTAGTTCATTTTGCGTTTAAAAAGAACGGAAATGCAACTGCAATAAACCCGCTTTCTCAAACACGATAGACATTGCATTGCTTTTGTGCAATGTATTCAAGAAAAGCACGAAACGATATGCACTCGCGAACTTTGAAATTCAGTTGCGTCTGTGGTTGCGTGCTCGCTGACGCAACAAAACGTCGCGTCATAATTGCCGTTTGTGCTTCATTCTTCTTTCAAACAGAAACAAAGGTTTATGTACGAATATAAAGAGAGATATTTCATGCGGCCAACAAAATCTGCATTTTTCCCAATGGACGAATTGCCAGATTGTCTTCTGCTTCGAATTTTCACGCATTTGAACATGACGGATCTGGGCCGAGCGTCCAGAGTCTGTCGTAAATGGAAGCGTATTACCTACGACCCAAGTATCTGGCGTTCCGTAAATTTGGAAAGACATGCACGGGCAATGGACGATAAATCCTTCCAATTGATGGTAAAATCAAGACTAGGACCGTCTCTTAGGCACTTAAATTTATCGAACTGTGCCGTGACAAGTAAAATGCTCCGGCAGTTGGCGAAAACTTGCAAGAGCCTGCACAGTGTTATTTTTGGAAAGGGCTCGAAACTGGTTAACTCCGGTAACGACGAGGTGATCTTCCCGCCAAATTTAGAACTGTTAGAGCTACGACCTGCCCGGGGTGACTTTTCATTTCTAAAACGAATTCCGCGGCATTTTACGAAGCTAAAGTATTTGGGAATTGGCAGCCACTCTTCGAAAGGTCCTGTGCCAAGAATGTTTGTCAAAATGCAAAATTTGACTATACTAGGTATGTGATGGTAAGATAGTTGAAAAATAATACTGTTTGAGATCTCCAAGTAATATGTTAGTAACCTACACCCTTGTATATATTGATTTAGACTGTACAAACTGTGAAGTTATGAAGGACGAACACGTGCAAACCATCTCCATGTGCTGTCCAAAATTAGAGTCCTTTTGCCTGAACGGTTGCAAGAATATTTACGGCACAACATTTGAGGAATTGCTGCGACGATGCACAAAGCTGACGACATTGTTGCTACGCTACACGCCTATACGTGATAGTTGCTTCGACACAGAGTTATGGTCGCAAACCAGTCTGGAGGAAATAGACATCTCAGCCTGCACACACCTTACACGCACAGGTAGGTTAGTAGCTTACTAACAGTAGCAAACCAGGACTCGTTCGACATCAAGCTTGCTTTAAAAGTTCCTTTTTCATTCACCTCCCGAAAGTATGACCATGCAGAAAAACATGTTCGATTTCCATATTTCATCACACTCAGGATATATGGCAGGATACATGGCTAGGAAATATGTTTCCAGGTTTCCACATTTGTGAATCATGGCCAGAAAAGTATTAACACTCAGACAATGTCCTTATGTGAATGATGCTAATCCATATCCTGCCGGGAAAGAGACGGGAAAGAGGCTAGTTTACGTTAACAGGTTTTCCTCAACCTTATCTTTCTATTTCATTCCTCCAGGTCTGATTCGGCTGCTGACGCAGATCAAAACATTCCGTTACCTCAACTTATCCTACTGTGGTATCGGGCGAGCCGTAACCGACAGCGTTCTAATCGCGATGACAAGCTATGGTTCTAGTGCAAAAATCGAAATGTTGGATATTAGATGGAGTATGAACATCACCCCTCAGGTTCTGCGAGAATTCCTTAAAAGCTGCCCGAAACTCAAATGTCTTGGAATCTATCAGTCATCACATATCAACTGCAACGCAATGGCAGAACTCTTGGACTGCGTACCGAAGCTGGAAATTCTAGAGTTCGGCGCGTTTGGCAAAGCGTCGATTTCCGAGAGTTTCTTGTTCCCAAATCTGGTTCAGCATTGTCCTCATCTGAAGGCGCTGTCCCTCATCAATTTTCTATCTTTAAATCCCTATACGGATGGGCAACTTTTCGGTCGTTTGCTGAATGGATGTTCAAGGCTGGAGCGTATAAACCTGTGCGAGCCTGATCCTACTCTGACGTCACTCATCGGAAGTATTCGTGTGACGACGACGGCGAAGATTACGCAACGATGGCAGTGTGTGTTGCCAGCGCCCGATGTCACCCTTGACGCGGTCATGAATGAATTTAGTTACCTGTTGTGATGTAATAGAAAATGAAGTGGATCACTGCTGGAACAGTTAATATCTGAGGAATTTTATCGAGAAATAAAAATGATTCAATTATTTCTAGTATAGTTATACATTATACCATACGTTGAACGTAATATGAAAAGAATAACAATATATCATTTCAATAGGCAAATATTTTATTATTATTATCTTTGTAAATATAATTATTTTCAAAGTGCATAACTTTGTACAAACAATCAATGATTACAAATAAATTTGAATAAAGAATACCAAGTTGACATTTTATATTTATCAATAATGACGTATATTTACACTTTAACTTTCGGAGGGTGCTTTCTCCCTAGAAGTGGACGAGTTCGCAGGTATACAGATGCACGCAAACGCGTGCAAATATGTCGAGGGCATATAGGCGTGATGGTTTTGTTTTGTTCGTCGTTCACACCGTGGTGATCAACTCCAACAAACGAGCATGCCTGATACAGTACGCTAGTGATCAACCTTTTTTATCCTGAGGTAAGCCAGCAAAAAGATCATCAACATCAATCTCCTCATCCATATCCTGGTTGAATCTTAAGTATCGAATCTTTTCCAAATCATCTTTACTCGGAAAATTATCCTGTAGTAAATCTAAACGTCTCTGTATAACATCATCAAAATCTCTCTTCTTCGTCCTCGGATCTAGAGTGCCTTTCACCGGATCCAAACGCCGAATTCTTCCTTTTCTTTCAGACTTAGGCCCATCGTTTTCAGCAGTAAAAGAAATTTTCATATTATTCCCAGCCATTTCGGATCCATTTTCTCCTCCCCGTTGGATTTGGTTTTGTTTCCTTCTTGCGTGAAGATTTTGCAAGCGTCCCAGTTCGTGTTGACTTAGAGACTCGCTTACATCGGGGGCGCTCAATGCCCGAGTCAGTCTGTCTTTAGTATTATATTCATCAGGCAGAGGAGATAACAAACCTGTGGAACTTGCTCTGCGCTGTCTGTCGAGCGGTGTAAAAGGCGATAAGAACTGATTTGTAGCCTGTGGAGTCGGGGGTCGACTTTTCTTTGTAGTTTCTAGTTTCAATTTTGGGCGTTGAAGCGACATTAATATTCGCTTTTTTGCCTGCATTTGTTTCTGTTCAAGTTCCGAAATTGTTTCCAAAGGCAGAGAGTAACTTTCGTTTGATAATTCCACTCCACTAAGCTGGTCTTCGCCGCGATAATCTTCCTGTTTTGTTTTCAAATAAGATGAAGTTATGATCTTCGGTAACGTGCTGTGCTGGTCATTAAGACAAACGAGGTTTGACTCCGTCTTTTGGGAACTGACTCTGGCTTCATCTAAAGTATTGTTGTTTGTCCTGGCTTTACCATTACCAACGCTGTCTTTACCGACCACAGGTTTTACCTTTCCCTGAGAGGGGCCTTCACAATTCTCTAAGCGAATGGACAAAATTTCGGAATCTAATCGCACCAAATTGCTGTGTAATTGTTTATCAAGCTCTCCGATTTGTCGTTGAAGTTTTCGTTTCTCTGCAATGTTTCTCATCGCCAGAGTGTCTACCGTATCAAATTCATGAAGAAATCGTGGAGAAGGCGCGTTACTCTTCATGCTTACCTCGATGAATGATGATACTCTTGATACGTTACGTGTCTGACACAGTCAGATGATTTCGTATTCAAATCTGCCAGAACAAAGAAGGGTAATCGCTGGCATTTGCTGCTTTAGGATTCCATATTCCCTTTAATTTTTGTCACGCAGTTATGTGGGTAGTCATCTCCTAGTGACTAGTCATGACCGCAGTTAGCAAATACAATAACAAGCGATATAGCACATTTGATCCGGGCTGCATACAAGATAGTCCCAATCTATTTGTTGTTAGATCATATTCTACACATGTACAATTTGATCAGGCGTCGTTCGTTTTCGAGATTAAACAATACATGAAAAAAACTCATTATCTGGAGATTAATTTAATGCTACCAAATGGATGTGTTTGGCGCTAATGTTTCGTTAATGTGTTTTTCATCGTTGTCAACGCGGGACAACAATTTCACTTACGCTCATAAGAGAAAATGCTGGAAACAGGACTGAATACGGCCGTGCTTGCCACGAGCATTACTTGTCTTAGGTAACAATGGCATTAATCTGATAGCCGATGTGAAAGTTATTCTGTTTTTAAAATGACGTGCGTTTTATACATAGATTTGGGCGGTATCTGGACCCCAATCCATTTCGACCACGAATTAATGATTAGCGATGTTTCTCCTTTGTGCTTACGCTAATAATTACATGATTGAAAATTGTTTTGGCATCGCTCACAAATATCCTATTAAGGATTATAAATTTATATATCTCAAGTTACACGTTCTGTCTTTCAAGTTCCCACAGTCGGTGGTTCGCACTCCATAAAAAATTACCCCACGTACAGCAGAAGTGTCCGATTTTCACAGGTGCTTTGATTTTCCACGTTGTTCGGCCTAAAATAGGTTGGTCTTTTGCATAATTTGCAAAAATTCTGAAGCACTCACTTCACCATCACCATCAAGATCAGCTTCCACGATCATATCTCTAAGTTCCTGGTCACTCAGTTTTAAACGATGCTCACGACAAACATTACGTAGGTTATCTAGTGAGATGTTACCAGTTTTATCTAAAGAGAAAGTGATTCAGGCATGACCTATCTGAGTAACTGTGTGAGTTAGGTGGCCAACTTTGGAGAATTTTCAACTCCTACTAGCAATCCTCTTGCCATATTTTCAATATCAACATTTTCAAATCATGAAAATGCTATGAATAATGAAAATGAAACAGTTATACTGTAACTACCAAGTACCAACCTATACCGAAGTATAGTACACTCTAGTATACTAAAATGACAAACACTGACAACTTAATGTACTTTCACTTACCAGTATCAATGAACTGAAAACCCTAGAAAAAGAAGCCAACAATGAATTGAATGACTGCAGGAAGGCATTATAACAACTCCATTGCTGAAATTTACTTGAATTGCTGAAACTTACTTGCATTATCTCGGAGTGGATATCTCTGTCACTTCCTTGTTTAGAAATAATGATATCCAAAAAGTCATTAAAATCCATTTTCCTAAAAGTTTTGAACATGATGTATTACTAATTATACGAGGACACTTACAGCATAAGTACCCATTGTACTGTCACAAACAGATTGATCACAAGAAAGCATTTTTGGCACTATCATTCCTAAATTGTCATTGCACAGTCCAACATAGCTTCTCACCCATTTTCCAGATCAAGATTTCCTGAGAATGTATCAGAAAGAAAATAAGGACTTGCATTAGGAATTGAAAAGGAGTGATAAAAAATTTTGTGGATATCATTCGTCATACCTGTGATTCGTTTGAAAGATTCTTCAGATATCTTGAATCCTAGGGCATTTAGAATTCTTTGGACATCCATAACATCAACAGATCTGCTTAGTCATTTAAGTAATAGTGCAAATTCATTTAATGCGAATAGGTCTGGTTGTAAATAATGTATTACAAAACGTAACTATTAACTCTTTACCCAGTGCATTTTGCATCAAATGAATCAAACACCAACTTTAAATCTTTCACTTCATCCAAAGTTAAACATTCAAACACGTCATTTCTAACTTCTCCGTTCATTAAACGACCAAACATCTTGTCATCACAATCAAGAAGCTCTTCTGCTGAGAACTAGCCAAACAAAATTGATTGATTATTCATTCACGTATACAAAACTACAACCACAAAACTAAACATCATGCTTATCTATATAATCACGGTGTTTTTTTCTGTGGTTGCTATGAAAACATATCACCAAAGCTACAGACCTCGGTCGGATAGCACAGACCCACCACCATACCTTTGATTTCGAAAGCCATAAACTTGACTGACTTGTCTCAGCTGGTATCTCACCATCACTCATATCACCCTTTTTCCGTCTTGGCTTCCCACAACCTGAACTCAACGTTTTTGAAGCCATTCTTTGAACAAACTTACTGGATTGAGGATTCTCAACAAAATCATCCTGGTCTGTTTCACCTTTTGATTTCTGTTTAACTTTGCTTCTCTTTCCCTTGGTGGGCATGGTTGATTTGGAAGCAAAACAGAATTATGTTTTATATTTAGATCAAAGCATTTCTTTTAGACTTTTAGGACAATGAATTAATAGTAAAATTTTGGATCGTCCGATGTTGATATTTTTAATTTTTGTTCCAATTTGACCTTTTAAACTTCTCCGAAGTGACACCGGGAATTACCGAAGCAGTTACGATTGTGATTCAAAATGGCGGATTAAATAGGAGCGGAGTGAAAAGATGCTTCTAAACTTTTAAAAAATCCTTTTCTAACGCCCATAGAAATTGATAGAATATTTACGAAACAACATTTTGATGTGCAATTTTAACAGTGTAATATTTTGAAATATTTTTCTGCGTTCTTGTACATAAATTTTGGTGTTTTATTTTTGTTTTTTCTTCAAGACGATCTTGAAGGTATTCCACATGTCACTCTCTCCGAAAGTATTCTAAGTATTCGCTATCATCCATCGCCATCTTTGCGCATATATCTCTAAGTTTAACACCTTGAGAGCCGTCAGTTTCAGAACTAACGCTGTCATTATAATTCACAAAATTGAAGTTAATTCTCCCATCAAACGAGTCAATTTTTTCACAGTGCATTTCAATCTCTTTCCTCCGCTCCCGAAAGCGCGCAACGTCTGCGTCAAAACCCTCCTCGTTTCGTATCTGCTGCCAAAGAGTTGCATTGAAAAAATCGTACAACTTAAAGTCAGCCATGTTCCATCTCGCGAGCGCTTCTTTGGCTTCACGCGAGACATGAAAATCTCTATTCGACTTACTGCGTGGTAATAATGCGCTCAAATAGATAACGTCATCGATTTCCCAGCAGAGAGTTCGTTTCAGTAGGACCAAAGACTCATCCAGGTACTCGTAGATCAGAACTACGGTGAATTTCTCCTGTAAGTCAAATATTGCGCTAGAAATTGCAATTTCGTCTTCGTAATTCGACGTGTGCAGGCCGAGGTCGAAGAACATTCCGTTTTTGAGAAGATTCATAGAGTCCTAAGAAAAAAAGAGGGTTTTATATGAATGGTTCGATGAGTTAATGTTTGCATATTCTTAACTTGTTGTTGATCTGAAATATATTGAATTTATAAGCCTTTCACGGAACCTTTAGAAGCATTTCTAGAAAATAGAAAGAATTCAGATAGAATTTAGAGTATAGAGTATACTGATAAAATCCTACTTACAAAAAATCTCCTCTTTTGTTTTGTCTGTACTAAGAACCGTTTAATATTTAACACAAACTTGTCAAACGGCTTTTCGCCCTCAATTTCCATTCTCTTGGCTATATCGAGCTGACTGAAAACGGTCGCAAAATAATCCACGGGGTTTCTGAGCATGCTCACGAATTGTGTACTCAACGGCATGAATTTCGTCATGACCTTGGCGTTGTACCGTGCGTAGTTGCACAGCACATTTGGAAGATATCCCTCGAGTCGCCTCATATCCATATATCGCCATTGAAACTTGCTCGGCCAATAAAACGATGAAAGATCATTGGTCGGAAGGGCTACGAGCAGATGACGGATATCGGCGAAGCGGTTGAAAATGTTTGTGATGATATCACCTCCTGTGTAGTGTGTTTTGAGAAAAAGAACATTTCTTAATGGTATATCGCATGTTCTAAAAAGAAAACATCCCAGTTAGCTTGACATGGGTTATAGTTATTAGATCATTAAAGTTCCAATCTAAAGAGCGAAACCTGTGTAAAAGTGGGTGATTTCAACCATAGCATGCATCGCAGACGCTTTGGGTCAAGGGCCGATAAGTAACTAACGTTATGCGTAGCCTATTCCAACCATGGGTAGTAAAATAAACTGCATTATTTTATCATCCATGTTCCAAAGTATAAATTCAGATTTGATCTTTAAGTGACTGAGGATAAAGTACATTTCATAATGTAGCTACACTTACAGTATATGAGCTGTTGACCGATATCTGGCGGCTGGCGCCGAATCGAACCTCTCAATGTTTATATCAGCTCATATACGACTCAAGCTCATGGTATTAATGGTATGGTATACATGGTATACATGGTATTTTCCAGCCAATTCGACCATGGTCGTATTCGCCATTTTCCGGTCAATTCGACCATGGTCGTATTCGCCATTTTCCGGCCAATTCGACCATGGTCGTATTCGCCATTTTCAGGCCAATTTGACCATGGTCGTATTCGCCATTTTCCGGCGAACTCGACCATGGTCGAATACGCCATTTTCCGGCGGACTCGACCATGGTCGAATACGCCATTTTTCGGCGGACTCGACCATGGTCGAATACGTCATTTTCCGGCGGACTCGACTATGGTCGAATACGCCATTTTCTGGACATTTTCCGGACATCATCCATTCCTGACAAACATTACCTTTTACTAGACGCGTTATCGAAATCTGAATAGTTTTCTGGAGTCTCAAGGAAGTCATCTTTTCCTTCCACGAATTGATACATTCCCTCATCAAGGTCTTCCGGCGGCATTACCACATTGTTTACTTCTGGATCAAAGGATTGCTTACGAAGATATGAAGTCATCAGCTCCTCGTATTCCTTGTTTTTGAAAAAGCTGTCGTCCCTTATGACCCAGTAGTGTGACATTTGGAATCTGTCATATGTAAGATTAAGAGAAAACGAGAATGTCAACTGAATCCGAACAAGTCTGGAATTTTGGAATTTGAACTTTGCTCCTTCCCTCTTACGAGGACGCCAAAGGGAACAAACAACTCACAGGAAATGATGGAAAATGCGAAGCATTACCATATAGCGTATCGTAAACTTAAAAATAGTTAATTCCATTATCACTGATAATTTCCATTATCACTAATAATAATTGTTGCGGACAATTGTTGTTGAACTTACGATCAAGACTGATTCTATTCAAACTCTTCAGGATAATAATTTTTTCCTATCTTTTGGAGATGGGATTTCACGTATATATTCCACTTATGCCCTGTCCAAGAGAATCTACTTTTTGGGTTGATCAACACTACCACAAACTTACCGCACTGGAGAATTTTGAAAACTCGTTCTGACTGAGGTTTGCGATGTCGTTAAGATATGATAAATCGTAAGACATGTTACTGTACAACAGCCAATTAAAATGCAAATAAGACGTCTTCTTTGTTTCCGTTGTTGTCGTACGTCCCATTTGAAAAGGAACTCATTTTGAAACCTCACGCGTTTTCTCTCCATTCAATCACATGCGTAGAACTGATTTCAGCAAATCAAAGTATCTGGTTTGAACACAAAATCAGTAAATGTGAATTGGTTGAGTAAGATTATGTGCACCACACGTCTTCATTCTTGACACTGGTAGCTATAAATATCCCTGTCGATGCTGATTCACGGACACATGAAGTAAATCGAATCGCGGATCTTAGGATAAAGGGTTCAATGTTCTATATTTCCATCCTAAATATTTTATTGTAGCTGTGTCTTCTCAAGCGGATAAAAGATTTGTCTATCCGGTGCAGGTACTAATCATTGTTTTGATTATCTCAAACCACCTAAAACTAACATCATTGGCTGTTGAGACAATGGCTACATCTTATGACTTCACTTGTATCAGACATTTTTTATTATCACATGTTAAATGATGTAACAACTGACTGTGCGTGCATCTGAATCGGTCATGACTCATGTTCTTATAAAACTGCGTATGTATGAAATGAGATGTTTTTCATTTCTCAAAATTTTCACTAAATATAATACACCCTTTTTAAATACCTTTTACATGTTATTTTTATGATCCACTGTACAAATACAAATACAAAAATATAAAAACAGTCGAGTAATCTTCCTATGTGCTCGGTAATATTTATTAAAATTAGGAGTCATCGCCTAATCCATAATGCAACTTCTTTCTGAATAGTTTGAACCACTGACATCAGTCAAACCAACACGATTCAAACTCCTTTAAAGTATTGATTGTATCCTTCAACAACGCACTGTCTTATCTGATAGAAAACACGAGGTGCTTTTCTGGCGACCATCCATTCATTCTTATCAGGAACCCAACCGTTGTAATTATTCGTAGTCAACATGAACGTTTCACACTTGTGCTCAGGCTTCTCCTCATCCTGTACGGCGACGTAGAAATTCCCGCCATTCGTTGCGCGGACGATACCGTCGGCCCCTGCAGGCCTAGAGGGATATGTTGAATCCAGAAAGAAAATCCCAAAAGCCTTTTTTCCAAACCAATCGTTGTTTTCGTACGGGGGAGAGCAATACAAAATGTAATCTCGACTCGAGGGAGGAAAGGATAGAGGGATTACTGAGCGAAGAATACACCCGCCATTTGGTAGCTTCTCCAATAGCTCCAAAGCTAAAATTATACAAATCATTTAGGTTTCTCTATTGATGATTATACAGCCAGGCTTCGATCCTGTTTTACGAAGGCAAAAAGGCAAATGTTGAATAAAAATCAGTGATCTTAGTGACGCTGCTAAATGCGAAATGTTTCGTATGTTTCTGGCTTCTGAGTTGTGCGCGTTTGAATAAATTAAATTTGCTTGATAGCTGACATTTTAAAAGCAGGTGAAATATTTTGCATTATGCTAGAAAACTTCGCCCGTGGAATCAGGCTTTACTATATTATGTTTTTTACCTTAATTGATTTTACCGTACCATTAATCAATGTAATCAAAAGTGTTCTCACCTGTGGTTGTATCCCATTTTGAGCGTAATTCCAGATTCTTCGGGCTCATCATCTCGATAAATGTTTCGGCGGACATCGGCATATTCTTGAAGCAGTAAACTGTTTTTACAGGCACATCCTCGCTCGGAAACGTTTTGCTCCAGGAATTAAACTTATTTGGAACATGATATCTTTGGGTCCAACCTTTGCCTTCTTCGAGGTCTTTCTTCAGTAATGTTGCCTTTTCCCACGCCATCGTTACGTCCAAATGTGGAGTTTTAGTCTCCAAGGTTTCTTCCATGATGGGCGATTGGTTTGATAAATTTTGATATGAGCTGCGTTATACTGATTGTAGACTGAAGTCAGACCAAACGCCTCGTATTTTTTATAATCACTAATCACCGGACTGTGAAATCGTTATGCACATGCTGATTGCGTCACAATCGTCATGCACATTTCTTTTTCTCACTTCCTGGTTCTCGCACAACACAAACAATCGATGACGTATTGTTTGTCATACGACAAAATGCACAATAGAAATACCTCGCAAAGGGGATGCAAAATTCGTCTTTGAATCAAAGCGGACAAAATTTGTATAAGGCTAAGCGTATAGTACTATATTTTTCTGCGCTGTTAAAGTTATTAGTAGCCATAAAGGTAGCTCTTTCGAATGACCAGAGGTCCAATAATGACGTACATGCATGCAAATAGTGCTTCAAGAATGTTGTTCATACGTGGCCAGGCTCAAGAATGTTGTTCATACGCACAAAAAGGTTCCCTTCCAACGATTTTAATTTAAACAACGGCATTCAAGGCTGTTGTTTAACTATACCAATAGAAGATGAAAGCCAAGCTTTCGAAAATACGTACTAATACACTGATTATGATTTAAAAATGACCTTTCAGTTCAATAAGGACTGTTTGTTTGACTTAAATATGTAATACCGTCCACGACATAAGGTGTTACGTCAGTGTCCTCTTCAGCAAGACGAGGCACGCGGCCAGACATGAGCTCTTGAAATGCCTTAAACAATACAAGTAGGAAATTAGACAACTGCCTACACGTATCATTCGTTGCGTTTTCAAAAGTTTGCGGTTACACTACGCGTCTTGACGTCTTCGCCTGATACACGTGGACGCTTAGCGCAACCGCAAATGTTGTACTCACGTTGCATACGGGCTCCAACAACTTATTTCCCCATATATAAATACGCCTTAAACTTGAATTCGTTTTCATCGTCTTCGCCAGAGAACACAGACCCCTCGTTGCAATTTTGTTGCTACAAACGACTAGACTAAAGGATCACGAACAATTTCAACTTGAATTCAACTTAAATTGATCTTCCTAGCTTTTATAACGTTACATTCACTTACGTTTGTAACTTGGTATTGCTATAGGCAAGCGCTTCACTTAATGCACAAGCTCCGTCATCTTCAATTCGATTGCAAGCTAAATTTAATATTTCCAGGGGGGTATCCTTCTTTAGTAATTTTCCAAGGCATCTTGCACCATCCCGAGTGACGCGGTTACTACAAAGCCATGATTAAAATCATAAATATACTAAAAACAATAACATGGACTATATTTCGTCTACTGGATATATATGTCTATATAATAATCACATTATCTAATCTTCTTACCCAACTCCATCCTAACCCCCCCCCCCCCACCATGGTCTAAACTAGCTAAACTACCCGAGCAACCGCACATTTTAATGACTAAATATCATAACATTACTAATTTTGTCGTAAAAACTAGCAGCAGTTTGTTATACAATTAATCAAAACAGAAACCTACCATCTTAGATCTAAGTGTTTTAACCCAGTATTATAAACCAAGTTTTCAGCCAGCCTTTCAGCACCAAAATCCCGAATACCACATTTTGCAAGGTGGATTTCCTCCAATGATCTGTTTACCTGGTTATTAAGATTGATACAACAATAAATGCTACGCATGCTAAACCGTGAAGCCCTGGGGATGAGGGCGATGTGTGGCATATCACACAAGAGTGACCTACGACCCTAGAACATCGATGAATCAAAGGTTAGTTATCATTCAGAGCGGGAGCTTTAACTTTATTAACGTTTTTTTAAAAAATAACTTCACACATACTTTTAGCATACCAGCAATGTGCACGATGATAGATTCTTCCTAAAAACATTCATGGCGCAGTTGATAAATACTGATACTCGACAGAAAAACGTACTACAATTGATCTAATCGGCTCTACAATCAACCACGAAGTAGTCACCTCTATCGAGGTGACTTTTGTAAGACTCCAGATGCCAGTTCTCAAATGTAAAACGAAAGATGATAACATCTTCGTTGGCATGCTTCCACTTAATATACTTGAATGACAAAGGGATAAACTGATTACCTGTGAAGGATGAACTATCGGTCGATTTATGTTGAGGACTTTCAGAGAATTGTTATATTTTAAAACTGTTGAGATTGCTACACAGCTTTCGGTGCCCTGCAAAGAATTCACAAAAAACATGCCAGGAGTTCCTCGCTATACAAAATATGGCTTCAATAGCGGCAAAGGGATACGGTAACCAGTCTATTTTCAAGACAGACAATGAAGTCGGTAGTACAAGTTAACAAGTTGATATGTTGTTAATAACAAGCTCATCTCTTACCATATCAGTGTCTGCCATATCTAATTCCTGTAGTATTGTGTTGACCTGAAGTGACCCAGCGATTGCTAATGCTCCTTTGTTACATATTTTATTCCCATTTAATTTTAAAACCAACAGCGTCTCATTCATCTGGCGTAAGAAAATTACTATATCGAATTCGTTTTTGACAGTGTATATGATAATTCACCACGTAAGATAAACTTTGTTTATGATGGACGAAAGTTAGATCACCGTAGATGAATACCTGGAGTCCTTTCGCGAGATCCAACGCACCTTCGGATGTGATGTCGTTATAAGATAAAACAAGTTCTTTGAGAATAAGCGTTTCCTGAAGAAAGCAAATTTGATACACTTTATCTACCGCGCCGTTCTACCCCCAAAAATTATATTTTTCTAAATCGTCTAGTCCGTTGCAGAAAGTGCTGTTCACAATTCCAAAATCTATCAAATCAACACAATTTGGTGCCTTCATAGAAGGGTCCTAACGGCGATATATTTGGGGCGACTTGGTTACCTGAAGCAGTGTGGACAAGATTTTCGCACCAGCATCTGTTACACTGTTATATCCCAGGTCTAAACCGACCACGAATGTGTTGCATTGAAGCGTTCTACAGAGCGTGTCCACGTCCTACAGTTGATGGTATAATTATAAGGTAAGAAGTATATCTCAAAGTCACTTTCTGGCATTTCAATAAATTTATTCATATTTTTTCACGAAAGCATTGCTGTTTCCAGATCTCCTGTTAGCTGTGCAGAACTGTATCTACTGGTATGTAGAGGGAAGTGGGACTACTTTTGCACCATCCTATCTATCTTGTAAGCATAAGCATAAACTGATCAATAACTGTTTTGCATTTGCCAATAAACAGAAGTGAGAAGTATTTGGTAGTTGTACGAAAAGGACGCACCAACCTGGTCATTTAGTTTCCTTCTATATTTTTCATTTTGCACATTTCGTTTATTTGCGTGGAGCTTTAGAGTGCAAAATTCTGTCTGCTCTCTATAATCATGTGTGGAAAAAATGAGCCGAATGTTAGTTCGCAAAAGATGTCATAATGTATCGAGCAAGAACGCTATTCACGCAATAATTACTCGAAAGTATTTACTACTCACAGTATCTGTTCGTCTATAGCGTGGTTTACAACAGCCAATATCTCGCCATCGGGGTCTCTTCCTGTCTCAGAACAAACGCGAAAATACGCTGCCTTTGTTGTAGGACCGTCTGTCATAATTTACTTTGAAAAAACTGCGCGTTCAACCCAAAATTTCAGTCGAAGTAAAACGATAAACAAACCCACTCCTATCGGGTCGCCATATTGTTAGAATTTAATGAGCAAATGTTGGCATGCCAACGTCAACTTATGACGTCACGAACGTCGAACTTCCACGTAAACTTCCGATGATAATTATAGGATTTTCTCTGAAAATATCACGCAAGGTAAATACTGATAAATACAATTCTATCAGAAAGGATATTGTCTACAGTGGTTCAGGCTTACAAACAGTACTTACAAAGCTTAGTTTTTCGAAGTTTATTGAACGAATTTGCATCGATTCGAACGAAAGATCTAAATACATTTCCGAATGTTGTACTAATCCGAAGAATTCCCGACGGGAAATTTGCAATGCACACACGATGACCTATATGTACGTGCGTACGACTGGATAATGAACAATCATTTTTTGCTTCGAGTTTAAATTTTTGCAAATACGTGTTTTCAATAATCATAAGCTTAGCCAAGTCTTAAATATTTACAAATCACCCTATGCAAATACCCTCCTACATGTATTTACCTCGAAGCGTTGCCGTTTATTTAACATGTTTACAAACAAACGAGATTGGATTGAGTTGTTTAGCGGTCGCTATGGCAACCACGAAATGATATCAAATTTCTCATTCTTGTGTGTGCAGTTCTAAGTTCATAGGTGATTTTTGTAGCCGTATCGTTAAACTCCTCGTTTTTCTTCAGTTTAAAACCCTTTCGTATCTTGGGACAGGATATATAACAAAAGGACCCGCTCCGGTATAAAGGTATGTTGAAAAACCTTTTTGTTTTGATCATTTACACTTCTGGGGGTCGGGAAAAATCAGCATACTTCTATACAAGATGCAAGTAAGGGAGATTTTAATCGGATTTAATACCCTGTCCGCCTGTTAGGATATTTTAGTTTATGTTCTCTATATTTAAAGGCTTTTTTAACACGGTGAATCGTAGATATAACAGGGGTCTTTTAAATCAGAACTCGTTTATAATATTGTTTTAAAGAGCTAGGGTTATGACCGAATGTTTATACACAATCTATGATCTCATCATCATGTACTCGTCTTAGTGAATATTTCTAAGGGGTTTCTCGCTTTTTTCGAAAGCAAATCCTCACTAGTAGTCAATGAACCGCGAGAGCATGGTAAAAGGCGATTAAAAACGCAAGAACGCTCGGAAAAAAGTTGTCGGTTTTTGTTCTAGTTTCGCGGGAGTTCAAGGTCTCTATTGAATGGTATAATTTTTTGGTTTGTCAGAATGTTAATGGCCTTAGAGGATTAAAATAGCCTTAAGGAATAAATATAGCTAAGCCAGGCTTGGTCTGAGTCAAAACATAATAAAATCTTTCTATAAATGAAAGATTTGGGGGAGATTGTGCCCAGGAAACAAATTGATTAGCGTGAGCATTTTAGTAATTATATTCCTTACACTGATAAGGAAATGATTGGCACAGGGAAAGTGCATCATCAATAAAAGTACTGTTCTGTTTTTTTTAAAGGTATGGATACAAGCGATAGGTCAAGAGAAGGTATATAATTTTCATTGCTGCTGTGCAAAGACAACTAATGTACCCATCCCTTAAGTTCCACTTGTACAGATCCTAAAATGAAACTAATTTATTTCAGGTCATATTCAGCTACAAATCGAATATGGTTCGCAGCATGGTCAAGTGCAAGTTAATGTCATAGAGATAAATAGTCTTATTTTACCAGCAGGTACTTTGGAAATGATTTGAGTAATAATAATTCATGAGTGTGCTATTCACCATTGCTCTGGGATAACAATTATTGCTTTGTTTTAGTTAAACGACTCGGGATCTCGCATGTGTATGTTAAAAGTCACCTCCTGAATGAGAAAGCAAAAGAACTGCTTAAAACGAAAAGTTCTATCAAAGGTTACTTCCTACCAGATTCATCAAAAGAAACTAAAAGGAAAACCGAAGAGGTCAAATTGACACTCTCCTGTCAGGACTCATCTCATGGGTTTGAAAAAGTGGATGAAACATCTCGAAAAAATAAGATACGAAAAGCACTACAAAAACAAAGAGAACGGTTTAGATTGAGGCGAAACTCTGATAAAGGTATGCACCTGAAAATTATGCCTCATACACAATTCTTTATCCAGGGCTTTATATATTTTTTTCTTCTTACTCCAGTTAAAACAGTGGTCAACACAGCAAATGATGATGATGATGGCCGAGCCACTCTATCCTTTGAAAGGCCATTGCATTACCCGTCAGTTTCCCTCTACCAACTGCAGACGCAGTGTCTCCACCTCACAGTCTGTGGTCGGAATGTGACGACCACACGAAGTTACCCCATAGCAACAACATGCATACCACTGATGATTGCAATCAAGCAGCACCAACCAACCTGGTATCAGTTGTCGTATAATCCTGATTTAAACAATGGAAAACAAGAATCCAGCACAACCGTACAAGAAACGTGGGACAAAAATGAAGGTCTGGATGCAAAAGATATAAATTCATTTACTAACTTCTTGTCCATAAACTGGACTGACCACTCAAATTCAGTGAACTAAACTTATCTTCCAGACAAAGCCTACAGGGGTAACAGTTCAGGGGCAAATTTCTAGTTGCATGTAGCTTATCGTCATTCTAATAAACAGTTTTCTCCAACAATTAGAGCTATCCAGTATATATACAGTTCTCAAGTAGTATTGTATTTTTTCTCTTAAGGTGGTACCTACACCGGCAGAAGCCTAGCATGGAACCGAGGCGAGACGAAAGACTCAGGTTCAGAAAACTGGCTGTATAAGCGTAAAGACTACAGCAGACATTTGCTTCCTGCTAAACAGAGAAGACAGCCGACTACAAAATCGTCGCTGCACACCAATATTTCGGGTCAGGATAAATTCCTAAGGCCGTCCAGGCACGGTGAATTCAAGCAATCGGATTCCGGAGTAGGTTTAGACAGACTTGGTCGCCAGGAGAGCATCGAGGAGTTGTATTTTGATGACGCAACACAACAGGAACAATTTGGTTCGCGAAACCTGCGACCGCTTCAAAAGCAATGGAAATCAGAATTCGTAATTTGCGGTTCGACTTTGGACACAAAACGAACAAGTAATGGCGCGAATTTAGATTTGAGTTCATTATCATTGAATGGATCTTTGAATCGCAAACCTTACGGTGAATCTATTCGCGGATTTTGAATGTAATTTTATAAATGGGTTTATTTTAAAAAAATAAACGTAGTATATATAGTCAATTTTCAGTACAATCTCGCTCTTGGCTTGACATTAAATTTCTGAGGGTGTAGTTCAAACCACTGTTCAAACCTGCATGTGGTAATGATTAGAAAATTGGCAGATTGCATTCTCATTATTTACTCTGAAAGATCTACTGCATGTTGTTAGCTGGTACCAATGGTGCTTGGTATATTTTAAAAAACTAATAAAATCTGCCAATCTTATGTAGAATTTTTAATACTAAAGGCATATCCTTTCCTGAAACGCGGTGAACCGATTTTTTAACAACGTAAAGCTAGTTTATATCTTTTTAAATAGAAAATTTCATTGTATCAATGTAATATAGAAATATCAATAAATGAATGTGCATTCAGTATATTTTCATCCTTCAACGACAATGAGAACAAATACGCCCCGTTTATAATTTATACCCTGTGTCATTTTGTGTTCAATGTACTACACAATGCATGCATGTAATCACTCTTTAAGAGTTCTTCATCGTATCACACAAGTTGACCAATGACATGCCATCACCGAGCTATATTAGAGCTATATAATATAGCTCAATACAGCCCATCTTTAAGTCGTCATACGCACGAATTCAATACGTCAGCTTGCGTTGACCTTATCTTTTCGTGGTACTGATTTTGAAGTATTTCGGGTTGTTTTACCTGCAGCCGCTTTACCTTTCGTACCTTTTGCTCGAAGACTCGTCATACTGGCGAATGGGGGCATCTTGTTACCTAAAGTGAGAACAAAACCTTGCTCAGTGCATTAGTTTAAACAAGAGGGTACTGGACAAGTGGTGCCGGGCTCAGGTTAACAATATACGTAACACGTGCATGCAAATAAATTTCTGAACTATAATTCTACCTTGTTGTTTAAGTTGCTGGAGACGTTTGGTGTTTGGTTGGCACTGCTTGGTTAGATGAACCCGCCATGCCTAAAACATCAACAGGGAATTCAGTTATAATAAGAATTGAAGCAGACAGTGAGAACAGTTACAATTAGTTACCATTTATTACCTCTTCACTAGAGTCAACGGCTTTTCTGCATAACGGACATCTATTCCCAGATTTTTCTAAAAGTCATGAAAAAAAACCCCACTTAAAACAGGCTTCAAAAATACTTCTGGCAGGTATTTTAGTGTCCCACCCAGCAAAATAACGAAGAAATATTTGCCGGTTTTACACAACAGACGTACTGGATGCAAAATAAACCTTGTTTATATCGAGAATTCCAAAAAAAACATTGGGAAACTGGAACTAGGAACAATCTACGACTGCAATCGACTTAATAAACTAATTACGACGTCAACAATTTCATTATAGCTTCATTGGCATATACGAGTGACATTGAAGAATGGAGCGAGGTGAATTTTTGATAATTGTTTTCTTAGGAGTGCTGACATTCCTGTTTGAATGTCCAACCGGCAGTGTTGCTGCCAGAATCTGCCCATTGCGGGCTGAACCCGTTTATCCTGCAAAGGAAAACGGCATTTTGCGGTGCGCGTGCAAGCGCCCGTTCTTTGGGACGAATTGTCGCTACAAACGTAAGATGAATACAACAATTTCTTGTGTTCTTTCAGACTTCTTTTATAATAACATCATTATTTCTTTTAGAGCAAAATGGAACCATTGCGCTGAACGCGACAAGACTGACCAAGGAGTCGGTGTTGATGAAATGGAAAGAGAATGCCAAGCCGAATGAAGGGCGAAGATACTTGATATCTGTTCGCAAAGTTGAGTTCAAACTCTCAACTGTCAAACTTCATAAATGGCAGAAGGCATCCATCGAGTACATGGAACCTAACAACACCCTGTTCAAGTCTCAACAAGAGACAGAATCCAGCGACGACCTCAGTCTGAAGGAAATGTATACTGACTATACTGCTGTTCTTCGACTGCCAGCGACGTCCTCATACGAGGTCAAGATCACTACTTTCTCGGACGCTGGAACCGCTGGTAACCATGTCGGGTCAACATCTGCAATTTTTGATGCCTCGGACGCTTTTGTGAATGGTGAGTGGGAATGATTTGGAAGCAAAACTAAAGATTTGGATTTACTGTTCCTCAAAACTTTTGAAAAATTATTTTTTCAGGAACAATGCTGGGCATTTCAGAGAAGATGGACCAATTTAAGAACTATATTTTTGAGAGCTTTGAGGACGACTGCGCTCTTAAAGGAATGGTAATCGGTGTTGTTGTTGGAACTCTTGCAACACTGATTATCATAACCATGGTATATGTCCTCAGCAGGTATTAACAGCAAGCACTTTGAAGTAACAGCAAAGAAAACAAACCCCAACCAATGGCAACGTGTAGTTTAACAAAATATTATGATTTATGTTGCAGATATTGCTGTAAGTGCGTAAGATATTGCTGCAAGAAACGCGGTAACAATTCTGGTGTAAAACTGAATAGAAGTGGGCAGACATCAAGCACTAAAACACCTGAACCTTATGTCATTATTGATATATACGGCTTTGACGTAAGTTTGGCATTATTTCCTGCAACAGGGGAATAAGTCAACGGTTTAAAAGCTAATTCAAATATTTTCAACAGCCTGTTCCACCAGATACAACTGAAGTAACTCAACGAGCAGAGAGCAAAGAGTGCGTGATTGTTGAAGTTGACAACGCAGCTTACAGTCCAGCCGATAATGGTGTGGTTAAAGAGGATGAACCTCAAGCAGAGGGCGAATCACATGATGATGGAGAGACTGCAAAACGTGCACAACATGAAGTTACTGTTGAGCCAGAAACCATCAATAGCGAGAACGAACCTCGCAGCATTTGAGGATTGAAGACAGATCCTGAGGGGGGAGGGAACATAACTGCAGTATTAACGGACACAGATTACAGTAACATATATGTTAAATGGTATAAATTTCTTCTTGTACAGTATTGATTGTAATGATATATGATATTTGATTAAAATTTTTAAAACTTCATACATGGTATTGTTGTTCGAGTTTGACCCGTTTACACCACCGTGATTTTAACTCTAATCTATATCTTATCTCAATCTAATCCTAAACCCAATGCTTTTATGCTAAAAATGCACAACAGAGGTTTACCCCAGAGACTGGCAAGTCATGAAAACCATCTAGAGGGATGGAACTAGAAACAACCCAACGATTTATTAGTGACGTTATAATTTCATTACGACGTCAACAATTTCATTATAGCTTCATTGGCATGTATGAGTGACATTACAAAAATGGAGCGAGCTAAACTGTTGATAATTGTTTTCTTAGGAGTGCTGACATTCCTGTTTGAATGTCCAACCGGCAGTGTTGCTGCCAGAATCTGCCCATTGCGGGCTGAACCCGTTTATCCTGCAAAGGAAAACGGCATTTTGCGGTGCGCGTGCAAGCGCCCGTTCTTTGGGACGAATTGTCGCTACAAACGTAAGATGAATACAGCAATTTCTTGTGTTCTTTGAGACTTCTTTTATAATAACATCATTATTTCTTTTAGAGCAAAATGGAACCATTGCGCTGAACGCGACAAGACTGACCAAGGAGTCGGTGTTGATGAAATGGAAAGAGAATGCCGAGCCGAATGAAGGGCGAAGATACTTGATATCTGTTCGCAAAGTTGAGTTCAAACTCTCAACTGTCAAACTTCATAAATGGCAGAAGGCATCCATCGAGTACATGGAACCTAACAACACCCTGTTCAAGTCTCAACAAGAGACAGAATCAAGCGACGACCTGAGTGCGAAGGAAATGTATACTGACTATACTGCTGTTCTTCGACTGCCAGGGACGTCCTCATACGAGCTCAAGATCACTACTCTTTCGGACGCTGGAACCGCTGGAAACCATGTTGGGTCAACATCTGCAATCTTTGATGCCTCGGACGCTTTTGTGAATGGTGAGTGGGAATGATTTGGAAGCAAAACTAAAGATTTGGATTTACTGTTCCTCAAAACTTTTGAAAAATTATTTTTTTCAGGAACAATGCTGGGCATTTCAGAGAAAATGGACCAATTTAAGAACTATCTTTTTGAAAGCTTTGAGGACGGCTGCGCTCTTAAAGGAATGGTAATCGGTGTTGTTGTTGGAACTCTTGCAACACTGATTATCATAACCATGGTATATGTCCTCAGCAGGTATTAACAGCAAGCACCTTGAAGTGACAGGAAAGAAAACAAACCCCAGCCAATGGCAACGTGTAGTTTAACAAAATATTATGATTTATGTTGCAGATATTGCCGTAAGTGCGTAAGATATTGCTGCAAGAAACGCAGTAACAATTCTGGTGTAAAACTGAATAGAAGTGGGCAGACATCAAGCACTAAAACACCTGAACCTTATGTCATTATTGATATATACGGCTTTGACGTAAGTTTGGCATTATTTCCTGCAACAGGGGAATAAGTCAACGGTTTAAAAGCTAATTCAAATCTTTTCAACAGCCTGTTCCAGTAGATACAACTGAAGTAACTCAACGAGCAAAGAGCAAAGAGTGCGTGATTGTTGAAGTCGACAACGCAGCTTACAGTCCAGCCGATAATGATGTGGTTAAAGAGGATGCACCTGAAGCAGAGGGAGAATCACATGATGATGGAGAGACCGCACAACGTGAACAACATGAAGTTACTGTTGAGCCAGAAACCATCAATAGCGAGGACGAACCTCGCAGCATTTGAGGATTGAAGACAGATCCTGAGGGGGGTGGGAACATAACTGCAGTATTAACGGACACAGATTACAGTAACATATATGTTAAATGGTATAAATTTCTTCTTGTACAGTATTGATTGTAATGATATATGATATTTGATTAAAATTTTTAAAACTTTATACATGGTATTGTTGTTCGAGTTTGATCCGTTTACACCACTGTGATTTTAACTCTAATCTATATCTTAATCTCAATCTAATCCTAAACCCAATGCTTTTATGCTAAAAATGCACAACAGAGGTTTGCCCCAGAGACTGGCAAGTCATGAAAACCATCTAGAGGGATGGAACTAGAATTAACCCAACGATTTATTAGTGACGTTATAATTTCATTACGACGTCAACAATTTCATTATAGCTTCATTGGCATGTACGAGTGACATTGCAAAAATGGAGCGAGCTAAACTGTTGATAATTGTTTTCTTAGGAGTGCTGACATTCCTGTTTGAATGTCCAACCGGCAGTGTTGCTGTCAGAATCTGCACTCTAAATTTCGAAGTGTCCGACAAACACCAAATAAGTGTAAATACACACAATTTTGGTGTAAATCAGTATATTACACCCACAAAGTGCAAATTTACCCTTCGAGGTGTATTATTACACCAATATTGTGTTGTGTCAACACCGGTTAAGTGTATAGCTATTAATCTTCTTTGGCGTAAATTTACGCCAAAAGTCGGTAAATAAACACCGTTCTTGTGTAATAAAGCACCACTTTGGTGTAAACATTATCGCTATAATTTTGTGTTGAATGAGAGCTTGGGCGTGCATGCACTGGAAGCTTTTGTCGGAAAAAAATTGCAAATGCCGAGTGAAATGGATTATCATTTTTTATATTCCTAAATAATTAAATAGCAGTTATTATGTCAAGAGCGATTGCTTTCTTAAAATAAGGAAAGCTCCATCCAAAGTCTTGGAAAAAAGAATTGTTCTTTGTTTATATCTTTCTTTTCATATTCAGAAGAAATGACGGTTTTGAATCCTATTTCATCATTCTGATAAAATCCCGCAAGGCCGTAACTCGCGCAAAGAAATGTTGATAGGATTGCACCACGCTCTCGATGCATGCCGGGATAGCGTCTCTTCGCAGTTCGCACGACGCACGTTGTTGTTTGTTCCTTTGCGAAGTATAAATCGACAAGTATTTTGAATTTATATTAAATCTTACTGGACATTATGATACAAGATTGCCTGGAGAAGATTGAGGAAGTTGTTTTAAAAGTGACTGGGAATCTCAGTCATCTCAGAGGTAAGGATTTAAAATTATAATACGCGCAAACAGACGAAAGCTATATTTGAATTTCGAATTTGCCGCGTAAACAGTGTACGAATTTAACAGAAAGATTCACAGTTTTACTACTCATTCCCACCAAAAAAATGAATGATTTATAGAAATATGTTATGCCGTGGTTATACTATAGGTACTATGCCATATAAAGTGTGATATTATTGATGTAATGATGTTGGCTAAACCATGGTCAAATGCATGAATTTATGTTATATAAATATGAACATGAAACTGATTGAAACATCTGCCATAACAGATTTACTCAATCTTAGGATTATGATGTACTGAATCTTAGGATATACATTAATTTTGATTAAGAATTTGGATGACATAGCTGTTATATTGCCTTTTAAATAATTTTTATATATATCCTTAGATGGTGGATTATATACAAAGTGCCAAGTGTCATCTAAATCTGTAATAAACGAGCAGGAAAGTATGGTAAGTAATGTATTATAAGGAATTGTGCAATGCTGTTGGATTATTCACCAATTATATGGCTCAGTTTTAATTGCATAATAATATAATAATAGCACCAACATGATATATGCCTAAGATACCTTTGTTGTATTTGCATTTTTAAGGTGCCAAGGTCTTCCATTTGATGAAAAATATCAACAGTGAATCTACTAGTTCAGTGAAGCAAGAAAAGAAGGCATTTGACTTGGTTTATTAAGGCAATAAGGTAAGAAAATTATCAGTTCAATGTTCATGTGTCATACAAATTGCAAATTCATTGTTTATTTCACTTCCATTATTTGCTTCTTATTTATAAACAATTGATTATATAGTTAGTTAGCTTGACAGCTTACCAGATGAACATTCGCTATCTAAATTTTCAAATATGCTTGCTTTTTTCTTTATTAGGAACATGGATTAATTGAGGTAGTACTAGTGTGCGAGAAACTCAGGGGATGAGTGGAATGTCTCCTCTGTAAATGGTTAATTGGATTCACAGTGTTGCAGAACTTAACTTTCCAGGAAAAAAATACTCCAGGTGATCTTATAAATATGCTCATGTTTGGGAGGCTTATACAAACTTTACAAACTAGTCAGTAATCAAAGAGGAACATTGCTCAGGCATTAATTACTTTAGCTTATGTGTTAATAACAATAATTGAAGACATGCAGTGAGTTTGCATGATCTAGATGCACTTGTCTTCTTGCATGAATATTTTTATTCAATTACTTCTGGGCTCATATACAGGGGCTTAATTTCAATAATTTGAGTTCTTTCAAATAGTTTCGTAAACTTGCCAATTGGCAATTTTTAATTAAGTCCTTGAAAGACTTGTTTATTTGAGCAAGATATGCACAAACCTAGCAGTACTTTGAAAAACTATTTCTACTACATGTAAATGTCATTCGTATGGGCACTAACTTGCAATACCCTAAGGAATGTTTTAACACCTTCTTCTTCTTGCAATGGAACATCATGAAGGTTTTTGACACACAGAAGGTGCCAACTAAGGTTTTGGTGTTGCTAACCGAACTTTCTAAATTATAACTGCATGTAGATCTGAAGAACAATTGACTTTTTGTATTGTATATGTTTTATATTTAAATTTATATTTTTATATTTATGATATTCATGTGAAAATACTTATATATTTAAATGTTACAAATAAATTGTGGTTTCTGCCAATATATGCGCATAATATTCTGTTTCTTTTAGCCTTAGTTACTCGGAATAGTGAATTTACACTGCGAGTATAAATATACACGCTCTTGGTGTGCGTACAGAGGCAAGAGCATATACACCGAATAAGAGTAAAAATACGCTAACTGGTGTATATTTACGCTGCAAGTGTATATTTACTCCTTTTTGGTGTGCGTACAGAGGCAAGCGAATATACACTGATTGGGTGTAAATTTACACCGATAGGATAAATGTACACTTGCGAAGGTGTATATTTGCACCTCTTTGGGTGTTTGCAGGGAGGCAGGAATTTACACCTTTTTTGGTGTTTGTACAACACTTGGAGATTTAGAGTGTGCCCATTGCGGGCTGAACCCGTTTATCCTGCACAGGAAAACGGCATTTTGCGGTGCGCGTGTGTGCGCCCGTTCTTTGGGAAGAATTGTCGCTACAAACGTAAGATGAATACAGCAATTTCTTGTGTTCTTTGAGACTTCTTTTATAATAACATCATTATTTCTTTTAGAGCAAAATGGAACCATTGCGCTGAACGCGACAAGACTGACCAAGGAGTCGGTGTTGATGAAATGGAAAGAGAATGCCGAGCCGAATGAAGGGCGAAGATACTTGATATCTGTTCGCAAAGTTGAGTTCAAACTCTCAACTGTCAAACTTCATAAATGGCAGAAGGCATCCATCGAGTACATGGAACCTAACAACACCCTGTTCAAGTCTCAACAAGAGACAGAATCAAGCGACGACCTGAGTGCGAAGGAAATGTATACTGACTATACTGCTGTTCTTCGACTGCCAGGGACGTCCTCATACGAGGTCAAGATCACTACTCTTTCGGACGCTGGAACCGCTGGAAACCATGTTGGGTCAACATCTGCAATCTTTGATGCCTCAGACGCTTTTGTGAATGGTGAGTGGGAATGATTTGGAAGCAAAACTAAAGATTTGGATTTACTGTTCCTCAAAACTTTTGAAAAATTATTTTTTCAGGAACAATGCTGGGCATTTCAGAGAAAATGGACCAATTTAAGAACTATCTTTTTGAAAGCTTTGAGGACGGCTGCGCTCTTAAAGGAATGGTAATCGGTGTTGTTGTTGGAACTCTTGCAACACTGATTATCATAACCATGGTATATGTCCTCAGCAGGTATTAACAGCAAGCACCTTGAAGTGACAGGAAAGAAAACAAACCCCAGCCAATGGCAACGTGTAGTTTAACAAAATATTATGATTTATGTTGCAGATATTGCCGTAAGTGCGTAAGATATTGCTGCAAGAAACGCAGTAACAATTCTGGTGTAAAACTGAATAGAAGTGGGCAGACATCAAGCACTAAAACACCTGAACCTTATGTCATTATTGATATATACGGCTTTGACGTAAGTTTGGCATTATTTCCTGCAACAGGGGAATAAGTCAACGGTTTAAAAGCTAATTCAAATCTTTTCAACAGCCTGTTCCAGTAGATACAACTGAAGTAACTCAACGAGCAAAGAGCAAAGAGTGCGTGATTGTTGAAGTCGACAACGCAGCTTACAGTCCAGCCGATAATGATGTGGTTAAAGAGGATGCACCTGAAGCAGAGGGAGAATCACATGATGATGGAGAGACCGACAACGTGAACAACATGAAGTTACTGTTGAGCCAGAAACCATCAATAGCGAGGACGAACCTCGCAGCATTTGAGGATTGAAGACAGATCCTGAGGGGGGGGAACATAACTGCAGTATTAACGGACACAGATTACAGTAACATATATGTTAAATGGTATAAATTTCTTCTTGTACAGTATTGATTGTAATGATATATGATATTTGATTAAAATTTTTAAAACTTTATACATGGTATTGTTGTTCGAGTTTGATCCGTTTACACCACTGTGATTTTAACTCTAATCTATATCTTAATCTCAATCTAATCCTAAACCCAATGCTTTTATGCTAAAAATGCACAACAGAGGTTTGCCCCAGAGACTGGCAAGTCATGAAAACCATCTAGAGGGATGGAACTAGAATTAACCCAACGATTTATTAGTGACGTTATAATTTCATTACGACGTCAACAATTTCATTATAGCTTCATTGCATGTACGAGTGACATTGCAAAAATGGAGCGAGCTAAACTGTTGATAATTGTTTTCTTAGGAGTGCTGACATTCCTGTTTGAATGTCCAACCGGCAGTGTTGCTGTCAGAATCTGCCCATTGCGGGCTGAACCCGTTTATCCTGCACAGGAAAACGGCATTTTGCGGTGCGCGTGTGTGCGCCCGTTCTTTGGGAAGAATTGTCGCTACAAACGTAAAATGAATACAGCAATTTCTTGTGTTCTTTCAGACTTCTTTTATAATAACATCATTATTTCTTTTAGAGCAAAATGGAACCATTGCGCTGAACGCGACAAGACTGACCAAGGAGTCGGTGTTGATGAAATGGAAAGAGAATGCCGAGCCGAATGAAGGGCGAAGATACTTGATATCTGTTCGCAAAGTTGAGTTCAAACTCTCAACTGTCAAACTTCATAAATGGCAGAAGGCATCCATCGAGTACATGGAACCTAACAACACCCTGTTCAAGTCTCAACAAGAGACAGAATCAAGCGACGACCTGAGTGCGAAGGAAATGTATACTGACTATACTGCTGTTCTTCGACTGCCAGGGACGTCCTCATACGAGGTCAAGATCACTACTCTTTCGGACGCTGGAACCGCTGGAAACCATGTTGGGTCAACATCTGCAATCTTTGATGCCTCGGACGCTTTTGTGAATGGTGAGTGGGAAACAATGATAAAGCTTTCATTTTCATACAGATTTTAAACAATTTTCGAATGTCTTTCCGCTATTTCTTTCAGGAACAATGCTGGGAATTACCGACAGCTTTGAAGGGTTAAAGAACCTTGTTGTGGCGAGCTTTCATGACGATTGTGCAATCAAGGGAATTGTGACTGGTGTTGTCATGGGATCGCTGGGTACCTTGATGTTGGTAGCCACTGCGTACACTCTTCACAGGTACACAATTTGCAAGAGGAAACTTTCGTAATTTTGTCTTGACGGCCATTTTTTTTTTAATTTATTTGAGGTATTGCAGCAAGTGTGGTAATACATGCCGTCGTTTGGGACGTAATGACAAGTCTGATTCTCAGAAACAGGAGAATCCATCTAATATAGCCAGCACAGAAGAAGATGGGAGTTGCAAAGAGTTTGAACAACTTTCTGAATCAACTTCTTCATACGTGGTAATCGAGATGGAAGACATTGAAGTTAGTTTCATAGTTCAATATATAAATACTGTACAGGAAATTTTCTCAGGCAGCTAACGCAGAATTTCTGTCTCATTCATCTTAACTTTACCACCCAATATTTATTGAGAGTGATTTTGTTTTACAGCTTACTGAGATGGAGAAGGAATTTGTTGTCGAAGAGGTCGATAACCTCGCTCTCAGCCCAGAAGAACCAGAAGATATCTCACAAAAGGCTACACCAGAGAAGTCAGTAATCTTGGATATCCCTGAGACTGTCATAGACGGTGATGAACCCGCGAAGCCCGAGCCAACAGCTGTTGCCAGCGGTCAAGAAGTGACCAACACAACCGAAGCTTAAAGCCTCGCACTATTTGGGATGATTCACAGTGCTGAGTGAAAAACTGTTTTTAAGGGGGGAGGGTGAGATACATACACTGCTACCTTAGGGGGGTGGGGAGAAAGACAGCTATGCATGATAATAGGATATGGTATCGTGTTTTTTTAACTGGTTAACTGTAATGAATTTTTGGATATATTTTTTGTAACTATATGGTATGCATGAACCTAATGTGAAATGAATTAAAATAAAAAACAAAACTGATGGTTTAGTGTTGGTATTTTAATAGTTATATTAAAAGCCCTACTACAATGATACTTACTTGGGCAAACTTTGTCGTGACTGTGATTATTCAACTCAAGCTTCGGCACAGCCTCCCTGCATCGGGGACAAGAAACAAAATTAGCTTTGGATTCGCATTCCTCAAGAAGGTGCTGACTTTGACGACAAATTTCGATGACCTAAAAATAGAAATACATATTACAGATACATAAGAGTCCGCTTCGTACACAGCACGTTTCTCTCGTCAGTGTGTCCGTTCACCTGCGAGCACTTTGGACATCGTTTCAACATCGGGCAGGATTTCCAGTAGTGCGTGTCCAAAACTTCCTCTGTGAATGTTTCATCTTTAATACCACAGAAAATGCACATCCTGTTTACGAAAATGATGATTCAAATGAATTCCTTTTATTGTGAAAGAGCAAGTTTTAGTGTTAAACTTCAACAAATCATAATAAATAAATAAATAAAGATTATCATCACGTGACCTGTCCACGTCACTTGGTTCCGGCATGTTGGAAGAATCAACAGCGGACTGATCTAAAAGGAAGAAGATGCCGCGAATATTTTATCCAATAAAAGGCAAACACAAGCAGATTTACAAACGTTTGCAATGTGCGAAGTACTATACTACCCAACACGTTAAAACTGCAACGCGAGGGCCCTGGTATATCACCTTTTATTACTTTAGCATGTCATTGTACACTTCATGTTACAAGCCAAGAAACAAGAGTAGATAGAATTGACCAAGCACAGGGCGTAGTCAACCGACATGCGTGGTACATATATAGGAGTATGTTTCCAGAGAAAGAAAGAAAGATATATATATATATTATTATCATACCTGTTTTTTTTTCTTCCTCAGCATTCCCCTAAGATATATTTCAAATTACTATGATTAGATGACCAAATTTTTAAGGCAATCCAACTTTGATCACAATACATACTTGTTTAGCAGCCATTTCTCTCAGAGCTTGCAAATGCGCATGCAACTCGTCAATCTGAAAAACAGGTGTTATGGTAAACGTGAATCAAAATCACTTTAACATTTCCTGGATGAAAAAACTACGGTGGATAGCGATATATTTATGTCATTCAGACCTCCTTTTGCTTCGCTTTTTCGGCCGTTTCTCTGTCGTTCTTTGCCTTGGCCTGACGAAGTTTGGACAAGTAAGTTTACATAAGATTAGTAAGTGATGATTTGCTATTGTATAGACTACCAGAGTTTGAAGTCAGGAATCTGGATTTTGAAGAGAAGATATTGCATTAACCTTTCTTTCAGCCTCTGTTGGTTTCCCGTCAATTCTATCAAAACCATCAAATATGGAGCGATACAGAGGATTCTTTCTTGTTGCTGGTTCGTCAGCAGGAAGGAAACCCTTTACCGGTGCTTTTAACTAAACAATTTAAGACGATTTAGTTCGCCACTTCTTCTACTGGTTGTTATGAATCTCAATCTGGCGCCCAGCTCTAGATAATTACCTTATAAAGTTCAAAAATCAGTTTAACAGCAGCGTCCCGGACACCTCCATTAGCATTTTCCAATGCAGGAAGAATAAACTAATATTTCAATAAAGAAATAAGACACATTAAATCTTTTTGCCTTAAAAGCTTTTACTCTTAGCTTACTTCAATACAAATTATGTTCATGCACATAACAATTAAGTTTTAAGATTAACAGAATAATTGAGGTCGTACTTTCATAGTTGAAGCTGTAGAAAATCCATTTGGTGTAGTTTCGTCAAGACCTAAGACAGCGAGAAGCTTCTCTATCAGCTCAATTCGTCCTGTGTACAACCTGGCTGTACCCTATAAAATAACAGAAAATATTGATATCAAAATAAGCATGGACAGTGGGCAGAATCGTCGAAACATACACCCTGGCAATACTAAACATCGTGTGTGTGCATACCTGTTGTTTATTTTTAAATGGATGTGTGGTCAAATCTGGTATCACTCCAAGAGTCTTGACGTCCTCGTACTGTGAAATCTCAATAATGAATTCCATGGCTGAGTTCTTCATTCTTGCAGCCTGCAGAGATAGAGACCAGGGAATAAATATATCATAATTAAACTATCACTGGTCTACAAGATAGATAAAATCATATGCTATCAAAGATACAGCAAGTATCTTACCATTTCCCCTGTTTTAAGCAGCAACAACGGAACAGTCTACAAAGAATGATGAATACTTTAGGTTTCATATTTCCGCATGTTTGTCGTTGGAAAAGTCCGAAAAGAAGTTGTCTCACCTTTTGCAGAACAAAGGAAATTTCATTTTGTGCCTCGCTAAATGTGATATAAAATATAGAAGATAAATTAAGAAGCAAAGAAGAAAATTCTCAACTTTTAAGTTTGAAACTTTTAAATTACAAACATCTTATTATGAATTAATATGGTTGATACGGTAAGTAGTATAAAAAATGCAACGGTGAACTTACTGTTTCGGAATGAATATTGTAAGTAAATCTTTCAAAATAGATAAGGACAGAACAAAGACCTGTGGATAGTAATGAATGGAGATGTATAAATAAGTGTTGTGTATATCGATGTATATAACGATGTATATCGTGTATAGCCAGTTCGTTTATATGGAAACAGGAGCATGATACTAACCGGATGAACTTGCTCGATTATTCCTTTCTTCAATAAATCAACAACAGCTCTGACGACAGACCTTGCATCGTGTTCTGCAATCAATTCCGGGTTTTCTGAGCTTAATTCTCTTTTAATGGTGTCCATGCCTTGCTTGCGATACGTCCACTGCTTGGTGTAAATACAACGAACCTAGGAGAAGATGACTAGACGTGAATCACTAATGAGTAAATATCAAATTATGGCTACTGTAAATCTTGTTGCATTGCTGAGACTCAGTGGAAATATCACAATGCAAAAACATGAAAAATCTTAGTCTCTTACAACATGCTCTCCGAAAATATCAATGGCCAATGTAGCCTCTCTTGCATCTTTTTCACGAAGTTCACTTGGTCCATCTAAAAACACCATTACTGCATTCAAAACTCGGTCAATATTCTTCACGAAAAAGGTTTCAATAAATTTTCAACCAAAAAATGTTCAAGGAAATATAGTTCTTATAAGGTACCTTGTGAAGGAGGGGACACTCCTAAAAAATTATCAAAAGCGATTCTTTATACCCATGCAGATTACAATAATTTATAATTCTATCACAAAATTGTGGCTGTGGAAATGGGATTATTACTATCATGCACGTGCAGCCGGATGCAATAATAGGATATATGAAAATCAGCTTGACTGATGCATGGATAAGGCAGAATTATGCAGAAGAATACCTGGTGGGCTTTGCTCGATTGGATCTGGCGTATCCCTGAGGAAAGAAATAACTATATATTTATCAAAATATCCAGGAATGAGAGAAGATATACAATAATACATTGGTTAACTTCTGTTTCTTTTAAAATATATAGCTATATATAGCATTCCGGAGCTCACAAGTAAAATACTTTACTTTTTAGTCATCGTTGGTAAAGGTCTGTCGTCTGCAGCAGTTATCTACGGAAATAATGTTTAATGGATTATTTGAGGAAAACAGAACAAATGCAACTAGTTTAGAAGAGTCAAAAACATTTACGACAATACTTGTATGCATGGCCCAGATAGTAATCCTGTCTGACTGAGCATTCTTTTAACTTATCATGCAATAGGACTAGGATACTCACCTGTTCCGGTGACATGCTTGGGGGTTGAACAATCTCTACTTTATCTTGGGAGGGTCTGGGGCTGACATATGGTGATTTTGCTGAGGCGGGTACCTCGGGGCGAGAATCGGGTTGTGGGGATGTTGTAATTGGTGGTAAAGGTGGTGACATTGAAAAACGGTTGGTAGATGGAGGAGCCCGGTTTGCATTACGATCTGAAACAGGAGCCTCCTTGTTTGGCTATGAATGAAATTTAACATGAGTTGAAGCTCTCGTTGTCATAATATCAAACAAGCTGTTTCCTCGCATGAAACTCAAGTTTGCGTTCTCACTTTCCTTTTGTTTGAGGGGTGGCTCAGAGCTTCTTGGCAACAGAAAAGCAAAATTGACAGAATTTTCACACACCTCTTGAATAATTCCTGCAGATACCAACCGATCTGTGACCACTTTACGATATTCGTCGATTTGTTGCTGGAAAGTGCACAAAATATTTTAGAGAAGATTACGAAGTAGTCAAGTGATAGCTATATGCTATGCTCTTCCCAAAAGCATCGCATGTCATAATATGATAAGAACAGTGCCATAATTAACAACCTTTTTCACCATAGCCAAGTCATAATCTTCAACTTCTATTGCCCTCTGTTTTTCAACATTCAGACGACCAAGTCTTTCTCCAACCTACACACATTCAGCGATCCATTAAAAACCACTCATTTTCATTCATTGGGAAAATGAGTGATAAATTAACTACTTTTTGAATCAGGTTACTGTATGATGAGTGCATGATGAATGCATGATGAGTGCATGACGAGTGCATGACGAATGCATGACGAGTGCATGACAAGTGCATGATGAATGCATGATGAGTGCATGACGAGTGCATGATGAGTGCATGACTGCTGCGTGAATGACGTTATACGTGCCTTGTGAAGATCGTTAACGACCTGATGGTACTTTTTTGCTTCAACGAACTCATCCTCTAAACATGAAATATATGAACTTAAGAACATCAGAAGGCATGTCTTTTAATAGTCAGTTTCTTGTATATTTCAGGTTGGAAAAAAAACCTACAACTGTTTGATCTGGAATTAAACTATGAATGGTTAAAAACCTTTTATAGCATCTTTCTTCTTCTGCTCCAAATCTCTTATTATTTCAGCCGTTTGTGGATCCTAAATTAATAAATTTGCATAGAAATACATTTAAATGTCTGTCAATTTTTTCCCGTTTGATAACAAGAAGTTTACTATGATCTTAATCCGATTATCCGAATAGATGATTATGTTTCTTATATGCTTTCATTGTAATGTGTAGTTGGTTAGTTTATAATAACCAATATGTAGAACTCATTATGAATTAAACTTTAAGCTTTGTAAACATTACCTGGTACATAGCAAATGCTATGTCATCAAGTGGAGAAATATGATCAGGTCTATGTAAAAAACAATTAATATAAAGATTTCACCTTGCTGAATCCTATCAAATGCCCTAAAAACAACCATGCTGATATATAAAAATCTTAATCTACTTACTTATTGATTTTCCCCCATAGTGGATCACCTGGCATAACATTTTCCTGTTTCATATATTGATCTACCAGTCTGTCAGCAGACTGCATTTTAAAAAATATATATTATGGTGTAAATTGCATGTTTTTACGCACCTTTTCATTGCCACAAATATGGTTGGGGCCATATTACGGTTACACTTACATTTGCATCATCAAATTGACTGAAAGTTTCAATGCTTTCTGCAATTATATTGGTGGCAATAATTTGAACCTGTTACAGAATAAGATAAAATTTTAATTCAGTGAAAAATTAAATTAGCTGTTGCTGGTATTCTGATAGTATTATGAATATTTTCTTTCAGTGAAAAATTAAATTTTAATTCAGTGAAAAATTAAATTAGCTGTTGCTGGTATTCTGATAGTATTATGAATATTTTCTAGCACACACCTGGTTGTACAAATTGAATTTGTTGACATAATTTTTGTGGACAAACAGTTTGATAAATTGCCCATGCGCATCAAGATGCACAGATTTCAGCTCTCTTGACTGAATCAAATTAAACAAAAATATATGAGACACTTAAATGCATGTTTTGCATATCAATGCTGTCTCTACATTTGGTTAATTGTCATACAAGAGAACACATATTGTGTACCTTATACTCTGTATTCTGATTATCAACCAAACTAACATGTCTATAAAAGATTGTAGAAATATCTCACTACATGCAACAAAGAAAAAATCGGCCAGTACATATTCATTAGAGTACCAATAGCTCATTGCCTAAAAACTCACCCAAGACGTTTAAATTTACAAGTCAAAAGTGAAGATGACTGCCCTTCAGGAATACTGCCAATAAATACTTCAATTTTTGTGGCTGTCATATGAAATAAAAAAATATGAAAAACCAGGAAATATGTTTATTAATATGTACGTAGCTTCATTGTGAACTTACGTATCAAATATTGATGAGAAAGTATTTGCAATTTTCGGATTCTCATAGATTGTTGTAACATTAATATAACTTCTTGTGGATAAACACAGAATCTAAATGTGAAACCAAAACATCTTTTATTTCAACATTTAACCGTGAAAAGTATTAAAACAGGATAGAAGATGGCAGCTGACTTAAAAGATATAAATAACAAATATCTCATTATGAATTTCAGGACAAAATTAGGCCTTACAAAAACATCTTATATTCTTATTCTATATTTCACGGTGATGAAACCTGAAAACCTACAACCTAATCTTCTAGCAAACTCTTTTAACTGGTAAAAAGAAATCAATTACTTGGACGTTCTCCATCCTTTTGTTGTTGGTGCGTGAGTTTCTAATTCTTTTGCGCTATACCCATCGTCAGCCCCAGATGCATGGACCACTTTAAATGGAACTTTCCTGGCCATCATCAGCAAAGCACTCTATGTCACATTCTGTGGGAAAAAAGACATTAATTTTATATCATTTTTGACTAATGTTGCAGCTTTTAGGGATTGATATTAGAGTTGACTTTGAGGGTTGCCTATTATTAAGATTACAATATTGAATAAAAATTTCATATATGTCAAGTATTTTACTAATCAAGGCATGTAAAAATCACAGCTATGTTGTAATCTGATGTTTGATTCAAAACCCTATGTTGCAGAGTTTTGAAATATCAACAGAAGCTTAATTCAAGTGGAAATAAAAGCCTTTCAAGATAAAAAGGTTAATATGAATACCATTGGTCTGATTTATGATCCTCCAAGTGCAGAGAAAACAATCATTGATATTTCAGAGATGCACAAGTTAATACTAGTTGGCTAAGATAGTGTGATATTATATAGGAGCAATGATCTTTTAAATAAATCATATCAAATGAAGATCATACAAACAGATGATACATAAAGAAAAAGATATCTGCATATCAGCCTAAATATCACTCCGAATTGACTGTGTAAACACATGCACAAAAAATTTGTTCTCATGAATATGTCCATCTTTCTGCTGCAATCATTTATACAGCAAAGTTGATTTAAGGCAACTTGATACCTCTTTAGATACACTCAACATAACGGTGATCTACATAGATCAGGTCATCAGGTTCAGGTTGTGTATTGGCCGATCTTTCAACAATATCAAATGATAACTTTGAATATTTAATTATATTCATAATTGATTATATTTAATTCCCTATTTCTCCATCGTGGTAGGTTCAATGACACCATCTTTAGCGACCGTTTGCTGAAACTACTTCTGATATTTTCTACGCGAATTTATCCTTTCTAGCTAATCTATATAACATAACATTTCCTTGTGTCAAACATGGCACGTACTTACCAAATGTCAATACAAAATATGACACTCCACTCACGACATATACTATTCAACCACGAAATTTAGCTATTTCTCTTCGAGATCGATGGCTAAGCTTTCTTGTGCATACGCAACAGGTCATTTACATTACCGATTTACAATATGACACAAACTTTAGCGTCAACGTGAAAGTTATCCTCCAAACAAGAACTGCAAATATTTATCCTCAAAAAACAAACTTGGCAACCATTGTGAGCCCACATTACAAGATGAACCACCAGCAGCGGGCTGCGGGTCTTCCAAACGTTACAGTTTAGAGCAATCGAAATCCATTATTGTTTGTTTACTAAATTTTGTTTACAACAAAATGCAATGTCTGATCGGCGAAAAAAGAATCGTTTGGTGCAGTACGATTGGCTCGAGAGCCAAGAGGGCAAGGAGTTCCTTGGAATATTGCTGAGGCGTAATAAACGTAGAATTTTCGGTTTGTATTTAAATTATGCCAACGTTCTACAATCTACAACAGTTCAGTTATTAGTTTAGTTCAGTTCACAACCCTCAACGTTTCATAAGGATACTTGTAGTATTTGGTTAGCTTTGATGTGAGAGTTCAAGTGGATTATATCTTATTTGGCTCAAATTTACGTATTTTACTCTTGAGTAGAGATTTGCTCCAAGAACTCAGTTAATCCAGTCTTAAAACCGGATAGGGAGGGATTAACCTATGGGATTAACGGCCATACACGTTTTTCACGTTTCGTCATATCCTGCACCTGAATTTCACCTGATTTTAGGGTTGTCTAGACTCCACAATCCACACAGACCACAGTCACCACTCACTACACATTCATCCATTGATGCTCAAGCTAGTTGGGCATTGGCATTCCAGATATGATTAATAGTTTATTGCAAAATTCTTTAGCCAAAATTGAAACTTTAAACAATTAAAAATTTTTATCATTTGCAAGCACATGAAATACTATAAACAATCCAAATTATCCTATATTTTCCTTCACAGGACTACTAGAGCAGCCTGGATTCCCATCTGGGGTGACTCCAACAATAATACCATTCAAGCTATTATTGTTGGGTAAATCTTCTGTTGGAAAGACCAGCACAGTTGCTAAGCTAGCTGGAAAGGGTGTGTTTGTTATTTAAATGTTTTGCTCTGAAAACCTTCATCTCCAACTATATACCAATTATTTAACAAAAATATACTTTCAACTTCAAAGAACTTCCAACCATGTATAATGAAACACCTGGTATTCAAACAACTTTGATTTACTGGCCTGTCAAGGTAATATAATCGCAGAAGTATTTCAAATCGTCAGTAATTCCAATCAAAACCACAAAGAAATATCTTTTCGTTCTAGCTGTTATCCTCATCAAATGTTGTGTTATTTAAACTGCATTTCTGGGATGTTGGTGATTATGCTTTGAAAAAATTTGACCATATTAAAACAGTTAGTATATTGCAGAAATATCTTATAAAATTTCCACTCCATCTATTTCAGACTGCTAAAACTCAACTCGTGTTTTCTAGGCTGGACAATCAAATATGGATGCCGTTGTATTTTTCTTCTCGTTTATAGATAGGTTAATATTTCACAGTATGATACAGACTGTGTTTGATAAGATGTCCATTCCACAATTCATCTGTATTGTGAACATAAACATGAATAAAAAATATTACAAAATTTTCGTTTGAAATGCTTTGCTGTTCCTGGTTAAGCTTATCATTTTAACTTTCAGATCAAGTTATGATGATTTGCCTTACCTAGTGACAAGAACTTGTGATGAACTACAAGACATAGCTAAAATAACCATCGGAACAAAATATCCTTTTCATCATCTAAGTTTGTAGTTGAATTGTACTGGAACATTCTCACAGTACGAATTAGAAAAAAATTCCTTAACACCAGGTTTAGGTTTGACCAAGTGCTCCATAGTGAAGTTACCGAAGAAGAGCTTAGAGATTTCCAAGAACAATGGCATATTCCTATTTATAAAATTTGTAACAATGAAGGTCGCAAATTAGCCGATGGAAGTTTAGATGGCAGAGCTGGGATCGTGGTAAGCCAAGCTCAACTCGGCTAAAATTCAGTTGACTCGCTACCAGTAATTGCTAAAGGCTTCTCAATCTTCCTAGGAGGTGGCACCCATCCTGAACGCGATCACAGAAATGCTATGGAGACACGCGAATGAAAAAAGAAAAGCCGTTCAAGAAAAATCGCCAAAAAAGCGTCCGCCCGCAAGCAATCCTGATTCAAGCGCGACGAACATAACTTCACAGGATCACCACCAGATAACTAATATTTAGAAAACAACAAAAAAAACTTCAAACAGAATATTTATGAGTCTTATTTTGCCAAAGACATCACTCATTCTCTTTACTACACTAGTTTCCTCTCGTTTTACAACCTAAAAAACACATTCATTTGGAACACATAATATACTTCATGTCTGTACATAAATAGAGCGTATTTTTACAATGTTTTGTAAATAAATATATTATAGCGTATATAAAAATATTGTATGAAATAAAGGATTTCAGGGAACGTAACAGAGCATGCGCAGCTAAATAAAGATGATGACATCATTCTATTGCTGTAATTTGATCATCATCTGCTACTGAGTATGATATTCTTGGTGAAACCGCCTTAAATTATTGTACATCTCTCAGTTTTTAACAGTTTACACCCACACAGTTTTACCTTTCGATCCTTCACAATCTTCTATATCATACATCTGTCCTTCGTCGTCACTGAGATCCCCAAGTGATCCTAAACTATCACGTGAAACAACACTGTTCCGTAATTGGACAGAAGTTGGATCCCAATCCAAACTGTACAAACTAGTTCGCTCAGTGGATTTGGGTTGCTCGGGAAGCTGGACACTAGACACAGGCCTCGATACATTTACAGGGGGGTGACCGTTGTGGGTTTTAATTGGTGGGTAGGGGGGTAAAACTTCGCGTTCGGCATAACCTTCGACAGATCCAATTGGATCCCATTCCATGCTGTATCTGGTCGTGGCAGAGCCAGTTGAACCAGTCGAAGCAGTACTTATGCGCGCCATCGCATCTCGGGGCTTGGTTCTGAGTTTGTGTCTTCGCATGACTGGTAATTCGGTGAGGATATCACCCGCTTCTAGGGCGATCGTCTTCCCGGGTGATGCGGGTTCATGTGAAGGGGATTTTCTACCGATAGATAAACTTTTCGCAAGTCTTTCTGCCATTGAGCTTTTTTGCGATGGAGTTGGAGAACTTACACCTACTGGCTTCGATTTACTAGGGGAGAGCGTAGGTTTTCGTGGGTATTTGGGGGATTTTGCGGGTGCTAGGATGAAGAAAGATGCTAGACGGTCCATATATGTACTCTCACCAGTCTTTTCGTGTACGCACTCCGGTCCAACATTTTTAGACTCTGGTGGAATCTCAATTGTAAGAATATTGTTGAGTTTTGCGGGTTTTTCCAGTGTTATCTCCGCAAACGGCGCTGATTGAGAGCGTTCAAACTTTTTAATACATTCCTCAGTTTTTTCAGGCAAAGATTTAGATCTTTGGCGTTTTGGGGAAAGCGCTCGTTGTATAAGACCTCGCAAGGAACTCAAGCGCTTCGACCTTCTTTTGTGTTCACATGTTTTTTCATCATCCGCTTCGTGTTCTGTTGTGGCAACTTCGTGCTCCACTGTCAGAAGTTCAGGTTCTATTCTGACCATCGTGTTTTCTTTCGTGACGACTCCTACCGACGGCGTGCGATCAGATGAAGAGCGTTCTCGTTCTGAGCTTGACCGAGCACGGTTTGAGATGCTCGACGCATGCTCGGAAGACGAAGACGTCACACTTGATACGTCATTAACACCCGAAGTTGAAGTAGACTTCCCGCCATATTTATCGCTCCACGTCAGAGCACGTGGCTTTCTTATGATCTCTTGAGAACTGCTGCCCTGTCTCGAACATTGAACCCATGGTTGGGTTCTAATCTTTCTCAGATCTTCATAGTCACACGACTCGATCCAGGACTTTGTCTTCGTGCTGCGCGACGTCCATGTGTCTAAATCAAGAAGAGAGTCGGCCGAAACATGTTCTGTAGTTTTAGCTTTCGGAAAGGGTCGCTGGCTTTCGTATTCATCCCCATATTCCGCATAAGTGTCAGGGGATTTCGGTTGATTGAGCGAGTCAAGCGAGTACTTCGTGCAGTAGAATTGTTCAACATTACATTTTCCACATGTACACTCCATGTTTTTTGTGGATAATGTGTCGCTCAAGCGGATTGCATTTGGCGAGTAGTGTATAAATATAAGTGACTGCAGAAGACATGCTATCACCAGGAGAATGGTAACCACCTCAGTTCCGGATTCTTTCTTGGTTATTTGCAGAATAGCGACAGAACAATGAGGAATGCCCATCATCACGAAAGTTACTACGCCCGCTATAACCAGGCGAATGTCTGTGCGGGTTTCTTTATTTCGTGTGCCCGAATTTTGGGTGAGAATCCGGCGCCAAAATAGCAGGCAAACCTGCACTAGGATTGAGCAACAGACACCCAACACCAGTAAACCGCATATGATATACATCACTTGGGCGAACACCATTTCATAATTCGCCATACAAAACTTGTGCCAGGTCGTTACCCGCGTCCAGGGTGGAATAATTAGCAAGAATGATAGCACCCAGGCCTCGGCAGTGTACACGACCGAGCGACGGAACGAGATATCAGCAGCAATGCATAGTTTGTAACCCAGTTTTGAAAATCGCTCCAGTATAATCAAAGTCAGAGTAATTACAAATGAATATATCCCAAAATGCTTAAGGAAATAAACCGAGCTACAAACAGACTGGGACCAATTTCCTTCGCCAAGGGCACTTGTCTCGTCTCTCGGAGACTGGTGACTATCAGCAACCAGAAGGGTGAGAACACTAGAGGTCACAAATAAATTCGAGAGAGCTAAGCCAACGATAAAAATACTCAGCGACTTTTGTCGGCGGGCATGCGTATATATCCAAGTGCCAATCAACGCTAGATTCGACACTAACGCAAGAGTCGATATTACCCATAATACAACGCGAACAGCAGTATTATCTCCGAGAATCCTTGGCGGTATCGGAAATTCATCGGTGCAATTCTCCGTAGACATTCCGGTATTGATAGGATTACATTCAGAGCACGTGCACGACGTATTCTCAAAAGGATCCTCCCGTGAGACGAGGCAACGTCTAGGACTTAGACAACGCTCGTTTCTGGAAATTCTTTTGTAGTTGCAACGTAAGCAAGTACTCAGAGAATCCGCGGAAATTTCTCGTAAACTGGTTATAGTTCTGAGAAAGCGCAGTGATGTGATTCCTCGGTTACCCTCAAGGTGTAGTTTGGTTAGAAATGGAGTATCTTTCAAGACCTCATCTTGTAATGTGAAATCATTGCCATTTTTACGCAGGTCCCTAAAAAAGAGCGATTATTCATAAATCATGTCTGAAAATCAGTGAGTAATTGTCTCAGAGCCAAAATACGTGGTTCAACTGTCTGCGTGTTCAAAACAGAATGTTTTCCTTCGTCTGTCTTTGAGACATGATGATAGAAATACGGCATTTGTAGTTTGGGAATATTGCCAACATTTTTCAGTTTGACTAATAAAATCACGCCTGGCCAAAAAATGATCGGCCAACACTGGACTTTTACCATAAGCAAAAATACAAAAGTGAAATGCTCACAGTTCTCTTAAATTGATTAGACCATTGAAGCAACCGTTTTCGAGACTTTCAATGTTGTTTTCATCAAGGGATCTATAAAAAAAACGGGAGAAAATCCATCAGCTTTACTCTGAAGCAGCTTAGGAATTGCAACGATGAATTTGACTCGCATATTGTAAGCCAAAGTGAAGTAGTTGATTGTTTTAAGATATTAATTCACAATGAACAGTAATACTTACAGAAACTCCAATTTACCAAAACGCCGAAACGTGTGTTTTTTCAGACGAGTCAAACTGCATAAAGAGAGGTCCCTATAGTTTAAACAAAGGAAACAGATATTAGGAATACTAAGTTCATCGCTTTACTTTCATAATAATGCATACTTTCTCAAAGAATACACATCAACATCATTCTCAATAGTGCTGGGAAATAAAAAACGCAGTAATTTCAGCAGTGATCTGAAGGTATGTTCATTGTGCACAGCATGAAGTGGTCTAGCATCGCCATAAAGCAAGTTTTAATATCAACCAATGATTGATTAGGTTGATAATCCTTGCATTACTGGCCCTAACGAATGTCGTTAAAATCTGATTTTAAGTTAAGGAGGTCTTTACGCATGGGGCCACCGCGCTTAGACGCTGACGCAGGTGGATTGTCGAAATCCCATCGAGAAGAACTAAAGCGGCGGAGAAGTTAGAAGTGCAATATAGATCAGTGAGTTATTAACAATAGTTTAGACATCGAGCTATGAGCTTGTTTTCTGATATTTTTAATCCTTCTTTTACGGTTGAACTCCCGCGAATGAATACTTGGTGTTTTTTCACAGAATGCGACTTATTTCTTGTTATCTCAAGTTCATCGGTGCGTTTCCTGTGTGTAGGTGTGAAAAATGACTAAATCTGTTTGAAAAACAAACAAACATAAAGAGGATGATAAGCACCTTCAAGTCTTACTTTGAAGTGAGTGTGTCTGAAAAAGGCCTGGAACAGGGAAATGATGCCAGAGAGGTCACGACAATAAATCTTTGTTTACCTCTGAAGGAACTGGTTGCTAGTACCGGTTATATGCTGTTAAAATCCATGTTAATTCTGAATTGAAATTTGAAAATGTTTTACCCTAATTGTTATACGAGAGCTAGAGATGGTTTTCTTGCTATATTTTCGTGTCACGAGGGATTTAGGGAACACGCTGTGCAGAGGAAATGATAGAGCGAAATTTCAACTAATGTGCATAATAGTTCGCAACGTATTTTGATGTGTTTACCCTAGAACGGAAATCTAAATTAAACGCAACCGAATGGCAGTGGGAACACACGCACAGCCCGCACTCCAACATGGAAAAAGCCGTTGTTTAGTGTTTTAGTGTTTACTACCGGAATGATTATAAAATAAATTCACAAACTAACACCCCTAGTAAAAAACGCGAACGTTTTATTCTCCTCATCGACATATATAATAATAACATAGTTTTTAGTTTGCATGCGAATTTAATGTGTCTAACTTGTACCATATTAACCCAAGGTCAAGATATGCAAAAAATGCTTTAAAACGTTTGACCCTCTAAGGGTATCCATACATTCTTCGAGCACGTTGTTGACTTTGCTATTAGGCAGGCGACCATAATATTTGTGCGTTTATTATTATATGGTGTTAATCCAGCAATCACAACAAAAGCTGAGCAAAACAAAAGCATAGCATAGCATAGACTTTTAAGTCTATTCCCCTCATTCCTGGTCAGAATCCACGGCAATTACACGGGTGTTTTGATTAATTACAACTACCAGTTATCCCTAATTTGTCAACTTGTTGAATATAAATATTGAGTATGTTAAAAATATGCTACAATATAGTCGAAAATTTACAGCCGTCAGGCAAAATGACGCAGCTCCACGGTATCACCCTCTTGAAAATAAAGATTATTATTATTTGACATGACTTGTCAAAAGAAAGCTCTGATAAGAACAAACTACGAAATCTTCAGACCCTTGATTCGCGCGCGCGCTTGCGTCACCAATATTTTGTTGTGATTAAAAAAACAAACAAGAATGTCAATGAACGCGTAAGAGGTACAAAAATGCTTGCGCGAACTTGAAAAGGTGTGAAGATGAAGACCTGAAAAACAAGCCTAAAAACCACTTAAATTAACACATCATTGGCAGGTCACGGAGGGGACATTCAATGCTGACCAGAATTGGTCATATCAGGTTTATATTACCCAATTGATGACATAACCCACGTGTTTTCACGCTGTTATTGCGTTCGCAAAATATTCAAATCAAATTGCGCGTTCTAAAAGATATATTCAAATTTTATCGTTTTTTCTGTCTTTGTCAGGATCTCGACCACGGTTCGGATCATTTCGATTCGGCTGAGGCTTTTTTAAGCTACGAACTGAGCTTACGTGGTGCCCGCAAAATATTCCAATTAGGTTGCGCACTCGAAGTAATTGACTTGATGGACAGTTAGTTTCAAATGTTCATTTTTTTCTGTCTGAACCATCATCTTCCTTAGGGTTCAAAGTTAAATTTGGATACAGTGGCGAGTACATAGAGTATCATATTGCACCAACAGAAAACCGCGGAAATAGCAAAATTCACATAATCTAACTTGCACAGGCAAATCTTTATAGTAACAAGCAAAATTGTACTTTGAATTTCCGATTCTCGAAAGCCAATCATTCAAATCTCCCTTTTAAAATCCCATCATGCATCCGCTATGCCGTAAAAGCTGCTTTGCTCAACTTTAGCTTGGGATAGACCTCCCTAATTATGCTGCATCTAAGCTATTTATAAATTTCAATCCAAATTTCTCGTTCAAATTTTGTCTCATTGAAATTAATTCTTTTCACGGTACATCTCATGAAGTCGGTGATCAACCGAGGCACAACGTCGCTGGAAGTCACATAAGTATTTCATTTCTGAATCAACACAAGAACTACACGATAACGTGATTTGTTTATAACGTGCATCACCTATATGTACATTAGAGGGAATGTTGACACCTCTTCTTCTAAAGGTGTTCCTTCAAAACGTCGAGAATCTCCAATTCGTAGTTTAGTTACATTTGTAAGACTGGCTGTCATGCATTCTAACTTTCAGTAACCCTATCTGCAACAATTAACCATATAATTAACAATTAAACAAGGTTAAACAAAAAGCGCAATAGAAAAATAGACGGGTTCCGATTAAAGGTAGCTTAGTAATGTTTACATTTACCTCGTTCAGTCTTCGCCTGTCCACAAGCAACAAAATCGGTACAAAGTAACTAATATCTCTCGTACGAAGGCACAGCCAGCCAAATGCGGCCTGGTCTAACACAGCCGATGAGTAATAAGTAAATGATGAAGCCAAATATGAGTGTACATCAATCAGGATGCCTTTCCAAACCTGTTGGAAGGCATGGTTCACGCAAATCCGCTTAGAGGGAGTGAAATTAGACAATTGAAAATAATAACCCCCAACAGATCTTCACCTTACCAAAAGCACCCGAAAGCCTCAAAGGTCAATGGTGTTTTATAAGCAATTTAAAATAACGTCATTTTAAATCTTATTGATTCTGCAGTAATCCATCGCGTATACCAATATACGAATTAGATATTCACAAAAAGAACGCAAAACACCTCTCAAATATTGATTGTTCGCGTCTTATATGTGCCTTCACGTGTTTCACCGACATATTTCAAGTATTTTAACCGATCGCCATTATGCGAGGCTGTGAAGTGAATGCGCCCTCTCCGGTCACATTACGTATACTGGGGCATACCGACGACCCCTTCCTATGGGGGAAGAGGGGGTCCAGAGATTTATCGACAAAATCCGCGCAAATATTTGTGTATTGAAAGAAAAGATGTAAATTCATTCTGCTTCAATTCTCCGACAATTTGAAAAATATTTTTGGTGAGCCCAACAACACACACACACATATCTACTAATGGTACATGCGCTCAATTTTCATATCAAACCAACTCGATTAACTGCCGGCTCACCCACGCAACACTCCATTCATTTTACACCAACAACAGGAAAAAACCCTATTGTTTGAGATGAATAACATGCACTAAATTAAGATTTTGTAGTTATATAAAGTTGTGTGTTAATCCGGTACAATTTATGTGGCGGCCGATTGTAATTTACCGCCCAGTGAAATGACAAGGGGAATGGAATTGACAATGGAATCAGTGGCGTCGCTAGGGGGGGAACTGGGGGGGACTCGTCCCCCCCACTTATTCTAAAGACCACTTTTGGGATTTTTCTAAATCTGAAGAGAAAAGGGGGGGGGTACAATGATTCTAATTTCCAACAGCAGAGTAAATAAAGAAATTTTCGAATTAACATTACTTTTGATCACGTAAAGAATAGCATTAGAATAACATAGTCAGCATATAGAAAGAGACATTGCTGATAAAATTAAGTTGGATGCTCTTGTTGACACATTCAGATTAGGCTGATTAGCTAACAACAAAAAGTTCCCCTTGTAAAAACTGTTTGTTTATAACAAAAATCTCCGATCTGTGGCTTTCGGATTGTCATAAAACTTGGCTGAAAATGTGGGAAATAGCGTTTTAGAGACCCTAGAAATAAAAATTTTCTCGGGGGTGAATGCCCCCGAACCCCCCTAGAGGTCTTGCGCTTTGGTGCCTCGTCCCCCCCAGTCTGAGCAACCTGGCGACGCCACTGAATGGAATGAATCTCGTTTTTGAAACCCAAATAATTATTCGTCTATTTAAGAGGTTTATAGATGGCCAAAGACATCTGGAATACTCACGATTACTATCGTGGAGAATTACTACATGTTGTGCTTGAAAAACAACACTTAAAAGACACTTTATATATTCAAATGTTTTCCGTTTCACGCCGCTAATCAAAAAGAAAATATTGGCTTTACATATAGAGTAAGCTGAGCAACGAGTTTGCGCATAGCTTCTGCGTATCTATTTGTAATGGCGTGTACATTTTTTATTGTATCATGTAAACAATCTTCGCTATGATATTTATATTATAACTATATATACTCTTAATTGTATTCCTGCTCATGGTTACTGCATAGTCGTCAATGTGAAGCTCTGTGAACGATCGTCGGTCGCTGGTATGATCGCCCAATTCATGCAAATTTTAGGCAAATCTTACTTATCTTAGCATTTGCATACTGCCAGAACAGATGAGAGTCGATACCTTTTTCTTATTCGTGTCTTTCAACTTTTGTGTTTAGGAGATATTTCGGAAAGAACAACGTATGTTTATGTATATGCAATGGACTGCCAAACTTGGGTTTAGTATTGAAGACGACTCAATGGTGTAGACATTGAGACTGCAAATTTTGAAGCCTATTCTGATTCAAAGTCGGTCGTATTGTAAATCCTGCGGACCTATATACTCGCCTGTAGTGAAGTAATAATGATAAGTTTTAATCTTGCTCTGCATTTAGTCTGCAAGTCAGTGTAGGTTTCATATTGTCGAGGTCCCTGAATCATGAAACTGCATGTTCACCTTTTCATTCACTTGAATTGATTGAAATGTCAACAAGGGCAGTCAGGAATATTTGCATGGGTTATTACTTATTACATCTTATACAAAGGAATGATTAATTATATGTACAAATTCTCATGGCGGCGTCGTGAATCGATTGCCAAGCCTTAAATTGTTATAGGAACGCCAATATATATTGAGCGTAAAGAGAAAATATCTTACGAAATAGCATGCATTTTTTGCAACGGAAATACAGAAAAGAAAGAAAGAAAAAGAAGCATTTTGAGACTTGAATAAATTGCATTAGAAGAATAATGTAAAACGAAAGGGAAAATATTTGAGCCGTGCCATATTGGACTGACACGTTCGTGTATGAATGGACACGCGCTTCTTCATGACCGCGAAGGTTAAGTGGCACTTCCCGCAATGGCTAAATTTATTTTGTAAATTTTCACATTTCCAAATGATATATATTTCACACCTTGACAAATGACAATTGAGTTAATTATTTCGTCTGTGCTCGAAATGGCGCACACAACACCCAGAGTTTATTTTATCTCTTTGAGAAACATCTATACAAGTCAAGAAGTAAGCGTCATTTCGCAGCATCTTGCGAAACTAATTTCAGACTATCATGCGCTTTTACGAAAGTCATTTGAAACAGGAGCAATGTAGTGAGTTTAACACAAGAATAATCTCTGGTCGAAACTGTGATACAAACTGAAATATTTCTGTAAATCTAGGGTCAACGTTAAGCTCTTAAAAGGTGGAAACAAAACAAAAAAGACAAGTTATTAAAAAAGATTAGCGTGAATTTTAGCACGCGAATACACAGAGCCTCGCACAAAGAGATTACGTCTTTCTCAGGCGGCTAAGCTGAACTGCCGCAGCATCCTTTGTTTTGTCTACGCGGGCTCAGACGTTGGGAGGCCGCCGAAGCTCGCACTGAAACCAAAAATCACACGCTGTCACCGACACAGATTTAGAAACCAGATGTCCTGCGTTAATTACAAACCCGATTAATTCATTCAATTGTTTTAACAAATTAGTTTTAAATGATATCAATGGATTGATGAAAAAAAGCACTCAATGAAGAAACGATGATAAAGAGACTAGTTTAGTTATCAGAGACTAGAAAAACCACGGCATCTGTAAAATAACATTGAGTTTAACTCGCGTTTTACATCTGTTTTTAAGTAACAGAAATGGAAACTCTCGCTCAATAACAATATTTCACTCTGTGACTTCATTACTTCTGAACATTTCACCGAGTAAAGATTTTGTTTTCGGTTTTCCAACTGAAAAACCATGCGTAAACGATCACGCGCTGTATCAGGGTTATGTCCGAGACACAGACTTGAAAACTGACGCTATTTTCAGTTTAATTTGTCGAACAGATGGAATTTGAGTTGATAAAGAAGTTCAGATACTAGGAACAGGACAAAACTGTTGTAAATATTAGCCGGCGACTTTTTTCCCACGTTCCTGTCGTAGTTTTGCTTTACCTTAAATCGTCAATATTATTAACACATTCATGAGCCACTTTATACGAAATCTGTCCGAAATCTTATACGAATTCCTATGATCTTATATTCTAACTCCAAAGAGAAAGTCTCACCATTCTTTGGATTGACGGTAGCTACTTATCTGGTTTAGTGGCTAATTCAATACGAGATATAACCTACGCCGGCATGAAAAAATTAAAATTGAACGTTTTACTTACAAATTAGTGAGGTCGCTTGGGAGTTGCCTCAGAACAGCTGGAAGGGTGTAGTCTGTGACCTCACGACACCTGGCTGACGTTCCGCTACAGATGCAGGAGTGAGGACAAGTCTTGGTGAACTTCACGCTAGCCAACGACTTTGTTGAGAATGCCAGGAGTAGAAATATGGCTACAAGATACATGACCTACGAAATGAAACAAAATCAGACGCGAACCTCACATATACTCCTACAAAGGTATTATATGAAACAAGAGATGCGCACGGTGACTGTACATGCACTTGTCTCACGGCGGAATAGAAAAACAGGATGAATCCGCTCATTGGAATCACCATGCATGACGTAAACACATTAAAGCGTAGCATGAAAAACAACGAACATCTATTAACGATTACGAAAGTCAGGTTAAATGTGTCAGCTAGAGTGTCAGTTAGTAGGATTCCTTTCACCTGGTCCATTTTTTACCCTGCGTGATTTACAACATCCGGTTGTCTCGAGATTTTCCCTGGTGCAGTGTGAAAAGAGAGGTGCCAGATTTGTGGTAATTGCGTGAAGACGGTGAAGTTAATTTGGAGTTATTTAGAGTTTTAGTTGAAGCAGGCATATGGACCTCATCGCATGTCTATTTCAGACGTAACCGGCACACGGTTTGGAACTGCATGTTTATGTGCGCAATTGATAGAGCTATCTTTTGAAACCGAAGATTCGTATCTGACTGAGGTCACGGAGCTCCAAGTGATAGGATTTTGATCTTACTTATCCGTAAAAGTTGAACTATCGAGTATAAATGAAGTTAAAGTTCGGGTCACAACTTGGGAGGTATAAAGTTGCACAGCTGGAAATTACATCACTTTCATCGACTTTCATCATAGAAGGAGCAGAAAAAAATGATGGGATTAAGGCCATGCAACACTGGCAGCCCTTCCAGCACAAAAGCTTACCGAACACTTCATATTTATCCACTTGAAACGATATAGTATGTAGAAATGATTAGGCGTATGTATTTACAAAGAGTTGTGTGGCATAGCGCAATTGCATGTTGCCTCGTTTAACACAATAACATGCACACTTAGCTAGGTCTTATCGGAAAATAGTATTACAAATGATCAGAAACTATTCCTAATATCTTGGTTGGTAATAATAACCTCAGGGATCGCGAGGTCAAACAATGAATCATTCATTTCTATTATATTAAACTAGCCTTGAGAAAACATTGACACAAAGCTGTCAAAACAGTATAATAATATTGTGTGTTCTTGTTGACGGGCGAATTGGGGTGATATATTAATAAATCTGCTCGGAAAATGAACCGACATGATGATTAGATGACGAGACAAAAGAGAAACATTTGTGATGACATTTTATATGAATTCTACTCATAACATAGGAAACGTTTACTATTTTACTAAATTGTAGAACAATAGACATTTCACCGCAATTTTATTCTTGGAATTGAAAACTGCCTTTTTACAGTAACGATAGATGCAAATGGTTGTCTTGACCTATCGCTTGTTAATTCGGGACATCCATCATCGTTTGGGAAAACTTGGAATTCCTTCAATGAGGAAAACCATGGATGTGGACTGTGGTGGGAAGACAGTTTGACAGAGATCATATATAGCATAAACAAATATAATAGGAGCACCCATACATGAACTTTACAGCGTATAAGCCTGGCTCTATCTTCAAAGTGATAAGCGCATGTATATGCGTAGTTAGAGAATAAGTAAAGTATCTTTTCCTGAAGCATTTTATCCATTATGCCCTGTATGTAGCTAAATATTGTTGTTTATATATTTGATGTAGTATCTTCATGTGGTATTTTCGCCTGTCATTTGTAATCAATTATACCAGCATACCGATGACCAATGAATATAGCTTATCATATACTATACTTTACCCCCAGTTATAAGCACTATCAAAAATCTCACTGAGAGATGAGTTTTTGCTAAGCACTCTAAGCAATAGACCACGTGTCTACTCACGCTAAATGTCGAAGGTGAAGTTCCCAACCAGTGAAAAAATTAATACTCACGTTACTGTTTCATTTCGTTTCCTTTTTGCTTGCGATTCTATGTCAAGACGTTCCGAATTTGAGACGCAAGAAACTCGCGCTTTTTCCAAAGTTTTATCAACTTGTTGCTGCTCTCCCCGTTGGCAAGAGAAACAAAATGGTGTGTTGTCGTATCTTTATTAAGTGCATTTAAAATTAGATCTAGATAAACTAAATTTTAAAGGTGTTGATACGCAATAATGGACCTTGTCAGTCGTATTTGTCGTGATGCCAAATTTTTTAGAATGTCCTAGCGTTTGGGAAGAAGGTCTCGTATACGCCGCTCAGAGTTCACGTCCACTATTGATAACTTTCTGACTGAAAACAGATTTCAAAATTTTGATGAAGGATTTCTTGGCTTGAAATTACTCGAGCAGATTAAATGGGCTCAGTTGCATAGTCATGGTGCTATGTCATTTTGACATTATGACAATTTAGAAACTTTAAGACGTGCGCGGAACAAGATGAATTCAATCTGAGACAAAACCTTTTACAACCTTTTAAAACTAATCTCATTATGTACCAGTTCTTTTAGTTCTAAAGCGCTTTAGCTATGGGGCCTAGAGGCATACTTATAAAAAACAGCCTTATAAAGACTTATATCAGTACAGACTCGTCCATGCATGCAGTGGTAAATTTATTGTCAAATTGAGTTCTTTTTTATAGGAGTTAGACGTCAAAAGGTTCATCCTTTCAATGACATGTCTCTTCATGAATCCCAGTGTTTGAACGCCAGACAATCGATTTTTACAAATGAAACTGAACTCGGAAATGATAATCCACAATTGCACTTTGCATGAAATCCCGGGAGTGAAAGAATAACGCACGTCCAATCCTATTACTCCTAGAGCTCGAGTATTATATGAGGGTTATTATTGATGGTTCCTAAAATAAGAAATGATTTCACACCAAGCAATATGCATCGGCTTATTACTCGCTGTCGGCGAATGCAGAACGGAAGTTTAAGACCGCCTCTTCCCGATAAAACGACAGCTCGATTACTTTCGGAAAAACAAAGAAAGGAAACCATCAACAAACTAAACAAGCCTAATTCAAATAGAGTAACTTTGAAGATACTTTCACGCTTTTATAGTCCCTTGAAAAACTCCAGTTTTAAACAAAGAAGACAGCAAAACTTTTCCTTGATTTTTATCCCTTTTTCCTAATCTACCCTGAGATAACCTGTATGCATGGATATAATATTTTAATGATTTTAATCGAACTACCTAAGAATGCCTGGCCTCTAAGGAAATTTTATATTTTAGACATGTTTCGGCCGGCGATTCTTCTTTCCATTTCTTTTAAGTTTCCCATGCAATGATGTGGAAAAATCATGATTCGTTCCCACCGACATAATGGTATCAAATCAAAGCCTACTTCGGGCAATTGCCAATAATTACATTCAACAAGCATAATCTTTGATCTTTCCTTGTGTTGTTCAATTAGCTTGATTAACGAGTGATATTCAACGTACCGTTAGACGTTTGATATCATAAAATTCCCTGGCAATTCTCACGACCTGTGAAGGTCAGATGTGACTAATCTCTGTGCACATCGCACTTTATTAAATAGTTTAGAACTATCATCACAATTCTTACCATGATGTGGTGTAGAGATTCACAGATTCATAATAAGAGGTATCATCTTCAAAAAATCCTCAGTCTGATCTCTACCAATATGATCGATTGCACAATGATACTTCAATACCCCCAACCTAGAAAGTCGAAAATAAGATCAGAAATGAAACCAAAATCGCTCATCGCAGCTCTTAACCTCAATCCTGCCCTGTCAACCTAACCCCACTTATTTTTATTGTATATGAGGATATACATGCATGCATCATATTCACACTCGTAGTCTCGAACAATAAAAATAATCATGACTTTCATGTAATAAATATGCGCACTTGACGCAAACTGATCTTCAGATCTTCTTTACCTTCTTCAACTTCAGTGAAGATTCTGAGGTAAGCTATCATCAACAGTGATCAACTGATCCTATCTAACATCTGCCTGCACTATTGGGTTATATATCTGCACTCTCTTCAACAGAACTCACGCATAAAAAAAACCCACTTGTGCATACTGCTTATTTTGATTATTACTAACTTGACAAATTTGAATTCTTACAGCGAGACTCTCCCACGAAATTAAGTGTAAAAATTGCCCCTAATAATAATAATCCTCTTGCTCAATCTACGACAGTAATAAATTCACGTTCTTTGCACCTAATACGAGGACAATAAGTTTCGATTGCATGCATGTAAATCATATGAAATATAGCCGAACCTTCGCGCATGTTCTATCCGATTGCAAATAGCCCATAACAAGTTTAAAAGCTGTTCAAATTACAATTATAATAATGACAACACGTCGTATGATAATAAACAGCCATCTCACATTAGCTCGATGATTGAAAATTATGTCAGCTTTGAAAAACATTATAAAGAAAACAATGCTTTTCATTATAAAAGACTGTATATACTAGAAATAATAGTCTCATATAACCCAATGATAATATGTCTAACAAGCATTTTATTTTCACTCGTTTGTTAGTAAATAAAACTGAGAGAAAATGGCAAAGGTTGTTGTTTTCTTTTTCACTTTTCATAAACCAGACTGTGTTATTTAACAGCTTGGCGGCTCAAATCGTTGTTATAAGCTTCAGGGATGCGGTTGGGCTGCTGGGTTTATTTAGTTTTGTAGTAATTGTGAGTTCGTATGGATTGCTCCAGAGTTGTTTGGACACCATTAAAGCCCCAGGCAAAAACTCGCTGTTGTTAACAAGATGGGAAAGTTGCCGCCGCTAGTTACATTCACGCGTGCCATCATCGCTCCCGGGCGACATTCGGGCAAAATGCGTTTTCGTAGACAAAACCAGTTTAATGTGTGCATGCACAGCTGGTTTTCTCTCCGTTTTCAAGCAAACAACTGCCATTATAGCATTTCTTAAATTTCTATCTTTACAGAAAAATATTTTGACCTAACTTTGCATGGAGGTGTTTGTTTAAATGCACACGAGCCTACCTACTCATATGACAACACTTCCAACCAGGCGCATTTTGATCAAGGAAGAATACCTAAATTCGTATCAAAATATTATCTAACAACTTGTACTATTTAATTCGCATGAAATTAGCATTACAGCTTACGTCTAACCTTGCTTTAACTGCATTCTAATGGGCTACAATGGATTGATATCATTCAAAAACCTAACTTCGGTTGAATTGTATAAACAAAGGTCTTCAAGTTTCAAAACTTCCTGACACCGAAACGCTAAGTCGATAGCCATAGAATATTCAGTATTCATACCTTATTCAAATATTTTCTGATGCAAATTTTAGATCAAAAGTCAAAAGCTTTAATACATAACAAATGCAAAAATCCTTCAATGCTTCTAAATCTTCTAAATTTATTAATAAATACGCTAACAGATTTACTCTTAATGAAACAAGACGTGCAAGCTAAACAAACGCGCTGTGAAATAACGGCATGTTGAAAAAAATGCGCAACTGAAATACAGCCCAAAGGTTTAAAAGTGAATTTTACGCCAAACGATTTGTTATGAAAACTTGCACAACGTCTCTTTGTAATACCTTTTCACATCTGTATTTTTTATGAACTCGTTGATTTTCAATTCTTTCATAGACGTAGCGTCTCCATATTAGAAGATTGCATCTTTATTACAATCATATGTTGCTGACCGTTTCGGTAAAAATTTTCAGCAAAGTGACTTCGTGTGGCCAGACCGCAAAGCTCGTATACAAAACAAATCCCAGCCAAAATGCCAATTTAACGTATTTCGGTGTAATGCGTCGCGTCCTGTGACTGAAAAACCCCACAAGCTGAACGCGCTCAGCGGTTGGCTGATCTGATAAACAGTGGTCAACAGTCGTGGGTCGTGGATAAGAAGAAAAATCTCGCGGATCGTGGATGAGCGGTTGATCATTACATTGCTCGGGCTAAGCATTGCTCGGGCTAAGCTCTCTCTCTCGGGTAATAAGACATATTTCGCTTCACGATATGCCCTTTATTCAGGCTTAATTGCCTTAATTATTGAATCCTGTTGTCTTCACATATATGTACTAGCTAGGGTGAATGAAGATTACTATACGAGAAAAAGCCTTAAACCCACCCTATTTAAAATGGTATATGTCACTGATCACTGTACGTAGCTATGTCACTGATCGACCCAGCATTACAGAATCAGTGGAGACTAAGATTTTTTCGAGTTGAATTAGATTGGGATAGCAGAATCTCTATTTCTGGAGTATTACAAGTCAGTTTCAGCCACTTGTTGCTACAAACTTCACCCAGAGAGAAACCAATCATGAGTTGGTCATCAGTCATAATTCTATCACAATTCATCTGCAACGCATTTGAGGTTTGAACTTGACTTTTTCTTGATTTATATGTTTTTCATAGCAACAAAATGTGGTCAGGTATCGTTTAAATTATTTTGTTTGCCTACGGGCAGGTCTTGAACTCGATTAACCCTGGCCCAACCTCTGATAATATTCAAATACAGAATAAAGATGTTTATGCAACTTATTGCAGGCCTGTGTCAACAAAGACGATAAAACAACGAGATATTCAGACATTGACTAGTTCCCAAATTCAATGTCTTTCATCCACGATTCACGAGAGATGCATTCAAGCTCCACGATCCACGATTAATCGCAAGTTCGCAACTTCCGATCTGATATTAAAATTAAACAAACTAGAAAGTTCCCATTACTGCGATCTGCATGGGAAACGGTGATAACATGACATTAAACAAATCGATGATCGCTGATATGAAATTCCACTCAACACTTTCACAAGACTACTCAGAAAGTCAGTGCCAGGTGAAAATAACTTCAAGTGCATACACATATCGTTACCTTTTGGGTGGTTCGAGTATAATGAGTTTAATGTAATTGAAGAGTTGACTGCAAACAGGTGTTTTTTCAGCGAAGCTCGCGTTGTATTGTGACGCGAATTTGCAACAAAACTTGTTTGCGTGGCTTGTGAGATTGGCAGGAAATCTAAGTCACCGAGTAAAGTACAGTGCCATTGGCGTCTCGTAAAATTTATCTTTTTTTTTTCAGAAAAACTGCGAAAATCTCGACCAATTGTCTTTATTTTTGCGCTTGTTTTTTCAATTCATCGAAATATATGGACACAAATATATAGCACAAGGAAAAACTAATGTTCATGATATTTGGCCCAACTTTCGTTCGAGTGGAATTGTCTTTTGAAGATTATATTTTTTCAACTTAGCCTTTCACCGGATTATTCTTATACTGCTGAGTCTGCAGTTTTCCACAGCTCAAGAAGCGACTACATGCAGTCTTTTTATCAACAAAGCCAATTGGTATATCCATTTCCACTGATATAAATACAGCGGAAATTATATTCGGTATAACTGAATTGAGCCTCAGCTAAAAGCTCTATAACTCCCCACAGGTGCTCAGTCAATAGCTAATTGCTCGGAGTCTGATTATATCGTATGTGACAGCCGTCTTATCGTTTGCCAAATTTCCATAATAAATATTTCAAAGCACTCAGTTTGTACATTTTATAGCATTCGCGGCGTGAAATGACGCTTTTCATTAATATGATAAAATATCATCAAATTAAATTTTAAGCTAAATGCATAAAATGCGACGTAAATAATTAAATGTCAAATCAAATGGACGCTTGTGGACGCTTGGGAAAAATAACTGAAAGCTTAACTGAGGATTCACTTTAGCTTTGCCTCAGTGTCAGACTGTCAGTGGTCTAATTTCCTAAAGCAGTGATGTAGTTTTATTAGTTAAATGTTTTTGCAAATCAAAGCATGAAAACAGTTTCATCGAGTCTTATAGGTCCGTCCCGAGCAGACCGATCTGTCAATTTTGAAATAATGAAGCGGGGTTCGTTTGATTAACTACATCATTGACAAGGCCTGGCAATACGTTACAAGAGTTGATTTAGCGAAGAATGATCAAGCATCGAATCGGCGAATCCTCCATATTAAACTGACCTACATGGTGAAAATACCTCACATATGATTTTAATAGAACGCCGGGCGTCTAGTATAAACAACATACTATGATTTTATCTCAGCTGTAACGGCGGCTTATCGCTTGAGAAAGATCGCGCAGTCGAAACCTTTATATTGCTCAAAATGCAGATAAGATTGTTAGCTTTAAACTTGATCGTAGTCGTGGACGACGTGATTACGTCAGTTCCAAAAATAGAAGAGGAGGAACCAATAAAAAATGCGTATTGATCGACGACAATAACCACATGCAAAAAGAATAAAATCGTTTGATTCATTCCGATTCACCTATGACGGAATTGGTAAAAGCTGAGAGCATGAGATAGATCTGAAATAGTATCAATATTTGTTGTATAAAAGAGGATTCATATCTTTGCAAACATACCGAATTGCATTGTTGCCTATCATGTCCGCGGTTTTCTCAAAATCAACCGGAGCGGACGATCACATTTTGATCAAGCGTCGTATTTTATTCGAGTCCTGATTATATATTTGCGGAAACATCAAAACAGCAGTTTTGAGTACGTATCGTTATAATGATATAAGCATGGATCATGAACATAAGTTTGCTCGGTCCACCTTCAGCTAGAGAGATTATAAATGATATTACTTACGATATGTCGAGTAAAATCAACTCTAATTTCTAACTGACGTTGTTCATTCCCATTGAATTGTTGCCACAAATCCAATAATTCAAGAACAGAGAAAATTTCTGCAACTAAAACTTTGTCTTTGTTGCGAAGTTCTTGGAATATCGATTGTCGATCAAGAAATCAGAAATACTTGAAACGAAAGTTGTTGTGATATGGTAAACATCAATTTCTGTTTATATTTTATGTTGAATATGTTCTCACTCTCATGCCGTGATGAGACCATTCTTTCCCACGTTGCTCTTTAGTTATTTCCCGCGGTGTTATTCACAATGAAACATTAACAATATAGTTGCGAGGTTTGTACGAAACGACAGGTGTTCTCAGACTCGGAAATTTGGCGTGCAGTAGGCGGCTTTTTACAGATTTTGGTTTCCGTTTGTATTATTTAGAAATATATTAAACTTTGCCAAAGAAAAATATCGCACAAATGTTGATCAAATTGGACGCGTTTCCAAGTAAAATTAATCGATGGTTTTTAGTTAGTGAAGAAGACATGTCCACAATGTGATCACTGATTTAGTCATACCAATGATGAGGACAAAACCAAGGTTAAAATCCAGCGAAATATGCGTGTTCACATTTAGCGTTATTCATGCGGTTAAATTATGATAATTCAGGATATTATATTTAAACAAACTATATATATATGGCTTGGATCGTGCAAGATTTGATGATTTGATCGTGATAATTATGTAATATAATAATTATAATTATAAAGTAATGACTGAAGTGGAACGTGCTTTCTTATTTTTACTTCGTATCTTTTTATGACTCCGTTTTCGTAGCGTTTTTGACCGTCCACACTAAAACGATACGTATGCGTTTTCATTTGGCTCCACTTTCAACAGCGTTTTCAAATCAATGCGTTTTTGATGAAAACGCTCATCGTTTTCGGTCGTTTTAGTGTGGACGGAAGGCCAAAACGCATTAAAATGTATCCGTTTTCAAACGAAAACAAGTTTCTTGTGATATCATGCATGCATGTGTGATGGGGATCCCATGAGCTGCCCCTTTAAGTATTTCTCGTTTACCCAAATTGAGTTAAAATCGGAGCCGACAAAATGTACAAAACGTTGACTTTCATAATCTTAAATAAGTACAGAGATATCAAGAGTAGTGTTTGAATAATGCAGACCTAATCCCCAAGATTACCATTCATTATTTTATGATCCTTAAGTCCACAATGAACCGCTTTGGCCCGGCAGAACCCTTCGTATATGATTTGCCGCCATTATGTCGAATCCAAAACGTAGAGAGATGAAAGAGATCGTCTCTCTCTCCCCAGGTGAGGTCTTCATTTCAGACCTACCTGGATACAAAGTGCTGATTTTACAACTTCCAGTTTGCTACCGGAATGCTTCACTGGAATGTTAAATGAGCACAACAGACTATCCCAAAACAGAATCACTCGTCGAAGATCTGTAAGACTTACCGTTTTCAGGCAACGTATCTAGCACAGTGACTGAAGATTTGAGCTTCAAATGCAAACCGACTGAGTGGCTCTTTCTGATCACGCTCTATTAGTTAAAAAAAATTAAATGAGCATCAGGCAATTTTATCGTTATCTCACCTTTCAAAATCGTAATATAATGACTATAATTACACTACGTTCTGACAAATACAGCAGTCAGAATTAAATGAGATACAGCCAAAGCTTTAATTTATAGTATTTGCAGAAAGGTTTAGCACTTATATTAATAACCGCTTGGCATCATGTCGCAACACGTTCATTTACTGTGGCAATAGTGTCAGGCGCAATGAATCAGAGTCAGCATTTCAGCCTAGCGCCTAGCGGGCAACGTTTCGCAAGAAAAACATGCATATTGCATATCAAAAGCCGTTTAAACAAGCTACCTCGCATTTTGCGGAGATTTAGAATTTCTCCATTCAAGTCATTCTTTTCCGGCGCAATTAGCGGATGCCATTCAACCCTATACCATGAGGCATGATGGATTTACGACCAGATCCATTCTTTCATCCGTAAGGGGTGCTTTCCACTGACGCGTTTTCCATGCGCACGTACACGCACGTAAAAGTCTAAATGCTTAGATAAGTTATCTTTCAAAAAACTAAGTGAATAAATCAAAAGAACTTAGTTTTCCGCGTAGTTTAGCACGCATTTGTTAAGCTAGATTTTAAATAATATAAATTTAAAAGCATGCATTTAAACTTTTACGTGCGTGTACGTACAAAGTGAAAAGCAGTCCTAAACGCGAGTTTTCTCTTTGCTAGATCTTGGCTCAATCGCTATGTAACTTGAGCGCACTTGGCTCGCATCGTTTGTACGCGTTTAGCAACACGTGACAAAAATAATGTAAATTGCAAATTTAAACATGCTAACAACTACGATACCGATAAGGAATCGTTGCTAAAATAAAGAATCTTGGCATTCTTGCTCACATATTTTAAATTACATCGAACGAACTGTATCGTGCTGAAGTTAGTTTAAAAACGACACGCTCGCGTACTGAAAGCCCCGTTGATTGTCAACAAAATTCTTTCGAGAATCTTCAGTTAAATAGTCAAGATCTATCTTATCTTACGTGTGCATTTGTATGCTAATCATTTGCTGACATATTGAAAAGAAGGATCAAGGTTATTCTCAGATTTCATGCATAAATCAGCCGTTGCTGTTTTTACGACGGTGAATTTCATCCTAGGCTCCACTGCACGAATTCTGATTAAGACATAAATGATAAATCAATAAAATTGGTAAAATTTCTGAGATGTACGGCATACGCTTGCGAGAACTAAATCTATGTAAAGATTCCTTCAAAACAATAAATCATGACGTTTGTCATAAACTACACACACACCCTTCTCTCATCCTTCCTCAATTTACCACTCTATATAAATTAATATAATCGCCTATTCCGCGTTGAATAACTTGAATTAATATTTTTTATAGATAACATTCAACCAAAATAGTTATAATTGCAGGGTTGGTGTCGTTCAATCCTGCACGGTACTTGAACACAGACTCTTCAGAGCTAGTCATTGCGTCATGAAACTAGCCTTAAACTGTCTTGCACTCTTCAGACCTGCACATTGCGAAATCCTGCCAGCTTTTGTACGAATGTACCTCGGCTTGTCAAGTTAACTCCCTTGACCAACTTTCTGACACAGAGTTTTTTCTCATAACATCGAATAAGTTCTTATCTGCTCTTTTTAATATTTTCAGCCCTATTATTTTGAAATCTTAGAATATCAACGCATCACAGACACTCTGAAAGGAGTGTATTCTGATGCTTCAGCACAATCACAGTTTCCTCTACTAACATTTTCAAAACGTCAGACTCAAACTATTGGCTGGAATATGAAAAAAAACTAAAAACTATATGTTAAAAATCATCGTGTATATATAGCACATATAATTCCATTTCTGCTTTATTTCGAACTAGCTTCGAAAATTTTGCCCAACTAAATCATGAGAATCATTGGCGGCCGGCACCATTTGAGCGTCGTAAGTGTTTTTGGATCGCATGACTAACCGATATACACGTGGATGACTAGACGTGGCAAGTGATATTTGCGACAAACTGTTGCTTCGACTATATTAAGTAATAATAACATTGTCTAGGCCCGTTGCAACGCGCATGATCCCAGAGTGAAATGACTTGATGGGTGGAATAATTCGTAATTCTATTATTATTTATAGGCTACATTAGATCGTATTTACATCAACATTTCCGGCGAAAAGTTTAAAAGAAGATATGTAATCAGTACCTCAATGTCGCCTTGCTTGTATTATGGATAACCATAGCCTTTGTTTCAACGACTCTGCAAATAAAATGTAATTAAAACGGTTGAAAAATCGTTGTGGAAAGCGAAACCCTTCCACACACGTGCGTTATTTCCACCAAGAAAATCACAGCTCCCTAGTGCGAAGTGGTCGGGAGACTCAAGTGGTCCAGAAAATTCCCAAGGGTGAACATTTAAAAAAAGCCAAACATTGACATTACATGATATATGGTCTTTGTGTGTCGCGTTGACTTCACCAACAGTTTGTTGCTAGCGTAGGAAACACGATCACTCCACACGTAACTTCCTTGTAACTTCGCAAACACTAATCATTAACGACAACAAGTTTGGTTAACTTGCTGTAACTCACCGAAAAGCAAACACGAGGATTGAAAAAACGCTTTGAATAGAGTGGTTATAGAGTGTTCGTAAAGTTTGTTGTCTACAAACGGAAACTGGCTATTTATATGCTAATTCGAACTGGGAGATATTAATTTCATTTGTTTGTCGACCGCTTAATGACTATTTAAATCGAATCATGAATATGGAGATCAGCTGTATTAACATATTACTGATATCAAAGATTTGAAAGCACGCAGCCTAGATCTGCCAACCTAAACCGTTAACAGGCGTGTTTCAAACAATACTACCCTATTACCAACATCACCATACACTTCGCTATTACCAACAACAACATCCGGTACCGTACCGTACCGTACCATACCATACCATACCATACCATACCATACCATACCATACCATACCATACCATACCATACCATACCATACCATACCATACCATACCATACCATACCATACCGATACACACCTTTTACTGATTGGAAACTATACAGCACGAACTTCAAAGTAATGCTAAATACACTCGATGTTAAATAGAATTTTAATTTTCTAAAATTACAAGATGAATTTTTGCATATAGTCGTATTTATACAGGATGCAATATTTCATATGATAAATTTGAATTAATGGCTAAGTTATAAAACGTAGTTTAAATTACACATGTCGGTGAAGTTCAGAGCATTCAAAACCTATCATTGCGTCCCAAGAATAAATACGGGAATTTCCCGTTGATTAAAATCTTGTTGAATAATCTTTAGTGATTGTAGAATTGTCTTCAAAGGACTCAATTTGTTTCATTCAATATGGTTTGTATATGCTGGCTCATATCGCGAGCTCGCTTTCGTGTTGGCCCTTCGCCAATCATGTAAAACTGAAGATCCGCCTAGAAAATTAAAAGAAAAATAAGGATATTTACAGCCAACGTTTCTTTTGCTGTAGTATGTGATTTTCCAGGAAAATCACACTGGAAATAACTGATAATAAACGGTTTTAAAATGAGGAAAATTAGTTCAATGCATGCAACAATCTTTCGCATTAATGATGAAATGACTCCATGGCCGGAACAAACCTGTAAACTGTCTTTCCATGCTTCTGCAATATCGCGTTCAAATTTACTAAGTTCATATTCCGTTGCGAAGGAGAAGAACCACATTCCCTCATGGTCTGATTCAAATTTCTAAAATGAGAAATTTAGGTAAATGCGAATGTCTGGAATGAGCATAGGGTAGGAAAGGAAGGGTGAGAGGAAAAGGATGAAGAGGAATAAACAAGATTGGGAGCCTAGAAAAAGATGAATGAAGGAAGAAAGGAAAGAGTGAAATAGAGAGAAGAAAGTAAGAAAGTAGGATTGCTTAAAGAAGAGACGATTGAACAAAGAAGGGCGAAGAAATTAACAAAACGGAGGAATAAAATGAATGAATGAAAAAGAAGAAACAAGAGCAAAACAACAGGCGACATTTGACTTACCAAAATACAATAATTTCTAACTTCGTTGTCTACTAAAATCTGCGTAACATCTTGTATACAAAAGCTACTTAGGAAACGATATTCTCCATTGATATAAGCATGAAACGTGATGACATGTTCTTTTGTGACCGCGGCACAACACGGAATAGCTCTAGCCGCGGGACACAGGGTGGTATACAGGAATTCAGAGGATCCTGCAACAATTTGACATAACTTCATTATCCAATCAGACGCCTGGTCCTCCGTCGAGGAAGATAGAATAACCACCGTTTGTCCGTCTTCAGAAATAATCTGAAATTAATAGCAAAGCCGTTAAAACGTCTCATCTTGTCCAGGTTTTCCATCTTTTGGAGACATGGTTAGAAAAATTGTTTTTTGTTTGGCCTGCGATATGGAAACATGGCTTGGAAACAACCTTCATTTTTTTTCACCGCTCTTACCTCAAAAGCATATTTTTCCTCCTCGTCGGACACTCGCCGACAACCTCCACAATTTGAAGCATTAAGTTCGTAAATCATCTTCGGTTCTTTATCCCCCTGCCTGGAATAATGGAACAGTCCCCTGCCAGTTAGGGCAAAATAGTTTGTCTCCCAGTGGCTGACCACGCCCAGGTACTTGGATTTACATTCAAGGTATCCCTCCTTTATGATCTGATGACGTACCATGTCTAATTCACTACCAGGCCCCGAAAAACACATCCAGTGTACGAGCGAGAAACACATGACCTCAACATCGATGGTCTGAAATAATGCATGTACAGTTCTGTAAATCATGCCACGGACAGTATTCAGATCTACAATAACACTGTGAGGTGATGATCAAGTTCTATCTATTCTATACCGCGACATTACAATTCTTCCCCGACTCACCCTACACAAAATTACTTTACCTGTTTCTCCAATGCACTACGCAGCCACTTCTTGATCGCCTGCTGTCCCTGCACAGCGGTACTACTGACAATCCGCGTCAGCTGCGCCGGCGATGAGAGACCTCTGACCATCAGTGATGAAATATCTGTGACTAAACTGCGCGTGATCGCTTCGTTTGCAGTCGAAAACGAATACTTCTCATTTCTAGAGACGAACGCAACATACTGACAGTTGACGCCTATTTCAACGTGTTTCAATTCTTGAAAATTAATCGAGTGTTCGGTGGTGAAGCTGTCACCAGATTGCTTCCTTAGAAAGTACACAGACTTGTCCGTGAGTAGTAAATGTACCGCGTGAAGTTGTCCATAGTGAAATCCAGTAAATCCTTTAACGAACCGATGAAATGTTTCATCCTTGGCGTCAAATATGCTCAGCGCTAGTTTTTCTATTGCGTGCTGTTGAAAGGCGACATCCGAAGTTGTGGCGAGCGTTTCCGACAACCCAGGCCTTCGTGGAAACCCGGCTAGAACTATGCCTTCGTATTCCGAGGGATACGATCCTTGGTGGATTGGGAATGGGTTATGATCAACTTTCGGCAAGGGTTCATCATCGTGTTCCGCCTCAACCAAGGATATCGTGGACTCGTCGATGACGTCATTCGAGTCCGTGCTTTTCTGTCATTGTTGTGACAGAATTCGTCGAAGGAATCGCCGCCGTCCGACCTGTCGTCGTAGCTCGCCGTTCCACCTTTGGAAAGTGTCGGCTTTTTGATGGATAGCCATTCAACGCTATCTGAAACATTTCAACTTCAGCCATTAGTGGATGAACTCTTACGGGAAGAACTGTTGAAAAAGAACGCTTTAACTTACCCAAGTAAGTACCTTCAGCCATCAGCATTTTCGATCCAATCCCTCCGTCCGTGTCGTCTTCTACTAAAACGTATTTCTCCAAAAGGTTTCCTCCGCCGTTGTCAGGTGCACCTTCATCTTCTAGAGGGTTGTCGTGACTTCCTTGAGGTGACGCGGCAATATCGCGGTGGTTAGATATCATGTTGTTCCCTGTCTGGGAATGAATCCATTGGAATCATGGTCTTATCTTGGTTCCCATTCCGTGAGCCTGGACCGTTACCTTTGAAAAATGTAGAGTTTTACATAAATTGAATAAGAGTATAGCTGAGGAACCCAGACAGCCATTTGATAGTCAGTTGAATTTTGAAATATCAAATGTATAATAATAATTCAAAGAATTACCCAAAACGTTAGTAAGGCCAAAATCACGGAAACCCAGAAACGACAAGTCCTAGAAATGCAGTTAATGCTATTAAAATTCAGTTCAAAAACCTTGCTGTAATAATGTGTTGTAACTGCATTACCAGTTCTGAAGACAACCGTATCAAGTCCAGACCAGCCACAAGGGTGATTATGATGCCAAGACGCTAAAACAGAAATATATTTTTCAACAACAATGTAAATGTAAAAACTTTAATTTACACTACGGTCTAAATAAAAAAAATCATACCTCCTTATCCCGAACGAAAGAATTCCTAAATGAACAAAAAATATACAATATTTTACCGGCTCCAAACTGTATATATGTTACTTTGGAATTCACAATCGCACCTTTGATAATATTTAGTTGGGGTTTTCTGATTTTCGTAAAACATTCGAAAATAACTGCCAAGAAGACAGTCTAACAAAGCAAGATAAATCCATAGGCGACCTAACAGAAAAAAAGTTTAGATTTAAACAAAAATTTAGTACAAGTTACAGCGAAAGTAACAACAAATAACCAGGAATTAAGACCCCTCCACATGAGACAAACGACACACCACACACGCTTACCTTTGTCAAAGACTGAGGTAACATCTGGATTTTCATCAATGTCTTTCTTCACTTCAGGATGGGTGAACTCACATACAAATGGCCAATAACCATTCTCAGGACTTTTTAGACTAGATTTGAGGAAATGTCTATCACAATGCAACCTCATAACCAGACTCACTTCTTCACTCATCTGAGGTAGGAATGTAAGGGGGTAGCCATACTGACAAACAGGCAGACAGACAAACACACAGCTCTATCATATATAGCTTCAAAACCTACCCATAGAGAAGAATGTGGTCAAGGACATCAAACAAACATTTCACATGAACATTGTTGCACTTAATTGCTGAATCTTGATCATTTCCTGCCTCGTTGAATTGCTTCAGCTGCAGCTGTAATAAATATGATATATATCTTACTATTCATGATGAACAGAGTAGAATTTTGATTCAAATATCTAAAGGACTGTAGTGAGTCCAAAACTAAATGCTGTTTTGTAACCAAAAGTGCCCTGAAAAGCATGTGCCCCACCCTAAATTTAAGATGCTTCCTACATCCTGGAGAAGGGTTCATTAAAAGAGTGGGGAGGGGTGGGGAAAAGGTTTTATTAAAAAGAAGTCAAAACTTTCATACAGCCTTGATCTGATCACCAAGTTGTTTCAACACATCATCTTTGATGCTTTCTTCTGAGGACTGCATGAGAGTCCATGTATGTCACACAGAAAACGAATTTATTTACCACATCTCTGTCCTCTGAGTTATACCTAATTTGAAAGGGAAAAATTTCTTATATTCAAAGGCTAATAATGGTCTATTTCCTGCCTACACTATGCACTTCCTGGTATATTGAATTACCTATGTTGCACCATGATTCTTTTTCTCATTCTACCTGGAATTTATGGGCTTGACGAGGACTATTAGCACAGATAACGATTCGTTTTTCGCATGAAATCATATCTCGATCTGTTTGAGGACCTTTCATGTGAACAATGCTGTTGAATTTTGCATTTGTAATGGCAATTGTGCATTCATAGTCAAACCTCTTGCATAGGAAACGCACAAGACAGCCACAACATGTGCAATAAAGAAATGCCACATGTCACTTTCAAAGTCAAAACCAAAATATTTTCATAATCTTCTCTCGCAAATAAACATAAGTTACATTGTCGAACGTAAAGTCATGCATCTCTAACTCACCTCACCATAAACAATAAGACAATATATTTTAATGCCTTAGAGATTGATAGCAACTCAAACACAGCGAAAACATGGCTAAAAATTCCCGACAATGTATATAATTTCTTCCATAGAATTATTTAATTTGTTATTATTCTAATTGAATTTCGAATACCATAACATAGGAAATTGATACAATTTGCCACACGTAAATTGTTCCACGGAATTTGAGGAACGGTATAAGGTATTTTTTTTACCTTGAAAAATGATGTTTACTATAAAAGTTCAGGCTTACCGATTGTAGGATCTTTTACATTGCCAAGGCAGCGAGAATTCTTGAGAATAATTGGAAGTAAACAGATGAATATTGTGTTTTCGTAGAAGCTTATGTGTAATGATATGTTGGGGTCACATGAACACAATATGGCCATATAGGTACAAAATTCCTATTTCAGAGGGTACAATTTCCGATGGTAAAGTAAGTACCTACAACAATCTCGTACCATCTTGCCTGTGAGAAGTGCGACGGTTTGACGTAGGCCTAAGATCTTTCAATTGCAAATATCCTAAACTGGCAATTTTCGAAACAGAAACCTCGTTACATTTTGCATAGCATTTCCGTTGACGTCATTGAGGTTCACTTTTAAAAAGCAAACTTCCTTAAACTTAGCTAGATTACTAGTTGCAACTAGCATATTTGAAAGAAGGTTTTGCGAATGGATTTCTTTCTAAAAGCTGTTTTATTACTGTTGGTTATGAACAGTATGGGTCAGGCTGTACAGAGTGATTCTCAGCTGTCAGATATAAGCACTCCAGGCGCAAGCGGTTCGAAAATTGTCGAGGATACGATACAAAAGGTCGAAACAACTCTCGGGGACACTAACCAGTTTTTGAAACGAACTGCTTTTGTGGAAAGTAAGAATGGTAAGGATCCTAACACGTACAGAAGTGGAAATCATGGAGGGATATGGCAGATCAAGAGAAGAGTATTTGAAGACACACAAAGAGTATCGAGACATCCTAATTTGAAAAAGAATTTTGCAAAAATCCAGCAGGATTATGGCATCGACTGGTCCAAAGTGAAGTACGTTGACCTGCGTAAGCCTTTGTATTCAGCTATCGCGGCGAGGCTGAAGTTACTCATCGTTGATCAAGCCATTCCTCCAGCAACGCAACTGGGCAGTCAGGCAGATTACTGGGAGAGGTATTACGACAGCACAAGAAGTAAACGTTCCGCGATAAAGTTTATATCCGACATTTCATCCGCGAGTAGACAGCGACGGTCAACACATAACCAGTGCACAACTACGTACCCGGCATGCAAATACACAAGTAGCAGAAGAACGTGCGCAATTATCCCAGCAAGCACTTGTACGACCACAAGTGGCACGTGCACATGCACATGCACATGCACAAACGCCATACGCGCATGCAAATGCACGTACGGTGATTGCTCAAAAGGGGCGAAAGTATTCAAACAAAAAGGTTCACAGTGTCACGGCAATTGTCATCACAAGCAAGGTCCAAGCCTCAGCGGCATTTGCGGTCGTCGTGCCGGAAGCTTAACGGACTACAAATATACCGCTTCAATGAAGAACTTAGGTATAATTTGGAACGAGGATACTTTGGATCAATTTCTAAGAAATCCTAAAAAATTCGTCCCTGGAACAAAGATGGTTTTCGCAGGAATGAAAAAGAGAAGAGAACGTCGTGATGTGATCTGCTATCTTTGCAACTTGCCGCAATGTGATCAATGATGTAATTTTATTAATTTCAGCAAATATTAATCAGTAAGAACTAACTGTTGGGTATAGTTAAAATATAATAAAACATTCTTTATTTAATACATTCAAACACGCGATATGAAATTACTGTCTCAAATAATATTGAACTATTTCTCATGAATGCTAAAACTTTACGTACGATTTAGACCAACAAATACATGCATATACTTCCTTCAAAAGCAGTAATAAAATACTGAAAAAGGAAATAGTTGGTTAACAAAAGCTCGATCATAAACGCTGCCATTTTGGATTGTTGGATTCGCTATATATTAGACTAGTTTAAGCAGAAAGTCGTTTTAAAGCCTGGTTTTAACTAAGTCTCGTATGAGTGACCCATGCAAATCAGTCTTCTGAGTTGGAAATTTTCAGGCCATAATTATATTCTAATTTATATCTAAGGAAATTAAAAATCTTAAATTATCCAAAAAAAGCTTTGTGTCCATTGTTGATTTTTGCCTTTCTTCAGCTGAAATGATCAGCAGAATCTTTTTTCTTTATCTCTCCCATATATATCGTCTTTTTACACTTGTATAAAATCTGACTAATTTCTCTAAATGGCGAAAAAGATAATTAGGAAGTGATGTCAAAAACTACAACATTCAGACCACAATAAATAAAGTCAGACGTTTGTTCTTCATTCCGGGTGGAAAAAACCCCCCATAAATATTATAACATGTAAAGTCATTACCGTTAATACACTACGCTGTGCTTCCCCCGTTTTGAAAAAGATTTCTAGATATCAAAGAAAGATATTGTTGGAATAACAGTGAAAGATCAAAATTACAATGGAAAACGAAAGCAAGTCTTCAGTGACAGTGAGAGTTGAGTGAAGTCTGATTCTGATCATGAAGCGAGCACTCAAAGGAAGGAAGAGAGACACAAAAGAGCTATTACTGAATAGTTACCCAGATCTGACTGGAATAGGTGGAGCTTCCTCGTCTTCTACACCATTTTCATCCTAAATACCAAAAAGTTGAAGATTAAGAGGATATCAATTTACCAACTATTGAACGTCTTATTGAAGTCAAAAAGAAATGCCCAGTCTTAGGTTACCTGTGCGTTATTAGTTGAAGGAGCAGAGGCCACGGGACCGTACATGGGTTGAGGGAACTGGGAACGACCGCTGGGTTTTTTGCTTGACGACCTGAAAAAGATAATGACACGGAATGATGGCGGGAAGAGAAAACTACAGTGACTATACGTTCTCTAAAACGTTCAATTATTCCACGTGATATAGCGCTCGTATTTTAGCCAATCAGCGCCCAGAAGGCTTGTCGAAATAGAAATCTATTTTCTGAGTATAGCTCTTACATAAATTTGAAACGGAAATAAATTTTATTTTAAAAGAAATTAAGTTGTTTCAGAACCGAGAAATGGATTTTTACTTCACAACTAGTTCCAGTCCTTTCCCGCTATTTTAGATCCAATGAATCTCACCTGTTAAAATTCCGGGCTGGTATCGGAGGAGTGGGTTCATCGTCATGTTGCGGCGCGCTGTGATTGGCGTGACCCTGGGATAGCTAAGGCGGGAAAACATGAAACGATTATTGTGGGGCCGTAGAAGAACTTTATCGCAAATTATATTTTCCAACCAAGTCGAAACTAAGTCGAAACCTCAAAAGATTTTCCGATTATTTTAAGCAGTTGATTAGACCAGGGTTAGAACGATAATATAATAGAAATGTTTCTGGAATAAAATTCAACCAAGGTACTTACATCTAACTGGGAACGACCAGCTAATCGAATGTTTTCAGCAGAGATATGATGCTGAAGGGCGATGTAAATAAATTTATACTGGGCCTAAAAAAAGACGATGTTTGTAAGCTTTTTTCAACCAGATTCTCTCAACCACCACTAAAAATATTCTTGCAAACAAGTCATACCTCTGTTTGAACCATACCCGACCTTTGAGCCCGAACGTTGAGGATAGCTTGTTTGATGTCTATTTCGCTGTTTAAACCTAACAAAAACATTCCTTAATTAGTTCTGACAATCTAAACATGTCATATTTCCAACCAGCCAGCATGAAAAACTAACCTTGCTCTTTGAGAATATGCATCAAAATATCGATGACGATAAATGTGCCAGTTCTTCCGATACCAGCACTGAAAAAATGACAAGAGTTATGCACCATATTGCAAATTTAAAAAATACCACACCGTTCGTCATGGAACCTTCTTTCCGAAAGCGAAACAAATTTCGGGAACTCGAGGGGGCGATATTTTTTAGCTCATGACACTGTTGAAATTTTTATTCGCGTGAAGAAAATGTTGGGGGGACTTAATGCTTACCAAAACCTTGTTAAAGCCTTACCTACAATGCACAACAATAGGGCCAGCCCCTTCAATATGATCTTGTTTGATGTTAACATCTTCAAGGATATTAAGGACAGAGCTAGGATCATCAGGTACTCCATGATCAGGCCAGCCAGTGTAGTGGAACTGGTACACACTGCGAGGTTCAACACCTTCCTGCAGAAACAAAAAAAAATGCTAAAAACACTGCAACGTTGCAGTCGTTTACGGCACAGCGTTTGACTTTTGAGAGAACTAAAGTTGTTTTTGCTGTTGTCTATTTGTAATATCATTTTACTTCAAACTGCTGGTTCGAGATGGGGCACTTACATTAGCTTCTTTCCAAACTTTTATTTCTCTGAAAATATAGTTGGCTGTGTGCTCTTCTTCCTTTAACATTACGTTGTACTTTCCAAACGTCTTGATCATCTGTTTATCATCCGGCCAATATCGCGTACATTTCGTCTGAACAAAAACAAATTTCTGTCTTAGGGTGACAACGCTACAGAACCTGAACACTTTCATATAGCTACAGACTTCAACAGACTGTCTACTACACAAAGTATTAGCGAGCTTAAGCAAGCGACGTTTTTGACAACACAAACGGCATGGGTAACGTCAAAAGACTGGGCCAAGGATTGTGATTGGTGAAAAACAAACACTTTACTTCCGGCCAACGTACGTGTTGTCAAAAACGTCACTATTGTATCATTAGCTTACTCGTCCTCTTTCAACTTCTTTGGTCGTCATGACAACGACGCGACAGTTATCTTGCCACACCATCGCCCAGAAGTCGCCGACGGTCACCGGGAGACAGCCTTGAGTTGCGATATATCGTTTTTCTTGGCCTTCAAGGAGCCCCTGAAATAAGGCAAAAATTTAAATCTGACGCCATAAAGCCGGCTAATGAAAGGACAAGAATCTTTACTTGACTCACGTTTATAAAGTTCGCATTTATATAGTCGTGTCCTGCCTCGTTCTGGTAGTCCTCAGTGAGAATAACTCTGCTGTGGTCGACTAAATACGAAAAAATTTATTTAGAAAATATTCAAATATCAGTTAGCAAGAAATTTTAACTGGTTTTCATTTCATACATGGTAAAATATTCTTGTATCTGTTCTTCGCTTTATTCTCAGGCTTGCGACCCTCCTCTCGTCTGTACAAATGTTTACATTCTTGCTGTTGTAAATTCTGGTGACAGAAGATTACATGTCGTTATTATTTGAAAGAATGAACATTCTAAGTCATTTGTACGACGTCATATCTTGAGGCACAAGATCCACGTTATGACATAATACGTGACGTAAAGTCGTATCCCACGTTATGACGTCACTCGTTGAACAATACGACTTTACTGGTGGCTATTAGGCAATCATATAAACGCTATATCGACGAGGTTTGTTACGCTTCCCCGCCAAATCAAAAATACGACCTCTATCATGAACTGGACTGAAGCTTTACCTCAAACTCTTCCCAGAATCCACCTTTTCCGTCGACATTACCATTTTCTTTTAATAGTTCGCTAACACGATCTTCAATACTAGAGGCGTTTATTCTCGTAGCGTTGTATGGCTGTGGTAGAAGAAAGATCACATACTGAATGCCTTTGTGTGAACAAAACGTCTTAATAGGAAATGACCCAAAATGTTTGTACAAGTTTATATCCTTGCATCACAAAAGAAGATCCTAGAAATACTTACAACTTTGAGCTGAACAACACGTCCAGACTTTTCCACCATAGGACTTCTCTTATACTGTTCAACAAGATCTTTGAGATTTGAGAACTTCTCTCCTCCACCAACATCAAAAAAGCCATCCGTGCAACGGATTTTCACATGAGTGACACTGTCATCAATTCTAAGTGGATTTGTCATGAATCCTTCAGTTTAACTCCATAGTTGGTTAAAATTTTTTGGGAATACCCTGATGAATCATGGAGGAATGCTGGTGTGTTGCACCACAGCCAAGCAGTATAGTCTCCCTTTAGTCTTGGTACTTACCTCACTGTAAGAACAAAGTCACCAGGTTTACTTTGACTTTCACGGACAAGAAAACTACCATTCTTTCCTTTGTCCAGCATAACTGTTTCTGCTTCCTTGCTTGAGATGTGACCATGGAACCATCTGCAAACATCAAGTTTGTAGGTATTTTATTGTACTCTGAAGCACCATTCAGCATAAATACAGGTTTCAGACAAACAGCTTGTTAATCCCTAGCTGCTGTTTTATACAAATTTCTCATTGCTGCTCACAAATTTCTTTAAATGAAGGCTTTAATTATAGGATAAAACAAGTACTATTGTGCACTAATAGCTCAAGGATAAAAGCATTTCTCAAACCTTTCCGTAGTTGGATCAGTGGAATTTAAAGGATATCTCAAAGTGATGACTTCTCCAGTTCTTTCTTTCAGCTGCCCTCTGCTTTCTGTATAGAACAATACAAGCTCAGAGAGGGTGGCAAATTTCTCACCTCCATACAGATCATAGAAATCGCCACTGTTTTGGATTTTAATGTGAGTGACTTCTTCCCCACGTCTAGGAAAATAACAGGAAGTATTTATTAGTCTTTTTGCAATCCACAAATTGGATTTGATAAAGAATTGGTCTCTGGCAAAGAATTGAACAAATCAATTAGGAAGTCCCTTCATACAAATACAACTGGAATAAAACATGAATGTGCAATCTATGAAATTGTATTGTGTACAATAACCAACTATAATTAATTTGAATACATATTCATTGAACATAAAAACTTGGATTAATTGCATTAAATGCGATATACTTGTTCAGTTTTTTACTTAAAACAAAGTATTTATGTGTAAGATCTGTTTTTGCTTTTTTATTCCCACCCAAAGAGATTCCCATGCCAAAAATACATTCAAGAATCTTCGTCAATAACCACTCAATGAAAGACCTGGCTAATTAGCGACAATTGTTACATATGCATGCCTACATTGGCACTATATTCTTTGGACAAAATATACATATAAAGTCAAGAATTATAAAATTGGCAGCACAAAATCATATTAACACATAGGGTTGCTTCAGGATGTTTTTAAATCATCAACCCGAAATAGATTTTATCTAGGGACATTCCAAACAGAGATTAGATCGTTAGAAAGAATGTATTAATTTCTAATAAATTAACATGACATATAAGGCGACACTGTTTGTCGATTAGAAAAATAAGGAAGCACTAATTTTTTTAAAACGATGTGTCAGGGAACTTATTGTTTTTCCTTTCTATACAAAAGCACATCGATCACGAGGTTTCGAAACTAAACGATTGAGTTTGAAACGTGACTGTCATGACATCTAGTTTCGCATTGCTGTCATTCGAACCTTTGTCTCTATTTGATATATTTGCTGTAGTGAAACAAACTAACACTTCCTCGAGCATTTTCTGTGGTTTTCCTCCGATTTTAAGATACGAAATCGCAATATAATATGGAGGAAAACATACTCGAATCTAAACTGCATATTGGCTCACTCTCGACTCTCGACAACGGGCAAAAATGAACAGTCTGATGTAAAACCAAATGAACTTTTATAGTTCTATTTGCGCAAATGTCGTTCGTTTTAAAATTAATTTGCCAACTCCAGATTAGGTATTTTGCCAGAAACGCTGTATAATTTCCACGTACTGCGTTATACTTTAGGCTAAATTATTCGGACCATTCAAGGGTATGGGTATGGGAAAACAATATTCGACACTCGAAATAAATACAAATTATATTCTCGTTGTTTTTCGTACTCGTTCAATACGAGCGATTTAGTTCATGACCAAGTCTTTTCACCGTAGAATTAAGGAAAATTACTTACCTTACGGACAAGGTAAAATCACCGGGATTACTTTGACTAGGCCTTACAAGAAAGCTGCCATCTGAGCCTCTTTCTAGAAGTAGAGCTTCGGCGTCATGGCCTGTGATTCTCCCATGAAACCATCTAAACAAGCAGAAATAATCACATAGATACGAAAATCCCCAAAAACTTCTGTGAAAAGCACAACTAAACTTGCAAACCTTCTAGAACCCATGATCAATGGTTAATATTCAGTAATAAACATTTATAAATTTACATCCAACAGACCGAAGTAATAGTTCGGAAATAAATACAAACTCTATTGCGGAAGTTAGTGACCCACGACAGGTCTCTGAACCCCAAATATATATACTGGAGTGTTACTTTATTTATGCCACCGTGGAATTATGGAAGACTGGCAATAGCCCGATTAGCTTTGCATCATGGGGCAGAACACATGGGCAGAAAACGGATTTTCTTTGCTGACGTTTCAGTCCCATAATGCATTTTAACTTAGGCCCTGAACAGAACGGTCAATTCCGTCGTTTGTAAAACAAATGAACACATGATGCATATGTTGAAAAGTAATATTGGAAATAACATAAAGTTATCGTCCAATTATAGCCAGATGGTTTTCTTTGTTTACTCACAAATATTTGTTTTTTAAAAACATTAAAACGTTAGTTACACTATAAAAAACAAATGACATTCACTTTGTAATTAGTAAATTGGGTCACCAATCACCATGGAATGTTTTGGCAACATTGCATGCATTATATTTATTTTAATCATTTATCTTCACTTATCTGATTTATCCAGCTATGGAATTATGTATGAGTAGAAGAAAATATTTACCAATCTGGGCTAGAAATCTGAAATCCACTAGAGACTACAAATTAATACAGATGAGGATCTGAAGCTCCATGCATAGAAATGAATACAGTAACAATGGCATTGCAGCTCAAGCTAGCTACATGATCATTTCTTTGCCTTTATTCCTTTCATTATTTCGCTCATCTTTTTTCCAATTCTTAGGTAGGATGATGGCTGTTGATTAAATTTCATTTCTTTTTCTTTTTCAATAATTTTCTGACATGGTTTGTGTGTTTTGCTAAGCTTGGGTGGTTTGTAGCCAAAGCTGACCAAGTCTTCAATCCATGCTTCAACGACAACTGCGTCAATTGGTTTCCAGATGTCTTCAATGACCAAGTCAATTGCAAGTTTCAGCATGCGGTTGAAGAAATCAAGTCCTTCTCCATTCCATTTCTCCAGATAGGCAAGATAACGCCCTGATTTGTAATATAGCTCTTCTTCATCAATGAAATCCCGAAGATAGTTATGGGCGTTACGCACCTAAAATTTAGACAAATATAAATGAGTTAGAATATGTGTGCCATACTGATGTCAATCCTTTGAAATGAGTTATCTCTAAAATATCTAGTTCTATGTAGTATATAGTTATATGAATCTATAAAGCTAATTGTATTGATGAGAACTAAAATTACCTGATAGGCAGTTGGACCAAAGTAACCAAGATATCCATTGATCTCTTGCAACAAACGTTGTACATAAAAAGATCTCCAAATATCAGTCACACGCAATGTGCCACTAGGTGGCAACACCAAACCCCAGAATGCATCCTTGAAATGTAAAGTATTTTGGCAGTTGTAGGGTGTGTATGCACCTGGGGGAATGAGAACAGGTGGAGCTTTTGGATCAAATCTTAGGTCCAGCTGCACACCAATATCTTTGCGAGTAAGTCGGAAAACTGCATCCACATCAGGGTCACCATCCACCACACCCTGCTGAATAAGAGCTCTGACATCTTTGCATTTGACAAACTTATAAACAGGGGGAAGGGCAATATTTTCTAGAGGGTACCCTCTTGGCCATATGGATGCTTGGCCAAAATGTGCATATGGGTTCACACTGTTACGGTCTGTGCTATAGACGTAGAAGTCACCTATTTGTTTCTGGAAAAATTTTATGGTGTTGTTATAAGGATGTGTGTCGTCATCTGTTTCATAAATCATAGTCGCCCCATGTTGTATTGCATAAAGATGACCAATAGTCTTGCGGGCATAGTTGCTGTATGGCATCACTTCTGCTGTACGATACCCAAGTTCTACTTGCTTTTCTATGCCCAGGTATACTGCATCTGGTAGACTAAGATAATAAAAAAGTTATGTCAATATTTATCTATATGTGCAATTGAAAAAAAACATCCACAAAAGGTCTGAAAAATTGTCCAAATGAGGCTAAATTACCTCCAAGATTTTGGTGTCTTTTTATCACCAACAACTAGCAGTTTCCAACCTGGGATTTTGGACAGCAACTTGACATCTTCCGTTGGGGCGGCTATTGAAGTCACAACAATCCATTGGTCATGCATGTCTGCTTTATCAGGCCTTTTTCTTTGCTTAATTTTTGACCAGTCTACTGATTCTGGTAACTTTCGCATAATGTCAACTTTTTTCCAATCAACCAAAGAATTCTTAGGTGTTGGAACGCCAGTCCATGATAACGTGCTGTCAACACTTTTTGAAGAACTTAAGATATTAATGTTCAGAGTGTTCCTAGAAAATAGTTTATACACGACAATAATGAAGGCAAAGAAAATGAACGCGAATAATACATGTAATCGTCGAAATACAACCATGTTTTGAAGCATAGTGGGCTTGTAAAGTAAAATATAATCCCATTACAATACAATTTGACGTGGCAACTAACAAATCAAAAGGGCACGAGTTAGCATCAATGGTGCATGCATGTACAAATTAGAACCACTACCGATTCCCTCCGATCGTATTCTGAGCGATCCAATCCGTGGTCGATTGTAAACAAAGAAATAATACCGTAGCAACAGAAAAATGTAAAGGTTTATAGTTTTTTTTGGTAATCTATAAAGTATGAGGTTAATATGATTCTGAGAAAAATATGTTGATTTATGTAGAGAGCAATTTATTTCAGGTGAACTACATTTTTATTGATATTGTGCAGTGATATTCAAAATGTCTTATAAAGCATATTAAAGTGTCATGTCTGTAGATCGTGATAACCAGCAGTGACCTTCTTTTCACCATTTTTTTTATTTATACTGTGATAATTTAGTTTAAAACATTCACTCTGGTGTGCAACTCCTACGATACTATCGCAAGGGGAAGAGCGTATTTACTGCACATCCTGTATGAACTGGGTAAAAGCCAACACCAATTCAGATTGAGATTCAAAGGAGAATATTTAAGGGATTGCCATACATTTGACGTAAGTCATCATGACATCTTATCTGCTTTCTAGCAATATCTACCACCTCATCTTCTCTTATCATTCACAAACTTTATTCTCTCAAAATCCTTCTGTCTTTTAAGGACTATGGAATCCTGGATAACTCTGTTATCAAAATGGTGCCTATGGCACGAACAAACGCAAATGTACGTCTTAGTAAAGATCTGTCTAACAAAATTTAAAATTTTAGTGTAAACCAACACAGAAGAATAACAAATTTGCATCATATTTGTTATTCTTTAGCAATTAAAGCTTGGATCAAAACATAGCATTAACATCGATGAAGATGTTCTAACACCTGGACCCAAGCCAGATCTGTTGCCAGATGGACATTTGCATGAAATACAAAAAGCTGTCAAACAGGAGGTTAAGATATTTAAAAGAAGGGAGAACCTTTTAGGATTTTTTAAGGTGCTATTTAGTGTCTTCTTTTGTAAACAACTAGTTCTTTAGGATCTTCCATGAGACCCAGAGTGTCAACAATACTTAAACAATAGTTTCTTTCTAGGCATTACTTTGGATTCATTTTCTTGCTGCATTTATGGCATTCTCCAGTTATTACTGGTATTCAGGATTTTGGTCAGGTGAGCCAACAAGGATCATGAAAGGCTAAAGGATACTTCAACTCATAACTCTTCTGCTCTTCATTTCCCTACTTCCAGGTGTCTTAATGTTGTTTGGCTTGTATTATTGTCCTACTTACTCGAAAATGGCCGGTTTTGTTGGGCGAAACAACATCAGGTGATTATAACCAGATCCTTGGAGAATACTCATGAAAAATGTTCTAAAAATCACCACTGAAACCTCAAAACTAACGACCACCTTTTGTTCCTATTCAGTCACAACCAATTCCTAACCTTTTTCGGCATTGGTTCAGCACTCCATTTCACAGGATCCCTTCTAATGGGTGTCTACCTTGTCTTAGAAGTACAGGTACGATTATCAAGAAATTGCCAATATACATAGCTACATCCAAGAATTCTTAATTTCAAATCATAAAAATTTCATCTTATTATTTACCTTACATCTTTAACTTTAGTCATACGCGTGCGGAGAAACCGAGGTTACTTGTAATAGGCAAAAAGAAGTACTAACTTGGTCAGGTAAGAATTTCTTTTCTCCAACGTTTTGGTGCCAAATTATGCCGCGAGAAGGTCCATAATGCGCTGTAATTTCAATTGTAATTTTGTTTTAAAAATATTGTTATCTTATAGTTGTGTTTTACTTGGGACACGCTGCATTCCTCCTTGCAAGTTTTATTCTCGTCTTGTTGCTATTCAGAAACTTCCAGTACGAGGTAAGTTATTATGTCAAAGTAGTTCTTGATGCGACTTCTATCAACAAATATTTGGTGGCATTACGTTTTTGACTCGTCTGCAATAGGTTGGTGACATCATTGTGGACAATTTAGTCCAATCCCGAGATCTTGATAAAGTGTTAAAAAGTGCCAAGTTGGGTGGAGTGAAGGAACGAAGAAACGCTGCATTTGAGATGGTCAGCCTTGTGGCAAGTAACATTGAAACAAAGATGGCAGTTGTGGATGAGGGAGGGTACGTAAAACAGCTCTAATTAGTCTAATAATATCAATGAGACGGCCAAAACTACTCAAACTGCATTGCACCTTACACAATCAATGACAAACGTACCTACTGGGAGGAGTGAAAGCAACTAACCACAGCCGGATAGTTGAGTTAAGAATATATTTTTACTCGTTATGTAATTTGTTCAGTCATATATGCCTTCTCTCTCTTTCAGATTACAAGTCCTTATCAACTTAGCCTTGTCCACGGATTCAGTGAGTATGAGAATATTTGTTCCTGCAGCCCAGCTACAAAGTGAACATCCATAACTATAAATTCTTTCACTTTGAGTACAAAATCACGTTTTTCATACTAATATAGGCAACACAGGAGTATGCGACAGAGGCGATTTCAGAAATGCTCACCGTTCCAACCATCCAGGTAAAATCATTATTTCGCTGTCACCTGATCCATTTTCCCCGATGCCATGTTTGAAAGATACCGTGTTTTATTCATGATATTTCTAGGCCAAGTTTGTTGAGGATGGTGGAATCCGTACGCTGTGTGCCCTACTTCGAAGCACCGATATGCGTGTTGTTACTGAAGCAGTGACTGCCATGTCGTACATTGTCGCCGATAATGAAGAAAATAGACTGTCGTTTATTTCTGACAACGGGTAGGCTGTATACATAAGCAGGAAGATGATGGTGATTATATTACTTATGGGAAATTTTACTTCCTAATTTTAGGTTAAACGATCTCTCTCATGTCTCAACCAAAGGTAAAAATGACTCTGAGATGGAAAACCTTTGAAATATTGGTATTTCTTGATGAACTGGCGTTGTGCATGACTTTAGTCTTTCTATTCATCTCGATTCTCGATAGAACCAGTACTTCTCGATAGACTCAGTACTTCAAAATCTTCTTCCTTTTATTTTTTAGTATCTGCACCGCTATCAAGAATCGTCGCTGGGATGTTTCTTGAGTTGGCTTTCAGCTCGGAAATTCGTTCAATAATGGCAACACAAAACACCCCAAGTATGTTTCTTGCATACGTCAAGGTCTCCTTAAGTTTACGTATTATTCTACGCATACATGCTAATATACCTCTTTATTCGAATTTTAGTCCATGCACTATTATCACTTTCCAAAGTAGATGATCATGAAACACTTCGTTTGGCTCTGCAAACATTGGAACTGCTAGCAATAGAAAACCCGGCTATCATATTGGCAAATGTACGTCATGCAGTTTAATCAAAAACTGAATTAAAAACTGAATTAACTGATGTTATAATATATCGTTCACGTTTTTCGTAACGTTTCAACATAGAACAACCTGCTTCTACAACTTCTATCAGTGACCAAGTTTGAAGAAGACGAACAACTCTACCTCCTGAGTGGCAAAATAATACTGTACTTTGCTTCAGAGGAAGACGTGCGTATACATATGCTGACCACTCATTCTTGTCTCAGTGCATGCCGTGGATATTCTTTGTCTGTTGCACTGTCTTCTTCCAAATTTTGATATCACTATACACTTTCACCCAATTTAGGCATGTCTAATGCTGGTTGAATCAGGCAAACTCAAATCAACTCTGCTTCAGTTTTCGCACACAACAAATGCGGCTCTCCAAACAGTTATAGCGAAGATTGTGTTGGCTGTCATTGATTCGTATGAAAACAAGTAAGTGCAAAGGCAAAGCAATCAACTACTTCTTAGAAGACGAAGTTAGCTTGTTTGATATTTTCGGAAGAAACTTCAATGTTCATTATACGATGAATTCCAGATTACTGGCAAGCCAATATACATTTTTTCCCAACTGAATATCGTTTAGAGATACAATTCTTGAGATGGGGCTAGATGAAGTCTTGCTGAACATCTATAACACAACCGACAACACAGCATGGGAGTTAATAGACCGGGCGTTGACTATATTACGAGATATTGCGCCGTACAGCAAAAAGTCTGATGGCAGTGTCATACAATCCGATGACGGTAGCGGACCAAGTACAAGTCAACAATCAGAGAAAGATAAATCTGGACTTGGAAAGAGGAAATGATGTACTTTTATGTGATGTTTATATATGTTCTCGTTTTTTTAGTGTGTCACTTAGTACTACATGTAAATAATTAAAAAGTAAGAATATACAATGCCCGACAACGTCAACGGTTTAATTTTTTTATCTTTGGAAAAAAGATTCCCTCTTGCCTGCAAATTATAGCTGCTTTGCAACATTTTGAACGTACTCCCTCTTTGAACGAACTAGCCCAAGCAGGAGGCTTAAAACTTGCCTTAAAATTATCCTATTCATAACATTAGACCAAAAACTTCAATCTTCTAGTTTTTTCAAAGCAGTTAAACCTGACTTTTTAAGAAAAGTCTTATTCTCTTCCAATATCTGCTTGAAGGTAGACAGCCATATCTTAACAAATTCAGCATACTTGTTAATTATTGTGCAGATGAATTTAGCAAATTTCAAACTTTTTGCATGTGAAAGAGACTGGAACTGTAACCAATTCACAAACTTCTCAAAATGTGAAATATCAAGATCTAATCTCCTGTCTAGAACTGTGACTAGAAAGTGTATCATGTGTTCATTCCATACTTCTTTCCTATCTGACTGTAGAAGCTTTTCCATGAAATACAACAGTGTATCATTCTTGAGGTTTTTTATAACTTTTACAGTTAAATCACATTGTGGCCACAAAAAAGATGTTGTGTTGAAAAGTGTAACCATGACACCATCAACAAACGATTTTGGATGTTTCTGTGCAAAGCTAGCCACAGCTGCAAGCAGATTACGTGACCCAGCCTGCTGTAAGGTAGATAACCATGACCCTATACAATATTCTGCAAATACGATGGTTGCTTGGAAGCTACTTTCTTTCTCTAATAACAAGAATTGTTTGATAAGCATGACAAGGGAGGTTTCAGGGATTGTAGAAACATCTAAAAATGTGCATATCTTCACCAAATCATTAGATGTATTTTCTAAAAAAACATTCAGAAATGCTTGGAAAATTACAGCATCAAGATCTTCCAAAGACCTTAAATGGTCTTTGAATGGTATATATTTTTCCAGGAAGGCATCTTCTTCAGATTGTTCTGGTTCCACACTTATTTCTACTTTCATCTCAGGGGGGTTAGGGATTTCAGTTGATTCAAGTGGTGACATTTCTGGTGAGTCATCAGAAATTTCTATCACTTCTGACTGGGAAACATTATCAATTTCCATGCTAGTCACTGGGTTACATCCATCTTGATCACTAATTAACTCTTTATTCTCCATAGCAACATTCCTTTGACTGTTGCTTGAAAATGCTGGCAATAACTCTAGCTTAGCAGTCAACAAAGAACTGCTTGCTGCTGAGCTATGCTTCAACTTTGAACAAAGATTGCCAAGTCTTATTTGATTCCTTTCAGAAATAAAATTACACGCGGAGACCTTTATACTTTTGGGGTTTTCTTCTCTGCTTTTCACCTGGATTTGAAGTATTGACACTAGAGCTGCAAACCAGTATTTTTTCATTTGGGGTAATGCCTCCAACATTGCCACAAAAATCTTGCGGAAAAATAAAGAGATGTTTTTTCTTTATTAAATCTATAGTTCTTTTTAGTTTTTAAATTGTCTTTTGAACAATTTACAAGCCAGCTACCTACCTTAATATCGTCAACAGGAATTTTTTCAGAATAATAAACAATAAAACCCAGCACATTTCTCTGCAATATCAACGTGAAACAAGAAAACTTCGACTGAAATATAACATGTTCGCCTAGTGCGACTGGAAACGACAGACACAACGACCTGATGAGGTCTGGCCAGTGCGGAGAAATGAAGTCTGTCTTAGATTTAACGATAGACTGAGAGTTATCCCGTAACCATTTCGTGCCTGAATGAACAGCAAGGCTTTCTCTAACATTCAAAGAAGCAAACAACCCTTGCCATGCTCGAGGAAAAGAAGAAATAAGCTCGTGTAGAAGTGATTCGCTCGGAAATTCTTCACATACGGCCGCCATCTTGATTTTCCCGCATCTTGATTTTCCCGCGTCTTGATTATCCCGCCCTTCCATACTTTTCCCGCCGAAACAACTTCCACCATCCACAGTGATAACCTTTGGTGTAATAGCCTTTCACAGTTGCGTTTAAGCGTTTATGAAACGCTTTTACAAAAGAGTTACGAAATGACAGTTAAATTGCCGACGTTCTCATTGAAATACAAACTTTCTGTCTTAGCCAATCAGAACGTTATTGATTACCAGTGGTTACTCGCGCATGCGCATAACTTACAAAACCACCAAACGTCGACCGTCCATGACATAGATAAGAATTTGGACAACTTTTGATACGCTATGTTCTCCCGGATTTCGGGTGTAATTCCTAATCTAGTTGCAATTTTTCAGTGAATTTTTCCGGCGAAGCGTTGCTCACGCATATTGCCCAAGTGATCTGAGCTCAAAAATAACTCAGCTAATAAAACTAATAAAATGAGATCAGCTGGCGCGCTTGATGGTAACAAGGCTCTGTTATTTTTTCACTGGTTATTTTTTATTTATACTTTGATAGTTCGTTTGATTTTTTATACGTTAACAATCGAAAGCTTTGTTTTGGCTTTTAGTCGAATTCCTTTTATCTGAGTTTTCACAACAGGTACAAACAGCCTCATTCCTTTATTCCCTGCAACGGGTAAACACGTGAACAAAACGGGTGATTTCTACTGAACTATAATATAACTCCTAGGAATTATAGTATAGCTCAGTGGTTATTTCACAATCAAGTATTATATATGCCATAGCCTGCAACGTACTCAAATTACTATGGAAACTAAGTGAGATGTATATTGAGCGATTCTTTCGGGAAACTTTAACTGCTATGTACAAGTTCCACGGGAAACGGGCGATAATAGTACCGGTAGTGATCTTCATAGGAGCTACCTTCTACCTATGGACTTGCTGTCATTTCGACCAATTATATCAGGCAGCATTTTTTACACAAGATCAGAAAGGAACGACAGCATGGCTAAAATTACAAGAAGATGTTCAGTGGTCCAAGATTGAACAAAGACCAAAACCCGACATGAAGGAAATTCACGATAGATGGATCGTTGTCACTTCAGTGGCGTCTCCCACGAATCAAGTGAAAAATCTATCAAAAATCAAAGAATGGAGACTTGTTGTTGTTGCTGACATCAAGACACCGAAGGACTGGGGGTAAGTGAAATAATGGGATTGCGCGCTGTTCACATTCCGACGTCGTATTGCTTCAGAAAGCTTACTAGCTATTTCTGCAATAGCGCATTCCCGTTTCTCTCTGTTTCTAAAATCTGTAGAATTCACATCGTATAAACACCTGTATTCTAGCCAAAATCAACCAGTTTGTCTTCCAATATGGCCTCAGCCACCAATTCGTTTTGCTTTGTTTGCACCGCTATCTTGGATGTTCGCTTTCGTCTATTACGCATGCGCTGTTAAGACAATCCATAAGCAGATAGCTTTCAGTTTGCCGCACACGGAAAGATTTCGGCACGCGAGGCAGAAATTATCAAACATGCTAGATATTTGCCGTAAGTGGAGACTAACAGATTTTCATCAATAGTCAGCAAAAATCAAATTTAAATTATTTTAAACTTTTACGTGCGTATACGTACATGCAAAACACGCGATATCCATGGAGGACAGCGACGCTGTTCCTTCTCAGCGCATTCAAATGAAATCAAGCATCTCTCGCTTTCAATATTACGCGACAGGGTGCTTTATTTCAATTATAGGGGTGCTTTATTTCAATTAGGGGTACTTTACCTTCTGTAGAAAGAACACAAAAGGTCGTTTGACCATGGATACATAAATATGTTATTTACCAGATTGGAGGTCCGTATAGGAAAATATTTCGGCGGAGAGACGTTTTTGAGCCCAAGGGAAATATTTCCCAATACGGACCGACTAACTGTTAAATATGATAGATTTTTTTTCTTGCGGCCGAATTAGTTTAGCGTTGGCTCTGTGCTTTTAAATCTCGCGCGCTCCGTACGGCCTCATACGGACCGCTCGCGTTGCCAATCAGATTGCAGGAAACGCTGAAATATGAATTCGGACCGCAAGAAAAAAATAAAAACTTTTACTTTTAATCCATATTTTAATCTTCTTACGCAGACTATATTATTTATGTTTAGCTACCCAAATGTGGTGTTCCTCAGCGTGGAGAAACAGAAGCAACTGGGTTACAGAACTACTGATCTCCTACCTTTTAAGAGTTATTCACGGAAAACCATCGGCTACCTTTATGCTATCGAACACGGCGCCAAAATTATCTACGAGACGGATGATGACAACTACCCATATGACGGAAACATTGGATTCAGACCAGAAGGCAAAGGCGATTTTCTGGTTTACGCCAGTAATCGCACTACCATTAACATTTACGAACATTTTGGGCAATCGAGTATATGGCCAAGAGGGTACCCCCTAGAGAATATTGGTGATCCAGTGCAACACACGTTTGTAAAATGCGGGGAGGTTATGCCACTCATACAACAAGGTGTGGTCAACGGGGATCCGGATGTGGACGCTATATTCCGTTTGACTCGCAAGGATAGTGGAGTTAAACTCGATGTTGAATTCGACTCAAATGCACCGCCAGTCTTATTGCCCCGAGGAAGCTATGCCCCGTTTAATTCTCAGAATACGTTGTTCTTATATGATGCATTTTGGGGACTAATGATGCCACCCGGACCTGCGATGCGGGTTACTGATATTTGGCGGGCCTATTTGGATAAGCGCATTTTGGAAGAAATTGATGGTTATTTGGCGTTTTTCGGACCTAATGCATACCAAGAGAGAAATGCGCACAGCTATCTTGACGATTTTATCGACGAGAAAGCGCTTTACCACGACGCAGGGCGTTTTATCGCTTTCCTAAGGAAATGGAACACGACAAAAACCCACTTTTTTGACCGAATTCTAGAATTAACAGTCGCTTGCGTGAAAGAAAAATTCCTTGAGCCAATCGATGCGCATGTTATGAAAGCATGGTTGTCGGATCTTATCAGTATAGGGTATAAGATACCCGAATTACAAGATCAAAAAGTCCCATGTAGAAAGGTATTAGAGCCACCGAAAGTTCTGAGATTCAAAGAAAAACCATCATCGTATAATGGTTTGGGGAAAAAACTCAAGAATATTTTTTAGTTCATTCTCGTTTTTATGACGTTTTCTATTGCTTACTAACGCTTTTTATTTCATTAGTTTAACCATATTTATTGTAAGCAGTAGTTGCGTGTAGTATCTTTTTCTATTTGCGTGTCAATTCACAAGACTCGTGAGACACTAAATTTGTGAGAATTGGTTTAATAAAAAACCATAAATTAGTTTACTCTGATTCAAAATCTGCAAGAACAAAATTATCAGTAGCTTAACCAAACTATTTTTACAATGAACATTTACTGACTAGGTCGATTGTTCGTTGTTTTAATCACCGAGTGGACCGTAGTTTTGTGTTTACGACGCAGATCTTAAACGACATCATCAGCGTTCTTTGACCACTCGAGTACAACGTTGTGGTATTTTTGAAAGTATTCAGTGTCACAGTCTTGACCAATTTTCTTGCTCTACCGATGTCTCTCTCGGTTGTCACCTGTTCCCATCCGTTTAGGTGGTCGGTCAAATTCATGTTCCATTGACCGCTTCCTTCCCCGGTTTTCAACATTACCGTGCCCTGGGGGGCTACCGAGATTTACAGGGGGAGCATCCAATAGACTCATAAGAGGTTTAATTCCGGTTTCCCCTGCAGCCTGTGGCCCATCATTACGACCTCCTCCGGATTTTCCTTGTATCGTTTCGGTGTGGGGTTGATCTCGGGGTCCTCTACCAAATCCTTGTTTATCGGAACGTATATCATTCCGGCCGTCCTGAAATCGACCATGATCTCGTCTTCTATCAGGTGGACGGTGATTGCTCGATCCAGAGTCATGTGGGGGACCGTCATGAGATGGCGGACCTCGGGCAAGAAACATGTCAGGTATTGGTAATAGTCCAGGTTTTTCATTAACGGGCAGATCCTTTTCATCTGAAAACGAACCATCTGATTGTCGCCCAGAGTCCTGACGGTCGAACGAGTTGCGACCACCACTTCTCGAAGGACGATCCCCTGAAAAACCCTCAAATGATGGCCGATCTTTAGGGCGGCTCATGTCTGATCTATCATGAGAAGAACGTTCTTCTTTTAGGCCCATTTCTGACCTGTCGAAGGGTGGGCGGTCACTGTCCCCTGGGCGATCTCGTGACGAACGGTCTTGTCTATCACGCGACTCATACGGCGGTCGGTCTCCACGTCGGTCCGCTTCGGATCTATCACGATCCCCTTTTCTTCCAATGCCACGGCCTGAATCAGGACCGTGATGCCGGTCCATATCGGATCTACCATGAGGTGGTCGATCCGGACCAGCCATGTCCGGCTGTGGGGGTCGAAAGAGACGCCCAACTGCAGAGCTTGTAATGTTCTCCAACGTTAACATACCGCGTTGCAATTCTTGGATGTGTGTTTGAAAATCACCTAGGATTCCAGGTGCGTCCGGGTCAGAGGTGCGGCGCTCTTGCTTCACTGGAGGACTATCTCGTGGTGAATTGTCACGACTTCTTCTCAAGAAACTTTCCCTCGCTTCTGAGGCTCCACGATGATCACCTTCTGGTGATTTCAGCTCCGCTTTCGGTTGACCCGGACGTGGCTTTTGAAAATGCGGAGGTCTAGAACCGCGCGGTCCAAACGAACGACCTGTGTCGTTGTTTACCGTTCGAGGTCCAAAGTTCGAGCTATCTCGTGGGCTCGAAGGACCAAGAGGTATATTTAGGGGTGGCCTGGGGTCTCCACGGGGGCCATCGGGACGTATACTGGAATCGTTCTGGAGTCCTCGTGGTCGTGGCCCATCCCGTGTACCGTCTCTTGGTCCATGTTGGCTTGACGTAGAGAAGTTCGTAGGCGGGATGTTCAGAGGGGGTCTCGGGCCTCCACGTGGCCCGTCTCTTGGTCCATGTTGTCCTGGGGGGAAATCGGTTGATCTTGATCCTCCATGTGGTGTTTCATGCTGTCCTTCATGCGATCCATCGTGTGAATCGTCTCTTGGTCTTGAGCCCCCTGATGTGCTATCTCTTCGTGGCTCTTCTTTTATGCCGTCTGGAGCAGAATCGTTTTGCCTTGACGCTCCATAATGACGCTCCTCTGAACGCACGTTGGGACCACGTCGCCCTGGTCTTTGGCCTTCATGCGGGTGATCTGCACGTGCATTGGAATCAGCTGACAGTCCATGTGGCTCTCCTTGCGGACCATCGTGCCGACCAGGAATATTCAAGGGCGGCTTTGGTCCTCCATGGGAGTCCTCTGAACGCATGTTAGAACTGTTTGGGGCTCCCCGTGATTGGGTTCCTCCATGAGGTCCATACTGACTGATAGAGATGTCGTGAGACCTTGGGACACCATAAGGGCCATCTGGACGTACATGGGGACTGGATGGATCTCCATGTGGCCGTGGCCCTTCATGTTGTCCATCTCTATGCCCATAGTTATTAGGGGGTTTGTTCTGGGGGTTCGGTCCCCCTTGGGGTCCGTAAGGTTCAAACGGGCCTCCACGTGATGCATGATGCGGTCCACTCCATGGCCCAGGGTGCGGCCCTCTTTGGGCTCCAAAACCACCTCTTGGCCCTTCATGCATGCCACCACGTGGACCAGGGAAACGCGCATATTGGTTTGGCGGGAATGAACCCGCTGGTCCAAAATTTGCATTTGGATCTCCAATTCTCGGCCCGGATGGTCCGCGAAAATCAAATCCATGTCTGGGTCCAAATGGTGGATGGTTACCTGGATGGTTTGTAAGAGGTGGGCGAATCCCTGAAGGTGGATAGTGGCTCTGATTTGGCGGAATCGGAAGACGCGTGGGCAAACGAAGTTTAGGTGGTTCCCGAAGGTTTGAAATTTTGTACCCTATATAAAAACCGAAAGGAAATTGATTGATTTTGGACACTTTTAGTGGTTTTATAAATTGTTGCAAGAATTACCGTCATTTTCTTGTTTAATTTGGATATTTGCGTTTGGCATATCAAGGCCCGGGATACCAAAACGATTTTCAAAGTTAGAACGAGAGAAAGCTGGTGGATACGGGAGTTCTGATGAAGTCGCCGTTGATGGTTTACCAACCGCCATCTTATCTAAGAATGGGATAAACTAGAAGTTGATCGCCCGAATTATACATACAAGCAGGCAGGCAGGCAGGCCGGCACGAAGTAACATGATAAACTGCAACTTCATATCTACCTTTACCGGATTCTCCATACAAATGTGCATCAACATCTCTGGAGTCAGGGAGAACAACATTGCTAGCTGTGACAGGAAGTCCAACTCCTGGAATGACTTGACTTGCATCATACGCCGCAAGCGCTGGTACAGATGCGTGAGATGTTCCCTCCTCGCTCGCTAACGGATCATAGAAGAATGAACATTAACATAAATATTTTGCAAGAGAGCCCAGAAACAAATGATCTAGCTACAGAGTGGACTGCGTTAATTTTGAAACGTACTAAAATCTCCATCCTCCTGACTTCCTTGAATGTCCAGGTTATATTTATCGATCATCGTGTCACCCGGACGATTTCTTGCCCAAAATTTGCTGCAACATAAAAATAAAGTTTAAGACCAATTCATAGGTGAACGCTCACACACCGGTTATCAATACCATTCTACCTTGTATGATCGTTAGATCCCGAGCATAGTATGTGCCCAAGAGGATGCCACGAGAGACTCCAAACAATGCCTTCATGGGCTTTGTCCATGGTCCCTGCTTTCTCATCGACACTGAAAATCAAACGTTTAAAAAAATCATTTCTTCGGCTATCAAATAACATTATTATTTGATAAAACATACCCAGTCAACCAAAACATGAGCGAGCCATCTGACCCTCCACTCGCAAACAGCGTTTCATGAACAGGATGCCAAGCAACCACTAAAATTAAAGACATATTTTCGCTTGTATTTTTCCCCAAAAAAAAAACGTACTCAAATGGTCCTTTTATCATTTTATGAAGTAACGGAACCTGTCGCTTCTTTCTTATGTCCACGGAATGTCTGTAGTTCTTTCATCATACGGATATCGAATAACTTCAGCAGATGGTCCCTTGAACCAGTTACCAACCAATTTCCGTTTTTGTTCCATTTTGCTGTCATCACTGTACTTTTATGACAATGCCTAGTATGATCGAAAAAATATCAAATGCGGACTACTGATAAGAGCTATATTAAACTTAAATGAAGCAAATGAAGCATTTAACTCAACGCGCTGAAAGCCATCTTAACTCATAGACATCATAAAGTGCTCCTATATATTATCTATAATTATCACATACTCACAGTGTAGTTATACTATTTCCAGTTTTAGGATCCCAGAGTTTAACTGGTTGTTGACTGTCTTTACTACCAGAAACGATAAGACCTTTTGTTGGATGCCAATCAACACATTTTACATCCGCGCCATGACCTAACAAAACGTTAATTTTTATTCAACAGAATCTTAAAGATCGTGGAGAACTTAAATCTACTTCTTGTTTGTATTTGGCCAGGATAACCTGACAAGGAAAAAACGTTTAGGCGAAGGGTTCGTGATCTGCAGACTCGTTGCTTGTTATATATATTTTTTAACTAGTAGTATATTTTCGTTATCTCCATTCCAGACTGTGAGACTGTACCCAATAATCCTGTGTGTCTTATGTGTATGCCCGGACTTATAAAAACAGAAACGCGAGGTGAATGCTAGGACTAGATATTTAGATTTTAGCACAGTAGGTCTATCTAATTCTTTGAGGGAAGACGGTTGTAATCGCGAACATATGCAACGAACATAGAAAAACGTTGTCATTTGCTTTTAATAAATGTTAAAATACTGCTGTTTGTCCCTTAGTTTGCCGTGTATACTTCAACAACTCGAGAACACCTTTCCTAGCACTTTCTTGAGACGTGACGTTTCTCCGGTTACGAAGGGCTAGTCCGCAGAAATGCCTAATTATCTATTGTTTTTAATGCGGCACTCTCGGAGCACGAAAACTCTGTCCAAATATGGAATATTTACTCCTGGTGGGAGTATCAATGAGATGTGACCTCCACTTAGGTGAAATGTGATATCCATTTGGCCAGAGGTACAGGTTTATACATATGCCACGTACTTTGACACGTTAATATTAAAATAGGGCATGTCTTTGCAACTGCCAATTTCATGATGGCCAAATTCTACCGCTCCCATGCGTTGAATGACTACACCTTATATAAGACCTCGATCTTTCAACATTTATAGATTGTTTTTCACGGAAAGATAGGAATCTAAGATGGGACTCGTTGGTTAATGTTGTGAGAAAATATACCAACCTTTCAACTCTCGCTCTTCAATACATCTGTAAAAGTCCCAGACTTTCACCAGACCATCGTCGGAACACGACGCAAATTTGTTGTCGGACGGAGAAAAACTATGTAGTGTAATGAGAAAAACTACTATAGAATACTGTTTGCGCAAACTCTTGACCCTTGAATTGTCGCTTACTCAAGATGTTTGTAATATGCTTTGTATACTAAGAACACGTTAACCTTTTTACTAAAGTCGCATATCGCTTCGTTGAACAACGTTAATAATATTAATCTAATAAAACCTACGTAACCACTATAGACCCAAGAAATTTCCCAACCCAGAGTAGGATCAAACCATACGTTTATTATTTAGAAATTTCCCGTTTTATGCAAGTTAGTGTGTCTTTATACATTTAGTAGATTTATCACCGAGATAAAATGAAACGAATGAATTCACAATCTACAAAATTGATTAGGATACAAGCGTATTGTGTAGAGTATCAAACTAATCAAGAAATAGGAAATCACAGGAACAAAGTAATGAAGACATATGATCCAGTTTTGAAAATTCCGTCAGTGCGTGATGATGTTGGTTATGTTAATTGACAAGTCGGTAAATATGAAGTGTGTTAATATGAAATTAAAATATCTTCTTGGTCTCTTGTTGGGTATCAATTGTTAAAGCACAAGGCAAATAAGGATTTAACCATTCTGAGGAATTAAGATCTGTCCACAATCATTACCAGAAATGGTCAGATTATTCAGTAAAATTTTCCAAAGTCATTTTAATTGTACTTAATGTAGGAAGGTTGAACAATTCAATATCACAAAGTAGTAAAGTTAGAGTGGGAAGAACTGTCAGTACATTTCAATGTTACTTTTGCGGAAATCAAATCCCAGCTCAATATATGTTTAGTTTTAATGCAAAGCTGTTTTTTAACATTTCACAGGAAAACATTACCATACATACAGCAGTCATGAAATGTAAGGCTATAAGCTTGTTCATAGTTATTTCAAATGCATACATGGAAGGATAAATGTAATCAATCTCAATCAAATCGATTATGGATCAAGACTACCACAAGTAATCACAATAACCAACAGGATATAAATAATGACAAGAGGTTGACACATGGAAAAAGAGAAACAAATGAAGATACAAGGGAATGGTTCAATGAATATAATTTTTGAAGATATGACCATCATACAATTGTTTTTCATCAAATCATATGATAATCTGCAATATGCTGAATGCAATGGCTTTTTCATGAAGAAAACATAAGTCATTAGGATAGATACAAGACAAAAAACAAGAGATATGGAGATACCTCATGAATGCTAATGATGCAGAGGAAGAAAGGATGGGGGATCGCTTAAGAAGGATGCTTAAGATTCATTTTAAAAAGATAAAAATGGACTATTTCAGTTTTTGAATAATTCACAGAATTCCAGCCATACTTCTAGTACAGCTATTCTATGAAACATTCATGATAAAATAGCCGATTTAAATCTATGTCAATCAAGTAATATATTTTGTTTTATTTTAATTCTCATAAATATACCTTTCAATAAAAATATGATAGAAGTAAATATATCAAAACATACGAAAGTAAATATATCAAAACATATGGATCTACAATAAACTAACAAGAACAAAGAATGAATATTTTCTAATCTAAATTTATGATAGCCTATGAAAAATGAAATCCAGTTGGATTTTGAAACACTGGAGTTCCATGCCCACCTTAGTCCTCGAACAGGTTCTTTATGTGCTTCGTACATCTTAACATTGTTCATATTTGACTGCCAATATTTCACAAAACCACCATGGTCACCAGTCAATAACCATAGGTCGTTATTACTCCATACCATGGAGCGTACAGCTCGATCATGAGCCTAAGTGACATTGAAGATTCAAATTAGAGATGAAGAAGACTTGATTTTATATTTAAACTTAATTAGTCCTTTTCATGGTGATAGGCAATTATTGGGGTACATGTACCTTAAAAAAAGCTTGAATCATATATTATACCTGTAAAATTGTCTCAAAGTTAAATGTTAGTCCATTCCATAACGTGAATTCTCCACTAGATGCGCCTGTGACTAAGCGACGCCCTTCTGGGGTCCACTAAAAGAATGATGATAAGGAAATTATATATCAATAGTAATTTAATGACACATGGTAGACTCTAGTGAAAATATACACAATACTCACCACAACGCAAAATATGGGGCAACGTAGTTTATTTGTAGAGGTCCGTACAAACTTGGTTGTGACAGCATTCATTGGATTCTTGATGTAACCACAGGGTGGTACAATCTATAAAACAATGATGGTACAATCATAGAATGTCAGGTGTTAGGGCTAAGGATGTATTAGTGAATCATTTGTAATGGATAGAACTGCATGATTCTTTGAAAATATATTATCTCTCTTATCCTGGAAATATAAAACAGGATTTATGGGGAATAAGGCAGTTCTATCAATGTGACAATGTTCACTTATAATAATATATTCTTACATCAACATTGTATATTTCTTGAGGTTGCAAAGTATGCTGATTTCGTGAGCTCTTGAACCATTTTCTACTCTGAAAATGAAATTCAAAAACACAGCTTTAATAAATGGCAAATGCACAGAGCAAAATAGAAATGGAAGGCTTCCACAACAGCTAGCTTTCACACCTCTAAGAATCGGATGACTGATGAATTATAATCAACCGTTCTTCTTTGCATAGTTTTTCTCATCCTTTTCCCATCATAGGTTAGACCTTGTCCAGGTATCCCAGCGGCGACACCTTGTGCCAATTGTGCTGCTGCTGCTGGGGGAATTTGACCAGATTGTACTGTACCAACAACGCCAGCGTTTTGGAGCAGAACTGCCTGTTTTTGGGCATGCTCTGGTGCTTGAAAGTGTGTAGCAGTATTAGGTGGTGCCTGAACGGTAGTCGGAGAAGTGCTCTCGGTTGTGGGGACCGTTGCAGCATCGTTTGCAATATTTGTAATCGTCGATGACGCTTCAAGACCTGGCAGATTTGCCGCGGTTTTTGCGACGAATTTGTACTGCGAGGTCGGATCAACGTACATCATTTTTTCAGAAAAATACTTCGCTTTCTTCTAAGTTCTTCTTCTGTTACATAGCTGAAGAAAAAAGCCACAAAAAACGCGAAATAAGACTGTTCATTTCGTGAAAACTTTTTCCTGCAAATGCCGCCATTTTCGCCAACATCGTGGTCGCTGCAGTCACGTGTTTTGGCAATTGCGCATGCCTCAATTGACGCTCATTCGTGCTTCCAATTTCTCTCTGATAATTTCTCAACTTCGTATTTCTTTATTAAAGCTTTTGAGAAATGTTTAAAAAAATTAATATATAATATTAGGTTTTTTGCTTTGAGATTACTTTCAAATTTACTTCGGAATTGAGAAATTTTTCCTAGTTTTCTAATTTTTAAGAGTTATGTTATAAACTGCAATCTATAGTAATATAGTTACAAACAGAATGCTAACTTCCAAAAATTTTCATCCAACTTCCAGCCGATGTGAAACTGTAAAAGATGTAAAACTATTTTTATAAAATTTTATATTTATTAAACGAATATGGGTATTAAAAATACTTTAACGTTAGTTAATACAAAATGAATATTTTGAAATTATTACTGTTCATTCTGGTTGGCTTGCCTGTTTTGAAAGCAGTTATTTTCAAGGCTGTTCTGGTATTATCTTCAATGTTGTTGTTATGGACAATTTGTATGAACTTTGGTCTTTCGTGGACTTTGGGATTGTGCATTTGCTTTTATGGGTATATTTCAGTGGCATTACTAAGCGTGGTGCTTTACGTTTTCGACAGGGACAAAAAAAGTAGATTTTCTAATTTTGGGAGTTGGTTATGGACGTTATCAACAACATATATTCGCATATTTTGCTGACAATGGATTATGCAACGCCTGATTTTTCGTGTGATGAACAGATTTGCCTGGTTCTAGACGCTAAAATGAATGACAAATGAATGAAATTGCTATAGAAGTCACTATCGTACTTGATAACCAGTGATTCATCCTACAATATTTTGGTCTGAACTAAAATTAACAATTTTTTTATAGACAATGTAAATAGGGTTATAATTATAGGGTGATAACTATTCACTGAATTGTAATTATTTGCAGATAAAGAACTAAAAGAAAATAAATACAAAATTTGGATTAGTTGTAATGGCAAATTGTCTGATAGAGTGCAACTGAACAGAACCAATTCCATATTGTTTTTTACATCTGTTGAGAGATATTGCTTTTGCAATAATTTTTGGGCCAGATGTTTAATCGCAGCCTTGATAATCCTTTTCTGACCGTAATTCCTGTCAATCACTTGAAAGCAGCTCTCAAACCATCCTTTTGTTTTTCTCTTGCAAAATCTGCAAATGCCTGTAGGAATTCAGGGATGATGAGAATAGTCTTTATTGCATTTAACTTTAGATTCACAAAAATGCATCAGTACCTTGAATGTCCTTGGTTCATGGATAGCTAGCTCAGACAGCATCTTCCTGTTCAATTGGATGTTGTTCTGCATTATAAGGAAACATTCTAGAATCAGCTAAGATTCCTTCACATACCAACAAGCAATAATAAATAATTTTCACTTTGAACACCATATATATTTTTACCTTGGTCAATTGATTCATGAAGACACTGTAAGGAACATGGTGTTCCCTTGCCGCAATATTAATACGAGTGATCCACAGCTGAAAATAAGTGAGGGAAAATATACAATGGGGGAACAGTACAAAATTATTATAATGTATAAATAGCAGATTCAAAACATACAGATCGCATGTCCCGTTTGGTATTCTTTCTAGCAACATACTGTCTTTGTAAGCTCTTTTGTACCATCCGCACAGCCAAGCTATATACATTTTTTGAACGACCCTTCGCACCAAATGACTATATTAAAAAATGGTACATATACGTGATAGGGAAATACATCAAACACTAGTTTAACACTAGTTTATTTTTAGAAGTAGCTGATGCTGGTTCACTCCATAAATGTTCCCAAAAGACACCATGGTACCCAATCAACATCCCATTGAACCCCCTAGGATGTATTTCCATGAAACAGCATTTTTTAAATTTTTTTTCAACATCATATTATTTTTGATATACGATATTATTTTTTAAATATTGTACCTTAGCGAGGGCAAATACTTTTGCTCTTTTAACAGCTCTATTCGCTGGACCACCTCGAACCATTATCAATCTCTGCTATACTGCCGTTTTCTCAGTAAAATTGACTCTAGAACTCAGGCTTCTCACCCGTGTATTGAATTCCATGACCGAACACAAACACATGGCCAACCACACATGACTATTTTTCGAAAGAAAATGAAAGCCATATATTTAATTTCCCTATACAAAAGACGTGTAGTATTATGCTGAAACAACACGCGTTAAAACAATGCTAAAAGAATTGGCTAGTACAACGTATTTCACAATGAAAATTGTCTATTTAAGATAAAATCCAGTTCACCGAAAGTTATAAGAGTCCGTTTCTTCCAGATTTTAGTTTCACCCTTCCCAAGATTCCTCAGGCGACGTATTTAAAGCGGCCGCGTTGCAATATGGGCCAGAAAATCTGCAACACATGTTTCGAAACGATTAACCACTAATTTCTGCTTCGTATTTGCTTTTTAAAAGACTTTTTCGCATAAAAGTTATTTTCTTACCTACAGATTAACAATGTGATGTGCGGGACTGTGTTTTGCCCCCGGAATTGCCGTATTAAATGGATTATTTAGGCAAGTAGAACGATTTTGAGGAGTGAGTGTCGTGAGCCGTGACGGGGGCTAATGTTTATTTTGCGCGGGGATTAGTGCCGAGTTGTGACGATATGAGCGCGGGAAACGTCGAAAAACCAAAGTCCCGCTTTTATGTTTCAAATTCATTGACACCACAAGATGCATTGGAAGAAAATTTGGAGAAATGCAGAAAAATTGTCAATGATCTTACAAAAGATTTGTCCGAAAAGCAAGCCCATGATGCCTTGAGTGCTGCAGTATCAAAGGGTTCAAATGAGGAAGTGTGCCTGGGGTTACTTCATATTATACTCACTGAATCAAACAGTGCTCACAATGCATTTAGGGACCTCAATCTGGTGAGCCGAGATTCCATGGTTTTGATTGTCAATAAATTGCTACAATTGATCTCGGAGAGGTACATTCGGTTGACAGATATGGTAAAAACCCAGATTATTTGGTTGACATCACAATTTGTTGTGTCAAACATTGGTGGGGCTGATGCCATTTGTCATGCTCTGCTAAAGCAAGTGGCTGGTGGGGACTTACATGCCACCAACATTTGGCTTGCAGAATCACTTCTGACCTTGTTTACACAGCACCGAAACTGGCTACAGAAATTCCCCCAATTACTTGCTGTTGTACTGTACAGCTTCTTGCGATTGATTGTTGACCATACTGCAGGTTCATACAAAGCCTTACGACAAAAGGAGGTCACCTTCTGTGTCTCCATCCTACGTGAACGATTCAATGATTGCATGCCAATTGGTCGGGACTTGGTAAGGCTGCTGCAGAATGTTTCAAAGATCCCTGAAATGAAGATTCTCTGGAAAGATATGCTACATAATCCAAAGTCATTAAGTTCCCAGTTTACTGGTATCGGTCAACTTTTAAATGTGCGTACCCCTCGCAAGTACCTGGCATGTCGGCTGACACCTGATATGGAAAACAAGATAGGTTTTTTGACTTCAAAAGTAAAGTTCGGACAGCAAAAAAGATATCTTGAATGGTTTCAGAGGCAGTATTTTAGTTCACCAGAGAGTCAAAGTCTCCGTATAGATCTCATCCGGTACATATGTGGCGTTGTTCATCCTTCCAATGAAATACTTAGCTCAGATATAACTCAACGATGGACACTTATCGGTTGGCTTTTATCAACATGTACAAATAGTGTGAACGGTGCAAATGCAAAGTTGGCACTGTTCTATGATTGGTTGTTTTACCAAGTAGACACAGATAATATCATGAACATTGAGCCTGGAATATTGGTAATGCATCATTCATTGAGAAGCCACTCCCAGCTTACTGCTACTCTACTTGACTTTCTTTGTAGATCAGCACTTGAGTACTTTCAGCAGGGTCAACCATCAAAGGAATGTGTTGGAAATGCTTTTAAGACTATTTTGTCCAAAAAAGTTGTGAGCACTATCATGCCAATTATTGATAACCAGCGCATGGGATTAGAACTAAAAAATCTAGTTCGTAGCACTTTTCCTGAGTTTTTCCAAGTGAATGGTACTTCCTCTAGGAAGCTACCAGACTCTTTATCTGCTGGGAAAATGGACACTAGTGAAAGTGGTCCTGTTGTGAACTTGGATAGTCAATCAGATTCTGATGCAACTGAGGGTACAAGTGATGCAAAGTTTTCTGACACTGAGGATGAAGCTGATGTTCAGATAAATGGCGAGAAAGGAAGTGTTAAACTTCGAGATGGAAGATTCAGATCTGCTGTTTTGGAGAAGGGAGCTGATGACAAAGATGAAGAAGATGAGGTCGAGAGTGATGCAGTTGACTTTGATGAGCTTGAGAAGTTGGATGAAGACCTTCGAGATATGGTCCTGAAGTTACACCAAGAGAGCAATGTTGGTGTTAGGTGTGACACCATGGAGAGCATTGTGGCTATGGTACTCAACCTGAATGATTTTGATGATGAAATGAACAGTGCATTAGCAACCTGTCTAAACAACAGCATGGTTGAGGATTACTATCAATTTTGCCTCCCAGAAACAGTAACTGATCGAGAACTTCAAGATTCTTTGGAGGGTCCACTGTATACGTTGTTTGCGAAGCTGATTCATACTTATGGCATTGGGAAGAAAGAAACTATTGTTAAGCTGTTGCAAGAGATGAAATCTCTAGAACCAAAACTTGGTTATCACTTACTGTACTATCTAATGGCCAGCGAGCAAGATGAAGAAAATCTTTCTGTTTATGAAGAGTTCATTCGAACAATGAAAGATTTCAAGAGCATTTCTGCAAGCCTTTTGGAAGATATGAAACTATGCCAAGCTTATGACCCACGATTGTTTGTGTTCCTAGCGCCTCCATTGTATCGAAAGTTCTCCAAAGATCTCATTGGAAATATAGAAATGCTTCATCTCATGGTCGCTATTGTTGATCCTTTACAGCTGAGAGAGTTGCTTCACGAAGTAGTCTTGCGTGATCTGGTGATATTCGGCGAAGATAATGTGTTCGAAGTATTGAAGGAGTCGTTGTCTTGGGAATCCTTTGAGCAATATAACGTATGGCAGTTGCTTTGTGCAGAGGACCCGCCCGTGGAATGCTTTCTAAAACTGTTACCATTATTAAAGCCAAGTATTCACTCTGAAGCTATTTCAAACATACTGCTTCTGCTAAAAGGGGCAGATCTTACCCCAGAGATTGTAGCCTCGCTGCTCTGTATGGAATGCCCGGCTTCCATCAAAGAAAAGCCAAAACAACTCAGCACATGTTTGCTGCGCTACTGGAGTTTTGATGAAAGTAAAGAGCTGGCAAAGATCGTTTGTAACCACATCGAGAAGAATCTGTCATCTTCGGGTAACCGTAGACGACAGCTGAAAGGTGGAAACCAAAACCAACCAACCATGGAACAAATACTGGTTCAACTAGAATGCTTTTATGAGCTTTGTCAACAGCAGCAGAACTTGGACTTCTTCAAACAAGAGGTAGTTAAGCGCGCACTCGAGAAAGTGAAACAGCATTGTTCGAATTCCATTCAGCAGAAATTCCAGCTGCTGTTCTCCGTTTGTGAAGGACAGGAAACGAGAAGAAGAAACAACAGAATGTCGAAAATTGTTGCAACACAAATTGCCGAGGCGGACTCGAGCTCGGAGAGTGATGAAGAGGAACCACGAAAGAGACCTGCAAAACGAAAGCGGAAACAAAGCCCGGACTTTGATTCCGACGACAGCGATGAATGAGGATGTAGTTTTAGGAAATTCACAGTTTATAGTTTCACACGGTTCACGTTTTGCACGTAGTTGATCTTTCGAACTTTACATATCGTGCACATTGTAATTGGATGTGTGGCACCATAACAATCAGTTGTACCGAGGTTTCAATGCAGTACGAGTTAGTTTATTTTTCTAATCTCATCTACTTGTGCATGGGACGAAATAGGAATTGAAAACAGCTCAATCTTACCAAGGTCTAAACTTACTATGAGAAATTGTTCAACAAAACGGAAGAACAGTAAACAGTTCTTACATATTATTCAAATTTCACGACCATTATACCTTAGAGTCTAGTTCCCATTCATTTGCAAACAAGTCGTGTTTACTATAACTCCAAAAATTAATCTGATCTTTCTTTTTTTCGTGCACATTACTCCATAATCAGTCTTTATATGTACGCTTGACACGTTTACGCGAAAGTTTGACTTGTTTGCGATGAATTGGAACAAGACGTTGTACGATCAGTATTTTGTTTAGTTTGTATTGAAAGTGTTTCACATTGACATTGTATTTAAACAACGAATGTGTTTTTGCTTGCATGCATTTATGATTATTGATTTTCACGAAAAATAGTATACATACCACGTAGTCTTGAAAATTATGCGAAGGGTGTTTTCTTGAACTGAAAGAAAAATAATTGGTTGGTTTTGGTGTGAAAAAAGATTGTCGCGAGGCAAAGGGAATGGGTAGAATACAAACGCGAAAGGTCTGCTGGGAATTGGTTAATTAAAAATCAGACAAATTGAAGCCAATTAAATCTAGAGAGATTCTAAAACCACAAACCTTGCAATAATTAGGAATGGAAGTGTTGTCTATTTTTTCTCTGTTTTCAACAATCTATTCGCTTCGGCACAAACTCCCCGAGAATTTCCGAAACTTTGGCCAGGTAAATAGCGGAATTAGACTTCGTGGTTTCAAATGAAGCACTTGGCAACTTCCTGTTTGGCTGTTTTAAATACAACTGACGTGGCGTTTCGTTACATTAACAAGTACAAGCAACATACATAATCCTTATTTTAAAGTTTTGCAATCGGTCAGAAAAGCCATATGTTTTTACAGTACGTGAAACGTTTCAATGAAGATATTTAGAAACTACTATAATCATCCAGATCGCGGGGAATTTACAATATGCGGTTGAGTCGTGTTGACATGCGGTTTCGCCTATGGCTATGCATAATCTTGTACCAGGATTAGTAAGCTAACTTTCCAAGGCTAAAATCCTGTCAGTAAATGCACAGTTTTGTTGATAAAGGTTGCTAACTCGGTAGCATTGCTTACCCCATAAAAGGGGTCAGAAGCAGCCATGCAGGAGTTGTAATACGATCTCTTCATCAGCGGATTTGTCTTATAGTTTACAGTCGCATTATCCGAATGATTCCGGAAACCTTCGATTGTGCCTTAATAAATTTGCTATGGCTATGCGCTTTGCGTCGAAGATCAGGGTTCAAAACGTCTACAGGTATGTTTGCAATCCACCCTACGCTTCCTTGACTCGCTCCATTTCTGTGGATTCGCGCTACTTTCGAAAAGGCAATGCTGAAGACGTTCAACTTCAACGACCAGTGCAACTTGCTGGACGAAAATATCTCCCTGGCTCTTTCGTTCCTGGCTTTCCTAAACAACTTTCTAGTCCCAGGGAGGACTTTCCCCTTGTACTAAAAGCGAAAAACGAGGAAAGAAAAAGCATCGAATTTTGGTCAGAGTGTTTCAAGGAACAAATTTCGCAGTTGTTCAAAGATTTTCAAAATGAACGGAGCGAGCCAGTCGCTGTGCTGGTTCGCGGACTTCCGATTAAAACGACCGAGAATTTCTCTCGTTTCGTTCAGGGCTTGAATTTCGAGTTCTTTCTGTACCAAGGAGGTGGGGGAATTCGCGATAAAGTCGATGACTTTGTTCTAACGGGAGCAGGAGAGCCAAAAGAATATTCAGTCGAGCTACACAATGACATGTCTTATAGCATAGACTACCCTAGTAAGTTCATTATTACGTGCCTAAAGAAATCTCCATTCGGAGGTGAAACGGCTATATGCAATGGCCGAGCACTGACTGCGAACATAGATGCTGATCTGAAGGAGAAATTTGAAAGGAAAGGCATTCGGTAGGTTGTTCCTCCGGTAGTGTGAACTGTGAAGTGTTCATATCTGTGTAAAAATGAATGATAATGGGGCATATGTTTTAGTATAATGATGTATACAAGATTGCGCAATTCAGTGAAGTCAATTTCCGGCGATTTTCCGCTGTCAGAGTTTTAAGGATGATGTCAAACTTTTGACAGGCCTTATCACAACAATATATGTTTATAACTTTATATTTTAGATATTTACGATACATCCTGGACAAAAGTGAAGGAACATTCAATTCTTGGCAACGAAGCTTAATGACGGAAGTTAGAAAGGAAGCGGAAGAGTTCCTGACGGCGGGTGGTTATTCCTTCAAATGGGATGATAAAAACTTGATTTATTGGAACGACTCGGCGCCCACAATAACCCATCCACTGAACGGAGAAAAACTATGGTTCAATCAAGCATTTATGTCTCATTCTACGTACTTCAAAGCTATGCCCATGTACGAGGAAAGTGATTTAGAGGATGAAAAATATCCATCTCATACAGTGCACGCTGATGGCGATCCTATCGATTTAAATGATTTGCATAAATTGAGATGCACTTCGTGGAACACGGCTGTGGGGATCTCGCTTCAGGAGAGCGATGTTTTGTTTCTTGACAATCTCGCGGTGCTTCACTCAAGGTTAAGTTACGATGGTGATCGAGTTGTAAGGACAAGTATTTTGAAGTAAAAAATATGCATAAATCAGGGGGGTTAAATAAATGAAGATTAACAGTACCGCATGATTATACAGACATTGACAATAGCCACGCAGACATGGTTATAAGATGGTTTTCACTAAAAGAGCGAGTCATTCCATTCCGAAGAATGAGAATCAATCCAGGCTATAGCCTCATAAGTATATACTTTTATGATTCTATATTTAGTATGCCTGTGGTTTGTAAACGTCGGCCTTCTGCCAAGTGAAGTCATGTTACAAAGAAATTAAGAAAGCCGTTTTAGTGATAGTTTGACCTCCCAAACACTTAAAATGAGGAAACGCAGTCAGTCATTAACAAGATGCGGCTAACTTGCACGTTTCTTTACCAGCTCTTCTCCCCTGTCAAGAAGCAATGGTACTAAAACCAGTCCTTATCTAGAAGCGTACACGGTTGAGGGTGGGTATTCATCCCCTTCTATCCCCGACTGATTTTATTTTGAACGCGATTGTTCCTACGGTATGTAGACATGGATATATGAATACACTCCCCCCCCCCCCCAATTAAGCGATCTAGCCATGGGCCTGGCTAAAACATCGACCTGTGCTCAACCTTTCCAGACTGAGATAAATCTGAGTTGTGGTCAAAAGCGAACTCGATTAGTGTTGAAAGCATGATAATTTTGTGTCAAATTGCACAATCGTCTTTCTATTTTGCTCCGCCTTTTCCCGTCAGCCTACGCCGCAGGAAACATGATTACTGGAATACGATTGATGGAGTTTCTAAAAAACTTTGATGTCCAAGTATTGAACAGTATTTGTCCGATGAAATTTGCAGACTTTACCAAACTCCAGCATTCAAAATAAGATGCTTTGAGGTATTGTTTTTTAGCATTTGTTATTTTCATAATACAAAAACCTTGTTGTCTCTGTTGTCTTTGATTGACGGAAGGTTCTTAGAGCTGTCTCACACATTAGTTCTGCTCTTGTGAACATTGAGAATCTATATAAGTGTACTACAATTGGGGGAAAATTTTGTCGTATGCTCAAACTAAAAATGGCGACGAAGGAAACAGAGTCCTACTCTCCTCTGATCATTCAGGAAGAAGAATCGTCCAAGTCCAGATCTTCACCTTCATGTTCTGCTGTATTTTCTAAGTTTATCCGCCCCTGCATGGCAGAATTCATTGGCACTATGACTTTTGTGTTCATCGATGTGTGCAGTGTAGACGGACATTACGCAGGTTTTACCCACGGATTTATTCTGTTTGTCAATGTTGCTGCGACCGCTACGGTCAGGTAAGAGACGACGAATGATGAGATGATATCAATGACTGCGGAATGAATGTGACTTAAGGGAAGGTTCATATTCAGTCCTTCATCGAATGCCACAGCAGAATGCTTTGCATGAATTGGTTCACGGGCAAATTCGCTCTGAACCAGAAGCTGCACTTACTTTTAGCTCATTTCACAGAAGTCCTGGCGTAATTAGGATTGCTGTATAGGGGGCAAAAGCAATGCATTGGTCCCGGTTATACAGGCCATTACTACTTCAGACAATCTTGTACACAATATTTTTCAATGTATCAGTGCTTGAATATGGCACAATCTCAAGATATCAAGAGCTGCAACTATGCTTTACTTTTTGCTTCGGCGTATGAGAACAAAAACCTTGAGACATTGAAGACACAACTTTCTCTCGTAATGAGGTGATCATATTGAGCGTATTCACCGTAAGCAAGGATGTTGTTTCTCGCAGAGACGTTTCAATCCAGATGTTTCTTCCGCCCTAAGATTTTGTAGGACAGAGCCTTGACCACATGTCAAACTCAAGGTTTACATTTTCAATTGTGTTGAAACTATATTAAGTTACTGCCCCCCTAAAAGACCATGACTGAATATTATAACTAAATATAAGCTAATTAAAGCTATATCATGTTACGAAAGAATTCTCTCCTGCGTCTTCATAACATAAACGAGTTCAGACAAATCACAAATGGTCGATCTCGGCTCTCATAGTCTCAACAGAATGGCCGATGATAATAATTTTCAAATCGAGGAGCTTCCATCTCTAACGCGGTCATATTCCAGGATATTCCACAAATTCGTCAGACCATGTATTGCTGAATTGATCGCGACCATGTTTTTTGTATTCATGGATGTTTGCAGCATATCAATATATGCTGCATTCACACACGGTTTCATTCTGTTTGTCTTGGTTGCAGCGACTGCTTCTGTTAGGTATGAATACATTCAAGTAAAGGTTTCCTTTATAGTACTTTATCCCCCGCCTTTGTCAACTTGCTATGATAGAAGAAATAGATGATTATGGATTTACATGCACTATTTGTTAATTGTAGAAACCATATTATTGAAATTATGGCTGCATGATGGCAGATGGCTGCAACTAACTGATGAATTTATTGAAACCATGTTTTATTACTTTTATAAATCTTATCATTTTCAAAAGCCAAGTGATCTCACTATTTTTATACATATGCGAATATGGTTATTGCGTGGTTTAATACATTTGTACATGATTACTATAATAGCATCGATTTCAATTCAAATAGTATCAATGCCTTCGATGTATACGATGTTTATATTATATAAATGCATACACTTTCTGATGAAGTGTTCAATCGGAAAGATCCTTGGTTATTTAAAGGTTTCCGTGTTTGGATGCCCTGATCTGAATATATGCACGTGGATGTTGCCAGAGTAAAGAAAAGCGCACGACACATGCATGCTATTTACTCCGGCGTCAGCGACGGAGTTGAAAATTCGCCTCGGTTTTGTTTTGTTTTGTTGTTGTTTTTTTTTTTTTTTTTTTGTTGTTTTTTTTTTTTATTTTTCGTCGTCGCAAGTCTGAAATGGCGCGAAACATTCTAGTATTTGAAACGTGTATGTGACCGTATTTATCTATGTCCTAGTCTTATCTCCCCAGAGTTGTGGTGTACAGCTTTGGCTAATTTTCCGATGCGCGATTCGATTTCGCTCGCATGATACGGCAATTCCTCCAAGAGGAACGAATAAACCGTTGTTTTCATGCTGTTCGATTAAGTTTAGATTGAACTGGGGTCAGAATATACTAATACATGTTGATTCTGGTCCTATTTTAATTATATCACTGCTATTTCGCCGTTTAACAAGATGATGTGGTCGTGTATGGGCGCGTTGAAACGTCGTAGTTTGCACAGGATTGAAGATTTAATATAACTATATAAGCGCGAATTCCAAAGGCAAAGTGTAAGACAAAGCGAATGTATCATGCGGTTTATTTACATTTTTGAACAATTGAACTTCTACACTTTTTAAAGTACGATGTGCTTCTGAATTTCGCGATCGAACATTTATAGGTTCGCAAGGTATCTAAATGCGAATATGAATTGTATTGTTTATGTTCAGAAGCTCTATATTAAAGACTGGCACGTGCGCCGGAGTTAACGCCAGAACAGGCGTCTTGTTTATAATCAAATGTCACTTATTTAGATTTTAGTTATTATTCAAATGCGCCCTGTCCCTGATCGCGACTGACAGTCGATCAAGCCGTATATTTTTTACACAAATCACAAGGATTGCATTGAACTAGATTCTTGCACCGTCTTTTATATTCCAGAGTGACTACATCGAACCAGTGACGTAGCTAGAGGGGGGGCCCGAGGGCCAGGCCCCCCCTGGCAGAATTCCTGGCCCCCTTTCAAAATATTATGTGAAAAAATATTTTTATTTATTATGCTTTGCTTTGAAGTTGCAATACATGTGTATTTCAGATTTTCAGCATTTTCCTGCCTTCCTAATAATTCAGTATATAATTCAATTACAATAATTCACAATAGTAATACAGTAAGTCAAGTTAAAGACTCAATCGAGCCCACTAACAACATTGATCAGACTGATTCCGACATCGTTCTTTTGATTTGCCAAGCCTAATAAAAATATCACGGTAAAGTCTTTTACAATTAAATTTTTCTTTGACTTTGCTCATCATTCACCAACCTCGTACCCAGGTTGGAGGTAAAATGCTCTGGGTACGAGGTTGTTTGCACTATACTGAGTATACTCGGATAATTGCGAGGGCGACATTGACCTATGCTATACAGATTTGAATTTTTTATGTCTCTATGTACTATTTAGCTGCTCGTATTGGCCGCTACCCTAAAATGTAGCTACCCTTGCATTGGCGGTTAGCCTTAACGACAACGAAGGGCGGATTCGATAGTGCATTAAAAAGGCATGTACAGCCTGTTATATTTTACCTTCTTGAGTTGCCCCCCCTCAAATATTTTCGGCCCCCCATGACATGAAATCCTGGCTACGCCACTGCATCGAACAAAAGAAAAACACTACTTCAGTTATATTTCATTTTACAAAAATTAGCTTCTTGATTCATTGACCAACCATTAAATCACCAGCTGTATCTATACGCATTATTTGGGCCAAAATTTGACTTTTCCCAATTCTGATTCCAGCTGTTTAAATTTATATACATTTAAAACTGTGTGAAAGTTTTTGGACACCCTTGCAGGCAGGTAAATGACGAGATATGATTGTGTTCGTCACGAGGAAATATCTTAAAATTCATTGATAAACCTTGATAAAAGAATAAGAAAGATAAGCTTTGATATCAGTTCAAGTCTTTCACAAGAACAGAGACAAAATTGATTGATATAATAGTCAAAATCGAAGTAATTCGAAGTTTCCTTAATCCAAACAAGAAATTTTCAATGAAAACACTGGGTCTACACTGACTTGGGTTTCACTCACAAGGCAAAATGTACAAAAGTGGAAAAAAATATACACCGTTGAATGAAGATCAGGAAGAGCTGAAGCTGAGCTGTTTTCCCTCGGATTCTAACCAAAATGCCCCAGGATATTACTTTAAGTATTTCATTCAGCCTTTAATGGCTGAGCTTATCGGTGTCATGTTTTTCGTATTTGTTGGCGTTACTTGTTTATCTCCCATTGCAACGGAAGCAGGGCAAATAGTTGCTGCTCTAGCCCATGGATTCATTCTGTTTGTTATGGTCGCAATCACTGCCACAGCGAGGTATACTCTGAAACAATATCTTCGTTACTTCCTTAAGTTTTTCGAATCGAGAGTTTCCAATCGTATCAAGGATTTCATAATCGTTTCAAGTAAAGTAAGCGAGTAAATGGTGAAAAGCTGAGGTAGAAAGCAAACTTCACTGACGATAATGTGGAGGTTCTTCGTTTATCAGAAGGCATGGACTGGCCTTCGTCTCATTAAACACCAGGACCAGCTGATTGCACAAAAAGGCAGTGAAGTTCAAAAACTCGATAACCTCGTTGCTAACAACGTCGTAACCGCGGACTGAGTTGTTAGGAGTTTCATACGACCAACACTAGATGATAATAGACATATTCACTCTTCTTTCAAGCTTTATCGTCAAGCTTTTTTCTATTTTTTTTCCGTCTTAGTGGTGGACATCTCAATCCCGCGGTTACCCTTGGATTAACAATCGTGCGCGGACTGCCGCTAATTTTGGCTCCTTTCTATGTCTTGGCTCAGTTATTGGGAGGAATCATTGGCGCTGCTCTAGCAAGGGTATTTATCCAAAAACGTTATTGCCTTTCGATGAATTCGCGCAACAGCACTTCCAATGCAAATTGCAGTCGTCATTTGGCTGGTTCCTTTTTATTTTGCAGGCAGCGATGAGCTCATCAGATTATCATAATGTAACAGGGGGTATACACCAACTTGGTGAAAATATCGACCCAGGACAAGGAATACTGGCCGAGGCAGTTGCGACCTCCATCTTGGTTCTTGCTGTACTCATGGTCGCATTTGATGAAAACAACAAAAGTGTCCTTGCCCCCTTGGCTATTGGTTTGTCGGTTGCTGGGGGAATATTTGCAATGTAAGTGAGATGATGTTTATTATGCAAGGTGCCAAACTCGCACGAGTTCGCCTTTGAAGTCACAATGCCCATTACTTTTTGGACTATTTCCTGTGTTATCTTTCCTTTTTAGTGGAAATATTTCAGGAGCGTCAATGAATCCTGCACGAAGTTTCGGTCCGGCTCTCGTTCGAAATTCTTGGAAAAATCATTATGTGTACTGGGTTGGCCCGATTATTGGAAGTTTGTTTTCGACCTTAATGTACGGTTTGTTTTTGGCGTCACCAAACAAATTGTGGCTTCCTATCCATGAGCCAGTCAACTAAAAACGATTATGAAATCCTGTAATGTCTAAGATATCGTTCATTTAATGTAGTAGCATGATAGTTGTCGCACAATAAAATAAATTTGACATGATTTAGCAGTGTTATGGTTTGTCTTAGGAGTTCCACTACAAGCACCGGGATAACTTCTTCAATTTTTTCTAGTTTTTTCCCTGGCGTCAGTGTATCGTACCTGGCGCAATAGTGCCTCACCTGGCGTCTAGATGTCGCCTAGTGTCTGGCCTGACGTCTGTGTCGCCCTAGTGTCTGGCCTGGCGTCTAGATGTCGCCCTAGTGTCTGACCTGACTTCAGATCAGTGGGCCTGACGTCTGTGTCGCCCCAGTGTCTGAAGAGGCTTCGAAGCAACAAAAATATATACGTTCAAAGGCAAAGTAAAATACACATGCTAACATCGTATTACCTCTAGAAACTTATAGTGGGTCTTCACTTCCAGATATTTGCATGTAGTTCAAAATTACCAATGTCACAAAAAGCTTTTTTGATTTCGAAAAATCTTTTAACCCAACCTATATTTGAAGTGCTTGCTATTGCAGTAATGACTAATGAGTGACGCATTCGCATCACGAGTGATTAAAATGGGCGCTTTGTTCTTTTAAAGGAATCTCAAAGACAACAAGACACTATCTGAATTACAGACGGCTAACATTGCCATCTTTTCGCTGAATATCATTTAAAACTATCTTAAATAGACCTAGACTTTTATAATAGAGTATCAGAATTACATGTATGGTTGAGATGCACTACTCATATTCACATGTCTTTACTGAGCTTAGTCAGCTTGGTCAGTCAGATTTTACAAGTTCATATAAACTCTAGACAGTCTTCGTGGACGGTCCCGAACCATCCCAACTAGTAAAAACATTCATTACATGGCAAAATTCGAATTGTTTCATAATGGGAACTTGCTTACAATAATTCAGTACCTTCAACAACATATAAATGGTTAATTTTAGAACAATCAAAGAAATTCGCTAGAAATTGTTTTCTGAAATGCTGTTGATTTATTTGAGTTATTTCACGCCAAACTTAAGCTGTCTTCCCGACTTCTTGAAAAAAACGAATCGCTTGCCATATAATAAACGAAATATAAATATATAACAAAATCACTTCTACTCACAACCCTTCAAATCTAAAATATAGTACGTCGTATAGTGTTCTATTTGAAAATGAGAAAAATATTTCGTAGCAGTGCAATGGAGCTTTTAAATATCACCCCACAATGCTTTTTCAATTACACAATAATTTTATATTATCGTGCTTTGATGCGTGTGGGTTATGTGATTCAGGTACAGGATGGTACGAGTGACTTATTCATCATCACCAAAGGTTGTTTTCTTTCCCTGGTATTCTTGAATTGAACCTTTGTTCTTCGCTGCCCCGGGGGATTTGTTGAACCCACCGCGTCCTCCTCCTCTACCTCCGCGACCACCACGAAATCCTAACAATGAAATAGAAAATACAAATTTAGTCATTCAGCTTCTCATTGCGAAAGAGTATTAAAATATAGGCAGCGCCATACCTCCTCGACCTCCTCTGCCACCTCTCCCTCGTCCCCCACCGCTACCACCGGGGGAATCACGCGGGGTAGCAAAATCGAGAAACAATCTTCGACCGTCCACCTCCTTTCCATCCATTTTTGACATCGCATCCTTCGCGGAATCAGTCTCGCCATATTCAATATAGCCAAAACTAAAGTGAAAGGAATTGGATAGTTTTTCAATTCCAAAATATTCTTCACAGCTGAAGTTAGTCTATCCAGTGTTATTACTTGCACAAAAGGAAATTAAAGAGTAAAACTCCCTGAATGAAACATTTCTAGATACGAAACACATTCACACAGCAAAATATTCAACTTACCCACGAGACTCGCCGCTCTCTCTATCAGTCACAATCCTGACGTTGGAAGCACCCTCGAAATACTCATACAACGTATCCTCGGTTGTACCAAACGACAAATTCTTCACAAACAACGTGCTAGACGGGGGGTTTTGGTCCCTCTTTGGGGTACGTTGTCCCCCTCCTCGTCCACCACCTCTGCCTCTACCTCTGTCTCCTCCACCGCGACCTCCTCCGCCACTTGGTTTGTTTGCAACATTGATGTTCAATTCTCGACCAAAGAATTCAGTACCAGTGAGTTTCATGGCTTTTTTCATGTCATCTTGAGATGTGAAATCAACGTAGCCAAAACTAAAATATGGAGCATAATACGACTTTGTCAGCTGACATAAATGCGAGGGCTTCCACAGACGATAATAGAGTACAGAGTGCAAGCATAATGTATGTATTAGTTTACCCCAGAAAAATCGATTTAAACGGCGAACGAAAAATGTTTAACACAGGATGAAAGGCACAGTCTGTAGCTTACCCCTTTGACGTTCCATCGTTTCGTGTTAGTATCCTGGCTCCAGTTGGAGTAAGGCCATTTTCCTCAAAGACATTCTTCAAATCGTCTTCACTCGCATCAAAGGCGATGTTTCCAACAAATACCGTGTGTTTTTCTAAAAAAGATGGGAGGAAAGTTACTCTCAATAAAGGAACAACGCTTTTGTATCAAGAAAGAGCATAAACAAGTTCAAAATGGAACCTTCTGAGTCCTCGTCTGCTTTAGCCTTCTTGGCTGAAATGTTGTTGTTATCATCGTCTGTCTTTCGCTTGTTTGCTTTTTTCTTCTCTTTCTTTTTACTGTCTTCCTCTTCTGAAGACTCATCACTGTCACCCTTTTCTTCCTTATCAGAACTTGAATCATCGTCAGAATCATCATCGTCAGAGCTTTCCTGCTTAGCTTTTCCACCAGGTGTAGTTGTTTTTCCAGCTTTCACTGGCACTTTGCTATTTTCATCGTCGGAATCTGAGCTATCGTCGCTAGACGATTGTTTCTTCGCCTTTTCTAAAGAATTTAAAGAACAAGGAATTGTTACACAATAACCTAGTTATAATGGTTAAACAGTGCCTTTTGACAAGCATCCACGTATTCTCACACTTTAGCCAGCATATCCTGGCTAGTTTACTATGAATAAATTTGTAGGTAGGTTAAGATCTGAATTAGAATATGTTAAGTATTTTTGGTGAAGCTAACAGCCACTACACTTCTTACTATACTTATTACGAAACGTATTAGTAAAAATTATTTTACCTTGAACAGCAGGACTCTTGCTTTTTTTGTTCTTTGCTGTAGTGGCCTCCTCCTCATCAGATGAGTCATCACTGCTTTCGCTGGAAGATTCCTTCTTTTTTACCTCTTTTTTAGGTGCTGGTGCAGCAGCAGCCTTTGTTGGTTTTTTGGCAGCTGGTTCATCCTCATCAGAAGAGTCGCTACTGTCTTCACTTGAGGATTCTTTCTTCTTTTCTTGCACTGTTTTTGGCGTTTTCACTTGAGCAGTTTTTGGTGTGGTTTTTGCCACAGCTGGCAGTTTCACATCATCATCATCATCTGAGGAATCACTCTCACTAGATGACTCCTTCTTAGCCTTTTTCTTTTCCACTTTTGGTTGAGCAGACTTCTTTCCACTTGCTGGAGTTGTGACTGCTGCAGGCTTTTTTGCTTTCTCATCTTCTGAATCACTGCTACTTTCACTGGAAGAATCATCTTTTGCATCTTGCTTTGTTGCAACAACCTTAGGAGTTGTTTTTTTCTTTTCAGCAACTTTTGGTGTGGCTTTTTTTTCATTCTTTTGATTTTTTGCAGGTTCATCATCTGATGAGTCTGAACTACTATCGCTGGATTCCTTATTTACAGGCTTTTTCTCAACAGGCTTTGGTTTAGCTGGTGCTTCATCCTCTGAGTCAGTTTCACTTGAAGAAGAATCATCTTTCACTCCCATCAGCTTTGCTGGATTTGGTTTATCAGCAACCTTTGGTGGTGGTTTTTCATCCTCCGATGAATCGGAAGAATCCTTATCCACCTCCATTGGTGCTTCTTCTTTTTTCTTCTTGTTTTTCTTTTCTTTACCATTGACTGCAACTATTTCCTTGTAAAGTGCAAGTAAGGGAATGCAGACTTCTGATATGTCAACTTAAATACTGGTTAATCCCCCCCCCTAATTTCAAATATATCAACGGATCCTGCAAAAGTATACCTTTTCTACTGAGATAGTTTGAATGTCTGAGCACTCTTATGCTCAAACAGAAAAAATGTTAAATTGTAGCCCATATTGAATTCAAACTCTGGTTTAGATTTAAACGCAACAGCCTATTACCATTCTATACAACTATTCAAAGTCTTGGAAAAGCATTTTAAAACATACAGCTTTCTAGGGACATTAAAGGTAAATGACCTACTTCATGCTATGCCATTTCATTACTGTAGCAACATACCTTTGGCTGTTTTGACTTTTTCTTATCTTTTTTCTCTTTCTTCTTTTCCTTGACTACAGCATCATTCTCCACCTTCTTTTGCTTTTTAGCAACAACAACTGCATCATCCTCAATATTCTTTCTTTTCTTAAGCCCAACTTCACCTTCTAAACCACTTTTACTCTTCTAAATAAATTTAATTTTAGCAATTGAATAAAATACTTGACTGTAAAGACTGGGCCCCATCGACCATACCAGATCACCCTTTATATAGAATAAACCATGAGCAAAATATACCTGCCAGCAACCATCATTCAATTTTCAATATTGTTAAGATATAAAATATTACATAAATTGGATGGCACGAGGTCACTCAATGATAAACTTGGTGATTTAATACGATCTTCCTTAGCCACACAACCCAGGGTGCATTCGGTGTATATCACACGCCGAAGATACGCCAAAGCAATCTTAACATTACGCCAACTTCCCACCCTGGGCCATACTTACGACAATTACCCACTCCGACACCGCAGAAATTGGTGTTTAAGACGTTTCAACCCGAAAATCTAATCGCTGGTTCACAATTGTGCATTTCTGTATCGCCCTATCAAAGAGAAACCTTTTGAATATCTTAAAAAAGTTCAATTTTTCTTCTGAATACGCATTCTGCAATCTTTTGACAGCTCATCATACACATCTGACCGCTGTGAAATGGCCATTTTGAGGCTTAAAGTATACACAAGGTTATTAATTCAGACGATTCGTTTTTACCGTGAGCAAGCTTCAAATCTTTTGTGCAAGACATATTTTCTTGAATATTTATAAATCTTTTTCCTCACCAAGTTTGAAGTCTAAGTATCGAGAATTGCGGCTAAGCCTATACCAATTTCCGCGGTGTCACCCACTCCAGGACGTTACGCCGATCGCAGACTCGCCAGGACGTTCGACTCGTGAGTCAAAAAATGCTACACGTTTAGAGGACCATTTTTAAGAAGTTAAATGCCTTTGTTGAATAAAATTTAAAATACTTAAATGCATGCAGTTGAAGTCGGTGTGTATGTGGACCTTTGAATTACAAAGTTTGGTGTGTTTATCCGGTATTTATGCGCCGACAAGTTAAAAACAGTGTACGCCACTACGCCAAGGAAAGTTGATTTTACGCCAGTACGCCAAGGATACCCTAACTCTACGCCGAAGATATTCCGATTTGTCTACACCGAATGCACCCTGGCACACAACCATCCTTATAATTTATACTCTTGCTTATTAGCTATATAACAAAAAACTAAGGGGCGAAAGCATAACACATATTCCAACCAATTTATCAAACGCAGGAAAGCTGTTTACACAGCAAGGCATAAACAAATCTAAGCAAAGCATGGCAGCGATGGCCAACAGACTGATCATTGTCCCCGAATTTCGCAGAACAGAACATGCACTTTAACACTTTGAGTAGGAATCGAGTTAGAGCATTCATAGACCTACCTTTTTACTAGCTTTATCCTTTCCCATTTTGTTTAAAAACGTTAAAAAGAACAAATTTTCACTCTAGCACGTGTTTTACTGTTTCACAATTTTTGAACGCGTGAATAAAAAGAACGAATGAGCCTGCGTTGCCAGGTTTCATCTGGTCAGTGGACGAGTTCAAAACACAGCAACGCATGCGCAACCGACGCACACAACAAATTTTGGTAAGGAGTTTCCTGCGATGGCCAGGTATTTTTTAAATTATAGCAAAATAACAATTGTAAACTCGCTTATATTATTTTCTATTAAAAACCGTTAGAGTCTTTTATAAAGATATAAGTAAGCTAAACTTTTCGGAGGATTTTCTGAGACAGCTACTTTTCGATCGTTGAAGATTATCCATCTGAAATGATGAACAGAAAGTATTGGCATGGACAAAGCTATTGAGCCGAAAGCAAGAACATACAGATACCTCTCTCACCTTCCTTCCTTCAATATATGACATACATAATGCCCACATGATGTTGAGGTTCCCATGTGACTTATCAGAGCAATTAATTGATATTCTAAGAAACGAGTGGGAAAGGTGTTTAATTCTTTAGCGGGTTATAAAAAAAAGCCTCTGAAACAAAGCTAAAACAAACGAAAATAATCAACTTACTTCCCTCTCCATCGGGACATTTGGGCCCAGTTTGCTCTTGTGGTTCATCCGTTTCCATTTCGTCCAATTCCGCGGCATGCGAAAATATCCAATCTGCTGCGCGTTCTAAATTGTTTTCCTAAATATAAAACATCGTTGTTTTCCAAGCTATCCATAAGTTCCACACGCAATTCTAGTTTCTACAACGATAATGGTGTTGATACCGTCATTCTTAATGCTTTCGTCGCCTGGTTTTGGTTAAAACCCATGGACATTAACATCGCAAGTGATTCTTCGTTCACAGTCATCTGTGATGTCTTTTTCCCACCAGACGGACTTTGTAAGGGCTCGTTGAAGTCTAAAAAAAGGACAGCATGGACAGGTAACAACGACAAGCTAAATCACAGAAATTTTATGTCCACAACAAATCTGAAAATTACCTGGGTCATTTTGATGGTCAAATATCCAATTCATGGCAGCCTCGACGCCTAGGGGGAAAAGCACCGTTGTTATTTGATAGAACACTTATCATTCCACTATTGCGAGATCAGTGTTTCTCTTTACCGCTATTTCCAGTGCTGTAAACTGCTCTTCTACAGCCATTAAGTGGGAAACCCATCGCCGTTAGCTGTTGTACAGAATTTTCATCAACTTGAGGGGCTAAAAAAAGCGAAAACAAAGAAATTGAATTTACTAATGTGAGAACGTTTTTATCGATGTACACAATGCATTGCGTTTGTGCAATAAATACCGCTTTGACGTTCATCCACGAGGTCTGGTAACTCTTCTTCCCCAGGCTGCAGACCATAACCGCGTAGCTCACTTATATCGATGACGTCATCCACATCAAAGGCAATGTCTGGCAAATACACCTTAATTTATTAGCTCACTACAATCTTCACTAAAATATATCGATGAAACTAGTCGATGAAATACATCCTCTTTCCCCAAAACCTACCGAGTTTCTTGGGAGTCCAGTCCTCTCCAATTGTGAACTTTCTCATGTGAATAAGAAGGTAATTTGGAAAAGTTTGAAAACGAGTCGTTCTAAAAACGAACAAAATATGTATGATGAATTTATCGTGATGAATTTATAGGCAATAATTTTCCCGCTATATGTGCAGGATCTTAATTTTTCCCGCCATATCGTTTCAAGCAGGCATAAACATACTTTTTGACAACAGACTTTCGCTCCAAAGCTGTACTGTAAAAACCATCTATGACGTCATCCTGAGCAAAGTTTTTTATGCATGTGGTCAGCGGTATCCGGAGACGAACAACTTTTTCGGGATCTCTTTAAAAAATAAGAGGGAAAACTTAACATAATCAGTTAAAATACTGAACATACGGATATTTTTTGTTGAAAAACTTACATTTTTTCATTATTCTTTTCCATTTCTTCTCGGTATCTTTCAAACGCCTCGTACTCATCTTTAAATGTAAAATACCAAAGTAGAATTATAAAATATTATCCAAAACAAATAAATACAACAACTATACTTCATTTTGTTCTTCTATGAATCTTCCCTGTATCTCGACAAACCTTTGTTAACTATTTCCTCCATTGGTATAGACAATGACCATGCTAAATCCTCTCGACAATGATATTTCACTTTCTTTGATTCGATACACTCAATCCTGTCTTCAACCTAAGAAATTACCATTTAGCTACTTCTTCAAAGTAGACTCTGTAGCAACGGTTTGTGATTTGAACCATTGCTTTTCTATTCAACAATGGCGACAATGTGAACAAATGAATACAAAATATGGCGTTTACTTACTTTAAATCTGAAATTATCAACTGGATTATTTGTTGTGGACGATTTTCTCTAGAACACATTTTTTAGAAATCATGTAAACTGGGAATCTTACAAGGGATTGCCTCAAAGTCATTCAAAAGAAAAAAACCAAAGCTAACTATTCTGTTTATTTCAAAATATAAGTGTGGGATTTCGTCACTAAACTAACCTGTAGTTTATCTATCATATCAAGTAAGTAGAGTAAATATTCCTGGGCGTCCTGTTGACGGTTAGTTGAAAACTCTGCATGACCTTTGCCAACAAGAGATTTGAACATGTGAGGAGAAATACCGCGGAGGTCCTGGAAATAAGTAAAATTGAATCGTATTACGGATATATATATATATATATATATATATCCTGTATTAAACACAGAAAAAAAATCAAGATTTAGACAAACCTCGGCTGCAGCTTTCTCTTCATCAGTCCCGTTAATCTTTGGGGGTATCGAGTAGTCACCTGACAGGAGACCATGACCAAGTTTTGACCTGAATATAATTTATATTATTATTCAAATTTATAGTGCGCATGCACGTTGCCGAAATGAAGCTAAAATATTTATCTTACATTTGTACATCAAAATCCTCCACTGCTTGGATTGGCCGCTCTTGGAATATTTTTTCTCGCGAATGCGTGTACCTTGTGTTTTATTTAAGAGTGAAATTAATTGTAAAATTAGCTTTCGTCTCTGTTATTCTCATGGATGTACACATATTTACCTCTCGTTAAATTCCGGAAGAGAAAACAAAACTTGTACGACAGAGTTCATGTAACAGCTAGACAAATGAAAAGGAGGAAATAAGCGGAAACGAAAGGATTTCAATTTAAAAAATATAAGAATAAGCTTGCCTATTTCCTAAGTTGTGTAGACCAGTGAAGCCAGGGCCAAAAAGTGGCGTTAACTTTTTACCAGATTCCTGAATAACAAGTTATTCAAGTTAAAAGATGAATCTCGCATATCTTTAAATTTGAAAATATTAACCAGGTGATCTCGCGACGTTGGAATACACACACACCTGAATAGCATCAAATTCTAATTGTAGTTTCATGTTCATTTCAATCTCGAGCTCCGTCATTGTTCGGTCCGTCTAAAATAAACACAACGCTCGTGTCAAAAACGATAGAATTCAACACAGAATGAATCGTGCTTATCTAAGACAAAGCATAACCTTTTCTAAGGCAGCGATGTTTATGCCAAAATGTGCCAAATGTTTCGAAAGAAACGGATCTTCCACCATATCGTCTTCAGCATATGAGAATACATCTGAAAAATAAAGATTTTAAAGTTCTAGTTGCTACGATGTCGATATTTCCTGAGTTAATTAAGAGTCAGACACCCATGCAGGCTATTATATAAGTACGCAATCCTTTCTTGTATTCCCTACCAGCTTCACTTTGTGTTATGGTTCCAAGTTTCACACAGAGCGGATATCCAGTTTCTTTAAAGTATTCCAAAGCGTGGTTGTTCCCTCCCGAACCTGGTAATACAAAAAATAAATTCGCTAGAAGTTTACTCAAAGATCTCCGCGCGTTGATCACAATTAAAACGATTAACGAGAAAAATAACGCCATTGGTATTGCAAAATTGATTCAAATATTTAATCAAGAAAATTTAAAGCCAGGAGGCAGGACTTTTTACCGTCGTAGAATTTTCTTCCACATAAAATTTTGCCGTCTGTCAAATTCAGCCATAAATTTTGTGTGAGGTCACAATTTCCGCATTTCCATCCACTGAAGTTAAGAAATAATGAATCATGGATAGAAAATATTACAAATTTTCTCGCAATAGTTTGCACTGTTACCTCGGTGGGATTTTCACGCCATTATCTACTTGTTTGAGGTGTTCTGCGTACCTAAACAGCGGAAAAACATTTCTGTAAGTATCGTGTAAAATTTTGCAGATCTATTCTAGATCTTAGCTACACTTTGTAAACAACTTGAATAATAGAGAAATAAGAAAAAGAAAATAGAATATGCGGTTATATTCGGGCGTTTTCACAGGATATTAAGACATGGAAAAACACGTTGAAATAAATGTCAATTCAACATGGAGCAATCATTAGATTGTTTATACTTCGAGACAGATCTTTTCTCTTCACTCCAAGAGGAAATCTTTTCAGAAAATGCTGAGGTATTTGTTGTTATTATTCCAGTTATTGATAGTCGAACCTGGATGGAATTACATGCATTTTATTAGTGTTGTTAAATCAATGTTAAAGATAGATGTATTTGTCATTGTTCCTAACCTGTTCAGGTATTTGTTCATTAGGAAAAGCAAAAACTGTGTCTTCCTTGTCGTTGTTGAGAACAATCAGCGAATAAAGATCTTCATATTCAAGCTGGAGTTAGAGGAATGGGGATTCGGAAGTTAAAGGAGAGAATGGAACAAATGGAATGGTCAAATTATGGTGTGAAGAGGAATACACTGGGATGGCCGCACAATATTACAAATGAGAATTTAATAAAAGTAACAATAACCTTCACTTCATCAAGATCAAAACCGCCTTCTACACCTATACATAATAAATATGAAATTTAAAGGGATTGTGTTCAATTATATATTGTTTAGGAAGAGCAGAACTATGAGAAGTATTCATGTTATTCTACCTATGGCCATTTTGGTTGGTTTCTTTTTTGGTGGATCATCAACTGGTGTTTGAGACTCATCCTTGGGCTAAGGAATACCATGGAAACATCATGTTTAATTCATTCATTGAACATAAACTTTGAGAAGTGTGAAGAAACTGATGAAATCTTACCCTTATCAGTTGTTTATAATGTAAGTAGACTCTTCTGCCGGTTTTGTCGCGGTAGAGTTTGACATGGTCAACACAAAATCCGAGAAACGAGTTGAGACAAATATATAAACCACCATCAAATTTCTAAAATATGTATTGATGAATATAATTCAACAAGGAATAAAATCTAATGGCAGTTTGCATTAGAAAAGCAACGCGAAACTTTATTATTCAAATGGACCTTTGATCGGTAATAAGAAACCCTCGCCTATTACTACACGAGGTACACTGGTCCAGTAGTGAAAGTATATAGAATTATATAAAATGATAATCGATCAGAATTCAGGATCACTTACCGGTGTTTGAAAACAATAAATGCACTGATCCTTATATACTTTATCTCCCCCTCTAGGTACTCGAACAACAGCGCTTGATACTTCGTCCATTTATATTGAGAACGGATGAAACAACGGAAGAAAGTTAAAAATGTATTCCATTCCTTTTCATTGAAAAGTTTCCATAAATCGCAGGCTCTGACCTATGCGGGTACTTCATGTTTAATTCTTGTTTCGTTCTCGTCAGCAGACGCTTAATTTGACTTCGAGTTGAAGCAAGCGCGCAGAGAACGTTGGGAAGTTGACGCGCGCAATCTTTTTTGGCCAAGAAGCGTGAAATATTTTTGATATTTTGCCAGTTGTTCCTAAAGATCCCCTTGCAATGAAATTCTTATCGAAAAGTATTTTTTGCCTGTTTTAGACAGTATACCTTATAGGAAGTAATTAAAATACATTTAAACAATTCTGCCAATATTTTGATTTTATTGCGAATGCATATACACCACAAAAACGTGCATATACCTAAACGATACAATACAATACAATGAAAGTCCTAACTACACCTTTTTGATAACAGACGAAACACTATATTCAATGATGACCGCAGAAGTTCTCTCGACGAGAACTACATTTTTATATCATATATCCCACCACAGAAATACATCTTTCTAAATATTTTATATCAACACTATATTTACAAAATATTCTCTAATCGAAACTTCATACACAATAAATAAGTCAATTGTGGTGTGCATGGTTTAAGCGATTTTAAAGCGACGTAAATTATTACATTTCTTTCGAAATTAGCCTTTCTCACGAAACCTATCAAATTCGCGGGTACATTCTTGCAGAAATTGTATATCTACGCGGTGTGAAATATTTGAAATACATATCAATTCACCGAATGATTATTCTTCTAAAGCTATTATTCTTTTAACTTGACTTCACCAAATTCTCCGTAGTCCAAAATGGCGTCGCGAGAAAGGAGAATTTCGCTCTATCTACCATCACTTGTTAACACACTACCGTGATATTCTTTCATTATTCACATCATTACATGGCTTGCATCATTTCTCCAGGGGAAACCGCGTCAAAATAGTGCAAGCCATGGTCATGCATGAATCGGGTTATATTTATGTCAGTTGTTCTGTTCTATTATTTAGTAAAACGCAACAGTGTGTAGAATGTTCCTATTGCTGTTTTTGCGTTCGAATGATTCGAGAATTTCGTCGATTTCGCCTTCAGTGTCTTCCGCCTTGGATATCTAGAAATATTTGAAAAATATTGAGCTGTGCTATAATATCTGACGGAGAGATAAGCAAGCCCTGGCGAGCGGACGAAGTTAAATAGAAGAGGAATAAAGTGTCTTATAGTTCGAAGGAGTACTGCGTTGGAAAGCAATTTGGGGTTAGAATAGATGTAGAAAAGAGGAGTTTTTGGCCTTGAAAATTTACCTTTTCACAGAGACTGCAAACGAGGAAAGCACCTAACGTTGCTTCTTCATGGTTATCTTGTATATCGACGTTTATCACGTGAACTGGTGAATACGTCACTGGTACTCGACTTTCCAAACCTTCATTGGAAAGAAAACAAAGTTAGATCGTGTAAACAGCAGAATATTATCGCCTAAAGTGTGATTCAAAGAAAATCGAGGTAAACAATTCTACCAATTAGATTGGAGGGGAATATAGTTTAGAGGTTAAAAGGTTTCTATGAAAAAAAGGTAAAACTATTCGCATACTTTCAACCACTTGATCATACACTCTTTCTTCAGCGGTAATAACGATGTCGAAGGATTCTGTCGTATCTTGAAATCTTTCGGGTCTTGCTTTTATTCTTCTATTTCTATCTAACATGTGGAGAATTCCATTCTGTGTGTATCTGAGAATCCTGAGTTAAGGAATCTTCGCTGTAAATAATATCGCTACACTACTAACTAGCAGTATACAAAACGAAGATACAAAACGATGATTGTTCATATTGTTTTACTGTTGGGTTTATCAAACTTAGTACGAGTATAAATGAAAACACGAAAGGTAATACAGAAAGGAGTAGAATAGAAGCGAAAAAGAATGGAGCATGTTATGATTCTGGGAAACGTCATTGAAGAGTGGTTCCCCATGCAACGGCAAGCTAAAGCCGGTTTTCCACTAGCGATATTTTTCGCGCGAAGCGACTTTATTCCTTTGTATTTGAGCAATTTGTTCCAGATGGTTGCAGTTGATAGCTCTGAAACAAAAGTAAAATGTCGCTTCGCGCGAAATATATCGCTAGTGGAAAACCGGCTTAAGTCAATATAAGATCATAGTGAATCATCATCATTTTAAGGGGTCAGCTATCTCGTGGACAATTCCTAGGTTCTCAATCAGCATCCTTGCTGTTGAAATCTCCCCACCCTCATGCCACCGGCTTGTCCACGTTCTCTTCCCTAAAATAGCAATAATCATGAACTTTCATGATCTGTGGCGAAAACACGCCATTATTCTCTAGAGATTCGATACAAGGACCAGCTGGCCTCATGCATAGTTACTAGTTGCATAAATACGTTGTCTACAGCTAAAGTTGACGCAGTTTCAAGTTGTAAACCTAACTAGGCAGTACATTCTTGAATTCTCTACAACTTTGCTAAACAGTTTAAACCCGCTCAATTTCAACTTCGGCAAAGATTGCTAAAGTTCTTTTTCCCGTTTAACTTTATTATATACGAGTTTTGTTGTCTTAAGGTTTAAGTGTAAAAAATAGAGCAAAAAATTTAGGATAAAATAATGTTGTCTCGGTTAAACCACAACAGGATTCATAATCAATCAATTGATCGTGAAGGATTTGGGCTGGTCAAAGCGTGATCCTCGTTTTCCCCAATAAGACATGTAAAATTGTCTGCGAGTGCAAAAAATTGAGGTACGATTCTAACTTGATTGGTGATGTTCGGTTTTCACATGTGGTGTCACTTATCCCGCAAATTAACGTAATTATTTCTAGGAAACAAATTCAGTAATTTTGCTTGAGGCTACATAAATACAGAAACTGCGAGGCATATTGTTCCTGTGCTAATCCCTATATATGCTATTGTCTGTCTATCAGCGATATTTATTTATCGTGAATGGATCCTCAACTTAAGTAGAAATCTAATCACATTCTTACACGAAAGAAAAGACATGCGCAATGCAGGATCTTTGTTATAACATTAACTGCATTTTTCAATTCAACAAGGCAATGAATTGATAGCGGCAATGGACCACAAGTTGTGACGTTCCGAAGATTAAAGTTGCGAAGCATTCTGGTTCACATCATGCCGACCTATTCTCTCCAAAACAATCACTGTCCTTCATATTGCAAAAATATGATGGGTAAACTAATCAGTCAATACATCAGGCTAATCCCACGTTGAAAGACACGATCGAGATGGCTTGAACAGGATAAAAAGACAACCTCATTCAAAGTTATTGTCGCCGAAGACGCACAAGTGCACACATTCAGACAGCAGCAGCACTCCCGCAATTACTCGATGCTCCTTGGTTTTTGAATATCTTTCTTCCATGAAATATTCCGCAAAATATGCTCAAACCGGCGTCCGTCAAAGCCACCGAACCCGTTACGCTTCCTAAATCATAGTGGTTTTGTCCATCGGCTTCCCGCATTCTGAGAACATGCAATCTGAAACGTCCATTCCAACACAAAGAGACAGTTCAAAATGAACATTTCCTTGTCCTTGATAAGTCCTCCATTATCACTTCCCAATGGAAGTTATCTGCCAGGGCTCAACCGATAGCGTCTCAAAATCTCAATCAAGCTTCTGGAAAATACACTGCAATACGGCTACCCAAAAGGTCCTGAAGGTGTCGAACAAGAGATGGATTTACGCTATCGGGGAGTAAGTAATCAGGATGACGACGTCTCTCAATCTCACTATACACGTGAATGAAAGATAATACAATTCTTCAAGAAGTCACTCGGGAGTAAGCTAGGAAAGTCTGAAGACTCAATTATTACTCGGAATCACTTTCTGCGGACCTGACTTGCCGACTCAAAGAGCAAGGCTACTCAAAGAGCAACTCCGGTTGCCAGATAAAACAATGCATTATCGGCGAGAGGAAGGTTGCTGGACGATGCCATTGTGTGAAACTAAAAACCCAGCACGATTTAGACCACGCCCTAAAGTAAGCCTCGAAACCCAGGGCCTTTGCAACTGTTGACCCGCTATTTAGAAGTGCCCCTACCACTGGTAGCCTAAAGTATGTGAAACACTCGATTTAAGTGGTTTTGGGCGTGGCTTTCTGAAGTATTTTATTATGGAATTCTTCCCACCATGATGTAGTCGGATTTAAAATTGTTTGAAAGTTCACGATTGAAAGTTCAAACTATTTGTGTTAAATTGCTAATTATAAGTGAATTAATTCTAGGTCGTCTTCAAAATTTACAATGTTACCAGATACAAAGATACTTCATTTCAAACACCGACGTGATCAATCTTATTATCAAATTCATTTCTATATTTAGTTTGAATGAAGCGGCTTAAACATCGCCTGTTTCAAAGCGCTTTCTTTTTCTCTCAGTCCCGACAGCATACGCCACTGGCACTATTTTCACTGGTTAGATTTTCTGAACAATGTCTACTTTTCAAACAGACGTCTTTTCACATGTTTTCCCCAGAAATTACTTTATTGGAAGGAATTTGAGAGCTTACTAATCACTGAACCAATCAATTAATCAATGTGGGCGCTACTCGATTTATACCATCATACGTTGCCTTGCCAGCCAGGAATCTTCCCGTACATAAAATCTCACAAATATTCACCTGCGCAGGCCCCGACGGTCATGGATTAATCTCGTGTTATACCTACATATACACCGCATACAAGCAGCTAATTAGCATAGTTAGCGACATTACCTTTATGTTTTATAAATCTAATGCCTCAGTTTGTCGAATACGTTTTACACGTGATAGTATTTTTTCATTTGGAAATCCTTTTAACATCTCTTGTATTACAACTACAATTTTTTAATCGTTTACAACGAGCGCTCGCTTTTACACTTTGTAACAAGGTCAGATAGTTACTAGTTTTAGGGTTGTTGTGTTTTGCAGGATTCTAATTAGGAAACCCAGGCACTCACCTGAAATCATTTTCTTTCCAAAACGATTACAAATTCCAGATCTTCCAGCAGGGGTCAGTGTTATGTTTGGGGACTATTTCATGTATTGACATGGCATTTGGCATAACTTGGAATGTAGCCTTTTTGTAGCTCATTGATTTTGGTTTTCTCAGAGAAAGTTAATTCCAACCACTTAGCTATCCTGGTTTGATAAATTTGTATCACTGGTCCAATATCGCAGAATCAGGTGAGCAGCAAATCTTGGACATTTCAAGGTTGACCCAGATGAACTTTTATCACCATTAGATTAACATGTTTATAATTTTCAATGGATAGTCAATGTCAACATTGAAAGGACAGATATAGTAGATTAAGCTTAAAAGCAAAATATGGCCGCTATTTACTATTAGGCATGATATTTGTGCTGATTGCATCAAGAAGATTTTTAAGAATCGCACATTGGCAATGACATTCTTCTTTTGTACTCATGAAAACAAATGCAGGTTAATACACCCACAAAATCAGAAACTCGAAATCCAACGAACTAAACTGAAATGCAAAATTCATTGCTATAGTCAAGCAAATATAAACTAGATTAATTCTTTATTTGAAGGGAATGTGGGGATTACATTATTCATAACCATATTCAAGTGTCTGAAACTTTGAAATTCTTACAATACCTCACCTTTACTCTTATGGTACCTACAACAGCTAATTATACAGTTCTTCATTGAACAGTTAGTCTATTTCTTCAGTATAATACAAGGTATCCAAATCATGGCCAAGCTTTTTGCAGTCATGAGGGGTTCTTCCAAAGCATCTGCATCCATCTAACCACAAAGTACCTAAAAAAGTCAATCCCAACCCACCCCAAAAATGCCAAAACCCACAAGGCTAAAGAATCGAATTAGAGGTGGTTTCTGAGAAATTCAAGGGCCACAGTAGTTCAAAACATGGAGATACAACATGGAGATTAAACTTTGCAAGACAAATACAGGGTGGAAAATGTTGCAATTAAAGGTCACCAGTTCATGTTACAATCACAAAACAGGTGATTAACACAACACCCTAGCACTAATTAATTCTAACTTTTTCGCTGGATATTATCCAGTATCCACATAAAATAATTCTTAGATGCTCAACTGAAAACAACGGGACTGTAAAAATAAATTATTTTTACATTAACTAAACTTTCTCTTTCCCCTAAACCATCAAAATCCCAAAATATAAACTCTAATGGTACCCAGTACAACTTATATACACTAGGGAGCCACTCTTCACTATTGAGAGACAGGAGTAAAGAAAATGTGATAGAAGAAAACATAAAACACCTATGGTATGAGAACAAAGACACAACACAAAAAGCCCCAAGCCGACATGACTTGGGGAGAAAAATATACCATAAATATTGGCAAAAGGAGCAGAAATCATGAAACATCCAATGTGTACGGATACAGTTGTCTGTCTTTACGGATAAGGTCTTTGTACATTTCATCGTATGTCGTGTTAAACGAATAAACGTTCGGTTGATTTTGTGCCGCACCAGGAAGCTTCACTTGATTGCCAGATCCATATGATTTCACATTAAACCCTTTTTTACTACAAAAAACCCCGAGTATTATCTTAAAACCTACTCTAGGTGAAATATGCTATGTACAGAGACAAAAATATCAACAATCGCAGGCAAATATTAACAATTTTAGCGACTTTTACCTTAAGAATTTGTGAGCCTCCATACTTCGGTTTTGGTTACTTGAACAAACAACAGCGATCTTTAAATCCATATTTCTAGCTTTATTTTATTTCTAAACCTCTCAATACAGCGTCAGACAGGTAGAAGAATCTTTGGCCTTTACGAATACTTACAAACAACTACGGAAAATTACCAAATACACGCAGGATGCAAAAGATTTAATTTGAAAATTTAAAAATATAAAAGAAACACCCCAAACAACAACAATTTCCACTGCGTCACTTCACTGCACTCAAGGGAATTGTTTAACGTTAATTATGACGATTTCCTCCATATAAGGTAATCATCGGAAGCCGTTTCGCTGCAAAAACACCATATATGGCAGTGCTCGAAAGTACTTCGCGCCACTTTCGCTAGATACCGGAAACTCCCGCGCTTAAACAGAAAGAAACAAATATGGCGGATCGTCGAAATCTCTATGGTTAACACTGGTTACAAGACATTTTACACGGTATTCACTTTATTTTATAATATGCTTTAAATATTTGAAGTTTATTGTCATGTTACGTTAGGCACTGTTCGTGTAAAGTTGTTCGAGGATTGGGTATGGGCCATGTCCCCAAATGCACCCAATTTAATTTTATATTCTGTATCCTAGATGTCCGATGAGACAAACCCACCAACACCACCATCCAAGGCTTTGTTACAAAGTTGGTTAAATAAAACTCTCAAAGTAAAAATATCAGATGGGCGGCGGCTAATAGGATCATTCTTGTGTACAGACCAAGAAATGAACATCATTCTTGGATCTTGTCAAGAGTTTGTGCATGGTGAAGGTAGTAAACATATAAATCACCATTTTCTAGATTACCTCCAAAGACAATAAAATTTCTGGATTTTTTGTAGATTATGAGAATGAAGATCCAAGAATATTAGGTCTGGCTATGATTCCTGGAAAACATATTGTCTCTTTAGAAATTGACGAACAGCAGACATCTCATATTGACAAAAAAACTGTTGATAATGATACAATTGACTTGTCTACACAAATAGAACAGTCACCTACCAGCTGAACATTGTAAATTTTTATGTTTAATAAAGTTAGTGGTCAAAACGTTTGATGTGTTTACTGAGAATCTGTTTAACTTGTAATCCTCTCATACTCTTACCTTCTTCCAGAATATTACTAATTGTCTGTCTTGTTTCCTGCCAACCAATCTTTTCATATATCCTTCTACCATTCTTCTGTTCATCTTTCTCTGTCCTTACATGTTTAATGTCAATCTTTTGTTTCTTAAATCTCTTTGTACATCCTTCACATATCTTCCACCAAGTGGCGTGCCTAAGGAGGTCAACACTCCTCTAAACCTACCCAAAATCACGGCTGCAAATAATCCAAACCTGCACAGAATTTATGTAATCTATTTATCGATACCATGCACAGCTATTTAGTTGTGTCTCTGAGATCTCTTTACGCTGTGCTTTACCTAAAAGTGAATGAAACACCACAAAAAAGTACTAAAACGTCACTCGTCAAACAACAAATTTATTTCAAAGCATATATTACACGCATTAAGCAAACTTTTGAGATGAACTTAAAACAGATTTTCAGGCTTATAATAAGTTATAATTAACGTGGAACAACGTTTTCTGCCAGCAGAAAGGTTCTCGTACTAACCCTGAGGTATAACAGCATCATAACCTAAAAGTGTGTTACTATTTGACAGAGATAGATGTTAAAATATATAAATGTACGTCGTTTAGATTTGCTCTCGTGTCGTGAAAGGGGAAACTCGGTTCACCGTGAGCTATCGATCATGAAAATATATCGTTTGCTCCATTTAAAATTAATTACTTTTGTATTCCCTTCAATAATGGCGACTATATATATATAAATAATTTCGAACCAATTGTATAACATAAATAACTGCATTTTTCTTAAATACTAATAGCTATCACATAGCCAAAAAATAGCGATAACGTAGGCTAAACATTATTTCATCCAAGATTTTCAATATATATCTGCCATATCTTCGAAACAGTCATTGTATTTTGATCTCCAGTATCCACCTTGGTACATATGACAAGGGGTTTTTGAATCTGCATCTTCTAGTAATTTAAACCACCTGTTTTAAAACGATATGAAGATATGATATGAACCATATTCGCATCCTCAATTAGTTAATGAGGTTATTCAATAACCAAAGTTAATAGCGAGGAAACCACGCGTGATCCGGAAGTTAGGTGTTCCTGTCGAGGTGCGCTGCGTCAGCCCACGTGTTATATTGCGCGCTCGCTCGCGTTGCGGTCATTAGTTGCTCGGCACGCAAAGTGTAACAAGCTTAACAAAAAGTTTAAATGTCAGCAATGTGATAAAGTCTTGAGGTACATGGGCCCTACTGGTTCAAACTTTCTATACCTTGGTGACCATTGTTTCTCCTCTATTTCCCTATCTTTCCTTGCTTGTCGCTGTTTGTTTTCTAGCCTGCATTTTTCCCGCGCAGCTTCTTCAATCTGAGAAAGCAAGAAATACGTCGTTGAAGTAATGACAAAAAATGGAAGCGTATTCCAGTTTCATTTCACTCACATTCCCTTCCTCTAATCGTCGTATATCCGGTCTTTTTCTGCAATCCGTCGGACACTGAACATCTACAAATTATACCTTTTAGGATGAGGTTGTGGCTGGAAGTATCACGGTTCAATTTAGAGAATATTGATGTGCCCATATACCAGCCCTCAAACTTACATTTCTGACAATTTGTTTATTTATATTTGCATTTATATTTATAAAGCCATGCATGCAAACACCACCACTAAATGTTACCTTCGTCTGGTTCATTGAGTTGCATAGCAAAAGTTGTAAAACCGTACATTCTGAAAGAAGGAACGAAAGAACGTTTTAGCGCATAGAAGAATTAGCATCAAATGGATTATATCATATTACATGTTACCAACCGTGAAGATATCTCAGGTTTCGGTGCCACTTTCCACAACGGAATAGGAGCTGAATCCAAACCTACAACAAAAAGGACGGCAGAATGTCTGAAATTATACTCACGATCATCGCAATTGGAAACGCATCTTCAAATCTTTTGGAAGCAAATCTTCTAAAATGCCAGCTCATTTGAAGAGCGTTTAGTACGTTTACCTTTGTTAACTGACGTGTATTCCATTTTCTCTTCATAATTCCCATCTAATAGCAGACAAATGTGACCTTTTGAATCTCGAATTTCGCCTGAAAAGAAACAAGAATCTGAGAAACATTTTTGTTGTCACGTGACGGCAGTCATCCAAACGCCATCAGTTTATAGAAACCTTTACTAACCTGTCACAATTTTGTAGTTCTCTCGAACCCGTTTGTGCGTTTGAAAATGAATCCTACAAGCTTCGTTCGTCTGATGATTAGTTATAACAACCTCACCATCCTAACAACAGAAAATTCAGATTCTTTCAGACAAATTTTATCACATTTTCTTTGGACAAGGCATGCTGATTGACCCATCACAAAACAGATAACCACGCTTACGTGTTCTGCCCAAAGCGTGCCAAACATGATGTTGTGAATTATTGTATTAGGCTTTTTCCAGCTATAATGATCTCCAGATTTCTTTAACTTGAAATGTACACTGCCTGTGGGGCAAACCTTGACATACTACAAGCGAAAAGAGAACAAGAAATAATGCACAAAGAAAGTCGAAAGCTAAAAAACCCCGTAAACTAAGTAGACCACTGCAGAAAACTATCCTTCGTTTTGAATTGACAGTCCTCCTTAATCAATACCTGTCCTCTGAATTTTGTATCCAGTTTATATTCCTGCCAGAATACCCAATCCAATGATTCTGCGTGGAGAACTGAAACAGGCGGATGGTGCGATACCTGCAAAAAAAATCAAAAATTGAATGAAACACAACGAATTAAAGGGTTTGTATTATTATCAAACTTTTTTCCAGTATACATGCGAAATCCAAGTTATACCGGGACATCAAAGTTCCTGTTTTAATTATTTCTCCGACAGTTTGAACTCCAAACATCAGAGCAATGGCAAAATCCAGAGCATAGCATACCTGCTCTGCGATAACAGAGTATCCATGTTCCTCGTTGATGTATTCAAATGTTTCCCCAAGTAGTGGATTAAATGGTTTCCAAAATCTAAAACAAAGAATACGTAGTTTTCGCATTACTTTAGTGAGCAAAAAAAGATGGGGGCCCAAACATCATGTCATAACCAGCGTCACATATAGATAATGGGGCGTGGCGAGACGTGAGCGCCAGCGAAAATCTTTTCCTTGGTTTTGAAATAATTAGCAATTTGGACTAAACGAGAAGTGGATTCCTCATTTCCTTCTCAGCTACGCCGGTGTTTGAAGCTACGACGTGGAATGTTACGAAGACGTAGCTGGTGAAAAGATCTCTATTAGGGAATACCTTCCGGGTACAGTGGAATAGGATGACACCATAAAAGCTGCAATATACGCCAGTCTTTCCACCGAATCCCCGCACTCTATAAACAAATATACAACAAGGATTTCAATAATTTAATGCTTTCACTTGGAACACTCTTCTCATCGTTGCTCAAGGAACAAACCTGCAGCTTTCGTGAGCAAGTCCGCATACGCAAGATCTTCACATAGCCTCTATGAATGCGACACAAAGATTTACAAATTTTATCAGTTTTTGCAGCAAACTAAAAGTATGCAACCTCATTGCTAAAATGAAGAATCATCTATGTGCAAACATTCTGGGCTCACTGGTAAAATTCAGTGACAAACTGAAGTAGCAACACTCACTTGTAGAAATGATATTGGTTCATTAAAACACACTGGCATTGTTACTTTCGTTAAATCTTTTCCAATCACAGTCTTCAGGAAACTGAAAAGATTCCTAATCGATGACTTCTCTCTAGTTTTTGGCAGCAACTCTCGTCTGACCTTTGGATTTTGGAAAGCTGAAGGGAAAATGATATTATCAAACCAGTAAAGTATATGTGTCGATTGCAAGGAGAACTGCTGCAGAGCCTATACCACCAAGAGGTGTATTTAACCAACCAACCAACAGAAAAATGAATCATTAATGTCCCAACTGATGGATGATGATGATCATGATCTAACAAATGATGACAACCCAACTGATAGCAACAAACTGACAGACAAGAAAACTAAGCTGCTAGCCTACTACCAACAAATGGAATGATCGAAAGAAATTCTAAGTAATTTACCAAGAACAAAGTAACTTATAGTTTACCTCCACTTTCTTTAAGAAGCTGATATTCTGATTGTTCCTCCTTATGTTTTGGTGAATCACCATTCTATATAACATTAATTATTGAGACTTCACCAGTTAGATTTATGTTGAGTAAGGGAGGGAGTACTAGATTCTAGACACACTGACATGACATGTCATTTGGGAATTAAAAAATCATAACAGAAAACAATTTAGACAGATAAAACACTTTGAATCATCTACATGTAACTCTTTGTTAAAACCCACTCCTAGCTAGAGGCCAGGGCCAAACTTAGGAGTTGGGGGAGGGGATAATAAATTCATATATTGTATAAGACTGATAATAAATTCATATATTGTAGAATGATTTGATTTTCCTAGATGTAGGCATTGTTTTCACAGTATGTGAATCATCACGTCTACAGGCTAATTCCTGCTAGTGCTTGAATCCAGGACTTTTTTATTCTCTCTTGCATAAAATGTCAACCCTCATTACATTGAGGATACAATGTAAACAAACATTGACCATACAATGTAAATAACAACGGGATTTGCAGTCAGAGGAAAGACGTCAAACCAGTCGAACATATTTAGACATCCTAATTGTACACACACAAAGGATCGTACGATATCACATAAGCATATAAATTGAATTAAAAAATGCAATCCTTTGTGAGTATTGGCTTTCCAAAAACAGATTTATATCGTATTGGACGGTATATTCATGTCATAAAAACTCGCAAATAACCACAAAGGATACTAAATAACTCCCCTTATGACCACTACGGATAAATCATTAATCAGCCCCGACAGTTTAGGGTTTTAAAAGGAGCAACAATAAATATTCTAATTGAATTTAATTGCGAACCGCTAAACCTCAAAACATTCGAAATCATAAAGCAGAATCTAAATATACGTATGACAAACGAGAAAATTCAACGTTAAAATAAGGCAAAATATTCGGAAATTATAATCGAAAAAATTAGAACGCATAAAGTTATTCGAAAACCAATTAGAATATCTACGAAGTAGCAAATGACTGCCAAATGTTTTGCGGACAGTATGTATACAATATGGTTTGAATTAAAGCGTCGCGATTTTAGCCGGCTTTGTGGCCATTTCATTACCTGTAAAGCGTCTTCGCCTATATCCACCATTAGTGGCATATCGTACCAAGTCTGTGAAGCCAAATGATGAAAGCTTTCAACAATCGTAAAAAGGAAATAAATCAAGACAATTTTGAATGTTGATGATTTCGTACTGTATGTGCATTGTGCACGTCACGTCATTCTCGAGGAGTTTTGCCATTGTTTTGATTTATATAATATGCATAAATATGATGAGCCTTCCGTCCGGAATAACAGCTGGGAATACTTCATATATGAATTGCCTGAAATCGTAAGGGAAAACCCCACTCGACCAAAGAAGGTGGAGAGGCACTCCACAAGGGCTTCTGAGTAAAGTGGTACAAGAAAGCCACATTTATGATGTAGATAATGTTCTTTAAGCTGAAACAATTGTGCTTTTCAAATACAATTATTAATTTGTTTTTGCTACAATCCTTCAGACTTGGTTTGATTGAAGGCGAGTGCCACCCAACACTCAGGGCGTGGTCTTTGGTTAAAATCATAAACCTGAGTCTGAGATTACTCTTTAGCCAGCCAATCGAATCGAGGACACTACGTCAACGTATATAACCTTGATAATTTTATTATAAGTATATAATTTTATCTTTTTATAAAAATACTATTTAAATATGAATTAACTTTATAAAGATCGATGCAATACAAAATGCGATATATTCTAAAAGGACCATACGAAATTGCTTTGATTTTTCTGAGAGGTCATAATTATAGCTGCAAAGCCAAGTTTCTATTATATCGTAATAGTCGAGAAACATTCTCAACGATGTAAAGTATCCCGGTTGAATATTTTTGTTATATATTTTCTGTACTCATTATCATTCTTTTTGACAGAGGTATCAAAACTCTCACATCGAGCATTTTGAGATCTTCACGACAATTTCGACAACACAAAAACTAAGCTTTATATATTGCGACTTATGTCTAGCTTCCAGAATTGCTTCCATGTCCGTCAAAAAATTAACGTAGTACTCTTTAATTTTCTACATTTCTCAATTCTGTAGACGGAGCGGATTCTCAAGGATCAATGAAGGATACCATGATATATCGTGTACCATTAGTGGTGGGAAGTCCCTCGTGTTGATGTGTGAGTCGACCCGGATGCATAAGTGCCCAGCCAACCCTCGTATCCTGTACGGAACAATCGTAACGAATAAAGCGGGCACCGCCACCCTAGAAAGCAGAAAAGATCATTATGTCCCTATGGTTTTCGCACAAATATACCGCAGCAGAGTTTGCGTCAGCTCGCTTGGTAAAAACTGGGCGACGGAGAACAGTTGAAATTAATAGAATTGTTCTTCAGAATTGTAATTCAGGTGACTAGAACTATGACTAACGTCGACGTCTTTGAGTTTACTATGTTTCGTTGGGAAAGCAACGAACAGTCGTAAATTTAAAGTGCCAGCCATATTCAATAGAGAGCATGTTTAAAGGCTATCTTACCTCATAATCAACCCCACGTTTATTTAGAGCGACATTGATAGTATAAGTCGAAGAATCGTGATGAGGTCGGAGGAGGAATTGTTTATCTGGATGGTATTTTACCACGAAGTTCATATAAGCCCGCGCCTGCGACATAAAAGACAAGTACAATTGAGTTCTTTAAGACAATATGAGTTCTTTAATGCAGAACTCATAAAGGTGATCCATGCAGTAACTAAACCAAGGCATAAAGTTAGTAGTTATACAGTAGTTAGCTATGGGACTTCCTCCATGCAGTTGGGAGTGTAAAACTGCGCGGAGACCAATAAGTATTTCTTGAGAACAAAATATAAAACCAATATAAAAATCCATTTTTCAAATACGATTTCGTTTGTATAGGAAAACGGTTATAATATGGAGTATAAGACTGTTCGAAACCTTACCTCAGAATAATATCCAGTGAAAATATGATTTGCTATGGGCGCAACGTATGTCTTTAAGAAATGCATCCAGTGTGCTTCGAAAGCAATCTGCAATATCACGAGTCAGTGTCATTAGATAATCAGTAGCAGTTGATGATATTTTAGAAGCGATATCATTCAGTTAGATCAAAGTTGAATAAGTTATTTCACCTGTTTCATATGGATATCAACGGTCGGAACGTTCTCGTAACCACCAGCAATACGATTATCCTATGAGAGAGAGAGAGAGAGAATGGTACTGATTAGAAGCATAGTCAACATAAGATAATGTCTTTTCTACAATTCTATATGGTTATATGAAAAAGATTTTTGTCAGTTTTTACCTTGTGACCCCCGCCAGACCACCCGCCAAAGTGTTCGCATTCCTATATTAGGGCGTTTACATTGTTAGAAAAATTTATATCAGATAGTGGTTCCGACAAGGAAAGGTATTAATGTATTCCGTACCTGCCACAGGTGTAAAGCGAATGTTTCTGAGAATAGTGGCACCCAATATACGTCCGGGCAAGGCTGAAACAAATGCAAATGATTATGAAATAAATATGTTGAAACCACGCACCACGTGGAGGAGTGCTAGGGTGGAATATGTGTGTGGTTCAGGAAGGTAAATATCATTTATCAAGTCACAAGATTATCATTTTGTATTGTACCTACAACCATGCACCACAATCGTGAGAGTTAAATACCTCAGGCATCTTCCACTCTTTCGTCCTCAACTTATACCAGTCCGGATGAAGATACTTCGCTTCCCAGTCCTACCCAACGAAAAGAAATAAATTTCATGGCAGTTCGTTTGTGAGGCAGTCGACCATAGACTTTGACCTATGCATTTACTAAATCTTGCAAAAAATCATGATCTAAATTTCCATTGCAATACCAAAGACTTACGAGAACATTATTAACCATCTCATACATATCTCCATGCTTCTTTGTTGTAGTGAATATCGACGTGTCCAGCAGTCGACCGAATGGCATAAGATTGTTCACGTACATAAAAATACCCTAGCCATAAACACAGTAAAAATTAGCTCAACATATTTTCGCGTTGCAAACAACATCCTCTCATTATTCAAAGACATGCGATAAAAGCGGTCTGTTGTCAGGGTAGTTCATTTACCTTTGACCTAATCGACGCACAGAATGCCATATCAGCCTCAAAAGTCGTGCTGCTGTATGGGTTTTTAACTTGTCTCAAGGCAGTGTGGTGGGCCAGGTAGCTTGAAGCTATATAAGGCACGTTCCAAACTCCCCTAGACAATATTACAGTTTGGTTGTTAGATAGATATATTCTGATTGGGGCGTAGAGCCATATAAGGGCAGGAGAATATTTGGGTGGGGCAGGGAAATCTTTGGGTGGGGCAGGGAAATGTTGGGGGTGGGGCAAAGAAATATCAAAGTCGGGAATGTTTCTTTCATCAATCTCACCCATTCCTATATCATTATCATATAAACAAAATATCATTCTATACTTTTTATTGCCGTTGACAATTTCGACATAATCTCTTGATCGTGCGTAGAATCCATCACTTCCAATGTCCCCCCAGAAGTTAGACCACAGCTTTCCGTGTTTGCTAAGTTTTGGAGCAATTATTGATCTAGAAAACAGACGCTTCAGCTAATTATTCTGCAATACAACGAGTCAATGACGGCAAATGCAGAAATGCTTTGTACAAGTGTTTTAACTAAACCTGTTTTGCTCCATGAGGATTTTCAAAGTCTTCGGCTCGGTCAATACAACATCGGAGTCGATGACAAACAGATATTGACAGTGTTTGGAAAGACAGTATTCACTATTGAAAAATAATAAAGGTGTAAAGCACATTGCATAACTAGCGTATTGTAATTCTTTGGCTAAACTTAGACTCCTGAAAGTGCATTTTTTTCTTTGGAAAAGAGTATCCAGGTACGACACTTTCTTCCGTGGTAACACCGGACAAATATAGAGAGATTCTTAATGTAATATTTGGAGAGAACCGTTAGTCCTATAAACGAAACAATCCGGTTTACGTTCTTGAGTAAGAGCGGACTTACAGAGCATAATTTCTGGCTTTGGTTTCACTGAAATATTCCCCTGGCGCGATATATTTCACAGAATTGTAAGATTTTCCGTGCGTGGAAATGAAATTCTGGATTTGCTTTTCATGATATGGTTCCTGCAACAGCGACGAACAACTATTGAAGTTTCTTTAATTATCAATGGTGATGATTTGAGATGAAAATCTTCATACCACATTATGTATAAACACATCAATTCTGCTTTGAGGGTATTCCATTGATACCAATCGTTCTAGAGATTCCGAGAAGAAGGGCGTTGGAGCTTCCACAAAAACGGCTACCAGAACACTTGGATAATCTTCAGTCTACAAAATGAAAAAGTTTTAACTTACAGAACCGTAAAACAAACATGACGAGATGATACAAAGTCGTCTATCACAGGAGTAGTAAAGATCTCGAAGAGCAAAGCTCGTATACCTTATAATCATCCATACTGAAAGTGTTTTCCAGACAACTTAGGCAGCCCTCTTTTGGACTCCATCCTTTAGGGATGTAGTTTGCCAGGTAGTTCAAAAACAACTGTAAAAACAATGCGCATATAACAAATAAAAGATTCCTTTGCAGGTTCGATAATTTATAATTACAATAATAAAGTTGAATATTTTACTCATCTTTCACTGAAAACGCAATGCGAAATATGCAGATATAGCGATAGTCCGTAGTTGATAAACGTCAGAGCAGTCATGGGAGTCACCATTGTTGACATCGGTTGTCAAACTCGAAATTTAACCCCTGTGGCCACGCCCTTTGGTTCATATGCACGCGTCGCGCCTAATTTAGAACAGGTTTAAAGATTGTATACCTTTGACGGTCCATTGCCATGAAGCACGACAGGTTTGGTGCCATAAAGCGTGTTTTCAAACCACACGCTGTTTTCGTCAGCTACAAGTTGTGATTCAGCTGTGAAAGAGAAGCGTGGTTTTACAAGAAGCTCATGGGAAATTACAAGCATTACTGAAGCATGCACATGATGGCATATGTGGTATGCAGTAGCGACTCGGGCAACACGTAGATACTGATTTTTTTTTCAATATATTCACACGTTTCCTGCTCACCTTTCGCTCCGTTTAGGTTCTGAAATATTTCACTTTTGTGGTCCAATTTCATCTGCAGTTTATTCTAAAGTTATTGATAAAAATATTCAGGAATTCTTCTATTTAATCATTGTTGCTTATTGGCATTGTGGTGCTGAAGATACGAATAGTTATGAACGGTGAGAAAGAAGTAGGGCCTTACTCTTAGCTTTGCATCCAGGTAAAGTTTGGTATAATATAATTGGTCATCATCTGTGTCTTTCACCTCATGATGTGTCATTAGTTGAAACACCTCTGGTGCATATCCAATTATACCTGACGATGGAATGAAAATGAATTGAGGAAGGCTGATTTGGTGTTTCTTAGCTATAGCTGTATAGCTATCTGCATTTTGATGAACTAACAAGGTGCATTTGAGGATGTCATTCTTAAAATTCTATTAAATATTGTTACCAACCTCCCGAACAGAGAAATCGTTTCCCTTCTGTCACTTCAGGGTATTCATCCTGGAAACAATGATACAATTAGAAGGAGATATAAATTTGAGATGCCATTAATTAGAGAGCAACATCATTAATTAGAGAGAAGAAACAATGATTCAATTAGACAGGGTATTAATAGAGAAAAAGGTGTGTAAGAGACATTAGCAAGAATTTAGTTCACAAGGGAGATTATTAATTAGAGAGGGTCATTAATTTGAGTCAGAGTAGAGAAATGTAAATGGAGAGAAGTCCTGATGAGGTAGAGAAAGAATTGGCAATAATTAGAGGGAAAAAATATTTGATGTAAATGACTGACTGGACATGTTTCTAGAAGTATGTCAACTATACACAGTGTTATATAGTATATGCGGTGCTACATAATACATTTTATAGAAATTACCAGCAAAGTCTTGTCAGGCCAAAGAAAGTCTTCTGCTGAAATGACCACCTTAGATTTAAATGCTAAAAATCTTTTCAGAATTTCATCAGCACCAGCAGCAAATACAACATCGTAACTAAAAAAGTAATATATAAATATGAGACTGAGTTTTTTCCAGTGATAGGAGACAAACACCTGAATGGTTAATTGATGGTCATAATGTTCATGAAAATGTTCATCTTCACCTTTTCATTTAAAAAAAATTAAATTAATACCTGTCGGTAAACATGACAACCAAATCAGTTTCATTCTTCAACAACTCAATCTCCTTACGCAACAAGTTTAGCTTGTGACCTCCGCCTGGATGTAACTCCATATTTCCACCCTTCCATTCCTCATGCATCCCTGCAACCTTGGAAATAATAATTCTTAGAATCAACATGATAAAACGTCTACCAGATTACAAACACTCTCTTGTAATTTGTAAACATACTCTCAAATAACCAGGTGCTACTAAATGATCTCACATTGGAGGCGACCATTTTTGGTATGACATAATCAATGCGCTTTAGTTAAACTACTTCACTCGAATAACATTTAAAAGACTTAAAAGGAATCTTCTTATCGATTGTTAAATGCAAAAGGTGAAGAAATCAAACTGTTGACTTTCGCTCAAGCGTAACTCCTATTATATTGTTTTTTATATTACTGTGTTTAAAGACAATGCCTGCGGTGGGGATAAACACATAAATAAACTTCGACAGTTAAGTAAATTGACTAAATTCATCAGAATTCTCAAACTATACCAATTCTTTCTAACAACCAAGGGTTTCTATGGGCACCGGTAAAAAGTATAGATTACGCTGTATAAATTATTCACAATGAGCCTTTGTTTTGCAATGAAGTGAATATGCATAAATGAGTTGATTGTTCATTTAATGTTTGCTTTTCGCGAAATCTAACGAAATCGAAAGCGATTTACCTTGATTGGTATGTCAAAAATATCAGCTGAACGCATGAAGCGTTTGAATCCATCCGTTTCATCGGTAGCGACTGTTAGACCCAACAGTTTTAAACGTTCAGGATCGTCTGTGGCATTTTAAAGTTCAAAACAGAAGAATATAAAAGTTGTAACCCTCAGATCGCCATCATTTACAACGAACGGACTTACCTGTGGAAGTAACGGAGAGAAAAGCGTTTAAAAAGAGCAGGAATATGGACAAAAAGCGCAACATTTTCGACCAAAGAACGCGGACAATCCGATATTCGAGATCGTAAAATGATACATTTCCCGTGTTCGAATGTTTTTATATTTGCTACATTAGGTCACGTGATTGTTCTAATGCGTTCTTTGTGTAGATTAAAGTCTTTTGATACATTCTTTCAAACGACGATATTTTTCTATGGGAACATGCAAATGAACTGATAATGAATCACGCTTTGCGTGTAAAAAGATCAAGTGCGGTGTTCACTACGAGTTTATTACGCTTTACAGTTACTAATAATAAAAGAAAGTCTTCTTTGTGTGTTCCTCCAAGCGTGAAAAAACGCACGATCAGCATTTGCGGACGTTCCTCGTCTCATGCCGGGTGGAGGCGATTAAGAAAAGAAATACTCGCTGTTTCACACGTACAATTATCACAACAACATTTTGTAACGACTAACGACATAGTTTATTTTCACGTTTTTCAATGCGTCTCTTACATCACAGATTCACAGTTAACATATAAACCTAAAACAAGCAATTTTCTGACAGGAATGGTGACCGTTTCCGAACATAATCAATCATAATTGGCTAAAAATGAAAGACCTGTATCTTACAAAGTTACATTCACACTGATAGCTTGCAAATTAAATGTAATTTGGGTAAACCACAAAGGCCACAGATTGTTAGGACTTCTTTGGGTTAAAGAACAATTTCTTTCTAAGGTTTCCTGTATGTTCTGGGCACTGCATTGCATAGTCTTTGGTATTTCGAATTACATGCTTTATTGAAGAAACGTGTCCAGTCACTTTAGTTATCATACTTTGCAAATCTTCTTTTTCAGCATTATCACGGAAGACCTCATATAACTGAGTCACGAACCATCCCCCTGTTGTAGTGTTACGTAATGCTGCATGGTTAGCAGTTGATGCATATGTTATAAACATATCTGCATCCTGTGGTATATACTGCACATCAATGTCTGGGATATGATATTGACTATGGTTCCAGGGTTGGTTTAAATTGCTAGACGCACTTGTTGGGTTACTATTGCCACTTATCTCTTGGGAAGGCTTTGTTGTTCCTTTGGATATGGGACTATCGGTCACAACAAATCCTTTGTCTGTTTTACCCCCTCGGCATGCCTGGACAAAAATTAACTTAGGCTTGTTTGCCAGACTATAGCATTTATCTGCTATCAACTGTCTTCTGATGTTTGCCATGAATACTTTCTTGTTATCGCTGCCGAATATGCCATCTTCAAACCCATGACTCATTAAAAATAGCACAAAACAGTCAAAGTTGTTGTGATCTATATCAACTCCGTATTTTCGAACAATGCTCTCGATTTCGTCAGCAGTTTTGTTTATGTAGACGGCTACATTAAACTGCAGCCATTCGAATAGTTCAGTCATTCTTATAACATCTACTTCTGAGCCTTCGCGACTGCCAAGTTTCGGTTCAACAGTGTTGTCAAATTCAGCATTGTTTATTATAACAGCGTAGCCACAGGGCACATTCCTCATACTGTAGTTAGGACTGTCTTGCTCAAGCATTTTGGAGACACCTGGATACAAAATATGTTGGAAATGTTACAAACTGCTAAGAAATTATAGTCACACTAGGTGTTGCATTAACTTTTAGAAATATCAAGAATGGGCCAAGTAAACAAATGTTTATACAAACCTCTGCTAAGTTCAACTTCATTGGACAATGGTTCGTTCAAAATCTTTGCCAAATGGCGTTGAGATGACCTCTGCAAACGATCGATCATCTTCTGAATGGCAGAGCTGTCTCTTTCCACATATTTCAAGAGCAATGCTGATTGTTCTTTTCGTGGTCCCTTGCTACTAACTTCCTCGTACTGATCATCATCAAGCACGTCCTCTTGGTACAGATAGTCCAGAACTTGTTCAGCTTCTAAATCCTTCAAGATTATATCCTTGTTCCTTATTAATCGGTATTGTAAGACTTCTGACATCCTGCCAGCTCAGGAACGGTGGAGAATATACGAAAGATTTCGCACAGAAGACTTATTTTTCGAACAATTTTTCAAGTAGCAAAGTTGAAGTTAGGGAATTCCCTATACAACATCAATGAACTCAATGCACTGACTCAAACCCATCCTTCAAAAGGTGACACTGGCCTTCAGAATAACTGGATAGTGAAATTTTTAAGAACACAGCCGTCCACAGTGAATTTTTATACGTTTTAATAAAATTGAAAATAACTTCGAAACAAATAACAATAGCTATGGTTTGTCTTTAGAACATTATCTCGAGCTTAAAGCTTTAAATGTTCCACGTTGCAAAATCTTATATTTCTGAAGGACGACGGAAGTGTTTTCCGGCATAAACTGCATTCTCTCCCAGTTCCTCCTCGATTCTGAAGACAAAGGAAGCGGGAACTTAAGTTAGACCGTAGGTCAACATAGGTAAAGACTGGCTTCTCCGGTTATCTTTCTCACCTTAAAATTTGGTTATACTTTGCCAAGCGTTCTGAACGGCAAGGTGCGCCAGTTTTGATCTATGAACGTTAAAAATTGATTTGTACGTGTACGTTCAGCCTCAGCCATCACCACGCATCGTAAAAAAACATATATTTACAATGCTTAATTTCACCTGTCCTGTGCACAGACCAACAACCAAATCCGCAATAAACGTATCTTCAGTTTCTCCACTGCGATGGCTGACCATTACGCCCCAACCATTGCGCTGAGCAAGTTTGCACCTAGAAAAGAAGCCAAACTATTAAGATATCTGTGTGACGTACAGTTCTCTACGAAACTCACTTTCAGTTTCAAGACTGAAATACTTACGCCTCGATGGATTCTGTGACAGAACCAATTTGGTTGACTTTCAAAAGTAAGCAGTTACAAGCTTTGCTTGAGATCGCAGTTTGGATACTGAAGAAGCAAACAAGAATTTAGCGAACGATGATTTGTGTAAAAAATTTGTAGCTAATTTCCGTGAAGATCATGAATTACCGTTTTACATTTGTCACTGTTAGATCATCCCTGTAGGTTATGAAGAAAGATAATGATGATTTATCATAAAGGCCATGCACCAGGATTGATAACAGATAACTGCAGCCAATCTATCATGATGAATTACTAACCCGACTATCTGAATGCTAGTTTGGCCAGTCAAACCAGACCACGCTTGCCAATGATCTTGGTCGAATGGATCTTCAATTGAGACAACTAGAAAACGAAAAAAAATGTTTCGGGTTTTGTGAGCTAGTAGTTTTTAAATAAGATATTCATGAAATGTTTTGCACACAAAGAACGCTGATCTGAGCATTTTTGCTAAGTGATGATGAAATTTAATATACCTGGATATTCAGCTATAAATTCTTGATAAAGCGCACTCAGTTGATCGCCAGTTATCTGAAAATAGAAACAAGTTTTTTCTTTCAAAACTAATCTATATATTATCTATAATCTATGTATCTCTTTGCCCCTACTTTCTGAGAGGCCCAAGTGCTAGTTTTTTGGTAGAGCTGCACCACTACTTACCCACTTGCTAGGATCAGAATCTTTGTTTTTAAAGTCCAGATCATATTTTCCATCCTTGTAAAATTCTAAACAGGATGAACAGAAAAGCTAGAGGGCAAACATTACCAGTCTGAAGTATCACCAACCAACTCTACACCTACATAAATATTCCTGGTATATTGGTTAAATACCTGAAGCAGCCACATCCATTCCAATTTCAACTTTATCAGTGTAGCCAGCTTTAGCAATAGCCTCTTTGAGTAGTTCAAGACCTGTCAAATAATTGGTCAACCATTTAATTAGTTCTTAAGTTAAGTAATTATTTTCTATTAACCTTTTGGCTTCTTGTAGTAGAGCATCTGCAGTAGCATTAGCAATTATTGTTCCATTCATTTGTCCATGCACTAATATTTCAGCTCTTTTTGGCTTCCAAAACAAATTTCTTTTATACCTTCTTTATTGTCTTGGAAGTTGGGTGCAAATCCTCCTTCATCTCCAACAGCTGTGGCTGGATTAAAAGAAATTTTCTGACATTTTTAAATGGTTTCAATGAAACTGATTAATACAGATCTGCATATCATATGCAACCTAAACACAAGCAATTTTCTCTTGTCTATCACTTTTACCATCTAAACCATATTTCTTCTTGATAACATTCTTCAATGTGTGGTAAGTTTCGCATCCAATTCTCATGGCTTCTGTGAAACTGTCAGCACCTATTATGATGAGAAATGATAGGAAGTATAGATAAGAATGAAAAATACAGTTGAACTATAAGTCTGTGATAAAGGGTAGCAATATATTTGGTACCTGTTGGTAGAATCATAAATTCTTGCATTGCAAGTTTATTTCCAGCATGGCTTCCCCCATTGATCACATTAAATGCCTTGAAATATGCAGCAGTGATTAAATACTAGCTTGACAAGGATTGCTTTTAATGGGGGGATATGTATGAACATACCGGAACAGGGAGAACAACCTTCAAATTTCCAGCAAGGTCAGCAATATGACGGTACAGTGGCATGCCCTATAAATAAATCAGTACCAAAATTATACAGTACTTTCAAACAAATTGGTATACATGTATATATAGAATTTCAAATTTAAAACTGAAAGGATTATCACATTACCTTATGTGCAGCACCAGCTTTGCACACTGCCAGAGACACACCTAAAATTGCATTTGCCCCAAGCTTGCCTATATAGGAGAAAAAACATTTACAAAAAATATATAAAAAATCCAAAAACAATTAGAATTAAAAACATTGATGAGATGCTAACCTTTATTTTCAGTGCCATCCAATTCAATCATGAATTTATCAATGGCCTCTTGATTGGTCACATCTAATCCCTACATTGGATTTGGAGTTTTTTTTCTATTATTGGTGATTTCAGATACAATTGTGCTTCACATAAAGATCTCCATTGTAAATTTGCTTGGCATAATTACCTTTGCCAGCAACGCTGGTGCAATTATTGTGTTCACATTGGCAACAGCCTTTTGTACACCTAGTGATTAACAATTTGACATAGCATGTTAGTTAATACAGCTTCAAATTATCTTATTGTTTTTAGAAATTAGAGACACTTACCTTTTCCTAAATATTGAGTTGGATCTTTATCTCTCAGTTCCAAAGCTTCATAAACACCAGTGGATGCACCAGATGGGACAGCAGCTCGAAACTGACCTAAATACATCATGTGATGTACATCATAAATAAAGATCTTACAAGCGACATGATGTGAAAAATTATTCCAGTTGCTACTTAATTTGTTAGTGTAATTACCTTTGCTTGTAGTGAGGTCCACTTCAACAGTGGGATTTCCTCGGCTGTCAAAGATTTGTCTTGCATGGACTCCAGTAATTGTGGCCATCTAACAAAGAACATATGACTTGATTTGCGCAAGAGACAAACCGGAACAATGAAATTTTAAGGGCCAACTAAATACTAGTTTGTGAGAGTTTAGAAAGGTTTATAAAAAATAAATCATTGCACTGATTGCAGACGTGCTGGATGACATGCATCGATCCAGTAGGTAGAGGAACTACGAGCTAATTAATTTTGTAAGATTGTGAAAAGGGTGTTTCTTGTACAAAATACAGCTAATTAGGCTCCTCTCTCTGCAGTCCTCTTTTACAAAATGTACATCGATAGTTCACATCAACAAACATTTAGTCATATGTTTATATTTATAAACACGATGAAGTTACATAATAATCTGCATACAAGATCGAGCAATTATGCTAAATTTACCGAAGAATCGGTTGTTCTTTTTGAATAAACATATCTAACTCAAAGCCATACCTTTTATTTTGCAGTTCTCAATCAATCCTTTGCACAAAACTTTAAAGGTTTTCTGTCGATCGACTTCTTTTGGTATTTTGCACTTTCTTAGTTTCTTGTCACTTGGACTTTTAAAGATCAAGGGAAGGATAGGGTATATTACGTGTATTGAGGGATATTCCTTTTCTCCCTGGATACATATCCATATGTATCCCAATGTACTCCAATGTAAGCTTTTAAAAGTGGCGGGAAAAAATTAATTAACTTTCTTTTAAAGTATTTTATATTTTGAATTTTTTATAAAAAATAAAATAATTTCAAGGAAAAATTCTGAAGAAAATACAAAGATTGGAAAAGTAGTTTTTTATAAACTACAGAAAATAATGGAAAACCCCGAAGTACGCTCAGAGGCAGCTTTACGGGGAAGGGAATCGCTTGGAGAAGGATCGGCAGATCTTGAAAAATTGCTCCAAACTGCTGGTAAATTTGCACAAGTATAACTCTATCTAAAACCATTAACATCAGTTATTATACTCCTGGATATTTCCCTTCTTTCAGAGGCAGAGAACTTGCAAATGGTGAAACTCATCGATACAGAACGGCAAAGATCAACAGGTGCGCTAATACCTCAATCCCTCATACGAGGTTGATAATTTTTACTTTTAGCTATCGTTAAACTTCTTCCGTTTTAAAGAATTTCAGAAAAAGATTGAAGAAACATCTGCAGGTATTGAAGAGTTAGAAGAGTCCACGAAAAACCTAGATATTGAAGCCAAACAACTTCACAGCAAATTTAAGCAAAATAGAGAAATATGTGAAGGGTATGTATGTAGGCTATGCCTATGGCTATGGTGCAAATGCCAGCTGCTGTGAATGTGAAACAAATTGTGCATTATGCTTTGTACCTAGTCTGAAGAAAACGTCAACAGTTTTAGATGAACACGAGGAAGCGTTAAGAAAGAAACTTGAGATGATCAGTTTGGAACGACAAACGCAATTGTAAATGCAATTATAACTTGATGTAAACGCCCTTTTTAAAGTTAGCGATCGCCAATCGATAGTCAACCATGTTCATTTTGGTAGATTGCAGCAACAACAAGATATTGAGAAGTACGAGAAGATATGGGCAAGTTATTTGAATAAATACGAAGAGATTCCAATGGCCAAGGAGTTATCTAGGATTAAGGGAACAGCCATGAAGACTAAAGCATATGGTAAATGGAGAATTGGTTAATGGAAGGAGAACTGTACTTGGCATAGATGATGATATCATTCATGTATTATTTTAGTTTGTGAGATGTCTAAGCAAATTGCAGTCGTCCAATCACAAATCATCGATATGGAGGTGGAAAAAGCACATATGCAAGGTGAAAACATAGCTTCTTGTAAACTACGCTCAATTCATTATTAAATTTTATACCAGTCCAAGAGTAGACCACTTTTCAAATTTCTATTTCAAGCAGAATATCTTCAAGGAAATCCCGATACAGCAACCGAGAGCATTATCAAGATGTATCCTTCACGCACGTTATCGCATAAATAACAAGATTAACATCTGATAACAACTTCAATTGCAAGTTTGCTATTCTTTAACTCTGATCCATAGAGCAGATCTGTTCTTGAATGCGGAAAAAACCGCCACTGACGCAAGAGAGAAAGTACAAAGGTTAAAAGAGTTAAAGGGTAACCTGGAATCGCGGACTCCAAGAGAAATGAAAATAACAGAAAGTGAAAGCAACGTTGCGATGGAAAGCAGTGATGATTTACAAGGTGTGTGCTAGAAGCCTCAAGCGGAACAGAGAGAGGTGTTAGTTATTGTCTTCTTATCTTATTGATATGATTTAGTAATTGGAGAACTAGCAAGAATCAATGAACTCGAACAGAGTGACGTAGAAACCCCTACAAGGAGTACAAACAGATCATGTGTGACCGGACGCCAAGCTGAGAATATCAGGGAAGAGATAATCACCACCAAGCGTGTCTCCACTCATGTTATGCAAGTGTCTCATCAACGAAGCCAAGGAAGAGATTCACAAAATCATCAAACCTTCAATGAACAAGCTCCTAGTGTAGGGGAAACAAGTGATGTTTATCACGTAACCACACCAAGAACACCATCTTCCAATCAACACAGCAATCAGCAAGGTATATTTTATTGCTCGATATGGACTAGTATGAAAGAGTGATAATGCTTTGACCTAACTCTTTATTATCAGGTGAACCTTTAGAGTCTCCAATGGAACAACCACAGCAATCTTCAGAGGAAACCATTATGGTCACAGCCACTGCAGCAAACACGCCGACATCAGATAGTGTGACACCAGTTAACCAATCAGCTTCAAGTGCAGCAGTGAATGTATCAGCCGCACGAAGTCCACTTGATTTCAATAGACATCTGCAGTATATCAGACAGGTGGCAGTTTCTCCTGGCGAGGGATTTACCTACACTGGACGTTCCATGTATGGCAATAATAACCAGGTACAGTATACTGTAGGTTGTTGAGGGACGTCATGGGATCGATGGCAGTTCCTTTAGTATATTCCTCAGGTAACCATGATACCTCCTGTTTAGAATCAGGAAGAGGAAGCAACAAACGAAGAGAGAGAAACAGACGGCATCAGTTACGAAACACCATTGAATGACCAACAACAGGAACATGATATCGCTCTCAACTTCTTTCAACCTTTTGAACAACAACAGAAAGAAACGCAAGATCAAAATCTTTTCCAGGTGAACTGCCAAATGACCATCCAGCAGATTATTTCAAAGTACTCCACTTTCATCTCTACGGAGAAAGTATAATCTTAAAATTAAAATATATTTCAGGAAAGTTCTGAACCGTCTCCGGCCCGCAATAGGAGCATATTCAACACGCAACCGTCACCATCCAATACAGGTAAAAACGCAGAAAACGATCCTGACGATGTGCGAAGTACCTCATCATGTTCTTCAACAACTACAATGAGAGTAATATTTAATCCCTTTAGCAACTTCCAGTCCAGCTGAAAATTTCTCTTTTGGTGCGACGTCACCGAATGTAAAAAGTGGAACAAACTTTCTTTCATCTAATTCTTCAGATTTAGAACAAGGTATCAAATATCACTAAAAAAATAGGAAAGATGAAACGGAGAAGGAATGATAGAATAAAAAAACTAATAGAATGACTATCGTCTCGTTCCATTTCAGATGCTTCCAGTCACCAAGCAACATTTTCCTTTGGTACCACTTCTGATGCTGGTAATGATTTTCTTTCATCAAGAACTCCAAATGTCACGATGTTTGGTCAGAACAACAATCAAGCGAATGACCAGACATTTGAGGGAGGATTTTCTCTTTTCGGATCGTCTTCCTCGCCCAATCAGGAGCAAGAAGACACTGGAGGGTTTAATTTCAGTTTCGGTGGGGGGAAATCTCCATCCAGTTCTAACAACGGTTCATCAGGGTTTTTCCTGTTTTGAAATACTGCTGTAAAATTGTTAAACTTTGAATGCAGATACAAATGTATATGTTAAGTTTTCTGTTGAAAGTACTTAAGTACAATAATAAAATAAAAACACAGGTACAATACATCTATTATTATTTTAGTCCAGGAACAACAACAGCAAAACAGCGGGGACAAATGTCAGCACAACAACAATTCACAAATGTCAGCACAACAATTTTGTCAGATCATTATTACGATTGAATGTTTACAAGAATCTTGATGTAAACAAATAAATACACATGCAAGCGAACATGTTACATAAAATATATAGCTTTTGAATACAAGACTTTATACCGATGAAAGTCAATGATGGTGTGATTTGTTGCACGTAAACCAGTCACGTAGTGGATTTTACATCGAATGCGTACATGTGTATGTAATTTTTACCTAATCTTTACACTTAACACGATTTACTTACGGTACTCGACAGACTTAGTAATTTGTATATTCATTAAATTTCATTAAAATCACCGTTAATTTTCATTCCTGTTTGATCGAGATTTTGTCTCAATCCACTTTTTGATGCGTTCTTCCAACTCCGTGGCTAAAGAAAAAAGCTTAGACTTAACACAGGCAATGAACAATAGGCAGTAACAATATAGAACAATTTGAAAAGAACTTTGATACAATAGAACAATAAACCAACCTGGCACTAACATATCCATAGACAAAGATTTTCTGTTAAATGGATCGGTTGATGAATTCAGAAGATGACGTGTGATCACAGCTCGATCCATTACGGTACCGCTGGTCGGTAGAAGCACAGGCTCGGTCATCAGCGTATCCATAAGAGGATCTATATGGATTATTATTTATATATTCAAAACATGAGTATACATCAGGGGGGAGGAGCATATATCAGGGGGGAAGGAAGGTTTCACTGACCTTTAAATTCATCAGGTGCGTCTTCGTAATCCTCCTCCTTTTGAGCGTTGTCACATCTTTTCTTCTCCACGTTATCTGACATTTCTTGAAAGCTTGTTAACTCAATCTGAACAATCAAGGAGAATGTTCATATGTAACGACGTTTCTAATCAACAAAACCACTTTAAAGATCAGCGATTCTGCCTTTATCTAAAAATATACCTGAGTCTTTAAATTCGCTTTTCTCAAATATTTGCAAGCATCGACGAACAACTCTTTCTTGTACGATCTCTAAAACAATATAAAAGCACATATTTTAAACAAAACACAACCGTAAACTATTGCCGGTATTACTTAGTTCCGGATCGAAATTTTCCCATTGGACCCGTTCAGTATCCTATTCTCCCCTGTCCATCATAAAGAAACTATGGCAAGCAACCTGAACTGGATGCCTCCATCAATGCTTGAGAGATACGTCTACAACTTCCAAATAATCTTCCTACAGATCCTACAGGTACAACCACAACGAGATCATTACCTCGTCGGCTGCCAAAGCTTCTATAAATTTAGATGAATCCAAGTGAAGATAAATGTCTGTTATACGATTCAGCAACTTCTTTGGATCAAAGTTATACTTCTCCGGATTCTCAACCTGCGAGAAAAAGATCTATCACATCGACGAATCCATGGAAGCCGACGAGAATAAGATGCGTAATGAAGTTGTAGCTGTCTACCTTTAAATTTCGACATTTGGGGCCACACAGCTGAGCCAGGTTGTAGTTCAACATGGCTGCCAATCTATCACGCAGTTCCTGCACAAGATTAAAAGAAAAGGTTAGAAAGCCTGTAGAAGTAAAATTCAAATGATAGACCGTTAAAAAACTCCTTACCGCTCTCAAGAAAGGTTCGCTTGCTTCCTTCGTTAAATAATGCATCATTTCCACCGTCTCGTTGGCGAATGTCAGATAAGATTTACATTGTCTTTCGTTGCTCGCTAGTTGACGTTGATTTGTAGTGCGAGCGTCCTATTTTACAGCCAACAAAATACGTGAATACACACAATATTCGACAAGCAATGTACCGCACCATAGATAGCCCATGGACACACACTAATGGGCGACTTTAAACTAGAACTTACCCTGGTCAATGCCTCCCATTTCGGTCTATTTTTCATCAACTGTTGTATTTCATTGATTGATTTAAGGCAGTTCAGGGACTCGTCCAGCAAGAATGTTGTATCATTTATTAACATGTTCACGAAGCGAACGAACTCATCTGATCTGCTGTGAGCGAGTATCGCACACTTATGATGCAAATCTTTCCACAATTCTTTCACGATCACCGAGATATGATGACGAATACTGAACTTGTCGTAAAACTCGTTAGACGATCCCGTAGATTCAACCTCTGGAAAAATGAAAAATAGTGTAACTTCAAAAGGTTTTCAATTATTGAAATACGAGCTAAAGTTCTTATCTTGCAGAAGGCAGGATTGATTTAATTCCATGTCCTACTTACCAGTGTAAAATCTCATCAGAGCAGGAGATAGTTTATCCTGGCATATCGCATCGTATTTCAACATTTCCACCCAAGCGCAAGGTTTTGGTTGGTTGACCAAGATCCCAATAAATATCACCTAAAAACCCCACCAGACGAATATTCATTTGGGATACATTACGGAAAAATTCCGTGGAATAGTTTTGATAGTAAAAAGAATTTTTCCAATCACATTTACTCGGGAAACAAACCTCAATAAGTTTCGAGGTGAGATATGGATTTGACAAATATGAAGGAGTGCAAATCACCAAAATCATGAGCATTACAATACTTTTCATTGATGCGTCACCCATATTTTCCGCTCCATGCCTGAAATATTAATCAACACCTGTTTTAAACGACTGCTCCTCATGAGATGACTTTACTTCAGTCAGCACATATAAAACATAACGATACTTACACATTTATAAAGGTGAGAAAATCTGCAATATCTTCTATATAATACTCTGGCAGAGCCGCAAATAATCGAGGAACTTCTGGATCTAAGGGCAACTCGACTGGACTGTATAAATGGGAGTAAGGAATAGGTGAAAATGATAGCAATATAGATAATGCTAGTTTTACAAAACAAATTACGTCGCTGTAACTATAGCATTGGTTGTGGTAACGCGTGGCTAGTAGTTGGTGATTTTGAAGGGTGTAAAAATTTATAAAGATATGAATACCTTTCTTTAAAATTTTTCATCAGCAAGACAATCCAATCAGCTGTCACACTATAGTATTTCAGACAGTTGTGCCGAAAATCTGGATCCAGGAGGACGACATCTGAGCACACTTTTGAATTTATCAGTTTCTATAGAAAAAATGCACAACAGAGGTTTACCCCAGAGACTGGCAAGTCATGAAAACAATCGAGAGGGATGGAACTAGAATTAACCCAACGATTTATTAGTGACGTTATAATTTCATTACGACGTCAACAATTTCATTATAGCTTCATTGGCATGTACGAGTGACATTGCAAAAATGGAGCGAGCTAAACTGTTGATAATTGTTTTCTTAGGAGTGCTGACATTCCTGTTTGAATGTCCAACCGGCAGTGTTGCTGCCAGAATCTGCCCATTGCGGGCTGAACCCGTTTATCCTGCACAGGAAAACGGCATTTTGCGGTGCGCGTGTGTGCGCCCGTTCTTTGGGAAGAATTGTCGCTACAAACGTAAGATGAATACAGCAATTTCTTGTGTTCTTTCAGACTTCTTTTATAATAACATCATTATTTCTTTTAGAGCAAAATGGAACCATTGCGCTGAACGCGACAAGACTGACCAAGGAGTCGGTGTTGATGAAATGGAAAGAGAATGCCGAGCCGAATGAAGGGCGAAGATACTTGATATCTGTTCGCAAAGTTGAGTTCAAACTCTCAACTGTCAAACTTCATAAATGGCAGAAGGCATCCATCGAGTACATGGAACCTAACAACACCCTGTTCAAGTCTCAACAAGAGACAGAATCAAGCGACGACCTGAGTGCGAAGGAAATGTATACTGACTATACTGCTGTTCTTCGACTGCCAGGGACGTCCTCATACGAGGTCAAGATCACTACTCTTTCGGACGCTGGAACCGCTGGAAACCATGTTGGGTCAACATCTGCAATCTTTGATGCCTCGGACGCTTTTGTGAATGGTGAGTGGGAATGATTTGGAAGCAAAACTAAAGATTTGGATTTACTGTTCCTCAAAACTTTTGAAAAATTATTTTTTTCAGGAACAATGCTGGGCATTTCAGAGAAAATGGACCAATTTAAGAACTATCTTTTTGAAAGCTTTGAAGACGGCTGCGCTCTTAAAGGAATGGTAATCGGTGTTGTTGTTGGAACTCTTGCAACACTGATTATCATAACCATGGTATATGTCCTCAGCAGGTATTAACAGCAAGCACTTTGAAGTAACAGCAAAGAAAACAAACCCCAGCCAATGGCAACGTGTAGTTTAACAAAATATTATGATTTATGTTGCAGATATTGCCGTAAGTGCGTAAGATATTGCTGCAAGAAATGCGGTAACAATTCTGGTGTAAAACTGAATAGAAGTGGGCAGACATCAAGCACTAAAACACCTGAACCTTATGTCATTATTGATATATACGGCTTTGACGTAAGTTTGGCATTATTTCCTGCAACAGGGGAATAAGTCAACGGTTTAAAAGCTAATTCAAATATTTTCAACAGCCTGTTCCAGTAGATACAACTGAAGTAACTCAACGAGCAAAGAGCAAAGAGTGCGTGATTGTTGAAGTCGACAACGCAGCTTACAGCCCAGCCGATAATGATGTGGTTAAAGAGGATGCACCTGAAGCAGAGGGAGAATCACATGATGATGGAGAGACCGCACAACGTGAACAACATGAAGTTACTGTTGAGCCAGAAACCATCAATAGCGAGGACGAACCTCGCAGCATTTGAGGATTGAAGACAGATCCTGAGGGGGGTGGGAACATAACTGCAGTATTAACGGACACAGATTACAGTAACATATATGTTAAATGGTATAAATTTCTTCTTGTACAGTATTGATTGCAATGATATATGATATTTGATTAAAATTTTTAAAACTTTATACATGGTATTGTTGTTCGAGTTTGATCCGTTTACACCACTGTGATTTTAACTCTAATCTATATCTTAATCTCAATCTAATCCTAAACCCAATGCTTTTATGCTAAAAATGCACAACAGAGGTTTGCCCCAGAGACTGGCAAGTCATGAAAACCATCTAGAGGGATGGGACTAGAAACAAGCCAACGATTTATTAGTGACGTTATAATTTCATTACGACGTCAACAATTTCATTATAGCTTCATTGGCATGTACGAGTGACATTGCAAAAATAGAGCGAGATAAACTGTTGATAATTGTTTTCTTAGGAGTGCTGACATTCCTGTTTGAATGTCCAACCGGCAGTGTTGCTGCCAGAATCTGCCCATTGCGGGCTGAACCCGTTTATCCTGCACAGGAAAACGGCATTTTGCGGTGCGCGTGTGTGCGCCCGTTCTTTGGGAAGAATTGTCGCTACAAACGTAAGATGAATACAGCAATTTCTTGTGTTCTCTCAGACTTCTTTTATAATAACATCATTATTTCTTTTAGAGCAAAATGGAACCATTGCGCTGAACGCGACAAGACTGACCAAGGAGTCGGTGTTGATGAAATGGAAAGAGAATGCCGAGCCGAATGAAGGGCGAAGATACTTGATATCTGTTCGCAAAGTTCAGTTCAAACTCTCAACTGTCAAACTTCATAAATGGCAGAAGGCATCCATCGAGTACATGGAACCTAACAACACCCTGTTCAAGTCTCAACAAGAGACAGAATCAAGCCACGACCTGAGTGCGAAGGAAATGTATACTGACTATACTGCTGTTCTTCGACTGCCAGGAACGTCCTCATACGAGGTCAAGATCACTACTCTTTCGGACGCTGGAACCGCTGGAAACCATGTTGGGTCAACATCTGCAATCTTTGATGCCTCGGACGCTTTTGTGAATGGTGAGTGGGAATGATTTGGAAGCAAAACTAAAGATTTGGATTTACTGTTCCTCAAAACTTTTGAAAAATTATTTTTTTCAGGAACAATGCTGGGCATTTCAGAGAAAATGGACCAATTTAAGAACTATCTTTTTGAAAGCTTTGAAGACGGCTGCGCTCTTAAAGGAATGGTAATCGGTGTTGTTGTTGGAACTCTTGCAACACTGATTATCATAACCATGGTATACGTCCTCAGCAGGTATTAACAGCAAGCATCTTGAAGTGACAGGAAAGAAAACAAACCCCAGCCAATGGCAACGTGTAGTTTAACAAAATATTATGATTTATGTTGCAGATATTGCCGTAAGTGCGTAAGATATTGCTGCAAGAAACGCGGTAACAATTCTGGTGTAAAACTGAATAGAAGTGGGCAGACATCAAGCACTAAAACACCTGAACCTTATGTCATTATTGATATATACGGCTTTGACGTAAGTTTGGCCTTATTTCCTGCAACAGGGGAATAAGTCAACGGTTTAAAAGCTAATTCAAATATTTTCAACAGCCTGTTCCAGTAGATACAACTGAAGTAACTCAACGAGCAAAGAGCAAAGAGTGCGTGATTGTTGAAGTCGACAACGCAGCTTACAGCCCAGCCGATAATGATGTGGTTAAAGAGGATGCACCTGAAGCAGAGGGAGAATCACATGATGATGGAGAGACCGCACAACGTGAACAACATGAAGTTACTGTTGAGCCAGAAACCATCAATAGCGAGGACGAACCTCGCAGCATTTGAGGATTGAAGACAGATCCTGAGGGGGGTGGGAACATAACTGCAGTATTAACGGACACAGATTACAGTAACATATATGTTAAATGGTATAAATTTCTTCTTGTACAGTATTGATTGCAATGATATATGATATTTGATTAAAATTTTTAAAACTTTATACATGGTATCGTTGTTCGAGTTTGATCCGTTTACACCACCGTGATTTTAACTCTAATCTATATCTTAATCTCAATTTAATCCTAGACCCAATGCTTTTATGCTAAACCTTACCTTTATCTTCTCCTTCCATTTCTTTAACAATAATTTATTCCTTGCCGCCATTGGCGAGTCCTTCCACTCTCCTTCACGTGACTCAAGTTCCTCAACCATCGTAGTCATATCTCTTAGTGTCCTCCATGTTCGTGAGTATTGTTGCAAGCAGGGCATGATGGACAGGTGATGACAATGAAAACACATGAAGTAACATTCTGTCGGAAATTTTACCGCCTTCCACTCCATGCTTGAATCTAAAAACGAATCAATGGAACTGGATGTTATATACAGGTTTAACAGGCAGGGTGCGATCTAGTGGCGGAGAGAACAAATGTAAGGGAAGAAGGTGGAGAGTTACACAATAATTAAAGCCGGTGATCTCGGAATGTAGATGATTTCTTGAAAGAGAAAGTCTTACCCAAATCTTCTTTCCATTTCTTTATTTCGTCTGAAGTTCCGTTCATTCTCGTGTCTTGCGAGATATCAATACGGCTATTCGGATGATGTAAGTAGTAATGATTGATCTGAAAATTCAAATTCCGTATTAAAGATGTTGTCCTGACGAGGTTTCCATTACAAAATAAATCAAGTTCAGTATTCACATCGCAACCAACCTTATCTAAAGTGACCTTATGGCACAGGGTTTGCAAAACGGACAAAAAATTTGTCATAAATCCATTTGAAGAATGTTTCGTATCATCACTCTATACCAGAGAGTACAAGATGAAGCTATTACTATTTTTCAATTTCTTAAATTTCCATTTTTTTAGATTTGTACCTGAATATGGGATCTTTTATGATTTCGCGATAAAACTTCAGCAATATACGCTAGGGTTTTTTCTCGGCTTCCAATTGACACCAAAAGACTGTGAATAATTTTGAAAAGCTCGTTCTGAAATAAACATTGGTTATCAAGGTTATTACATGCATCTGCATGCTCGGAGGAAGCAATTCGGTTCCCGCTACCCTGTGAAACCATTCAGAACCCACTCACCCACCAGAACCATTGGCCATTGCATTTGAGATTGTTTTCAAAATGTCTTCCCGTTATCATAAGTTAGTTTTATCAGTGAAAATTTGAGCCAGATACCGAACTATAAACATTTGTTTACGAATTAAATACAAATGTCCGGCTTCTTACTTACCCTCACATTATGTAATAATTGTCTGAGTCGATTTGTGCTGAGAATTACGGCATCTTTTTTCATATTTGTATTTGAAAAATATTTCTCAGCAACAGCCTCCTGTAACAACAACAATTGATAGAGATATTGAAAGTGCACTTTTTTACCAAAAAAACCGGCGGAACAATTTAGTTTAAGAATCTCTTTCCGGACGCAGAGATGACGTACCGAATCTTCAAAGAATACGGAAAGACTGAAGAATGGTCCAAGGAGAGAGATTCTCTCTAGTTCCTTTCCACTCGCTTCGGACAAAGGTTCGGGCAACCATGAAGGTAGTTTAACCATCTTAAAGAGAGGAAGGACTTAGGGTTATTCCTTTTCCCTAATAATGATCGACGGAAGATAAGATCATAAAATTTCATCTACATGATATTGCGTTGAAGAATATTGCATTCACCTACCAAGTTACAAATTGGTCTATTCGAGGGGGATCCGAGACGCACGTCGCACAATTCCGACATCGCCTCCAAAGGATATTTGTACTCATTATCAGCCAACGTGCAATTCTTAGCCCGTTCTGCAAGACCCAATAGCACTGGTGCAAACACTCTTTCCATAGCGCTGATGTCATCTGCTAACAGCTGAACTAGACCAGCCATGAATCCTGCTGGCCGCTCGCTTTTATCTTCAAGTAGATACTGCAGCAGTGGACTTGGTTTGAGAACTGATCTAAATATATACACGAATCAAAGAAGGCTTTAGACAATAGTAATTAATAAGATTTTATAAGTTTGTTCCAGTTACAATGTCAATATATACAGGATAATTAAGGCTTTAAACACCTCTCAGAGAAGGTTCCTTGAAGTACCAATGATGAAAATCTCAATGCTTGCATCCTTGCTTGTTTCAACATGTTAGTCCAAACCTCGCTATCGCAGCGCTATGATAAATGTTAATGAAGAATTAATACGATATCCAACTACAACTTAAACTCTTAATTTCTTTATCAAATTGATGAGTTTCATACTTTTTGATGTTCCTTATCAACTTTATCTACTCGACCGTAGGATTTCATAAAATACACAAAAAGTGTATCAGCAAAGTCCACATTTTTATCTGCATTCTCTTTATCATTTTTGGGGAAAACTTTCTCCTTTTCCTGCGATTTTTCAATGGCAATTTTCTCCATCAAGACATTGCTGATGAATGCTTCCAAATCAAGAAATGCTATAATTTTGAAATTATATATATTATCACATTTTTTATGAACAAGTCACGCACATTCATTTCAAAATAATTACTATAATTGATGTGCAAGATGTGCTACGATGTTGCCAACATAAAATACCTTCAGAGGAACTTCTGCATAGCTCCTCAGAAATCTCTGGGAGGTATTGGGCAGTTGAGGATGGTGTTTTCTTTTCCTAAATCGTGATCATTTATATGTTTTAGACAAATTGATACTGTGAGAAATAATATAGCATTTAAATCAGAGAGGTATATATATTGTGACACTAGTTGTAAATAAGTATACTCACATCAAAGCATACATGAAATATATCTGCAATCGCACTTTTCAGTTGTTCATTTGTGATACCCAACTAGAAGGAGTTAAGTGCAGTCATAAATCAGATGAAAAGTACTAAAGTGCATGATGTATTTATACTAATCGGTGAATTAACCAACCTGGAAGCATGCAATTTCTGATGAACATTACCTTTTCTGATCTTTCAGTATTTTCTCTGGATTTTTTTACTGCTTGGAGAAGCTCTGGTGAGGCTGCAGGGGCATTTGGAGATAATCTTTTACCACACTTATCCCCAATCATTCCCTCATCCATTCTTTCATCCTCATCAACCTCCATTGATTGTGAGTCAAAGCCACTGTCAAGTGATCCCAGAGAACTTTCTGCTTTGTCATGAATCAAAGGGATATTTCCTAGTGTCAATAATCATGAGAGTTATTGGTTTAGATTTACCAGAGTTAGCAGGTAACATGAATAATATTCAGGTGAAGAATGCATGTTCTCTTATTTCAATTAATCTGACATATTTAGCATATATTATGGCCAAGTTGAAAACATAAGTTTGAAAAAAGGCACAGAAATGATGTGATACCTGGTGGCGACACAGCCATAAGAAATCCAGTGTTTGGACTTGTTGCATACGATGACATTGCGACAGGCGAAGACACTGGGCTAGATGTTGATGGGTTCTGATTGGCTGTCTGGGGACTCATCGATAGCCTAGCAAGCCTACGCTGCCGAATCTTCGAAAGAGATTTAATATTAAAATACTGTGCAACAGGTGTATTTTCTAATCAATATTTTATATTATATATTTTGCCTGGGGCACATCAGAAACTATGCTACTATACTTTTATAGTGAACATGTGATACAGAAAGAAAGCTCATTTAAAAAGCAAGCCCCATTTATGTAAAAGAAAAGCTTTAAAGTTGATTTCAATATAGATAAATATTGGCAATGTACTAAATTATATTCAAAGTATCAAATTGTATGTAAATAACGATAACAGTCGAATTTTGACGTAATAAAATTTATATTAAACAAACATGTGAGATTTATTTAAAACAACTTCTGATCATGATTTAGTTCTTATGATAAATAGTTTCACACTAATATATATATATATTTCGTTTAAAGATGAAAAAATCTGAAGTCTTAGCACAGGTGAATGACTATAAGTGAGTGACTCATCATGATGCATGACCAGGATTATTTACACCAGCCATTTGCTTTTAAAAAAAGTAATATTTACACAGTAAAATGATAACTTTTCCACTTACTTCTTCAGCGGGTAACTGGCTCATTTCCTCTATTAATGGACTTGAGTGGTCCCGGACTAAATGATCGCTTGGATGTTAAGAAATTTTACAATATTTGTCAAAATATAAACAATGTTTTTAAATGTCTCAAAATGCCTTTTAAATTTTGACGAGCCCGTGTGATTTGAGGTCAGTGATTGGCGTTTAACGATCTAAAGACGATGACGTCACACTTGACGTCACCATATGTAATTAACGAATCGTCGTCATAGTAGTGGTAGTTAGTTCAAGCAGGGCGCATATGCGCCCTGGTTCAAGATATGCATCATAGAAACCATCATAGAAAAATTGATCTTTCCCTTTCAGTCTATTCTTGAAGGTTATTTTTTAAATGAGCACTTGGGCTATATTTATTTTAGGAATCCACATTCATCTCCCCCCCCCACTCCCCATCGAAAACCGGTGGTCTTCACTGTCTCAAGTATATAGGTCAGGGGTCTCACACTGTCCACCACAATGCGCAAAGATCGCGCGGAAAAAACCCGAGTGGGAAAACAAGAAGAACGAAAATTGGAAGCTATTGTCTGATACGAAAAACCTTTCAAAGTGAAGCAGATATCGCAATATGCAAAATTTTAAAATCGAACTAAAAACAAAGGACAATATATATCGGCAAATATTTAATATATTTATTTGAAAGACAATGAATAACAGTCTAGAAGAATAAAAATACGGACATGCAATACACACATACGGAATGCGTTAACTAAGCGTGCTTTCGAGTTAAAACTTTCGTACCATAACAATTCATCCACGTCTATTTCAGGAGGAATGAATGTACGAGAAAAGAACATTAAAAATGTTCGTTTCGTGCGAGGCGTAAACCATAAGAAATTTTACAGTGTGGTCTTTATGTAACCTATGACAGAATTAAATAGTCTTTTCTTAAATTCCCGCGTCATCGTGGTTCTGAGGGGACGCGGAACGTCGTGGGGATCCTGTGGGGGAGCCCCGGTTGGGTGAGGGTGATCTGGATTGACGGCGAGGGGATTGGGACCGAGATCGTCTTGGTGAGCGTGATTGGCTGCGACGGGGGGAACGGGATAGCCTGAAAGAGAAGAGCGAATGTGAGAAGTTTAATATTTCAAATCTAGTCATTATGAAACGAAGGCTGGGGACATATTGAATATTACATGACGTAGCAAGGGATGTTGTAGTTTACCTCCTTGGTGAACGAGATCGGGAGCGCCTGCGACCTCCACCGCTGACACCGCGACCCTAAAACAAGGCGATTATTAGTACACACGTGATAAAAATCAAGCATAAACTTTGGATTACAGAAATCTTCAATATTCAGTACCTCAGATAATCGTAGGCGTCTTCCCATAAGTTCAGTTCCGTCGAGTTTTTTTATCGCTTTCTTCATATCTTCCTCGCAGGCGAAATCTACAACCCTGCCAAAATAAACATAACTATTTATTTCTTTTTCAAACAACTTTCTTTTCATTTGATTTTCATCTACATGACACACACGAGGAAAAGTAACTCAGACAAACTGATGACCAGCATCAGGTTGAAAGGGTAAAGCACAGTGGGGTAAAGACCTGACTCAAAGACAACCTACCCTTGTCCAGCACGATCTTTGTGGCATTGAGTAAATGTCACTTCACCAGCTTGCCTCATATAATCTTTCAAGTCCTGTAGGGAACAAACGTTCTGTTGTAGGCTAGACCTTTTACTATTGCTATGAAAATGGGCCTGTTTCAAGCAAATGTTTAGCTGAACATATGGGAACCAGCATTGGGGTGGCAAACTAGCTTTGGTAACGATTGAATTGCTGTTGAACAATCAGAGATAAATCACCTTACCTTTCTACAAAAAGAAAACATTTAGTGCCCAATTACATGAACTAACAGTTTGTTGGAAAACCAGTAGTTGGTTAAGGTGAGGGCCATAGCCATTTTCCAGATTTTATTAGGCCAATGATTGAAAACCAAGAAAGTTTTGTACAAAGACCATGCCATATTTTACCAGAACTTAACCAAATTTGAGCCCAAGGCCATGAGGATGGTATCTGCCAATTTTTTTTGTCTCAGCAGATTTCAACCAATTCAACAAAACCAACCAGAGATAGAGTCTAAGTAACTGAACTAATTTGGGCCAATTTAGAGAGAATTCCCGGAGCATGGCCAGGATATGAGTAGAACCATACCAATAATGCACCATTGAAAACCAGCCAAATATATTTTATACATTGCCCACACAAGCCATCTCTAATAGCCAAATAAGCCACCTCTAGCTTATGCACTTTAAGCCAGGAGACCATAAACATGCGATAGTACCTGTTTAGTATAAAAAGTAAACTACCTGAATTATTTTATAATGTATATGGCTGTTTTGAGAGACACACCTATTACCCTGATCATTTTTTAACCCGATATAATTTCATACAAACTATAATTAGACTATTAGGTTTCAATACTATGGTAGCTTTAGTAGACTCACCTGCCAGCCAGCTCTGGTTGACAAGTTGTCAACAATCACCCTCCATTCAGTGTTATATGGTGCACCATACCTGCTTAAAAAAACACAGAATACGGTATAAGATATGTAACAAAACAAAAAATTAAGAAACAAAGGAAATTCATTTGCGAAAAAAGATAATCTAAACCCTAACCTGTCACGGAAACTATTGCCACCATCTCTCCTGCCATAGTCCCTTCTATCACCACCATAGCTGCTGCCACCACCACCTCGATATCCTCGAGATCTGTCTGGTTTTGCGTGCTCAACTGTCACTCTGAAAGGTGAGAACAAATAGTCAGATCACAAGGTTGGAAGCTACTGCAATGTAACATACGTAACTATAAAAGCAATTGGTTTTGTCATCATCACCTTTCACCCAACAAGTCCTTGTTATTAAGATCATGAACAGCATCATCAGCATCTCTGTAATCTTCAAATGCCTGTGTATAGTTGAAAAAATGACCCCAATTTACCATTAATGGTACCATTATTACATACATCCATTACATACATAAGTAATACCTTTAAAATATGGTTGATTTTAAGTGAAACATGTTGGTACATGCAACTTCCCATCAACAGTTATTCGTCTAGCCTATTCCCAAGCGTCCTCCCGACCCCTCCCCCCCTCCACACACAGACACACCAGCTGTATATTAATTATTAAATTTACAAGATAAAATTTTTCACACAAAAAGTCAATTTTACACGCTAAATAGTGCAATCAAAGAAAAACTATTCCTCCTAAAGGCTAGTTTAGGTTGTATACATAATATTTCAGTCAAAAAATCAACGATCGATGACAAGAATAACGAAAGAATGAATCGTTAAATAAATGAAATAAAAATATGCAACTCACAACAAACGCGAAGCCGGTCTTCACATTGATATCACGAATTCTTCCGTAGCCTTTAAAGAAGCGCTCGATGTCGCTTTCACGAATTCGGTAAGGCAGACGACCAAGGAATACTCTAGCATCGTTATCGCGGCTCATTTTGAACAAAATTTTCAAATAAAAAGTTTTAAAATAGTCTTCTTGCACACAACTAGATCTGGCTTTGCTTTTATTTGGCCACGAAATAATTATGCTAATTTTATCACGTGCTTTAATCCATATGACGCATTGACGTCACATCTTTGATGACGTTTTCCTTTCACTGATCTACAGTGAAAACTGGATAGGTTTTCTCACTTAGGTCAAAGAAAATCACTATTAAAATATATTTCTATTTTCCTTGTCCACAAACGATATTAATACAAACATTTGAAGTCCAATCATTTTTCAAAAACACATTTTACATCTACAATTCTTATATTATACAATCTCTATGAAAGTATTTATGTGGACTGTTTAGTTTTTACCACATCTTTGTGGTTCATTGTGATAAATTATACTGTTTAGTATCTTCTTTGCCGTCTCAATTTGGAGGGGATGCGGAACGGCGAGGTGATTCACGTTTCTCAGAAGGTGAACGAGATTCACGACGTGGAGAACGGGACCCAGACCTGCCTCTTCTCGGTGAAGGCGATTGACTCTTTCGGGGGGAACGTGATCTAAACAGAGCAATAATTGCAATATAGCTTGTCAACTCCCCCAGGATACAATTCTATCTAAAAAAATGCTTGACATGATGCTGTTACAGTAATATTTTTACCTTCTAGGTGATCTTGAACGAGAACGCCCTTGACCGCCTGGGGGGAAACCCTTACTCTACAGTAGAATAATTAAATAGTCATATTTATACAATGATTTAAAAGTTTTGAAATACTTTTTTGTGAATGTCGGATAAAATTTGATGGAAAGTTGTTTGAAGATGCTGTTGCATTGCTTTTTGGTTATATTGGAACATACCTCAGTTAATTTGATGCGTTTACCCATTAACTCAGAACCATCTAGTTTTCTGATAGCTCTTTTCATGTCATCTTCATTTGCAAATTCTACAATACTGAAAAACAAAATCACCTCACCAATTTAAGTTATCACCTTCAATAACACATGTATAATAACACATGGTATCTAAACCCAGCCTTACCCTTCGCCTGCTCTGTCTTTGTGACATTGTGAGAAGGTTACTTCACCAACTTGCCTCATGTAGTCTTTCAAATCCTGACAAAAATACTTGCTTAATCAATTTTAACAAATATTAAAAATATTGATCTTTAACACAACAGATACTTTGCAGGATCTTGCAAGAGCAACTTAGATTGTTAGGGTTAAAATAAACATAATTTTCTGCCAGAAAATTACTGTTTTAAAATTAGCTGCCAAGGAAACTGAATGTTTGCAATTGAAAGAATCATATTATGAAATCAGTTCACATTCTGTTTATCTTGCCTTACCTGCTAAAGACAACAAATCATTAATTGACCCAGGACTTTGAATCAACAATGGTTGCAAAGCAACCACAAAAACTGGCAACTATTCACATGTGACATGATGAAATGGTCAAGTGGAAATGACTTCCAATCATCGCTACCAAAGCTTTTTCGAAAACAGCAAACACTCAACCGATGTCACCCAAACTAATCTAATGTCCACCAATTTAGCACAAGCTCCAAAAACACCAGAAAAGCTCTGGTAAGTGCTAAGGCAATTGAAGCGACCACTGACATGCTGAACTGAAAAACCATGGTGAATGGAACACCAACCAATCAAATTTAACCAAATTAAACCATATCTAGTGTTGGCTACAACTGTGGACCATATCTAGTGTTGGCTACAACTGTGGACCAAATATAACCGAAACCACCTGTTTGGTACAAAAGCAAACTTACTTATTATTATAATCCTACAGGTTTCAATTCTTTAAGAGTACCCAGCAAATTTCACACAAACTCTTCTAGAACTATTCCAAAAGAGTTGCTCTGCATTGTTTGCAATAAGTCACTCATTTTTTATTTACTCACCTGCCAACCAGCTCTTGTAGACAAATTCTCAACAACAACTCTCCATTGTGTGTTATAAGGTGAACCATACCTATGAAGTACCATCAAAGAGTTGCAATGTCGTATTCATAGGCATCTTGTGATTTGCGTTCAAAACATTTATCTATACCAACTTGAACATACTTTTCCCGGAATGTAAAGCCTCCACCTCCATTACGACCACCATAATCACGTCTTCCACGATCATACCCACCACCACCTCCACTCCTGTATCCACCAGACCTTGATGGTCGTGCATGTTCCACTGTGACCCTGGATGATAACATACACCAAGTTTTATTAAGTTATGGCATATAACATTAAGTTATGGCATATACATGATTTACTGTCTTTCAAATTGAGATGTCTGTCTCTCTGCAATGTCATGTTATTTACACAGCAAACAGTCCTAGCATAGGTAAATGTCTAAAATGACAGCAATTTCCTTGTACAAAACAGGTCCAAACTAATTGTATACCTATCTCCCAGTAGATCTTTGTTATTTAGATCATGAACAGCGTCGTCAGCGTCACGAGATTCCTCAAATTCCTATAAAAAGAGAAGACATACGTCCTGATTTCTTGAAGACAATAGCAGCAGTAAGAAGATCTAAGAAGGCAGTATAAGACCACTCACTATGAACGCGTAACCAAGTTTTAGATGGATATCTTGTATACGACCATAGCCTTTAAAAAATTTCTCTATATCTCGCTTATCCGCGCGATGCGGAAGTCGACCGATAAACACTCTAGATCCTCGTTCGCGACTCATACCGTCAGTTTTTTTTTGGAAAGAAGCACCAAGAAATGAAATTATTTAGAAGTAGGAACAACACAACACGTTCGTACCTGCCTTAATCCTGAATATTTAATTAGCCTTCCCAAGGTACCTTACGGGCAGCATTCACCGACCTGAAAAACGCAAGGCGCCAATGACACGGCGGGTGCGATACTGCGCTGCAGGTTGGTGCGGCACGAGGTTGGGCCATTGAGTCGGGTCAACTTAGGTGGTTCGTGGGTGGCCCAAACGTGGGCGCATACCTCTTTTATACGCATTTCAATTCAGAAATCGTGCAATACAGCGAGCAATTTGCATTGCAAATAACCCCCTGTAAATCACCCCTTGAATTACACTTTTACAAATAAACTACAAGATCCGTGACATCCATTTTGGCATTGGGTTAATAGACAATGATTTGACACGATTAAGCCGAAACTACTTTTAATAATGACAGGATAAACTTCCCAACATAGCCCTAGGAAATAACATCGATAACATCTAATTCTTTGTTCACTTCATTAGCATGCATAAAGGTCAAAGTCTACTAAGTCTAAGGATAAAATATGCAGAGAACGAACGCTAAAGAAATAACGCTAAGAAAGCTGCTTTGAAAACCCATTTGTGAACCCGAATGTCCAAAAATTGTTTGAACAACGTCCTTATTAGGGTTATAGGAAGCATTATACGCGAAATGCAAACACCTGCCCTTATATTTATTTTGGTCAGTATACTTGAAAGAGTCGCCCCACATGCTCTCACACAAGTCTTTGCCATCTTTGTATAGTTCCTTAAAAGTCGTACAGTTTCGTTTGCACGTGTTGTGACCATCTGCGGTGAAGTTAAAATCAGATCCCCAATTCTTAGCGCAGCTTCTGTCGTTTTTGCAGGCATCAAACCAATCGTCACAATAGTTTGAGCATACTGGAGCGTCGTTGAAAGACTTCGGAATCTTCGGCTTAGCCCAAAGACCCACGTAAGGCGAGCAACTGTAGAAGCATTCGACTTCAACCATAAATTTTTGACATTTCTGGGATAAGTTACCGCATAAGGTCCACGAGAAGTTACCAATCTTTTCGATCACATTTTTCGCCAGTTGATTCGTGAATTCAGACGTACAACATGAACTGTTTTTGAAAACGTGACAGGCTTTATAAGAATCGTCCTCTCTACTTGGTTTTGCCTTATGCCTATCTCCAGGCAAACATACTCCCTTCACCTCATGAGTGCTTCTTGCCAAGTGAAGAGAAGCGAAAGTCACGACACAAACGACGAGCCACTTCATAGCGTTCATCTTCTTTCAACGACTGATATCCTACTTTGATAAGCACGTTCTTTTAAAGATTTACGCAATTTACGTAATTTATTATGTAACACTTGAATGCTATATCAACCATGCCGACCACAAACGCAACAAGAACTAAAGTTATGAAAGCATTTTACTTAAATACTTCATGTCATGTTCGCTTTCTGCGTGCGCATTGTTTCTATGTCTGTCAAATACGGTTTAGTATTTCAAAATGTGTCATAATTAAACATCCTACAGTGTCACAGACAAAACAGTTAACAGGGCATTCGTTTTGTTATGTTTCGTCCCGTGGCGTGCCGTGTGTGAAAACCTACTTCTCACGACCTTGTCACTCATTTTTTGTTTCGCAATTTTTTTATTATAAATTATTTGTTTCTTCATTGATCGAAGGAAGATTGATGATTGATCGACTCAACTTTTAGTGCTTAAATTGGTGAAATTTTTTTTTAACACATGTAACAACACACTGAAGGTCATTGCCACGATGAATGAGTTAGAATGACGCATCAATTTCAGTTCAAAGTTGAATTTTTTTTAAAATATGTGCAAAATTAGGAATTAAATTACATTTACAAATTACATTCTTTACCATTATATGGATACATCCAACGTTTTAGTTTACAAAATGTACAAATTTATGAAATGCACGAATACTTCACACTTGAAAGTCCAACACTGGCAACAGAAAAATCAGCTATTTTACAATCGAGTAGAATACTGGGTACACTTGATACTGAGAGGGATTAGTGGTCAGATTACCAATGGTGCGTTTCAGGGAGGGCAAACAACTTTAGGAATGCACGAAGGCCCTCTAGTGGCCACACAAGCGACCGGTGGGACCAGACCCAGTGCTTTTGGACTGAAAAATGCCTAATAAAGCATGTACTAGTAAGTTACCTATATTAAATTAATTTAAGGGGGATTTCGTTTGAAACGAAGGTCTCTTATATTTCAGGCATTTTAGACACTATTCATGACACTGTCCATTACAATCGACTTGCAGTCGAAGAGAATCAACGGTCACCTATCCTCCTCGGATATTTGTACAAGTAAACCAGATAAGACAATTCTTGAGGGCAGTTCTAGATACCAGTCCCTAGCATCTAACTCCGTCTCACTGTTCGTGCCAGTGCACTTCGTGTAACCTTGAGAAGGCAAACGGATCTCAAAAGCCACTTGCATGCTTGATCGCTTCCCAGTCGTCGTGTCTGTAAAACTAAATGAAACAGATCCCCAGTTATTAGTTAACACAGCCGGGGTGGGTAATACTCCAGAGAATCCAGTGAATATTTAGATCAGTGGATCCAACAAGCAACTCACAGAAATTTTTTAACATTGGTAAGCGTCGTTGCACGAACAATACTTGGTGACACAACAATTTTCTTGTCTCCATGTCCGCTGATCAAGTGACTGCTTCTTTGAGGTGGCAAAACGGTACCTCTGTCCAGCGTTCGTCGTATGGAACCCACGTGCACAACAGTGTATGCTAAATGGTTCTTGGAGAACACTTCGACAGAATTCAAATTCGGAGGTAGTCTAAATATGTGGAGTAAAATTTTAATTAGCCGACCAGCTATTACTTTCGTGGGTGGGCGAGCGTCCCTCTTGAGAAGTGGGACTGGTCACTAAGGGAAAAATCAAAGAAAGTAGAAGAATACAAGGGCTGCCAAATCGTATGCGGTTTGGTTTGTGGTGCAACTCTGTATACAGGGTTGTAATATAACAGGTTGTTTGACCTTAATTCAAATTTGCACCATCCAGTTGGACGAGTGTATTCCTGAGGTGGATCACCGCTGACTGCGACACGATGCTCACCACGGGTATCACAACAAGTGGAACAGTAACATATAGCATTTTGCTCAAAGTATTGTTCTAGAAAATATATACAACAGAATAACGATACACTACTTGTAGTGAACATCAACAGCTGCTTCAATATGCGAGCTGCCTCCTCCCCTCAGTTTCCTGCAGTCCCTGTGCCTCAGGAAAATACCAATCAGCTTACCGGGTATTCCAAGGGTCATTTTAAATCTTTCACAACTTGTTTTGTATTCACAATTTGGACAGGAGAGCATTTTATCTAGAAGGAAAAACATCAAAACATTCATCAACTGATTGAGTGACTAATCGACCTGCTGGCAGGCTATTATACTCAGCTGTTTAGCAAACAACTAACCAAACGTAATCCACTCACCTTTGCTCTCCTCTAGTGATGCATCTTCTTCCTCGACTTTGTCATTTTCAGCGTCCTCCTGGCTCTCTTCCCCAGTCTTTAACTCGGGTATTTTGTTACACGGCACGATAAATAGTTGCTCGCATCTTCCATAAAGATCTAACATGGCGTATTTCGTTGGCGGAATTTCATGATCGATCAAACCTTTGTCAACGTCGTTCACAATGATGTGAAGACGATTACTCTCGTCACAAATCACTCCAACCCTATCACCCTCCCGCAGATCATCAAAATTGTACGCGTACTGGGAGTCGATCTAACAAAAAATTAATATCCAGCTTAGCCTTGCAAGGGATCATTTTGACGCATGCTAGAAATCTTACAGGAGCTGAAGTTCTCTAATAAGCAACCTTGTTTCCATTGACATGAATCTGTGATCCGTGAACAAACACACAGAAGTTAGAACGCAACGATAACGCGGTTGCTGGGAGATTTAGTTTGTCCAAGGAATGAGTAGCTAGCACACCAACTGCTAAGGATCCAGACCAACTTGGGTTGAGGGAGTCAACACGAACCTATACAACACAAAGCAAATAATGAAGAACCACCTGGACGAGGGTGACTCAATGGACAGATTGATACATGAACTTTACCACAATTACCTGGAACATTTCTTTATTCGCCAGCGGGTTGCGACTAAACACTAGTCCCTCGTTGAATGTCGACTTCCTCCGAGCCGTTGTACATGTTGCATCCATAATTATATTGAGACCACATTTCGTATGAAAACTTAGGCTGGAAAAATGGCAAGTTTTAAAAGTTTTCTTCTGGTGTCTGGATGGAGAGCAATAGGTCGAACTATTTACCGAAGGTTGTAATAAAGCTGTAACTCACTCTGGTATTTCTGACTCTGGTATCTGATTTGGGTTGGCTGTTGTCTCTTCATCTGAGCTGACATAGCAATCCAATAGAACTAAAAGAAGATGTATAATCATTAACTGACTGATGATGAGCATTCATTTGAAGAACTTCAAAGTTATGTTTGTATAATTTGTATAAAATCTTACTTCGGTTTGTTGTGTTTACGATTGAGACACTCTGGGTGTTGCCATAAACATCTACAACTCCGAAAACACCCTAAACACGTGCAGATTAATGAAACGTGAACAACATTGGAAAAAGCAAGTCGACAAAACAATTTTTTTTACCAACACAGCAAGATTTAGGAGGCAATAAAAATTCAACGTTCGTGCACCATCCAGTCTCCTTTGGCTGAGATTATGCGGATGGTCCCGTATCGGGCGTGAAGGAAGAGTTCTTACCTGCGGTATATCATTCGCTACAACACCTTTGTATTTACTATCAACGAAGACGTGTAATGAGCCATCATATTGAAGCTGCAAACCTATTCGAGATCCCTCCTGGAATGTAAGAATATTTACATTAAAAGATTCAAACCACAATGCATATTAACATAGAATCGACGTGGTCGAACACGAGTAATGCGTCAAGAATCAAGCGTACTTGCAGTCTATCCAAAGATACGCTGCAGCTTCTCACTTTGACATCGTCTCGGAATACGAAGGAGCCCGACAGAAATACAGTGTTGTTTCTCAATTCACTAATCTGCGTCGGGGTCTGGGTAGGAGGTACGTGTGACGTCACACCAATCGACAGGGAACCAGTCCACTTCTCGTCCAACTTGTCGATCCGGATTTCAAACACGGCCTCGTTTTCAAGAGGTTTGTCAGTGAATACCAGGCCATCGTTAAAACTACGTGCGCGGACAGCGGTGTGACCATGGTTACGGAAGGCTATGTTCTCCCCACAGCATGAATGAAAGGAGTACTTCAAGTCTGAAATGAATTACATTGATGGAGTAAATATAGGGCAAATGTCCTAGCTGACTGCGAATATGTTACACTCACCTAACATTGATTCATCTATGAGACTCTCGACAGATGAGGTTTTGCAAAGAGATCTTATTTCTTCTGATATGATGGAAACCTGCACGCACTGACCATACAAGTCGAATGTGGCAAAAACACCTGCATCAAGGAACATGATAATGATAATCAAAGAAAGCCTGCCTCCTCCGCAGGTCCAGTGTTATCACATAGTTCAGTGGCTGTAATAAGAAGTTGGCTATAATGCATGATGGGGTGATATGATATAATCCCCCATGCTTTGAAGTTCAAGTTCAAGTTCAAAGAAGACTGGATCTTCAGAAGTGAGAAATGACATAATGCAGAAGTTGAGTTGAAAGCTTGGTTTGTATACCTGGTGGAACAAGCGAGGCAGCAGTTCCTTTGTCTTCACCATTCACGAACACATGAAATGTCCCATCTGATTTTCTCATTACACCAACTTTAGTTCCCGTTTCCAACTTATCAAGATCTGTGCCATAGCCATTAATTATCGTTGTCCCATCATGCATCACACTTGCGCCACTAACGACCCAGCAATGGTGGTTAAGGTCCGTCAAGGTGATTGGCAACTCCAGGTCAGGTGGAGCAAGGCTCAATAATCCCACCTCAAGTGAACCTGACCACCTGAAAGACAAACACTGAATATTGTACACTAACCTGTGGTGAATAGAGTAATCTAACACAGGCAAATGCCTGTTAGGGATAAATATCAACATTGAATACAACTATCAAGGAAAAGAACAGTAGAAAAGAACAGTAGAAAAGAACGACAACCTATCTGTAATCTGCTCGATTACGACTTCAAAAAGCTGGTCATCTTCTAATGGTTGTTCACTTATAACAACTGCATGGTTGAACTCTGTTAAAGCATTAAGTCTCGAGGCTCCTGTTCTGCCTTCATTTAACACTATCAAACGACCATGTGATTCACTGAATTTAAGGACTCTTTCTGCAGCCGTCTGGTTATCAGTGCCACCAGCAACAATTTGCAAATCTTGAGTGGTAGGAACTGTATTGCTTGGTGGCAGAGTTTCTGCACAAAACATAGTTGTATTTTACAATGGGATAATGATTAAGGGAAGGCCCACTTTAATCTCTTTTTATGTACACATTCTGTCCTTACCTTTGTTTGCATCACTCTTCACAATGCTTGCTTTCACAGCCTGACCATAGATATCAACAACTCCATAGAAAGGTGTTGAAAGATCCGATGTAGCTGGGCCAAGATCCATCCCATTGTAATAGAAATGCAAAGTCTTATCTGATTGAATGCAGACACCCAGCTTGTCCCCAACCTTTATAAACAGTGAAATGTTCATGTACGTGACAAAACACCAAGGGCCAAAAGTGCTCTTAGGGCCCCTGAAATCTTTTACAAGTAATTAGCTGGCAATGCCTTTGTTGATTGAAAGAAACAGGGACCTGTGCTGACCAATTTGTCCAAGGACTATGGTTGGCTGGATTTGAGAAATATATAAATTTCCATATAATTACAGAAATTATAGTTGAATGTTAATCTTTCAAACACAGTAGAGGTACCTTATATGAAGCAGTATTTCTTCCATATGCCTCAAGGATTGTGACACCATTATGAACAATGGCACCCCCAGAAAACATCCATGTGCCAGTTGTAAAATTTGTCATGGTACCTGGGAGTGAAAATGTACCAGGGGCATGAGTGGTCACACCAATCTCCAGTGATCCAGCCCATTTATCAATCACTTCCTCGATTTCTACTTCAAGAAGTTCATCTAATGCCAAAGTTCGGGATGTCAATGCTATTCCAAAGTTGAAATCCTCATTTGGGCTTGAAAAATAGGGATACCGTAAATGAAGATAGTTGATATGTGAAAAAAGAAAATCTTGATAAAACATTATATTGATAACTATACAAAGAACTTTGTTGATCAATAAGACATTCTCTTAATGACGTTAAATAGTAAGAAAACTTGATGTTCTACAAGGTTTGATAACTTTGACTGGTTTAATTAATTTAAAGCAAGACTCAGTCAATCAAATTTGGGTGAATCATCAAGCTTTCTGTGTTTGATGTCATTATCAGAAAAGTCTGTTCATAACACTTACTTTGTTCTCAACACAGTTTTTCTGTTGTTTGTGAGTTTTACATGAGAACCACATTGTGGATGAAAATGCAGTGTATTGTTATCAGTTAGAAACATGTCTTTGTCTAGAAATATATATGAATGAAATTCTGTAAGTTCAAAATTAAAACGATTAGAAAATAAATCAAAATATGGCAAAAATATTAGCTAATGGGTTAACAAGCTATCTACCAGAGTCTCTTGTTAAATAACTAACTCACTGCATGTAATATTCCACTGTAAGTCAGCTTTAGCTAAAAACTTGGTTACAGATTGACCAAAGTTTTATGAATGCACATACCATTAGTTTTGATATCTGAACTTGTGTCATCATCCATATCGCCTGAATAAAGTTTTATTTCCGAACACCGTCCATATACATCAATCACAACAAAAACTTGACTGGGTATGTCTTTGACAGCACAACCCATATCTTTACCATTGATGAAATAATGCAATTTCCCCCCCTCTAATAACATAACTCCCACCCTATCGGAGACCTTTAATTCTTCCAGGTTGGCAGAATAATCGTCCCGAATGGACAGACCGTCTTGCAGCACACTACTTCCAGCAAGAACCCAAGTGCCATCTCGTAAATGAGAGATACTTGCTGGGACAGTATCAAACGCACTGGGATCGCATTTTGTCACTCCTATTGCTAACGAACCCGACCAAAGTGTCATTTTTTTCTCAATTACGACTTCGAATAATGTTCTCTCTACTAAAATAGCTTTACTAAACACCAAACCATTGTCAAATTCTGATTCTGGATGTGATCGAGCTGCCCTTCGTTGATTGTGGCTTAAAACAATTCCACTTCCACATTTTTCGTTAAACTCCAAACTAGACGCTGAATCCTGGATTCCTGCACTGGCAGCCATATTTAATATTTGTAAACAGATTTCACTGAGCTGTATAAATTATATCAGAATGAAAGAATAGAAGTTGGGAGAATTTCATAACTGCCATCTGATTTCCATTCAGTGCAAAATGTCACGCGATCGATTTTCTAAAATCGCATTTTTTTCGTGTTTATTCGAGCTCATTTACACGTAAGCTTGACGGATTGGATTTCCAAAAAAAAGGAATCGAAAAACTCCATATCATCACACTTTGTCTTTGGAAGAGATGGAAGGAAGGAAGGAGGTCGGAATATTTTTTCCAGAAAAATTCTTTCGTGTCGCCAAAAAATACGGCTAAAAGCTTGAAAATATCGTAAACACTAAACATGGCAATGGACAAGAAGCATCGAAGAGTTTTGCAGCAAAATACCGTGCGATTGATAAATGATTTGGACCCAAAGCAACTGTTAGGATATCTGTATCAAGAAGGAGTTATAATTGAGGAGGACATGGACAGAGTTCGCAGCAAGGCGACCCAAAAATTGCAAGCTGAAGAGTTGCTTCGTATTATACCAAGGCGAGGGGCCAAAGCTTTTGATCGATTTTGTGACGTGCTATATAAAATTGACGGACAGAGACATTTAGCGAAGATGTTAAAAGAAGATATCGAGGCTTCAAAGGGTATTTGGAATTTTCAGTATTTCGTGTTGCACCCCAGGGTCACTTTGCTAAAACTCTATATAACAAATTTTCAAATCATTTTCTACAGGTAGTGAAGGCCAAGTAACTACAGACAGCCCACCTGGCTTGCAGCAGAGATTGAGTCCAGAACAAATTACGATCCTTCCGACGGACACACGTTTCCTTCCTCAAAATATATTCACAGATGCAGAAAATGTGTACAAAATGAAAAGCAGACCACGAGGACTTTGTTTGATCATCAACAACTCACAATTTGCAAGCCATGCAGACCTGAAGCAACGTGATGGCTCAGATGCAGATGCACTGAACCTGCAGAAATTATTTTTGTCTTTACACTACACCGTCACAGTACTACGGAATACGACAGCAAGTGTCCTGATGGATAAAATTCAAGAATTTGCATTGCGACCAGAACATAGTACCATGGACTCTGTTGTGGTTTGTATCCTGAGTCATGGAATGCCAGGACAGATATACAGTGTGGATGGGAAACTTATTCCTATTACGAATTTAACAGCAGCATTTAATGGTCAAAATTCAAAACATCTGATTGGTAAACCTAAACTCTTCTTTATTCAGGCTTGCAGAGGAGGCAAGGTATGTCAGCAATATGACTTCATAATCCAAACTTTTTTTTTTGTCCAAACTTTTCACTCGTCTGTGGTATAAACTAGGCTATTGTTTTGTTTCAAGATGGATCATGGTGCAAGCACCGACCAGGTAGACTCTGGCGAGGTGACCATCAAAAGCACTTCAGATGTATTGCATGATCTATATGAGGGTACAGATGAGACAGATTCAAGTTCAGATGCCCTAGTTCCAGCTGAAGCAGACTTTCTGTTGGCATACTCAACAGTTCCAGGGTTTGTGTCTTGGCGGAATTCCGAGAAAGGATCATGGTTTGTTCAAGCACTGTGTGAGATATTTATGACATATGCAGGTCAGGAAGACCTTGTCAGCATGCTCGTTAGAGTTAACGGAAAAGTTGCCCGAGAATTTCAATCCTATGAACAGAAAAAGCAAATTCCATCCCCTGTTGTCAGATTGACTAAAAAACTGTATTTCTTTCCTGGTGTTTAATGGAAGTAAAATATTCAGCATTTAGTTAATTTCATTAATTGGTAGGTAAATGTACACAGGCGTTGTTACTAAATGCTTAGTAAATATCAATCCAACATTCACTGAACCTGGATTGACACTAAATACAAAATAAGTGGAAACAGATGGTATAATTAATAATAAGCAAATATTGTTTTTATAACTGCTTCAAAAAATGATTGTTAAATTTCCTACAATAATTTGTCTGGTGTCCAAAAAACTTACGAGTTTATAAACAAAGTAATACATTTAAGATTAGTACATTATTGTTTTATACAATTCCAAGATGATTTTGCCGAATTGTCATAATAGGTCTTTGTGTTCTTTGTGATTCACATGTTGGTAACAAACGCTGGTTAGAACTGAGTGAACTGGCAAGGAATCTTGCTGTATCTCCTTGCTCTAATGTTACTTCCTCCTCATCATCATCATTAAGCAAAGCTTCTTCATATCTTGGTAAACTAGTTGGAGCATGATTCAAAGCTTCATTATATGTTGGTGGGGCACCAGTTTGAGAAGGAACCTGACATGCATAATCATCATCTTCAAGACAAGGCTCACTTGGTTCTCTTTGAATGTGAACTGAGCGATAAACTGCTTTTCGCCAGGTTCTCCATAACCAGACAACCATGACAATTGATGCAATAAATGCAATCAGCACCCAAAGGGCATATAAAGCTTTGCTGCATTTCTTCTTAGGACAATTTAGTTCATCACTACCATTCAAGCAGTTCTGTGTACCATCACAAACAGCGTCTTGGTTTATGCACTCACGACTATTGCATGTAAATTCTTCATCCAAGCATACACCTTGATCAACTTGTCTGTAACTGAAAAGAAATGTTCCAGGTTCCAATTCTTTTGACACTGCCTTAATCATAAGTCGGTTTGTCCGGGAAGTCAGTGAAATCCTTTTAACAATTTGACGGCAGTCACTTCTAATTTTTACAGCATTACTGACCCAGCCATCATACACTTCTACTTGTCCATTCATACAACCTGCCCCACTTCCAGTTGTGAAATTAAACTCAAGGTATTTCAATTTGATATAACCACGTTGGACTTCAATCTTCCAGGTGCACTCAGCTCTTTTAGGATACGGAAATGGGTAACCATAGGAATAAATATAACCAACATTGTTTCTAAGGAATCCCCCACATGGTGTTATGCTTTTGTTTGCAGCTTCAAATTCTGCAGCAAAATCAAATTTGAGTACTGATGAAGATTGGCAAAGCAAGGACAGTTCTCGCCCCCTAGAGAACACATAAGGAGACTTTAACTGCCCACACAATCGCTCCGGACCATGACGAGTGTTTTTAAGCTCCACAAGAGCCATTTCTTTGACGATGATAAAGTCTGTAAAACACATTTCTGAGTAGACCTGGGACCTTCCAACAGTGAAATTTGTAAATGTCAATTTAACATACCCATAAGGTACCTCAATCGTAAAAAGGTAACGATTAACATTAGAAAAGTTTGGATAAGCTGAAGTAGCGATCTTTCCATAGGTCCCTTGGAAATACTGGCCACATACTGCGTGATAATCCGCTCTGAATTTGTTGACCGTAGTAAGATTTTCACGTACGTTGCTGGTAGAAGAATAATACTTTACTCTGAGAACGTTTTTGGAAGAGTAAATGTTTATAGGTTTGTTATTTGAACAATATCGACCTATGTGACGTGAGGTCGATTTCAAACCATCGTAAAATTCCACATAATCCTCCTTGCAAACACAACATGATGTCTCGATCTCGAATACACGGATTCTCAGCTCGATTCGAAAGCCTTTAGGGACTTCGATTTCCCAAATACAGGTCGTAGGACCCATAAAATGCCCCAGATTTTCTGCCGATAACAGCGTCCCGTTCTCAGATGTAAGTCTTTTTACTTTCTCACAGGCTAATGTATATTTTGTTCGAAGACATAACAGCATGAAACATAATGATAACAATACGATTGATCTTTGTTTTGACAGGTTTTTAGAATACATCATTCAATTCTTGATATCGTTAATAGTTCATACCCAAGTTCCACATTTATTTTGAAATAACAGTATATCACTTACAGAAAGCTTTCACCACATAAATGTTTCCAGGGTGTTTTTTTTGGACCACAGCGAAGTAATTTAATACTGGTTTTGTCAACCGTATTGATTTTGATAACAATCGGAAGTTCATGAATAATCTGGCGCGCATAAATTATCGCGAATAAATAATAAATTTAGAGCAGAGGTATGACAATATTGTGAAAAATACTTGCAAACTATTTATATATTTATACCTCCAGATTTTCATCGACCGTCAATGTTTTTTGTTTCTTGGCCTTCTTGGATTTCTTGTTTGCTCGTTCAATCATGTGTGCCTCATTTAATTCCTGACTTATCTCCTTCATATGCTGGTTCTTTTAACAAAAATAGATTGTTTTAGATCAAGTGGTCTGCCGTCTGTGGGACTTGTAGCACCACTAAACTTTTAGGTCGGCTTCTAATGTGCCAAATGCATTTAAAACACTAGTTAATCAATGTATTAGACACATGAGAAGCACAACATTCAAAACAGGTCTTATTGAACTTACCAGAACAGAACTCCTCCTACTGATTAACACCACATCATCTGAATTAATGATGGTCCGTTTTGCATGCCTATTGTCCAAATGATACCTTAATCAGCTATGCTTAATTAATTAATTATAATAATTAATTATAGCTTTATTCAGGTGGTCATTACTTTGCAAAAAGCTCCAGATCTGTCGCAAAGGAACCTAAATTTCAAAACATATAACGCGTAGTAAGCATTTTACCAATGAAGGGGAAGCCTGTTGAGTGTTGACTGCAAACTGCCAAACTATATCTTTGCTACAAACCTATTTGTTTGAATGTTGTCTCTGTTAGAGCAGCTATGAATTGCTTGGAATAACGTAAATTTGTCTCTTCGCCTGCAATAAGCACACAACTTGAAAATAAAGTTTGAGTGAATCAAACGCGCTCAGGGCCTCATTATTATATAGAATCCAAAATGTCCATCTTACCGATTTCCTCGCATATTTTACCAACTGTGTAATGCAGGGCGGCTTTCAAGCGCTAAAATTAAAACAATAACTACTTGAGCTTACTTATAGTATTAAAGATGTTTTAAAAAATCATGAATTAAACCTGTTTATGTTCCAAATTCTCATACTCTTCATCAAAATTTTCATCTTCACTGTCAGCCATTTTGAAATCCAAATTCCCGCCAAAAAGTTCCACATTCTTATGCTAATATATGGAATATTCACTGGGAATATTCAATGTTTTTAGTTGGGTAAAAATTTATGGTGGGCAACTAGCTTTGGCAAGGCCGAAAGTATACTGTTTGAAGTCTGGATTCAAAGTGTTACGCAGATTAGAAATAAAATTTATTTATTATCCATGCTAAGATTATGTTCAAACAGCAATATTTGTATTAATATTATTTCTACATCAATTAATATAATTCTGAGATAAATTACAGGAATGGCTCTAAATCGATTTCAAGTGCAGCGCATGGGTTATTTAAATCAAACTTGTTCAGTACTGTCGGATGCAAGACGCCCATCACTCCAATTGATTTGCCTGAGTACAGCACTTCCGCGCAGCGGCCTGGGAAGAAAGCTGAATCTGTGAAAAAAAAAATGAAATAAAATACCATTTACTGATTTACTCTTCTCAAATCACAAATAAGGTTCTTGGAGAATAAAGAGGAATGTTTACCTTCAGTTGCCTTGATATAATAACCTTTTTCTGTCTCATTCTTGCTAGGTTTAACTTCCAACAATTGCATTATTCTATCTAGAAGACCATGGACTACCTAAAAAGTTAAATCTAGATTTTAATCATCGCAATGTTTATTTAATAAGAGCGCTGAAAATCCAAAATAACAGACCTCAAAGCCTGGGGTTTTATTGTAATTTACTGCACAGATTCGACGATGATTTCTGGCACCAACATCTGGTTAAAACAAGCATATTTAAGAAAGTTAAAAATGACATTGCAGTCAATCATTATTGATTCAACTGACTGATCATATCATTGACTCTTTGCCAAAGGTTTTGGATCTGAGATATTAAGTGATGTGGACAAATTAAACGGTCATGCAAAATCAGCTCGACTGAGTACTCCGCTGATTGTACCTTTTCCACCATCTTGAAGAACAATATCGGAGATTTCAAATAGTTTTAACGGTAGTGGCATCTTTCTGTTCGCGCTGATTGTCTTCAGAACTCCGGGTAGAAGGGTTGTCCTAACAACCTGAGAAAAATCCGTAAAAATAAAATAAAAAAGAGATTCCCCATTGTAAAATATATTGCCTTGGGCCTATTTTTGACTTTCTGATTCGCATGTGTCGGAATAAACGATGAGATAACTCAACGCCAACGATTTATCCTTGTTTTCAATGCGTTTAGCACGTAAAAAGCAGAATGTTTAAAGTACTTGGAATTCCTGTGTCTTTGGGTTCGATATTTCTACTGCTTTTGTCGATTCAAAACTTTTGTTCAGTTTATCTGCAACGTCATCTCGAGAGCACTAAAAACAACGGCGATCTTTAATAACGTGTTAAGATTTTAAAAGCTGGAGCAGAAAGAAGAATTTTGAACAAACCAATGCAAAGGTTAACGCCTCTGTATAACCAGCTTGAACAACTTCGGCTTTCAATAAATCACATAACTTGTTTAAAGGAAACTAGAACAAAAAGATTATCAGCAAAGAAGAAAGGTAATTGTGCATATTAATGGTTGCAAGCTGAAGGTGACTACATACTTGATTTGCAATTGTCATTGACTTTGGGATAGTTTCTTCTATATTATTGTAACCATATGCAATAGCCACATCTTCCATTATATCACAAGCATGAATTACATGTGAAATTTGTTAAGGTTGTAAATACTTTTTCAAATATTATCGATGACATTATCAACGCTAGAAAGTGCTATTGTGCGAGCGAACAGCCCTGTCTCTTCAAGGATTAATCCAGTAATAAAATAGTTAAATAAATGAAAAAGATATCAGCCCTTGTTGGAGGTATTTCCACATCAATAGTTTTCCCGTTTTCTTTCACTTCACTGTTCAAACACATCTTCGTTAAAAGATCTGCTATTCGCTCGGCACTTTCTCTGAAAAGCGACAGTTTATGTTCAAACAAATCTCCGCATCGAATAATTCGCAATGAATAAACAAAAACCTTACTGGATTCCCACTTTTATGTTAGTTTCCTCAACCGAGATAGTTTCATGTCTATAATTCAGTTTCTAAAGACCAACAAATGAGTACTTAATCGACGTTTAGTGAAGAAAAAAACCACTTCGTTTTTGTATACAGCATGACTTACAGGGTATAAAACAACACTTCCATCCGGTCGTTCAACTTCTACCGGTTCCACACTAAACGAAACAGGAAATTGTTCGTAGTTCAGGATAAACCATTACTTCAAATCCACACAGAATGTATAACACAGTAAATATGACATACACGAACTTCTTTCTGCAGTAAACACTGAACATTGTAACTAAAGTATCCAAAACAATTTCAGCCTAGACAATATACAGCCATAAACGAATGTAAGGTAAAGAATGAAGAAATATGAAACGAAAACTAAACTTTCTTGTTTATCTCATTTATATTTCAACCTTGATTTACCTTCCGTAGATCCGTGGCCGTACTTTCAATAAAAATATTCTTTGTATTCAAGGTTATCTTGGTATGATTTCCTTTCGGGAGAGAAAAGAAATTCGTAAACTTTTAGCTTTATCAATTATGCTTTTAAATGCATGTCGTATTTACACAATCTTCATCATACCGTTTATAATGGGTGGCATTGAAAGAACAACACCGTTGCTGTCGTAAATGATCGGATACACTGGTTTATCTTTTATAATATGTAGATAGTGTTTCAGTTGGTTATCACTCTAAACGTAAAAAAAATTGTGTTAAAGCTAGTGTGAATAAGATGGTGTGGGCAGTTTTCTCATTTTGAAATATCTTATTTATCATTTATTAAACCTGGTAAAGATCCATCAGCTCAACAGCTGTGTATTCTTTCTCCTACAAAGGATGAAAATTAAGATTGTGTTGAATGTATAGCTCTGGTTTTGCTTCTCCATGTGAAACAGTTGTGCTTACCAGGTTGAATGGTTGTATCTCTGGTTATGCTAAACGAAAATGGGAACAACAGCATACCTTGTTTAAAGGTACAAACTTGATATCCCCTGGTGATCTTGCATCATACAGAAAAGGTCCTTTCATTGTGTCCAAGTCATGGGTCCCAATAGCAACTAATGATCGTTTACGGCAAATGTTCTGATGCAGTTTGTCTTGTAGTTCAATGAAGCTGTTGTAAGCTTCCTGTCAAAATGAGGAAATTTTGTGCTGGCTTTAAATGATGTACAGTAATGATAAATACACTCATCAGTTTACTCAATCACAATGGAAAACTAAAATCCTTCCTTTTTTGCAGGTGCATGTCAGTGTTTAGGTTTACCTGTGTAAGTGTGATATCTCTCAGGACAGCAGCAACACAGTATGGACGCACCTGGGCAGTCTGAAAGGAGAGGAATTCAGTAACTTGATTTATACCTGCCATCTTCTCGAACTAAAAGCCTAAAATACTCTAACTGCTTTTTAATTTTCAAGGCATTATGATTAGAATACAATATTGCTTCAGTCAAACACCTGTTTAGATATGACAAGCCTTTGCAAAGGGCCATCGGGTTTTGAGAGATTATATCTTGGTGCTTTAATTCTAAATGAAAAATAATGCCACTGTTTCAATGATCAGTCAAATTCTGTTGTAACTATCTTTGTTTTTTTAAACTTACTTCTGTAAAAACACTAATAAGCTTCTGGATAGTCCTTCAATACACAGTATATCATATCTAAATAAAAGATATACATGGTAGGTAAATTATTTCTAATCTGAGAAACAAAATTCTGTGCACTGGGCTATGAAATTACAGTCAATATTTGGATCATCAAACCACACCTATTAGCTGGGACATCGATTTTGTAAATTACTTTGTCTGAAGCAGTTTCAGCTTTGTCCTCACCCTGTTCTTTAGCGATAATTCCCTTCTCTGATGTCTAAATCGAAGATAATAGCCCAAAAAGATAAATATATATTATGGAATGCATGCATAATGCAAAGTGTGTGAGTTCTTCCAAGATATATACTCTGAACTGAGTGTAATACATTACCACTTCATCAAGTTCAATTCCAAAATCAAAACATAGTTCATCAAATTCTTCATCAGCTACAAGGTAATCATGATTTAAACAAAGATTTAAATGTGTGCTACCAATGGCTTTGTTTTTCAGACATTTTGTAATGATATTGTATTCACTTGAATCTTCCTGGAACTGTGGTGGAGTTACCCTGTAGTTCCAGGAATGCTGTCAAGCACATTTTACCACAAATGATAGATTTCATCATAAATCACTATATCAATGCTTGGTAGAAAACTCATTACTGCGTGCTACTTTTTCAGCACTTGAAAGATTCTGGGAGCCCCGATCATTGACATAGTATGCATCTACATATCTCTTTCATACTTGCCTATGCTTGTTCAGATGGACCATCAATTTCTTGTACAAATTAGTGTAATATGAATACGTGAAATAAATTGGTATTATTATATCGACTATTTAGTTTAATGACCACTAAAATCACCCTCTATTACACATATGACCCATAATAACACATTCACATCCATCGATTGATGATGATCATTGATATGCATATAGTCTCTAGCTGTGTACACATCAAAATCAATGCATGCAACAAATTAATTTTATATTTCAATCGCTTCTTATTACTCACTATATTCTTTTCCCAAAAGCTTGAAGAGTTGATCTCGCTCCACTGGAACCGTTGGCATGTTTTTAACTATTATTTTTACCTAAAAATGATCTATCCTATGAAGTAAAATATGATGATGAGGTACTGTTGAATGTTGATCACCACCCGCTTCGCACCGGCCAAGTGCTGAAAAAAAGTGTCGCCGCTTTTTCGATCATCACTAACTTTTTTATCACTAAGGTCGAGTATATCATATACCAGTATATTGGACCTTCACTAACTTTCAGTTTTCGTGTCAAATACACTATATACCAGTATATTCAACCTTCGCTATTTTTTATTGCTAAGTTCGAATACAGATATCAGTCCACCTTTTTCAGTATGCTATAACTAGTGGTATTTAGAGGATCAGATCACAGGATGCTGTAGTTTCATTCCGTTTAATCAATGATTCAAGTCACATGTAAGCAACATATTGATAATTGATGCCAAGTTGAATGTAATGTTACTTCCTGTAACGTTGGCTATCTTAACCTATATCAAATTATACTATAGTTATTGGGCATTGTACTTATATAAAAGTTATAGTAGTATCATTTATAGCAAGCTCCCTCAGGCCCGTTCGTGTCATTCTTCTCCACATTCACCGCCTCTGTTCGAGTTTTAACACCCATCCACGCAGTGTTATACGCATTGTTACACGTGTTGCACATGGGAATGATGTACACCTCCGTGGAATGATCATACACGTGCACGTGACCTCCTCCAATAGCTGGTTCACCGCATCCGCTTATCCGACATTTCTTGGGCCAATCTCGTCCCGTCTCGTAAATCCAGTAACGTTTCCACGTTTTGAAGCCTTTAGGCGCACAGGCGTGCGTACCTTCGATATTTTTGACGCGATCATTTTCAGTCAAAAGTATGTTTACCATTTTGTTTACTAGATGTGGTGAAGATAAAATGATGAACTAAATAACATCTTGATATGGTCATAGGGACTAGTGATTATCAGTTTGATATTCTGCCTTTTTCCCTTGGCTATCCCTCCCCAGAAACGCACCCCCCCCCCCAGAAAAATGCTGAAATAATCTGTCCCCTAAAAGTTTTTGGCCTAAGGTATTGATGATGTTTCACTTTTAGTTTCGATTCAATGTGCTTAGCGGAAATCCAGGATAAGAATGAGCGGGAAGGGCTCGCATGATAATGACCTATATTTGATATCTTGTCCGTTTTGAGATGGCAAGTTTATGATTTTATGATATGATAGAAATAAAGTATTATTTTAGTCATAAAATGGAGCAGTGTAGTGGGAAATTATAAAATGCATGCAAAGACAAAGTATGTCTATCTTTTAAATTATCGTCCGCCAGACGATCTGGTTTTGATTAAATTATTTTGTCATTGAGGATATCGATGTAACAAACTGTTTAAGATAGACAAAAGTACTCGATGTTTCCACCTAAAGGCCTTCTTCAGCAAAGTTCATGTGTCGAACTAAAAACTGAAGGCTTATTATATCAAGAATCAATCAGAGCGCATCTTCAGTTTTCCTGTCTGTATATAACATAGTAAAATGATGGAATTCAAGTTCACACATGATGTATATATACATCCTTGAGGCTTCACTATATATCGACTACGGGTAGTACCATTGGTTGGCGTCTCTTCTGTAGTGCACTATTCCACGGTACGGACCGTACGGTTGCTGGATTTCAAACAAAACTAATGCCTCTAATGGACATTTATAGTAATTCCTAAACTTACCTTAAGTCACGAAGGAAACACTATATATCACTGTAAAATACTGTTTTTTACGGATCTGCAATGTTTTTTCAGTTCGAACTTGAAGTTGGCGCGAAGGAAGCTGCTTCTGCTTTTATACAGCCTGATATGCGTGATCAAATATATATGTAGGGAAGGTCCCTGACACAAAAAGATGATCTAGGCATTATTTGACCGTTTTCTAAGAACCGCATTTCTGTGAACTCAGAGTATGCTTAGCAATATTACGCATGCGCAATGCATCTACTATAGAACATAAAATGACATCGAACTTTATTGAGTTGTGATCATCTTGAGTTGACAATATTTATGGTTTAACTTAATTATTGAATATATGTTCTTTCTTGTCTTTAGTTCGCGCTACCCACGACCATGCTTAACACATATACCATAGGAACTAAATAAAAGGAAGAAACGGAACAAAATCAGAAAACATATTTTGTACTGTGTCAGTGACGTTATGGTATATATAGATTATAGGAGATCTTATGAGATATTGTGCGGGTAATTTGACAGTAACTACTTGTTGTTGAAGAAATTTTGGTTGAAAAGTAGCCGAATAACTCAGGGAATTTGAAAATGAGACTAGTCAAACAACTTTTTCTAAAATCATTTGTTCGATCACTCTCACTTGAGTTAGCAATGAGAGAGTTTACTGTAGCCATTTTAAAACAAATATTAATGAAATTTTAATACACAGCAAACCGCATCAAAAAGACCGCTGTTAAGTTTCCAAATCACAGCCATCTTTATAGTGAAGAATTTGTAACTATATTAATATCAGGGTCGGGAATCATAGCTTAGCATCTAGAGAGTCAGCGTGTTTGACGTTTTACACCATTCTAATTCGTACCATGTCGAGCCACGGCAACAACCATTAACGTTACCAAAGTATCGGAGATATTGATTGCAAGGTTCTAGTGGAAAATTACACATGCTTCGTTTGTTTTTCCATTCGTCATACTGGAAAAGAACAATTATAACAATCCATCATAATTTAATAAATTAAATGTAGTAAAACAATTGACAATATGGCGCGATTTCCTCAAGCCTAAGTTTCCACATTGCAGTGGAAACATTTCAGCATTTTGCTGAAATTATTGAAATGCTAGGTTGAGTAATCTAAGTAGAGATCACATGCAGCTTGCAAGGTTGTCTAGTATAATTTGCCTCGTCAGAGGGCAACTGTACGGTCAGAGTGTCTGACAGAAATTTTACTTCGCGTAAAAAAATGTAAGGATTTGCATAAAGCCGAGTGGGGCTTAAATTCAGTGAGCATTTTTTCTGCACTTTGTTGTTGGTTTCAACTCTGTTACGTTACCTCATTGTTCAATTCGACATCGTAGTCGTCACCGCCATAATTGGCAACAGGTGAGGCTTCAGCACTCAGAAATAGCAGAACCAGTGCGAGGCTAGAGATGTACACAAGTTTCATTTTCAAATGGGCTAAAAATAAAAAAAATGCTGTTCGATTATCATACCTAATAATCACATTTTTTGATAAAAGGATTCTCAAAATAATCAAATAAGATTTTCTCATATATGTTGAAAAAACTGAACTTGCACCGCGAGAAATGTTCTTAAGCAATGGTACGACATACCTTTACACAGCTCACCTATATACTCGTTGAAATCTTTCCTTCCTATCGACAAACTCGCGAGAAATATACACGTTTTATGCACCGGGCTGTCTTATAAAAGCGTTACGCGATTTTATCTCACGTGGGAGTCCAACCACATTTTTGTAACGAACGTCGCGTGGTCTTTTTTGTGGGTCGTATAGATATATTTTATCGCTTTTATCAGCGCAGATGTTTATTATTTTTGTTTTTTAGACGGTTTGTTTTGATACTATTAACACAATGTTCATTTTGCGTGCGAATTTCATTTTCAATGAAGGCGACTACGGTGAAGACGTGAAGTGTTCGTAATTCGATTACTTTGAAAAAGCTATCGATATTATCATATATAGCTACGATAATGGACATATATATATATATGTTATCGGAGACTACCAGGCTTTGGTTGCGAGTTTTGAAACTAGTCTTTGCATGCAAACATTATTGTATTTAGCTCAGTGTATATATATAGTCATGTCGAAGAAACTATATAATTTATCAAATCATCGCATAATAGCCCATGAGGCCTTTTGAAAATTGAATAATTTTCCTCCATGTATGGTTTTCATTGCTCACTATACGGTCCAGATGTTGTACTGAAAACCGTGCCAGCTTCTTTTAAGCATTTATGCATTAGCGGTTAGTAAAGAATGTTTTTTAGTTTCTTTATCTGTGAATTGGAGTTATTAAATTTAAAGTCTTGTTGATGTGACAGAAATTTCTCAGAGGCCAGGGGAGGGAGTCGACCAATCAGTTTTGCCAAAAGCCACAAATAAATTAGTAATATTTAGAAATCTATGCTATAATCTATAATCGGTGACGTCTATTAATTGTATCGCCGGCTAAAGAATTTGGCATTTTGGGTTTGAAAAAGATTTTTATCGCATGTTATCATTCAAACTCAGTTTATTTTCCCTTCCATCACTGTTGGGTTACCCCTATCATGATTAGAAGATCAGAGCAGAGAAATTGTGGCTAATTCAAAAATCTGATTTGCCATTGATAGCGTCAAAGTAACTGCACCAAAATAGAAACTATTAGAACTAAACTATCAATGGGATTTTTTTGAGATTTAAGTATATTCTCGTGGAAACGATATTAAATAAAACAGAGAGAAAGTCGAACTAATTTTCAACTAAGTAAAAACTTTATTACTGATTCGATTACAATTTCTATTGTCGTAGTTTTCTAATCAAGCTCGTGCATTTTCTATCGACACTACACAATTATGATTGCGCATATTCCAATTTAAAATAACATTAATTGTGTTCCAATTAATAACATTAATTGCGACATAATCACATTAAGGTTTCTTATGTTCTCGATTTAAGCCTAAATAAACTAAGTGTATAGCTAAAAAAATGAGTTCCACATTCTGTAACTAGTTAGAAACACCGGCACAGTGTCGAGTTTCGTTGCCTTGCATGCATTAAGGTCGAGCAGGAGATTTATTCTTATGGGGGTACAATCGTATACACTGATTGTCAGTACAGCAACTACGACGGCCATAAGTACACAGCGTCTTCTTGCAAAGTGCGTCGCTAAGACTTGAACTAGGTCTAGGTCTGAACCACGATGGTTTTCTCGCTTTTTTTGCACGGGCTATGACACCGTCAACGTGAGTTTTCCGACAATCACAGATGCACTTGTGCGCACGACTGGCACACAGCCATTCCGGATGACCTTGGAAATTGCAGATAGTGTGATCGGGGTGACTGCAATTCTCACAACATTCGTAGAGGGTATTAAAAAACTGAAATACACCTTTGTCCACTTCGACAATTGCTGCATGTATGCAGTTAGCAGGAAAGGCAGAAATCTACAGTGAAGAGAGATTGGAACATGAATTTGAGTATTTTAGAGTTCTCTCTTCTAAGTCTTCTTACGAAATTCCAGCCCCCAACTTTGAAATGGTCGTTGCTAGGTAACAATGTCACTTGCTGGGTAATCTTTATTTCTCCCGGCAGGTTGCATTAAGCAAGGCTACATAATTACTTTTTAGTTTCGATGAAAACTATAGTCTTACTTCAAGCGTGAGTCCGGTATGTGCTTTGATATCATCATTGTCTCTTAAGTCATTGTCTCTTACAATTCAGGCAAACAATTTGTCGCAAAAATATTAAATCATCTCAGCGAATTTTTACAACCACCCGCAAAAACTGTCAGTCCAGCTTGGTTGAGGTGCGCTGTTGGTTGGGAATCATTTACCAACCAGTGTATTCATCGAACAAATATTTGAATTGTGCGAAATGTTTATTAGTTCGTTTTCGATTAAAATACCTTATTTATATACTGACACACCCAATAATTAACTTTTAGATATGTGAGATGCACAAACCAATACGCAGTTTAATAGCTAAATGTTAAATATGAATCAGTCCTATCTGGTTGATTCAGTTACTATAATACAATAAATTACTTGCTTACCGCTCTCTTCTTTCGACCTCCTGATCTTGTTTCCAGTTCTAGTGCTTTTCTAATCGCATCCAACTTTGGATCTCGCGGACAAGTTTTCTGAGGCTTGACGTCGATGAACTTCTTTGGCCAGCTTACTTTTCGGATGCCCTCGTTGAGAACTACCAGCTGTAAGAACACGAGAATCACCAATGCTCCTTTCATGATTGCCGCAGCACCAAGACGTGTCATCAGTTAATGACTTAGTGTTGCTACCACCCCAAACACAGAGCGTTTATATAGCATACTTTGAGAGCAGAATACAGGATGTTGATCGATGGTAATTATTTGCGGAGGAGGGTATGTCATGCTTTACTTGTTTCATACTTTTTTAAAAAACTGAAGTTCAATATAATTACTTGGAATATTGAATCACCTGAATACAACAATGAACGGGACGTCGTATGGATGTTTCTTAGACTGTCCACTTTTCCAACACTTGCAATTTCTATTGACGTGAGAGGAACCTATATCTTTCAGACGAGACGGGTAAGTGGGTGCGGATGATGAATGACTATCATGCAAAACAGCATCACAAAACAAGCTGTTTGTCTTATATTGTATGCAAGCAGTTTATTGCAACATCCGCAGGTCACACCCATATGCAATTAGACTTTTTTCAAAGAATATTCGAAAAAGGATATTTGGAATTATGACATCGGTTTAATTAAACCCCTTCTTCTTCAAGTAGGGTGAAGCGGAATATACTGGACGAATCTTCTGGAGTCATGCGACTATTCAAAAGCACCTTTGGTTAGGACCTTCTTCCGGTGGTGTTAAAAGGTGGTCTAATATATCTTGAGGTAATTTCCACCGAATATCATGATACTCATAATTCTGAGCATCTAATATAGCGTTATTTGGTTGTGAATAAGACACTAGCTGGCACTAAATCTAGCAACATAAAAAATTCTTGACAGCATATTAAGCAATTGGTGCATTTTATAGAAGAAGATTTGGGGACAAAGCTCATGCAGCAGTAGAGTAAACTACATATTCAATGTTTAAACAGTTAATCCAATGTTAAGAGCAATATAGTTATTTTGATCTTGCATAAAGGGAAATTTGTGCTATTGTAAAAATTATAAAATTCCAAGGCTGTAAAAATTCCAAGAACGAGCATTCTTGAGGGAGAATGATGATGAAAATATATCTGAAAATTGGGCCGGTTCCTGCACGGTTGTTGCAGAACTGATAAAAAAAGAACACGGAAGTTCGTCACTTTGGAAGAGTTAATTAACGCGCTTTGTTCTCAAAGCACAAAAGAGTTGAGTTCCGTAACAATTTTAAAAAGATTCTAATTGTAGATATTCATTGTAGAAATTGTAAATAAAAGCATAACTGTTGAATTGCTGCTGGCTGCCTATTCCAGTTCATAAAGCATTAGCTAATTAATATTCTATCTATAGAGATTTGTATACGCTTGCTAACAAGTTGCACTACATAGCAATTTGACAAGCATTTAATATGTTGTTAGAATACTAGTACACGGAAATAATTAAATTGCCAGGGAACAGAAGTTCTTTAGTTTTCACGGCCCACAGGTGTATACACCCTGTATATATGTTCCTGCGTGTGTTTAAAAATAGACCCGGGGATTTTTCAGACGTCCTGTCTCCGGTTGTTCCCGTATTTCGTCTATTTTTTCTATGGTGCTCATCAAGGAAACATTTGAGACGTCAAATGACTGGCAATACTTAATCCATACAGAATTTTAAAGAGACCTCACTTGGACTACACAATGTTCCTGTCTACTTGGACTACACAGTATATCAAACAGAGTCTGACAGTGCTTGCCAGATACGTGGTCGCCGTATGAACATATGAGGTATCCATGCACGACATAAATTTCACGGAACGTAAGTTGAGAATATGTAATGATAGTATCAAATTACAAGCTTAATTAAATGGATGCGTAATGATTACAATAAATGTATGTCGTATACTTGTGCCACATATGAAGTCTATTTCACCAACAGTGATTAAAATACATCAAAAATATCATCCAATACTTATTTAAGACATTAACCACTTTATATATTATCCAATAAACCCATCCCTCCTCGAACGTGTCCTCGCTTCTTCTTTGCACTAGCTGTTGTCTTTGCTCTTGCCAATTTTTTCAAATACCTTGATCGAATTTTTTTCTTCTTTTCCAACTCATTCGTAAGATCCGTGACTGGAACACATGTGTTGACCAGGCAGCAATCGCGTTCTCCATTTTTCATTGTGCACGTCTTTTTGTAGCATTTTTTCTCTTTTCTTAAGCGTCGTAGTCGTTTTCTGACCACAGTAGCCTGTATTAATCACAAAACCGATAGAATTGCTAGAGTGCGTGCGCGGCTGTGGTCGTGTTATCAAGGCTTTACAGATATATTTTTACCAATTAGGTAATTTTTTTTGCTGCGCCTCTCTCTTCAGAGTTTGCAAAACATATAGAGAAACTAAACTTACCTCGCTGTCGGTGATATTTACTTCCCGTTTTCTGCTCCAACCCATGGCGCCAGCGGACACAACAGCTTCCAGCACGCTATCCTCATCACGACATGAGAACACGCAATCATAAGCCTCGCTTCCGCACAGCCAATTAGAGTAGCCCCCCAACGTGCAGAGGGAAAAGGTTGGAAATTGACATTCACCACAGCACTGGTAAATTTGATACGAGAATTGCGACACGTCATCCTCGTCTTTGATGATGGAAGCATGAATGCAGCTGAGGTCCCAGGTCAGCTACAATAAAAATACGTAACTGTCGATACGCTGGGCGTATTCCTTTTGACTGACCGACCCCACCCCTCACAATGTATCAATGTCAAAATGGCAGAACATCATTTAAAAGAAAGAGTTTATGTTTGCTTTTGAATGACGTCAATTTGCTTTTTATCAACATCCGATGCGACACATTTTGACATCAAATCAACATCCATAATCGTGGGACGTGTTTTAAATACCTCTCTGTTTGATCATAATGATTATTAGCATTTGAGCTGACATGACTCAGGTGCTATATGATAATTTTAAATCTGACGATGGTGAAATTTCGCGTTCAGTTTTGTTGAAGGGTGGTCTGTAAGAATCTTTTAGGCGTGAATGCTTTTCAATATCGATTGTCATGAAATAAAAGTTAGGCATCTCGCACACAAGAGGATGATGGTGCATGGTAATATCAAAATTAAAACATTGCAAAAACAATCATTGGATAGTCCTTAAAATTCAAAATTTTATTTCAACCGTTGCCGGAAGCTGGACAAGAACCCAATTTCCTGACAGTCTCTTTAATGCAAACTAACAACGGCTTTGCTGTCCATTGTTGTGTAACGGTATTCAGAGGTTTTTCTTAGTTAATTAAGCTGTCACGAAAGCCTTAGCAACTTACAGCAACTTACTTTGAACTTGATTTTTGTGGTGTAAATCAGAACCATGCAGGTGGTGACATAGACAATCTCGGGGCATCACCTCGCTAAAATGAGTTGACGCAACAAAAATCTAGTTCAAAGCAAGACCATGACTTAGGCTCGAAGTGTAAACACGGCAAAAGTTCAACAAAAATTGACACAGACCCATTCGGGCGAAACCATATTGGTCAAACAAAGACCAAAATTTCAGATTAAAGTACAATAGTTGGTGGATTTTGACTTAACATAAACACACCAACAATATAGCCCAACAGTCGATCTACCAATACTGTTTTCGTTTGTATCTAATGCTTTTTCTTTGCCAAATCGATTTTCTCAACAATTTAACCCATGCAAACTCTGCTTCCCTTTGACTTTGAAGAAAAATACCCAGAGGCCTGAATAAATATCGCAGTTTGTCTCGTTGGAACCCTACTGAGAACAACTCGACAGAATTGCTCTGAGTGAAGCAAATTTCTTCAACAGTTAGTCATGGTGATGATTAATATATCTTATGGTATTCTCACAGAATATCTCACCTCTCTTTTGACGGCGGAATTTTGTGAATTTCTTTCAAAAATACCCAGGTAATACTCCAGAAGATCCGTTTGGTTCGTACATTTTGGCCACTTGGTTGTTGCTGTAGCCGCCTGAAGCAAGCCAAGGGCACATAGACCTAAGATGAGAATGATTTTCGTTCCCTTCATAGCAGTTTTCTGAGTCGAAATGTTGTTGAACTAGGCGAACCGTATAATATGTAACTTAACGATATTTGTATTGAGTAGGGGGGAAATGGGATTGTATAATTAGACATGGCTGATTGACTTTATTTCCATAAGAAGGGCTTCTTATAAGAGCTTCTTTAGGTGAAATTGGATTCAAGTCAATCAATCGTCACGCTAGTTTGCAACGGTAAGTAGAGATAATGCAAGAAGCAGAGAATCCATCTGTGTGCGAAAATTATTGTATTTGAATAAAAAAACGTGTTGTAAAGCAAATTCTCACACGAATTATATAAACTGATCCGTGCCTAGTTACCATATGATAATTATCCATTGTCTACCGTAATAATTTGATTTCAAAACCTTGATATTATTTACAACAATACCGTGACTAGATAGCTACTGCATGTATATTGTCAGGCTTATTTGACAAGTATTGTTGCGTAAGATAGTGCACTTTTTACCGAAGTGTTTAGTTGCGTCTAGGAGAACAAAGGAACACGCTACACGTTGGTGCAATGAAAGGCATGTAGACTTTAGTTTTCCCAACTAAAACCTGATGATGAAAGGCTTAAGAAGCTCATTTTGTTTTCCTCGTTTTTCTTCGGCTGCGGTTCCCCCGGCCTCGTCTTTTCTTGCGAAGTTGTTTTGTGAGTTTCTTTATTGAAACACACGTTTTCATCAGGCAGCATTCATTTCCTTGGCATTTCTTTTTGTAGCACTGATTATCAGTTCGCAAATGACGCAACCTAAGTTTCATTTGTCTCACCTAAAGGCATAGGTAATCTCTGTCAAAATTTATGAAACGGTCGTGCCTAGGTTTTTTAAAATGAGACAGAGATGCGTTTGATATGAAACAATACAATTATTTAGGGTTAGGCCGTTAGGCTTAGGGTTGTTTCATAGGAGTCGAGAGGAGGAGGGGTAATTACCCCGAGGCGTGGGGGAAATAATTTAAGCTGCTTTTGCAATGTGACGGTAACCAGGTGACTCAAAAAGAGATTAATTAACCTCCCACTCATTTAGGTGCGCCGCACCTCTCGTTTGCACCACAGTTAGAAAAGAAAGGCATGGTCAAAATGGACAAAAACATGGTCTCCTTGTTCTGATTATGACAATATATGATTTATTCTTCATTTTTGGTCTACCTCGTTTTCGCTAATTCCTTCTAATGTACGCTTCCCTCGGGATCCCGAATCACTTGACTTGTACATAGCCTCCAACGCACTTTCTTCGTCACGGCAACTGAAGACGCATTCATACGCCTCGCTTCCACACAGCCAATCAGGAAGACCGGCCAATGTACACAGAGAAAATTTGGGAAAATCGCAAAGGGCACAGCATGAGTATACGTTAAAAGAAAAGAATGACTCGCCGTTCTCATCCTTGATGATCGACGCATGCAGACAACTCAATGGCCAGCTTACCTGTTATAATAAATAGTAATACACAAATAATCGATGGATTTATTTATCTAATCTGTATGTACTGTTGACCAATACGCAGTTTCGGTATCGACAAAAAAATTATTAAAAGTGACAACCTTAGCTCTTTGTAACGATTACAAAGCTGTTGCCAACTCGCTTACAATTCTCACTGTACCAATAAAAACGACGTTTGAATAACATCTGCTTACGACAAGTGAATTTCAACAAGCGAATAAATTCTCGCGTGGATATTTATCCATTTATTCGTCTTAGCTTTAATCAGATCTTTATGAAATACTCTGCAAACAACATACAAAGTACAGCGCATAGGAAGACATAACGTTTGCCTTACCTCCCTTTTAGCTACCGCATTGTTTGAGTTTCCCTCTAAAATGCCGTTAAATTGGTTAGGAAGATCTGACTGCTGTTTGCACAAAGGCCAATTCAGATGGGCCGTGACAATGTCGACCACAGCCAAGCAACAAATTGCTAGGATTAAAATTTTCCTCTTGAGAACCATGTTATACTTGCAGTAGGCAGCACATATGGAGCTTTTGCCGAGCATGGAATGGGGTATGTGCATAGGTATATATATAGGGAGGATAATGCATTACACATGGGGGTGGACAAAAGCGTGTGGGTACATCATAGATCAAAGTCGTGGCGCATAGCCGATTATAGCCAAAGTTAAGCATCCTGTTATGTTTCGAAGTGCGTAAATATCGAAACCAGATATGTTATACCTGCAGCGCTGCCTGCATGCGTTCTCTTGAGTTTAATGCCCTATATATTTTCATGAAGTTGTTAGACTGATTTCCCAGCTCGGACTGTTTACTCTTTGGTTCTCAGACACAACAAGACACTGAACCCTATTGAACTTAGAAGTTAGAACAGTTTTTATGTTATATAAACTGATCAATAATCACTATGACAGTATTGTTGCAAGTAGAACTAAAGTTCATTATAGTTTCGGAAACTCCAATCTACTCGAATTACAGTTCTATAAATAAAATATATTACTTTATATATATAGTGCGTGGTAATGGCCAAACATCGCCGCCCTATCAAAACCACTTTGTGTAATGCTTACAGTTACTGCACCGTTTGAGTCGCTTATTTCATTGTCAATTTGTCACATACATTTTTGAAGTATTAAGCCACCTGTGCTGACGTTCTCTAAATGAAAAACACCCCAAGCAGTTTGTATCTTATTCAGCGAAGAAAAAATGCACGATAAATCACTAGACTTGATGTATTCGAGTTTTGAATGAAGGTTTCATGAGAGTATGACTACAGGTTGTGATAATGTGTCAGATGACTAAGATTGATGAGCTTTCATAGAACGCTATGTTAGCTGGGATTTAAAGATTTCTTTGTCTCTCGTCTTTCACACAACGCTATCATGTTTGAACTTCCCTAGCGTGATATATTTGCATCAAGACAATCTAGTCACGAGTTAATCCCGTTCGCCACTTGACGAATTTCTTTGAGAGAGAAAAATTAGGAAGACACCCAACTTGTTCCCGTAGACACTTTCCCCCACTCATTGTTTTCAAACCAGAAACTATTTATCTTCAACCCTTCTATATTTCATTCAAGAGTCTTACATTCAAGTATAAATCTCATCCATTCTGTCCATATTCATGATTTATTATTTTTATTTTTTATGTTGAGAACTTAAGGCAACTTAAAAATTCTACGTATTCAATGATTTCAATCATCACCACGCGATCAGATCGTCATTCTGAGTATGTTAAGCCTTATTAATCAGGCTTCACTTTTGCATGCTTTCGTTCAAATCCTAAAAAAATTAAGCTTTTCATGGCTTAAAATCCAGAGTTACACACAACTTTCTAACACATTTTCGACCCTTTTCGACATCGAGCTTCTCACACTTGTTCAATACAGGTTTGACTGGTTTTATCTGAGTGGTGCTGGTCTTATCTGGTTTTAAGACAGGTTTGAGAATGCTTGATTGCTTGGATGAAGATGAAATGCTTGTTATTTTATCAGGGTGATGTTTGTTCACACAGCCCACGATGCAATGAAGACCGTCGCTTGGACACTTCCAGCTGGGAACGTTTTTTCCTTGACTGTTGGCCACGCAAGTGGTGAAGGTTGGGAAGCTGCATTTTGAACAACAATCGTAGATTGGGAAAACGAACTGATAAGTCCCAGAGCGTTGCAAAATACTTGCGAACTGGCAGTCGAAAGGCCAGGAGGTCTGCAATATATATGTGGGCAAAACAAAACAGTGTTTTTAATACCCTTAAAAACTAGTTTACAAATCTGATAGCGCGACATAAAAGTATTATTGTAAAAAGTATTGAATTGTGCTATTGTGTGTCAATGGTGTATTTGAAATGGCACTCGCCATTTGGATTAAGTTGCCAGGCGTTGGTTCTGCATTGTGTTGCCATGGTTTTTAATAGCATACACACACAAAATATCGCATGTTCATGCATGTGTTACGGTGTATATCCCACACTAGGCAAAACTCAAGCAAACAAAGGGCTTTTGTAACGAGTTACAAAGCTTGTTGTTCAATTCAACCTGATTTTATTTAATAACAATTCTTACCGTGCGTTTCGTTCGTGTTCCAGTCGGGTTAAGTATTGCATTTATGTCCCTAGTCGTACAAAACGGCAGGCCTGAGGAATGAGTTTTGGGCGGGTTATATACACGAAGAGGCCGGGAAGTTGTCGGAGGTAATGTATTCGGCTTCATCGTCGCAGGTATTCCTGGTATTACTGGCTTCCTACATAGTCTGTGTCTGAACCGACGAAAAATTCTTCTGTTACACCACCGTCGAAGCGGATTTGACCAAAGCCCGGTAGAACATTCGCAAAGCCAAGCAACGAACATACAAAGATAAACTAGTTGAAATATCTTCGCCATTATCTCGGAGCAGTTATTACAAGAAAGCTTTAATGCCTCTCGACACCTCGGCAGTAGCTTTTTATACACTTGTAATGCTGAGTTCCTGTTTCCTTTTTCTTTCTGATAAGACCGTTTAAAAGGTGAAATGTTAGCTCTTTATAATGACGATAAATCTGCTTAGATTTGAATCCGGTGAAATATAATATTCGTTTCCTTCTTAGCGCTGTGGGCAGTTTATCATATTTCAATGAAGAGAACGGCATCAGGTGATAAGTGATTAACTGTTTTTATGACGTTTTTGTGTAAAATGGCGTTAGGATGGTAACGCATATGGCTATAATTACCATTACCTTTACAAAAGTTTGTCATTAACGTACTCTTCATGCAGCAGGGCAAACTCAAACTTTGACCACCCTCGCCCCTCCCCCCCTCACGCGAACTGTAGAAGTCGTGCTGTTATGAACTTCCTACATAATCCGTTTACGTAAAAATATCCACTCCCTTTACGATGATAACGTCAAAATCTGGCCCCGTTTCGAGGAAAACGCTGAAGTGTCTAAGCTTCCTTTCTTATATTTCAACCATATAGTGGAATATCACCTCTACTGACCCAGGTGTTTGACATTCTAAGCATATTTTTCTTTGGATAATTGGATCGTGTGGACAAGGCCGTCATGAAATAGACAAAAACGATTTTGATAACGCTCAAAAACGACGCTCGTGTGGACAGGAGCCTTACACCGGGCTGAATTACGAACCGCGCGAGGCATATTCAAAGTTTTCTTGGGCACAGTTGAAATTTTAGATTTAGGTTAAAATAGCTCAGTGTTAATCGCTGTTTAATTCCCTGAAGTATTTCCTCCAAGTTTCTCTAAACTAAGGATATCGATTTTAAAGCCCGTCCGTATAACCCGAACAATGATGACAGAGACATTGACAGTGTGAAATGGCGTCATATGTTGGTTAGCAGGCTGCAGGGGGCGGATACGCTGAAAGGGTAACATGGATAACACGGAGTCGGAGCTCCGGTGCCGGAGTCCCGGAGTCCCTTATACTATGTCCACAAACACTTCTCACGTCTCGAACTTATCTTACACAAATAAAACACTGCATGTTGTGTTGAAAGGTCTGTGTTATTGTACCATGATATCCTATACTCTTCAGAATTAACTTGGGCTGCATGACAGATTTCGTCCAGGAAGACTAGCATGATAGCAACGGAGATCGTGAACATAAGAAAATAAGATGCCATATACCAGTACAAATATCATCAGTTTAAATAATCACCATTACCGTCCAGTTTTCCTGCGGTCATAGTTGACAACATAAATAAAGACAAAATTTGATCTGACGAAAACGGACTAAAAAGAATATTGTTTTAATAAAGTTAAAATTTAATCTCAGTGCATCAGGCGCTGGTTCTACAAGGAAGCCCCTTCACAGTAGGTGCAGGAGCCGTAAGGATTTTGTCGGTAAGGAATCTTCAGCATCACTTTATAGCCAATCGGATTGTCTCTTCGTTCTCATGTTTAACTATCTCGTCTTAATCTTGAGAATTTGCCAAATGATACGGATGAGGTGGTGATTAAGAGAACATCTTGAAGTCTTGAAGAACACTGTCTGAACACATATTCCACGTTTAAAGTCACGTATCTAGCGAATGTGGTCGTTCTTTTATAAGCACCAGGATGAAGTATTGCATTTCAATTTGGCTGTATCACGTCTTTCAAAATCAGTAAAGTGCTCATCAACAATTGGTCAAGTGAAATTATAGTCTAAAGACGAAGCTTTGCATGCTTTAATTGAAGAACATGAAGTTCATCGCGACAAAGAACAGTGTTCCGGGAATTGAACCCAGTAACCGTGTGTACAAGTCAGCTTCCATTAGACCATTATGTTTTCTATTCTGAGGGCGTTTACGTCAGACATTTAAGTCTACTGGGTTGCGAAAATATTCTAAACTTTTTATCGAGTATAACGAGACATACCAATTATGCGGATATGAATTGTCAACAGAAATGTTTAGCTTTCATGCAATGTTACTCGTGAGAAGTTCAATTTTAATTCGTATGGAAAACCAACCGTAAACACGGTTCCGAAACACACGGACACTGTTTTTTTACGAGGGAAACCAGAGTGCCTGGAGAAAAACCCTCACCGAAAGCCGGAATTAAACACAAAGTACACAAGTTTGAGATTTTATTAAAACAAAGTCATGTATTACAACAAAGTGTGTGTGTGTGTTAAAGCTATTGAAATCAAGAGAGAGGAGACGGAAAATTTTGGTCCTATTTTTAATAATACTTCACTAAACATGTATTACAAAGCGTGTGTGTTTTCTTTATACATAAGTACATCAATATTGAATATTAAATTTATAGAACAGTGCAGGTTAAATGCTAATTTGTATAAATTGTAAAGTATAAATTGTTCATGTCTTTTTACAGTGTGCTATTGTGTTTGAGTAATGTTTAAGACTGATCAGTAAAACATGCATTAATGTGAGTATAAGTGTTTCTAAGTTATGAGTTATCGTGTATTTTTTTTGTTCTATTATAGACTTAACCCACTAACTCTGGTAGAGAGCTGAATAAATCTTATGAGATCGACGAACTACTATAGTAAAACATAAAAATGCCTGAGTTCAGAGCGCTTAGATTAAAGTTACGTTCGTCCAAAAACTAAAATTATTCTGCTGACAAATCATAGGCAGTGTTCCTAATAGTTTCGTTTTAAGCTGTCAAACTGTGCACACATATTTCAAGGATCGAGTTAACTTGAAGATATTTCATGAGCCCTTATAGAAACAGCATGAAAGCATACACAATTGTCCTTGAAAACTTCATTGCACATTTCAGAGCTGAGGCATATAGCCAGAGCATGCTGCCCTTGTAGAAACAAAGTTTGGAAAAAAATACCACAAAAAATTGACTTTATATTTTTGAGGCTGAGGCATATAGCCAAAGCAACAAACTGTCGAAACCAAGTGCAGCATCAAGTGTAAATATTCTTTTTTTCAAAAAATTCAGTCAACATTTTTTGAACCATGCAAGGGGGATATCATTCCCAAAGCAAGCTGCCCTTATAGAAACAGCACCAAGGGTACAATTTTTTTTTCAGAGAAACTGAACTAATACTTTCAAAGCCAAGGCATATAGCCAAAGCAAGCTGCTCTTATAGAAACAGCCACAGGAGTACATTTTTTTTTCTTTCAAAATCTGGTTAAAAAACTTTTAGAGCTAAGGCATATAGCCAAAGCAAGCTGCTCTTGTAGAAACAGCAATGAAAATAACACTGCAACGTTATTAGATATCCCAAGATACCTGCTAACACTTCGAACCACATAGCAAAGTCAAACAGTACAGACAAAAAGTGGCGCCTTACTTTTCATAAGCACTGCTCGACGAAGCTAAATGATTGGAAATCTCACAGAGACCTTGGAAAAATAATAAAGTTACAATGCCACTGCCAATGTTTGTCTCGTAATTGGTTTTTAACTATAGTAGAAATAAGGCATATATATCGTTTTAAGATAACAGCATGCACCCCCCCCCCATTCCTTATTTTCTTCAAGTAAATTCAAATTCATTAATTGAGAGCATGTGTGTGTTAACTTTGATTGCATAAATTCATGTATTTCAGAATAGCAAGACAGTATAAGACATGCCGTAAAATCAATGTTTCTGGCTTGAATATATATTAACTGTAGCCTTAAGTGAATGCAAGAGATAAGAGAAATATAAACTAGAAGCCATTATATAGGCCATGGTTTGCATCAATGTATTTACTCGTGTGCGTGTCTATTTTATGTGCAGCTACGTGATTAATATGGTATAGTGCATGATGTTTTGTATCTGTTCATATTTTGATATAAATAATGTTCTGTTCATAAATACATACACAATATTATATGTTCAATTACAAAATATAGTAAGGCAAGATATAATCGTATATTTACAATGTTTGCTGAGAAATCAAAAACGTATTTCCATACAAATAATAGTTTACAACCAGACCGAATAGTGACCCTGTATAGTTATCATTTTACAATGTTAATTCTGAAAGCCGCAATTGACCGGATTTCAAGAGCCGAAGATGATTAATTCCGAAAGCCGCAATTGACCGGATTTCAAGAGCCGAAGATGATTTCAATCAGGACAAGATAGAGAAAGAGGAAAGAACCTACGGGATTATGTCTGCCATTTGTGGCTATGGTTTGTGTTAGTGTGCATGGCTTTTTAGACATTTCTTAAGTGAAATATGGGTATATATAACAGTTGTGATATGTTTTCAATTTTTATATAACAAACAAATTATCAACCTAAACTTTAGCGCAGCGCTAAGCACAAGCGAGCAGTCCTAAGCGCAAAACCGATTCAAATATTTAACCGAATTTAAGAAACGTTTTCTCACATGCATCATGCATTAGCTATGTTCCTGGTGGCCAGAACTTAGTTAACTGAATTTAAAACTTTATTTATAACTTAAGTTCGTTAACTAAATTAGTTAACTTCGTTAAGTTAATCATGCACAGACTAACCCCTGCATGCACATTTTTTGACCACCAGGCTACTCTAACCTGTCGATGCTCGGGCATCGCTGATGCGTTGCTGTTTGGCGTCGATTTGGCGTAGTTTTGGCGTAGATTTGGCGTCGAGGTTGCCTACATTAGGCGTAGAGTGCCGTCGAGGTTGCCTACATTAGGCGTAGAGTGCCGTCGAGGTTGCCTACATTAGGCGTAGAGTGCCGTCGAGGTTGCCTACATTAGGCGTAGAGTGCCGTCGAAGTTGCCTACATTAGGCGTAGATTTGGCGTCGAGGTTGCCTACATTAGGCGTAGAGTGCCGTCGAGGTTGCCTACATTAGGCGTAGAGTGCCGTCGAGGTTGCCTACATTAGGCGTAGATTTGCCGTCGAGGTTGCCTACATTAGGCGTAGATTTGCCGTCGAGGTTGCCTACATTAGGCGTAGATTTGCCGTCGAGGTTGCCTACATTAGGCGTAGATTTGCCGTCGAGGTTGCCTACATTAGGCGTAGATTTGCCGTCGAGGTTGCCTACATTAGGCGTAGATTTGCCGTCGAGGTTGCCTACATTAGGCGTAGATTTGCCGTCGAGGTTGCCTACATTAGGCGTAGATTTGCTGTCGAGGTTGCCTACATTAGGCGTAGATTTGCCGTCGAGGTTGCCCTACATTATAGGCGTGGATTTGCCGTCGTTTTGGCTGTTACTCATCAACCTGAAAAAAGATTACAGAAATAAGCAAACTATTTCTTTTATTGAGAAACACGCGTAAAATCGGGATTGTAGAAACAACAACATCTATAAAACCCCTCTGGGATTTCAAATATTTCCTTTCTTGCCATTATTAATATTCATATTCAATTATCATGCATGCGGCCGTTGTCGTTCTTGACCTGAATCATAAACTCCCTATTGTTCGGTTTATCTAAAAATGTTTAATTGCTTAATACTCACGTTTTATTATGAACAGGTTTTGTTGTCGTTTCAAATGGCTTGACCCGCTAAATCCCTACCTGCAATAAAACCAAAGGAATGCTTGTAATAGACAGCGATTTGAAGGATTTACCTTCGAGGAAGGGAGCTCAAATATCGGGAGAAAACGTGCGGTGACTATTCAGTTGAGAGAACGCATGATGCCTGATCAAGCGTTTCGAGTTTTCTTATCCTATTTTGAATAAAATAGACCCAAAATTACCTGTTCATTTTAGCAACAAGTGTTGAAGAGCAGCTTTGGACTTGCTGTCTCTTTAAATGCGAGTCATCTCGGGGAATTTCATCAATGGGTTTTCTATCCCAGCTCATTTCTGTATTCGATTTGGTTTTAGCTTTTAAACCTCACCTGGAAGAACAAAAGGCAATGTTAGTTTACTGGTTTGGTCTTTATAACTTAATTCAAAGGTAATTGCTTGCGATTGGAGCAAAGGTTAGCGGCTCGCTACATTACGATTTAGCGCTTTACCTTTCTCATATCATCAACAAGTCCCAAGAAAATGCGTAGACGTGCTTTCTCTTTAAAGGCGAGTTATCTTGAGTCAAATGAGAGTCGTCTCGGGCAATTTCAGCTACGTAACGGACTTCTTGCCCACTTCACTCACATTCAGTTTGGTTTTAAGCTCTCAAACTCCACCTGGAAGAATAAAAGGCACCATTAGTTCACTGCTGAGGTCTTTAGAACTCAATTCAAACGTAATTTGCGTGAGGTTAGAGGGAAGGTTAGCGGCTCAACAGTCAGATTTAGCGTATATTACCTTTCTTATGTCATCAATATTCCCCAGAAAAAGCCTGGACGTGCTTTCTCTTCAAAGGCGAGTTATCTTGAGCCAGTTCAGCCACCATTCATCGGTCGTCAATCTGTTGTTCACAAATTTCATCGTTTAACTTCGCTTTAATTCGTCAAAATTCTGCATGAAAAGAATAAAAAGCAACGTTAGTGTTATACAAGTTTAAAGCGGAACTTAACAAGAACACTACGAGAAAGGCATTACAAGACGTGAACTAAAGACACGTGGAACTTCAGCCTAAAAGCTCACGATGAAGCAAGCTGATAAAACACGCAAAGGGAAAGGCATATTACCTGGTATTACACCAACGACAGTCTGTCAGAGATAGTAAACTTCTATTAAACTTCTCTTCTGCTGAAGACGATAGCAATCTGATAGAAATTTCTGTTGAAATTTTCTTAGCATGGAGGAGACTCATCTTTATTCTTCGAAGACTAGCGCTGAAGTGATGTCTCAAACTGGAATCAAAAGCACATATTCATTTCACCCGCTCCTCGTGTCTGCAAAATAAAGCCTCCTATTGGATGAACACTCCCGACCTGACAGCTCAACAACGCTTCTGATTGGATGTTCATAGTAATTTAAATAATATGATTAATTCTCTTCTCCTGAGCCTGGACATCAGAAATGAAAGGAAAGAATTAATCATATTATTCAAATTACTATGCTCGTCAAATCAGAAGCAATGTTGAGCTGTCAGGCCGGGAGTGTTCAGCCAATAGGATGACTTTATTTTGCAGCACGAGGAGCGGGTGAAATAAATATCTAGCTTTGATTCAACGTTGCCACATCACAACTTGCATAACACGGAGTCGGAGTTTCGGAGCCGGAGTTTCGGAGCCGGAGTTTCGGAGCCGGAGTTTCGGAGCCGGAGTCCCGAAGTCAAAATTACGGAGTCTGACGTAATAATATTGGAAAACATGGAGTCAAAAGTTATGGAAAACACGTAGTCTGCCAAAAACATGGGAAACACGGAGTATAAATGTTTGGAAAACACGGAGTCAACGTAAATTATACATATATCCATAAATGAAGGATCGCTCATTAAGTCTATACTAATTTTTTATACCACAGTAATAGTGTAAAAGAAAGTTTACACAATAACAAAAGATTATAGCTATAGTGCCTCTTTCTCAAAGTCATTGAATTATTGTTACTCGCTCATGACTTCAGTGGAACGCATAATCTCCTTATACAAGTCTTTCCGTTCGTAAGTCTCTCCATTCTCTCGCATTCCAATATTTTTGGCACCTCAATAACTCTTCCTTCACCGCCAGTTTCAATTTCTCCTTCGGTCGTATCGACTTCAAAATCGCCACCTGGACCTGGTTTCTCTATAACTGTGATAGTTCCTGGTCCATGCTTCTTGACGCAGTCGAGAACACAGTGTACGCCACTACGCCATCACTTGGGCATCGCCACTTAGATGAGCCATGATTCTTTATACAAGCTGTGTAAGTTGGAAAATCACACTTCTCGCAACATTTGTAAATGTCACGCATGAACTGATATTTTCCTTGGTAGAATACGATACCGGCATAAAGACAATTGAATGGCCACAATGATGCCTGGAAAAGATATAGGAAGAGTAAAGAAACCGTACGAATATTAAACCGTTTACAAGTGAAAAGTCTCCTTTTTGCGTAGGTCGTAAATAACTTGCGGTGGATCACATTTCAAGGGTAAATTTATCTTGAAAGGCCCGGAATTTAGGCCCTACTTGACCCGGCGAATCGAGCGGCCATAAAATCAGAAATATCAAAATATTTTAGCAAACTAAGCCGTTCCGTAGTTTATACTGGGTTTCCTTTCGATAATCATGACTATTTTGACGTTAAAAACCAACAAAGATTGTTTCGAAACACCAAAGGAATATCAAAACACTAAAATTTCAAATTATCGCATTGGACATATTCTGTTACAATAAGAAATAATTTAGAACTAATTGGCATTTATCAGTTATGAGGCTACTGATAATGAAGATATCAGCAATAAATTGTTATCAGTGAACCGCCAATTCTCAGTCCTGAGGATTTCATCAACTCACCGCACGTCGTTCTCGTTTTGAGAAAATCTTCGTTAACTCAGATTCATCACAATATCGGGAATCTTTCACAGGAATGAATGCAGTTGGTGGTGGCTTTGTGGGAGGACGGGCTGGTTCAAACATTGGCTGCATTGGCTCAGGTAGCATTGATTCCCAATTGATAAAGGCATCAGTCACAGTGGTGAAAACAATGATAAGTAACGACACTGACGTCATAATGATCCTCATCCTGATCAAGTCAGTTGCACAGTTTGCTTTTGATAGGATTTCTTAAATTGACAAAAACAGGTTGATTTATTTAGTTGAGTCAGCCAGTATGGAGTCACTGGCAGTGGCAGTATTACAGATGGAACGATAATCATCCTGAGTATACTCATATACTGTAGTTCTGTGTTATCATTAGCTATAGGACCTTTTTGAAAATCTTGAAAAATTTGCATCTCTTCTTATAAACACTTGAACAGATTATTCAGGGCAATATATAAATACCGCTGTAAAAAAACTGTTGAGTTTAATTCATCCTTAAGTCACCACCACACCCTAGCCACCGAACAGTCTACATTTTCTCATCAGCTGATGCTCATGATAGCATTATAAAATTTGCAGTAATTATTCCTTTTTTTGAACAATACCTGAATGGCAAGATAATTCCCTCGGGCCTCGACAAGTACTTACTGGCAAATCGTTTGTTTAAGAGTTTCACCTTCTCCAGTGATCTAAAAATGTACAATTTAGGTCCTAGACTTGCAATCACAGGACGTTCCTGAAAGCTGGCTCTTTGCACAGGAATGATAACCCTTTACGACGGAAGTTCAATATATATAGCGTGGGTCAGTTCAGTTGTAAACGGTCATTCGTCTATTTGAATTTATTGCTTCCGGCTCGGTTCTGCCGTTGCACATCAAGTGGGGAGGATGTGAAGCGATGTGAAACGGACCATGGGTTAACCGTTGGTTAATATCCCCTCTTTCCCTCCTGAGAAAATCTTTACTATTTCAGATTCGTTACAATATCGAGAATCCATCATGGTCATTTGGGGATGAGTGGTAATCGTTTCATCGCTTCAAAGACGAAATAATCATACAAATCAATGCACTGTTCTGAACTGCTCTTTAATGGTTTTTCGTGATAATCATTACGATAATGTAAAGTTTTTGGTTCTATGCACCAATTTTATTCAAACTAATATAACCTACACTACTTTAAAAGAAAATTCAGCACATTTTACGTAGCAGAGCAGCCCTGTTTGTGAAAAATTATAGAAGTACGTTCAAGTGGGTTACATGTATAAGTTTTAGAATCACGACAATGCAATGACACCAAGCCTTCATGCAAGTGTTCATTTATACATAAAATATAGTAAGTTTCGAAACTGTAAGCAAACCTACACTTGCTGGTGGAAAACAATAAATTTTTGCATGTTCACTAGAGCGTTCACAATCTCAATGGGACGCACAAGCGTCTTATGCAAGTCTTGCCATTAGAAAGTTTCTCCACTTTTTCACATTTTAACTTCTTAGGAACCTTATTCATCTTTCCGCCACCTTGAGTTCCCGAACCGAATCCTTTAAAGCCTCCGCCACCGGGAGATATAATCGTGGTTTCTGGGCCATAGGTCTTGATACAGCGAAAAAGGCATTGGGCACCATCGCTCGGACAACGCCAATCAGGGGAACCATGCCTGCTAATACACGAGGTGTAGCCTGGAAAATCACATTTTTGACAACAGGAGTAGATATCGACCATGAACTGATAAACTCCCTTGTACTTTATGATACTAGGATATGCACAATGGTAGGGCCACGTGGAAACCTGAGAAAATGTTTAAAATTAAAGTTCATGAGCCGAGACACATGGTTTTGTAAAACAGGGACAGGAACCGTAGCCGGAGGCCGGATAGACAAACAAAGCTAGTGGAGGAATACCGTTCACTGACAGAAAAAGGATGAATTAGCAGGACAATGTTTTACGTTTTGCAAAAGGACCTGGCGAGAGCTGACGACACGCTCAATTTACGACCAAGTCGGTTTTTATGCAAAACTGCATCTATCAAATGGTTTATACAGATGCTTTGATTGTAAGAGTGTTTGTTAGTTGAAGTAACCTTAGCAATGTATATATGATTTATTTGTGTTTCAAATGAACATAAAGAGATCTTTTTGTCTGTGAATGCATGCATGAGTCGTATTCATATTTGTTTTCCTGTTTTGAAACGCTTTCCCTCTCCATGTGGCGGTTGAAATCTCGCGATAAAACGCCTGAGGTAAAACAGTGAGAAAGTTCGGTCTCGTCAGTGCAAAAAGTTGTTGTAGAACCTAGCTCTCCTGACAATTCGCTGAGTTTGTAGGATGAACAGGTAACAGTTATGATCGATTGGAAGTTTAACTCACTCTCATCTATAGTAATCAGGAATCAATCCAGTTTAATTCATTCTCGGGTGCTGATATATGAAGGACCTCTAAGTTTACTTACTGCACGTCTCTTTCTTCCTGAGAGGATATTTTTATCTGAGACTCATCACAGTATCGAGAATCCTTCACAGGGTTGAATGCTGGTGGTTTGGTTGTCGCTTTTGTTGGTGGACGCGTTGGTCGGCGCGGAAAGCTAAATCTTGGAGATGGAAATTTGAATGGAACCCGCCAAGCATCGACCATGATGGAAATAACGAAGACGAAGAAGATAGTCATGAGCTTAGTCATTTTGTTTTCTTTGTCAGTGGATCAAATCCGAGTTTTCCGCTTTTCACCAGTTTTCTAAAACATCAAAAATAGAAATGAAAAATAATCATACAGTTAAAAATCGCTTATAGAAATGCATAAAATATTTCGTTTAGATAAATTAGATTGTTTTGGGATGAACTCGCTTATACTGCATGCAATAATACATACTTTGATATACGGATCTCTTCAGTACCAACAACAATCAAGCAACCGTTTGAAATGGCGATTATCATACTGTGTCGGTTGAGATATTGGCAATCTGATTCAAATGAGCTTACCCAAGCGATTAATAGCTCTGATAAATAGCGATTTGGCAACTAAATGATCTTCGTAGTACGTAAATGCGTGCATGCAAGCACGATTCATATTTTCCGCCCAGTGTGACTGACTGATTTTGAAATGTTAATTTACTTGACGTATATACTGGGATATGACTATCTGGCCTGACGTAAAATGCCTAAACCATAGCCATAGGCCTACTTCCTGTTCGATGAACAACGCAAGTAGGGCTACTTTATTTTATACACCCTCTAGGCCTAGCGTCCGCTAGATACGTTTATCGTTAATAGTTTTAAGCAGAATGAATTAAGCCTGGTTTCAATTTAGCATATAGGGATTGTCATTCTTGAGAAATCTTGACCAAGAAAATTGAGGCATAAAATGTGAACTAAGCTAGTTTGCTAGTTTGTCGCTTCCGATAACCGGATTTCGGTTTTCCTTCGTAAGTCTCGTACTCATTGACTGCAAACACACTATATCACATTCCATCAGCTGGTAATGATAACTATTACCTTCTTAACAGGATTGCATCATCAGAAACTACATGATTTCTGGAATGAACAATTTTCCGAGAAAAGCAGAGATATACATAAAATGAGACCGTTGCATGTACGTAGACAGGACAAGCCCATCCCCTTGCGCTTGACTTGACATTTCCCCTGGCAACTCCTCTGGAAATTTTTTTAGCAGTGCCCCAAGCACCCCCCCCTGAAACGGAGACCAGCTACGGGCCCGTTTGTTCGCCCTCCTCTAACAGGCCTGACTCAAATTAGTTATCTTTCAGTCTTTCTAATCTCATCGTATTGATAAAAAATTTAAAACGTTAAAGTGTATTTAATGATATGATTTAAGAAGATATATAATCTACATGACTCCTTAGACGTGAAGTATTCACGTTCTTTATATCCTCGTAGCACTAAATTCTTAGTAGAAAAGATTTAACATACACTGTTGTCTACAACACAAGCCTTACTTGAGAATCTTTTAGTTACGTTTAAGTCTGAATAACGATTCACAAACGTCTACTATCATTCATACTTGACGGATAAAGCAACACACCCTACACCTTGATACATGACCGTTCGAGACAGTACGACGTTCCAATACTTTTGCGTTTCACTTCACATTTTCGTGACCCAGAAGGACGTGGCTGGGGTCCTGGCCGTCCAGGGGGTCCAGGACGTCCAACGGGCCCTGGCTGTCCAGGGGGCCCTGGCCGTCCCCGCCGCCCAGAACCTGAACCTTTTCCCTCTCCTTTCGTACACATGCACATTGTAATACATCGTAAAGCCTCGCTGTTGCATCTTGCCCTCGCGAAGCTTGATCCAGATCTTAAGTATCTACCCATGCAAACAGAAAATTTGGGCCATTCGCATTCCTTGCAGCATTCATATTTAGGCAACTCGAAAATTCCTTCCGCGAAATTGTAACCCGCGTGCAGGCAGTCGTAACTCCAGCGTCTACCACTGAGGCGGCTACCCTGTGAAAAAAGAAGGCTAGTGAATTTGATAATTTCAAAAAGCAAAAAGGCGATAGCGTTCTGGGCAATCAGAAGCACGCTTTGGCGAAAAACGTAACTACTTCATAAAATAAACTTAAAAGAGAGCATGCTATTTTGATAGAGGGATTTTGTATGCACACGGATTTTAATATATCGGGAAAGTTAAGTTTCTCATAGGGAAAAGATAATCATGTCATCAATCCGGCTCCCAAAATTGCAGCCTAATATAAAAAATGGTCCTAGTTTGTAGACGTACGCACCTTAGATCGCTTTTCTCTACCAGCCTTTCCTTTTATTCTGAATTGTCTGTTACGAAATATCTTCAAAAATTTTGTGATCTCGTCGCTCAATGGACAATATGGGATGATAAATGGACCAGGGGGACCGCGAGGACCACGACGTACAGAAATACCAGGGGGACCACGAACACCAGGGGGACCACGAACACCAGGGGGACCACGAACACCAGGGGGACCGCGAGGACCACGATGTACAGAAATACCAGGGGGGCCAGGGGGACCAAGGGGACCAAGAAGACTACGGCGGCCACGACCACCAGGTTGGCCAGGGGGACCACGTTTACCAGGTGAACCAGGGGGACCAGGTTTACCAGGTGAACCAGGGGAACCACGTTTTCCAGAGGTACCAGGGGAACCACGTTTACCAGAGCCACCCGGGGAACCACGTTTAGCAGAGCTACCGGGACGACCAGGAGGGCCAGGAGGACCCGGAGGTCCAGGGGGACCCGGAGGTCCAGGAGGTCCGGGCTGAGCGTTGATCACGGCCAGCCCAAAACACAAGACATAAATACATCGCATAGTTAATCCCGCGTGACTCGCCTAAAATAAGAAAAAATTCCGATTGAATAGATGTACTCAATAATGAAGATAACCTCACTGAATACATCATCATTATTTACTAAACTGTACATTGTAGATAAACTAACATCCTACGGCAAGGTATAAAGCGGATTACTTGATACCATAAAGCCTGGTAATCTGTCATGGTTTCAAAAATACACATGCATATATATCAAAAGGAATTTAGCATTAAATGTGGTATAACAACTGCCTAAAATTGACGAAACGTCGAGAAGTGTTTTGTCTATTTTAGGCAGTTGTTATACCACATTTGATGCTAAGTAAGTTGTCTGAAGACGCTGCCATGTACGCTGCTCCCTGGTTATATGTAAAAAGGAACCATTTTAAGGTAGAAGATCCCATCTTATATCTCACATGCACGGAATGTAAACACAATACAAGATTCACGAAGGTGCTTTTTATGACAAATTCTTATCAGTCATGGACGCCGCTATAGAAACTTTCATTTATTTTGAACCTCCTGCCAGACAGCGTCTTTTCTTGAAAGAGTTTATTTAAGATAACATCGAGAGACTAAGAAATTGTAGATATTATAGCATATGAGACTGAATATTAAGAAACAGCAAGATGATATGCCGATTGACATATGTTTGTCCTGTTTTAGCTTACCTAAAAATTCAAACTTTTTCCTTCACAGGAATTGAACTCACTGGCTTCCTAACTCACAGCTGTGTCGATTTCTTTTAAGAACAATTCCTTGCGATGGTTGATTTTCTGCTGACTTCGAAATGATTTGGCAAACGAGTTTTATTGCGTTGTTCATCGAACAGGAAGATCTAGAATTTCGACAAATTGGATTGTTTTTGGTCCTAATAACTTTGCTGTTGAGTGAATGCTAATTAAGTGCTGTGCAGAAAGATGAGAATTATAAAAAAAATATGAGCGTAGGTAGGTATGATTGGAGGCCTCGCCAAAGCACAGCTATAGGTTTTTTGAAACTACTATATATTATTGTTGTGAGGGGGGGGGGACGGGCAGGATATCTCCAAAGATATATCACTAAGGGAGAGCTTCCCTGGACCCCGTGTATGTAATTCGGGCAGTAATGCGTGCAGGCAGTCGTATTTCCAGCGTCTATCCTATGGGGAAAATGTGTTCCTGATTACCATTTTCGCCGGGATGTCCGTTACGAAATATCTCCAAAAACGTTGTGATCTCTGGGCTCAATGAACAATTTGGGATAGTTGTTGGACTGGGGGAATTACGAGAAGCAGGAGAGCCAGGAGATCCATGGTAACCAGGAGAGCCTGCCTGAACGCTGGCTAAGCAAAAATATGACATAAATATATCGCATAGTTAATCCAGTGATTGGCCTAAAAGAAGAATGTTTTCCCAATGAATATCATATGTTTTCGTGTTTTATTGCTATTTGTTGTTGTTCATCAAAAAGGAAGATCTAGAATTTCAGACAACGTAGATTGCTTTTGGACGTATTAATATTCCTATGAACAAAAATATCCAAAGAAAATGCTGGAACGTCATTAACAAATGAACAGACCTCTTGACGAGATCGAACCACGTAAAGCATTAATGAGACTACGTCGAAAAAAACGTCGATAAAACAACAACAAAGGAAACAAATCAATCAATGCGATGGTAATCCTTCAAAAAAAGATGTTCAATCTTTTCGATTCTAAATATATCAAGACAGCCAGATTTTAAAATAGGGATTGTAGCCAAATTCTGTCTGTTTCCAAGCGATTGAAGACTGTTTTCCATTTTGTTTCCCACTGTGTCACGGGGAGAACATACGCTTCGTTTTGAAGCTAGATTTTCAAGGGGTAGCTTCGTCCGTGCACGGCGGGGCACTCGAACGTAAAGGTACACAGTCTTATAACAGTGAATTACACTGATTAAATGACATTCGCTGCACGAGTGTTTGAACTGAGTTATACACACAAACCGAACCAATATTTGCCAATTTATATTCGCTGTCTTAACGTTAGTCCTATATAATTAATACAAATTCATTTTCTTGAATTTCCTTGTTTTATTATTACTGATGGGATTGTAAAACCCGAGTTGTAAAGAGAGTATAAACTGCATCACTCACATACTAAAGCCGGCTTATAATTGTCAGTACTGTTCAGTTTATGTAGCTACGGAGTTTATGAACAGCGGTTGCAACTACACACGGATACAGGACCGTTCCAGACAGTATGAGCCCCCAATTCTCTTGCGCTTGACCTGACATTTCGGCCGAGGTCCAGGGGGGCCGGGCCGTCCGCCTTTGGGACCAGGCTGTCCGCCTTTGGGACCAGGCCGTCCACCTAAACCAAAATCGCATATGCACTTTGAAATACACCGCATTGCTTTACTGTTACACCTGATCTGCGCCAGGACGGGATTGGCTTTAAACTGCTTCCAACAGAGAGCAAATTTTGGCCAGTGACATTCCTCACAACACTCGTACACTGGCTGTTCGAACCTCTTCGCCTGGAAATTAGCACCCACGTGGTAACAGTTGAATATCCAGTTTGAACCCTTGTAAAAGAGAAGGTATAAACAGCTAACGTTTTGCCAGCAGTTTCACCAAAGGACACAGACTTTTACTGCGAAAAGAGAGCCCATGGAGTCATGGACTCTGTCCAGATGACTTATTCATGGTTGTTACCCACCTTATAACCAATCCGTCTACCTTTAAATCCAGTTTCGCCTTTTTGTTTACGCCGCGGTGGTGCTCCATCTTTTCCGGAGCGAATTAGCTTCAGAAATGCCGTGATTTTCTTGCTTACTTTACAATATTTTAGTCGACTAGGACGAGGACCTCTTGGTCCTTTCTTTCCGATTTTCCCTCCCAGGATTTGAATATGGAACACCATTGCCAATACAAAACACAAGACAAAATAACCTCGCATGTTTGGTAGTTAATTTGCTAAAGAAGGCGGAAAGCCAATGAGTATATGTTTATGAGAACTCTTAGTGCAGTAATTGCACTGAATCATTCTAAAACTATTCTTAAAACACACACACAATTACAACGATAAAACTATCTAAGTATGTGTAATACACTATAAAAATGTTTAGATAAAAATGACAGATAAAAAAATGCTTAGATATTTAGTAACATACAGAGTCACTGATCTAAATTACCCTAATTATCTTCCCAGCGTTACGAGAGAGAATAGTGGAGAGCGCAAGGAGAAGGTCAGGAGGACTTTCGTGAAGTAGGGAGAACTTACTGGTCAATTCAGCAGTGATGATCTAATGAGTATGTGTTGGCAAATCAACTTCTAAGTGAGGTAAACCTCAGTTTGAGCAGTCGCTGTATTGAACTGAAAAATCTTTGTGCTTCGTGAAATACAATGTGCAGCAAGGTAATGTGCGTTTAAATGCCTTGACAAACTCAGTATTTTTTTTCAAACCTCTTTGATGCCTCCTTTAGTTATCATAAATGCTCCGCGCACAACTAACTTACCCTGAAGTGAATCCTATTTTGAGATTTATCTTTCAGGAAGCCACAGTATGTCAACAACTTGTTTTTTGATTAGAATTGTTTTTTGGCACAATTTATTATATACTGAAGCCAAATTTAAATGGATCCACATTTGTAAGCCAATATTTTTAAACCGATTTTATTAAGACCTAAGCTCTTAACTGAAAGATTCGGTTTACAAACACACCCACGAAATTCCAGAACAAGCATTGTGATGTCAAAGGCAACGCTTCGTCAATCAGGAAGTCGATAACAACCAAACAGAATGAATTGACCTTTGATTAACACAGGATTTGATTAAAACCCAGGATTTGATTAACACAGGATTTGATTAACACAGGATTTGATTAACACAGGATTTCATGCGGTCTGTAAGAATAAATGTGCTTGTAAATATTGTGAAGAGACGAAAGTTATTGAAAGAACTGAGATATATTCGTTTTTGTAGCTGGAGTCAAGTGGCGTATCCCATAAAAAGAGAATTCACTCTGGCTGGCATCTAATATACCACGAACGTGTTGCTAGAAGAAAAAGGAACATTTTATGACATTGGTAACCACTTGATTTCTGAAACCACTTCTGGTATAATTGGATCAATATATGATATAAACACCTGTGAAAGACATGTAGGTATGTAAGATTTTATTGAGAATCTTGCGGCGGAACCCAAACTGAAGCTCTTCTGAGTGATTTCCTGGAACGAAGAGGAAGTCGAAGATTGACATCATCTATCAGATGATGACGGTAAGGCCAAGCAGCTTTAATTCTAGCCTCAGACTTGCGGAAGTGGAATTATGGAAGGAAGAAATACTACATCATTAAGCGACATATTTGAGGATTTAAGTTTGGTCTGCGATTCCTGGGAATGTTCTTACGCATGACGCATCGACTGGGTCCTTAGGTGAATCTCTTAGGTCTAATAATGTCTATACAAAAACGTCCAAGTTTCCATAGTTGGAGGTAGAGTGACGGGCAATAAGAGAGATCTCTAATAGTAAACACCTCTCTAATACACAAACCTTTCTTTGATACACCGGACGCGTCCGATAGATAATATTGACACGTATTCCTAATCACATATAGATCGATCGATCTAATACTTTACCTCTCTCTAACTTAAAGAGACCTGCTCCTCCCAAAAGGTTTGCTTTTCTCTAATATTAATACCTCTATAAGTACAGACACCTCCCTCTTTAACGCGTTTGTACCGTTTCTCTAATATCGACACCTTTTGATATTGAACATTAAATCTTCGTACACCTTTCCCTCTTTCCTACATGAAAACTATGCATGCTTGTTAAAGATTCGCTTGCGTTTTAAGTATTTATTATATTGAAATACAAGATCGTTCAATACACTTCGCTTGCGTTTTAAATACTTATTATTGGAATACAAGATCGTTCAATACAGTATGATTCACCAATTTTCTTTTTTCTTGTAGGGCATCGCAACTGCGTGTTACCACTGGTGGTTGGATTCAACTGCGGCTTAAGTTCCCCGGTTGGCAACTTCTGGACGCTCGTGCTCTGCGGCTGAAGCTGGGTAGATGCTGCGCAGCGTCGTATGTGAACATCTCCGCACCGATCAATACACTGCGATCCCTGTCGGATACATTCGTCAGCAGGCTTTTTACTGGCAAGGCATAGGGTAAACGCAGGAAATCGACAACTTTCGCAACACTCAAAAGCAGCTGTAACCAACGAAAGTGAACCCTGGTAATATGTCAAAGATGCTTGGACACAGTTGAAAGGCCAAGCTGGTATCTAGAAAAGGAATGATAGCCACACATGATATATGAATTTATATATTTATATTTAGAGCATATACTTTAATAAAGCTTTATATTGTAATTTGCCGCATACTCAATAACCTTTTGTGTTGTTTCCTTGAATTGTATACACAAGGAAGCAATATAGTCAGCAAGCGTCTGAATACATGATTTAAAATATTTGAGCACAGTTATCACAAGGAAGGAAACAATCAATATATTATAATATCAATCATTATCACTTTCATCAGCTGTCCCCGCAATTAAGTCCTTTGGGACTGAAAAAGCAAGTTTTCCCCAGCATAACAGAATTTGTCCAGACCTCTCTAATGATTAAGGAACACCTTCCAGCCAGGTCCTTCCTCTATATCAACAATGCAATCAAAATAGCAAATCTAGTTTACTTACTTTGGAGTTTTTGGTCTGTCTTCTTTCTCGGTCTGTGTCTTTCTCGATCTTTTTTCCGATTCTTCGTTGGTGTTCGCGAGTGGTTGTCGTTCTCATTTTAAAAAGTCGCGCTATACCTTTCAGGATTCTTGCATTCACTGGACAATATTCCGGTTCTTTCAAAACTCCCGACTTTATCGTCTTTACTAACTTGGAAACTTCGAGTGTGGGGGGCTCGTTAAAGAGTCCAGTGCTTGGAAAGCTTCCATCTCTTGTTGCTTCAGCAGAGATCCGAACGTCTGAAGTTGATAGCATGAAGACAAACAAAGCCAAGACTGGACCGTACGTCATAATTCCCGGCCTAGATTTAGAGATGATCAAATTTGCTATGGTATGGAGATCGCGAGAGTGAAAACTGCCAACTCTATTGCTTGCAACGCCTTATACTGATTGTTGGCATACTTCTACAGTATTGCATGCAGCTCATTATAGTTCATACTTATATATCACTCGTAAATGAATTCAGATCTGTTTATAAATACATTATGACAACTTGGCTCAATATCGTTTAATTTCAAGGGATTTAAAATACGAAACAGAATACAAATCTTCATGTAAGGCTGGCTATTTCCTAGGAAATTCTCTAAATAATTTAGAATCTCTCGTGGTAAACTACGAGACTATTTGGGGTTATACACCATAAAAGTTTGTAATCTTAATTTTGGTCATATGTTAATCTTGAAACGTCCGGACTCGTAGCGCTTCAATTAGGAAGTGTATCGACAGTGGGGGTCGTGCTAACCGAGTGTTTCACTTAGTTAATGCACTGATATTTAGCACAGGGTTAAAAACACTGCGTCACAACCAAATATCACGATAGTCTAGTTCCGGAGTGGGACATTCTATTTCCTGACATTCAACTTGTTCAGTCTATTTAGAAATAATTTCATCATATTGCCTATCGAGTATCTTGGGACATATACTTCCACGAGTTTCCAAAGGTCCTGTAACATGCGCCTATAGAGATAATTTAACGTAGTCAATTTACAAATACCAACATGTAAGACCAAGGTTGTTATGCATGCACTGATCTAACTCAAACCTCGAACATGCGATCGAGGTACATGCGGCACCTAACCATTAGACCTCAACGTTTGTTATCATTCATTCAGTTGGAAATTTCATTTTTGATTTTCATTTGAAAAACCATGCACCAAAATTTCAAGTTTTCTGCATTAACAGCAAGATAGTCAGGGACAACATGGAACGTCGAAAACTCGTTACAGAATGAGGACTGTATACAGTATATCATATTTTTCCAACACCAAAGGTGGGAAATTGCTAATGCAAGCATATGTGTTAATGCATCCGACTATACGACCACCAGGAGATCTCGAACCCGGACTTAAGAATAACCTAATTGATACTTCATGTAAACTTAACTGGAAGGTCAGGATTCGAGACCGGACCGGAACTACAGTACCTATATTACCTATAGTATAAACCTGAAAGTTTTTAGTCATCATCTTCATCTTTTACGGGATCTTTAACGGTCGTCGCACTGGTACATCGTCAGTCGTCGCATTTCGTTGTCGGTCGTCGCATCATCTTTGGTTCGTTTTCATCGTCGTCAATCCGTCGGATTAGCCTTTGATATACGTTCAAGGCATTGGCAACTTTTGATCAGTTTGAAGTTGTTTGTATTCCATTTCGTTCAGTTCTTCAACTTCATTAATGTACACTCTTAGTCGACGATTTCATTTTAATCTTTCATCATACTTCATACTTTCATAGCCTCATAGGTTGTTCATAATGTTGATGGGCTATGCTCATACGTTGAGATATTGTTCATAGGATGGTAGATTCCTCATTCGTTCATAGAGTGTTCATAGGATGGTAGATTCCTCATTCGTTCATAGAGTGTTCATAGGATGGTAGATTCCTCATTCGTTCATAGAGTGTTCACAGAATGGTAGATTCCTCATTCGTTCATGGATTGTTCATATACGTTGAGATAGTTCATAGCATGAATGATTCTTGATTCTTCATCAGGTAGTCACAATTCGCACGAGAACGCATATTTGGCCCGTAGCGGAATACATTTGAAAATCGCTTTCACGTACCTGTAGAAACGTGTCAGTTCTCGCGAAAGCTTAATTTCCTTCCTTTGAGATGTTCAAGAAATAGTTGCTTCTTCCAGACTTCGATTCTTTTTTTCATAAAGCTTTGACAAGATATCGTTTCTCGTCAACGGTTTTGGTAAAAGTGAGGTGAGGTCGTGCAAGCTTGGTCAAACTGATCAGTCTCCATTGATGCTCACACCTGTCTTCTTTCATCATCAAATTCCGAATCTCTGATTGGTCGCCGTGAGAAAGGAATGGATGCTATTGTTTTCAACTGCACGAGAGCTAAAAAAATTTGCATTCTTTACAAAAATTTCAAAAGAAAGAAATTGATCATCCGAGACACGTTACTGTGAAATGTAGTAAACAAGATTATGCATATGAGGCCATTATTTCACATACGCCAGAAGGAAACAGGAAACTACATATCGCATGAAGCAATGAAGGAATTCACTTCTAACCTTGATAGGATAGCAAGATCTTTAAGTGCAGTGCCAGTATGATCCACTACAAGGACCGTAGCTAGATTGTTTAATTGGGGAGGGTGTATATCAAACCTTAGATAGATAATAATTGTTTATTAATGTTTTTGCAATAAGGCTGCTTTCCAGTTACGCTTTTTCATACGCACGTACACGCATGGAAAATTTGAAATGCTTTTAAATTTTTATTATTTAACATCCAGGTTTACAAGTGCATACTAAAATATGCGTAAAACTAAGTTCTTTCGCTTTATTTCCTTAGAGACCGGATTACCTCAACATTCACTTATTTCAACACTCAACAGAGCCAGTGGCGTAGCCAGCCCGACAATTTAGTCATGCTATGCTAATATTTTGGTGTTCATTGACTGTGAAAACAATGAATTTCTAAAGAAATTAATAATGATAATAACATAAAATTTGCATAGCATGACTAAATCGTCAGGCTGGCTACGCCACTGAACAGAGCTACAAAACACCTTTGTAATAGAATTCAAACTTTGAAACATAACAGCCTTGTTAAGTGCGGGCTATAGTTTAGGCTCAAAATGAAAGTCGTGTTATCCCTTGTATCTCTCCTTATTTTGGTTTTAATCCAATCAGATGCGTTGAGACGACAATACTGTCCCTTGGACCCCAGCGTCAAGATTATTATTGCTCAACAAAAGAAGTTTGGTAGAGAAATACATCAGTTCAAGAGAGGGGTAAGTCTAAATGTGGTAGGATTTATGATGTAAAGGAAGTGTAAGTGAGAATTAACAATACAACACTAAGATCCAGTAAATGATTGTTCTTTCAAAAGAGCGACCTGGATTAACTAAAGGTGTAAACTACAATAGAACCAACAACCAACACATTTTATTTCGTGCAGTTGCGTGATTTGAGAAAGGATTTGATAAAGACTCTCTTTCAGATCTTACTGCTTGCAAGTCCGTTTGCCACTGCATGGGGGTATTTATTAGCGCGACGCGAAGCGATATCTGAAATGGTGATGTGATTGGTTTGTTAAAAAATTTGCCACGAAAAGGTAGAAACGCTTCTTACTTTTTATCTGTTCGTGCGAATGAATTCGCCTGGTGGAAAACGGACTTTAGTGCAGAACAAGCATGGTTGCCATGAACTTAATATTCCATGCCCTCTTTTAAAGTGTATTCTTTCAGGATGATAAACGTCCGGTTTGACTCGCTGGAATAAAAAAACACCGAAATATTTAAAATCACCAAACGAACCCAAACTGCCATCAGAATAAAACAAATTCAATTTATCATTTTCTAACACTGATTTTCTTAGGGCTTACACAGTCATACGGGGAAAATAATTTAGCTAAACCAATTTTGAGAAACAAAATACTTAGATATGGCAAGATGGAAATATGCAACTTTAAAATTTGGGTGATTCTTTTAGATTAAACTCTGCTATTTACGCATGTATCATCTCTTTTTAGACTCCTTGGCCATACAACTGTCTGCATGCAAGCATCCTACAATATCGTGGGAAGTTCAACTATCTTCCATTGATCTATGAATGCTGTAATAAGTGTAGTTTTCCAAAATTCACAACCTGCATTAGGAACCACGGTGGCAGTTGGCGATGTCCCAGTGAAGGTATGCAGTGTATTGTGAAATGTGTGAACGCTCATGATCCAAATGTGAAACCAACAGGAACGGGCAGAACGCGTAGACGCAGAAGATTTCGACGACGGAGATTTAGCTTTAGAAGACTCCCAACAAAACCAAATTCAAGATGCGAAAGAATGGTGACGAAGGGTGGAAAACAATGCATTGAACGTTTGTGTATTCCGATTAAACTTACTTAGCCTGGAAGGAGTAACATTTTTTATTATGAGTAATCATTGTATTCTATGTTGTCACCAAGTAGAAATAGATGTATTGTACGGGTACTAAAACCTTCTATTATATGTACCAAAACTTATCGAGCTTTGACCAAACTTACTCCGACGAAATTTCATTTAAAAGTGGTCTTATATTTCATGACATTCCATTCGAGAATTCCACGAGAGTCAAAACGAAAGATGACACACAATGCTTATTTTCTTTTTAATGATCTATTTTGTAGTTATTTAACTCTCAAATACACTATTATTAACGCTAGTAGCTTTCACCCTGAGTGTAATGAAATTTAATGATAATTTTCCATATGTAACTGAGCCCAGAAGTTATTAGTCGCCTTTAGCGTTATTAGAGTTGGACAAAATGTTTTTGTTTAGGGCAGTGGTTCATTGCCTTTTCGTTCTCTTAAAAGGCGTCTTTGACTGCCTTTGACTTGATCAAGAACTGAATCTCTTTAAAACGTCTGCTTGGGCTGTCAAACTTTCTGTGTTTGCTTTAAAGTCTCTGAAAGAGATTCATATGAATATGATATCAAGTGAACAACTAGTTCAAACGATTCTCAAGTCAAGTTATCCAGAATAATGAGCTAATCAAATTACGTCTTTTTCTATTCATTGAGAGCGCGGCTTCAAACCAAAAACGTGACGTAATGATCAAAGGAGTATACAACAAGGCATGCAGCTCGTTCTATTTATATAATTTAATATTTACCAATCCTTTGAGTGGGTTTGGAAGTCGACGACCACCTTTCCTCGCAAATGACCTTGGTTGAGTTTCTCAAAAGCTTTGGGCAAATCAGAAAAGGGATATACACTGTCGATAACTGGTACAACCTAGGATTGAATGATATATTACAATGCTTTGTACAAGGTTTCTTTGCATTTTTTTAAAGTTTCAAATGGTCTTACCTTTCCATGGTTGAGAAGACTGCCGAGATAGTTGAGAGCAGCGCTGTTTGGTTGGAAAAAACCCCATTTGTAGTCAATGTTTGAGTTGAGTCTCTAAGAGTGGAAATAGAGGGTAATAGAGAGTAATAGAGGGTAATTAATGTGCCAAAAAAGGTGGACAAATTCTGTTCCAACCACACAACCCACACTTGAAGAAAACCTACACAATATGTGCATTCACTTACCTGTCTTAAAGCCATACCAAAAAATGTTCCAGCAGATTTCAGAGCTCCAACAGCAAGTCCAGATTCATCAATATATTCCAACATTGGAGGCATCAATGTCACATATGTGGACTTACTGCATGACATTCCTTGTTTGTTTGAAAAATATTTTAGATTTCCTCCAACAGAATCAAGTATAACATCATATCTAGACGAAAACATTTTGTTTGTTTAGTAAAATGCAAAGCTAATAGCAGTCTTGTAGCTTTTGATATGCACTTAGGTCATGGACACCTTGCCTCACTCTTTATTCTTTCAGCCACATCTTCAGTTTTGTAGTCAATGACATCATCAGCACCAAGTCTTCTAACCAATTCAACAGCATCTGTACTACATGACGTAGTAACATGTGCTCCCCATTCTTTCATGACCTGTAAAGATAATTTGAATATTTACCACTTGAGTGACCCAATTGATCTGCATGCCTCCCAGTCTGTTGGCTTGTTGATATGTTGGTGTAGTTGCTAACCAATATTATAAAACTGTTTGTAAAGAAATGAAAAGGTTTTGCCTACTTGAATTCCAATATTACCAACACCACCACTTCCTCCCACAATAAACACTCTGTAATTTAGGACAGAAGAATTAAAGTATCTCTATACCTAAAGAATAACCCTTTTCTTTTAAATCATATGTACCGTTTGTTTTTTGCATTTTGTTCCGTCAAGCCACTTGCATCATGTAGTGCTGACCACATTGTTAAGTGGACATAGGGAAGCGAAGCAGCTTCAACATGATTCAGGTTTGTAGGTTTCAGTGCCAACTAAGAATTTCAAAACTTTGAATATATTGTCATACTATATTTAGCTAAAAGAATAGATAGTTGTTTTAATACCTCATCTTGTCCAAGGCAACAGTATTCAGAGAAGGTTCCAAGTCTCCAAACAGCAGGGGTACCCCATACCTACTGAACAAAAACTGCATCAATTACTCATGTTGTTGCCAAAATCTGTGCTCTAGAAACCTCATTTAAATAAGTTTACAACAAATTCAATTAACCCCACTGTTTAGAAGCCTGCAGTTGGGTGAGGCAAAAGCCTGCAGTTGGGCGAGGTGAAAGACTGCAGTTGGGTGGGGTGAAAGACTGCAGTTGGGTGGGGTGAAAGACTGCAGTTGGGTGGGGTGAAAGACTGCAGTTGGATGGGGTGAAAGACAGCAGTTGGGTGGGGTGAAAGACTGCAGTTGGGTGGGGTGAAAGACTGCAGTTGGGTGGGGTGGAAGACTGCAGTTGGGTGGGGTGAAAGACAGCAGTTGGGTGGGGACTGTGGGGTGGAAGCATATCTACGGGTGGAAGAAATGGCAGAAAATGTCCGAGGGTAAAATAGTTTTATTTTACTTTATTTAATTTACCTCATCGCCCTCTGTAAATCTGGTAACTTGAGCACCTTTTTTGACCACAACACCGGAGAAATCTCTGCCCATGACTACTGGAAAATCTGGTAACTCTGACTTATTAAACTTCCTTAAGCTTTTAAACAAAACTGATCCAAATCCTTCTGGTATCAGCGCATCAATTGGGTTCAAGGATGCGGCATTGACCTGTACCAAAACTTCGTTCGGTTTAAGGTCGGTTTGAACGTCTAAATTTTCTAAGACTGGAGTATTATCTTTACCATAGTGATACAGACACCAAGCTCGCATACGAGAAGGAACAGACTTGTTGCTAAACTGACGGGTAGCTTGTATTTTACCAACGATAAGAGAAACATTAGCAGTCCTAAAAAAACTCTTTAACATGGTCATGGTGAAATTATTGTTATCAAAACGATTGTTCATATAAAACATAATCCCGGACCACCGTGCGAGGGTACTAATTCCGCTCGGATATTTACACTCACGATATGGACCGTCTCCATTTACATCTACATCACTCATCAGGTGTTTCAGCGGTATCTCTTCTGAAATGAAGGCCTTTTTTGCTAACCATTTCAACTGCTCACTAACCTTTCTATTACCAAGATCTCGAATATAACATATATATTCAACTTTACTTTAGGTCATTTTTTATTACCATGGTCGTATGTGCCGAAAAATGCCTATTTTCCGGCCAATTCGACCATGGTCGTATTCGTTATATTCCGGCCAATTCGACCATGGTCGTATTCGTCATTTTCCGGCGCATATGACCATGGTCGTATTTGCCATTTTCCGGCGAATATGACCTGGTCGTATTCGTCATTTTACGGCCAATACGACCATGGTCGTATTCGTCATTGTAAGGCCAATACGACCATGGTCGTATTCGTCATTTTACGGCCAATACGACCATGGTCGTATTTGTTATTTTCCGGCCAATACGACCATGATACGATAATGGTCGTATTCGTCATTTTCCGACTAATACGACCATGATACGACCATGGTCGTATTCGTCATTTTCCGGCCAATACGACCATGATACGACCATGGTCGTATTCGTCATTTTACGGCCAATACGACCATGATACGACCATGGTCGTATTCGTCATTTTCCGGCTAATACGACCATGATACGACAATGGTCGTATTCGCCATTTCCCGGATAATACGACCATGGTCGTATTCGTCATTTTCCGGCCAATACCACCATGGTCGTATTCGCCATTTTCCGGCCAATACGACCATGGTCGTATTCGTCATTTTCCGGTTAATACGACCATGGTCGTATTCGTCATTTTTCGGCCAATACGACCATGGTCGTATTCGCCATTTCCCGGATAATACGACCATGGTCGTATTCGTCATTTTCCGGCCAATACCACCATGGTCGTATTCGCCATTTTCCGGCCAATACGACCATGGTCGTATTCGTCATTTTACGGCCAATACGACCATGATACGACCATGGTCGTATTCGTCATTTTGCGGCTAATACGACCATGGTCGTACTCGTCATTTTCCGGCCAATACGACCATGATACGACCATGGTCGTATTCGCCATTTTCCGGCGAATATATGACCATGGTCATATATTTGCCATTTTCCGGCGGATACGACCATGGTCGTATTTGCCATTTTCCGGCGAATATTACCATGGTCGAATTCGCCATTTTCCGGCCAATTCGACCATGGTGGTATTCGCCATTTTCTAGCCAATTCGACCATGGTCGTATTCGCCATTTTCCGGCGAACTCGATTATGGTCGAATACGCCATTTTCCGACGGACTCGACCATGGTCGAATACGCCATTTTCCGACGGACTCGACCATGGTCGCGAATGTGCCGAAAAATGGCTTACTTATATTCCAGTCTAGACCTTCACTAACTTTTTTTATTATAACAAGGTCGAATACACCATATACCAGTATAATTTATATTGGACCTTCAAGAATGTGGAATACACCATATACCAGTATACCGTGACGCAGATTTTAAAAGCCAAAATCCCTGGCCGCCATAATGAGTAAAACAGGCTATTGTGTTTACGCAATTTGATATATTTTTACAAGAATCTTTTACGATAGCTATCAGCTATGAGACAATAATTTTAGCCATAATAGCTCACAATGTTCCTATAACTTCATCCAATCAAGCGTGCTGCGAATTTCAGTCTATCACTTCCTGGCTTAAAACCCACGATAAGACAAATCAGTACACAATAGTTTGAAATTTCATGTTTTTACGATACTTGAATACGTTTCTGAAAGTCTGACCAGAGTCTAGATTGGACTCTTTCTTTTATTTTTAAGTTCTACTTTATTCATGCACAACCTTTCATTATTCATACCAAATAAGTCAAACATATTTTACAGTTAGGTTAAACGTTCTTGGTTTCTTTTCTGCCCTTTGTTTACGTTTCGTATCGAGTAACCAAACTTGATTTAATGTGAGCAACTTTGTGAAATAGACAGCACTTTTCTTGGCCCAAAACCATAGAAAAACAACGCCTAATATGGCACCAGTACAGCCCAGTACGTAAAAGACAACGCATGTAGTTGTTGTGCACCCGCGGGAAGCATCTTTTATCACGGAGAGAATGTTGAGGGTTAAAAGGATTAGAAAAGACAGCAACCATATTATAGCCACTGGTTTTTCATCAAGAAAACGCCACTAAAATGTAGCAAAAAAAATGGAATAAAATACGCTAAATCTATGACATTTCTCAGTTTACTTTGAACACAAAGCACCATTATACCAACATACATCACTTTATTTTCACCGGCTAATCATCTGTTCAAATAAATTTGGATCTTACCTCTCTAAGCGGTTTCACCATTTTTCTAACTGGTACCTCGTGTAAACACAATTCACAGTTCGTTTTAAAAGAACTCTTTAACCAGTTCAATAAGCATGATTCGTGGACGTACTTCATAGAACCAGTGCACAAACATGGACTGACCAAATTTTCAAGGTCTGATGCACTGTGACAGATACGACAAGACATACCATCATCGCTGGTTGATTTCTTAGATGTTGGAACAACATGCTCGCAAGGTGCACTAAAATGGCGAGTAGTACCAGTATGTGACATCGGTTTATCGCCAGATAAATGAGAATTTTGCAAGCTTGAATCAGTGTTGAAAGCCAAATGCTCAGTTCGTAGTAGTTGCCTGTAGTTGCCATTGCAATTGGTTTGTACTCCCGAACTCCCAGTTTGTAAACTTTCAGAACCATGTGATACACCTGAATTCTGTTGTATTTTTCTTGAAGAATCGACTCTCTTATTCTGTTTGTCCTCGGTTAAATTTTTTACCAGAAAATGCTTATTTCCTAAATCATCAGTGTCTGATTTATAATTTTCAGATACATCCCAAGTACACTGACTTTCGATAAAAGCAGTCTGTTCTTTATGATACTTTTGGTCACCAAGAACACCAGTATCTCTGCTGACGTGAGATTCTGTAAAACGGTCGTTAACGCGCATGTTAATATTGTCAGGAGAATGTCCACTTTCTTCGTTTCTTTTCGCAGAAATTTTAGAGCTAGTGGGATATTCGATGTTAGGAACCTTGCCCAATGTTTGCAGTCGTTTTTTGTGTACATCATGTGTGCAGCAACATTCCATACTTTCAAACCAAGCTTTTTCTGTCGGTTGCATCAAATATGATAAACCTTAGTTCCTTGCAACGTTTTTTAAATCTATCCTACAAACGTCATCTCTCCATATTGATCTTATAGTGAAATTCCTGACACTTGAGTAAGATCAATAAAAATCCAGTAAGTTATTTCTTCCGAAGAGTAAAGTAGTTAAAAAACCTGAAATATCGAGAAAAAATATTTTGGAGACCCAGAACTGGTGTACCTATTACAGTGCAAACAAATTGAAAGAATTATGAAAACGTGGAACCGATGATCATAACATAGGGCTTTAACAGATTTCACGAATATTTTACTCAAGTAGTTTTAGACAGATTGCTAAATACTGGATTCAAGTTAACCCACGCTCTAATAGAAAATTTGCCCGATTGCTTTCTGGAAGAATTCTTCGAATAGCAAATAATCAGGGAACGCGAGGGAACGCTGCGGTTACCGAGTTGAACTTTGAAGTGCTTGAGTTTTGCATGGAAGTATAGTTGGAACTTAGCATTAGGCCAGGGAACACTAAACGGAATATATAAAAGATCCAATCACAAATAGAATTTCAAGAATAGCTGAAGAGTATAAATAAGTGCATTTTGTATATAATATTTCAAAGCCTCCAGGCTCACGGTGACGTGTTAATCTATTTTGAAAACGTTTGTAACCGTGCCTCTTGCATCGAGTTTTCGTAATACATCATGAGAACTACATTAGCCCTCTTTTAAAATTTGCGCACAAAGACATTTTGTAAGTCATGTTTTTCGAGTTGAGACCTCGGTTGATAAAATGTTTGGCAGATCGCTATCAAGAACAAAAACGCACGCAATACATAGCCGGAATTAACATCTTACCTTATTTACATATTTCGCGCAGCATATAGCCTCTTATGTTACAGTCGACGATGCCAGTCACCCGACGACGTTAACTGCGTTTAAAGACACTTGCGCGACTTTCGAGAATGTTGTAGGTTCTGAATCGAGGTGCGCAACAGACGCGCAAACCAAGAAGCGGAATATATGCTAATGTATCTCTTGACAAGCAGTTAATCACAGACGATTGCCTTTGATCTAAGAAGCATCGAAAGGCGCGGAATAATCTGTCATGGAATGTTTGCAGTCAAAACATAGCGCTGCAATGCGGGAGATAGCGCAACGCGATGCACGAGAGCACGAGAAACGACGCAAATTGCTTAATATGAATATAAAGCGTCTCCATTTATTACAGAGAACGATTTTCGAGAAGTAGAACTGTATTTCTCGCACTTGGTAAGCCATAATCTGCTAAGTTCATTAGTTGACTGTGGAACCCCTTGTTTATGTAACCTCCCAGGTGTCTACATGTAAGAAAACACGACGTGTCATATCACGTTACTGCGAATGGTTATTAGGAAGGAACACTGTTTATGTTAGCCACCGAAATAAGGAAAACATATGCAGCATCAATATTGCACAAGATCTCGTGACGATTGCCAGGAAAGAAATAAAGAAAATCATTTTTTTTATAGGTTTATTAAACTTTTCTAGTGCATAAATTTACTCCAACCTACTTGGGTTGTATAGTGAGCCAGAACGCGCATATTCTTAACCCCCACAGAGTTGGGTTTGTTTTTTCACGATTTGTACTTATTACCACATTTTTGAATACCTCAGTTTGAAATTGCATTTCATATTATTTTATTGATCTTAACCAAACAAACGAGCTTTTTTCAGTTTAGTTCAAAAAAATATATCTGTTAAAATCGATAGAGCTCCTGTTGAAACATTCCAAGCCGGTTTCCTAACATTTGCTTCTTAGTTCAGTTCAAATGTTCAACGAATCTTTTGAACTTTTTGAAGATCTATTTGGGTCAGTTAAATGCTTGCACCTGTGAGATTTTTGCAGTTTTGCTGATAAAGCATAGCACAGTTGTGAATCACAGCACATAACGCTGTGGGTACATGCAATGAAAACAGCTACCACTGGACTGCGAATGTCTGGGTCAATTTTCCCACGAATTTCTTCATTATCCTGTTGTTCAAAAAGGCTTCAGTTGACCTTTGAGAGCCAACCACTTCAGAGCCACACAGCTGCGGCTACGATTTCTTATTGCTGATTGGCTGATAAAATTAGCGAACCAATTAACAACCCTTTGCCTATAAAAAGCATCCGTGTAAATCTTTTTCGATATACAGCTGGCAAATAATGCGCGCGAAGTTAACCAAACTCAGGTTTACTGAACTGGGCCGCGTCAACTGGAATAACTGGGCTCAGATTCAACTTTCATTATTCCTATTAAATTTGTCCATGTGATGAGATGAATATTAAACCAGATGCTGTGGCGTCCTGTATCTTGTGATCATTATCTTCAAGCCATTGGCAATATGCTATTTCAGTTCTCAAAAATCAAGAATTGCCATTAATGTTTTTCCGGAATGCGGAAAATAAACATTGTAGAAGCGATAAATGCGTTTGATGTCGCCAATATTCACGTTTTAAAAAAACAAATATTTTCAGTCGAATTGATAAGGTATTTTGCAAGATTAGGGAACACTTGCCTCGTCTATCGCATAGTTTACACACTGTTCTTTTTATAAAGGAAAAATATCATGCTTGGAAGGCCTAAAACACTTTTATTCCAGAACAATCCGTATGAGAATAGTTTGCATTTGCTGGCTTTGCATGTACAAAACATAGACCTTAATGCCCCTAATTTCTAGTTCAACACTCTCATATTCACCTCCTGCTGGTTGCTGCTAACTTAAATGAAATGAGGAGAGCGAGTTCCTACTTCTCCCGATGTTATTTACCATTTTCCCTGTCACTTGAGCGTTTAGCAAAGAGTCAAACACTCAAACTCGACTAATGATACAAATTTCTGCCTCAGCCAATGTTAACGACGAATGAAACATGAAATACATACCTTGAGTTCAAAACCGTGCTCGAATTTCAAACAGACACTGGCTCCACATTGTCACAAACCAACTCACCACACACGGGACAGAGAAAAGATGGATCAACCATACAGTTCGCCTGTGAGATTGTAAACAAAACATTATCAGGAAAGGTCATCTCTGATTGATCCAGTAAAGAAGAAAAGCTTCGGTCAGGGGGTTGTTTGGTTGATCCTGGGTTGATCCATTGGCAGATCGTCTCTTTAGGGCACGCCGCTGGTTGCCAATGGAATAACCGAGTCACAAGTCCAACACTATACAGGTCGCGTGCGCAAGCGAAAAACACGAAACTTTGAGGATAACTAACATATGGAATAAGTTACCATTGACATTGTTTATCATATGAAGTGAATGTCTAAGTACCGTCCGTTAATCAAATCATTTCAGCCACTGCCTAAAATATACAAACAAAATCTCTCGAAGTTTCTACCTGAGGGCCCCGTGAGAAGCCGGCGACCGTCATCATGAACGAAACACGCCCGACCGACGAAGACCCTTAAGAACGAAACGCTGGCCACGCTTTGTTGCACATTTCTGGCAATTGCTGAATTGATTTGATTAAAAGAGATTTGAAAAAGCCGCTACGCCGCTGATATCGGCTTATCTTCGTATACTGAGCGAAGTAGTTAATTCAAAGGAAACCAAATGACGAAGCATATAGCATCTTAGCTAGATGTAGTATTTCTTGCGTGTCTCACTGATTAGTTAGAACTCAATATTGGGGTTATTTATTGATTATAAAATTGTCAGAAGTTATGAAAGATAACATCATAGGGTGTCAAGGTTTAGGATTAGTGCCGATAGGACTTCGGTTTATCAAGTTAGATTTGGCAATCGCCGGACTTTTGAGTCTTAAGAATTAGCGCTAGTAACGATGGTATATAATATACCTTAATACACATGTAGCAGAACACGTGACCACATGGAGTCTGGTGAACATTGGTTGGTAGTTCATCACAAATACCACAGTTGCGATACCGTAACACAGCATTCCCATCCTGCATCGCGTCAGGTTTCTTCCACATCAAACGCAATAGGGCGTTGCGTAATCTTGGAATATTGATCATAGGCAGAACGCAGAATAGAAATTCCTAGAAATTCAGTAGAATTCATAGAAATGGTAGTAACGTGGGCAAACAACGAATGTAAATATATTTACTGTATAATGACTTACAGCAAGTCCATTTCGTAAAATATCGCGATTCATATATTCAAAGTAATTCTAGATGACAAAATGTGCACGGTGAAATAAATGATGCAGTAAATTCTTATATTTGATGATTTCAAGCTTCAAAGGCACTATCATGCATGTACGAGGTTCTTACCACTCTTGGCGATTGTTTCTTTGAAAAGACAGAATATATGCCCAAAGCTCTCTCTAGCAATGATTTATGTCTAAGCAAGGCAGATTTGGGTGTTAAATGAGGTTTTTCAATGTGGTGTGACTAGATTAGCAATTAAAATGGAAAATGAATGAGCACGCCATTGGAGGTAATATCATTACACCAACCTAGCATCTTGCAAGAAAATAATGAAATTCACTAGGCGAAGAAATTTAAGGAGAATTGCACCAAATTTAACAACTTGCCATAGCTGAAAATAAAAAACATATCACATTGATGGTCACAAAGCATGTAGTTGCTATGTTCTCATGTTGCAAGTGGATTGAAGATAAAGAACTAAAATTTCTTCCCAACCTTTTCACTATTCAATCCATTTCTAGCAAGCAACTGCTTAATATCCAGAGAACGTTCTGATAACCATGTTCCTCCAATCAAAGCAAGTCCAAAACAAATTTTTCTTTTGGAGGTAAGGATGCCTAAAGAAAATTAAATGCAATTTGAACCGTCAAAAAGAATTGCACAAAATACTGTGGAAAAAGCATCCAAAGTTGTGCTTCAATTGAAGATTTGAAAACATTTGAATTTTTACTCACCAGCATTTCTACATGTTTTATATTTTATTTGCAGCATCTGTTGTGAAAGTGATGCATCACTTGCCATCACAGAGAACTGTAAATATAAGTTTCAGTACATCAGACATTGTACATAAAGAAATATTCCAAATAATCCTGAACACTTCCACATTATAAAACTGAGTTACCTTCCACATTATAAAACTGAGTACAGCTTTTAACTCTGGATCAATTGTGGTAAGAAGACCTGGCTGAAAACAATGGGATTGTACAAGATGGTTTAATAAGAGGGCATTTTTATATTGGTAATAAGGTGAATTCTTCACTATAATAAAAGTTAGTGATAATGTGTTTGATAATGAAAGGTATGTAAAGGTGACTATGAAGAATGATGGTGATTATGGTTATATTATTTATGATAATAATAATGATGATGGCATTGATGATGATGTTATCTGTTTATAACTACCTGAAAATATTTGAAGCATTTCGAAATCTCTCCTTGAAAAATCGAAAGGATGTACTGGTCATAAGAAGTTACATCCAACTGAAAAAAATTTAAATACGTAAGTGTCCATGGTAACAAATAATTTGCTGTAAGGACGTAGAAGGCCACAGTCATTATCTATCGGTCACTGTATTTTACGAGAATACCTGATCAACTCGTAGCACTCTTTGCTCGTGAGTGTCCTGAAATGCCATTTCTGTTTGAATTAAGCACTCTTCAATCAAAAGTCCAAGTAATTTAAAGGGACAATGTAGCAAATTAAGGTTGTTTTCCCGTCATTAGCCACGACGTAAGTTTCTGTTCATGAGCCCCTGTTACTTCAGGAACAGCGGAAGTGTCTTTCAATGAAGAATCGAAGAAGCGGAATGGAGCGCTTAATCTTTCGTTTTTGATACGATCACAAATATAGTATAGATCTAGCCTCCTCCGCAGGCATCTCTGTATTTATATTAGGCATTTATATTTGGCTTGGGTTAAGAGATGCCTGCGGAGGAGGCTAGTATAGATCTAAATCTCTTTATATAATAGTAATGTTGTTATTCCAGACTCCTAGTATTGGAATACTAAGAGTAAACCAATAAACCCTAGTCATCTAGTAAACTCTAGACTGAGCAACGAGTCTTTAGTCTTAACTCTTAAAACTCTTTGTTGTCCAGGTTCATGCAAAGGAAGAAATTGTATGTGTAAAAATCATTTCCACCATTGAAGTAAGTGGAGACATGCAAACGAATGCTGAATGCAAAATGAATGACCTCGAAATTCCTTGTGTCGTTAAAGGCGGAAATGACTTGCATTTGTCGGAGTGTCATTGAATTCATATCAGTTATCGTTGAATTCAAATGGAGTTATCCGCCAATGAACATCCCATAATTCAGTTTTTAACCTGTGGCCCCGAAAGCGTGCCGTCCGGGCCTTTGAAGCTACACAGTTGTGCATCTTACCGTGTTCTCATATTGAATACATTAAAATGAGGCACGAGATTTTGAAACTCGTTTGAAGCCGGATCACTAGTGTGCTGGCGAGAAGATTTCATTATTTTCATAGCAATTAAATGCGACATGTCAGTCAGCATTAAACACCCGATTACATAGTAGAAACTAAGAAAATAAGGAACTGCCTGTCAACTCCATATAACTCCTAATTTGATCAATGCCTCATGTTTTAAATAATAGACTTCAACTCAGTCAAAAACTGCAGGTTTTCGGGTCAGCTTAGAAGCAATTGTTGAACGAACATGCAGTAAAATGTTCTATTCTTAGCCGGGTTACAAGAAGACCTGAATTCTGAAGAGGAGAATTTTTTGCTAAAATGGCCTTAGCCTGTCACACAAGTGGTTTCTCACTACTACCATCACTAGCGGTAAACTGGAGACTGAGTTAATTAACTGTATTACACTAGCATTGGGGCCGAAGAGACTGAATAATGTCATCTTGAAACAGTTCCGTCTTGTTTCACTGATGGAAATTTGGTTTCAACGCCACCTAAAAAGGAATAAAAACACTTACAAAAGTTCCCGCACTATTTCCCTGAAAGATATAAATAGATGACAACGGAACTGGTACTCGGAAATTGCATATTGAAATCCATATTTATTGGAAGATTTTTCAATACCTATCGTTTACCAAAACATTGTTTCATGCGGAATTCTTCATTGCACAAATTAAAATCCAGAGAGATATTAAACAGGTGGCGTTTTATTAAATAATTGCCGGATACATCTTGCGCAGCAGAACAGAGAATTTATACATATCAAATATCCTGATGTTCATTCTGTGCTGAAATGAAACCGGATTATTTCCGTATCAAATTTGATCTTGTTAGAGTGCTAAATAGAATAGTAAAGTTTAAACAACACCATTACACCAGTTACATAATTTCTATTAAAATTTAACCGATTCCATTCGTCAATGCGATCATTCGTAGCTGTTTGCAACGTCGGTGATAATCGCTGCGAATGTCTTAATTCTCAACGCAAATTCCATTCCATCGTTCCGTTGTTACGGAGTCGTAAGACTCCGGAATGAGCATTATTTGTACCGGTCTTTATTCCGTAAATATCCGCCAATTAATTGCGTTGATGAATAACGTTATCTCGAAAGATTATCGTATAGCGCGCACATGTTTCCAATTGCACGCAAATTTACAGTCCTGCACAGTGTGCTTCCGAAACATAACTAGGACGTGCTTGTCCACTGCGACAACAACAGTAGCGCGCAATCGAAAGCAATACGCAGTTTCTCAAGATTCTCGCCAATTATGCTAATCAACATACTTGACGTTTGTGATTATCTTCTGCTTCTGCTTATTCTACTGCCCGGTTCTAACCAAAGAAGCTTAAAAACGGATGATCTTGAACGGAAGACCAAGACAGCCGAGAAAGGTGCTAAATCGGTAGGTGACGTACAAACATTTGTCAATTGCCAATTGCTTTTATTCTAAACATTAGAAGATTGTAATATTGAAACGCTGTAAACAATGCGGCCGCATATTGTCATCAAATTCGCTAGAATTGTTGATGATGGTAGCATGGAATGATGTAGAAGGCGATCTAAATATATAAGCTAGTGAACAGAATAGACATTATTCAGAGTTTATTATGTCTCAGCAGCAGTTGTTTCATAATAATTCTCATCAATATCTACCATTTCTAAATGCACTAAGCGTGTATCGAGTGTAGTTTTGGTCAGAATTTCCATGATATACAACTAACAAAATATTCATTTGGGGAATAGCTTTTTGAATGCGGGTATATATTTATACAGATTTTTGTAGCCACGGATGTTCCGATTCTTGAACTCGGAATTCTCAACCAAAACATAAAAGGAATTTAATACCCTTTGCGAATCAATACTTCGTTGAATAAATGCCATTAAATCTCTGTAAAATTCTATTTGTTTTTGACGCATATTAAGTCGTTTGTTATAGGAATTAAGAATGCCAAGAAAATGTGTTAAATAAAATACAATGGCCACGAATGTTTTACTACAATGTCACACGAAATTTTCAGCATATTTTATATGTGTTTGGGAGGAAAAAATGCTAAGATCATTTGAGCCGACAATCAATTAAAGTGAACGTATTTCGCCACTGGTACATCTTGTTTCGTTTTCATTGACTCCAAATATTCTGATTATGCAATGTAGAAGCAGATCAAGTCATGATAAATCCCTCAGATTAAACACAAATTTTTCTGTCATGTGTATCGTGTTAGAGATAGCATTCATTAAGTATTGGCTAATGAGTTAATGATAAAATAAGTGCTGTAGCCAGGGTGGATATCAAGTGTATCAAATGAACAACACATGGCTAAAACCATTATCGCCTCTTGACCAGGTTTACCGTAATACTCTGGAAGATTTCAACTAGTATTGTATGACGTCATGATATTTATAAAACGAGTCCAACACCCACCTTTCTTCGTGTCCCCAGACAAAGCTCTCTCAGTACGGAAGAGTGACCTTTATCTTACCTCGGTTAACAAGCAATGACAAATAACATGGATTAATCATGAGAACCAATTACGAATGGTAGACAGCTGACGCGTTCCCCTGGGACACAGACGAATAACAACCAACGCATACATTATTCGCCAATCGTCTGTCTCTTAAGCTATTGACACATCCCTGTTGAAAAATTGAAACAGCGCAAGCACTTGTCTGCATGCGTGGTTTTATTTGTAGAAAACTTTTGATACACTCAATTTTTTATATAAATTATATTGCAACAAAATGATTCGTAATCACCCACTTCATGGAAAAATATTTATTCCTCGACACAAAAGGCTGTCTAGCCTGTCTTTTATTGGATTAGTTTTCTAGCCGAGTAGCAGATAAAATATATTCTAAATAATTTTTCGTTTTAGTTTTCATCACTGGAAGAGAATTTCGTGGATGGCCAGTGCCCACCACGGTCAAATGGCGTCAGCATTAACGGAGCGAAAGAGTGTCGATACGACTGCACAAGTGATGTGGATTGTAGTGAAGACTACAAATGTTGCGAAAGTGGATGCTCGTTTTTGTGTGTGGAGCCATGGTTTCCAAATAGAGGTGTGTTAAACCTATGTTAAACCTATACCTTAGGAGGCGGACATGCAGGCTATGTCAGTGTAAATAAGCGTCGTACACTTCTTGAACCCATTGTGTGTATTTCTTGCAGTCGTAGATTGGACAAAGACGTCTGCAAGTAATCAAGTATCAGGTAAAGTAAATTTATCGTGTCTAAGATCTGTATCATAGTGAGATTCATCATGTTCATCAGAATTTCTAACCAACGAAACAGGTGATCCTGGACAACCAGAGCAGAGGAATGGACCATGGAAATCTAGAGGTTGGAGAACGTTAAAGTTTTGGGTGTTGAGGTTTTGTGAGATCATATTGAAGTTATTTCCTGCTATATTATAGGTGAACCTTGTAGTACAAGCGTTCTTGATGGACTGCAACCTCTCCGTTGCCCCTCAAACTACGAGTGTCAAATAAGCATGGAAGAAGATACACAGTTGAACATTCCCAACAGAGGAGAATGCATTCGAATACATGACAGAAGTATGCGAGTGTTATTCTAGCAATTTAAGTATGAATCAAATTTATTAACAAAGATGTATACTTTATCTTACAGAATTAGAAAACGGTGGCGCAGAGAACACGAACCATTCGAGTATTACTACACTCGAAACAGGTAACCTTATACGGCTATCGTCTGATCTGGGCTAAGTCCAGCTCGCAAATAAGTTACTCTCGTAGCCTTATTTTGATGTAACTCAGTGCCCAGAATCCTCTTATGCTGAAATGACATTTGCGCACTTCATAATTTCCTTCCAGAGTGCTCACACAGTGGAGAAGTATATAAACACAAGGAGAAATTTCGCAAAGATTGCAATATTTGGTATGAATTCGAATTGAGTATAAACGTTTAAGGTTAAGATAAGATTTTTCTTGGCAACAATGTTTCCTTGGCAACGTAGCTAGGAAACAGGTTTGCCAAGCTTATTTGTCCGTTTTTACGAAACCAGTCATTTTTCATTTGACTAGTGTGTGTCACAACGGTGTAGTATTCTGCAGTAGTCGGCCTTGTCCGCTCAAAATTGGCATTCCTGCAGCTGTGTCGAGCTACAAGGAACAGAAACAGACACCCAGAGATCAAATTATTAGCATAGACAGCGAAGAGGGGGTCAATGACGATGTCGTCAGAGAGTCGGGGTCATCAGGCTCGGGAGATGGTGGAGGGACTCAAGGGGAACGTCTTATAGAATTGAGCAGCGAAGCGGATAGGGGAGGATACGGAGATACCGAAGACGCGGAAGAAGAACCGACCAAGAATGGTGGTGTCAATATCACAAGCCGTCAATATGAACGCGAGGTTAGGATGGATTATAAAGATTACGGGTTTTACAGAAAATTAGACATATTTTCAAACAAACCTAACTGGATAATCAGTAATCTGATTTGCGTAATTCATGATAATAATCATCGCAATTACTTATCACAGCTTACATTGTTGACCAGATTAGTGTACAAACTCATTCAGAATCAGTGCCGCTGCTGCGAGTATAAGAGTTATAATGATTCTTATTACCAAATCAGGAAATCACTCCGATTGATAATGAGAGCAGTGGTGGCGGTGAAACACACACGGAATCAGGCCCGACTGAAATTGAGCCATCCGAGACAACAGAACCCAGCAGAACAACAAAGTTAACCACACCAGATATTCCTCCTTCGACAAGGAAAACGACCACGACAAGGAAAACGACCACGATAAGGTCAAAAATTACAACGCCTCAGCCCAGTACATCCAAATTGCCTCCTGATATCTCCACCCGGCCTCCAAGTATCGCCCAAACGAAAACGACAGAGCCTCGATTAATACAGACGACTAAACCCACGGAGGATGTCATTAGGTTGGAAGGAAGTGGATCAGGTACCGGTGCTCATGATTCGAGCGAAGATGAAGCTGGTTCAAGCGATGGATCAAGTGATGGATCAAGCGATGGATCAAGTGATGGTAATTTTTTTATGAATTGTTTTGATTTCGCGAAATTCTGCTATATTGTTTGCTTCATGAAACAGTTTCATATCTAAAGATCTCTCAGGAGACATGTGAAATTTATTGTGTAAAACGTTTTGTAACATGGCCTTTTTGTAACCTTTGAATTGTTCGCCTTTGATAAAATGACAAAAAGTCGAGATAAGGTAACGTAGAGAAACTTTATTTTAGGTTCTGGAAGCAGCCGTGAAAAACCAGTTTATCCCGATACGATTGTCTTGGGGAAATACATCAGAGACGAAGGTGATGAGGATGGAACAATTGAAGAAAACTTAAGAAACGATGTTCAAGTTCACGATGGTGCTCAAGGCCAGAGGTCTGAGAACGAGGAAGAAGAATCCAGGACAAGTGGCAAAAAGTTACGACGTAGTCACACTTCGGAATATTTTGCGACTACAGATGACGAACATTGAGAGGCAGACATTAGAAGCAAATTAGTAAATTTCTATTTCTAGAGAATTGTAAAATATAACTTTGTTAGCAAAGAAATTATTCATGGTTTATTTCTAATGTTGCACTCCCAGTTGTTTTTTTATTTGCGCCCCCAATTGTAAGTTTGGATCTGCTGCCTTGCTCGCTTGCCTCTTGCAGGCTGGCTGGCCCGCTTCTTGCGCTTCAACTTCTATATTTAGCTATATTCTCGCTTCTTCAACTTCTATTTTGAGTTTAAAATACTACTACCATCAGACGTTTTGTTTTGTGAATATTTATTTCACCGGCAACTGTCCGCAGTATAATCTAAGTATAACAGAATTGTGCGGTACATTAACATTGTCCATGGTTAGATTTTACTCCGAGTTAGACCAAACTCCGTGATGAAGTTGCTTAGTTGATCTTCTAACCAACGCGCTTTGTTTCTGAAAAATTGAACAGACATGAGTCAGAAATCAACGAAGTAAACTTACATGAAAAGCTCAAGGCTTTAATCTCACCCTAAGATACGAGCTTGGTTTTCAATTTTCTCTAAATTCGAAATTTCATCACTAAGTTTAGCAATCTCGCTTTCGACTTTCTTTTTCGCTGCATCCACTAAGTCACACAACCTCATGAAGGTGGATGATAATTCCCTGGAAAAGTGGAAGATCAAATTGACTGGAAAAAACGTTTCAACACATAAAGAAAAGCATTTTATTTACTGCAAAATTAATCGATAAGGCCTCACTTACTGCATAACTTGTTGACTACAGTTAGAGCTTGTCATACTGACAACCAGTTGAAGACGGTCCGCAGAATATGACACAAACTAAAACGATGTTTATGTACGATATTGAATGGTTGGAACTTTATATAATTGTGCCTGGACTGGATAGCTTTTTCTATTCTAAACAGTTCTCACAGCCATTCAGTCTGTGCTTCGGTGCTTGCATTTTGAATACTGAAGATTATGAACTGTAGATTATGGTGTTTTGGGAAGTGCTTATAGAGAAAGAAATCTTGTTATTTGCGGCTGAAGTCACATTAATATTGGGCTAAAAATATATCTCAATAATATGTACAACTAGGCGGTTATTTTACACGGTATCTTTTTACCTGTTTTTTAAACGTCTTTTCCTTCGCGTGATTGGTCCATCTGAGTCTCTCGATGACGTAAAGCGATGCATAGAGACCGCCACAACCGAGAATCAACTTCCAACCAACTATTCGCCATACCTACACATTTGCAAGGATGAGATCTCCTTCAGATATCTTTTGAAGTCCCTAAACTGCTTTCACCTGACTTAATAATACAGCTCCTTTTCTTATCACTTACCAGTCCACCAATAATAACAATTCCAGTCGCACTACTGGACGATAACGAGGCAATATTACGTATTACCGCCAACGTGAGCTCATCATCTTTCAACATTTCGTCACTACGACGACGGCTGCTAGTAACGGTTGCCTCACCTTCATCATTCTCAGATAATGATCTATATAAATTGAATATTGAATGGATGGATGATAGAAAATATCATCAAGAGGGAATGAGGTAATGAACAACGAGGTTCATGCTGAATAATTCATTAATCAAACCTTGGTGGAGTTCTGGAAGTTGATGGGAAATCATGTTCTCTGAACCGGGGATTGAAAGGACTGCTTGGTTTTTTAACTGGCAGCTGCAAAAGAGTAATACAATATGACTTGTGACAACATGCCAGAGCTATAGTGCCTTGAGATGTTACTTAATGAATAAATGAACCTACATCTGCTCCAAGAATAATGGCCAGTCTTCTGTTATACGGAGCAAGAAACTTTCTTAAAATGGTTCTCCAGCCAAGTGAAAAGTGAAATTCCAAGTCCTCTTGAAAATCGGAACAGATATTGTGAATATCCAACTGATATGACACCTCAAACTCATGTCTACAAGAAATTATTAAAACAACAACATTAGGACTAAATACTTCATCTAAGCCTCCACTTTAAGACTACCTTGAAGTTGATAAGTCCATGACTTCCTGAGGATGTTCAGGGGGAAGAAGTGCAACCAATCTGTCTACAAATTGAGGAAAAAACAAAGTGACCTTGACAGTAACCAACACTTTCAGACTGCAATATCATATATTACCTGTCATTGACTTTTTAGTTTCTTCAATAGACTGAGATAAAGCTGAACCACACCTTGTTGTGAGATTTCGCCCTAAGCCGTTGGCAATATGGGTGTGTAGCTCTCGTTTATATGTCCTGATAAAACCAGGATGTGTGTGAAATGGATGATCAAACTGATTCACCAATATTCCTAATCGTTTGATCTCATCACTCATTGCTTGAGCAACTTGATGTTCAACCTGCTCTTTGATTTCTTTTATTTTATTTTGGCACTCAAGGCTGACAAGATCAAGTTTCTCCTTCATCAACGCCAATCTTTCTTCCCAGCCACATTTCGCTTGCAAACATCTCAACCTGAGAGAATAATAAATGCTCAAAGGGGGTTTGAATGTAGTAACACAAGAAGTATGATGAGCAAGCAGTCATTGAACATTACCTTTCTGCTTTGGATTTTGCTTCAATTTTTTCCATGATTCTCTTGACCAAACCTGTTGTTTGGATGCCTTGAACAGCATGCGATTCAAACTTTGTCTGAATAGCAGATTTGGAAATGCATTCCTAGAAGTTAAATATACATTTGTAAGTGATCCAATTATTCATGCACACATCATAAAAAGGTTTCTACCTCAAATTTGCGTTCAAAATGTTCAAATTCCATGAGACGAGCTTGAAATCCTTCAGCATGAATGGCTGCTCCTGGAAAATAAATATTTGAATTTGCAATAACATCCCCAGAAAGAAAATTCACCCAACTGTTTTTTATGGCAATGGTTGATAATCAAATAATTGTTGCACCTGCTTCAGGCATTCCTTGGTTCTCTTGCATTCTTTTCATTAAGGTCTACATAACAAGATTTGCATGTTCAAGGAAATATTGCAGCTGAACTAATAGCTTCAGTTCAAATGAGCTATATTATTTTCAAATTTAACATACTTCTTTAGCTGACACAAAGAACACTCTGTCTTCAGCTTGTGATTTCTCCACACATTCCAATTCATTAGCCAGAAAGTTCACTGTCCTTTCTAGATGTTGGTTTTTGACCTTAAAACACAAGCATAGTGGTTGGAAAAATTATTTTCCTAACTAAAGTTTAAAAATAATTATATCCATTTGAATTGAACCTACTGCTTCCATAAATTCTGGTTCTGAGGCTGAAGCATCCCAACGGTTATTCAAAATAAATATATTTGGCCGTGACAACTTCTGATTAACTTTGGTAAAAAATTTCTTCTCCTGCAAAGGAAGAATTAGGAAGAATTCTGGGGTTGACTTGCAATACAGAAAAATGGTGATATACGTACTGTAACCATCAGAGTAGATTCTGCATTAGCAACCAGAACAAAAACATCAGCATCCAAGCAATAGTTATCAATCCAAGTGTCCAAATCAGGACTAACATCAATACCAGGACTACAAGCATATGTTGAAAAAAGGGATTGAGTACTCAAGGAAGCAATAAAATATATATACTAATATAGAAGTACATACCTATCAACAAGGATAATGTCATTCCGCAATAATGCACACCTTAGATTTAATAGAAAATAAGTCATTAGTGATGCAGAGCAATATTTGTAATGCCACAGTGCAATATGACATACTTTGATTTTGGCCAATGAACTTGAATTAGGCTGCTTGGATCTAACTTTTCTTGACAAAGTTCATGAGCCAACTGACTGAGTGACTAGAGAAAAAACAAGAACATTGCAATACTGTATCTCCTGGGGAGTGAGAGGATCTTTCAGAAAAGCAATGCCTGACTGTGCCAAGTTAATTCCAATACCTGAACATTTCTTCTTTCTTCTGAGCCAGGGGTGAGAACATATGGTGTTTCAACCTCAGTTCCACTTACACTCAGAAAACAACTTGTGGTGTGACCAATTCCAGCAGGCAGGATTCGATCTCTCAACATAGCATTAATGACAGTACTCTTGCCATTGCTTGTCCGACCAAAGAACGCTACTTTCATGTTGTCTCTGCTTAGTACTTCCGTGATTCCTGCAACCTGGCTGAGGAAAGCTTTAACCTGTGTAGAGAATATTTATCATACAGTCCTGCATCATTTTATAAACGATCAACCTCAAATCTCAATCCTAAAATAAATCGAACATCACATACGGTATACCTCATTTGAACTGGAATCAACTTCTTTTACGAATTCGTCTGAGACATAACACTTTTCTTCCAGAAAGGTAGACGCTTCTCCTAGGTAGCTAGCTATCTCCTGAAACGTTTTGTTGATCTTACTCTTCGCTTTGCTAAACAGCTGAAGTGGAGACTCCACACCATTCGCATGATCTTGAAGAAGACTCCTTTGCCGTTCAATATGACTCATTGATCGTCTAGAATTGTTTCCATTCATTTCTCAAGCCCTTTAAGCTTTGTTTTAACAAAACGTATCCTTTTGACTCCCTGAAACATTAAATCCCAGCAATCGGGAAGAGTTTTAATGAGTTCTTCAATTATATTCAACCGAAAAAACGAAAACCACATTCCAACTCTTCTCCATTTGACTTTTGATTTACATTGCATAAGAAAAATAGTTAGGTACTTCAAGTAAACGGCATTTTTGCAGAAGCGCGCAAAAAAGCGCTAAAATTCTCAGTTTCCGGCCAAAAATGGACTGAAAAGTTCGCAATTCATGTTAATTGCATGAAGATGAAAGAAATGTACAATAGTACTGCACAAAATTTGAACATTCTTTACACAAACTACAGAATCATTGGCTTAATAATCAGTATTTGTTATCATTTACAATTTATTCACGACAATGTCAAAGGCATTTCTGACGCAAGACTGGAACTGGCCTTCAGCCTTCTCTCGACAAACTAATTTCAAATCAATCTCAGTTATTACAATATTTAGAGAACATAATCCCGTGATAAATTTCTATCTATTTCCAACAAATTATTGAGATATATAATATAAATATTTGACGATAAAAATGCAATTTTCGTCTACCAGTATATCAATCTCTTTTCAAGCTTCTTTTCATTGATATTCCTGTCTAAATTAGGCTTGGTTTCAACTAAAAAAATAATACAATAATTTTGCGACTTTCACCAGTCCTTTCATTGTGGTTCACCACAAAATCAACGCCGTTTAGTTTATTGAATCAATCATCAAGTATTTTCACTAAATTAATTTCAAACATGATGGGCACTATGATGGAACCTCCAAACAACAGTTCCCGTACCTCGTCCACCGAAAACTTTTCATCGAAGGGATAATTTCCCGAGTGGGTGGAGGAGCTCTTTCCCCGGTATTCAAAGCGGTCACATGTGAAACTCGTGTGCAGACCTTCGCCAAATTTAACATCAACGTGGTATGCCAGCTCAACTCTGCCATGTTCATGTCCGAGGTTCTCAACAACCAGGTACAAGGTGGTCTCATCTTGACACGGGGAAAGGTCCAAACGCAAGTGCATTTTATACCCGAGGTACCAAAAACTCGAGGATTGCGTGGAGTGACTGGAGGTCTCTTCATCAAACGCGAACATCTCAGGTTCGGGGTCAAGGATCCACGTGAATGTCGGGTTTTTTGGTTCGCACCACTGACGAGACCCCCTGCATGCCTCGCGTCGTTTGGGGGGTAGTGCGTGATTAGTGATTGCTTTCAAATAAATTGTATCGAAATCGTCGAGCTGCGTGGCAACCTCGTGCTCTCGTACAACATCGTGAATGTACGTCGGTTTCATCTGATCAAATCGTACCAGGTTCAAGAGATCGGAGTAGCTCGTAATGTCTTCGTACAGTTCCATGTTTGTCTCAATCCACTTCATCAACGCGATGAACACGGTGTTCTCTGATTGTACGATGAGCCGATCGCTATCGAGTATGAAGCGAAGTGCATGCTCGGAAAGAGTCGCGAACTTCTCGGATTCCCACGTCTCGTCGAGCGGTTCAAATTCAGTAAGAAGAAGCAATTCCACGTTCTTCATCACCTGACCAAGTTCAGGCATCCCCCCTGAGTTGACTGCTTCAATGATCGTCTCACAAATCTCTAGCGTGAGAGGAAGGGCCTCCAATACACGTCTGGCCTTGATGGATGGAAAGCGGGCATCAAATTTTACTGACAGTCGTATGACATTCATCAGCTGGGCGATATCGAGGTTATCTAGGACATCTGGGTCGTAGATGGATCTTAAAAGCAATAAGAAGCCTTCCTCCTCAGATTCGGAAACCTTCATGCGAAATTCGGCGTTTGTGCATTCTTGCATGCCGGACTCAAACAAGAGACTTCGGAAATAACTGCTGTTCACGGCCAACCACGAGGCGTGCACGAAGATACGATGTTCCCTTATCACGCCCGTGCCACGAGCACTGGGAGAGACATATTCCTCTTCTTCAACGAGTTCTCCCTCATTCTCGACAATAATGCTTCCAGTTTCACTCTCGCAATCCAGTCTATCGTCATCCGGTTTCTCACTGCACACATACGACATGGAACTTCCGTTTTCAACTGCGTCCTCAGTTCCGGCATTCATCTCTCTTCCGGATTTTACGGATTCAATGCTTGCTTCTCTGAAAAGACTTCTTGGTTGCGGAATTGGCCTCACTGGCATAGAATGAGCCTTGGACTCTTCTAGGTTTTCTTTGTCCTCTTCCTCGCGATAAATAAATTCTGCGGAAGGCAAGGATTGTGCAGAATTATCTTTTTCTCTGCATGCATGATGGAATTCACTTGGACCCTCCCAATTAGTGCTTTTCTTTTTCCTGTCACAGAAGACACTGTTTCTTTCGGTTTCACTTTCGTTGCAAAAACCTACACTGATGCGACCTCCTAATTTTCCAGAAACTGATATATTTTTTTGAGCATCAAAGGTCCATGATCGGCTGCCTATGTTGGAAATTTCGGGCGTTCGACTATCAATGTAAGATGACGCCTTTGAAGAATCATTTGAATCAGTGCTATATAAATCTCCGTCATCTTTAGACTCTCGAGATTCTTCGAGCAGTTCTGCCGGCACTGCCTCTTCATTCAAATGTACAACGTTGTTAAAAGATCTCGAAGATTGGATGAAGCTTGCGCCTTCATCAGTTTTGATATTCGCTTTCGATTTTACATAATTCGCTGCATCATAAGTTGCATTTAACTCTAATCTTTCAGTTATCTCACGCATTTCATAATCATCCGGCATTACTTGCAGAATAAGCACTCTGTCGTGTATATCTTCTTGGTTGTACTCGTTTTTGAACAGTTCAGCCCGCTCTAAAATTTCCTTTTGCTTAAATTTTGTAGGTAGACCACTGACTTCGTGTCTTTCTACCCGCGGCCACAACGGCTTCCCCTTCATTCCCACACTTTTACCACTTTTCTTCTTATGGAAAGACATGCTGTACTGACAAATTTGGACTACTTCAAATCAATTAAAGGTAAGTATACTAATCTTCGAACTGAACAGTAACACAAACATAATTTACAAGAAACCTTTACAGTTGATAGCACTTCCGTTTTTGATTTAAAGATCATTGTACCACACTTCCGGTCGACTGTTTCTCATTTTACTCATCTTGGAGACTTGGACGCTATTGTACGTTTCAACACGACAAAATAGGGAAAATACGGCGTATTTTTTCGATTTATTAAGAATAGTTTCAGCCAAACAAGTTGCTCAAGTTTACAACAAAATATTTTATCATTTTTTGTACACCAGCATTAAAAATTCACGATCAATTTTTTCGTTTGTAGGTCATTAACATGGCGTTTGCGGTGATAAATATTTTCTGCCATTTATAAAACGTGCATTTAGTTATTTTGCTGCTTATAAATATAGCATGATTATAATTAATTAAAATAATATGTATTAGGCATTATAATAATTACTATAACATCACATCATTCACATGGCATATTTTATGTTTTTTCATAATTTATATCATAAGTCTTCATTCTCCACATTGCATTAAAAACTCCTATTGCCATCTGTATGACTTCACCCTGTGTTTATTCGAGAAAATGAATAATCGTCATAAACGTCTGGTGAATGCATCTCTGGGTCTACTAATGTCCAATGACTTCAACCCAGTGTCAAGTGATACTGTCAGATGAAGATGCAAATATTTCATGTCAATGTTTCCTCAGAACGAATATACTCTCCAGTATCTGCTTGATGAAAGCAAATGATATCAGTAGGATTGGCCCGACGACAATCTTGTGTTGATCTGGCTGCAACACCGAACCCCTTCACGAAAAAGAATGCATTGTTATTATGATGAGATTGGAATCCTAAGAGAAACTAACACAATATATTTCAAAATATAACAAATATGATACAGAAAATGAACAGTATTGTTACCAGTGGCAGATCATTCATTGAGTAAACAACAACACCCTGATATTGCTCTGTGTTCTCTGTTATTCTACCCAAGCCTGATTTCGCAACATGGTTTCCATAAAGAAATGACTGTTCAGCACCAGGTTTTACCCAAATCTTAAACTATGAATAGATATATGTGTATGGTTGGATCGATTGAATAAAACAGAGGAAAACATGCAAGCAGTCTTCGATACCAACCTTTGCATAGGGTGCAAGAAAATCAAGGGCAGTTATATGCAAGCGAAATTTCCCTGATTTAGTTATCTTGCCAAAACAGGTGCCGAGGGAGACGAGATTCTCCCTCGCAACATTTGTCGCTTTTCTCATAATGTTCTCCCTAGAAATAAATCACTACTATTATCAGGTAATCATCTAGGGATATTCAGTGATTTAATGGCTATTAGTGATTTAATAGGGATATATGGCCACTTTACCTGACATAATATATCCTATCCTTGTGAAGCCTAAAACAGTAATTTCCATCAGGACGTTCAATAAGGAGTTTGAGATTTTCTCCAATACTACAATGAAATACACACACTTGTCTTCACATATTTAGACTGTCTGGACAATGGACATATTAATCCAACTCTTATTATAAACGATAAATCTGAAGGCAAATATCTTACTATTTCGATAGTTTTTCAAACACAAGCTTCGTCTCTTCTTCCGTCAACGGCCTCATTCTCAAAAGACTTTAAATTTTATATTTAATTCGAATTATTCTTCTCTTGTGAAAACCTCCACTCCTCGAGCATCGGCCATGTGCAATTATGCGCCCGTGACGATGCCGGTCAGTGACATAAATTTAAATCCTAATTTAAAGAGACCATCGCCATAATCACCATGGCAACGCGTTCTAAACAACATGGCGGACGTAAACAAACAAGGAGATCAAAAGATGAAATTTCTAATCCAGCTAGTTATAGAAATGCTTGTGTAGCGTGATGTACAGAAACGAGCCGTAGGAGGTCATAAAACGGGTTTGCAAGCTCTTTAGATTTTCAATCATGAGTTTACCTCTTGTGGCATCGGCAATGAATTTGCACTCGGTACAAATTAGGAATATGCGCACTCGATGTTTGCAGGAAGGTAAGTTGTTTTCTACTTAAATAACTGGTTGCGTAATGTGTTGTCTTTTCACGGGTGTTTATTAGTGGTGTTAATAGAAAAAAACCCATTTTAGCCTATCTCAAGAAACATGGTCTCAACAAGAATCTTCAGCCCAACTTAACTTCCTCTAAAGCTCGTTTGCACAAACGCAAATCGACACGAAAAAAGACGACGAAACAGCCAAGTCCACTCATCGTTGTTGATGAGAATGATTCCGAAAGTAAGAAGTCTGAAAAATCCAACCGTTTGTGTAATCAAGGCAACAAAAGGTCTCGTCGAGTTAACAAAAACCGAACTGCAAAGAATACGAAGGACTTGAATAATTCATCATCTACTGGGATAGTTTGCTCAGTGAGGAAACTCATAACATCCTATTCCAACAGAAACATCTCTTCAACAGCACAGAATTTGTGGAAAACCCCCAAAGTCAGCCCAAGACCAAAAACCAGTTCTGGAGAGGAGGCATTAACCCAGTTAACAGAGATCAAAATTAAAAGACAAAGCTGTCCACCTCCAATACTCCCGCAATCCACATCCCCTGCCAGCAGGAATGCAAAGTTAAAGAAAGTTTATTACTCTGAGCCACATTCCCAAATTATGACTGGGGTTCCCTGTGTACCACCAGTCTCACCACTCAATGGTAAGATAGGTTCAGCTCCACCCAACCTTTGCACAGTAATGTATGTGGTTTTCCACCTGTACAAAAACTGGACCAACAAATTTGTTTACTGAAACTTTGCTTACTGTAGTTTTGTAACAATGATTTTACACACATCATTGTTCAATTGTTCATTTTTAGATGGTTTTGTTACTGTGGAAATAGTTCCTTGCCTGGCTGATATTAAAGTAAGTTCATTTGTTGTGTACTTTCATGAAAGCATACCCATGTTCTCTAATCAATACAATAATCCTCTTACAAGGTACACTTGTTCTTCTTTTCATTTTCAGAGTCAACAATTAATCAAATCAAAGCTAAGATGTCTAGGTAATGAAAGAGGATGTGAACATTTGATTCATGCAAAACTTGTTGGTTCATTGTTTCTTCATATTTATATAGTAACACAACGACAGAAACAAGATGAAAAACTTAGAGAAAAAATTCAAAAGGAAGTGAAACGAAAGGAGAGAGAGCGAAGTGAAAATTTAAGGCAACAACGCCGGGCAGAGGTAAGACATTTCATATGCCTATTACCCACAAATATATACTACCATGGCTTAACAGTATATTGTATTCACTTCCAGTTCTCCTCACTTTGATTTCTTACTTTCTTTCAATTCTTTGTCTTTAGATTTATGCTTTAAATGAAGTAATGACAGAGCATGAGAGAAACAAATTTTTGCAATTTATGAAAGAGAAAAACGAAGGTCCTACATCAATATCATTGCATGTTTGATTGTAGGCAACTTAATGTCCCTACCAGTAAAGTAGTTATTTAGTATTAAAACTACATTTAGTATTTTATACAAAGTTCCACTAAGAATTGGATTACAGATAAATAGTAAATAAAAATTCCCAATATAATCAATGTAAAGATAAAATTATGGTCTGTTTATGTTATTATTATTTATCGCCATAAAAATGTAAACTAAGCCATATTGGTCCTGTAAAATATAGCATTATATTTGTGTAATATGAATAATTTGTTATTCATTCAAGATTGAACCTTACGACCATGAGTGAATCCGCCCTTTTCTCACATTTACCTTCAAATTGTTTTGTGTTCTCTACTCTGCAGCAACATCACTTGAACTTTCTCCATCGTTGTCAACATTTGTCATCCGCTGTCGTTTCTTCGCACGGATATCATTAAGTGTTTCCTCAATGGAACGCAGATCCTTTTTGTTTTCACTAGGAACTGAAACCAAGAGAAGGTCCATAAGTTTTAAACAAATATAGTCCTGTGCAAATACACACATTGAAAATTCTCATTATTTCTCCACTGCCTTTCATTTTGTCTCAGGCCCTTCACAGCTTCCTCCTTTTTGCAAAATATCTGTAACTATCAACTAAAGATAGTCATTAATCAATGCTAACCGTTTCCAAAAGTTTTATTGGTAACTGTCAATCTTGCACTATCCTTTCCACTTTCTTTGCCAATAAGGTGTTCATATTTCTCTTTATAATTTGTTCTGGGTCGTTTTGGTGCGGACCTAGATTCAGGCTTTGTTTGGACACTAGCAGCTTTACGTTTCTAGAAACAACATTAAGATATCATGGATTTGCAGAGATATTTTTTGGAAACTGTCCACATCAATATTTTACCTTTTCTTGTAACATTTGCTTAACTTTTTCAGGGTCATATTCCTAGAAAATAACACATACTTTTAATGCCCTATGTTGTTTTACTGCCTCTGAAATAATTATTGACAAGGTACATAAAAATACTAGCTATATTTTATCAGTTTCAAACTGTTCTTCACCTTGCTGTTTCTCATGATTGTTAGTTCTTCTTCACTCGGTGCAAACTCCTTAAGAAACCAATCAAATACATCATTATAGCAGAGAGCTCTGTTTTACCTTATTTCCAGGAACATACAAGACAAGTGAAATTTAGTTTTTCTTCCTTTGAGTGCAAATATTTTCATAAATCTTTACTCTAAATGCATCACTTAGACAATAACAGTTACACACTAACTTTTTTGAAAAGGACAATACATCTGCCAAATTCTTCTTCCCCAAATGAATATGAAGTTATTCCAGCTATTTCAGCAACATCATGACTAAATAAACACCACAGTTAAACATAAATAAGAAAAGGCCTTCTTCACCAAGGATGGAATCATGGAATTACTAGAGGTTTCTACTAAAAGATTTAACTTTAAAACTTTTTACTTACATAATGCTCCTCTGTACACTCTCCATTGGTTTATACTCATGGTGTTTTTTATCGAGATTCTTCATGAAATCATTTACTTCTTTTTCTATCTTCAAATGTTACATAAAAGAAAACAATTTCTGTTTTGTGAGTTGTGACTTTCTCATTGTATATATTTACAGAGATGAACACATGTACATATGCAAAGAATCAAAGCAGACTAGAGTTTGTTTTCAAACTAGAATTAAGATCCTATCCTACATTAATGGAGTCTTGTACTTTAATGAAAAATGTTTATGTAGTTGTAGTTTTGGAGTTGTAATGACTCCTCAATCATCACTCATTTTTTATGGGGAAAATGTTATTATAAGTGTTGTTTACTTCATTAGCTATAAAAGTATACAACACCTGTGAGATAAGGAGATCATTAACTTCAATTGATCTGAAAAATCCAAACAAATACCTCGCCTCGAAATTTATCACGTTTAAGCTTTTCTTCTGCTTGCAGACTTTCCAGTTTCTCTTTCTGTTCTAAAAAGAATCAAGGATAAGAAGTGTTCACATTAGATGGATGGCATGAATCATCAATTATTAGTTTTACATCATTGCATAGGGTAGGAGATTACAGTTAACGCATTCTGTTGTAAAACGTGGTGAACACATCTTTGATTTTAATGGTACCTTTCAGTCTTTTTTGCTTTGCTTTGTCAATTTTGTTAGTCGGAGGAGCATCCATGTTACTCAATATGGAGCCAAGCAAATCCATTTTGTCTTTAGTGTTATACCGTAAAGCGATCTCACAAAAAAAACTTTGCAAAAATCAATGAAATCTACATTTTATTTATTTATTTGTTGTTATCAGTTGGTAAAATCTCATTATTCTGGTTTCTTCTTCTTCATACGGATACTTCATCTTGTATCGTTATTTTTGATCCACTGATCTGAAAATGCACTGATCTGAATAGCGAGGCCGATAAAAGGTTGGTGTCAGGGATTACCAACAGTGTCATAAAAAAACTAAATAAGTATCAGAGCTACAATTCTGCAATATTTTGAAAACAGTATTTAGTCCGATCTATCAATGATACCGAGCTCTCTAAGAGCATTATGCTGACCTATACTCATTTACCAATTTGTTACATTCTAAATCTAACCTTGATATGAGATTATTCATGACTTCGTCACAGCGTCAATATTTAAATATGGCGAGACCAATCAGACCATGGGTACAGTATGACATCCTCGTGATGAGTAATTCTATACTCATTACTCATTTATTACTTACTTTACTTACTTAGTACGTACTTAATACTTATTCAGTATTACTACGTATTATAATAAACACTTATAATTTATAAAGACTTGTTTGTTCTACTTCTTAGGAATCTTAGACATATATAAAAGATTGAGAGCACATGAGAAGTTGACAGCATCGTATTCCCGGAATTAATAACAAGTCGTACGTGTGCACATGATTTACTCCGAATTCATAAAAAATTCATACCGGAAAAACAGCACAACCCTTATATTGCGTCGAATTTCGTTTAATTCTTTGTAAGCAGCTTCACACCCAGCCAGAGCCAGTGATTCAAAGAGCACATTTAGGGAAATTGAATTGGTGGATTGCAAATGAAATCGCCGAGCAAGAATCATAAGATTTCTACCAACACAATTTTAATTGTGTCGATAGTATGTATTAATATGGCAGCGTCGCAGGCAACATGTGCTTTGCCATCAAACTGGTACAGTTCTTTTCAAACCCTCGTTTCAGGAACGTCTTGTGATGCAATGACGAAGAAATTTGTGTATGCTTTCTCGCATTGTAAGCAATGCATGTACTTAAATTACGAGGGTCGCAAAACAATCGGAGTAGGATTCAACCTCGAACAACCGAACGCGGAGAAAATTCTAGCACAAGTTGGGGCAAACTACATACAGATTGTCGACGGCAAATCAACATCATTGCACACCAAATGTGATTGTGACCATGTGACGTGTCTCGACCAGAGCCAAATAGAGAGTATTTTCGAAATATCCATTATTGAAGCAACTGGTACTGCTAAAAGCGTTCTATCGTCGTTACCAGACTCACCAAAGTACGTTATTCTAATTTTCGCAGCGATAATAAAAAGTGATTGTCTAATATACCTGAATATGGTATATTCAACCTTGGCATGGTCGAAAATACCGGAATTCGAGCCTGATGGTCGAGTATCATATTCCAGTATACTCGACCATGACTCGACCACAGTCGAATATACCATATTTCGGTCGAGTATAACCCGTAATCTCGTGGAGTTAACAAAACTGCTTTTATTCATATTTTTATTAGCTCGTGTTGTCAGTTACGTGCGGCAGTTGTGTTCGTTGCCTTCTCTCTGGGTGAGACATTTCCAACGTATACGCAATTTATTTACTGGTTAGAGCATCAAAATTGGCAAGCAGCAAGTACCTATCTATACTTTTCTACATGGTGTAAAATGGATTCAGATTCCTGCAAAGATATTGCAGATATCATCAAATACACAAGTTGCCCCTGTTCTGGACAATTTCCGAATGGTTTTGGTTGTTCAGGGCTACAGACGTGTTGTAAAAACGGTCAAAGTTGTTGCAATGGTATGGTAATGGATATAGCATTAAACGACGACATCTGCATGGGGCCGGTTGTATGAAAGCCAAATAGCGCTACCCACAGGATAGTGTTTTTTTCAATCGCTTTAAAATCGCCTGTTGTTTCCTAAACTTTGAATAAATCTTCAGGGGCCGGTTGTATAAAACTATCTAACTACATTTTGCATAGTTAAATCCTAGTTAAGTCAGAAACACACGACTTTGATTGGCCAATTCTGTCCTGGCTACAGTTAAAAGTTAACCGTGGTCTTTTATACAACTGGCCCCAGTATATTCCTAAATTGAGGATCCTCTTTCATAATTGGGTCCAAAGATGAAATTTTATCGCTTTTCGTTGAGCATTTTTAGAACTGTTGAAAGAATCACTATTCGGTGGATAGCGCTATCCGGCTTTCATACAACTGGACCCAGGGCTTTTACTAACTACATAACTTGGGGCCAATCTCCCGCAACATTAAATTAACTATTTCTATAGTTAGGTCGCTCTTGCTCACACCCACCTTTCCCTTCCAACGATTTTGTAAAAAAGGCCCTGGGCGACATGGCTTCACGTGATAAACACATGTATAATTACACTAAATTTCTCTTTAGGTTCATTAGTAATTGGCAAAATACCAAGACAGCAAAATCTATGTTGCAATCACCTGAACGCAAACTGCTGTGAGCAAAACTTTTGCTGCCCTTCGGATTACCATGGATGCTGCCCTCCCAACTATTGCTGCGGTGCAGGTAGTTATTGCTCAAATAAAATATGTGTCAGTACAACAGGAGGAGAACCTGATCAAATACCCATTTCTCAACTAATCGTCCCGAAAGATAACGAGTCATAAGTGATTATTTATTGACTTTCCAAATTGCTAGACAGACGTTTTTACATACGACATAGAGACATGTGATCTTTTAAGAATCAATATGTAATGGTAAAGTTACTTTTTCCCCCACTTTTTTCACGGAATCTGATTTAGTACTAAACGGAGTCTCTGAAAGGTGTGTAAAACCTAGAAAATTATATAATCATAAATCACCAATCATGTACAAGATGATGTAGTAGAATATAATGTTCCAAATATCTTCAAACTATGCTATATTAATTGAAAATCAGTCGAGATTTCATAAACCAGGACAAATCTGCCTGTGATTTATTATTTAAGAAATAGAAAACATTTTCCGTGTTTCTATACAGTTATAGAAACACGCGTGGAAGTTTGGGAGAACGAGAAATAATCAGTGGGAAAACGAGCCCGTAGGGCGAGTTTTTCCGCGTTATTTCGAGTTCTCCCAAACTCCCACAAGTGTTTCTATAACTGTATAGAAACACAGGAAAAACGTTTTCTATTTCTTTTATAATATAACTCGATAAAAAGATTTTGTACAAATATTATAATTCGATTCAATTACAAATTCTCATTACATCGCTTCGCTTGCCAAGTTCGGCGGGAAAATTCCCGTGTTTCTATACAGTTATAGAAACACGCTTCTCGACCAATCAGCAAGCGCGTACTATAAATGTTATATTATAAAACCGCATTGGTTAAACATTCATGTCTTTTGGATCGTACCTCAAAGACATCAGTTTCAACAATGTCCAGTCGCGTCAGCGTACGTTTCTGTTTCTCCATTTCTCTCTCATACATTTTTCGCGAGAAAGTGCATTTCGAGATACCATTTCCAACGTAACCTGGCCTGCATTTGCACGCATTCATGTGACACGTGGCGCGTGGATGACACAGCTTCAGGTTAAAATGACATATAGCTAGGAATACAAATCAGAGAATCAAAATCCCACGATGATGCAGATTATGCTAATGATGATATCATTGGTCAGACCAGGCATATTCCAACCTTGGCATATTTCTCCGTTTCCCTTGAAACCATCACGGCATTTGCACTTCCCTTCTGCACAGTTTGCATTCGCATCGCAAGCGAATCCCTTAGCCGTACAACTGTCTATAGAATGACACATATTTCATCTTAGTATATACGTTTAGAAATCTTGCCATGTTCATAGTTACTTTGGAAGGAATCCAGTAAGGTGGTATATATTTCTCGTCTAAAGAAAACGGGCTTTACCTAAGCAATAACTCCCGTCACCTTCATAACCAGAATCGCAAACGCATTTTCCATACGCGCATCTGGCTTTCGGATGACATAAATATCCTTTGTGATAGCAATGATCTTGAAGAAGTTAAAGCAAAAAAAAAACTTTGACATATATATGCGTGAAAAACAGTAATTTTAATTGAAGGAAATTTGTGGAAAACTAGTCTAGCAACCTGTACAGACTTTGGTGAAGCTGTTTGGCAACTTGTTTTCAATACATGTGCCTGGACAACTGTATGACCCAGGATAATCTATGCAGTGTTGCTGAGGGGGACAGAAGTTACCAGTTGTATCAGCGCATTCATTGATGTCTGCAACAGAGAATCATGATTTCAGCTCAACTACCCTCTTTATTCATTAAAAAAAACATGAATAATTCTAAAAAACGTAGTCACAAACCTAAGCAAAATTTCCCATCTCCATAAAACCCTTCCAGGCATGACCTTCGTTCTAAAACTAAGACAACATAACAACACAGTCGGTTTCAGGTATATGACGAGCTATACAACGAATATAACTGATTCCCTAGAATATACAAGAAATCTCTCCACGTTTCCTAAATGACCCAAAAAACCCCTCCACGATCACAAGCATCCTCCAGGATCACAAGCATTACAAACTCTTCAAAGACAAACTTGCCGTACTTCAGTACTTGGTGTATTAACCATGCGTGCAACAAGGCCGGAATGACGAAAATAACACAAGTGTCGTCACCTGTAAGTTTAGCAATGTTCCGATGATATATCTTAACAACGTTGAGCTTGAAACAAATTTCTCCAAGCCAGGTCACAGCATCGGTTCTCTTGAGCGCCAGTCGTACAGATCTTGTCAGAGTGCGATCTTTGAACTTGATTAGTAAAACCCCTCGCTCTGGTGGAAGGTCGAAGATCTGAAATCAAAGAATATTTAGATATTATGGGGCATTGGGGCTTGTGGTAATCGGATAATGTGAATAATATAAGATAACGTTAAACGAACCAATGTGCGTCTGTCTTCCTGGTAGCTCGTCCATTTTCTAGACTTGATATGAAAGTAGTCGACATGAATTCTTTGTCTCACAGCAGTTGTGTCTTTTGTTGTTTGCACGCGTAAAGATTTTACTTCTTGAACTCGTTCAATGATAGCAGCGTACGCCTCCTGAACTTGAGCATTCAAACAATGTTCTATTCAAGAAAATTAACGAAGTTGCATAAACCAACTTTTAAGCCCCGAGTCCTGACATTGGACCATGAATACTGTCAGGTGACTCAGGTCCTGGTCTGCCCATGGCTTTGTACATCAGTCATGATATAATAGTCACAACAATTCAAGGTCTATTTTAAGAATAATGCAAAGGAATTTTAAAAATAAATATAGTGACTACAAATATGAAGAGCCTAAAAATTCAGACTTTGCTACCTCACCATCACAAATACGAGTTAAAAATAAATCTTATACCTTTGTTGATGACTACGGCGAAAGAACTGCCTGGAAATGAAAGGAAAAGAAGTGTCATACAAAACGATCAACTTAAAAAGAAATATATAAAGTGTAAGTAAATTAATAAATGAATGAAGTATGGCTGAATGCACCTTACCCAAGAGCAGCCAGATCAAAGCCAAGCTAAAGCATAAAATTATTTTTATTGCCATTGTTCCACTCCCTCGCATGCGATAAATTTCGCATCAAATTAGCAAACATCGCGCAATCCAACTGTCATTTTAGTCGTCATCGCGCCTGCGTCATTCAAAATTACGGCAACAACTAACCTCAGGTCTCCGTCGCGGGGAGCAAATGCATCTAGGATGATTTCTCGTGAGAAACTGATCCATTCTCTGCATTGAAGAAGGTAGGTTACCATTGAAACCGTTTGCATTTGATACCCAGTTCAACCAATACAAGCCTGGACAAAACGGTTTTGATTCATTTTAAACCATACACAACATTTTCAATGGGATGTGCGGAGGATATCGCATGTAACAAACGACTGTAGAAAAAGTTTGATGAAATGGCAGCACATCTTCCTGCCAAACAATTATCGCACAAATCTGGACACACAGCCACATGGCAGACGTTTAAAATAAAATTTACAATCATTTATTATTCTTTGTTCTGTTCGAGTCTTTTAAACCGACTGAATGAAGTATTAAAATACATATTCATTATGAAAAATGATATTTTTGATAGTTGAACTAATTATTACAATCATCGTGGTAGTCGAAGTGTTCAAACATCATCGTTGCTTTCCTCAATTTATCAATGGTACCAACAACATCGCCGTAACAGTTGAAAAATCCGTCTGGGCAAAGACCGTCTAATAAGTGAAAATGCATTCATTTTTAGTATGAAACTAATCTAGTCATCTCTAGTCATCTAAATATTAATGCAAAAATTTCACACACTCGTTAGGCTCAGTCGGTGGGAATGAGCCATGACTTGACGATCTATACCATGAAATCACGTTAACTTAAATCTCAGATAGTCAACTCACCAATTTCGTCGGGTTGCATGGCTGTAGGCGGTTCATTGGCCTTTTCGAAGGTTGGATCGTCAACGCAACCTCGAGTTCCGTTTTGAATGAATCCCTCGTAACATTTACACTCGTCGACGTCACAATACGAGTTTGCACCACACGTGATACCCATTGCTTCACAGGACGCTGTGGACGGATAATTAATTACACAATGTTTTTCAACTTGGGGACCTTCAGGTCTGTTCAAACGATCCTATTTTGCATGTCGGATCTTTTCTAGTCTGTTGACTCATCAAAACCTCTGAAGTGGATGCTGTATTGCTTTAGAAGTAACACACTATATGCCATACTTCAGAAGTGAATTGTTCCACGGCTACATATTCACTGAAACTTCGCAAGCTAAAGTTTTCCAACTTACTTTGACAGATGCGGCCATCGCCGATGAAGCTGTTCTTGCATGGATCGCACGTGAAGGATCCGTGTTTGTTCCGACACAGACTGTTTCGATCACAGTAGGCTCCAGTCTTAACATCGCACTCGTTCAGGTCTAAAAAACAACGCACGTAATGATTAGTCCAGAGCAGAGAATTCCAGCAGAAAATTATATACGAATAAGTATTTTGCCGCACAAACTCTGCACATGGCAATGATGCGAGTAGTGCATGCACAGAAGCCATACCCCGACAAATATGTCCATTTCCAATAAAACCAAGACTGCATTGCGGAGGCAGCTTACGAGCAATACAATCCGTGAACACTTCTTTCTCTTCCTCGGTGCAAAGATCGTCGCGTGGGCTATGACATCCAATGAAGGTGAATTCACCGCATGCCGTTGTTCCATAAGGAATTGGAAATATCTTTATGAGAGTGGTGAAAATTGGTATGGGAAGAATGTGAGTTAATGGTTTTGTTGTACGACTGTTTCCACTGAAAACCTTGAAAAAGGAAAACACGAAGTTTACAAGAAGACGTAATAATAAAACAATCAATTAATGTGCTAAGAGTTAATAGATTTTAAAGCATTGCAGATTGGCTAGAATTGCAAATTTGGGCATGCAGGCAAGTGTCTTTTGTAGCTACCTTTAGTTTGCCGTCAACTTGATATGGTATCCACTGTCTCCATGACACGTAATACATGTAAAATGATCTGATTGGCTTTTTCCCTTTTTCCGCTGTTAGCTGTATCCGTGTTATGTGTTGAGAGAGGGGAAGATACATGAGAAGGTAAGGCTTATCTCGTCTAGTACAACCATCTAAATTGAATGTGTAAAAACAAATATATAAATGCTCTTTTTCGACTGATAATTGATCTGCTAGTATGAAGAATTAGACAAACTTGCCGTACTTCAGTACTTGGTGTATTAACCATGCGTGCAACAAGGCCGGAATGACGAAAATAACACAAGTGTCGTCACCTGTAAGTTTAGCAATGTTCCGATGATATATCTTAACAACGTTGAGCTTGAAACAAATTTCTCCAAGCCAGGTCACAGCATCGGTTCTCTTGAGCGCCAGTCGTACAGATCTTGTCAGAGTGCGATCTTTGAACTTGATTAGTAAAACCCCTCGCTCTGGTGGAAGGTCGAAGATCTGAAATCAAAGAATATTTAGATATTATGGGGCATTGGGGCTTGTGGTAATCGGATAATGTGAATAATATAAGATAACGTTAAACGAACCAATGTGCGTCTGTCTTCCTGGTAGCTCGTCCATTTTCTAGACTTGATATGAAAGTAGTCGACATGAATTCTTTGTCTCACAGCAGTTGTGTCTTTTGTTGTTTGCACGCGTAAAGATTTTACTTCTTGAACTCGTTCAATGATAGCAGCGTACGCCTCCTGAACTTGAGCATTCAAACAATGTTCTATTCAAGAAAATTAACGAAGTTGCATAAACCAACTTTTAAGCCCCGAGTCCTGACATTGGACCATGAATACTGTCAGGTGACTCAGGTCCTGGTCTGCCCATGGCTTTGTACATCAGTCATGATATAATAGTCACAACAATTCAAGGTCTATTTTAAGAATAATGCAAAGGAATTTTAAAAATAAATATAGTGACTACAAATATGAAGAGCCTAAAAATTCAGACTTTGCTACCTCACCATCACAAATACGAGTTAAAAATAAATCTTATACCTTTGTTGATGACTACGGCGAAAGAACTGCCTGGAAATGAAAGGAAAAGAAGTGTCATACAAAACGATCAACTTAAAAAGAAATATATAAAGTGTAAGTAAATTAATAAATGAATGAAGTATGGCTGAATGCACCTTACCCAAGAGCAGCCAGATCAAAGCCAAGCTAAAGCATAAAATATTTTTATTGCCATTGTTCCACTCCCTCGCATGCGATAAATTTCGCATCAAATTAGCAAACATCGCGCAATCCAACTGTCATTTTAGTCGTCATCGCGCCTGCGTCATTCAAAATTACGGCAACAACTAACCTCAGGTCTCCGTCGCGGGAGCAAATGCATCTAGGATGATTTCTCGTGGAAACTGATCCATTCTCTGCATTGAAGAAGGTAGGTTACCATTGAAACCGTTTGCATTTGATACCCAGTTCAACCAATACAAGCCTGGACAAAACGGTTTTGATTCATTTTAAACCATACACAACATTTTCAATGGGATGTGCGGAGGATATCGCATGTAACAAACGACTGTAGAAAAAGTTTGATGAAATGGCAGCACATCTTCCTGCCAAACAATTATCGCACAAATCTGGACACACAGCCACATGGCAGACGTTTAAAATAAAATTTACAATCATTTATTATTCTTTGTTCTGTTCGAGTCTTTTAAACCGACTGAATGAAGTATTAAAATACATATTCATTATGAAAAATGATATTTTTGATAGTTGAACTAATTATTACAATCATCGTGGTAGTCGAAGTGTTCAAACATCATCGTTGCTTTCCTCAATTTATCAATGGTACCAACAACATCGCCGTAACAGTTGAAAAATCCGTCTGGGCAAAGACCGTCTAATAAGTGAAAATGCATTCATTTTTAGTATGAAACTAATCTAGTCATCTCTAGTCATCTAAATATTAATGCAAAAATTTCACACACTCGTTAGGCTCAGTCGGTGGGAATGAGCCATGACTTGACGATCTATACCATGAAATCACGTTAACTTAAATCTCAGATAGTCAACTCACCAATTTCGTCGGGTTGCATGGCTGTAGGCGGTTCATTGGCCTTTTCGAAGGTTGGATCGTCAACGCAACCTCGAGTTCCGTTTTGAATGAATCCCTCGTAACATTTACACTCGTCGACGTCACAATACGAGTTTGCACCACACGTGATACCCATTGCTTCACAGGACGCTGTGGACGGATAATTAATTACACAATGTTTTTCAACTTGGGGACCTTCAGGTCTGTTCAAACGATCCTATTTTGCATGTCGGATCTTTTCTAGTCTGTTGACTCATCAAAACCTCTGAAGTGGATGCTGTATTGCTTTAGAAGTAACACACTATATGCCATACTTCAGAAGTGAATTGTTCCACGGCTACATATTCACTGAAACTTCGCAAGCTAAAGTTTTCCAACTTACTTTGACAGATGCGGCCATCGCCGATGAAGCTGTTCTTGCATGGATCGCACGTGAAGGATCCGTGTTTGTTCCGACACAGACTGTTTCGATCACAGTAGGCTCCAGTCTTAACATCGCACTCGTTCAGGTCTAAAAAAACAACGCACGTAATGATTAGTCCAGAGCAGAGAATTCCAGCAGAAAATTATATACGAATAAGTATTTTGCCGCACAAACTCTGCACATGGCAATGATGCGAGTAGTGCATGCACAGAAGCCATACCCCGACAAATATGTCCATTTCCAATAAAACCAAGACTGCATTGCGGAGGCAGCTTACGAGCAATACAATCCGTGAACACTTCTTTCTCTTCCTCGGTGCAAAGATCGTCGCGTGGGCTATGACATCCAATGAAGGTGAATTCACCGCATGCCGTTGTTCCATAAGGAATTGGAAATATCTTTATGAGAGTGGTGAAAATTGGTATGGGAAGAATGTGAGTTAATGGTTTTGTTGTACGACTGTTTCCACTGAAAACCTTGAAAAAGGAAAACACGAAGTTTACAAGAAGACGTAATAATAAAACAATCAATTAATGTGCTAAGAGTTAGTAGATTTTAAAGCATTGCAGATTGGCTAGAATTGCAAATTTGGGCATGCAGGCAAGTGTCTTTTGTAGCTACCTTTAGTTTGCCGTCAACTTGATATGGTATCCACTGTCTCCATGACACGTAATACATGTAAAATGATCTGATTGGCTTTTTCCCTTTTTCCGCTGTTAGCTGTATCCGTGTTATGTGTTGAGAGAGGGGAAGATACATGAGAAGGTAAGGCTTATCTCGTCTAGTACAACCATCTAAATTGAATGTGTAAAAACAAATATATAAATGCTCTTTTTCGACTGATAATTGATCTGCTATTAGTATGAAGAATTAGACAAACTTGCCGTACTTCAGTACTTGGTGTATTAACCATGCGTGCAACAAGGCCGGAATGACGAAAATAACACAAGTGTCGTCACCTGTAAGTTTAGCAATGTTCCGATGATATATCTTAACAACGTTGAGCTTGAAACAAATTTCTCCAAGCCAGGTCACAGCATCGGTTCTCTTGAGCGCCAGTCGTACAGATCTTGTCAGAGTGCGATCTTTGAACTTGATTAGTAAAACCCCTCGCTCTGGTGGAAGGTCGAAGATCTGAAATCAAAGAATATTTAGATATTATGGGGCATTGGGGCTTGTGGTAATCGGATAATGTGAATAATATAAGATAACGTTAAACGAACCAATGTGCGTCTGTCTTCCTGGTAGCTCGTCCATTTTCTAGACTTGATATGAAAGTAGTCGACATGAATTCTTTGTCTCACAGCAGTTGTGTCTTTTGTTGTTTGCACGCGTAAAGATTTTACTTCTTGAACTCGTTCAATGATAGCAGCGTACGCCTCCTGAACTTGAGCATTCAAACAATGCTCTATTCAAGAAAATTAACGAAGTTGCATAAACCAACTTGTCCTTGTCAAGCACCGAGTCCTGACATTGGACCATGAATATTGAATACTGTCAGGTGACTCAGGTTCTGGTCTGCTCATGGCTTTGTACATCAGTCATAATATAATAGTCACAACAATTCAAGGTCTATTTTAAGAATATTGCAAAGGAATTTTAACAATAAATATAGTGACTACAAATATGAAGAGCCTAAAAATTCAGACTTTGCTACCTCACCAAGTATCACAAATACGAGTTAAAAATAAATCTTACCTTTGTTGATGACTACGGCGAAAGAACCGCCTGGAAATGAAAGGAAAAGAAGTGTCATACAAAACAATCAACTTAAAAAGAAATATATAAAGTGTAAGTAAATTAATAAATGAATGAAGTATGGCTGAATGCACCTTACCCAAGAGCAGCCAGATCAAAGCCAAGCTAAAGCATAAAATTATTTTTATTGCCATTGTTCCACTCCCTCGCATGCGATAAATTTCGCATCAAATTAGCAAACATCGCGCAATCCAACTGTCATTTTAGTCGTCATCGCCTGCGTCATTCAAAATTACGGCAACAACTAACCTCAGGTCCCCGCCGCGGAGAGCAAATGCATCTAGGATGATTTCTCGTGAGAAACTGATCCATTCTCTGCATTGAAGAAGGTAGGTTACCATTGAAACCGTTTGCATTTGATACCCAGTTCAACCAATACAAGCCTGGACAAAACGGTTTTGATTCATTTTAAACCAAACACAACATTTTCAATGGGATGTGCGGAGGATATCGCATGTAACAAACGATTGTAGAAAAAATTTGATGAAATGGCAGCACATCTTCCTGCCAAACAATTATCGCACAAATCTGGACACACAGCCACATGGCAGACGTTTAAAATAAAATTTACAATCATTTATTATTCTTTGTTCTGCTCGAGTCTTTTAAACCGACTGAATGAAGAATTAAAATACATATTCATTATAAATGATATTTTTGATAGTTGATCTAATTACTACAATCATCGTGGTAGTCGAAGTGTTCAAACATCATCGTTGCTTTCCTCAATTTATCAATGGTACCAACAACATCGCCGTAACAGTTGAAAAATCCGTCTGGGCAAAGACCGTCTAATAAGTGAAAATGCATTCATTTTTAGTATGAAACTAATCTAGTCATCTCTAGTCATCTAAATATTAATGCAAAAATTTCACACACTCGTTAGGCTCAGTCGGTGGGAATGAGCCATGACTTGACGATCTATACCATGAAATCACGTTAACTTAAATCTCAGATAGTCAACTCACCAATTTCGTCGGGTTGCATGGCTGTAGGCGGTTCATTGGCCTTTTCGAAGGTTGGATCGTCAACGCAACCTCGAGTTCCGTTTTGAATGAATCCCTCGTAACATTTACACTCGTCGACGTCACAATACGAGTTTGCACCACACGTGATACCCATTGCTTCACAGGACGCTGTGGACGGATAATTAATTACACAATGTTTTTCAACTTGGGGACCTTCAGGTCTGTTCAAACGATCCTATTTTGCATGTCGGATCTTTTCTAGTCTGTTGACTCATCAAAACCTCTGAAGTGGATGCTGTATTGCTTTAGAAGTAACACACTATATGCCATACTTCAGAAGTGAATTGTTCCACGGCTACATATTCACTGAAACTTCGCAAGCTAAAGTTTCCAACTTACTTTGACAGATGCGGCCATCGCCGATGAAGCTGTTCTTGCATGGATCGCACGTGAAGGATCCGTGTTTGTTCCGACACAGACTGTTTCGATCACAGTAGGCTCCAGTCTTAACATCGCACTCGTTCAGGTCTAAAAAAACAACGCACGTAATGATTAGTCCAGAGCAGAGAATTCCAGCAGAAAATTATATACGAATAAGTATTTTGCCGCACAAACTCTGCACATGGCAATGATGCGAGTAGTGCATGCACAGAAGCCATACCCCGACAAATATGTCCATTTCCAATAAAACCAAGACTGCATTGCGGAGGCAGCTTACGAGCAATACAATCCGTGAACACTTCTTTCTCTTCCTCGGTGCAAAGATCGTCGCGTGGGCTATGACATCCAATGAAGGTGAATTCACCGCATGCCGTTGTTCCATAAGGAATTGGAAATATCTTTATGAGAGTGGTGAAAATTGGTATGGGAAGAATGTGAGTTAATGGTTTTGTTGTACGACTGTTTCCACTGAAAACCTTGAAAAAGGAAAACACGAAGTTTACAAGAAGACGTAATAATAAAACAATCAATTAATGTGCTAAGAGTTAATAGATTTTAAAGCATTGCAGATTGGCTAGAATTGCAAATTTGGGCATGCAGGCAAGTGTCTTTTGTAGCTACCTTTAGTTTGCCGTCAACTTGATATGGTATCCACTGTCTCCATGACACGTAATACATGTAAAATGATCTGATTGGCTTTTTCCCTTTTTCCGCTGTTAGCTGTATCCGTGTTATGTGTTGAGAGAGGGGAAGATACATGAGAAGGTAAGGCTTATCTCGTCTAGTACAACCATCTAAATTGAATGTGTAAAAACAAATATATAAATGCTCTTTTTCGACTGATAATTGATCTGCTATTAGTATGAAGAATTATTTTTAACTCGTTAAAAGGTCTTGGACAAACAGTCTGTCTTACCTTCGACTTCAGAAATTTTTTGAAGAATCTCTGAAATAAATTGTGGAGACAGTGAGAATAATTGAGCAACATGAGAGTGACAACTTGAAAGAACAACTTGAGAGTGACAACTTCGAACATACCTGGATCGCATCCAAATACTTCGACAGCCAAACAACAACGTGATGGTACACAGCCAGTTGGAAACAGGCGAAGATATCGAGCTGTAACCGGAGCTATTAACGGGACGATCTTGATGGCGGGCACTAAACGTTGACTAGCCTCATACACCTGTCATAAAACTCTAGGTCACTTCCATGTTACAGGAACTATACACAGAGGTTTGAGTGGGTCACCTAGAACTGGCTGGGTTCTAATGCATCGTGTGTAAGCATGATGGTAATCTGCTAGATCGATCGCGCCGCAAGGGTTCCTCAAATATTTACTCAGTTATTTCTAAACGTAACCTTTGAATGCTATTACCTTTCCATCGCTTTTCCAATGAACACCATTCTCACTGTAATGAACTTTGATTCTTTTAGCATGACGCCCTTTCATCTTCACCGTCGTTCCGATTTCCGATACTCTCTGCACATAACCCAAATCCACCTTCACAAAAAAACCCCAGTAAGCGAACAAGAATTAGTTGCTCCCTAAGAATATCGAACAACACTGCCGGAGCAATAATGACGAGAAAAACCATACACTTCTTTTGATAGATATGAACGGGTCAATTAGTTACTGATGTTCAAATAAGAGCTCTTATACACCAGAGCATTCGTAACTTATTATTCGTTCACATCCATCAAAAGAAGAAAATCATGACTCAACAAACCTGAAGATAGCTTTCTCGATCATTGCTCTCGGGACACCATGCGTTCGCTATTTTCTTTGACGCACGACCGGACGATGGTTTTCCACCTGAGGTCCAGGTCGACGCACTGAAATGGTAGTCAGGAATATATCGAGGATCGGAGACCATTAAAGACGTTGTGCAGGTTTGACGCTTGTATTCATCGCTGATCCAATCGCCACCAAAGGCGATTCCTGATAAAAAAAGGAACAAAACGAACTTTATTAGCTAATATTCTTGAAAACTTCGCATTTTTTGTTCTCGCCGGAAATGGCACATTTAACATAACCTAATTTGAGTTGAAAATGAGCACATTATATCTTACTTTCAAAGGTAGTGCACTGAACTCCTTTGTCGACACGAGCGTTTCCATGTAATTTCCACGAACTGATCACGTCATCCCACTTCAACCAATCACCGCGCGGTAAATCATCGTGGCAACAGTGCTGTTTTCCGATTAAATATTGAATCCTATATAGATCGGAAGTTAGAGCCTCTTGGAATATATTGAATTGGGAGATCAAACCATTGAAAAACCTCGCCCCTTTCAATTCTGAGTTGCCGAAACGGAGAATGCCCGTTCCTGGGATTGCTTTCTGGTTCGCATGCTTGTGCGTGTGAAGAAGGATTTCGTTGCAGTAGTAACGCAGCGTTCCATCTCGTGATGAACGACTGATAGTTATATGAATCCAGTGACTCTTTTCAAAATACACATGTTTCCTATTCGGGAAGGTGTCAACATCCCTGTAAGAGATTAGAATTAGATTAGAAACCTGCATGAGTTAAGAGGTATACTCAATACTCACAACTATACTAAGACGACACAACAAACCAGGATATGGTACAACAGTATACAACCGCATACAACAGTATACGACAGTCTATAATAGGCTTACATTTGTTTATCAAAGAACTTAATTCTACTTTTGTATCTCTGAGATTGAGCCAAACTCAATACGACTGTATCGTTGACGGTGTATGAAAACACGGACATTTTATATCCCATTTCTTTTGACAGTTGAATTTTCATCCAGAACGACACTATGAAGACCGTAAGAGGTGTCTTGTTTGTAATTTTCACCTCTGCGTAACCGCTGATGCCGCGTTTCGCCATTGTAAGGAGGCATGTATCATCTGAAAGATATAACTAGAAGAAGTAAATATCGAGAATGATGTACATGATGTACAAGAGAAATGTCCGTATCAATCCGTAATGAATTTCCGCATTAGAGAGGTATACTCGTTCTGAGGAGGTGCGTCTGCATTAGAGAGATGAACCCACGGGCATTAGTGAGGGGGGCCTTAGTGGAGAGGGTGTTTGTCTTAGAGAGATGAACCCACGGGCATTAGTGAGGGGGGCCTTAGTGGAGAGGGTGTTTGTCTTAGAGAGATGAACCCACGGGCATTAGTGAGGGGGGCCTTAGTGGAGAGGGTGTTTGTCTTAGAGAGATGAACCCACGGGCATTAGTGAGGCGGGCCTTAGTGGAGAGGGTGTTTGTCTTAGAGAGATGAACCCACGGGCATTAGTGAGGCGGGCCTTAGTGGAGAGGGTGTTTGTATTATAGAGGTGTCCGTGTTACACACTTACACACGCGTCCGTGCATTATAGACGTCACAAATAGATATCTTCCTAAGTTCCTTTATTTAATAATGCAACAAGGAGAGGTGTGTACAAGTTAGAAATGTGTGAGTAATTTCGCGAGTACCTGTCGTTGGTATCTTTGCAACAGTTTGGAGACAGTGATCTAAAAAACACACCATCGATTATTCATCATCAATCACAACCCCTTTCCTTTTTAAAATGCCTTCAATAATAAACGTCAATAATACAGAACATCTCTTTATCTCAGCTTTTTCATCTTTCAGTGGTCGCCATACATACATACCTGTCCATCACTATACATACCTGTCCCGTAGATATATTTAAAAAGGGTTGAAAAATTCAAAGTCTCGTTCAAAATCCTATTGCATAAATATACCTCGGTGATTGAAGTCACATATTCTTTCTCCAGCCCTGTCGTAGGTGTGGAAATCGACGAAGGCCCCGTTCTTGAGCGTTCGGTTAATAACGTATTTATTTTTGTTATAAAACCAACGCGCGTTAAATCTGGCCAAGAATTTGACGAAGGTGTTGCGTGAGCTCTTCAGCGTTCGGGTAATAATGAGTTCATATTTGCGATGAAACCAACGCGCTTTCGATCTCCCATTTGCAGAGAGGATCAGATATTTCCCACCTTTCAATAGCTTGCATTTCCATTTCTGAAGTTATGAATAGAGTTTCCATGCACTCAATGACAGTGTTAATGATAAAATATAATATTGGAGAGATCGTCTCATAAGTCAGTGGATCTATCTTTTATTATGCACAGTGCATCACAAACGCAAAACAAAATACCTGAGTTCTTTTGCGGTAGTTGCATTGTCCAAGGCGCAGTTTGGTGTACTCTCGCAGTAATAAAGCATCTTCGTCATATTCAAAACAGAGCCGCGTATCAGCCGCATTATGAATCTGTCCATCTGTTGTCCACAGCCATTGATACTTTTCTCTGCTTTCTACTATGTCTGCTTTACAAATCCCTCTGTCTGGACCCATTTTAACTGCCCTCAGAGTTTCGCCCTTGACCAGGCATTTCCTCATTTCAGAAACGTATATTATAAAACCGCTTATCGTTTTCGCTACCCTCACTTCCTCTGCAGGAAACAAGAGTATATAATTCAAGTTTGACTAACGGCGAATTTTGGTTAAGTTTAAAAAAAAACGGTCAGCCTAAAGATGTTTCACACTGGATACACACAACTATTAAAAGTCGTATTTAATACTATTTACAACCGTGCAAATGTAAACTTCTTATATGTCTCATTATTTTAGACGCACAATTACAAATATATTAATTTGTAGCCGGAAAAAATACATAAAATGTAAAATGAAAACTGTAAAATTACCTGCAAATGTATCATTTGCATGCCAAAGAATCGAAAAAACAAGAAAAAAAGAAAAGCTTATTTTTCTTAATTTCTTCATCGTTAAAATTTTGCACAGAACTGGATGACGATAGCTGTGACGACAGCAAACAATTCATAAAGCCCGTCGCGTGTTTCGCTCGCGAGACCTTCACGCGCTGGGGACGAGGTTGCGCTTTTGACGCTCTTTTGTATTTATATAATATACTAGTTTCTGGATATTTTTGCGCCCAAAACAGCTCTCATGCAATGCCCAATTTACTCGTCTTTTTGCTTTCACCAATGAACAAACCAATACTCAAAATCGAAACAAATTTTAATTGAACAGATTTATAATCCTTTAATTTAAATACCAACCATACAAACCATATAATGGTGCAAATACCATACACAAATTACGTACAAAACAATCGACTTGATCTTCTAAAGTGTTTGAATTGTAAAAGTCTTAAGAGATACTTGTCTTTCATACGCATGTGCGACCTTTAAATCAACGGCTAAAAAGCCTAAAACCTCCACACATTCAAAGTCCTAATTGTTGTTCACTCCATTATTTGAAATACCGACTAATTTGTCCATTGTTATCAGGGTGAGCACGTACAGAAACACGAAAATGAATAAGGAAACGGAACTAAAATACATTAAATATGTAAAGAGCGCACTACCCACAAGCGGGCCAGAGATTAGACCTAACTGTTGCGTTGATGCAAGCAGACCTTGGTAAAATCCTTGGTCTTCAACACGAGTGATCTTTGATAGCAAAGATTTTCCAACGATGCTTGTAATAGGCGTAGCCAGCAGCATAAAAAATGTCATCATAAAGGCTAAAACCAGGCCCCCGGTCGTGCGTGGCTGCGAGAACGCCACACCGAGTTGCGCAAAGACACCAAGGGTTCCCATGGCAATTGACGAGAGCAGAAGACTTCGATCTGCAATGTAATGCGAAACAAACCACACGAGAACAATGACGATAACAAGTTCAACACCTGCGGCGACGTAGAGAATACTCAGATAGGTTATCGTGAAACCAAATAACTCTACTCCAATTAACGGTGCGAGTGTCTCGAACGAACTCTGATTAAAATACATTAAAAATTGAGAGAGAAAAAGAACCACAAGTTCGGAGCGCGTCAAAGCCGCCTTGATGCCCGCGAAAATGCTTCGTTCATCTTTTGTTTGGTCCATGTTCTCTTCTTGTCTCTGTGTTCTTAAAATATCCAAGTACGTCAACTCCTCCTGAATCTCCTCCTCGCTCGAATATCCCTCGTGCATGTAAAACGATGGACTCCGTGATTCCATGCGATCAACAGGTGATCCGCGCGATCTTCTGAGGTCCATAGATGACCTCCGGCGTTCCATACGTGAACCTGGCAGCGAATTCTTTTTACTCGTCTCCGGAGTGCCGTTCGCTAAAAACTCCTCTTCCAAGTGTTTGTAGTCTTTTGTTAGATTGTAAACCGTAAACAAATGAATTATGCCAACCAAAAACCAAAGAATGGCCATAAAAAATCCGGGCGCCGTTCGCTTATCGATTTTCCAAGGTCCGATGTAGAAGTTAAAATTCTGCAAGAAGAAATTGAAAGACGGACCGATTGTAATTCCTAGTAAACGGACTCCTTCAAGGATCGTAACGATGCGCGTACGTTCGGCGGGCGTCGTAACTCGCGAAACCTCTCCGTAAAGAGCCGAGACGTAACCGGCTCCGATTCCTGAGATACAGCGTCCTAAGATTGGCATATACACATGCATTGGCAAAGCATAAACGATATTTCCAACGAAATCCATTGTTATCGTGAAGATCCCGATGGCGCGAATACGACGAGTAATGTCGGCGATCTTACCGACTATTGGCGAGACTATCACGCCGACCAGCGAGTCTGCGGCGATTGCTATTCCCAGGAAATAGTACGGCGCGCCAAATGATTCAAGGTAGAACCACAGAGACGGTATAACGATGGCGTAATTGATTCCGACTATGAACCGACGAATGCCGAAGCCAATTAGCGTAAGCTGTCGCTTGCTTTGGAACGTGAGTTGAAATGGAAAGTCGAAACAGCCTTGGGTTTGGGAAAGCATGATGATTGCCGACTCTGAACTATATTAGGGCTGAAAAAGAGATTGAAAATTGACAGGATGTTCTTAACTCGTCCCAGAAGTTGTGATAGATTATTTCAACAGGTCACCCAGAAACAAACATACAGGTGATATAGCAGACGGAGAAAGTTGCAAATACCAACGAATTGCCCGAAACAAGACGCCACCTTAAGTTGGCTAATATAAAGGAATTTGCGGCTCCGCAAAGTATTAGCAAATAGTCTGGTGATTTTCTGCTTTTTACGATGAAAAATACTCGTTTGAAATAGGCCAGGCCTAAAATTTCGCGTACATAAAATAGCTTAGTTAAAGCCTGGTTCTTATTATTTGTCATCTTCTGTCGAGATTTTTTGAGCGGCAGCAATCAAGGGCCTGTTTCCATGGAGCAAGTTATCCCGGCTAGGCGTGGTAAAAAGCGCATCACATCAAAGGCTTAACCTGATTAGTCTTTCATTGTATGCAGTTTTCACCTCGCCTAGCCGGGATAACTCGCTCCATGTAAACAGTCTTTATGAAACGCCAATTGCAATTAGTGGATAGGCTGAACACAGGCGTTTTTTGATCATCCACGTCTTAACGAATTAATATGAAACACATAATATGAAGAATAACATTTTGTGAACATAAAGAGCTTAAAACAAGAGAAGTTTAAAACGCAAATCTATGCTTATGAGTTTACAAGTTGTTGTATCGAATAATATCAATTGGTTATTTTACATTTTTGAGGATGGTTCTGAAATACAACTTGTTGTTCTTTGGAGTATTTTTCTTGTATTAAATTGTCTGTTTGTGATGTTTTCCACCTGCTTGATTTCAAATTGTGTTACCAAGCTTAAGTTAATTAAAGTCTGCCTTTTCGTAATTTGTTGTGTGGGCAAGTATAGCGCCATGCTGTTTAAAACCACAGCCACAGGCCTAATATTTGAAATATGAATAAGGAGAATGATATAATAGGAAAATCTTTCACTTTTTGTTTGTTCAGTATCGAATTATTTTTATCCCTAAAGCTATTTCATATACAATAGAAATTCAACGGCTTTAACACCCACTATTTCTGATCAATATTTGTCTGGAACTATATTCCCTCCATGAAAATTTCCACCCCGGCATAGTCATAGACGTTCGTTCGTTTTGTTTGCCCACATCATATTAACGTATATTTTATAAAAAGGAAACCACTTCAAAAGCAGATTTACAGCTTTTTTCAAATAGGCAAATATTTCGTTTCGTCCATCCCGTTATGACTTGTGAGACAATCGGCATACAATACACAGATAATTTCCGGCCATGCAAAATTCGCTAAACCGAACACATTGTTTCCTAAACATATATATGCCTTGAAATCCAATAAATATCCTTAATTGATTATCTTGTATGGTTCATGCATCATTGTACGCAGTATGCACGATACACGAGCAAGAACTGAAGTCATTAAACAAATTCTACAAACAGTTTTATCTGAATTTTAGCTCCTATTGTCAGCATGACAGGTTAGTTGACAGTAACATAAGCCATGTCTGGTGGCCAATTGCCATCGCATACTCAATATAAATCTTAGATATAGAACTCAACATTCAACAATCTTCAACTATCGATCCCTAATTTTTAAGCCATAAAATGTAAAGTCAAGCGGAACATTCTTCAACATACAAGACTAATCAAGGACATAAATATACACGACTCTGTATTCGTTATTTGTTGACCATAAAGACACACACAAATATCTTACCATTTCGTTAGCCACACTTGCGTTTAAAACATTCGCAAATAAGACTCCTCCGTTCTATGTCGTTATCAGCATCTAGAGGTGGTGGTTCTTGTTGAACAATTGCGATCGCTGAACTTGGTATTAACTGTCGTTACGCATGGTGTGCGAGCATTCAAAGTGTATATGTAAATCGTATATGTGTATGTCTGAGGTTTGGTGATCATGACCTTTTTGACGGGGGGAGATTCGTTTAAGGAAATCTTTCCCTATTTGTATGTTTGCTAGTAATATTATCCCATATTGTTCTAATTACTTTGCAATACTCAGAAATGTCACACCATACAATTTAGTATCGTAAATTGTTATTTCGTCTCAAAGAACTCTTAGCAACGATGATGCAGTTCAACTTGCGTTCTTATCAGCGATGAGCTGGACAGCTGGTTGATAAAACTGAAATAGTGCGGACTGCGGAAGGTTTGAAAGATATATTAAAATATTGAATATACAGGCAAATATATCTACTCTAGATATGTAAGTTAGCTTGCTTTGCCTTTGGCTTGGCCTCATAGAGATTTCACTGTCCAGGGAGATCCTTACCTGAGTCTCTGACTTCTGTTGGCAGTCACACACCCACACCATAAATCTCGCTGAGTTTGTACCCCCCCGTGGTGACTACAATGATGAAACATTAAACGACGACCACATTCTTTACAGACGCAAACAACGGAAACCCATGACCGTGAAATGAACTATAAAGATTCTCTAGAGCATTCGTGCAACGCTTTTTGAGGAAAGAAAAGCAAAGATTGGTTAACAGTAAAGAGCCCAGTTAATACCAAAGTGAGTGAAACGGACATATTAAACATTGATACTATACAACATAACTCTACGAGATTATCTAGCTGCCTGACTCTTCGTTTAGCTTGGAAATGCGAGTGGTCACTCTTGACCGTCCAAGCATGCAAGTATTCAAATGAGTTTTCTGTATGCTGTAGTTGAGATCAACATGCAGATCAGTTGTCATTTCGGAGCCTAATTTAATAACCTCTTTGTACGTCAACTGACAGAATATTGGTTCTAGTGTGATATTGGTTCTAGTGTGGAAGCATAATTACAAATATGTGAAATATATTCGTTAGGTGACGGGGCAGAAGCGAAGGGGATGAAACGTGGAGCTTTATGAAACGTGGATCTTATAAAGTATTTTCGCGACAAGATGCTGTGTGAATCAAAGGGTAACCTTGAGTCATCGTTTGAACTTACATACCAGACCAAACGACAACTAACACTCATCGGATTCGCTTTGCGTCGATTTGCCGCTGGTATTGACTACATAATAATCCTGCCGTCTGTGTATTTCTATCTACAATCGCTGAACGCGAGTTACTATTTTCTTGGTTTCGTTATCGCTGGCGACTCGCTGGTCGCCTTTTTCATCTCGCCATTCATCGAGAAGTTGGCAGAGAAATGGCAGAGGATACGGTTCCTCGGCTTTGTGGCGAACTTGTTTCAAATTGCAGGCAGCTTGATATACGCCTTGCCCTTGTATTATTACATGCCATTGATAGGGCGGCTAGTGTCGGGGTTAGGGCAAGGTTTCAGCGGGGCGTTGTATTCAGAAGTGAAACGCGTGACTAATCCAGAGGAACGAAATCGCGTGATGATTTTTATGGAAGGAGTGCGACTGTTTGGTGTAGTTATCGGCCCTGGCATGAATTTCTTTGTCAAGGACTTTGATTTGACTTTTGGCCCCTGGATTATTGATCGTCGAACTGCGCCAGGGTTCTTCATGGCGATAGTTTGGGCATTGGCCGAAATCGTTCATGTATTTACAGTCTACGATTTGAGCTTACATCCGAACGCCTATCATGAAGTACCCAAAGACGACGACACGGAAGAAGAGCAACCTTTTTACCAAAAACCAAGCACTCCTCGCCTATCTACGACACTTGACGAACCGTCTAAAGTAGATGGCGAATCTAAACCGATCTCTGCCGAAGATGAGGGACGACGCTCTCCGACGACAGTCTCCCACGAAGATGAAAGAGGACAAATTTCGACGACGCCCTCCGATGATGAGCATACGGACAGCTCCGACAACGGCAAACAGAGCGAGGAAATTCAAGCACTGGAATCGGATGACGAGTTTTCAAAACACGTTAGACCGGTTTCCCAAAGCAGTTATACAAGAAAGCTTGAGGTGTCCACCAGAAACCGCAGCATACAAGAACTGTTATTCCGACGCGACGTCATGATTATCTTAGTCTGTCAATTTATGATGTTTTTTAATCAAACCGCTTTTGAAACATTGATGTTGCTTATTGGCGTAGAACAGTTGGGATTCAACATTACCATTTTAAGTGCCATCTTTATTGTTGCTGGTGTCGAAATGGTTACAGTTATCATTGTGGTGTGGTCCGCCAATAAGTCGTTGGACGCGAAATATCTCCTCATTACCAGTATCTCATCTGGTCTTTTGGCTTCATTTGCGAGGCTTGCTATCGGATTTGCCGAAAAACATTCAACCGGGAGTATAGTAATGACCTTGTTGATGGGAGTTTTTACCATCATCGGAACGCCGATTGTGAGCATAGCTGGTAAATCATTGCTTCCTAAACTGACCAGTCCTGAAACTCACGGATTTTACCAAATTGCGTTTGCAACCTCGCAGCATTTGGGTTTGGTCGCAGGCCCACTTGTTGCAAGTGCTTTGTACACTCATCTTATATTGTTTAGTTCGTTGACTATAACTGTGTTTCTTATCGTGTATCTTATGTTGCTGCCGACTGTTGAGAAAATGCAATTTCCCGCGCACGGGTGTGCTGCAAGCTGACATTTCAAAGGGTTTGTGTGGCACTCGAAGTAGCGTCTCAATATATGAACTATGATTTAGACATGCGTGTGTAATGAATCTTACGACTGCTAATTCTTCGTGGTTTTAGACAAGAAATCGATATTTGAATGTTGTAATATGTATATATATATATATATATATTTAGAAATGTGATGAGAACAGTTTCTTCTCTCCGGATTTACGTTGTAGATTTCACGAGTGTCCTTAGTAATGAACTCCGTAATAAAGCCCCTCCCGAAATGACTCGTTTTTTTTATATTTGTCGTTTCTCGAACAACAAAAACTGTATTTACTTTGGCGTCCATAGTCTGTCGTTTTGCTTTTATGCGTGAAAAATCACTTAGTGGTTTGACCGCCATCTCATTTATCATCCATAAACGGTGCTTTTCCCGTTGTAATTTAAGAGTCTCTTAACCTTAAGCACTTAACACATTAGAGTGGCTGTGTTAGTTCCGCTGTCGCGAAAGGTTAGAATCTTTAAAAATTTATGAAACTAATATCACGTTAGCATTAACACACTCATCATGCACAAAATCAACTCCAATTCATCTTGTGCAGCTGCATGTTTATAATGGATTTAGTTCCCACAAAACATCTGATCTTTCAAGACTAGAGATTGGAAATGATTTATTAATTGTTCGCATCTGAAACTCGGCGTATCTTTATCTTAAGATAGACAACCATCTTAGTTTTATTTTATAACTTTCTTTTTGAAAGACAGTTTTACCCAAGGTCATTCTCCATAGTACCAGTCAATCTGAGATCTCTCACAACAAAAATCATTCAATCAGACAAAATATAACCCGCAAAAACAATTTATTAGTCTCAATCATAATGCATTGTAGAAATATTTCATTCGTTTGCATATGCATCTCGTCAAGATAGTCCACAACACATTCACCACTAAAATATGCTAATTTCTGCATTCGTCATAATAGTTTGTATCTTTCAAAAGTAAAATTTAACCGTGTCCAAGAGGATATTTTTAAATGGTTGTGTGTTACTATTGTCAATACATAAATTTCTATAGTGATGTAGAGATTTGTCAATTTCTTGATGGTGTGAAATAAACGAGCTTATTGCACTAAAAAACAACAAAAAATTCCATGCTATCAGAAAATGTAACTTTCCAAAACAAGGACAAGAAGTACATGTGAATTGAAATTGCATGTTTATTCCGTCCTACACATAAAATAAAGGATATGAAAATAGAATTTAGTTCAATGACGTGGACCCCAGGGCACGGCGGCGGCAAACGGTTTGTTTCCGCTTCCAATGGCGGGAAAATCTTCCGTGTCAGCCATGTTGAGGACGGCAGGTGGAGGACTGGGGGAGATTGGTGGTGAGGACTTGTTCCAAGGTGCATCGCGGACAACAAATTCCTGCGGTTTGCGGCTCTTGCTGTGCGTCTCATTGCTCTTGCTTGGCGGATTCATATAATGGCTGACCAAATCTTTCTCTTCCTGTTGATCACGTACCTCGTCCAGCTGAAGAAGAGAGCGATTTTTAAAAAAAAACTTTCTACACCACCCCCCTCCCTTCCTCTCGTTCAATCTGTACAACTTACGTATTCTTCTTCCAAAACCAACAAATGATCCCTTGCGTCCTCGACATTATCCGGGGCACCACTGATCGCAACGGGACCATCAGGGTTATCGGGGCGAGGGAAACGGATATCCACTTTAAACTGGTCCATCACTCTGCGAATGCTCGCGCCACGTGCCCCAATGAGACGTCGGTGGACTCTGGGATCGATGTCCACCTCAATGGTAGTTTGATCTTCCTGTAAATTTGGAACAAAACATTGTTCAGAATAATTCCAGAAACAACAAATCGTAATTGCACGTTTTAAAAGAAAATTAGTAGAGGGGCCTCGTCATTTTGAGCGAGAAACATTTGAGACCCTACAAGCTCACATATGTACCTATCCCACCCTCTTACGCCCCGCTCCTTACCAATTCCTTGACCATGCGCTCGATCTCTTCCTTGGCCGCCTCACAGTTTCTTTCATAACCAGTCAGAGTGATGACGTCAGAGCTTCCATCAGCACCAGACTTCATTGAAGGAACCTGGATTTGAATCTCATGTTCCTTACGGATTTTGTCAATTATGACTCCCTTGCGACCGATGATCTTTGGATGGTACTTCGGGTCCACGAATACCTCCAGTTGGAAATTACGAAGGGCCTGTGGGAATGAAATCGAGAATGAAATATTCTACCTATGAAATATTCTTTTCAATAAATCAATTATTTCCGAGTTTATGTTCACTTTGAAGAACACAGAAGGTCTACCCAGAAGTCACACCCTGTCACCCACCTTGTCCTCGTTCTCAGCCTCGATTTCGTCGACTCTCTTGTTCAGGGCATTGACAGCTTGCGCGACGTTATCACGTGGACCCGAGATTGTGACGTCATCGGACTCATCTCTGGCGGGTGGAATGAGGATATTCACGTCAAATTCATTCATCATTGCCCGGATGTTAGCGCCCTTCTGACCAATGATGTAACGATGGTAATCAAATGGAATCTTTACCGATTGATTGATTGGTATAAGATCCTAAAATTGAACAGCATACTTATATATAGGTTTCATAATAACCGGTGTAAACTTGTTTGACACGACCAACTTACCAGTAAAGCTTGTTTGGCAAGTTCAGCTTGTTCAATCTTGCCAGTGATCTGAATGATATCACATTTTTTTACACCATCTTCGTTCCCAGTCGGCGAGGTCGGGCCGTCTCCGTTCACAGTCGGATGATCGTCGCTCGGCGAGCCGTTAACAGCAGCACTCGACCGCTCTGGGAATCTGATGTGTACGTTAAAACGATTCTGAACTCCTGCAATGCAAGATGAAGACCACACAAGTAAGCGACAGTTGTACCTGTTCCTTTAGAGATCAGACATGACTCTTACTACAACTTGCATATGAACCAGGAGCTTCCCCCCCCGTCCAATATATCATTCAATTACAATTTTTCTACAGCATATGGCTAGCACTGCATAACAAGCTTTAGCCGAGGTTATTTGACTTTTAGCTATACTTGATTTCAAAGTTATACACGAACCTTGCACAGTGGCACCCTTGGCTCCCATCAGAGAGCGATGATGTTTCTGCTCAATAACAACTTCAATGGTCGTCATCGACTCCAGATCTTTCACAATCTCAATAATCCTATCCTTGGCTCCAGCCACACAATTGCTAGCTCCCTTAAGCACCACGCGCTCAGAGCCACTGTTATAGCGCGGGAAACTGATGGAAACTCCGCCAAAATCTTCAATCACTTCGGTCAAGACTTTACCTTGACGTGCCACAAAATGGCGGTGATGTTTTACATCGACATTCACCTCGTCTTCTACGATGTTATCCTAAAATAACACCCGCTCAAAGCTTTAACATCACTCAAAGCTTAAAATCACTCAATGCTAAACATAATTCAGTGCTTAACATTACTCGGTGCTTGCCATCAAAAAGGCAAATACTAGTAAGCAACATTTGAGAAAACGAAATCAAACTCACGAGTTGCTTGATTGCTTTCTCCAATTCCTCCTTGGCCGCTTGCACAGCCTCCTTCTTTCCAATAATATGAATCAGTTCTTGGTCATCGTCGTCTTTCGTCGGGAAAATGATACGAGCTCCGGTGTTGTCACGAACCTAAGCCAAGAGTAAAAGCTGTTAGTGAACCAGAACAACTATTATGAAGAACGGTTTTCTCAAGCCGCGAGCACTCACCTTTCTTATATTAGCGCCACCTCGGCCGATCAAGAAGCGATGATAGTCGCCTTTCGCTTTTACAGTGTCCGTGAAACTGCTCAGTTCCTGGCAAAAGGAAAGATACATATTAAATATAAAACCTTTATTTCAAGCAGTTCATTAAGATTGCCTTTATTCCCTCAAACCAACCTTTTCTTTTGCCAGTTGTAATAGTTCACTCTTAGCTTTTTCCACATCGTCTTTAGGTCCTCGCACAATCACCTTGTCGCTGTTTGAACCACCAGGTGGGAACTTGATAGTCACGCCACCGCAGTCGTCCATGATTGAACGAATGAGTCGGCCCTTGGCACCAATGATTGCATTATGCAGTTTGTGAGGGATGATCAGTTCTTCCTGCAGGATACTTTCCTGTAAAAAGAAGATAGTTTCAATTCGAGGAACAGCCAACTGTTTGCGGTTGATATTCTTCACGAAGAACATGTTTTTCATTTGAAATTTGTTTATGAAAACTTCTTTGCTTAAAAGATATACTCACCAGTTCATTCTGAATGGCTAAAATCTTTTCACGAGCATCTTCGCACTGAGCCTTATGGCCGATGATCTTAATAATATTGCTATCGGTTCCCTCAGCAGGCAGTTCAATCCTTGTTCCAGTTTCATCTCGAATCTAGGAACAAAAGCACAGAAACCAACTTGTTACTACATGACACGAAAGAAGAAAGCTTACTGCGATGAAACCACTGTTGTTATTGGACTGATTCCCCTGTTTAAACCATGAAGTCTTATGATATTGAGTTACTACTATATTTGCACATCAATTGTCAACCAATTTTTCGTCTTCACAATAAACCAACCTTCTTAATTGTCGCTCCACCTCGTCCGATAATATTCCGGTGAAATTTCTTGAATATTGGCACGTCGATTTTGTAGTTGCTGGCAATCAATTCAGAATTTTGTTTCTTCATCTGAGCGTAAACCTTGTCCACCTGATCTTTGGGTCCACGGATGTTCACTATGTCACTCTTTGAAGATGCCTCGGGAAACGACACACGCACCTCGGGGAATTTCTTTCTGATATCCTGCATTCCTTCGCCTTTTGGTCCGATGATCGAGCGATGAAACTTGCTTTCAATGATGATATCACGGGAACGCTCGTTTTCCTAGAAACGACAGCAATTTCAATCAATTTTCTGTGGTTTTTCTAGGATTTTTCACAGTCGGAAAAGAACAGAATTCAACCGAACTCCAACGCTGGTTACTTTATGATAGCGTTTGCTTAAAACAACATGCAATTTTTCTCCCAAACCTACCAGTTTCTTTGCCATTTCCAAAATTTCTGCCTTCGCCTTTGCTACACCTTGAGGAGAACCTTCAATCCTGATCACACTCTTTTTCTCGCTATCATTAGGAATTATGATGGCTGTTTTTGTTTCCTCCTTGATACGATTTACTATCGTGATATAAATAATGTAGAATAAGCCAGGCTGCAAGTTTCCCAAATGGGTTTTCTATAGGCTTTGTAAAGTACTTTAATATCTCACCGTTTGCACCATTTTTACCAATGATATGAGAGTGATATTTATAGTCAACTTCCACCTCAGCAAAGTCCATTGTTGCTCTCTACAAAATGAAATACAGAATGAACTCTCAAAATTACAAAATGAAATGCAGAATGAAACCCTCGAAATTACAAAAATAAGCGAGTAAATGGAGGAGAAACTATGAACATTATGTCGTGCAAATAATCTAATATTTCTAAATTTAAGAAATGCTGATTTACCAGTTCACGTGCAAATGTCTCCAATGCTTCTCTGGCTTTGTCAACTTGCTGTGGGGGTCCTTCCAGGGTAATCTTGTCCTTATCATCACTGAACTCAATATGCAGCTGATGAAGAATGATTTGAAAATGTGTTATCACTAGGATTACACCCCTGATACAATTATTTTGCCTGCATATTAGGATTGTCAAAATTTCTCATGATAATGGAATAGAAACAAACCTTGTCTAAATCTTGGGTGATCTTTTTAATGTTCTCTCCACTCCGTCCAATCATAAACCTGTGTAGCCAACGTGGTGCCTCGACCTCAGCAAATGAAACACTGTTTGCTCTCTCATAAACCTGTGTCAAAGCTGCTCCAAGTCTGTCTGGTTCTCCTCGTAAAGTTATGGTCTCTGCTTCGGAATCCAAAGGTGGCATTTCAACAGACACTCCTGGAAATATTATTAGACTTGCTAAGTTGAGGTGCATTTATTGAAATAAAGCTGAATCAAGGCCACCCACCTGTAGATGCAAGAATTTCTTGTAATACATGTCCTTTGGGTCCAATAACATATTTGTGCTGGGATTTCTTCACTTCAATGGATACAGGAGTCACACATCGTTCCTAAGAAAAAAAATATCTATTAAAACAATTCTAGGATAACATCTTAAAGGACTCTACTCAAAACACAATTCCCCTATCAATTAACAACCGTTTGTTAGTTATAGTATCCACTACCTTTTCCTTGTAGATCCTAATTATTTTATCCTTTGCCAAATTTACACCATCCTTATCACCAGAAATTGTAACTTCATCCTTTTGCACCGACGGTGGTGGAATATTAATCTTCGTGCCTGTTTCCATCATGATATTCTGTACTGTTTCTTGATTGGGTCCTTGGATGAATGGATGATATATTCGGGGGATTTCCAGTCGTTCAAATCCTTCTTTTGCCTGCAGAATAAGAACAAATTACGGCAAATATAATATTAGATTTGCCGGCCCTAAGGCATGGAATAGTATTGATGAAAATCTTAAAAGCCTTGGGAAATCTAAATTTAAACAAGAAATGAAAAAAATGTTATTACAGTCATATTATGATACATAACAATCCAAGTTAACAACGTCAACTTCTTACGATTATACCTGTATATATATGTGTGGAACTTTGGTTCGTCGTATTAACTTCTTGCGTGTAAAAATTCTTTTTTAAATAATTACTATTAGCTAGCTGTTTTCTTCAGCCTTACGGTTGTTACAGCTAGCTGGTACCGACTACTTTGTTTTAATAACCTTTTGTAACTTTCACTGTAACAATTCTGGTATCAATAAAATGATTGATTGATTGATTGATTGACAGAATACATTTATTATCAAGCTATCAATATGTTTTGAGCATGTTTCTGACAACACATATTGCACAGTTATTTAACCAATTAATAATGCCTTCAGCAGCTTGAAATTGAGTGTGAATTTATAATTAAAAATGAATGTATCTAATCAATACATTTTACAATCAATCAATACAACAGTTTATTTTGAAGAAGAATTATGCCGTATGCAAAAAGATCTGGTATGAAAGGCCGTGTTGTCAAAAATTACCTTTCTGTCAGAAATAACTTGAATTTCATGACAAGCTTTCTCAACATCTTCCTTGATTCCAGCAACAATGACCATACCCACTCCATTCTTTGGGATGGTGATATGAGTTCCAGTATTGGCTTCCAGTTGTTTCAGATTATTTCCACCTTTGCCAAGGATAAACTTGTGGTGTTCAACAGGAATTGGAAGCTCATATCTCACCTGAATTTATTATTAAAGCATAGAACATTTAAAAGAAAGTAGCTCTGTTATAAAAAACATCAACAGCCAATTCACATACCCCTGTTTGCAGCTTCTTTAGGATTTCTCTTTTCGCCATTGCAACCTGTGAAGGTTTGCCTGTTGCGAGGATATTCAAACTCTTGTCCTTTGCATAACTCAATTCAATTGAGGCACCGGTCTTTGTAAACACATCTCGACACATAGTTTGACGTGCATCTCCAAAATCACCGAGTGGTTTCGCAGTAACATCTTCAACGGGGATCCGAAAAACCTTGAATACAACGGGGATTATTTATTAATTTATGGTTAGATTAAGAACCGGGCTTGGATTCCCATTTCTTACAAACAAAAATTTATCTCCAAATCAATTGGATGCCACTTAAAAAATTGACTGGATGCATGGAAGATGGTGGGATTTGACAAATTCTCTTTCATTGAGCAAGTGACTTGCTATGCCATTCCTATTAAACAACTAAATATTTCTTGGTGACCTTGGTTGCTATTTGAGCAAGCATGACTGTTTATTTAAGTTAGCCCAGATCAAAACAGCAGCTTCATAGAAAAATCCCACACTAGAAACCAGATCGGAAAAGTTCACTGCAAATTATATCCGAAAACAATGTATATTCCACAATATTGCATATCAAATCACAGTATATCATAAATAACATACTAACTTAAAAGTCAACTTGGGGCAATAATATAAACAGGCAGTATTTTAATTTGGCTGTGCCTGTAACAACAGAGAACTATTCTTCTAAGTTACAGGTGTGAAATTTTTCGATACGGCTGGGTGGAATTAATCCCACCAAAAATCGCGATGAATTGATTGGAAACTTATCACTTCAAATCACACCATTTTAACACCCAGTCTTGATAGATTAATTCGAATATAATTCGTGAAAAATATGTAGGAATCATGAAGGTATTACAGGTATTTATTTATACGAGTGATCGAGTAATATTCATGCAAAAATTACACATCAATCCGTTACAATAAGCCGTTACCATGCAAACTTTACATGGCTTTGAAGTTTTGCTATAAAAATTAAGGAAATATCATCCACGGTGGCAAATTTGCATCTGCACATTCAAATTTATTCAATTTTTGTTTATACTCTTTATATAGTTGAAAACCACAGGTTCTAATATAGCTATACCTCGGTTACAACACTACTACGGTCAAATTGTGTCAAATATTTTACTTGCTAATAAGATCTTTCCTTGATTGAAGCAAGAAATATTTAGTGAAATGCGAAAGTGGTACACGTGTCGGTGTCGAGATAAATACAAAGAAAACACTTTCAACTCAGACCTCATACATTTCACTGAGCTGTTTACAACAAAAAAATGTGGCAAAGCTTTTGTGGAAAGAATTTCCCTAACAGGAAATTCCAAATAATTTAAATGGCTCGTAAAACCCAGCACAAAATAAAAGGGCATTGTTTGGAGGTTCCGTAAAATTCATCCTATTAGGCGACGTAATATTCAAATAAGCAACACTTTTGGGGCTCATCTAATCTCAGATTTATATTCTGATTCACATTGTGCCAACGATACGATTTTTACAATGTTGTATAAGGATAAGATTCTCGAAGAAATATTTTTCAAAACCGTGTTGATTTCATTTAAAAAACGACGCGTTTTAAATTTCAAGTTCCCCCAAGGGCTAAAAGACAATAAATTGCAACTTCGGTCACAAGAACAGGATAAAAATCTCGTCCGTACTTTGGATAAAAAACGAACGGCTTGACTACAGAAGACAGCATAGAAGCAGGTCTTAAGGCATATTATTTTTATATTTCTTTCGGGCATTCAAAGTGTCATATGGTACGGGGTTGCGATCGGTCACAGTGCATATTTATTTATGTGCGAGAAAACGACACGTTGTCGAAAATAATTAGCAAACTCGTAGTCACGAATGAGAGTGGCATGAAATTGATAAACTATAAAAGTTTACAAAAATCACAAGACTTCGTTAAAAATAAAAATTGCAAAAGGGTATTTAAAAGAAAGTTAGGAATGGAATATATTCAAATAGCGATTAGATGGCTCAGATATTTTAATACCTGTGTAATGGTGCTCGCGCGAATAGCTTGCATCGAGCCAGAATAGCTAGTCGCTTTGGCCGGGCCAGGATTTCTCACAACGGGAACGTTTGAAACAGGCAATTCGGGAAATGCTTCATCGTATGTGGGAGTGTAGCCTTCAGTATCCAAATCCGTGTTGTTTTGATGGGAAAATTCAGCAGCGTCAGAGCTGCCGTTCGTTAAACCAATTCCGTTCATATTATTCACTTCGGGTTGGATATTCATTATTCTTTAGGTCCGTATTCCAGGCTATAATCTACAGTGCCACTGAGAGAAAAAAATAGCACTGTTAGGAATAGGATTCCCTGAACATTTGCTATTGAAAAATTAATAAAAATCGGTCATCAATTACACGTATTTACCGAGAATTTGAAATACATTGGCATCTATTCTATTTCATTCGAACGCTACCATGACTCTTATAGGCTTCAAAAAAAACATTGTTATTTTTGCTTCTAGTACAAACCTGACGCAAGGCCAATAGCAGCTGTTCCAGAAAGGCCAACCAACGTCAAAATTCGACTATAATAAATCCAGATCGACGATAGAGGCCGGTTAAATCTTCTTCTCTTCTTCGAATTCGATTCAAGACTCCATACTTCTTGTTCGACTGAATGTTACACAACTGCGTAGTAGAATTTATAATTGCGTCCCAATCTGACCGCGCTCGTAGCCAATCGCAGCGCAGCTAGAAAAGCTCCTGCAATCTGGCCAATCACAGCGCACTTTGGGGAAATACAGCTGAGCAAAGTGCAGCAATATATTGTAAAGATACACGTGTACAGAATACCAGCTTACCAGGAGGAGCCCAGAAAAAGCTACTTTCTGACATGCGCTTGGAAATTAAAAGATTAAAAACGCTTGTAGATAAAGCACAGCACACAGCCATTCAAATTTTAGGCAAGATATCCAATTTATCTACTATTTGGCTGCGGTAGTAACGGAAAAATACTATATTCCATAGTTAGGCACCGTTCACAAAATATGTGACACTAAGACAAATCATACCGCAGTGTGATTGACTAGAGTTGAAAGAGAATCTTTTGCACGAAAGACCGAAAATTATCGTGCAAATTTATTTTGGAATAATTCTCAGCTCGTGTCGGGTGACGTCCAAGTGACACCCCGGCCCCTCACTTCCTATGACACTCTTAAGCACCCCTCACCCCTCAGGACGTCACGTATTTTGTGGACGGCCCCATTGTCTCAGTTGCAAGGTACATCAAAAGGTATACCACAAGGTCTATATGTCAGTTACAAACGACAAAACTCGCCTATTTCAATATTTCAAAATACAGTCGTTTTTTTCTCTATTCTAATCTTCTTATTAATAAGGAAATAAACCTTTGCACCACTCTCTTCTTCGTTTATACATTTTATCAATCCAAACTCTCAGAGAGTTCTGGGTAAGAAAAAAAACGTTTATCATATTTAATTGTATGTCATGTAACGAGGTGTCGCACTAAATTTCGCGTAAGCCTTGATGACTTTATTTACAGCTTCGAGGAAATCTTTTTCGCTCGCAACCTAAATGAGAGAACGGGTGTGTTAACACGAGAACATAGTATCTACTACAATTGGACAAACGCTTCGAAAGAACCTGGTTTTGGAAAAGAATGGAATTGAGAATAGGCCAGAAAATTCTAAGTTTCTAAAGAATCCTTACCTTCCTTCTTGCTCGAATAGCGAACATACCAGCTTCCGTGCAGACACTTCGGATTTCAGCTCCTAAAACAAATTCGTAATTTATTACAGCAGGATTGTCCATGCTTCGTCATACCTCAAATGGTAATTTCTCAACATACCAGTGCTGTTTGGACAGAGTCTAGCCAGAAGTTCGAATCGAATGTCGCGTTCCACACTCATGGATCGCGCGTGGATCTTAAATATACTCGCTCGACCTTCTAAATCTGGAAGACTGAACTCTACTCGACGATCCAGACGACCCGGCCTCATTAGCGCAGGATCTAAAGTGTCGGGTCTGAAAAAGAGTAAAATGATAAAATACTTTGTAATAACATAGTAATGTACATACCACTAACCTATACTAGAGTATAATATAGGTCAGTGGTACATACACAGCATTCGTATTCGCTGCGCGAAATCATTACAAACCTGTTAGTAGCCATTAGTACTTTAATATTTCCCCTGGGATCAAAACCATCCAGTTGATTAATAAGTTCTAACATCGTTCTTTGAACCTCGTTGTCTCCTCCAGCACCATCATCAAACCTGGCACCTTGAAAGAAAAAACAAAATCGCCCAATGCTCGCTTGGGGTGTATTCAATATACCCAGGATCTTCCGTGGTTCAAGGCTTGCCTCCCTGCCAGATTTTGTTGTTGTTGACATTTTGTTCTTCTCAGCTAATTCTAGTCATCAACCAACAAACTAACGTACCTCCAATGGCATCAATCTCATCGAAAAAGATGATACAAGCTTTCTTGGTACGAGCCATTTCAAACAGCTCTCTAACCATACGGGCTCCCTGTAAAAAACGACATATGGAAATAAACCAACAAGCAATTCATTGAACCAACTGGATTCCTAGTTGATGATTTTTAGAAGTACGATAAATGAAAATTCTTAATTTTGCTAAGTAGATCAACCAATTTATTCACGCTGCAACTCATATTATTCCCTGGGGAAAACAGAAACCCCCTCCTCACCTCTCCAACATATTTCTGCACTAATTCAGAGCCAATGACTCGGATAAAGCAAGCATCTGTTCTATTGGCCACAGCTCTCGCACACAATGTTTTTCCTGTACCAGGTGGTCCAAACAATAGCACACCTTTCGGTGGTTCAATGCCCAAGTTCACAAATCTTTCCGGCTAAAACAAACAAGAAGAGTTTATATACAAGGTAATCGTTCTGATTTGAGTTCTTTATACATGTCTTACATGAAGCATGGGTGTTTCAACAACTTCACGTAGTTTTTCAATCTGTTCTTTACAGCCACCCACATCAGAGTAGGTCACATCAGGTTTTTCTTCTACCTATAGATTTGAAGAAACCATTTGAATTCAGGGATCAATTTACTAGGGCGATGCAGAGGGGTGGTGGTTGTACCTACCCCATGGCAAGCAGATGGTCTGCACCCCCCTCCCCAGTACGAAACCAAACTGGATCAGTGTTTGAATCGATTCTTTCAACTGTGTTAAACCTACCTGCATCATGGTAACAGTTGGATCTATTTTTGGTGGAAGAGGGATATGGATTTGATATTTGTTACGATCAACCCTAGATGCAATAAAATAAGCAAGAATCTTTAAAGAAAATCCTTTAACTGAGATACAGATAAGAGAGATCTTTAGGTATCACTTACCCAACTCTCATCCCTTCTTCTATATCTGTTGGAGCAACCTGGTCACCCAAATCAACAACAAATTTTGCAAACTGTTTGACATTTATTATATATTTAGCATCATCAGAATCGGCATTTATTATCTTTGTACATCGAGCAACCTGCAATAAAAATACACAGAAACACTCCGTAAGTCTCCAGGTTTAAAAAGGCTGCTTTTCTTTGAATATTTTATATTTGACCATTCTAGTTATGATACCTGAAGTGGTTGTTCACTGTGTAGAGCTTGCTTGTCGGCTGCTAAATCCCACAGAGCCGGAGGAGCAAGACCTGTATCAGACTCTTTGATACCTTGAAACAAGAAAACACACAGCGATCTACTTAATCCCCTATCTACTAAATATTCTGACATCTTTCAGGATTTAATTTAGCAGCAGGCAATACCAGTCAGTTCATTGACTTTCTTCAATGAATTCTTGATATCCTCCTCCACTTTCTTGATGGCTTTGCTATACGATCCAGCTCCCTAAAGGATATACTCTTTTTTAGTGTTTAGACTATCACAATCTGGTTTGGCATCCAGGAAACTCAGAGAGGAGAAATTAAGACAATTAATAGAATTTTATGACTCACATATGTTTTTAATAATTGAATGTCTCCTTCATCAAGAGCTATAATAAAATAAGAAAGAGCTATGATAACCTAGTGGAAACTGGCAATAGCTTTTTATCTCTCATCAAACCTCATGCCCCCTATCTATTCATATGACTTTGTTCCAATGTAGATGTGCAACTGGTGAGGAATTGTCAGATTAAGACAGTGAATGTTTGGGCAGGCAAATGGCAACCTTCTATCCTTGGTATATCATAACTACGCTTGCCCTTAGTTCACCCATACGGGATGGGTGGCAAGTTTTGCTATGATTACAAATTACAATCAAGAGAATGATAGTCCAACATGACAGTGTGGATTGCTTTGGAGAAATGTGGATAGGATTGACAAATGAGTAAATAGAAATTCGATTATAAATGGATCATGGAATAGACACTATACAGATCTAACATTATGTGATGTATACCACATCAACCACAGTATGTTATAGCATGACTATATACACATTATATTCATTATAGATACATATACAAATTACAAAGTCATGGTCATTGAATAGACTTGTCTCGCAATTCTATCACTGAATTTCAGGCTGATATATACCTTGAAACGGCTTTTCATCTTTATCACCATCCCCTTTAACTTTCCTTTGGTCTTTTCCTAAATAATCGGGCATATTGAAGCAGAAAGAGGAAACTTTTTAAAAAAGTTTTGAAAATTTGTGTATTTGAGAGTTCAAGATCTCGCGAGTCGCGGAGGTTTACCTACAAACAGCCTCGATCTCGTTCAGCCCGTTTAATGCGCGGGCAGACTTGCCACCGCCCTCGAAATCCGACAAGAACATCGAAGCTGACATCGTTGGTGTTTTAGCCAAAAAAAAGTAGAAAAATCGGCACCGGATTGTAGCGGTAAGTGTCCATTATGTATCTCCAAGTTCCGTCGAAGTATCTAATGTGCGCGATTTCTCCTACAACCACGAAAAGCACGTTTTATAGCGCCTTCAAACCAGAGCGTCGATAATTGATTTTAGTGTTTACATCTCTCGGTATAAAACAACGAGTCCGTTCAGATCTTTCCCACAAATTGAAAGCGATTTTCGCTTATATGTTTTCCCCATAAATTGTCATGAAGCTTATCTGGGTGTACGATCGGTTCGAGGTACCGAAATAACAATTTGAGGGGAAAATTTCTCTTGTTATATACCGGACTGTTCAGTATATATTATTTTTATATTCTTTACTGCGCGTTAACCGCAAATCGTGCGATATTTGACGGAAGTAACGTAGTTCAACGTATAGTTATAGATTTTAGAATTTATTAGCTTTTTAAAATACTTCATTGACGAAAATCACACCATTGCCAATTTTGAAACCGATAGATTCCCAAATTGCTCCAATATTTATATCATTGTATAGCATTTTATACTGAAATACCTCCAATATGAACTATTATATTTAAATACAAGTGTTCCAGAGTGTTCCTAATTCATAAACAGGGATTTCAATTCACAATAATTCAATTCGTACTTCAAAAATTGTCTTAATTTAGGACTTAAAAAATTTTTAGTTGTAAAAACGGAAGCCACTTCTCTTCTTGATTCAGCAAAATGCCGGATATGTATGTTAAAATATGTGCCATTTACCCTTTGAATAAAAGACGTCATTCATAAAAACACAAATGTGTATCTTGCAGCGTTTTATCAGATCTTTTTCAGCATACGTTTATCCCTTCTCTCGAATCCACATTTATATTAAACGTTCGGCAGCGCTCAAACGTAATGTTGATTTAAATAATCCTAAAGTATTTCAAAACTGTACCTTGTGTACCCACAACTCCACCACATAAAATTTAGAATATTTATTTAATTGGGTGGCCAGTTAATATTTCAACAAGGCTTATAAAGTTATGAGAAGGCACAGACATTTTAAGGTTTAAAAGATGTAGTTTTAAGTTGTAAAAATGGCATCTGTTCATGGTTGAAACATTGTTACAAGTCAGTAGGAAGTCTTGCACAATATATGGTTGCCAAGTCAGAACACAACAGTTTGCAATATTATTTAAAAGGTCGGCAATATCTGTCTATTTTGAGATTGGCTGCTCGTACATATATAAAGGGTTTTGTTGTGCTCCAAAGTGATTAGTTCACTTGTGGCACAGCTCGGACTAGGAGACCATCATTCTCTCGTGAAGACACTATGAACTTCAGTGTCACTATACAGAGGTGTATATGTAAATAAACCTAAACAGAAACATTATAAAAAGGAAAGCAAGATAAGATGTTTTTGTCTTACATACACATATATGACAACAGTAAAGTCAAAGAAGGAATATAAACCACCTTAGAGTAAGTGATAATACACTGAAAAAGAAGAAGCTATGAAAAGTCATTTAGAATAGTGTAAGAATATGATATATACATTACCTTTCTTTATATTTTCCAATTTCTGTGGATAACCTTATATACAGCATTTTTACTTCCTAGTTATTGTTTTATAGTCACACAATTTTACCTGTCATGTTGTATTGTCAAACAATTTTACTTGTCATGAAGAAGATGCTTTATCTCCTTTATTTAATTATTTTGCTTTGCCAGTCAAACACAAAGAGATACAGTAATACAAACACAATGCACAGGAATATTCACAAACTGACAATCATGCTTAATATTCTTTTTCCATTTGCAGATATTACAAAGCTATAGTGGTTGGTTAGTTAAAATATACCTTGAAAATGCAGACTATTAAGTGTGTTGTTGTTGGTGATGGTGCAGTTGGTAAAACCTGTCTATTAATCTCATACACAACCAATAAATTCCCAAGTGAATATGTTCCGACGGTGAGTGTATTTCTCATTTTGTAATGAAAACATTTGCTTGCATAACCTGACATGAAAGAAAGGGCTAATGGAGATATGTGTGTTTTTTTAGGTATTTGATAACTATGCTGTAACAGTGATGATAGGTGGTGAACCATATACTTTAGGCCTTTTTGATACTGCAGGTAAATAGATTATGCATTTTATTTGGATTAATATGTGCTTATAGCAAAGGTTATACAGTCTTTCCCTATTGAAACTGCTTATCTAAAATCCCTTGCTTCCTCAAACTGTTTACAAATATCATGTTACATAATTGCAAAGAGTTATCATGCTTAATTCAAAATATCTTTTTAAATTTCATAATTTGGCATCTTTTAGTTGTTGCATACTGTGAAAATGTCTTAAAAGTATCTATTTTTCATTGATTCAGTCAATTTACATAGTTATCACAAATTAATGAAGTAGATATCTAATTACCTGTCAATTAACAGGTGCTATCATAAAGAACCAGTTGTGAGCATTCTTATCTTATCTTTTTAGGTCAGGAGGATTATGACAGATTAAGACCTCTTTCCTATCCACAAACTGATGTTTTTCTTGTGTGCTTTTCTGTTGTCTCACCGGCTTCATTTGAAAATGTCAAAGAAAAGGTATGTGCAGTGTATTGTAGATGAGTTTATTTGTTTTGGCTGAAACATTACGTGTGACAGCTAGTGCTAACACGGAAACTCCCATTAATATTTGCACTAGTTTTATTCCAAATAGTAAGGGGGAAAGTAATAGGCAAAAATGGCCCTCCACAAGGCACAATGTCTCCTACAAAGGCTTGTATCACATGAAATCGTACTTTTAAACAAGGAAGTCTGGAAACGTCTGTAATCGTGCAAGTTTACAACTTTGCAACTCGTTGCACGCCTAAACTTATTCACTTGCATGTAAAAAGGTGTCATTTGTAAATTATGAATGTTCGCTTTTTTTTCCCAGTGGGTCCCGGAAATCACGCATCATTGCCCAAAAACGCCGTTCCTTCTCGTGGGCACGCAAGTTGATTTGCGCGACGACGCGACCACGATAGAAAAGCTCGCGAAGAATCGTCAAAAGCCGATCACCGTCGAGCAGGCGGAGAAACTCGCGCGTGAACTCCGCGCAGTGAAATACGTCGAGTGCTCGGCCTTGACACAGAAAGGCCTAAAGAATGTTTTCGATGAGGCGATTTTAGCGGCTTTAGAACCGCCTGAGCAACCCAAAAAGAAGAAATGCGTTATTTTGTAGAAGAAAATGGAATTGCCTGTTGGTGATAAGCATGATTCATACTGGCTGTTTTGGTTTGGCAATGCTAAACGAAAACTATAGAAACATGTACATTTACAGGACGATTGACATCTTAATTTAAGGCTATAATTCGGTTAATATTTTCTAAAATCTTATTATTTTGTATATCATTGTTTCTGCATATTGTGAGGACGGGAGCACGGAGTATGGTTTGTTGAAGGCTATGATCGCATACATCGTTTAAAATAACACTTGAAACCAGTGCTTTAAAATATGGACACATGACATGGATTTAAAAATTGTGAAAACAATGATCAGACGCGCGGCATTATAAGTTGATTTTGTGCATATACCAGTGCGTGAACATTTAATGATTTGGGCAAGTAAACAACATTCAGGTCTTACTTCTACTAACACTTTACGCGTATATAATTTCAGCCTAAAAGGCTTCTTAATATGCTAGTAATGTTTTTTTTGTGTGGAACCTGTGTTTCTAACGTTATAGGCAGACATGTAATATAGATTGTATTGTGAAGACTCTAGTTTACCGCATCAAGGTCTTGTATTGCTTGCTTGCCTGAAAATTTCGTTTGCAAATTGGCTCGGATATTTTTACCCGTTTTTTTGCCGTAATGGGCTGGTCCCATCGGCCAAATAAAATGGTATCAAAGCTAAAGACGGATTAAGAATTTGGGTTAGAAATTCGAGTTCAGTTTTTGTTATCATAAAAATGCTTATAAATAGTTTAAAGATTATATTTAACAGCACTCTGTCTTTTCACGTGCCGAAGGAACGGGTGAATGTTTGGATTTCTACAAAACACGGTGTCGGTGGTCATTTTGTCCGCTTTATGGAAGTAAATTACGAGTAAGACACTTCTTATATGACAAGATATTGTCTGTAATGATTTCTAGTATTGTTGTAAAAAAATAAGATTGTTAAAACTTTGTTACGTCTTTTCTTTCATTCACGCTGTTTTAAGTAGAGAAAGACTGCATGTCATATATCATATAGACCTGCTACACGGCTTTAAAACAACCCAACAATGTTCAGCGTATAACGAAATCTACCCGTTTTCGGGCGTGGCTTGCCCAGGGCTTTCACATGGCTGAACCGTAATTCTCTGAGAAGGCACAGAATATCAACATGTATATTTTCTTCTCATGAATGACGTCCCATTCCGCTTTATATTACCTTTTGTCATCGCTGAAAATTAATTGGAACTTTCCGAGATTTTCCAATGGAGTTACTTTCTCCCTCTTCTTGCTTTTTTCAAACACTTCTAAAACCAACTCTGTGAAATAACACAAGGGAATTGATTCACGGTTACAGCTATTCAAACGAGCCACGGAAAGAACAACTTTGTTTCACGTAACTGGCTTGACAGTTTGTACTCTCTTGTTATTCAAGACATATCCTCGATCGACAATACTTACTTAAAGTAGAATCGACCAGCTCCGGAATGACATCGGATAAAATTTTGCAATTCGTGTGTAACGCTGGATTAACATTGATCTCGATCAGCCATACCTAAACGAGAAGTAGATGCATTTGTTAAAATAATTTGAAATGCGATCACAAACCGAAATTCCAAAACAATGATAATTTATATGGCTGGAATTCAGGAGACGCATCACCATGCTACTAGTAGATCACCATGCAGTCGCATCACCATGCAGTACTGGATTGAACCCTAAATAAACTTTTACCTTCAAGTCTTCATCGAGCATGAAGTCAAAGCCAAGCAAATCAAAATATCCCAATTTCCTTTCGAGTTTGTAGCGCACGCTCTGGAAACAATGCAGCATAATCTCTTGCATTCGTTTCTACAGATGATAAAACAAGACATATCTTGAAAGAGCGCCATGAAAATATCGTTAGGATACGATAACGTTCACTAAAAACTGTATATAAAGACGTCTTTCGTATACAACTTCTTCGCCAATCTCTTGAAATTCAATCCTACCGTGAAAGAAGTCGCCATCCAGTCAGAAGGTAACGCGTTGTTACTGCTTTTACTAACATATTCTTGAAGTTGCTCCAGACTCCAAACTGTCTCTTCTTTCACTTGTTCGTACAAAGGATGTTTTTTTTGGATGTACTAAAATATCATCAACGATATCATTCAAATACGAAATAATTTTCCCAACCCATATACATATGATGAGCTTTCTCTAAAGCTTAATGTGACACCCCCTCCCCACAGTAGTGGCGGCGGGTACTCGACCCCTACCTGATTGGTAAGGTGCGCATGTACTTCTTCCTGGTTCAAACTGTACGGCACGAGAGACAATCGTACGTAGCCCGGATAATAGAAAACCATATAAGGTGATGTGCCTGCGATCAACATGTAGGTGCGGATGTCAGCTTTGTATCCGTTAAGTAAGAAAGGATTAAGGATGTATCTGTAATGAATTTAAAGCCATGTAGTTCACTTCATTGAGATAAGAACGATAAGATTGATTGATTTTTTTATATGTATTACTTTATAATGATGCTTTTCTTTACTTGAATGGTGATAGATACCTTTGCACAACTCTGCCAGGAGATGGGAAACATCTCTGGCGACCTTGGTTGTTTACCAAAGGCCCAAGTTTTTCCAATAGTTCATCTCGATTCCGAATCAGGAAAATTCCCTTCCCTTGATTCATCCCAGTTGGTTTGCATATCCATATTTCACCGTCTAAAACGCCATAACATTGTCTGTATTAATACAATCTTTGCTTTCATTATGGCAAATACGAAGATTTGGTCTAGTGTTGGCATTGTGCTGCTTCGTAACTGGTATTGAGCATATGCTGCGTTTTCTTATGCATCAAAATATTAAAAAACTCGTCTACCTTGGTAAATGTGCTGAATGAAGTTATTTATTTCCGTTTGATTTTGAAGTTTGAAAGTCTCCGGTACAAAATCTTTCATCTGAATTGCTCTGGAAGAATATTTCGATAAATATTTTATTGCATGAAAGTCGCCGTTTGGCAAAAGCCCGCGATAGCAAAATAAATGATTTCTTTTGCTTTGCTACCTTCTGCTGGGAGATTGTATTTTGCTGTTCACCCTTTCAAACTCTTGTAAACTTGTCAGTAATCCGATTTTAGTTGTGAGAACGTTACCATTGGGGATGTGGTTCACCAGTTGCTCACCTTCAATTAAGAGATATAAAATAAAACGCAATGTCGGCAAAATGTCAGCCTGTCTTGTAAAGATATTCACAATTATATTTACAAACCTTCTCTAAAGCTTAAGAAATCTAAATTTCTTTTGCATTCCACCCATTTGAGGTAAAACGTCTGATCGTGCTTATCATAAATTCGATTCCAACCAAGTGAAGATAGCGTTGCTTCAACCCTGAAATAAAAGATATTTATAAAAACGACTTCATTGCCATGGAGCAAAAATGAATCATTTCCAGCGTTTTTGAATCCGTCGACTTGCCAGGTGTTAGAGACTTACATTTTTGCTCCGTTGTGACCACCAATAAAAAACGTTGGGGCCTTTTGATGTAAACTCGTTGAGGATGGGCTTGGTCTGCAAAATGGTTTTGAAGGATCTCTCGGATTGTTCGTCTGATCATCATCGTTGTTGCCTCTTCTTCTTGTCCCGCCTGGGTGAGTCAATGTTAGAACTTTGTTTTCAGACAAATTGTTTTCTCAACGAACTTTCAATGAATTTCTGACAAGTTTTAATTTATAAGTTGCTCCAGAAAGTCGAAAAAAGACTGTGACGAAGGATGCGCCCTATTGAAAGATAAGGATCATTGTTTACCTCTTTCTCTTTTGTTGACGGAGTTTTTCATCAATCCCTGCTTCCTTGCACCGCCTCCTTCGGCTCCGCCTCCAGAGTTAGGACGAGTTGTAACCTCAGTTACTTCAACATTGATATTATCCAATGACAAAGATGTATTTACATAATCTACTTCTGAATTTGTATTGTATCCATTCTCATTATTACTTTCTAACGGACAACTACCATTCAAAACCTGTACTTGTTCCGATGCCTTGTCTTCTACCGAAGGATCGACATCGGATGTACAAAGGCTACAAAAACAAGTGAGACATGTATTATCAGAAAAGATATCCTCTTTTACAGCGCTATCTTCTTCATCAATATCACAATGTTCTGTTTTTATATCAATAAGGTCTTTTTTAAAATCGATTATTTTGCCTTCCATTTTATCTTTTTGATCGTTTGAGCGGACATCCTGGACCCATCCTGTTTTCGCTTCTTCATTGCCTTGATAACGATTTTCTGTTTTGCTTTTCACAAAATCCTCTTCGTCATTGTCGTTTACTTGCTCATCTTCAGAAACGTTTCTCCCCAAAACATTTCCCGCCGTCTCATCCAAGCCTTCATTTTCTTTAAAACTTTCCTCTTCACCCAAATCATCAGCTCGTTCGTTAGATTGCGGCGTTGAAAATATAGATTTTTTTAGTCCAGATCGAGCCGAAGTTCTCCAACGATGTTGTGAACAAAAGCTAACGGGAATAAAATAAATATAGGTGCAAAGCCTGTCAGTTTTGACAGTCTTGTCCATTGGCAAACTAGTTTATAGAAGTGATTGAGCTTTCCAATAAAAGTGCAATTTTTTATATCTCACCTTTTGCATGTACCTCTCAACCACGTGTCAATAGACTTGAAATGATACACCATGTTATAGTAACTCTTTGATACATACTGATACGAATCGTGAATCTGTACCCTAGTTAAAACTGAATCAGTTGCAATCAAATGCTAATGACAATAATTGAGATGTCCAGCATTTCAACTTACTTTCCTTTCTGCCATCTCGCCCCGATTGTCTTCTCTCCATCACCAGCCCAGATCTCAACATGAACCATGTTATGCTTTTGTTTACGTTCTAGGATACACAGTATTGTTTCTAAGATGTAGTAATTCATGCTAGTCGGATACACCTGGTACGAACTTATATCAAGGTAATTCGGTGTTAAAAACAAGCTTACTTTTGGGATTAAAGAAAACACCAGATACAAAAACCAAATCTCCCGGTTTCATTTCTTTAACATTTTCAATTGTACCCGGCAGAGTATCGAACTAAAATGTACGACAGAGAATTAGATTTATCATATATTTCAAGGACAAAAGAACACAGCAGCTGTACCATGTAGGCTTGATTCCAAGGCCCAATAAAAAATCCAAAATCTTCCTTCAAGTCACGAAGCACTTTACGCACAAGTCCACAGCAATCAAGGAACAGTGGAGCATCGTATTCTGGACCTGAGAATGTTACATGTTTGAAGACATAAGACTTTCTCCACACCATAGTGAACAATATTGAATATATGGCAGAGGTAGAGGGTGGGCGGGTCATTTGAAAATGGGTGTGGTCATTCTAAAACTATGAACTATGAACTATGAACTTATACCCCATACATACTGCCTGGTTCATGGTATCGCCTGGCATAAGGTACTCCAAAGTAGGACTTTGCTTGCTCAACAAACTTTTTTCTCAGTTGATCCATTTGTTCTGTCGTTCTCACATTTTGCTTTGATCTGTCTTCTGATACCGCATATTGCTTCAGCTTATTCTAGTAACACCAGTATGAATATTCAGTCAAAAACTACTAAAGGTGTTATACTCGCTTAGGCCATCTGAAATGAAATCCCTTTCCATCATGATACAATTGGGTGATCAGAATTTGACCTCAGTCAAAAGTAAATCTTCCAACACTCCACCTCAAACTCTAAAGTTTTGCACTGTAGTGATGAAGAAAGATCATTAGAGGATTGCTTACCCGTCTATTTCTTTTAAATTTCAAAAAGGCACTTTGGAGTGTCTCAACTGTTTCCTTCCTTTCTTCCATTACAATCGTTTCACAGACCTTTTCTCGTGCATTAGAGACATCGTTTGGATTTTCACAAAATTTATCCTGTGATTCTTGTAAAGGATCCATTTTATTTCCTTTTTGGAGCTCGCAAGTGTAACTCCCGTTATGTAAAACCATGCTTTCTTAGGAAAGATACTTCTACGAAACTTTTATAATCATAACAAAACAACCATGCGATATTGTGTATTTGTTTACCTTTATAAAAGCTTTTATATTGAATTTGGCGTTAGGTTGCCCTAACAACGACCATAATAAACCGTTCAAATTTTATTAAATATTAACAGAACATCATACAATACTTCAGTAGACATTCATAATACCGTTCTTCTCTCTGATCTTTTTCACGAAATCGATAAAATTATGAATTTTCAGTGTCAAAAGTTATTACAACGATGTTTACATTTCTATGTAAATGTATTTTAAACATGGCCCTCGCGCAAAAAAGCCAGCGGTTGCAGCGAAAATGTAGCAAATTCTCGTCTCTGATTGGCTGATTTTCAAACGTTTAAATTTGAATTTGTAAATTTTGAGTAATTGTCTATTGATGCATTTCAGTTACATGTCTGTTTACAAGAGGTTTTCTGTTTGAAATAAGCAAATAAAAAGTTCTGTAACCAGCGAAGTTGTCTTAAAATGGGATTAACCGAAAGCAAAGTGCCTTTCGAAGAAGATGCGGGTTCAGAAACACCGAAAACGGAGAAGGAAATCGGCGTTTGTGCAATGTGGGATCCACGATCGCCCAGCAATGATTTCGAGAGGACACCGGTTTTTGATCGGATTGAAAGAGTAAAAATACGCGATCAAGAAGACATTGGTGCCGTCGTTGGGGACCCTAGATCTCCCTCAAATGAAATAACACGTACTCCGGTCACTGATGAAAATAAAAAGTCGTCAACTGACAATATTTACAGCGAACTCCGAGCACAATTGGAAAGGTTACAAATCTATGATGGCAGCGGCATTCACAATACAACAGCAAGCAGTGAGAATCTGGGCAATGATTCAGAGGTAGGTTTAGCATTCAAGCCAAATCTACAATCAGATTGGAGTTTCATCGCAAAATATAAATTCCTACTAAAGTGCAATATATTTGTGACCAAATGTATGTTAATTTACATGCCAGTCAACACGACCCCTGGTTATCAGTTCCATGTGCATGCTCCCTTCCACCACAAAGGGTATCTTCCTTCCCTGCTCAGCTACGTGTGAAGAGTATGTCAAACTAACATTTACAAGAGTATTTTGCAAATTTAAAACTTCACTTGCAGAGTATTAATGCTGTGGCTCAACAGAAATCCGTTTTGAAATTACTGGACGAAGAATCGTCGCCGAAGAACACTGATTCACTCTGCAGTCTACCCAGCACACCTCCTTGCCCTAAATCCCGTAGCACACCAAGACAGTTGACCCCTAACTCCCCCGACACCCCAGGCAGCGCCTTCAGGGGGGAAACAGACGAGCTCATCAAAAGAAGAAAGCCTTTGTCAAAGAAACAACGCAGCTCCCAGAATGAAGATAAACTCCAGAGAAAGGTGTTGAAAAAAGCGTTGTTAGGCGAGCAAGCGACACGCTCACCTCTTGGCGAGAGGAATGGACCAGTAGTGAAAGATGGAAGAGCAGGCGTGAATGGCAAGATGAAAAACAAGTCCAATGCGTTCGTCAAGTATCGAAAATATAATAGTCTAGATGAATCGTTCAATGATAGTTTTTCTGGAAAGGAAAACGAACAGATTAATGTATGGTAGATTTTAAAATAGTCACTGAGGGAATATATTATACCGTGTCAAATGGTGACGCTGACGCGACACAACTCGAATCCAGGCCCTGTTACACTATCAGTCTAATCAGGTCCCTGTTCGAATTATGGAACTTAAAAAAGCTAATGTTTATATAAAAAAATGGCTATAAAAAATTGTAGTGTGAACAGAGCTTTTATAATCACTAGCCAATATCGCATAGTCATGATCAATGTATATATAACTACGAGCTGTGATGAATATTCTAAAATGTACAAATTATATCTATATATTTTATAGATAATTAGTATACACAATATATTAAGATCTCGATTTTCTCATCTAACAGAGTTTGACCTTGGTTATCGTGTTTATTTAGATATAACATTGGAAACATAATAGTGAAAAAGTACATAGTATGCGGCAAATTTTTAGGTAACATGGATACCACGGAGTCGGAGTTCCGGAGCCGGAGTTTCGGAGTCAAAATTACGGAGTCTGACGTAATAATATTGGAGTCTGTTAAAAATATGGAAAACACGGAGTATAAATGTTTGGAAGTCTGCCAAGCTCAGTGGTCAATGACTCAACGTGACTTATGCAAATTTGATAGCGTTTTTAAACAACATGGCGTCAAATTCGCGTAACGTTTTTGCTATTCCGCAAATGGTAAATAAACGACCGAAAAACTTATCCTTAAATATAAATAATATTCCTCAATTTAAATGGGTTAGTATAGACTTATGAGCGATCCTTCATTTATGAATATATGTATAATTTACGTTGACTCCGTGTTTTCCAAACATTTATACTCCGTGTTTTCCATGTTTTTGGCAGACTACGTGTTTTCTCAGCCTGGTGTTTTCCATAATTTTTGACTCCGTGTTTTCCAATATTATTACGTAATTTTGACTCCGGCTCCGGAATTCCGACTCCGGAATTCCGACTCCGTGTTATCCATGTTGTGATGTGGCAACGTTGAATCAAAGCTAGATATTTATTTCACCCGCTCCTAATAAAGTCATCCTATTGGCTGAACACTCCCGGCCTGACAGCTCAACATTGCTTCTGATTGGACGAGCATAGTGATTTGAATAATATGATTAATTCTTTCCTTTCATTTCTGATGTCCAGGCTCAGGAGAAGAGAATTAATCATATTATTTAAATTACTATGAACATCCAATCAGAAGCGTTGTTGAGCTGTCAGGTCGGGAGTGTTCATCCAATAGGAGGCTTTATTTTGCAGACACGAGGAGCGGGTGAAATGAATATGTGCTTTTGATTCCAGTTTGAGACATCACTTCAGCGCTGGTCTTCGAAGAATAAAGATGAGTCTCCTCCATGCCAAGAAAATTTCAACAAAAATTTCTATCAGATTGCTATCGTCTTCAGCAGAAGAGAAGTTTAATAGAAGTTTACTATCTCTGACAGACTGTCGTTGGTGCATGTAATACCAGGTAATATGCCTTTCCCTTTGCGTGTTTTATCAGCTTGCTTCATCGTGAGCTTTTGGGCTGAAGTTCCACGTGTCTTTAGTTCACGTCTTGTAATGCCTTTCTCGTAGTGTTCTTGTTGTGTTCGCTTTGAATACAAACTTGTATAACACTAACGTTGCTTTTTATTCTTTTCATGCAGAATTTTGACGAATTAAAGCGAAGTTAAACGATGAAATTTGTGAACAACAGATTGACGACCGATGAATGGTGGCTGAACTGGCTCAAGATAACTCGCCTTTGAAGAGAAAGCACGTCCAGGCTTTTTCTGGGGAATATTGATGATATAAGAAAGGTAATATACGCTAAATCTGACCGTCGAGGCGCTAACCTTCCCTCTAACCTCACGCAAATTACGTTTGAATTGAGTTCTAAAGACCTCAGCAGTGAACTAATGGTGCCTTTTATTCTTCCAGGTGGAGTTTGAGAGCTTTAAACCAAACTGAATGAGAGTGAAGTGGGCAAGAAGTCCGTTACGTAGCTGAAATTGCCCGAGACGACTCGCATTTGACTCAAGATAACTCGCCTTTGAAGAGAAAGCACGTCTACGCATTTTCTTGGGACTTGTTGATGATATGAGAAAGGTAATATACGCTAAATCGTATGTGAGCCGCTAACCTTTGCTCCAATCGCAAGCAATTACCTTTGAATTGAGTTGTAAAGACCAAACCAGTAAACTAAATTTGCCTTTTGTTCTTCCAGGTAGAGTTTAAAAGCTAAAACCAAACCGAATACAGAAATGAGGGAAAGAAAACCCATTGATGAAATTCCCCGAGATGACTCGCATTTAAAGAGACAGCAAGTCTAAAGCTGCTCTTCAACACTTGTTGCTAAAATGAACAGGTAATTTTGGGTCTATTTTATTCAAAATAGGATGGGAAAACTTGAAACGCTTGATCAGGCATCATACGTTCTCTCAACTGAATAGTCACCGCACGTTTTCTCCCGATATTTGAGTTCCCTTCATCGAAGGTAAATCCTTGAAATCGCTGTCTATAACAAGCATTCCTTTGGTTTTATTGCAGGTAGCGATTTAGCGGGTCAAGCCATTTGAAACGACGACAAAACCTGTTCATAACAAAACGTGAGTATTAAGCAATTAAACATTTTTAGATAAACCGAACAATAGTGAGTTTATGATTCAGGTCAAGAACGACAACGCTCGCATGCATGATAATTGAATATAAATATTAATAATGGCAAGAAAGGAAATATTTGAAATCCCAGAGGGGTTTTATAGATGTTGTTTTTACAATCCCGATTTTACGCGTGTTTCTGAATAAAAAGAAATAGTTTGCTTATTTCTGTAATCTTTTTTCAGGTTGATGAGTAACAGCCAAAACGACGGCAAACCACGCCTATAATGTAGGGCACCTCGACGGCAAATCTACGCTTAATGTAGGCAACCTCGACGGCAAATCTACGCGCCTAATGTAGGCAACCTCGACGGCAAATCTACGCCTAATGTAGGCAACCTCGACGGCACTCTACGCCTAATGTAGGCAACCTCGACGGCAAATCTACGCCTAATGTAGGCAACTTCGACGGCAAATCTACGCCTAATGTAGGCAACCTCGACGGCAAATCTACGCCTAATGTAGGCAACCTCGACGGCACTACGCCCAATGTAGGCAACCTCGACGGCACTCTACGCCTAATGTAGGCAACCTCGACGGCACTCTACGCCTAATGTAGGCAACCTCGACGGCACTCTACGCCTAATGTAGGCAACCTCGACGGCACTCTACGCCTAATGTAGGCAACCTCGACGGCACTCTACGCCTAATGTAGGCAACCTCGACGGCAAATCTACGCCTAATGTAGGCAACTTCGACGGCAAATCTACGCCTAATGTAGGCAACCTCGACGGCAAATCTACGCCTAATGTAGGCAACCTCGACGGCACTCTACGCCTAATGTAGGCAACCTCGACGGCACTCTACGCCTAATGTAGGCAACCTCGACGGCACTCTACGCCTAATGTAGGCAACCTCGACGGCACTCTACGCCTAATGTAGGCAACCTCGACGGCAAATCTACGCCTAATGTAGGCAACTTCGACGGCACTCTACGCCTAATGTAGGCAACCTCGACGGCACTCTACGCCTAATGTAGGCAACCTCGACGGCACTCTACGCCTAATGTAGGCAACCTCGACGCCAAATCTACGCCAAATCGACGCCAAACAGCAACGCATCAGCGATGCCCGAGCATCGACAGGTTAGAGTAGCCTGGTGGTCAAAAAATGTGCATGCAGGGGTTAGTCTGTGCATGATTAACTTAACGAAGTTAACTAATTTAGTTAACGAACTTAAGTTAAATAAAGTTTTAAATTCAGTTAACTAAGTTCTGGCCACCAGGAACATAGCTAATGCATGATGCATGTGAGAAAACGTTTCTTAAATTCGGTTAAATATTTGAATCGGTTTTGCGCTTAGGACTGCTCGCTTGTGCTTAGCGCTGCGCTAAAGTTTAGGTTGATAATTTGTTTGTTATATAAACCTTGAAAACATATCACAACTGTTATATATACCCATATTTCACCTAAGAAATGGCTAAAAAGCCATGCACACTAACACAAACCATAGCCACAAATGGCAGACATAATCCCGTAGGTTCTTTCCTCTTTCTCTATCTTGTCCTGATTGAAATCATCTTCGGCTCTTGAAATCCGGTCAATTGCGGCTTTCGGAATTACCATTGTAAAATGATAACTAAAGGGTCACTATTCGGTCTGGTTGTAAAATTATTTTTATGTAAATACGTTTTTGATTTCTCAGCAAACATTGTAAATATACGATTATATCTTGCCTTACTATATTTGAACATATAATATTGTGTATGTATTTATGAAAAAACATGATTTATATCAAAATATGAACAGATACAAAACATCATGCACTATACCTCATAATCTCGTAGCTGCACATAAAATAGACACGCACACGAGTAAATACATTGATGCAAACCATGGCCTATATAATGGCCTCTAGTTTATATCTCTCTTATCTCTTGCATTCACTTAAGGCTACAGTTAAGATTCAAGCCAGAAACATTGATTTTACGGCATGTCTTATACTGTCTTGCTATTCTGAAATACATGAATTTATGCAATCAAAGTTAACACACACATGCTCTCAATGAATTTAAATTTACTTAAAAGAAAATAAGGAATGGGTGGGGGGTGCATGCTGTTATCTTGAAACGATATATATGCCTTATTTCTACTATAGTTAGAAACCAATTACGAGACAAACATTGGCAGTGGCATTGTAACTTTATTATTTTTCCAAGGTCTCTGTGAGATTTCCAATCATTTAGCTTCGTCGGGCAGTGCTTATGAAAAGTAAGGCGCCACTTTTTGTCTGTACTGTTTGACTTTGCTATGTGGTTCGAAGTGTTAGCAGGTATCTTGGGATATCTAATAACGTTGCAGTGTTATTTTCATTGCTGTTTCTATAAGAGCAGCTTGCTTTGGCTATATGCCTTAGCTCTAAAAGTTTTTAAACCAGATTTTTAAAGAAAAAAATGTACTCCTGTGGCTGTTTCTATAAGAGCAGCTTGCTTTGGCTATATGCCTTGGCTTTGAAAGTATTAGTCCAGTTTCTCTGAAAAAAAAATTGTACTCTTGGTGCTGTTTCTATAAGGGCAGCTTGCTTTGGGAATGATATCCCCCTTGCATGGTTCAAAAAATGTTGACTGAATTTTTTGAAAAAAAAAATTTACACTTAATGCTGCACTTGGTTTCGACAGTTTGTTGCTTTGGCTATATGCCTCAGCCTCAAAAATATAAAGTCAATTTTTTGTGGTATTTTTTTCCAAACTTTGTTTCTACAAGGGCAGCATGCTCTGGCTATATGCCTCAGCTCTGAAATGTGCAATGAAGTTTTCAAGGACAATTGTGTATGCTTTCATGCTGTTTCTATAAGGGCTCATGAAATATCTTCAAGTTAACTCGATCCTTGAAATATGCATGTGTGCACAGTTTGACAGCTTAAAACGAAACTATTAGGAACACTGCCTATGATTTGTCAGCAGAATAATTTTAGTTTTTGGACGAACGTAACTTGAATCTAAGCGCTCTGAACTCAGGAATTTTTATGTTTCACTATATTAGTTCGTCGATCTCATAAGCTTTATTCAGCTCTCTCTACCAGAGTTAGTGGGTTAAGTCTATAATAGAACAAAAAAACTGAATACACGATAACTTATAACTTAGAAACACTTATACTCATATTAATGCATGTTTTACTGATCAGTCTTAAACATTACTCAAACACAATAGCACACTGTAAAAAGACATGAACAATTTATACTAAAGTATGCCAAATTAGCATATAACCTGCACTGTTCTGTAAATTCAAATGTCAAGATCTTAAACGCACCTACTTTGTAACCGGAGTTTTTGATATAATAGTTTAATGTCTTCGTATATTAATGTACTTATGTATAAGGAAAACACACACGCTTTGTAATACATGTTTAGTGAAGTATTAATAAAAATAGGACCAAAATTGTCCGTTTCCTCTCTCTTGATTTCAATATCTTAAACACACACACACTTTGTTGTAATACATGACTTTGTTTTAATAAAATCTCAAACTTGTGTACTTTGTGTTTAATTCCGGCTTTCGGTGAGGGTTTTTCTCCAGGCACTCTGGTTTCCCTCGTAAAAAAACAGTGTCCGTGTGTTCGGAACCGTGTTTACGGTTGGTTTTCCATACGAAAATTGAACTTCTCACGAGTAAAATTGCATGAAAGCTAAACATTTCTGTTGACAATTTATATCCGCATGATTGGCATGTCTCGTTATACTCGATAAAAAGTTTAGAATATTTTCGCAACCCAGTAGACTTTAATGTCTGACGTAAACGCCCTCAGAATAGAAAACATAATGGTCTAATGGAAGCTGACTTGTACACACGGTTACTGGGTTCAATTCCCGGAACACTGTTCTTTGTCGCGATGAACTTCACGTTCTTCAATTACAGCATGCAAAGCTAAGCTTCGTCTTTAGACTATAATTTTACTTGACGAGTTGTTGATGAGCACTTTACTGATTTTGAAAGACGTGATACAGCCAAATTGAAATGGAATACTTCCTCATCATGGTGCTTATAAAAGAACGACCACATTCGCCAGATACGTGACTTTAAACGTGGAATAAGTGTTCTTCAAGACTTCAAGATGTTCTCTTAATCACCACCTCATCCGTATCATTTGATTAAAGGTCACAAGATTAAGACGAGATAGTTGAATATCAATGAGAACGAAGAGACAATCCGATTGGCTATAAAGTGATGCTGAAGATTCCTTAGCGACAAAATGATGCGAGCTTGTTAAATCCTTACCTTACCTACTGCACCTACTTTGAAGGGGCTTCCTTTTAGAACCAGCGCCTGATGCACTGAGATTACATTTTAACTTTATTAAATGAATATTCTTTTTAGTCCGTTTTGTCAGATCAAATTTTGTTTTAATTTATGTTGTCAACTATGACCGCAGGAAAACTGGACGATAATTGTGATTATTTATACTGATGATATTTTTACTGTTATATGGCATCTTATTTTCTTATGTTCACGATCTCCGTTGCTACCATGCTAGTCTTCCTGGACGAAATCTGTCATGCAGCCCAAGTTAATTCTGAAGAAGATATTAATTTTAATTTTTAAAAAAGCTTGAGGCGAATATTTGTTATCAACTAGTTCGTTACAAACTTTTCTTTCAAAGGCTTTGCTTTGTAGTTTTTTTAAAAAACATTTTAATGCTGTTGTTTTCTTTGATTTGGGTGCCCTAAGGGAATGTTCTTGTTGGGTATAGATTTAAAAATGCTGTCGATAAAAGGTAAAAGAAAATCGTAATTTGGCAAGGTGAGCATATTACTGTTGAAAAAGAATAGCCCGGTTTGATAAAGGTGTAAGTGTTCATGTACTGACATTACAAATTAATACATGGAAATACCTGCCAGATTTTTTCAGTATCAATCGACATTTTGGTTTCATTTTGTTAGCTATTCTATCTAGTTTTAAGAATATAAAAAGGCAACTGAATTCTTTCTTTCGTCTGGCCTAAGACATAGACTTTTCCCTATAGCTTTATTCTGACTTACGCTGCATGCATGGTCACGTATTCTCGTACAAGTTTGAACGGTTTAATCTTTAAGATCAAATCATCAACATTCAATATCTCCCCGCTTTAATAAATATATACCTTCTGGAAACCTCGTTAGTCGTTACCACGCGTTAGCTTTCTTCCCGTAATAACACTGCATGGCGTAGATGATCCGTAAGTGCTTTGACCTGCTGCAGTTCAACAATGCTTCTGAATAAACGATCAGAATTCCAATAATACGACAATTTCTTCTAAGCCGGGAAAGGTTTTAATCAGAAATGAAACCATTTAAAATTTTAAAGGCTTTTGCATATGAGCATGTTGGTAAAAATTTTGAACAAAATAACCTATAATAATGCAATGGTTATTATATAGCAACTCGACCGAGAATACTTCGCGCAAAGATTAAAAATATGCCTGTTAGTTAACGGTTTTAAATGTACTTTCACATAAAGGCAGTTTACAGAAATACATAAATTCCACACAAAATATCGGTCGCTTATGGCTAGGCTAAATATTATAGCGTCATATTTGACGACGTCATCTTTTGTCTTTCGGATGAACGTCCTCGTTTAGTTGCACCCGGGGGGAGGTAGATATATATTAATGGACGCGGACCACAGCTGGCGCAAAGGGTGAGAAACGTGATGTGCTTCTTGCCTCGCTGAAAGGCATCCTGTTCCAGTCGTCCTGAAAGAATCGTAACGTTTTGAAGTATTAAAAAAAATTCCTGTTCTTGCGCGCCCCCATGTCTATGGGGGACATAAACTATTACTGCATGTGGTATAAAAAATTAGTATAGACTTATGAGCGATCCTTCATTTATGAATATACAGGGCCGTGCGCCGCTAGGAGAGTCCGAGAAAATTTTGAAATATATATAGGCCTCTAAAATGGCCGCAAATGCCTCTCGATTTAAGGATTATTGGGAAATAGTAGATACTTTGTGAAGTTTCCAGATACTTTGTGAAGTTTCCATAACCATGCTTTGGTTATGATGTCAAATATTTTGATATGGATAACCACGCTGTTTTAATGGTCAAATGCTTGTCCTAAAAAAGTTGCAAGCATGTTTGGCGCTCATATACAAACATTAAACAATATAACCATGCTTTGGTTATGATGTCAAATATTTTGACATGGATAACCACGCTGTTTTAATGGTCAAATTCTTGTCCTATGCGGTAAAGTTGCAAGCATGTTTCGTGCTCATATACAAACATTAAATAATATAACCATGCTTTGGTTATGATGTAAATATTTTGATATGGATAACCACGCTGTTTTAATGGTCAAATGCTTGTCCTATATGTAAAGTTGCAAGCATGTTTCGTGCTCATATGCAAACATTAAACAATATAACCATGCATGCTTTAGTTATGATGTAAAATATTTTGACATGGATAACCACGCTGTTTTTAATGGTCAAGTGCTTGTCCTTTTTGTCTCTGTTTTTTTATTTTGGCCAAATATATGTACTGAATATAATTAATTTCAATCCATTTGTAAACATGGCGGATTTATTACGACAGATATCGTTGGAAATTAGAATACTCATTATTAAAATATACGTTGAAGAAATAGAATTTACGATAGTATTCAAGATAAGATACACTGCATATACTTGTAAGCAAAAAATACAATTGCTAAAAATATTGCTTGTAAATTTGAGCGAACTAAAAAATATTCGAAATTAAAGACTAATTACGGAAAAATTATTGGTGGGGCTAAAGCCCAGCGACCTGATATATGTATAATTTACGTTGACTCCGTGTTTTCCAAACATTTATACTCCGTGTTTTCCATGTTTTTGGCAGAATACGTGTTTTCCATAATTTTTGACTCCGTGTTTTCCAATATTATTACGTCAGACTCCGTAATTTTGACTCCGGAACTACGGCTCCGGAACTCCGACTCCGTGTTATCCATGTTACCAAATTTTTATATTAATCGTGTCTTTATGAAATATATATTTATTGAGTTGCGTTCTTAATATGACTCAAATCAGTACAGTCTCTTCTTTTAAAATCGATTGCCTCTAGGGCAATACATATTCGACAAGAGACCACATTTCTAATTTTTCGTATGTGGCATGTGTCTTTCTCTGCATGGAAACAGATTAGGAATTGGGCAGAGTGACCATTTTCGTTTTAAATTCATTTGTTTGCTCAGTTGGTATGATTACTATAAGACGAAATCTGATATAATATGGCAACTCCAACATTCACGACATATGTAGCTATAGTTACCTGGGCATAATGTACTTGTAGTATTTGAATTCCGGTAAAAATGTTAAATCTCAATGATAATGGCACAACATATAAATTGCAATAACATAATGATATACACTACGTAATGGTTACCCAGCTTTGCTTCCGCCTATTACCAAATAGGTCAATTCCTCATCGCGACTGAGTAAACAGCAATTTTAGAATGAAGCTTTTCATTTCACAAGAAAAATATTCCCCGAAAAAATAATTGCGTGATTTTAACAGGCAATAAAACTTAAACACTATTGACTTTGTCAAATTAAAAAAATGTTATTAATTTGCCAAAATTGATTTTTATCAAAATTGATATCTCTATAAATATTGCTTGATTACAATCGATCTTTACAACCGTTCTACTGATTCCTTGGTGAGTTGTCAATCGAGGAAGTGCTTCTTGTATACTGGAAGGTAAACTCTTTTGTTGGTGGTAAGTGTGGTTCCTTCTAGAGTCTACAGACATTCTAATTGTGACATTAGAAGTTTCAATTAGAGCATTAACGAGTGTTAACGCACATGTTGGTTCATTTAGAACCTAAATTATCTGTAGTCGAAATGTTGGTGAGTTTGTTAGTTTTCCTTGTCCTACCGACGGCAAAAGCTCAGTCTTGCTCTATGGTTAACTGGTGGTCAAGCTTTGACAAAAAGGGCTACTCAACCTGTTCCTTTCAGTCCACCTACATGAATGGCCTTTACAGGAATGACTATGGGAGTGATAAAATTTACCGTCTTGAAGAAGTGAAATGTTGCGGACGAACACCTCCTTACTATAATCAGCCAACACAATGCATGGCCGCTGATTGGGTTCACAGTCTGGATAAGTAAGTAACAGAACTTATCGAAGAAGACGGTAGATCTAAGTTAATAACATCATCCACATAGATTTGATAAAAGTGAGCTTGATTCTTCTCCGACCTCTCTGGATATTTATTATTTTAAACTCCATTTTAACAACATTTACAGCAACCATCGCTGGAGCACATGTCCCACTGGTCATTTTCTACAAGGTCTTTATAGAAGTGACGGAAACAACCTGCACAACATCGAATATGGAAAATGCTGTAAACCTGCTAACCATCCTTATTGGTGGGGCGACTGCTACGATCACGACATTAAGATATCGTTTGACAGCAAGGGGGTCAGTAAATGCAATGCTGAATATTACATGACAGGCTTGTATCGAGGAGGCTGCGATGGCTTGAGCTGTATCGAAAAAATCAAATGTTGCAAAATGTACCCAAGTGAGTTTTACTAAGATAGATTAACGGTTTACTGGTTAGTTGTGTGATATTTATGCCAGTTATGTAACCAATCCAGCCAAAAAGCTACTTATTGTTGTTTCTTTTATACTGAGAATCGATATAAGAATAACTTGCTAACAAGTTTCATATCAGTGAACCTAAATCCTCTAAACTCCCCATTTCAAACCACTAACTTTAGACCCACCAACTTTGACCTCCTTATCCGACGTGAAAACACGAGTTATGGATGTGACTATGAAACATTTTGCTCTCCTGGCACACTACCTCGGTTACGGTTGGTGCTCTGGCTGTCGTGCTGAGTGGGTTGGCGAAGACTTCAGACGCAGCGGAGACAGTTGGCATGCAAGTAAAGCAGGATCATGCGAAGGTTATAAGTCGGACCAACGGCTAAAACTCAACTATGGCGACTTCAAGTTTTCTATCAAGGATATCAAATACGGAGATCCTGTGATACAGGTTTATCAATTTACCCTTCACTGGTTTTGATTTTCGTTCATTCAATTGCTGGAGAACATTGAAGGCTTTAGCGAATTCGATGCTTGTCAACATAAAATCTCTGCACTCTTTCTTTCTAGTCATTACAGCCAACTGTCTACGATTCCGGTAGAGTGGTGAATGATGACGTCAGCAGTCTTGTGCACAAGATTGAACGAGAAATTCGCAGCGTGAGAACAGTATCCCATACCACAACCAGCTCATGGAAATACTCTCATGAATTGGGGATTGAGATATCTTACTCACCACCAGGAGCTACAGGTGATATATTATTTCTATCTTTTCAGGCTTTCTACGCAAGTTCGTAAAAGTCTTAAACTGTCGCACTGATCTACAGTTTCACTGCTCCCCCACCGTCGCAAATTTCGTTCATGTACTTAGTATGTTCATGTCTATATTTGTGTATTTAAGAGTGTCCATAACATAATGGTTGAATGAACAAATCGATTATATTTTGATCAATTTCTAGGGGGAGTCGGAGGCAAGGTTAACTATAAATTCAACTACGAGAAATCGTCGACCACGAGTGATTCAACATCAAACCAACAATATAACAGTATTAAGATTCTGTCACAGAAAACTCTCAACCCAAACTCTGCTGCCACGTACAAGATCATGCTAACCAAAACCCGATCCACAGTACCCTATACTGCAACAGTAATTGCCCACTTTTCAGGGGAAATGGACGGATTTTTAAGATGGGGAGGTGGATACGGTGGAGATAGTACCAATTATCACTATCAGTAAGTGGCCGTCGAATCGACCTCAGGCGCAGTGCACAAAGGCTCAAGCCCGGTTTATTTGTAAAAATCTTTTAGGCACAGAGGCAGTGGAGATAGACCTACATTCAAATATCGTTTTGGAAGCGCCAGCAAACCATTTTACACCGCTCTGAAAGAAGAAAGCGACCGCAGTATGCGTCCTTGGCAATGGACAGACATGAAAAATAGATACACGTCAGCACAAAGCATAATAAATACCTTAGTTGATGAAAAATTGTATGAATTTACTTTGACTGGAAAGTTTGAAGATGTTATAGGTAATGGGTTTTTAAGTTTTCGATTGTTGAATGTTTGTAAATGAAACCGGCATTTGCTTTTGAGAAATAAAAGAAAAGTTGTTACTTGTTAGGTAAATACTGAGTTAGTTTCATTTCGAAATGCGATTTCAGGTCAACATGCTGAAGTTCAGTGGAAGAGTGAAAGTTTGAGTGGAAAGAAACGTTCATTGTTTGGCGGGAAAATGCCTCTTACTCAGGAAGACTTCCCAGAATCCCTCAGTGACGAAGATCCACCGGAGATCTTCCCAGCACCACCTGTGGTCACAATCAAACCAGTCATCTTCAAGGAAGACGCCGTTAAGCACGAGAAGCCTCTTGGTTGAAGCCTTTTGAAATTACTACAAATGATAAAAGCAAATAGAAATAGATTCTGATAAATTTGTGTAATTACTTTAAAATTTGAATAAAGCTTTCAACTGAGTAGAAACGCTTTACTGACACCTTAATTAAACTTTAGTGACAAGCTAAGATGATGGGAGTGATGCGCGTGCGCAGGCCCAGGGAACTGCCGACCCGCAATTATTTAGGCAACAAAAAGTACAGGCCTTGCGGGTAACTAACTCGAGTATTCCAGTGTATTTTCCAATATTGAAATGACCTTCTCTTATTCGCGCGTTTATGGTTTTCTCAAGCGGTTAACCTTTTTTTATTGTCACGGTAGTTATTTCTCATGATCTTTTTTCCGTATATTCTAATGTAATGTAAAAAATGCATAGGATACTTGGCGAAATTATACGGAATATTGCAACCATATCCACTGATCTCGCAGGTGAAACACGTGGTGTAGAATATCGCCAGTGCAAATTGCTGTGGTTGCATCATGGCGGACAAAATGAAGGAGTTTGCTGGGCGAATGGGCAATGCACCTCGTGGTGTTTCGCTTGGATTTAAACTGCTAGCAGGAGCTGCTGCTTTAGGTTATGCTGTGAAGGAGTCCCTTTACACTGGTGAGCGATTGTCATGTATAAAATAACAGTAGAAATCTATGGGATTCACATTTACAAGATGGTTCACACATGGCCTGGGCATAGGGCATAATCATTCATAATGACCTTGATCCCTTGCATATCAAATGTTGAACTGAAAGGTTCTGTAAAATATTTTAGTGGAAGGTGGTCAACGGGCAATTATTTTCAGTCGTATTGGTGGTATTCAGAATGACATTTATTCAGAAGGACTTCATTTCAGGTAAAAGTATTTGGATAAGATCAATGATTGCTTTATTCTCTAAATATTGAATAAAAATCTATCTTGTTTAGGATACCCTGGTTTCAATATCCAATCATATATGACATAAGATCAAGACCAAGAAGGATTACATCACTGACTGGAAGCAAAGGTACTGTATGACAGAGCAGTTTGGTATGAAGTACCAGCATGTACTGGTAGAAATGATGATGTAATTTGCGCCTGATAGACAAGTGTGGTGAATGGTATGCCTGCCGTTCTCATACCAACTTGTCTTAGTGATGACATTTACACTACTGATCTTCCTAAATACCTCAGGAGGAAGATAAAAAAATTAAGAACTGAAGTCGCCACAAATTAACAAATCCTGATGCTTAGATTTGCAGATGGTCAATATCGGATTGCGAGTGCTAGCGAGACCTGTCTCAAGCCATCTACCAAAGATGTATCAAAAACTCGGATTGGATTACGATGAGCGTGTTCTCCCCTCAATCATGAATGAGGTAGAAAAATGAAGAAAAACTCTATGATTTTAAAGTATATTATCATGTGCTTAGTGTTGTTGTTTTAATTTGTTTTTCAGGTTTTGAAAAGTGTTGTTGCACAGTTTAATGCATCACAACTTATCACTATGCGACAAGAGGTAATGCCTGTGTGAAATGTTTACTTTCCAGCTTTAGGGAAAGCCTTATTTATGTTTAAATATTCCTTTTAGGTCAGCTTATTGATCAGGAAAGAGCTCACAGAACGAGCCAAGGATTTCAATATTATCTTGGATGATGTTTCCATTGTATGTAGCCATCATTCAGTTCACACTTGATTTTTTAGTATTTTTGGGAAATGATGATGTAATTTGCGCCTGATAAGCAAACCTGGTGAATGGTATGCCTGCCGTTCGTTTGACCAGTTTGTCTTGGTGACGACATTTATGCTACTGATCCTCTTCAGTCAAAAGTGTCAATTTCAAACATTTCATGATGTTTGTGTATCGTTTTTGAAGTGTTGTGTTTTCCCTTTAGACTGATTTGAGTTTTGGCAAAGAATATGCAGCTGCTGTTGAGGCAAAACAAGTTGGTAAGAAAACATATCCATAAACATAACAAATTGAATTTGTTAACATACCTTTTATATAACTTCTACAGCTCAACAGGAGGCGCAGAGGGCTGCATTTTTAGTTGAGAGAGCTGCACAAGAACGACAACAAAAAATTGTTCAAGCTGAAGGAGAGGCAAAGGCTGCAAAACTTGTATCCTTTTGAGCTTTATTGTCTGTCAGTTAATCAATAATTGTGTTTGAAAACCTCTCAATGTCTAAGCCATAGGCTTCCAGAGAGGCAAGTTAGTGAACTACATATCAGCTTAACTCTTGTGTTAAAGAATTCTTGACCATGAACAAATAGCTTGGAGATGCTTTACAGGACAATCCAGGATATTTGAAATTAAGGAAAATAACAGCAGCTAGAAAAATTTCCAATGTTGTATGTGTTGTTACAATTCAATATAGTTGCCTTTAATTAAAGTTGTAAGATTTTGTTGTAAGATTTTCTTTTCTCTTTCCATTTTTCAAAGGTTGCTAATTCCAGGAACAAAATATATTTGAATGCCAATAACCTCTTGCTGAATCTTAGCGATGATGCCTCAGATAAGTATGTAATGTGTGTTATAATAAAATACATCACTAGGTAATATTGATTTTATTTATTTAATTATATCAAAGTGACTTGGGCCTTGTTCTTCTTTGTTCTAGAAACTTATTGGTTGACAACTAGCATAGTCGTACAAATGAGAAGATATTGTAATTGGATAACAGTGAAAAGTTTTTTGTTTCAATAAACAATGATGAAAGAACAGATAAGCTTTTATTTAGTGAAGTGGGAAAATATATTATGTGTTAACTTGCAAAAGTAAGTGCTGATTTATGTATGCTGATGAATATTTTTAACAATATTGGTCTAAAATAAATATGATTACATAAATTAAAGTAAGTTCTGCAACTTATTTAAAGAAGTTCTTGTCTGTAGATGTTTCCATTGTTCAAGATTTGGGGTGAAAATGTGTTGTGGGGTTGTAGAGGATATTTAGGATACAGTATGGGATATAGGTATATACTCAGTACTGAATACTGGGAGGGAGAGGTGGAGTCAGGGTGCATAGAGAGTTATTTACAATTTTGCCAATAGTTTCAACTTGAAAGCCAATATCAACAAGATTATCATGGTCTAGAATCATTCTACCATCAAATGCAAATGCTGGTTTTAACATACTGGCATATATCCGTCTGTAGTCCAGAGCCTGGGAGACAAAATAAAAAAATGTATGCTGCATACCATAGTACATATGATAAAATACAGTTAATCTAATTCCTCAAACTTTGATAACTGAATAAGTAATAGAAAAGGGAATTGTCTCACCTTAAATTCATCCCATTCTGTGCAAACAACAAGTGCATGGGCATTCTCCAAAGCTACATATGCATCATTTTCAACTGTTACCAGCTTCTTCACTGCAAAAAGTTAGAGCATGCAGTACTTATTAGCAAAATGCCAAAAAATAAATATGCTTGATGCAAGATTGATTTTCTAGGCTTGATCTGATTTGACAAACAGTACAATAATAGAAAGAGAAAAGAAACCTTTTTCAGGGTCTGCAGATACACTTGGATGACATAGTTCTCTAAAAATAAGAAACAATATGACTTAGAAAAAACAAAAAAATATTTAGTAAAATAGCATGGGTTAGCATTTTTAGTATACTCACAGATAAACTTGTTCCTTTTCAACTTTAGGATCATAAATGGTTAGTCTAGCACCTTCTTCTAACAGATATTTGCAAATATATATACTTGCAGATTCCCTAAAATAATAATATTTTCCACATGTATTGTTTTCATAAGTTAATAGGTTAAATTTTTTCTTCGCCAATTATTATATAAAAAAATAACCTACAGCAATAGATGCAATCTATAAATGTTTATGTACTCTTGTTGTCACCTTGTATCACCAGTATTTTTCTTAAAAGAAAATCCAAGTATTCCAATCTTTTTATCTGTGACTGTATTGAACAGTGCATTAATGATCTTATTTGCAAAACGTCTTCTTTGATATTCATTCATTTTAATAACTTGATGCCAATATGCTGCAACTTCAGGTAGATTGAGTGCTTCACATAAGTACACTAGGTTGAGGACATCTTTTTGGAAACAACTACCACCAAATCCTAGTAATGGAAAGAAATCCAATATTATACAAAAAAGTGTAGCTAAAAAGACAGATAAAATGCTCATATAATTTGATGACTATCTTAATGACAACATGCTTAAAGCCTCTGCCCTCACCAACTGAAGCTTGTAAAAACTTATTTCCAATTCTCGAGTCTCTGCCAATGGCTTTGGAGACTTCCGAGACATCAGCACCCGTTGCCTCACACACAGCACTCAATGCATTGATGCTGGAGATCCTTTGGGCTAGAAAAGCATTTGCTGCCTGAAAAGAATAAAGCAGATTAATAGACCTAATTTAGTTTGATGGTTAAAACTGATGTTTCTTTACCAGTTTTGACAACTCGGACGACCATGTATTAGTTTTAATGATTTTATCAGCTGGAAGCCAGTGTTCATAAATCCATGCCAACGTATCTATGGCCACTGGACCTCCTCTAGTCTGATCTCCACCTAAATTAAAATTAGGTTTTTTACTTCCATTTCATTATATCCGAAGGTGGGTGCACAATCGAAGGACAATTGATGAATTTGTTACCTATTAAAACCCGGTCTGGATTGAGCAAATCATTGACAGCTGTACCCTCAGCCATAAACTCAGGATTTGACAAGACCTGGTAAAATTGTCATTGATCGTTAGTTGCATAATTGAGCCAAATAATATTATTTTTTTATATAATCATATCACAAACCTCATAGAGTATCCCTGATTGCTTGTTTGCTTTCAAAATAGTTGATATGCTTGGAGAAAAAAATTATGTCATTGACTATTAATGATTATATAAATAATTTTAATAATTAGCCATACTTATAAATCATCACATTACCTTTCAGCAGCTCTAACAGGCACTGTACTTTTTTCAACAATAATCTTGTGGGTTTTTGCTACTTTTGAAATATGACGAGCTGCTGATTCAATGTATTTCAAGTCAGGTGCTCTTCCCTGATAACAAGTATTGAGTGGTTTAGATCAGATAATATTCAGATCTTAGTAAAGATTGGTTTAGATCAGATAATATTCACATGATTTTAAATTGGAATGATGAAACTGTACCTTTCCTAACCCAAACGTTTTTGTGGGGGTGTTGACCTAAAAAGAAATAAATTAATCGGATTTTGGTTGTTTATTTGATCATAAATTGATTGGCATATTAATTCAACAACGAACCGAAAAACAACGGTGTAACAAATTTCGTTAGCAACAAATTAAATATTAACGAAAAATTGAACCGTAATATTTGTCATTTGATCTCTCACGAAAAAGGCAGTCAATTCGAAATACACTAATTTACACAGAGACTACTCACACAGATAAATATCAAATCAGCTTCGATAATCGCCTTGTCAATATCGGTGGAATAAAATAGATTCTTTCCACGACATTTTTCGACAATTTCTTGCAGTCCAGGCTAAATTGTAACAAAGTAACACTCTTCATAAATTAACACGTGATGCAAAATTATGAAGTGTTTAAAGTAATATCTTTGATCAGTCTTAGAGGATTAGACCATAGTTACTCACCTCATATATTGGTAAGTTGTCGGAATTCCAAGCATCTATTCTTGGCTGGCTTAGATCGACAACAGTTACACATATTTCAGGGCATTTTAGGGCAATCACGGCACAGGTTGGTCCGCCAACATAGCCGGCCCCTATACAACAGATTTTACTTACAGACTGCATTCTGTGTAATAGATTTTGTTATGGTTTCTAAGCAAAACACTTGAAAGAATTTCTTGTTCTAATCAAAACAATAGAGTCAATATTGAAAGTTGTCTACGTGGCCAGTGGGGCCGGTGGGCGCTGTTGCGTGGGAATGGCAATAAAGCGTTCTAGGAATGTAATGTTTTGCGTGTTTTTACGCGTTCTCGCGAATATACTTTCAAAAGCGTGTTCTGATACGAAAAAGGATATGTCTTGTGGATCAGTAAATGTGTGTGGAAACAAAGCATGAACGACCCACGTTGTTCAAAGCGAAGAAAAATCTCGTTCGTTTGGAATAAATTGCTACAATTATTTGCTGCTTAAAGTGCTTCATTTGGAAACCCTTATTTGTGAAAAACATACCAATTTTTCTCGCCTCTATTATTGTACTGCTGGTTTATTTATTCAACCAAAGAAATAAGTACATTTTCCTGGAAAAGATCTGTCAAAAATGTTGCAAAGTATTTTAGGGGTTTTCCCTTGGTTTCCTGAACATGAGCCCACGCATTGATCACTGACCAGTGTGTGGTTGTCAAGGAAACCGTCCAGTTGCCATTTTGTTTTCATTCAGTAAACTTTTTTCTTGTCCATTTTATGGTCGATATTTGAGAGATCCGACCACAATGGGGAAAAAGAAAACTAAGGAACCAGAACCTCCTGCAAAGGATGAAGTAAGAACAATAAAAATTATATATTTACTTGTATATTTGCCGTGATTCTATATTTTTTGTTGAGGTGAATGGTGACATCTTGTTTATGTTTTGTTGTATAGTTTGATCCTTTGCAAATCGTTAGTAAGAATCCTGGTACAGTTGTACTGATGCTTGATTCACCCGAAGAGACAGTACTGCAGTCTGCCTGTGAGGCTTTGTATACGTTTTCAGAAAAATGTAAGGATTATTTAGATAGAAATTTGATATATAAGTAATAACCTTTTCTGCAGTTTTAACGGGCCTCGAGTGCTGGAAAGATACTCCCTGTGAGGCCTAACTGTTTAAGTCTTGGACGTTTGTCCACCCCTTACTGGAAGAAATTTATCAGCAGCCTTGTATATTGTTATATAGTTTTATCACCTTAATTGCGCATTAACTATAATAATTACATTGATATATATGCACATAGGTGAAGAAAATCGTCAAATGCTTCTTAATCTTGGTGTGTTGGAAAGGTTGCTGAAACACATCATGTCTGAAGATAAAACCATTCGAAAGAATGCTATCATGTGTCTTGGAACAATGAGCCAAAATGGTGACTGAATATCTACTTGTGTTCTATATATAAAGTAATTGTTTTCAATGTGAAATAAAGTTTCAACTGACTTCAATCTTATGTCTTTTAGTAAATGTGAGAAAAACATTACGAAAACTGAATTGTATTGAGTCATTGATAGTTCTCCTCGGCCCTGAAGGTGAATATATAAGCCAGATTGGAAACAGTATTAATTGAAAAAGTTTTTTATATTAAAACTACTGTAATTTGTGTTTTAGAAGAGGCATTATGCCATGAATTTGCAAGTTTGGCCCTTACAATGTTGGCTGGTATGTTGACTGCACTAAAGAAGGGGAAGTGTCAAAAGAAAACTCCTTTTAAAATGATCCATTGAAGAGAGTCTAAATTGTTCCACTTTTATCATTTGACCAGGTGACTTTGGTAACAAGATTGAAATATTTGAAAAGAATGGCTTAGAACCATTGGTTCGTTTACTTTCTTCCACTGATTGTGATATCCAGGTAATGAAACTCACAGGGTCATCAATCAGATATTTGAAAAAAGCATGAAAGCCGCAACCTCAACAGTTAATGTTTGTTATTTTTTCAGAAAAATGCTGTTGAATGCATTTCTTTGCTAGTGGAGGATTACCAAAGCCGATCGGCTATCAAAGAGCTTGATGGTGAAATAAAACTTTCACTTTTATAAAGCTGTAGAGCACTGTTATATCTCTATAAATTCATGATTTTGGTGACTTCTTTAGGATTTCAACCACTTTTTGCCCTCTTGGACTCGCCTTATGGCATTATCCAGGAATTAGCACTAAACACATTGATAAACTGTACACATGAAGGTTGGTTTTATTTTTAAAACTTTTAAACATAAATAAAATAGTGATTAAATAAAACACAGAACAACTTCGATTTAGCCCGCGGCGTTTATACGAGAGAGGCGTTTATTCAAATAAATACAATTTAGATATGTTTTCTCTAGCTGGGAACCGGGAAGAAATACGTCAACTGGAGGGCTTGCAAAAAATCGTTGACTTTATTGGTATAAAGGTACATTTGATTATTTTCACTCTCAGAGGATTTTCATTTAAATACGGTAGACGGGTGTTCACTGGAGTCTAAGGCATATGTACTACGTTTCTTGTACAGGAGTATGATGATCTTCATGTAAAGGCAATGCAAGTGTTGTCAAACTGCATGCAAGACTTAGAAAGCATGCAGGTATTGTAAGGTTTATGAGTTTGTTCAGCACTTTACGTATGTATGCTTGTCCGTTATCAGTGTGAAATAGATATGAAAGTCACAAGAGGAGTCCAGCAACCGCGCGCCATAAAGTATAGTTGCAAGATGTACACAGCTCGCTTTTTTCTATTTGATTTTATTTAAGTTTGATAATTTAATCAATCATACGCATGTTTTCTGTGTATATTGCAATTGTCGGACAGCAATCCCCTGATACTTGATAAAGCCGTTTATATTCCATGTATCATTCTTAAAATCCCAGGTGATCCAGTCTTCTGGAAGTCTTCAAAAGCTTTTAGCTTTTGCGGCTGAATCCACAGTCGTCAACGTTCAACAACAAGCGGTGAGTGTCAGCTCCACGATTGCCGTTGACAAAACTTCTTCACGGCCAAATAAAGCTTTTTTACAGAGCCGAATCAGGTCAATCTTTAATTTATTGCCATTTTCCATGTAGGCAAAATCCTTAGCAATTGCTGCTCAAAATGGTAAGATGGTAAAAGATCTTCATCTGATGTCAGGAACGACTTTTTATTTTTTTGTTTCATTCCTGATCTGTTTATTTGTAGACGAGACACGCAAAATTCTTCACGAACAGGAATGCGAGAAAACACTTATAGCACTGCTCTCAAACGAGGTTGTTGAACCTTCGGAGTTTATTGATACGTGTTAAAACTTAAAAAAAGCTCCATGATCTCCTCTTGTGTAACGTTTCTCATCTATTGTTCCTAGTCCCCCTCAGTCCAGGCCGCTGCAGCCGAAGCTCTGGCGGTAATGTCAGAAAGCCTGAGCAGCCGAGATGAAATCGGAAAATTAGGTTGGTGTTGTTCAAAGAAGATCAGTTTTCTCGCAAATAAAAATTATTATTATTCGCTTTGCCCTAAATATTCTTCACCATGAACGTCCTCAAAGATCCTATCCGTGGTTTGATGCATGTTTTGTTTTTTCTTCAAGATGGCGTTCCGTGTTTAGTTGCTTTGTTAAAAAGCGATGATACTGAGGTCCGTCAGTTCTCGTCTTTGGCACTGGCTAACCTTTCCACGTCAAAATCCAATGCAAGGTTCATACTTTTGATAATATCGACAATGACATCTATCAGTAAAAGCGGCTGCAGCAAGCAACCATATATATTCCAAGTAATGGGCTGAAATAATTAATATTTGTCATCTTGATTACATTTCGTTTATTTTAGTGTTTTATTGGATAAAGGTGGCGCTGAGCCGTTAGTTCGTCTACTGACAGATCCGAAACCAGAAATCCAAGTGAATTCAGCTGTCTGTCTAACCAACCTGGCCAACAATGGTAGCTCTAGCATATTTTAATTGGTCATGCATTACTCGGTTAAGGCCACAAGATTGATTAGTTAACAATTTGCTGTTTATAGAGTCGTGGAGAGCAGAAATCCACAACTCTGGTATCACATCATCACTGGTTACTGCACTGAATCAAGCAAAGTAAGATGCTGCATGGTTTTTATCATTGTTCACTTTCGAGCCTTCGTTTGCCTTTGATTAGATATCGTGCTACAAGTTTACAAGTTTCCAATGTTTGTTTCCTTGTATCTTGTGCTGAATTTAGTAATCCAAATGTCCAGTCAAAGATGGCGCTTGCAGCAGCTGCATTTTTGTGTGATTCGGAAGCCCGGGCACAGGTTAATTGTTTGTGTTTTTTGCAAAAAAAAAGTGCTTCTTGTAAATCTCGAAGTATACTCTGACATCTAACGTCCACGTTTAGTTTCGCGAGGAAGGCGGCCTTCCACCACTTGTCAAATTTCTATCTTCGAACATCAGCGAAGTTCGTCGCGCTGCATCATGGGCCATGGTGATTTGTGGAACCGACATAGCGACTGCATCGGAACTTTCTAGTCTTGGGTATGTCCTCTTATGCTCCATGTTGCATACTGAATATACATGTTTGTCCCTAATTGTTCCTGTGGTGAATTTTGATTCAGAGCGTTGGACCTTCTTCAAACTATTTCGTTGTCGAGGAGTCGTAAATCAGGATTCGGTGACGCTGCACTTGAATGTTTACTCGACAGTAACCTACCAGCGAAGTATAGTCTACGTGGCTTTCTCTCATCTTCAAATACCATAGGACATGGCTTCTATGATTGTGGAAAGGTCTGGTTTTTTATGTCAGTTTTTAGAGCTTGATCTTTTTGTTTTTGAAGTCATTTCGTCTTTACCATTTATCACGTTTCAAGTTATCATTTCCTCTTAGATTCGTCCTGATGCAAAGATTCTAACGTTGGAGGAACTTTCACACGAAGCTGTTAATACCTCACGACCTGTGCTGTATGTGAATTTGACGAGTCCGGAAAGGTATTATTATTGTCGATTAAGTTAATTGGTCTCTGAGTCGCTAAGTATCATACGATGAATTGACCTTCAAGTCTTTGAGATACATTACTTAAATATATTATAATATTTCTGCATATTTTCAGGCCACCCTCTCCGAAGACAACAATAATTCAGCCGGAGAAAAGTATTGAAAAATTACAAAAACCAAGCAGACTCAATCTCAAAGATGTAAAAAGGTTGGTTTGACGGCAAGCCGCCGGGTTTTATTCAATGCCTGCTGAATGTTTTGGCGCCAAATTAGAAAACGTTAACGTATTGAATTCTTTCTCATTGTTGCAGAAGCAGATCTCAGATCCATTCTGAAAAATTGGAGCCAGAGCCTCCACAGACTGAGCAGCCAACAGAGGAGGCTAAGGAACAGCCTGAAGTATCGTTACCTTGGCAACCACCCACTGATCCTGATCTACTGGACTATATTCACGAATTACAGGAACGAATTGCCTCACTTCCTACCACAGAGGAGCAAATCACAGAACTAGCTAGGTGCCGTATTAAAGTTATTCATAGTTGAGTTGCATTAAGAATTCTCATGCTAAGCTAATGTTCAGGTCCACTGGTCCTGGTCTCAGGTAATAAGTGTTTAAACCGCAGCAGTTTATTTACAATTTCACCTAAATTGAACTTAAAGTGATCTGGATTGTTATCTTTCTTTATTCAGCTATGTAAGCTACAGAATGGGCGGTGCATGTGAGAAAGGATGGCTTCAGTCGTTCAATTACGAAATGCACATCAGTAATTTGAAACACGAGTTCAACTCGAATCTCATACCAATAGGAAGGGTCAAAGCTGGAATATTCTATCACAGAGCACTTTTGTTTAAGGTGATATGCAAGACATTTTCAAACTATTCATATCGTTCAGTTTAAGTTTATCGGGATATTATGTCTTGTTTCAGATTTTGGCAGATTATTTCGCTATTCCCTGTTCGTTAGTTCGAGGGGACTATAACCGAGCATGGAATGAGATTTTGCTTCGTACAAAACCAGAGGTAGGTTTGAGATGCGGCATCGCCTGTAGTGTGCTTGAGGTATGCTTAAATCACGAGTATATAAAACGTGTATTTTGTTGTAACAAGGGTACAGCGATGCAGAATCGATATATATTGTCTTTCTTTCCAGTCTGATGCAGGAGGGCATTCGTATCCGCCCAAGACATACATTGTTGATTTGATGCACGAGCCTGGCACATTGATGGCTTCTGAATCACCGGAAGCTGACAGTTATAAACGATTATAATATTTTTGTACGTTTGAAGTAGAGATATATAGTTTATAGATCACATTGATCCAATAAATACTGAGTTTACTGTGTGTGTGTTTCCATAAATAGACTTATTTACCTACAACTCAACTGTACAAATTATTCATGTTTTCTTGTTTGCGATGTTAATTCATTTTGACATTGAATACACAGTCAGGCAGGCTAGCCTCGCTCTGATTTAGCCACTTTCTCATAGTTAAAGGCTTTACCAATGATTGATTAATGATTACTTGGCTTAAATGCTTAAGGAAAACATTCTGACAAATTTATCCACTTCAAAATCAGTTTCGTCTCCTCATTTCCTTTATCACCGGGCTTTGTTGAACAATCTGTTTCATTATCTTCCTTTTCTTCTCTGTCATGAGGTGTTGGTTTAATAATCGTTGGCAGTTTATTGCAAGGTAAACTTTGGCAACGGTCTACTCTGTTTTTCCCGGGATCCAACACTACCTGTTCTGTCTGTCCTTTTATTTTTCGCTTTGTGGTGTCATTCAAAGACCATTTCAACTCTCTTCTTACAGGCGGTACATTCCTATTTTTCGGCATTTTATCGAACAAAATATCCCGCATATTCATTCGCCTATATTCACCTTCTTTTGGTTCAATTTCAAGCAAGCACACTTTCCCTTTAACTCTACCGTGATGATTTCCATTCACAGATAGAATCCCTTGTCCTTGTAAACCTTTCAATTTTCTTTCGTAATAATGTTTATCAAATGTGAATCTTTTATCCAAAATTGTTTCTTCTGTTCTTATTTTTAACAATTCATCTCGCAATGGCTTCTGCCAACGAAGTCGGTTGCATTTTTGAAGGTTTATATCTTTCCGTATTGTATCAACCGTTCCTGATATTTCCGTTTGGTCGTCTGTGGAGGTGATGTGTTTTGAATACGGCCAAGTCATATTCTTGTTGGTTTAATTCTAAGATCTCAGTGGGAACAGAATTCGGAGACGCTTATCATCAACAAAGATTGAGATTGTTTTGACGCGGAGTCCTAATCGTTTAACTATGATAAATGTGACCGAAGGGCATTTTGAGCCTGAGACCCTAAAAATGCGGTAATATCAACTTTTCCCGCCGAAATTAGTCCCCAATACATTCTGGCCTTTCTGGGATAGTTCGGGACAGAAAATACTGTGACACTAGTACTGATTGTGACAGGAACCAAATAGTTCGGAAAGTGGAAGTATCTATTGCCAAATATTACGTTATCTATTTTTAAAATTACATAAATAAATTCATCGAATCTTAACATTAACATTGGTAATAAATATCAGAGGGTCTAAGTGCCGGTAGTGATTTATTCGTATGGCCATAGTTGGAGTTCTTTCGTACGAATACGCCGGTTCTGCATTCGGGAAAATCTTTAGCAGATCCGAAAAAGTTTCGCTCCAAAACATAATAAATGTCATAAGCCTTTCTTGGCTGTCCGAAACAATCTTTACGCCAAAAACATTTGTTCAGAATTGTAAAACCTATTTTCTGCGACTCAAGTAGACATTGTTTGCATGCATCAGTTCTGCAGTCTCGTTCCAGGTTATGTCCAATGTACAAAATCCCTCCATTTTTTAATGTTCTCAAGATAGCTTTCGCTTTTAAACATTGTATATCGGCGCGCATCGTTTGTAAGCCCGCGAAATTTATAGCGTGATCAAAGCTGTCGTTTCGTGCTTCTGATAAACGTTCGACAAATTTTCGTGCGGTGTCGTTGAAGAAACGTCTCGCGTGATCGACCGCTCCGTAGTCTTCGTCGGATCCACCAAGGTTGAGTTTGGGAAACTGGGTACGAAATTGTCTAAGCCATTTTAAACAGCCTGTATTGGCAAAGAATAATGATTGGCCATCCATTATTCCAATTGTTCTTGATAACTTTGCAATCCATCTGCTTAACAGAGCATTGTATGTTTCATTTTCGTTCTGACTACAATGTAAATATTCCCACTTTATGTTTCTCGATAGCCAGTACCTGATATTCACTCCCAGATTTCGCGGTAGTTTTTCAATATTCCTCTGTAGCAAACTGCCTGGAATTATTTCAACTTGATAACCATTGAAACCGAATTGACTAAACGCGAACACTAGTAGAATACAAACTATAGAAAACCCCAGAAGAACTCTGCTAAACTGCAGACGGCAGCTAATATTCATGTTTTTGATTGCATTTTCATCATTTGAACATCAATGAAATCACCAGGTGCACTTGAAATAACTTGGTGTCATTCTATGGAGGATGACCATGAAACTTGGTTGCGTGATACAAGGTTATAACGAGGATAGATTAGACACATCTGTCCGTCTCATACTCCCAGACTGGAGTGATTGGAGTCACGCATTATGGCCCTTGCGGAAGTTAAAGTTAAACCTGCTGTAATTTGCAGTTCTAGTTCGGGAGTAATTTGAATTTTAAATTGCGATGTTCAACCATTTTGAATAACGAATAATGGTGAGCAGCTTTGGGTACAAGGTAATATTTGTTACCATACTTCGACCTGGATACACCGCATTGCCCACCATTTGCATCACTGACCTGTGGCGTTAATGAACTAATCAGAATTTTGAGGGTTCAAGTTTCAAAATAAGGTGAAATCATACAGTCAAATTTGCACGCATTGCTGGTGGCGTATGGCTGGTGGCATTTTGTTTGCTGATATTCAGTCGTTTATTTAGCAGTTGATAGTTACTATTGGGTTTTGGATGCAGTAAACGCATGTAGAGATAATATTAAACGAAGCTAAGGATCTCGATTCTTGGGTAAACTTAACTACTTAACCAGCAAGCTCAAGCTCAACAACAATTCTTCATGTTTCGCCTTACTTCTTGCGGTCTCAAAGCACTTGTCGTGCTCAGTGTAACGGCGTTGCTGTTTGTCTTCTCCTTGCAACAAGGTAACTTGCAAAGCTCGCGTAACCCAGGTAAGCCACGAGTTTCTAAAACGTTAATGGTTATACAAACAGCCCGTAGGCTTGGGTATCTTGTTGCTGCGTTTACGATATGTATGTCCGCGTGTATCTGGCTGAAAACTACTTGTATTTGTTATGAAAGATAAATATTTGTTTTGCCCTTCGTGCATATGTAACACTTGCTTGTGACACGTACGGTGAGGTGCAAACAACTGATTATCTGAAATACAATCCAACGTCTGGTTTACAATCAGAAGTGCGACTACTGTATTCTCTGTGACATAGAAGAAGGCATTTTATGCATCAACGATTATAGACAATGATAAACAGACAATTATCTTGTTTACGATTTCACGCCATAACGCTCGGCATGTCGATTCGTATTTAGCAAAATATTTATTACATGCTAGCATATACACCAATGTATAAACTTGTTCTACTTTTCCCAAAGTTAACGAGAATGAAAAGGAATCGAAGTCATTTCGAAGCAGTCGCAATACGACATGGAATGTCCTAATCTCGTTAGTAAATCTCGACCAACATCCAAAAATTGTCCGAGATTTTCACGTTTGTTTGTCCTCAATATGCAAGCACACGAGCATAGCTATTACACTCCATGTTGTAACAGATAGCAGAAGTCAGAGAGAAGCAGGGGCAGAATAATTGAATTATTAAAGAAAGATTTATGCAAAGATAAAGTTCATCTTCAGTATCACGATATTGACTTTATTTCTGGAGAACTTGAGCCATTCATGGGTGTTTTTAAGGTGAGGATGAGCTTTTTATATTTTATCTATGACAATGACTACCATGCATCTTAACATCCCCCAGTCTCGCCGAAATATCGTTCTTCGGGCATTTTATATTTAGATTCTGTTCCATATAAAAATTATTTTAAAAAACCACTTGCGGAGGAGATTGGGATTAGGTTTTTTTTGAAAAATCTTTTACCTGCGACTAATAATAGAATTTTATTATTACCTGCCACATTGGTTTCATTTCACACAGCCACAGTTCACCCCACCCCACCCTAGAATTGTTGAATTGGGCACTACTCGTTCCCATTCCCAGTCGCTCGTTGCGTTGGACGGCGATGGGTGAACGTCTAACCTGCGAGCAGAAAACTGTGGAAGAGACAGATCTTGGTGTGCTTTTAACAATGCGCTACTTTGCCACCTTTCGTTTTCTCTCCAAATGTGAATTCCAAACACCTCTGCATGAGTCTGAGTCACCACTCGTTCACAGATCAACTCAGTCTTCTATTTTTTTCAGGACCTTTTTTCCAGTTACCCAAAATCATACTTTAGCAACGCCTTATTCTTTCTATCAATAATCAGCCACACATTATTTCCACACATGTCTAAACTTATCATCATGGACGCGGATTTAAAGTTCAAAACGGACATCAAGAAACTTTGGGACAAATTTGAAGATTTTTCGCCTCAAAACTTGATAGGCATCGCTCATGAACTTCAACCTGTTTATAAACACATCATGCATCAGTACCTACGAGATCACCCTCATACCAAAGTAGGGGCTCCTCCCCCTGATGGTAACCCTGGGTTTAACAGTGGAGTCATGCTATTGGACTTGGAACGAATCAGAAAATCTGTCCTGTACAAATCATATCTTTCTGATCCAACACTTTTGAGAAAACTTAGCGAGAAATATCGTTTCAAAGGACACTTAGGCGACCAGGATTTTTACAGTCTCCTTAGTTTTGACCACCCAGAGTTGTTTTATATCCTATCGTGTACATGGAACAGACAGTTGTGTACATGGTGGAGGGATAATGGATACGAAGAGATATTTAATTTGTACCATAACTGCGAGGGGGATATAAATGTATACCATGGTAACTGTGGTACTGAAATTCCTGATGATTAGTTTGGTTTGTTATTCAACACTTATCTGCAGGGAAGCTGACCACCTTTCATTAGAAGAGAGACGTCTGGCTTACCATTTCAACCGCAGAGTAATCAGGCTGATATTACGCTGAACTTGCTAGTCTGCCGTTATTCTGGCAAAACAAATGCATGGCCACTACACGCTGTATGATTGAATAGCCCTGCTGTTCATTCCCATGGTGTGGCCAAGGCATCCTGGCGATACGATGACGTAAGAGGTTACAACATAATAACCTTGTCGTATCTTATTGTGGATGAACTCCATTACTTTTTGAAGCCTGTCTTCTGACCGCCTTATCTTCTATTTCTGCGGGCGTGTCGTATTCTGTTTGTCAAACACACGCGTTGTCAAGGCGTTCCTCTTGTTTTGCTAAATTCAGGAACTTATTATATTAAGTTGTATTCAAAAATTTTTACTTAAAAGAAAAGCCATTCTCTTTGTGCCAACGACACGTTCTTACGTGGAGTCAATTGCATTATTTGCAATGTAAATTTAACCGGATCTGAACGTTGCTTGCTTCTATTCCTTCTATTCGGAGCAGTTGTTTAAACTGGTGGAAAATTAAATCTGCTCCTTAAAGGCAGTTCGGCAAATGAGTGCTGTAAAATCACTCTCAAAGTGACTCAAACATATTTCTCCTCTTTTTCAATCTAAATGAATACAAACCCTGGCAACAAACCAGCGTATTTAGTAAAATCTATAATATAAATTACAATAATTATGTGTATAAATTATAACACTCCTATTTTGAAATATTTTCGAAATTACTATAAACTGACGCTTATAATTATAGGATAAAAATATCGAGGGTAAAAAACTGTTTAGTTGAGTGGATGGTTTCAGTGGGAATGTGTTAAAATAATAACAATTGTGGTTTTATTATTACTATTTTTATTCTGATAATGGCCAATCGTGGGAGTTTCAGGTAGTACAGCTGATTAAGCAAGATAATAAGTTGCAATGAAAATTACTTTATAATACTTAAATTATGATTAACGACAACTTTTAGCGCAAGCTACCACTCAGATCAATCGAAGACGTCTTTGTAGATTTTGTTGTTCTAGCAAAAAAGATCTCCCTTGATGTCCACGCCAACACGAAGGCAACAGTCTACCAACGTCACAAATTTATTGCAATATGACGTTTAATCGATGTGTGGTAGAATATTCTGTAATACTTCCTATTAGCTATGAACCTATGAACTCTGCGGTCAACTCTACGTGTGCGCGCACTAGTGAGCCTCGCTTTCATGAACAAGCTTTCCAATGGAGCAGTATACATACTTGAGTAGGAGCTTAGACAGGCTTGATTTACTGCCGGATACTGTTTTGCTATTAGTACAATCTCGAAGAAAATTATAGACATTTTCATGCAATGGCAATGTTTGTCTAAAGAATTTGTAAAATATTTTATCAACTGGGCTGATCATTCTAGAAGGTCTTTATGAATTTAAGCATAATAGTGCTATCACGGACACCTGCATGTTTGATAATCACCGCTATACGCGTCTCAACATTGTTCGAATTGTTCTGATGTTGATTTAATTTAGGTGGAGAAGTGTGGGATATTAGCAGCGGTCGTGGACATTTCAAAACCATTTCTTGCGTAACGCTATTGTGTGAATTGTTCATCAGTGGTAACAATGTTGTTTTGAGAGAGGCGCGATAATATCCAGCTGTTTCATTACTAAATATCGCGGCACCACAAGACAGCAAAAATGTCTGACTTTTCCTGTTCGAATTTGCTTTTTGGTTTATTAATTAAATCTATATTAGTATACAGAAAATGTCTCCAATTTCTAAAAGATTGCATTTTTTTGATTGAATGCCTCAACTGACTGATTGTTTCGGCGTTTTAATTACAAAAAAAGCAGTTGGGAAAATTGCCTGAAAATATTTCATTGATAATACTGAAAGGACGAAGCCGCATAATTGGTTTATAATTGGAATTTTATAATAATTGAAATTTTTTAAAAAGTCTTTGCTAAAGACAGTTGACAATATCTTTCATTTGTGATCCGTTGACTGTGATGAAAATTTTTGGTATATTCTTCCGACGCACGTTTGATGATACGGTTCTTCTATTGTATATCCCAACAATGTGAAAGATGCACTTAGTTTTCACTTTTCAATGATATAACATGTTCAAATCCACACGCTCTCATAACTTGTTTGTGGCCGCTAGTGCATCATCACAACGTCGGCGGTGACTAATGGATATTGAGTCATAGTGACGTTCTTTACCGAGGCCATTAAAGAAAATGTTTATGACCTCAAATTGAATTGGGATAAATGCTTTCATTAAGATAAAGCACACAAATTCAATAAAGCAAAGTCCTGTTTGCTCACGCTAACATGAGCCCATTGTGTTTCGTGTAAACATTGCGACCAGTAACGCCAGATATAATCGGATAATTGCTACAAAAAGGAAGTTCCAAAGTGGAGATAAGGATGGATGAAAGCTTTCACTATGAATTGTATTGTTCACATACGGAAGTTTTGGATCGCTGTGTTTACATAGTGAGAGACAAGATTCTTTGAAAAAGAATAAATAAGTCAGCAAGTTTTTGCACAAGACTAATAATAAGTTTGTTCTTATGTATTTGCATCAAGTGACAAGAATAAATGCGAAAGAACAAAAAGTGTTTATCCATTTAGTCGCTGTTTCCAGTTCTGCCAAAAACATCATTTCAATTCTTACCCGGCTGGTAATGCCCACTTTTCAAATTGATTATACTGAATTCACAACAAAAAGCCTTTATTTTTCTGTTATTCAATGAATAAGCAAAGTACACGTATATCAAGGTATATATAAGTTATGATCTCATTCCTTCTTTTGTCATTACACTGATTAAAACCTGCATGCTTTCATTGTGATGTTGAAGGCTTATTATAACGGGAGGGTACAAGCTGTATTATCGAAAGAGAAACTAAAAAGTGAGAATTACTTTTGTCTAATTAATTGTGGCTTTTCCAGAATAAAGACTCAAGGGCTTTAGTGAATAGAGAAGCGCCTTCCGCTTCACGGCACCTGCATATGATTGACAATTATATTCATAGCGACAAGCGCAAGTTATCCACCGCGCGCAAAATATAGCGAAAAGAGCTCATTGTATATATATTTCAGTATATAGAAATATGAGGTGTGTTTGTCTTTTTTTTCAAATATTTAGACTATAAATGGTTTGCAAGTCGTAGGCTATCCTGGAATTCATTTAATTAGGAAATGAATTTTCTAGGCATTTTGATATAGTAACTGTCCGCGAGTAACAATTATCGCAACATCATCTTGGAACTTCAAAAATTCCAAGACCTCAAATAGCAGTAATTCGATCAGATATTGATTTCACAACATGAATACGTACATTTTAAAAGCTAGCGCTCTGATTGGCTATCTCATTAGTACATACAATAAGGATGTTTGATTGAGAGCTTTCGTTTTTCCTATTTTGCAACTTTGAGAGGGTGTGAATATAAAGAATTATAGCACGCCTTTAGCTATAACACCTTGTTTTTGCCCTTGGGTCTTCGTTAGCCTTGACTATTCAGATTGTTCATACAAGAATACATATTTAATTATAAATTGGGTTCGTCGTCGTGCGTGAGAGATCGCATTGTCATTCACTTCGCCTCTGGCCTCACCTTTGGCCAGGGCGCGTCTTCAAAGAAAGCATGCAATTTCATGTTTTGCCAACTGTACTGAATGTTAAGACGGAATTATATAACCTCATTTGCCAATATCCAGTCGGATTTTAAAAATATTCAAATCAGTTTATATGTTTTGGTTAATTACATAACCCAATATATTTTAATGTATTCTGTATCCGCGTTAATCCGCGTTGCCATGGCAGACGAGAGAGCCAGAGTGTCCACCTCAATTATGTTAAAAATAAATTTTCAAATGTACCTCATAACCTCAATAGACTCGTATAAAAAATTCTTGACTGTTTGTTGAAGGCTTCCTGAGTACTTCGTCTTATGGCTACCGCCGTTATTAGCTTGAATCATTCATAAATATAATATATCGTATCTCTCGGAAAATAAGCTCTATTTTTAATGCGGAATATGTAATAGGAGATTTCAGGAAGATGCAGCAGGGTTGGGCTGTTGCGACTTCGAGGAAACGGGAAAACGAAACATGATAAAAATTTGAAAACACGGAAGAATTTGATTTGTGAGGAAACTGTTAATGATAATGCCAATCATGCTCTTTATAATACCAGGTTCCCGCTGAGAATATTATGTCACGTCAAATATTTGAGCTTAATTTTCTTCTAACCGTATATAACCACGAGTGGTCTACCTTAAATTTATGTACGATTTTTAGGAATAGGGCAATTAAAGATCTTTTAGTCGTTTGGACGTCTATAATCATGCACAGGCGACGTCTCTCCTTTTCTGACCGATCCCTTCGCATTCCACAAAGGATAGATTTTCTTATTTTACCGTGTGAAAACGGTGCAGAATTTTATTGGCATCTTTTAATTTGGTAGACCTGCGTAGGTTGTTCACACGGTAAAATAGGATGATTACAAACGCTTGATCACACCGAAGAAGATAACGCTGTACTGCGAAGAAAAATGCCGTGTGAATTTCACACTTTGGATTGGCTGTTCATAACTGTCTTCGGTGGAACGTGAGACTGCACGAAAATAAGGACCTTTATGACCTTCATGTATGCATATTTAACTACCTCTAGGCTCTAGTGATTGTCATAAACATTTGTCATACATATTTTGTACAAATGTGAAAATATTGCATGTAAAAATATTGCCTTGTGTCCTGTGTCGGTGACTGTAAAGTCCACAGATCCGCAAATCTTTCGGATCAGACGTATATATGATTCACTGGATTGATTCCTCGGATCGATTCCTTTATATTCACCTGCCGAAAACACTTGCTGTGTGAATGTACAGACGTCTGCGAGAAATACATATACAGTTTTAATGGGTGTAATTAGCACTGTATTCCATACATTTTCATCGTTATGTTTTCATTTTCCCGGTGTATTTCCGCAGAAGAACTCTTGTAATTGTATGAATGGTATTAAATCAGCATGAACAACATGAACGAAATATACGCCGGCTTTTCATCGGGTGTAACAATATTCTTCGCGGAAACTACGCCAGCTCCTCCCCCACTTTTTTTTGCATTAAAGTAAAGCAGATATATTTACCCTCTGGCGTTTCGCAGTGATACGAGCACGAAAATGTACCTTTCGACATCCGACCAACAGTCGTATAGTTCTGTTCAAGAATGATTATTATAAAGAGGTTAAAATACCCTGTTTTTCAGTCAATTATATAAAATCAATGTTTATTTGTTTTTTCGTGCTTTTCTCCACAATTGTTTTTCAACGAAATGCGAGCCTTCAATATCGTATGGTTGAATAAACTTGTAAACATTAAGCTAAGGAGTATTTGTTTGAGGAATGATAACCATTCCTGCATCTCAAAACCAAGGTACCCTTTCTTGTGTTTATAATACTGGAAAATCTCAGACCGGCACCTCTTGAGCACACAAATCAGCCAAATCACAAATCAGCCGAGGCAGAGGCCAGAGGGAAGCGCACTGTGTCTAAAGCACAGTGAATTAGCTTAATTAAGTGATCCTTCTGTACGCTTTAAGAAATAAGTTAAACTCTGCAGTGAAAAATCGACAACACTTTCATGTTCCTGGCAACTAAATGCAATCGGAAAGGCGGCTTACGAGTTACGACGCGCAATATCGCATACAAGCTAAGTGAACTTCAATTGAGTACCTGCCCGCCTCTCCATGAAAGCTGTACCAACCTCCTGATTTCCGGCTTGGCAAAGCTTCAACAAACAAGCGGTTATTTTTAACTAAGATAAAATTCCTGGCATATTTCTTCACAAAGGACGCATGGTTAGAAATGCCGACAAGATCTGAAACTTGTGACTCTTTCCCACGCAATTTACACTAACAAATTGAGTCATGAATTTTTTAGTAGTTATTTAGTTTTCATACACCGTGTGAAACCGTGTTTTAGTCTCACAGCTAGAGGACCAGGGAAAATACATTGTTTATCTTTACGTCGAGCTCGTCAATCCAAACTTGTCGAAATGGATTTAGAAATTAAGTCAAGTGAACTTGGATTAGTTTAGGCCAGTCCGACCCTCGCAACACCAGCTGTTGTGAGCGATATTTCGTATCTTTGGGCATAGAAAAACTTTCGTCTGTATAACCAGAGCTTTAAACGGTTGTAACCATAACTCTGATAGCTGTCAATTGGGTCGGAGAGTTCGGATGTTTCCATAATGACATGCATGCGTGGATGAAAATGATTAGTCAGCTGACACTACTATAGCCGGATGATTTTGAAAGATAAAACAGAAATTACTTTACATTACTTCAATTCAACATTGAATGACCTAAAACCGTGTATAATCGTATGTGATGTTTTACAGGTACTTTCAGAAAATCTGACTATCCCCATCAAATCTTGCGGTTCCCCTTGTCCACGCTTATCAAAGAGACTCCGTCAAGAAAACGTGAAATTAAGCATTTTAATGACCAGTCATGCCGTGCTATGAAGTATGAACGCTCATATATTCTCGATTCACATCCTGCCGATAAGTGCGATGTCTTAAACTGATAACTACTTAACACGTCAGGAGTATGAAAATGGAGCGAAAATTGACATTTAAAATAGGAAATAAACACACAAAGAAAACACAATCGCGCTGAGTCAAAAACAAATGTATCTTGCCATGAAGCGGAGGAACAATAAACAAGGAAAAACATTTGAAAAACAAGAAAAAACGATTTCAAAATGGCATACAAAGAGACGGTCGTAGGGGTATATGGCTTTTCAAAGATCTACCATAAAAAATTCACGGGGTGCGTATTATATTTTATCAGTTGTCTGGCAACAAAATCTGGATTAGAGAACGCCGCTGATTCAGTTGAATCCCACACCCTGCCCTTGTAATTGCACCTGTACCTTCTAGATTAATCGTCATTTATTATTTGGTTCATGATTGGTTAATTATCCCCCATGTTAATGTTGTGATCTTTGGTCACAAAATTGTTGAGCATATAATAAATGGTGTTAATCCTGTGGTATACGTATTCCTCACTCAATCTTGTGTGACAAACTGATCAGCCGTTTTAGAAATTGAATGAAAGGGTAAGTATGATAATTGGAAACGATATTTCTTCCATATCATGACTATGGGCACTTGAGTCTTAAGGATGCTTCGGTTCCTTGTTGTAATTCTTTTGGTGGGAAGAGAAAGATGATACGAAGTGAATGGAATGCATATTTCGGAATACACAACTGAACAGTATGCCACTATCGCAACCAAATCTGATTATACGAATGTGACAAAGTAGTTTTATGAGATTGGCCACACTGATATCACAGCTAATGGACAGTTCAACGGTGGTATGAGTGTTTATCAACCGCTCACCGTCTGCACCATGGGTGAACCAGACACTCGCAGCGAAATGTGTGTGGCATAATTGCTACATCTTCTTTATTTTTATAAGAAAAGTAATCCAGCAGATTATGTGCGCAGATGTACTGATCCATGTAAACAGAACCTTTGACATAAGGTTTCGGGAAGATAGCTGAGATTCAAGATCTAATTTAGGTCATTGACACAAAGTCTAAAAGAAATCTAAGCTGCATGGAAACGGCTAAATGCTACCTCAAAGTTAATTTGCCTGAACACTTCTATAAAAAACTAAATTTATTGATTTAGATTAAAGCCCAAAAGACGTTTTCTAAGTGTCTTTTAATTTTTCAGACCGAACAACCAGACAATGTCTTACCGCAAGTCAAAACAAGGTAAAGTCGTGGTCATCATCACTTCATCAATTTGTCTCCTATCTAAATAATTATCAGTGATATTAGATTTCCGATTTCCTCGAATATTCCTTGTTGAGTTTCAGTTGAAGCAGACTAATAACGATGTCCTAAGCACAAAGTCCAAATTAAAACAATATAGAAAAATTAACAAAAGAACTTTCAATTTTTCGCACCCTCAGGGCAGCTTAAAAATAGTAGGATGTCTGATTTACACTAGACTGTGGGCTGTTACCGGAAGGTACTTCTCAATATTTTCTAACGCTTTTTACGACCATATTCCATCAAAGAACGAAGGCCGTGCCCTTAAAATCTAGTTAATTGGTTATGTAACAACGAATCGTGTCGCGTAAAGTAAGGAGAGTAAAAAGGTTTTTTGCTATTTTGCAATAAATCGATTGACAATGACAGCGATACCGTCAATTTTTTTGCAGTGCGAGATGTCGTTGTAATAATTAAATTAATAATTATGTAACTTTGTCTGAAACAGCTTGACTGAAATTGAACACAAGCATTAGACTTCAGTAAGTGAGCGACTTGTTTTGTCAGTTGTGCTACAGTTTTAGATCAGGATCGTCCAACTATGCAAAGTTAAAAAATCCGTCTGATGTCGTGATTTTTTATATTTCAATCAACAATTTACCTAAATTTAGTAGAAATCGCGTTTTCATTTTACAGATTTTTTAAAAAAGTGTGCGCACATTCACTACAGTTCATGCTGATAAGGCGAAAAGGTGAAACTCGATTCATTCCTATCATTATCAGGATCTCAAATTTCATTATTATATTTGAAAATCCATTTAAAAAAATCCAAGTGATAATTTTGCAAATTCTATGCGTCTGAACCTAAATCTCGCCATTCCAACAATAGAATTAAGTTGTCGAATATGCATTTAGGCAATGCCGATAGATTGATATTTTCAATAACTTTACATCTATTCAACGTGTCCGTTTGCCAGGAGAATTTGTGCGTTCAATTTCCGTTCGATAAACGCAAAAGAAACGCAAGCATTTCGAACAAATAGGCGGATATCATATTAATCTCATAATCGCTGGTTGCTTTGTTTCGTAAGTCTTAAGAGCTCTGTCAGGAATATTAAGTTAGCGCTGAGCGGTATGACAAAAGCCTGACTTGTTTGCTTTTGCCTACAGTTTTCAGGATGCGTCCTAGCGACGTGTAGTGGCCTAGATTATTCCTCAACGTTTGCGCCACAGTGCGGTCGTGTGCGAGATACTGGTGTGGGTGACTCCGTTTGTGATCAATAATTGTGTTCGACTCAAGAATCAAGGCCGAATTGGTGCGCGTTATCAAACGCCCTTCAGGTTAAAAGGAAACGGATCATCAAAACATGTCAAAAATTTTAATAGTTGCTTAGAAGTCCTCGCCGTGGATGACAAGACTGCAGTCACGCATCGCGCGAGCAATCGCTTACGTCAGCGTCTTTTGAGAATGGGAAGAATGCGGGTCAGTCATCGGGAGGACAGGCGAGTCAAGATGGCTTGCTCTTTTACTAGTTGGCGAATTATGGCTTCCTTGTTGGTTCTTTCGACTTTATGTTGCGCGTGTTTCGCGGAGAAAGGTAAGCGATGATATATTGTCACTATATTTTTAATCAAACTGGCTGCGTACACGATTTAAATGGTGTGTCAATCGTCTAAACTTGATGTCTTCGGACGCGAAATATAACACTTATGATAGTCGGTTGTTGATCTTTATTTAAACGTTGTTTCTCAAAATACAATCATTCCAGTGGTTCGTTATAATGTTGCCAATCCGTGTGCTTTACTTGTACTGTACAAGGTGGAGGTTTATACAATATTTGTCGGGGAATTCGAAGCCCTTGTATGACTAATATTGCACGCGTGTGTGTCGTGTACTTTAATCAACAGTGGAATGCAATAAATGTAACATTTTTAGTTCCATCGAGTTAAGTACAATATGTGTATCTAATGTTGCTATTGAGTTTTGGTTTAAATCGCTCAAAAACATTTAATGCTCAATCCTTGTGCGTAAAAGCCATATTATAAAGGACCATAACGGAAATCATGAAATATATTCTGTTACTAAAGTAGACGAAGTACCCTGTCAACAAATAAGCCCGGAATAGTGCTATTGATTTGAGACGTTTGCGGAATGCTAGTCCATGTCAACGGGTGGATTTTATAAGCAAAATATAGTAAAATTGACACCAGTTTGGTCAAATATTTTGTTTGGATAATGAAAGGGCTTTGAGATCAATCACTCGGTGGAATTTTCCTCGATCTACAAATCTTATTTACGCCTATTCACTAGCTTAGCTTTATCATGTTGTTGTTAATGGTTATTGTGTACGAGTTTGGTGTAATCTGAACATTTCAAAAACTATAAACACAAAGCGGACTGCAATATATTATCAGTAATTTGCGGTCGGTGTTTTGTTGAGGCGAAATTAATTGATACCATCCTAAAAATCATTTGATCATGTTGAAAGGTTATAAATAGTTTCTAAGACTTCAAGGCGCGGCGTCAAATTGCTTTAGTTTACTAGCAATGTAAAAAACGTAGTACAGGCTTAACTTTGGGTATAGTTCATAGTTGTGTAGAACATTTGAAAAAGTTATTTACGATTATTCAACGACAATTATTAAGTGGTCATCGCGATATGAAGAATTAGTTGATCGCTAAAGATGTAAACATGGAAGGATGAATGCTAGTCACTAAGTCAGTGTTTTTGTGGTAACAGAACGGACACAGGCGTGTGTATTTTAGGTGATTCCCACTCATTTCTTATGCTCTGACAAAACTAATAACGGGAAAGCAGCGCTGTGCCAAATCCCCGTTGTGTGTGCATTGTATATTTACTTATATTTACACAGCTGGCGCCAAGAAAATTTGCACTCTAATTCCTGAGTTTAAAATGATTTCCTTTGCGAATTTATTAAACTCTGTTGGATGAAGGGGTTGAAATGGTCGTGCTTGTATTAAACGCAGTCATTTGACTTGGTGTCGTTAAAACGGCTTAGCAGGGCGTTTGTTTAAAAGGAGAAATGAAAAGTCGCGAAGAATTGAAATTTCTTGCCTGTGAGATTCTATGACCTTGGCATGGCATGATAAACGGAATGTCATTGGCCAGTTTTCCTACTAATTGCGACTAAATTTTTCGGAAAAGCATACTGGTTTTCCTTTCTTTTCAGATTTCGCCTTTCCCGTCGTATTAAGGATTTTGATGAAATTTAAGCTTGATCAAGATGTCGGTTTCAAATGTCTTGTATTTACCTAACTAGTCGATCAAAACAATTTAAGTATTTTCAGAGTGCGTGTCTTGTTGACGGTAAAGTTTTATCAATGCAAGGACTCGAACGGAGCGCCTCTTTGGCGGTGTTTTGAGAGAAATATGCGAAAATCGATAGTTTGGCGAACACAGTTGATACGTTTTGTGAATAAATTTAATTATTTGGTCGTGCCACCAAGGGAGAAATAAAAATTACTCAATTTGTCAAATATTCATAAACTAGATTTCGAAGAAGAAATAGTCAATAATTTAGTCAACAAGAACCTCCCATTTATCGCGTGATTTTATTAACGACGTTAGGCTCAACGATAATCGCTATTTTGATTACGAGTTCCGGCAGTTCAACGTAAAAAAATCTAGCGTCTTCGAATAACAATGAATAGTTTCAAAATTGAATTGAATTTTTGTCGTGCGAAGGCGTTTCTAACAGTATCCGTTTGACCCAGCGGGTGCGTTTTCGTGGTTTGCGACCAAGGGGCAAGAAATTCTGAGAGTAATGGATAGCTCTCAACTTTGGTTATTTTTTATTACACATCAGCATTGGACATCAGCGTTGATAACTTCGTTTAATCATCGCAAATATTGTGCAATAAAGTGGGTCTATGAGAAAGTAAATAGGGTTGGTTCTTTATTAAAAAGAAGAACGTAAACAAATTTGTCTGAGAGCCGTATAAATTAAATGACACTGTGTGCTCTACCACTAGCAAAGATAATTATCTGGTATTAGCAAGTGTAATATACGAACAAACGTCAAAACTTCGCTTCCAGCTTCAACGTTAGTAATGAAATCTGGTTATGAATTCTTATTTGCTGGTAATATTAAAGAAAGAGAAACCATAATTCATAAAGGCCAATATTTTTGTTTCCCACAAATAACATTGTCATTGAATGAATGATGTCGGCTTTTAAATTATTCGGCAAATATCTTTGAATCATCGTCAGATCAAACACTACATTGTAGTTGCTCAATTTCTATTCTTGTAATGTCTATGTATGATATTTCATTTATTTCAACTAAGTTATCACGAGTTTTGTACCTAGCTGTAGTATGTCAAATATTTCTTTCACCAATTAAACCTTATCCAAATGTGTAATCCAAATTCACGAGAAATATGAATGTTTCATATATATGTGTTAGATTAGAAATCCTTTGTATTTTTAGTCAGAAATCTAATGAAAGGTAATAAAGCATTCTAATATATTTCGTCGTCTCAACTAAGGTTTTCATATTAAAACTCAGCATGGAATAGAGAAGCTTCTTGTTCGTTTATTATCGAAGTAAGGTGACTTTTAATTTGTGGTATGACATGAAGCGTGTCATCCAATTATGTCTTGGGTTGTATTGCATTTTATTAATTTCATAATATGGTGTTATTTGATCACAAGGAGCTCTAGCCCATGTAGTTACTGCTTTTAAGATTTAAACACGACGTGCAGTATTACATTTATTACAGCCGGATTATATGAAATGTAGAAATCTGAGCCCCGCATTTTTTGACAACGCGGAAAAAACGCTGTCGCGAGCGAACCGGAGTACATCCTGTCAACCGCGGCTGTCAACAACTGCTGGGCATACATGGATATACGATTCCTACAATATGTATAAACTAAGCATCTCATCGTAAGCTAACTTCATCAGCATAACGAAGCGAGTTTTCTTCCCTCATGCACTAAGGCTTGTTACCTGAAATTACAGAGTCTGTGGTAGGAGACTGAGGCTCCTCTCACTCCTTGTGTATATATTATATCCTACCTTAATGGTCTTGATTCATCATTCTACCTTCAAATTGTGGATTAGTCATCCATCATTCAACATTATCTGCTTACCATCATTGTGTATTTATCATTTATTACTGATCATACAACATTTTCCTTATGTCATAAATATAGATCTACTATTACCGTTCATTATTAACCAATGCTATCAACAACAATAAACCATGGCCAATTTTTTCAGTATCATCTACCATTCTTCACAATCATTTGCAATTTCATGGAATATCTGAGGATCCCCAGTATACACAGCATATTTCACATGACATTTCATAAATGAATTTATATTTGGCAATCCAGTCTAAGAATTTTCTATTTGGTCACAAATTTTTAGAATATTTGATTAAAGGAAAACTTTGGGATAATGAAAGCACTAGTGATCAAACTGGTGGTCGTAGAAGCGTGGTAAGTCAAACAAGTCAATTCTGGTGTGTTTGAAATGTTAGCTGTACCATTAAGAACCGAATGTTGGTGTATTAATAGAGTAATCTTACTGACCATTAACAGAATGTCTTAATTAGTAACTAAAAGAAGATGGGATAGCTATTAATAGTGAGCTAAAGCATGTGACGTTTTTGACAACACCAACAGCACGAGTAGCTATCAATAACTATTTGGAATTGGCATTGAATAAAGTTCATTATTACTTGCAGTTGATTTTTTTAATTTAAGTTGTATTTTTGCTTTAATTGTATTGAGACTATATGTCTTCATTTGCAGTGGACAAGACAAGATGATGGTAGTGCTTTGTTTTGTGGTCGAAAAACCAACGCTAAATTTCCGCTGAAGTACATAAAAACAAAAGACGCAAAAAAAGTTTTTGTTGAAATTGAATATAACATTTACCGAACATTTGGCGAATCAAGCGGTTTGTTCATTCTCTCAAATCTGTTGATGTCGGAAAATATTTCGGAAGCAAAAGATAAAGAAGGTCTCGTTGAAAAGCATAGCGTGGATAAAATTGCTAGTAACGTTAGAAAGAAAGCAACCCTGCATTACGATATTAACGAGGATGATCACTTTATGAACCTGACTTTGCTTGGTTTTAAAGTCTGTGTTAAAGTGTTTAGTATTACGGTATATTACAATGTATGTCCAGCCAATGAATCTCTAAAGGTTACCAGAACCGCGGCTCCAAGAATTGGATTTATCGAAGCAAGTGTCAACTGTTCTATTAAGCAAAGTGGGAAAAAGGGATCGGTTGTTGTGGCTAAGTGTGGTAGTGATGGTAATTGGAGTAAAGTAGAGGATAAAGAGGGTGGTTGTACAAATGATTGTGACCCTGGAACTGAGCTGATTAATGACACCTGTACAGGTACAGTACTGCAGTCTTTAGACATCTTCTACACAACGAGGCAAATATCTTTTCTCGGTTCATTAGGGGCTCATTAGTTGATATTTGCGTAAGCGAGTTACATGTTGACAATTTAGACAGTTTGTTGTTGATTTGCGACGTAATCTAATCATCCAACTCTGCATATTCTTGTCTTCAGCTTGTGAGGAAAATCACTTCAAGCAAAACAGAGGAACTTATACTTGCAAAAAGTGTCCCCCCAATACTGTCAGTGAGGAAAGCCGTACAAGATGTAAATGCAAGATACGATATTATCGCAACACTGACAATGGTCCTTGCAAAAGTAAGACTAAACATGATTTAGGTTGTCCTGGACAATGTGTTATAACTGGGAGAATTCGTTTATTGCGATGTGTATTCTAGACACTCAAATCATTTCGATCTCCATCCATTTAGCTATTCCATCCAAACCGAAACACCTTAGTTACATTCTACTTTCAAGCCATGCTATCCAGCTCAACTGGAACGTATCACAACAAGATGCTTCTTCGAATCCTGGTTTATATTTTCATGTGAAATGTAAACAACATGGCACCCACAACCAGCGAGTACCTTGCAGGAATTTATCATTGGGAGAACGTGGCGTAAACGTATCCAAATCACCTTTCATGATCCAACACTTGTTGAATGACACCACGTATACTTTCATCGTAGTTGCAATGAATGATGTTAGCGGTCATGTCAGTGAGGAAGAGTGGATGCATGCAACTGTCGATGTACGATTGCAAGGAAGTATCACAACCAAGGCTACTAAAGGTAAGACATCTTGATGACTTTTTCATTACTAAGAAAATATCATTCCGCTAACTGAATCCTCTGATTAATAGTTTGACATTTCATATCGTTGAAGGTGATTCAGAAATAGATTCAACTGAACTCGTCCTGTTATGGTTTCCCCATGGAAAGTTTGTCGACTATTGCTAGCCGCTTATAGTATTTACACGTTTTTTTTTATTTCAAGTTTCAACCAAACACACGACGGAAAAACCTCCTGTTGTCACAACATCAGGTTGGTCGTCGTCTTCCTCTGGATCATCTCGCGGGCTTCCTGAAACCGAAAGCAAAACTTCAAGTAATGCTGTTCCTAGTGTCTTCACCACTGCATTCTCGAAAGGCAGTGTACAAGCCAGGGCTGACAAAGATGATGATGAACAGTTTATGCCTTACATTGGTATTGCCTCTGGATTCATTATACTTATCATCATCGTTCTGTTAATTATTCATTGCAAAAGGTTTGTCATTTATCGTTTAAAGCTTCAGTAAAGTCACCTCTTTTAATTCCACTAATATGTCCCCTGAGTACAGAATTTTTACAATTGTTCATTATTGTGTTTATTTACACTTACATTTAGAAAACACATGAAAAAGAAGAAGCTTGACATTGAAGAAGAAGGTAAACACTGGTTGCTGTCACTTCCGTTAAAATTTGGTCGAGGTCGAGACACTGATGAAACCAACAACGACTTAGGCAGAGCAAGTGTGTAACATAGATTAAATAATGAATTTTACTATTCTGCAGGTATGCTGTTGAATTATCCCGAAACATATGTAAATCCAGCTAAATATGGAAATCCTGAGAAAGCGGTAAGAAAATTTGCCAAAGAAATCGATAGACGTGAGATCAAATTGGAAGGACTCATTGGTGAAGGAGAATTTGCAAAGGTGCACAAAGGAATGCTATGTCGACCCAATGAACCACCAGTAGCTGTTGCTCTTAAAATACTGAAGGTAAACTTGCAATCCTCTTCTTTAACTTCGTGCTTTGAATCCTAAATGCTACTTTTCGCCAACTCCGAACGTGAAAAGCGAAATTCCCAAGTCCCGTTTACCTTTATTAGAGACTTATGTAATACATTGAACTTTGTTTTAGCCTGGTTCAACTCCAAAAAATCGAGAGGACTTTTTAACAGAAGCTGCAGTTATGGGACAGTTCAAAGATATGAATATCGTTGCTCTTGAGGGAGTTGTTACCCAGAGTAAGTTGAACGCTTGGGTTAAGATATTCTGTCATTTTAGATACCGTTTCAAATTTGTTCCTAAAACGTGTCGACTTGAAAATTGAAGAAGACCATTCTTCAACAATAAATCTGTTTTTCTACAGGTCATCCTGTTGTGATTATAACAGAGTTTATGCATAACGGAGCACTTAGTGATTATCTTGTTGTAAGTACAATGTTGTTTGTTCACTTCTGATTATTTTAAACCTGTATTCAGGTCAACTATGGTAGTATATTTTAAGTGTAACCGGCCTTTTGTAATATCTGTACTTTTTCTTATAGCGACACAAGAATCGTTTCACGGAAATTGAACTTCTTGGAATGGCAAGAGGAATTGCTTCAGGCATGAAATATTTGGCCAGAATGCGTTATGTTCACAGAGTACGTCAATATTTATTATTTTTCTCTTCAAGATCTGACCAGTGTCTGTGACTTCTGAAGTGTATTTTGAACGAAGCCCTGTTTCTCTGTCTGAACTATTTGTTGAAAAATAACCTGATACGAATAGTTTTCTAACTTGCAACGTTTTCTGATTTCGTTTTGCCAGGATCTTGCTGCAAGAAATGTGCTGGTGAATGAAAATTTGGTTTGCAAGGTCGCTGACTTTGGTTTGACGCGGGAACTTGAAGAATCTTGTCAAGGAGAATATGTCACACAGGTAGGTGTGCGCGTTTTCTTGGGAATCGTGATGCTTCGAACCCTTGTACCAATGTTTTTAAACTGTTCTTTAGGGAGGAAAGATTGCTATTCGTTGGACAGCTCCGGAAGCGTACAAACATCGTCGCTTTACTACTGCGAGTGACGTTTGGAGTTACGGAATTGTTTTATGGGAGATCATGACCTACGCTGACAGACCTTATGGCGACTGGGATAACTACATGGTAGGTACACAAGTTGATTATTTTTAATTCATTCTTGTTTGCATCCTTTTTAGTTATCTCCTTCTAACCATATTTGCTTTTCAATATTTGTGCAGGTTATGCATCAGGTCACTGCCAACTACAGATTGTTTCCGCCCATGGTAAGTGAATAGTGCATTTTACCAAACTTTATAATTCAGTTCAAAACTGTTCTCTTGGTGCTTTTGATCTTCTCACGATCAGTTTTTCTTTTAAAATTGATGAATTCATTGCCTCTTCACTTTTTAGAATTGCCCGAAAATTGTTCATCAGCTAATGATGGAGTGTTGGAATGCTGACAGAAGTCAAAGGCCTTCATTCACAGATATTGTTGAGATGTTGGAAAGATGGATAAGGAATCCATACTTACTGAAAGACTATCAATACGTGACAGAAAAGTATGTACTAGGATCTTGATGTTTTGAAAGAACTATGTTGGTATTAGCACCAGCTGTCTTTCCAAAAGCACTGTCAATACTGGAAAAAGTATGAGCTTTCTTTCTTCTTTTAAAATAATCACACCACATCTAATTTTAGGGATCGTATGGCAGACCGCAAATCTTGTATTGCGAAGTCAATTCGCGAGTACCTTGAAGGCATTAAAATGGATCGATATATCGAGAATTTCATCGATTTCGGTTACACGGAACTCTATCAAATTCAAAACATGACAGACGATGACCTCGTCAATATTGGTGTACCTCTGGTTGGACATCGAAATAAGATCATCAAAGGTCTACGAGGGGAATCGGAACCCTTGTTACCAATAGATGCAGTAGATGTATAATGGTATCAGTATGGTACATAAAAGTATGGTGGTGTGTGAGGGTGAAATCCCCGTACTGGTGCTTCATTGTATCCTGAACGTGTGAAGTCTAGTTTCCTCTTCATGGTGATGATACGTTTTGTTGTGTTAAAGTATATCATGGTTCTCCTGACAATTGGTGTTGGCACTCCTGCCAGTGATTTTGTTGACAATTATCACAACACAGAAAAGATTCAAGCAGCCCGAAAAGTAATTCGCTTCTTCCATGGTTGGTATCTCAAATATTTAGCTGCATAGATAAAGCTTTAAAGAGTTTGGTTATATTTGTAAAATATAAAATGTATTGTTATTACTAAAATATGGTTATTTATCGTGTTAATAAAAAAACTATAGTTCTAATACATCGACTCGCAGAACGGTACATCTGGTTGGATTTTGATTCAAATTGTTTTATATTCACATTAATTTTTTGACGTTCAAACAAAAATACTTAACAAAAACGGCTGGCATTTCCAGTTATAATGCAAACGGCTTTTAAACTGTACATATAATATTCGACTACAGTGGATATAAAGTTCCATTTCAATGCTAACTTTCTCGAATCTGAAACAGGCTGCAGTATAGCCTGAAATGATTCGAGGAAGTCCTCAAGGAAGTAAACTATGTACTAGCTCTCATGATCTAAAAGGGGAAAGTGTAATATATTATAATAAAGAAGAAGCATTCTTTTAGACCTGGTAGTCTGAAAACACGGATTGGGAATGGGACTAGTCAACTAGAATCCCATGCTAGTCCCAAACCTTTTCTCACTTTCAGATCAGCCAGCAACAGAATGTTTCATGTGTAAAACAAACTAAAAAATTCATTTCAACATATTGTTGTGTTATAAGGTTTTAAATTATTAGATCGTAGTTTTAATTGAAGAGATATTTTGTTAGTGTTTTGTATTTAAGTTATTGTTTATATTTATTTATAAAAATAAAGATTATTTTCCTGTTTATCATTAGTGGCTTTGTTGAAGTTGTTCGTCTAAAAACCTGTGATCAGAACGTTCATATAGTCCTTTGAGTCTATAAAGTAAAGGGAAAAAAGTAAATGAGAAGAGCAACCTGCGGATACGCATAATACGCGGATGGTTTGACTGATAGCAGAGAAACCGGACTGCAAAACTGCAGACTCGAGTCGTGTCATTACAATGTTTCTTCTTAAATTTATGCTGCGAAAGTCAGTTTTTTGTTAACCAATATATATCTTTGATAAAACAGATCTTTTTTAAATATTTGAGCATATATCACGTTCTTCTGACATGCATTTGGAATTTTCATTTGACTGACCATGGTTGGTTGGTTGTCTTTTTATACCAGGATTGATGTTATTGTTATCTGATGATTGGTGTCATCTGTCGGAGCAAACTATGACATAGTGAAAATTAGCTATACACATGCACAAAGATTGCCGTGTTCATAGACTGTAAAAACAATCAATTTCTAAAGAATAGTGATACTTCAAATTTTCATAGCAGGACTAAATCGCCGCTATAACCTCGTGATTGCTCACCCCGGAAGAGAGTAGAGAAAAAACCCCAATACTGTTCATTCACATTTTATCGTCAATTCATATAGTGCGAACTATAGATATATGAAATTTGATTGCTTTGGAACCGTATTTGCATTGTGGATTCTGATAAAAGTTGTTCCGCATATACCATCGTCAAAATATTGGTCAGTTGCTTTGTCAAAACCGACATCACCGATATTGCTGAAAGGAAGACTACCCGACAAATTTTCCGATGTTTTGCTGAATTGCAGTGAGAAATTGTGGTCGTGTTCAGCGTTACAGTTGTGCATTTATTCAGTTCTGTGAAAGGTAATGAGACTCTATAATATACTCTGTTCTATTGACTAGACACGTCATGCTACATGTAGTCACTGTAAGAACTCGCTCGAGTCGAGTACTGTGAATGTAACCTTTTTGAGCCTTCTCTGAAACAAGTGAAAATGTAATAATGCCGCATGGCATATTGATTAACTCGTTTAATATAAAGTTTCTTTATTTCGTGAATGTATAATGTTATTATTTCAGGCAAAGTCTTCGTGATAATGTTTGCGTGTTAAATAGCACTATGGTTTTGTGGCTTGTGGCGTATATTTGTTTCTGCTTTTCTTTATTCCAACTAACAAGCTCTCAAGAAGGTAAATAATCATTAAATTATGTATTCATTGACCTCACCGTTTGATTTCGAAGCGAGGCAAGTTTCGTATTGGTAGTGAAGCTGTGATGATTTTAAACATCAGAGTTCGTAAATAAATCAAATTTGCATTTGCTATTGTTTCTTAAACGAAGATATCGTGACGGGAGCTGGTTTAAAAATGCTTGGTGTTTGAAACTGTCCGTTTTCAACCCATTTCAGTCACATTCATGAAAGATAAGAATAAATAAAAAGCCTCAAATACTTCACTATTCATCTTTTTTTTTCTCATGTTTTCGACACTGGTGAAATATGAACATTTCACACTTTATTTGACCATTATTTTTCTCCATGGTAAAGGATCTGATTGAAGATTTTGATTTTTGTTTATTTCATTTATTTGCACATCCTGTATACAATTGCAGTTATCAAAGATGCTACATTAAAGAAATTCTGGTTCAGAAATACGTACTTAGTGAATGGAACTGGCACATCGGTAAAAGCTATGATTTATGAACATTAAGCCACTATACATAAATATTGCAAGGGAAGAGAGTGAAACTCTTTTGAATAGCATCAACCTTCTTGTTAGATTTATAATTTATTAGCATCGTTATCATGAAACTGATATTTTCATTGTTCTGACGTAGTTCCAGTATGACAAAAAAGCCGATGGTTATCATACATGTGCAGGCGGGGAGGAGCTTGAATCATGGCTTCTGACTAAAACCTTAACCAGCAACCAAACCTTGCCTGATGTGAAACTTTTTATCGAAATTGAATCGCAAATGGAGGAATGTGAAGTCCAAAATGGAGTTTGTTTCAAAGATGGATTTGAGCTTTTTAAATACAACGGCGCCGGGGAACCCGAAATTCAAGTAGACGCGAAAGCAACCGGTGGTAAGAAAGAGAAACAAAAAGCTAAAGCATTTTTTGACGAACATTTTACTTTCCTTGGTAACATCACTGGAAACACAACAAGTATGGATCGAGTAAATACGACATTCACTTTAAACTTTAAGGAATTTCGCGACATTACGTTTGGTATCAAATCTAGGGGTGGTTGTGGCAGTGTAATAAGGATAAAGGTTTATTACTATATTTGTAAAGAGACATTCATAAAAAGTGTTATGTTTAAGAGAACATTGTCTCCTCAAAACGGAATCAAGGTAGCGTTTGGTAATTGTTCTCTCAATTCGCGTCGGAGTTCGCACATGGGTGATTTTAAAGCATATTGCTACAGCAATGGATCTTGGAGTACTGAAAAGGATATAAGTTGTCTATGTGATAGAGGATACGAACCAACAGAAGGGCATAGGTGTTCCCGTAAGTCTTACAATGAAATATCTGCGTAACCTAAGTTATACAATATCTTTCAGTATTTAAAATTTTGTGCACCATACGCAAGTCTGGCATCATTAATAGATTGTTGTGATGGCAGTGACCAAGTTTAACTATATCATGTTTAGCTTGTAAATCCGGACGGTACAAGAAGGAGGTCTCAAACGAGAAATGTATGCCTTGTCCTGAAAACACACTGGACAACCGCACAACATGCATATGTAAAAGGGGGTATTACAACCATCCTAAAGATTTTGACTCTAAAACCCCATCAAGGTGTTATGGTAAGCTAGATTATGATATCTGTTGAAAGATTTTTTAAAAAATATCACTTGCCAAATCTTGCTTGTCTCTTTGTCAGCTCCAATTAAACTCGATGAAGAACCGAAAATTGAACCAATCAACGATGGGAGTAATAGTGTAAATATAACGTGGGTACCACCAGTAAACAACAGTGGGGTCATTGAAACAGTTTTTTATGATATATTCTGCTTTGTTTGCAATCAATCCATCTGCAACAAAAGCTGTGCAGACTTAACGTATACTCCTGAACAATACAACTTGACGGAAACGCATACTGTTGTATCTAGTTTGGTTGAAGGCACAACTTATGAGTTTAAAATTTATCCAAAGAACAGTTTGAACAAAGTTATTCCCAGAGATGAATGGAATTTCATCGCAAGTAAACCATTCACTTTTGAATCAGCTGGAGGTGAGACTAAAGTTTTAGTTACTTTTTACGTTTTCTTTTTAGTTAAAGTCCATCTCTTTCTATTCACTGGGCAGTGAAGCAAACAGAGTTTGGCGATTTCGTACGAGACTTTCAATGAAAGTCACGAAGACAATTTATTCCAACACACAAGAGTTTGAAAGAGAGCCCAAATTTAGTATACATTACTGTAAATCTCGAAATGTTGCGCCAACACCAAAAAGGTGAAGGGTAACACTATTTAAGTGTGGTACAACAACACTTGAAAAGTGACTTAAATTGTATTTTTTCTGTCGAGTTGAAATCACCATATTCATGATGGTACTTAGTTTTAGATTCCAAAGACCTCCCGGGAGATACCAATTCAGGAATTGGTGCATTAGAAGGTGGATTGATAGGCATCGCTGGTACAATAATTCTTGGGGTAGTTGCATCACTTGCATGTCTTTTCATACGCACAATGCGAAAAAAAAAGCGAAGACAACCTATAAAGGTGACCTTTTTAGTTATTTAGAAACGATAATAAGTATTAAATTAGATTTGCTGGGCAAAACTAACTTAGAACATCCGTCCGTCTTTCTTTACATGCCATTGCTTACGTCACGATCTGAATTGAATCGTTATCTCTCCGTCATATTTCCCCGTCGATTTTTATCCTCTAAGGAATTGCAGATACCGCGAAATTCTTTAAACTCAGCATCATTTGAACTGGGAATGCACAATACCATTGGTAAGTTATTCAACAGGCTAGCCATAAAGTAATCACTTGATGTTCGGAAGTCCACGCAAGAACTGTATAAACGTTTCTATTCCATTCTCATGAATAATAAAAAAGAAAATTGGGAACACTCTTCCCTGGTCCAAGCTAACAGTCGATCGCACGAATTCAGGATAATCTTTACCCACATACATTTGTAAGGATAGAAAGGTTAAAACATTCAGGATAATCTTTACCCACATACATTTGTAACGATAGAAAGGTCAAAACATACATTCTCGCCTTTTTGCCGAACTGCATGTACAAAAATGTTTTCTGTATAGAAGAAAGACTATCTTATGTCGACATATTGAAAGACTGGGAGATCTCGCCACGCGATCTGAAGGTGCTGAACAAGAATCTAGGAGCTGGTCAGTTTGGAGTCGTGAAACAAGGCTTGTATACACCTCAAGATTGCGAACCAGAGAAAGTTGCCATAAAAATGTTGAGAGGTACTGTCGTACTGAATAAAGTTGTAACGCAATGTTTATTTCATGGTTGACAGCGACGTCAGGTGCTGCATGATATGACAGCTTGAACCGACTAAATATTTAATAAAGAAAAAAATCCAACTTTTAGAGAACTCGTCGCAGTCGGAATTATCGAATCTGCTGGCTGAAATAAAGATCTTGAAAGAAGCCAACAAGGAACAACACCCAAATATCATACGATTTGTCGGGAGCTGTTTGTTAGAAGGTGAAACTGCATGAAAATATTGTTTTTTTTTGAAGCAGAATTGTGCTGATCTGCATTTGAATCAGCTGAAACAACTATATAACAAACCGAAAACATCGCTGGGAGAAACAAATCGAAAGTGTGAACAATTGGAATAACTTGATTTTGTTTCGAGTGGAGCGCAAGCAAGATGTTTTCACGCAATTTTATCACCTTTCTATTGGACATTGGCTGACGTTCAGCATTTTCTTCCGTATCATTACTTTTTATTCTCTTTCCTTTAGGAAAACTTCTGATGGTAACTGAGTTTTGTCCAGGAGGAAATCTACGAACATTTCTAATCAAGAGTAGAGTTAATGATAACTCGACAGATTCCCACCATATTTATGTCAATATAGCTTCAACTTTAAGTGATCGACATTTGTTGAAATTAGCTGCTGAGGTCGCAAATGGAATGGTTCATCTTTCCTCTCAAAATGTAATTGAATTTATTAGACGCAAATTTTTTTATTTACCACATGGATTCGTTCCAATTTTCCATTCACAATGGGAGAAATTAACCTTTTATAAGGTTATACCATAAATTATACCATATGGACAGAAGCTTAACAGGTAGACGTTAATTAAGATATTTTTTCAGTTTCTTCATCGGGATTTAGCGGCCAGAAATATTCTTCTTGGCCAAGACAATGTGGCGAAAATTTGTGACTTTGGTTTGGCCAGAGATGTTGGAATATATACGAAATACTCAGGTAATCTGCCATGATGAATGACATTGGTTGCCATTAATCATCCAATAGCATCTTTACGTTAGTCAATGATTCATTTTGCAGAATCTTCTTCCAGTGAAATGGATGTCCTTGGAAAGTTTATTTGACGGTGTCTTCACAACTGTAAGCGATGTGTAAGTTCGTCTTTGATGAATGATAAAAAATGCTTTTGCTAAGAGCTCTTTCTTTTTCACTGCGGAACGTCCAATTATCTTATGATTGCCTTTATTTTGATACAGATGGAGCTTTGGTGTTCTTCTCTATGAAATTACAACTCTTGGTGAGTATAGGACGTCTTATCAGAATTGTAAACACCGTACAATGTCAACGTCTGCGAACGCACGTTAATCCAGTTTTACCATAAGAATCATGAAATGACTCGCTGTTTATACATTCAGGTGAGGAACCATACAAGAACATTCCACCACGTGCTATTATCACTCACGTGGAATCAGGAGGTCGAATGTCAAAACCTCCACACTGCTCCAATGAGGTGTAAGTAAAGATGAAGAATTATCATCATATAATTCGTCGCATCGTTAATCTTGTTCATGAAATCGTACTGACCAGGAATACCAGTTTTTCACCATCTATGTGGTCATCGTTGCATGGCAATATTTTGTAACCTAGTTTTTGGCTGTGTCATCAGTCATCTGCACAAGAACTTTTCCCTTTTAGGCTCGTTAGGATCTTTGGGTGCATGATGATATATTAATTTCATTATTTAAAACCAGAGTATAGCGATAATTGCGATGGAAGTTACATCAGGTTGCCGCATGAACTTTTATTCTTTTAGATATGAAATAATGTCAAATTGTTGGAAAATCAATCCAAAGGAGCGACCCACTTTCCCAGAAATATTGCAGGCTCTACGTGATATGCTGAATGATACCGAGGTAGGTTATATAGTTCATGTTTATAGGCATATCATTATTCATCGAACTCCAGAACGGTAAAATTAATTTAGTGTAAAGTTGCTTGTGTAATACTCGCAGATATTTTATTGGTAAAAATGATCAGATAATTGTGACACACCCCCAAAATCGCTGTGAACGATTTAGACCTAACGAGGCAAACCTGCATCTATTGATTTTTGTCCTGCATTTCAGCGTTCGTACATTAATGTTACGCATGTGGAAGACGAATCTCGGTTTGTTTAACCATGTAGTCTAATGGAGTGGTGAATATGGAAGGCATATTAGAAAATACATGAAAGAACGTTTTTTAAAGTTTAGAGTATAGAACATGTAAAAAGCCATCTTCAAGACCAAAAAATCTTTCTCAATTATAGCTAATATAGAGCTTTGTTTGAAGTATGTTATCTATAGATTATTATAGGCCTAGGTAACGTCTTGTATATTACATATATGATATATGCATATTTTTAATAAGGCTAAGCCTTATACTAAGCCAATAATTCTTGAGTTATTTGTCTTAAAGAAGCGACATCACACTACTCTTTTACTACAGACCTTACTGTTAAGTGTCATCGATGCATGAAGTGCATTGTCCGTTTAACGGACTTCCACAATTTATTTGCATGCATATCATACGGGGATGGCAATGACAAAAGAAAGAAACAAAGAACTTTTGAAAGACAGATCTATCTATCTATCCTGTCAACACAGATCTCTTCCTTGTGGTTGTCATTTTGGAGGAAACTCCCTTTAAATGCGAACGACTATACTTTGACTATACTTTTCAGTTTTATTCAATTTTAAAAGAGCCTGGTTACGAATTAATAGGTGATTACCAGGATTTGCTCAGGTTTTATAGACTTCCTGAAAAGTAACCCGATCCCTCCAAAACTGAAGCCAGGGAAATTCTCGACTGTATTAGTGTATACGTGAGGAAATTATCGTTTTTCCGCCTCTATAATCTACACAAGGTTATTTGGTAGAAGCGATATATAAGACAAAAGTTTGAGTCTTCATAATTTGTGATAAAAAGCTGATGAAATATCTTCTGATATACTTCCGTCTTAATCGGGATTCCTGTGTGTCGACTTATAACACTGCCAACACTGGCGGACTGTCCGGTTCCTCGGTTTGTACAGATCGATAAGGCAGATCAGTTACTGATAGAGGGAAGAAGTGTTTCTTACTATTCGACAGGAAAGGTACTAACAATTACTTCGAGGTTTAAAGTTAGCCCGAGTTAGTTCGAGTTATTTAACCGCTATATATATAATTTGCTTATCATAACAAACTCGCCCCGGGCGAGGTCCTGTGTTCGGATTATAAATGTATGAGTCTAGATAAAAGTAAAGGGGAAAAAGTTAATAAGCAATATACAGAAACCTTTCGACTGATACTACTAGAGAAACCTTTGGTAGAGTGAAAATATGGACTGCGGAACTAGGGACGCCATGCATGTCAATCAATTACAATGTTTTTTTTCGACAGTCGTTTAAATTGTAGCCATGCTGCGCAAGTTAGTTTTTCTCTTTTTTAATACCGTTCTTGCATGCATTTTGAAATTAATTTCATCTGAATGACCATAGTCGGAAGGCTGCCTTTTATGCCAGCTAGTACTTCGAACTAATATTATAAGGTTTACCGCTAAAACGGACACAACGCGTTTAACCATCAATATGTTCTGTTTTAGGGATACTGCATATTTGTTATGGTACTACATATCATAATAATGCGGGTGATTTGTACGGTTGCTTTATTTTGCTCGCAGCTAAAAACGGTGTTGGCTGCAAAAGGTAAGTTCTAAATTGTTGAAAACATATAAAGCTTGTCCTGTTTAGATTTGGTATTTTAAGGAATAGGAACTAGATTGCAGAGCGGGATAACTTCAGTCGTGGTCTCGTCTAATGTATTTCAAAAACGTGATATTTTCACCGGAATGTGTGCAAATAATACCTATATAAAGATAAACAATATTACAAATACACGTTTAGAACATAAGAAACTTAGAGAATCTCAAATATATATCAAATTACTGTCAAAAAAGGAAGCATTCAGTTTTTTAAAAGCAGTAAGCTCTCAGTGGGTTGATTCGATGTCATCCTGGATGAATTTCACAAAGGTGGAATTCACCCAGGATGACATTGAATCAACCCACTGAGGAATAATTTTAAAATTCTTAAAAAGAAAAATAAGTTGTAGTGTGTATAAAAGATAGACATGCAGTTATTTTTTTTAATTATAGATAATAATAATTCACAATTAAGTTGAGGTTTGAAGTTCATCACGAAGAATCACTGCCACTGGAATATTTGTTTTTTATTTTACAGAGCAAATTACACCGAAGAACCATTTGACTTTGGATGATTGGAGAGATGTGAATGGCAAACAAGGCGATGTGAAAGAAACGGTTAGTTTTAAATAATACTAACTTTCGGCAACAGCCGTTTATTAGTTCGATATATTCATTTTTTATGCAAAAATCTGGTATTTAATTTTTTTCTTGTTTAGTGGAGCCCTTCAAGCGATGGCAAAGAAATCCTTACAGCAGTCGGTAAACGTGGTGGTGCAAGCTGGTTCATTACACCGAAACTGGATTTACCGAAAACGTCGTATCTCAATATATCAGCATCATGCACACTTAATTGCCAATTAGAACTTTATGGACAAAATGACTAGTAATCTCCTTTATTATATTTATATTCAATATTTTTCTTTAAGTTGGAATGCGGACATTAGTTACATGACAACTATAAAGTCATTACGGACCTTAACACTCCTTGATGATTATGATAGATATTTATGTATTCGCTGAATTTATTATGCTTAATTAATATGAATATTTTCACAATAGTCGACGAGTTTGACATTTATGTGCCTCTTGAATATCTTTTGTACACTACAAATCATATTGAATATCTTTGTACACTATCTGCATGCATGTGCAGAAATATAGGGTCATTTTGACTATATAGCTACATACATTCATTTGAGCCTTCAAAACTCAAAAAAGCATTTACACTGACTTTAATTTTCCTTTCATAGTTCTGCAAAGACAAGCAAATTCCAACCTATAGAAAACGCAACGTTTAGCAACAAAACTACGAAAATCATCACAATCAACACCAGGAAGTCTTACTCTCTTTTACGTATTCTTGCACGGATTCCGTCGTCGTCATCAGGAAAGGAAAGCAGATTCACTATTTACTCTATCAACATGTATTATTATTACTGTGAAGAAAAGACTGAATATAACACAACTTTAAGAAGAGTGAACTCATCCACAGAAGACATTGATAAAACGGTTCAATGTCAAGATAATTCTGTTTCAAGCAACGGTGGAAATAACAGTAACATAATAGCAAAGTGTACACCGCAAGGAGCCTGGGACTTAGATAATGAAACATGTGATTGTTTAAAAGGGTTTGAAGGTTCTGTTAAGTGTTTTCGTGAGTATAAAACCTACGTTTTTTAGCTTTGCTTACATTTTATACTATATTCTGGAGTTGTATTTGCCCAAATCTTTCTACGATGCGTTGTTTTTTCGTGGAAGCACCACGAAATGGCAAACATTCAGATTGTGCGCTGGAATAGGCTCGCCTATGCACGCGCAAACGCCACGAGAACGAAAACATTTCTGGGCTGCCTGATGAAATAATATACAAATTGAAGTCTTTAGTTTTTAAAAGATTCGTGATGTTTCCACAAGATTTTATATGTATTAGTTTCTTTTCATACAGTTGTTCTTGTTAAAGGTTGTCAAAAAGACTTCTACAAAACTACTCTTGGAGATTCACCATGCCAAAAATGTCCTTCGGGTAAAACAAACAATACGATGCACACAGAATGTGATTGTTTAAAACGTCATTATATTGGAGATGATGATAATGGACCATGCTATGGTATGAACAGAAAACATTCATAAATATATCACAGGATTATGGCAAGCACACTTGCTTTTATATATATCTTAGTACAGTGGGAGGAAAAAGTTAGGTTGAAATTTCCACACCACCGGCGGTTACAACTATAATAGCGACGAAATGTTAATATATTTTCTTCCATTTTTCCTTAGCGGTTCCACCTGCAGTCGAGGAGTTGATGGTTAAAAAGGGAAAAACGTCAGTTAAACTTACTTGGAAGAAACCAGAAGTTGACCAATCGTTGTTACATATTGGAAATTTGACATTTACCATCGTATGTGATAATTGCAACAGGTCAAGAACTACATTTTTTCCAGCCAAAACAAACTTAACAACGACGTTCATAAATATCTCTGGATTGGTAACCAACAAGTCCTATACGTTTAAGGTGTTTACAATGAACAGTCTGAAAAATGTCACTTGGAATTATGCTGAGCAATCTGTCACACTTCCAGGTTAGTACAGTACATGTACAAGTCAAGAGTCAAATCAAAAGATTTTTAGGTATGGATTTACGGGTTTTGATCCAAAAATAGAGAAAATCGCCGTACCAGTTACTACTTCAAGTCTTATCATGGAGGAAGTGCCGAGTGTTCCTAGGTACTAGAACAATCCGCAGGAACGTTAATAATATATTATACTACACATATTGTATCGGCAGCACCATGCAAAGTTGGCTAATATATAACCTCATCATGTCTTAGATTACCCAAACCCAACAACACCGTCTTTAGTAACAAAGGCTAACCCGGGTGTTACCAAAATTGGCGGATTAGAAGGTGGATTGATAGGCATTGCTTCTACAATTATTTTTGCTGTCGTTGCATGTCTTTTCATGCGACGAATTCGAAAAAAACAGCGCGAGCGATCTGTAAAGGTAAAAGTTTTTTTAGCTTAATAATTTTGGGTGTCTTTGAATACATATGTACAAGAAGGAGTTTTTCGTTAACTCCAGGAGAAGGAATTCGAGACATCTTGTTTTCTTTAAGGAGCCTGAACCACCACCAATTCCCTCAAAATCGACAACGCTTGAACTGAAAACTCATGTAAACATCGGTAAGAAATTTCACAGATGTGAGTTTATTAGCTATACTGAGGACTCGAGGCAATATGGCCAAGATGTCAACATGTAAATTGTTTCTTAGAGATGATTCACACGAACTCCTACGAATAAGGCATTATAATACTTTTACACTTCTCGTTCTTTGTTTTTTTTTGTGCTGTTCAAATGTTGTCGTTTTACAATCAGTTGCAGAGAGTCACACTCGTGTCGATATATTGAAAGACTGGGAGATCTCACCAAATGATCTGAAGGTGCTGGACAAAAATCTAGGAGCTGGTCAGTTTGGAGTTGTAAAACAAGGCTTATATACACCTAAAAATAGCGATCCAGAGAAAGTTGCTATAAAAATGCTGAGAGGTACTGTATGAGGCAATATACTGTCCCATAGGCATAGTATTAATAATATTATTTATGCGTAGCTAAATTAGCGACTTTGAATGTGCGATACAACTTACGTTTAGCCGACTATAAAGTGAATTCTAACTTTTGTTTTAGAAAACGCCACGGAATCGGATCTGGTGGATCTGCTGGCTGAGATAAAGATCTTGAAAGAAGCGAACAAAGAACAACACCCAAATATCATAAAATTCATTGGAAGCTGCTCATTAAGAGGTGAGTCTGTAAAACGATAATGCAGACGGTGAACCGGAAACCTGTGTATTCAATGCCAGTTCATTTACTTCAATATTCTTTAACTATCCTCTGATTATTTATTCTCTTCTCTTTATTTAAGGGAAACTTCTCATGGTAACGGAGTTTTGTCCTGGAGGAAATCTACGAAAATTTCTGATCAAAAGTAGAATCAGCAATAACCCGAACACTACAACGTCAGATTATGTCAATATAGTTTCGGCGTTGAGCCATCGTCATTTGTTGAAATTAGCTGCTGACGTTGCAAGTGGAATGGTTCATCTTTCCTCACAAAATGTAATTAATTCATTTGAAGCCATTTCTTATTTACAACAACTTAAATTAACTCTCTAAGATTATACCATAGATTATACCATACTGGAGAGATCCTCAAAAGGCAGATAGATTTTAATCAAGATATTTTATGCACGTTTTTAGTTTCTTCATCGGGATTTAGCGGCCAGAGAATGTATTCTTCTTGGTGAAGAGAATGTGGCAAAAATATGTGACTTTGGTTTGGCCAGAGATGTTGGAAGTACTGAGGAATATATACGAAATACTCAGGTAATCTGCCAGGAAGAATACCAATGGTTGCCACGATATTGATAAATCATAGTAAATTAATCAAATTATCATTTGTCATCGATTCATCATCCTATAGCGTCTTTACGTTAGTCAATGATCCATTTTGCAGAATCTTCTTCCAGTGAAATGGATGTCCTTGGAAAGTTTATTTGACGGTGTCTTCACAACTGCAAGTGATGTGTAAGTTCGTCTTGCTTTTGCTGAGAGCTCTTTCTTTTTCACTGTGGAACGTCCAATTACCTTATGATTACCTTTATTTTAATATAGATGGAGCTTTGGTGTTCTTCTCTATGAAATTACAACTCTCGGTGAGTAGGACGTCTTATCAGAATTGTAAACACTGTACAATGTCAACAGAGTCTGCGAACGCACGTTAATTCAGTTTTACGATAAAAATCGTGAAATAACTGGCTGTTTATACACTCAGGTGAGGAACCATACAAGAACATTCCACCACGTGCTGTTATCACTCACGTGGAATCGGGAGGTCGAATGTCAAAACCTCCACATTGCTCCAATGAGGTGTAAGTATGAAGAATTATCATCATATAATTCGTCGTAGCGTTAATCTTGTTCATGAAATCGCGCTGACCAGGAATACCAGTTTATCACCATCGATGTGGTCATCGTTGCATGGAAATATTTTGTAACCTAGTTTTTGGCTGAGTCATCTGCACAAGATGATATCAATTATCAATTTTATTATTTAAAACCAGAGTATAGCGATAATTGCGATGGAATTTATATCAGGTTGCCGTGAACTTTTATTCTTTTAGATATGAAATAATGTCAAATTGTTGGAAAATTAATCCAAAAGAGCGACCCACTTTCCCAGAAATATTGCAGGCTCTACGTGATATGCTGAATGATAGCGAGGTAGGTTATATAGTTCATGTTTATAAGTATATCATTCATCGAACTGCAGAATGGATAAAATTAATTTAGTGTAAAGTTGTTTTTGTAATACCCGCAGCTATTTTATTAGTAAAAATGATCAGATAATTGTGACGCACCTCCAAAATGACTGTAAATGGTTTAGACCCAACGAGGCAACCAAACCTGCATCTATTGATTTTTGTCCTGCATTTCAGCGTTCGTACATTAATGTTACCCATGTGGAAGACGAATCTCGGTTTGTTTAACCATGTAGTCTAATGGAGTGGTCAAGATGGAAGGCATATTAGAAAATACATGAAAAAACGTTTTTTATAAAACGTAAAGGGTATAGAACATGTAAAAAGCCATCTTCAAGACCAAGAAATCTTTCTCAATTATAGCTAATATAGACCTTTGTTTGAAGTATGTTATCTATAGAATATTATAGGCCTAGGTAACGTCTTGTTTATTACATAATACATGCATATATTTTAATAAGGTTATGCAATAATTCTTGAGTTATTTGTGTCTTAACTCTTAAAGAAGCGACATCATTGTTTTTTTATTTACAAAAAATTCACCCATTGAAGAAAATCAGCAGGAAAAAAACCCTGAATTCTATTTCGACTATACTTTTCAGATTTATTCAACCTTAAAAGAGCCTGGTTACGAGATTGGAATGAATAGGTGATTACCAGGATTGCTCAGGTTTTATAGACTTCCTGAAAAGTAACCAGATCCCTCCAAAACTGAAGCCAGGAAAATCATCGACTGTAAAAGTGTATACGTGAGGAAATCATCGTTTTTTCCGCCTCTATAATCTACAGAAGGTTATCTGGTAAAAGCGATATATAAGACAAAAGTTTGAGTCTTCATAATTTGAGATAAAAAGCTGATGAAATATCTTCTGATATACTTCCGTCTTAATTGGGATTCCTGTGTGTCGACTTATAATACTGTCACCACTGGACTGTCCGAAAAATTCTACGGTTTGTACAGATGAGGCAGATCAGTTACTGCTGATAGAAGAGAGAATTGTATCTTACTAATCACCAGGAAAGGTACTAGTAACTACTTTGAGGTTTAAAGTTAGCTCGAGTTAGTTCGAGTTATTTAGCCGCTTTTATAATTTGCTTATCATAATAAACTCGATCGTCCTGTGCGAGGTCCTGTGTTCGGATTATAAATCTATAGTCCTTTGAGTCTATAAAGTAAAGGGGGAAAGTGAAGGGAAAGGTAATAAACAATATACAGAAACCTTTCGACTGATGCCACCAGAGAAACCTTTGGTAGGTAGAAAACATGGATTGCAGAACTGCGGAACTAGGGACCATGCAATGTCAATCAATTACAATGTTTTTTTTCGACAGTCGTTTAAATTGTAGCCATGCTGCGCAAGTTAGTTTTTTTAACCTATATAAATAATAAAACAGGTTTTCTCTTTTTTAATACGTTCTTGCATGCATTTTGAAATTAATTTCATTTGACTGACCATAGTCGGAAGGCTGCTTTTTTATGCCAGTACTTCGAACTAATATTATAAGGTTTACCGCTAAAACGCGTTTAACCATCAAATTAAATTAGCAAACCAAATATGTTCTATTTTAGGGATACTACATATCTGTTGACTGTTGTATATACATGATCATGACCACTGTAATACGGATGATTTGTACGGTTGCTTTATTTTGCTCGCAGCTACAAACGGTGTTGGCTGCGAAAGGTAAGTTGTAAATTGTTGAAAACATATAAAGCTTGTCGTGTTTAGGTTTGGTATTTTAAGGAATAGGAACTAGATTGTGGAACGGGATGACTTCAATTGTCTAATGTATTTAAAAAACGTGATATTTTCACCGGAATCTTATCGTTATATATACTGATAACACGGTTATATACAATTAAAATGTATGAGCAAAAAACTGAAATTTATACATATATATATATATATATATGTGTGCAAATAATACTTACAAATAAATTTCACTGGTCACCCTAGGTGAATCTCACGAAGGTGGACTGTATAATAGAGGAATAGTATAGGCAGTTATTTTAATAATAGATAATAATTAATAGTTCACAATTAAGTTGAGGTTTGAAGTTGAGTCATTGGAATCGCTGAAAATGCCATCGCAGCAATCTCGGTCTTCGCAGTATATTTGTTGTTTTTTACAGAGCAAATTAAACCGAAGTACCATATGACTTTGGATGATTGGAGAGACGCAAATGGCCCACCAGGCGGTGATGTAAAAGACGCGGTTAGTTTACTAACTACTAACTTTTGGTAACAGCCATTTGTTAGTTCAATATTCATTTTTTTAATGCAAAAATCTAGTATTTAATTTTTTTCTTGTTTAGTGGGGTCTCTTATACGATGGCAAAAAAATCTTTACAACAGTCGGTAAAGGTGGTGGCGCAAGCTGGTTCATCACACCGAAACTGGATCTACCAAAAACGTCGTATCTCAATATATCAGCTTCATGCACACTTAATTGCCAATTAGAAGTTTATGGACAAAATGACTAGTAATATACATTTATTATAATTATATTGAATTTTTTCTTTAAGCTGGATTGCGCGGATTAGTTACATGACAACTATAAAGTCATTACGGACCTTAACACTCTTCCAGACATTATGATATTATGTTTAATACAACTTAAAATTCAAATTCAAACTGGAATTTGTTTCTTGCGTCGATATTTTCGATATTTACATGCGGTATAGAAATCATTAATTTAGCTCTATTTCTTTTGTTCTTTAAGCTTTGATTTTGCATAGTGTTGTTAAACTTTTTTTATTAATTTTCTTTTGCTTATAAACAAATTACATGGTGAAGATCACAATCACAAGATATCTATATCTATATTACAACGAATCATGTCTTGTCATTGTCATGTTCACAAACATAGGGTCATTTTCACAAAATACATTTGAGCCTTCAAAACTCAAAAAAGCATTTACACTAACTTTTATTTTCCTTTCATAGTTCTCCAAAGACAAAAAATATCCATTCTATAGAAAACGCAACGTTTAGTAACAAAACTACGAAAATCATCACAATCAACACCAGGAAGTCTTACTCTCTTTTACGTATTCTTGCACGAATTCCGTCGTCGTCATCACAAATGGAAAACAGGTTCACTATTTACTCTATCAACATGTATTACTATTATTGCGAGGAAAATACTGTATATAGCACAACTCTAAGGAGAGTGAACTCATCCACAACGAACATCAATAAAATAATTCAATGTCAATCTAATGCTGTTTCAAGAACAGATGGAAACTCGACAATAACAGTGAGGTGTACTCCTAATGGAATTTGGGACTTTAATAAACAAACATGTGCATGTTTAAAAGGGTTTGAAGGTTCTGCTAAGTGTTCACGTGAGTAAAACCTACGTTTTTTTAGCTTTGCTTACATTTTATACCTCTACTTTCTGCAGTTATATTTGCCCAAACCTTTCCTAGTTTAGATCCCAGGCCAGAATGTTGATTGGCATGACGATGCGTTGCTTGTTCGTGGAAGCACCACGAAATGGCAAAAATTCAGATTGTGCACCTGTGGCTTGAGTCTTAAGCAAAATCAACATACAAGTCTTTAGTTTTTAAAAGATTTGCGATGTTACCACAAGTCAGATGTTATGTGATATGTATTAGTTGCTCTTCATACAGTTTTTCTTGTTAAAGGTTGTCAAAAAGACTTCTACAAAACTACTCTTGGAGATTCATCATGCCAAAAATGTCCTTCGGGTAAAACAAACAACACGATGCACACAAAATGTGATTGCTTAAAATATCATTATATTGGAGATGATGATAATGGACCATGCTATGGTATGAACACAAAACATTCATAAATATATCACAGGATTATGGCAAGCACACTTGCTTGTATATATATCTTAGTACAGTGGGAGGAAAAAGTTAAGTCAGTGAAATTTCTACACCACGTGTTGCTACTATAATAGCGATAAAATGTTTTTATATTTTATTCCATTTTTCCTTAGCGGTTCCACCTGCAGTCGAGGAGTTGCGATTGATGACCAGAAAAGAAGAAACGTCAGTTACACTTGTTTGGGAGAGACCAGAAGTTGACCAATCTTTGTTACATATTGGAAATTTGACGTTTAGCATCGAATGCGATAATTGCGACAAGTCAAAAACTACATTTTTTCCAGCAAAAACAAACTTAACTACGACCTTCATATATATCTCTGGACTGGGAACCAACAAGTCCTATACGTTTAAGGTGTTTACAATGAACAGTCTGAAAAATGTCACTTGGAATTATGCTGAGCAATCTGTGACACTTCCAGGTTAGTTCAGTACATGTACACCGTATGTTAATCAAAAGATGTTCAGGTATGGATTTACGGGTTTTGAGGCAAAAATAGAGAAAGTCGCCATACTTACTACTTCAAGTCTTATCATGGAGGAAGCACCGAGTGCTCCAATTGTTGGCTAATATATAATTTCATCATGTTTCAGATTACCCAAACCCAACAACACCGTCATTAGTGACAAAGGCTAACCCGGGTATTACCAAAACAAAAATTGGCGGATTAGAAGGTGGATTGATAGGCATTGCTTCTACAATTATTTTTGCTGTCGTTGCATGTCTTTTCATGCGACGAATTCGAAATAAACAGCGCGAGCAATCTGTAAAGGTAAAACTTTTTTAGCTTATTTTGCGTGTCTGAATACATCTGCACAAGAAGGAGTTTTTTGTCAGGAGAAGGAATTCGAGAGATTCTTTAGAGATTTCACCAACTGCTTTTGACTCATTTGTTTCTGTTTTAACCAGTCCTCTCTTTTATGTTGGTCATCTTGTTTTCTTTAAGGAGCCTGAACCACCACTAATTCCCTCAAAATCGACAACGTTTGAACTGAAAACGCATGTAAACATCGGTAAGAAATTTCACAGATGTGAGTTTATTAGCTATATAGCTGCTATACTGAGGACTCGAGGCAATATTGCCAAGATGTCAACATGTAAATTGTTTCTTAGAGATGATTCACACGATGATGATTCATACTTTCACACTTCTCGTTCTTTGTTTTTTTGTGCCGTTCAAATGTTGTCGTTTTACAATCAGTTGCAGAGAGTCCCACTCGTGTCGATATATTGAAAGACTGGGAGATCTCGCCACGCGATCTGAAGGTGCTGGACAAAAATCTAGGAGCTGGTCAGTTTGGAGTTGTAAAACAAGGCTTATATACACCTAAAAATAGCGATCCAGAAAAGGTTGCTATAAAAATGTTGAGAGGTACTGTATGAGGCAATATATTGTCCCATAGGCATAGTATTATATATTATTTATGCGTAGCTAAATTAGCGACTTTGAATGTGCGATACAACTTACGTTTAGCCGACTATAAAGTGAATTCTAACTTTTGTTTTAGAAAACGCCACGGAATCGGATCTGGTGGATCTGCTGGCTGAGATAAAGATCTTGAAAGAAGCAAACAAAGAACAACACCCAAATATCATACGATTTATCGGGAAGCTGTCATTAAAGTGAGTCTGTAAAAAGATAATGCAGCCAAATGTATGGTAAACTGGAATCTCGTGTATGCGATGCCAGTTCATTATTCTCCAATTATCCTCTGATTATTTATTCCCTTCTCTTTACTTTTAAGGGAAACTTCTCATGGTAACGGAGTTTTGTCCTGGAGGAAATCTACGAAAATTCCTGATCAAAAGTAGAATCAGCAATAACCCAAACACTGCAACGTCAGATTACGTCAACATAGTTTCGACGTTGAGCCATCGTGATTTGTTGAAATTAGCTGCTGACGTTGCAAGTGGAATGGTTCATCTTTCCTCACAAAATGTAATGAATTCATTTGAAGCCTTTTTCATTTACAACAGCTTAAATTAACTCTCTAAGATTACACCATAGATTATACCAAATTGGAAAGATTCTGAAAACGCAGATGTTAATCAAGATAATTTTATGCCGTTTTTAGTTTCTTCATCGGGATTTAGCCGCCAGAAATATTCTTCTTGGTGAAAACAATGTGGCGAAAATTGGTGACTTTGGTTTGGCCAGAGATGTTGGAAGTACTGAAGAATATATACGAAATACGCAGGTAAGGCTGCTAGGAAGAATACCAATGGTTGCCACGACATTGATGAATCATTTATCTTATAGTAAATTCATCACCTTATCATTTGTCATCTATTCCTCATCCTATAGCGTCTTTACGTTAGTCAATGATTCATTTTGCAGAATCTTCTTCCAGTGAAATGGATGTCCTTGGAAAGTTTATTTGACGGTGTCTTCACAACTGCAAGCGATGTGTAAGTTCGTCTTGCTTTTGCTGAGAGCTCTTTCTTTTTCACTGTGGAACGTCCAATTACCTTATGATTACCTTTATTTTAATATAGATGGAGCTTTGGTGTTCTTCTCTATGAAATTACAACTCTCGGTGAGTAGAACGTCTTATCAGAATTGTAAATACTGTACAATGTCACGGTCTGCGAACGCACGTTAATCCAGTTTTACGTTAAGAATCGTGAAATGACTCGCTGTTTATACATTCAGGTGAAGAACCATACAAGAACATTCCACTACGTGCTGTTATCACTCACGTGGAATCAGGAGGTCGAATGTCAAAACCTCCACATTGCTCCAGTGAGGTGTAAGTAGATATGAAGAATTATCATCATACAATTCTTCGCATTGATAATTTTGTTCATGAAATTGCACTGACCAGTAGTACCAGTTTTTCATCAGTGCAAAAAAACCAGGGTAGCGATAATTGCGATGGAAGCTATATCAGGTTGCCACATGAACTTTCATTCTTTTAGATATGAAATAATGTCAAATTGTTGGAAAATCAATCCAAAGGAGCGACCGACTTTCCCAGAAATATTGCAGGCTTTACGTGATATGCTGAATGATAGAAAGGTAGGCTATATAGTTCATATTTATAGGCATATCATTCATACGCATCTCCAAAATGGCTGTAAATGGTTTAGACCTAACGAGGCAACCAAACCTGCTCTGTTGATTTTTGTCCTGCATTTCAGCGTTCGTACATTAATGTTACCCATGTGGAAGACGAATCTCGGTTTGTTTAACCATGTACTCTAATGGAGTGGTCAAGATGGAAGGCATCTAACATCTAGAGCATTTGAATTCGAATTATTAAAACTCGAATTATCGAAGTTTCAAATAAGGAAAAAAATTACTAAACAACACTAGCACTTTTCTGTTTCCCTTGTTGGTATTAATTTTTCGGATTTCGATTTTCTGGTTAATCTCAAGCATGAAGGTAATAAATGTAATATAATAATTTTAAATAATATAATAATTTGAAATTTCTATAAGCAGGAAAATATACCTACTATATTTTACATGATATATTACACTGCATAATAACTACACTTGTATAATAGGGGATATCTGGAGATATAATGTTTATCGAGGCGGTGATGTTCATTTCACGCGCACTCTTACGAAAAAAGCATGGGCCTAATGAAATAAGATATTTCTCTAGCCACGCAGCTATTATTAAATTGTTACTCATAATATTTTTATAATAGTAATTTTCAATAATAATAATGTCTTAAAAAACCGCATTCTCGTTCCTTAAGCAATACCTTTATATAGAGAATTCCCGTGGAAAATAGAAGCCGACCACTGACTTTCTCTCAGGCAGCATTTCCATACCCATGGGTAACCTAGTATGTTTATACCTGCATCGTGTTAATTAATCGTGGGGCAACGTCGGCAATTCTCAACAATGCTGACGCGGGGTTGACGCGGGGTTACGCGAAACGTGAATAGTTCCGCAATAAGTTCGGCGTTGTATTGGCTATATCGTTGCTAAGGGCAAATGAACACCGCATATAGCGCATATGAACACCGCACATCACAAGAGTGATGCTGCCGCCCGGCATCTACTAAATTACTCGTATAAATCATTTGCATCTTTTTGTTGTTGACCTATTTTGACAGCCATTATAAGCTGAATCACTTGAAAGAGCTATGCGTGTTCATTGGCCAGTTGGTTTAAGCCGAGACCTATCTTTTGCTAGGCTGACATAAGACATTCGCGAGCTAAGTCGTTAATTCAGCTGATAACGGAGCTATTGACTTATCGTGATAGCTACGATGCCGATAGCACAAATATCACAGTTTTACAGCACGGATATGTGAATACATAAGCGACTATAATTCGACCCCAAGCATTCGCGGCCACTTTTTGGTATATCGTTATATCGGTAATTCGTTTAGAACTACAGAAGGCTTTTAAGTTCTTCAAGTAGATGTTCTCCAACCTTCGTCAAGTCGTCTATGGCGCTCTTTGTTCAGTTTGCCACGAAGCCCGGTTTAAATAGTTGTAGGTTTAGCGAATTAAATTTGACTCCAAGCATTCGCGTCCACTTTTTGGTATATCGTAAATTGCTCTTGTGCCCAGAGGGCTTTTAAGTTCTTCTTAAGTAGATGTTCTCCAATCGTCGTCTACGGCGCTCTTTGTTTTAACCACGAACTGAGCCGGTTTAAAAAGCTTTGTGGGAGTCCTGAAAGTTTCCTGATAAGAGTCCAACATTCGAAGATAAAGTAATTACGATCTTTTTATTCGAAGTTCAAAGTTTTTTGTTTTCAGTTTTCATATTACAGAACAGTCTAGCTCGGTAGATTTCGGTGGTGTTTACAGGAAAGTAGTTCATCAAATTATTTAAAAAAAAAGCTCAACGGCAACGTGGACATTCTTATTTGCACCTTTTCCTTTCTGGTATTACATCAAAAATCCTAGAAAAAGTCTCTCCTTCAAGACTTGTAAATACGTGAAAGCCAATTATAAATTTCCACACGAAATATTTTTTTCTCTAAACCATGAATTATCATATACAAAAGTGTAAATTGAAAGTGACAGTTATTGTGTCTGTGGTTCATAAGCTGTGATTGCAACCGACAAATAGCACGCGTGCTTTTCAATACTTCATCATTTCAGCGATGCTTAAAAAGTGTACACAATTTCACAGTTCCTCGTTTAAAATATTAAGATAATGTACTCATCGCACAAAGCGAATTCACGCCAAAGCCAGGATTAGGGCAGTTCCTTCGGAAATAATACTCAAATAGCCCATAATCTTATTTATCTGCAAACCCCAAATGTCCTGATGTATTTGTATACAAATTTTCATGAGCCAAATTTGAGGTTTCGCGATGAATAATGCCCTTATTTTCGCAGCGCGACTCACAAAAAGACCGACTGAGTGCGGTCATTTAGCACCAAACATGACTGAGTCAAGCCCGAGTCTAATAATATTTCTCTCAAACGGTGCCGCCGCTTGGCCCTATATGTGTTTGCAAAAATGCGTCCTGCTTGCATGAATTGTAAATCTCAGCGTGGAGTAGTGTGAAGCACAGTTAAAATAAATTGTTTCTATTTAACTGCCGTGTTCTGAATTTATTATTTACCTTTGTTTTTGCACGCCAGAACGCGTTTGTGTGTCGTTTGCTTTTGTGTGTTGATATCACAGAACACGCATTTATCTTTCGCGTTATTAGGGGCGATAAATATCTTTCCGGCTTAGCAGGTTTGTGGTTTAGAGTCATAAGGAAACGCTTAAGTGGGAAGGTAAAAATCATCTGAAATTCTCTGTAAATAAATTGAGAATGCTTTTCATTTTTGACGTGTTCATACAATTGTTGCTACGTAGTTGCGGGTAAGATATCCGCATAGCAAAAACATTAGCCAAATAACTAGTTTTGCCTTCTGTCACAACAATACTAGCTTCAGGCATAACCATTAACAGAAAATCGCATTAGAAATTGAAGACTGACACTACACATGGCATTTTATCAAGCAATCAGCGCAAGACATGTGCTCTCACGCACTTGTACAGCCATCAAAAGATTTCTTTCAGAAATATTAAATTAAGCGGAAATACAGCTCAAATTACACATCCGTAAGGCGGTGGAGAGCAACAGTGGAATTTTTCCTTGTTTTCCGTTCAAGATAACGTCGAAACTCAAAGCAGTAAATTGAAATTCGTGTTCTTTTGTAATAACGAAATACTCGTTTTGTGGGTTATTATTCGGCAATAGCACACATGATGTCGTGTAATAATTAGACATCACGGGGATTCTGGGTACTTATTAGACATATTGTTTACATTTTGTCAGCACTTTGGCCAGCATCAAGATGAGGACACATGGCTATGTGTATATATTCTTGGTCAGTGTTATAACCTTAACATGTCAACCGACTTTTGCCGAGATAGGTAAGTGAAATTGTTAACCTTAATAGAAGCTATTTGCTCTTCGTAATTTCCGTAGTGTCTTGTTTGATCACGCAAGCGGAGGTGCTTGTATTTAATAATGTAGCACAGAACTTTATAGGCTTTTCCTTATGAATTTAAATTAAACAAGAAGATAGTGTTTGGCTATCCCATTTGCCAACGGATTAGGTAGGCTGATATTTAAGGTATTTGTAATTTAGGCACTTAAAAATTTATTCGTTTAAAGATATAAAGCCGTGAACTTTTATTGTTTGCGAACGTAGGCTATCTATAAGTGGCGAAGAAGAGCTTTGATGAATGACGGGGATTTTAATATATAAACTAGATTTTTATGCGTTTATTTGAAAAGTTGTTTGTGATTTTGTGCTGAAAGCTTGGCAAGTACATGTATTTCACAACCATGAGACGAAAGATCAGCGCCTCGCAACGTAAATGAAATATTGGCGAGGCTATGTCATCATATACACGTTTTGACAGGTGTAATATTTCTTTTTGTGGCTTCGTAAGTGGTCGCCTACAAGCCGCAGTCTTTCAAACTAGACCCCTATTTCCTTATGCGACTATTGCTCACTTAGATAAGGCTAACGTAAGCTTGTTATAAAATTATCTTTCGCTAATAAGAGTTTTCAATGTCATCAGAAAATTGACATCATCTAGAATACCTTTTGACAGTCAAGGAATATTTAATGCTTTTTAAAATGTCGGTTCAAGTGCTTCTCACCTACGGCGAAGTTTAGCACTTTTTGCGAGCTTTCACTTTAGCGTGGGAATTACAGTTTTCTCAATCACAGTAAAGTAAATTTAGCTATTTGTGCAAGAAGCCGTAGCCGTATACAGATCTAACAAAGAACTGCACATAATTAAAAGATAAGACTCATAAGGAAACGCGTCGCCTGCCTTTCTGACATTGAGAGACATATCGTATCGTCACCACCTGCTTATTTAATAGAGGTCTGTAGAAGGTTTTATTGTGCTGTTTCGTCTTTCGTGAATTTATCAAAGTGTTCAAAGTGCCTCTAAAATATTGTTCCTAAAGATTCTACAGGGGGTTAAACAGATCAATTGTTGTCTGCCGAAAATGACCTGTTCCCCTAGAAACAGGTTTTTATTAAAACTACGTGCTTTTAAAATATTATTCGCAAATATAAACTGTTTTATTAACATATGCACAATGGAACAAGAGAACACGTGTCAGTACTCCTTAAAATATGATTGGCTAAATCAAGGTCGTGTTCTATATTTAGCTCTGACACAAAATATTACTTTTAGTTTAAAAGCAACTACAACCGTTTATGAATACTTTTAGGGATTAACATAGCTTTTAATTACTTTGCCAATTTTTTCTTGTTAAATTGAGACATCATTTTCGAATAATTAAATACCCAAGCCAAGCAAGTCCAATATAGCTACATGTAACAAGCTATAAGGTCACGAAAACTTTGTTCGGCTTTCCGTTTTTTATTTTCTCTTTTCAACTTTCTCTCAAAATTTGAGAGTGCAAAAGGATGTGGTATACTTTACAAATAATCTATTTCTCGATTATTAATAACAATATGCTTGAAAACACACGCCTTTTTACTCAGACTCAAAGAAGGCGCCGCGTTTTCTAATCAACATTGCGCGTAATTCATTTATACTTTCCAAGTGAAAGTTGTAGGAGCTGTTTGTTAGATAACGGAAGTCCGAAGTTACATTGAAGATTTTAGCCCACGAGCGTAGCTGTACAAGTGTCATTAGAGGATGTAATCATTGAAATATTTACGTTCACATATGGAAAACCCTAGAATCCATCACCGTGAGAAGAAAGCAGTCGGGCATAAGAAGCATATATGAATATACAGCCCTCCCCCTAATTAAGTGTCTGACTACAGCCCTTTCAAGCCAAACAATAATGACAAGCGGATAACATGATTTGTAGTTTTCTTCCATTAGTTTGATTCATAAGACGGATGTATTCACTAATTGTGTACTGTATTGACATTATCCTACTAATATTTTTGTAGGAAGTTTATTTCGGAAAGATAAAACTCTCCAAGAGCTGTTTAGCCCACGAGGCCCAGGACCAGGGGTAAATGATGCTGCGGTATTTTTAAATTTATCTATCTATTTCACATATACATTACACAAAAGAATTATACATTTTGATATTTCATTCTTAGTGGCGGTCCATTGACATTGGCGAAAAGAAGTCTGGATACCTTAGTTGTTTGTCTCAAGATTGGTTGCAGACGCAAGATACGAACACCACTGGTATTCGGGAAATAACTATCAAAGTTGTATATAAAAATTATGAAAAACAAACAAACAAATTCCTCAACAAAACTGAATTCGTCCTCGGTGTGCTTAATGGAAATGGAGACATCAAAAATCATCCTGTTGATGGCATTATAAATAAGAAAAAATCCAACATGACAACGGTTAAGGTTTTACCAATCAACTACCCAAAGATGCAAATACTAATTAGGAAACAGGACGGGAATGATTGTATGCTGGTTTACGATGTCCAAATAACTTATAAGTTTTGTACTAAAAAGACTTTCTTCCAAGTCGCTCACTTTCCAAAAACCTTTGCGCCCAAAAGTGGTTCCGTTCCTTTGGCAGTTAAAGGATCATGTAGTTATGGTCGCAAAAAACCAATAGCATATTGCGACAGCAAAGGAGAATGGTCATTCAACGAGACTTTGCCTTGTAATTGCGCACCTGGCGAGGTGATGAGTAGCGTTGGATGTGTTGGTAAGTTGAATACGACCTCTTCAGTCCAACAATATTGAAGGGGGTTTTAAATTGAAGGAAGAATAATAAAAGAAGAGAATAGAAACGTATATTTTCCATTTAGAATTATCATCGATAATTCAAGAAGGAAGAGCCGTGCGACTGTCAACTAATCGTGCTATCATATCGTGGAAACAGAAGGCTATACCCAATATTCAATACAAAGTCATCTGCGTCGAATGCAGGGCCCACAATTGTGCCAAAAATTGCCCCCCAACTGTACAATGGGAAGAAATAAAGTTGGACAAATTTGGAGAAAACAGCACCGATATCACGGGATTAAAGGGAGGGCTTGACTACAAGTTTATAGTCGTTGGTAAAATAAAAGCCATAAACGAGAAGCATTGGAATGAAACTTCGAAAGACATCAGGATAAAAGGTACAAATTGCTGTGGTTGAGTTTCAAGAATTAGGACTTTGAGCAGTGTCTTTTTTCAGGGTGAAACCTGAAAAAAGTCTGATAGGCGCTATCATCTATGGCTACTTAATTCAGTGCCAAAATGTGATCATAGCGGACTGTATCCGCTATGGGGAACAAAATTATTTACTTTAATAATTCAATTCTTATTTAATTCTGTACAACTCACATCGTAGATTATTTACCGATATTCCATTCCCATTTGAAACGTACAGCATGCGTGCTGCGAGTGGCAATTGCTTCTCTTTCCACACAATTATGATCAATGTAATATTTTGATCGACTTCATCAACCCAGTATGCCCACAAATGGCAACCTGCTGTTAAACTCCATTATCATGTCTTTCATAGCATTACCTGAAGAAGTGAGAAACCTCAGTATCACAACACAGAATAACGACAAGATCACCTTAACATGGCTGCCACCAAACAACATGAACAGAGCCAGTACTTCATACGAGATTAGTTGTCAAGTTTATTGCCATAATATGCAATGCACCAGAAGTTGTGAAAAATTGAAGTTCATCCCATCCAAGAACGGACTCCTGCAGACAAATCTCACTATAACTGGATTCAAGAATCAAGGCATGCGATACGTTTTCAAAGTCCTATCAAAACATCGTCGCTACGAAAGTTCCAAGGAACGTTTGGATATTGAGTGGAATTTTGCGGAAATAAATTACACAGGTAAATAGATATTTGCTTCAATTTTCTGTGGAGAATTTAAGGGCAAAAAAGTGGATAGTAGAGTTCCACGAGATTCACAAAATTCGTTAATTTAGCCTTGGGTCATAAGAGTCCACATCAAGTCTATTTAATGTTTTGGTTTTCAAGAACTGTTCTGCTATGTCATTTCTAAAATTCTTCGAAGCACTGACAGATTTTTTATTATCTTCCAGCAGATTTTAGAGAGGAATTACCAAAGGGGTCCAAATCATTTAACGTGGTCGATGTCGTTATCGGCGTTTCCGTTTTAATCTTAGCCGTGGTTGTCACCATTGTTGCTACAAGATGTTATAACAGGTGAGGAGATTGGGGCTGACTTCTGTAATTGGTCTAAGAGTTGACAAAATGACAAGTACTACAGAAAACCATCATATTTGACCATTTTTAATCGTTTGTTAATGAAATGATGTATATTCGTTTAAGATGGAGGAGAAGAAAGCACTCCTTAAGTTTCGATAGTGAAAATCCAGAGCATTCACAGTGTGAAGGTACAGTAACCTTGTTTGAACATAATCCATATTCTTAATGTCTCTGTTGTTGAAGTTGGAGCGTATTACCGTATTACACAAAGCTTCTTGTGCTCTTTTGCTTATATAACACCCTGTGTTAAGAATCGTTATAGTAATTGTTCATAATCCACCTGTAACCGATCGTCAACCATTTCCCCGTAAAATAAATTACTAAAATTGCGCCCGGGATTCCATTCTCAGTTCCACTGACAGACGCGACAGAACATTACGTCGACCCCTCGAACTACGATAGCATTGAAAACGTGCTGAAAAAATTCACGAAGAAATTGAACGAGAAGAATCTGAAGACTGAGGCCGTTATTGGCGGAGGTAAAGACGAATGCTTACAACACTAGACTCTCAATGATGAGTGACGCTCAGTGGAACTAATTCCTTAAATTATTTCAGGTGAATTTGGTGTTGTATGGAAGGGCTACCTTGATATCGATGGAAAAGAACGAACTGTTGCAGTAAAATGTCTTCGTGTAAGTAAATCTACCCATATTTCTGTTCACTTATTCTACCTCATCCTCGAAATTCACACTGAACCTGCCATATACATAGCTGAGTTACTAGAATATCAATAACGATAATCCTTAATTTTAGAGCGGATTGTCGGCGAAACTACGTCGAGATTTCCTGGCAGAGGCATCAGTAATGGGTCAATTCAAAGATCCTAACGTCATTTCACTCCATGGTGTCGTAGTAAAGAGTAAGTTTTTTTCTTTTATAACAAAACCATATACAACACAGAAGGCTAAGATTAATCGTTTGTTCCTGCATTTTTTTACAAGAAAATGCGGTCAAGATTGTCATGGAGTTCATGTCAAATGGTTCATTGGACCAATTTTTATTGGTACGTTTTCTTGTATCTGATATAAATCCAAGTTTCTACAAGTTAAGGTCGACAAGTTGCCAAGGAATCTTCTTGAGCTTCTTGAATTCTCTGTCGTGTTTCATACGGCAATTGCTTTGCTGTTATTGTATTCTGATAAAGGCAATTTCATTTGCTCGTTGTAGAAAAGCAACGCAAGATTAACAACTTTGCAATTACTTGGAATAGCACGAGGCATTGCATCTGGCATGAACTATCTTTCCGGACGGAATTTTATTCATCGAGTAAGCACTCATGATCACATCGACAAAAGATTAAAATCGATCCAGTTTAACTGATATTAATCTTCAGTTAAAGTAGCCTAATTTGTATCAAATGCTTGTGCCTATGGCAATGATTGAGACTTGATAATATTTGCAGGATCTAGCTGCAAGGAATATACTTGTTGATGAAAATCTTACTTGCAAAGTTTCTGACTTTGGTCTAACTCGAGAAATTTGTCAGACTTCCAATTACGAGACTCGGGTAAGAAAATTTGTTTAAAAATATTGTAAATCAGCATAGAACATATTGCCACTGTTCAGATATACTTATTTTAATCAACTTGATCCATTTCTATAGGGTGGAAAGATTCCTATTCGGTGGACTGCACCAGAAGTAATCAAACATCGCAAGTCGTTCATTGCAAGTGATGTGTGGAGTTATGGTGTCGTACTTTGGGAGATTATGTCATTTGGTCAACGACCGTATTGGGACTGGGACAATTTTCGGGTATTTTATTTCTAGAATAAAGTCGTGGAAAAATTATCCTTTTATATGCCAGGAATACAAGAAACTTTCTCTGTTCTCTAGGTTCTACAAGAGATAGAAAGCGGTTACAGACTTCCAGCACCATTAGTAAGTGCAATTTTTAGACATGCCTTAGACAGTGGGTACAAATGAAACAGCCAATATAAAGATGATGACAATTAAAAAGTAGGACGACATTGAGTGCAACTTATGTAGCAACTCAGGATAGGCTGTCAACCCAAGTCTTCGTTCAATTCCTTTGTAAAACTGCTTCCAACTTATTGTTTCTTTTCATGTATTATTTATCAACAGAAATGCCCAAAGACTGTCCACACTCTCATGCTTCATTGCTGGGAGAAGGAACGAGCAGATCGCCCGCTATTTATGCAAATCCTTGAAAAGTTGGACGAATGGATACGCTCACCAGAAACTATACATCATTCGCCTGCACCAAAAGCGCGAAGGTAGACAATCATCAAAGATTATCCATTATTGTGTTACGACAAATTGTCACCTATATGATGCCTTTCGTATGTTGCCCTTGGAATACATTCTTTAATATTCAAAATGTATCTTTGTCATTTTAGGGAAACGATGGAACCTATTGAACCCCAATCACCAATACACAAATGGCTCGATTCTATTAAGATGGGCAAATACGCATCTAACTTTAGTGAAGCTGGTTATAATCGTCTGAGTCAAGTGACCAATTTAACTGAAGAGGACTTAACTGATATGGGAATCACCCTTGTAGGACACAGACATAAAATTCATCAGAGCATTCCTTTGGTAACATAAGGAATGAATGAGAAACTAATGGTCAGCATGATCTTTAATGCATTCAGGAAAAATGTGTGGCGAGCTTCCAAGTTTCAAGTCAAGATATAAAAGATGATTCCACCAGAAGATCAGAAGTGATAGAGAAACTCCAACCTTTATCATGAAATTTTGAGGATCATATGAGGGATTTTGAGGATCATATGTTCCCAGCAACAGGATTAAAGCATTCTTTTTTGCTTAAGATATAAGTCGGTGATGATTAAACGTTCTCAAATAGATGACATTGAAATGGCATGTATTATACATGAAACAATTCTGATGAATGATTTTTTACATATTAGTAATTAAGATGCCCCACAATTAAAATTTATATAATGTATATACGGTTGAATTGCATGTTGTGTAAGGGGTGTATATATATGCTTGCATTAGCAAAAATTTTAGACCAAAAATTTTATTTAAATTATAGTTGATAGAAATATTCTATTTATACTTAGAGGAGAGAAGTTAATAAAATGGCGTACATGTGTTGTAATAAAGTGTTTAGTCGTTCCACCAGTCACGCATGTCTAGACTCTAGAGGTTAGTTTTGTTTGTAAACATGGGCGTGTTTTGGCGTGAATACAAAGGCCAGTGAACAAAGGCTACTAATACCCGCATGCCCTACATTTTCAGGTGATGAGCCCACGTACGATAAAAGTAGCAAAGTATTTATAGATATTAGATCATCCAACAATGCTTTGCGGGAGAAAAAAATGTAAACAAAAATAAAAAATACTTTGGTAATCATTTCGATACATTTGTATGTGAGTCAAATGAATATGGCTTAAAATTTTATCTCCTGTTTAAAAAAGATTTTTTAATGCAAACAATTGATGGGACAGAAGCATACGCTATTTTTTGCAGCAGAGGAAGGACGAAAGGACGACTTAAAATGGGTGTTATATGATAAAAAAGTCTCACCAAATTTAAGAGATCATACGACACAGCAAGTAGCGTTGCATCTTGCTGCATCGAAAGGCCATGTTGAATGTGTAAAGTTATTGTTGAAAGCTGGTGAGTTTATAATATGATCTTCTCTATAGCATTGGTGTAATAAATAAAGTTCAAATGAGATATTATCAAATACAGGAGCCAATGTTGATGCTCGGAACCGTTACGGCCTAACTCCGCTTCATTTAGCTGTTTGTGATGGAAAAATTGGATGTGTTTTGGCGTTGATTGAAGGTGGGGCTGATGTTAATGCAACATCCAGGTATATTCTATATTTTTATACTTGATCATTAAAGAATAAAGCTTATTGACAAGTACCCTCTTAGTAGGGCGAGAGCAATATAGTCAAGAGAATATCCTGTAAAGTATTTATCCAAGACAACAGCAATTGAAACCTCAAAATAGCATGTTACTGTATTCTTTTCCATAGATTTGGCTGTACCCCATTGCACCAAGCAGCATATTTCAGGCGTTTTAGATGCTGTCAAGCACTACTGGTCGCTGGGGCTTGGGTTGATGTTCAAGAATCTTGGGGGCGGACACCATTATTCCTTGCCATTGAGAAGAAGAATATGTAAGTTTGATGATGAAAGGAATTCTTTGTGTTGAGTTAACCAGCTTTCACCAGCTTATCTCCAATTTAAGAATCCATTGGCTTACAATGGGCCACAAATGTTTACTCCATCTGTTACCACTCAACTTGCCAGACAAATTTACATAGTGGTAAAGGTGGTTCTACTATATTTGATTCTTCACAGTGAAATTGTAGGATTACTTCTTCAAAACAAAGCAAATGTTAATATGACAGACAGTATCAAAGGACAAACAGCTCTGATCTTCGCTGCTTCATTGGGAGATGTTGAATCCATGAGTCATTTGCTTGATAACTGTGCTGACCCGAATTGTCAGGACGCTTTTGGCCATACACCATTACATCATGGTAAGAATAGCATGGAGATATATGAACATACCATATATGTCACATCTGGTACCACATTAATGATACAACATTTGGGCGAAAAAGACAGAATCTCATCTTCCTAATATAATTTACTTCCCCTATCTCTTAAGATCTATCAAAATCAGTTTAGTACTGATCAAAATCTAAAAACCTCTCCACTTAGACCAAAAAAGCTATTTCATAAATGGTACAATGGTGTATCCATTTGTAGCTGTTAAATGAACAACCCTTATCAATCATATATCATAGTTGTGAAAGAAACTACAGATAGGAATACAGAAAGATGTGTCAGACAACTGGCAGCATATGGTGCAGTGTGTTTAAGAGACAACAACAACCAATCACCCATTGACATATTAATGGAGAAAAACAGAATTTGTGATGCAGAAACATTGATGGAGCTAACATGTAATGAATTAGTATTATTTAGTGTTTTTCTCCTGCATGGAGAGTCCAACTGACTTTGATATGTTTAGCAAATATGGCTTAGACTACAATATTTTCTATATTTTTTAGGTAAACCAAGAAGTTTACGAAGTATATGCTGGGTAAAAGTGAGACAAAATCTACAAAGTCGTGAAAACGTTGATTTACGAGAACTCGAAGTTCCCATGTGTTTAATTAGATTTATAGAAAATGATTCAGCGTTTCTAGAAACAAATTAATTAAAATATTTTAAGAATGATGAAAGTTATGCTTGTACACACCTAAATACAAATTATAATATGAGGAATCTAATATTGTTAACCATGTAGAAATTTTACAATAATAAAGTATGTATATTATTCATCTCAATATTAAGACAATAAAAAAATATTTTCACAAGTTTCGTTTGCCGTAATTTGTTAAACTCGGAGCTTGGAATCCAAGCAATCGATTTTACTCGTTTGAAAGTTGAAACTGTATATTGAACTCGGTTTGTAAAGGGCCCGAATCAAAAAACATGTAACAGAAATATAACAGTTGCCCTCTAAGCCCCTTGCTGTGCGAGAGTTTTTTGAACTCAATCGTTCAATGAACCTTTAATTCCAATAACTGAAACCCTCAAAATTGGAAGGAAACTTTGACAGTCCACATATTGCCTTTCTATTAAAAAGATTAGATTTATCTCATCTGTTATCCTGGAACTTGTATGAAACAGAAAATAATAAATAATAGGGCTGGCAAGTTAGAGAAAAGCAAATTTTGATTTTTGGCGTGAAGTCAATGGATGTCAGTCATGCGCGTGACATGAAAGATGGCGGATGGTGATGAGAAACTAGACAGCCACAAACATCAACGAAAAAAAGGTGGTACGCCTGAATGGAGTGAAACCTGTATTGGTTTCTGGAGCAAAACACACAAAGAAATACCAAGCAAAGAAAATGACGATCAAAGAAGATGTTGGGGAATTAGTATACTGCATTTAAATAAGGTAAATATTTGGACTTTTTATGTATGAAAAATATGTCATCTTGCTATGTTGTTGATCTTTGCTTAGCCCTACTGAGGATCTTCATAGTGTAACGATCGATCAATTTTGGTATAAAAATCATAATTCACCGTCGTAAACCCTTTAAGAGTAACTCCAAGATAAAATTAGCTTCGTTCTCCCCAAATTAACGCTTTCTTTAATAGTTTGCCAACGCTAGCAAGGTAAAGAATATACCAACCACTGGGATCGAAATTGTAATACGAGAAAAAGGTTAGTTCTTAAATTGCTTAAAACATAAAATAGGTAGACGATCGTGTTTGCTGCATGACCAGACTCCTTCGTCTTTAATGCGCCTTGTTCTTATAATGGCAGATGATGTATCTGCAACACGTAACCTTCATCCTTTCCTTGGCATCTTCGTAGATGTCACACAAGATGTTAACAAAAGGTTCAAAGACATTGAAAGGTAAGGTAATACATAAATGACCACATAAATTGTATTTAAGTTACAATTTACGAATACCATACTTTACAATCTTCTGACAAAGTGACCAAAGAATTAGAATTTCAAGTCAGTTTAATTTAATACGAATACTGACCAAGGTGTATCGCTAGTCAATATAGTAATAAAGGCTAAAAAGAGGTCCCCTGTTTAAACAATAAAATTCTTTTATCATTCTGCAATACTTTGAATCAACGATCAATTTCTAATTAATAGTACTCAAGAAGGGAAACCAGAGGGGGATGAGCTAAAAGACCCTTCTGATGAAGCAACTCCTAAAATCCTTGAGAAAGTTGCAGAAAATTGGGGCAAGAGATGCCATAATATTGGAGCTAGACTAGTGAAGTACTACAATGATCCACGTTCAAGTACAGGTGAATATGTTGTATATATGGTTGTATCCACATTTTACCATAATTAACCTTTTTAGCCCCTAAATTTTTCACATTTCTAATAAAGATTACTGATGCTCATGACATATCTTGTTTAGAGATTCTGACTGACATCAAGAAGAGTGTTACAACTGGATATCAAACCACTTTTCGTATTTTATCCTATTGTCATCCACAAGAAAAGGCCAAACAGGTAATGATAGTTACATTTATTTTTGGATGTTCAACAAGGCTCGAGTTTGTCAAATAAATTTGGCAGGCTTGGGGAGGTTCTGCTAAAGCACCTGAAATGTCATTTTCAGCTGTTCTATCCTTTAAAGAAATTGTACAAATATATGGCATGTGAATCGTCCAAATTAGTAAAGTTTAAACCACTTGTCACTAAATGGGGTCAAATTTTTAATTAATCCATATGCTGGCATTGCCCAAAATCTGCCCTAGCTTTCTCAGTATTTTACTCTGTCTAGGCCCAGATTATTTTACTCATCTGTGAAAAAGTACTGCTAGTTGATGATTTATAAAACTATATCTGTCAGTGTCTGATGTTAACCCATTAACTAGCATGCAATGCACCCAGATGTACCCTACTCTAGTATTTTACTCTTGTCTTGCACCAGATGATTTTACTCATCAGTGAAAGGGTACTGCCAGTTGATGAGTTAATGCACCCAGACATCCCCCCCCCCCTACTCTAGTATTTTACTCTTGTACAACGCCAGATGAATTTACTCATTGGTGAAAGGGTATTGCCAGTTGATGAGTTAATGCACCCAGACATGCTCTACTTTAGTATTTTACTTTTGTCTAATGCCAGATGATTTAAGTCATCAGTGGAAGTACTACCAGTCAATGAGTTAACAAAACTACATTCTTGTCAATTGTACCTTTCTCCCCCTTAGCTTGCAATATGCCCAGATATACCCTACGCTAGTATTTTACTCTTTTCCAACGCCAGATGAATTTACTCATCGGTGAAAGGGTATTGCCAGTTGATGAGTTAATGCATCCAGACATGCTCTACTTCAGTATTTTACTTTTGTCTAATGCCAGATGATTTTAGTCATCAGTGGAGGTACTGCCACAGCCAGTTAATGAGTTAACAAAACTACATTCTTGCCAACTACCTGTCTCCCCCTTAGCTTGCAAAATGCCCAGATATACCCTATGCTAGTATTTTACTCTTGTCTAAAGCCAGATGATATTACTCATCAGTGCAAGCAACTGGTACCACTGACTACCGCCAGTTAATGAGTTAAAGTGGAATATTTGGTGAATGTAGCAGCACTAAGGCAGTTATTTATTGAAACCAAAATTTTAAACTCTAAATGTGTGTGGGAAATGCTATTCCATGTTTGGACTGATTTTTACCCATCTTGATTTTCAGATATCTAATTTTATAAGTGAACGATTGAAAAATGCCTCAAAGTGGTGGAAAGAGTAATGTATAAATAGAAAATTGAGCAGATGGTGACTTCTGCAAAGACCACTCTATACATATGTATATATGTATGTTGACTAGCTTCTGCAAGAACTGCACTCTCATGGGGCAGGGAAATATTTGGAATTTCAAATGTCCAGCGCACACAGCAGGATAGAGATGTCATGAACATTATAAATACCTTGGGGCATATTGGGGGCATCCCAAAAACAAATAAATAAATTAAAACATACCTTCCTCAAATTAGAATCCCAAAGAAGGGAGTTTCATTGGGTCAAATGTGAAATTTCCACAACTCTGGCAAAATCAGAGTGTTCCGCAACGCATATTTTTCAGGCTTCATGTTTTTCGTACAAAAATACTTTGCGGTATTCATTGACGGCGGGTGCAAAAATAACCCCAAATTCTTAACGATATTCTTTCGATAAACTATTCACAGACACAGAGTCCTACTTATATTGCACGCGGTTAATCAAGACACAACATAATTATATAATCGCTAACAACCTTGCCAGTACAATTGCAATTCAAAACAAAAGAGCACGATTAAACATATAAAAGAATGGTGTTCACACCAATGAATGATTCGTTAGTGTTTAAAGGTATAATTGAAAATATTTTGGTTTATTTCTGCATTTGAATTCATTTGTAAATCTGGAGAAGCATAAATTGGTTTGACAGTTGGCTTTCAAATGGCTTCCCGAGTGATTTCAGAAAGCTATTTCAAAGCCAATTGTTCAAGTTGAGCCAACTCCTGTTTCTGTTCTGACTTTATAAATCAATTCAAATGCAAAACTGCCCGAAATTGTAGTTTCAATTATGCATTTAGAAGCTAATTTAAAATTTAATAATATAGCATTTTACTGTATAACCAAGTTCTAATTGCACAAAGACCCCGTTTGCACTACACAGGATTCACGTTGATTTAAGTTGTTTTACCGTATCCTGGTCCACAGAACTTTTTCATTTGGTAGATCATGTTAAAGCAATCATGCTATCATACTTTTGGGGTAAAGCTCGCTTTGAAATGGTTAATTTTGTTAAACAGGGCCCGTAGTACAGTTCGAACTATTTTTAGAAAAGAACAGCATGTTTTGAAAGATTTCGGTCGCAAACCTATTTCAACCCGCAAATTATTGATAATATATTTTCCCTCATCTAATCCATTTGTTAAAATCGTTTGTCACGTTTAGTGTGGCCATAAATATAAAGAACAAGTGAAAAATCTACGTCAAAATGGCTAAAACACTCCAACGAGCATTCGAATGACAAATTCACCAAACATATCCGAACAAAACAACTCAAACTATACTATGGACAGCAAAGCAAGCTGATTTATAACTACTTCGAGACTTTAACTTTACTTACGATCGAGATCTAGAGTGTTTCACTTCTTCTTTTGCACTACATATCCATGCAAACGTCTTTCCTGGAATTCAAAACTTTAACGGGCGTTGAAAACTTGAAATTCTGCTGCCTTCAGCACGAAGTTAGCTCGCGCCTAAATTACCAATCCCGTCTTCCAATTGGTTACTGCGCGAACCAATCAAATGCCGTCAGGTACTGATCCCATTTTACAATGAATGAATTTTGCTCAAAAATATTCTTGTACAATTTGAACAGAGCAAAAAGAACGAAATTCACACCACACGTAGTATATAGTTTGATAAAATATTTTTGATTGGTTTTCATGCGTAATTCAAAGTGTATTTCTCAACATTGCACTTTTTTGATTAGGTAATATTCTATATCTCTTTTAACTTAGCAAGCTGAACAACGTACAATAGTACTTGATTGAAGTATCTTGTAGCAACAACTTATAAACTATACTTCTTTATTGTTGATTTAAAGTCTAAAATTAATTTATGTATTCTCACACACTTTATAACGTCGTTGTCCAGGCTATGATCAGTATTAATATTAATATCATATCGGCGCTCATTTCTCTTGAAGCCAATCCTTATTCTCCAAATCCATGTCCGTGCTAAAGTTCAGCAGCACGTCTTCGTTTTCAGATGGAAATCTTTTGAACGCCTCTCTCTGGATTTGTCTTGAAGATGTTCTCTTCCTCTATAAAAATAATTACAAATTTTTTAATGAAACTTGAGAAAATCATCTACCAGAAAGATTTTCAAAAACATGCATACTCGAGTTTATAAATAAGACGTTTAATGTTGACGTTTTTTGACATGTATTATGTCATTAAACAAGTAATAGAATTGGTAAAAGGTAGTCCTGTTGTATAGTCTTGTAAATGTAATCCCGGTGGATTACTCCTAAGTTGTCACAAAACATTATTCCAGAGTTTCTCACCCCATTATTCAAGCATTTGGGAGATAATCTATAAATGCATTTATTTTTCTTTCCTTTTCCTGAAGCGACAATTGAGAGCAAACAGATTGAAAGTGAGAATAGGACAAATAATTTTACAGCCATGGTTGCCAACAATGCCAATTGCTCCTTTCCAAAGTTCTTGTTTTTCGACCTGCTGGGTCAATCACAGACCAAGTTGTGCACTTGGCCTGTTTATATACTTTCCCTTCAAGCGTGACTCGCGTTATCTTTTTATAAATTATTCACATTCAAATAAACCCACGTTTGATGCGCTATCTTGCCTTGTGGCCACTTGCTGGCCATTGAGAAGAACAAAGTTCTAAGCAATATGTATATATAAAGAGAAAAAAAAAGAGCTAAAATTATACATGTTTACGAATGTTAATATCTTGTTTTCTTTATAACCGTTCGAAACTCAGATTTCTGATTTCCATCAGAAAATTTGTTCCTCTTATAACGAATTAATGGACATGGAGTTTACAAATTTAAAGGTAGCATGGACAGAACGGTGTTTCAATCCAAAAAGCGTAGGGGATTTTTTAGATTCAGAAAAATCTGGAATATTTTTTTAAGATTTGTCGTGGGAATTTGTGCCACAATTTCGACCATGTTTCATACCTCATGTTTTATTCCGATACATCATTATTTTATCCATAGGATCAATCTACATTTAGGTCAAGGTGCTATGAATGTCTCGTATTTCCCATTTGCAGCTGATTTCATAAAACTGATAATGTAATTATCTGAAAATCTGTTTCGGCATGTACTTCTTAAGCGTAGTAAATTTAAGTGCATAAATGCATGTCGATCGTTATCGTTGCGGAAAAAAAAATTATCCTTGATCTCACAAATTAAAAATGCTATACTACCTTTTTTAAAGAATATTTCGACGCTTCTACAAACTCTGAGTTAACAGTCTCGTACAGAGATTTTGACAGTTCATATGTAGTTCCGTTTTTTTGCAAAAATTACGAGGTGGTGGCATGTCCTAGTATTTGGAATGCCTGGAGTGAAGAGTCCATATTATTGTTATTATGCTTTCAATTTCCAAAATTTCATTTAGTCCATTAATGAGACCTTGTGATAATTTTGTTACAGGCCTTAAATGGTTGCATGAAAACAAGTATATTGGCATGCCAGTATATCTGTAGCCAAAGCCTTGTTCCATTAACTCGCAAATGTCAACTGTGTCGTGAAGACGTGAACACGTTCTGGTGGTGATGTAATGAAATATTTGTGCAGTCAACGTTGACTGATTTAGATACAGAAAATAAAGCTAAATGTGTGTATATACGGATTGTTTTTTATCGGTGAAAGTAACTTGTTCATGACAATTACGACAAAATGGAAACCAGGCTTTAGTACTGCTCTATCTTAATTGCGACATACTCCAAATTGATACTTCTCAGTATTTTGTACATAGACACTTAAAGATACATGGTTTTTTTACTTTTTTATAAACACCATTATCTTTTCTTGCTCTAATATTGATTGCAATATATGCAATCTGGCTAAAGCAGATGCAACTCATGCAAGTAAGCTGGAGTCAATATTGGACAGAGCCTTATCAAATATTTTGAAGATATGAAGATTACGCAGTTCTATTGTCGAGAGGTTTGTTTGTTTCAAATCTGCATCATACTATATCTGATGTGTACCGAAAAAAAAGCCCACAAGCTTTGCAAACTTGCGATGGAGTAGCAGATGCCAGATGGTCTCCTATCAGTTTACACATTAAGGCTTCCTTAATTGGTTAGAAAGCCAGTTTTCATTAAGTGTAAAAAAAGTCCAGCATTTTTTTCTGCACTTTATTTAATTATCAATCAATTTTAAAAATAAAGTTGTTTTAGTATATAATATCGAGTTTCATCTTCAATTTTGCGGATTATTCGTACCCAAAACCTTGCGAGGTTGAAAATGAAAAGTCGCAAAACAAGTGCGTAAATTAGCACTGTACTGTGTTCAGGGCGCTTGACCTTCAACCTTGTCCAATGGGCGGAAGATCCCCTACGGGTTCTGGCCCAAAGGGTTAATCTCCGGGGTCAAAATCACCACGGGCGTAGCCTTAGAATTTAATCTCTGGATTTTAATTGATCGTAGCATTGCCAAATACAGTATGCCACGATTCGATGTAAATTTTGCAGATCCGAAGAAGTTTTTTTACCCTGGTGAAACTATATTTGGAGATATCATTGTAAGAGTTGACTCAGCTGTAAAATGCAAGAAAATATCGTTGAAATTTAAGGGTAAAAGTTCAGTCAGATGGACCACAGGTTCCGGTGATGATCGGAAGACCCACTGGAATAACGAAGAGTACTTTAATAATTCCGTGACCCTAGTAACGCCATTGCCTCCTGAATCGGAAATCATCCTTCAACCAGGAGATTTCCACTATCCATTTCAATTTCAATTGCCGAATAATTTGCCACCAAGTTTCGAGGCACCGTTTACGACAGGAGCCGTGCTATATTATATGAAGATTAAGATCGATGTTGACAGTTGGAGATTGAAGTCAGATATAGAAGAAAAGATTCCTTTCAAGGTTGGTATTACCTGGCTATTTTGTTCAATTTTTGATTTATATTTTGACAGACCGATTGTTTAAATATTTTGCATAGTTGGAATATCATAAATACTAATTAGCAAGTAATGTCTTTATATATATTTAGTATCACATCAATGTGCCTTTAAGGTAGTAGCATCACCAGTGGATTTAAACCAGACTCGGAACCTCCTTGAACCAGCTACCGTCACTGAAGAGAAATTTCTTTGCTGTCTTTGCTGTCAATCTGGACCTATTCGACTTGTTGGTAGGATTCAAAAACAGGCATATTACCTTGGTGACCAAATAATTTTTTCATTTGAGATTGATAACAAGGAGACAGACAAACCACTAAGAAAGATTGAAGCAAGGTTGACTCAGAAGCTTACATTAATCAGTAATACAGGTTGTACTAGCGAGGACGAAAATGCGAAGTCATCTGTACGGTTAAGCGAAGGCCTATCACCGCGAGGGGAAGAAAGTTGGCATGATGTAGCACTCAACATACCCACTGATATAATACCAAGCTTTGACAACTGTAAATGCATGCATCTGGAGTATTATTTCATTGTTAATGTTGACATTGAAGCTGCTTTTGATCCAAAGGTGTTATTTCCAATAAAAATCTCAAGTGGACCTCAGATGATGCAACCAGGCGAACCACCTTTCCTGCCAGGAAATGTATTAACAGCACCTGGCATGGGGTACCCATCCTCCACCACAGGGGTGTATCCACCCCCTATAAACCCCCCACCTAGTCTGGGTTACCCTCCTCCCACAAGTCACCCTCAACCTGCTGGCTACCCCTCACCAGCTGTCACACAACAACCAACAACATGGAACCCAGACCAGCCTCCTCCACCATACCCCATGGAGGGAAAAAAATAACCCTTTTGTAGCAATGATTTGTGGTATATATACATACATACGTTGTAACTCCTAGTTAAAATACCAAGCAAACAAAACATCACCCATAAATTAATATTCTTTGTTTATCCTTTTGTGTAAATCTGACATCTTCTCATATGTGAATAACTTATCTTCAACTTCCGCCAGAAATGTTAAATATATTTGCATTTATTTGCATATATTTTAGTAATTCTACGCCAAGTACGAGTTGATATTTTGTGCTGATATTTATTTGTAGTAGCTGAATGAAAATCTGTTGAAATAAAGATATTTTCTTGTAGCGAGTAATTTATATATCATGGATGAGGACAAGTAATCTTTAAAATAGTTAAATCTCTGCGATCGAGGACCAGAAACGAAAGGGATCTAAACTATATCGGTTGCTATGGACTAGTTCGATAGTTGTTGACCTGTTGAGAGCAAAGACAAGGCTCTACTTCAGACTACTTGTTCCATAAATCGAAATGTGGTTTTATTTTATGTCCCACGTCGCTTATCATCTAACAAGATGGTTTCCAAAAGACGATCGAAAGAGAATGTGAGTTGCGCCAGTTCCTTGTTAAGATTAGAATTGAATTGTGATAAGAATATTTACAGACATTCCTTGGTAACCTTGGACCAAATTGGACGTTTTTTCCCAATCAAAATTTAGTTATAAAAGCAGAGCGTTATGTCCGATCAAATGGTGGATTAATGGGGTTAATGGTGTATATATATAACAAAGGATAAGAATTTTTGTGACTGCATGTAACAATTAGTGGCATTCATAACTTCATTTGTAACATTTCCAGGTTTAATTGGTTTGATAATAACAAATTTTAACTATTTTCTTTTTAGTCGTATCGCCTTAATTCTTTTTGCATTGACTTTCATTATTCCACAAATTTATGTTCTAATGTTGTAAGTATATATTTAGATGTATAAAGTAGTAAATCCTAACACAGAAATCCAAATGGACCATTCTATAATCTACCAGCCTTTTTGATACAATTATATCCAGTGGCGTAGCCAGCCTGACGATTTCATCCCGCTATGTAAATTTCGAGTTATTATAATTATTCATGTCTTTAGAAATTTATTGTTTTCACAGTCAGTGAATATTAAAATATTAGCATAGCGGGACAAATCGACAGGCTGGCTACGCTACTGATTATATCCATCATAAGGTATTGCTTTTCAGGTTCAAATGACAGTTATTACATAAATGTGTTACCTATCGCTATCATTATGTGTCTTGCTTTGTGCAAATGTTTCATCTGTGAATGTACAAATATTTCATCCGCAGGAACAAAAGCACAAGATATTGTGATCAACCTCTTTTAGAGATTGCTGTGGCCTCCTTGATATTTACATTTGCTATGATAGGTATATATTTAGTTTCCTACACATATTAGCAGACAATTGATTTGTGGATTCAAATGTTATTCTCTGCAAATTGATGTAAATTCAATATTTTAATTTTTAGCATTCACATTTCTATTCTCAATGATGGAACCAGTACCATGGCAACTGAAGATTGCCTTTCATTTTTTTGGGTTTGCTGCTTTTCTTATGGGTCTTGTACAGTTTGGTTCGACAATAGCTTCAAAAGATTGTGTATGTCAATTGATAGTATACTGGTTTTTAACCAAATGACCTCATAACAATACCTATATAAGTAAATTGTAAATTGTGAGCCAATTCATTTTGTCTTTTGGCATTTAGTGGTTTAATACGCCAGAACTATACTCATTATCGTTGTCCTTCAGCATTTTGGCTATGCTAACTACAGGTTAGTTTAATGTGAAATATTTTTTCCAACATTCCTGACCTTCTCCAGAGTAATCCTTGAATTTCCATTTGTAGTTTTCCTTTTGTTGATGTTACCGTTTTGGCTGGTCAATTATTTCTTTCCTCATTCTGTGTTGAGTCGAAAAGAAAGGCGAGGAATGTGTTACGAACCTGTGAAATGCTGCACATGCCTTTGGCACATATAAGCTGATTCAATTTCAAACATTTTTGTAACATAAATGTATCGTTTAAATTGGTTGCTATAAGTAGCGAGTTGTGTATATAAATTATATACTACTATAAAGTATTTATTGCTTGTACAGTAACGTTTTAACTCGTTTTAAGAAGCCTAAGACTTCGACTAAGTAAGGCTAGCAATAAATAAACATAAATAACTAGTATTGGTTTTGTGTCGAACAATCCATGCTGCATTTTAATCATTTTGTGGTTTTTGCTGACATTGCTCTTCTCGTTCTAATTTTTGATATTTCATTTTGTTGCTTGATCATATGCTGTGATAAGAAATGTACACTATTTTTCAATTCTACTTGAGTCGTCTTTGGCAGATCACGAATTACTTTCACACCAGCGGTGTATGACTTTGAGTTTGAGCGTGTGTTGTTTAGGGAAACCTGACCAATTTGTTTAATCACAGGAGTGAGGCTCATTCTCCGCCCATCACGACCGCTGAATGAAAATCGCGAACGCTCTGGAGGTGCGGATTTTGCACGCGTTTTTGTCGCACTTGAATTTCCTTTTGCATTTCTTAAACTGGCGAATGCTGTTCCCTCAGGTAGGCTAAATGATGAACGCAAAGGTGGTCTACTAAAAGAGCATTTCTCGTTTCTTTTTTGATACTCGTAATTGCATGGGACCGTCGATGTATTTTCTTCTACCTTATGCACTTCCGGTATGTTTTCCAGCCTTGTTTCAGACTTCCTTCGCATGTAGTCTAACAACGATGTATCCGAATTTGAACGTTTGAAATTGCTGCTGTGGGCGATTGGGCGATTGATCTTCTTCACTGGGTTAATAAATCCTTCGCTATTTCTTCGTTTTTCAGGAAATCGTACACATTCTGCGGTATTGTTAATATTGTTACAGTTCCGTGATATCATTTCTGTCGGAAAATTGACTTCTTTTGATGAGCTGATCAAGCTATCTGAGTTACCTTCGAAAGTCTCCAAACGATTTCCGAAAGTGTCGGAGTTACATTCAAAAGTGTCCGAATCGTTTCCGATACAAACACAATTGAGTATAGCAAACTCTTCCTGCTCTCTGGCCAACCTGTCAATAACCTTCCTCTCGATTTTTTCTAAAAACTTTCGTTTATTTTCTAACATTCTTTCTTCGAATTTGTTCTTTCGTAGAAATACATCAGGTAAAGCGCTTCTTAACGGAGCGCCTGGTTTTAGACGACTACGCGAAGACATAACTTCTTGCTGTTTGGAGCTATTTTAGCGAATTTTGGGGTAAAATTGTACTCTGCCCGGAATCTCTTAGTTTAATTGTATTTGGGGAAAATAAGTAGCGAGATTACTTTTTAATCGCGTTAGTCACGGTGTGTAGATTATGTTACTCAAATAGAGTTTACCTTTTCATGATTTATTACCCCAGGTAAATAACCTATTCTAGCAGAAGTATGCATATATAGATCTTATTCTTTGAATCTTATCTGCGTTCAAGAGATTTTCATCTGACAAAAGTAGTGTTCATGAAGAGAATGCAGGAGCATCTGTGTCAGTGACGTTTCACATCAGACAACGTACTTCTTTTGATCCGCATTCTTTACAGCCAACGCCGCTCCAACTAAGATTTATCGGATTATTCAAGTAAGAGAGGCTGACCACGCAAAATCTTTAATCCATCAAAATGGCTGGGTTATTTAACAGTATGCCATAAATCATTGTGTTTGTTTGCACAAAAGTTTTTATCGAAGCAAACAAAGGCCTCTCAACAAACACAAGCGAATTAGTGTCATGGATTGTATGATTCGTTGAAATATGATCAAGACACGGTTCGCCATTACTCAAATAGTGACTACCTCTGCGAGTTTGACCATCCCTACGGGCCTACCAACCGCGAACTGCCGGTTAAAACAGGCTCAAGCTGGTCTCAAAATGGAGGCCAGTTTTTTACCAAGGATGCAAGGCCAAGGAAGCAAACAAAAGGAGCACGGACACTCGCTTTTGTTTGACAGTGCCATGAAGGACAGAGTGTTGAGACTAAATGCATATGAAGAACGACTTCTGTCGAAAAGAACCGAACATATTGAGAAGCAAAAGCAACAAACTTTGGAAGATCATAATTTTTGTAAAAGTCGGTTCTTGCTGCGTTTCTTGCCAGTCGTTAAACGGAAGGAAGAATTGAAAAAAGATTTGATGGCCAAAGTTTTTGAGCAGTCGGATGCGAAATTTGAAACGTTTGTGGAAAGAAACCGACCATTATCGAGCTACCCAAGTATCAAAAGTAGAAGCAGTACAGCTGCTAGTGGAATTGCAAAACCAAGCTTAAGGCGAACTGTAAGTGCCGAGCTGAGTTTTCCAGCGCTGCAAGAAAGTATGGACGATGTCTTGAACGGTTACAGGACCATCAAACCACAACCAAAGTCTGTCTCACCGACAAAAATGCGCTTTCGAGGAAATTGGGACTTGGAGTTGCAGTCAAACGGTACCCCGGCTCGAAACGAAACTATGTCGAAAAGTACAATGCCTAAAAAGAAGACGTCGAAAGGTGTTGATTTCTGTCTTGGTCTAGCAGACGAGGAAGGTGAAGACACAGATAGCACAATCTTAGACGGTCCTAAAATTTCAAACGGCCAACCAGGTGTACAGGAAGGTTTTGCTAAAGTGAATGAGAAGAACTCTAACAATTCCTCATTTGCTAGGCTTGTTGAAAAAAGAGCAATAAATTCGTCTAAATCTTCAAAAGAAACCTTTTCTAATACGAATAAAACAAAATCAGAGACAAATTCAATGAGTGATAGTTCTGGTGGTGGTGTGATTCAGGACAAATCTTATTCTTTTCTGGAGCAGTTAAAGTTTTGTCAAAAGGAAAACAACCTTCCGGAACGTTTGATTGAAGACCTTATTCATACGTTGAAGAGCGACACAGCAACATCAAGTACAGCACGTTTTCTTGCAAAAATGCTAAATACGGAAGCACACAAAAACTCAAGCTCCATGAACGAAAATCCTGGCAGTTTATTATCACTCCGTTTAGATAACAATAGCGGCGTTCATCTTTTGAGCGATGTAAAAAAGCGGCAACGCCACGAAACTCAGCGTTTACGGATCATGCGCACTATTGTGTTAGCGTATGACACAGTCTGGAACGAAAGGGTTAAAAAGATTAGTAGTGCAGCTTAGGATGATTAACTGGGGCAAATAACAACGACAAAATCTTTTGTTAGCTAACTCTTGACCTTTCAAATTAAAAAAATGGTTCATATTTTATCTGTGTCTTTGATTATTTTTTTGCTAAATTGTTGAATTATACACTACTTTACTTCGGGAATAGTTCACAGTAATTCATCTAAATTTTCTATCCAGAGATTTGTGAGCGCGCATCCCTATATAATAGGACTGAAAAAGAGGGTCGTGTTTACGAAAGGCCTGGTTACCAAATCCAAAATGGCGGATGAAATGCAGTTTTGGAAACAAGGTTATTCAATCGCAAGTTTGGAGTCTTTTAGCGAGCTAGCTAACAGCAAGCAGTGGTAATTAGTATTGCGTTGTTGTATTTGTGTTTTAGTTTAAGTTGGTATTTGGAACTAGATTCGTTTGTGTTGATAAAGCTTAAATTTCCGTTAGCTTTGCCGATGATAAGGTTTGCGTTGTTGGACTGTTCGGAAATGGACGATCTGGCGTCCAAGGGAAAGCTTTTTACGCAAATTCTGCTGTGGAAAGGAATGTTTTTCAGGTATGTCTTGTTCATGTGTGTAGTAGAGGTGAGAATCTATATAACTTGTGAATGAAACAGTGTGAACAGATAAAGTTATCTTAGATAGATGTGGTGAGCGACTAAGCGCTAAACTACCCTAAATTAAACACCCCAAATTCCCTCCAACGCATACAGATACGCTGTCAACATTGATACAATCTTGCGCGAATACCGGGCCTTCACCGGCTTATTCATTTTAAACGCTCTCGCTCTCTTAAATAGTTTGTTACATTATCGTGATTCCTGGATACGAGGTCACATGTCTTAGTTGTCCCTCTGACTCTTATTATGGATTGCCGTTTTGATGCGATTACAGCTTTGCCGGACAGAGAGTATGTTATTGTTTAAATGGCATCACTGACATTGTCTGCATTATAAAGTATGTGCACATGTAGTACAGACCTAAATTATTTGATATGCTTTCATTGAAAATATGAGGGCTATCATAAACTGTCAGAAGGTATATTTCAATAACTCAGGCCTGTATTTTCTCTCGAATTTCAGTCGCGTCGAATTCAATTTTAACGACTCTAACTCGTTTGAAAAACGAAAGAGAGTAAAACAGCATGATTTGTTAGGGACAGACCAGGACCAAAACGTATGCCAATTTCAAGATGTTTTCAGAATAGAAAAGTGTTCTGATTTATAAAAGGCAAACTAAGAATCATATTGAAGAGGCAAACTAAATGTTTTTAACCTTAATACAAAGATACTGTTTACAACTACATATTCAGTGCATAATTTGAACTTATACAAACAGATTTTTGCCATGTGGCTACCTTACATACATAAAGAATGTGCGCAAAGACACAAGGACAAAAAAGTTATTATTATGAACATTTTTTGAGGAGTATATTGTACTTTCCAATATATTTTTATTGATATTCTATTAGACTTATTAAAGTTCATTTTTGACTCACGGATACTCCGTGGGATTATCAGGGAGTCATTGCAACGGTCTTGCATTCTTTAGTGCTATTAACTCGACCAACCTGCTTTGCGTGCTTAGTATTAAAAACTTGTTTATCTGGTTATCTAGGCTACTAGCCAACAATTAATCGGCTATTCGTGCATCCGTGAATCGTCTCATTGAGACCTTTGATTAGCTTTTATCGTCAGCTATCTTCTTCTACTAGTATCTCCACGGTTATTCGTTTATATTCACGCCGCTTGTTCCATCAGCTGTTGGGATAAAAAAATATATAAACTCTCATTAAGACGGTGAAACTATATATTCGACCCTTTAAATCCGAAATTAATATAAATTGTATATATGTGGCATAGATAGATAGGTTGATGTATATGGATATATTCACTTCTTATATTCTATACTCACTTCTTAAATCGTTAAGTATCACCACGTCATCCTTTTCTCTGGTTTGTCTATCTTCTTCTGTTGCCATTTCGAGTAATTCGTCTTTCTCACCCTGGTTATTTAATTCAACGAAGGTTTCATCGTCTAAGAACGCTTTCCAAGTATCTGCACCCTGAATTAGCTCCAAATTTATCATTCTATTTCGTAAAAGCTTCTTCAATCCATTTCTGTGGTTTAGACGATCGTGAAAGTAAAAATTGGCAAACTTTATTGTAAAACAAGCGTTATTTTCGTCCATAAATTTGAGGATTTTACTTGCGCAATCGCTACAGGGAGAGTAGTTTTGAACTAAACATACTTTAACACTGGTGCCTTCATAATTTCTTATTTCATCTTTAAGAAATGCGAGGAATTTTATTTCCGCGTGAATTTTTTTTCTTTGTCGACTGTCGTTCTTGAAAATCTTTGTTAGGACGTGATCGTTGTCAATTCTTACTGTACTTAACACAACTGTGGAATGTGGCCAAGTGTTGCCTGACACACAATAAGGATGTTTAACTATGAATTTCTCCACATCTTCTCTCCCAATCTTTTTTTTTTTTGCTTGTGCCATCATTACAAACTTAGTAATCAGGTTTTACTTTTGTAGATTCTTTATATAATGATAATATTAAGGCCCAGCAAAACGTACGCATGCAGAAGAGTTATATTGCGATCCAACGAAAGACAGAAACGCTTTTTGACGAGGATATTTTGTTTACGCTTTCGACTAACAACTTGCTAAACACCTGCCGTAACATATTAATTATATTTGGTTGTGAAACCGGAAATTGCAGAAATTTTACGAAACTACTTAAAACCTACACATTCTGCATGTCACCCAACGAATGCTCTAGTCCTTCTCAGCTTTAGGTAATGAGGCGAACACGACTCTTCCGAACTTGTGTTTGGGTGAAAACATTATTAATTATGCATGCGTAATTTTAGGTTGAATCATAAAGCGCTGAAAAATTTGGATTCGCACAACCGAATCAGGTTGACATTATTAAGAAGTATATATGCTGCTTCTTGGAAACCGTCTCGCAAGCAACAGTAGTTTGCGTTTGCAACCAGACTCTCACTTCAGCGGTGGACAAAAAATATTTTGCACTCGTTCAGTGGCGTAGTCTCTAGCTTCTTTTCGAAGCTTCTTCGTTATAAAAGGCCAAGAGCTAAGTCTTTAAATGAAGTATAAAGATATCTGAACTGTGTCTCGAAGTATCCGAACACAATAATCAAAACAATCAGCGTTTAACAACCTATCATCAGTCAGCTCAGTTGTTGACCCTGTTGGTAGACTGAGGAATACCAAAATATCTATCGAAAACAGATTTTTATATAAGGCAGCAAGACCGAATATGAAATATATTATTTTTAAGGATGGGTTTCGTTCAAAGTTCTGTGTTGTTAACGGCTCCCGTAGAGATTGTAAGGTTGTATTTTCTCTGTTCTGGGTCAATTCATATCCAGTTGCTACATCCAGTGTGTTATTATTAGATCAGTGGTAAAGCATTGTTACAAACTATGACTATGCACAATGTGAGCTTGTTATGGCGCTGCGGTAATTGAACCATATCAAAACATCGTCAGGAATATAAACTTGAAATAAGGAACAAGATGATACATGTTCCTTTAAAACCCGCTTACACTTTATGATTTTAATTTACGACGTTTACACTTTACGATTTTATGTAAGTTTTACGATTTTCTTCTTTTGATAGATGCAAACGAGTGAAGGACGGTACACATTAAGCGACAAATCATTGCAACACGTCGCAGCGACAAATTTCATCGTCTGAAGAGGGAAATTTGAGCGAAAACTTTTCCCTTCTGATGCAAATATGTCGCTGCAACACGTCGCACAAAATCAAGCTAGTTTGATTTTGTGCGACACGTCACAGTGTCAAGGCTAGGTAATTATAGCTCTTGCATACAATGATGTCATCATTGCCGTCCAAATGTACACACGAAGCGATTTGTTTCAGCGATTGTCGCCTAGTGTGTTTTTGCCTTAATACGTTACGAATGCTTTGATATATATATAAGAACTCCTATTTGAACATCTGCAGCTAATTCACTCGTTCACATCTATCAAAAGAAGAAAATCGCAGCAAAAATTGCAAGTGTAAACATGCAAGGCTTTACTAGGAAATACTGTTTCTTTGCCCATTGATATTGTTCATAATATTCACGTCCTCATTCTCTCTAGATTTTCTTTCTTCTGACGTCGCCTGTTCAAGTAATTCCTGTTTTTCATCCTCAGTTAGTTGAACAAAGTTTTCATCCGCTTTAAAGACTGTACAATAATAATGAAACTATCCCTTTTTTGGGAGTTGAACTGAATTTTTTTGTCGCGTGTTTCAGCGCGAGTGTCCTTTCTGTTTCGTTTTCCTTTCTAAGAGTGTTTCGTCGTTCTTTGCCGGTCTAAAAACTTTGTAAGATTTATCGACTTCGTTCGCTTTCATTTCTCACACAAAATTAAAAACGCAATCGTATTCGAATCAAAAACAACAACAATATATTCGGAATTTTACATTACAAAGTCAGTCTTAAGAATAAATATAAGTGTTCTTGACACACTTTGCCGGGCAAGACCGCAAAGTCATTGTAGCCATTGGAGAACAATTGATCAAATAGATTGCATGATAAATCCTTAGTTTCACAATATATTTTTACATATATGTTGTATAGATACATACATATTGTAAGTATAGTTTATTGCAACTCTCTTGTAGCTATTTTTACTGATTTTATTATCAGTTGTCTTCTGCCACGTGTTTTCTCAAAATTTCAAAGTTGCAAATGTTGCGTCTGGTGTACAAGGTCATCTGTTGAGATAAAAAATATGCAAAATTGAATAATGGCATAGTAATACAAATATGAATACATGCATGTAGTAATAGATGGATATACTGTAGATATACGCATTCCTTGATTATACCTGTGGAGAACACTTTTTTACCAAAAACTTCGCATTCAATTTTTTTAAGGATCGCCACGTCATCCTTCTCTCTGTCTTTTCTTTCTTTTGTCTTTGCCAAATTGAGTATTTCTTGTCTCTCACCCCGCGTATTTAATTTAACGAAGGTTTTATCGTCTAAGAACTCTTTCCAAGCAGATTCACCTTGAAGTAGCTGCAATCTTATGCCTTTCTGTAACAACAGCTTCATTGATTCTCTGTTTCTATTGTAATAATGTTTGTAAAAGTTTGCAAACTTTATTGTAAACGTTAAACGAAAGTCTTGGCCGTCAACAAATTCGAGGATTCTTGTTACGCAGTCGCTACAGGGAGAGTAGTTTTGAACAAGATTTACTATAACTTGAGTGACTGTGCCTTCCAGGGCATCTAATTTCGCTTTGAGAAAGTCGAGGAAATATTTTTCGGAGTGGTGGTTCTCATCATTTTTGAAAATCCCTGTGTCGTGTATAAATTCATCGTGTCCCGCATTGTTGAACTCAATTTTTACTCTGCCTAATACTACAGTGGCTCCGCTACCACTTGGCCATTGACGAGGATTCTGAAGATACCGATGTTGAATTATGAATTTCTTTACGTCTTCTTTTCCAACCGTTTCATTTGCTCCTGCCATAGTTACAAATTTAGTATTTAGGTTTCACTTTTGTAGATTCTTTGCATAATGATAATATTAAGGCCCAGCAAAACGTACGCATGCTAACACCTGCCGTAACATATTAATTATATTTGGTTGCGAAACCGGAAATTGCAGAAATTTTACGAAACTGCTTAAAACCTACGCATTCTGCATGTCACCCAACGAATGCTCTAGTCCTTCTCGGCTAGGCAATGAGGCGAACATCACTCTTCCGAACTTGTGTTTGGGTGAAAACATTATTAATTATGCATGCGTAATCTAAGGTTGAATCATAAAGTGCTGGAAAATTTGGATTCGCACAACCGAATCAGGTTGACATTATTCGGAAGTATATATGCTGCTTCTTGGAAACCGTCTCGCAAGCAACTGTAGTTTGCACTACAGTTACTGTGTGCAACCAGACTCTCACTTCAGCGGTGGACAAAAAATATTTTGCACTCGTTCAGTGGCGTAGTTTCTAGCTTCTTCTCGAAGCTTCCTCGTTATATGAGAGGCCAAGAGCTAAGTCTTTAAATGAAGTATAAAGATATCTGAACTGTGTCTCGAAGTATCCGAACACAATAATGAAAACAATCAGCGTTTAACAACCTATCATCAGTCAGTCAGCTGTTGCACCCTGTTGGTAGACTGAGGAATACCAAAATATCTAACGAAAACAGATTTTTATATAAGGCAGCAAGACGAATATGAAATATATTATTTTTAAGGATGGGTTTCGTTCAAAGTTCTGTGTTGTTAACGGCGCCCGTAGAGATTTTAAGGTTGTATTTTCTCTGTTCTGGGTCAATTCATATCCAGTTGCTACCTCCAGTGTGTTATTATTAGATCAGTGGTAAAGCATTGTTACAAACTAACTATGACTATGCACAATGTGAGCTTGCTATGGCGCTGCAGTAATTGAACCATATCAAAACATCGTCAAGAATATAAACATGAAATGAGGAACCAGTTGATACCTGTTCCTTTAAAACCCGCTTACACTTTATTATTTAAATTTACGACGTTTACGATTTTATGTGGGATTTTCTTCTTTTGATGGATGCGAACGAGTGAAGGACGGTACACATTAAGCAACAAATCGCTGCAACGCGTAGCCTGCAACGCAGACTATATATTGGGATATAGTCTGCGTTGCAGGCTATGCAACACGTCGCAACGACAAATTTCATCGTCTGAAGAGGGAAATTTGAGCGAAAACCTTTTCCTTCCGATGCAAATTTGTCGCTACAACACGTGGCACAAAATCAAGCTAGTTTGATTTTGTGCGACACGTCACAGTGTCAAGGCTAGTTAATTATAGCTCTTGCGTACAATGATGTCATCATTGCCGTCCAAATGTACACATGCACGAAGCGATTTGTTTCAGCGTTTGTCGCCTAGTGTGTATCAGCCTTAATAAGATTCAAATGCTTTGATGTATAAGAGCTCCTATTTGAACATCCGTAGCTAATTCACTCGTTCACATCTATCAAAAGAAGAGAGTCGCGGTAAGAATCGCACCGAAAATTGCAAGTGTAAACATGCAAGGCTTTACTATGAAATACTGTTTCTTTGCTCTTTGATATTGTTCATAATTTTCACGTCCTCCATCTCTCTCGATTTTCTTTCTTCTGACGTCGCCTGTTCGAGTAATTCCTGTTTTTCATCCTCAAATAGTTGAACAAAGTTTTCATCGTTTAAGAAGTCTCTCCAAGCGTCCTCACCCTGAAGTAGTTCCAATTTTACTCCATTTTTTAAAAGCTTCTTTAACCCTTCTATGTTTTCTTCCTTTTGGTGAATGTAGAAATTTGAGAATTTTATTGACAGAGACAGTTCGATGTTTTTTGTTTCCATCTCATTTTTAAATTTCAGGATGGCATCAGCGCAACCATATTCCCGCGTTGGCGGGCGACTGATGTTACAGGGAGAATAGTTTTGTACAAGATCCGCTTTTATTTTTGTGCCCTCTGTCTCTTTATCCTTCGAAAGACAAATTTCGCGTCTAAGAGCTCTGAGGAAATTTATTTCCGCATGATTTTTGCCGTCGTTCTTATGAATTCTTCTCAGTGGACAATCCTCCCCGAGCTCATGGATACACATTGCCGGGAAAATTCTCGCTGTACTCAAAATGATCGTGCCACCTTTACCTCTTGGCCACCCGCCTTTTTTACCGTACGGCTGTCTTACGATGAATTTCTGGACGCAGTCTTTCCCAATTTTTTTAATTGGGTTCATTTTATATCTAGCTATGTATTCTCTCATCAAGCTGCAATGATCTTTTCTTTTGCACTTTAAATGCTGACAAGTTTGTTTTGGAATATATACACATATGCGGATATTATACCTGCTGTGAAAATTTTAGATTTGAATACATATTTGAGAAATTTTACGCTTGGAAAACCATTGCCTTCAACTTGAATCACTATGACTATGTAGAATCTTAAAAACTGTTGTCTTTTAAATTAGCTTGGGGCTAAAAATAAACTAAAAATGAAAGTACTATAATTTAAGAATCTAGAATATACCGTATGTAATGGTCCACAATTGTCTTAAATGGTTTATGAGATTTTAAAATTGATTGCATTGTGGCCGGTTGTATCCTTCTTGTCTCGAAATGACTCTTGCTAAGTTTTTATATATGCCTTTACTTTATATTTCTCACAAATATGAATCTCCATTTTATTCTTAAAGGTGGAGAATTTCTTTAAAATGACAAATTCTAACCCGGTAAGCTGGTAGATATATACATTACTTCAACTGAGACATTTTAAGCTAGTTATTCGCGAATTATTCTGGCTAAGATCGTTTACTGCCTTTTGTGTTGTGTAGTGTGAAATAGAAATATTCCATGATGTTGAGCAGAGAACTCTGTATCTTCATTTGATCACTGTTCACGATGGTGCAATGTTGTACAAATTGTGCGAAGTCTTGCATAGAAATATTCCATTTGCTGTAAGTATATATAGGCAAAGCAAATAACTTGTAATTACTAAAGCAAATAATCAACTCAATTAAGCAAGTCGATCGAAAAGTCGAGTGGCGTTGCATAACAAAGTAAACGTAAGATGCCAAATTCTGCGACGCAGCCGACCAGACGAAATCTTGTTATTTTCAGAGTTTCACTACCTAAATGAAAAGTATGCACTTTTATGAGGTAAAACTGAGTCTCGAAACATTTGCGACTCTTTAAATGACGAGTCACGACGTTTGAGCCGTAGCTTTAAGAGCTTGCTAATTTCAGGAAATCGTGTATCGTGAAAAAGAATTGTGGCAGATGTATTTAAAATAAGATGTTTGGCAATAGCATCTTTTCAAATGAGTGCTGGAATTTTTTAACAGTGAAACCGAGCGTTTGCCAGCATCAAACATTTACTACAAATATATTTATTATACACCGACCAATTAATCGAACACTACAGTATATCACTTATACACTCCCAACCAATTGAACACTAGAAAATTAACGTGGGAAGGAAATTTTGCAGACGAAATTAGGGCCTCGCAACGGCGCAATTGGGAAATAAGTGATTCGAAAAAAACACGCGTTAATCACATGAGGAGGCGACCTTTGGATGGCCTAGAAAGCACGTGATGTTTTAATGCAATTTTCGTCTTTTGATCAATGCGTGAATTAGTTACTGGTGCTCTATCTATTTATTTTGCCCTCTTCATAGGAGTCTTATAAAGCTTGGCAGCATGAGGAATATCAATACGCTAAAGCTTTGTTGTTCATGTTCTCTGTTTGTCATATCATGGTGGTAAGACGAGACCTTCATATAGCTCACAAATTTCTCGAAAAAAAAAATCAAATAAACTTGTCTTTTCTTGCTCTGTAGTTAATGCATCCAACTCAGATATTTGACGTTAGTTACATCCGATTATTTAAGCTGGTTGCAAATACAAGGTATTACACAATGCACTGAAGTGATTGTGGTTTTAACGGTGTGGATAAAGTCATTATACTGATACAGAACATTTGAAATGTACGCGAATTTTAAAAAAAATTTAGACAACAACTCATTACAATACTAAGCCAAGAACTGAGCAGTGTTGAAGGGATCCACGATATTTGGAAACAGACTGGTCGTCCTTGCATCCCAAGACTTCTCTGTTCTTTTCAACAGGTGATTGATCTGAGTCACACGAAAATGGAAAATATTCTCAACATTTTTGAAGTTAGCATCCATGATGCAAATGGCTTTATTTCTTTTTCCATTTATCATTTTAGAACAAAAATTCACAGTTATTAAGCAGAAATGTATCCGAGGTTAGTTAGTGAAATGAGATTATAAATGAGATGTATTATAGTTGATTCTTTCTGCCGACACAATTATTCAAACGCCCCGCAATATACACGTGCATATTCCTCTATAGGTTGAGTCAAACCCAGACTCTTACGCAAGTCGGACGAAAATTAAATCTCAGGTGAAAAAAAAGACTCGCGCTCTTTTGTAATTTTTTGAGGTCTAGCAAGTTTTTCATGTACTTCATTTTGTATTTTTGTATAGGCTCCAGCTAAGAGTCCTCTTACCAACCTCCAGCACGCGTTAGAAGATCAGGTGTACAGTATAATGAGAAAAAGTCGCTTATTAGGCAGTCTTAGGTAAAATATGCTGGGATGTCGTATTTGTTAATGATATGATTCTGGGTACAGCTATGGAGACGTGAGTGTGCGAGAGTGGACCCCGTGTTGGCATGGGGGAGAAGATAGCCAAGTAGTATTCCATCAATGACGTGTAGTTTACACCAGGTTAATTTGAAAGGATGATCTATGTTGTTCTTTTCTAATAAAGATTTATTTTTCATAGTTCCAGTTCACTGTTCACTGTCACCTCCAGTCATAATTTCGTTCATGTCCAAGCGGCGGAGATATCGCGTTCTGCAGATGCTCTTGATATTCTCCTGAAAAAATTTCCAATTCCAGCCTTCCCTGGTGAGTCGAACCTCGCGTGTATTGCGCTAGGATGGCTTAGTCTATAGTGAGATAACAGCGAAGAGGTTGTACCTTTCGCTTCTGTGATCTGTTATAAGGCTTCTGTGCCTCCAAGCAGCAAATGTTTCTAAGTCCACATTGCTCCAGCCTTAGTTCTTTAGTTTTACCAATTTTTTTTAAAAAATGAAAAACTTTGGCCAATGTTACTCGTGTATTTATTCAGGATCTTGAAATAGGTCTTTACTTCTCAAAAATGATACACTTGTTAGGAAATTACATGATGACATGTTTTGTTCCTCTCATCCATCCAGACAGTTTCAGATCCATGCTGTTTCCCAAGGCCCCTCGAGCGACAACTACATCCAACGGCACCAGCACAAACACTGGTCACGTGTTATTCCGAGATTTCTTGCGGGAACAAATTGATAATCTAATGACAGGCGACGGTCGTGACGGATTGGCTGAAGGTCGTAGGGGGACACATGTTGAGGTAAGTGGTTGGTTTGTAATTCCGGTGTGCAGAAACGAATGCTAATGCCACATTTTTGATCATTTGCTGATGACAGAATTCAGAAATCTAAGCCAGAATAATCTTCATCCGATTATTTTTAAATCCCAGGTACCCACCATTCGAGAATGGGCGAAGGTTTGCGTCGCTGTGTTTGGATACCTCATGAGTGAACGAAGTAACGACAACAACCATTTGACCACACTTGCTGCAAACCTTGACCTTGAAATGAAGTTTTCCGACGCGTAAGTTTCACCAGTTGGTTTTTCAAATAAGTCCGGGAAAAAAGCAACGTTTGAGGCAGTTTTACCGGCAATCATCAGGCGAATTTTCTTTCATCCTGGTTGGATTCCATCCAGTGAATTACCTTGTTGTAATGTGCTCCAAGATCTGATTCTTTGCACTAGGCGTTGCCGCAAAGTCCTCCCAGTTGCAACCAGTGCATATCTTGACAATCTGGCGTCTCATTATCCGAAGAGTGTGCATATAAATCAGGTAAACAGATGATGTTGAACTCGACCAGCTTTCAATCAATTATCTGCCACTTCTGCTATCACACGTTTTCCATCTTGGTTTCATTCCAGCTGAACCAGGCTCTCCGCGTTTTCGCGATGAACGCTCGTGGTCCTGCGTACGAGAAGTACGTTATGCAACTGCAGGACGATTGTAACAAGGTCAGCGGCGTCAAATGTGGATTTTTTCAATTGAACGTTGATCTTGACTTTTCTTTCAATTCGTGCGATTTTTGCTTGCAGATGTGGATGAATGGAAGGCAATTATGCGAAGTACGAAGTCTCAAAGGACGACACTGTATTTATCCGGTACGTGAATGTATTAAGGATGTTGAAGTTGCATTTTGATATTCGGTACTGTGTTGTTTGTGTCTGTCATAATAAGAGCAACAATAAGATCAACAATCATCAATAACAACAGCAGCAATGACACCTAGCAAAGTTCACTATTTTCATGCGCTATTCAGTTTCACATAGTTCCAGGACAATCAATCGAGGACAACCCTCTGATAGACAAGAGCACTATATCTTGCAAACCTCACTCGAGTCGTATCACCAGCCTCTGTGCCTGTAACTGCGGACGAACACAGGCCCAACGAGAAGATCCCTTTGATCTGAAGGTACGCTTTTATTTTCATCTATCAATGATTTAGAAGTAAGAGAAAGGGTGAGGACAATGGCTATAAAAAACACAACATATTTTCTCTAACACAGGCGGCAAACTATGACTTTTATCAAACTATGGAGGAAAAATGCTGCTCAACCTTGGTCCATTTCTCATTCCCCTGTTATCCATACAGCGTCCATGAGAAACCAGCTACGACGCCCCCTGTATTACCCGTCTCAGAAACGACAATGTCAGACCAAGAAACCTCGGCACAGAGAGCGGCAACGTTTTCTGCTGCGTCAGTTAGATTGAATAAGGATGCAAAAGAATTTGTATCGACTCGCGCGACGTCAACAAATCCAGCGAGTGTCGCAGAGTCCCCGGGCGTAACAGATCCCGCGAGTGCAGCAGATCCCGCGAGTTTAGCAGATCCCGCGAGTGTCACGAATCCGCCGAGTGTCACGAATCCCTCATTCAGCCCCGAACCCTCAAATGTATTGAATCCTGTGACGAGTGTTTCCAGTCCCGCGAGTGTCCCTAATCCCGCAACGGCCGCAAGTGCTCCGAATCCCATGAGTTCACTTCTTAGTGAAGGATTTCAATCAATGTCCGAACTGGAATCGAACTATCAGAAGAGTGCTACTTCACTCGGTTTCCATGGAAACAGCTCTGCCGGGGGGACTGAACACCTGAGTGGTGATACGTATCAGGGGGAGGATGATGAAATAAGGCGACCCTCTTCCAAGGAAGCCGCTGAGTACTTGGAGTGCATGTTGAGCAGTGAGCTCACCGGTGATCGAATGCCGTTGTTTTGTAGCTGGTCTTTGTGTCGTCTTGGCAACGCGAATACGTACCAAGTGTCGAAGGGATTAGAACAGCAAGGCTTTTTCCCCGGTAGTAATTTTCTCCTGCCATGGGATATACCATTACTGAATGAAAATCAGGCAGGTTTAAGCAGCTATATTGACGGACATGTCAAACACCCTGGGGTAAAAACTGCCGGTGTTGAAGCATGGCCAGCTCCGAATGAGCTGCCAAATGCAAACAGTAATACGGCGCTGCCTCTCTTCCAGTCTCTTGTATATGCCTCGCGGCAATGCACTGATTATAAAGTCAATCCGCTGCCCATATGTGTAGCTCCAGCTTCGGGCTCGAAAGGAAATGCTGCTAGGAATCAACGAAGGCAATACCCGACCGTGAGGGCGTATATTGGGAATGAGTACGAGTGTACGCGTGGCCATAGGTATGTTAGTTCTTAATAACAAGTCAACTTCGTCCTTAGTCTTAAATGCGTGTTTAGAGCTTAGCCTGTTGTGCTTACTGCCATGACAGTTATCTTTGTCTCATACACAAATATTGAACTCTTTTTCAGGTTCATCTGTTCCGCCGATGATAAGATGGTCAAAGCTAATAATTCTGGTGTTGTTAAAGAAACTGCTATTCGTTTGGTCAACTCTGACATGCCTTTGTACTTTCCTTGCCCCTGTCGAACAACAAAGCCTTTCCTAGCCCAACTCACTAGGTTGTTTGTCGTTACCCCCGAGTCGCCCATATTGATCACCCTTAACCCGCGTGTTCAACCTGCACCCGCACCGTGTCCTGTCTTCTTTCCGGGCATTAAATCAGGCATTACCCTGCCACCAGCAAGTTTGTGTGTCTTACGTTTGCCGTTCGTGTATGTTGGGTTAAAAGGCCCGATTTCTCATCCCGCGGACAATCAGCCGTTGATGAACTCCCGTCTGTTACGGGGAACCTACGGTGTAATGGCGACAGAGCGATTGCTAGAGGATAAAGACGCTTGGAATTGAGCAGAGAAAAAGGAAATTCTTCATGAGGATATCCGATTTTCCGTTTGTTTCTGCGATCCAAGCATTTTCTCCCCATGTTGGCGGGCTGAATGTTGGTAGATTGACAAACAAAGCTATTGAGATTTGAACAGCATGATTGTTGAACTAGGAGTGTTATCATCAGCGGATATCCCGTCCGAATACCGGACGTCTTGAAATCAGTGGAGTCACAACTTCCTTTAGGCTTTAATTAGTTTCTTCGTGATATAGTGTGGTGTACTTTCTTCAAAGAAACTTTGAAAAGTTTAGGTGACACACTTTTAACAGACTGTACTTTGTTGACAAGAAACTGTAAAGCATTTAGGAAAACAACGTTGAGTTGATTGTAAATTAAATTGTGCTGAGAGTGATCAGAATGAACCACTTCGCGCACTTTGTTATTTCTTTTGAAAGAAAACTATGATGGAAGTTTTAGCATCGAGTTAACATTCCATCATATTGACCGTATTCTTTTGAGACATTTCAATACAATTGAAAATAGCCTAACTTTGCAACACATTTAAATACATTAAGCGTTTTTAAGACACTAAGTTGACTAACAGTGTGAGAGTTTTTGAGAATAAATATATTGCCCTTAGGCCTGGCTTGGGTTTGGCATGGGGCTCGATGATGATTCTGCCATATTTTTAAGTGATGCTTTAGGAAAGAAGCATTCTGTGTTAATTCATATATATCTATTCATGTATCCTTGACAACGACATGGAAGAAAAAAGTTCTTTCATGCTGTAGGTGAGAAAAGTTTTGTTCGATTTTTAACTGGACTAAACACAAGTGGTGGTTGCTCTCTTCGCTTCGAGAAGAAAACTTGATTCAACCGAACGTTAACTTGACATTCATCCGTATATTGGCTATGGCTGGTTCCCGGCTTGTCTTCCAGTTTATCTATTTCGGTCAGACTAGGAAAGTAGGTGAGTAAATTAACATTAAGATGTAGAATGAAGTAAATGAAGCATGAATATAAATTTACCCTAATTATACTTGTGCTATTAATCAAACTTCATGATACATATTATGTTCTGCCATATTACTCTATGTACAGGAATGTAAATGCTAGCAGTAATAATAAAACTTTATCTTCAATATCATACTGTACAAATAATTAGTCCTCCAAAGACAATGTATCATTTTAGACAAACATCGAGAAACATTTTGATTATTAAAAAATACCCCACACGATTAACAAAGCAAGGCATACGAAATTGAATACAATTTGATAATTTCTTATGATAACGAGAACTGAGAGGTTTCCAAAGAGATTTAGAGAATCCGTAAAAGTTTATCGAAAATGAAGGAATCCAAGACGGACATGTTTTGACTTTTTAGATTGTATGTTTTAAAGCAATAAAGGCTTCGTAACTTGGTTCAGTATATTTTAAACTTTAAAGCTAGGCTTCGTCACCGGATTGTTAGTCGTCTATTTGTGCCGTGGTATCTTTCCTATATTTGTTTGTTGTTAAAGAGCAACTTATTTTACTGATTTGGTGTATAATGTATATAATATTGTAGCATTTTCATCTTTTACAATTAAACAAAATTTCTCTACAGCGTACAGGATTTCAGTATGTCTAAAATATTCGACCCTCCGGGTTGCAATCCGGTATCTGTAAAATGTTAACGAGGCCCAAGATAAACTGTAGCCAATGTGGTATCGTAAATGTTTACCGACGATGAAGAATGAGTGGTGATGAAATCAGTGCTAAAATTAAATGCCGCTAGCTCGTATTCATGTGATGAAGAAATTAAAATTCACAAAATTGGAACGAGACAACTGAAACAAGCTATTCTGTAGGCATGCATGACTACGTCAATTCCACGATAAGAAATATATAGTTTTATCCGTCTATGCCTATGACCATGATCTTTTGCAACTGCGGTTCAAATCAGTTCGCATGGTGGCATGTCGATCTTGTAAACAATTCTTTCCAAAACTCGATTGCATCTTACGATAAAAGTTCTTATCTTCTAAGGCGACGTGGCATGTTTTCAAACCGTTAATTAATGTGTCGCTTTGAATTCCTGAACATTGTTGTCAAATCTCATTCGATGTCATCCTCGGTTATAACAATGACATCAGCAGTTTGTCTCTCACGCAGGCAGTTACCATAACGTAGGCGAGCAGTTGTGTGGTTTTCACGTTTGTGGTATGCAAGTTGTGTATTATTTTAGATAAATTATATTTTGTGAACCGGTAGTGGCAACCTACGCCTTGGAGTGGTTCCCAGACTTTCATGTCTTCCGCCATATATTTCTGTGGATGTATTAGTACTCGTATAGGAATATTCATTATCCTCTAAAGATATATATTATCTATATGTACGTAATAATGGCTGGATTTGGGCTGTTGGTATAATTTACTCATTTTTGGTTGTCTTGACCTCAGCAGTCAACATCACTCTCCCAGGGGTTTTGTACTAGACATTAGGGGGAGAAATACCCGGTGATTTCGATTGTATCAAATTAGCAACTTCCTTCAATCACGGTTTGGTGTTTACAAAAATTGTGGCTGGAATTACTTAGCTGACATACAGGTTCGTTTGGGACAAGACAGGTACAAATAGAGATTATTCTATATCTAAGCGTCGCTGAATTTTTAACAAAGATCAGACGATGGAATAAGGCTTCATACGTTCAAACACCGAAACGCATCGATTCATTCTGGGTTTGACGAGGTACTCTTTATACACACTCGAATGTTTCATTCTTTATGTACGAAATCGAAAGCTTTAGACGGTGAAGTAGAAATAGCTTTCATTTTGAGTTATCCTTTATTTAAAAGATGCCTCTTGTTCCTATTCCCGTGCTTCGGGAATGCCTAATTACTTAACACAAACAAACAAATAGAATAGCGAGCATAGAAGCTAGTGGTTTTAGTTCATCCAAGGAACGTGCGACTTTCTATAAAGTATCTCGAATAATTTGTTACATTCGTACCCATGTCTACGACATTTGAGAGGAAACTTATTTCACCTCGTAAGTTTGTCTCTTTGACAAGTAAGGGCGCTGCTTCAAATTTTGATATATTTCCGTTTTTGATGTATTGATATTAGACTATGTTTACGTTTTGCTTTGCCTGTGGAGTTGAACAACTTGTAATGAACTGTGAGCGAAGAATTACCAATCAATCGTTACTATTACTTCATTAAATGCTTATTTCTTTATCATTTAACGAAGTATTTTGTATAATTTGGTTAAAGGGTAGCGCGATCTAAGTAAAAGTCTAAGCGTGTGTCTTGAACTTCTCGTAATACGAGGAGCGAAAATTATTTTTGTGTCGACAAGAAAGTTGCGTAATGGCTTCTGGTATAGATACGGTGATTATACAGTCAGATAAATCGCTAATTTATGCTATTATTAGATTTGTATTTCTATCAATTATTTCCATCAAATATATCCATTTTGATAGCGCAGTAGAATAAATGTAAACGAAGGTTGATTGGTAATAAAGCATAGTATTTCAATGTTCGTGTAGTGATATGGGTTTATTTATATGAATTATAAGTACTTTAAGGAAGTAAGGGCATTTAATTTTGGAAGTGTCTGTTTTGCAAATCGATATACCAGAAATGGATGTATGCAACAAAATAGTGTGGTAATTTGATAGATAGTGTATCTTATTTAGCTATACCTATCACTAAAGATTCTTCGGTAAATAAATTATAAATTATTTCTTAGGATCGGGTATATCACTTTAATTTAGCAATTTATTGACGATCGATTGATGATTTTCATTTTGAAAGTCCCTAATGTTGTGGACGTATGCACGTCCATGTGACTGGTCAGTTAAGTTGAATGTAAATATAGCTCTATCATTTCATTTTATATCAGTTTCTGTTGTGTGACATCGAAATGTAGAACAAACAATGATTTTTAAAAATCCTTATCGGCTTAAATTTCCGTAACTTGGCAACGATGAAAAATAGACGATGAATATTTTATCGAGGTCATATTGTCACGTACACTAAGGAGTTGTCCTCAGACTCTTAATCATCAGTATTGTTCACTGACGAATGCTTGGCCTCCATTGCTTTTCTTCGCCTCCGTGAATACGATAACGCTCGCTTTATCTATGATATTCGAGATGTAATCGCGATCGAGCTTTTTGTAAAAAAATATTATATGACGCTTTTGAAAATCTCAACAGAACTTGCCGCAAAACAGGTGAAAATTTTTGTAGTTATTTCAAAGAATCACATTTACTTCCTGTAGATCTCTGTAACGAAGACTGCGGGGGAAATACATTAAATTATAAGAATGCAGGCGGTCGGAAATTCTTGCTGAAGAACAGACAAAAATATTTAAACCAGACGTAATTTCCTTTGTTGTGTTGTGCAAGTTTTACGTCATCAGACGGTCTCGTCAAGACATTCGGTCGCATCCGCCATTATTTTCGTAATCCTGCATTGAGACTAGCACTAACATGAAATTATGATTTCAGAAATCTCAAGCAGCAAAAGAAAGGAGAAGAATGTCAGATCAAACGTTGCCATCATGAACATGGCTGAATCAAGACCACGTCCTCAACCAAAGCCAAGACCCCGGCAAATTTTACCGCCAGAAAAAAATCGTTCATCAACAAATGTCAGTCCCAACCTCCCACGGTCTGAAGGCAAGCCACCACCTATTACAAAGCCTAAACCAGCTGGTTACAAACAACTCGATTTCAAAAATGATTTTTTAGTCAGTATTACAACTGATATAGATATAGGCGATGATTCAGAACAAAATAATTCGGTGGGTAATGGCATTTTTGAAAAGAATAATAATGTTCCAAATTTGAAACATGGGAATAATACGGTTTTGACCAGAAATGGATTAAGTGAGAAGGTAAGCGATACAGTTATTGCGTCAATCTGAAGCGTGTTTTTCATGTTTTTGTTTTTCATATTTATGTGCCATCAAATTAACTTCCCTCTGTTTCTCTTTATAGGATAAAGATTCCTCTTCCTTTGGTGAAAAATACAGAAAACCCTTACCACTTTTACCTAATGAAAGCCCGGCAATTGTGGATGATGAAATCATCTCAAGTACTGTGGAAGAAGAGTTGGCAAAACCTACTATTGATATGTCAAAATTACCAAAGAAGCCTCCCAGGCTACATATCTCATCTTCTGATACGCAACTTGTTTCAAAGCATAATACCGGAGATTTGAAAGGAACGAGTTCTGTATTTTTTGACGATTTAAATGATTCTACTGCAAATACAAAGCGTGTTCCGCCTCTGCCAAGGAAGCCGACGTGTTTACGAAAGTTTGTAGAACCAAAAGAAGCTTTGACTAGTACTTTTTATACAGACGCAAAGGAAAGCGAAGGAAGTTCGCCGGAAAATCAAAATGCAACTCCTAAGGAGAGATCGAAAATGCACACACACTCGGACTCTCAGCTGGAACAATCACACAAACCTATTTCGTATCTGAAACCAAAGACTAAAAACATTGCAGCTGGTTGCACGCCACCGTTGCCAAGGAAACCGGTTAGAAGGCAACCACCAGTGCCTAATCAAGTGACAGATTCAGTGAAAAAGGAATGCCTTGAAATCGCAGAGAATAATAGAAAGATTGTTAGTAGTAACATTGGCGGGAGTAATAGTCGACCACCACCGGATAGGAGGCGAATCTCGATGCCTCCTTCATTTGAAAAAAGAACCGATATAAAAATCGATGATAAAAGGCGATCTAGTGAGCCTGTTCAAACAGACTCAAGTATACAAACAAAAAGCTTAAAGGAAGATGAAACAGAAAATGAAAAAACTCTTCAAACAAAAAAGTCAGCGCTGCATCGACAAAAACTTTTATTTAACCGCCCACCGCCACCTCTCACCAATCAAGGACCCACCCGAAGGCCCCCTCCTAGTTTACCAAAGCGACCGTCTCTCGAAGGAAAACGGCGATCTGAACCCCCACCGTTACCAAATGCGCCAAGACCTTTGTCTATAATTCGGGGGAATGCAATGAAATTGAAAAGGTTTAGCAGGTCACAGTCTGAAGGGGATCTTTTTGACTCCGCTGTGGAAGAAGGTAAAGCTTTCATTTTTTGGGAAGTATCTCATGAGCGTCTACAATTTGTGCAACTGCTTCATGTTTCCTGAGAGATTATAAATTCGTTTTCTTTTGTCCATGTAGATTCTATATATAGCGAAGCTTACGAGCATTTTCAGGACCCTGTAAAGTCGGTTCACACTGAAAACAATAATAGTAGCGATGAGGCCGAATACGAGAGCCCCGATAGAAAAGTCGTTGAGGAGTTTATGCAAGCAAGACAGCCAAAATCGGAGTAAGAGATATATGAATAGTTTACTAAACATCTCATTAACAATAGATTGCTTACAAAAAACATTTCCTTATATCTTTGCATTTATTTCCATAACTCGCCTCTCTTTTTATTATGTATATCTAGATCAAAAGGGCGGTATTGATAAAAGTAGTTATTTCGATCGACTAGATTAGCAGGCTAGATAAGTTATTCTAAAATGGAAACAAGACGTTCTTCTCACATTATTTTTTTGATAATTCAACAGGCCGAGTCCAGTAGGGAAAGAAAATCTCAAGAATGAAGGAAAAGAAAAGTTGAAATTAAAACGTATGGGATATCGCGACGATTTCACGTCGTTGCCGCGTTTTTCAATTTAAAGATTTCTTTGTTGATTTTTCATATGATCACGACATTTTAACTTTCAGGACTGGAATCGACAACGTATTCGTCAAGTTCAGACGACTCTGAGCATGAATATGTGGAGCCTGCTTCTCCATTACCCGAGAAGAAAATAAACAATAAAGGTATATAAAAATATTTACCATTAACTTTCAATACTGAAGAATTATGAAGAAAGACAAATAGCTGTCTTCATTCCGTCTAGTTTCACCTTCTCCTACAAACACTGTCAGCTCCGGTGGATCTAGTAATTATGTTCAAGCCATACACGTTTCCGAATTGTCACAAACTGATGGCGATGCTGAATCTGAATCTACTACGGGAAAATACGAATTCAAGGTAAGATCTTTTCTCATTTCTCATACTGCTGCGGTACTGTAAATTTCGTTTCTTAGAAACCTCGAACTCAGCTTTTTGGCGTTATTTCATCTTAGCCATTTAATGATATGGACAGTGAGTGGGCACAAACGAAAGTGATTGACTGGGAGTACGAAGGTGAAAGTACTGATTCAGGTTTGTAATACTTTTAAATAGCAAAAGAGCACGTCGACTTATTTTTTCTTCATCGTAATTTCATGTGTTTGTGTACATGTTCTTGATAGAGGCAAGTTACGTTGAACCAGATGGAGTTGATGATCTTGATGATTTAGGTTTGTACCTGCAAATATTTCTTCCATTTTAAGAGAATACCTATTTTTATTGACCTATGCTCAGTTGAAATATTTATTTACATTTCAGATGACGAAGATGACGAAGGTATTGAAACATAACAACGTGATAACACAAATACAATTAGCTATTTTCTCTTTAATAAAAGAGCTCTTTGATAAGCATTTACAACGTGGGTGAAGTGTTGACCCTTCAGTGTAACCACGCACAGTGTAGTTAAACAAGATCTTGCTATACAAAGTGTGATAAAAGAATGTTTTCTCCTCTTACATATTGACAAAACATCACCGCCTGATGCGTGTAGCAAAACAAACCAACTGTTTTGTTTCCTAGCTTTCACAGAAGAACCTTTGTATCAAGTATACCAAGCAGTTGTGTTTGAAAAGGAGAGGACGTTGAGCTTAAAACGAGGGAAGAAAGGGAGCAGCGCTAGCTGTATTTCCCCTGCACGTGGACGAGCGTTTACCTTTGGCACAGGAACTTTACGTGGAGGAAAGATGTTGTGGTCTCAGTTACCTGAAGTAGGTCCACCGTTCATCATGATTTAGAGTTGCAGCACCTGTAGCTTAATACAGTCAGATTAAATTACAGTATTGAACCGTCAATTTGGACCGTCAAAACAGCGACAAAACGTAAATAATTGTCTTCACACATTCACAGTAATCTGAATTAGGCTAACGTTATCATTAACAGGTCCGCAATACAGGCTTACTGGATAATGTGACTGCCGAGCAACGCAAGCAACAAGAGGTTTGTAAAGTTATTCAATTCAACGACCATTCAGATTTGCTTAGTGCCATACAATTGTGCTACTGCATGAGAATAGTTCAAAGAGTTTCATGCATAAGAATGAAAAAAGTTTTTGACATTGATCGCGTGTATATTTGCTTTTAGGCAATATTCGAAGTGATATCATCTGAAGCGTCTTACTTGAAGAGCTTGAACTTACTCGTAGATCATTTTCTCAAATCACCGGCGTTTTCCTCTGATTCAAACGATCCTGTCTTGAGCAAACACGAAGTTTCTGAATTGTTTTCAAATATTATGGAAGTTGTTAATGTCAGTGAAAGGTAATTCTGCATTCAGCCTAGTACAGCCCTAATTGGTAATGCATGAAAATGCCAAAGTTTTGGCATTAGTCTGATTTAAAGCAAAATTAAGCAAAAGGACTTTTATATATTTAGATTTTTAGACGAGTTACGGTCACGCCAAAGGCAGTCAGTCTTGATCGAAAGTATCAGTGATATTATAACAGACCATGTAAGTCTTCAGTTGTATAGCGCTACAACCAATACGTTTTGCAAGATATACAACTATTTTTACCTTTTTTTTACCGCAGGCAACCAATAACTTCCAAGCATACGTAACATATTGTTCTAATCAGTATAAACAAGATAGAGCTTTGACAAATTTAAGGTAAGAAATACAAAGCATTTTTGCTTGCATGCATTTTGAGAAGGAGAATATAAAAAAGTTGACTTAAAATGTTTTCAAAGGAAAACGAATTTGAAGTTTTCTGAAGCTATGGATAAACTGGAACGCGATTCTCGAGTTTTTGGTTTATCGCTGCAGTCATTCTTGGTCCTCCCAATGCAAAGAGTTACCAGATATCCTTTATTGGTGGATGTGAGTACATACTATCGCTTGTTTTTCGTCATTTTCATTGTATTGTGCGGTGAAGAGAACCAAGTGTGTTTTACCTCCAAGATCCTATGTAAATAGAGTTTTAAATGTTGTGTTTAGGCGATTGTTCGTCGTTGTGAACCTGGACACAAGGAATACTACAAAACGGATGGAGCTTTGAAAGCTGTAAATCAGGTAGATATGGTTATATGGACAAAACGTTTTGGTAAAGAATTGTAATAACTGCAAAGAAATAAAAAGTGAATTGAAAAATCTTAATCTTATCGCAGGTTGTACATAAATGCAACGAGGGAGCAAGGAAGGAGGAACGAAAAGAGGAAATGATACAAATCGATAAGATCATCGCTTTTATGAAAATGAATGTAGGTTTTTTACGTTGTTATTGTATTGTTGCTTTACTATTAGTTGGTATTGTTATGGCTCTAAAGTGTACATGACTATTATATTGTTGCTTTACTCTGTCATTAGCCAATCAAATTAGTCACAGACGATCGTTGGTTGCTTCGTCGTGGCCCAATTCAGCTGCTTGAGGTTGAGAGTAAATCAACACTGAGTAACACTTTGCGAGGAAGGTTCAGAAAATACCGTGTGAAACCCATCTATTTGTTTCTCTTCAGTGATTTGTTGGTCGTCACGAAAAAGAAAACGTAAGTTTTAACCGGCATCGATCAGGTGCATTGAAAGACAATGTAATGATTGTATTACTTTCTCGAGCCTACTCAGACTTGACAAAACTCAGGTCCTTCAAACAGAAGCACTAGTTTTGAAGCTGTAAATTCCATGTAGATAGAAAACTCTGTAATTAAAGTTTTCAATTATTGTGTTGTAGTGATTTTTTGTACAGCGTTATTGACTACGCGAAAAGAAACATGATCAGAATACAAGAATCCACTTCAAAGGCGACAAACGCGTTTGTTTTGGTTTTTCTTGAAAATTTTGAGAAGAAAACGAAAGAGCTGAACGTGCGAGCCGATAATGAGTAAGTTTATATTTGCGGTAAAGATTGGTCATTCGTTAATTATGTGGTTTTTTATTTGGCTATATGCATGTGCATCAATTTTTCAGTAACGGACCACAGTGTACTTAGATTATAATCTTATACACTAGGACGGATTTGACTCGGTGGAAAGAAGCATTTGAACCACCATCAACTACGACAGATGATGAGAAAATATATGAGACGTGGGGTAAGTTAAACTATTGATGATGGACACTTTTCATTGCTGTTCATATATAATCGTTGAGGAGTGCTGGTGTGAATAATATTTGAATCAATTTAAATCTAGATTGTCCGCAAGTGCAGGCGGTACATGACTATCAAGCTCAACAATCAGATGAACTCAGTCTTGTACCTGGGGATGTCGTAAATGTCCTAAGGAAACTTTCTGATGGTATAGATTTTTATTAACATTTTGTACAATTTTAAAGCAAATAAGATTATTTTATATAATATCTTGTGACAGAATATTCTCAGTTAGCCTAGCATTCTTTTTCTATGTCGAACTATGCAACGTTTTCGCCATAACCAGAACTTTCTTCTTTCTGATTTCTTTTATTACTTGTCTGCATCTTTACAAACAACGTCCATGTCTTTCTCGTAAGGTTGGTATGAAGGTGAACGTATCCGTGATGGCGTGTGCGGATGGTTTCCCGCCAATCACACGGAAGAAATTCGTAACGAGCATGTTCGCGCCAGAAATCTTCATCAGAGATACAGACTACTTGCTGCATCCACTGCTTTTCTTGACACAAGGAAAAGGTGACGTCATGAGGGCGTTTTTATAGCCCAGTTACATTTTGTCTGAGTAGTTTTTACGGTCACTGATTTATTGAAATATTGTTGATATATAAATATGATCCTTTGTAATTTTAATATTTTTTAATTTTGTATAATTGAATCAGTCGCAGAGTTTAAATTTCTAGTTTTAATGCAAGATTTGAATAATATATTTTTATTGATGTAATTTTAAATATTTAGGACTGAAATTTGTGATCCAATCTCGATATATGTAAAATAGAAATGAAATTCATTATTTTTCCAAGTCACGTTTATACGTGATTACGAGTTGAGAGGGAGCCATATCAGAGAATTTTTTTATGACAAATTATCTGACTTTTGAAGTACGAAAAAAGTGAAGTATATATATAAAACCAGACGTGGCCGTTTTAATCGCATTTTCCCACGTAGATAACATGTAAAAAAGGAATTAATGCCCAACAACTGTTAGTCCATTTTATTTCTGCAGCTTCTCTTAAAAATGACAAGGCCTGCAATTATAACTTTGAGGGATGTTAATTTGTAAAGGGTGTTCGAAATGCTAAGAAAACGTTAGCAGATCGTAAGAAATGTTCGTATTTGTCAACTTTGGATGCCTCAGAAGTAGAGTTGCATTGCAAGTTGCAAGGAAAGTTGCATAGTGCAATAGCGCGTTGAATCTCATTGATCAAGTAATATCATGCATCATGGTTGACTTATCTGGATCTATCGGTATAGACATGAGCTACAGGGGTGGTTTAAAGATTAATTTAGGCGTTTTAGATACGGATTAGTTTTGCATTAATAAGGCAAGCTTTCTTCTAAACATGCAAAGGAGATTACCATTTAGAAATAATTTGAACGTGTTTCTTCGATTTATATTTAATCCAGAATAATTAATACGACTACGTGTCATTCTATAACTTTTAAACGCTAAAAAATGTCCACAGTACTATATCTTAATAATCTTATAGTTTGTTTGAAAAACGCGGCTATCATCAAAGACATCTAATTGAGTGCACTGTTGTCGAACATCTTTAGACAAAACGCATGCAAACTGCCCTGCGCCAGCCGCCAAAAGAAATATAAATATCTATAATATACCATTTTATACAGCCTGTTTGAAGACAATCGCAATTTGATCATTTAACGGAGGCGTTCTCAGTTCTCTATCTCAACAACTAAACAAATTTACCTCAACAGCACTAAAGATATCTCTATAGACTTGGCAAGAATTGTTTCCTCTACGCCTACGAGTAAGTTAAAATGGCGTGAGTGTTTATACGAACTTCGCATTCATGCAGAGCTGCATGTTTGATGTTCATGTGTATGTGTTTACATAAAGAACAACCTTCCCGTTGATAGCATTTAAAAGACCAGAAGTAAATGATATATTTGAAATGATTGGAAATTTGAAAAGCTTTAAGTAAGACTAACTTATAAGAAATTTATTTATTGAAGGTATTAGTTTAGATCTCGGTTTATCATGCATTATCTAAAGCTCGGCTGGACAGGCAAGGCTTTCTTGTGCACTGTGGTGTCATCTCTGTAGTCCCATCATGTATTCATACAGAGAAATGTTTAAAATATTAATACGCCCTTTGACTTTGTAATTCTGCATGCGTTTGATGCATGCATGTGATTTAAATATAACAACAGCTGCTGTTGCGTATACTTACATGTTTACAATATGTTATGTGGACCTGTTTATATCAAATTGGTGGGTAGTATTCGAGCTATATATATTTTCGCTTGATAGCATCAGTAGTATATAGTAGCCTACGTCAACATGTAGCTGTACAATTTACGTCAAAAAGTGGGCGATTTGAAGGGAAAAAAATAAGCTATTGATTATACTTTAGGATCGGGATGATAATTGTTTCAAGTAAATGCAAAAACGCTGCACTTTTAGAAGGATTTCCTATCCTGCCGGTCATATGTCGCTCTGAAATTTTGATTTCCAAATTTTGACTGGCACACGTGTACGTGCTCGACACGCGACAATCGACAGGCGACACTGTTATAATGTTTGCGTTACACATCGACATCGTAAATCTGCATGGTCTTTGTCATAGGGATATCATAAATCACTCGATGTCCCTCAAGGCGTGACAATACAATCACGATATCAGCATACGCAGGGTTGTTTATTGTTTTTTACGTTTTACTTGTGTGGCTAAGAAGATTCGGCTCAGATCCAAGCATTATTCGCAGGAAATTGATGTCATCATTTTTCTTAACTGATCGGTTTTTACAAGCAGTGTTGCGAATCACGCTGAACGTTTTTCTTGATTCTGATACTGGAGAACAGGGTAAACAAACATATACTACTATAAGAATTGATTAGGTTTATTGACATGGCGGTTTATAAAATCGCGGTTATAAATGCTAATATAAATGTTTTAACTGGCATGCAGACATGAGACATTTTATTTACAAATTAAAGTTTGATCTGCTATTTGATATGAGATAAAGTTTGGTGTGATATGCTAAAGTTTTATCCAAGTCGAAGCGAGGGTAAAAACAAAAGACGCTAAATTAATCACTTCTGCCCAGCCGGTTCCTTTCGTTAAAAAATAAAGTTTGAAGTATCCCCTATATTATGCTCAAACATACTAAGATGTTTTTCTTAGGACTTAGATTTTTTATTCCACTCTGGAAAGGGTGAAAAATCTTCAGTACAAATTTGTAGAAATAAGCGGCGCCTTCAAAATAACAAAGACAGATATCGCGGTGTCGAATATAATTAAGTGTATTTTTGGCGTAAATAGATGAGAAAAAAAACGCAACCATAAGGCCCATATCTTGGAAGTTATGAGATGTACGACTTTTTGTTTACGGTAAAAATACACTTAATGAAAACTGCTTAACTATACCATGCTTTTGTGAAAAACGGCTCACATGTTTCAATTACCTATAAGAGTGTCTCGCCTGTGCAAAGCCGAACATCTTTCGAAGCACCTGACACTCGTATTCTCAACGAAACTGATACTTATTTTACGAATTTCCATCGCAAAATTTATTATCGGTTTAATATATTTACTTTGGGTATCTTAGAAAAAAAATATTGACATTGTATATCTTCACTGTACCTATATACTACATCAGGCCTCGGAGTGATAGCACGCTGTTAGATGAATCCTAAAGCGTGCATGTTTTGAAATTTTTTTTCCCTCTAGCTTGTAAGATTCGTCCCTCTCCCCTTTATCTCAATCAATTTCCATGATTCCTTTTTACATCGCTTATCAGGTTCATCTCGCATGCGTGTAGTCAAACGCTGTAAATGATTTATTAAGATAATCAGAAGAATGATGGAAAAACTGGACGGAGGATTCGTCGCATGGCATTGTGACATGGAACGCAATTTGTCCACCACATTAATTAAATTTAAATGAATGATTGATTATAAAAACGAACGGAAAGTGTTTATCGATATTTCAATCACGTATTCTTTTGATGACAAAATGCCACAGAGACTACAGCACTGAAAAGCTACTATATAGACGGACATGCTCGAGAATTTTACAGATTCTTCTGGACTGAACGATAACCCGTATGCGATAGTTCAAGCTTCCGTGCACGGGATCGTTGCAATATTTGGAACTTTAACAAACGCTATTGTCGTATTAACATATCTAAAATGGCGACGGAGCATGTTCGAAATCCCAAGAGACCAACTTATTTTTACATTGGCACTGGCCGATTGCATTTCATCGCTTTTTGTGGCGCCTTTGGGATTCGCTGCTTCGGTTCACGGAATGTGGACATCAGGACGTGCTGGGTGTGTTTGGTATGGATTTGTCAGTACTTGGACGGGTCTGTCGTCGATATCTCTTCTCGCGGGAATCGCTGGAGAACGATATTTCACTCTGGCAAACCCAAATTTGCGTTGGGCATCGTTTTGCAAAAAACGTACCAAATATTTCATAGCATTTGTCTGCACAGTTTCTGGGATAGCAAGTGCGTTCCCTCTCATCGGTTGGTCAAAATATGACTTCGAAGGCAAGGGCTACCACTGCTCCATAGTGTGGAGTGCTCAAACTTTCAATTACGGGTCATATAGTATATTTCTACTGTTATTCTTCTTCACTTTTCCATTGGGATTGATAATCTACTCATACACAAAGATTTATTTTTTGGTGCAAAGAATGTCGAATGATGCAGAATCGATGTGGGGCAAAAACGGAGTAGCAACGCGGCAAAGCTACATCGCTCAAGTTAGAGTAGCCAGACAACTTGCTCTTTTAACGGGGATGTTTTTGTTTGCGTGGACACCTTACGCTGTCATGTCCTTTCTTAGTTTAACTGGCGCTGTCAAACTTGACGAACAAGCAAGCATGCTCCCAGCATTGTTTGCGAAAATGTCGTATATTTATAATCCACTAGTTTACTACTTCACCTTCAAGAGATTAAGAAGGAGATCTCTTCAATTGTTCAAAAGTTCTGCATATACTCAGGACGTATAATGGCCAGTGGGTTTCTATGCTCAAGTAATAAACACATCATTACTTACTTGTCTATATACGCGAATTTTATTGCTATTGCCGGAGAAATTAATGGTCTTGTGTTTAGTTTGCAAGTTTTGACAAGCGGGAAAGTGAAAAGAAAAAGGCATGCCCCGTGGGAGGCAGAGGAGCAGAAAAATACTTCGCAGGCCAGCTGCCGATTATCTTTGAATCTTACTGCTTCCTGACGTCGTTTTAGGGGAATTTTCATATAAGTTGTAATGCTTGCAAGATTCCGCTCGTGAATGTAAGATATTTCCCCCCAGGATAGGAACGGACAGTGAGTTTGAATTGCGTTCAAGCATTAGTTATCCTCCCTTACACACTGCAACACTCGAAAGGACCTGGGTCCTCGAAAGGACCTACGAGAATTTCCAGGTTAAAGTAACAAACAGAGAAAATTTTGAGTTGAGACGATGCAAGTTTTTTTTTCCATTAGAGTAAATTATGTGGATATTTTCCGACACGATGTATCACTGACACTTTCAACTTCCTAATGGCTTTCCCTTTAGAGTATTTAGCAGACGTGGTTAATTTCATCTCATTAGTTTGCAAATGTTTTATATCGATGGCCTGTGGTGAATAAAATATTATTTCACACATGATGTACTCCGGTTACCTGCCACTGCTTTGTCTTTCACCTGCATGCTAACAGCTATTAATATGATTGTAAGCGTGTGACCTGTTTAACGTGTTTCTCTTTTAAGTCCGTTTTCCACTGGGTGAATTTATTCGCGCGACGCGAAGCGATATCTGAACTCCAGTGATGTTTCGCCGCGAAATTAAAAAGTAAAATCGCTTCGGGGTATTTCTCCTCTTTTGCTATTCGCGCGAATAAATTCGCCCAGTTGAGAACGGGCTTTAAAGTAATTATTGTAATAATAATATTATAATATTACAATATATGATGATGGTTATTAATTATACATACCAGCAATGAATATTTTGTTAATTAACCTTCCTTTTATGAACTTTTTTCCATGAGAATAAATAAGAATTCCTCATGTTCCCCAAGTCTGTTTTATTCATTGGCGTAGCTAGCCTCACGACCTAGCTAGTAGTTATTTCTGCTATGGAAATATTAAGTTATAATTATTTAATTGCTTCTACGGGCAATGAACAGCAAGATATTGGCATAGCGGCCCGGCTAAATTGCCATGCTGGGCTGCGCCACCTACTGTATACACCACCAGTGGGCGTAGCCAGCCTGAAAAATTGGTCATGTCACGCAAATTTCAAGTCATTCAGAATATTAGAATCAGGCTGGCTAAATTGTCAGGCTGGCTACGCCATTGGACACGACTACCACATATAACATTTGACAAAGTTTCGCAGAAATGCAAAAATAGTGATAAATTCATTCAAACCAATCATTATAGAATCAGGCTGGCTACGCCACTGGACACGACTACCACATATAACATTTGACAAAGTTTCGCAGAAATGCAAAAATAGTGACAAATTTTGAACATGAGTCAAATTTTAAAAATGGTAATTCGTAAGCAATTAGAAAGCTTTTAATTCGCCAACACGCACGCAGTTCCAACTAAGGACCACTTTGTGTATTTCAATGCATGAGCTGAAATTTTAAAAAAGTAATTCTCAAGCAATTACTGAATTATAGAAAGCTTTTAATTCGCCGACACGCGCGCAGTTCCAATTAAGGACCATTTGTGTTTTTTGTATGAGATGACACTATTTCACTGGAGATGAAATTGCATGTGGCGAGAAAAAAACTAGTACTGAAAGACCCCCAAAGCATAAAAAGGACGACGAAAAACAGAAGGAAAATGAACCTGAAATTTATTACTATGAATATGCAATAAACACAAGATACACATCATTAGCCTCAGTTGGTAATTACTGTATTCTTCAAACCTACAAAGAAATTAAAATGCAACACTGAAGTCGTAAAGGTTTATGTCAGGATCAACAACGGTTATTATATCACGGTTAAAATTATGTCCGGATATTTGATGATATAGTTAGTTAAAATTTAATCATCTCCATTGAACTAGAATTTTTTGCTTACACATGCATATAGTCCTAAATGGTTTCAGGACAGTTTCCTGGAAGAAAGTGTACGTCATCAATGGCAATATCACCTTGGTAACCATCACCGCGGACACCTTCAAATACAACCTGAAATGCGAGACACCGTATTTCATTGTGAAATTGACAAGGGGGGTTGCGTAGGGTGTTGCTCCTCCATGCAAGTAGCCCAGTCGGCAAAATTGGGGCATATTCGACATTTTCGGGAGATAAAGATAGAGAGCAGTGCTCGAGTTAATAGTGACAACACCAAGCAATAATAAACCACGCTCATTTTATCGGTAAAACTAGCGCCCGACAAGCCCTTTCTCCCCCAAGAGAGTTTCACAGGACCAGCTCCAGGTATTTTATATGCGATGGGTAAATCCAAGTAAAATTACCTTGAAGGCCTTCGGCATGACGGGCAGTTGTATTTTCCCTTGATGCCAGATATCTCCCTGCGTTTCATTCTTGCTCCAAACAAGATTGTTAGTAAAGCCTTGTTTTGTGTAGACATTCAATTCGCCAATATGTTTTCCAAGCATGTGATAGTAGAAGGCAAAACACTGATTATTGTCTGTTGCTGGATATTCGGGGCTTTCTAGCAATGCATTATCGTCAGGTTGACGAGGAGAAGAAGCTTCGATGTAAAAAAAGTGACCTTGAAGTTAAATAAAAAGGTTATATATATTATTTATCAATTGATAACGCGATAAAACTGTCTAATTTAAAATATAATTTAAATTGGCATCAGAATCGCTATGCCATATCATATCTGAATAGTGATAATACTGAAATATCACCAAAATGTCCTGTGGTATGATCAGCTTCAGGTCCAGTCTTTCCACTCGGCGTCCCAGCTATTCTCAGTGTCCAGTCAAATGTGTCCAATTCTTCGCATTTCTTCTACATTACGATAACCACACGTTCCATTTTCAAACGTGCAGTCGTACGGCCCTACAAGCATCGTAACAGACATGTCAGTAAACTGCTTTTCAGGCATTCGTATTAAATAAATTTTCGGTGCAATAAAATGACAATTATGAGCCAATAATTATGCACTATCTTGAAAATATCTCTTGCGGGATAAGTTTAAACATTTGTGATTCTAAAGATCAGATAAAACTATCGCAAAACAAATCCGGGAAGCTAAAAAGATAATGATCACTAATATGCATGCATGTGCATTTAAATGACTGACATCATATATTGGTTAGATTTTTGCGGACATCAACCTGATTGAGGTTAGCTTATTTGTTGATGTCTTTAGGCCTCCATTGTAAAGGCATGATCTCTCTTACTAATATTATATTTCAGCTTCGTGCTGAGTTAATTACCTGATGGAGGCGGTGGGCGTGATGGCGGTGGTGGGGTAACTATTGTCGTTTGGCCTATGGAAAAAAACCCTGATTACTCTCGTGTCACAACTGTTTATAAACGATATATATATAGAATAACAGTCTTTAACGTTTACTTCACTACTGCCGAGAGAATGCGAACCAATGAAATGGGACGATTCAATCAAAATTAACCAATCATGAGTGTCAAGTCAGCAGGAGGTCGGGGTAAAGGCAGTGGTAGTGTAAGTCGAATCTAAACTCGGGTAGTTATTGATTGGGACCAACCATTGCATTTATATAATAAATCTGCTTGCTGTACATCAAGCGGGCTCAAGCCCTTTCGCTGGCCAAGTTGAATGACAGACGGATCTTTTGGGACAATTGTTATATTTCCGCCTCCGAATGCAGTCGATGAATAATGCATAACTGACATGTAGTCGTACTCTGAACCAAGAGAGTCAATTTGGGAACGGTTATACTTGTTGAAGTTGTGTTTCCTGTCTGCAAATATGGAAAATATACCATTATACACATGATAGGAACTTCTTACCCAGCTTGGATAAGCCAGATAAGGAAGATCTACACAACACATGCTTACTATCTGGAATATTATGCCAGAGAATTTCCACGTGCTCATCTCGATCTGGTCTGCTCTGTTCATGCCAAAAACCAACTGCATGACCTAAAAATTATTTTCAAGGGTTTGTCAACCGGCAGTTTGATAGAAGACTATATATGAACATCATGTTTGTAATCCGTCTTACCTATCTCATGAGCGATGGTTCCAACTCCATAGCATCCTTCTCCCAGAGAGATTTGTTGCATTCCGCCAACACGACCAACGTACGACCAACATCTAAAGAAGTTTTATCGTGGCTAACTCGGATTTCAAATATCTCATCTGATCGTTACGGACAGAAATGATTGACTCAACATACCCTCCACCAGCCCCAAAGAACTCGATGTAATCTGGCTCGGTTGTTCTTGGGATGAACGTCAGACAGCTCTGACTTTCCCATTCTTTGAAGGCGTTGTGGATACCTATCATTGCTTCCGTATTGTCAACTAAATTGAAAAGATTATTTCTTTCGATTTTTTGACTCGCATGACTGCAAAATGCGATACATTGAGACAAAACGAGCGTTGATTTTGTAGACATAATAGACTATAGATACTAATAAATTAAACCAGTTTCCTAAATACGTAAACCTTACGCAAATCTTCCGTGATGTTATAAGGAACAATTCCTCCAGGCCATAATCTTTCCTCTTCATTGGTGATTCCTCTCTTTACACCAATAGGGGCATCAATGTCGCCAGTTGTTTCCAGAGCGAATCTTTGTTGAGACAACAGCCTAATGTCAGCCTCAAATAAAGACGGATCGTTATTCTCTGTAAAAAAGTTATAGGAAATAGGCAATGTTTTAGTATTAAATAAATAAATGAGAAAAATGGATGGAGATCTGCCAAGTGGACGAGATCCTATACCCATTTGTACATTCAATTATTTACAAGTTCATCTTTAATAGAGGAAGCTATTTTTTTAATGTAATGAAGAATTTAAAGTGAATATATATATACTGCACACACCTTCCCATATAAAGCTGGTTGTTTTGAGAGCAGGTATTAACAACACCAAGCCAAATGCAATCCAATTAAGCTCAAACATTTTGCAGTTGCTGTACAAATCGACTATGGCTACAGTCAATTTCGAAACGATTACAACTGAATAAATGATAGAAGCGGGTTCTGTGTTTTTAAATTAAAACAATTAATTTTTAGTCTTAGGTGCTGTTAGTGCGCAGTAAAAATGCTTCAGAACAAATAATTACTCCAAGCTAACTAAATACAACCCAAAAGTTCAAAATGAATAGCAAATAGTTCTTTTCCTCTTGTAAAAAACCTGCCAACAAATTAAACAGCAATTGTGATCGATTTCAAAATATGAATTGTGAAAGGAAACCGCTCGTGACTCGAGATAATAACACGCACAGGTTTACTGTGATTATGTTTACTTCATTAAAAGTTATGTATTCTTGGTTGTTTGCAGTGTTTTTGCAGCTGTAGAACTACTGTTTTAAACTTATGTCGTAATGGTAGCTAAGTCATCGATTAAAATTGAATTCCTGTGTATAAAACGTTTGGATAAAACGTTTCACTGTTTTGTCGGTTGTCCATCTATTCATTGGAAATACTAGAATATTATTTCGGGATTGATTTCTTTCGTTTGTTCTTTAGTGCCTCATAACGAAGCATCTGAAGGGCTTCCAAATCCAATAGACTGCGAGTTGTCTGGCAGAACGTCAAGATGTCTGGCGTCGCGCCAACTTGACGGGCGGCGCGCCAAGTTGTCTGGCAACGCGCCAAATTGACGGGCGACGCGCCAAGTTGTCTGGCAACGTGCACATCCATGCAAGAATACGAATGACGTGTTGTTATATGAAGTGTCGTCTTCAATCTTTGTGTCAACGCGGGCTCAGTTCTTTCTTTTTCCAACATGGCGGCCGCAAGTTACGAAGTGACGCCTGATGCTTTACCTTATTATGACCAAGGCTACGAGGAACCCGAAGTTCGAGAGATGGTATGATTAGATCCTTTAAAATCTAGAGTAAAAAGCGGAATGCATTACACTTGTTCTCTTTTGATAGTTTGGCTCAATTGAGCGAATTAGCATGTAGAAAACATTCGTTATAAATATATTTTACAATTTTATATATGTTATTTTATGTATCATGTACTGTATCATATAAACTGTATTAATCTACGGAGTGCTTAATGGGTAGGAAAATGTCGTGTTAGAAAGAAGGAATTCACTGTGTTGAATTTCATTGAATACCTAAGTCATAAGTGTGGTGTGATTGCTGTCAAAATTATGCTGAGGAATACATTCAATAAACATATAAATATTCATAAGCGTCCCTTTCAGGTGAATCAGTTGATAGATGAGGAAACAAAAAGATACAGAGGGTCGAAGAAGTATCTAGAACACCTACCACCTGTTGTCTATGACAAATTTTTGGTGGGTTGTAGGGCCATTGTCACAAGTCATCCGTTGCCTTTTATGAGAATATTCAAAAATGCATTTTTTTAGCAAGTGCATGCATTTAATTTGAAACAAAATGACATTTTTGCATGTAGACACCGATACTGAAGAATGAGTTTGACAGAATAAGTAAGCGACAACCGATGGATTTATTAAGTATGAAAAGGTAGTATTACAATAAATATAAAACACATGATAAAATATTTTAATGATCTTACCAGGCAGTGTGATTTACTAGTTTTATTCTATGAATATAAAAATTCAGATATGAACTTCCTCTTCCATCAACTGCACAGAAGAATGACCTAACAGCTTGGCAAGAGGCTGTAAATAATTCTTCAGCACAATTAGAGCATCAGGCAACAAGGTATTGACTCGATAAATAATAGGATTCTCTTTTGTACCTTCTGGGAAGACTTGCATTACTGACCTTGGTTGTGGTCCATATACAGGATCTGTAACCTGGAGTTATTATCAACTTATGGTGGTCAGGCATGGAGAATGCACAATGATGTTATAATGGCAATGCTGCAGGAACAACAGAAGAAGTTATTAGACATTAGGTACATTTAAGACTTCTTTATGAGAATATTTTGACTGCATAAATCACAACAGTGCATTATGGCTGCAATTCATCCCAAAGACAGAGATACCATCCATCATATCCAATTTTAATATTTCAGGAAAGAAATCCAGCAAATCAACTGGCAACGAAAAAGTGAACAAGTATGCTGAAGTTGCTGGTTTTTTCAAGATTTTTTACAAAAGAAATTTTGGCTTTTGAACTGCTTTTTAAAACTCTTTTTTTGTTTTAAGACCACTGCGGGAAAGGATTTGCGAAATTTAGAACAAAGGTTTTTGAATATTTTATTTTATGATTGTTTTCTGTCTCTAAATCTTTGATGAAATCAAATACCTAAATTAAAATCAAACATTTAATTTTTTTTAATTAGTTGGATTGGTCTTGTGAGCAAGAACTACGAAATCGAACGGGCATGCGCAGATCTGGAAGCGGAAATCGAGAAAATGCAGATGAAGGCTTAAAACGTTGATGGTTATAATCATGCCGAGTCCAACAGCTTTTACTTGCTTGTGAAAGTGAGAAGCCGACGACAGAAAATAGGTCCAACGAAAGACAACCATATGTGTTGTTGTTTTTTATGGTCGGAGTCTCAGAGAATTATCTTTCGCCAAAAAGTCTCAGTTATTCTGTCAATATGCTGCGTTGTTGTTCTTGTATTTTTAAATACAACTACTGTAAAGATGTGAATTAAATTTTGAAATACGTTTGTGATGTTTTATTGTTAATACCAGAAAACGAACATGAACTACATACATAGTATTACATCTATTATAATTTGTCAAGTATTACGACTACGTTGTCAGAAATTATTTTGTAAATAACTTCATTGGAGGATCAGATGTGCACAGAACAGTAGTAGCCATAATTTGCAAAAAAATCGGAAACCTTGGGATGCGCACTGCTGTTATTGTTCAGTTCTTTTGTTTAGCTTTAAATTCCACAGATCTTTATCTGTTGCTCCTTACTCCCTTTATTGCTTTTCTCACATCCTGATTGGCCAGCTCCATGATTCCTGCTACGCTGATTGGATCTCCACCAACATGACCGTGACGTTGTCTGAACTTCCTTTTCTAATCGCATCGCCGGCAACACTACTGCAAGCTATTTCATAAAGCGTCGGTTCATTCTCGTCCTCAGATTCGTCAGTACCTTTATTACTTTTAATAGCCGTTTCTCCCTGTAAGGCAACAAAAATTACACAATAGGCCTTTCAAAAGCACAACAAAAGTAACCTAAATTATTCCTGTTCACACCTCCAGAATATCGTTTATATATTTTATAGCTTCGTCCACTTCAAAGCCTTTCCACAGCCCATCACACGCTAGTAAAAGAAATCTAAATGAAACAAGAATAGAAAATAGGTTTACACAAGAGTGTGTTTGGAGTACACAAACTAATTCAAATAAAGCTGGTTAATCGTGTCATATAAACAATACTTGTCTTTATCAGTGAGCGAACATCTTAGCACATCAGGGGTAGCTATGACACCACATCCTTTAAAACGACCATCGCCAAATGAACGAGATACTTCAAGAATACCAAGAACTCGGCCCTCTCTAAAAATATATGAAATCTAAAATTAATCTCAAGGATAGTTGAACTTAATTTGTAAATGTCTATTGACCTGACATTCCCTCCTGATTTTTGTATTCGAAGTCTTTCTTCGTACTATAAAGAAAAACAATATTTCAGTTTTGTGAATGTTTTATATAAATATAGCTGGTTTTGTTTGGGATTACCTGAGTTGGAGAATGATCTTTTGTAAGTGATACAATGCTATATTTTCCATCTTCATTTCTCCGACAGAGTAGTGCCTAGATTTTGGAAACAGTTGAAAATGACGGGACTTCCGTTGCGATTTTCTTACACCACGTACTAGCGGACACATGCACCTCTTACTTTGCTATCTCCGAGGTTTGCAACATACAGGACATCATTAACGACCAAAATTGACACAGCAGTGGAACCATCTTTTAATGTCGGATTACTAAACAAATTATGCACCATTTTTCGTATTATATTGCTATTATACAGGCTAAAATTGATTGAATTTTATTATAGCATACTGTTTGGTTGCTTCCTGCAAGAATTCTTCATCCGTCTTGCGATATGCGTCGATTAAACATCGTTTGATTTCCTTATCTTTATTTACAACTTCGCCTGTTAAACAAAACAAATTCACTCGCATTCTAGAAAAAGCTACCATTAAACTATTATTTACATAGTTTTAAAATGTTTATAGAAAATGTAATATTTTCTCTGTCATTGTAGAATAAAGGCCTCCAGGACCTCTTTTTTGGTGAAAAATGTTTTTTTGTCGTTATCCCCAATCGTCAACCTTTTGGAAACTTTCTCACAATATTCTTGTGCAAATTCTTCGCAGCAAACTTGGCAGCTTCTGCCCCAGCATGACCGTCAAATATGGCGTAGTAAGCCAGTCTGGAGCTGAAAAACATTTTCAAATTAAGTGGGTCGTAATGAAATATTTATTTAACGCTTTTGGTTGGTAGTTATGCTAGCAACGTTTTCCGAATTGGAAATTACACTCAGTTAATTGAAAGGTAATAGAATTAAGGTGGCTCTTATTACACGTCATGTGGAATGTGATCATCGCTAAATTCCGGTCCAAAGTCATCCATTACGACATGAGCATCTTGCATATCTTCCCGTTCTCCCATTCGTTCAGTAACGAAACCTTTCAGCAGAAATTTAACTACAGAACAAGACTTGGTTAAAGAAAAAGTTGGAAAAATTCGTTAAGTAAAGACTGTCATATGGGATATATTATGTTGTGCAAAGTAATTTCCTTTTATAGGGTAAAATCATCTACATTCGTCCATTATTCGTCTTCCTAATACTAAATCAACAATACCATCAATCATCACGACCATTACTGTCATTTATTAAATTTATCAAACAATCAATCACCATTTACGAACATATATCAATTATTCCTACAACCACATTACTTTTTCATATCAGCTGATAACAATGTTTATAAAATACCATCATTTTCTAATCGTCGTTTCTTATCAGAAGTTTCATCGTCGTTTTCCTGCTTTCGTTTCTCTCGCTTTGGTTCTGGAAGATCACCAAACAGCCCTCCACCATCTTGTGTTGAAGAGCCATTCTCTGAATCTGGAAATGCGAGAAACGCAACTCGATATTTGAGCCATTTTAGGTATGTTCTGTTATGCTATAGTTATGCTCAGGATTCAGAAGCAATCGCTTGATTATAAATGTTCTATAGATTATAATCCAGCAATTTTATGCGTTGGTAAATAACAAAAATGGTTCGGCGATATTATCTTTATTTGAGCTCTAAAAACCCCAAAATACGCCATTTTCCCGCCGTCATAAAGCACCTGACGAACATAAAGAAGTCGTTTTTACCTGGGGGAGGGAGATCAGCAAATAAATCCATCGTTTATAAGCATTTAAACGCGCGAAATATTGCGATATTCTTTTATATAATTTTTTCTTATTATTCTCTAAACGCGCATGTTTTTGTGCGCATGGCTGCTGGTAATTGGGGGCGGGCTCAATTTGTAAATTTGTCTGAAGAAAGAATCTTGTTGTTGTCAGCCATAAACAATTCATAAGAAGAGCAAGATGTGAGAAAGATAAAAATGCTGTTTGAACATGAATGATACGAAATTGAGAGACCACAAGGTCGATGTCACGTTAGCTTTAGGAAGCCACACAAGTTCGTTAGCGTGGGAAGACCAGGGTTTTCTTCGACTTTGAGATTTCAGAACGTGAACCGAAATTCTGGAATGCTGCAAGTTCAGGCTTCAAATGGAACACACGAATCAGAAAACAAGCAAAAATCGAAGATATTCAGCTTCTCTGCGACATTGAATTCCCTTGGGACCATCGACAGGCTTCCCGAATTCCGATTTCGGTGGAATTCTAATGAGGTATGTTACTGTAAGGCGGGAAGGAAGTTAGAAATGTGATGTTTGTGCCGATGTTGTCGTCTGAGTTATAATTTCTCAAGTTACTTTGCTTTAAAAGTTCTTTAAAATGCTGCAGTTAAGCCTCGATATACGATAGACATGATTACATATGCACGCGGCCATAGAAACAAAAATTAGACGATAATAACACGATGACAGTCGAGTGTGACCTATGTTTTGAAATTCATACCATCGCCATTTCCTTTGCAAAATTTATGAATTTATGATATTTCTGCACCAATTACTTTAAAAGTTTAACCGCTTCTGAAATACTTATTGTCTACATTGAAAAATCTAATATTTTGTCAGATACTCAACCGTTTGAGAGCATCAAGCATGTTTGAATACAGTTGTTTATAAAGATTTGTCATTTAGTCCAAATCATTTATCATTTTTCGATAATTTATGCTCAAGTAAGTTTAATTTTGGGCGATCGTGTACTGATAGATGTCATGATAGATTCGGTAAACGAATTTAACGGAACACGGGATGTCTAACGTTCGTCATTTTTAATGTTTATGAAATTAATTTTGGCCCGTATTTTTCACTTCTACCTATATACAGCGTTTGATATTTGTAATATAGTTTCACAGCAAGCAATGACAGGTGTAATTACGGTTCGTTAATTACATGCTACCGCGTTTGCGGGTAATATTTTTACGTTTCGTCCCGGAGATAAGCAACACGTATCTTATTTATGGCGAGAAAGTATTCCACATATTAGCATTTAAATGAGGAATCCTGTATACCTGTATATATCCTGAGATGTTATCTGACGCTGGGATATTGTGGCTTTCGCTTATAACCTTTTAATATCAGTACTTAAATTCAAAAATACCCTGCGGTAAAATGCCCTGCGGTATAGAGACGCAGCATGCTCATTGAAAAACCCCAGCTTGCAATAGCATTTACTTTTAAATAAGTATTGAAAAGCATTTTGTGGGCTGAGTAAGATTCTGTTAGTTTACTTGTCTAGTTAATGTATATAGATCTAAGTAAAATCATTGAAAGGTATGATGATTTTAAATTACGGTGTATTTGGTTGTAGGAAGTGTTTATAATTTTGACAAGTCTAGAGGAACATAAAAACTGGTTAGCAAATGAAGTCAACATAAGGTAAAATGATGTTATCATGCAATTAGACCATCATCGCTACCACTATGATTATCGGCTCATCACCATCAACTACCATGATAATTGCTAGTGTTATCACCATTGTCATGATCATCACCATCTTCTTTACTACAAGCTGTTACTACCATGATCATCACCATGTATATTATAACAATTGTCATCACTATTCTTTTCACTACTGTTGTCACCTTACTATGATTACCATTACCATCACCTCCACCACTGAAGTAATTGATATCATGATATCTTCACCTGCACCATGATACCACATGTATTATCACCAACCTTTCATGTTGAATGAAAAATATCACGATCTGTATTTTATTTTACTAGGCCTCCAAATGGTTCACTTCTTCTTTACAACAGAAATAACTCGAAGGTAGATATACTTCATTCCTTTCATCCATCTCCCTGTGCATCACTTTCCTCTAAACACCTTTACTTTCATTGGCCAATTTCCAGACAAGATCTTACCATCTGGATAAATATTTTTGGAAGACAAGAAAGAATAGCAAGTCTTCCGCTAGAGTTGATCACTCCAGTCTCAGGATCAGAGGGATTGAGGTAAGAATGTTAATTTTTTCGCAGAATGAGAAGGCAAACAAAATAATTTGCATAATATATGAAGAAGTTTGCATCTTTTTCTATAGTGTATATATTGCTCCTATGTTCATTCAGCATTAGTGTCCACATTTCATAGAAGGTGTTATTGGTTGTTAGAGGTACGTCTTTGCTTAACAAGATAGAGTAATAACACATAACGCAACTTCCGTAAGCGACCATGCATACGCCATGACACGTGTCTACAATAACCTCGGTACGTTGTCACGTGTACCACGTGCCGAACACATGGTACTACGCTGGTAGAAGTATTAAGATTTGATTTCTTTTAGAATCCGGATATCGTTCTTGTCCACTACCTAAACATCCCCGACAGGACAACGACATTTGATGATCTTGTGACATCATTGCTTCCATATAAAACGCTTACTGAACAAGAGTTACTTTGCCAATTACAACCAATCTGTGAGTGAACATGTCCATTTTAGTTCACAAAAGAAGTAAGCTGTCAATTCCTGTTAATACATTTAAATTTTGTTTTAGTAAGTGGGAACAAAGAAGAAGGACACCAAAGCAAAGTTTGTTCTGTCTTACACGCAAATGAATTTCCCATAGCAGAAACGTTGATGATTTAAACTGGCATCTTTTCTTCTAGATCGTTCCAGTTGATGTGAAAAAACTTGTGTCGGAAGTTAAGGGATACAAGGAGCCTAAAACGAAAGGAAGAGCCAATAAGAAAAGGGCATCAGGCAGTAATAAACCATCAGCTTCGTCCACGCAGCGGAAACCATCAGAAATCAATGGCAACGGACCGAACAGTGTAGACAAATGTACCAATTGCAACAAGTGCTACACGACATGCCCTACGACGTCAATTTCATCCCGCACAAATGTTGCTGTGACTATCAATCGAAACAGTGGCTCTACTTTGCGCCCTAAAATTGCTGATGAACCAGTAACTTGCTTTGTGCAGAAGAGATCAACTGAAAGTGATGGGGAATGTTTAGTATCAGCAAGCAAAATTGTACAAAATGGTGCTCAACAAAGTTTCCCGGCAGCCTCACATTGCACACGTACCCAAGGCATTGCAACTACAGATTTAATATCTGGACATGATCGCGCCAATCAGCTCTACCCTGGTCAAGGCTTGCTCCAACAGAATCCTTATGCAATAGCATCAAGTACGCCAAACAACACGTTATCGAATGGTTGCCATGGTTATGCTACTCTTCCAGTTACGTCACAAGCATTGTTGGAGAACGACCTCGTAGTGTTGGATTATGACGGGATGAACCTAGTTCATAGCCAATCGGAGAACGACTTATCAAAAACGTTTGATATTGGTTTATTTGACAATGACTTGTTGCATTATCTACCAGAATATCTACCTAATATGAACGACCTGCCATCAGAGTTACAAACGAATGGTAGTTCTGATATTCTGTCAACATCTTTATCTCCCTTGACTGCTGGAGAACTTCAAAAGGCGACAGTTCAAAGCAATTATAGTGAACAAACTACTCCATGCACATCAAATCAAGTTGGGTTATCAAGCTGTCCGGAGTATGGAAACTTCGTTCATCAATCCATTACATCAAGTGGTGGCATTCCAACCAGAATGGGCCGGACATTAAGTAGTCCAACTGAAATGATATCCACAGATTGTCATACTTTAGATAACCTTACTCCATCTTTATTGTATGCTAAAGCATCTATTGACGACTTATTGCCTGGAGGTCACCATTGTCCTTCCAGGAACCAAACGTTAAGGGGACAAGTGCTTCAGATTGGGGTGCCTGATGAGAGTCTGGTTGAAACTGGTGTATCTCATATGAGTTGCCCAGAGGTCGACAGGACTCTTTTTCATGAAGGAATCACCCAGATGAGCCTACCCGAGTTTGATGTAAGTCAGTCAGCTGCGAATAGTGTTAGCGTTTGTGGAACAAATGGAGAAGTTTCCAGTCTGAAAAGTGTTCCCCAAGATGGTATGTTTCAATCAAATGAGTCAATGGCAGGAATATCTCAAAATGAGGTTTCTAATGAGAGCTTGTTCAGTGCGGAAACCAACGGAGGTTTCCAAAATGTGGGTTTATGTCCTATGAGTGAGTCTGCAGCAGGTGCCACAAGCATGTTCGGTGTTCAGAAAAAAGATACTTTTCTGAGTGGTTCTCGAGTGTCGTCATCAGATGGAAGAATGGAAGGTGGGTTATCTCAACCTTCGGACACGTTAACCCAAAGCAATCCTCAAACTACAAGTCATATTTCAGAAAATATCATAACAGAGTTTTCACCAGAGTGGTCGTATTGCGATGGAAAAACAAAGATTCTAATCTTAGGTGACTGGTCACGTCAAAATGGCTCCTACTCCTCCCTTTTTGATGGCTGTTCAGTAGCCGCAACTTTGATTCAGCCTGGCGTTTTAAGATGCTTTTGTCCACCTCACGATCCTGGCCTGGTTTCCCTCCAAATCGCATGGAATGGATTCATTATCAGCAATGCTTGTGTGTTTGAGTACAAGACGCGGGAAAATGCCACCAACTCTGTCTCTGATTGGCTGAGCCCGAGAGATGAAGACCTGAAGAAGTTGATTCTTGAGAGAATCGAAAGACTTGAAAGTGTATTAGGGATTGCTCAATCGTTTGGGAATAATGAAGCTGAAAGACGAACTGTTGAAGGTGAAGGTGAAGTGGGTACATTCGAAGACAGAATAGTAAGAATTTGCGAAGTCCTTCTTGAGAGGATCTGCCTTTCGACAATACCAGAAACCGGGCCTAAAGGTCTCACTCTGCTTCATCTTGCGGCAGGCCTTGGCCTTACCAAACTCGTACGCTTGCTTAAAAAACACGCGTGTATGGAAAAGTTGCAGACTATGAGGACGGGAGGCGAAGGTGCCGAAGACGCAACACAAATGACCAAGGTCAGTAAACCAGAATGGTCTCCGCATGCTAAAGACTCCTTCGGATGCACGCCGTTGATGTGGGCTTGCTATCGCGGGCATCATGACGCAGCGATGACGTTGTTGGCATGGCAACCATCTTCATACCGCGAATGTGACCAAAGCGGACGATCAGCGAAGGCATTAGCGCAGGAAATGGGTCACGTGTCTCTGGTACGTGAAATGGACGAGTTTATATGTGGAGAAGACATGTAGTAAGTTCGCTTTTTTTTAAAAGGCATTTTATAAAAATGTATACGTGAATAAAAGTCCACCTCTCAACTGGAACTGTTTACAACAGAGCCAGTTTTAATCTTTGATAGACTAAATCGTATGCAAACTCTTAACCTTTCGATGTATTTTTGTCTTTTATCTATTTTTGTCAAAGACATTTGCGATTGTGACATGTGTTGTCTTGTAGTTCTATGGTAATGGAAAGCTCGCCACAATCACCAAGCAGTTCTTGTGCATACCTCTCAGTTTCATCCAACGAACAGGCTCCTCAATCCCCAATGTCAGCGGATTCCTTGGCTTGGGAGAGAGTTGATGGAGTAACGGAACCTCCACCAGATTTTGATACGGCCGTTGTGATGTCAGAAGGTTCGATTCTTTATTTTCGGTGTTTTTTGTCGTGTTTATTCGAATGGTGACAATTGTGAGGTTTGGGTAGCTAAATTTGATTGCTCATTTTAACTTAGATCGACCCAACACTCTTGGAAAGGTCTTGGTTGAGATTCGAGCGCTGATACAACAGGCTGAAGAAAGGGCAAGGTCTCCTCTCCAGACTCCAAGTAACTCTGCTCCATTTGCACTGAACTTCACTGGCTTCTCTGACATACAAACTGACGATAGACCTTCAGATAACTTGATGAAGTCAGAACCAGAATTTGGACCCAGGACACCTCATTATGACACGCTTTCCATAGACTCCTCACCAATATGCACTCCAGCATCGCATTCTCCAAGTTCTCCTGCCGTTCGAAACTCGCCTCAATCTGCAGGAACAGATACGTCTGAGTTTGAGGAATTCCTGAGTAAACCACGTCAATTCTTGGAAAGAGATTTTTCCGAATTGACTCTAACAGGTAAGGGTGTGTTTTAGATATTTTCCCAGCACGTACCACGCTGAACAATTCGTCCTGAAACTTTACATTTGATCGTAATGTAACATTTAAAAGTTGAAGAAAAACGAATCTACGTCTTCGTTAACCTCGTTTCTCCTCGAAATCTTTCCTAGACATTGAACAACAAGAGCTTCTACAAGCCGCAAGAATCATCCAAAACGCATATAGACAATTTAAGGTGCTTGCACAAAATCAATTTTCATTGTGCTATACGTATGCATGTACATTTTTAAATTTTGCAAAATAGATTTAATCGATAGTAAATTAAAAAATGGGAATTTTTAAACTTTAGATCCGCAAAAAACAACACTTCGACGAATTGAAAGCAGCAGTACTTATTCAGAGCTACTATCGTCGGTATAAACAGGTTAGAAATCATAAATCAAGTATTGTACTCTTGCATGATATCTGATATGTATATACAGGCTTATATTATAAATAATTTTGAAAAGGTTTTCGTTTAGAATATCTTCTCCTTTTTCTACCAAACGTGATAAAGCTTTTTGGTCTTTATTGTATAGTTTGCGCTGTATAGACGAATTACAAAAGCAGCAGTCTTAATCCAGAACAGCTATCGCGCTCATAAAGAGCATGAACAATTCAAGAGAAGTCGGCATGCAGCTGCTGTGATTCAGACGTATTTCCGCCATTACCGCAAAAGAAAACAAAGAAATGCTGAGGAAGATGCGCCTGGAAAGAGACTGGAAACAAAATATCGCAAGCCATCGTATGGAAGATAGGTATACCAACATATACTGATGCAGTTATTGTAAAAGAAATTAGTTGGAATATAGCTCAATAGGTCACTTAAACCGCACGGTCCAGTAGATCAACCGCGACCATCGTAAGCCCCACATTTTCTGGAAATTATTTTGAAAAATGTTTTCTCTAAATTAGGTATAAAGACAATGTACCTTTGGACATCGGAGATTTATTGACGATGGAGTTGGTTACGTCTCTTCGACAGTGGTAACTATATATATGGTTGTGTGAGAATTCTGCTTAAGATATCGTGGTTCAAACCGTATGTAAATACACATATCCAGTATACATATATATTTATTTAAATTAAGTTAAGACGCGAGTGCATGTTAAAAGAATGTATATATTGTAATTGACGTTTGGAGTACCAGTATGAATGGCTCAGAATTTGTTATATATATATTTGAGTGTAAGTATTTTGAATTAAGAGCAACCTCGAAAGACAGAAAAATGATGAAACTGTATATGACAAAACTTTAAGTTATTTTAAAACTATACAAATGGCAAAAAAAACTCGATTAAAGTGTCTGTGGTATAAGGAAAAATATGACATAGCAGTATTTTGGTATAGCATAAAATATTTATTCAAATCGGTTGTATAAAGTAAAGATATTTAATGATTATACATTTAAAAAATATTTTGATTCTTGAAATATCCATTTATTCAGGCTAAACAAACTGTGGTTAAAAATCGCGACCTCGCTTGCGTACTGGTTAACTGTATTAAATTTACATTTAAAGTTTATTATCCGTGTAATCATATAAATACTAAAAGTTTATGATGTAATCATTCACATTCTAAATGTTTCTTTGACTTTGGTCACAAATCACCATAAGCGTGCATGCAGTCGAGATCTCAACTTCTTTTAAAAAATATTTTTGCTTGTTTGTCTCATAGCGAGGTTAGAAGTTTCTTTATATTTGGCAGACCTTTAGCTATTTGAAATGTGCATATCGTATATTTAAAAGCATGCATATATCTGTTTATTGATGTCTTTTTGAGGATATATATATGTGTATATTGTAAACACAATCGTATTTTTAGGCACACAGTATAAACAAAATGTATAATCGTGCAGTTAGACAGAGCAGTTAAATAAAGATTTGATTGAAAAAAATGTTTCACTAGATTAAATTTCTGGTACAAAGTTGTTGCTTCCAAATATCTTCGCGATCATTTTTGCTGCGCGATTTCGTCTTATTGATATGACTGAGTTTCTTAAATTCATCTCTGGAATGCGTGTGATGCGAACTGATGTTTTATTTTCTTTGAACAATTGTTGATATTTCGACCTACAGGTACGTGTCGCCTCATCCCATTGTCCTAGGCTTGTATCTACCCGTTTCGAAAACGTGGAAACCTCTTTGATTTCTACTTTTCAGACAATAGAGGAGGCTTTTCTTCGGCTGCCTTTACGAACGGACGGAAAATAACGTTTGGAAAAACAGTTTTATCGCGAAATTCCGGACAAAATGTAAGTTTTTTAAACAATTGTTGTTTTAGTAGTTTGAACAAAGTGGCCAATGGACCTGCTGGTGAAATCAATGGAGTTATAAGACAACAAACGTCGCTCTGTTTTACATGAGCGCGTAGCGTGTGATTTTTACATATATATGATATTCAACATCTTCCTCATAAATGCGGTTCAATGAGTTTGTACAATTTGCTTCTGCAACTTTTTCCGCCAAGTTTTGATTCAATTTTCCAGTAAAATCACTCGGCTGTTTTACATAAATGACGGATAAACAAAGATTATGTAATAGTCCTAGTATCTTTTGATTAAAGTTAACTCAAGTTAATTTTATAATTAGTTTTCGTATATCTATATACACACGCAGGACTGATGTATATTAAACATCAGATACACATAGATGTTTATTTTATTCGCATATATATATACTGTGAATAAGTAAATGCTACATATCTATACTCGTATATGTAAGATAAGATATACCCCATACATAAATCCAATGCAGCTAAGCTCTCAAGATTTTTTCTCTCAAGATTTTTTCATTCAGGAAATCAATACGAAACAAATTAATTATTTAGAAAAAGAATTAAAATACATACATAGCAAATCTCTGTGAATATTCTATCGACTCTTTCGGAACTTTCGTAATGAATAATTTGAGAACCATAGCATTCACTATCAGTGATATTAATTCATTTGTAAACTATGGCTCGAAGTTCAAGGGATTTATATACCTGAATTTTTCTTGATTTGAAATCAATCTTTATCTTCCATTTGCAGCACTGGATTTTATCCTCCAAAATGAATAATTTTACCTGCTTGTTCATTCTCACTATTCTTTCCCTATCACAAGGTAACGTAAAATCTATTGCGAAAGAATAAAGAGCAACACATATTCACATTTTGCAAGATTGTACTGCAACAACCGTCTGTTTTCAGAGGAATGTTTTCTTCAAAAAAATATTCAGATGGAATATAGGTGGAGTTTAGCTGAGTTAAAGAAAGTTATTTCCTATTAAATGTTATAAAATTCTGGACGAAACACGTTTAAACGAAATGTGTATTGTCATCTATCATTTGTTAATGAGTCAAATCTTTTCAAAACTTAATTGATCCATTCAATCTGTTGCAGGATTTCCACGACCATCTTTGGACAAAGCCAACAGACGGCAAGGGGTGCACTATGGTTACCCCGAGAGTTCCTCAGAACCCTATACATCCACACAAGCCACTTCCTATAGCGAGAATCCATCATACGCGACGACGTGGTCTAAGCCAGCGGAGTCCACTACGTCAAATCCTGCCTCTCAGGAGTCAATAGCGAGCTATCAGAACCCAGCTGCTGATCAAAACTCGCCTGCTCGCGAGACAACAACAGCCTCTCCCTATGCAGCACAAACTGCAGACCGACCCACAGAAACACCACAGGATCAGAGTAAACAAACTCAGACCCAGGCTGATCAAAACACAAGTCAGAAACCGACAACACAATCACCTTATGCAAGTCAAACAGCTGACCGTCAAGCAGAAACAGCCCAGGCTCAAAATACACAAGCTCAGACTCAGAGCGGTCAAACGTCTGCTCAGCAGGCCGCGACGGACACTAGTACTCAAGATCAAAGTTCGCAAACGCAGGGTGATCAAAGCTCGTCTCAGAAAGCGACAACTAGTTCGCCATATGCTGCCTCACAGAGTCCAAATACTCCCCAAGGTCAAGATACCCAGTCCAAAACCTCAACAAGTCAAACGCAAGACTCAACATCACCTCAGAAACCCGCAACTCAGACACAAGACTCGACATCACCTCAGAACCCCGCAACCCAGACACAAGACTCAACATCACCCCAGAACCCCGCAACCCAGACACAAGACTCAACATCACCCCAGAACCCCGCAACCCAGACACAAGACGCAACATCACCTCAGAACCCCGCAACCCAGACACAAGACTCAACATCATCTCAGAACCCCGCAACCCAGACACAAGACTCAACAACACCCCAGAGCCCCGCAACCCAGACACAAGACTCGACATCACCTCAGAACCCCGCAACCCAGACCCAAGACTCAACATCACCTCAGAACACTGCATCACAGACCTCAACACAATCGACCGCCGATACAAGCTCAACACAGACTCAAGCTCAAGCTCCTCAAAATCAAGATCCATCCACCGCCCCAAACCAGCCTCAAGCCTCTCAAAGCTCAACCCAATCCCAGAGCGAAACTCAGCTATCTTCACAAGCTACCCAAGGTGGCCAGTCAAATGATTACAACCAAAATAAAGGAAACAACGAGTATGTCAACCCACCAAAACCCTACAACGAAGCTCAGAGCAATCCACAATCAGCTTCTTCATCTGATAATTCGCAATACAAAGTAGATAAGGTGATATCTAAAACGGCGTCTGACTCTTCTCAGGGAAACCCCTCGTCACCAGTCTACCTCTCGACCTCTGGGACTGCAAACGTAGCGGACAGCAGTAAGCCCGACGACAAGTCGAAATCGGCTACAGTGAACAAAGAAACCACAGTGAATGGAAATCATGCGACAACTTACTTAGAGTTGCCCAAGATCATTCATAAGCCTGCTATTGTCAAATATCAGGTTCAGATTGCACCCAAAGTCAAGGGTGTGCCTATTGAGCAAGAAATAGCTATCATGCCTCCAGATGGCGGAAAGGGAGAGCGTAAACCGTTGGTACTTTTGAAACAAGTTGTTTCCAAACCAACGGATGAGAGAATACAAGTGATTGTGCCAAAGAGCGAATCTAGTACGATCAGTTCACCTAAAGTGGAAGTCAAGGGCGGTCATCTTGATCAAGAGGCTTTGAATGGTCAAGATCAAGCTAATGGTCAAAATCAGGATAGAGGTCAGGGTCAGCCGCAAGGTCAATATCAGGGTCAAGGTCAAGAGCAGTCCCAAAGTCAAGATCAGACACAAAGTCAAGATCAATCTCAAGGTCAGTACCAAGCTCAAAGTCAAGATCAGTACCAAGGTCAGTACCAAGGACAGGATCAGAGCCAAGGTCAGTACCAGGGACAAGATCAGTCCCAAGGTCAGAACCAAGGTCAGGATCAGTCCCAAGGTCAGTACCAAGGTCAAGGTTAAAGACCGTACAGCGTCGCCATGTTCGCGCACCGTAAAACTGGGGACGACATGTGGACACAATTTCCAAGAATTCAATACTATAAGAACTTGCCACTCACACACAGTGGACTGAACATTTCTGAGAACTTCTGAGATTCTTAAATACTGTAAAATACAGACGCTATTTTTGTGCGAAAAGGTACATGTTGACTCGGTTTTACGGTGACAGAGAACATTGCAAATACTGTTATTTTTGTACAAAGAATTTTCCAAAGAACGCCTGGAAAAAAAGCCTTAGAAATGAGTTTTAGATAAAAAGTAAATGTGCAACAAGTATCTTTTCATGACCAAAATATAATATTTTAAAAAGCAACAGCAAGTGTTAATTAATTTGTGTAAATCAAGAACCTATTGGGAGCTTAGGTAGAGCATTTTTAAACTCGTAAGAATTCGTTTTGGGAGATTATTTACTTGGTTGTTCTGGATATTTCCCTCATAAAAACAGTTTAATCGAAGTTAAAAGGGGAATCAAAACTCAGTTTCATGTTTGAAGAAAAGTAGATCAGTCGTTTCTCCAGGTAATTTGATGTCATGAACGTCAACAAAATCCAGGATTGGTATTTAAGTGTAAATGATCAACACACGACCTGTTTATTCTTTAGACTCGGCCTGTGGAGATTTGTCCATGTGCGAAAATTATAATCCAAATATGTGTAATCAAGTGTGGATGAAACGGCATTGCAAGAAACTATGCGGACTGTGTACTCCTCCAGGTGGGAAGAGTTGTATTATCTTTCCCAAATCGTCTTCAGTGTAATTACATGTTTGTTTGTGCATCAGTGGTTTAAGTGTCTTTTTGTATTTTCAACAGAAGATGAAATATCTCTTTCAAGCGCTCCAAGCGAAGAGACGTCTGGCCCAAAACGTAAGGCATGAAAGTCGCTCAGAATAGAAAGATTATCTTGATTTTGTAGTGGATTTGAGCATTTTAAAAGTATATTTATTGTAACCTCTCCAGATTGCGAGTACAGTGGAGTGATTCATCAGAGCGGTGAGACGTGGTCACCAGGACCATGCGTACCTAAATGTCACTGTAATAATGGTATTATCAAATGCTCAAAACTGGAATGCCCGGATTTGAACTGCGATAAACCGATAAAACGCCGTTGGAAATGCTGTCCTGAGTGTCTTCCCAACTCAGATAATGGTAGGTACTTGCGTAGGCTCCTGGTTAGAGCTACTTGTTGGTCTTTCAGTAAAACAAAGATATATATTTTTTTTCAGAAACTAGATGTGGTGTGGACACAACTGGCGGCAATGCGGAAAACTTGTGCTGTGTCTTTCCGTTTAACTATCGTGGAATTGATTACTTTACTTGTACAACTGCTGACGCACAAGAACCGTGGTGTTCAATAACAAGAAACTATGACCGTGATGGGTTATGGGGGAATTGTGTTGGTAAGTTTTGATATTGTTCATCACGGGACGTATAGCTAGGTCCATTAATAATAATAATTCTTTTTTCCCAAGCAAAATCAGAAACTGAAAAGAAACACGTGAAGCAGGCTGATTCTGATGAGAAAACTGCTCTGGTCCTAGCAGCACAACTCTCTGGTGCTCGAAAATGGCGCAACTCTACAAACAACCAAGCAACCGAAGCTCTCAAAGACGTTCACACACCCTTTGTCCCAGAAAGATCTAGATCAACTAAAAGCAAGTGATTCTCCCTCCGCTTATTCTGACAATGCATACAAGAATACCTCTGGGGCTGATGTCAATAGTGTTTATCAAAATGATCCCTCTGCACAAGATGAATACTACAGAAATGCCGGTGCTGATCCTTCACAACTGAAAACACCCAGTTATGCTTTTCAAGGCAATTCAACGCCACCAGTTACGTCACCAGCGACAACGTCATCTTCCAGCGCATCACAAGTCACGAGTAGTGGTGGAAATCCATCAAACGCTTATCAACAAACGACGTCATCAGCTTATGGAGATAGTTATGCCAAAGAGTCAAATCCCGTAGCATCTAGTACCCCGGAATCAAGTACTTCTGCGACTAATCCCGCAGATTCTAATCCCGTAGCACCTAGTTCCCCAGCACCGAGTATCGCTGAAGCTAGTCCTGCATATTCTAATCCCGTAGCGCCTAGTTCTCCAGCACCAAGTACCGCTGAGACTAATCCCCGAGATTCTAATCCCGTAGCACCTAGTTCCCCAGCACCGAGTACCGCTGAGGCTAGTCCTGCAGATTCTAATCCCGTAGCACCTAGTTCCCCAGCACCGAGTACCGCTGAGACTAATCCCCGAGATTCTAATCCCGTAGCGCCTAGTTCCCCAGCACCGAGTATCGCTGAGACTAATCCCCAAGATTCTAATCCCGTAGCGCCTAGTTCCCCAGCACCGAGTCCTGCTGAGGCTAATCCCGTAGCATCGAATGCTGCTGGGTCAAATACTCCGGCGTCAAGTCAGTATTACGGCGATGCTAATAGCTCGCCAGGTGTAAGTGCATATAGTAATAGCTATGGACAACAGAGTACTGCAAAGGATACAACAGACAATACTGTACCAAACGGGATAGAAAATCAAACATCATACGAGATCAACCCCGACGCAAGTACGGCACAGTACGCGAATACCCAGCCTGCCAGTACGTGATGTAAAATGCCCTATTAGGGGATGAAAAAACTGCCATATGATTTAAGACTTGCCATTCTTCAACACTTACAGTTGTAGCGAAGTTGAACTCTAAAATATGAAATCTCTCACAAAGTTTTTTTTTATAAAATAGGTTTTATAATTTTATAAACCGAGGGCATATATGATATTGAAGAAACTTTAGTACAAAATTAAGTATTTAAAATAAATTATCTTAGTTTTGCAGCTTTTAAAGTCGAGTCTTATAAATCAAGAGTATAATAACTTAGTAGCTATAAATCAATAGTTAAGAATAAAACTATGAAAATCTAAACATTGTTATGAATTATTTACAACAGACAACAGATTGTTAACCGGGGCAATTTGGAACATAACTAAAATTCAAGTTCAAGAATTCAAGATTGTAATCTATTGAGATGAGACTAAACCACTGGGGACGACTCTAAAACACATTACTCAATCTTAATCTTAATCACTTAATCCTAATCCGCAGATTAATAAATACAAACACAAATGTAGTTAAGCCCTTAAGCCTTGCGATACCTGTTCACATAAATTATTAACATACACCCATGCTCGAACGCATTTTTTATTCTGGTACTTAATTACTTTTCTTATACCAATAATGACAGCAAAATCCTGTAATTTCTATACATGTTATCACACTAATCAAATTTACAGCTAAAAGAATAGAACTGTCCGTTTTAAGGCTGTTCCTCGCACCCTGTTGGAGAACAATATTGTTTTAGTTCTACCAGCAAGTGGCGTGTGGATTTAATGTAAATAAATCTTAATTTGGAAACTACTTCAGACAGGCGAGGAGCAAATAAAAAGATTTATTCATTGATTTTATTTCAAATTTCTAGCAACCTTTTTCGCACACAGGAATTTTCATCCCAACCAAGGTATGATTAAGTCGTATTAAATGTTACAACCATTGCTTTGAATTTTGTTTAGGGGGAATAGTTGAATCGTTTAGGGGAATAGTTGTGTTTTTATTTTTTATAAACAAAAGATAAGCAACCAGTATAACGTTTTGTCTTTTAGTATTTTAGAGTTTTAACTTAAGTCCGCATTATTTAATAATCCATCCTATTGTGTCAATTTTTACGAACTCTTTAAAGTTAGGCAGAAATGTATTGCGTAACAATGATTTTTGTATTTTAAAGAAACAGATAAAGAGGGGGAAATGGTTTGCTCAGCAAGGCTATTTATTAGTCTCCTCTTTTTGGCTACGATATTTTGTATCGTGAACTCTAAACGTGAGTATTCTTTGATGAAATAGTTTGGTCTACCCCAATTATCCCTTGGCTAATTCCATTTCCTGTCACCAAAACGTTTGTTCACATAAACGATTTTCGGCAACAAGTATATGGTCAAATCAATTTATCCTCATTTCCATCGCAGATCGTCATCACAAAAAATCCCATTCTCCTTTGCATCATGGGAAAAGCAAAACGGACTCCCCATGGAAAGGCTCATGCCACTAAGCATCACGTCTTGAGAAAGTTTCATCACGGTCGGCACCACCAACAACATAAATTACGTTTGAAACACGGGCATCAGTTGCACCTAAAGGCTCATAAGAAAGGTTTAACTTACGCCGAGTCTCCTCTTCCACCGCGTAAGTTTTTTAATATCCATCCTTTTATTTAGCTGGTGTCTTGATTCACAGATGAATTATGAGACGAGAGGAAGACCTACGTTCAGTTATAGTGACCGTTATAGATGTACTTAACTTTAATTCCATGCGTCGTTCGCTGTCTAGCATATTTTTAAACAACTTCATAACATCTTAGTGTTCTCCACGTTAGCCACCAATTTCAAAACTTCTTCCTATCGTATCAATCTATTAGCGAAACTCCTAGCAACTCTGGAACTACAACAGCCAATATTTGTTATAATTACTGACCCGAAATGCTTCTCTCTTTTTAGAGCCATGTATTGACTTTTTACCTTGCCTCCAATACCGTTACTATCATTGTTACCATCACGAATGGATACGAAACAATTGCCCAAAACTTTGTCACTATTGTGACCATCGTAAGTGCATATACATTCAGTATTCTTAAACACAGTTTAGTTCTGATCCGGTACAGAATAAGTAAGATGTAGAATACCAAACAGCCATCGTGAGTTTTTGTTTTCATTTTGTCTTCTAGAGCCTTTCCCTGAACCCATGTACGGAAGATTTAAACCAGTCGCGGCTGATTATCCAGGTAAAATATAACGACTGAGCTTGATCTCAAGCACAAGGCAGCGTTATGAATGATATCACAGTCGATAATTGCACCGATAATTATTTGGTTTTTTAACTTGTAGAATGGTGTGTTGATCACAACCACTGCAAAGCCTATCCTACGGAAGCGTGCGCTTACGATAAATGGATGCATCTCAACTGTCTAAGAAAATGCGATGCTTGTTATGGTATGTTGCTGTACATCAACTCTAGATACACAAGAATTAATACGGTTTTCTTGGGCTCTGTTTGGCAGCACTTATGTTCCAAATTCCTCCGGTGTCCTGGATACAATTTTTAAAGAACCGCATAAATGCAAAGCTTCTCTGAGTCCTCTCTTCTTCACGTCCATAGTGATCTAAAATTTCTATCTGTTTTAGATACCAAGAAAGTAAAAGCAGGCCTTGTCTTCGTCGATCATCCGTTTAATTTGACTCCTCAAGATAAGAAGGTTGACGATAAGCTTGACGCACTTCTTCATTTCCGTCCCACTCCCCCACCAACACCTCCGCCACCAATAAAAAAGAAAGTTAACAAGAAGAAGGTAGCTGCTGACCAAAAGAAGGTCAGTGGTGCCCCCGCTAAACTTGCTGCCTCGAAGTTGCCATGGAAACTTCCCGGAAAAGGAGCAGCACAAGGCGACACTCGTCCAGCTACAAATAACGCTGGCTCACCAAAGCAGCAATCTCAACCAGCACTACCTGTTGACAGTGCCGCTCAGGCAGCATCTCAGGCAGCATCTCAGGCGGCAACCCAAGCAGCAGCGAACGCTGCAACTCAGGCGTCCTATCAGGTGACACAGGCTGCAACCCAGGCAGCTAACCAGGCAGCCGCCCAAGCGCAGGCTGCGACACAGGCTGCCGCTCAGGCTGCAACTCAGGCAGCAACCCAGGCGGCAACTCAGGCAGCTACACAAGCTGCAACACAAGCTGCTACGTTGGTTGCCACCCAAGTCGCCAGTCAAAAACAAGCCGAACAAGACCAGAAAGCTGCAAACCAACAGCAAAAAACAGGTGACAAGAAACCCGCAAAGGCATCTACATCCGACAAACCATCCCAATCCGCGAATATCCAAAAAGAACAAAACTCTGACAAAGCACCCCGACCCGCAGCAGCACCTGCACAAAATGCCCAACCTATCAATCAGGCAAGTACTCAGGCACCTGCACAGACCTCCGCAACTCAACAAGCCAACACTGAAAAGGATCTAGCATACGAAAACTCCCAACAAATGATCCAACAACCTGTCGAACAGCAAAATTCAAAGGGCACACAACAACAAAACATTGCCGTGAAAAACTTGAATAATAAAGACAAGAAAAATCCTGCACAAGAGAATCTCCCGTTAAAACCAAACTTGATTGAAGGAAAACAAGAGAAACTTGCCGAAGACCAGTCCATACCCGCAGCGAAATCCCAGCCTGATTCTTTGCCTAAGGGAGAAAGCCCGGTTGGAGTACCTGCATATAGTTACAACGATTTGGTGAGACAAGAGTTGGAAGCGGTCAAAGATGCACCGACGACTAAACAATTTAAAGCAGATATCTTGAAGGAGGTAAACTGTCTTTCCAGGAAATCAGTTTCAACTTATGTCTTTCCAGATGAAAGTGCCTGGCACTTTTCCTTCTAGATATTCAGCGCGGGTAATCATCCATTGGTTTTGCTTTACCGCTGAAGGAAACTCGAGGGAGGCGATTGTCCCTTTCGTATTCCTTTTAAAGCTAATCATTGTCTTGTATTTTAACCGTAGTTGATGATTACTTGTAACACTCTCTTTATATCTTTGACAGGTTCAAGTTAAACTTAAATCTGGAACCTTTCCTCAGATCGACACGGCAAAGGTGTTTACCAAACACAAAGTCGCGAGACCAAAACGAAAACACGTCGTGGAATCCACGAGCGAGGCCAAGCACAAAGTGGTGAAACCCAAACACAAAAAGAACCATGCGAAAAAGGGCATCTTACACAAGGATAAAAAACATCGTAAGAATTTTGGAAAGAAACCAAAGAAAGCACACCCGAAACAGGAAGACGCTCAAAGGCATGGGAAACATGGGAAAGCACAACATGATAAAAAAAAGAATCGTGGAAAAGCTGAAGGGAAAAGCAAACTCCATCACAAGAAGAGCAAGAAGAGACATCATACCAAGAAGTTGCATCGCAAAGAAGAAAGTTCGTAAAGAAATGGTAAGTAAAAGAAAATAAAGAACTCCCTATGAAGAAGAAGAATAAACATGTCCTTGAGAGTCGCATGGTTAACGTAATCTTGCAGTTTCTTAAAGAAGTTTGTTTATTACCGATTTCTGGTAGTTTCTCCAAGTACGGTCGAAGTAGCTGCAAGATTACGAATTTTATGCCATGCTCGTTTAGTCTCTGATGCATTGTTTAAAACAAATAAACTTAAACTTTATTGATGCAGTAAATAATTAAAGGAAATCACTTGATCTGGTATTAATAAAACAAACAGATTATTATAATATTTTTAAAGGTATAGATATATGATTATAATAATTTGTAATTTGTTTCTTTTAAACTTTTATTCAATTACACAATAATTCAATAAATCATTTGTAAATATATGATGATATATTAAACATTGCTAACGATTACTGATTGAATTAAATGGACTATAAACAAACTAAACTTGTTGAAATGACTATATAATTATACTGTATGCGTTGTTTGAATATTTCGAATTGATTTTGAAGCACTTTGCATTATGCCTTGCCGTATTATACCATCACATATTGATTTAGGGCCTTTTTTCATGAAGATTTATTTCCAAAATGTGAATGTGAAACATATATAAGACAGTTTAGCGGTATTTTTAAATCCATGACAAGTTTTGATACATTGTCAAAAGCTTTGTCAATCGATGAATTAAATTTATAGACTTTTTAATTGTTGCCGAGTCTGTGATAAAAAATATGTGCGTGTGTGCATGTGAATTAATATAGCTAGCTAGCTATAGGATCAATTTCATAGGGTCAATAATTAATGATTCTATTTATTTCAGAACTACAAACTATTCGTGTTTGTCAACTGTTGTATCTGTTTAAAACTCACAAATAAACTAACAGTTTAAAAATTAGGAGCAACGAGTGTAAATGTACTATTTTTTGTTTTAAACGTCTGTCATTACGCAAAATCTTCTAAAAAAAAAATTTGCGGTGTCAGTACAGCATTTGGTGGAAGAATCAATCCACTACTGCCACATATAGCCACATTCAAAACGTAAACAGGTGTGCATCAGAAATTTGCAAAAGAAAATCTTCAAATTCGATCGTACGATCGTTTTTTAAACACCATAAACCGTAAAGTTTAAATTAATTTTCTCCTGAGTTTTGATTATAATTAACAGACGTAAATTTTTGCTTCTTCATTGTAATTTTAACAAAAATATTTAAACTTTTTCATTCAATTCACTTCCCCCCTACCAGGTAGTTCATTGTGTTCGTTGGTAGAATAGTAAAGAACCTATTGTCGTTGTGACTTGCCACCATGCGGCGCATGCGCTTTGTGCACAAAGGACCCGCTCCCTGGACAATGGCATTTATTATTCCACAAAGTTTGCGTGAACTTTTCGAATTATTGTAGAAGGAAACCTCCGTATTTCTGCTCAAAATTGTGATATTTTTCATAAGGTTTTGGTATGAACCGAAGTATAACTTCAAGATAAAGTTGCAAAGGTAAGATTTTTCAATGTTATTGTTTTAGATACATTTCTCGCGTCACTGTTGCAAAATATCCATCATGTCCATTGAAACGTTGACCGTTATATCCATATTGTAAAATGTATTTCTGCTTTTAGCATTCAACCGTTTTCAATAGGTTTGTCCGAAGCATTGCGTATCGTAAATGAGAATGTCTTCAGACATTGCATTATGTGTACAATGCATGTTTATTCTTGTCGAAAATAAAGAATCAATTTAGCGCAAAGTTTCAAAACTACCGACCCAGTATCTTTCTCACCCTTAAAATTATCTTAGTTACAAATACGTTGATTTCTGGAAAATTATCTTATGTAGTTGCTTCATATGATTGTCTGTAAGCATCAAGAGTCGATTGTATCTTAATTTTTATGGGGCTACATTTACATCCAAGCACAACCGGCCATTATGATAAAATATATGCAAATTCTTACAGAGTTACAAACAGCGTTACTACAGGAAACCCTTAGACTGCTTTTATGCTAAATGTCCGTTATGCTAAATAATTTTAGATCAATTTTATTGAGAGGATTTAAGAGTTTATGTTTAGTATATGTTTTTCCAACATACTCTTGTGATCATCGCTAATTTTGTCAATGAAAATGTTAAGTGATTTGAAGTTTAATCGTCTTAAGAGCAATCTATTTATTTAGATTTACTTCAGTTTGAAATGTATTTGTAATAAGTGTATTTTCGCAGTTTTTGCACTCACTCGTAACGTGTCCTAAGTTACTCGTCCGTGAAATTATGTATCAGCTGAGTAACTCAAAGAAATATAATTGCCGCACTAGACCGTCTTTAACTGCACATGTTTGGGGTGTGAAATTTTTGAATCATGTGTCATTTTAAACAGAAAAGATTATCCGAGATTATCATGCCGTTGTTAAATGGTTTTACACTTTTTCTAAAGGCAAACAACTTTAGACAAGAAATACAAAAGTATTTTACGAAGAATAATACAAATTTCATTCCAATCAATCGAAATCATTGTGATCATACTGTTAAGAAATAATTTTAGATGCTTACATTGACAGCTAACAGCGGGAATCTGAGTCAACACACAACCTGAAAACGTCTGGCCTCTTTGTGCTTCTCAAGAAATTGATATTTCTAAAACGTTTTGTCATACAAATGTTAATTTCTTTTAAGGTATTGAAGTGAAGCAAAGTGAAAGAAAAAGCAGGGACGACAGCAACCAGCAACTAAGATGAAGAAAACTGGTTGTCTTCTTCTCGTCCTATGCTTGGCATTGTTTACTACAGCAAAATTGCATCATAAGAAAATAGGTAATAACGAAATCTGCAATGGAGGTAGTAGGTTTAGGAGAACAAACGAATAGAACCAAAAGGTTTAGGTAGCCATTTTCTTTTTCCTTTAATCTCCTACCTTTTACATTTAGTCCAAGTTAAATGAGAGTGCATTGAAATTTAGATAATTTAGTAGATCTTCACTGTACCATACTACTATTCCTCGTTTTAAGATAACTTTCTTTTTGTTAAAGGTCATAAACACAGGCATAAAGTGAAACGTCAAACGAATTCTTACGAAAACTACCTTGCATCGACGCCACAAGATAGTTCAGTTTCTGGACAATATGATCAGAATAACAGTCCAGCTGCTGCTGGGACTGACGAGAGTCAGCCAGGTGGGTCATATCAGTCAGGGACTGACACTGATCTCAAACACTGGTGGGAATCGGTTGAAGCTGGTTATTATCCATGAGTCACTAAGAATTGTTAACTACCTGGACTTTCTTTTTGTAAAATAATAGCTAGCTTGGTGTCAGGATGATATTCAGTGCGCCAACTTTCATAAATCTGATTGCAAAACTGATCCTTGGGTGATGATCAACTGCGCACGAAAATGTAATCTTTGTATGAGTAAGTATGGCTGATGTACTACTGCTTATGAAAAATCTGTAAAAAGCCGATAGGGATTCTTAATTTAGCTTTTCTTTTTTAAAGAAAATGCCGATGAGAGTACTTCAAAAAATGCTGGTTCCGCGAGCCAAACAACCGATACTCAGCAAAAAACTACAAGTGAATATGCTGCTCAAGCTGATGGAGGTGCAAGCCAAACAAAGCAAAGCAATGTCGAGCCAACCGCTCAGAGTGCTTCCACTACTCAAAGTGCTTCCACCGCAAAAAGTTCTTCACCTGTTCAAAGTGCTTCCACCGCCGCTCAGACGACGTCCACGGCTGATCAGTCAGATGCCGTTTCAAGCCAGTCAAATGCTGGACCAAAACAAACCACTACTCCTTCTAGCCAATTAGATGCAGAGAAAACCCAGTCGAGTGCTCAGTCGAGCCAATCCAATGCTTACGAAACTCAAGCAAGTAGTAGTGCAAACCAGCAGGACAGTGCCAACAACCCAAATCCAAGTCAACCCTACGCTGACCAGAGACAGACAACGGCTAAACCTGAACAAACGTCAACACCATCTACGAATCCGACATTAAACAAAGATAGCACGGCTTCTCAACAACCCTCTGCAGCAAGCACAACTTCAACTCAAACCCAGGCAACAAATCCAGACAGCTCGACATTTTCCGATGAACTCCAAGCCGCCAAAGAGCCAAGTGCCGAATCAACAAGCACAACTCCAGCCAACGTTCCAGCAAATCCATCGAGCTCCACTAATAACCCTGCTTCTCAAAACACAGCTCAAAACGACCAGTCGGCATACTCACAGGGAGACTCTAAACAAACAACCGCCAGCCCTAGCGGCAGCTCAACGACTACAACCACTACCCAGACGGACGCTGCACCAGCGAACGCGTATTCTGCTGACAGCTCAAAGCAAACTACTGAAAACCCATCGGCCACAACAACCTCGACACAAATTGGTGCAGCACAAGCTGATCAAACGAAGACGAAAAGTGGCAGCTCAACCACTACCCAGACGGACGCTATACCAGCGAACGCGTATTCTGCTGACAGCTCAAAGCAAACTACTGAAAACCCATCGGCCACAACAACCTCGACACAGACTGTTGCAGCACAAGCTGATCAAACGAAGACGAAAACTGACAGCTCTCAACAAACTACAGCCAGCTCAAGTCAGAGTGAAAGCCCGGCTACTACAACACCTGCAAGTCAAGTGAACACAGCTGAAACCTCGATGCAAGGAGAAGCAACAAACATCAAGGAGTCCAAATATGCATCGTATTCCCAAACGTCTCCAGAGAATCCAGCTTCAACTGACACATCTCTGTATAATACTCAATCTGATAGACGAACGTCTGAGAATAAGCCAACAGATAATCCACAGACGACAACAGCAGCATCTTCAGGCAAAAGTTCCGATACAAATGACTCCCCATATTTCACATCGTCAAATGACCAGACTCAAAATTCGGATACTACGCCAAAACCAGACTCCCAGACAACCACTGATAACAAGTTGCGTTATAGCTACACGATGCAGATTGAAGATCTCCCAGAATCCCAACAAGATAACGATAACAAAGATAAGGCCAAACAGGGTGAAAAACCTCTTCTTAATGAAGAAGATATCAATATTACCTTGCCAAATGCTAAGAAGTCGAAAGACAAGGAAAGTAAGTTGTCATGACTCATGAAGAGGTCATGATTCTACAATGTTGATTAAGAGACATTTTTCATCTCAATTTTTCAACAGACCTCAGGATGTATGCTTCATACGGTTTTGTCTTTTTAACTGTCGCTTCATGTTTTCATATTAAGGCGATTGGTGCAAAGATGAAGAGAAATGTTCAACGACGAATGAAACAGATTGTACTAAAGATTGGATGCAATTGAATTGCCCGAAGAGATGTGGAATATGTGGAGGTAGATTTTTCATTTTCTTAATTTTACGACATGATCTTTCACTGAATACCATATGCTACCTTCAACAGGTGCCTCTGAAAAAAGCTCTTCTGAACCTGATCAAAATGGCGCCAGCATAGTTGAACCAAAAGAGGCAAAGCACAAGGGTTCTCTTGAGGATATTCGGATCACTTTGCCGTCCACAATGGTTGCTGGTGAAGGTAAGGATGGACTTTTGTTCATTATGAATAATATAGCAAGGCCTGATGATGTTCTTGTAAAGAAAGCGTTAAGGAGTTATATTATTTTCAGATTGCAAAGATCACGTGGAGTGCATTGAATATCCAGTTTCATCTTGTAATAACGGCTGGATGAAGCAAAACTGTCGAAGAAAATGTGCTCTTTGTGGAGGTAAGCCGCCTCTGAAATTTATTCGATACTTGACAAGAGATCTTTACTTTCATACTTGGAAGATATGGAATCACAAAAGCTAAATTCAGTATCTATCTTTTTTCCTTATTAGCTAAAACTAAGAAATTACCACAAACAAAGACGGAGGAATACACTTTAGGCAATACGGGCGAATCTGAAGGTAGAAAAACCTGATTTAGTAATATTTTTTGAAATGACATTGGGTCTTAGTACACGAGATTCTCACTGACTAGGTTTGAATCGGGAAATGTTTAAAATATCAGCATTTTTACCTTTCAGTGTGTTATTATGATGGTATCCCACACGAGCACGGTAGCAAGTGGTCACCAGGGCCCTGTACTCCTGAATGCGCATGTCAAAATGGTAATGTTCGCTGCACAGTCATTCAATGTCCAAAGCTGACGTGCAGTAAACAAACGAAGAAAAGGTGGAGCTGTTGTCCGGAGTGCACAAATGGAGGTTTGTTTAACGAAGTGTTTACTGTTTCGTGTTATTGTACTAGAGATTTGTACAGGTGTCGACAGTACTGCCTGAACAATACCCTATTCAATTGTATAATCTCGTTGAAATGAACACAGTAGCACAGTGTCTGAAGTTGACCAATGCAGAACGGTTTATGCAGAAAGCTATAACAATTCCTAACCGTCTCTTTGTTTCAAATTAACGTCTGTATTATGACAAATATCGTACTATATTTTATGATATATTGTGAATTTCGCCTCAGATGAGAATTGCGTAAAAGCAATCAATGCAAAAACCAAGAAATCTTCGTGTTGCGTGTTGCCGTTCATTTACAAAGGAGTTCAATATGAAACTTGTACAGCGGAGAATCATAACCAACCTTGGTGTTCTTTGAGCGAAAATTTTGATCTTGACGGAAAGTGGGGGGATTGCATCGGTATGTGAGGATCTTTCAAGATGTTGTTTACAGCAGCGAAATGACGATGAACATGACGAACAGTTAGGGACGGAAACAAACATCTGTAAAAGTTACTAAAAAGAAGTAACCCAACACTAGGAACGAAGACGTTATGAGAAATGGTACCGGGAGTATCCCACCTGCTCCATCTCTACAAACTCAACGACTATAAACATTGAAAGGTTCTTCTGTCGCCAAATAACAACGACAACGATAAAACTAAACGATAACGATATGAAATGATCAACTACAGAACAACACAAGCAAACAAAGAAAGGAGAGATAATAGAATGAAAAAACAACGAAATGATAGCGACATTTCTGACGAACAAACAAAATTAACAACAATAACGTTATTATTAGGAACGACAAAACAAATCAACTTGATAATGTTCTAGTTTAGGCTGTTACATGAACATCTTTCTGTAAAGCACTATTATCGACTAGTCTGTACTTTTCTATGTTCTAACTTTTTTTATCTTCACAGAACCGAAGCCAATCACAACGAAGATCGTACATTACGTCACCAAGAAGCCTAAAAAGCATCCGCACAAACATCGCAAGAAGCATTATTATTCCAAAACACACGGCAAGAACAAGAAGCACGAAAAAGCCTTCTTCAAAATAGGACAGGACACACAAAATGCTTATCAAGAAGATTCTCATGTTGTTTCCATGCCGTTTGCAAACGCGAGCAAATCACAGGAAGAAATCGAGGCTGAAGAAGAAGAGATTTTGAGAAAATATGGAAATCAGGAATCCGAAGAGGAAAACGACGAAGAACCTGGTGAGAATTGTTTTCCTAGAATTTTTCATTGTTTCTCTGAAGGTATTTGTAGATTCCATATGCATAACCAAACCAAAAATGATGCCTTTTTAGAAGCGTTGGATGGTGGTTATGCGGAATGGTCATCATGGAGCAAGTGTCTTACGCCATGCGGCGGTGGGGTGCAGGAAAGATTCAGGAAATGCGATCGTCCTCCTCCTGCCTTCGGTGGTTTGGATTGCCGCCATATTGGACCGGCACTTGAGTCACGTGAATGCAATAATATCCCATGCCCTGGTGAGTATATTTCTTTTGATAGAAAATGTAGTTTCAGTAATCTATTCATTGTCAATGGCACTTGCATCACGGGGATTATCATAATGCGTTTGATATCTATCGTCAAGGAAATACATGGCTAAAACTATGGATGGGCTTTAACCAAATAATTCTGAAACGTTTTTCCCTCATTTTTCTAGTACATGGTGGTTTTAGCAGCTGGAGTCCCTGGGTTGAGTGTAGCACAAGCTGTGGCGGGGGAGTCACGACTAGATCACGTCTTTGCGATAATCCATCACCAAGATATGGCGGAAATGATTGCAGCGAAGGAAAACAGGGAGCGTCTGTCGAATCAAAAACATGCAATAGCTTCCAATGCGAAGGTTTGAACTCTTTTCTAAATACATTTGATTGAGCGTTTTCCCGGAAAAAATCTTCTATGATACTAATCGGGAGAAATATTCTCGCACAGGTGCAGATTTGTTCACTCAGTGGTCTGAATGGACCGAGTGTAACAAGGAATGCGGCGGTGGCGTCAGCTTTAGGAAACGTACTTGTACCAGTCCCCTGCCTGGTGGTAACGGTCAAGATTGCAGCTTACGCGGATCAGTATCACAGACAAAAGCATGTAACATGGAGCCATGTTCTGGTAAGATTTGCTCAAACATTAGGGAAGTAAAACCGGTAATGTCAAAACGATTTACTCTTCAGAAGCAAGGTGAAATATAATTTACTCATGCCACTGCTACGATGATCTCTTCTTTAGTCAATGGAGGATACACACAGTGGACTGAGTGGTCCACGTGTTCCCGGAGTTGTGGCCCTGGTATTACTTCCCGGCATAGAACGTGCACACAACCAGTACCTTCCGCAGATGGTAAGGATTGTTCGGTCATTGGAGAATCTTTCCAACAGAAAGTGTGCTACCTAAACAATTGCAAAGGTAAATAACTGACTGGTTAACGAACCAAACACATTAAATGATTTCATCTACCAGGTGAAAGGCTCAAATTTTCATTTAATTTTAGCCTCAGGAAGATGGACTAACTGGACGAATTGGAACAAATGCACCTTACCATGTGGGGGTGGTATTCAGACTCGCACCAGGAAATGTATTGAAAAACCGTGCGAAGGAAATGCTCATCAGAGTCAACTATGCAATGCATATCATTGTCCAAGTATGTCATTTCAAACCTTCATTGCAGGACATTTTCCCCAATTTAACGTCAAGAGAACGTCGCAAATTTCAATGCAATGTATTTGTTTTTAGTTAACGGCCATTTTACGGATTGGTCAGCATGGTCAGCTTGCTCTAAGTCTTGTGGTGATGGCCAGTCGACACGAACCAGAAAATGCGAAAATCCTTCACCGAAATTCGGCGGGAAAACCTGCACCGCTCAAGGACTAGGTCCCAGTAAAGAGAAGCAAAAGTGCAACGTCAAAGATTGTCAAAGTTTGTATTAATTATCTCGTTTCTAATTTTGTACTCATCTTCTTAAACTATAAAACAGTTTTTTGCCATTTATTAGGCTTAAACTCTGGTTTCTCTCTATAGTATCACGTGACGGTGGCTACAGCCAATGGAGCGCGTGGACTGAGTGTTCAATGACGTGCGGAACTGGAGCAATGTCGCGATATCGAGCCTGTGATAACCCACGTCAAGCGGGAGCCGGAAAAGATTGTACAAGGCTTGGTGTTGGCGCACAAAGTGTACCTTGCTTCCTCAAGGAATGCCCAAGTACGTGGTAACTCTTTGCAAACGTTCATGGACAACAAGTTCTCATTTTAAACTCAAGTTATTTATCTTTTAGTAAATGGCAATTACAGTGAGTGGTCAGGCTGGTCAGCGTGTTCGGCGTCGTGCGGCGACGGTTCCCGATCTCGCACGCGAAGTTGTACAAACCCTGAGCCGATGACGGGCGGTAAGAGCTGTGCAGAGATTGGGGATGATATTGAGAGTGAGACTTGTTACCAAGGACCTTGCCCTGGTGAGTAAACAAACTATGTAAATAGACTATATTAGAGAAATGAATGCCGAGCTTTAGTCTCTTACCAGTGGTAATGCTGGTCTTTCTGTTTATGCGATGGTAGTAATTGCACATACCGGCTTGTTCTGTGGTTCTTCAATTTTCCTCATCCATGATATTTTATCTCAGTGACGGCGAAGCTCGGTGAGTGGTCTGCTTGGGAAAGTTGTTCAAAGACCTGTGGTTACGGTATACGACAGCGCAAGCGCAGATGTCTTGGCTCAAATGAGTTTGGGGAGTCATATTGTAATGATGATGGACTGGGGTTGTCTCAGCAGGCAGAGCGATGCTTTGAACGATCTTGTCCAGGTAGATTGAAGATTTAAATCATGTTTCTTGCCCGTGTTTACCCAAGTTTACTCACCCCATCTCAAACTTTCTTTCTTCACGTTCCCAGCGCATTCACCGTCCCAGAAATCAAGTTTTACTAAATGATCCTTTTCATTCTTTGTAGTTGATGGGAATTTCGGGCCGTGGTCCGCTTGGTCAGTGTGCACTGCGACGTGCGGCGGAGGTGCCATGAGTCGTTTCCGAAACTGCTCCGATCCTATTCCGATGCATGGCGGGAAAGGATGTGAGAGAATTGGCGCTGCATTTGAAATCAAGTCATGTAGTGATAGCTATTGCCCAGGTTGGTTTGTTGGCTGAATAGTAGGTTACATGTTGGCATTCATCACGGTCCTAACTGAGCGCTTTTAAATCACCAGTGATTTCAATATTGTTAAATAGTTGATGGTGGTTATTCGATGTGGTCCGAGTTTGGACCTTGCTCTCGAACTTGTGGTACTGGTTACCAGACGCGAAAGCGGACTTGCACCAGTCCCTCCCCGGAACACGGCGGCCGGGATTGTAACCAGTTTGGCTCGACTCAAGACGTTCAAGAATGTGCAACCGATCCTTGCCCCAGTACGTTTTACTATGATGTATCTTAGTAAAGGAGGAAGACAGCAAAAGGGATAACACTTAGACTGATAGTATGCTCCAGTACAAATAAAGCCACCTTTGTTGAGGTTTTTCAGATGATGTTGACTTGATAAAAATTGTCCTCAATTAAATTTGAGATCAAATCTCCTTAGTTGAAGTCGATTAAGTAAAGCTAGTATTAACTTGATAGGTTTAGGAGCATGACCTATAATTAATACAAGCAAAGTCTGTGTATTCATCCATTTGTGTCATTTTCAGTCAGTGGAAACTTCAGTGCCTGGTCGGAATGGGCAAACTGTTCAAAACCATGTGGTAATGGTGTGATGGTGAGATCAAGATCCTGTAATAATCCAACACCAAGTTTTGCTGGCCAAGATTGTACTTCATTGGGACCTCAAATTGAACAGAAGAACTGTATTCGCGAGTCCTGCCCTGGTATGCATGTTTATTGTTATATCTCACTATATTCGTGGCGTTTGATCTCAATGTTATTCTCCCTGCTTGCAGAACGATGTTCCTGCGGTGGGTGGACCAGCTGGTCAGAATGCACGCAATCTTGCGGGGGTGGTTTCCAGACACGTAAACGACAATGTACCCCTCCTAAATCTGGGGTCGAATCTTGCAGTAACGAAGAACAGGAGACACAGCTCTGCAATTTGAACGTTTGCCCAGGTTCGTTGGATTCACATTCTTTGTCTAAAAGATACAATTAATGCTGCACAAAACGAAGCGAATATAGCAAAAAACTTTCTTTCTCAAGTATGACTATGCTCTATTTAGTGGATGGTGGTTATAGTAAATGGAGTGAATGGACGAATTGTATAGGAGATTGCGAGCATGGATACAAATCCCGATCACGAGAGTGCAATAACCCGACACCAGCTTTCGGTGGTCGGCCTTGTCAGGAAGCTGGCCTTGGAGAATCTTATGAAAGCACCAGTTGCCTCAAGAATCCTTGTGCAGGTAGAATATTGAAGAATTATATTATTACGTCTCGTATTGATCAGGGCAACAGTCACAGCTTAGGAGAAAGTATTATGAAAGTTTCATACAGGACGTCTGTTTTTGAAATTGTTTTGTTTCTTCTGTAGTAAACGGCAAGTACAGTTCATGGTCACCATGGAGCGCGTGTTCATCTACGTGTGGACTGGGACAGAAGAAACGAACTCGGACATGTAATAATCCGAGCCCTGCATTCGGGGGACTGGATTGTAGTCGTTATGGTGCTTATGAACAAGCCATGGACTGCTTTGTGGCTGATTGTCCAGGTAAGACTTTGGCCAAAACAGTTGTTTCATTCATTTTATTCCGTGCATGTTTCTCAAATAGTCAGCCGTTGACTGACGCGAACAGCCCAAAAGCAATGTGTAAAATGGATGTTCCATGACACTGATAGCTTTTTATTCTCTTCCAGTCAATGGTGGTTTCTCTCCCTGGTCAGAGTGGAGTGAATGCTCCAAGTCATGTGGTTGGGGATATCAATCACGTGAACGTGAGTGCAACGCACCTGAGCCATCACGTGGTGGAAAAGATTGTACAGCATTTGGTGATTCCAATGAACTACAAGCTTGTATGATTGTTGATTGTCCAGGTAACCATTTATTGCTGTTGTCTTGCTGCACGTGAGCAGACTAACGCATTAACCGAACCTGATGTTATTTCTTCATTAGTCGATGGCAAGTTTACTGAATGGGGAGCTTGGGGCGAGTGTTCTAAGACCTGTGGCGAAGGACGTAAGAGACGTAAGAGATTCTGCACTGCTCCTAAACCTGACTTCGGGGGTAAAACATGTGCAGAACAAAAACTTGGTGACACAGCAGAAATGGCGAGCTGTGATCTTGGTCCTTGTCCTGGTAAGTATTATACAATATTTTCCGGGGTCAATCGATCATCATCTAACTTCTCATCGTCTGTGTTTCTTCTGTAGACGCTGGAGGTTGGGGCGATTGGTCAGCGTGGTCATATTGTTCAGCTACTTGTGGTCGTGGTAAGATGGAAAGATCACGTCAATGTGATGCTCCAGAACCTGTCGGTGGAGGAAGGCCCTGCGTGGGACTGTTGACCCAACAGAAAGACTGTACTTTGCGAGATTGTCCAGGTTCGTAGCGATATTTCTCTCATTGTAAAACAGGCAGAAAAGTCTCAAATGAGCCTTCGTGTCAACTCGAAGTCCATGATCTTGTTGTGTTTTATCTAGTAAATGGCAACTACACAAACTGGGGTAAATGGACTGACTGTGATGCTAAATGTGGCGATGGGTTTAAGACCCGATGGCGGTCATGTTCAAATCCTGTTGCCACTGGTGGAGGCCAGGATTGCGCTGAGTATGGGCCAGACTCAGAATCCAAAGTTTGCTTCAAGAAACCATGTAAAGGTAAGGAATTCTTCCTTACATTTGAGGATAGCATGGGAGAGATTGTATAATTTATCCCTTTTTTCTATAGTGGACGGTTCTTGGGGTCAGTGGTCTCAGTGGTCAATGTGTAGCAAAACATGTGGTGATGGGGCGCAGGTCCGCAGCCGGGTATGTGACGACCCTAAACCTGCTGCCGGGGGAACTACGTGTGCTGGAACCGCCACTCAAGAGAAATATTGCCGAATGCGTGATTGCTGTAAGTCAAGGATAGATAAGGGTTTATGAACTAAAGGTTTATGAACTAAGGATTTATGAGCTAATGCTTCATGAACTAAGGCTTTATGAACTAAGGCTTTATGAACTAAGGGTTTATGAACTAATGCCTTACAATTTGATCTTAGGTGATATCCCGTATGTGGATCTCGGCTGTTTCGTCGATACAGGAAACCCATCTACAATGCCCGAGATGCTGTTAACTGACACAGACCAACGCAGTCCTCTGTTCAGCGGTGTTTCAATGAAACGCGGAATTAAAGACTGGGATGATTATATGTCAAATTTGATATGCCGGTAAGTTGTCTAACGTTGCTTCATTTTTTGAGAGTTTTCCCTTAAATATTAACTTTATTTTTTTTCTAGTTGTGCTCAAATAACAAACGAGAAAGGTTACACTCACTTTGGTATTCAAAATCTTGGCGAGTGTCGCTCGGGAGTGAACGTTGATAGGTCGTACGCAAGTCAAGGAGCTCGAGTTGCGTACACACATCAAGGTCCCAGGCCGTGGGTCGGGTGTATGGGCAGGGGTATGAAGCAATGTAAACGACCTTCGCTTAGCTGTGTTGGACAAGATCAAACAAACTACGTTTATGGCTTAAAAAACAGTACGTGTTCTACACTTTTGCATGATATTGCTTAGGTAGTGTCGTTTATCTGAATCAGACAAGCAGCTGATTGTGTATTTAAATTTACAGTCGCTCCTGTGAACGGCAACTACACTTCCTGGTCTCTATGGTCGCCATGCTCCAAGAGTTGTGATCGTGGTCTGACGTCACGTCGTCGTAGTTGTACGAACCCTCCGCCACTTTACGATGGAAAGGACTGCGAAGATATTGGACAAGATGAAGAAATGGAGGAGTGCTTCCTAAAACCTTGTGCAGGTATGTAGAATACACTTTGGTTTATTTCTGAAACTTCTGTTGATGCTGCCGAGATTTCTCTCAAAAAAAAGAGATCTTGGTTGTTCCTGATTTGCTAGCCTCTTCAACAAAGTTTTCTTCCAGCTGAGTAGAAAGTGTTGTTCATTAGAATCAATTAAATTTGCGTTTTAGTTAATGGTGCGTGGAGTGGTTGGGCAATATGGAGCGATTGTTCTGCCTCTTGTGGTACTGGAAGGAGAACACGTATCCGAGGATGTAACAGTCCAGCTCCTTCCAATGGCGGAGATCTGTGTAATGGACCAGATACTGAGATTGCTGAATGTTTCAAGAGAGACTGCCCAAGTATGGATTCGTCAACAATTTTATTAAGCTTGGTTTCTTTCTTTTTATTATATACATTCCGGTTTTATTTATTCTCAGTTGTACAGGCGATGGAGAATATTTTATTTTCTGTTTCTAGGTGATGGCAGATGGTCAGACTGGCAGGCATGGGAACCATGTTCTGTGAGCTGTGGTTTTGGTGTTCAGTTGCGAACTCGATACTGCAATAATCCAGCTCCTGTGAACGGCGGGAAGATGTGTGAAGGAGATTTAGTCGAAAGCTCACCTTGTGAGGCAAAACCATGTCGTGAGTATCGCAATGTTTTCATAATTGTATCTTGTAGTTCACACAGGGAGTTAAAACTGATAATGTAACATTAGATCATCTAAATACATTGCTTTTTTTCCAGCTATAAACGGGGGCTTTGCAGATTGGTCTAACTGGTCGGTGTGTTCTCGGTCGTGCGGAAGAGGATCAAAATCGAGAGTTAGAAAATGTATCAACCCTCTTCCACGGTACGGTGGGCAGTCGTGCGAGAGACTGGGACCAGGAGAAGAAAAGATTCATTGCAATGCCAACCCATGTCCAGGTAGCCAAATCTTTAAAATTTAGGAGCTTATTTGACTAATTTGTGAAAAAATTTTCTTTCGCTTAAAACGAAGATAATTTTCAATATAAAACTTTGTCGATGACAAGAAAATTTCTTATTTTTTCCTTTATCTAGTCCATGGCAACTGGGGAGCCTGGAACGGTTGGAGCAGATGTTCCGCCGAGTGTGGGCCTGGTGTGAGGACACGTGACCGTAGATGTAACAATCCATATCCAAATTACGGTGGAGCTTCGTGTGTTGGCAAAGGTCACGAGTCAACTGTATGCAGTATGCCAGACTGTGCCATTGACGGCAACTGGGGAGCCTGGTCAGAATGGTCGGATTGTCAGAGTGATTGTGGCGTGGCAACCAGACATCGTACCCGTGCCTGCATTGATCCTCCACCCGCACATGGCGGGCGGGGCTGCGAGGGTGATGCTGAAGAATATAGTGATTGCAAATTGGGTCATTGTCCAAGTGAGTATTGTGTGTTTGTTCACACAACTGTACAACACTTCATTATTGTTAAATGTAATCAATGATTTGTTTTAGTCGATGGTATGTATTCAGACTGGAGCATGTGGAGCGGTTGTGATAGACCATGTGGATCTGGGCACAAGACACGCGCTCGATCCTGTTCCAATCCAGAGCCTCAATTTGGTGGTATGAATTGCACTGGTCAGGGGTCTGAACTTGAGACTGTTGCATGCAATACTGATCCCTGCAAAGGTAGGCGAATAGATACAGTCAAGCCAGTTGAATTTAGGTGAATGAGTGTTCAAAAGATGGAATTATAAACTTCTTACATTCGTTTTTTAGTTGACGGTGGATGGTCGGGTTGGACAAGTTGGTCGTCTTGTTCGCGTACCTGTGGACTGGGTCTTACCACTCGTTCCAGGAGTTGTTCTTATCCCGTGGCTGAGTTTGGTGGAAAACCTTGCCCTGGCAAGTCTGAAGAGAAGAAACCTTGCAAAGACTTTGATTGTTGTAAGTATATTGTCGTAGAATTTCTCTTCATTTATATCTCTCTATAATTTGTAACGCAGCTTGTTTGTCATCCTGATATTTATCCTGAGGTAATTTTATTTTTGTAAGCGCTCTTGAAATATATTTCTCATTGTCTCAAAATGATCATCATCTTTCAGGTGATGTTCCGTACAAGGATGTTGGATGCTTCATCGATACCCAACGCACACCTCGGCCGTTGCCAGAACTTCTGTTCAGTGAAAGGGATAAAATATCCTGGAAGAAATGGAAGAGCTTCATGTCGGATTTAATTTGCAGGTAAAAGGCTAATGTTTTGCTCATTGGATGCATTGTGGTCCGTGTGGAAAATCCTATTTATTTTTCCCAAAAGTTTTCACCATTATAGAGATATTCTTGGATAGCAACTGGAACGTATTGATTAAGTTTCCAATATTTTATGTTTTAAAGATGTGCCCAAGAGGCTCGCTATAAGCAGTACACACATTTCGGAGTGCAGCATTACGGTGAATGTTATTCCGGTCCTCAAAGTTGGAAAACGTACAGAGACGAAGGTTTGAGACAAGACTTTACCAGACCACCCGACCCACAACCTTGGGTTGGCTGTGTCGACGAATCCTTGAATCAATGCAAGCAACCAAATCTGGAATGCGTTGGAAAACAGAATACGAACTTTGTTTATACCATTGATCAAGGTAATAGCAAAAACATGTTAAGAATACACTGAGTTACTGTTCTATAATCATTTTAAATTAAATTGTTTCAACCATTAATGTTTCAATGCTTCTTTCCCTCTCAGTTAAACCAGTTAATGGTAACTATAGTGACTGGACTGCGTGGAGTCGATGCTCTACCTCGTGTGGGCCTGGCTCAAGATACCGAACACGAAGTTGCACAAACCCCGCTCCATCATTTGGCGGTCAACCATGTTATAACATGGGAGGCGATGAAGAAGTTGAGGCTTGCTTCCTAAATGATTGTCCAGGTTTGTACATTTTCAGGTTTCTTCCACCCAGAATTTCACTATAAACTTTTGAGACATTTTTTCCTTCTGACTGCCTGTAAATTTACTTCACCAATCATCGCTTTCATTTCTCCTTCTGAAGTTGATGGGGGTTGGAATAACTGGGGCGAGTGGACTGAATGCTCAGCCAAATGTGGAACTGGCGATATCTCGAGATCTCGGCAATGTGATAGTCCCGCGCCGCAATATGGCGGAAAGAAATGTCCTGGAAAGGCGACTGAAAGTGTCCCCTGTAACTTCCACAAATGTCCAGGTATGGATCAATCTTCGTGTGCATCAAGTGTTAAAATTGAATCATTTTGAAGATCTCAACGAGTTATTTTGCTTGCATCTCTTAGTTCGTGGTGGTTGGGCTGTTTGGTCGGCGTGGTCCAAATGCTCCTCGTCTTGTGGAAATGGTCAACAGACAAGGAAGCGAGAATGCAACAGCCCTAAAGCAGAGTATGGCGGAGAACCGTGCACTGGTACCTCTGTTGTCTTCCAGAATTGTGTGGAGAAGGAATGTCCAGGTGAGAGGATGCCGCAGATAGAAATTAGGTTAATTGACTTGAGCATATGCTTTCTCATCTCCAATGAAAAACACAGATATATAAATTGTAGGTTCTATTTTTCAAAGAAAAATTCTGAACTAACCCTGAACTGATCTTCCTCTTTTCAGGAATTTGGGGTGATTGGTCGGACTGGAGCGAGTGCTCAAGAACATGTGGTTCGGGAGGAACTCATTCGAGGACTAGGACCTGTCAAGGAGGACGGTTGTGTGATGGACCAAGACATGAGACAGAGCAATGCATGCTCCAAGATTGTCCAGGTAGAAACTGCCTTTCAATTATCGTGTATTTTGCTGCTTTCCTAGTAAAAGAACCTTCTTTCAACTACATTCTTTATTCAGAGTGTTCCAAATCTGCTGACATTGCATTCATAATGGATAGTTCTGCGGCCACAGATGAGTCAACGTGGAACCGATTGAAATCGTTCGCGCGCGGGGTTGCGAATGCGTTCCTTTTGAATGATGATGCGACGCGCGTGGGCTTGATCACGTACTCTGCGCGCCCGACACTCGAATTGAAGTTTGATGAAAAGAATGATCGAGACGAGTTTTCAGATTTCCTCAATACGGTAACACCCACCCATGGTACACCAAATCTGGAAGAAGCTTTAATGATGGCAAATGATAAACTGTTTGTTCCTAGTGCTGGTATGAGAGCAAAGGTGAGTGTTAGTACATTCATTTTACATAAAAGATTTCCAGCATTTTAGAGTTGTGATAATATATAAAACATACCTGCTAGGTTCATTACAAAAAAGTAGTATTCTAAATAGTATTTTGTAGTATTCTAAATTGTATTCTATCGTTCTAATTCCATTTAATTGTTCTACAAGGTGCCAAATGTTGCAATCATCTTAGCCGAGGAAGGGCCGATGAATAGTTACAACGATAGTTCCATACCGCTGAAAGAAAGAGGAATTACTTTGATGAGTGTAGGAGTTGGAAACAGGGTGAATCAGTACGAATTACAAAGGATTGCCACCAGTCCTGATCATGCAATCTTAGTGAATACACTGGACGACGCCATTGCATCTGTATCAAACGTAGCAAATGCAACATGCTTGGGTAAGTTGAATGTTTAGAGAACATTTGTTCGGGTAGTCAGTCATACGTTCTTTCAAATGTCCTATATACCTTATCTCACACACCTCCTTTCCTTTTCACAGCGAAACCAACGCCTCCTCCAGGTAAATTAATTTCATAACAATGCGTATGGAATATTTCCCAAACTAAAACTTTCCTCCAGTATTTTTGGCGTACCTTTGCTAATCTATCCTTCGATCTTTCACAGTGAAATGGGGTCCATGGAGTGATTGGTCGTCTTGCTCTCGTCTTTGTGACGCTGGTGTCCGCCATAGATTAAGATCTTGTATGAATGGAGACGAATGTGTTGGAAAGAGCAGGGAGGAGTCTGGATGCATGCTTCAGAAGTGTCCTCGTGAGTGTCGAAATGACGTTACCATTCGATCATTTAATTGATTTTCCAGCTCATGATTGTTCTTCTCTTCAGAGTGCAAGTCGGTCCTTGACGTTGTCTTCGCCATCCCAATTTCCGAGAGTGTTCCGAAGACCGAACTCGACGAGGCGAAGAAGTTTGTCCGAGGAGTTATCGATGGCCTCAGCATCTCACCACAGGGTACCCACGTCGGTCTTCTTGGCTACTTCGACTATCCTAGAGTGGAATTGAAATTAGACACCTTTTATGACAAGGAGGATATTTTACGCGCTCTTTCTTCAGTCCAGACAGTCGACGGCTTTAATAATACTCGTATTGATTCAGCGCTAAAAGCAGCTCAATCTGACATGTTTGCACCTGCTAATGGTGTTCGCGCTTATATACCAAAGGTTCTTGTTTTCCTTGCCTCGGGTGATTCTTCAGATCAGAACCTTAAAGACGCTGCCATGCCATTGAAGAATGTTGGCACTACAATCATACCGTTAGTCACTGGGGACCTGGAGACGAAAACCATTGCACCGATAGGATCCAGTACCCTACACTACTTTGCATCGGATAACTTTGGTAATCTTGCCTCGAAGCTGGATGCTATTTCTGCCAAATTGTGTGGAGGTAAGTGATATATACTTGAACATTTCGCAATAAACCACTCCTTCACTGTGAATAACTATGGTAGTATTTAATATGGATATTTATATATATTGTTTTTCCACAATGTTTACTACTCTACCTGTGCTATGATTCTTGACCTGTATCATATGTTACCTTATATATTTTGTTGTAGCAACACTGGCCACTGGTTCCTCCATCAATCGGTTTGGTGCAACCTCGCGTGTCCACGGCATCTCACAATTGCTTCTCAAGAGTGGTGATAAAAAACCTGCAGTCTCGCCACCAGCAAAACCCCAGGTTTCACAGACCAAGACACCGACAGTTGTAAGACCACAGACCGTGGTCACGTCAAATGCTCCGCCAAAAGTTGCTCCGCAAGGAAATGCACAGAAACCCGAAGTTAAACCAGCAATCCAACCTGTTGTAAATCTGAATGAGAAATTAGCCCCAGGAGCTGGTGAGTGCTTTAGTAAACGTCTACTAATTGGGTACCACCTTCAGGCGATTTGCGTAGGCCAGTTCTAGTGATCCTACCACCCTTAAACGTTTCATGTTTTCCACTTCCATGCGATTTGGCATTCCTTATTGTTAATTCTCCTAAAAGGTAGCGACTGTTTGCATTTGCAATCTTTAGGTTTATGGAAGGATTGGGGTGTGTGGAGCGCTTGCTCGAAATCCTGTGGAACGGGCAAGAGTACTCGTGTTCGCTTGTGTGACAGCGCAAAATGTAATGGCCAGCGTCCAACTCAGGCATTGCCATGTAAACTGCAAGACTGTATAGGTAAGTCTTTCTGTAATTTTCATTGTTTTCGTTCACACTTGAAACTGATTTCTTCATCTGTGTTACTTTCAGCGTGTAATCACAATCTTGACCTGGTTCTGGCTGTCGACTCATCAGATGCTGTACCTAAGAAGGGCTGGAAGAAGATCAAATCATTCATGACGGGCATTCTCGACGCTTTCCGAATCTCTGAGTCGGACACGCACGTTGGCATCGTAACCTTCTCTTCAGTTCCTTATCTCGAGACTCGATTTTCCGAAAAGAGAAACGACATCACAGAACTGGTGAAGAACATGCAGCAATTGCAAGGAAAACAACGCAGGGTCGATAAAGTATTGCGAATGGCGAATGCTGAGTTCTTTTCTCCTGAATCAAGAGGCTTTAGGCCGGACAAAAGTAAAGCGTTTGTGGTTATAACCGGAGGTAACCCGACCCAGGGTACGGAGAATCTAATCTCAGCTGTAAGACCGCTGACTCAGAATGGGGTGTCTGTTGTCGCCGTTGGAATAGGATCTGATGCTGATGAGGGACAATTAAGATCAATGGGTGGAAGAAAGGAGAATTCACTTAAAGTTCCAAACTATGATGATCTGCAATCATACGTTACCGCTGTAGTTAAAGATATTTGCGAAGGTGAGATACACATAATTTATGTTTACTTTATATTTCAACAATAATACTATTATTATCTCCAGAAAGCGTTCAGATTCATACTCATCAATACTTTTTAATTTCACAGCCGGACACAAGAAGCCACCGCCATTACCCGCCCCTGCTCCAAAGAAAGCCGTCTCTAAGGTAGCACCACCACCACCGCAAGCAAGTAATGCACCGAACAAGAAGCTCTCTTTGCCTGAGAAAAAAATCGAATCATTGATAAGTAAGTTTGAACTTCTTTTTTACCTGACCAGACACACATGAAATCTTCAGTTTATGGTTGTTCCTTAATGTATCACCATCATGATTTTAACGCTTACTGATTGTTTGTTTTAGATAAATGGGGAACATGGAGCAACTGGGCAGCGTGCACCAAGACGTGTGGCGAGGGGACTCGTGCGAGGTCTCGTGACTGCGCAGGCTATAACTGCACTGGACCGTCACTAGACAAGGAAGCATGCTTTGTACAAGATTGTCCAGGTAGGTTTTAAGGAGTGGTTGCTAATATGATGGTTTATGTTGCCTTTATTTTTAAAACAAAGGGTGATGGATGAAAGTTCTCGAGAACAATGATAAGGGAATAGTACTTTCGGAGATTATGAGAAAATTAGAAAAGGGTCTGATATTAACTGTGACGAGAAGGACCATTTATAATTCTGTGTTTGTTTATTTCTATAGATTGCCAAAAGAGGATCGACCTTGTGTTTGCAATGGATGGCTCGGATGATGTCATCGACAAGGAGTTTATGCAAGAGAAGACATTCGTCACCAATGTCCTGAACGCCTTTAGTGTCTTGAAGGATCAGACTCATGTTGGTGTTGCTACCTATGGAGCCGATGTTTCTCAAGATATACCGCTGACCAACCAGTTTGATAAGGACAGTTTGTTCGTGGCTGTCAACTCGCTGATAAAAAACAAAGGCAAAGGAAAGTTGACAAAGGTTCTGGAGACTGCTCGAAGCAAGCTTTTTACTGGCTCCCGAGATAATGTTGCCAAGGTACGTTGGCAGTTTATTTTGTGGAAAATATTTAAGCCAAAAAGTAACTTGATAACACTGCTAAGCCTGTGATCCTTGATAATATTCATTTACTAAATGGCATTTCACTCACAATTACTCAATCATTTCAGGTGTTAGTATTGTTAACCTCCATGAAGAACAAAATGGCGGAGAATCCAGAAAAGGCCGCGCAAGCTTTAAAGAAGTCTGGCATTGAAGTTGTGGTTGTAGGCGCTGGCTCGAACGATCGCAGTGCTCGTGATGTTTTAGGCAAAGTTGCAAGCAGTAATTCTCGTGCCTTCCCTCTGATGTCATTTAATGATCTGATAAACGATGTCTACCTAGTTGCTACTAGTGCGTGCCAAGGTAGGTAGATGCAGAGCTGTGTTAGCTTTGGGTTAAAGAAAATGTTTCGAGATATTATTGGGATTTAGTATAGGGCTTGAGCCTTGGTTAGGTGTGTCGCAATAGTCAACGAATTCGTTGTTGGAGTAAGGACATCCCGGTAGAGATTATGCGGTTGGAAAAGTAGCTTCCGGGCAAACGTTTTTGTCAATCTGGAGCAAAGAACAACTTCTTCATTATCTGCATTTTGTTTTACAGCTAAACCGGTTCCATTAACGGGTGAACCAACCCAAGAAAGCCCAGCAAAACCTTCAGGTAAGTTTTTGTTTTCATGTGAAGATACAAGTTGTTTTGACTGCTGACGTTTTTCAAAATTTTGTGATCTTTTAGTGTGTTCCAAGCCCTTGGACGTCGCATTTGCTTTGGATTCCTCCGAAGACGTCAGCAGTTTCCAATGGCAACGGCAGAAAGACTTTGTTAGTCAGGTTATTGATGGACTACAAATAGCTCCCGATGGTGTACATACAGGAATTGTAGCCTACGGTGCAATGCCCACAGTTGATCTGAAGTTAAACGTAAGAAACAAGGACAAACAAGCGTTGCTTCAAAGTGTCGCCGGACTAAGAAGAGCCGTTGGTAAACGGAATATTGGCAGTTTACTAGACATGTCAAAATACAAGGTATAAAACTTTATATATGAACTCCGAACCTTCGACCTTGACTAATGAAGAATACGTACCTTAATTGCTTGGATCCCTTGACGGAAAAGTTTTTTATTGTTTACTTGCCATTTTAGTATTTATACATTGCTCTCAATTTGTAGGTATTTGGACCTGATTCTGGCAGACGTTCTGACACGCCGTCAACTCTTGTTGTGCTTCAACTTGGAGCTGATCGTCCAGGAGCTGATACCGCGAGTGTGAAGCGATCTTCAGAAGGTCTACAGAAGGATGGAGTACGAGTTTATGTCGTAGGTGTGGGATCGAGTGTTTCAAGAAATGATTTGGTCGCATTTGCATCATCAAACAATGATGTACTTCATCTGCCATCTTTGAGTGATAAACGATTGGCTGGAAGGCTTATTGACACTTTGTGTGAAGGTAGGTTTTTGTTATTTTGTGATGGTAATGTAGTGATGATGGCTGGATGTTGTGTCGTGACATTTTGAGTAAACTTAAATGAATGTTTTCTCTTTAAAGGACCAAAGCAAACGCCTGAATCCGATCAACCATCTTTGGGTCAGGCAGCTCCAAAATCGCAGGGGATTCGTCCAGGAACATCGGACTTACAAAATGTGTTGCTGACATCTTCTCCAAGTAAGAACCGGAATAAAGCTCTGCGGATCTAGTACCTCACTCTATTTTGTTGCTACAAACAATAATACACAAACCTAACCTGTCTCGCTGTTGTCATTAGGCAAGCCTGCTGTTCCAGCACAGAATCCTTCAACACCTGAGAAAAAGAAGGAAAAAGATTTCACTAAGGTCGTCGATATAGTAGCAGGTAAGACAATCGATAGAATTTAAATCATTTGCGAATATTTCGTATTCAACAACTATAAACTGCTCGTTCACAGCAAGCTGTCGTGAGATTAAGCGTCGTGTTCGTGGCGCTGAGGACGGTGAATTCCCTATCATGTTTTCACCGCATTGCGCTCCAGTTAAACTCTACTGTCATGGTATGGACACAGAAGATCCGAAGGAGTATCTCACGTTGCCTGCTGGCTCTGATAATAACTATGCCTCGTTCCACAAGGAGAGACTTAAAAATTTCCGAAACTGTGATGGTTCCACTGATCCAAGTCCTTCCCTAACTGCGAAGTATTGGGGAAACACGAAGTAAGTCCTAAATGAAATTATTCAGGATCAAATTACTTTTTTTCTAACGGTAACATTAATCCAGCCCGATTTCTTTCACTTAAATCCTCGAATATACAAGTACATGTTAAAAATCTTTTAGCATTGATGTAACTCCCATATTTTACAGATTCAGCAAGATTCGTATAAATCCGAAGAACGGTCTGGTGAAACAAGATGATTTCAGATTCGCCATTTCTGAAGGAAACCCGGTGAAGTTTGGCCGCGGTGGCGACTGTTTCTCATTGGGCGAATGTCGACGAGGTGGTTTCCAAATGGATCTCTCGGGCACTGGACTCGAGTTACGTGATGACGTCATGTGGAAATCTTGGGGCGCACCAAAGGGTAGTAGGATGATAAACTTCACAAGATCCCCTGATCACACTAAAGTCTCCGCTATTTGTGGAGGATCCTGTGGTGGATGCCAGCCCGCGAGAGGACGAATTTATCTTATTCCATCATCTTGCAATACTCCTTTGGGTAAGTGACAAACTGCGCATGAGCCACTGAGCTATATATTGACTGGAGAGATCTAATTTATGCCTCTTTAGGTTCGGCTTGCTCTGATCTTATGACAAAATGATATTATGACAAAAATATCAAATCTGTGTTGATAACATCTTGATAATATCTAAACTCGATCAATATATTAAATTCCACTAAATTCCACTTAAAAGTTTCTAAATAAAACTCCAATGATGTAATTTTTATTAAATCAAACAAATTTTGCAGGCAAGAAATTTAAAAGGTCGATCATCGAAGCTACGGAGCTTCTAGATGAACCGTTTGAACCGTTGCACAAGAAACGAGGGAAAGTCGCTAAGAAAAAAATTAAACATAATAGCAAGGCTTTAAAAGACATTTCTAAAAAACATTTCTTGCTCGAAAAACACCGTCGAAACAGGAAACATAGTAAGAAACATTAGTTTCCCTGCTGTGTTCATGATTCTGTGAAAATCCACATAACGCTTTAATTTTATGAAATTGGTAGGCACATATATATTTGCTCGTATGGGCAATTGCATAATGATATACTAATCGTACGAGATCTTCTTTTTAAAATGGTATGTGATGATCAGTAAAATACAAGTTATATATAACTGAGATATATAAATTTAGTGATAAAATGCATTATTATACCATACTTAGTTATATTTCAAAGTATATCAAAGTTAGTTAAACTAAATATTACATACTGGATATTATAGTTGTAATATTTTCGCTAAAATTTTACTGAACCTGATCGTGAAAAGGTTTTAAATCTAAACTGTCTTAAATTGAACCTAAATCATTCGAATTTTTATACTGGCATTCATGTATTTTGCATGCCGTTCAGTATCTTATCATAAAGAATGTAACCGACAGAGCAATGTATTTAAACTATGTGGTTAAAAATATTTTATAACGTTAAAATATTATTCTTGAATCCAGCGTGTGGTTGTGTTTTTTTGATTTTTTGAACGGAAGACTAAAGATGTTTTTCTTAAAGTATTTATCAAAATTACATTTAGTGTTTGTTCAGATATAATGCTAATCACATATAAGCTGTTTAATTTCGTATAACGGTTTGTTTAGTATTATCTTCGTCGCGACATCAGCTGTTTAGGAGTTTGTTAATTTCCCTCCCGCTGTCTCCCGGCTGAAATCATTGATACAACAAATCAATAATAAGTGAGAACGTCTACATATCTCAAAAACTGAGCGTTAATACATAATCAATCTACGTATGCATGTTTACATGTTTGTTTTGCGTGGCCGATCCGTATAATTAATGTGTTTGAAAGGTTGTAAAAGTACAAGTGTTGATTTTTGATTTGATAGTTGGCTACTTTATTCTTCAATGGCGAAGTTGTTACGTATATATATATATATATATATATATATATATGCCTAAATCGATCATTATATAATATGTTTCGCTATAAAAATAGGTTTTTCAACTATATAGGTCTTTTAAGTAACATACTGTGTATGTTTACTCATGTATTATTATTTGGAATTCTTAGGAAGATTTCAAGAAAATTGATCGACTTTAATTAATCTTCATTAAGATATAAAAAATCTTTTAAAATGTAGTAAAACGCCTGCGCAAAATATGCTATAAGCATAATTAATACGCCGCTAAAAAATTGGTGTGCTTTCTGTATAACTCTCAGGACACAGCTTGACCACATATCATTGGCCAATAAGGTAAACAATGAGCAGTGGCCTGATTTTGTTGGCGTGTTGACAAATAATTGGCAAGCTTAGCGGACTAATAGGAGGAGTTGTAAGGAACCGCTTCATGAAATTTTCAACTGTTTGTGGCGAAAGAAATCAGTATTTTCCAAACTAGCTACATCGATAACATGGGATATACGTTTAAATTGCAAAAGGTTGTTTACATAAAGGACATCTGTGAACTGAAGTTTTTTCATTCTCACAGTTTTATATTGAGGTAAATATAAAAAAAACTACAGGAGGATCGTGTGCCGTAAAGTCTTTTAACTGCAGACAGATGTTTGTTTGAATACATCCGCTAGATTCCTGTGGAGACTAATTTTATCTTGGCTAGAATTCTGTTTAAAATTTTAAGTAGTTGAATGCTTATTGACCGCGTAACTAGAAAGTCCTTTGATTGTGGAAGAAAATCAAGAAAGTGTACTAAAGACGTAAAAAAAAACATAGTTGATTCCCTGTAAAAGCAAGAGTCTTTGAGGAAAACAGAAAATAACTGGAGAAAAACAAGTGGGTTGCTTTGACGAGAGTTAGTTCCTTTTGTATTCCAAACATTATCATTCAAATTCAAATCTCAACTGTTATTTTTGACTGCATCATCTCAACCTTGTTACATTTAAGTGCAAACGATTCACTGTAAGTGCTGGAGCAGTGATAAAGAGATCTAAAAGAGGTGTACCGCGATATATATAATTGATTTCCCTTTTGCTGAAGTTTACTATAAAAAACATCTTATTAGATTTTACGCTCAAATGACAATTGTCTTCACTATAGAGCTGGACTTCGCAAGTGTTTTGGACACTGAATTACTGGGAAGAAAACAAAGCGATTATTCGTCGTGCACTTAAAAAGTTTCCATCAAGAGCGATTCAATTGTGATTCAATTTCTTTATAAGCTGACAGCAATTCATTCTCAACGATTTAAACATTCATTAAGAATCAATCATTTTGGAAAAACGATTGGAAGATATTTAAAAACAAATTGATATTTGCTGTTTTGGATACGATTCGTCATTTTTGAGACTCGCTCCTAAAATATCGACACGCTAATCCCAAGCTTTTGAACAAGTGAAAAAGATTTCGAGAGAACAGATATCAAGGTAACTGTTAGAAAAATACCTGGATGTCTTAAGGATTTGTTGATACAAAAGATCAACATTGAATAAAGGATTACCCAAAATTTTTTGGTATTTGTTTGTGAAAAGCTTCGTTTAATGATTGTATAAGAAGTCAGTGGTTTAACTGGAAGATTGTTCAGATTACGTTTCATATTATAGTCTGTGATTTGTTACTGGGCTAGAAAAAGAATTGACAAGCCTTGGACTTGCGAAGGAAAACTGGGAAGAGTAATTTGATGCAAGAGTAAAGAGTATTAATCTGTGGACAGATTAATTTGGAAACCCGGAATTATAATAAAGCTGTTCACCAATCATTTTTTTGGCATAGAGACAGCACTAAAATATCTAAAAAGTAAAACACTCTTAACAACTTTACCAGCGCCATGAAAACGGCCACATTTGATGCTATCGATGACTACAATCATACTCATTTATGTTTCAATATTCATGTTGATGTTGATCATCGAACATTTGGCCATCTTGTTTCAGATGTTATTGTCTGTGCACTGGACCTCGCTTTGATGTTCATTGCCGTTGTAGCAAATATACTCGCAATAGCTGCATACCGCCGATCATCTGTACTGCAGACACCATCCAACTATCTTCTGATGATTTTATCAGCCGTGGATGTTGTTTTAGCGTTGACTGTCCAACCGTTTTTTTTCCTTTGGAAAGTACTGGAACTAGCGGATAGATTTTCATGCTGGGTTTACTTGGCCACAGTCCTCTTGATTAATTTCCTCGGAGCGGTCTCATTTCTTATCACAAGCTGTATAATATCATTAGAGCGTTATCTCTCCGTCTTTTATCCGCTTTTTCATCGAAAGAACGCTAACAAACGCTGTTTTAAAGTCGCCTTGCTGGTTATTTTGATAGGATGGCTGGCGTTTCTTCTAACTATGTTTTTAGGAGAATTTCACGTTGTTTACTTTTCGGTCGCGACTTCGATAGTCGCATTGTGTTTGGCGGGAACGATTCTTTGTTACCGAAGTATATTTCGCGAGATGTCCCGACGCTGTGGCGATCGTGTTGTGTCGGTGGAAAGCATCACGGACGAGCGCCGTCAAGTTGGACGAATTAAGCGGGAAAAAGCCACGCTGATGAATATGATTTTCATCGTTGGCACGATGACCATTCTCTACGCTCCTATAGGTGGATGCGTCGTATACGCCATTCTGCTTGGCCGTGATTGGGTGTACATGAATTACTTTGTACCGTGGGCGTATGTACTTGTGTTTACAAGCAATGCTATTCATCCTTTTCTCTACGGTTGGCGAAGCAGAGGAATGAGAAAGTCTATAAACGGAGTTATAAGAAGTGTTTTTGAAGAAACCGATGTTTAAATGATAAATTGAATAATACGTAGTTCAGTTAAACCATTCATTAAGCTGGAGTTCAAATTGTACGTATTACAAAAGAATGAAAAGTTAGGCCTTTTCCTGATCAGAACAGTATGTGAGACCATCATAATATATATGAATTTATTCGAAAAGAATTTATTAATAAGAATTTATTACTACTTATATGTTATGTATTTAGATTATTATATAGCAAGTTTCAAAGTTCATCTTGATTGGCTAAAACTACGTCATGTGTTAAAGGCAAGAAATCTGAATGTTTACCGCAAAAGGTTAGGTTTGAACCAGTTTGATCGGGGATTAATTAATTGGTGGTCTCGGGTCCACAAAACATGATGTTTCCCTCGGGATCAGTCAATATATGTTTACGGCCGGTTTACACTCGCAAGGTTTCTGTACGCACAGTATTCTTTGAACGAAGTGTGTGCAAATGTAAACAGCTTTCAAAGACTTTAAGCGAAGACTTTGACAGCCAAGGTTCTGAAACTACATCATATGATATTCTGTACGAAGTGCTCTATTTACTAGAAACCCTAAGAAGGAGAAATTTTTCTAAAGAAATAAATATAGAGGAAAAACAGGAAATGCGGCACAGTTGCATGCAACGATTGACGCGACGCAGTTACCACCAGAATAGGCGTCTTGTTATTTTTAAGCAGACGGAACCCCTCCAGAGTCAAGCAAGCATCCGGCACACAAAATATTCATTCACACACAGAACATCACAGCGTGAGGCACTGAGAATTCGTGAGCTTTGTACGCCGTGAAATAGGTTAGTTATTGTAAAATATATTTTATAAAATACTAAATCGTAGTTTTCATTATGACGTATAACTTGATCGTATGAGCCAATGTGACATAGTCTGTTACGTCTTTTGTGGTTCAAATGGAAATCAATTTTCACTGACTTCATACTGCCAGGCATGTGTGACGATGTTGGGGGCGATTGCAGAAATCCCCGCAAGTTTTTTAGGCGATGCATGCCTTTAAAATACCATGGATGCGTGGATATACGTAGTTAAATTAGTTTTTTTAAACGAGGCACGTGAATAGGTAAGATAGGAAGCATAAGTTAAGATGCAGTGTTGTTGAAAAATCAGAAAATTGAAATGTCTCTTGTGAAAATAAAAATAGCCTATGACTATCAGTAAAACAAAAGAGTCACTCCACTATTAATGAGAGAAGTATAACTTGTGAATCTTGGTTTCGAGGAGTTTAAGTCGCGTGTATTATCCGAAGTCCGTATCTCGATAAATTCGCCCATCTGCGACTGACAGTTTAACTAGGAGGTGGATTTGCCCCCATATATTTTAGTTTTCAGATCAAAGGTATTTTAGAAAAAGAGAAAACAATAATTGTCAAGGCTTCATATACAGCCATTTGTAGTTGAGCTGGCGGCTGGCATTTCAAACTCGTTGTTCCATTGTTTGAAACGGTGCGTTGATTGGTTAGCAACGCCTCGTTGCTAAGGGCTAAAATGATACATTTCCTAGGCTATGACATTTCTATAAATAGTATTACCGGTACTGAATTTAAAAAGAACATTCTAAAATGTGTTACCGGTACTGGATTTAAAACTGTTTACATGTCGAATTGTCGGAAATATCCCGGTAGTTTTGTCCCCTCCTTTGACACACATTTTATCCACAATATTGACCCCTGTGTTAAAAGAAAGTGCTTTCCCATGATTGTAGGAACGCCATTTCGTATTGACTTTCCACATTTTATTAGTGAAATAGCGCAAGCGTTTCGAGTATGTTTTAATGTTTACTTGCAAGAATGCGCGCCAAAACCGTGTGACATTTTAAAATTCAAACGTCATATAATAAACGACCCGACAAGCGTTGCGAACGCTTGTTGTTTTGCAGTCAAACGGAATCCGCTGTAAGACATGAGAAATATATGACGTAAGATAAATCTGTGGATAAATGTAGGATACGCAGACTGCAGTCGTTTAATATTTTAAAGAACGAAGCATAAGTTAATAAAACATGAGAAATATATGACGTAGGATAAATATCAATCTCAGCGCGTATCCAGTGAAGCAGTAGCTAGATAGCCTTTCTCACGATGACGAATATGCCGCCATTTTTGGGGTACTTTTTCTGAAAACTGCAAGCGTGAGACCCCGTAACGGCCACCATGGCCAGAAAATTCGGACATAATTAACATTCTACTTCCTCCTAAATTTGCATATGGTGTCAAAATAAAGCTTCGTGAGTTTATAGTAAACTGTAATGTGGACAGTACTAAACGCTAAAAATACAGCTTTAGGTAGGTCGATAATAATTTGCCTTGATTGCTCGTTGCAGAGCAAGTTAATCTTAATATTTTTATATAGTATTTCGAAATGTTTTATCAGTATTCGTCCTGCATTTTCAAAACAAAGTTTTGGTCATTTATTACGTTGAATACCATATAAAACGAAAACCGTAATAGCGTAGAAATAAAATAAAAATGCAGAGCCAACATAAACCTTTACCAGCAAAATATTACCTCAGAATCTTTAATATGACACGAATTACAAGAAACAACCAGAGGAAATTGCAAAGATGCAATGATTTTCTTAAATTTTGCGAAATTTAAGAATGCGCAATAATTTATAGTTCTGCAAACGAATAATATTTGAACAGATAAGCAAATTTGCTACGGCAATCTGCATACTATGTCCACAATTTCTGGCCATGAGTCTTTAATCTTCCAATGGTCTGTTAATTCTAAAAAAAATTGCTTTTCATTTTGTTATAATTTTTAAAACCCGTTTGAAAAAATTGAAAGCACCCCAAAACGTCATCGTGAGAAAGGCTAATTAGCCATTTCCCAATTAAGGTACTGGGTCTATTTGCCAACCGCGAAGCATCTATGGACTGTTTGGAGGGATAGGAAATATAACTCTGAAATAACTAGACCCAGTACCCTGCTCGATTGGGAAATGGCTAATTGAATCAGCTGGCAGACACCTCACTCCTGTTAGTCAATATAATGGTCCATGTTCGATCCATGAGCCATGAGGGGTGTTTGGACCGTAGATAATAGAAGCCAGCTAGGAGGAAGTAAAGGATAGGCAAGGCTTTCGTTTATGGAAATTTATGCGCATTTAATCGTATTGTATATAATGAGAATTCATCCGAAGTGATGTGCGTAATATATATTGTGCATCGTGCGGTAAATCATTTCACTATGAGAATTTCATTTCTTCAATAAGTTAATTATTAATAATTATAAGTTAAAAGATATTTGGGTCGACTACTTTTCTTCACTTTCTTGATTTATATTTGAACAATATATACCTGAGCGATTAAGGTAAGTATTGATAAAGTGTGCAGCAGAATAATTCTGAAGATTTTAGGCGTCATTTTTCATGCAGCGTATATTTCACTACTCCTCTATGTTTGTTGCTTCTTTGCTGATCCACCGTCAATATTTGTACATGAAAGTGACTATATATAACACAATGTCAGATGTTATATAAATGTGTAATATAAAACTTGCCGTTTCTTCTCAGTGGTGCCAATGATTGACGCCAAGCGATATTTCGCTTCAAGTTCAGTTAAGTAATTGTGATCATGCTTGGGAAGAGGATCAATTCGATAATATGTTATAAGCTAGTCATGTTTACTGAACTAAAGAAAAATGTGCCGTCTGTATTATACAGGAACACTTCAATGTGCATGCACTTAAGAAAAGGACCGGACAGTTGCCTGTTTTACCGCATGTTTTGCACAATTTAATGAATTTCAAGCCTCGCGTTCATCTATAGTCTCACTGCACTGATTACGATCGATTAGGGTCGTAATACGACATCTAGGCTAGCAATAAACTGAATACGCCAAGAATTAAATGCGGGGAAAAAGGACTATACGTTCTCCCCTTTTTCAATTTATCCATTTCTAACCTTAACAAACCCTAATAGGTTGTGTCTTTGCTAATATATATTTGGTGCCTGTATCTGCCAATTTGTTTGCAGTTATATATTCAAAATTTTATCAGTGATAGTTGTTCATTTAGTCGATAAGTTGCTCTCAAGTAGATGAGTCACAGCAGTCAACTTGTGCACATGCAGCCTATAAATTCTGCCTGTCTGATTTTTTTGCATTCATTCCTTCTTTTTTAGAATGTCAATGTTACAAATAGCTGCTCATCATAGCGTTGGCTGTTCTTACTCTGGCATGAATTGTATCCAGAAATCTTTATTTATACTTTCACTCTTTAATGTATTTCATATACAACGCGTATTTGGGAGAAAAGGTAGGGTCACAAACCTCGGTAGCGTCGGCAGCCTGACGACTGCATTCCATGCATTCACAGGCTAATATTTTAATGTTTACTGACAATGAAAGCACTAAAATCGCATGCGTAGGCCGTAAATGTAATAGAGCAGACGTTCGCCGTCTACGCTACTCGTTCTCTTCATTTGGGGGCCCTCAGTTAAATTTCCAAACACTGTGTAATTGAACAAAATATTCTTGACATTGAAACTCTAATTGTAGGCGTAACTTTATAATATAATAATAATTATAGTTTTATCAGTTTCAGTGTCATACTGTGCAAGTTAACATAATTGTTAAACTTGTTTCTTTTCAATGTAGAAATCGTAGAAAAAAGAGCATGTACAGATCTTTTTGAACGTTCTGTAGTGAAAAGTGCTGGAAATGCCCCATATGTAAGTTAGCTGTAGTGTATTTTTCAAATCAGTATTTTTCAAGTCGTATATAGAATCAGTTTAGGTTTTAACAGCCTTGTATCTATACTGATTTATATTGGTGTTCAATGACTGAAGGTAATCTAAAATTTCTCGGGCCTAAGCCTGGCACGACACTGTTTAAAAGTGTTTGTGAACTTATGAAAGACTATAAAAAAATTATGGTCAATACTAGCGATTATTGTAAAGATTTGCAATTGTGTCACCCTGTACTGCTGTAAGTTGTTTTCTATTCACTTCCGTTATATGTATTGCAAACATCAGTGGGGTCACCATTTCATGGAAAAAATCTGCGCGATATGCCAAGCAGACAACCAACTAAAATCTTGGCTCCTGACAAGACCGTTTGAAACAAAAGATTACGAATCAATACATGTAGGTCTTGAGATGGCCAGAACGAGATGTGAAAAATGCAAAAATCAGAGAATAAAGGTTTACATTTTGCATCACAACTCAATGCAAACTCCCAGGACTTCACCCGAAATGTTAGGAAATCTTACGTTGGTGGAAACTCTCGTGAACAAAGTAGACTCAGCCTATGAATTCCATAATTTTTGGTTTGTGCCTGAGAAATCAAAGTTTTCCCTGGTGCTCCTGTCTGAAGGTAGTTGTACGAGGATTAAAATAATCGAGATATCCGCTTTCGTATGCGAAAGAAACATTATCAAAGGCGTTAATCTGACCCGCACCATTTCTCCTGCTACTGGATTTAAAAGAAAGAATGCAACATGTAATATGAAAAACGCGCTGAATCTAGAAAATGCTGAGCCATATGGTTTGTGTTCAAGCAATGGAACGTGGGATGTTCAATCTCCGTGCAAGTGTAAAATAGGATTTGCCATCGGTACCGTTGGATATTGCGTAGGTATGTAGGTTGAACAGGATGCGACTAGGTTTAGAATCTTCTGCATCATTCTGACGGCTGACGTATAATCAGCGCGATGCATTTGCATCTTGACATTTTTAAATCTTAAAAGATTTGATGATGATTTACTCTACGGTCAACAGCTGGTATACAATGTACAATTGACATTAACGTAAATGCATTTTTACGATATGCGTTTTTCTTTGCAACTTGCAATGCAATTCAGTGTAATTATATTTGCGCACTCTAGATGGCTCAAAGCCTCAAACAAATAATTGCATTGCAAGTTGCACGAAAAATTTCACAGTGCAACAGCGCCTTAAACTCCTGAAATTGAAAAATATGTAATATCATTAGCATTTTTAATACTTAGTATTTCCTGGTTACACTAACCGAGGTATTTTTACAGAATGTAAATCCAATACATACAAGTCGTCAATTGGAAATGAGAAGTGCACTCCTTGTCCAAAAAATTCCGTGAGTGAGAAAGGACAAACTCAGTGTCAGTGCAATGATGGCTTCTATCGTTTTGAAAGGGCAAATTATGGGCATCCATGTTATGGTAGGTTTGTGTTATTATTATTATTATTATATACGTAATACGTATTATAAACGTTAATATTATGTTGACCATGCAGGAATTCCTTCGGAAGTAAGGTACATCAAAGTTTTGGAGAGAACTGAGACCACGATTACGTTGCAATGGCAACAGCCTCAGAAGCAGTACCAAGGTGCCGTGTATGAAATAGAGTGCAATAAATGTCCATTAAGCACTGATAGTGCACCATGTGAAGAGCAGTGCGGAAGATCAGTGACGTTTATACCATCACAAACTGATCTCAAGTACACGAATGTGATAATACGGGGTCTGGAACAAAACACGGAATACCAGTTTGTGATTTATTCCAAGAATAAATACAGTGACCGCATCAATAAGACTAACTGGAAAAATAGTGTGAAGAAAATTAAAACTGAAGGTATAAAGATTACCGCGAGTTTATGATTCTTACATTACATTGCTTCATGTTATCTCCATTCCTATGTTTCTTCTAAGTTGACGAAGGCGGCGCCAATGACAAGTTGAAAACGCCAGAGATAATTGCAATTGCATTTGGAGTAGCTATTTTCTTGTTCATTATCATCGTGGTTGCTTTACTATTTCGGCGAAGACGATCGGCTGCACAGGTATAATTTTTTCAAGTTTTCAATATTAATTTTGTCGCGACTACGTACTCATTCCCCTTTCTATTCTCTTTCTCTTTAAAATTTCAGTCCTTGGAAGGCGACGTCAATTCTAAGAATAATGGACAAAATTCATTGCTTGTACTAGAAACGCTTCATAATCGGAATATTGGCAAGTAACTTGTAGGATTTATTCCTTACGAGGAGAATACATTTCTTAATTACCTGTAAAATCCTTTAACATTTTTTTCACCCTTCCTTTATCCAAAAACATAGAAGCTGAATATGTCGATATATTGGAAGACTGGGAGATCTCACCACGCGATCTGAAGGTTCTGAACAAGAATCTAGGAGCTGGCCATTTTGGAGTCGTAAAACAAGGCTTGTATAAACCTCAAAATGGCGATCCTGAGAGGGTTGCTGTAAAAATGTTGAAAGGTATAGTGAACTAACATTTTGAATAGCACTTTATTGAAATTACAACTCTGCAAAATCTGGAATTCAGCGGTACAAGTAATAAGCGCAGCTACATAAATACGGATCAGGATTTTGCAGTCAGACCCGAGAAATGAGAAATCAAATCGTGAATGAGAAATATAGCGGAAATTGATAATCAAAGGCTAAGTATTTACTTTCAATTTGAGTAATATTACTTACCTAACTTTCTCTCTTTCTATTAAGAAAATGCGGCCGAATCCGAGTTATTGGATCTTCTGGCTGAGATAAAGGTCTTGAAAGAAGCCAACAAGGAAAAACACCCAAATATCATAAAATTTATTGGAAGTTGTTTTATGAAAGGTGAGACTAAACGAGGGACTGGATGATTACACCCTGACCAACATGCATGAAGCGAAAGGTGGAGCACAATTTGTTTTCTTTTCATTGTATTGATCAATGCTAGAGCATACCTAGAATACAACTATAGAAACAGAATCTGCTTCTCGCAAAATTAGAATTATTCTTCTAATATCTTTAGGGAGACTCTTGATGGTAACTGAGTTTTGTCCTGGAGGAAATCTGCGAAAGTTCCTAATCAAAAGTAGAATCAATGATAACTCGTCAGATTCACACAATATTTATGTCAATATAACATCAACAATAAGCGATCGTCAGTTGTTGAAGTTAGCTGTGGATGTCGCTTGTGGAATGGTTCATCTTTCCTCTCAGAAGGTAAGCAGGCATCGTTTTATGATAATTTAAATACGCAACCTGTAATGACGTTCGCAAAGTAAATCACGAGATATGCAGGAAAATATACAGAAAGATGTTAATTAAGATATCTTTTTCAGTTTCTTCATCGGGATTTAGCGGCAAGAAATATTCTTCTTGGCAAAGAGAGCGTGGCAAAAATTTGTGACTTTGGTTTGGCCAGAGATGTTGGAAGTGCTGAAGAATATATACGAAATACGCAGGTAATTGGAAGTAAGAATATCAGTAAAGCTACGATCAGTATTGATGAGTCATTAATCTAATAGTAAATCAGATCATCTTATCAATTGTAAACTATTCATCATCCTATAGCATCTTTACGTTAGTCCATGATTCATTTTGCAGAATCTTCTTCCAGTGAAATGGATGTCCGTGGAAAGTTTATTTGATGGTGTCTTCACAACTGCAAGTGATGTGTAAGTTTCCAGACGAAGTTCTCTGGTTTTGCGAACTTTTTTAAGAAGATTCAACCTGTTTTTGTTGGAAGAAAGTGCAGAATAGACAAAGATTTACCGATGAGATTCAGGGATAAGTTTTTTTGCTGCCTTTTTTTCTTTTCATAAACTTCGGAACCTAGTGTACTAATTGCTTCCATTCACAAACTTTTGATATGACTACACTGATCTTTATGCAGGTGGAGCTTTGGCGTTCTTCTCTATGAAATCGCAACTCTCGGTAGGTGCAATGACCTGTAATCACAATAGCGATCTAATAGCAAAGGAATATACTATACTTCATTTCATTCGCACAACAAATATCATCGTATTACCAGTACTTTACTCGCTATGTCCTATGTCGCAGTGAGTATGCCCCATTTGGTCTATTTTGACCAGAACATAAAGTACCTTAATTGATCATTTCAGGTGAGGAACCATACAAGAACATTCCAGCACGTGCTGTTATCACTCACGTGGAATCAGGAGGTCGAATGTCAAAACCTCCACATTGCTCCAATGAGGTGTAAGTATTTATTTACTGATCTACCATCTACGTGCCATCGACAAACAGAAGGTAACTGCTGCGGTATAAATGCCATCGACAAACAGAAGGTAACTGCTGCGGTACTGTTAGACATGAGTAAAGCGTTTGATAGTTTACAACATAGGACTCTTTTGGATAAACTACAAGATGTTGGTGCATCGAGATCTGCTTTAAAGTGGTTCAATAGTTATTTGTCTAATAGGAAACAGACAGTTCGTATCAATTCTGCAGTTTCTGACCCGCAGCCTGTTGTAAGTGGTGTTCCTCAAGGCAGTATATTGGGACCCCTGTTATTTACCATATACGTCAAGGATTTGCCAACTGTCCCTCAAAACAGTTCACCCGAGTGCTATGTTGATGACACTAAGCTACTTATGTCATTTCGTGTTTCTGAATGTAATAACGCCCTCACAGCTTTGAATCAAGATCTCCTCAGCATCCGTAACTGGTGTTTTGACAACTGTTTGTTATTGAACCCAGGTAAAACGAAATTGATTATATATGGAAGTAGACAGATGACAGACAGGCTGCCAGAATATCGCCTCTCACTGTTGGGAAAAGTGTTGGTACCAGTAAACTCTGTAAAGGACCTCGGAGTAACTTTTGATAAAAACTTAACATTCAATGAACACATAGTAAAAACCGTCTCTGAATGTATGTCAGCACTTGGACAGATAAATCGGGTGAAGCACATTTTTAAAAGAGAGTTATTAGTGATGATAATTAACGCGTTAGTATTTAGTAAACTATACTATTGCTCTTCAGTTTGGTCAAATACCGCAGAATTTAATATCAAGAAGTGTCAACGTGTTCAGAATTTTGCTGCTCGTATAGTAACTAACACAAGAAAATATGATCACATAACACCAGCTTTGAAGGACTTAAAGTGGACACCTGTCAAAACTAATTTATATTTTAGAGATGCTGTAATGGCATTTAAATGCATGATGGGTTTGGTTCCTGATTACTTACACCAGAAATTTAGCACTAGGGGCAGTGTAAGTGGCCGTAAAACAAGGAATTCTGATAAATTGCATATCCCTTGTTTGTAAGACCAAATCTGGACAAAGGTCATTCTCTTATAGAGTTGCCAACATATGGAACAATCTGCCATCTTCTATAAAGTCAAGTGAATGTTTAAGTAGTTTTAAAAGTAAATTAAGGAAATATCTTTTAAATGAATTTTTATTGACTAGCTAACATAACATAGTAACTTAAATTTTTATCATAGTATCGTAACTTATTTATTGTAAATTTGTCACTGAAAAGCCCCTGTTGGGGAGTGTCAATAAAGTATTGTAATGTAATTGTAATTGTTGTAATTGTACGTAATATGGTAGTTTCACATCAGCGTGTACAGAAGGTAACATCATATAGTTAGGAAGTAACATACTGTTTTACAGGGTTGATCGGGATATTTATTGAAATTAAAGAAATATCTTTTTCCTTGAGTGTTAACGCAGTTATGTGAACGTAATTAATATTGTTCTCTTTTAGATATGAACTAATGTCAAATTGTTGGAAAGTTGATCCAAAGGAGCGACCCACTTTCCCAGAAATATTCCAGGCTTTACGTGATATGCTGAATGATAGAGAGGTACAGGTTGCTTTGATATTGACTTGGTGTGGATTAATATTGAACAAAAGATAAATTTTTGGTAAAAATTATTGGGTTAACGAGTGTTTTTTAACGAGAGTTGTATGCATGCATGGTAATGTATGGATAATATATGATAATGGAAGGAGAAATGTCTGATAAAATAAGGAAAATTTATTGAAAATGTTTGGTAAAGGATGGATAAATGTGGGGAAAGAGGATAAATGTATGATAAAAGTAGGCTATTGTGATTCTGATATTGCATGGAGAGCTCTTCATTATGTTTGTGTGATACGACTAGTAAATCACATGTTAATCAATTTGGCATACATGCAACTTTGCGATATGCGCTTTTCGCGACCACATATCCGGGCTTAATTGCATGTCTCGGCGGAACATGCACCCTCGCGCGCGAAAGATTTTGACAAGACTTTATTTTCTTCAGCATACGTACATTAACGTTACTCAAGTAAAAGATGGACTACAGATGGCGGTTCAGTCTGCTGTGAGAGGGTGACTATACGATGAAATGAACGGATTTCTCACATGATCTATGAAGTGGGCTGAAGTTCTTGTTTTTCACTATATTCAAATAGGAATTCCGGTAATTTAGTACGGAAAATCAATAATACAAGCATATTTGGAAGTAGATTTCCACATGTAAATGTATTGTGATATTTTCATTATTTTTTGGGATTGTATATTGTATTTAGTTTTAGATCTTAAGGATGGTTCCAGAATCCAGATGTTTCCAAAGTGTCAATATAATAATTTTGGGATAATCGGCGATGCTGGCTCAATTGCTTTACTTGGCTTAATACATGATAGCAATGTCGCAACGTTTTAGGTTGTAAGGTTGGGTGGTGATTTTTGCCTGATGCTTCCTTAATTAAGATATACATTAGGCTAGGAACAGAACTAGTGTTTCAACATAATGACTTAGAAATTACATATGATATACAGATTTATGTTCCCAACAAATTTTGAAAGTTCCGGTGTTAATTTCGGTTGCCAGAGGTACCTTATATTTATTTGTTGGAGACGATAAATTAATTAAACTTTCGTGTGTATTATCTCACGAAGGGCTTTTAATCTTAAGTTAATCGGTATGTAAACGAAACTGGGAGTTTATTAGTAAATTACTTTCGCAACTTTTTGCCCTACGGTTTCCTGACGAGACAATTCAAGTCTGATATCGAAGTACAACTCAGCAAATTCATTGAATTCATATTCTCCTAAAAGAGAGACATATTTGGCTGTCGTGACTTGTCGCATAGTTTTTCATTCATTTAAATCTTTATTTGACATGTTTGAGTGCAATATCGGTCTGTGCGGTTTGTGAAATTCGTCAGAACAGAATTATCCGACTGAAGAGACATTCGTCCTTGCCAGTTTTGTATTAAAACGACTTGGCATCGTTCCGTATATTGCTCTTATATACACTCTCCTGTTATTCTGCTAATATAGGCCAGCTTGTGTGCCGAATATTACTCTATGTTAGACTGGCATCTTTGGCATTTTTGTGTGTATGTTGAAAGAGGTATTCTTTATTGTAAAGAGTACAACTACTCGAGGAACAAAGACGTCGGGGAATGACGCAAAGGACGGTCATTGAAACTTGTTCATCACAACTTTTTGTTTATCAGACTTGTCGCCTTGAAATATAATGACAGCTCTCTTTAAGCAGTTCAACTTTTAAACTAATGCTAATCATTATAATGCTTATGCTTATCATTAAAGCTCTGATATTAGCACTTAGTGAATTTTAATATCCATGTAAATAACACAAAAACTGACTTCCTTTTCGGGTGGAAATGTTATATTGATTTGAATAAGCTAGTTAACTCCTTTCCCCCTATACTTCCGAGTAACAACCATATACGACCTAAAAAATTTTCCTAAAATCTTTCATTTCTGTTGGATTTCACTTTTCATTTTACAAAAACTATTTCTTTTATTCGATGAGCTCGTACCCGGGCCATTATGGTGTAATTTAATGGACGTTTTCTTTGGATTTCGACAAATGACCGCTCATTCTTTTTACTGTATTATAATTATCTTTTAAACAGGCGGAACCTCTCCAGAGTCAAGCATCCGGCACACAAAATATTCATTCACATACAAAGCATCACAGCGTGAGGCACTGAGAATTCGTCAGCTTTATACGCCGTTAAATGAATATTTTGAAGCATTGTAAACAGTATTGTTAAGAACTGTCGCTTCGTATGAGAGGATTACCGTGAAAAGGAAAGTGAATTTTGGCATTTCGTGTTTTACGATGAGACAACCACGATGAAAGGCTTTTAAACACGTTGTTGTGTGGGGGTTTCGAAACTTTGATCTCTTTGAACGTCGTGAGAAATCTCAACGCACGCAGTGAAACAGGTTAGTTTCATGTTGTAAGATGTAGCTTATATAAAAATACTAAATCGTAGTTTTCATCATGACGTAGAATATGAACGTGTGAGCCGGTTTTACGGGCGATGTGACATAGTCTGTTACGTCTTTTGTGGTTTAAATGCAAATCGGTATTCACTTCATGTTGCCAGGCATGTGTGACGATGCTGTATTATAACTACAACTATAAACCTCAGTGATGTATCATTACGATAAGTCGGATTAAACAGAAACCGGGCTTAATTATTTGGGTAATAAATAAGCTATCTCAGTATGGTGTAACAATATTTATTTAAAACTGATAAATATTGTATTTGCGTCAGTAAATAATATGTATAACAAAGATTTTTGGAAGCTAATATCAACTATGATCGTCTGTCTGTTAACTTCCAAAACATTATTTGTAACAACGTTTAACAACTATTCCGGCATGCTTGTCCATGTAAAACATATAAACTGATATATATTCAGAGAAAACTAAAATAAAAAGATGTGTAGAATTATATTGAACTAACAATCCTAACACATTGGGAAAATTTAAGATATTTTATATTATTTTAGAACGTGAGCTTGGGTTTTAGTAAAAAAAATTACAAATGTATTCCTTGGTTTTATTCCCTACCTGGATCATTTGGATCACAATTCATCTGCCATTTTCCAGTGGTAAAAAAGGTTTGTGAAATCTTTATTCAGTTTGTCACTTTATCCATGTTTTGGTGAATAAATTATTATAATAATAAATATTTTCTGTATTTAGAAATTATATCCAATAATATCTTGGAAAAGGGAAATTTACAGTTTTTTCTAGTTAGTGGAAGGGGAGACGTTGTGAGTTTATTGATTCTTCTTATTAAACATTGCCTGTTTAAAAAACCACGGCCGCGTGTTACTAAAACCGCATCATAAAAAAGTATTCAGAATTATTTTTTCTTTTTTAGTGGGGTTTTCCAACGAACGGAGATAATTACGTTAAAACTTGTGGTTTAGGATCGTCTGCAGACTTTTGGTTTGTCACCAAATACATGAATCTTCCTTCATCGTATGCTGACGTGATCTATGTCGATGTTGAGGCAATGCTTACCGCCGACAAATGCTTTAACCCCCCTGATGGTAGTGATTTCGTACCGTGTTTTACTAGCGATTTTGAGGTTTATACTTATCGAGAGAGTACACCAGAGCCTGAAAGAAATACTGTCGTTAGTTTATTCAATTCCCATGTTTATACATTCGGAAACAATTCACGGCCTGGTATAACCCAAAGCTTTAGCTTTAGCTTTAGCAGAAACGGAACAACAGGCGTTTCATTTGGTGTAAGATCACGAGGCGCGTGTGGAAAAATTTTTAACATGACCATCTATCACTACTTTTGCGAGGAAAAATTTTCAAACAGTATCAGACTGGTAAAGACTTCAGCGCCTCTGAGTGGATCTAAACTTGTCCCTGCTAATTGCTCTCAGCACTCGTTACCCTTAAACGCCAGCACGGGCCTGCAAGGAAATTGTAAAAGTAATGGAACCTGGGATATGAATGAAGATTTCAAATGTTTGTGCATTGAGGGATACGAACCTAATACCACGCTAGGATGCTCAGGTATACATTACGAAGATTAGAAACACCGACAAGAAGCTTAACGTGAACTGGAACAACATGACATAAACAACTATTATTCAAAGGCAGAAACAATTTCAACAAATGCAACGAATACAACAACCATAATTTATCCTCTTTCATTAACAGAGTGCCCAACTGACAGCTTCAAACCAAACGTTGCGAATACTCCTTGCAAAAAATGTCCTTTAAGAAGTAGAAGCATCAATAATCGAACCAGCTGTCAATGTAAAAGTGGCTTTTACAAAAGTCCTTCAAATTACACACAACTTTCTCCTTGTTATGGTAAATAAAGAGCCTGACTTCATACTCTGAATAAGTATAAGTTTGGTAGATAATTGATTTTCTACCATGACTGTTGAATTGTTTCATTCTTAATACCTAGCATATGATTTATTTTTAGCACCACTTGTATTAAATAAAGCTCCGACGATAAAGTACAACAAAACTGTGAATATTTTAACTGTATCTTGGATCGAACCTAGCAAGACAGAAAGTTTGGATGAAGCTATCTTTTACGATGTTAAATGTGTCTTATGCAACGAGATATGCAATGAAACGTGCAAAAACGTGGTATTCAATCCGAGAAGTTATAACTTGAGCGACACATTAGTTGCTGTGACGGGATTACAACCTGATAAAAAATATATCTTCAGGGTTTTTCCCAAAAATAGTTTAAATGAACAAATCTCGAGAGACAAATGGAACTTCAAGGAAACCAATGATTTCATCTTTTCATCAAATAGTAAGTGACTGTCCATGCATTGATTACACGTTTTAATTGTTAGGCTTGTGTAAGTGCACGATTTGATTTGTAATTTATTTCTACCAAAACGCAGAAGATCAACCAGTTCCCGAAAAAGAAGGAAGCAACAATACTGTTAGTATTATCGTCGCTGTAATTGCCGTGGTGTTGCTTGTTATCATCATTTTCATTGTGGTTTTTGCTTTTAAAAGGTGAGATTTTGGGAATGTCTGGGCCGGTACACAAATAGTGCTGTAATTTCATAAGCTTTGTCTGTTAATTTGGCGTATGTTGTTTTTTATTCAGGCGAGGAAATTCGAAGCCAAAGGACAAACACCTTGAAACATTTCTAAATAATGGAGGTAGGTTTGACCATAGTTTGACATTCGCAAATTCACCAAGCGATTCTAAATTGTGTATAGATTTTTGGTTAAACAGACGTATTTCTAATGAAATATGAATATTTTTGTTGTAGTCGACTTACCAAATGTTGGTCTGAAGCCATACGTGGATCCATCGAATTATTCAAATGCTGAAGAAGCAGTTGAGGAATTTGCCAATGAACTTGATCTCAATCAAATATTTTTGGAAAGAATGATCGGTGGAGGTGAATTCATTTCTTTGAATCAATATTAGCAGTGTGAAAATAGGGAAAGGAGAATAGAAGATGTGAAAAAGGAGAAGTTGATAAAAGGAATAAGAAGAAAATGAAAAGACTAAAAATCGGAAAGTAATCAAAATAGAGTTCTCAAAATCTCATATCTCTTTTTTTTCATCAGGTGAATTTGGCGATGTTTACAAAGGCGTGTTGACGAGTGATGGAAATCAAATTCCAATTGCAGTTAAAACCCTAAAAGTATGGATCACCCACAATTTTCTACACTGGTTCAACCTTATTTTTCCAATCTATAAGTGAAATGCTCATTCTTTTATTTGTTATTTTCCAGGCCGATGCATCTTCAAAAAACTCAAGAGATTTCCTGTTGGAGGCGTCAGTAATGGCTCAGTTTGATAATCCAAATGTTGTGAAAATGGAAGGAGTTGTAACGAAGTGTGAGTGAAAACCAGTCGCTTCGAATGATACCAATTGACAAATATTAGTATGATTACTGTGGGTTATTTATATTGCATGCATTATACTCCTTTTTAGCAAAACCACGAATGATTGTGATCGAGTACATGTCTAATGGATCGTTGGACCACTATCTCAAGGTGATTCTTTACAATCAACTTTATACATCGTTTGTCTGCTACAGGCGAATATTTTGTGTTCTTCATAATAATTTAGAGAAACGATGGAATGCTGACACAGCTTCAGTTGCTTGGCATGGCCAGAGGTGTTGCGTCTGGGATGAATTACTTGTCTGAGATTCATTTTGTACACAGGGTAACATTTTTTATTTTAAACTAGTATTTTAAAGGGAGGTCGAACTTTATCAGTGTATAGGACCTCTTCAAACATTCAAATGTGGGGTTTCCAAGGGATTAAACTATCTATAGAATGATTTATATAATAGTTAAGTTGAGATAAACCTGGAAACAAGGAACCAGATTTATTTTATGGAGCTCTGAATAAACATTATAGCTGGTAGTTTCTTTTTCATTTAACTAAAACTGCATGATGAAGTTATCTTGTATTGTCATTACCTATTAATACCCACAGTAGCATACGTTAGATAGTTTTAATTTAAGTATTAATATTATTATTCTTTACAAGGATTTGGCGGCACGAAACGTGTTGGTCAACGATATGATGCTTTGCAAAATTTCTGACTTCGGTCTCTCACGAGAACTGGAAACAACAAATACACAATCCGTTGGAGAATATGAGACGTCTGTAAGTTAAGACTGGTTGATTTGAAAAAAATATTATGCTCAGATTTGTTAAAAAGAGGATAATATTGATAATAATATTTCATTTGGTTTAGGGAGGAAAGATTCCTATTCGATGGACGGCCCCTGAAGCATTCAAATTTCGCATATTTTCAACAGCAAGTGACGTCTGGAGTTTTGGTATTTTGCTTTGGGAAATCATGTCATTTGGTCAAAGACCTTACTGGGAATGGGATAACTTCAAAGTATGTGAATTTCAGAGGGTTGCGACGTTTCTGAAGATTGTATTCCATAGTTTGCCAGTTCAACGAAGTTGAGATTATTTGATTTATCTCCAATTTTTAGGTAATGGAAGATGTTGATAATGGCTACCGGCTCCCCCCGCCGCACGTAAGTAAATCTATTGAATTATAAATATCAAAATACATTTAGAGAAGAAGACAACGAAGGAACAGCGTAGCAGCATCTTCAAGTTCACGATGTGATGCAACAACTGCCTAGACAAAAACACTTGTCAACGTTTTGACCCTTCGTCAGGAGAGTTAGTATGACGTGACAAGAGTATTATTTACTCTCCTGGAGAAAGCCCTTAGATCTAAACATTGAAGAGTGCTTTTGTCCATTTCAGGCAAATTGTCAACAATAACGTTCAATTTTTAATATACATTATTTTTTCAATTCAAGAATTGTCCTCATGGCATCCATTGCCTGATGCTTCACTGTTGGAAAGCTGAACGAAGCGAACGGCCAAGTTTTGCACAAATTACCATCGTCATTGACAGATGGATCAGATCCCCTGAAACTTTGAACCATGAAGTTAATTTTTTTATCACAATTGGTAAGTGAGGGACAGTCCAGTCTAGTCTAGTTCAGGTTCACGTTCAATACTGTGGATACATGAAGCCTCTTTGCTAAATACGTCGTCTGATTGATAAGAAAATTAAATTGAAAATATCCTCTTGCTTTTAATATAGGTGATTGGCTTACAACGATCAAAATGGGCAGTTATAAAGCTATGTTTATTGAAGCAGGTTACAAAAAACAATCAGATATCATCGATTTAACTCATGAAGATTTAATATCAATGGGGGTTACATTGATTGGACATCGTAATAAAATCATAAAAGGCATTGAGACGCTGAGGGCTCGAAAGTCCAGGCAACAACTGCCATTGTTATGAAGCTCTTGAACTTCGCTGTGAATATTGTTTGGTAACTTTCAACATTAACTGCTGGAATTATTCGACTTTGATCCGTTGGTTGTAAATATTAGAAGATCAAGGATGGTTTCAGAGAAGTATATGTCGGAGTGTTTTCATTTGTGTATATAAAGGCGGTCTGACAGATTTGAATATCAGAACACTGAGCAGGGAGTAATCCAGGGAATCTAAAAGATAAATCTGAGGACTTCACACGTACAATTGTCACGTACTTGTACGTCGAATTATCACGTACAAGTTTTCTAAACGTTCGAAAGAAGAGTTAATCCCTGAAAAGAAACACCATGTTATATATATACGCATTTTCAAGATTCGTTGTTGTTACCAGAACCCATAGAGCAAACGAATGGACGACAATGGTCATGATCACTACTCGGTCGGTGTTATAACATCAAAATATTTGCCGACAAGAAAAAACTTCAGCGGGATACAAAAGTTTGAACAATTTGTTCGACCCCTGCTTTCTATATATTGTATTTAAACAATGGATGTCCAACATCATTAAATATTTTTTTTTGGATTGCGCATATACTTACCTTCTAACGAATTAACAAATTGCTGACGCTTAATCTTATACTTGTATGAAGAATATTTGTAATTGAGAATTCTAATCAAAACGACTGTAGCAATTTGAACAATTTACAATGGCAGATGACTATTCTACTTGATGAGTAAATCTCGGAGATAACAGTTACCAATAACAGTGTGTAATATTCAACTAGGTATGTTGACGAGGTTTAAAGGGTCTTAATTTCGAGTGCCAGTGACAAGAGCAATGCACCGGCATCGCAAAAGCGTAGGTTCGATTCCTTCCGGTGGACCTATAGTTGACTCATTTTTCCATCAACTGTTCCTGGCTTGAATTTGAAGTGTGTATAATACCACTCGAAATTAAGACCCTTTAAACCTCTAGAATATTCCTGCATCGAGTGAAGTGCCAAAAATCATAATATAGGTATGTTGACGTTTGATAATTTACGAACATTGTTCGCCACAGGTATTATACAAACCTATAAAATTGAAACCAAATAAGACTTGAGTTTCTTACGTTAATTAGTTTGTTTATATCTTCTTCTGCGCATTAATATGAATTCAGGTAACTTTCTCATCATGCATTTATCAAGTTTTCATCCTAATTTTGAAATCATTTGGTCATATACCTTGAAATTATCGTAAAACGTTACAAGCCCAGACAGAATTATATTTATATAACTTTGATTTCAATATTATTATGTGTTAATACTAAAATACGAGCTTCCGATCATGATACAGGCGACAATACATTGATCCAAACTAAGGAATTTGGTGATTAGAAAGTTGAGGAAATTTCAGTTGAGGAATAGGAAGCTAAGGGAATCTTATATAGTCACTCCTAAAACCATCACCCGTAATTATATGAAATTTAAATTAACAGTACATATATTACTTTTGTTCTTGAAACGTAACCTTTGAATTTTTTAGCTGATTCTCCCTTTATTTATATTTACTGGGCAAATTCTTTGCTCTTATAATGGCAATACTCTGGTTTTCGATATGGTGCATTGTGATGTTACCATTAGTTCACCCAGAAGAAGGTTAGTGAACGTTTTGCAATTAAAAAGTATGTATCATGTTTTATGTTTAGTTTATCAATGTTCATTTCCTACCGCGTACATTAACTAACTTTGATTAAAATGATATCTTCTATAGTAACAATTAAAGACGATGATTTAAAAGATTGGTATAAAGGAATAATAGCATTAAAGGGTTACGGAGAAAGAGTAAGTGGATCCGGCGCTGAAATTATTATTTAGTTGCTGGACAATAAATCATGTAACGTTTCAGTTTAAGTTTTCATACAAACCGGCCTTGTTTGCTCTATTATATGTTGCACTTACAAATAATATAAATTATAATGCGTGTAAGTACAGCTTTTTTTCAAGCACGGACCGCCCTTTCAACTTTTTAAGTACAGGATGTCATATTAATTTAACGTGATAGACGATATACTATAGATATCATCGCAAAAACTATACGCCTTCCAACACACGAACGTCCAATTTATAGTGCAATCGTATAAATATTGTAATAATTTATTTATCGTGTTTTATAAAAGTGGCATGTCAAAGAAAACATCCTGCATACTTGTGGTATTGGTGAAGAAGCTGATATTTGGTTAATCATGTCTTATATTGATCTCAGTGAAAGCATCGCTGAAGTAATCAACGTGGATGTGGAAGCTGAACTTACCCTGTGTGATGATCCTAAAGCAGAGGAAGGTTCACCAGGCAAACTGGAGTGTCTTTCAAACTACTTTGAGGTTTATATTTATCGAGGGAAGATTGAAAAGACATCTCCTGATCTGAATTACCTGACAGAAAGATTTCAGCCACTTTACAACATCACCAACGATACCTCGCCTAATTCAATCTTTACCAGAAGTATCAAAACTTTTTCCTTTCCTCAAAATCATTCACAAGGAGTGACCTTTGCGATAAGATCCAGAGGAACTTGTGGATCAATATTCAGAATGAAAATGTATTATTATTACTGTAAGGAAATATTTATCGATGGTCTACAATTCGAGAACACCACATCGCCTGCAAAAGGGTTTAAAACAGTTACAGCAAAAAATTGTTCAAACAACTCAGTAAAATCAATAAATGCAGCAGGAAACAAATCATCGTATAGTGGATATTGTTTTGTCAATGGCACGTGGAGTATACCGCAGTATGCTGCTTCACGATGCTTATGTCGTGAGGGATACACGCTAACAGACGGCTTATGCGCAAGTAAGTTGAATAAAATAATTCTAACCTACGTTTGTGAATTGCATGTGCAGATATAAAGACAATTTGAATTCAAATGAAAAAGGTGGAAACTATTTATGAACGGTTAACCGTTAAATATACATGGTGCATCTTAATTACCGTTATATGTTATCGAACGGTCTTCTACTAAAGCTCTACCTTACTTGTTATATCTAGCTTATCAGGTTCTCATTTATAGTTTAACGCTCGTGCTAGCTTAGTATGCACATAAGAGGAGTGGAGTGGAAACGAGGAAGATAAAATAGTGCGTAAAACTGCGCATAATTTCGGAAGCGTGCTTGTTAGAGGAGGTCAAATATAATCTGCAGTTTTAATTCAAGTAATTTCAATTACTTCAGGCCAATTCCATTTATATTTGTTCATCACTAGTTTTTGTTTTATCTTGGTTATACAGGCTTGTACAGTCTTCTATAGTATTTGAATTTTGCACAGTCTACTTTTATTTGTTTTTGTATTATTATAGGTTGTTCAGGAAATACTTACAAAAAGAACATTTCAAACGAAAATTGCAATCAGTGTCCTATGAACACTAAGAGCAACATCTATAAAATCAGTTGTGATTGTGAAGATGGTTATTATAAAGATCCATCTGCTAACTCTGATCCATCATCTTGTTATTGTAAGTTGATCGAATTTTTTGAGCTTGTGAATAAAAAAATTAGAAATGAACAGTTTTTCATTTACCGCGCTTGGTGGCAGAAAATATTTTCGAATATCTTTCCTCGTATTTTTTTCTAACTTCTGTAATGAAAAGATGCCTAGTTCAGGGGAGGGCTTCGTGACTTGTGTCAAGGTGGGGGTCAGCATCACCTTTGATTAACTTTTCTACATTTTTCATGTCTGTAGCTCTAATAGTACTTAAAGACAAACCCAGCATAAAGCTCCTTGACCTGGTAGGCGGTGCTGAAATTACATGGACAAACAAGACAAAAGCCAGGATATCAGATGATATCTTACGTGAAATCATCCTGTACGATGTTAGATGCTATAAATGCAACCAGAGCATATGTAATAAAACTTCATGTATGAATGAGACATACGAACCTGGACAGAATAACTTGATTGAGACCAAGGTGATTGTGTCTAACCTTACAATTGGAGGCAAATACGTTTTCAGAGTGTACGCTAAAAACAGTTTGAATGACAACGTTCCTCAAAAGGAATGGAAATATGTGGAAACAGACAAAGTTGTCATTCCATTGCCAGTTGGTAAGGACGAACTCGTACATTTTAAGTCGTTTTGGTTTTTTTCCGCACCAATGACAGGATCACAAGGAAATTATCACTGCAGTCACATCTTTGTGATGAAATTTACAATTGTCTTACTCGAAGTTCTTTCTTTTCCCCAGAACCAGACCCAACGACAGGTATACCTTCAGACGATACCTCAAACGTAAGTGCCAACAATGGTCATCCTGGATACGTAATTGCCATTGCAGGTGGAATTCCGTGCTTCGTGTTAGTTCTTGTCGTCGGGATTGTATTTCGTACTCGAAGAAGACAATCAACTGTACAGGTAAATGTCCCTAAAATGATCCTAGAGCAGTTCAGGCGTCGAGAAAACGCTATTTACTCTGCTAGGTACTTTTTCTGCATGTTCTTCAAAACGTTTGAATATTTTAGAAACATCGATCCAGAGAAGACAATAGCGCTGCTGATGACAGGCAGAATTTGCATTACGCTTCATCCCTTGTAATGGTGTCCCCACGTAATCTCACAGGTAAATGTTACAGTACAATTATACATAGTTTACATTTTATCATGAAAACTATATAAAAATTGGGTTCTTGAAAGTCGACTACCTATGTCATCTTCTCGTTTATTGAAATCCAGAAAGATGTTGTTAAAATGATCATTTTTCCCTTAACCAGAAACTGAATATGCTGACGTATTGGAAGACTGGGAGATTTCACCAAACGATTTGAAGGTGCTGAACAAAAAACTGGGAGCTGGTCAATTTGGAGTTGTGAAGCAAGGCTTATATACACCTCGAAATGGTGACTCAGAGAAGGTTGCTATAAAAATGTTGAAAGGTAATAAATGTATGTATCTATAACAATATATGATTTAAAAATATGGGGTAGAAGGACAACGTATTGGCATTGTGTAATTTAATATTTTGGTTTATTGAAGAAAATGCGTCTGAATTCGACTTATCCCAGCTATTGGCTGAAATAAAGATTTTAAAAGAAGCCAATAAGGAACAACACCCAAATATTATAAAATTTATTGGAAGTTGCTTTGTGAAAGGTGAGGAAAAACTGCAAGGGATGACAGTAGAAATATGATGAAGTTGTGTCAATCATCTATATAATATATATACCCAGCATCACTTAGACAGGATGGTAATGACATACATTTTTCCTTTTCAGGGAGACTTGTGATGGTAACTGAGTTTTGTCCTGGAGGAAATCTACGAAGATTCCTGATCAAAAGTAGAATCAATGATGACTCGTCACCAGGATATGTCAATAAAACGTCAGAGTCAGATTATGCCAATGTAAATTCAATGTTGAGCCATCGTCAATTGTTGAAATTTGCTGTGGATGTCGCTTGCGGAATGGTTCATCTTTCCTCTCAAAACGTATAGGAATTAATCCTCAAAGCGTTAGTAAACAGGCTTGCAAGATTGAGGGAGTTACTAATCAAGATTTTATGTGCTCTTTTAGTTTCTTCATCGGGATTTAGCGGCAAGAAATGTCCTTCTTGGTGAAGAGAATGTGGCTAAAATTTGTGACTTTGGTTTGGCCAGAGATGTTGGAAGTGCTGAAGAGTATATACGAAATACGCAGGTAAATGATGTGACTCATGTGAGCTAAACTGAACCGAAAATTTCAGTAACATTTGCATGTTAATAGGACTCAGTGTGATCATGGCACAATTAAGTTTAAAGGCCTTATTAAACTTTCTCTTATCATATCAATCCATCTATATATTAACAGTAGGGATTATGTGGAAGTTACAGGTTAGTTTCCATGACATGACTCACTTTTGCAGCATCTTCTTCCAGTGAAATGGATGTCCTTGGAAAGTTTATTTTATGGTGTCTTTACAACTGCCAGCGATGTGTAAGTTCATATTTTATAAATGGAACATTCGGGTGTTGAGAGTTCTCCACACTTTAAACATTTTTCTTAACTGTCATTCAAGTTCAACCATCCATGTGTAAAATATGCTGTTCAGTGAACACTTCACATCCACATAAACATTTTCATCGTTAAGAACATGTTTGTCTTTAATTAAAGCGCACTCCTTTCATTATTATCTGTCCATGCAGCACTGATTTTATTAATGTACAGATGGAGTTTTGGTGTCCTCCTCTATGAAATTACAACTCTTGGTGGGTATGATAACATAAAATCAAATCTGTTAACAGTCTTTTTTATACTTTTGTCCAATTTCACTTTTATATCTTTCTACTACTTGCATTACTAAAAATTACTGGTGTGACAAAACAGCTAAATTTATCAATTTCCAATCCAACTCTAACCAAAGGCAAGAATATTCATTTTCAAAATTTCACTATAACAATTTCTATAACGTGCTTAGTAATATATTGTGTATTATTTTGAAACAATTACATATTTAGGTGAGGAACCATACAAGAACATTCCACCACGTGCTGTTATCACTCACGTGGAATCAGGAGGTCGAATGACAAAACCTCCACATTGCTCAAATGAGGTGTAAGTAGAGATGAAGAATTCTTTAATTCAATATCGATAGTCCAACCTTCCTCTTCAAACCGTATATTGACCGTTAAAGCCATAATTTTTCTGTAATGTGGCCTTTTGTCAGGCATGCAGGAGCGAAATTCATATTGTTCTCTTCTAGGTATAAAATAATGTCAAATTGCTGGAAAATCGACCCAAAAGAGCGTCCCACTTTCCCAGAAATATTGCAGGTTTTACGTGATATGCTGGATGATAGAGAGGTGTGAATTTGGATAAATTTATAGCATAAAAGTAAGGTGGATGTATGGTAATGATGGAGTAAATGTTTGGTAAACTTTGTTGCTTATACGTCACAATATGTTTCTAAAGATATTTACACGAGTCTTTGTCCTGTTTAGCACACGTATATCAATGTATCACAAGTAAAACAGTGAACGACTATACAGATAGCAGCCCAGCCTGCAGATGCTGTGACCACGATGGACGAGACGAATTCTAATAGCAAATCGTGTTCTCAATCGACAATCGTTTCAAATGGAAGTGATTATTACAGTAAAATTTTAATATCACTGATAAAATGTAGATTTGCAAATATTACATTATCTAATCTAATATCAATTGTTGGGTTTTGAGCATAACACAGGAATAGCCAACAGTATATAAATATAGAACAGAAATTTTTTAGATATTGTAACGATTTCTACTCTATTCAATGGAATCATTTTTCAGAGTGGATTTCAAATATAACGTGACAACGTATTGAAAATAATTATGTTGAATGGTTTAGGTAGTTTAAGTTCACAAGAATGGTTAAATCCCACAGTGGAAACACCACCATATTATATAATCACGTGTACAGCGGTTACCAGGACGCAGTGATGCAGGTCGAGCGGATGACTGTATTATCAGACAAAACAAATCGCAGCGGGCTACAAATACTTTTTAAATAATTGCATATTTTATGGTATTTTGCATAATAAAGATGAAGAAAGTTGCAGATAATATGGTTGTTTGTCTAATCTAACCGCGATCAGAACTAAACAAAAATGTAGTTTGATTTGAGATTATGCCTGTGTGAAAAAACAGTTGTCATTGGAAAGCGGTTGTAGCAACTTGTGCGGTTTAAATTGACGGATATCTAATTCATATGATGAGTTGATCTCGGAGTTAATTATCAATAACAGTGAAATATTTAACTAGGTACGTTGATGTTTGATGAAAATTTTATGCTAGTTGGTGTCCCAAGTATTACTTATTCAGTTTAGAAATATACTGTTTAATAACCGATTTAACTTCGGTTAGTGTACATTGCATCAAATACTTATTTATATGGGATATATAACAGATCATCCGTGTGGAAGAACTTAATCGGGCAGACGAGCTTTTTAAGTAGTTCCTCTGTTTGACAGATGGACAATCGCGATCGCCTGCCTTAAACTGCACTGTCACTAAATAAGTGCACATTCGGATTATTAGATGAACTATGTTTTACTGCATGTCCAAGTATACATCCACACAGATGATCCGAGATCGAACTATGTTAAGTTCAGAAAGTTTATGGTGTTACCTTGCTTCCGTCAGTTCCGCTTATATATTCTTACGAATTCAAAAAGCTTGTGTCGTTTTTGAATGTTTGATAATGAATGTAATCTCAAAAAATCCTATCAGATGCTTAATGTGAGTTTCGCCATAGAAATGCAACAAATAAATTGGAACTACAGAAATTAATATAATCATTGATTTTTATAAGAAACTGCATGCACGAGCTCGAGTAAATTTATGTGGTATTTCGTAGCTAAATCCATTCGCATTATACATAATCAAGATACAAAATTTGATATCAAGCCGGGTCCCTTCACATGAGCAAATTGCTTTTACGAAATTTTACCTGTGCATGTAGATACGAAATTTAACAAGAATGCAAAAAATTATTCTATTTCCAATCACGAAAATCTCTACCTATATTTTATTTTAAGCCGTAAAACTCGATTCTTTACTTATTTTTTATTTCAGTACCTTCAATACTTATTTTTTATTTCAGCAAAAAGACAGAAATAAAGTCTTCGCCCTTATAATGGGAATACTCTGGTTCTCGGTATGGATATTATTCTCGTGGTACATTGTGATGTTGCCATCAGTTCACCCGGAAGAAGGTTAGCGGTTAACGTTGAAAAATTGCATGATCCCATGAACTAAACTGAAAGTCAAATTATGACTGAAAGTGTTTTTCTTTACAATTAAGCCCTGGTCAAACGAGAATGATAGTTGATGAGAGTTGATGAGAGTTGCAACTCTCAAATTTTGATGAGAGATGATGAGAGTTTGGGCGCGTTTGATCGGTCATGAGAGTTGATGAGAGTTGCAAAACCGCCAGCGGTTTGCATTTTTTTTGCAAAAAAAAGAAATCTTCTGAAAACAATGGGTGGAAACAAAAAAATAGCAAAACGAAGTGGAGTAATGGCGAAATTAATGCGCGCGGTAATCAACTCTCGTTCTCGACTCTCATCAACTCTCATTCTCGTTTGACCGTCGCATCGAGAGTTTAGAGAACTCTCGTGTGAACTCTCACTTCTCAACTCTCATCAACTATTATTCCCGTTTCACCAGGACTTTACTATATACTCCGGTAATTTATGTGATGAAAATTCATATATTATTGGTCTTACAATGCGAAGAACTGAGAAAAAACAGGACATAGGATTAAACTCGCTTCTTCGCGATCACCGCTATATTGGCTCTTGCGCTATGAGCTAACAAAGGCTTAGTCTAGCGAACGTTATTCAAAATTAAATTAAGGTGGTGCGATTGCATGCAAGTTTTCATGCAAGATTATTACACAACTTACGTGCGTATTTTTGTACGTGTTTTCTATATCCTGTTGCATAAACGGATACTTCTGTCCAAATTTAAAAATGTTTTAACGCCATAATCGATATATATAGCTATGTTAGACCACAGGTTTGACTTACTTAATGTCTTCTATAGTAACTGTTAAAGACGATGAGATAAAAGATTGGTTTGGACAGAGAAAAGAACTTAAAAAGACATCCGGAGAAAGTGTAAGTGCAATCCGGCGGTGAAATTAATTATATTTTTTGCTGCACGGAGTGCCATGGACATTATTGAATTAAGGAAGTTCTCAGTTTATCAGTTATCACGACCAGGATCACGACACGCCTTAATTGTTTACCGGCTGTAAACCTATATATAATGTGTTTACAAATGAATATACGTTATCATCGCTTAGAACGTACTATATATGCCTTTCAACATACGAAAATCTCATGTTGTAAATTTGCGCTATAAATATTATAATTATATTTATTCTTCATGTTTTTAAAAGTGGGTTGTCAAAGAAAACATCGTGTATACTTGTGGTATTGGTACAGAAAATGATTTTTGGTTAATCACACCTTATATTGATCTCAGTGAAAGCATCGCTGAAGTAATCAATGTGGATGTGGAAGCTGAACTTACCTTGTGTGATGATCCTGGTGCACCCAAAGGTTCATCAAGCAGATTGAAGTGTTTTTCAAACTACTTTGAAGTTTATATTTATCGAGGGAATATTGAAGAGACATCTCCTGATCTGAATTATCTGACAGAAAGATTTCAGCCACTTTACAACATCACCAACGACACCTCCCCGAATTCAATCTTTACTAGAAGAATCAAAACGTTCTCATTCCCTCAAAATCATTCACAAGGCGTGACCTTTGCGATAAGATCCAGAGGAGCTTGTGGATCAATATTCAAAATGAAAATGTATTATTATTACTGTAAGGAAATATTTATCAATGGTCTACAATTCGTGAACACTACATCACCTGCCAAAGGGTTTAAAACTGTCCAAACAACAGCAAAAACTTGTTCAAACAACTCAGTAAAATCAATAAATGCAGCAGGAAACAAAACGATGACATTGTATATTGGATATTGTTTTACCAATGGCACGTGGAGTATACCGCAGTATGCTGATTTACGATGCTTATGTCGTGAGGGATACACGCTAACAGACGGTTTATGCGCAAGTAAGTTGAATAAAAAAAATTTAACATACGTTTGTGAATTGCATGTGCAGATATAAAGAAAATTTGAATTTGAATTTGAATTTAAATGCAAATGTTGTAAATGTATTTATTAGTATAATAAAAGAAGTTAATATCGAAGAGTTGGCCCTCGCATGGGTTCATAGTCGGGTGTTTGGCACGGGGGTATTTTCCCCGGGCCTTAGTATTTATATGGCTTGCCTTGTTGTTTATTTGCTTATTATCGCTTCGTTCGCTGTGATGCAACGTACTTCTCGTCGTAATACGATCAATAGCCTCTCAAGCCTTCCTTTGGACGACGTTATGTCGCTACACGGTTTATCCGATGCTGTTTCTCCTCCTCAAACAACTGCTGAGCCAGTTCAAGCTTCTGTGGCCATCTCTGTTGCTTCGCCTCAGCTAGTGGCGTCCACGTTCGCTTCGTCCGCGTATTATCGGCCTCGCCAGTTTTGTCCTTCCAGCCAGCTCACAGCTCCATTGTTTCCTCGGTTGGGTTCTACAGTGTCCGTCCCTGGCCTTGTTTCGTCGCCGTCCCAACAATTATATCTCCCTCAACAGGGTCAATTTTCTGCCGTCTCAATTCGTCCACCATCCGGAGCTCCAACCGTTTCTTCAATGCCTGTCGCTGCTACTCCCTTCTGAGTTCACCCACAGTCAATTGCCATCCTTCGCCGGCGTTCAACAGCCTGTTTTTTCCGAATTGGTTCCTCCTTTGCCATCTCAGACGCTGCAATCAGGTACGCCATCTTTGTTTACTTCGCGCCTCATCCCAGGCCCCAGTCACGTTCTCCCAGGGCCCATTCCCCGTGCTACCTGGAATCCCCTCCAGGACTCTGGGTCAATTCCTACCACCGCCGTCGTCTACCCTCCCATGGTTGTAGGGCCTGGATTCCCGCCTGTTTCTTCAAAATTGGTCAGTGCGATTGTTTCGGGGACTTTTGTGGAACTTTCTTCGCTACTCGAGGATTTTTCCGAGCTTGACGCCCCTTCGTTCACCTTGCTCTCTGACCAATTAATCCTTAAACCTACCAAGCCGCGTAAGGAAATTAAGGATATTTTGACCTGGATGCAAGCTTTTACCGTTTTTTGTATTGTGCTTATCTCCTATTGGCCCGCGCGCTCCATCGACTTGCAAAAATATAAACTGCTAATCATGCGCATGGCTCAACAGTTTCCGGCTTCCGCCTGGTTGTCGTACGATCGCGCTTTCCGTCGCCAAGCGGCAGCCTACAAGCTAATCGATTGGTCCCACATGGACGTCGAATTATTTCAATTTTACGTTTCGGGTTCTCTGGCTTCCGTTTCCTCCGCTCCTGGTTTTTCTGGCTCTAGTGCATCTGCCACCTCGTCCGCCTCGTCTAAGCCCTCTCGCTACGTCTTGGGGGAGGCAGTTGGTACTCCTTCCGCGGAAATCGTCTGCCATTCCTGGAATGCTGGTCACTGTTCTTCACAGTTTCAGCGGTGCCGTTTTCGTCACTCGTGTGATTATCCGGGGTGCTCCAGTATTCATCGTCGCTCGCTCGTACATGGTACATCTCGCCGCGCACCTGAACGTGAACCGCCGGCCAAGCGCCCTAGATCGCTTGTAGACTAATGTCTTATTGTCGAGTGTTAATAAATATATTTAGTTCCCCTTCCTTGTGTTTGTTTTTCTAGCTTACTCCTAGTGTTAGCTTTCGGATCGCCTTTTTCTAGGGTTCGTCGTTCCTCACCTTTTTTCTGTTCTGCCCCCTGTTAATCGGGTCACGCCTCTCCGCCTCGAGTCCTTTCGGCAGGAATTGGCTCGTCACCCTGACCTCGCTCGTGTCAACTACGTCTTGGATGGTATTGAGAATGGTTTTTCATCTGGATTCCTCCCGTCCATGGTCGCTCTGCGCTCCTCTGGTCGTAATATGAGGTCGGCCGACGAGCATCCCGAAGTTATCGATGCCTATCTCGCTACCGAAGTTGCTAAAGGACGTGTTGCTGGCCCGTTTGCAACCTCACCCTTTCCTTACCTTCATTGTAGTCCTTTTGGAGTCATCCCCAAAAAAGGTCAACCGGGAAAATGGCGGCTAATCCTCGACCTGTCTTCGCCGGATCTACACAGTGTCAACGACGGCGTTCCCAGGGACCCGTTTTCGCTTCATTACATATCTGTCGATGACGCCGTCAAAATTCTCGTGCAGCTTGGCCCTGGAGCCCTCATGGCCAAATTCGATGTCGAGTCCGCGTACCGCAACATTGCCATGCGTCCCGACGAGCGTTATCTGTTTGGCATACGTTGGCGAGATAATTTCTTTGTTGACCTTGCTCTGCGTTTGGTCTTCGTTCTGCTCCCTTTATTTTTAACTCGGTCGCCGACTTAGTGGAGTGGATCCTGAAGTTCAACTATTCCATCCGATATCTACTGCACTACCTTGACGATTTCCTGATCTTGGCTCCGACGAGCTCGTCCGAGTGTGCCCAAAGCGTTGCTGTCGCTAGAGAAGTTTTCTCCCGGTTGGGTCTCCCGCTTCACCCCTCGAAATGCGAAGGCCCGTCTACCACGTTAACCTTCCTTGGTATTGAGCTCGACTCCGTCTCGCAGATGGCTCGTTTACCTCAGCAAAAGTTCGTGGCAATTCTGCGTCTTCTTAACGAGTGGGCTATCAAGAGATGGTGTACGCGTAAGGAACTCGAATCCTTGGTTGGTTCTCTTCATCACGTCACCAAAGTCGTTCCCCCGGTCGTTCGTTTCTTCGCCGCATGATCAACCTTCTTTGTGCGTTTCGGTCACCGTCCCATCCTATTCGTCTCAATGTCGAGTTTCGTCGCGACCTGGCCTGGTGGTTGGAGTTCCTACAGTCCTGGAATGGCGTCAGTTTCTTCCGGTTGCCATCCGTCTGCGCTTTCCCCGACCTGTTCGTCGCTTCGGACTCAGCCGGTGCCACTGGTTTTGGGGCTATTTGGAGAAATGCTTGGTTTTCGGGCGTGTGGCCTGCTTCGGTTCCTGTTACCAACATAACTGCTTTGGAACTTTTTCCTATAGTCGTGGCTGCCCACGTTTGGGGTTTTCACTGGCAGCGTCTTCAGGTCCAGTTCTTGTGTGACAACGATGCTGTGGTTGCGGTTATCAATTCGGGGTCGTCCAAGGATCCGTTAACATGCATCTGCTACGCCGCCTTGTCTTAGTCGCCTGCCTGTTCCATTTCTCCATTTCGGCCCGTCACGTACCTGGTCGTCATAACGCTGCTGCTGATTCGCTTTCTCGATCTCGTTTGCAGGAATTCCATCATTTCCATCCAACGGCGGACTCGGACCCTACTCCCATCCCCTCAGCGTTGGTGACCGATCTGCTCAACGTGAGCTAGAGTTGCAATGTTTTGGTTTTTTATCGCGTGGTTTGGCCGTTTCCTCTCGTCGTACGTATGCCTCGGGTATGAAGAAGTTTTGGTCCTTTTGCGCCTCGTTTCCTCGTTTGTTTCCTTCGTCCTGTGTGCCAGCTTCACAGTTTCAACTGATGATGTTCGTATCGTGGTTGGCCCAGTCCCTCGCTCCTTCCACCATCAACGTCTACTTGGCTGCCGTACGGTCCTTTCACATAGATTGGGGTTTCGGCGATCCCACCGAAAATACGCCTCGTCTTCGTCGGGTTTTACAAGGCATTCAACACTCATATCGGATGTCGAAACCTCCTCGTCTTCCTGTTACTCGGGAAATCCTTGCTGCCATTCATCACACCGTTTTCACCTGCGAGAGTGGTTTGGATGCTTTCATGTTCTGGTCGGCGTGTTCCTTGGCCTTTTTTGGTTTTTTACGCGTTAGCGAGTTCACCTCTACTGTGCCGTTTGACCCCTCCTGTCACTTGTCCCCGCTCGACGTTGTTTTCCTTCCTGGCAATCCTTGCCCGGGTGTTCGTGTCCTTATCAAGCGTTCAAAGACAGACCGTTTCGGTGTTGGTTGTTTTATCTTCATCGGCGCGTCTGGGAATGTCCTGTGTCCGGTCGCGGCTCTTCATAACTATCTGTCTCTACGGCGTCTTGCCGCTGGTCCCTTATTCCTGTGGAGTGATGGTTCTCCTCTCCTGGCTGCTCACGTAAATACATACCTTCGTGTGATTTTATCTCGGTCTGGCATCTCTGGTCAATTTTCCTCCCACAGTTTTCGAATTGGTGCTGCAACGTCCGCTGCTGCCGCCGGAGTTCCTGATCACCTGATTCAAACCTTGGGACGTTGGTCTAGTTCGGCTTATCGTCGTTACATTCGTACTGCTCCGGATTCGTTCTTAGCTGTTGCTCCGCTGCTGTAGGGTTGGAGACACTTTGGAGGGGTTACTAAACGGTAACCTTCTCCAACCCCGAGTGGGTCTGGAGTCACCTTGGAGAGGGTACCGTTTAGGTTCCATATCTGATGGACGTACGCATGATTGAAAATGACAGTAAAGACTACGCATCGCCAACCTCGTTCGCTTCGCCGAGCTCGTTCGCTTCGCCGTGCTGCCGTCTCCATCCCTACCGATCCGCAGCGGGCATAACTAGTTAGGTTACTATAGTTATAGTATTCGCTATTCCTACGCCTCGCCTAGCCTCGTTGGGCCTTGTCTGAGTATATTAAATGTATTTATTAGTATAATAAAAGAAGTTAATATCGAAGAGTTGGCCCTCGCATGGGTTCATAGTCGGGTGTTTGGCACGGGGGTATTTTCCCCGGGCCTTAGTATTTATATGGCTTGCCTTGTTGTTTATTTGCTTATTATCGCTTCGTTCGCCCCGCCTTCCTCCCCTGACATTCCACCCTTGGGGGGATGGTTTCCATTTATTGTTTTAGTTTAGTTTCTCTAGGTTCAGTTGGTTTGCAAAGATTCCTACGGTATGTATCGTATTATTACTATGTGTGCATCGTGTGTGTTCTTGTTTTCCTTCCACGGCTTTCACTTCTGTGATTCCGTGTGACAGTGTGATCACGGGATGGAGAGGGTACCGTTTAGGTTCCATATCTGATGGACGTACGCATGATTGAAAATGACAGTAAAGACTACGCATCGCCAACCTCGTTCGCTTCGCCGAGCTCGTTCGCTTCGCCGTGCTGCCGTCTCCATCCCTACCGATCCGCAGCGGGCATAACTAGTTAGGTTACTATAGTTATAGTATTCGCTACGCCTCGCCTAGCCTCGTTGGGCCTTGTCTGAGTATATTAACTATTTATGAATGGTCGTTAAATACACATAATGCATCTTAATTACCGTTATATGTTATCGAACGGTCTTCTATACTAAAGCTCTACCTAACTTGTTATACCTAGCTTATCGGGTTCTCATTTATAGTGCATGGACATAAGAAAAGTGCAGTAGAAACGAGAAAAGGAAAATAGTGTGTAAAACTGTGCATAATTTCAAAAGCGTGCTTATTAGAGCAGGTCGAAAATAATCTGCACTCTTAGTTCAAGTAATTTCAATTTCTTGAGCCCATGCAGTTCCATTTATATTTGTTCATCACTCATCTCAGTTTTTCGTTGACGTATAATAATTCTATATTGTTCACTGAGGAAATTGGAAGTTTGGTGTTTGCCGTAAAGGCCATGCAATCTTAAGGTTTTACAGTCTACTTTTATTTGTTATACAGTTATGATATTAATTCAGTAGTTATTTTAGTATTTAGTATTTCCTGGTTATTAACACTGTCAAGATTTTTCTAAGCATTTTCTTGTCCTTGACGAGAGTATTGAGATATATGTGTTACACTAACCGAGGTATTTTACAGAATGTAAATCCAATACATACAAGTCGTCAATTGGAAATGAAATATGCATTCCTTGTCCAAAAAATTCCGTGAGTGAAAAAGGACAAACTCAGTGTCGGTGCAATTATGGCTTTTATCGTTTAAAAGGGAAAAATTATGAGCATCCATGTTATGGTAAGTGCACATCACTACTTTTTCAGTAGGCAGAATCTACCAGAAAACTTAAATATAATGAACTGAAAAACGTTAACATTATGTCGACCAGGAATTCCTTCGGAAGTCAAGAACATCAAACTTACGTTGCAATTACGTTGCAATGGCAACAGCCAGAGAAGCAGTACCATGATGCCGTTTATGAAATAGAGTGCAATAAATGTCCATCAAGCAATGATAGTGCACCATGTGAAGAGCAGTGCGGACAATTAGTGACGTTTATACCATCACAAACTGATATCAAGTATACGAATGTAACGATACGAGGTCTGGAACAAAACACGAAATACCAGTTTGTGATTTATTCCAAGAATAAATACAGTGACCGCATCAATAAGATCAACTGGAGATATAGTGTGAAGAAAATGAAAAAGTTCGAAGCTAAAATTTAACGTGTAAAATGTTTCTGATATTACATTCCTTCATGCTATCGCAATTCCTACGTATTTCCTGGTTATTAGCATTTTCTGTCGAGATTTTTTAAAATTATAATCTTGTGCTTGACAAGAGTATTTGAGGTATATGTATTGTAGTAACGGAAGTATTTTACAGAATGTAAACTCAATACATACAAGTCGTCAATTGGAAATGAAATATGCACTCCTTGTCCAAACAATTCTGCAAGTGAGAAAGGACAAACTCAGTGCCAGTGCAATGATGGCTTCTATCGTTTACAAGGGGAAAATTATGAGCATCCATGTTATGGTAAGTGAACTACACACTGCTTTTTCGGTAGCGAGAAACTACCAGTCCCTCATTCCCGCGATGTGCTTTTTAAAGTTTATAAAGTCTCCCATGTTTGATCGTTACTGATTATCTTACTTAGCTCCAAGATTTTGTGCGTACGATATTCTTAAAATTTTGCACAACTTAAATCATCAAATTGTAGAAACACCACGTGCATTTGTTATATGGAGAACTCTCAGTTCGTTAACCTTCATCTTTGCTAGGGGTTAACTGATCAAAAGCTCTCCATATATAAAATACACGTGGTGTTTTAACAAATTGATTTACTTACTCAAATGACAAGCAGCCCAGTTCGTTCTTTTCCTTAGTCTATAATACATTAGAAGTTGTTTCTATGAGTAGAAGACTGCTTTGTTTAAACCTAAATGTAAGGACTCAAAAACGTTAACATTTTGTTGACCAGGAATTCCTTCAGAGGTTTGGAACATCATAGTTTTGGAGAGAACTGAGACCACAATTACGTTGCAATGGCAACAGCCTGAGAAGCAGTACCAAGGTGCCGTGTATGAAATAGAGTGCAATAAATGTCCATCAAGCAATGATAGTGCAACATGTGAAGAGCAGTGCGGAAGATCAGTGACGTTTATACCATCACAAACTGATCTCAAGTATACGAATGTAACGATACAAGGTCTTGATCAAAACACGGAATACCAGTTTGTGATTTATTCCAAGAATAAATACAGTGACCGCATCAATAAGACTAACTGGAGATATAGTGTGAAGAAAATTAAAAAGTTCGAAGGTAAAATTTAACGTGTAAAATGTTTCTGATATTACATTCCTTCATGCTATCGCAATTCCTACGTATTTCCTGGATTTTTTAAAATATAATCTTGTCCTTGACGAGATTATTTGAGGTATATCTGTTGTAGTAACGGAAGTACTTTACAGAATGTAAATCCAATACATACAAGTTGTCAATTGAAAATGAGAAGTGCACTCCTTGTCCAAACAATTCTGCAAGTGAGAAAGGACAAACTCAGTGCCACTGCAATGATGGCTTCTATCGTTTACAAGGGGAAAATTATGAGCATCCATGTTATGGTAAGTGCACATCACTACTTTTTCTGTAGCGAGAATCTGCCAATCCCTCATTCCCGCGATGTGCTTTTTAAAGTTTATAAAGTTTCCCAGCGCAAGTGACATTTGACGCCATCCTAGTGTGTGCACGGAAATCTGGAAATAGCATGTGGAAACACTCACAATAAATTCGCACTTTGAATAACAAGCCCAATTTTGATAGAGAGAATAACATGTTTCATCGTTATCTTACTTAGCTCCAAGATTTTGTGCGTACGATATTCTTAAAATTTTGCACAACTTAAATCATCAAATGGTAGAAACACCACGTGCATTTGTTATATGGAGAACTCTCATGCAGTTCGTTAAATTTCATCAGTGCTAGGGATTAACTGATCAAAAGCTCTGCATATGTAAAATACACGTGGTGTTTTAATACAAAATGATTTACTTGCTTAAAAGACATACAGTTCGTTCTTTTCCCCATTGTATAATATATTTAGAACTGAGTTGTTTCTATGGGTAGAAGACTGCTTTGTTTAAACCTAAATTTAATGAACTCAAAAACTTTAACATTATGTTGACCAGGAATTCCTTCAGAGGTTAGGAACATCATAGTTTTGGAGAGAACTGAGACCACAATTACGTTGCAATGGCAACAGCCTCAGAAGCAGTACGAAGATACCGTGTATGAAATAGAGTGCAATAAATGTCCATCAAGCAATGATAGTGCACCATGTGAAGAGCAGTGCGGAAGATCAGTGACGTTCATACCATCACAAACTGATCTCAAGTATACGAATGTAACGATACAAGGTCTGGATCAAAACACGGAATACCAATTTGCGATTTATTCCAAGAATAAATACAGTGACCGCATCAATAAGACCAACTGGAGATATAGTATGAAGAAAATGAAAACGTTCGAAGGTAAAATTTAACGTGTAAAATGTTTCTGACATTACATTCCTTACTCTTTATTCCTATGTTTCTTCTAAGTTGACGAAGGGGACTTAGGGGGCTCCAATGACAAGTCGAAAACGCCAGAGATGCTTGGAATTGGAATTGGAGTAGCAAGTTTCTTCTTAATTATCATTGTGGTTGTTATTCTTGTATTTCGGCGAAGACGATCCGCTGCACAGGTAATTTTTTAAAGCTTCGAATATTATTCCTGGTTTCTTCACCCCCCCCCCCCCCTCCCCCCCTTTACTTGTAATTCGACTTTGTGGTTTAGGACGGTGTATCATTGGGTATAGGCGACCTCGTGACGTGTTGTATTTTCTCCTTCATAACTGTATGAAACTCCTAATAGATAAGAATGACCATCATGTCTTCAGCAATTAATAGTTTATTATACTTATTTGATCCTCTTCACTTCCTGTTTTCTTTCTCTTCAGAAATCTCAATCCTGGGAAGGCGACGTCAATGCTAAAAATAATGTACGAAATTCATTGCGTGAACTAAAAACGCTTCATAATCGGAATCTTGGCAAGTAACTTGTAGGATTTATTCCTGAAGAGGAGAATACATTCCTTAATTACCTGTAAAAGCCATTAATTTTTTTTCACCCTTCCCTTATATTAGAAGTTGTATATGTTCACGTGTTGAAAGACTGGGAAATTTCACCAAATGATCTGAAGGTGCTGGACAAAAATCTAGGAGCTGGTCAGTTTGGAGTCGTGAAACAAGGCTTGTATACACCTCAAAATGGCGAGCCTGAGAAAGTTGCCATAAAAATGTTGAAAGGTATAGAACTAACATTTTGAATAACACTTTATTGAAATTACAACGCAGCAAATTTGGTCTTCTGCGGTATAAGTAATAAGCACAGCTACGTAAATACGGATCAGGATTTTGCAGTCCTGCAGTCCCGAAAAATGAGAATTCAAATCGTGAATGAGAAATATAGCGGAAATTGACAGTCAAAGGCTATTTACTTTCAATTTGAGTAATATTACCTAACTTTCTCTCTTTATTCAAGAAAATGCGTCCGAATCCGAGTTATTAGATCTACTGGCTGAGATAAAGGTCTTAAAAGAAGCCAACAAGGAAAAACACCCAAATATTATAAAATTTATTGGAAGTTGTTTTATGAAAGGTGAGACTAAACGAGTGACTGAATGATTACACTCTGGTGGAGCTTCCACAATAATTATTGTATTGGTCAAAGCTAGAGCATATATACCTAAAATACAGCTGTGGAAACAGTACCTGATATAATCCTAATATCTTTAGGGAGACGCGTGATGGTAACTGAGTTTTGTCCCGGAGGAAATCTGCGAAAGTTCCTAATCAAAAGTAGAATCAATGATAACTCGTCAGATTCTCACAATATTTATGTCAATATAACATCAACGTTAAGCGATCGTCAGTTGTTGAAGTTAGCTGTGGATGTCGCTTGTGGAATGGTTCATCTTTCCTCTCGGAAGGTAAGCAGGCATCGTTTTATGATAATTTAAATACGCAGCCTGTATATGTAACGTTTAGGGCTTCATGGATGATGGAATGGAAACAGCCGAAAAAGACATCTACATATATCCTAAAGTCCAACAGCTATCCCATAATATAGCCTTATAGCTATAAGTGTACCCTCTCTTTGGTCAAGGTTTCTTCTTTCCAAATCGTGCATATTAGCCAATAGAAATGCAGTATTCTGTGCATACTACAATTCTATTGGCTAAAAATTGAAGTAATGACAGAACACGACAGACTTATAATGATGTTCTTCGCTGAGTAAATCACGAGATATGCAGGAGAATATGTACAAAAAGATGTTCATTAAAATATCTTTTTCAGTTTCTTCATCGGGATTTAGCGGCCAGAAATATTCTTCTTGGTGAAGAGAATGTGGCAAAAATTTGTGACTTTGGTTTGGCCAGAGATGTTGGAAGTGCTGAAAAATATATACGAAATACGCAGGTAATAGAAAGAATACCAGTTAAGCTACGATCATTATTAATGAGTCATTTATCTTGTAGTAAATTCATCATCTTATCATTTGTAAACTATTCATCATCCTATAGCATCTTTACGTTAGTCAATCATTCATATTGCAGAATCTTCTTCCAGTGAAATGGATGTCCGTGGAAAGTTTATTTGATGGTGTCTTCACAACTGCAAGCGATGTGTAAGTTTTAAGACGAAGTTCTCTGGTTTTGCGAACTTCTTTAAGAAGATTCAACCTGTTTTTGTTGGAAGAAAGTGCAGAATAGACAAAGATTTACCGATGAGATTTACGGATAAGATTTTTTACTTCTTTTTTTATTGACCAAAGGTTTTCTTTTCATGAATATTGGAACATTGTTCACTAATTGCTTCTATTCACAAACTTTTTTTATACAGATGGAGTTTTGGCGTTCTTCTGTATGAAATCGCAACTCTTGGTAGGTAAATGACCTGTACGATCAGAATGGCGATCGATTGAATAGCAACGGAATACACTATACTTCAGCGGTTCATTCGCACACCAGTACTTTACTGGCTATGTCCTATGTCGCAGTGAGTTTGTCCCACTTGGTCTATTTTGACCAGAACATAAAGTACCTTGATCATTTTAGGGGAGGAACCATACAAGAACATTCCAGCACGTGCTGTTATCACTCACGTGGAATCGGGAGGTCGAATGTCAAAACCTCCACATTGCTCCAATGAGGTGTAAGTATTTATTTACTGATCTACGTAATATGGATAGTTTCACGTCAGCGTGTACAGAAGGTAACATCCTATAGTTAGGAAGTAACACACTGTTTTACTGGGTTGATCAGGATATTTATTGAAAGAACTATCTTTTTCCTTGAGTATGAACGCAGGTAATTAATCTTGTTCTCTTCTAGATATGAAATAATGTCAAATTGTTGGAAAGTCGATCCAAAGGAGCGACCCACTTTCCCAGAAATATTGCGGGCTTTACGTGATATGCTGAATGATAGAGAGGTGTGAATTTGTATTGCACATAATCAGTGATAAGAAAAATCGGCATGGTAATCGTAGGATTAATATATAACCGGTAGGTAGAGTATGGTACCGCAGGATCAATGAAAGGTAAACATGGCTAAACTTTAGCATAAAAATAGGAAGGAGGTATGGTAAAGGTGAAGTAAATGCTTGAGAAAACTTTGTGTCACAATATGTTTCTAAAGATGTTTACACGAGTCTTTGTCCTTTTTAGCACACGTATATTAATGTATCACAAGTAAAACAGTGAAAGACTACAGATAGCAGCCCAGCCTGCAGATGCTATGACCACGATGGACGAAACGAATTCTAATATAGCAAATCGTGTTCTCAATCGACAATCGTTTCAAATGGAAGTGAAAGTGCTTATTACAGTAAAATTTTAATATCACTGATAAAATGTAGATTTGCAAATATTACATTATCTAATATAATATTAATTTGTTGAATTTGGGAACATAGATATGAGGGCATAACACAGGAATAGCCAACAGTATATATAAATGTAGAACAGAAATTTTTTAAATATTGTAACGATTTCTACTGTACTCATGGAATCATTTTTCAGAGTGGATTTCAAATATTACGTGACCACGTATTGAAAATGATTATGTTGAATAAACCAGGTAGTTTAAGTTCACAAGAATGGTTAAATCCCACAGTGGAAACACCACCATATTATATCATCACGTGTACAGCGGTTACCAGGACGCAGTGATGCAGGTCGAGCGGATGACTGTATTATCAGACAAAACAAATCGCAGCGGGCTACAAATACTTTTTAAATAATTGCATATTTTATGGTATTTTGCATAATAAAGATGAAGAAAGTTGCAGATAATATGGTTGTTTGTCGAATCTAACCGCGATCAGAACTAAACAAAAATGTAGTTTGATTTAAGATTATGCTTGTGTGAAGAAACAGTTGTCATTGGAAAGCGGTTGTAGCAATTTATGGGGTTTAAATCTACAGATATCTAATCCATATGATGAGTTGATATCGGAGTTAATTATCAATAACAGTGTAATATTTAACTAGGTACGTTGATGTTTGATGAAAATTTTATGTTAGTTGGTGTCCCAAGTATCATTTATTCACTTTAGAAATATTCTGTTTAATAACCGATTTAACATCCGTTAGTGTACATTGCATGAAATAGTGATTTATATGGGTTATATAACAGATCATCCGTATGGATGAACTTAATTGGGCAGACGAGCTTTCTAAGTAGTTCCTCTGTTTGACAGATGGACAATCTCGCCTGCCTTAAACTGCACTGTCACTAGATAAGTGCACAGTCGGATTATTAGATGAACTATGTTTTACTGTCCAAGTACATCCACACAGATGATCCGAGATCGAACTATGTTTACGTTCAGAAAGTCTGTGGTGTAACCTTGCTTCCGTCAGTTCCGCTTATATATTCTTACGAATTCAAAAAGCTTGTATCGTTTTTGAATGTTTGTTAATGAATGTCATCTCAAAAAATCCTATCAAATGCTTAATGTGAGTTTCGCCATAGAAATGCAACAAATAAATTTGAACTACAAAAATGAATATAATCATTGATTTTTATAAGAAACTGCATGCACGAGTAAATTTATGTGGTATTTCGTAGCTAAATCCATTCGCATTATATATAATTAAGATACAAACTTTGATATTAAGCCGGGTCCCTTCACATGAGCAAATTGCTTTTAGGAAATTTTACCTGTGCATGTAGATACGAAATTTAACAAGAATGCTAAAAATTATTCTATTTCCAATCACGAGAATCTCTACCTATATATTTTATTTTAAGCCGTAAACCTCGATTCTTTACTCATTTTTTATTTCAGTACCTTCAGTACTTATTTTTTATTTCAGCAAAAAAACAGAAATAAAGTCTTCGCCCTTATAATGGGAATACTCTGGTTCTTAGTATGGATGTCATTGTCGTGGAGCATTGTGATGTTACCATCAGTTCACCCGGAAGAAGGTTAGCGGTTAACGTCGAAAAATTGCATGATTCCCATGAACTAAACTGAAAGTCAAATTATGACTGAAAGTGCTTTTCTTTACATTTACTATATACTCCGGTAATTTATATGATGAAAATTCATATATTATTGGTCTGAGGATACGAAGAACTGAGAAAAAAACAGGATATAGGATTGAACTCGCTTCTTTGCGATCACCGCTATATTGCCTCTTGCGCTATGAGCTATAACAAAGGCTTAGTCTAGCGAACGTTATTCGAAATTAAATTACGGGGGTGCGATTGCATGCAAGTTTTCATGCAAGATTATCACACAACTTACGTGCGTATTTTTGTACGTGTTTTCTATATCCTGTTGCATAAACGGATACTTCTGTCCAAATTTAAAAATGTTTTAACGCCATAATCGATATATATAGCTATGTTAGACCACAGGTTTGACTTACTTAATGTCTTCTATAGTAACTGTTAAAGACGATGAGATAAAAGATTGGTTTGGACAGAGAAAAGAACTTAAAAAGACATCCGGAGAAAGTGTAAGTGCAATCCGGCGGTGAAATTAATTATATTTTTTGCTGCACGGAGTGCCATGGACATTATTGAATTAAGGAACTTCTCAGTTTATCAGTTATCACGACCAGGATCACGACACGCCTTAATTGTTTACCGGCTGTAAACCTATATAATGTGTTTACAAATGAATATACGTTATCATCGCTTAGAACTTACTATATATGCCTTTCAACATACGAACATCTCATGTTGTAAATTTGCGCTATAAATATTATAATTATTTATTCTTCATGTTTTTAAAAGTGGGTTGTCAAAGAAAACATCCTGTATACTTGTGGTATTGGTACAGAAACTGATTTTTGGTTAATCACACCTTATATTGATCTCAGTGAAAGCATCGCTGAAGTAATCAATGTGGATGTGGAAGCTGAACTTACACTGTGTGATGATCCTGGTGCACCCAAAGGTTCATCAAGCAGATTGAAGTGTTTTTCAAACTACTTTGAAGTTTATATTTATCGAGGGAAGATTGAAAAGGTATCTCTTGATCTGAATTATCTGACAGAAAGATTTCAGCCACTTTACAACATCACCAACGATACCTCGCCGAATTCAATCTTTACCAGAAGTATCAAAACCTTCTCCTTTCCTCAAAATCATTCACAAGGTGTGACCTTTGCGATAAGATCCAGAGGAGCTTGTGGATCAATATTCAGAATGAAAATGTATTATTATTACTGTAAGAAAATACTTCTCAATGGTCTACAATTCATGAACACCACATCACCTGCCAAAGGGTTCAAAATTGTGCAAACAACAGCAAAAAATTGTTCAAACAACTCAGTAGAATCAATAAATGCAGCAGGAAACAAAACGATGACATCGTACAGTGGAAATTGTTTTGCCAATGGAACGTGGAGTATACCGCAGTATGCTGTTTCACGATGCTTATGTCTTGAGGGATACACCGAAACAGACGGTTCGTGCGCAAGTAAGTTGAATAAAATAATTTTAGCCCATGCATGCACATACAATTAAATTGCATGAATGTGAGTCTGTAAGGGAAACACTGTTTTTCGTGCACACACTGCACTGACATTTATTTGTATTTGAATTTTGTAAACCACAAAGAAACAATTGAACGTTTATTGATATACACACTGTTTATTACACATTCACCTGATCTTTAATTTGCCTGAAGATGATATAAATATGGTGAATGAATAATATCCTCTATAAAATAACATTTTTTAAAACTTTACTCCCCTTTAGCTAATCGAATATGGGAGAATAAAAAAGCATGAAATTTATTCTTTTTAATGCGGTTAAAAAGTTTGTCGTAAATGTCATGCAATTTTAAGGTCTTTATGTCTACTCTTATTTGTTTTTCTAATATCATATTTAGGTTGTCCAGGAAATACTTACAAAAAGAACATTTCAAACGAGAATTGCAGTCAGTGTCCTATGAACACTAAGACTAACATCTATAAAACCAGTTGTAATTGTAAAGAAGGCTATTATAAGGATCCATCTGCTCACTTTGATCCATCACCTTGTTATTGTAAGTTGGTCGATTTTCGAGCTTCTGCATGAAGAAATAAGAAATCCGCTTTGTATAGTAGAAAATATTTTCGACTTCTCTCCTCGTATTTTTTTCCTCCTTTTGTTAGAAAAATATGCCTAGTTTAGGGGAGGGCATTATGACTTGAATAACCTTTGATTATAATTTATAATTAATGACTTGCATAACCTTGATTATAATTTCATTATAATGTCAGCATAACTGACCTTTGATTATGATTTTCTACATTTCTCATATTGTTGCTCTACTGGAACTTACAGACAAACCCAGCATAAAGCTCCTAGGAAGCGTTGTTGAAATTACATGGAAAAATGCTGGTATAGCAAATGAAACCATCCTGTACGATGTGAGATGCTATGAATGCAACCAGAGCATATGTCAAACTTCATGTATGAATGAGACATACGAACCTGGACAGAATAACTTGACTGAGACCAAGGTGGTTGTGTCTAACCTTACAATAGGAGGCAAATACGTTTTCAGAGTTTACGCTAAGAACAGCTCGAAGAAATGGAAATACGTGGAAACAAACCCATTTGTTTTTAGTATACATGGTAAGGACCAACTAAATATCTTTTACTCTTGTTGTCCTTTTACGTCCAGTATTGTTCCTTTAACATTTAGCATTTGACATTTAGTTGTAACTTATGCAGATTATAGAATATAGTGAAGTAGTCAAAGTTTGTTGGTGAATCGTTTTCGTTGATTGTAATTGTTCTTGTTAACAGTTAGATCGAGCACGCCTACTGTTTTTCTTGCAACGAGAACAACAGGACCATCAAAACCCTCATCTGAACCAACAAAGGAAGACCGTTTATTAATGTATATTATCATTGGAGTCGCAGCGTTTCTCCTATCACTATTGATTGTGATACTAATAATTTTACTGCAAAGAAGGTATAAAAGACTATATACTATATTACACTGGTTGCTATTTGACTCGTATTGCTCTTGATAAAATATGATTTCAAGAATTGCTCTGCTGTGTAGTCCTGGATAACTACCGGAAGAAATAAATGCTTTCGGCAGAGAAGTGAAACAACTTAGAATAACATACAGGAATACACCAAGATCTTTTATACTGAATATGATTCACAGACGATTTATATTCTTAAATTGGAATATTATTTGTCATTTTAAAGGAGAAGAAATGGAAGAGATAGAAAAACAGTCCGTGGACTTGACAATCCAGTTGCAGGTTCGTGATCGTTTACTGAAGTAGTAGTGCAATGTATAGCGCTGTGTTTGTATTGAATGAATGGTTTCACCATTTATTGAATGGGTAAAATATCTTCATTATATATTTTGATATTGT